CCAAAACTTACAGCAAATTGAAGTAGAGTTTGACATGGTTGTGATGGTGACTTATGAGAGGTTTTTTTCGAATTTATATATGCCCTACAAGGTAGTAGTTCTAGTAGATGAGATCAGTCCTTCTCCATAGCCTCCCTTATCAACCCTTGTAACAAGCTCCCATGTCGGCGTTGCCGTCGAGCCAAATTCGGATCACTACCCTTCCTATTGCTTTGATTCCCATAACAAGAGCAGTTAAGTGTTGGTTAGAGATGTCTGGGATGAGGCCCCCGTATTCCAGAGAAGTTGCAGAATTGCTTCCTAAATGTATGTAGCCGCCAGATGTAGAGTCGTGGTACCTGGACATCTTTTGTATCGATCTCTGCTCCCTTTCTTATCAATCTGGTTCAGATAGTAGGATACCCTTTCGCTGCTGCTGTATGGAGGATGGTTCGTCTATGACTTCTTGGTACGGTGTGTCCAGAGAGATTGACGAGGGATAAGAAAAGTAGATTTAGAAAGGGCAAGGAAGCCTATCTACACTATCTACCAAACACAGCCATGTGACTGGTATCCAGGAAATTTCCATCAACATGACTATGTCTAGATAACAAATTGGGACTATGGCCAAAAGCTTGAAAGGTTCCCTGTGACCTTGAATGCTCCTCCTCCTCGTGTGCTCTCGTCGACCGTGGCTCTATTGATTAGGAGCCCCTCGACTATATCTACGTCTCGTCTCCATTGACCAAAGTAGAAATTTACATGAAATATATCCCATATTTCTCTTGATAAGTAGCTCAAATTCCATATCCGTCTTTTACTCGAGAAGGAATAGTGTGGTTTCTGCATACCCAAAAGTAGCTGCTTTTTCCTTAAGATTTGGTCACTAATTATCTACGAGCTACAACGTGGAGGAATCTAAACTTGGAAACTGATTGTAAAGCCTGCCCTCTGTCATCAATCGGAACTCTAAAAACACCGCACAGCTCTCCTTAATCTTGACAATGTATTCAGCACTGGTGCGGAACAGAAAAGGCTTTCTCTCTCTAGTTCGAAGTACCTCCGTTGGGAAACGCCATTCCGGACGTCGTAACGTCACTCCACAACTGGTGTCAAGGGCATCATTTCGACGAATATGAGTATGAATATCTAGAATATTCAAATGATCTTCTCCTCGCGCAGGCGGGGAAGAGACCAAGGATTGGCTGCACGGAAATTCCAAGAGGAAGATATCACAACATGGTATCTATCACGTTTAGAGAAGCTGGTATGGACAGTATGGAATTAGTTTCAGATACCAATACAGACGCTGATACTACATTGTGTGTGTTATTCGGATTAGCGCCTTGCCATGCCAGTTCTATGAGTCCGATAACATCATGGCTTAGTCCGAGCATGGCCGCGAGATTGTCTCGAGTTACTCTAACATTTGGTATATTGCTTCTTCTGGTGATACTGATGCTAATTATAGGGGCTTGAATAGCTATTCCACGAGAAAAAATCATTATGGCCGCTACCTTGTCGTTGCCTTCGGTCATATCGACAGATCTTGTCGTGACTACGGCTGGGTGTGACTTGAACTTCGATTTTCTACAAGAAACTCAAAATACTCATACATCCTTTACAACTTAATATGCATCTGTCATGGGTGCCATTTGCAGAGAATTTCCTAAGAGAGACCACTTCTCAACGAGCAATATTCACGTGCTATTTAAAGGACCGGCTGGGGAGTAGTTGGTAAGGGCCACCATACTTCCAGTGGTATCGCACAATAGAGGAACGTCTCCAGGTCCTAATTGAAAGTGTTTTTCTGCGATTAACTGCCTAGAATGGGGGAGAGTAGTCCAGGGACAACTCGAAATTACTCCGTTCAAACTGCGAAAAGACACACACTACCAGCCATATTGTACTTGACTCCCCACGATCTAGATGGATATATGCGTATTAGTCATCTTCTCCATGATGATCTCGAAGATCCGGCATCATAATCTATTGAGATCACTATAGATAATATCGGTCCAAGCATCATTGGATTGCCATGGCTGCATAGGGAGATACTGATTAGTAGAACAGTATTGACAGACCCGACTGAAATCCGAGATGTCCATCCAATGGGATCTCACACTACCCGTAGATCACGATCCCCTGGCTTATCAATTGGATTTCTAGAACGTTGCCACACTAGCAGCCCTAATGGCATGCCCTAAAGGCGTGGGTGAGATGGCACCACAATTCCAAAGATTGGGGCAAATAGAAATGATGACATAATCAGCGCTTTCGGCGGCAGGCGGGTCGCAGTGCAGCGCACCACGTGACCTGTAGATCCCGTGATTGGCCGGTCTTAGGGCTGCGGCCCTCACCCACTAATCCACACACAGCCGTGCAGTCGGGGCTCGCTTAACCCCCTTCGCCTGCGATCCATCCGACTTCGTTGTGTGCGTTGAACTTGACTCCAACGACAACAACCGCCGACAACCATCCAACCTTCCTTTCCACAAAGGTGACAGAGCAGGATGTCCTCTTTCGAACCAGTGGTGCGTTTCCTGATATCCCCCAACGCTTTGCATGCCATGCCATCGATCTCGTCCGCCACCTCTCAAACCTCAAATCTCAAATCTTCAACATCTTCAACTTTTGGCGTGGAACACCCCGGAAAGACCGTGATCGCTGACTGAATGTTTCTGGAATATAGGTCGTCATCGACGGCAAGGGACACCTCCTTGGTCGCCTGGCCAGCACTGTCGCCAAGCAGCTGCTCAACGGCCAGAAGATCGTCGTTGTGAGATGTGAGGCCCTCAACATCTCCGGCGAGTTCTTCCGCGCGAAGCGTACGTTCAACCCTCTCCCGATTTCTTTCGTTATATACGGTGGTCGAAAAAGATAGCGAAGGACCAAGAGCAGGGCATTTTGTGACTTTTTGCGACTCGGCTCCTTGGAGGATACAACCACGACATTCTGTGGCGAACACACCGCTAACTTGAACTTTTTCGTCGACCTACAGTGAAGTACCACGCCTACCTCCGCAAGATGACTCGTTTCAACCCCACTCGCGGTGGTCCCTTCCACTTCCGCGCTCCCTCCCGCATCTTCTACAAGGCTGTCCGCGGCATGATTCCCCACAAGACTGCCCGCGGTGCTGCCGCCATGGAGCGCCTGAAGGTCTTCGAGGGTGTCCCCCCTCCCTACGACAAGAAGAAGCGCGTTGTCGTTCCCCAGGCCCTCCGTGTCCTGCGTCTGCGCCCCGGCCGCAAGTACTGCACCGTTGGCCGTCTCAGCCACGAGGTTGGCTGGAAGTACCAGGATGTCGTTTCTCGGTACGTTACAATCTACCACACCCTGCTTGGAGTGGTTTCTACGATATTGGCTCGAAATGATACTAATCTTCTATTTACAGCCTTGAGGAGCGCCGGAAGGTTAAGAGCAAGGCTTACTACGAGCGCAAGAAGGCCGCTCGCCGTAACCTCGCCAAGGCGGAGCAGGGTGCGAATGTTGACAGCAAGACCAAGAGCCAGCTCGCTCAGCTCGGCTACTAGATACCTCATAAAGAGCGGCCGGTTGTTGTGAGTGACGGATCTGGGTTGGGATCGCGAACGGTTTTGTTGCAGCGAACTTGAACGGCAAGCCGAGATCGACCTTTTTCTATTGGGCCTGGACCCCCCGTCTGTGTTATCTTGTTTTCATTCTCTGTGAATACCACTGCCCTTGACTGGGTCGTGACGGACATGGGATCGGGAACGGTGATCTGGCGGGGGATTTACTGGGTTTCTTCGGAAATTCTCAAAAGCAGAAAAAACGGAGTCGCGGGATGAAAGGTTGTCTAAAATAGCTGGCTGTTGTCTCGCGCCGTGGCGGTTTAATCCAAAACAAATTTTCAAGAGTTCACAAAGAGTTCAACATGATCTTATGACGATGCAGGTTTTATTTTTTTCTTCTACCTCGCGCGCACCTTAATTCTCGTTTCTTTTTGTATCTCTTCGTAGACATTTGCTCGACCAGCTCCACCTGACACAAATATTCGTTGGCCCAGCGATTTAGTGTCCTATGACGCTATCTCGGCCTTATCACTCGAGCTTATCTAGTTAAGGGTTAGCAATTGGAGTTCCGTCCAACGACCCGACTTGTCTCCACACAATCTAAATTGTCTAGATCTGAAGCCCTATTCATGCCCTCGCGCACAACGGTTGTGACTGGTTCTAGCTATTCACATTCAGGCATTTTTTGTAGCTCAAAAACATCTACCTCGGTCTTCTCTATCTATTCCATTTCGAAAATTCCTTCGCCCCTATGGAGGTTGCATATATATCCCGCGCACGCAGAGCCATGCCTGGTGGACGAGTCCAAGACACTCTACATGGAGATAACCACCCAGTTATGGCTATACTATCTTTGATATAGAGTATGCAACACCGTTTCCTCGCCGATCAACCTAATGCCAAATAGTATACTAAGACTCGGTAGACAGAGCCATCGCTAGCTCTGCAACAAATTGAGTTGCGTCTACCTATTTCCGAAATATCTTCGAAGGAATGAGATCTTGTTCCGATACTGATGAATTACCGCAGCTGTAGTCTAGAATTCAAGGTCAATGGCTTATATAGCCCTAGATATCTTCAGTATATAGAACTTCAAAGCAAACTGGATTTGGTGTATTGGGTTGGAAGATATAGGCTAGACCACCAGATATATTCGCAAACTGGCCGCCATCTCGTCGCTATTTGCATATACCTTATTCTTTAGATATAATCCAGCAGATTGTATCTAACAAAGATTAGAGTGTTTCTCAAAACACTGAAAATTTCATACTATACGTCCGAGGCTCGCTGGACTATGAAGTCGTTGGGGAGCCCTGTATGTGATGAGGGTTCGGAGCAGACTGGTCCCCGCATGGTGGGATGTTCAACGAGACCCACTTCCAACATCCGACTGTAATGAGGCCACCCAGCTTTTGAACCTATGACCAAAGATATCACAGGTCAATTCCAATCGAGCCCCTGATTCGACCACTCCGTATCCCCGACAATATGTCTTCTCCTCAAAGACTCGGTCTTGGCATTATCGGTGCCGGTGTACGAAATCTCTCCCTGGATCTTGAACATACGGCTAATGATCTACCTCCAGGAGGTCTTCCAAGTCTGTCATGGGCCTTGTCTCTTGCTTTTATCGCACCTATTTAAGATTGAATCCATCTGTGATCTGTCACCTACCACGGTAGAGCACTGCGCGACCAAGTTCAATGTCCCACACAAGACCACCACCCCGCAAGAGGTGATTGACAACCACAACGTCCAAACAGTCTTCATCCTCACCTCGGATGAAAGCCATGCCCCGCTAGCTATTGCCAGCCTCAAAGCGGGCAAGAGCGTCTTTATTGAGAAGCCGGTATCTCTGTCTCTCCCTTCTATGGAATCGATCATCGAGGCCGAGAAGAATGCACCTGGAGGTGCCCGAGTCTTCGTGGGCTATATGCGTCGCTATGCTCCCAGCTTCCTGCAAGCTTTCAAGCGAGAGATTGCCACCATCCCTAAAATCCTGTATGCACGAGTCCGTGACTTTAGCGGACCTAATGCGCAGTTCGTCAACCAAAGTGGTACATTCCAGGTCAAAAATTCTGATTACCCTGCCGGGGCAACAGAGGAGCGAGACGCACGATTGGAAGCTCTATTTGCAGAGGCGTTCCCGAACCAGGAGATCACGGATGAAAAGCGCAAGTTTTGCCGCTTCCTTGGTAGCCTTGGGTCTCATGATATTTCTCTCATGCGTGAAGTCCTTGGTTTCCCCGAGAGTGTCGTTGGCGTGTCTGCAAATGATCCTTTCTACAGCGCCATCATGAATTTCCGCAATCAAGATGGCTCAACTTATTCGACCACCTATGAGAGTGGTATTGATGGCGTTCCAGTCTTTGATGCCCATATCGCAGTGTACGGAGCTAACAAGAGAGTGACAATCAAGGTATGTGGCCTATTCATGCTCTGTTGTTAATCGAAAGAAGAGACTGACTCGTACCTACAGTACGATAGCCCTTACGTCAAAGGGCTGCCGATCTATGTTGAGGTGGAAGAGCCGAACGAGCATGGCGAGATTCAGCGGCGGACTATGCTGTCGTCGTACGAAGATGCTTATACGGCCGAGCTTCAGGAAATGCATGCAGCATTTGTGCATGGCAAAGCTATCAAGACAAGTGTCGAAGATGCCAAGAAGGATCTTGAGATCTATAATATGATGTACAAGAGTTGGAGCGGGAAGTAGCTGCAATGCAGCCCTTTTTTCACATCTAACTGTACAGAGGTTGCAATTGGAAATGATGATCCTATTCTCCCAGGCTCTCTGCTGCACTATACTTCATCCATCTATCCGGGCTATATAGCCGCGGGTCTCCGGTACATCCATAGATTCCATGTGTCCGAAAAGAAGCCATTCTTGACTGCGCTTTAGAATTGGGTCTAGCAAAAGCATAGTCGAGCAAATATTTGCTTCATTTTACATGCCCTCCATTTTCACCCAGCGTCAAGCCTCAGGTCTGAATATAAATTCTGTAGAGCACGTTGTTATTCAGATCATTGACTTCAATACTATTTCCAGCGGCCAGAATTCCCGAGTACCCGCTTGTGAAGATGATCGGCCCGCAATAGCGGCGGCGACGGCGGCCCCGAGGTTACCCTGACTAAGAAGACTGTTTCCCCGCATTTCTCCAACAAGCTGAACCGACTTTACTTTGGCATATTTCCCCTGTCCCTCCCTTCCGTTGCATAGACCTGCAAAGCAATTCGGTCGTGTAACAACAATATCGTGCTTTGCTTCAATAGGCACTCTCAACACATATATCATGTCCAGTGTTACGTCCCGACTATCGGGCCTGCTGGGCCATTTGACAGGGTCTCCGGCGCCAGCTCCTTTCGAGCATCGCATCAACCATCACACGCTCTCACCGACATTTTTCCTTCCTCGAGCGGCAGCAATTGAACCGAATGTATGTTTTCAGATTATTTTCATTTCGGGGTATTCACCTTGGAATGAGTCTTGCTCTATCTTGGGCTCCATGTTGGAAAACAAGCCGCTGACCGAGGAGAACTAATCCAGGCCGAGGCAATTTACCATGTTACCGCAAACAACAAAATCCTACGTCGAACTTACAGCGAGACCGCAGACCGCGCACGCGGTCTGGCATATTTCTTGAAGAAGAAGGGATTCCGCAGAGTCGGCATTCTTTGCCCAAATACTCCGGCGTTCTTGGAATCGATATTTGGCATTGCCGCGGCCGGTGCGGTTAACGTTGGTACGTTTCGCAATATGAGAAAGAATTGACGAATTGAGAATCCTGGCTAACACGCAAAAAAAACTCAGCTGTCAACTACCGCCTAAAGCAAGATGACATCGCCTATATCTTTGACCACGGCGATGTAGACGTGATCATTGTGGACCAGGAATTTGTCCCCCTCCTTGAAACCTACCGGTCGCAACATCCTAACGTTCCGATTATCTTGGATACTGATACCGATGCCACCGAAGGCGAATTGACGGGTCCCTTTGACGATGCAGTGCTAGAAGGCTTGAAACACGACTCGGAGACCGGGGCACAGGGCTGGGCGGGTCTCGAAGCTCAAGCCGCCGATGAAGAATCCTTAATTGCATTGGCTTATACCAGCGGCACTACCGCTAGACCTAAAGGTGTTGAATATACCCATCGAGGCTGTTATCTGGCAGCTTTGGGCAATATCATCGAGTCTGGGTTGAATTCCCACCAGGGACGGGCCAAGTATTTGTGGACATTGCCCATGTTCCATGCGATGGGTTCGTGAAGTTACCCCATATATGATGTTCTCACGAGCGCTCCGAAAACTAATCGAGTTTACAGGATGGACCTTCCCGTGGGCAATTACTGCGGTCCGTGGCACACACTATTGTCTCCGCAAGATCGACTACCCCGAGATTTGGCGCCTACTGAAAGAAGAGCATATTAGCCATTTCAACGCGGCACCGACAGTCAACACACTTCTGTGCAATGCGAAAGAAGCCGAACGGCTTCCCGAGCCAGTTCGGGTTACTGTGGCAGCTAGTCCACCTACACCTCACCTTTTCGAGCAAATGACCAACCTGAATCTCCATCCGGTGCACGTTTACGGCATGACGGAGACGTATGGACCGATCACCAAGGGATACTACCTCCCAGAGTGGGATACTATCCCGTTGAAAGAGAAATACCAGAAGATGGCCCGGCAGGGCCATGGCTTCATCACCAGTCTGCCCGTGCGGGTAATCCAGACCGAGGTGCCCGAAGATACGATCACCGACGTCAAGCGAGATGGCAAAGAGATCGGTGAGATCGTGTTCTTCGGAAACATCTGCGCCAAGGGATACTATAAGGACCCCGAGGCGACTCGGAAGCTCTTTGCGGGCGGGGTGTTGCACTCGGGGGATCTGGCTGTTTGGCATCCCGATGGTGCAGTCCAGATTCTCGATCGCTCCAAGGATATCATTATTAGTGGTAAGTGGAACTAACCATTAACAATTTGCGTTCTATTGTGAATTATTCACTAACTGCGTGATTAGGTGGCGAGAATATCTCTTCCGTGGCATTGGAGTCGATGCTCGCCACGCATCCCGACATTCTCGAGGCCGGCGTCGTGTCCGTTCCCGACAGCCACTGGGGAGAGCGACCGAAGGCATTCATCACGGTCAAAGAGGGCAAGAGTCTAGAGGGGGCTGATGTGATCAACTGGGCTCGGAATGCCAGTGACATCAGCAAGTTCATGATCCCACGTGAGGTCGAGGTCGTGGCGGAGTTGCCCAAGACTAGCACGGGCAAGATTCGAAAGAACGTGCTGCGCGAGTGGGTGAAGGGATCCGATCGAAATGTTGGGAACTGATATTTTGTAAGAAGACCATAGTTACCTATAGAATAACTCCCTGGATATGGGATTTGCCGTGTTTGTAATGAGAACCTGGATAGTAAGTGTAGTCAAGCCGATCGGCAAGTCTTTCCCATCGGGACATCATCAGCTGCAACTGCACGGGACCACATCAAGCGCCCTAGAGTCGGTAGTATACTACAGTAGTAGAGACTACAACAATAGACAAAGAACCTCTCTTCCTCGTTCCTGATGAATTTATAATCATTTTTGCCCCCCCATCTTATCACATCTCGATAAGCAGCTTGGCGACTCTCCGCGCTTATGAGACCGGCCGCATTTGCCTCATCCCCCTCCATTGCCGCCTGCGTCCCTTTTACGCACACTCGCCCTGCACAACTTCCCCCTTGGGATCTTCAAGGGGCTTGCAGGCCATGCGTTGACCAGTTCTCACTTCTGATCTGACCTTTGCGGCCCCCATCCTTCTTCATTTTTCCTCCATCTAACCCATCGTCATCTCGGAACGTCTAAGCGCTCCGATCCTCAGCTCTCAGACTTACCACTCGCGTCACCTCTTGCCCCATCACATCCCTCGACAAACGACACCCACCCCGACCTCATCGCATCCCTTACAACAGCCTTACCGAGTCCTTGATCGGTATCAATAGGACTGGCTGCGATCTATCGGCCCGCATCCTGCCCGATCGAGACTTTGGAGATCCCAAACTACAAACTCTCTCTCGTTCATCCTTCGCCTCACCACACACAAACAACAACACACATCCCGCCCATGCAACTATCACCCTTCACGAAGTAATGAGATTTCACCCTTACGACGACCCGAAAAGAAAATCGAATTGGACCTCGAGTACCGACTCTTCCCCGGCGGCCAAGATGCCTCCACGCCCTCGCCCCTCCGCTCGTCTCTCGAGCGAAGCACCCTCCGAAACCTCCTCCTCGACTTCCCCGGAACGCGCTGCAGACGATGATACTGATTTCTTCATGGCTCAAGCCAACGACTCCCAGTCGTCGATTGGTGTCGCTACCTTCCGCGACCTCCACGTGCACGCGACTCGATCTGCCCCGGTGCCACCGATCGGCCGCCTCCCTCCCGAGATCTTGATCGCAATCTTCTCCAAGCTTGCGTCGCCAGTCGACATGTTAAACTGCATGTTGGTATGCCGAAACTGGGCTTCTAACAGCGTTGGGATTCTATGGCATCGCCCTTCGTGCAATAACTGGGACAACCTAAAGAGCGTTGCGTCATCCGTGGGGCAGCCCGATAGCCTCTTCGCCTATGCGGATCTCATCAAGCGGCTCAATCTATCCGCGTTGACTGAGGACGTCAGTGATGGCACGGTGGTCCCCTTTACACAGTGCAAGCGAGTGGAGCGGTTGACATTAACAAACTGCTCGAAACTTACGGATAAAGGCGTGTCAGATCTGGTGGAGGGCAACCGACATCTCCAAGCACTGGATGTTTCTGACCTCCGATCCTTGACCGATCACACTCTCTACACAGTGGCAAGGAATTGTCCGCGTCTGCAAGGCTTGAATATCACGGGATGTTCCAAAGTCACGGATGATTCGCTGCTGGTTGTCTCGCAGAATTGCCGTCACATTAAAAGACTAAAACTGAACGGTGTGTCGAACGTTACTGATCGGTCGATCCTATCGTTTGCAGAGAACTGTCCAGCAATCCTGGAGATTGACTTGCATGACTGCAAGCTGGTGACTAGCCCCTCAGTTACAGCGCTGCTTACTACGCTACGTCATCTAAGGGAGCTCCGACTGGCACACTGCACGGAGATCAATGATTCGGCATTCCTCAACCTGCCCGAACGAATGACATTTGATAGCCTGCGCATTCTCGATTTGACGGCCTGTGAAAATGTCAAAGATGACGCCGTTGAGCGGATCGTGAGCGCTGCTCCTCGTCTCCGAAACCTGGTATTGGCCAAGTGCCGCTTCATCACGGATCGCTCGGTCTCTGCCATTTGCAAACTGGGCAAGAATCTTCATTACGTTCATCTGGGCCATTGCTCAAACATCACCGACGGCGCGGTCATTCAACTGATCAAGTCTTGTAACCGCATTCGCTACATCGATTTGGCTTGCTGCAACCGCTTGACCGATCTCAGTGTACAGCAGCTGGCTACTTTGCCGAAGCTTCGCCGTATTGGCCTGGTCAAATGCCAAGCTATCACCAACCAAAGTATTCTTGCTCTGGCCCACCCTCCTAGAGCCAATCACCCGATGGTCAGCAACCTGGAGCGGGTTCATCTCAGTTACTGTGTCGGCCTGGACATGAAGGTACGTCCCTCCTCCCCGTCCCTCATAAACTTCTGCTTTGGCTATCTTATACTGATTTTCTATGCAGGGAATTCGTCCTCTGATCAATAACTGCCCACGCCTTACACACTTGAGCTTGACTGGCGTGCAAGCATTCCTTCGGGAAAACCTGACGGCGTTCTGTCGGGAAGCTCCACCAGAGTTCACCCAACAGCAAAGAGACGTCTTTTGTGTTTTCAGCGGCGAAGGCGTGACTCGCCTTCGCGATTACCTGAACCGTGAATTTTCGCCCCATCCCGAAGAAACCGAAGCCACCATGTACGACGATGACGACGAACTGGACGAAGACGAGGGACGGATGACCGGTCTGATGCATGCCACGGGCATCAACGACGAAGAATACATGGATGTCCCCTCTCAATGATACGATACCCAATTCCGCTCTCTTCCTTTTTGTTTGATTTTTTTTGGGGGGCACACCCATTCTATCGCCAGCTGTTTTGTTTCTTCTTGTTTTGCGTCTCTGTCGATCTAAACCGGAGGCCCCTCACTTTGATTTGCATCCTCTGCTTTTTGTCTTGACCATCCGTTTGGCCTCCTTTCTCCGTCAGCGCCTGGCGTCAGGAACACCTCGCAAGCTGTCATATTTCTACCCATATGAGCGAAATTACCCCCCTCCGATGTCTGTTATTCTAGGAAATGCATTGTGCGGTAGCGATCACGGCCTTAACGGCCTTTATTCCATGTCTTATCTACTTAGGTATTTTTTGAATTACATTGCATTTATACACTTTTCAAAAAGGCTCGTGGGTTATTTCAAAATCGAACTCGCAATGCAGGGAGGGGGCTGGTGTCGTGCAACCTCATTGTAACCTTAGCTTTAGCGTAAATCACCGTCAAACTTCGAGAGCTCCCCCCGCACTCCGCTTCCCTTCTCCAAATCTCACCTTTCCACTCGCCCTCGACTGCTTCACTTGCTTCGACCTCCTCCGGCGATGGCTCCTCCTAGGGCCAGAAATCCCCTGGCCTTTACACCGTGGCCGGTGACCATCATCACCACCGCGGTGTTTCTCGCCTTGATCATCCCTATCCTAGTCATCCACCTGAACGTCCCGGCCGCCCCCCGAACCAGCCCCGAAGGATTGAACCTCACCGAGGCATGGCAGGACCTTCAGACACTCACTAGAGGCTATCACCCGTATAACTCGCATGAAAACGACCATGTGCGCGCGTGGCTACTTGAGCGCATCGACGCGATCCAGCGATCCGCCCCGCCCGCCGAAGCTTATCAGCCGGATGAGAAAAAACCCGAGGTCATCGTCTTTGATGATCTGGCCTCGAACCTGACATTCTTCGACCAACGCAGCGGCGTGTACTTTGAAGGTACTAATATCCTCGTTTACATCCGCGGTTGGGAAGATCAGAAGGACAATTGGTGGGAGACACCGGGGAAGTTGCCCACCGGTAAGGGCGGAGTGCTGGTCAACGCGCACTACGACAGCGTGTCAACTGGCTATGGAGCTACAGATGACGGCGTCGGTGTCGTGACATGCCTGCAGTTGGTCAAGTACTTCCTCTCGCCCGGCCATGCGCCGCGTCGCGGCCTGGTGGTGCTGTTTAACAACGGCGAGGAGGACTACCTGAATGGCGCCCGTGCGTTCAGCCAGCATCCGATGGCCAAGTTCGCGCATACCTTCCTTAACCTGGAGGGTGCCGGTGCTGGTGGTCGGGCGACCTTGTTCCGCAGCACGGATACTGAAGTCACCCAGGCATATGCAAAGTCCAAGTACCCCTTCGGATCTATAGTCAGCGCAAACGGGTTCGAACTGGTCGGTAGCCAGACTGATTACGTTGTCTTTGATGGTGAGATGGGAATGCGCGGGCTAGATGTTGCATTTTACGAGCCGCGCGCGAGGTACCATACTGATCAGGATGATGCGCGACACACCAGTATGGACTCTGTGTGGCATATGCTTTCTGCGGCGGTTGCTACCACCGAGGAGCTTGTTTCTGACGATACTGACCGATTCGATGGTCGGGTCCGAGATGATGGCAACGTACCTAATGGCCAAGGTACGAAGGCTGTCTGGTTCGATTTGTTCGGCAGCGCATTCGCTGTCTTCCGTCTGCATACTCTCTTCGCCCTGTCCGTGACCTTGTTGATTGTGGCACCTTTGACTTTGCTCGTGACTAGCATTGCCCTGTCTCAGGCAGATAAGATGTATTTGTTCCGGTCGTCGGTGCAGTTGGAGACGAGTGATGAGAAGGTCTCACTCCAAGGTCTTCGAGGATTCTTCCGGTTCCCATTCTTGATCGGAATTCCTACCGCTGTCGTTGTTGGCTTTGCTTATATGCTAGCAAAGATCAACCCGCTCATCATACACAGCAGTACCTACGCCGTGTGGAGTATGATGATCTCTGCTTGGATCTTCCTTGCTTGGTTCGTGTCCTGCGTTGCTGATTTCGCACGCCCATCTGCTTTCCACCGAGTGTACACTTGCACGTGGATGTTTGTTATTTCCTGGGCTTTGTTGGTTCTCGCCACAGTTGTCGAGAATGAGAGTCAAATGGGTGGTGGCTATTTCACACTTTTCTACTTTGCAGGCATCTTCTTGGCCACGTGGATTTCCTACCTTGAACTCTTCTCTCTTCCGAGAAAGTCAGAGTACGTCGGTCAATTGTCTCAAGACTCACGGCAGCCAAGCAGCTATGGCAGCCGACTTGGCACGGGCACCGAGAACGAGGATGAGGAAGCAGCCGATGAGGAGCCAACCGAGTCGACGTCTCTGCTGCGTGGTCAACAGCGAACTACGTTTGCAAACTACGTCAACGTTCCTGGCGACTACTCGACCAGTCCAGGACTTGATGAGGATGAAGAAAAAGATTCAAACGTCTATGGACATGAGCAAGCGTGGAGTGCGTCGATGCCCAGCTGGACCTGGGTGGTCCAGCTGCTTCTCACCCTTCCGATTAATATCACCCTTCTCGCCCCTTTATCTTTGATTGCGACTAGTGCTCTGTACCAAACGGGCCAGGACGGTGATCCCACGTTGGTTGTGTACCTGCTCATGGCGCTCTTCATCACATTGATCCTCATTCCGATCCTGCCATACATCCACCGTTTCACCTACCACATCCCGGTCTTCCTGTTCTTGGTCCTCATCGGCACTCTCATCTACAACCTGGTCGCCTTCCCCTTCTCCGACTCCAACCGCGTGAAGCTCTACTTCTCGCAGCAAGTCGATCTGGACCGAGGCAACTCCACGGCCTATCTTGCTGGTGTCAGCCCCTTCGTTGAAGACGTTGTCCGTGGTCTACCCAACGCAGAGGGCCAGACAGCTTGCAAGACCTATGTTAGACACGGAAAGCTTTTGCAATGCTCTTGGCCTGGCGCCGAACCGCACGTTGTTCCCAGCAACGATGCCTCTGCCCCATCGCCTGGTCCTTCGGTAGACTGGGTCTCTTATAGCATCTCTCGTCCCGAGAGCAGCACTCGCTCCGTTCGCTTTGAAGTTTCGGGTCTGAACACCCGCACTTGTCGTATCACGATGGATAGCCACCCCATCAAAACCTTCAGTGTTGTCGGATCCTCCGCCTTTGATAAGCGTTTCATCAAGCCGGCTGCAGATGGAATGCAAGAGATTCGCCTTTGGAGCCGTACATGGGATGGCTCGTGGACGGTGGACATTGAGTTCAATCAGCACGACGCCCAAGCTGAAAAGGCTGGATCTCTCAAGGGTCGCATTTCGTGTCTCTGGAGCGATGACAATAACCCCGATCTCATTCCGGCGTTGACTGAAGCCAGACAATATACTCCTGCGTGGGTTGCTTTGACCAAGCTGGCCGACGGCCTGGTCGAGGGGTACCGCGAGTTTGAGCTTGTGAAGGTTGAGTCTGGGGTATGGGAGCAGAAGAAAGCCGAGTAAAGTCACTTCTATGGACCATAGAGTGAAATCTTTGTTTGAATTTCCTGCAGGCGTTATGTCATGCTCTTTTCTGTTTCTCTCCATCGTTACTCAAACCCGGGGGCTGTCTGATGTATTCTGGGTATGCAATATCATACCCATAGCACCATAATCATTCCAATTGATTTCGGCAATTTGGTATTGACCTTGTACTCCAATTGACCCTAACATCGAACCATCCATTTCGTAGCGAATAACTTGTTCACATCACAGCGCAAGAAAAAGTAGCAGCCACCGCAGACGAAATCACCCCTCCAGCCACATTCTTAGCTATGAATTTAACAAAATCCTTCGTTCGAGACTTTATCGGAAGTCCCTGGTCCCCAGATACAGTACGATTATACCTGATGACATCGCTAGTGACAACCGTCAAATTGGGATACTGACCCAGAATATCCAGAACATGTTTTTCGACCAATGCACTAGCTCTGATATGCACTATTCCATCCGCGAGGGCGACGAAGAATTCGTTAGCTCGGTAGGGATTTAGAGCGGCGAACTAGCCACGAGTCAGCTCATCAACCCTCCAGGATGAAGTCAATGGTAGAAAACGCATACCACCAGATCACCCTGTCGAACACGTCTGAGTATCTTGAGAAGACTCGGATATTCATCGCCGAGAGACCACTTGGCCGAACCATCGGTGAAAATGGCTACATAAGTATCGTAAATTCCGAGGGTACACGATTTGAACCGTCCAGTTTCAGTGCTCATGTCCCTGCCAAGTTGGCGGGAGACCCATTGGCACCGTCCTGTCCTTTCACTAGTGGCGAAGTATTCTCCGATTATAGGGCCGAACTGGACTCGACAGTTGACGTCTCCTTCTATGGCGAGGAATCTCTGCAGTGGGAGGTATATTGGATCGAGGCGGGATTTGCATACTTGTAGGATCTCAGAGTCAAATTTCTTTTTATCTCGGGTTGAATGGCTATTACCTAGAGATCGATTATCTGGAGTCCAAACCATGAAGATATTGTCGTGTGCGTCACATGCTAGATTCTTGATTGCTTTGATAGGACGGCTTGCGATCCATTCGTAGTAGTAATTTGGCATGCGCTGGCTGGGTATCGATCAGTCTAGTCCTTTTATTTCCTTATCTTGCACTTCAACTCACCTACAATGCCCCTCGGTGTGATCTAGGGTGTAGGTACCAGGCTTCCCGAATGAGAAGTATAGATCGTACACTGACATGGCGAGAAGACAATAGCAGGGCGATAAAGTTACTTGACAGTCAACATATATCTAGCCTTTTGCTCTGAAAGCTTCCAGGAATCAGACTCAAAGAGGGGGCTTCTTGGTCCTCTTATGCCCGACTTTCGTGGGCCTGCCCTCAGGCCTTGGGGATGTCATGCGTGAAGCTCCGCATTTCGGCAACAATGTATTCAAAACGTGTATCTAGAGAAAATTTCACCGCTCCAAGTCTTCGAACAAATGGAGTATACCATGTTTAGCCGTGGACGAATGCGTAAATGCTTTTTTTGTCGGTTCATCCAAGTTGATAACCTGCCACGAGGCCCTGAGGTCATGCGGCCCGAACAAGACTCCTTCCGTTTAGGTAGTACCAGCACGAGCAATAAGGGTTATTGGGGGTTCTTTTCTAACGATATCATAATCATTAGCGCTGACTGTTTGTTTCACAGCATACTGCGCCCCGTTTCTAGACTTGACTCATTCTACCTTCCTCCATGGTGAGGTGTTAGGAAGCATGTGCCAGTGCGTCTGTGAGTCCGTTGAGGTCTGCCGAAGAAATTGGCAATACATCACCAGAAGGAGAATAAAAACGCAGTGTAACCATCAGAAGAGTTATGCGGCTCGGGAACTTCTGCATGTGTCTGTATCAAGTAGTCGCCATTAAACTTCATCTAAGCAGTTGAGTCCAAGTCTATAGGGAAGATACCTTCATTTACTGTGCGGATAGCATCGGTCAAGCTTTGAGACTTACTTCTACCAGTTTATAGACTATGATGACCATACAAAGCTCCATGTTGCCAAATCAATGCTCCTGTATGGTCTTCGGTGCAGCTCACGCATCTTTTAGGTATCACAATGACGATGTCTGGTCGGCCGGTGCTGTGAATTGACCGTCTCAATACTGTCTAAGCACGCACTGTAGAATCCGTGGAAGTGGATGAGGGCTTTCAAAGATGTTTACTCTTCAATTTATTTGGTTCTAATATCTGGAAAGGACCAAGAATATTGAATGCATGCCGGCTAGGACATCCTTCCATCCAAGACCTTAACAAGACCCCGTTTGTGGGAACTCAATTTCTTAGACAAAAATGACTCAAAACATCACTTTCATCAAGGATGCCCAATAGTATAGATACAGCGGGGGGTTCATCTCCCTGTGAGACATATTTACTGGTAAGCCTTATTCCTAGTGATAGCCAGGAAAGCCAGCGACCACAACTGCCGAATATCGGATTCTGCATCATCAACAAATCAGTATAAGTCCTCGAATACCAAGTACCTTGGTAGGACCAAGGTACCTCAACAAGGCAAACAAAACTTACCAGTCTGCGAACCACCACCAGGCGGCGGCAACACTCCCAAAGGCGTAACCTGGAAATCACCATCCCGATAAACCCACGACCAGACTTCCCCAGAAAGCTGACTCTCATTCTGCTCAATAGAGTCCCAAAGCTCATTATACGCCGCCTTGACATTCCCGTAAACAGAGTCATCTGCACAGAAAGCCGGGATTGGAGCAACATTACCGTTGTCCTTGTTTTTCGCTTGGCCGTATCGGCCGGAGACGGAAAAGTTAGTGGACAACTCGCACCGGCCGAGTTGGAGCTCCAGGCCCTTGGCCATCATGGCGAGCTGCCAGGACCAAATAACCGTGCCGTGGTATGCGCCTGTAGTCCAGTTCTGCGCGTAGACGGAGTCTCCGCCAAAAGCTGGGTTTGCGACGATCATGCTGGCGGAGGTCATTAGGCCTGCTGGGAAGGTGCGGCGGATGTTGGTGGCGGAGTTGTTGAGGAAGGGGGTTAGTTGGGTGTCATCTGTGGTGTTGAGGAGGAAGTGGCGGAAACAATCGTCCGTGTTCATGACTTCTACCTTTGTCAGGTTATTGTTGCCATCGAGGGCGACGGCGTGGAAGACGACGTCGTCGGTGATTGAGGCGGCTTGGTCGGGGCCCGGGAAGGATGATTCGTTCTTGTAGGATGCGACTAGTTCTTGGGCTTTGGATTGAGGGATGGACACCTTGAAGAAGTCAAGGGTCTTTTCTTCCCAGACCTGGGCGTACTTGGTGGCGAGCTTGGACCATTTCTTGTGCTTGGGGTAGATACCCTGGCGAGCCAGGGCGGCGGTGGAGCGAAGTGCTGCTGGGACGAGGGCTGTGTTTACATCGTAAGGGATGCGACCTCCACCAAGGCCTGTTGCATGTTATGTTAGATAAAGCTTGCTCGGCAATGGGGGTTCAAGCATACCATATTCGCTGTCTCTCCATTCTCCGACGACTTGTCCATCCTTGAGATGAATCAGATTGGCCTTTGTCTGCTTCTCAGCAAACGGACGAGCAAGACGCATGATGCGTTCGGCACTGATCAGTGCAAGATCACCCCAAGTTAGATTCTGGTTCTCGGCATTGACCAATCCAGCCGAAGTCCTAGTTCTTGCATTAGCCATGAGATCAAAGGAAAGAGAGAAGAGGCTTAGGTACTTGAAGAAAGACGCAGCTCGTTTCTGTCCAACGGGGTTGTCCAGGAAATACTTTTGCATCAAAACAGGAAGGAAATAATCCGAATCGATCTGTGATCCATTAGTATAAGGAAATCTACCGCATAGTGCACCACCCCTCGGTAAACACTCACCATCTTGTAGTCGCAGCCCATAGCAGAACTAGTAATATTGTTCTGCAAATTCGTCCATGTGGCATAGTCACTGTAGCAATCAGCATCTCCAATCCAAAAATTGCAATCCCAATACCACACGATAAACTCACCCAATAGTCTCCTCATGGCAAACACTACCATCGGTACGATTCACCCGCTCCAAAACAGCCCCAATGACAGCCTCCATAGCACTACCATTCCCCGAGCTAAGCACCGGCTCCAAAAGCAGCGCCGAGATCATCGAGTCGCGTCCAAAGTACGTCAAGAAGCGCCACGCACCAGCCAACAACTTCTCCGAATACGACAAGAACGATAGCGCAGCGGCCTGGCCTGGACTAGTCGTGGTCAGATTGCTAGAGGCACTGTTTAGCACGGACGAAGGCTTGAGAGCCGTGAGTTGCGGGTAGTTCATAGACGCAGAGATGAGGTAGTCACCAGCCGTGAAGGAGAGTGTGCGGTTAGAGACGGTCACTTTGCCATTCGTTCCATTTGAATACGGAGTGAAGGTAAGCGATGTAGAAGTAACATTGTCCAGCCATGTACGCTGCAGCGAGGCACTGCCATCGTTATTCGCGACGAACTGGATAGCATCCTGGATCTCGGAATGCAGGAGACTAGGACCCTCGACAAAGTCGCGGATAGTACGGATACTACCCAGGATAGGAACTGTCAGAGTCGCAGAGGAATTGAAGCGTAACACGCCCTGAATACCGACGCTGGGGTTTGCAGAGCTGTTTGCTCCTGCCGTGTATACGGGACCCAGGGGCTGGCCAACTGTCGAATTGACCATTTCAAGGGACAAGGTGCCATTGACGCCGTTCTGGGGCGCAAAGTATGCGCATACGCCGCTATCACCTGCGGGCCAGGCTACGACCAGCCGGGGGCCGATGAGGGTGAGGTCGCTTTGTGGAAGCGGGCTCGTGATGACCGCTTGTGCGGCGACATTGCAGTCTGAGTAGAAGTAGTTGTCGTAGGGTGGGTCACTTAGTGATAGTGTCGAGGCGGCGGTATCACACTTTGGGGCACTAGAGCGGGCGTGGAGGCGCTGGGAAGGGAGGGAACTAGTGAGCGGGATGAAGCTACTGAAAGTATGTTGGGGTAGCGCCACTTACTGCGTCACCACTTTGTGCTGTGGCAGCGACGAGGCTCCCGAACAGCGACAGCTTCAGGAGGCTATTCATGATGCCGGTTCTTCTAGAGACAATCCTGTCTTTCTAGAAGAGATGGTAGAGACCCTTGTGGTATTTAAGCCATGCGACGCGGTTGTATTGGACATATCGACCTTCCCGAAGAAGTGTAGATGAACGTAAAGTGGGCCTGGTTTCCCCCCCGTGGGGTTGGGGCAAGTCCAAAAAAGGTGGAGCTGCCACCAGCACATGGAGGTCAAAACCTTCGAAACATCCGACAATTCTCCGCGCGCCTCTTACGTTATGAAAGGATTAATCAAGAGAATACTATAGTTCGAGCAATGCATAAATAATGAATAGAAGTGTATTGAATGTAGATTGTGATGATAGGTCCATGTGGCTCATCATGGCCAGTAGAAAAGCCGCTTCTTATGTAAGAGGCGTCCATCTGCTATATACAAGTAGATCCAATGGACCGGCAGCCCAGGGACGTTATCCCTTCCCCGGTGTCCTGTTGCGGTGCGGGTGGCCCAAAGCCGATCTTTTTGCCGCACATGGCCCAAGCCAGATCAGCGGGGATTCGGAGATTCGGGGAATTGAAGATTCGGTCCCTGAGAATCGTGGCCCGGCGCGAAGCCTCGAGAGGAAGGAGGTCCAGCTGGCGAGGATGTGGATGCGACGCATATCGGCAAGTCTCCCAATCGGCATGTTGCATGGCGTCGTATTCTCCTCTAGTCAGCCTCGGAGGGCGTCCGATCCAAGTGTAAGATGGTTGGGGGTGTTTAGGATATAGAATCTCAGCGAAGGGGCGTATCTCATAAGTCGTGACTCATCAAAGAAAACGACGAAAAGCCATCGAAAAAGGAATTTATAATATTCATAATGGATGCTTTCCCACTTCACCCAGGCTTCTCACGTTTCTCGTCCAGTTTGGCAGTCTTGCGCTGGTACTGGCGAAGTGAGCTGGAGAAGTCTTTGGTCTGGGAGTCTCCGTTGTGAATGCGAGTGTCACTGCTCCATGAATTGGAGGTGTCCGAGCTGCCAGTCGGTTGGTCAGCTGGGGGCGAGTGTTCGAACATGGCGATGGAAATATCATCGTCCATCCAGGCACGGACAGGTTGAGAATGTACTGGTGTAGCGTGGGTGAGGTCGGAGGTGACACGGGTCGCATCGACGAAATCGGGGAGATCGCGGGGACTGGGGAAGGATTCGGGTTTCCAGACGTGGTTGTGAACCAGGTGGATCAGTTTTCCGAGGACGGCGAATTCGAGCTTCAGTTTGATACTGTAGACCGCGCCTTTGAGCATGGTCTCCATGATATAGTAATTGCGGTACTCGGCGACAAGTAAACCCAGGTCCATGATGATAATGATCATGTTGATGATCAGCAGCTGGTATTGAATCTTGCGCTTGCCTTGATCCGGGTCGAGGCGAATCATGCGCACGGTTTCCCAGATATAAAGACCCGAGATGATAAATTCCTGGAGACAGAATCCGGTCATTTGAATCTTTTCCATCACGTTATACGCGGTCTTGTAATCGTTCAAGGTTGCGCCCGCGGGTGTTAGGTTCGTGCCGTACGTCAGAACGGTGGTCGGGATGTGTAGCAGGACCGCATTGATGAGGATCATGAAAAGTACGCGATGGAGGATGCGCTGGTTTGCGAGGACTAGATGCAAGCGAGAGTATAGAACGAAGGACTGGCCGGTCACCATCGCCCACCATCCAACAGTTAGGAAAGTGACCGGCAGCCAAGTGGCGGATGTAAGGTTGAAGAACTTGAGCAAAAAGCCAAGCGAATATGGGATTAATCCAACGGCCGAGGAGACAAATAAGCTCCAGAAGTAGAGGCCGCGATACTGGGCAAAGGTGACGAAGATGAGGATAACCAGTTCGAATGCGTTGTACCATGTGACGCCGGCGAGGGTTGCGATGGCAATTTTCATGCCTAGCGACTGGCCCGTATAGCCACCGGTGATCCCATCACCGGGGGCAGTGTTGTTGGCCATGGCGAAATTGCGTATCACGGCGGGATCACCATCATCGGTATGCGACGAGATATAGGGGGGATGGAAGGGAGGGGAAAGGAGAGAGAGAGAGAGAGAAAGAGAGGGTGAGAGTAAGAGGAGAGTGAAGGAAGATTAGACGAGAACGAGGCGGGATAGAATTGGGAGTCTAGTAGTAAATGGGGCGGGAAGGATCAGGTGAGAAAGTGCAGTCCTCTTTAGGGAAGAGGTCGAGGGGGTTGCGGGGGGATGGGCGATCATCAAGCGGCTGATGTTGTACCAAAGGGTATACTCCGTACAAAAGAACAGAGTGGGTTGATGAACTATTAAAGGGAAATGACACGCGGACTCGGAGCGCTGGGGCCAAGGAGGGGGACTAGCACAGGATGAAAATACCCCGGACAAAGTCGATCGAGGGGTTAACTCAACTAGTCTCTTTTCTTCCATGGCGGTGGGTGGGCGCAGGATCTGATCCTTGCGTTGGCCAAGCGTTTTTATTATAATCCAATTGTATGATCATAGTAGGAGTCTATAGAGTAACTATACTATTGTTTCGAGGGGAATTTCCAAGCATCGTTGTCAAAGGAGAACAATCTGATAGTAAGTTCCCCCTTTCTCTACGGGATCCATAGTTTTGACCGGTAAGCACTGTCTCAGTCCATTTCCCCCGGAGAGCCAAAGTGGGTCAGGGGAAAGCCAAACTAACATGAACCGGAGCTTTTAGAGTTGGCAATACACCGGAGTCTTGGACATACTCTATAAGCACTCTCTTACGAGAAAGCAGAATATTACCCGTAGATTGACATAATAATCAACGATGAATAGTAATAGGACATTCCCAAACATGAAAAACAAGACTAAGCACACTGTGGTTTGGAAGTTCCCAAGTACACCGCCACTCATCATAATACCAGGCTCCCGTTAGTATTTTAGTAACCTTAGCGAGTTAATAAACTACCCTCCATTCAGGAAAAAACAGCGAACGTGACTTCATCGCCATAGGCTTGCCCCCCAAGAAAACCTGTACCCCGGCCTAGCCTAGCCCAATGAATTCCCCATCCCAGCCAATCCTCCCATAGTAAAGAGGGGGCGGGCGGACGCCTCGTCCAAGCGGTCGGGCCCGCCGATCGCCCTTTTTTCCTCGGGGCGGGACGACTCGTAAGAGGATGGGAGAGGGAGTTGACAGTCCAGTTGCTGCCGGATGTCGCTGCTTTAGTCTCGGATAATGATCAGGATCAGTCGGGTGGATTTGGACGTCTCCGAGCAGAGCCTCGCATTGTTTTGTTGATCATTCTAAACATGCTGTGATCCGGTTGGGTCTATGAGCATACACCGGCGCATGGCCGGGGGAGTAGTTAACTAGTTGACTAGTTAGTGAACTATGTCGATTCCTCCAATGGTTGACTCACATCCCGCTGGCCTGGACTCATTGTGACTTCATCGACGGAATCTGATATCTTCTAAAGATCTTCAGGCCTACCCTACATCGCATGGAACAGTATGGGGGCTAAGCAGGTCGCCCCACCCACAGCGCCCAGCAGGCCAACAGCGATTTCGACATGAGCGGAAAGACAAGCGCGGTGTGCTGGACACGGCCGGTGACTTCATGCTGGTTTAGGCGTGCCATTCAACTCGGGCGTACATAGTTGACATGTTTAACGGACTGACTGTCTTGTGCCTGACGGGAAACGAAGTAAACGCTCCGATGAGAGAGCTATATCTCTACATAGGCTTTCCATTATTAGTTAGAGATCTTGAACGGGTCGAGAGTGTCGTACTAGTACTACTAGCCTTATACCCTAGCCTATATCTCTAGCAACCATTCACATCGATGTCTTGTCTTTTATCGAGGGCAGCAATTTGTACGGGGGCTAGTCGGAGTCGAAATCAGATTCCCCTCTGAGCACCCCCAAGGAAAAGAATCTGTTCTATACAAGACGATAGTGTGACCTACGATACCATTATTTACGCGAAACAGCTACAGTATGTACACACACAACGCCCGTATTTAATCTTCAAACACCTCATTCTGAAGCGCATTTTCAACCTCTCCCTGAGCATGACGCATTGCCTTCTGGATGTCTATAAAATACAGGCCCTTAGTTTCAAGAATTCGGTCAGCTACAGTGTCCGCGAAGCCAACGGCTAGTTCCTTAGCTCGGGCGTAACTTGACGGCTTTCCTAAATTCGAGGCTATCAGTTAGGCAAACAGGAGGTGTGTTAGACCAAGTGACACAGTAACCCTACCATTTTCGTCTAAATAAGATTCGTATTATTTCATACCCTCAAAGGCAGCAGCACCACCAATGAGTTCGTAACTCCAATGAGCCTTATGGCCCTCGGTCTCAGTAACCTCAGCGTAAGCCTGTGACGTTCTCATGGTCATCAGCTGATAATGTCGTCAGTGAGATAACAAGAAAATGTATATTATGGAGGTCATACTGAAAAAGCCCATCTTGGAAAGAATGAGATAAAATCAGGGTTTAAGGCCGAAGGAAGAAAAATCCACACTGGAAAAAAAAGTTGCTTCTTGTAGTTACTACTATCTGCCCAAATAGGGGGGATGGTGGGCTTGTTAAAGATACATATACACATCTAATTACACTCTACAGATAGTACGTTTAGAGGTTAGATCGTCTGAAAGCCAATATTTGGCCCCCAAAGTGTGGCGATTCCATGGAGAAGAGAATGCGTAGGACACAGTCTGCAATGTTTAGGTGCCTAGCCTATTCAATCCGCTATTCAATCCGCTATTCAATCCACGAAATATTCAATCCATAAACGCCTTGGCGCCCCGCTTGCAAATGCCCAAATCCATAAAAAAGTCTAACAAAAACCACACCTTCTAGAGTTCTCAGGTCCCGTAACTCCCAGGTAAAATCATAATCTCCCCATTTGCGCGGCCAGGCAGGGTACCTGGTAGGCTCGGCCCTGGTTCTGAACGAGCCCGAAAGTATCCCTGCAAGCCAAGAACCGGCACCGCCCAGGCCAGCCATCACGGACGGTCCCGAAATAAGGAACGCATTCGACACGGGAAAGGGGGGCCAGACCCAGAACATGTCCAAAGATGGAATTTTGAACCTCCATACCAAAGTCAAAGTCCTCCTCCGCGATCATTCCGCGACGACGATGGCGTGTCTCTCTCACAAGCCCTAGTAACCCGGTAACGCTGTAGCAATCACCAGTGACCACGACCGTGCAATGACGGGAGGAGATCGTAGAAAAAAGCAAAGATCCTCACTTCGACGCCCCATCCACTCCATCTTCACCTCCAACTTTTCCCCCCGTCATAGAAACCACCCGATCCACCTCCCCCCGACACTCCGGCATAGCACTGCGCATCTCCCGCGCCAGGACATCGCGGAAATCGGCGAAAGCCTCGCGTTTCCCCTTGAGATCTTGATTTCCGCGCTGAACCAGCTCCACGAACTCACGCGTGTAGATGTCCGGGTTGCGCGCGGCGTCGACGTACTCGATGATCTCGGGTGGGAGTTGGATGCTGGCGAGTGGAGGGTTTGACGGGTCGGAGGTGTTGTTGGAGGTGATTGTTTCCGCGGCGTTAGGGGGTAGGGGTGGTATGTGTTGATAAGGTTGAGAGAGCGAGGGTGAGGTTTTTGCTGTAGAAGGGGCAATTTGTTAGCTTGGTTCTTTGCTTGATCTTTGGATATTGCCCGAGTGCTGGTTCGGTCTTCCGGGTACTGCGATTCTCGTAGCGTAGAGCTTGAATCGCCCCAATTTCTATTTCCTGTTGAAACGGGGATGCCATCGAGATATCCTCGGCAGCTGGAATCATCCTCACGTACATTTTGCGCACCAGCTCTTGCTGTGTCTCCGGGCCTAGATAGCCGTGGACGGCAGACTGGATCTCAAAGAGGTGCTGGATGACGTCTCGGATGTCGTCTGCGGGGAGGTTAGCTTCGTGCTCTCTCTCCATTGACCACTTCATCACTTACCATCGACCGTCTTTAGCATTACGGGTGCCATGATTGCAGAAGTTGGTTTCTCGTTCAATAATCGGGATCGCGACGGAGGATTTGGAGAAACGCGGTGGGGAAAGGCGGTGTGAGGGCGGCTCAATGGTTTGGTGGGGATTGTGATGGTGATCAAGTACAAATGAGGTGAAGAAGATAAGTTAGCTATGCTCATCTTTGACACGAACCTTTTTCCTTTGCTCTCCTTTCTGAAATATGGTGGAATAGTTACCTGGTCCCATCTTTCCTTTGTGAAAACTGCATTTACCCGTTCGGGTTTAGATGGCTTAACCTTTCAAGCTTCACTCAGGACAGTACTACACAATGCAGACCTCCCGAAGTCGGGCCAACTACACGCCCGACTCTAACTCTTTACAACACGCTAGACACGTTTTACCTACGGACTCGGGGTCGGGACAAGCATTTGAGCGATGGGACTCCACCACTCGAAGGAACGGAGATCCCACGATTCGCCGATCGAGGCGATGAGCCAATCAGATGCAATGACGTAGTGTCAGATTCTCAACTGTAGATCAACTCTTATCAACATCTCGATCTATAGACTACTAAAAATGTATGCCATTTGCATCTATTGCCATGAATATCAGATAAAAATTAAATCAAACCCTCCATTTACCAACTAGAATCCGACCATCACATATCTCGACTCTTTATTATCTTGACAGTTGATACGACATGGTTTCTCTATCGGCGGTTCACTCCTCCAATGCATCTATCTCCAAAGAGCTCCCACCAGGCTTAGTGGCAGTGTTTGTCGGCGCAACCAGTGGAATTGGTAAAGCGGCTTTCTTAAAACTTGCAAAATATGTCCGGCAGCCACGATTCTACTTCGTTGGACGCTCGCAAACCGCTGCTGATCAAATTCTACATCAATTGAATCAAATTAATCCAGATGGTCGATACGAATTCGTCAAGGCCGATGTGAGTCTGCTCAGCGTGGTAGACAAGGTTTGCGAGACAATTCGAGAAAAGGAGACGCAAGTCGACATCCTCTTCCAAAGTCAGGGGACTCTGGACATCAGTACAGGTACCGTGGATAATCCAACCATGCTTCATAGGCTGATAACAAAGTACTAACCGCAAGACAGAAACATCCGAGCATCTCCCCCTAATCATGGCGTTGAGCTACTACTCTCGAATGCGATTCATTGCCAATCTACTCCTCCTGCTACAACGATCACCACTCAGCCGAGTAGTCATCGTCCTAGCCGGCACGAAAGAAGGGCCCGTCAATCCCGACGATATCCCAGGCAAGAAGGTCCTTCCCTGGAAAGCCCGAGGACATCTCTGCTCAATGATCACGCTCACACTGGAACATTTCGCCAAATCAGCACCGAGTGTGAGCTTCGTGCACAATTACCCCGGTTTCGTGGCTACGCCGCTTGAAAAATCGATGAAGGGCGTGACAGGGGCTGCAATGAGATCTGTATTTTGGTTTATGGGCTTGTTTTCCACGAAGAATTATATTTCCCTTGATGAGACGGGCGAGAGACATTGTTTTTTAGCGACGAGTTATAGGTTTTCGTCAAAGACACAGGCTGGGGTTTTCTTAGGTGGGACGGAGGTTGCTGTTGGTAGTGACGGGGCTGTGGGAAGTGGTGTGTATATCGTAGATGAGGTGTGTGAAAGTGGTGGTGCAAATGTGCAAATGGTTTTGAGTGGGATCAGACAAGACGGGATACATGAGAAGATATGGGAGCATTTGCAGAGTGAATTCTCAAGAGTGACGGGGAAGTCGGCGATTCAGCGACGCAAGTAATTATATCGCGACCATTGATATACTAGTCTAGTCGTAGTCGGCCTATAATTTCTAGAGGTGCGTTTATAGACCCTAGATATGCCAAGATATAAGTGGCGAGCAGAATTCCTCCACTGCGGTCTCCGCACAAACTAAGATGTATAAGGCAATTTCTCTAGATAACGGAGCCTACTAGCTCACCGACATTAATAATAGGATAGACCTAGTGCTTACTAGCAGACACCTTAGAGACGATCTTAAACTGTGTACACTAGCCCTTATCCTCAGGGTTAGCTAGGCGATCGTATAAACGTCATTAAGGAATATCGTGATCGCTAGTAAGGTATACGCTAGCCATAGCGACACCCTTAGAACGTAGCTCTAAAGCGATTTAGCCAGGATTACCGTTAGTCCTGTGGTTGTCCAACATCAGCACAAGAACTCGCTAGGTTGGAAAGTTGGGATAAGCACAAAAAGTGGAAAAAGACCAGCTTAAGACCGTACACGTGATAATAGCGCTAAAGGTCTTTTTTTAGAGCCTTTTCTAAATCTTTATTTACACATATGTAACTGCTTTATGTAACTGCAGGGCGAACGCAGTATCAAACATATAAAGTCATGTCTTGGAGCTCAGCGACTTGTCATAGAGTAGACTTGACCCGAGTGAAAGCACGTTTTTGAGTCATCCATCGGATCCTCACAGGCCCAGCGCCTCGCGTCTGCTCTTGCTGGAGAGATCCAAGTAAGGTGCCTCGCCCAGCGAGGCGACTCGGTCTCCAGCTCGAGCTTCGGCGTAGTCGTAGGTGGCGCAGTGCCACATGCTGCGGTTATCCCAGATGGCCATGTCGTTCTTGCGCCACTTGAACCGCACCTGGGCGTCGTGGTTCTGGGTCACCAGGTTGAAGAGGTAGTTGAGAAGCATGTCAGACTCGTCCTTGGTGACGCCGTTGATGCGCTTGGTGAAGCCCTTGTTGACGTAGACAGACTTCCAGCCGGTCACAGCTATAAAGTGTCAGCTGATGTGAAAGATTTACAAGGGCCATAGCTAAGAGACGACTACTCACGATTGGTTCGGATCACAGGGTGAATAGCCTGGAGGTTCTCGCCAGTGTTCAGCGGCGAACCTCGAATGCCTTTTCGGATCGGGTTGCCGAGACGTCTGGCCTCATCGTGGAAGAAGTTCGCATCGTGGGTAGCTGTCAGGCCCTCGAGGAACTTTTGCATGTCGGGGGACAAGCGGTCGTAGATTTCATAGCCTGATGCCCAGAGCTGTTTGACCGTTAGTTGAGATTCAAAAAGAGACTTCTCAACAAGCGACCGGTAGTCCGCCTTGAGGTTTCAGAGTTAGATGTGGGTTGACAACATACAGTGTCGCCTCCCGTTGCGGGAAGGGTGTGAATCTTCAGCATGGCATAGTCTGAAGGGACGGGTTCGAAAGAGATATCAGTGTGCCAACCAGCACTGGCAAAGCGGCTCACATCACTGAGTTGATGAGTGAGGCCACCGCCCTTCTTCTGCTTCTCACTGCTAATAACGCTGATCTGGTCACCGAGCTCACTGCCCTCCTCGGTAAGAGGGTGGACATGGAGGCCTGATGACTCGGGCTGTGGATGACCCGTCAGCTGGGGTATTCATAGACAACAAAACTGTTGGAGGAGGGGGCTCCTTACGCATCCGGCAACTTCTGTCAATCGGAGGCAAAATTGCTTCATCTGCTCAGGGGTGACAACCTGGTCACGAAGGAAGACAACTCCACGTTGTGAGACTGCAGAACGAGTCAATACAGAGGACAGCCAAGATTTTGGTATGCGGAATGTGTACTGATGCTTGCAAGATCCCTGATCATGGCGTCGTCTGCCGAGAGCAGTTCGGTCACCTGGAGACCTTCATACTCGCGGCCGATGACGGGCGTGATGTCTGCATGGGTAAACCTCTCCAGCGATCCAGAATACACCAGTGGCTCACGGCATCGGGTCTTTGCTTCCAAGTTGCCGCCCACGATGTTAGATGACTCGGCGGAAGGCATGTTGTAGGAGGAACTGAGAGGAATTGTATGATAAAAGAGAATTTGTTGTATTTGACACTTTTTCTGTCTCTATCGTCGGGAGCTCACTTTGCATTTATCAGCGAGGTTGATATCTCCGGAAAGCTACCGTACCGACGCAGGTGAATTCGGCACTGGGGAGCCGATCATGGGATGCAACATTTGCCCTCACGGACATCTCCCACACTCTAATTCACGAAACGCAGTTCTTGGCAGGACACCTTGGCTCGACCCGGAGAAATTCTCGGAGTTGGAAGCGGAGTGAGCGATTGGAAGGGATGAATGATCCTGTGGGGATCACCCAATAGTCATCAATGTCTAAACGCCACGTGAGCACGTGCTTTAGATACGTTATTAGTCATACCCGATAGGACCAATGGGGTCACCCCCAGGACCCTCAAACGATTCTTTGGATTTGCTTCGTAAGAAAATGGCAAGAAAGTGGACCTTCTCCAGGGCGTCTCTGGGGCCCCGGATTTGACCAGGGAGGATGGCTCAACATGGGGAAAACTGAATACCAGCAGAGTTCGAGAGGCGGAAGTGGATACATGCATGGCCAGCTCCCATGATCGTCAACTCCCATTAATGCTCTGAGATTCCCCTCGGTGAAACTGGCTTGGTCCATCAATTCATCAGCATCAGGAAATTCTTTCTCTTTCTTCAGATATCAGAGCTCTTGCCAGCCGCTCAAAGCCTCCTACGTGTGGCCACCAGGGCAAGCAGCGCAACATCATTTACAACATCGACATGGACAAGGCCTCCATCGCACACGTCTCCGACGTCTCGGACGGCTTAGACACCTCGCTGGCGCAGGTGGGTCGAGAAAGACTTTACGATCGGCTTCCTCCGCACGAGACGTACGAAGGCCGCCATCGGTGGGATCCCGACTTGACCTGGACCGCCGAGGAGGAGCGCAAGGTGGTCCGGAAGACGGACTTTTACCTTCTCTCCTGCCTGTGCGTTATGGTAAGGTTTTCCATCATTTATTTGCTGCATATTTTACTTTACCCTTGGCACTCAATTGCATAGCGTCAAGTCACTGACTGTTTTGGGAAAATCTAGTTCTTCGGTCTCCAGCTTGATCGAGGAAACCTGTCCAATGCGCTCGCCGATGATCTGCTCAAGGACTTGAAACTGACGAGCAATGACTACAACAATGTGAGAAGCCTTTAGCTGCCCACTGGGATGAGATGCTAATCAATACAAAACAGGGAACCACAATTCAGCTCGTGTGTTTCCTGGCGGCTGAGTTCCCCGTCCAGATGATTACGAAGAGACTTGGTTTCAAAAGAGTCTTGCCCACAATGATGTTCTTGTGGGGCGTCGTTTGTATGTCCTTTTCCATCAGAAGCTCATGGCACGAGAAGTCATGGTATTAACACTCGATTAATAGCATGGGGCCAGGCATGGATCACGAACCGCGCCAGCTTCTACGTTACCCGGGCACTCATTGGCCTGTTTGAGGGCGGTTTCATTCCAGGTAGGTTGACCAGCGTGAGAGCAATTGAAACGAGAGATGCTAATGAATGGGGACTTCACAGGTGTCATCTTGTTCTCAACCTACTTTTACACATCCAAGGAGCTCTCGACCCGGCTCGCCGTTTTCTGGTCAACCCTGAATGTTGCTCGTGTCATCTCAGCTCTCCTTGCTGCGGGGATCCTTAAGATGAGGGGCATCGGGGGCCACACCGGCTGGTTCTGGCTGTTCCTTTTGGAAGGCATCCTCACATGCGTGATTGCAGTGGTGGTGAGTTTTGTTTTTCCCAATGGCATGATGACACGGGGACGTATCGCTCATAATGTTCACTGCAGGCTTTCCTATGGCTTCCTGCCAGCCCGACTCAGACCAAGAGCGTTATCTGGCGCAACCCGTGGTACACGGAGCGAGAAGAGTCTATCATGGTCAATGTAAGTCCCTTTCCAATTCCTCTCCAACCATCCCGAAATCGTCAAGATGGATATCGTCTGACGGCATATTCTAGCGCATCCTTCGTGATGACCCGGCCAAGGGACTGACGGCCCTCAAAGAACCTGTCCACTGGAGCAACATCAAGGAGGCCTGGATGGACAAGTCCATGTGGGGTCTCTATTTCATTGGCCTGGTCGCCTACATTCCTGCGACCCCCGTCCAGGGCTACCTTACCCTCACCCTCAAGCGCATTGGTTTTACAACCTTCGACTCCAACATGCTCACGGTCCCGTCAGCAGTCCTGCAGATCTTCACCATGCTGGCCATTTCCTTCAGCAGCAACTATTTCAACGATCGGGCATTCCACGTCTTCTTTGGAGATTTCTGGGTTATGCCCCTCCTCGTTGGACTCCTCACGCTGCCTAACGGTGGTCGGGACTGGGCTCGCTTTAGTCTCGTAACCCTTATCTCTGGTTGTAAGTTTGTTTCTGACCCCCATGTCTTCAAGCCCAAGCAACAGCTGACCGAGGGACAAAATACAGATCCGTACTTCCACCCCATTGTATCCTCCTGGATCTCCGAGAACAGTTTCGATGTCAAGAAGCGCGCTATCACGGCTGCCACCTACAACGTCATTGTTCAGGTCGGCTCCCTTATCGGCTCCCAGATCTACCGGGCTGACGATGCGCCATACTACCACCGCGGAAACTCCGTGCTCCTGGCCATCTGCGTGTTGACCCTGGTTGTTGTGATCGTTCAGCGTGAGTTCCTGCGACACCTGAACCGGAAGAAGGATGTGGCGTGGAAGGCCATGACGGCGGAGCAGCAGACGGCGTACCAGAATGATATTCCAGCTCGCGAGAAGGATGGAAACAAGCGACTGGACTTCCGCTACTCATACTAGTGTGAAAACTACGACCAGCAGAATATTGCAGCAGAGAAGACATACACTATGATTGTGCTTCAGGAATGGAGTCGGTCAGTCTGGGAGCTCATCGAAGGATTGAGATCGTGTCGAGAACTGTAAATAGCTGATCTATAGCTGATCTCTAGGAAGGTCGTGTAAATCCAGAAGTCCTTTTAATATATTCTTGCATGTGTTGCCCGATTCATAGGGGAAATGATCCAATTGTAGTGGCCATGGCTTGTGTACTGTATTAACTGCGAGAGGACGTCTGTGATCCTCCAGGCTCCCGCTCCCAGGCCAGAAATTCTCTAACCGTGAAAAATAAACCTTTCAACCCCCATGAATCCACGGCGGCCCTCCGCTTTCCACCTGAGGATTATTAAAGTCGCCACTCCCCCGCGTTCAAAACGCTCCAGAGAATGCCGAGGCTAAACCCTAATCGTGTTAGCCCTGGTCTATATCGCCTCCAATAATGCAGCTTCACCCCACATGCATAGACAAATGCCGCAACCAACGCGAAAAATAGGCAAATGGGCCTGCGACGCTTGCAAGCTCCGCAAGGTCAAGTGCTCGGGCGAGTCGCCATGTCCAGGCTGTATGACTGCCGGCGTGCCGTGTACCTTCAACAAGCGTCCGCTGGTGCGGGGCCCCAGAGGCTTACGCGCAAAGACGATCCGGCGGATCACTGCGACTCAACAGCAACAGCAGCAGAAGGAGCAGGAGCAGCAATACTACGACTGGTGTCAAGGTGCAGGGAGCCCTGGTGAGACAACAATAGGTCAGACACCACCGGCGGGGTCGTCAAGTACACCATCGCCAGCAGACGATCCCCCCCAGTTCACTACCCCTGGCTTCAATAATCTTCCCCCAACAAGTCATACTAGGTGAGTAGCATCCTATCATATGCCATTTATGAGTCTGGTTAGGCTTCAAGTCAAAGGAAAACGAAGAAGGAAGAGATGGAACGATTAAAAACGAAGGAATCATGCTAACAATCAAGCAGCGATGAGTCCCGCCGGACGTCGACATCGTCCCTGGTGCTGCGGCTTTGCGTCTACCGACTGAGATTATTCCCGGTCTGGCCCATCGTGGACGTTGAAGAAGTCATGGGAGACCTTCACCGCGATCCGGACAACATGGACGCCTATGCCCTGGCGAATGCCATTGGGGCCGCAACCATCGCCCAGCTCAAGCTAGATAGCCCCGAGAGCAGGGATACGGCGACTGGGGCTTCCATGGAATCCGAGTGCCAACGAGCCATTGCCCTGCTCCGGAAGGATGGAGGTGATTCACTTATGAATATCAATGCCCTGCGCGTGTCCTTCTTTTTACACGTCTATCATGAGAATCGGTCGCCGGGAGGGTCGAGCTCCTTGCTTTACCTCCGGGAGGCCATTACCATGGCCCAGATTATGGGCTTGCACCGAGAGGCGACATACTTTTCAATGACAACCCGCGAGCAGCAGATGAGGCAAAGAATATTGTCCCTGCTGTTTGTCACGGAAAGGTGAGGCTCCACCTCCCACTGATCGAGCTGGCATGCTGTACGACGTGTCTGGACGCCTAGCCAGAAAATCGTTCAACCGCTTAGCTTTTCCGAGTCTGTTCATCTTACTGATACCATCTTCTTGCTTTAGAGGAGTGGCGATGCTTCATAAATTGCCCGTCATGCTGCGATACAACGCCCGCTTCATCAACCTCGATGAAGCCGACGATGAGTCCCATGTCTTACCCGCTTTCAAAAAGCTCGTGGGACTTTTCTTAATGTTCGACCAGTCTGGCGCTTTTGACATGCTGCACACCTCAGATGAGATCCAGCTCCCCCCATACGAAGACATGCACGCCATGAATCGGAATAGTTTCAGCCTCCTCCAACGTCAGCTGCGAGAGGCCTCGATCCAATCCCGGGAAACCAATGACGTTCAAATGGCGGATATCTGCGTCACGACGCAGTGGATGCAGGCCATCTTATGGAGGGCATCGATGAGCCGTAGATCGACCCTTGACTCGTCCCAGCAGCAGATGGTCTCACTCTCACATCCGATCCAGATCGCCAAGGAATTCCTCGAGACCATGTCTCACCTTCCTAGTTCTGCAATAGAGGCCCACGGGCCCGCTATGGTAAGCAAGCAAGACCTCTGAACCCTGAGAACCACCTCGGTGTCAAAAGACTAACTGCGAGGCACACTTGCTTCATGTTTATAGGAATATAAGATTTATGAGATTGCAAAGGCTGTGACCGACTCGGTAACAACCGAGTTCAATGGCCAGCCAATCTCGCCCGACATTCCAAGGGAGATCCTCCTCCGGCTGCAGAGCAAGCTGGCCTCGTGCCGTGGCGGCAACAAGATTCTCATGCCACTGCTGCATGCTCGCATATCCGAGGCCCTGATTCGCCAAAGCCCGCGCATCTACGAAATTTCCGATCATGGCCCCTCGTCAAATTCACTACCAGGAGGGACAATCGTCTATTCAAGTCAACAACCCCAGGTCTTTCCTCTAACCAACTCGCCACCATTAAGATCCACCGAAGGTTATGAGGAGCAGACAAATACGGACGGACAGGGATTCTCACAGAATAACACTAATATTGTCCCCACATTACGGGTTGTGACCTGGGGCCAGAACATCCCCGACGCAATGCTCTCCTCCAACCAAGATCCCTTCAATCAGACCCAGGTGTTTCAAGCATCATTCGACAATATTGAATCCACGGGGACCATGGAATTGCTTTTTGCAAATAGTGCAATGTGGGATTCTGTTGAGAGTTGGGATTCGCAGTTCACTGGCGCAGCAGTGGGGTAGAATATGCCACGTTTTTTTGATATATGTAATGACTCTGATCCGCATTTGGTAGGTAGGATTTGTAATTTATGAACCCATGTAAAAATGTTCCTGATATTTGTTTCTGTAGAAGCTAGAATACCTCCGACTTGTCTATTCTGTTACCAACATAGCAATGGCCTCGAAGGGCTCCAACTGAAGGCCCTCTGCCGTCTCTAGACCCTCTTGAGATCTGCCAGTCGTTGTCGCAATCACCTCTTGGACAGTCGCTGAGATACCAACCCATTCAACCTTCTCAGCGGAAAAGTTGCACACAACCAAGACCCGACCCTCGGGCGATGTCCGTGAGTACGCAAAGATCTTGTCATTCTTCTCGTCCACAAGATCAAAGCGCCCGTACACGACAATGTCCTTGTACTTCTTCCTCGTCTCCAGAACTGATCGCCAGCAGTTGAATACTGAGTTGGGGTCATCGAGCTGGGCTGCGGCATTGATGGCAGTGTAGTTGGGGTTGACTGCCATCCAGGGTTTCTCAGCAGAGGTAAACCCAGCATGCTGGCTCGAATCCCACTGCACGGGGGTGCGTGCATTGTCGCGGGACTTCTTCTGATATTCCCTTCGGAACATTGCCCGCGTTTCGGGGTCGGCATTCTCGCCTTTGAGTCTGTTTTGAAGGAGTCAGTTACTGCTTCCATGGAACTGGCGGTTTGGTCACCGCATAGCTTGTATTAGGCACGAACCTCCAATGATTCAAGCAATCAATGTCTTGGTATTCCTCCATGGGCCAGTCAGTAGGCACATTGTGCATGCCGAGCTCCTGGCCCTGGTAAACGAAAGGAGTGCCGGCCTGTAGTCCAAGGAAGACCGCAATCATCTTGGCGCTCTGCACACGATGCTCGGGGCTGTCATTGGCGAAGCGGCTCACGGCACGTGGCTGGTCGTGGTTCTCCATGTACAGGGCGTTCCAGCCATTGTTCTGGTACATGAATTGCTGCCACTTGTTGACTGTTCTCTTGAGATCCGAGAGTGACCATTGGCCGGGGTGGAACTTGCCCTCTGGTCCGTGATCGATGTCCATTCTACTCTAGTTAGCACGTTGACATGTCGTAAAATGAATGGGGCCGACTGCACTTACAGCTCAAAGTGGAAAATCATGTTGAACTCGCCTCGGTCTTGCTGGACACTCTTGATAATTTCTTTTGTGTCATGGACGCATGGCATCTCGCCCACGCTGAAGGCGTCATACTCTTGGAGAATGCTTCCCAGCTCCTGCAGGTACTCGTGGAGTCGAGGCCCAGCGGCATAGAACTCAGATCCCGGGAAGAAGTCGCTGGATGAATCTGGGAACTCCGTGCCCTTACTGACAAAGTTGATCACGTCGAAACGGAAACCGTCGATGCCACGGTCGAGCCAGAATCGCATGGTGTCATGCACCTCGCGGCGAACCGCAGGGTTCTCCCAGTTCAGATCTGGCTGTTCCTTGCCATAGAGGTGGAGATAGTACTCTCCTGTGCATTCATCCCATTGCCACGCGTTCCCTAAGGATGAAGATTAATATAAGTTCTTTATCCGTGGCCTTGAGATCTGCGGACAAAACTTGACGTACCTTGAAAGTGGCTAACCCAATTGTTAGGTGGTTGACGGTTGCCCTGCGCATCAAACCGGGCAGGCTTCCAGATGTACCAATCGCGATATTTGTTGTCGCGAGAACTGCGCGACTGCTTGAACCACTCATGCTGGTCGCTTGTATGATTCATGACGAGATCCATGACGAGCTTCATCCCTCGTTCGTGGAGTCTGTCCCTCAAGACATCTACGTCCTCAATAGAACCATACCGGGAATCAATCACCCGGTAATTACTAATGTCATATCCCTGGTTAAAATAATTGCATCAGTCAAGTGCTACAAGATCTAATCGCGCTTCTCTCTAACAAAGGCATGTGAGACTAACCATATCAGCTTGAGGGCTTTCGAAGATAGGCGACAACCAGACGACATCGACGCCCAGCTTCTTGAGGTAGTCGACCTTGGAGATGACACCCTTCAGATCTCCCGTTCCCGACCCTGTCGAGTCCTTGAAGGAGGCAGGCCATATCTGGTATACGGAAGCCTCCTTCCAGCTCGCCCGTCGTTGCCCGGTCGGCGGATCTTGGACTTGATGCGGTGACATTATTTTTCTTCAACTATGAGACTGATCAAGGCAAGAGCAAAATTCTTCAACAAGTCTTGTCTTTTGTGGCGTGCAAACACAAAGCAAGTTGACAATCTTGAGAACCGGAGGCGTGGTCGTGAGGAGAGATGGGGACAACCCGAGATCCCCCCTAAGTAGTTAGCCCCAAAGCGACACATATTATCACGAGTCCACCGATGGTTTCTCCGACTCATAGTTCAGCCGAGCGACGATTTAGTGGGCTGCAGAGCGTGCGAAATCGTTCTGTCGATGTGGAGTGGGTCAGTTTGTCCGAGATTTTCTCCGGTCAGAGCCTCACCCTATATTCACCCCCAGAATGTGTATGCTAACCTTAATGTGAAGAATGCGGGGAGTACAGAAGTGGCGTCGGCTAGTGGCGGGCTTATCGGCCGATTCTATACCAGCCCGTTCACGTGTTCTGAATCGCCGATTGTTCAATCGCCGATCAAAACAATGCCCGAAAGATGCAAGCTCCCATCTACGAGAGAAAACCATTACAGCATAGAGAAGAGAGGGGCTCAGGAATGTCACCCGTGCCTGAACACTCTCTTTGACACTTCACCGGGGTGCGACAGTTGAGAACTGGGCATATTACAATCACCCACAACTGCTCATGACCATGTCGCTGAAGTATACCATCTCTGGCCGACTACTGGCACGTCTTGAAAGCAGCTGCTGGACAAGCTGTGCCCGACATGCAAGAAATCCTTGCCGACTGCCCCGACCAACACACCTGGGAGGAAGTAGGCCCTATTCGCATCATGTTGGCCAAAATCCCAAACCCACTATGTCGTGGGCCGCTCTCGCGAGCAGAAGTGCCCTGGCTGTTGGGTTTGCTGCCGGCTCCCTCCAATTATTGAGTGACGACTCCTACGACAACAAACACATCAAGGTCAAAAAGGCCAAAATCAAAACTTTTCGCCTGGCCGAGGTCAAGCAGCACGACGGATCATCCAAGAACCCCTGGGTCATCAGGGGAACTTCAGTGTACGACATTACAGACTGGGTCCAGGCCCATCCTGGGGGTGAAGTGATTTTGACCGCCGCGGGAGGCAGCTTGGAACCGTACTGGGACATCTTTACGATTCACAAGCGGCAAGATGTCTACGATATTCTGGAACAATATAAGATTGGCGAGATCGACGGTGCGGATTTGAAGGATGGCCGGGTCCCCCAAGACGCCATCGTTGACCCATTCCAAAACGACCCGGAACGTGATGTGCGTCTCAGGACACTGACGCCTCGTCCACGAAATGCAGAGACACCAGAGGCAGGGCTCAGAGAGTTCATCACTCCGAACGAGTTGTTCTATGTCCGAAATCATTTTTGGGTGCCCGCTGTCGACGGAGCAGAACACAAGCTTACCATCGAGCTGACGGATGGGAGCGAGAGGACATACACCGTCAAGGAACTCAAGGAGAGGTTTCAGAAACACAAGGTCACGACTACGCTGCAGTGTGCGGGGAATCGCCGCAAGTCCATGACAGACGGTGCAGCGCCGACAAACGGTCTACAGTGGAAAGCAGGTGCCATCTCGACTGCCGAGTGGGAGGGAGTCAAACTTGTCGACGTCCTCGCCGATGCTGGTCTAGATATCAAGAAGTTGCCTGCCGATGCTCAGCATGTCCACTTCTCAGCCATGGAGGCCTACGGGGCGTCCATTCCTATCCGCAAGGCCATCGATCCTTGGGGGGATGTCCTGTTGGCCTTTGAAATGAACGGCGCCGAGTTGCCGCGGGATCACGGCTACCCTGTGCGGGTCATCGTTCCAGGCACAGTCGCAGCACGCAGCGTCAAGTGGCTATCCCAGATAACGATTTCCGAGGACGAGTCTCCCACCCAGTGGCAGCAGCGCGACTACAAGAGCTTCTGCCCCAGCGAGGTCAAGAATCCCAACTGGCAAAAGGCTCGATCGATCCAAGAGATGCCCGTCACGTCAGCAATTACACACGTCGAACCAACCACGGGCAGCAATGGCGATGTTCAATCCATCAGCGCAGAAGGCTATGCGTACTCGGGTGGAGGGCGCGAGATTATCCGTGTGGATGTCAGTGCCGACGGGGGAAAGACATGGCACGAGGCTGAACTGTTGGATGATGAGGCTCAAATGAGTGGCAGTCGGGCATGGTGCTGGAAGCGTTGGAAGTACGAGGGGCAGTTGCCAGAGGATGGCAAGCCTGTTTCCGAGGCCGTTCTGGTGGTCAAGGCCACGGATGAGGCCTACAATACCCAGCCACAGACATATGAGAGCATCTTCAATGCGAGAGGCAATCTGGCGACGGCATGGGATAGTGCAAAGGTGCCATGCTCCGGATGATGTTGGTAGGACCGATGGGGAGATGAGTTGTATACAGCAGCATGGAGTTTCTGATCCATTCTTCTTTTTCGAGACGTCAAAGTCACAAGTCTCTTTTGTTTTATTTTTGGCACTTGTTGATCAGCGTGATTAGCCTTTCTTTTTTGAAATACATTTTAATTTCCATTCGATTGTTGAAGACTGTCTTGAAATTGTGTACGTGGAAGTTCAAATTTAGGCAAGCAGTTCAAACATTGACCGATTATACCATCCCTCGGGCATCAATAACTATGTTCTTTCAATAATTCCCACACACTTGCTCTATCCTAGGTCAAAGGGGCCACCTCTCAATGGCAGCTTAACACCGGAGTGTGTACCGCATCCCTTGGAGCCCATGAGAGCCTTTGCTATAAGCAGGGTATCCTTGGTACGCTTGAAGGTTTAGCAGTTGGTCTAGAAGTCGCCACCTCCACACGTGGGGCAAATATTGGCCACATGGATTGCAAGGGATCTAGTCCCAACCATTTTCCTAGGAAGTAATAGCGTGCCTCTCAATCATTTCAATAACGTTGATTCAACTCCGAGAATTTCCCCGGGCGTCCACCTCCGGGTCTAACCGCTTTGGGTCTCCGCGTCACACGGTCCACCGTTTCTTTTGAAGGTCCAAACGTCACCGTTGTCCTTTTCCCTCTCTTTTCTTTTTTTAACCTCTCAATAACTTCGAGCTTCGCATTGAATCAATTACTTGACTTCCTCTTCATCATCACATTCTCAATCAAATATGGCGTGGGCAGAACCTAGGAAAACGGGTATGCAATACCGCAGGCTAGGGAATTCGGGACTCCATGTCTCGGTTCTTGGTCTCGGAGGATGGCTCACGTATGTTCAATCCGGCTTGATTCTGGCTACAATTGCCCAATTCCCATATGCTGACGAGATTTTTGTAGATTTGGAGGACACGTTGAAAATGGTTCGTTTGAGTCTGATCTCCTATAATGCGCCCAATCTTACGAGGATAGAAAAAACCATTGCATGCATGAAGCAGGCTTACGACTGCGGTATTAACTTTTTCGACACCGCTGAGAGGTGAGATTGAGTGCGACTCCATGTCAAGACGAGTCCACTGACAGGTGACAGCTACGCGGATGGCCAGTCAGAGATCGTCATGGGCCAGGCCATCAAAAAGCTCGGGTGGAAGCGCAACGACATTGTCGTGAGCACGAAACTCAATTGGGGCGGCGCCAATGGTGAAGTGCTCGTCAACAACCACGGACTCTCCCGCAAGCACATTGTCGAGGGTCTCCGCTCATCCCTAGACCGTCTCAACCTTGAATACGTCGATATCGTCTACGCCCACCGGCCCGACCGGCTGACTCCCATGGAGGAAACAGTCCGCGCCTTCAACCACGTCATCGAGCGTGGCTGGGCCTTTTACTGGGGAACTTCCGAGTGGTCAGCCGACGAGATTGCCGAGGCCTGTGGCATCGCCCGTGAGCTGCGCTTGATTCCCCCAGTCGTCGAGCAGCCGCAGTATAACCTGCTAGCGCGCGAGAAGGTCGAGAGCGAGTTCCAGCGCCTTTACAGCCGGTTTGGCCTCGGCCTGACTGTCTTCAGCCCCATCAAGATGGGCTTGCTCAGCGGCAAGTACAACGACTCGCCTGATAAGCCTCCCGCGGGGTCGCGTTTTGCCGAAAGCAACGACAAATTCAGCAACATGGTCAGGAATTCGATGTATGGCAATGATGAATGGAGGCAGACTATTGCCAAGGTGATCAAGCTCAAGGTACGTGTTAGTAGGAGCGTTTGGGAGCTGCTTCTCTACATTTCTCTCATCTCCGACACGAGATTCTATTCCGCGGTCCAGTATTTTTCAGAAGGTTAACGTCTATATTAAACTTTAGCCCATTGCCGAGCAACTCGGAATTACGCAGTCGCAATTGGCGCTTGCTTGGTGTCTCAAGAATGAGCACGTTTCGTCGGTTATCACAGGTGCATCGAACCCCCAGCAAATCGTCGAGAACGTCAAGGCGCTGCAGGTTCTCGACAAGTTGACCCCGGAGGTCATGGCAAACATTGATGCTATTGTGGGCAAGATTGAGCTTGCCCCGGCGAGACAGGACTGAAGAAACCTTGAATCATTATAAATCATATAATTAGCTATGTTTTAACGCTTTTCTCAACATTTTATAGAAATAGGGCATAGAAAAACAGAATTTTCAGGAAAGATTGATGGACCTTGACACGTATAGCTCTCTCAGCATCATGCCAAGACACGGAAACCTTTTTCTCGAGTCGTAGCCTCTAGCCTAGGTAATCATGTCGTTTCTCTTTGCCATAGATAGGTTTATAATAAGACGGAGGATCGTTTCTGAACAGGATTTGATTTATGGGTGGCGACTTGGCCGGAATGAACTTGAAGACCTCAAGGCAATCTTCAATCTCTCTTCGAATAGCATAACGAAGAAGCTGTCCCTGTTCAGCAGATCCTCCGTAATCAAAAAGTATCCTCACAATGCGGGAAAAAGCTACTTGAACTGCGATTGATAGAGGAGTGATGTCAAAGTAGCACTGAGCATTTGGGTCGGCGCCTCGCTAGAGTAGCCACTTGCATAGGTCTTCATCGTGAAATGGTCGGCTGGATGAAGTCAACTAAACCCCCATTATTGTGGTGAGAATAGAACATACATAAGCAGCGGTGTGGTCCAGTTTATTTGCTTGTTCCTCTCATGAGCATTTGTCAAAAAAAGGCTCCGCAGATCGTAATTACTTGTGCGAATGGCGTTCTCCTCATGGCAAGGTTGGACGGAAACACCAATGGATAGAAGATATGACACCGCATCTGTGTGGTCAGTCTGCTCTGATAATGTCAGGGCATAGGCTAGATGGTCTTTGGTGAGTTTCTCCGACGAGATGAGCTTCTAGACATCGAAGATATTCCCAGACTCGCTTAATTCATGCAGCGGAAAGTCAATGCTATGCTGTTCTACCGCAATACGATTGATATTGTCTAGGAGCATGAGCGCCAAAACAGATCCGAGGAGTCAGTAACATGACCAAACAAGATGGTAATGCTCACATTCCTTATTAGGCTCAAATTGTCGATATAGCAAGACTATACACAGGGTCTGGTTATCCATAACACTAAATTATTTGGAACACTATATGCTTCTGGCTTTGCCTCAAATCCCAGGACATCATGTAAGGAATCGCACCTGGCCTCGTTTTCGAAATACAATCGTTTTTATGGCATGCATTCCAGACCAAACAGGCTTGCAATGCTCGACAGCCACATTCTTCCTGCTAGTGCCTAGACCTTGGTAGGTTCCGGGTGATGGGTTACCTTGAAAACAGATGAGCAGGACGAGTTGGAAGAGGTGTATTCAGGAAACTCACCAGCTCCACGTTATTACCAACGAGATCCAAAACAAATGCTCCGTAGTAGTTCTCATGATACTCTGTTCTTAATCCTGGCTTGCCATTACAGGTGCCTCCTGCATCGATAGCAGCCTTGTGGAAAGCGTCGACAGCGGCTCGGTCTGGAGGGAATCAATGCATCAATATGGGATCCATCTTGATTTTGTGCAAGATAAAATTACCTGGAGCGGTAAAAGCATAGTGAAATCCAGCCGGAGCATGCGTATCCTTCTGGGCAATCCAGAAGTCAGGAACCTCGGCACCCAGTCCGACGATTCCAGGGAATCGCATGATCTCCTTGTAACCTAATGGAGAAAGCGCTTTCTTATACCATTCAATAAGAGGTTCAAAGTTCTCCTTGGAGGCGAAGATGGTGAGATGATCAATTTTGCTGGACGCCATGGCTGCCAAAATTTGAGAGATAAACCAAGTAATGGGAGGTGCCGGGAAGAGGAATGCTCATATCTGATCCTCGAATACATCTCCTTCCGGCTTTATATGTCGCGAGGGAATCCACAGTGTCTGTGATGACAGGTTGACAGCAATACGATTATTCATATTCTTACATCAAACACGAGGCCAATCTCACGGCCTGATTGGTAGAAATGGAATCTCCCTCTACTGGGTGCGTCATGACTTTTTGCCTCAACTAATCGTGTACAACTACGCTGGTTTTGATACCGAAGAACACGAGCGCCACTTTTCGCAATAGCACTACTTGCAGAGCCGCCAAGCTGACTGCCTAGAACGGGGTGACTGTCACATCGTATTGGACGCTTGCCAAGTAAAGCACTGAGGGGAGCAGCCCATTGAGCCAGGACCCGGGCTTCTGTAGTCCTCGGCTCGCTCTTTCGCCTTGGTCTACAAGGTATGAGAGAGATCCTAAACAGCGTCCAGTTGTGATTGAGCGACCTAAGTGAGTCTCTACAAATCTGCCCAGGGATGATGCACATGTGTATGTAATTCATAGTAAAGATCATGGAACTAGGTATCAATTAGTTAATTTGATGTATAGGTTTCTTTACAACGCGGCGCGACCGACACTATGCTGAGAGGTGCAGTACTTAAGAACTAACGGAATTCCGGCCGCCCCGATGTAAGATCCTGTCTTCACACAGACATACCACCATGACACCAATTCGCTCTGAAACCTCGTTGATTTTGGTACTTCGATTTGACTCCTTGGAAACTCCTAGTACACATGATCTCTTGAATCATCTTCTCCCCATTGCGCGTCCCATTGCCTTGCCAGGACCTCTCTGGCGCCTGTACGCTCAAGTCGCGCCGCATCCCACATCACATATCCCCAGTGGTGAAGTCCATCCTTAGCCATCTATCCAGTAATCCAAGTTCCGAATATGTTGCTGTAAGTTCCTCCCCATATCAGGGTCCATGCTAGCGGGGGATGCAGACAGTTAGGATATGGTGTACGTCCTGAAGACTAGCCGGGGCCAGAGGCCAGTATTTGAGTCCGTTGAGCAATGTGCCGGAAATGATAAGTTAATCCCTGAAAATTGTGACCTTGTCCTCTGTCCCCTTTGAGTCTAGCTACAACTCTTTTTTAACTCTGCTGCTAGTAAACTCTCTCCCTAACTACGGATTTTGATATTGACACAACACAAGCTCACATTTACACAATGCTTGCTAGATCTTACTACAGCTACCGGATATCTGGACAAGAGCTCTGTTCAAATGAATCATATGTCACTTCTCTCTATATGCATCACCTCGACAAAGACATCATACACTCCCCACGGGCCAACAACCCGATCTAGGAGAAACACGCTAAAGAACCGCGACACATCGAACCAAAGACAAATCACATCTATCAACACCGAGGAACATACACCCCTTTTCTAGACCTCCCGGGTTCTGAGCTTGGGGTATTTCGGCACCTCAATTTCCGTTTCCATCTCTAGGCCAGAAAGACTTGGGAATCGCCGGCTAAAGTTCGCCTCCCAGTCTTCTCCTCCGGGGCTCGTCGGTGTCGCTACGGAGGGGCTGCGGTCTTGGCTTGTTCCAGGACGGGATGAGTCCTGCGCGCCTACACGCAGGTTCTTTGGCTTCGGTGGGGCTGTAGGTCGTGATGGGGGACGAGCAGATGAGTAACCGGTAGAGTTGGCGGTGGCAGACTGAGGTAGATCTGCGGGGGCACTGGCACCTTCACGACGGTCTGGAGGGGCCATGGTCCCTTCGCGAGCACCGTAAATGGGACCGGGGGTACGCGAGATGGGAAGCGTGCCTGAGGAGGGGGGCCGGTTTTCACTGCCACCTTGCTTTGCCTGCAAAGCATTGGAATCGGTGTATTTCCCATACCCAGTTGCGGTCTTGGGAGCCACCTGGGGCTTGTTGGACTCGCCGATGAAATTCTGCACCCGGTTCAAAATCGCTCGAGATCGATGCTGGCCGCTTCCATCGCCTTCGGCGACCCGGCGCCTATACTCCGCTGCAGCATTGGCAACGCGTTTCTCTTCCTGAGAGAGCCGGCGGCGCTCGAGCTCACGGCGCATTTCCGGAGAGATATCATCGCGGTCCACATCTTCCAAAACATCATCTTCATATGATGAAAGCCCCTCATTTGGCGACGAATCCAAAGCTTCCGAATCGCCCATCAAGGACTTTTGGTGCTGAGGATATTCTTCCGCTGTCGGAGTGGAGGCCTTTTCCTGGTTTGTACTTTCGAAGCGGCGGAATGCCTCGCCAAAACGACCGGCAAACAATGTCTTGCTTCCAGACAACGACAAAGTAGACAAGCTTCCTCGCTTGGCATGTTTGGCGCCGCTGCTCGACCGTTTCTCGCGCTTACGGTTGCTTTCCTCCTCTTCCTTCGCGCGCAAATAGTCCATATCCGAGGAAATGTTGGCTCGCTCATAGTCCCGATCAATCTCCGTGCGCACCGGCCGAAGGGGAGCACCGCCTTCGTATTGCAGGTGCGAGAGATCCAAAGACGAGCGTGACGTCTCCGAGTCACGCGGGAGGTCGTAACGAGATGAAGCTTGGACAGAGACAGGGCGCGCCTTCCCAATAGCAGACTTGGATCGACTAACTGGATCAGTTGCTTCCAAGCCGGATGGGCGTCGTAGAGTCTCCATGGAGGGACGCGCAGAAGTAGAGTGACTGGACAACCGATCAGAAGACAGACGTGGACTCGCTTCCGGCCTCAAAGTGGCCGATGGCGGTGACGGGGCCTTAAATCCGGAGACTTTCTGTTCCTCCTCCGTCCAAGGCTGGCTGGATGGTCGTCGCTCGTCAGAAGGTGGGACGCGCCAGATTGGTCGACTCGAAATCTTCGGCTCTTGCAGACGAGGTGTTTGAGAAGGAGATGTCATGGTACCCGTGGAGACCATTGCAGGTCGCTTAGGAGTTGGCTGGTATAGAGGAGCTTGTTGCCGAGTAGACACCTCCTGAGGCTTCTGTGACCGCACGGGCGAGATCTGCGACCGCCGATCTGCGGGAGGCGCTTGTCGCTCTGGAGAGGCCCGTCGTGCAAAAGCATCGTCAGCCAGCGCATTTGTGAGCCTCTGCGAAAGATCCTCATCCTCGGATTTGGTTTCCTTCACAGTTGGCTCAAACTCAAACTTGTCTCCCTTCTCATGTAGAATATCAAACTGGTCCAGCGTTGGGAATCGGTTCGATAGCTCATCCGCATTCTTCTTTGAATTTCCGTCCAATGCTGCAAAGGGATCGTGAGATGATGTCTTAGAACCACCGCGGTATGGAGAAGGACTGGGTTTAGCCGAGCTATGCGCAGACGATTGAGGCTTCCCGGGCCGGCCTCTTCGCATGGGTGCAATCTCGGGAATGATCTCAGTCTCCTGCATGGGAGGGGAGAATGTAGCCCCCACCGCCGGCGCTTCCGTTGGCGTAGGTGGCAGTTCCTGATTCCGTCGCACTTCGGAGACTGACCGATTGGAGTAGATCTAAATGCCCAGCGGTTAGTATATTCGATCCAGCTATCGGGTGTCACACTGGAAAAACGAACATCGCGAATTGGAACCTCCTTCTTTTGCATGTCGCAAACCTCCTTGACCACCTCGTATATATTCGGACGCTTCTGTGGATTCTCCTTAAGCATAATTGCTGTTGCACGTCTTCAGTCAGTCATCTCTTCTCAAACAGGCGCTCCTCAAATCGGAAATCTTACCAATTAACATCTTCAACCGATCCGAAAATTGAGGGTATGCGGGGAATTTGTAGCTAGCGTTGAGGATGGCCATTTGTCCAACCTCTTCGAATGGAGTCGTATAGTAACATAATTTGTACAAGAACACACCGAGCGCCCAGATGTCGCTCTTCTCGTCAATTGGTTGCTTCCGGTAAACATCGATCATCTCCGGACTGCGGTACTGCATTGTCGTGTGGCGCTGCACATCGTCTTCGATCAAGCGACCTTCGGCAGCCGATGTAGCAGCCGGACGGGGAGGCGCCGAAGATCCAAAGTCGCACAGCTTATAGATGGTCGAACCTTGGGAGCGCGAGATCAGAACATTCTCTACCTTAAGATCTCGATGGAGCAGGGGTGGCTTCAGGTAGTGCATGCAAGCCACTCCCTCGGCCACGTCCGAAAAGATCTTGACAATCTCTGGCTCCGTCAACCGGTTCTGGAGCCGGGTGTTCATAAAGTCAATCAAACCACCGCCCCCGCAATACTCCATGAGTAGGAAGACCTCGTATCCGCCTCCTTGTAACTGCGAGGCATGCGAATCGATATATCTGACAATATGCCGGTGTCCCTTGAGCTTCTTCATGGTCTCTACCTCGGTGCGCATGCTAGCCAGAGCCGACTTGTCGGGGACGGCAACCCGCTTCAGCACTGCCGTCTCCGTGCCGTTGACGGGCTTTGGCAGCCGCACCACGTAGACATGAGCGAAACCGCCCTCGGACAGGTATTTCTCCACCACCACGCGATGGCCGCCCACCTGGACCTTGGTCCCGGGGAGAAAGGTCCCCGCGGGTGCGGTAACAGCGGCGACCGGGTTGAACGCGGGGAACTGTCGCGGGACCGCAGCGTGGCCCTGCTGGGCGTGGGCATGAGATTGATAGGCAGACATGGCGGTCTGTATTGCCCTGGCAGGGCAGGAGGAGTTGAGCGAGGAGGAGGAAGAGGGAGGAAGAGGAGGGAATTCGGGCCTTGGAGGCTATCGACGCGGCATAGGAGAATGGAGAAGGAGGAGGTGATGGATGCCTGGGAATGGGGCCAAGAAGGACAGGTTGGCGGGGAGGGCGGAGTAAATTGAAGATTGGGGGGGTAGTACCTGACTACCGCAACAGGTAAGCGAACTAACGAGGTGAGAAACTTGGTTAATTCCAAGGAAGATGGACAGATGGGCGATCCCAAGCGTGAGAGGAGAGCCAGCGAGCGATGGGATCTCGAGGGGAAGAGCATCCAATCATCGGCGGCGGGTCACGTTCCTTGGTGCTGCTTTGGTTTCCGGACTTTTTGACGAGGATCATTTACTTCCGTCATTCCATACGGTGGAAAACTTTGTTCTTTTCTTGACTACAGACAGCGGTGACGGCTCAATATGACTTTATTGTGGACCACACACGGCTTGTGAACGCCGCCTCGTCTGGCTGTCTGGGCTTGATCAGGGTCCCGCATCGCCTGCTCTGATCATGGGACCTCTGACTGTTGATAGTTGCTGGAGAGCGCGACCATGAGATCTATCGTGGCTGCTGATTTTGAAACAGATGCCGTTGATATCCCTTGATGTCTGATCCGGTCACGTTGGTCACTTCTACTTGGCATCGGACATGATTGTTTCTCTATCCGACGATGACAAGCACATACTCCAGCCAGATCACTGTTGACCTCTCGAGTATCACAACGGACCCACTACGGTCGAACTATCTTTCCCCAACCGCTTGACCGCAATATCGACCCAGTTCTCCGTCCTGTCCCTCGGTAATATACATGGTGATACGATACCTCTTGACCTTACAAAGTGCAGTGTACTGGAGGACTGGACATGGATATGCCTGAGTGTGGTTGACACGCAAATGGCCTACTAAGATCCAACTGAAGGCTGAAACGAGACTGCAAATCTTGTAAACCACGTCTGTAGAAGCCAAATGAACTCTACTCGACGGTTTCGAGTTGTTCTTGTGGCTACTTGTCGTTCTGTTGTGCCCAGCAACGGAGAATCTCAGCGTTGTCCGTGACTGCCTGAGGCATCCAAAAGAGATGTCATGACGTAAGCGGCACTTTTCCCAGAACGGCAAAACCAAAACAAATACTTTGTCGGCTCAACAAGTATACCAAGTGAATTGCTCTCTCCTCACAACTAGCATCGAATAAATAGAACAGTAGAGGCTCTTTAAAATGATCGTTATCTCTTTAAACCCCCCTTGTCAAAAACCCCACATTCATCAATCCGGTCTGGGCTCAAGCAAGGACCAGCTGTAGACAATCTCCGTCCTGGTATCCCTCCATGCTGTACCACTGGTTCATCCACTGATAACGAGGCCTACAATCGCGTGGCTACCCCGAGGAATTCCACATCACCAGATATACCAAATTCTCTTTCTCTGGAGGAATCCGACAGTCTTAACACTGCCAGGCAAGCGGGGAGGGGGGTAATTATTTTTAAGTCGATTTGTTTTGGCTGTGTGTGATGGCCACGTCTTCACTGCATGGAGCCGCCGATCCTTAGCGGCTCCCACTTCTCCTAAACAACCCACCTGACCCCCGTAGCAACCTTCTTCCTCCACTGCCTCGCCCCAATTCTTTGGATCCCCTCCTGTTCGACCCTGGACACAGGTGGTCCATTATATACTATCTTTTCTATTGAATATTTCATTCCCATCGAACCGGCTTCCCGAGCACTGAGTGGCCTCGGGCCTCAGTGCAGATCTCCCACCTCGACGAACATGACCTGGCTATCAATTTGCATCAACGCTGAAAACCGATCTAATTGAGGTCTGATCAGGCCATCACATCGAGGTAGTGGGAAGACCAGTCTGGATACTGGCCCCGACCAGAATATATACTGAGATATCGAAGAGAGAGGAGATACCGGTGTTGGAAACTATCGCGAATCCAACGATTGCGATTCCCATCGATCGAGCCGACAATTGTATCACGATCGCATCCGAACAGTTTCCAAGAAATTGATCAGTTGAGATGGATGGTCCACCACCCCCGCCACCGCCTCATGGCGAGAACCCTCATACCACCGAAGGCGAATATCGCAAGGCCTCCGACATGCCACCGGGCAACTATGACATTTTTATCGTCCCGCCTCATTCTGCAGGTTCCGGCTTCCTTTACCTTCCATCCCTGCAATGCCAAAGAAACAGCTTCATTGCGGGCGCCGCAAGCATGCTATTGGTGGTTGTGATCTGGTCGTTTATCGCACCGATCGCAAGGAAATGGTACTATGCCGCCATGGCCGCAGCCGCAGCCAGCAACACCAACGTGGGAATGATACTGGTTGCACTTGGAGTCGGAGTGGCTGGTTGGGCCTTTGGCATGTCCCAGTCAGGTCAGTCCAACGGTAGTTCCAACGGCGGCAAGCGATTCGGCGGTGGCTTTGGGTCCTTTGGAGGCTCCGGTGGACAAAACTCCCAGAATCAATCATCCGGAGCAAACTATGGCAATGGACCCGGACAGCAACAGCAGCAAAAACAACAACAACATGGAGGTAATGGTGGATCGGGCCAACAACACCGACAACAAGGAGGTGGAAACTTTGGAGGTGGACCAAACCGAGGTAATCAGTATGCTGGCAATCAACATGGCGCTGGGGCTGATTCTGCGCCTCCTCCCAAGACTGATCACAACAATCATGGTCCCAACGGCGACGAGTGGGAAAAGGCCCGAGAAGAGACGAAGCGAAAGGAAGAGCTGCGCCGGAAGATGGAGGAGTTTAGGCGCAAGCGAGAGGCTGAAGCAAAGGAGAAAGAGAGGAAACGAGAAAGAGAGGCGATGGAGAAGGAGTTGAAAGAGCGCCGCGAACAGCTCGAGCGTGAGATGGCTGCTGCCAGGGAGAAAGCAGAGAGAGAGGCCCGCGAACGAGCAGAAAAGGAAGCTAAAGAGCTCCGCGAACGGGCGGAGAGAGAAGCCAGAGAGGCTCGCGAACGTGCCGAAAAAGAAGCTGCCGAAGCTCGTGCAAAGCTGGAAAAGGCCGCCGCCGAAGCCAAAGCCGAAGCCGAACGACGTGAAGCAGAAGCCAAGGAGAAAGCGGCAAAGGAGGCTGCCGAGAAAGCAGCAGCAGAAAAGGCCGCTGCGCAGAAGGAGGCGATGGCCAAATTTGCTGCGCTCAAAGAAGCGGCAGCCAAGAGGTACGCTGAGAAGAAGGCGCAGGACGCTAAGAAAGAGAAAGAGGCACCACCCAAGGCTGGAAGCGCAACCGGCACGCCTCGGACTCCCTCGCCTAAGAAACCGCCTTTTCCAACGGCCAAGACAACCATCGAAGACGATGCCTATTCATTTCGGCCGTATGACCGTCCGCGACGACCATATGGGCAAGCATCCGGGTCCTCAGCATACTCGGAGTCTTCCTATGCTCCCTCTCAGTCGACAGCACGAACTACGCCTCCTCCATCTCATCGCGGTACTTACTCTACCAAGGATCCAGACAAGATCGTGATCTTGGGTGTATACCAGTTCACCAACGCGTTCATGAAGACGCCAGTGGCCCAGCTAGTTTCTGGACAGGGCATGGTGACCGACGGACTCGTTCTGCGAATGACCACCGAAGGTCTATTTGTTGATGACGACCTTCGAGGAGTTGGACAGCGAGAATGGGACGTCAAGGCCTGGACCCTGAAACTAGCAGAGGTATGGTGTCCCCAAATGGGAACCCCACAGGGCACCAAGCAACAAGCCTCCACCAATCCATTCTCCTTCCGCCGCAGCGGTGCAGCACACTCCGTGCCCACCAACGAGGAATCGGACGCATTCACGGCCACCCTTCTCAAAGTCTGTAAGAACACCTGCCGCCTTGCCTCGCCGAGTGCTGGGGCCGAATTCCGCGGTCTCCACGTTCTCCGCGCCAGTTTGCGTGATCAAGAGGGCAAGCGATACGTCTTTGTCTTGCAAGATACAGAGGCTTGGAAGGTTGCCATCGGTCTTCAGCGTCTGCGTGGTGGTGCTCTCGTCCGTGCCTTGGGTGTTTCTGCGCTGCCGGCTCCGGACTGCAAGACCGTTCTTAGCAACTTGGGCTATACTTGAAGATATTTTCCATTGTCAGATTCATACAGCTTGGGCTGCACATCTCCTCTCGGTGAAGCAATTGTGCAGCACAGCTGGTCTTATCTGATGAAACGGGTCATCCATCTTTCTTCTATATACACCCCTCGTCATGTCTCGTTTTGCTGCTTTCTCGATCAGCCTCTTGACTTCGTTTCATTTCTCATTAGCGGCGGAGTTTGCTGCATACTCTTTCTCTTTCTCTCCAGTACATTCATTCGTTTGGCATGCCCCCTCACCATATAGTTTCGAGATATCCCCCCGACATATTTGCTTGTTTTTTTGTATTTTGAATGTTGTGTTTGTTGCGGTTGAAGTATAGTTGATCTACATCTGGATGTTGAGATAGAAAGGGAGACGTACATAGTATGAATGATCTTTTTGATGTGGATTTGTGGACTTGTTTCTGAATATAGGTTCATCATAAGCATAAGCGGCCAAGTAGGAAGTATAGACGTGACTGGTGGTACTGTCGAATGTAAGACCATTTACAGTCTGGGAAGATCGATCAACGACCGCCTTCATCTTGTAGGGTGGCTCTGAAGAGGTGATTGATATCTCCGAAGGACATACAGAATGTAGAAATGATATACTCAGTCAATCATGTGATGTCCTTGTTTTTATAGAGCAAAGTCATACTCTAAAGGATGCTAGCAACTTATCAAAGACGTAAGGAATACAAATGATCTCCAGTGTTGAACCAAGAACACAAAAGAATCTAACGCCATATATGATATCTGATGTATAGTAATTCCCAGCCACGTAAAATCTCTTCCAATTTCATCCGTCTGTCAATGCAAGATGCCTGCCACAACCACTAAATTCTATGCATCATTCCAAGCAGCCCACAGCCCCAGCTATACAAGACCAGCACCCCAAGGTAACGGACTCGATCCAGTAAGACATCAAGAATGAGGAAGAAGTGAAAAGGAACTGAGAGAAAAGTGAAACGAAAACGTTGAATCCAACTTCAAGTGAGAAAAATAAGCAGAAAAGATGATATCGAAAAAGGAAAAGCAAAATCAAGGGTCTATCATATGGGAATCATGTTGCTTCCGTGAGAGAAGTATGGTATGGTAAGAGACGGGGAAAGCAAGACACCGCTGGGTCACGACAGATGAAGATGAGACGGAAGTCAAGGAGGAACAAAAAACGCCTTTTTGTAATCGATCATGTCGTCTACGTGCAGGTTTGAGGAGATGAATAGCGTTCTAAGATTTCGTTGTTCGGAGGGCCATGCAAATAATAGGTCGGTCGCCCCGGGTTCCGGGGATGAAGTCACGACCGAGCAGCTGGTATGCTCGAGTCTCGGGGTTCGGGACTCGACTGGCAGCAAGAGCTGCTGTCTTGTGCTCCCCAGTTAGCGGAGTTATATCGGGTCGTAGAGAAGGAAGGGAGGTATTGACGGAGGTCGGCTCGTCTAGAAGGGGAACCCGCCGGGGAATCCACCGGCACCACCGCGAGCCTGGCCGCCGAAGGGATGGCCGCCAGCTGAGGCGAAGCCACCACCACCGCCACCGTTCATCATGTTGAACAGGATGTTGGGGTCGATGTTGATGTGTGTGCCGTTCATGCCGCCCATGCCGCCCATACCGCCCATTCCTCCCATTCCATGCATACCGCCGAAGCCGCCGCCGCCGAACATATCAGATGGGTCCATCAGGTCGTCGCCATTATCGTAAGCAGCACGCTTCCTGAAGAGAGGGAATGTGGTTAGAATGGTTCCATGGAATGGCAGATACCAGAGTCGGGATAAGAAAACTTACTGAGGGTCAATCAGAGTCTCGTAGGCCTCGCCAATCTCCTTGAACTTCTCGTCGCCGTGCTCACCATCCGGGTTCTTATCCGGGTGGTATTGAATAGCCATCTTGCGATAGGCCTTCTTGATCTCATTATCAGAAGCCTCCTTGGTCACCCCCAGAATCTTATAGTAGTCCTTGCGCTGAGACTTCTTCAGCTCGAACTCAGCCCGGCGGATATCCTCCTGAATCCCCTTCTCGCCAGGGTTGCTCTCTGCAACACTCTTATACTCGCGAACGGCATCTTCCCACCGCTCGGCACCACCGTACGCCTTGGCGCGCATCTTCATCGCCTTGACGTAGCCGGGATCCAAGCGGAGCGCCTCGGTGCAGTCCTGGATGGCCGAGTCATACTCCTTGAGGTTATTGTAAGCCTGAGCTCGGTTCTGCAGGATCTTGGCATTCATATCCTTGTTGGTGGGGTCGACCTCGAGGGCCTGGGCGTAGAGATCGATCGCACGGCGGTAATCCTTGGCCTTGAAGGCGGCGTTACCCTCCTCCTTGGTACGGCTGAGCTTCTGGACAATGCGCAGCAGCTTGATGGCCTGCTTCATATCCGGGTCCAGCCCGAGGCACATCTTCAGCAGCTTCAACGCTTGCTCGGTCTCTCCAGAGGCGTAGTAGGCGCGAGCACGGATCATCATTGCATCCGGGTCCTGGCTGTTCTCACGAAGCAAGGTGATGGCGAGATCCTGTGCCTTGCCCAGAGAGTTACTGTTGTTCATCTTCAGCTGTGCCTCGGCGGTCAGGAGGGTCCACTTGCGCGGTTCCTTAACGCCTTGGCCCAGGCCTTGACGGGCCTGGTCCAGACAGAAGATAGCCATCGATCCGCCACGGTCCTCTGCCAACGTCTCCTCAGCCTGTGCGATGAACTTCTGCATCTTCTCTGCGGGGGCACGGTCGGTCGCGCTCGCATCGGGTACCCGGGACAGGACACTCAGAGCCTCCGCTGGCCGACCCAGGTTGGTCAGAATCTTGGCCATACGGTGCATGATCTTGGGGTTGGTAGGGTCGAGGTCGTGAGCCCGCTCAATATCCTCGAGCGCATTCAGGTATTGCCTCGCGGACATGTGAGCGGCCGCCCGGTTAGACAGGTAGGCCGACGAGTTCGGATTGATCTCGATTGCTATAGATGACAAAAAAAGCCAAGTCTCAGCCAAATTCTGCACGGTAATACAGCGCCTGTATATCAAGGCGACCGAGTGGGAAAAGTTCAGATAAAAAGCATACCCTTGTTGTATTCCTCGATGGCGCGGCGGTAGTCGCCATCCTTGAAGAATTTGTTACCCGCCAACTTGAACGAATCGGCCTCATCGGTTGAACCGGAGGACTTGTGCGGCGGGGGAGTCGGGCTGCGCTCCTCAGCGCCGTTGGTACCATTCTGCTTCAACTGAGGCTCTTGCGGATCAATGTCCATTGAGCTCCGCTGGTCATCTCGGGACGCGGCCATGGCCGAGAGTCGACGGCGTAGCTCGTCGGGTGGAAGATTAAGCGGGTGAAGATCCTGGTCTCGTGAAGACCGGGTGAATTTGAAGGAGGGGGCGTTCTGAGTAGAAGTAGAAGAGGAAGAGCGACTATGCGAAAAGCGATTCTTACTCGGCGAGGAGGACTTGGTGGGCGACTTGGAGGGGGATTTAGAGGAAGATTTAGAAGGCGACTTTGATTTGGTGGGTGACTTGGAGAAAGAAGGTCGCGGGGAGAGGGGAGGAGGGTCGGGGAGATCGTAAGCGGTGGAAGGTGGTCTTGCGGTGGAGGCAGCAGAGGAATCTGGTTTCTCTGGTTTATCTTTCGCCCGGTCCTTGTCCTTATCCTTTTTGAAGATGTGGGCGAGTTGGACCATTAGTGGGTTTGGGGCCCTCGCTTTTTTTTTTTCTCGGAGGGGATCGAAGGACGACGAAGGCGGTAGAAACGCGGAAATCGGGATGGGCTCAACCACGGTTCGGATCTGGAAAATTGGATTCTCGAAAACTGTATAGAGAGTCGAGTCGAATGCAGAGGGAGTAAAAATGGGGGAAAAGAGAAGATGAAAAAGTAGAAAAGTAGAAAGGTCCAAGGTGAAAAAGAAAAACAATAGGTCAGGTCCGTTCAGCCATGATCAGGTCATCAATTTATCAGGTTATCGGTCATTAGTCGCACCTGTCAGGGGCGGAGGATGCTAATGTAGACCAGCAACGTACTATCGACCAGACATACGCGGAGAAAAACAACGGTATACTTAACAGTATATATCCTCTGAAGCAAATCTATTGAGAGAAAGGAGGGGGGGGGAGGATTTCCCCCCCCGCCCCGTACTTTGGACAGATTATATAGCTTATACTATCCAGTTCATCCTTCCCTCCCATATCCTTCCGTCCTTTTCTTTTGGCTACTGGCGGGACACGAAAAAATTATTCCAGAGGCTGGAGAGCCGCTGGTCTGTGTTAGCGCGCAAGAGAACTGGAGACGTGGAGTCGACTAATTCCTGTCGGACATGACGGCACAGTAAAAGTACAATGGCTGGGGGAATTCGAGAAGCTTCTTCTCTGCTGGTCGACATGGTCCAATATGAATGCCTTCTTGTCAATACGGCGTGGAGTTATCGATTCATTCGTCTACAGCAGCCCTCGACTCGTGATTGTGCTCGCAGCCACACAGCATCCGACAGGTCAGAGGCCTTGAGGTGGAGCAGTGGATCCTGCAGTTTGCTGGAAGAGCACACGCCAGCGCTGGGACCAACTCCCTGCAGGAAGAGGGGAAAAATCATGTACGTTGTCACGGAGAATGTGCTGAGAGAGAGCTAGAGGGCCAATGATTACGAATCCTATTCCTATGATCGAGTATGGCTAGGTTTTATAGAGTATGTTGTTTACTCCCGAACATGGCGGTAAAGAGTAGCTCCGTTGAGTCGGATGTTTTGAAACAATCAATAGCAATGGTCTCAAAAATGCCCTGCATCCCAAGAGAATGGGACCGAGTGGGTATATATTGACAAGATTGCAGAAAAGATCTCCATAGTCTCCGCAGAGACAGAGTCGAACAGAAAATAAACAACAGAAAGCCGGTGGACTGCTGCATGCGATTTCCGATCTCCGGGGGCATCAATGCATCCATTCGGTGCCTCAGCTTCCAGGCACAGATTTCGTACTTATATTTGCTTTTTTGAAAAAGGAGTACACCCATTTGACCAAGGTAGAACATCAAATATGGGGTTGATATTTGACCTTGACGTAGCCGTTAACTTTATTCATCCGCACAAGTCACAATGACCCGTTTGAATCTTCATCCCGGCCCAAATTCCAACGCTGGGGCGGTCTTGGATCCTCCATCGTTATCCTCCATAATGACCCCATCTCTTTCATAATCACTACATGAAGAAAGAGATAAAAGGCCCAGAAGATGTGTCGCGTGCTCATTCATTCGACCAACCATGCATACGCCGCGCAACGGCGCCCCAACGTGACTCCGTACCACGTTGCTGTCGAACCACGTGCGTATGGCTAAAGCCATGGCTATCATACGAAGGCGGAGGCGAGAGTGCGCCGTGATCCAATTCCTCATCAATGTTGTCTCCAATGCTTAGGGACGGTTCACTCAAATGCGTTTCGAGCCGGGGTGGTCGACTATGCCGGGTTTGCGGACGGTGTGACGATGCCGAGCTCCCAGTAACTACCCATAGCTCCTCCTCTTCCGACCAAACGAGAGGCGCACTTCGAGGCCGTCTAGGCACCCGGCACTCAGTATATAGATATGGATTGACGGGGGGCGATCGGGAACGGGCTTCTCGTACTGGATCTGCAGCAGTGATGCCGTCACCAGGCCGCAACTCATTAGAAGGACTCCTCCTGCCTCTTTGGGCGGGCATGCGTCGTAGATGGCTATCACTCCATAAGGGATCAAGATCGGTGTGAGAGTTGGCGGTATGGATATTTGATAATTGGTGTCGTGATTGGCGAGAGTCCAGAGGGTCCGCCGAGGCAGGCCGTGGGGGTAATGGCTTCGTGTAGAGGTTGAAGTAACTGTGATAATGACTCGGAGTTTCCGGCGTTGGGGGCTCTTCCTCGATACGAGGGAATGTGGAATTAATAGGGATATTGGCCCTTGGGTCGGCGAGGGGAGGACCCTCGAGTGACGAGAGGTCCATGAGAGGTAGTTTAGAGTCGCGTCGGCGTCGGCGAGACGATGTTAGCTGCGATCTCTTAAATAGAGAGCAGAATAGCATCTCGTGGGGCATGGATATGGGGCCGAACCCGCCAGTCTTTATAGATTAATCCGAATTTCTATCTTTGAACACGAATGGCGTGCGCTTGGATAGACGTAAACAGTGGATCGTCGTGGAGAGCTCGTATCCGGGACCGAAGATCAAGGTCTTGGAAACGGGGTCCGGCATTCACGAGAGAAAGCCACTTCAGAATCGTCGATCAAAGGGTCCCTTTGCCAAGAGCGAATCTCGTTCGTGTTATACCTTTGAAGCGAGGGCGAACCGTGCGAACTGTAACTGTTGACCAAGTCAAATTAGTTTACTCCTCTGCCAGATTTAGTACTCTGGATGGAGTATAGATAGTTGGCAAGGCGTTCAAAAGACCCATCACTCTATTGTGGGTTCGGGTCGCCTTATAAGCCCCTCTTGTTTGATCGTAAAGATTCTGTTCTAAGCTGATGGGAGGATGCGAATCCTTTGTTGGGGCCGGAATAGTTGTTGGCCTTCACTGCCACACAAGGCCTAACTAGAGATTGAACCTAACTAGAGATTGAACCTAACTAGAGATTGAACCTAACTAGAGATTGAACGTCGTCTTTGCCGGCTTCCCGCAATGCAACATGAGATCTAAGCCTTGTCCTATCAGGCGAGTCAGTACTGCGATCTATACTCTGAAATCAGTGTCATGTTCCTGGCGGTTTCAGGTTTGCAGGGTGTTAATCATTGGCCCTGGATGTCCCGTTCGATGTAGAGGGGCCGCCCACTCCCACGAGGCAGACCGCAGGACACCACAGCCCTGCTGGCGAGTTTCATTGTTCTCCCGTCAGGCCAAGACCCTCGTGCGGGGTGTATTTGATGGCTCCGAGGCCACGGTGTTTGTGTTGTGCATCAAGAATCGTCTTTGTCCTGTTTAGTTCGGAAATTGTACGAAGCTCGCCCCGTTTGGTTGTTGGAAGCGCGGTCCGCCTTTGAAATCACGACCTGTGGATCGCCTATTTTTGGGAGGCCAATGGGGCCAGGCGTCCTCGCAGTAAGCTTTTGAGGGCTTGGATTTTGGGGGAACGGGACGAAATCAGGGCAGTCGTCCACATGGCCATGGTCATAAAGTTGGGAGTGCCTCTGATGATTCGTAGTTTCGGGTTCTAACGCGCGGGGGCTTGGAATACTCCGAGGAATGTACATTTGTACCTGAGCGGACCGGATATAGTTATATGTGACCTCACCCATCCATAACTTGAATAGAGACAACATAAAATTGACCATTCTTGGGTCTATCATCGATTTATAATGACAGATCGCAATCACGGGTACCATGATTTGACTTTGCTTAATTTCATGATCCCCCACCTATTAACATTGGCTTGGGATGATCGGACAAAATATATGTCTGGGGAAGATTGATACCAACAACACGGGCGGTAATATATTGATGCCCTGGCGACGAGTATGGATACCCTTTGCCCACCGTCGTACTATCACCATACTCACTCTGCATTGTTCAGATTTGAACATTGCTAGTATAAAAGAGCCTCGGTGCCGCCAAATCCAAAAATCATAGACGGGAAAATGCATTGATGCTCAATTCATCCAGCCAGCCAGACCAACGGGATGCTCATCTCAATAGAATCTATGTCACACGAGGGCAACACACAGGCCCTCGACGCCCCTAGGTCCTGATCGTGATCAAGGGCAGGGTCCCCAAGAGAATCATAATTAATGACATGGAGTAGCTTCTGGTTCTGAACCATTTGCCAAAGGCAATATGGTCAGGCAAAGGACATTTGAATTCGTTCTGAGAAGGACTTTACAGCATGATGTTAACAGACTCGAAAGTGAAGTAGGAATTAGCCAATGCATTCACGACATCTAAGATTAAAAAAGGAAAATAGATAGTCAAGTGATGTTAATACATTCACAAAAAAGAGGGGGCTTACGGGTTCTGGAAGCAAAGGAATCATGGTGAAAGCTGTCATGGTTTACATTAAGGTCGTGCTCAAGCCGCCAAGCGCTTCACACAACTCCGAAGCTATCCAGGGAAGCCCAAGAAGAAATATGTATATCAAGAAGAGCAAGAAAGGAATAAAAAAAGGGATAAGCATATCCAATCAGAAGCAAGTAACAATATTGAGTCAGGTATAAAAAATCACCAGAAACCCAGGGTTTATATCACAAGGACGTCTTTCTCCGTTTCTCCCATGCCAATTCCAATGCGAAGACAACTACATGCTCACCATTCCACTAGGGAATGGCTTTACATGAAGCAATCCATGACTGAAGGAGTCATTTAAGCCAGGAAGAAGGCGGCGGCGGCGGCAGCACCGGCGAAGCCGAGGGAGCCAGACAGAGCACCGGCACCGTTGAAGGCGGGGGTGGAAGAGGGCTTGGCGGTGGCGGAGCTATCGAGAGATGTTAACTATGTTGATATATCTAATATCAGACAAGAATTTGAATCTTACCTGGCAGCAGCAACGCTGGAGGGGACGTGGGAAGAACCGCTGGAGCCGCCAACAGGGGAGGAGGCGGTGGGGACAGCGATGGTCGACCAGGAGGTCACAACAGCGCAGGTGGTGTGGACAACGGGGACGACAGTCACGGAGGGACCAGCGGGGGGCAGTGGCCACGGAGGTGGAGGTGGAGGTGGGAGCGGGAGCCGGGGCGCTGGACCAGGAAGAGCTGCCAACGGGGGAGACACCGCCAGCGGGGACGGAGGGGGTGACAACGGAGGTGGGGACAGCGCTGCCGGTAGCACCGACGCCAGTCTCGGTGGCACGAGCAGGGCAGTCAGTGACGGTAGGGGCGCAAGAGGTGATGGTAACCTCCTCGGTCTGGTAGACGGTGGACTCAGCGCCGTTGGGGAGGGCGGCAACCAGGCCGGCGAAAAGGGCAACGGTAGCAACAGCGAAACGCATTTTGAATGTTGTTTAGTGGAATATAAACCGTAAAGGTGATTTAAAAAGGCGTTGGTAAAAAGCGAAGCTTTTTTAAGCAAAGAGTGTAGTAGTTGGTAAAGAGTGGATGACCGAAGTCGAGAGAGTGACTGATGCGATGGCAACGAAGTATGGACTTGGAGAAAGAAAGAAGAAAGAGAAACAGGGCAGCACGGGGGAGCCAGGGGCCCTTTGTATGAACGGGGAGATTAGGCTGGTTGATCGGCGGGGCCATCAACTTCCGCCCCTAAAAAAAAGGGGAAGGCCCAGTGTCTGAACTGGAACTGGATGCTGATAGACATGCGGAGTCGTCATCCCGGGTGGGCTAGCTCGCTGGGAAGGCGATGGAGTAGAGGAGGAGGAGGGGTACCGAGTACATGGCAGATTGCGGTGTACAGACTGTGGCGCTCGAGTCGTCGGTACCTGTAGCAACGCAAAGCGCAGGTACCTGCATCGACCTGAACTTTCCTCCATCCGTACCTGAATTTCCACCGGGTTGCACGCACAGCCCTGATGGCTGGACCCCAGAGCCACACAACCAGGGGTGGGCCTGATTGGTGCAGCGAGGCGCGTGGGATGAGCCGTTTCGTTGTGACGAGCAGAGAATGGTAATTTTGAGAGCCACTAGCAACGTTAGCGTTGAGGTGATGCCGATCGGGGGGTTAGTTCGAAGAGAATTGGAAGCATCACTGGTGTAATTCAGTGGGGGGAGTGGATGATAGTGGAGTCGGATGAGGTTGCGAAACCGAGTGAGACAGTTGACTTTGTATACCGCCTTACTTCAGCAGTGTAAGGGAAGGTCACCGTCACGAGACTAGTAGTGGAATATGGCAGTATATTCCAGACCGCCACACCCGTCCCCTCTTTCCTCTCATTTTAATCCCAATCTCCATTTCATCTTCGCCCAGACACTACTCCGTACAATTACTGTACCAACACAAAAAAAGAGACCCTTGTTTGAGCCTGCAAATTGCATCGTCAACTCGAGAAATGAACATGGTCATTTAGCGGGTTTCAGCCCGCGTCCTCCATCGTCCGTCCACCAATCCACCAATCCACTGCCGATCCACTGCCCGTTCCTGGTGCCGCCCCCCGCGCTGCAGCCACTCACGATGTCCTTCGAGAGTGGCAACGCACTCCACTTTACCCCTGAACCGTCCATGGATTGATTTCCACTTGGGCACGGGTCCCATCACCGTAAACAACGCAGTTGCAAGGGCTAGCAGTAACTCCGTTACACTTTCTGTTGTCCAAACGCTATGGTCCATATCGGGGATTCGGGGCCGCTCATCGATGACGATGGTTGCAAATACTTACTCCGGATGTTCATCATGTTCATGTTCACGTCCATCTATCCCAAGTTTCACTAACACAACTCCCGACTTCAATCCCACGCGCCCGAGGCTCCTTATAGGCTTATACTCATTGCACTACCGTGTTTCCCTATATTTCCCCGGGTGATATAGTACCGTCCAGAGGAGCGAATCGCGATTGCTGGATGACCTTCCTTTCCTAGACCCATGTTATGGAGTAATTTCAAGGCCTTTCTTAGTCTTGTTCTATTCTGGTCTCTTGCCGAGAAAACGCTACCTTTTTCCAAGAGGACTTGTTTGTTGGAGTGGAGCCTGTTCCCCCCTGATTCATTGTGATTTATGCTGGGAATTATTGCTGGGCTCAACGCTCCATCCACCCGAGTAAAATCACGTCCTAATATGGAGTAGTCAAGTTACATTCCCAGAAAGAAGTTATCACCGCATCTCGATTGACTCCGCCGGATATATTGGAAGGATCGTGTGGAAAGCCCGCCGTTCGCCTGTTTGATATTGAATCGACCAATCAAGCGTGAAGCACTCTTATTCTTCGATTCGGTCTTCGAGAAATGCCTAAATAGGTATGTTTTCTCTCACGCTTACGTTAGGCATTCAACTTGGCAATAAGTACTCCGTACTTCCTCTTTCGGAGATAAAACCCCAATGCAGGCAAATGAATTATGAAGAACTGTACCTCCGATTCAACTGTAAGCGACCCGCGTCGACTAATTCTACATACATAGGACCGACCCGTTCCAGTACGGAGTTAATAATTAGGACTCTTCAATCAAATTGAACCTTGTCAACTGCCGTTGCCAATGCGACTGTCCCGCAGCGGAAGGCGCTAGCTTTCGGTCTCACTGTAACATCTCTCCTAACGGTTAGCTCGCGTTTCTTGAGAGTCTTATCCAAGTGCTTGACGGTGCTTACTCGGATATTTTCCCCAAGCCACCAGCGGCGGAGACCAAGGCGCCAGGTCTGGGCAAACTTAGACTCGTGGTTGGATCCCTAGAGGGGCGCTGTCATCGTGCTAATTCATGCAAGATACAGTATCTTTCCATCGAGAGGATCAGGGGAAAGGGGGCAGCCCGTAGGATGATGACGGGGTTTAGTCTTTGGTGCCTGGTCCCTGACATCGCACATCATGCTGATCATCATCCTGTAGGGTTCAAACAGAGACCCGGGCGCCGTTCATGTGCAGATACACGCTGTACAGCTTTTTTACATGTAAATCTGAACCCCAATTCCCTATAGTAAACACCGAGGACCAGTAGATTAATGGGGTTAATCTTGGCGCAGGAACTGGTTGGAATTATCTGTGCGCCGATGTTGATCGAATATCCGGGGGGAAGTCTCGACCACGGATACTACTCGGTGAGTGGCTGAGTGAACCGCTAGATACTTTGCTACTGGAAATGGTACCTGGTGACCATTATTGCTGCGTTATCCAATGACCGTGCCGAAATGGGTTGTGTACTGGCAAGCTCAAGGCTCCATGATAGGGGGTGGGAGTACGGATAGAGTTCGCACGTCCACACTCTGGGCTTGCCCACCGCGGTCAATTCAGTTGAATAATAGCTGGCTTGTTTTGTTTCGCACAAACTCTCTTCGAAAAAACAAGCTCCCTCAAGTTTCAATTGCCAGCAACGAGTCCCGATGGTCCTCGTGGTGGTTGAGGACCCCACATGCTCAAACTATTGATTTGGTCGCATCTTGTTGCGTCTCCTGCCCCCGCTGGTCGATAGAAATGGCGGGTCTCGATGGATTCTACGATGTTAAATCGCATTTTGCTCCTTAGTTCTGCTGCAAACCCCGGTTTTTTTTTCTTGTTTGAATCGGTATTTTAGTCTTTCTTATTCTATGTTTAGATTGTCCTATCTTTTGGAAGGTCACTATCGATCAGGGGGTACAATGGTTCATGAGATAACTAAGAATAGTGTGTGGATCTGGGCTCGACTCGTACCCGAGTCTATCCCTGAGTTCATCCCTGATTGTAGCGCGAAAGGCGCAATGAGTTTTTCGAGATAGTTTGAGTTCTGAGGGTGTAGAGGCAAAGGGGGTTGCGTGAATACGTTCGAGTACTGTGTAATGTGGAGCGCAGAGAGGCATTTTAGATAACTAGCGCTTTGTTGTTGACGGGAGACAAAGTATCTCGTGAGGTGTTCCTCAATCCAAAAAGTTTTAGAGGGCGACCAACTTCTCAGTCAGTTGTTTCTACTGCTATGGGTGTACGATCACCATGTTGTCGAGTATTCCTAGCATGGAGGCAGGCTAGACCTCATTGCGTGTCTATTCATACGAAGCTCTTTTCGAGTTATAGTATTTTGAGACAATGTTCTGGTCGAACTCGCATCCTATCCAACCCGTCCTGGTAGTCAACGGATTATAATGCAAGACCAGGAAGAACGTGTTATATCGTGATTGCAGGTTCACTCTTGTATCGAAATCGGACGGACCTCGCATCTGCTTGGTAATGGTTGAGTCTATATCGCACTCCACGGAAGCAATTCTCCTGGATGAGCATCCCTTTGATAACTAGGGTTGGTTTTGACATACTTGATTCATAATCAAGTCAAGTACTGTGCGTCGCTTCAAGTACTGTGCATCGCAGACCTGATTCGATGACTGAGGCAGCTTCAATTTGAGTGATCAAGTGGCCTGTACTTGCCAAGGGCTGGGCTGAGCGCCTGCTGGAACTTTTGATTGATGAGTACTCCATAGCAGGATAAGACAAGGATTGTTACCGAAAATCCAGGATCAATCATCATTTCTTGCGTTGCCAAGTAGTCACAGTCTATGTCATGATGAGATCAAAGCACATCCACAAAGTGCTTATTACATGATTAGATGACATCGACGATAATATTCCCGAGTGGATATTCCCAGTTTTTGCAAGGGGTCAGCCAGAAGTATTGTGGCTTCGATCCTGCTATTGTTAGCAGAGATGTCTCTCCAGAGTCAATTTGTGGCTGTGGCTGTACAACTCGGGAAGCCGAGTGTGGATCAGATTGTAATATGAAGGGGCTTGAGTCTTGATAGCTTGACATGAATAATGCATGTGCTTGGCCGACTATCCGAAGCCGTGTCAGAATTTCTCCGACCTTGATTTGAAACCTTAGCGGGGCATGTTATTGACTGCCCCTCATTATTAGCGAGTTGTGGTCGTCTCGAAGATTTGAGCTTTGGGACCTTGACATGTTGAAGGCAACCAAACAATAAACTAGATACGAAGCATAATCTAATCATTATTCAACCTGATACCCCATGCCGTGATGACATCGGGCGTCACATTGACGATACTGAAGGGGGTATAAAAGCCTTGACTGTGCCAACGCCTCCCTCAAGGGATAATGACGAAAGTACCACAGTGAGTGCATGGCAGTTTCTGATAGATCATGCTAGTTGCACCTAAACTTTTGCCGGGACAGCTACATGTACTCTCGGGTCGTGGGCGTCACCAAACTTCAGATGGATAATCCTATTGTCTACTCCTTACACTGAAAACAGGCCATTCACCGGCTCTCGGCCACTAGAGATTGAATCAAAACTGGCGCTGGCGTATCAAAGTCCTTTTAGTACAGAGATACTCAAGACCGTTGATGTAATGCAGGGATGTTGGTAGGGCAGCATGGTACCAATGGGACCAAGTGGGGATTGGAGAATGGCCCAGCACTTTGAATACATCAAATAAGTGACTTGTGAGTTGGCAAATGATGTCGATGGGCGCCACCAACACTTTACCGGACGGTGGTTGGCGAGGAAAGTCGTAGTGGAGTTTCGGACAAGGGAATTTGCGGCTCCAAGGCAACAACAAATTCGACGTTGACAGGAAGGGAGTGCGAGTGCCCAATATCATCGTCGTTGTACAGCTGGGAGGAGAAGCGATCGAGGCGAATTGGACCAAGAAAGCCCAGCGAAGAGGGCCTAGAAGGAATCAAAGTGCATGTTGAAAAGCTGCATGTCTCTCCATGCGCACATGTCCTGTACCTCGATGCTCTCGGAGGGTCAAAGAATCAGACCCCGGAACCACGGAACAAGGTGAGAATTCAAATCCAATCGCCGTAGACTGGTGGCCTTTGATGAATCGTTGTAGACGGTGGTTAGCATATTAGACCTCAAGAATGCCTAGTTCTTCTGCCATGTAGAGAAGAAGCAGCTCCTTGCATCTCCAAGTCTTGTCGAGATGTGTTTCAGCTCAGGCGCCTTCCGAAACAGCCCCACCACCACCGCCCGTAGGCCCCGATCTCCCTCTTCTTCGCCCCGTCCCACTCGGCGGCTGTGTCGCTGTCTATTAATATTTTCATGACGATGTTGACGATGGCTCGAAGAAGTTGACGAGGAATAAATCATCCACTAGTCGAGGTTTCTTAAACGGTTGGCAGGTGGAACCATAACGCCTTTTTCTCCGCGGTCACCTGCTCCTCTTACTCCTCCTCCTTCTCCTTCAACCTAACCACCAACACACTCCTCCCCTCCCCTTCCATCATCACCGCCTCTTTTATTCTTTCCCCTCCTCCCCCTTCCACTCGTTTCGGGGTTGGTATACCGAAATTCTCCCGAATCCAATCCAGCTATACCCTCCCCATCCACCACCCGCTCCCCTCTCTCTCTCTCGGTCGCCCACGGTGGACCACTCCAACGACACTGTGGCTACCTTGGCTGATCCTAACGAGTTGTTCTTGCCCGGCGATAGGCAGAACAATCTCGCCATGTCGTCCCCTTCCGTACCGCTCCTCCGCCCGCCGGTTCCTGGCAACCGCAGCAACACCAGCAGTCCACGAGCTCCAAGACTTACCTTGGGCATTCCCCCGTCGCCCAACGCCAAACCCGTCAATGGTACTGGGCCTGCTCCCATCCCTGCCGCCGGAAGTGATGCCCCGCAACTGCAGCTGCCACAACCTGTCTCCTCCCGACCAGCCCTGCCACGACTACAACTAGCTACCCCAATGGGTAGTAGCCAGAGTGTCCCGCAGGAATCATCTCTGAAGCCTAATGGTCGGCCGGCCCCGCCACCTCTGACCACGAACTTGAATGGCCAAAACGGTCTGGAGGCCAAAGGCAGCGGTCCGGCGTCAGCGAATTCTTCATACTCGGCGCTCTCGTTCGCTATGGGTCTCCGCCAACCAGCATGCGGTAACTCGGACCCCTCCTCGGCTATCAGCTCGGTATACTCGGACCGCGAGGGAGGTGTGCAGATGGAGCGTGAGAACAGCGTGAACGGCTTGCTACCAGACCTAGATAAGTTGAGCCTGGAAAAGGGCCGACCTTTGGATGTCGAAGATTTGGACGACGAGGGCTGGCATGCTGCTAGCGAACAAAAAAAGATCGTTGAGCTGGGAAGCTTGGGTGAAGGTGCTGGCGGTGCTGTCACGCGATGCAAATTGAAGGATGGGAAAACGGTATTCGCATTGAAGGTGAGTTGCTATGTATTATTTTGGCATTCCCTTCGTTGGAACAGAACTAATTTGGTCTTCAACACGTAGATTATCACTACAGACCCCAACCCGGATGTCAAGAAGCAAATTGTTCGCGAGCTCAACTTCAACAAGGACTGTGCATCGGATCATATCTGCCGCTACTACGGTGCCTTCATGGATAAGTCCACCGGCACGATCTCGATTGCCATGGAGTTCTGTGAAGGTGGAAGTCTTGACAGTATCTACAAGGAGGTCAAGAAGCTTGGAGGCCGAACTGGAGAGAAGGTCCTCGGCAAAGTTGCAGAGGGCGTGCTCAATGGATTGACCTATTTACATGGCAGGAAGATCATCCACAGAGGTACGCATCCTTAAGAGTCAAGTCTGGATCCAGACCAGTGGCTAATTTATCCCACAGATATCAAGCCTTCCAACATTCTCCTGTGCCGGGATGGCCAGGTCAAGCTCTGCGATTTCGGTGTCAGCGGCGAGTTCGGCACCAAGGGCGATGCAAACACCTTTATCGGTACTTCCTACTATATGGCTCCAGAACGTATCACCGGTCAATCATACACCATCACGTCCGATGTCTGGTCATTGGGCGTGACTCTTCTTGAAGTTGCACAGCACCGATTCCCCTTCCCCGCGGACGGGACGGAGATGCAACCTCGCGCCGGTCTCATAGATCTCCTCACATATATTGTGCGACAGCCGATTCCCAAACTGAAGGATGAGCCGCAAAACAACATTCGCTGGTCGGATAACTTCAAGTACTTTATTGAATGCTGGTATGTTTCCGTGATCTTTATCGGTATTTTGCTCACTCCATTTCTAACGTCTATTGCAGTCTCGAGAAAGAACCTCCTCGACGCGCGACACCCTGGCGGATGCTGGAACATCCCTGGATCCTGGACATGAAGAACAAGAAGGTCAATATGGCAAACTTCGTGAGGCAGGTGTGGGATTGGAAAGATTAAATGGGAAATGTCGGGGCGTCTCAAAAAAAGTCATTCACCTAACGCAGACCTCCCGAAGTTTGTCCTTCCTTCCTGTTGTTCTCTCCCCCAGGGCCCCAAGTTTTTTTGAGTATGAGTGGCTGGACCCATTGACCTGGCTGTCAACACGACTCAAAACACGACCACCGCAGACGATCCGGTGCTTCACTTCGTTGTGTTTTCTTCCCCCCTTTGACTGTATGTTTGGCGCTATCAATCTTGTCATGATGTCTATTTTGTTCCTCCTGGGCCGGCACTCGGTAGAACGCGACATCCTTCTGCTCTCATCATACCCTGTCATCTACTCTTTTTTTTTTATCTGTCAGCGACTACGACATTGATTCGGCTACGCACTTACCAATACGATCCTTTACGGCCTGATATCCCGCACGTCATTCTCGCATATCTTTCATTTTCTTGCCCCGCGCTCTTCATCTTCTTCCTCCTCTCCTTACATACTCGTTTTTTGGTTTACCCATCTCATGTGTCACATTTTGAGCCTGGACATATCGATCATCATCTTCTATTTTTACTTTTTTCGATGTATAGCCTTCCTCGTTTAGGTCCGTGGGGAACTTGATGCTGCTTTTGAACTTAGTGGTGGGAATGGATGTATACAATGCAATGCATTGGAGACTACAGTATCCGGCACATATTTAGGTACCTAATACCATCGCAGTTTTGAAGTGCCTAATCTCCAAACTTGAAATGTGACTTGGACCATGATGGGAAAGAAAGCACGCGACCATAACCCGGTAACTGAAAATAAGCGCCCAGGTACCACAATTGGAAGAGTAACGCTCGATATTAAATCTTCAACACTGATGTACGTTGATAATCATATTCATCAATTCTCATAACACAGCTACATTCAGGGGAATAAATAAAGCCCGATCAAATCACCAATCACATTTCTACCGATTCACCGGCTCGGCACCAAGAACCCATCCAATACCACTTGCCAATCCCCCAGTCACCATATTACTAACCATATCTCTCTTCCGCACACGACCCTCGCCCTGGTCAGGCGAGAAAGACCGCTCTGCATCCCCAGACCCAGCGCTCGCCGGCGCCCGAGACGCATCAGCAGCCCCACGCAACGGGAAAGCATTCTTATGCAACGCCATAGCCGCGCCGCGAGCAACCTCAAACAGACCCATGGGCGCCTCGTGCGGATGAGCATGTGGCATCGCGGCGCGAGCACGGGCCCGTCGAGCCGCACGCTGCTGGGCGGTGTCGAATGCGTCGCGCTCGGAGTCTGTGGGACCGAAGCCACCCGGGACGGTGGAGAGGCTGTCGCCCTTCGCATCCCAGACGTCCTCTTCTTGTTGCTCTCGCGCGCGGAGCGAGGACATTTCCTCGTCGCAGCGGCGCCAGGCACCGAGGATTTCGGGGAGGGGGTCGGGGGAGGGGACGAGGGTTAGTGCGAGGGAGAGGAGTTCCATGCGTTGGGAGAGGTGGGTTATTTGGGATTGGAGAGAGGCGGAGGTGTTGGGTGAGGCGGAGCGGTAGCGGCCTGCGTTGTAGACGGCGCGCCAGGAGATGTCGTCTGGGACGGTTGGGGTGGTGAGGAGTGGTGAGGAGGTTGGGAGCATGGATGGTGGTGTTAGGCGGGTGAGGATGTAGGAGTAGGCTGTTCCGAAGTCGTTGGAGTTTAAAGCGGAGGATATGGCGAGGGAGGTGATGCGTCGTTCAGCGGTGACGAGTAAATCTTCCCCGGAGAGTTGATCTTGCTGGTGATGGCTTTCATGTTCGCTTGATGATAGGTGGGTGGGGAGGCCGGCTTTGACCAAGTTGCGGCCGATGGAAATAAGGTCGTCTAGTTTGGTGTAGCTCTTCACGTTCTGATCGAGAACCTTTTCGACCAAAGAGAGAGGGTCGTGGTGAACCCGAATGCTGACTGGTTCGAATGGGACGCCATGTTGTAAAGTCAAGGAGTAGAAGGACAAGGCGTGTGTTGCGGCGATGAGAGAGCTGATTTGCTTGAGCTGAATAGATGTTTGGAAATGCGGTTGGAACTCTTGCAAGCTATGGACGAATTAGATACCTCGGTTGGTGAATCCTTTCTCAGGCAGAACTTACATATCATAGGCTTTTTTCATCCCTCCCCGGGTTCGGTTGCCATTGCTTGCATTATCATAGGCTGCAAAGATGGCTTCTACCACGGCAGCCTCTACCTGGGAAGCGTTGAGCGGTGACTCGGGCTGAGTGTATAGGTCCACGGCCAATTGGTACTCTAATAGAACTTGTTAGTAGCTATCAGGGAAAGTTTTATTGATCATGGGGAAGATCTCACCTCGGGCGCTGAGCAGAGCCTTCAAGATCTCCGTCTCGACTGCTTCCCGTGAGATTTTCCAGAAAAGCCCATGGTGGGTAGAAGGCTCTTCCCATCCGTTGTCAGAATGTTCTGCTTGCCAATCTCGAAGCCATAGCAGCTGCTGTCGAACTAAATCCCAATTTTGTCTGGATCGTTGCTGTTTGATGGCCGACGACACCACACTCTTGAGCTCCGCTAATTGCATCTCTTCGCTGCTGTGTAGCGCAAGGTTGGCCACAACCCGGCACGGAAGCAGATGACCGAGCTGGGTCAAAATACGCAGAGATAGAAGCAATGCACTGAGGAAAGAGATCGAGGATGGCGATGGTTTAGTCAAAGGGTTTCCATGTGCTAGGAGGGCGTTCTGTAAAAGCGAAGCCCGTGATGTTGAAGAAATCCGCTCTGTGTCATAGTCCACTGATGGAAGGGCTGAGTCGGACGAGTCCAAGTATGAGAATTCTTCGAGCTCAAGTAATCTTGCAACTCTAGCCACGACCTGGAATGATCCATCCAACGCGGCTTGTGACGAATCCGCATGAGCATAGACCACAGACAATCCAGACTGTCCGTATCGATTCAATAATTCTGTTTTCTGGTCGGGCGATATTTGAGTTTCGTTGTCATCGTAGCCCCCCAAATCGATATCTACAGGGCCATTCCAGTTGGTGAAAGCGCCAACGACGCTGCTGTGATCGACAAGGCTTCGTGATAATAGCCATTCGTTCACGTATTCCCAGCCGGCCAGTTCAGTGGGTTGGGGTTTCGGCGTTCCTTGAACGAAGGAGATGGAGTTCTGATGCGCGCTCTCGTTCAATCTCCGTCTCTTTGCTCGATTGCTACCATACAGCCATGGCCCAATCAACCCCCTCAGATTGTTGACCAAATCCATGTTGTTACACTCGGAGCCAGTAATCGATAGTAGGACGTTGATGGCAGTCTGATCATCCATCAACTCCAGTGTCTCCAGCGAAATCGTCTCGTCGCGGTTAGGGTAGTATTCGTAATTGAGTCGCAGGGCTGGTAGTAGACTTGAGATCAACCATGTTCGAATGATGGGCCGCTCTTCGTAGAAGGGAAGGAGAAGGCCCAGAATGAGAGGTTGTAGGGCGGTTTCGGTATCAATCAAATATGCTCGATGGATGAGGAACTGCGTTAAGGGGTCCGCAGACTCGACTTCTTCCTCCTCGTCCTCGCGCTTCAGTGGTCGTAGACGAAGCCTTCGAACACGTTTCCGTGCTACTGCCTCGGACAAGTCCTTGACGGCCGATATATCAATATCGCAGTCCCCAGAAACCGATGGGGAGTTTTCAGTCAGCTGTTGCAGGACTGAGACATAGGTAGAAGGTTCTGTGCTCTCGGGTAGGTAGGTCAAGACGATGCGGAGGAGGCGTTCCAGTGGAAAACAATGGGGGTAGTGCGCTTGCAGGGCAGGTAAGCCGGTCACATCACCAGTGGTACAACTTTGTGTAGCCAGCAGGATCGCATGAGCATCCGATAGCCCTTCCAGAGGAGCCATGGCGATCGCGCGGGGGAAAGATAGGAGGATGAGTTGTCCTTATACAAGCGACGTCAACCCGCAAGTCGCATACGGCGGGGCGCACGGGCCATGTCGGAAACGAAAGGGAAAGCGTCGCATCCACCAACGACCTCACCACCTTCTTGCTGCCTCTCCGCCTACCAACGCTGCCAATTCCTTCATCCTATCTCGACAATGGCTTCCGGACACGGTCTCAATGGCGGTACGTGCTCTTCTGACCCCTCTCCAGAGGGTGTGGCCGGTCCGCGGCTGGTGGACTTGCCGGGTCACATCTTGCGAAGACCCTCCTCTCTCCCATGAATTGCTCCCTAGCTGACTTTGCCTCGTCTGTGTTTAGGTCCCTCCCGCTGCTACCCCTTCTGGCAAGAGGTTCTTGGTTGCTACGTCGTGAACTCCGGCGAGGGCGAGTCCGGCAAGAAGAAGTGCACCCCGGCCCTTGAAGATTACTACGAGTGCCTCCACCACCGGAAAGAGGTATGCTTGGAATAATGATGATTGAAGGTGTTTCGTGTGGAGGTATCAGAGAGTAGGACTGACCATGATTTCGACGACAATAGGCTCTCCGCACAATGAAGATGCAGGCTGCCTACCGCAAGGCCGAGGCTGCCCACCCCCGCGAGAACGCACCCAAGGCTGAGCAAATCCGGAGCCTGGGTCTACTTGGAAAGGAAGAGGAGGCAAATGCTGTGCTTGCGGCGCAGCGGTCATAGGCGAGAGATGAGCAAATCCAGGGCGCGATGGTTCTTTCTTTTTTCGGATGCGTGTGATCCTTGTTTCTGCTCCCCGGAGCCAAATTCCGGGGGGCTCTGACTGTATAGAAACGCTGAATTTTTCCGACCATTTGGTTTTTTGTTTGAAATGATACTCCGGTTTTCCATGACAGGGCGTATTATCCTGAGTTCCAGGTGTTCGTCGTAGCCTGCAGCCACGTCTAGTTGGTTAGCCAAGGTTGCTATAATAATCGGTAACAGCTGATGACATAGCCTGGGAAGGGATTTCTATTCTGCACCTTACTTCCTTACTATCAACTCTATGCCGTAATTAAACTGCAGGAACCTAGTCGGAGTTCAATGGCAACGTAGGTATCCACGTCTTCCAATGAAGCTCATCGGTTTCCAAGCTTTTGCATCTGTTAAACTACTGGCTGCTTCCGGTATTAGAAGGTATTGTCCTGGAGCGATCCTCGAGAATTCATATGTCACATAAATTATTCCATCGAGCTTAAATTGCTACAACCGCCGAATTATATTCTGTTGAAGGATGCTTGGGCGAATAGTTACCACATGCACCATCTTCGGACTCCGAATGTATATATATATCGAGGAGTGGATATCTTACTAGCTCCCGCCAATTTCCAATATGAACATGTCTATTGGTAGGAAAAGCATCACAAATTTATACACCTTAAAAACCACAAGATTCAATAGGAAATCTAATTTATCAAGGAAAGTGTATTGCGATGATCTTGTTATGAACTACATACTCGGGTGATCCCTTCGGATCACTGGGAATCTTCGAGTCCGATGAGGCCATCTGGCATGTCTTGGCATTGTTGAGGATGGGAGGAACTATATAGGTCTACGCTATCGTACAAAGATTGATCGACAGTGCATATAAATGAGTATCTGGATAGCTTCGAAGTGCCTGGAGCTCACCGGAAGGACACCTTTCTTTGATCCAATCGATGGCCCTAGGGGCTGCTTCGTGTCTGCAGCTGCAAACCTAAAGCTGATCATTAAACGCGCGGTGCACGTGACCAGAAAAACCTGAGAGTGGAGGCCCAACCACCGCTAGTCCCAATTAGGACTAGGGCGGCACACCCAAACATGGACCGGCGCGCCGGGCAGAAGCCCCCCAATGATATAAACCCAGCTGCGTGACCTCGAATCTCCTCTTGTGTACTGAATCTAATCCTCCCTGCTGACTCAGCCCCCGGGGCCTTCTGGTGGTGTTGGGCGTTCTTCTGATTTTCTATTGGTTCACAGTGCATGCCTGCCACCCTCGTGACGCGACTCGGCGCGTCCTCTCACTTCACTGTTCGCTATTCATCATCTACTATTTAATTCGGGTGGTGCTGGTCACTCGGCATCAGAGTGACGGCCCGTCATGACTTCCCGGTAAGTGCCATCGTCCAATCACGACGCGTCAGTCACCTGATACTAACCCGACCGCAGACTCGACCGCCTGGTCACGTGAGTACAAGATACCCTGATCACATGATCGTCATCGAAAGACTATCTCTCATCTCCACGTTACTGACCAATCACCGTGTAGATTACTTGAAACTGGCAGCACTCAGTTGATTCGGAATACAGCTGCCCAACAACTTGCAGATGTTCAAAAACAACATCCCGACGAGCTCTTCAATCTACTGGGCCGTATTCTACCATATCTTCGCTCAAAGTCATGGGATACTCGGACTGCCGCCGCCCGGGCAATTGGGCTGATTGTCACTAATGCAGATGTCTATGACCCAAACGAGGACGATGGGCAACAGATTAAGTCTGCAGCTGATGATGAGGATGACGACGTGGAGATTAAATCCGAACTTAAAGCAGAGGAGACACCCTCCGCATCGGGGACATTCCTCGACCTCGAGTCGCTAGATATTGCTTCCGTCTTGAAATATGGCAAACGACTACTTGGCAGTGCTGGCAAGGAGTATGAGTACTCCCTCGCGGCCATGGACCCAGCAGCTCGTCTTCAGCACCAAAAGAAGTCGCTTTACGGCCGCCTGGGTCTGGAAGGGGAGTATGTGGAGGATGATATTGACCTTAGCGACATTGTCATCCCCAAGCCAGCCACACCAGCTCCCAAAAAAGAAGCCTCAGCCTCTGCCCTCCCAATTTCTCGCGAAAATAGCTTACAAGATGCGGCTTCTGGCCGACCTTCTTCGCCCAACGAAGCCTCCAAGCTAGAAGAGTCTGGGCTTAGCAAGCGACAGCTGAATCAACTCAAGCGCAAAAACAAACACAGCGCTAAGATGGGAGCGAACAAGGTGCGCGTGGTGGATTTGTCGTCCTCACGCCGGACATCGGAAAATGTTACAACACCCGTCGCGACACCTCATCCCATCAAAACAGAGAATGGCGAAGGTCAAAATGGCGAAGCCAAACCAGACTACTTTTCACTGGATCGCTCTGCTGGTGACGACGACTCCAAGATTGTCTCCGAATTCAAAGGACCTATTGCCCCCGAGAAGCCCATTATTCAGCCTGACCTAGTGGACCAAGGCGCCGGGTGGCCTCTGGAATGCATGTGTGAATTCCTCTCAGTGGACATTTTCGATCCCAATTGGGAGGTGCGTCATGGTGCGGCCATGGCTCTCCGAGAGGTAATCAGGGTACAAGGTGCGGGGGCCGGCCGAATGGAGGGCAAGACTCGCCAAGAAAACGACATCTTGAATCGTCGATGGCTAGATGATCTTGCCTGCCGTCTAGTGTGTGTTCTCATCCTGGATCGGTTCGGCGATTATATTTCAGACAACGTCGTTGCCCCCATCCGTGAAACCGTGGGCCAGACTCTTGGAGCTCTCCTTTCCCATCTGTCGCCCAAGTCTGTTCGTCTAGTCTACAAGTGTTTGTACCGTATTATCATGCAGAAAGACTTGGATCTGGACCGTCCCGTGTGGGAGGTTTGCCATGGTGGCATGATCGGTCTACGATACTTGGTTGCTATTCGCAAAGACGTACTTCTCAAGTACTCGACGCTGATGGATGGTGTCCTCGAAGCCGTCATGAAAGGCCTGGCAGACTTTGACGACGATGTGCGTGCTGTCAGTGCTGCCACGCTTGTGCCCATCGCAGAGGAGTTTGTCACATCCCGTGCAGGTACTCTTGGCACTCTGATGAATATCGTTTGGGAGTGCCTCTCCAATCTACAGGACGACCTTAGCGCCAGCACTGGTTCTGTCATGGACCTTCTTGCCAAGCTATGTACCTTTACTCAGGTATTGGATGCAATGAAGGCGAATGCTGCAGACGATCCGGAAGCTTCCTTCGGCAATCTGGTTCCTCGTCTCTACCCGTTCCTGCGGCATACTATCACAAGTGTCCGTTCCGCTGTACTTCGCGCTCTCATGACCTTCCTGAAGCTCGAGGGAGAAGGAAGCACGGACTGGGTAGATGGCAAGGCGTTGAGATTGATCTTCCAGAATTTGCTCGTAGAGCGCAACGAGGGTGTTCTCAAACTATCCCTGCAAGTTTGGACAGAGCTCTTGAAAGCGATCGAGCTTCGCGGATCATTCGCGCAGGCCACCGAGCTTTCGAGCTCTGTCGAGCCACTGGTCACTCTAACCCTTGGACCCTTCGGTGTCCCACGCTACCCCATCCCAATGAATGCTTCTCTATTCATCAAACCGTCAGGAGTGGCATTCTCTATTGCTGCTCCCCTTCCCGCCAAACCCTCCTCGCCGACCACCACCACTCCTGGTGGCGCCGAGATCAAGCCTGGCCGCAGACGCAAGTCGGAGAAGAAAGAAGCTCCTCCGCCGTCCGCACACAATGTGGATGGGCATATGTTGTCTGGTGACATTGATCTCGTTGGCGCAGACACTATGCTCAGATCGAAGATCTATGCTGCAAAGGCACTGGGTGAGCTGCTCTCCTTTTGGGACAAGCATGGGCTGCCTTCATTCTGGCCAGCAATTCTGGATGGCTTCACTCTGCCAGCCTCCACCTCTCAGCTTGCGTCTGCCATGGTTGTGGAAGAATATGCTCGGATCTCTGGACCCGAGAGCAAGTATTCAGCATCTCTGTGTGAGCGTCTGCGTCCCATCATCGAAAGCGAGCGCCCACTTTGGTACTCCGATATCTCCTGCTACCTACACGTTGCGCGCGCACAGTGTCATTCGCTGTTGAATACCTTCCGGGACCACGCTCACGTTCCGCCATCTCGGTTGCCAACATTGGCCGTTGTTGTCCAGGGTGACCCCGAAGCTGGTCCTAATGCATTCTCTCTGGCTGACGCCGACAAGATTATTGGTCCAGACTTTGACCGGTTGAAGAAGAACCTCACCCCAGCCCAGCGAATTACAGCAACCCAGGTTCTGACCGATACTCGCACCACGGCGCAGTACGCAGTTGACGAGGCACGGGCCATGAGAGAACAACGGGATATGCGTGTTCTGGCAGCAGCAGCAGGTGCATTGGTCGCTCTACGGGATATTCCCAAGAAGCCTGGCCAAATCATTAAGGGTATGATGGACAGCGTCAAGAAAGAGGAGAACGTTGAACTCCAACAACGGTCTGCAACTGCAGTTGCAAGCTTGATCGAGCACTATACGGCTGCAACAAAGCGTGGACCGGTGGACAAGATCATCGGAAACCTGGTCAAGTATTGCTGTGTGGATACCTCCGAGACGCCTGAATTCCCGCACAACGCTCAGCTGGAGAAATCAATCTTGTCGCTTCGCAAGGAAGAGGACCGCCGAGACCACCCTGATGCTGCCAAGTTCGAGCGGGAGGCCAAGGAGGCTCGGATTATGCGACGGGGTGCCAAGGATGCTCTTGAGCAATTGACCATCAAATTTGGTGCACAACTCATGGAGAAGATTCCCAACCTGGGATCCCTGGTTGAGCGGCCATTGAAGGATGCCCTGGAAGGCGACCTCCCCGAAACCATCACGAACCCCGAGAACGAGCTCGGCCAGGAAGTTGTGGACGGTCTCTCCACTCTTCGTGCCCTGCTTCCAAAGTTCGATCCTGGCCTTTACCCTTGGGTTATTGGTCTGATGCCGCTCATTGCCAAGGCCTTACAGTGCCGGTTGTCTGTCATTCGCTATGCAGCTGCTAAATGCTTCGCGACGATCTGCAGTGTCATCACCGTCGACGGCATGACGATGCTGGTTGAGAAGGTACTGCCAACAATCAACAACGCCCTGGATGTTCATCACCGCCAAGGTGCTATTGAGTGCATCTACCATCTGATTCATGTCATGGAAGATGGTATTTTGCCTTATGTCATTTTCCTCGTCGTCCCCGTTCTCGGTCGCATGAGTGATTCCGACAATGATACCCGATTGCTGGCTACCACCTCTTTCGCGACTCTCGTCAAGCTGGTTCCCTTGGAGGCAGGTATCCCTGATCCTCCTGGCCTGTCCGAGGAGTTGCTCAAGGGCCGTGACCGAGAGAGGAAGTTCATGTCCCAGATGCTGGATGTGCGCAAGGTGGAGCCCTTCCAGATTCCCGTCGCCATCAAAGCCGAACTGCGTTCTTACCAACAAGACGGTGTCAATTGGCTTGCTTTCCTTAATCGTTACAATCTTCACGGTATTCTTTGCGACGACATGGGTCTTGGTAAGACTCTCCAGACTATCTGCATTGTCGCAAGTGATCACCACATGCGAGCCGAGGAGTTTGCCAAGAGCCAAGCTCCGGATGCTCGTAAGCTCCCGAGCTTAATCGTCTGCCCACCCTCGCTTTCTGGTCACTGGCAACAAGAGGTAAAGCAATACGCACCATTCCTGAACTGCATCGCCTACGTCGGCCCCCCATCGGAGCGTGCTAGACTTCAGCCCCTGCTTTCAGAGTCAGACGTGGTTGTGACATCCTATGACGTCTGCCGAAATGATAATGACCTCCTCAACGCTATCAACTGGAACTACTGTGTCCTTGACGAAGGCCATCTCATCAAGAATCCCAAGGCAAAGATCACTCTTTCCGTGAAAAAGTTGATGAGCAACCATCGTCTGATCCTTTCCGGCACACCGATCCAGAACAACGTGCTTGAACTTTGGTCACTGTTCGACTTCTTGATGCCCGGTTTCCTTGGTACTGAGAAGGTCTTCTTGGACCGATTTGCTAAGCCCATTGCTGCTAGTCGCTTCAGTAAATCCTCGTCCAAAGAGCAAGAGGCAGGTGCTCTGGCGATTGAAGCTCTGCACAAGCAGGTGCTGCCATTCTTGCTTCGTCGTCTGAAGGAAGAGGTCCTGAACGATCTCCCACCCAAGATCATTCAGAACTACTACTGTGACCCAAGTGATCTCCAGAAGAAGCTTTTCGAGGACTTCTCTAAGAAGGAGCAGAAGGAGCTTCAAGATAAGGTTGGCAGCACAGAGCGCTCCGATAAGGAGCACATATTCCAGGCTCTACAGTACATGCGCCGTCTGTGCAACTCGCCCGCTTTGGTGGTCAAGGAAGGCCACAAACAGTACAATGAAGTACAGTCCTACCTCTCTGCCAAGCGGTCCAACATCCGAGACGTGTCACATGCACCCAAGCTCTCTGCTTTGCGTGACTTGCTCGTTGACTGCGGAATTGGTCTCGATCACTCGGCTGAAGGAGAGTTGGACACTGGCGCAAGCTATGTCAGCCCACACCGTGCTTTGGTCTTCTGTCAGATGAAGGAGATGCTTGACATTGTGCAAAACGACGTTCTCAAGAAATTGCTCCCGTCTGTCCAGTACCTTCGCCTGGATGGTGGTGTCGAGGCTACCAAGCGCCAGGACATTGTCAACCGTTTCAACACCGATCCAAGTTACGATGTTCTGCTGTTGACGACCAGCGTTGGTGGTCTGGGTCTCAACCTTACTGGAGCTGATACAGTCATCTTCGTTGAGCATGACTGGAACCCACAGAAGGATATCCAGGCCATGGACCGTGCTCATCGTATCGGTCAGAAGAAGGTCGTCAATGTGTACCGTTTGATCACCCGGGGTACTTTGGAGGAGAAGATCTTGAAGTAAGTCCCTCAGCTTCTTGTTGTAAATTTTGGCTACCATGACTAACATGAACTTCTCTACAGCCTGCAACGCTTCAAGATCGACGTCGCCTCCACGGTGGTCAATCAACAGAATGCTGGCCTTGGCACTATGGACACAGACCAACTCCTGGATCTCTTCAGTCTTGGCGAAACGGCAGAGACAGCCGAGAAACCAGCCGAGCCAGCCGGCAACGAAGTCGACATGGTCGACATCGATGGCGAGGTCAAGGAGAAGGGCAAGAAGGGTTGGCTCGATGACCTCGGCGAACTATGGGACGACCGACAGTACCAGGAAGAGTACAATTTGGATTCGTTCCTCGCCACGATGAAAAATTGATCACCCTCTCGCCCCAACCATACCAGTCCTTAATCTCGACCTGTACTCGATCGCGATGGCCCAGATCCTTGCCGCACTCGTCTTCCTTCAACCTCCTACACCACGATCGTCACGCCTCACATTATTTCTCGCACTTGCTTTCTTCTCCCCAAAATAATCCCTTGTGCATCAATCAGCGAATAGTTTTCTCTTTTATCACTTCTTTTTAGGGACGGTACTTTGGCTTTTACGAACGAACAGATATTTGTTCTGCGACGTGGACTTTCTTCAAACCCTTTCGTGTATTTCTAACTTTTGAACTTCCCTTCCACGACGAATGATATCTTGCATGTAAATAGATAAGGCGGTCTTCTCCTACAAGGTTTCTTTCTCAATCTGTCTTCGCAGGCAGAATTTAATTGCTGGACTCAGAACTCCTACCCTCTTTCGTCTTCATACCAGTCCATCTTGCGAGATGCCTTGGCCAGGCCATACTGGACGTAGTTTGCGTTCGACCACTTGACTACTATCATTAGGGCTAGTCATTCGGAATCTTGGGATGTGCCTCTAGATAGTAGAAATGAGAAGTGGTAACCTCGGAGCCTCAAGGCCGGTGAGGAAGTCTGGTTTGGCATTATGCATCTCGGGAATGATGAATCCTCGGGAAATTCAATGTGGCTAGTAAACATAGGTATTAGAAACCCTAAAAGCAGATTGAAAAGGTAGTAAGCTGCAACAAGACATCGAAGGAATGACACAATATCATGATGGACCTCGTCATCGTTGTCGTTACTGCATGAAGTCGACTCCAGAGTTCGAGAAAACTTATTTCAGCGCAGATGACAGGTACTGACATGTTTGGAAGGCACAACTCGGGCTGGCAGTACACAAGAGATAAGTGTGGCAGTCACTTGACGACATAAGACAATGCATTATTCATTTCATACAAGGTTCAAGTTCCTACGGGCTGTCAAAGCAACACACCGAATAAGAACATTCGAACAGCTAAAATATTCTGACAATAAAAAGAACTCCAACAGAAATGGTGTCGTGATGGCGCGCCGACCAATATTCCCCGAAACAGTGATTGTAGATGTATCCCAGACGCCGAATTTCCCCCATAGAAGCCCCCCGGCAACGAGAAAAGCAAATCAAACGGCGAGTAAGAATGAAACACGTGAGTGAGGATCGAGGGAATCAAGGGAATCCATAGACACTCAACAAACAGAAAAAATTTGAGTCGATCCATGTCACTGCAAAAGGCAGTGACAGGGACCAAGCCGAATGTGAAAGGTGGAAAATAGACATTGATAGAATCGAAATTGAGAATTGAAATGCTCATGTGCGCTGAAAAGTCTTCAGAAACACCGCACCTCAGTACATGGACCAGCGCACCAGGCGCCTGACCGACCAAGCCAATCCGCTCAAGCTTGGCCCTTGGGCTTGGCGAGCATGTTCAAACGGCTGAGGCTGAGGACGCTGCGGGACTTTTGCTTCGCACTAGCGGTTGCACTTGAAGGAGTACCAACACGAGCCGACGACAAGCGAACAGGGGTTTTGATAGGTCGGGATTTAATAGGGCTTGGGGTGGGCAGAATCGACTTTTTCAGCCTCTTAGTGCTGCGTTCACCCGCCAGCGAATCAGCCGGGGGAACGTTCTCGGCATCTTCAGCATTTGGAAGGTCGTCATCGTCAGCTTCGTCTCGGCGTCTCTTCTTGTTGCCAATTCCATGAGCGATACCATGAGCTACAACGGGAAGCTCGGGGTACACAGATCCCTCCTCGGCGGCATTAGACTTGCGGACGTGTCGAATTGTGGGGGACAAAATGTTATCCGACTGGGCTCCACTAGAAGCAGCAGCATTATGGTCCGGAGTGAGAGTAGGGAGAGTAGGATAGACGATATCGGATAGGTTAGAACGGGAGGGAGTGGTGGGAATCTTGGACCGGGATGGCGACGCATGGGCCAAGTCATAACGAGACTTGACACTGGGGGTGAACTCGACGTGCTTCTTTGGCGATGGGGTTGGCGCAGAATCAGTCGTCTCATTCCGAGTGCCAAAGAGCGAGTCAGGGTTGAAGTCGGGAGCAGCTACGTGCGTACCAGCGGCAATTTTGGCAGGATCGCGGGAGAACAAGGGCTGGCGCTTGCGAAGGATAGACTTGAGATGGTTCAATGTGGGCAAGCTGCTCTTGAACCGCGGATTGAATTCAGTGCGCGGAGTACGGGGAGATGCAAGACCCTTGGTGGAGGGGGATCGTGCCAGGGAAGGGATCAAGGATGTCTTGGGAGCCTTGATACTGACGGATCCGGAACGCGCCATTGAAGCCCGGGTCGGTGTCATGAGAGAGCTGGTGATTCTTGGCCGAGGACGAGGGCCGGCAGGCTTTTGTGTCGTAGAAACCTTGGCCTCGACCTGAGGGCGGACGACTGATGTGTCGGCGGTTGGATTAGGTTTGGCACGCTTGGCCGTAGGGGTTGAGGTCGTAGACAAAGTTTCTGTCGATGGCTTCGCCGAAGATCGTGATGGGGAGGATTTCTGAGGCTCGGACTCGTCAAGCTGTGCCTTCGACTTGGTACGCTTCAAGGACTTTGTCACGGGCTGGAAACGATCTGGCGCAGCCCGGAAAGAGGAAGGATGTCCCGCGATTGAGTCCATTTTCTTGAACTCGGCCATATGCACGTCACTGAAGCGGCCAGCCTTGCCCTTGGGCTTAGCAATCCTGCGGTCGCCGTGCATGTTCTCGGCTTCGTGATCTTGCTGATCCTGCTTCGACTTGTCAAGGATCATTTGCGCTTTGATTCGTGCAACTTCGCCACGAACACTGTCCATCAATTGCTTGGCCTCGTCGCTGAGCTGAGATTCTTGGCCGCGCTTGAACTCGTAGCCCGGAGTGCCGAATTGGGTGGGTGCTGGTGAGGCCTTCGACTTGGACGGGGTGTCTTGGATAACGGAATTCTTCACAATGTTGCCGTTGGCATCCTTTTGAATTGGATTGAAGCCTAGGATCAATCCCGAGTCGACCTTTTTGGCCGTGCTCTGCTGTGCCTTGCTAGGATGCATTTCCTCGGGAGGTGGACGGACCGCCGAGTTGGAAGTGGGAGTTCTTGCATCCGTCATTTTGCGATGTGAAGTTGCGGTTGGGGTTCTCTGGAGACTTTTCTTGGTGATTGGGGTGCGGATGGAGGAGTGGTCATCGGCGGGAGTCTCGTCGCGTTCTTCGACAGAGGCGAGCCTGTATCTGATATCGGGTTGAGGAACTGACTCTTGAGCCTGTTTCCATCATCCCATGTTAGCCAATACTGCCAAAACTTCAGGGGCATCTTGCACTCGTCTGGGCAAGGGCGTTGCCAGGGCACACTGACCTCAGGGCCTGGAGACGGCTGGGCGCTAGCACTGCGCAGGCGCGCGGAGCGGCGGACCGCCATGATTGGAGTTGATAAGAGTTTGGAGAAGGGAGTAAGTTGTAGTAGTTTCGAGATGTGTGGTCCGAGAACAATGGAAGACGGGTCGAGTGTGGAGTGGAGGGGGAGTCGGTGAGATGATGTTTGTGGAAGCGAAGATGCTCAAATGTAAACAAACGCGTTTGACGTCACATGACTAAGCAGATATACGGAACTGCCCCTGTGGTGAAACCATCCATCCACACAGCTTCATAAGGTTTAGTGTTCTTTTTTTCTTTGTGTACTCTGTGCTCTTCTATTTTCTTTTTAAAAAAGCATTTATTCAATTTGGATAGTCGAGCTAACATGCTTTGTTTTCTCTTCCCTTGGGGGAGCTGACATGTACAGGCTATGGCAGGGCTGTCCTATTCCCCAGGAGATCCCCCTCAGCCGTGGATGGGTTTCGATGGCCTCCTTGCGGCTGATTCTGAGACATCCTCGAATGCCATTTGTCTTTGCAAGTTGTTGATAGGTTGGCCGAGTGCACGAATCAAATGAGTTTCTGTCGTCTTCCCGTCGTGGCTGATGCCCCGCCATTTCCATCCCACGCCAACTGTCAACTTCCACATTCCCACTGCAAGTCTCAGTGGCTCCAACTCCCCAGGTAGTCACACCAAAGGGATGCCCGATTCCAAACTACCTACAACTTCCGGATAAGACTTCAAAATGGAGTTCCCTGAGCCTCACATCCATCCTCCACGTGAGAACCACACCCATACAGCCATTTTTTTACATGGCCGGGGAAGCACTGGCCCGGAATTTTGTAATGACCTCTTCACCTCCTTGACTTCAAATCTGAAGAACCTACCAGACAACCTCCCAAGCTGGCGCTGGGTGTTTCCAACTGCCAAGACGCGTTTCAGTTCGAGGTTCCAAGAAGACCAATCCGCTTGGTTCGATGTCTGGTCTATTGACAACATTGAAGAGCAACAGGAACTATCGGTGGAAGGACTAAAGGAATCAGTCTCTTACATCTTGAAACTACTCGCTGATGAGATCGAGCGAGTCGACGGAGATGCTAGTCGTGTTTTTCTCTGCGGGATTAGTCAAGGCATGGCAACCACCCTCTGGACTTTCTTTTGCGCTGCTGGGCAGATCAATCAACCTCTTGGAGGGATAATTGGGTTCTGCGGCTGGCTGCCCTTTTCTCACAAGGCAGAAGACTTGACACGGCGGCAACAGGCGATGGAACTCTTACAACAAAATGGCACCAACCAGTCCTTGATGGAGCACAGTACCCTTGATAACAAGCGACAGATGTCCAAATTGTTTCGCGACATTATTGACGATCCTGGCCTCCCTGAAATTGATGCGTCCACGGATATTTCTATCCTGTCAACCCCAGTGCTTCTAAGTCATGGGAGAGATGACCCGGTGGTGTCTATTCGGCTAGGTCATCAGGCATCCAGAATCCTGAAACATCTGGAGGTGCCGATGGAATGGCATTATTACAGTGGTGCCGAGGCCAATGGACACTGGATCAAGGAACCCCAAGGGTTTGATCAAATCATTGAATTTATCGAGAAACAGCTCCATCGTGGCGAGTGAGCTTGGCTCTGATGAACCCGATTTCTGGGTGTGACAAACTGCATTTAATTTTCGGGGTTGAGACTTGGTACATTTCTGAACACGTAGCGGCCCAGAAAACTACTTCTCCTAAGGATCTTAAAAGGGCTCCATTCTTTCATCTTAATCAAAGCTGCCTAGGCAAACTCCTTGAAAGACCAACGGACAAGCGAGGAGCATCTGTAGATATCGATCGAAATCTTGTTCTAGTTTTCCGTTCAGTTTTCATTCCAACACTTTCCATTTCTTGCAGCTGAGCATTTAATGATAATTACTACAACTAGACAATGAAATATATGGAACACCTTTGTGAGGAAGTAAAAAATAAATTCTTCTTTGTAATCTCGTGTTGCGGGACTCGCTTCTGGGATCTGAAAAATACAGTCACGGATTGAGGGACTATTAGGTCAGAAAATGAATTACTCGCTTGAAAAACGAATATCAATCACGGCATCATCGACTGTAGGTGGTCCAACGTATTTCCTGTATCCCCAGACCCAGTACCAAACGGTAGCAATAAGGATAAATGCGACAAAGACCACAGGGGCATAATTGACGGTTTCGGCGGTGACTGGAATCGAAGAGGGCATGCAGAATAGGGGAACAGCAAGTACGCTCCAAGCTGGCAGAGGATATGAAGATTAGCATATGCGACCACTGAATGGAGAAAATGGTTGGATCATACCCAAGGCTACGACATTGCAGACCGCGCCCAATTTGCCCAGATCAAAGTCGCCATTCTTAATCTGCTTACGGCCACCCATGAAGGACACTGCGATGGGACATGCGTAGCTGACGGTCAAGGTAATGACGCCCACTCCAGAAAAGGCGTTGAAAGCAGTGGTGGATCCGAAATAGATGAGCCCAAGAGCAATCTCCACTACCATACCCAGCATCATAGCATTGAAGGGAACGTCTAGGCTTTTGTTCACTTGCCTCCACTTGCTCGAGTATGGGATGCCTCCATCTCGTGCAAATGCCCATATAGATCGTGAAACTGTAGTCGTACATCCAATCCCACAAATGAGGGCAAGGACAATCAAGGGCAGCAAGAGGAGAAATGCGCCCGTGGAGTTGCCAACGGCAGATTTCATGATAGTTGGGACCGGCTGACCAGACACAAGGGCGATTAATTCTTGGCTGTCGGGCAGTACAAATACCAGGGGAATGAGGAATAGGAATCCGGCGAGGGTGTTCAAGATGACAGTGCCAACAATGGCTTTTGGTACTTGCTTCGATGGATGTTGGACTTCCTCGCACATGCTGTAAGCTTGTAAGCACATATTCTACAGGGGGTTGCCCGCTGAATAGAATTGCAGTAACAGAAAAGAACGGTTAAGGGCACGCACGAGATAACCATTCCGGTCGAGGACGTTGTATATGCAGCCTGTAGAAGGCCAACACAGAAGGACCAGCCTACAGGCCAACCTGATTGAGGCTCAAAGTTTCCAAACACATATTCAGCATCATGTCTACCGTTCTTGGCAACGACCAGGGTGCAGATGACAATGGCGAGGACTCCAGCGAAAGTCCAAAAAATGGCAAATGTCTGACAGGGATGTCAATAAGTGAGATAGAGGTGTCAGATTATGGTAACTCACGTCAATATAAGGTAGCCACTTGTTTGCCATGGAGGAGACTGCATTGCATAGAAGGGTAATGGCAAGGAAGATCAGGAATGTCTGGTACGACGTGGCTTCAAATACTCCGACACCAGGTGAAACCTCAAAAACGTTCACGCAAGCAATGAGAAATTGGGCCGAACCAAAGTTCACAGCAAGAGTTATCATGACGTTTCCTACCACATATGCCCAGCCACAAATCCAGGCGATAATTCGGCGACAGGATGGTGGTGACAGCATGAAGGACTGGTAGTAGACACCACCGGCGGTGGGATATACAGAAGTAATCTCACCAAGAGATAATGCAACACAAAGGATAATTATTGAAACAATCAACCAGCCCCAAATGATATTCACAGGGCCACCTCCGACGAGGGGATATATGAAAGTGGTAGCTAATCCATAAGGGATGGATGCGAGAACGAAGGACATAAAGGCTACCTGAAGAGTTGAACGATTCCTGGTGAGCTCAGGCTCATAGCCCAGGGCTTCGAGCAGGCCATTTGCAGCGGCAGGCTCCGATTGACCAAGCTCTGTATCGTCTTTCATCTTCTCGTGGTTGAAAAGATGTGATTTGGGCTCTGAGTCCTGGTATTGCCGAGTCTCAGGATTGGTTGCCATGGTCAAAGAGGACCAATTGGGTGCAATAGGTGATAGTGATTTGTTTGAAGTCGATCCATGCAAAGATGGAAGGATGGATTATCAAAGTCTGAGCCCCCCAGGCTGACAACCTGCGGTTTATATAACAGGAGATGCATTCGCACGGCTCAGCCGGAGATCAAAGGTATCTCTAGCTCCCTGGAACTCTATTCCTTACACATCGTCATGTAGATAGGCAAGAAACCATAGATAGTCTTTACCCCGCATTTCAGTCGGCGGTTGGCGGTAGCGCTTTCAATATCAATATTCCATGGCCTACATAAAGTTAAAGTCAAGCTGAATGGAAGTCGCCTGCTATCGTCTGGCATTCATCCTTAAAAATACTTTCAGGGTGTGTCGAAAATTCCACTGAGATATCAAGTATCACATTCATTTCGTCTATCTGTCCATGGTTTAGGCTCCTTACTCAGGACACGATACGATGTTACCAATACACCGGCCAGTTGATTAAACACGATGGTCTTTAGTATATGAATCAGGGGATAGGTTAGCAGATGTCTATCAGCCCACTCTGATTCGACTATAGATGATGACGCAAATACGACACGGAGGAGTGCCGAAAATGATCTCAATGTTTCAGCAGCAATCAGTGCTCATTGAACAGCCCCCACAAATGTCGCCTCTCATTTGCGCCACGTTTTCTGTAAGAAAGGTTGCCGTGGGACGACGATCAGCCCGCCAATAGGTACGAACCAAATGCAAAAAGCCGCCCCAATCAGCCCCGGTGATAAGCCAAATTAATTCGGAGAGACTATCGGATAAGATACGTGTTTGATTGCTTGGAGTATCTGGGGAGGACTACAATTCTAGCATCGAAAAGACTTAGTATGCCCCACAGAGCGGAGAGATATTGAATGATTTCAGGTATCCACTGATACGGCTCGGTGGAGATCGACTGAGTTGTATACTGTAAAGATATTCCTTTAGCGGTTTAAACTTCCCATGGATGTGGGGGATATGATTCTGAGCCGTTTCAAAATCTGGAAAGGGGTCCACCTCCTCAGGATATGGGATGTTAGTTCCTACCTTGGATGCCAAGGAGCGCGGTTACGCTAATGCACAGCGGCTACGCTAATCCCAAGCTTCCATGGTTTGCCACTACGATCCGTTAAGGGCAAGGCACGTCGGGCGGTCCGGCGCAGGCCGTAGTTACTGTGGGTACGCTGAAGTCAAAGATAAAGATATGATACATAATGTACTCAGCAGAGTGCCAGAGATGTCTTAAAATCATTATGAACAAGCTTCTGGGGCAAACTCAGATGCGGGTACCAACATACTGGATGCAGGCAGCCGTTTGTGGCTTCCAATTGACCCGAATCTGATGATAGGAAGCGGCCGGGAAATGGAGACGGGGAGCGTATGCTGGTCATCGTAAGGTTGTGATTTGAAATTGACCATACCTCGCTGGAGGGAAGTTCTTGTTGGCCCACCTGACCTCGCCGGAGTTCTTTCTAACAACCGTTCTCTCTCAGGTCCTACTCTGTAGTTATAAGCAGACCAGCCATTATCTGTCTAGCCATGCTAGAAATGTGCGAGAATAACACATTTTGATATATTTTCGAGACACATCAGCATACTAAATCCTCATATTTGATGGCCGTCCAAAGACATAATGATGATGGCCATCATATTCTTCCACAACCGGAGCGATGTTCACTGTCCAAAGTGTGAAAGCTCGGCCTATCAAAAGTTATGAGCTTTTGGAGTGTCTCCATGTTGCTAGCAAGACTGGAGAAGGCCAGCCTCGAGGCCGACCACTGTCCCTGATAAACGTCCTATTCTCGGGCAAGGAATGGCCGAGGTCGCCGTCACTCATGTACACAGCATTGAAAAGTTTGGATCCCGCAGTTTACTTTTACGTTCAATGCGTGACATCTCATTCAACTGGAGGGCTCTGTGTCCAAGTATGAGTACTCGGGCTTGGTCCTTCGGTTATCTCATTGACAGACAGGACGAGTTTTTGCAAGGAATTGAAGCAGATGGGCTATTTGTGGCTGCTGAACGATCTTGGATTTACACATAGGCCCTGATCTACTTCGGTAAACTTGTGGGTGAATATACTAATATTTCATCAAGAGACCCCGCTCAAAAAACTACAGAATTTACTCTCATGGTACAGCTCGCAGTTTACGACGCATATTTGCTTTTCTTTCTTACTTCTTTCAAGCAATCAACAAAGTATGCGATCACAATAGTTTTGCAACCTGTCTCTTCGCGATGCATATTGTGATTGATGCTTCTTGATAAAGCACCTACGCGGCTTCCCTCCCGATTGGTTAGAGTATTCGATCGCCCAAAAAGGAAATGGAACCCGCCGCAACATGAAGATGATGCCACGCACTTAGGTGAGAGGGGTAGCTATTAGCGAAATTTCAGCAAAATATGACACACGAGATTTCTCAAGGCATTGTTATAATCACAGCCAGTTCTATGTGCGCAACGAATCGGTAAAGCTGCAACGAGATCCGTCTCAAGCCGGAAGGGATGTGCGGGGTAAACGGCGAGGAAACGAAGCCGAGCCGATCACCTGAATGCGCCACGACGACGACAGACTCCGCACAGCAACGAGTGGGTTGCTCTTCGGGGAGCGAGGGGAATTTCATTTCCTCCAGCTCAATAAAAGCAATGCATCACGTCAACAAGAGCACGGCCATGCCTCGGTCTGACAGGCAGAAGAACCCAAATCGATGCAGACCCAAATCCAAAGGAGGTTGCCTTCGATGCAAGCAACGGCGAGTAAGTTGGGACAACCTATACTGAGGTCTTGCCTCCATGTCAAACGAGATTCATCCACTAACATATCACCTAGCGCAGATGTGACGAGACAAAGCCCAGCTGCCAGGAGTGCCTGAGGAAGGGCTTCACCTGCCCGGGCTATCAGAAGAAACCTCTTGAATGGCGTTATGTCTTCAAAGAGGAAGAGCAGCATGATAAAGATCAGGTAGATCTCTCGCCTCCAGAAGAACTACCATCCTCAACTTTGTCAGAGCAGGAGAATTCAAACGCCAAGAACCAAAATATCGAGGCGGGCCAAACCAAAGAGCTGCAAGAGCTTTGGGACGAGGCCAGCTCAACTTTCTTTGATCAACTCCCGGATGTTGATCCGTCAGTTGGTAGAGGTGCGAAGCTGGGATTATTACCAAACAATATTGCGACCATCAAGGATGCTGCGGAATCGGATGACAGCCTGGCGATTTTGCGGCGGCGAATTGCAAACACTCCGATACCATCCTTCCTGATCCAAATGCCGGCCATTTTGGTACAATACTATTTTGATTACGTGTGCAAGGCATGGTCATCCTTTGACTCGCCTTTGAACCCGTTCCGTCTCATAGTTAGCCGACTTTGGAGTCGAAACGCAGCCATCTACTATGCCATCCAGAGCATGGCTGCGGCTTCACTGGCCAACGATCTTCCAGGCATGAGGGCTATTGGAAGGCAGACGCAGCAACAAGCTATTGCCTGTCTTCGCAACAACCCTCGAATTGGAACTTTGCATCGAGATAATCAGGACGATGAGTTCTTCCTGGCTCTGCTCATGATTGGACTGACTACAGCCTGGCATGACGCTGCTGATCTTGGACTGGAATACCTCAAGGAAGCAAAGGACCATCTCGACAAACAGCAGAAGATGTGCCAGAGTCCTGATTCGCACTTTGCTAAGCAGTACCCATTATTTCAACAGTGTCTCCTGTATTGGAACATGCTAGCTGCATTTGTTGCAGAAGACTCTCTACTTCTCAATGAAGAGAGTGTCCTGGAGCGGCCTGACCCGGAAATATCGGTCTACTTGATTGATGGACAGACGCTCCCTCATCCTTGGACTGGCCCACTTTCCAAGGCACTGAGGTTATTTTATCAAACAGCCCGGGTGGTTCGAGCGGCCCGCATCTCCCATCGCACTCGGGTTAATAACATTGATTTGACGACGTTTGATTTTGACTATTTGGTTGAAGAGATTGAATTGCGGCAGAAAGCCGAGCGCCTGGAGGAAGATATTCTATTCACAGGACTCTCGTCTTACTGTGGGCCAGTAGACATTGGCGACACAAATACGCCTCCTGCTCATTTCATAATTTTGGCTGAAGCTTATCGCTGTGCGGGGCTTCTACAGATCTATCATGTCTTCCCAGACATTCTTGACGATCGCTTACGTCTCAACCAGAGACCCGACGGAGATACTCCAGCTCTTTTCTCAGTCTTATTCCCTGAGGATTCCCCTGCCCAGTCCTCAGAAGATATGCGCCGCATTTTAGCGTTACACGTTGTTTCACTTCTTGACCAGCTTCCATCTACATCGGGAACACGCTTTATGCAGCTTGTGCTCCTGACTTGCATCTCTAGCGATCTTGTGTTTTCTAATCAATCTGTCTTTGGCCCGGGAGCGAACCCCCTCGCTTGCCTAAACACTCTGGATGTCGATGTTGCCCAGGGAAGGCGGCGAGTTAGTACTCGATTGTCAGAGCTTACCTTGATTATCCCCAAGTTACCCATGCAACGCATTTCTGGGATTGTGCATGAGGTTTGGGACCGAGCAGACTCGGGCTTGGGAATCTACTGGCTGGACTTGATGATTGAACGGAATCTTGAAACGATAATGGGTTAATGCCCCTAGAAATCTTAGAATATATGAGCAATGAACGACTATTAATTCTAGGCCGTGGAGATACCTCGTTGTGCCTACTTCCAAGCAGGATCAATGCTCCCATGCTGTAACATAGAGAAAATAACATTAGACGAAATAAAATCCGGTCAAGACTTAGCAGGGCATACTATACTTATTTATACCTTTACGGGCCGTATCAAGGAGCTCGAAGCTAGACAAAGATAACGATCGGTTCCCGCCAAGCGCATGTCGCTGCCGAAATCGGTGGAAGAATCCGAGGTAGAAATTAACTCGTGCCCACGACACTCCACAAGTTCCCTTCAAGTACTGAGCAATTACGCCAAAAAGAGTTGCATCTTTATATACTAGCCTCCAACAATGCCCGAAGTTATCGTTGCACTAGACGTTTGCCAGCATGCGATGCCAGCATTCCGTACCCCGCACACTCTTATCGAATACCATAACACAAAAGGAACAGAGGTAGCAGAGCGTCTCCATCATGCCACTATCGCCGTGACTTCCGCGGTTCCTATTACGGCTGAAACGATTGCTCAGTGCCCTCATCTCAAGCTCATCTGTGTGTCAATTGTCGGGGTTGATCACATCAATGTTCAGGCATGTCGGGCGCGCGGGATCCGCGTCTGCAACACACCCGCAGCGACTACGGAAGCCGTTGCCGAACATGCAATTGCACTGTATTTTGCCGCCAAGCGAAACATTATCCGGGCGCATAATTGGGTGATTTCTGGGAAGGAGTGGGAGCTTGAGTCAACGGGGATGACCGCATATGACCGATTACCCACTCCCATAAGCCAAGATACTTTGGGCCTTATCGGGTATGGCAAGATTGGTAAGTTTTTGATAGAGAACGCTCCAAATTTGTCCAACGGGAACCGTCGCTAATGTCTACGGGTTATCCAGGGAAAAAGATCGAAGTATTCGCTCGAGCTTTGGGTATGAAAGTCTTGATTGCAGACAGACGGGGAATACCCGATGCGAGCATCCGAGATGGACGCGCTGCGTTTGATACCGTGCTTCGGCAATCGACCGTTCTCGTGTTGACTTGCCCGCTAGACGAGTCAACGGTCAATATGATCTCCGAAAAGGAGCTGCAATTGATTCAGTCCAATGGTGTTGTGATCAACGTCGGCCGAGGGGGTCTCGTCGACGAAGAAGCTATAGTTGCGGCTCTAAAGGCCAGAAAGATAGCCGGCTATGCAACGGATGTATTCCCGATCGAGCCAGCCACTAAGGAGAACAGTTTGTTGCTTTCGAGCGACATCCCTGGTTTGACCTTGTCACCGCATCTGGCTTGGTATAGCTCGGAGAGCATTGAGCGACAGCAAGCCAGCATTCAAGCGATCGTGGATGGATTCGCAAGTGGGAATTACGTTAATGTGGTTTGCTAGAGACACAATGGCTGGGACCCGTATTTATTTGCCTTCTTGATTCTCAATATAGACGGCCAAACTACTGAGCACATAGATAGCATATAGAAAGCATAAATCCCTCAAATCCGAGAATTTTCTACGATATTTGGTTACAATATTATCAATCCAATGCAGGTCTTGTAATCCGGCGCGTAGAGTACAGCTTAGCTAGGTATCAAGCAAGCCCCGCAGTTCTTCAATGGCAGCCTATCAAAGTTGGCTTGAGGGGCCTCTGGAAGACCCCCGGGCCCCGGGCCCCGGCCCCCAGCGATCATCCACAAGCCAAGTTTAGGAAGCTGCAAGGGTGATGACATGGTGTACTCTAACTACAAGTCGCTTGAACTCATCGGAGCTGATGCGGTTCTCCGAGCAAGATCCTGCGGGTCAGGGCATTAAACCATCACAGAGTGTGACCAAGCATACCCAAACCGAGCTCTCAGGAATGAAGATATGGAAGTGTACATGTTTCAGCTTTTGCTGGAGTAGGTTCATCACTGAGCACGCTTGCGAGATGATGCTAACCACATATATAATCTTTCATTTCAAGGTTCTTGGGGGTATTGTACAGATAAAAACAAAACATGACTGGATACATAGCGCTCAACATATCAATAGCAGTTCGTTCTGGTTCGTAAAGAACTTGCTAATCACATCCTGACCAGGCTCCGACATCCAAAGCTCTTCAAGCTGCCTGAGCGCCGTTGACATCACTCCCATCCCAAAGAATTCGACAAGTGATTGTAGATATGACCGAATTATCTCTCTATGATAGGATTTTCGAGCATGAATCCCGAAAGCGAAAAGTGGCCAGTTTGCTGTCGTTGCGATGGGGGAGTTTGGAGGCAACTGAGATATGATCGAGTTGAGCTTCCAAAATGCGTTATCAACGATATCGTCGGTTGACTCGCTGGCAAAGCGGTAATCCAGGAGCAATAATAGACTCTGCTGATAAAGCTCTGCACAAAGCACCAACTCTCGCTGATTGCTGCGAGGTTTCCAGTTCTCAATCTGTCCTCTAATGTTCAAGTACTCCATCGTCAGACCTTCTTTGCTGGATGTCATCGACGAGTCGCAGGAGGCGGAGTTTCGGAGAAGTGCTGAGACGTGTGGCACCAAGGTGAAAAGCTCGTAGGCGCAGCCACATAGGACACCGATTTCGCGGTCTGTGCTACCAAAGCCATTCAGCCCCATGCTAGGGGACATGATCAGGGCAGGCGGAGAGTTCGTAGTAAACGATGCGAGAGCAGCATTGTATACATAAAGTTCGGTCGCGAACGATACAATACTTGGCTGGGTGGGCGTTTCAGTGGAGCGTAGCACATGAGCCATTAGATGATGAGCCCCATCTAGATGTCGCTGCATGGCTTTTGGGTCATTACCCCTCGTGGCCTTTGAATTTTGTGAGTATGAGATTTAGATTAAGGAGACATAGAAACACCTACCTCTAGAAGATAGAATATTAAGACAACTAGCAAAGCACGCCAGGCAGCATCTACGTTACTGGCGTCATTGAGAGTCTCTGACAAGTCTATCCTGAGTTGCTGTAATGCTCGAGTATACCGAGACCAGGTCAAGGACTGCATTTCGAGGTTCAACTGGGGAAGCCGTTGCATCATATGGACTCCCGAAAGGGCCAGGATTGAATTCATTACAAGTTCATCGCCGAGCGCAACCGGCAGGATTGTATGAAGAAACGGATTTTCGCTATCCTGAAGACATGCGAGGCGGTTTGCCGTATCTTTCAAGTAGTGATCCAGTAGTCTCCATGTCTCCGATCCCGAAGCCGCCGATCCTAACAGAGGAAAATTGGATGGGGAAGCAGGGATAGTCACGATTGGCAGGTCCCTGGGGGCACCAATAGTAAGGGCCCACGCGTTAGATGCAGGTACGGGGCGGGCAGAGAACGTTTGCATTTGCTGTTGCGGAATTGACACTACCTCGGAGATTGCTTTTAGCGGGCTTGTGTCTGGCCAGACACAGTTGAGGGCATTGCGCAGGCAAGCCGCGCAGATCGGCTTCGTCTCGTCACATTTTTTCTTGCGACGCCGACAGGACAAGCACCCTGAGCGAGATCGAGCCCCCATTGCGGCTTCAAGCCATCACGATCGTATCACACTCGGACCCCGGCAGTTGTCTTTAGAGAGAACCATGCATCACGAAGCGGATGAAACTTCTCCAGGACGGGAAGCCGTGTCGTGCTCACTTTCCCCGCTCAGCATGGCCGACCACGTGACCGGACAGGGGCCACACACCCACAAACGAGGCTTTACATAGCGGCCCGAGTGTCAAGCTGCGCAACGGATTCGAACTCGGGATTGTCCTCGTCCTGGTCGGCTAGGTAGGCTTCGGGGTCGCTATATATAGCCTCGTCGTCGTTATATAAGGCTTCCTCGTAGTAGTCGTATGCCTCCTGTTCGTTGGCGAACTCTGGATCAACCGCTCCCTCGTCCTGTTAGAGGTCCACCGGGGCATTGGCGAGATATCATCGAATGGGATGGGGTTTTGCGTCGTGCCAGGATGCAGGACGGCTTGTTCATTGATGGTGTCATCGACACCTGCGCAAGGAAGCAAAAAGAGAGATCTGAGTCAAATTGGTCTATCTAGACATGAAGACGAAAGAGTCCCAGGAGCAATACAGCTTCCAGGAGAGGCTGTACATGATTGATTGATTGATTGATTGATTGATTTATTCATAGACTGTCCCAGCCGCCCTAAGGCAGCTATGCAGCGTCCATCTATAAGTACAGGTGTCCCCGCCCTTGCTTTCAGACAACAAACCGTTCCTCCCAGAACTGCCTCCTTCCGCTCCGGCCGGTCGAGAGGTTGTACATGTTCCCAGAGACAGACATTACACTCCTAGGAAGCTAACCCGCGATCCTGGAGGGTTTCAACCCTCCTAGAAGGGAACCTGCCCATCCCAGGACCAGAAAGCTTGACAGGGATAAAGCTTCATGCCTAAGGCTGTAAACCCGGCCTTAAACCTAGTGCAGTATTAAAAGGTTAAATACACTGCCCCTCGAGAAGTATTTGATCAGCTCCACTTGTACAACCCATTAAACAAGAATTACCTTACTGTTAAAATATGTGGCATAGTACGGAGTATTTGACAAGACCCTTCGATCGCCTGCGTAAAGAAAAACGGAGTTGGCCAGCGTAGTGGATAGACCCACCTTCAGGACTACATAACTATGTAGTTCAATAAATCGTAGTGCGAACTGAAAGTGGACAACCTAACCGCAAAAGGACCCGTTCCTAGGACATCCTCAATGGTGTTTAGTTACCAACAGTAAGGCCGGAACCACCGGAAAGCGCATGTCAAATAACCACAGGGTATAGAGTGCATTTCGACCGGACTCTATATCAGTGTTGACTGGGTATTAGTCGAACGGGTACTGGCCACCGAAGATCTCCAAAATTCCAGCAGGGGTCAAGTGAGCCACAACGGGTTAAAAACAAACTCCGAAAGTCAAAGGGTCTGTGTGGTCTTTTGTCCTAAAGTGTGGCGAGCTAACCGATCGCATCAAGTCAAATTGCCACGAGCGGAGGGCGAAACTAGCGCACAAGTCTTGTAATAGCACCTTTGACACATTGCAACGTCGTTTATCCGAGCTACCCACAGGCCCACACGATAGTTTAACCTGCCATCTGACTCCACTTGATTTCACCTTCGATTTTGTTTTTCTGATTAGGCCAGTAGCCTGTACCATCCTGGCTTGCTCTGAGCCTCTGATAGGTATAATTAAGGCTCTAGTCCGCCTACCAACTCTGCCTAACTACGTACAAACTCGCCTCACAAACGCGATAATGTCATTACCAGAGCCCCCTATATGGTCCCGGGTGTACGTATACCTGTTGAATCGACTACTATTGGTACTGAACCCTGATGGCATCCTTTTGATCCTCACGATCGATTCGTTTTACCCCCAAATCTTCCGAATCCAGACGACACACACTACTCACGGAATCTCTTCGCTCTCTATTTTATGTTTCGGGCAACAGAACAGCTCACTATCTCCATATTTTCACTATATATTGATGTTAGATCTGACGGCAACATCCTCCTTCATGATCCGCCAAGCCAAGGGGACCGATTCAATCTATGGCACTTTGCCATAGTCACAGTCCTTTTCTTGTCACTGAGGATCACGTCCTAATTTAAGATATAGATCCATTTAGAAACTTACCTCTTCTCCTGCAGATTCGTTCGAATTATTCTCTACGGCGACCGTAGAACCTCCCTTATTACCGCATACGTTTATTATCTTTTCGTCTCGATTATACCCCTACCCTGGATCCTAGAAGCCACGTCACCATTTCAAGGATTAGATCAACAATTCTTCGCCAGTATCTTTTACGTAGTACACAGTATTCTCACTTACCCAATTCTCACGATTCTGGGCTTTATGGGTATCTACCATCAAGCTCGTGAAATCCTGACTACACCGTTTCTAAATGCGTTGAGTCTACCGGGCCTCGCTATATAAGCCGTTGTTTTCACGTTGGTATCGGTGACGTTGATATAGGCTCTTCCTTTTCCCTATGAGAAGTCGGAAGGTGAATTCAGTTGGCGTAGTTTCTCTATTTGGTACGGCGTTATCGGATAGATTATTGTTGACAACTTTGTCTTTGCACTTAGCCAGGCGGTGCTTCTTGCCTTAGGTCTACAGCGGTCGTCTTCGAGTAAAGACGGTGCACCAGGAGGCGAAACCGAGCCACTTTTGGGAAACGTTGCACATTGACGGATGTCTTGCTATCATGAATCTTCTGAACGGATATTGGATTCGAGCGCTCCAACTATTAGGGGATGTTTATTCAACCACCGTGAACTCCACGTAGTTACTAGCTAGTACGATAAGCGTAGGTCGGCCTCCGTTATCTTTTGGCTCGCGGACTTTGCCCTCAATGGTAACTACCGTGTCTTCATGATCTTGAAAATGACCCCAATCCCACCAGTCGAGTTGAGTTCCCTTATAACAGTACCGGAGCGTATCCCTAGGCACCACGTTTTCTGGGAAATCAGTCACTCGCCGCGTGAACGACCACAACTCACCCGGATTAAGTGCATTAAAGTCATTGTCTTCGTTACGGCCCACATTCTTTGACACGGGGTTTGGAACTCTATACCGATGATGCGTGAAGGATCCCCGTATTTTATATGGCTACCACTCGCCATTTTCTTTACGGTAGAGCCTAAATCCCTCTTGACGCCAATAGACATCCTTAAATAGGAACGTATGAAACACAATAGGTTCTCTGCGAGAGATATTAGGGGCCGCTTCGTATAATAGTATGGCCGTCACAGCATATCGAAGACGACTTAAGGGGTCGTAGTCTTTTAGCGACAGTGTAGCAGGTCCAGCAATGCTTAAGTTTAGGATTGGGGCGCTACCCATTCGGGCAGACGTCAGAAGTGGCTAAGGCGAAGGTGGTAACGGGCCTACATCGTCAAAGTCGCTTTCTTCGTTGAAAATATACAGCGACTGTATCTCCGAGATAGGAAGGATCAATGACGGGGATTTAGGGCTTAATCTGTAGTTCCGGTACTCCGCCAATGTGCCCCAGTCCCACAGAGGGATTTGTCCACCTACCCACAGGGTCTGGTAAAACTGCCCCGGTTAGAAGGAGTCGAAGTAGACAGTCGGCAAGGAAACCTCCCATAAAACGCTGGCGCCTAGAAGCAGTTCTTCGATGTATGGATCCGATGTCGATACTTCTCGTGGCTGAATGGACTTTGCTAGCGACTGACTAGGGTTGATCGAGACTGGATGCCAGCCAAAATTTGGATTTCCTATAGGAATCCGCCGAAATAGCATGAAGCCGGGCTGGCCGAATCCATCCTCGATCGGATCCTAGTGGAAAATGCACGGTCGCCTTTCGGGATCATCCGCTTCCCGAGTGATAGTGAAAGTGATAGCGTACGACGTGTCAACCTCTAAGTCAATGCTCGGCTTTGCATCAAATGTAAGAGAAAGGCGAGGACACCCCGATCTGTTTGGGTTAGCTTTAGGTTGGACATGTTCTCAGCGGGTATAGTACCGTCTGTCTGCAGCAGAATATCTCAGATAAGAGGAAATTGCAGCCATCGTTGACGAAGCCTCGGTCCATATAGATTGTCACAGAGAGAGATAGAAAGGTTGGATGGACTTGGCCCCCGTTTCTTGGCTTTTTGGTTTTCTTTGTTTCTGTTGAGAGGAAGTGCTCGGGAGCAAAGGCTTATCAGGGTCCGCGGCGAGTCCGAGTATGGCCGTGTTCCGAGTCTGGTATGATTTCGCATATGTACAGTCAGTGTGCATAAGGATATGGAACATGGTACCTGCCCCACTTAGCTTTTTACCCGTGGAGTAGGCTAAGCAGGAGCTGGAGGAGGGGTTCCCACGTGACCATGACTAATACAAGGAGCTTTGAAGGGGGGGGGGGTCACTCTATAACCAGTCCAAAGCCTGGAAATCAAACAACTTCTTGGTGTGATTCGACTCCTCAACAAGCCCCAAAGTCTATGCGAAATGCATACGATATGCACCATCAGCCCAAAGGGAAAGGGGCCGCTGTGCAGGTGATTATTCTTGCATGGTCGCTCTCCACATGACTAGAAGATCGATCGACCTTGGCATCAGGCTCGGTCGTTTGCGAATTATGGAGCAGCTCAGCCGTTCTCGACCAGCCAAACCTTCTGTTTCTATAGGCAAATCGAATAATAGCGGGTTACTTGCCTCGGATTATGGAGCTAGACGCCGATATGCAGGGGTCTAGTGCGATCTTTTGCGGGGCCATTCTCTGATCGCGACCTGTGCGTCTTGGCTAAAGGTGTTCGTGAGGAGACAATCACAATTATACAGCGCTTAAAGCGCCAGCCATTACGGATTCAAATACGTCAAAGTTTCCCCCCAAAAAAGCAAATATCGTGGGACCACTTCCCAACAAATATCTGGAACCACCTTCTCGTTTAACCAGATGACCCAATGGTCAAGAAGTCGGGAATCCCCCTGGTCGTGAAAAGTACCATTTATAACCGAGCCAAAGCCCAGGCTCTCTCAGTATGAGGCCTGCCTGAATTTCAATGGTCTGAGATCCTAGGGGGACGAACCTTCATTACTATCGAGTAACACACCCTTGGTAAAACATCTTTGCTGTTCAGGGAATCGAAGCCGGATCGACCATGCCATTCTCACGCTCGATAAACGTCGTCGGCTGCCATGCCGAAGGAGAAGTGGGTGATGTGATTACTGGTGGTGTCTTGGATGTCCCCGGGAAGACAATGTTCGACAAGCTTGTCCATTTCGAAACGAAGAAAGATAGCCTACGTCAACTTCTTCTCAACGAGCCTCGCGGCCGGGCGTCGATGAACACAAATCTCGTACTACCACCATGCGACCCTCGTGCCGATGCTGGTTTCTTGATTATGGAGAGCGAAGAATATGCGCCCATGTCCGGGTCCAACATTATTTGCACGACGACTGTGCTATTGGAAACCGGGATGATTCCAATGAAGGAGCCCGTTACTGAGGTGACCTTGGATACTGCTGCCGGGCTTGTCACGGTCACTGCTGAATGCAAAGCAGGAAAGTGCCAAAGCGTGGAGTTCGACAATGTCCCTTCCTTTGCTCTTGAACTCGACTATAAAGTCAACGTTCCTGGAATTGGGGAAGTAATTGTCGATATTGCATACGGAGGAATGATGTATGTGTTGGTGGATGCCGCTTCTTTGGGATTGATGGTCAGCAATCAACAGTCCCGTCAACTGGTGGAAATTGCAGAGAGAATCAAACGCGCAACGGAGGCTGCGTATACCCCGATACATCCTGAAAACTCCGGGATCAAGGGATTTAGCGTTCTGGCATTCACGGAGCCGTTGAAAATAGAGGATGGCGTGAAGGTAGCCACGAATGCCGTTGTGGTTTCACCTGGACGATTTGATCGCAGTCCTTGTGGTACTGGGACATCTGCTCGGCTGGCAGTGATGCATTCCAGAGGCCAGATCCAGGAAGGAGAGGTATTCAAGCATCGCAGCATCTTGGGCACTGAGTTTATTAGCCGGATTCGGGGTACCACAACGGTCGGTAAATACCCGGCTGTTCTACCAACCGTTAAAGGTCGAGCTTGGATTACAAGCTTCAAGCAGGTCGTCTTGGACTCAACCGATCCTTTTCCAGAAGGCTTCAGAGTCGGCGACCAGTGGCATATGCCACCCAATTAAGCACTCCCCAATCTCTTCTCACACCTGCATGGAGGTTGTCCCACCTGGAATATGGAGATTGGGGCATGTTAGATAAGTTCATTGTACTGTCAAATATTACAAAACAATCCACTCTTAGAGTGGATCAAGTTCACCATGAAATCACTTATCCGGGAGCTTTTCCGGCGAGGGCTGGGAGCAGATCGTCACTCAACCCCGCACTTCCCCGGAAAAGACCCATTCATCCAGCACGACAGCAGAAGTACAAAAACCAAAGCGTGGCCAAGAGCTTGGCTAGGCTTGGAAATCCCCTTAAACGGCTTTGAATTCGAAGACCGAACTCAAATCAACAAATTGCGCTCCGTATGCTTGCCAAAATGCCTGATGCTAAGGGTACTTCATCAGACCATGTGGAATACACACCGTCAACTAAGGATGACCCAAGGCCGATGGTGGAAGGAATGCCGGCATTCCTCCGAAGTTTAACCCCAGAGGAAAGGCAGCACATGGAGAAAAAGCTTGTGCGAAAAGTCGATTTGAGACTCCTCATCATGATGGTCGTCATGTATATCTTGAACTACCTGGATCGGAACAACATAGCATCTGCAAAACTGGCCGGGCTTCAGCAAGACCTTAACCTTCGCGGCGATCAGTATCAGGTAAAACCTTATTATACACGATGAGGAATTCAGGAATTCCACGCTAAATTTGGGTGTTCCAGACCTCCGTCAGTATTCTGTTTGTTGGGTACTTGCTGATGCAGGGTAAGATTATCTTGCCAAGCTAGTGTCGTGGACCTTTGCTAACAACATTTTAGTGCCATCTAACATGATTTTGAACAAATTGGGCAAGCCTTCAATTTATCTTCCAACCTGTATGCTAGCCTGGGGTATCATTTCCAGTGCGACCGCTGCAACTCAAAACTATGGAGGGCTCCTGGCCTGTCGATTCATTCTTGGCTTTGTGGAGGCTGCATACTTTGTAAGATAGGCTCGTCCATATCACACTGTGTTGGTACTGACATGGTATATCTAGCCTGGTTGCCTCTACCTGCTATCGGCTTGGTATACTCGAAAGGAACTCGTTAAACGAACTGCTCTGTTATACTCTGGGTCCCTACTTTCCGGCGCTTTCTCTGGCTTGATTGCGGCTGGCATTACTAGTGGACTCGACGGCGCTCGAGGAATTGCTGCTTGGAGATGGCTATTTATCATTGAAGGGACTATTACTGTAATTTATTGTGGCTTCCAGACATTCCACGTGAGGACGCTAACAATCGCACAGATATTTGTTGCAATCGTTTCGATCTTCATTATCCCCGATCTTCCGCGAACAACCACGTGGCTCACCGACGAGGAGAAAGAGCTTGCAGCCTGGAGGCTTGCTGAAGATATTGGTGAAGATGACTGGGTCGATAGTCAACACCAGTCCATGTTCCACGGGGCGAAGCTTGCTTTCATGTATGTCAATGGTTGAAATGAACCTACTGACGCGTACTGATCGTCTTATCCAGGGACTACAAAGCCTGGCTGCTGCTTGGCGCAATCTACGGATGCACCGCCTCAGGTGCTGTCACAACTTTCTTCCCAATGTGAGTCTCAGGTCCAAGTCAGTGATGGAGAAATTCTCTATATTAACTGAGTGAAGTGTTATGTCTGGTCTCGGCAAGGACAAAGTGACCACGCTCCTCCTTACCACCCCGCCATATTTGATCGGTACTATCGTCGTCCTGATCAATGCATGGCACGCAGATAAAACGGGGGAGAGATACTTGCATATTGCACTACCACCAATTATCGCCATTGCCTCGTTTGTGATTGCGCTGTCTACCACAAAATTTGCTCCTCGATATGTGTAAGTCAGGCTCGTGGAATCTAACTAGCAAACCCGCTAAACTTATTATTACAGTGCGATGTGTCTGATGATTGGAGGTATTTATGCCGGATACGTCGTGCTACTTGGTTATATCTCAAACGGTTAGTCAATAAACAAGTGATTCACGCTGAGTATTTACTTACGATGCGCTAGTTCTTCCTCGCCCTGCCACAAAGAGAGCAGCAGCCCTCGCGCTCATCAATTGTTTGAGCAATGTCTGCCAGATTTACACTCCCTATTTATATCCTGGTACGTGATAATCCAACGCTCTCGTATAACCAGGACTAAAAGGTCATCACAGATTCCGCGGGGCCTCGGTACACAACCGCTTTTTCGGTCAACATTGCCATGTCGGCAATGACAATTTGCTTTGCTACTATCATTCGCATTGTTCTCGGGCGGTTGAACAAACAGTTGGACCAGGAAGAGGGGACAAATATCTATGCTGACGGCCTGGAACACGCGGAAGAAAATGAAGAGCATGGACTTCCAGGGCAAGCAGTTACACAAGGATTTAGGTTCTTGCTGTAAGCGAGTACCTCGCATGTTCAAAGCTCACGACTTCACTGGGAGATGTCATATTTTGCTGCTCTATGACAATATATTCGGCCTTCAAAGGAGGCTTTTAATGGTAGCTTACTGCTGGTAAATTGAGATATATATAACCAGTGTTCATCGTCCCATATGTGATTCTCGCCTCAAGAATACCGTAGTCCATGCGAGGCCCAATTGAGTTCAAACATATTCAGTGCTGCGTTATTTGGTTGGACCACCGGCACATTCTCTAATCGCGAAATAATGTCTCATGGAAAAGCTGTAGGATGGCATTGAGACCGTGGATATGGTAATCAATTTGAAAACCTTTCAACAGTCGACTTGGCAGTCCCTATAGTGAGTCAGGGCACCTTGCCATGATTTGACTAACAAAAATGATTATGGCCAATGGTAGCTGTTTTTGTTGTGGGGCAGAATTAACACTAAGCCAATCAAAGCCACTTACGTCGTGGTGTGGATCTATAGAAATCTGCAGCGCGGATCATGCAAATTTCGTCTCGAGAATTGAGAAGCCCCGCAAGAAAGGAAAGAGGAGAAAGAATCCTGCTATTGAGCTATCTTCTCTCCAGAGGTTGATTTGGTTGTGTCAAGTACCGGGTATATTGACATTGTGGGGTTGGTCAAACGGCCTTCATCCTCAACAAATACGCAGCTCCAACTAGTGGTCGGGGGAAGTCTGGCTCTTGCTGGCTACCTTGAATTTTGAGATCAAGTTGCAGGTTGGGACTAGCTACCGACGCTGCCCCGGTGATACAGTACCTCGTCTTGAGACCTTCTCCGCATTGACAACCCCTCTTTGAGGTTTGAAGACTATCTATTGTTGTGCACATGCAGAGATTCACCACTGAGCACCATGAGTAACACTGAGAACATGGCGCATGCTACCACAGACGTGTCACTTGTCGAAGGGCAAGGGAAGAAAACAACTATGGAAGACCCCAATCCGCCTTCAATGTTTCAAGCTTCAGATGTCAAGGATTACGACTTGAGTGAGGCCGAGCAACAAATCACGGCTGCGGGCGAAGCTAAATATAGTCGCCTGTCTTGGAAGCAGCTCACTTTGATGCTTATTGTCGATGCTATTGCATTGGGTGCTCTTTCTATCCCACAGGCCTTCGCGACGCTAGGCATGATTGCCGGCGTTGTCTGCTGCGTCGGTATTGGGCTGATAGCTGTCTATACGTCGTGGATCATTGGCAAGGTCAAGCTGGCCTTCCCTGCTGTGCAACATTACGGAGATGTCGGCGGCTTGCTGCTGGGCCGAGTCGGTTATGAAGTCTTTTCTGCGGTGTTCGTGATTCAGCTCATCTTCGTCGTCGGCTCGCACTGTCTCACCGGCACGATTGCTTTTGCTACTATTACAGAGAGCACTATCTGTTCTCTCGTGTTTGGTATCGTTTCTGCAATCATTCTGTTTCTTCTCTCAATTCCTTCCTCTTTTGCCGATATCACAATCCTCGGTTATATTGACTTTGCCTCCATTCTTATCGCTATCGGCATCACGATTATCGCGACAGGTATTCAAGGAAGCAATTCACCGGGAGGCCTTGCCGCGGTAGCTTGGTCCGCCTACCCAAAGGAGAATGTGACGTTCACTGAAGCCTATGTCGCTATCGGAGATATCGTCTTCGCATATTCATTTGCCACATGTCAATTCTCTTTCATGGAAGAGATGCACACACCCACGGATTTCACCAAGTCTATCTGGGTCTTGGGTTTGATTGAAATCATCATTTACACCGTGACTGGAGCGACTATCTACGCATTTGTTGGATCTGATGTTCAGTCTCCAGCCCTTCTTTCGGCTGGTACTACTATTAGCCGAATTGCTTTCGGCGTGGCTTTGCCGGTCATATTCATCTCAGGCTCAATCAATGCGATCGTTGTCGGACGATTGGTTCACGCCCGAGTTTACAAGAATAGCGTTATTCGGTATATCAACACACCCAAGGGTTGGATGACGTGGATTCTCTTCGTTGCCGTCATCACTATCGTCGCCTGGATTATCGCCGAGGCTATCCCTTTCTTCACTGATTTGCTCTCCATTATCTCGGCGCTGTTCACTTCCGGCTTCTCCTTCTATCTACCACCAATTATGTGGTTGATACTCCTTCGCAAGGGCAAGTGTTTCTCAAAGGAAAACCTGCCTTTTGCTATTATCAATTTCTTGGTCTTTCTCATGGGGCTGGCAGTGCTGGTCTGTGGGCTGTACTCGAGCATTGACGATATTGTAAGTCTATCTGTGAGAGCAGTTGTAGTGAGATAGTTTGCTAACGGTGATTATAGCGAAACTCGTACCACACAGGGAGTGTTCGGAGTCCTTTCAGCTGTTCTCAGACGTGATATTTTTTTTCCATTTGGCGCGGAAGCAGTTCATCTGGGATATTTAAAGGTTGACATGCCCCACTGAAAAGGGGCATGGATCTTAGATTCTTGTCACATACTCATGTAGAAAATCTTCAATTTTATTATCAGGGGTTTCTGAATTCGAGAAATTCCAAATCATGGCACCATTCATATCCAATTTAAGCAAAGCCAACATGGTAATGATCGGAAAACGCATTTCCGAGGGCTTTTCCGGATGGATAAAAACCCGCTCTTGGCACAAGGGGCTAGCTAACTAAACATGCCGTGGCAGTTAGAATGGAATGGGAGGCTGGGGTTCTATGAGTCGTCTGTATGGATTATCTCGCGGAAATGAATACAATGCGTATTCATGCCTCCATAGTGCAGGACATTGATTGCAAGTACAGGCCGGTTCGTGCACTATTTAAACCCTGGCTTTTTCGTCGCTTCCAGGGTAGAGTTCGAGAACTTTAGTTACTCCATCAATCAGGAGCGAGATTCATGATAAAATAGAGAAGATTGTCGACGGACTTATGAGCTATACGCCGATGGTGTATCAATTTGTAAAATGTGGCTGGAAGGAAAGTCAGTCCCTGGAGGTGGCACTATGGAAGCCGGGCATCCATGTGGCCACACGCCTATTTGCGGGGTACCCCAGACTCAACAACTCCCGGCTTTCACCTAGAAATTCCATCCTTTAATCATTGCGGATACACTGTTCATAACCACATTCCTTTTTGGAAAAGAATCCATAAGGATCCGTCACTGAATAAATGCCCGATACCTACCCAAACAAGCGCCGCCGTGGCAAAGAGCGTGTTAGAGTCACTCGGGCATGCGACACATGCAAAAGGTACGGGTTACTGAAGCTCGAAAAGGCCATCGATATACTGAGTTTTAATGTAGGAAAAAACTTCGTTGCTCTGGGACTCTTCCATGCTCGCTTTGCGTTCGGTCGACGGAAAATTGTGAATATAATGCCGGCTATAGGAGAGGCAGGATCCCGGATATTCCGATCGTTGATCAAGACACAATCAAGGGTTTGCAGTCTCCAACTACCACGCCTGGTCGAATTGCCCCAGATAAATTTGCCAATCAAGCCCCAGGGAGAATGATGCAGCCCGGATCGAGTCCTCCAGATCAGGCCCGTACCCAACTTAGCATGCAGTTAATTCCTGGACAGGACACTGAGCTCTCTGCCGAGTTAATGAGCAGTACCAGTCCAGTTATGAGCGCTTACTTGCAACAACCGCACTATCCGCATGTTTCAACTGGTAGTCCTACTCTTTTAAAGAAAGCTGATTCACCTGTCACATCATCTCGGAACTCTCCGGAGCCAGATGAGACTGATTTGGAGGGACACTATTTGGGGGCATCCTCCGGGGTCTCGTTTTTACTCCGTGTACAGAAAAGGCTTCATGATAATTTCCGGATTTCTGCCACCGAGACAATATTCAACTTTGGCGATGCTCCTCTTCCCACATGTGACTCCCATTTCCTGGTACTCCCGCCCATTCGGGAGGCCAAAGTACTCGTTGATCGATATTTTGATTTCTCATTTCCTACTCATCGTTTTCTCCATCAGAAAACAGTCGAGACATGGCTACAGGACTTCTATTCAGGATTGAATGAAACGAGCAACATTGTTGACCGCGCAGTGAAAGCTGTCATCTTGATGGTTCTGGCGCAGGGCAAGCAGTATCTGTCAGAGGACGATGGATTGGTTGCTGAATCAGTGAAAAGGTAACCTGCCATTCATCAGATCTCGAAGCATTTTGTGCTGACCAATTGAAGTAATGTCTATTTTGCAGCTTCGGAGAGCCATCTTTTGTCCGAGAAGGGTGCAATAAAACTTACAAGCATTCAAGCACGACTCGCACAGTGTTTCTATCTGTTATCTGAATCCAGAATCAATCATTGCTGGAGCCTGTTTGGAACCACCGCTCGCCTAGCACTTGCCATTGGACTAAATAGGCGAAGTCGGCGCGGTATGATATCAGACTACGTAGAAGACGAATGCAGGAGAAGAGTTTTTTGGTGTGCCTACAGTCTGGACAATCACCTAAGTGCTGCGCTCGGCCGTCCGAGAATATTCCACGACGAGGACATTGATCAAGTGCGTATTCTCGTTCTACAATTCTCGTATCTCAACTAACACTATTAATTACTATCAAGGAACTTCCAACTTGTGCGAATGATTCTCAGATCTTACGACATGCCATTCTACCCGCTGAATCCCGAAGGCAAAGCATCATGCTGGCCTCTATTTTCCATGCTAAGTACGCGAACCGTGAAAATAATAAAGGCCAAGACTGACATTATGGACATCAAGGCTTTCGAAAATAATCAGTGGAATTCTGAGAGAGCTCTATGGAATTCAACAGAAGCCGCTGGATGTACAGGTGGAAATTGCACAGAAATACGGTGCCGACTTGACTCAGTGGAGGAAAGATATTGGTGCATTCATTGACACGCCCAATATTGAGCTCCTCCAAGTCACCTACCAACGTCAATATACCGTTTTGAACTTTGCATTTGCTCACGCGCAAATCTTGCTTTACAGGCCATTTGTGCTACGCAATCTCGCATCCGTTAGCAAGGGTAAAGCTCCAGGCAGCTCTCATCTTCGCACATCAAGTGAAGAGAACATCAAAAGGTGTCTTCAAGCTGCGACTAGGATTTTAGAATTATTTCAAATCCTTTGCAGAACTAAGCGCATGTACAAATCATTCTTTGTAAGACCAAATCCTTTCCTGACTCCCAGCCATCATTAACAAGCCCACAGTTTACCCACTACTACGTGTTTTGTGCAATTGTGGTACTTTATGTCTCTGTTATTCAAAACCGGATGAACATCGATATTGAACCCAAGCATAATTTGCGAATAGGAGAGGAAGCACAGAGAGAACTGGCAAAATGCGGCACGCAGGCATCCTTTCCGCAGCGTTACGTGGTGGTATTAGAGGAATTGAGACGCGAAGCAAGAAGAATTATGAATCAAACGAGAGACCGGCAGGATCCATCGATTGGGACCTTGAATGTGCATGAGCAACTGTCCGAATCGAGCTTCACCCCATCATCGGAACCATTCAATCAGGTCGGCGCCTCTTATACGGCGCCTCTATATCACTCAAATACAGGTAACTGGGTACATGAAGCGGTCGAAGATATGTCTCCCACCTCACACCTTGCTGACATGACTGGATGGGGGGACTTCGATTCTCTTGTGTTGACAGGATTGGGGGAGCTAGGTCACCTGTTTCCTGATAACCACGTAGGATGATAGAGGATTGAGATCTCCCATCAAAGTGATTTGATGCATGCGCGCAAATATTTCAGTGATGCACAAATACTGTGAAAGTGTTGAATGTGCAATTTAAATGTTCAAAATTCATCAGCGAGTCAATATCGCCGCTGGGCCATTTTTCATTGTGTCTTTCCAGCTGTTGTCAATGCCAGCGTCATCACTGGAGCTATAATCCGAATACCTATGGATGTCATTAAGACTCACAGAACCGTTAAGCCACTAAAACTAACTCTTGAGGGAAACGAGGTACATTCGAGTAGTCTTGTAGAGATAAATTTAAAGTCCAAATGGGTAAGTCTCCTCTTTTCCGAGCGGCGTGACGGGCTGAATGACTTCGAGGGGTTTGACAGCGGCTGTGCGATCGAACCATATGTAGCCGTCAAATTGCTTGTGTAGTTGTGCTTGTGAGTAGTGCGACATTCTTTCCGTGTCAGGGCGGTATATGACACCGATAAACCGCTCAAGACGATTTTCCCCAGCGAGCGCAGCACGTAGGGTCGGGTCAATGTGCTCGCGTCGAAGATCTAGCAAGAAACGAGGTACGCCAGTGTTATGCGCCACGATTTCCCAACTGTCCTTTCTGGAAGGATTGACGGCCATGACTTCCATATCATCGTCCCACTCGTGTGCAGCCGCGACGGTGCCTGTGTGGGTTCCACATCCAAGAATTGCGACATTCTCACGGCCCATTCGCTCACGGCATATCTGACCAATGTTGACCTCATTTCGACGGCTTCCCATGCTAGTGAATCGAGCGTCGCCGACGTGAGAGTTGTGGGCCCATACTACAGCTTTGTGTTCTGGAGGTGGGTGGTGCTGCAAGATACGCTGCAAAGTGTCGACCATATGGGTATCTCGCAGTGTCCAAGAAGTAGCTGAGCTCCAGTACATTAACTTATAGTACTGCTCGGAATCTCGAACGAGGAATGCATTCTGCGACGAACTCTGATACTCCTCACCATCACGTGGGTCAGATTCGATGTATTTCAGTCTGTTGGCGAGGAGATCTCGTAGCATTCTCATCACTTGAGGCTCGCAATCCTCCATTCCACGTATGGTAGCAAGACCGTACGCAGAGGGGTCTTCAACCCAACGCTCCAAGCAACCGTAGCGTTGCCGCGCCATCTTACCGGCTTCCGGATCGACACGGTCAAGATACTCTATCACCGCACGGATTGAAGAGCCCATACTATATAAGTCCAGTCCGTAAAAGCCCGCACGCTTCTCAGGCGGCTGAGTGCTGTTCCACTCGCGCATCCACTCGACAAACTCCTGCATCTCTCGGTTACGCCACATCCAAGTCGGAAATCTTTTGAAGGGCTCGAAACCCTTTGCCTTGCCTCCAATTTGTGCCTTGGGACCGGGCCTTAGGCGAACATATCGATCAATGGCTTCGGCATCCGGCCAGTCTGCTTCCACGGCAACTATGGTGTAGCCGTGTTCCTTGATCATCCGCTTTGTGATCTCTGCACGCGCATGATAGAACTCAGATGTACCGTGACTTCCATCGCCGATTAGCATCACCTTTTTATCTGCAAACGAGTCAAAATAGGAGGCGAAGGACTTGTCCTCAATCTCCGGAAGAGGCTTTATCGCCTGGTTGAATAACTCTTGTAGGTGTGCCATGGATGTCGACAGACGTCGCAGAGATATTGAGGGCATGAAACGAAACCGTTAAGGTGCGATGTATACTGAAACATTGTTCGATCCTTCATTTTGCAATAAATTGCCATTTAGACCGAGCAATGATTGGGAATTCCGAGGTAGGTGAGATCACATCCGAGTAAATGCGTAGTCATCATGACTTCACGTCGCCACAGCTACAGCAAATCCAAACCACAACTCTCATCCAACCGAGCGACAGCTGTCTGCCACTCGATGAGGTTATAGAATGAAAATTCTGGCGAAGCATTTCAAATGACTCTTGGCCGTAGCTTAACTCTTCACAGTTTACGAAGAATTTCTTTTCCTAAATCGCCACTAATAGGCCCCTTCCAAAGCCGCACGAGAAGCCTCGCCAACATGGCCCTCCCGATCAGCAGCCCATCTCCAAAAGTGGATCGATTCCAACAAGCAATGGAATCGGTCTATGGCAGTTTTAGCGACATATCAGAGCCCGAGAAATGGACTCCGCCCCCAGAATCGGGTGGCCATCGTGGACGATATTTATGGACGGACGCTTTTGGGGTGATCAACCTCCTAACCATGCATAAAGAATATCGTCGAGCCGGCGACAAACCGTCTCAGGATGATCGCTATTTGATTTTGGCACGACGACTGATCCAAACGGTGCACGATATCCTGGGTCGCACACGAGATGGGCGGTCGCGATTACCAGGAGCCACAGATCAGAACCCTCTTGGAGGTGGATTGCGCATTGGGAAGACTGACGAATATGGGCCCGACTGCGATGGGCAGTACCACCATTATCTCACTGTGTGGATGTTTGCGCTCAACCGGATGGCAATGGCATCGGGCGACATGAACTACAACCGACAGGCCGTGCAACTAGCTCGCGCTATTCATCCAAAGTTCTTCGTTGATCGAAAGGCTGCACGTCCGCGCATGATTTGGAAGATGTCGATGGATTTGTCAAAGCCGCTTGTCAACTCGGAAGGCAACCTCGATCCGATAGATGGATTCGTCACATTTCGCCTGCTTCAAGCGACGGCCGCTGCTGCAGGTGACGGTGATGACCTCTTGGAAGAAGAGATCTCTGACTATAGACGAGTCATGGACCGTAAGGGACAACATTTTGTGTCCAAGGATCCACTTGACTTGGGCATGACTCTGTGGACGGCGCACTGGTTCTCTGAGACGGAAGGCTGGGCATCAAGTCTTGTCAACCGGTGTTTCGAACAGCTATGTGAGTTGAATCCCGGACTCCTCTAACAACACAGTATATCAGCCTCCTAGATCACAAGAAGTGCTGACGACATTCTACCTCAAGATGATCTGTTCGAGATAAACAGGCATCTTGAACGTAGCATCAAATTTCGCTTAGCTTTTCGGGAGTTTGGAACTTGTCTGGGCCTTCAATGTGAATCAGAGCAGACTGGAGAAAAGGAAAGAGCCGTTGATTTCAAGAGCTGGTCAGATGCGATCATCGTCGCATGGGATCCGTATATGGAACTCTCCGCCTCGGCAAGTCTGACTCCTGCGGACCTGCGGCCTATCACTCGAGTGATGTATGCTTCGGCTTTGATTCCTGGTGGTAAGTGCCCTCCAACGGCGTAATCCATGGCTGGCCCTACAGTCGTTCTCTGTACTGACACATTCCCTGCGTCTAGCCTTCTGTTCAGGGTACCTGGGCCCCGAGCCAAAGGATGTCGTCTAGTTAGCGGTGGCCGTATTTGTAACTAGTAGATATGTAAATGACATCATCTGGATTCTGAAAAATAGCAATGCAGAGATCAACTTCTTTTGAAATTCTCCTGCAAGCAAGCGTATGTATGAATGCAAATCCACCGTAAATGCATGGTCGTGTATAGAAATGATGTCGTCTATCGCCAAATAAAATATGTACAAGCACCACAAGAGGGATTGCCATGCCTTTCTATAGCCCCGGGATGCCCACAATATCCCTCCACGGCGTGAGTCTCCTCGGAAGTATGTAGATTACATACACGGAGCTCAGGGCAACAGTCAACCCAGACCACTATTAGCCAATATTCGTCAGCAAAATGTCCATGATAGTCGGAATTAAAGCGACTCGGCTGTCGAGGCAAAGATTATGCTCGAAAAATCAACTAACCTTTTCTAGCCACGTGTGGAACCAAATGGCAGTCATGAAAAGCATCCACCAGCCTAGCCCAACAACACCCCACACTAAGCGTAGAGACCATTTCCTCGCAAAACCAGAGTCGACATCTTGATCACCACTCCCGGAGACGACTGGGTCACTCGCCTTGCGTTCACGTGCACTTTCCCCATCGGCCCGAGTCGATGTTGAAAACGCGGAGAATGCCCCAGCACCGACCACCTCGTGGGCCAGGAGTGCCGTTGCCAGCACCAGCATGAAAACATGACCACTGATGTCGTGACCGCCTCTCCAGGCCCCGCCCGCGGCTTTACAGGCTGCCGCAGAGAAAAGGGTCTCGACCTGGGCCGAGGGACTTCCACTCAAGTCCATCTTTCGTGCCCGGCCAATCGCCTCTTCACACTTGCCGCCCGTAACGACAAAGCTCCGATCGATTATCGCGGGACCAAAGAACCACTGCGTCATCAAGTACCATATCGTCGTAGCGATCGCATAGCGGAGGAGGGCTTGAAGAGTACGTCGCACACGGGTCTGTTGTTGGGACTGGGAGAGAGAAGATGAGGCAAGGTACGCGGGCTGGAAGAGAAGTATCGAGACAAAGGCAGCTGTGGTCCACAGCCATCCAATCTTCACAAAGTAGAGATTGAAAATATTATTCTTTCGAGCAAAGTAATTGACCGGGTTCTCGGAGAGGTGAAGGTCGGCGGCGAGTGAAGGTGCGAGGGGAGCAGACGACTGCGGCAGGTGTGAGGAAGACTCTCTGGCAGCACGAGCTACTGGCGAGATCACGGAGAATAATGAGCCTAATAGCAAAGTGGCTGGGTATATAAGGAGAGCGGCCGGGGAGGGAGCAGGACGAGTGGGTGCGGCCATGGTTGTCGGTGCAGAGACCCCAGGGTGCGGGAGTCTCTCGTGTCTAGTTTGTGGCTGGAATTATTGTCGAGGTGCAAGAGGTGTCGGGAATGAGACTGTAGGCAATAGAAATGACAATTGAGAGGAGCGAAAGCAGGATGCATGGGGAAACTGAGTGCCTTGACAGCTGGACGGATGACATCAACTTCGCCTGCCGAGGCACTAACGTGGTCGGTAAGCGAGTGGGCCATGTAAGCGAGCGGGCCACCTAACCGCTTTTTCGCGTCCTACCACGTTCATCTATCTTCTATCCACCACCATGCCTCCAATTCGCGCCGGGTTAAGCCAGGATGCTATGCAACAAGAGGGCCGCATCTTATTAGCTGTACAAGCTATAAACAACAAGGAAATCGGCTCTATTCGGAAGGCTGCAGACCAGTTTCAAGTTCCCCGGAATACGCTCACGCGTCGACTACGCGGTACTACAAACCGTGCTGAATCTCGCGCAAATTCTCATAAATTAACAGAGATCGAAGAGGAACTACTTCAGCAGCGGATACTATCGCTAGATCGACGTGGAGCAGCCCCTACACAAGCTCATGTACGAGAAATGGCTAATTTGCTACTCGCGAAGCGTGGTTCTATCTCTATCCAAACCGTCGGCGAAAAATGGGCATATAACTTTATCCAACGCCATCCGGACCTTAAATCTCGCTTTTCACGACGATACGACTACCAGCGAGCACTACAAGAGGATCCAAAGATTATTCAAGAGTGGTTTAACCTCGTACAAACCACGATTCAGCAATACGGTATCCTCGCGGACGATATCTATAACTTTGACGAGACTGGGTTCGCGATGGGCCTTTGTGCGCATCAAAAAGTGATTACTCGAGCGGAATACTACGGTCGGAGATCGGTTTTACAGCCAGGGAACCGCGAGTGGGTAACCGCAATCGAGTCAATTAACGCTTCGGGGTGGGCACTTCCACCGACGCTTATTTTTAAGGGCAAGCAATATAATCAAGCCTGGTTCAAAGATCTTCCGTACGACTGGCGCTTCGAAGTTAGTACGAACGGGTGGACGTCTGACGAAATAGGCCTTCGCTGGCTTCAAAAGCAATTTATTCCGTCGACAAATAGTCGTACGCGCGGAAGATATCGACTTTTAGTCCTCGACGGACACGGAAGCCATCTAACAGCAGAATTCGACCAAATCTGCGCGGATCACGATATTATACCGATCTGTATGCCAGCACATTCCTCGCATCTTTTACAACCGCTTGATATCGGATGTTTCGCGGTTTTAAAGCGCGCATACGGTGGTTTAGTCGGCCAGAAAATGCGGCTCGGGATTAGCCATATCGACAAGCTTGATTTCCTCACAGCTTATCCACAAGCTCGTACCGACGCATTTAAATCAGAGACGATTCAAAATAGCTTCCGAGCAGCAGGATTAGTACCTTTTAATCCCGAACCAGTGCTATCAAAGCTCAATATTCAACTTCGGACGCCTACGCCGCCCTCAAGCCGCGGTAGTCAAGCAAGCGCTTTTTGCCCCCATACGCCCGCGAACGTGGACGAGCTTTATAAGCAAGCAGCTTCAATTAAAGCTTTCCTAAAACGACGCTCGAAAAGTCCCCCATCGCCGTCGCAGGCCGCGCTAAACCAGCTTATTAAAGGCTGTCAAATCGCGATGCAAAACGGTATCTTTCTCGAGCAAGAAAATAAGCAGCTACGCGAGGAAAATACTACACAGAAGAAAAAGCGTGCTCGTACAACTAGATGGATAGCTCACGATGACGGTCTGAGTGTACGAGAAGCAATGGAGCTCGAGGAAGCTCATAATGCCTTTTTTCAGGCCATACCAGGTCCACGAGTGCCACCAGCGCAGGGTATACCGGCACCGAAGCCGAGGGCCTTACCTAAATGCGGCAATTGCAGTGAAATAGGGCATAAGAAGAATTCTTGTCCAAATAGAGAATAATGAATATAAAGGAGTTGTGGTTGATATATATCGATAAATGTGTAGAAATTCTGGTTGGGTGGCCCGCTCGCTTACATGGCCCACTCGCTTACCGACCACGTTAAGACTTGATGCCTGCAAAATCAGGCAACAAAATATGGGCTGGTCTTCTGAAGGGAAAGAGGTTCGAACTTTGCGCCCATAAAGCAGCAAGCACTATATTTAGGAAGAGACATGCTAGCAGTGGTATAGACCACTTTTTCTACCTAATAATGAAGTAACGATATCATCCATTTGACTTAGTATTTAACTATGGGCCTGTTACAGTACACATGAATAGATCTTTCCTCCATGCTTTTTTTCATGCGCTATGTAAGATCTATGTTTAGCTAGAATATGCAGGATGAGTGAAGAGATAACATCCGGGTCTGGAGCTAGGCATCCTAAGCTAGTTATGTGCGGAGTCTCCATCTCGTTACCTACAGTAGTGTGCCGTTATTTATGTGCTAGCCGAGGTGGCGTGGCTTTTAAGTTAAAAGGCTTCCATTTCTAGAACATCTATCTCTAGCTTCATTACGATCAACGATGGATTTCTTTCAAGTATCCCGATCACGATGAGCCTAGTGTTCTATCTTCCTTGGATATTTGATCTTGACTATTGAGTGGACTGAATCAGTATAGGCATGTAGGGTAGTTGACTTTACAGAATGTGATATCAAAATGATTTAAGCCCAAGGCACGAAACTTCCACCGTACTTGACTCTCCACAACATGTGATGCTGCATGGGCACATCAGATGCCGCATGAAAAGGTTTCCTACTCTACCGCGAGGCTCAGCTATCACACGTCTATTTTCCGGTGACCCGAGATGAATTATTTCTATCTTCACTCAACACAAAGAGCGGGACCATAATTTCTATGGCGATCGGAATCTGGGCACTTCATCTCCGCTTTGAGTGGCAACCACCCAAACTGCTGGGTTCGCCTCTGCATTGCCAATTCCGTGGCCAGCACCACACTGTATTATTATTCAGGTCCGGTCTAAGAAATTGCATGTTGGGCAATGGCCAGCCTGGTCACCTTGCTCCAGGTGTTCACTGCTCAGGATGGCCGTTAAAAAGCCCTATCCTAGCATTAATGGAAAAGAGCTTAGTGTGCTGGATCGCCCTGGGGTAATGATCATTACACAGTTCGAAGGTCCAGCCTATCCTCAGGAAGGAATGACATTCGGCTCCACAGACTAGGGCACGAGAAAGGGAGAAAGAAATGAGTAGTGTCCCATTCCCAGGACTGATATTTGCTAGTTAACTTGTTGTATCGCAGCCTTCTCAACCCGTTGCAACTTTGCCAAAATGCCCCCACCGCGGTCGGCGATTGGACAAAAAATGGGTCCTTTTCTGGCCCTGCGGATCGGCACACACGGCTGGACTAATCACTGCGGCGCATCTCCATGCCCCCCAGCGGTTGACTCCTGCCTTGATTGCTCACTAATGCCCGTGGGAGCCCTTCGCAAAGCCTGAACCAGACTGTCGGGACGGCACTCCCTCGTTGCAAAAGGGATTGCGGAGCACTAACCAGTGGAATAGTGTAATAAAAGTTGAATAGCGCTGGTCCCGACACTCTGGAACACTAACTGTTGTCGTAAAGCTGGAGGGGTCATAAGACTCCAGTCGGTGTGGCTGTTGACCACTGCAATCCTCCAATTTCTTTACTCCCTTGGATCCCTCTTCTATCGCGAATCCTTGAGAACTATCTTCCGGAAAAATCTCGCGCTCATCGACCTGCGTGGGATGCACCACGCCATGCAACATGGCTCGGACGCCATCGAGCCTGATGTTAGTGCCGCTCGGAGGGGTCGCCGTGAGATATGAGTGACATTGCATGGAGTACTGATCTTATTCCGCGCATAGTTCTCGGATGTCGATTCAGCGTACCCGGAATCGTAAGTGGTAGGCAAGAACGTGCGTATCTGCGCTAACTCTCCGATAAGGTTGGGTGACGCCAGTTATACCACCAGTATCACATCATCTGCACTAAACTATCAGTATGTCACCATAACAAAAGAAACCTAGAAAAAAAAAAGAAACAAAAGCACTTTTTTTTCTTATTCTGCAAATCATCGCTGACAACACAGATATGAGGTAATTACCATACAGCTGATACCACAATCAAAACCTCCTGCTTAGTAGCGTCTAGAACGGTCGCAGATACCACTCCTACCATGAAGGCGAATATGTCCTGGTAGGTCAACCCTCGATCGATCTTCGGCTGATCAATCTGATCTAATTTCCCATTCTAGCCGAACGATGAGAGAGAACAAGATCGTCTTGATCTGGTTAGTGCTTACCAGCCTCGTCGATCCAACCCTTAACTACTTTATCTTGATTGACTAAACTATCGATGACAGAGTCACCACATTTACTTAATGCTCCTTAAGGGGGAGCTTCACGCTGCGCCAATAAAAAACCCAAGGAGGGTATTAGATATTGGTACGGGTACGGGGATATGGGCTATGGATTTTGCAGAGTAAGCTCTATCTAAGCTCTATCTTGCAGAAGTCACGCATTTACCATCGAATAACCCACTCTAGCGAACATCCGGAAACAGAAGTAATTGGTATGAGACACCATCTTCTCTTGGACACGGGCTCGCTGAGACGGGGGTTGCTTGACTAATACCATGTAGGAATTGATTTCAGTCCCATTCAACCATCATGGTAAATATCACCCAGCCAATACTCTCATATATTACCATTATTCTAACGTATCAATTCAGGGTACCGCCGAATTGTCGCTTTGCAATTGACGACTTCGAACAACCGTGGTCATATAGCAAGCCATTCGACTTCATCCATGGACGCGAGCTAGAGGGAGCCATCCGCGATCATGACACGTTATTCCAACAAGCCTTCCAGTATTTGAATCCAAACGGATGGCTAGAGATGTCCACGATTGAAGTCAATACATACTCAGATGACGACACCCATCTCAAAGCAACAAATATGCTCGAGAGTGTGATACAATTACACGCAGGGTCAAGGATGTTCGGAAAAGACATGTCATCCGTGTTCACTTGGAAAGAGAAGATGGAGAAGGCCGGATTCATCAACGTAGAGGAACGGGTGTTCAAGGTATTTGCTGTAAGTCAATATGGCGGAATTTTTATACTAACCCTTCATGTAGCTTCCCCAAAGTCCTTGGCCTAAAGATCCTAAGCTGAAAGAGCTGGGACGATATCACCAACTCAACATGTTGGAAGCCATGCCCACCTATAGCTATGCGCTATTCACACGCATGCTTGGATGGGATCGAATGCGGATTGAGGCTCTTTTGGCCGGTGTTCGCCACGAATTGAAAGATTTGTCGAACCATTTGTATTCAAAAGTACATATGGTATACGGGCAAAGGCCGGAGTGACCTTTATTAAGGTACCTAAATGTACATAAAATTCTTTCGAATGATCGAAAATATACCCATTATCTTGGTTTAAGGGCGACAACTATACAGGAACACCGAGGAAACCCTCTTGGGAATGTAGTCACTATAAAATAATGCCATTCGAACTGGGATCCGGTACCAATAGTCCAGACATAACGATAGGATATCTCTAATCCCAAGCCAAAACACCACGCTAACATAAATTCTTGATCTCATATCATCAAAAGAAGAAAGTAAATTTCGCCAGAGTAGACCCTCCTCACTTTGACCTGGTGCTGTCCATTTTAGAGACAATTTTTGAGAGTGACTCAGACTGCTGCAAACGAATGCTGTTCCGTGTCTCCTTCCAAGACATAAGCTCGTTTAATTCCCTGCTTTCGTAGGTTGCGTTGGGTGTATCCGGACTTCCAACCAGAGTAAACGATGACTCATCTGGGGTATTTGTGACGATAATTTTCGGTATATTTATTGCGATTTGTGGGGGTTGTACGCATATAATGGTCGAGTCACCGGGTAGCTCTGCAAGGACCGGCACGGGCTTTCGCATGATGGTACCAGACGATGACGGAAGCTCTGCTACTGGAGTTTTGGGTTCCTGTGACACATCACTCGGAAGCTCTGCCACGGGATCGGGCGATGCATCGCTTGAAAGCTCTGCGACAGACTTCGCGCCCGGCTCCATAGTCGAGAGTTCAGCTGCAGTCTCCGATGTGGTCTCCTGAGCTGGAGCCTCGATGGGCAATTTCAGGTTCTCGAGATGATTCAATACTCGATCGAGTCGGCACTGATATCGAACCAACCGAGATTGCTTTTCTTCGGCGCGTCCACGACCTTGAAATTTCCAATGTTTCCGGTTTGTTGAGCTGATCTTGCCTTTTCCCTTGCGTTTCGCCATGTCCAACCGACATGGCTCCAGAAGATCGGCCAATTCCCGTGCCGAGTCATCGGCATCGACGATGGTCGAATTGATCCAATTGTGTTCAATTTCTCCGAGTTGAGTCGATTTGGAGTCCCTGAGCCTCTTTGCCTCCTTGACCTGGGAGGAAACGTGATCCGTAAACTTAAGCAATCCCCGGATCTGCTCGTCTGGCCGGCGCTTTTTTATGGACAGATCAACTGACAGAGAGGAAGTCGCTGTTAAATCGGTAGCGGTCTCAGATGGCGATTGTGGAGATGAAGTAGAGGGAGAAGATATAGAGGACACGGGAGAGGGTTGTGATGATGGTGACGTTGTCGATATCTCGGGCTTCGATGATTTGGAGGTCTCAGTTAAGGATCTTGTTTTGGCTAATTGCACAGCTTGTTGTGACTCTGGGATAGGAGGGATGGTTTCGGTTGGTAAGCTAGCTGGCTCCGAACCCTGCTCGGTCGGGGGCTTTTTCTGCTCGGCTTGGTTTTCAAGAAGATTCATGTGTTGTAGACGGTCTGTCGACTGATAAATTCTGTTCGCCGACCGTGCCAACATGCCTGCAGTTGACTGGCGGCACATGGTCTTGGAGTGATTCCACGAGTCCGCCGACTTATGCCAGGCCACCATGGTAGTCTGATGGCATCGATCCTTCGAGTCGTGCCACACGGTGGTAGACCGACGCCATGCTTCCGTTGTGGACTGCTGTAATTTGTTGGTAGACTGTTGCCATTTGGCTGTTGATTGCTGCCAGAGCTCCCCCGGTCGGTTCAGCACGCCTGTTAAGCCCATATTTGTGGCGGCAATACTTGGTGGCGGCAATATGAATGTCAAAAGGGGAGTGTCGATGTAGAGGGCCCGGGGCCTGGGCACTCGGTAGTTTGCTTCAAAGTCAAGGCCCCGTGTATGAGGTGAGACGGGACTTATATCTTCTTATTATCAGCCATAACACACGCAGGAAAACGCCTTGGTCTACATCCCAATTTGTATATGATTTGCTTGCCTGCTTCGTTGGCCCCCCTGAGTGGGGTAATTAGTATTGCTTATTGGCAGATGCACTTGTCGGGGCGGCGATGCATCGTGATTCAGGTTTACTGTGCGAGCGCCGAGCAACGAGGTCCATACTGTATCGGGGCTGGTCGCAAGCAATCGTAGGGCCTGCGCCATAACAATTAATAATGATTTGGACCGAGGATTGGTTGGTTCGTCTGCTAACGCAGGCATCCATTCTCATCATTGGTCCTGATTTTCACAGGGCTTGGGGCCAAAACTCCCATGAAACTCCACTCGAACTGCCATCATTGGGTCTTTCGTATAATCCCGGGCGAAGCCATCATCTTTCGCTGACTGTCAATCTCCTCCAGGTCGCTATTTTTATCAATGAAGGCGGGGTTGCCTCAACACTCGGGAGATGCCTCAGATTTGGTATTTGGTGGAATTGCGCGTATGGTCTTTTTCCAACACGTCCGGAAACATGACATGGCGCTACTTTTCTCAAATAAAGTAACTCCAATTTTAATATTTGCAAGAGTCGCCAGTTTGAGTAAAAGGTGCAAAGATTCGGGGCTGAAAGCGAAGGCGAAATTGCCCATTGCAACTCGTTGGCAGATGAGAAGATCTCCGTTGACAGGTTTGCCTGGCCCCCAAAGTTCCTACACCCCCGTCAAAACAACGCAAATCAAACAATCATTCGGCCTGGGATTGCGTATGCTCAGTTGATTTTCTATATCTCATTTGATTTGAGAACTCCAAGAACTAGTGGGCTTCGTCAACGCACGAGCTGAAAATGAGAAGCACAGAACCCAAGAATGTCGATTTCAAGATCTGTGTTAATTTGTGGCACGGAACACAAAATAGAAAAATCTAAACATAATCATGAACAGTCACTCCGTAACTCCCAGATATTAATGCCTCAAATTCACCGAATACACAATAACCGACCGCCTTTCCCGCACCGGTTTATTCAATTCCTTGACATGCTCATAATTTCTTTCCAGAATAGTATTCTTGGGCCGACCCAGGCTGGGCATCACCCTGCCTCTCAAAAACCTGACCCTGATAATATGGAGGAGGCGCCTTCGCATAGCTCCTCGAATTGTCTCCAACAATGCGGGGGTGTACCTCTCGGGAAAGATTGTTGCTGGTATGGTTCCCGTGGTGGTACTGAGGCTCGGTCGACGAGGACCATTGCGGTTGAGAAGCATTATGGTATGTCTGGTTCCCTTGCATATAGCCCATCTGTGGCTCATGGCCAGGGTATTGTTGTTGATGCTGGTTTTGAGGCTGGTTTGAACGCCGCTGCTTTTTAACTTCGTAGTCATTGACAGCCCTTTGAATACTTTGTTAGCAGAGTTATCCCCGTGTATTGACCTCCGAAGAACTTACTTTGACGCAGCCTTGATAAGGCCATAGCCACCAGCTAGAGTCAAGCCAGTCTTGATGAGGCCCATGGTGTTGTGATATTAGGCTTTACTGTGTAATTTGGGTTTGCGTGAGGAGATTGTAAGGTTGGGATGAGCTAGATGTCACTCTCAGTGGAGGGGATATAGAAGTTTTTATATTCGTCGCATCGATAATACAACAGTAATATTCATATCCTTTCAGCCTAGCCATAGGAAACGCTCTATACATTATTAGGATACAACCTAATAATGGCTCGATCATCGTCAACTGAAGATGGCAAGGCTTAGACACTCCACTAGTTAAATGCCCCACTTGCTAAGCATAAAATGCGCGCCACTTTGGGGCTTGACCTTGTCACTGCCCAATCAAATAACCAGGCAGTTTCCACGCTTTACCCAAAACTATGCAACAACCCGAACCCGACAGGGGGTTCGTCGTCGGGGGCACAGCCTTGTGCCTCCCTTTAAACAATACTGAACTGCTCTGCTGACGCCTGAAATCTCGTGCCCGTTCGGCCTTGGCCAACCTTCAAACCGCATCCATCCCGAAACCGAGCTGGTCTCTGTGCGATACCGAGAAGACTGCATATGCCGCCACGTCTGAGCCATCGGAAGTCTACAACTGGCTGCCTTCGATGTAAATCACGCAAGGTTAAGGTGAGATAAGATACATTAATCCTTGATACACTGGCTACGGCTTCTCACATTCGACTAGTGTGATGAAACACGACCGAAATGTAGTCATTGCACTCGCCATAATGTAGCATGCGAATATCCTTCTCTGGCCACACGGATCTATAACCCCAGTCAGCCAAGCTCTAAATCAGCAACTACGCTTGTTTGCCGAAGGAAAAATGAAAGCCCTCGACCGAGTCTACCTTCCCCAGAACTTGGAGGGAGGCGGGTCCTCGAGCTGCGCCTCATGCACCACTGGATCACCGCAACTGCAGATACAATGAGCTCCGCTCAACTGGAATCTGTCCGTGAAATGTGGAGCGTCTCGGTACCTGAGATGGCATTCGAGTATGAACCGCTTCTTCACACTTTGCTCGCGCTTGGCGCAGCACATCGTGCAACATTGCTCCCTGGGGAAGCCCCCTCTCTCCGACCTGTTCATCATGGGTACATTGACTCTGCTCTCAAAGGGCATCGCCCCGTGACGGCAAGACTTGATGGCAATACGAGCGAATCAGTTTGTCTGAATGCTGTCTTGATATCTCTATATACCTTATTTCTACGGTCGGAAGGCACCCCTAAGCCTTATGAGCCCCCAATTCTATGGCTGTCAATGGCACGTGGCATTCGAACAGTCATGAAGACTGTTTATCACCAATTAATGGCATCAGATTCTCGCTTATGTCCATTACTTGTTGCACAACCGACAATCTGGAATCGAGACTACAGTGACTCCAATATTCCTGCCAAGCCCTTCCGCTATCTTCTGGATTATCACCGGGAAGAGATGACAGATACGGTTGAGAATGTTTATCGCGGAACTATCGCTTACCTTGAGCGCTTGTATCTTGCTGTTCAAGATCAACAGCCAGAGTATGTCATACGGAAGATATTTAACGGGTTTCCACCGGTCGTGCCAAAATTATTTCTTGATTATGTTGGTGAGAATCGACCGCGAGCTCTTGCGATATTAGCACATCTATTCGCGCTAGCTAAAGGTGTGGAGAATATCTGGTGGCTGCGCGGTATTCCAGAAAAGGAAGTACGAGGGATTGACAGTATCATGCCTGCTGATTGGAAGTGGGCTTTGGCTTGGCCGCTCAGAACGATTGCAGTGGGAAATTCTGCGAATGAAGCATCGTCTCCTTTGACAATGCGGAGTGTTGTCGATATGTTATCTTAATATGTTCGCAATTTCAAGAATTTAAATTGTATTAATGTTGCCTTACGAGGCACTACTCTTGGGGAAATAACTTCATACTATCCTAGGGTAGATGTTTAAAATGTTGAGTGTTTGGTTCATTCCGGACACGCAACGTGTCTAGTCCATGGTGGGCGCCCAAATCCATGACCAGCCTCGTCAGTCCCTAGATTGCGGTGGCGGTCTTTTCAAGTTGACGTTCTCTGACCTGTGCTTGATTCTGGAAAATTCAGGGGCCATTGATCGACCAGTAACATGTGGATATGAGTGGAACTAAGCATCCCCTCCACGCAGACGCTAAATCTCGGTTTCGGCTAGAACTCCAACTCTAGTTAACTCTCCTGAGCTGACAAGCCCTAGCGAGGACGTCTCCGCCAACCGACTCTACTTGAATTACTAGGCTGCGGCTTCGAAATCCAACACCATGACGATCCTCGCTTTCGGCATCAAGCTCACAGCCTCCCTGGTTCACGGTTCTCGATTAATCTCACTACGTGGAGCATGTGGTCCCCACGAGAGGTAGAAATAGAGCAACTAAGCTTTGTTATCACATAAAATGCTGGATTCACCCACGTTTTCGCGCTGTATCCAATTTCATATCCCACGACTTGTTCATCATTTCTTAGCGATTCACAGTTCCTGTTCCTTCATACACACCCTCTACGAAAGATCCAAACTTGCTCCATCATGACAACCTCAACCGAGGGTCTTGAGCTAGCTCAGCTGGTTTTCTACGCCATTGCTTCCCTCCCCGCCATATACTGTTTCATTACACACGGCAAGTATGGATTAGTTGGATGGCTATATGTCTTCGCGATGTGCGGCCTACGATTAGTAGGAAACGGCATGGCATACCACGCACTTTCCACAACTGGCAAGCCCAGTACGTCTGCTTCGATTATCAACGGAATCGGTCTCTCGCCTCTACTACTAGCAGCGCTTGGAATTCTTCACGAAGCGTAAGTCTCAATGTAGTCACACCATTTTGAATCTATCAAGCTAACTCTCGTAAAGCAACCACTCAATTCAATCGGCACTTCCTGCGTTTCTTGGTTCCTTTGGCCTTCTTATTCCCCATATGGTCATCGCTGGTGGAATTGGCCTCGCCGCTGCCAGTGGCAAAAACCCTCACTTGTTGGAAATAGGGCTCATCATCTTTGCCACGGGTTGGATCATCGTGCTAGGTCTGGTGATACTCTCGGTCAGAGCAAATGCTCATCCCCGCCGAGTCGGCGACGAAAAGAAGCTTCTTTTGGCTGTAGGGATTGCCATGCCTCTGATCGGAGTGCGTGTTATCTACGCGATCGTGATCGCTTTCAAGTATCAAAATACGTCCAGTGGAAGCCTAGCTGTCATGGTCATCCTTGGCACGGTTCCAGAATTTCTGGTCATGATCAACTATCTTTCAGCTGGTGTGATGACTCGAAATTTGGCTCGCGACCGTGTGGAGAAGAGACCTCAGCCAGCTTACGATACGGCTTATTCTGCTGTATGAGGCCAGCCTTATTTTGGTCGTTCTATTGCCTTTTGCTTTTGCCTTTTGTGTTTAGCAGAGTCTTGGCGATCTTCAATTAGTGTGATCCTATCACGTTTTTCTCTCAAACTACTTGGAGGTTGTCGAGTCAAATACAAACTAGCTAATAATGAGTTGAACTAGATCCTTAAGAACTTTCGCATGACTTGCCATCTTTGCTACACTCCCGAAATATGCAGTCATCGTAAATTGTGCTGCCTTTTGAGTCATGATTGCTCACGTTTTGTACAAAAGTGGGTGGCCTGAACCAGGTCGAGCTCACCCTTTTCGGAATTCGGGTCAGAGAGATCAAATGGGCCAGTGACGAGAACTCTTCTTCGTAGGAAAACTTCCATAGAGAATATCGTAATTCCGGTCATACTTTAAAGAAATGGGCAGATGAGAATGCTACTCTATGCTTCTATTGTGAGTAAGAGACCCTCCGGTCGGGCTCCAAGGCTGGAATGATCGCCCCACTTTCCCCAAGGCATCAGCGATCACCACCGTTCGTAAGGGGACCCTGGATCATTCATACTTATTCATCGCCTGTCCCAGAAAACTTTAGTGATGCTATAGACCAGAATTCCTCACTACTGTCATGCCTGGTCCGCCTCTACCATGCTCGGTGGCCGATGAGGACGTGTTTGGCCCATTCGTCAACGCGTCGTGCCACAATGGCTTTGACTTTACTCTGCTTTTTGAAGAGACAATTTTGACTCTCCTGCCACTATTGCTTCTCCTTCTCTCGGGAGCAGTTCGTGTCTGGAACCTTCGTCATGCCACAGAGAAAGTCAATCGATCATGGCTGTACGCGGCTAAGGAGGTTCGACATCCCTTGAACTGATCATAACTCGTAACACACACTAACTGATAACGAACTAGGTCGCATTGGCTATACAAATAGCACTCCAATTAGTCCTTGTGATTCTTTGGAGCATACCTTCTATTCCCAGTACGAGGATGACAGTTCCAACCGCCGTTGCAAGCTTAGCCGCTTCCGTATTCATCCTTTACCTGTCCCACCTGGAGCATGTTCGGTCCTTGCGCCCATCAACAGTCATTTGCCTCTTTGTAGGAACAACTCTACTCTTCGATTTGGCTCGTCTTCGAACGATCTACTTCATGTCTGATAACCTCCCAGTGACAGCTTTATTTGCCGTAAGCTGCATTGGCAAGACGATCATTCTTGTGCTCGAGTCTACAGAAAAGCGATCATTGCTAAAGAAACCATTCGAGGGCAGCTCACTTGAGTCAACAGCTAGCACTTTCAATCGTGGTCTCTTTTGGTGGCTGAATGGTCTGCTTTTGAAGGGTTCAAAAACTACTCTTACGGTGGACAGTCTTCCGGAACTCGACGAAGCCATCAAGACAGCTTCAAACTCGGAGGCTCTGGTCGAGACCTGGAATAAAGGTGATTTCCGTTCAAATGCAAAAACCATCCGTTCTAGGTCTGACTTCAACTTCTAGCTGACAAGTACCGACCCAACGCATTGCTTTGGACCTTGGCTTGGCATTACAGATGGGAGATCATGGAGGGTGTTTTGCCCCGCTTGGCATTCACTGGTTTCAGTTTTGCTCAGCCATTCTTGGTTGAGCGAGTGCTGCATTTCATGACGGAGCCCGAGCATGCTAACTCGGATAACTACGCCCGTGGCCTTGTTGCAGCATACGCGATAGTCTATATCGGTCTTGCGGTACGTGTTTCTATTTCCACCAGCTCCTGTAATGGCTTTTAAGTTACTCACTTTGATCATAATAGATATCCTTTACCGTGTACCAACACAAGACCTGTCGTCTCGTTACCATGGTCAGGGGGAGCTTGGTTACTCTCATCTTCAACAAGACCCTGCGCATGAGCACCTCTGCCGTGACCGATGCGAGTGCAGTCACTTTGATGAGTACAGATATCGAGCGTATTGGCAGCGGCATCAGACAAATTCACGAGACTTACTCCAACTTTTTGGAAGTTGCTATCTCACTGTGGCTGCTGGCCAGGCTACTTAAGCTTGCAACTATCGCCTCTACATTGGTTGTCGTCAGTACGTATTGACTACCATGAGCCCGATCGGTAACCATCTGTGCTGATATTTGGAACTAGTCTGTCTCATTATCGGAATCCCACTGGCGGTTGTATCTGGTAATGCGCAGGGCGTATGGCTTGAAGCTGTGGAGGAGCGTGTTGCAGTCACCTCCAAAGTTCTTGGAGTCATGAAAAGTATCAAAATGACGGGCCTGACGCAGGTCATTTCAAACAACATTCGGCAGCTACGGTCGCAGGAGATTAGAGCCTCATTCTTCTTCCGGTTATACACTGTTCTCATCACGACTTTCTGTGGGTGCACCTTCAGTATTTTCACAAAATATTTTCTAATCCAGTTCGCACACAGCTTATGCATCTTCGGCACTTGCCCCTGTTTTTGGCTTTGGTGTTTATATCATCATAGCTCAAGCCCAAGATTCAGGAACTTTGACAAATAGCATGGCATTCTCGGCACTGACACTCTTCTTCCTCCTTGATCAGCCAATGATTGGCTTTGTCGATGGAGCAGAAGATCTCATGGCAGTCGTTAATTGCTTCCAAAGAATTCAGAAGCACTTACTCGACACTGAACGGACAGACTGTCGCTTGAGTCACAGCACCGAAAGTCCCAGATTGATTGATATCGAACCCAGTGAATGGCAAGATGATCACGGATTATCTTGTGTGGTTGCGCGAGATTTGACTGCGTCATGGTCCGTCGATGACGAGCCAGTACTTCAGAAGCTAAACTTTGAAATCACAACTGGACTCATCACTATGATCGTGGGCCCGGTTGGCTGTGGTAAGTCAACCTTGCTGAGAGTGTTGCTTGGAGAGATCCCAGAAGTCTCGGGAACAATTTCCACCGCTTTCGAGAATGCCGCCTATTGCAGCCAGTCGCCGTGGATTACATTTGGGACAATCCGACAAAATATTGTGGGTGCATCTCAATGGGATCAAAAATGGTATGATACCGTCATTCAGTCGTGCTCTCTTCAAACGGACCTTCAGCAACTTCCAGCTGGGGATCAGACCAAGGTCGGTGTTCGTGGGTCTCGGTTGAGTGGTGGTCAGCAAATGCGAGTGGTAAGCTCTGAACACTCTGGGGACAGAAATGGAATCTGGGTTTAATATCGATATAGGCATTAGCGCGAGCTCTCTACTCCAGAGAGCCGGTCCTTGTCCTTGATGACGTACTGACGGGCCTTGATCGAGAAACTGAGAGGGCAATCTTAGAGGTGGTTTTCTCGTCAGATGGCCTCATCAAAAAGTCTGGACAAACTGTCATTTTGGCGACAAACTCAGGTTCGGATCTTGAATTCTGATGTCATGACCATTCTCTAATCCATTTCTAGCTCACCACCTTTCCTATTCCGACTTTGTCATCTCTTTGAATGAGGATGGGCATCTTATCGAGCAAGGCTCGTACGACGCTCTTCTAGCCGGACAAAGTTACGTCAGTATGCTTGCTAGCAAAGCTAGCACTGTTGTGACTACCCGAGCGCCCGACGTCGTCCTCGATGATGAGACCCTACAGGGCCTCAATCTCGACAAGGAAGACGACATTGACAGTACCAGCCGCAGAACGAGCGACTTGGCGGTCTATCTGTATTACTTCCGAAACATCGGATGGCACCTTTTGGCGTTATTTTTCGCCAGTGCCTGTCTGTTCGTTTTTGGACTGATCTCCCCACGTAAGTGAAATTTCGGGCTGTGAGAGGTTGCCAAATAACTGACTAGGTTTTGTTCAGAAATCTGGCTGCAATGGTGGACTGTTGCCAATCAGAAAAGGCCGAACGAGAACATCACGTACTGGCTGGGTATTTATGGTGCTCTAGGCTTCCTGACACTCTTTTCTGCGTTCATTGCAAACTGGTATGTTGGATTTGATATCTATCAAGGATTAAACTAATTCTCTACAGGGTCTTTGGAATGATCATTGTGCCTAAAACCGCCCGTCGTTTCCATGAGATCCTTCTGGGAACAACTATGAGGTAATATCCATTTTGAAAAAATAGTAATCATTGACTGACCTGTTTAACCTAGTGCAACCACTTCATTCGTCACATCAACTGATATCGGAGCCACCACGAACAGGTACTTCTGCATTGCTTATACCTCCTTCAACCAATACTAACATGATTCGCCACCCAGATTCAGCCAAGACTTGGAATTGATTGACGAAGAACTGCCTGAGGCATTCGAGCTGACGACGTATGCAGTTCTCTGTTTCTTCGTGGAAGGATTTCTAGTCTTTGTCGGCTCGTCATACGTTACCTCGGTTGTGATTCCATTCGTTATCCTCGCGGTCTACTTCGTTGGGACATACTATGTCCGCACGTCTCGACAGGTTCGTCTGCTAGATATCGAAGCCAAAGCACCTCTTTTCTCCCAATTTTTGGAGGCGATGAGCGGTCTACCGAGTATTCGGGCGTACGGATGGTCCGAGCATTATCAACGGCAAGAGTTGATTGCTTTAGAGGCTTCTCAGAAACCGTTTTATACGCTGTACTGCATTCAGCGCTGGCTGAGTGTTGTACTTGATCTGGTGATCGCAGGTATTGCTGTTGTTGTGGTTGCAATTGCACTTTCCATGAGAGGAAGCCCTTCAATTAATCTGCTTGGCATTGCCCTGTTCAATATTGTTGGCTTCAGTGGCACTCTGCAAGTCTTGGTTACCCAGTGGATCGATCTTGAGACTTCCATCGGGGCCGTTTCTCGAATCCGGTCATATGTGCAACATGCTAAAACCGAGGATCTTGATACTGAGATTGAGGTCGTGCCAACCTTTTGGCCAGAGAAGGGCAACGTTCAAGTCTCCGGCGTATCAGCTTCATATGAGTATGTTTGAAATTGTGGGGTTTGTGGCACCTTTTCTAACCCTTTTCTAGCTCATCTTCCGACCCGGTTCTTCGAGATGTGGATCTTACCATCCTCGCTGGTGAAAAGGTTGCTCTTTGTGGCCGAACCGGGAGGTATGGTACCATACGAATAACCTCTTGAAATTTATCTAACTTGGTTTTAGTGGTAAATCGTCGCTTATTTCAACAATCTTGCGGCTTCTTGACTTGAACTACGGTTCCATACATATTGACGGAGTAGACATCTCTCGAGTGTCTCGCGCTCACGTACGTTCTCGCCTAAACACTATCCCGCAACAAGCCTTCTTCCTCCACGGAACCATCCGACAGAATGCCAACCCCGAAGGAACTGCTCCGGATGAAGCCATCGTAGAAGCACTGCAGGCTGTAAACTTGTGGTCCTATCTCGAATCAAAAGGAGGCTTGGATGAAGATATGTCCGAGGACATTCTTTCTCATGGCCAACAACAACTTTTCTGTCTGGCACGGGCACTGTGCAAGCCCAGCAGTATTCTCATCATGGATGAGGCTACGAGCAGGTATGCTCCCATTGAACAACTACTTACGGGTCTTTCATCTGACAATGTACAGTGTGGACTCGGAGACCGACGCCCTCATGCAAAACGTTATTCGCACTCATTTCCAAACCCAAACCATTATCGCCATTGCTCACAAGTTAGACACTATTCTAGATTACGACAAAATTGCATTCATGGATCATGGCCGGATTGTGGAGTTTGATACACCAAAGGCGCTTTTGTCACGAGAGGGATCAGCGTTCAAAGCCATGTTTGATACATTTCGGCGTCTCCCGGAGTGACGGTGTGGCGTGTGAAAAGGGATAGATATTGGGATTCTTGATTTTTGTCATTTCGGTTCTTGTTTTCTTTATTATTATAGCGAGTCCTGTTTCAGCAGTTTCTTAATACTTTCATATCTGATTCTATTTTTGTCCATTTGCTTTTTCCTTCAATCTAATAAACCTCACAAAGTAAGTACAACCTTCCCCCTACCCGTATACCGGCCATTCGCAAAGTCATAAGCCTCCCTCGCCCGATCAATGGGATAACTACCCGCCACAAAAGCCTTCAACAATCCCCGATCCACCAACTCCCCCAAAAAACTCAAAGCCCGACTACTCCCCCTCACAATGAAAAACAAAGCCTTGACTCCATCCCTAGCAATCCCTTTCTTGCGATGCTCCTCCACAAAATCGTAGCTCGCCGAATCCACCGAAACAAGCGACCCCCCATCTCGAACATACTCCCAACATCTCGCCAACGTCTCTCCACCCACCGTATCGATAATAACATCAAATCGACCCTTCACACCCTCCAGCGCTGAATACTCAATAACCTCATGGGCACCTAATTCCCGTAGAAACTCCCCATTCCGAGCACTCGAGCTACTCGCCGCAGTAACCCGTACCCCAGCTGCTGCTGCTGCTAACTGCACCAGATAAATGCCCACACCCCCAGCTGCACCGGTAATCAACACCTCCTTCTGTTTTTCTTTCGTCTCAACACTCGATGAATCCCCCCAATCAGGCAAATCCAACCCGCCATGTTCAAAAAGCGCCTCAAACCCGGTCATCCCACTAAGCGGCAACGCCGCCGCCCCTTCCCATCCCACAGCAACAGGCTTCCTGGCAACCTCACTCTCCAAAACAACCGCATACTCCGCCCAAGTGCACGGCCGATCCGCATGAACCATGCCAAAGACCTCATCGCCGACTTGAAACGCAGACTGCCCGCCGGGACCCGGAACGACCTGGACGACCGTCCCGGCAAAGTCGTTTCCCGGGATGCTGTAGGGGTGGGCGTATGTTTCGGGCCATGTGAGCATGTCGCGGATGATGGTTGATGCTTTTATGCGGATGAGTACGGAGCCTGGTTCTTTTGGGGTTGGGATGGGGGTTTTGTCGAGGTGGAGAGAGGTTGAGGAGGCGGGGTTGGAGGGGGTGTAGGGTGGTGAGGGGGGTTGGGAGGGGTGGACGCGGATTGCTTGCATGGTGATTGAGGAAGAATTGATTCTTGATGAGAGATGGATATGTAGGTGATGTTTGGAGGGTTGATGCTGTTTTTATGTTGAAGTATGGAGGAGTAAAGATGACTACAAAATGTGGGGAAGTCGATCACACCATTGCGGCTCGATCCGCCCGGTCGTGGACCCTTAACCTTAGGTTGGAGATTCTGCTTACGCTGTTCTTTGTCAACAATTCAATTCCATGGGCTTACAGAAAAATAATAATTTCTGATTCGGAATCTCGTCAGGAGGGCAAGCAAGTGCCAATGTAAACTATGTGCAGAATGCAATATTAGTGGTCATTGCAAAAGACCACAAGAGAGCCGGAATTTCCAAAGAAGAAGAGAAAAGTCTCCACTATTGCCAAATGTGGATATAAAAAACCAACGTTGCAACGGTGCAATCCAATTACTGCACGCTAGGCAAGTCGGCCGAGAGAGGCAGCTTGCGTGACGAGTTACCAACGTACACCTTCTTCTGGGCGCTGCTGATGACCCAGTTCTGCGAGGCCACATCCCAGTTGGACAGGTCACGGCGGGTCAAAGTAGTAGTCCACTGGATCTCCTGGCCAGCGCCGATGGTGACACGGTCAAAGGCACGGAGGACTCGGACGGGGTCATCCTCACCACCAAGGGAGACGTACTAGAAAAGGTCAGAACATATACTTCGTTTCGTTTTCAATTGCGGGATTACTCACAAGCTGAGGAACCTCGTCACCTGCGACCGAGCCGGTGTTGGTGATAGTGGCAGTGACCTGGATGAGATCCTCAAAGAGACCAGCATTGCCACCCGAGGGGCCGCTAGCAGGCAAGAGCTCCTGGGGGGTGCCGTCGGTAGCGCCGTCAGGAATGTAATCCTTCGCATCCATACCATAGTGAGGGTCGGCGGCCGAATCCTTCAGGTTGGTCGAGTTCAACCAGGGGTAGAGGTATTGGCGAACACGGTTGATACCGCTGGGGAAGAGGTTGTCCGAGGCCTTGCCAGCCTTACCAAGGACGGGGGCGTGCTTGGTCTTGCCAGTGGTTGCGCTGTACTTGTCGGCGCTCAGCTCCTTGACCTTCAGATCGGAAAACTCAAACTTGGTGTAACTCAGACCGAAGCCAAACTCGAAGATCGGCTCCACATCGTCCTTGTCGAAGCGGCGGTAGTCAATCAGATTGCCCTCGGTGAAGTCATCCTGGGGAGCACCATTGCCGTTGTTGGCCACGGTCAGAATGGCAGCACCGTAGTCCTTGCGCTCCTTGCCCCAGGTGAAGGGTGTCTTGCCACCGGGGTTGATGCGGCCGTAGAGGACATCAACCAAGCTGCGACCACTCTCTTGGCCAGGAAGACCGGCCCAGACGATGGCAGTGATGTTCTCATTGTCGTACCAGTCTCCAACAAGAACGGAGCCAGGGGTGTGCATGATCACGATGGTGTTGTTGCAGTTGGCAGTAGCGGTCTTAATGACCTCCTCGCCGTTCTTCCACAAAGTCATGTTCTTGCGGTCACCCATGTTGCCATCAACGTTGATGTAGCCCTCGCCCGAGTCGGCGTTGACAAAGACCAGGGCGACACTAGCAGTAGAGGCAACGGAAGCCATCTGGTCGAGGGCCCCGTTATCCGTGACGGCAAAGACGTTGGTCTGGCCATTGCCGTAGTTCAGAACCTCATTCTGGATGGCCTGCTCGGGAGTGATCAGGTACGGGAAGTTGGCCGTTCCACTGCCCCAGCCCATTGCTAGGGTACCGTTGTCACAACCACGGTCACTGCAGCCGTTGGCACCATAGGCATTAGAGCCAGCATCCTCTCCCAGAACAGCAACCAGGCGCTCCTGGTGAGTAAGAGGTAGGCCACCGTTGTTCTTAAGCAAGACAGTGCTGTCAGAGCCAATCTTGCGAATGACATTGGCGTGATCGCGCTGGACGTTGACACGCTGGTTGAGCTTCACGTAGTTCTCGCTCACAATGTAGTGCTCAAAGCCATACTCATCACGAGTCCAGGAGCTGAAGTTAGGAGGAGTACGGACACGGTCACGGCCAACCTTGTAGTAGGCAGCCATAATACGAACGGCCATATCATCCAGACGCCACTCGGGGATGGTGCTGTTGAGCACAGAGACGGTCAAGTTGGTACCCCAGAACGAGTAAGGGCTGCCCAGAACCACATCACCGGGCATCGACATATCCATACCAGCCAGGGCATCGCCAACACCACTGTGGTGCGCACCCCAGTCACTCATAACGAAGCCCTGGAAACCAAGCTCGCCCTTAAGCAACTTGTTCAGGGTGTAGCTGTTGGAGCAACCGTAGCTGTTGTTGATTTGGTTGTACGAGCACATGACGGAGCCGACGCCGGCACGGACCGAGTCGACAAAGGGCCAGAGGTAGAGCTCGTGCATGGTCTTGTCATCGATGTTGGAGCTGACACTCTCGGTGATGTTGTATCCATATCCCTGAGCCTCACCGGCCTGGCGGAAGTGCTCCTGCTCATTGCCGATAAAGTGCTTGGCGCAAGCAATGACACCAGCATCTTGGATACCCTTGATGGTCTCGGCCATCATCACACCAGTCAGAACAGGATCGGGCGAAAATCCTTCCCAGACACGGCCACTGTCGGGATATTTGCCCAGGGGGCCTGCGACCGGTCCAAGCTGAACATCAACACCCTTGTCACGGTGCTCTTCGCCCATTGCCACACCACGTTGGTAGGCAAGTCGCTTATCCCAGGTGGCGGCCACATTGACACCGGCCGGGAAACCCGAGTTATAGTCGGCTGCGGATAATCAATTAGTTGAGTTCGATATTGAGAAGCGCAGGATCGCCATACAGTCACGAATACCGAGGGGTGAATCTTGCATGCACATTCCCCACATTCCAAGTCTATTTCATCGTCACCTGTCAATTGCTTTCTCCCTTTTTTATCTTTGGTTGCTGTGTCGCAATCTTACCTGGGGATACCACCGGTCTCACCGACACAGTGTTCTTGTTCCCATCTGCGTAGGCTGTCAGCACCAATTCCTTCCCAGGCGTAGTCTCGTCGTCATGAATCACATACCCAGCACCGGTTGTCAAATTCACCTTCTCCGCCAGAGTCAAATTAGAGACGAAATCCACGGCCCGCCGATAGGCCTCGGCCCACTCGCCTTCGCCGGTAGCCCATGGGGATGGGTAGTAGGGAGGGGAGTATGCGAGGTCCTATTTCAAAAAGGGTACAATTAGCCCTCTGTCGAAACGGAGATGAGGCCATCGGCTATCGCGAGGTATATTTCAAGCTCATGGGGTGACAAACCTTAGCATTGGCGACCGTGGCGGCCGTGAGGACGGTGGCTTCCAGCCACCCGAGCTTCATGATTGCTAGGGGGTGAGAAGCTTGTCCGGGCAAATTCAGGGACTCGGGATGTACCGAGGGAGCTGAACTGCGCAGCGGAAGCAGGAGGAGAGATTGAAGGGTGTACAGCGTCACGACTTGCAGATGGCGGGGGAAACGGTTGAATTTAAAGTGTTGTTTACAACCCAAGGGCCAGGGATGTTAATGTGTGTCGTAATTTCCCCATAAAATCTCAGGAACTAAAAAAATTAATGGGGGGGGAAGGAGGAGAAAGCAGGAAAAGTGTGGAGAAGCTGAGAAACAGGAAAGATCGACAAGAGGAAGGTACGACTGTACAGTACAATAAGTCGTGTAGTACATACCTGATACAAGTCGGGTACAAAATAAAAACAAATAATCAAGGGCTAGCCACTAGTTGGGACTCGAGGTCAAATGGTTCTCTCCTTGTTGTTTCCCCCTTTGGAGAGAACTATCATATGTCGTGGCTAGAAAGCGAGGGAGAAGTTCTAGAGAGTCGAGGAGTCACGTTGTCGACATATCAAGGGGGACTGGATCACTACCAGCCTCCAGATTGTCTCTGTAACTTCCCTTTCATATTCACTCTACAAGATCTCTGACTTCCAACTCATTACAATTATTACCAACGAGGTATCCTCCACTCGCCAGTTCCCGAGTCTGCCGAACACGGCAACCGCCTAAACTTCGGGCGGCATCTCCATTGCTACCCTGCCACTCCACACTCTTCCCACTCCCTCCGTGCGTCCACTCGCTCTCGTTCTCCATCTCCGTTAATTCTCCGCGCCAGCGTCCAGCTGCCAACTAGCTATTGCTAACCAGTTACTACTAGGCAGCTTCAGGTCTAATCATGTATTACCAAACAGGGTAAGCTGACCACCATCACTGTCCACTGACCTGTCCCCCGCACTTTCTCCGCGTCCCAATGTCCAGGTATGTTTTATCGCAAAAACACAACGGGACTTCAGAATTCCTATCGATCATGGTCAACTGCTATGAGATGTTAACCTTGACCAGGTGCCAAATCGCTAAGAAAAAATCTCAGTAGATTCTCCTAGAGAATTCCCGATCGTCCTTCCTGATGGGGAAACTCCTACTGGGTCGGTCCTATGAGCTTGGATTCCGATACTCCGCGAGGGCTTGGAGATTTTCCACGGTCTCTACTAGAACTCATTTGTGGCGTACTCGTTCCCACATGGCTTATGCTTGTCGTCTCCTGGGTTCAACCGGCTCAATTCACATCCAGTCCGTGGGTCGTACCCGGCTCCCGTGTTTCTACTTTAGGGCAACTTCGAACATGTCAACACATGTCCCAAAGTAGAATGAGACTAATATCCAACAGGATCGTTTCTAGAATATTACCCCCTCCATCCAAGTGCCGTAACTTGGATTTTTTTTCAAGTTAATTTCTGTGATGCGATGACGCATCTATCGGCGTCGCCAAGTGTTGGCTGCCGTGGAGACCGGGGAGGCGCCCCCCCAAAAGTGCGGGGCTCCAGGCTTCATGCCGACTGCAGAAAACCCCCCACAGTGTGCTTGGCTTAGAGACCTTCCGTGCGCGTTTTTTTCCACTGTTTGGTCAGCGCAATGGGGATCGAGTTTTCCTCTAGTTAACCAACTAACTACTACTAGCTAGTCTAGCTAGTTAGTAAGTTTGCCTAGGTCAGTCGATACCTACTGTTCTTGGCCGAAGAAGCCATACTCACATTTTGTCGGTTGCTAGCGTGTGCAACGTCCACAGCAAAGTATGGATCTGATCTGCCCATCGCAATAACGATCCCTTGTTTTATCCTCCGATCGACTCGATCGGGCAACCTGCCGTGTCAAACAGGGACCGAAACGCTCCACCCAGTCGGCCCAGGACGACGGAGGCCCTTCGCGGATGTCACTTTACTACCGAGATGGCCAGCCGTTCTATCCATAGTTGATGCGTCATTCGGGTTCTGGACACCGGCATCCTAGTTCCCCCACGCTACGCACCGGCATCGGCCAGGGATTTCGAAACACCGATCAATCCACCCAATCGGCATCTACAACAGAACAGACTTGTCGGCATTTGGCTATTGATTACATGCGTCATCCGGATTTAACAATTTCCTTCGTTCCATCTCCACATTGACCTCTCGGGAAAACGATACGAGTGCGGAGAAATACCGCCTTTTGTCGTCCCATCGGCACCGAGTGTGCGCGCCGAGCCGACAAATTTCTCCGCTCAGGTGGAGTAGGTAGCGCTACATCACCATAGTGTAGATATGCTGCATAGGCGCCACCAATAGACGGAGGATACTAGGCCCATCAGATTATTTTTTCCTGAAGTTGTGAGTATGTGAACGAAGAATGGATAGAAGTCTAACGGCTGGGCTGTCATGATTTTCGGGATTTGTCAAATATTCGGGATTTGTCGATGCCGAAAGTTTTCCGAGTACATGATTACAGCGATACAGTACGACGGCACCGGATCTATCTTGAGATGAGTTATAGGCTGATCTCTGTATTATTTGCTTTGCGTGGCTGGACGCCACACTCTAAGCATCATGTGTACTGCATAGTCGGCTATTCTCACGGCTAATGCTTTGTGTAAATTCATTGTCTGCTAATATGACATTATCTCTATAACCGGGGATTATGAACATAAATATGGAGTAGAGTAGACTCGAGAATATGGATTGATTGGGCCCATGATCTTGATAACGCTTTAATGCCGTTTAATGTCGTTAGGAGCTAGATCGAGCACTTCCCCTTCTAGTGCCAGACAGATTTCTTTTGTGGCTTCTATTCCTAGACTCAAATCGACACACTCTATCGCCATGACCCAGGGAGACATAATAAATGTCAAAACTTAGGTGTAAAACAGCTTTCAAGATCCTTGTATCTAGATTTGATCAACCAATTAGATTCTCCCCATCGTGTCTACCCAAGATACTGGGGCAGCGCATGTAAATGCGATCCCATAGATCCCAAGTTTCCTCAACTACCTTGGTCAAATGACCTATTTTTTCTCCATTTACTTGACCACAATTATCGTATTATTATCGATCTCGCTCCCGTGTTATCGCTAAAGGCTCTGTTATCCGCATAGTTTACTCCTTTCCTTTACCCCGTTTAGATATCAACCTTGCAGGCAATCACGTGCCTGAATATCCCGTTCCAAGATGTCACCCCTGTACGCTGATTGGCCCAAATCCCGCAAACTATTCAGACAGCTACGAACACGACGATGGCGAATATGGAGAGAGAAAAAAACTCATGAACACCCTCCTTTCTCTATTCATCAAAGTTTCTCAAGGTCCATGAAATGACCGACCTAGAAGCTAACAAGGCCTCAAGCCTGGAGAATCACCACCACCTCCAGGAACACAAGGTCAGCGAGAATGGCACGGAGGTCTCGGACTCGAATGGCGCTTGCCAGGAGGACAAGCACAAGTCGGTTTTCCACCAGCTTGGACTCCTGGATCGGTTCCTTGCCGTTTGGATCTTCCTTGCTATGGCTATAGGTATTATCTTGGGAAATTTCGTGCCAAGTACTGGTCCAGCATTGCAAAGAGGGAAATTCGTTGGTGTGTCTGTGCCGATTGGTAAGTTTGCTTTTTTTGTTCTTAGCTCTTTTCTTTGTTACAGTATGGGGCCGGATTAAGCCCGGGGGTCGAGGCAGATTTCTGATATCAAAGCGTTTTAGCTGTCGGTCTACTGGTTATGATGTACCCTATCTTGTGCAAAGTACGATATGAAACGCTGCACCGGACCCTTCGACAGAAAGCGTTGTGGGTCCAGGTTGGGTTTAGTATCGTTGTCAATTGGATCGTGGCCCCTCTTTTCATGGTATGTCCTTGATCGAGCGTGGTAAGACCTGAGTTATTAGTACTAATGGTGTGGGCAGTTGGGACTAGCATGGGCATTCTTGCCGGATGAGAAGGAGTTGAGAGAGGGATTGATCTTGGTTGGAATTGCACGGTGCATTGCAATGGTACGTTTTTATTTCTATAAACCCCCGAAAATACCTTCTTGTAATGTCTAGCTAACAAAAGGGAAAAAACGACAGGTGCTCATCTGGACAGGTCTTGCCGGAGGAGATAACGAGTACTGCGCCATTCTAGTCGCCATCAATTCCGTATTACAGATGGTGCTGTTTGCGCCGATTGCCATATTGTTCATTGGAGTCATCAGCGACGACGATATCCCCTTGCAGTATTCACTGGTCGCCAAAAGTGTTGGTGTCTTCCTCGGTATACCACTCGGCGCAGCCATAGTGACGCGATTCGGACTTCGCAACCTGATCGGAGAAAAATGGTATGATCAGAAGTTCCTGGTGTGGGTCAGCCCTTTGTCCCTCATTGGGCTGCTCTTCACGATCATCGTCTTGTTCGCCTCGCAGGGTCGTCAGGTCGTTCATCAGATTGTATCCGTGGTCCGAGTGGCGGCGCCTCTGATTGTGTACTTCGCGGTGATCTTCCTGGCCACACTGGTGATAACTCGGCGCTGTGGTTTTGGATACGAACTGTCGTGTACGCAGAGCTTCACAGCAGCGAGCAACAATTTCGAGTTGGCAATCGCAGTGGCGATCGCTACTTTCGGAGTGGATAGCAATCAAGCGTTGGCAGCCACTGTTGGTCCTCTCGTTGAGGTTCCCGTGCTGTTGGGATTGGTGTATGCAGTCAAGTGGTATGGCAAGCGGAATAGTTGGTAGTGCAGCAGCCGGGACCAATAGGTTGTGTTAATAGTAATAAAATAATTCCGGCAACAGCAGATCACATGCCGTTGCTGATCTCGTCCAAAACTTGGAACAAGACTTGATTCTCAACTCGGCAGCCATCCCCTCTAGCCCCGGCTTTGAATCCAGCCCAGAGTCTTTTTCGGATTTCCTCAATATCGATGCCGTTTATATTGTACTGGTTGATCAATTCTTCTGCCATGCTACAAAGAGTCGTGTTCAGTAGATCATCGTCACACTCGGCCATCGCGTCGCCTGGTGAGCAATCGCAGAGGGAAGGATTCGCGAGCTTCGGCTGGATCGACGGCTGTTGCGGCGGCTGTTGCAACGCCTGTTGCGATGATTGTTGAGAGGATTGTTGCGAAGGTTCTTGTAAGGGTTGTTGTAATAGCTGTGGCTCTTTCGGCTCAACTTTCACGGGTGTGCAGCCGGTTGGTCCACAACTACTTGGCGCGCAAGCTGTGGGAGCGCAAGCTGTCGGCGCACAAGCACTCGGTGCAGGAGCAATTGGAGCACAAGCATTAGGAGCGGAAGCTATTTGTGTATAGGAAGTAGGTGTACCGCCGGTCTCCCTCGGGGTTGAGCCATCAGTCGCCATGCTACATGCACTCGAGGCGCTTGCGCGCGCAGAGCTTGACCGTGGGTTGGTCTCTGAGGAACTAGACGGTGACAATACGGGCATCTCTACCGGTCGCTGCATCGCAGGGATCGCGACTTTTCGATTGACCGCCGTGCCTTGATCGGCGATTTGTAGATACTGTTGAACCAGCTCCGCCGAGATTCCAAGAGACCCTAGTAACGTCCTCAAGTGGCGGTTCTCCGCTTCGAGTTTCTGGCTGGCCAGCCGATGCTGGATGTCTTTCTGCTGGGCTTCATTTTTGAAAGTCGCCAGTCGTTGCTCTAGCTCACGGACATACTCCTGCTTTCGCGCTCGGCTCTTTCGCTGGTTCTCACGAACACGCGCCAGGCGCTCGATGTTCTTCATAGAAAGTCAGGCACCAGCATTCTTGGAGTATCTTGGCGAGCTAAGGGTCCTGGGCAACGCACCTTCTGGCTGTTCTCAGCGTCCATCGCGCGCCGATTCTCGGAGAGATACACGAGTTTGCAGCTGCTTTGCAGGGATAGGGTCAAGCCTTGAGGCGTCCGCTATAATCGAATCGCGGCGTCATCATTTCCATGTCTCCTGAGTTTCGAACCCTATTTCGCGGTGGCTTGGATGTCACGTGTTTTTGCACGTTTTCTGCCTGATGCATCTGGTATCCGCTCAGTGGCGACTGCATTTGCTGACAAAATGATTTCTAACCTTCCAAAGGTACCTAATTACCCTCAGTTACTTCCAGTTTGGAAGCTCCAACCTTAGGGTATCTTCTCCCATAGAGTGTAGGTATAGCTAAGGTTCTCCTAGATCGCATCCCGCTTGATATGGTCCCCTTTTACGCCAATCTCCGATCAGTTTTCAGATAAGCAGTGGCCTGCGCAGGGTTTAACACGTAAAGGGAGGCAAAAAGGGGAAGTTGCGCCGATTGGGTACTCCAGCAGAAGCACGAGCCCTCTCCGGGGTAAAGAAAAGTCATGGTCATGGCTTTGCAACAGTTAAAGAACCTTGAAGGGGGAACATTATCACATTTCATTACATCAATAATCATGGAATATCCAGGCCTGGCCGGAAGGCAAATCCTCGCCCAAAGCGTGCTGCTCGCACTGCATGATTTACCCGCAAACGATCACCTCGGGTACTCCAACGACGTCACTGCCCGTCAGTCGAGGCAATCGAGGCGAATTGGGGAAACTTTGGGGAACTCTGGACTGGACGAGCTCTCGGATCACCTGGCATGCTACCCCCAGCATTATTCTCCCTGAGGGGCGCCAGTCTGGAACATTGCTTTTTTCTCTGAATTCTATGCCCCTCGGCCCGGATGTGAAGGTTCATTCCTGCACTTTTCCCCCTTGCGGTGGTACAGCTCCTTCTACTCATCGAGGTCGCGCGACACTTCTCCTCCCCCTTTTAAGATCCTCGCGACCCGCTCTAGCCTGTCATGGTCTCCACGCGACATCATCCCCGCGACTTTCCCTCGCCGGAGAAAGCTGCCAAAGAGCTCGTCAAGTCGTCCCCTGCGCCAACCACCAACGGCACTGCGCGCAAATGGGTTCATACTCCATCTGCTGCGCTAACAATTTGGCTCGTCGTCTCCGTTCCTCTAGTCATATGGGATGCGACTTATGTACTCTTGCGACCGCATAGTATGCCGGGAGGTCGCCTGCACTCGCCCATCTGGACCCTCTATGCGCTATACGGGACTGTCGATTACCTTTATGGTTGGCCCGCGTACAATGCGCGTAATGGTTTCACTGCCGCGCAGACCGTGATGAACGTGGTCGAGACCCTGGGCTACTTGTATTACCTATGGATTGTGTACCGACACGGTGCCACGGTCGTTACTGGTCGCGGCGGCAAGAAGGTCAAGAAGGGCTTCGTGTGGCTTCTGACTGGTGAGAAGGTGGTTGCTGGACGAACTGGTGCAATCGCACTCCTGGTTGCTTTCACCGCGTCGGTCATGACTCTGAGCAAGACTATCCTCTACTGTAAGTCGATTTCCGTTTACTTATTAGGTAGTGTTTGGTATTGACTTTGATAGGGCTGAATGAGTTCTTCTCGGGCTTTGAAAATATCGGCCACAATGACGCTGCCACTCTTATCATTCTGTGGATTATTCCCAAGTAAGTTTAGCTCGACACATTCGATCTACATTCCCAGTCACCTTGAGTCTTGATCTAATAAAACCGTCTACTATAGCGGCCTGTGGATTGTTTTCCCTGCCTACAGTATTTCCATTCTCGGCGAAGAGATCCTGAATGCCCTGGAGCAGGTCCCGCCGCGCCGACCAGGCCGCCCAAAGTCCTCATAAGCTAGTGGTGAACCTTGGCAGGCGATGAGCTTCGAAAGGCCCAAAGCTGCATCGGACGAAGCTCAAATCGAGTCATTACGCTATTGGGTGAATGACTTCTGCTGGAATTGGAAAGCAAGTTTGTTTCTATTTTCTTTAGAGCTGTTGGTGCCGGTGGAAGAAGCTGTGCATCATGAGTCATGTAAGAATGATGAAGTGGAATATCGTTATTTGAGCCTCTTGGCAGCAGGGAAGACCCTTGTAACTATCACTATATACATCTACATACTATGAACAAAGATCGGAGCCCTTCTGGCCTTTCGGACCAGTCGCCAGTCCGGACGCCAACCGATCGATCGTCCTACCATAGAGGTTCGGCCCGAATGTGGACCACCTGCAGGGAACTTGGGGGGAACATGGGTGCTAGCTAAGGTATAGCGTGAAATAATCTATTCAATAGCTTTGATATGATCATCCCCGGGGAATCAATATGAGGTCTGTTGCTCCTTTCCAGCATCAAAAGTTGTAGATCGAACCATGCGATCATAGCCGAGCTCGGATGCGAATCACGGAGTATGTAACTGTACCCTCGAGCCTCGTGGGCCCCAGCACTGTTCTTCTTTTTTGTCTCATTTTGCTCAGCCATAAAGCTCGTCGTCTTGTGGCTGAAGTAAGACAGCTTTTTATTCGCTGCTTCAGATATTGCTGATGTGGACGTGACAGCTCAGTAATTAAGGCGCTACCAGTGGACGAAGTTGCCAAGCCGCCATTCGCCGAAACCTTTCCCCATATTCCTCCTTCGTTCTCCTCATTTTCTCCTCCACCCCGAACTTCCTCCCACCGCAGTCGCCCGGCATCCCACCTTTCGCATCACGCCGAAGAAAAAATTCATCGCATCTTCCCAGGCTGGAGCTTTCATACCCCCGCTCTGCTCCGACCACGCTGAACGATGCTCCGGGCCTGGGTCCTGGGGTATCCGCACCCGTCATGATCCCTGCCGACTCTGACGACTCGCCATTGAAGACTTCTGGTGCTAGCTTCGGCTTAGTCCAGGAGGATTCAACGGCTGGCCTAGATGATTTCGATACACAAAGCCATGCAAGCTCCCGCGAACACGGTAGCACACATGCCCACGACCCCGCAACGGGGGCCGACAGCGGTGGACTAGACAACCAAGGCGACGATACCACACGAGACGGCGCCGGAGAAGGCGCCGAGCTAGGGCCACTTGATAAAGATGGGAGACCGGCCTGGAGTGAAATGAAGACCAAGGCGGGGAAAGAGAGAAAGCGACTGCCGCTGGCCTGCATCGCCTGTCGCCGGAAGAAGATCCGGTGCTCGGGCGAGAAGCCCGCGTGCAAACACTGCACTCGCTCACGAATTCCCTGCGTCTATAAAGTTACGACGAGGAAGGCAGCTCCGCGGACCGATTATATGGCCATGCTGGACAAACGTCTGAAGCGGATGGAGGATCGCGTGATCAAGACGATTCCCAAAGATGAAACGAGAGATATGCACTCGATCGGGCGGTCGGTTGTAAAGCCCTCTGTACAAACACAGGCTTCGAAAGCCCAAAAGAAAAGAAGCGCCGATGAAGCATTTGCGGCGGAGATGGAGGGCTGGACACGAGGAGAGCGTCGCCCGCCACATGAGACTTTCCCCATGACCCGAGAACCCAAGTCCTCCGATGGCACCGGACTTCTGACCGAAGGCGCAGAGTTCTTGCCTTCTCTAGAGATCCAGGAACATCTCGCAGAGGTCTTCTTCGACTGCGTGTACGGCCAGTCATACCTCCTTCTACATAAACCCAGCTTCATGCGACGACTCAAAGCCGGCACCGTTCCCCCCGTCCTCATCCTTGCTGTTTGCGCAGTATCCGCGCGATTTTCCACCCACCCACAGCTCAACTCAGAACCTCCTTTCCTCCGAGGAGAAAATTGGGCCAATCCGGCAGCAGCCATCGCTCTGAGCCGGCACGACGAACCGAATATCACTATTTTGACCGTCTTCCTACTCCTTGGGTTGCATGAATTTGGAACATGTCACGGTGGAAGAAGTTGGTCCTTTGGAGGACAAGCATTGAGGATGGGATACGCGCTACAGCTTCATCAGGAGCTTGAAAGTGATCCATTGCTCAGTCAAAAGAATGGCGCCAATTCGCAATTGAGCTTCACAGATCGTGAGATTCGGCGGCGCACGATGTGGGCATGCTTTTTGATGGATCGTTATAATTCATCTGGAAGTCAACGGCCACCCATTGGAAATGACAAATTCCTCCAGATCCAACTGCCCATCAAGGAGACGCATTTCCAAATGGAGATTCCTGGGCCTACGGAAGATTTGGACGGAGACGTGCTAAATCCTACACCCGAGAACTCCGGCCAGCTATCCAATGCCAAGGAGAATATGGGAGTCTCAGCGTACATTATCCGAGCAATCGTTATTTGGGGACGCATTGTCGATTATTTGAATCTTGGCGGAAAAAGAAAGGATCCTCAGCCACTTTGGCATCCTGAATCGGGATACATGCAACTAAAACGGCAAATCGAAGAGTTCTCTGCCTCACTTCCGAGTGCTCTGACTTTCACCTATGAGAACCTCCAGATTCACGCCGCGGAGAAGATCGCAAATCAGTTCTTATTCCTGCACATTATCACGCATCAGAACATGCTATTTTTGAATCAATTTGCCATTCCTCTATCGCCTGGTGGGCGGCCTCCTCGAGACATGCCGAAGCCATTCCTGAGCAACGCCGGTCGAGCCGCCGTGGAGGCTGCCCATCATATCTCCGTGCTCTTCGATCGCGCATCAGCCTATCCACTTACCGTGCCCTTTGCTGGGTACTGTGCATACACGGCGAGCACTGTTCATATTTGGGGAATCTTCTCCAAGAATGTGCAATTGGAAGCCCGGTCCAAAGAGAATCTACGCCACACCTACCGCTATCTGAATAAGATGAAAAAGTATTGGGGTATGTTCCACTACATGGTGGAGAGTGCCAAAGACCGATACCGACAATTCGCCGATGCCGCCATCAAGGGATCTGTAGCAACGCAGAATGGCACCTCTTTGGCTCCCATGTTCCAATATGGTGACTGGTTCGACAAGTATCCTCATGGTGTCTCGAGGCTGCACTGGGAAGATCCAGACACTCGACACAAGGAGACAGGCGAGGACGCAGTCATGGGTCAGAAACCTGACCTCCAGAGCGTGGAAGACTTCTTTGCCAGTCTTTCTCCAACGCCGCAGCACGCTGTGCCGCGCAGAACCCGCTCGCGGAAGAACAGCAAACTGTCCGACGGCACTCCTAACCCTAATATGGACCAGTCTCCCCAGTCCATAGATATGGCCATGGGGAATACTCCCGGCGTTCCAGGCAGTGCTTTCCCACAGCCCTCTTTGTTCTCCCAGAACGGAGCCATGTCATTCGGCCAGCCACCCTTTGACTTCAGCATTCCACCGGATCAATTGCCACAGTTGGATCGGCAGTTCGTATACGGGTCGTTTTCTGACTTCGATCCTACCAGCTTTGTTCCGCCGAATAACCCTTCAATGCCACCCCCACCACCCGTCAATGGTGTAGATGCCCAAACCCCAGACCACTCCCTCTTTACGGGTCACCTTGATCCAGGTGCCCCGGCCGGAACGGGCGAGTTCTACCAGCCCAGCGCTTGGTTCCTCCCATTCAACCTTGATCCGATTAGCAGCGGTCCACCCCCACAACCAGCAGGAGGCCCGACTTCTGCTCCAGGCCCGGGCAGCGATCTGTCTGGGTTAGGTGGAGCAGGGAATCTGCCCTTGGGTGCGTATGACCTTGGAATGGGCGGGTCAGACATGAAATGAGATGGACGGCACTGCTCGTCTTGGATACCCCCTCCGCGATATGTCTACTGCTTTTTCGATGACCGCGACGTGGTGTTTTATTATTGTTATATGGAAGGATTTTTGGGGCTGGTGGATTTCGTTGCCTTGTACTGTCAATTATATATGTGGAAACCCTGGAGTAATTGCGATGTCTTTTTTATCTTTAATCGTGTATATATGCCCCGACCTCTGGTCAAGCATTCCAGTCCAATCTCCAACCTTAGGTCCGCTATACCTAAAGTAGCAGATCCTCCCGCCCAGCCTGTACTGTAACCTCATACCAAAATAACCAGACGTTACCTAGATTCAATTACCCCACCCTAACATTGACGTGTGATTGAAAAAATTTTCACCGCCGCTTCTTCAACACCTATAACCCCGCTGCACACCGGAACTTAGGGCACACTACCAGCTGGTATATACAAAAATGCAAAAAGAAGAAGTGTGCATCATCCGTGAATCGAACACGGGCCTCGTCGATGGCAACGACGAATTCTACCACTAGACCAATGATGCTGGTTCTTGTAAAGTTGTGGCAAAAAATGTTATATGGATGCCCCACTGGCTAGGCCCCGGTGTCGGCCCGGGGCTACAACCTATGTCTGGGCGGAAATCGGTAAGCCGATAATAGACAATTGCAATTGAAATGAGTTCTCTAAACTACAATGGGGCTACCAAATTGATGAAGATGATTCTGGCATAGATAGTCAGAGAGGGTTTATGACAAGGCTGGTTAGGTTCCAGGCGGGTAGAAGAAGGAATTTGGGAATGGATGATGGCGCAAATATATAATCGCAAGTGGAGAGCGTACAAAAATGAAGAAGGATGGATGTAAAGTTAAATGCCATTTATATAGCCACATGAAAAATAGAACAAATAATCAGGTGGAGCCATAGGTTTATTTCATAGCTACCGAGGTCAAAGTCTGGTGTGTCTAGGGAAAGCCGCCTGTAACAACTGGAACCCTGCTGATCAGCATCGACAACTAGGTGACGACCAATCCAACGAAATCAATGGGATGTACTGGCACTCTACTGCATGTATAGGTAGTAGATGGCCTAGGCCCTAGCATGAGGTGCCCACTTGCAATTGCAAAGATTTGAATCATTGATTGTATGCGACGAACAATCTACAACCTGCGAAACCCGACGAGTTCGCGAGTAAAGATCAAGATACAAGTCTTCTAGTCATCCCACTCCTCATCAAGCTGATCTATAAGTCGATTCTCAGCATCCACATCCCGTCGTCCGCCGTGACCACCACCGCCTCGGCCACCAATCGCACCGATGAAGCCGCCGCGGCTATCACCGTCAGCGCGGACGTATCCACTGTTCGAAGGGGATCGCTTGAGGCGAAGACACCTTCCAAGCGATGAGAAGATGATGACGAACATGTCCTGTGGTGATGGAGAAAGATAATCAGCCCGAGTGCTCTCCTAGAAACGGCCATCAAGCAAAAACACGGTCAAGTCTCTGGAGGCAGTGGCATAAGGCACGATCCCTAAGGCACCGAGTACAATGAAATACACGTAGCTGACTAAATAAGAGAACGAAGGAGCGTGCACCGAAGGATGAAAATTGTAGCAGCTTTCTCCGAAAGGCACGAGGGATGTACAGGCTGCGGTCGACGCGCGGGATGCTGCAGCGACACCTGCATGGATAGGACACACTCGAGACTAACCATAGAGCCAGGCAATCCGAGAAAGATGAATGTAACAAAGACAAAGAATGGGTGTGCGCTTTTTTGATGCAATTGGGCTCTAGACCAGCTAGAGCCATCTCAATCCAATCGTGAAACAGGTAACCGGGGCGTGCTTGAATCTCCATGCTTGTGCGAAGCCGCATTGCCATGCCTGAACCTTCGAGACCGACATGGCACCAACGCCAGGAGACATACCTTGATAAAATCGAACATGCCAGCCCATAGGCTGAAGTTGGGACACTGGCGCCAACCGCGCTGGTGCATGACTGTCCGTTGATACGCACAGCCACCAATCAGATAAGCAGCCACAGCGATGAGCATGCTAGAAAGAAAGTTAGCATGAATTAAGTCTCAGCCACCAAGATATCTCGAAAACGAAGACTCACATCACACCGAAGACTCCACCCGGCCCCAGTCCGCCATCATTCGGGTCCACTGCGATTCCTCCACATGCAGCCGAGCTGCGAATCTCGAAGAAATACGTGCAAGAGTCCATGGTACCCACAAAGGAAGGAGTGGCCGTGTTTGCCGGTGCATCACGGTCGCAGAGGAAGGACATGATGGTGGACTTGGTGCGCGCGGAGGAGTTCTTGCTGGCGGTATTCAAATCACCGGGGCATGGGGAGCCGTTCGTATAGTTGAGGACAAGCTTGCGACCCCTGAAGAAGGGTTCAGAAGCTTGCTCACTGTGTGAAGGCGAGGAGAACGTTAGCAAATAGTGGGACTATCGAATGGATGCAGAGCATCTTTACCCTATCGAGTATATCTTCCCCGATTGCTCGTAATATGCGCTGACATTCTTCCACCGCGAAGACTCCACCCCAACCACATCCTCGATATTTTCAATGACCGGCGCGCAGACGTTAATGGTGAAGTTTGCGGGGTAGTCATGCCCCTTGGCGTGCCAGCTTTCTTCCCGCGCATCCTTCTCGACCTTCTTGCCGTCCTTCATTTCGGGTGGCGATAACGTGATCGCATTGAGATCAAAGTAGAGGCCGCTCGTTGGTGAGCGCGCCACACAAGGGGCATCGTCATTGAGGTGAGAGTTATGATCCGAGGCAGCGTTGGTGAGACCTGAGATGGCGGACCAGAGGAGGAGTGAATAATGAGTGGAACTGGACAGCTTCATGGCTGTAAGTGGGGGGTCGCCGAGGACCGGATAAAAAGAGAAGATGAAAAGAACGAGTGTGATGAGGTTCCGTTCAAGAGGCCAGCTCTCTAGTTTGCTGGATGATGCTTAAGGAAGGTGAGGAGGAGGCTGAGACCTCGAGTAGCTTACGTTGCATGCAGGTACAACCTGATTGGCGACTGACAACCAACGACCAGCGATGCGGAGAAGTGGCCCGCGGACGCCGACCGCTAGGGCGGATTCACGGGATCCGGTGTCGTACGCGCTCCGGGCCAAGCTTCCCTTCTAACAGCCTTCAAGGGGGTCTATTTATTTCGGCCTATCACCCCGCCCCGATTACCAGGCAAACTCCAATTACTCCAATTCACTCTGGTTGCCCTCTGCGGTTTTCAATATGGCACCTAAAAAGGCTGAGAAGCCCCAGATCCCAATTCAACCTGTCCCAGAAAAACGCGGCTATGAATTTGGTGGGCCGTACGTTAGCTCTGATCTAATCTCAAATTCCTTCTACTAACTTGCGCCACTAGTCTAGGAGCCTTCGGAATCGTCTTCGGTCTCCCTCTTCTTGTCTATACATTCACCTTCGTTTGCAATGATGTGACGGGTTGTCCTGCACCTTCGCTCCTGAGCCCGGCGACCCTGACCCTCGACAAGCTCAAGCGTGAAGTGGGCTGGCCCGAGGAGGGCATTGTTGGTCTCTATGATACTCGGGTTACACTGTGGACGCTGAGCTACTATGCTTTCAGTCTGTTCTTGCAAGTCTTCCTGCCTGGTCAGGAGGCGGACGGTGTTCCCCTGGCATGCGGTGGAAGACTGAAGTATAAGTTCAATGGTATGGCAAGCGAATTGGATGGAAATACCACTATGCGCAGAGAAGAAAGGTTACTAACTCATTTTGTTATAATAGCTTTCAAGTCTGCCATCATCATCCTCTCTGGCCTGGCTACCGGTACCTACATGTATGGCGCTGATTTCGTGGTCTGGACTTTTCTGTGGGAGAACTATGTTCAGGTCATCACCGCGAACCTCTTGATTTCTTCCTCGGTTGCGCTTTTCGTCTACCTGAAGAGCTTCACGGTTCCCCAACCCGGCAAGCCTAACCAAGAGCTCCGCGAACTGGCACCCGGTGGACACACTGGCAATCCTCTGTACGACTTCTTCATTGGCCGGGAGCTCAACCCCCGAATCCGTCTACCCATTCCATTCGTCAGCGAGGTATCGCGGACCATTGATATCAAGGTGTTTATGGAGATGCGCCCCGGTTTGCTTGGTTGGACTATCCTGAACCTCTCCAATGTGGCCCATCAGTATCGCACCTACGGCTATGTGACTGATTCCATCGTTCTGGTCACTATCTTCCAGGGATTCTACATCCTGGACGCGCTGTACATGGAGCCTGCAATCTTGACCACAATGGATGTGATTATGGACGGTTTCGGATTCATGCTGTCCTTTGGTGACGTTGTCTGGGTCCCCCACATCTACAGCATTCAGAGCCGCTATCTCGCCGTCTTCCCTCTCGAGCTTGGCTGGAGTGGAATTGCCCTCGTCCTGGGAGCCATTGCTGTTGGATATTCGATCTTCCGCGGTGCCAACAACCAGAAGAACCGCTTCCGCACGGATCCCAATGACCCCCGTGTGAAGCACATCAAGTTTATCGAGACTGCCAGTGGCTCGAAGCTGATGGTCTCTGGTTGGTGGGGCCTTGCCCGGCATATCAATTACTTTGGTGACTGGGTTATGTCGTGGTCCTACTGTCTGCCCACTGGCATTGCTGGGTATGCTATCATTGAAAGTATCAACCCCACCAACGGCGCCCTCCAGAAGCAGGCCGTACAGACCCCCGAGGCTCGCGGTTGGGGAATGATTCTCACCTACTTCTACATGCTCTACTTCGGAGTCTTGCTGGTTCACCGTGAGATGCGCGACGAGGAGAAGTGCAAGAAGAAGTACGGTGCTGATTGGGACCGCTATACCTCAATGGTCCGCAGTCGCATTATCCCGGGTATCTACTAGAGAGTCCAATTCGGACAGTTTGCCCGGGGAAAAATTCCTGTATTTGTATGAATTTACATGAAATGGGGGAGATAGACTGGTCGTTTGTGTCTCATATTGACCGTGAAATGACCTCGTTGGTGGGCTCGTTGGAGTCCAAAAAGTGTACATTATGAGGGGCCTGGAAAGGCCAGAAAAGCTTCTACATAGGTGAAGCCGGCTTATGACGTGTTATTGACTAATTGTAATATTCTTTACCATTGACTTCTGTCAACCCTTGCGCTTTTTTGGATCAACTAGAACATCTAGGCTCCAGCTTTCATCTCCTGTATTCGGAACCCACCCCTTGAGGATCCTTTTAGCATCGTGAATCGCTTCGAGACGAATATGAAGGGGATCTGTGAAATCGCCTCCTGTCCGCTTGAACTCTTCGTACGAGCTCGCATCCTTGATGGAGTGGGATGTATCATTGTCATCGGCACGGGTTTGGCCCTTTTCATGTTCATGGAGGCATTCTTTTGATCGAAGAATATTCCGAAGAAGACCCCATAGCTTAGCGCGAGATAGCGATGAAGCCCCTCGTGCCGTAGGAGTAGCTAGTCGGTTGCCCTGCTTAACCCCATTGATAACGGTTTCATATAGACCAGTTTTTGAACGTGCCAAGGTCGGTAGCGTCTTACTACCAGTGTCCAATGTCATCACACAAGGATGTGGCAGTGAGGACGCGGCCGTCCATATAGAGCTGACGTTACCCGGTTTGCTCTTCTTGAGGACGACCGTCGGATTTGTGCTATCACTCTGCTGCTCTGATGGTAGCACAGAACGGGATTGGACGGCCTTGGGTTTCGCAAATGGCCAGAGTGCTTCAACTTCCTCGACAGGAACCGAGAGTATCTCGAATGGTCGAAATCGATATCCAGTTTCACCTTCATCGCGGTCTGTGTTCATCGGCCACGATCGACCCGCTAAAGCCTTCATGCGGCCGTTCTCCCCGAAAGATCTTTCGCACCCAACTCGCGAAATCTCATCTTCTGGGAGAACGAGGCCGGCCAAGTATGCGTTCTCCGTCGGGGCAACTAGATGGCTTGTTTCGCAGGACAGTAAGGAAGATACTTGACGTAAGGCGAGTTTATCAGAACATGATTTGCTTCGGGTTGATTCTGCATCCATGCGTGCTGGCTTTCGACGAACGACACCGAGAAGAGAAAAATGAGCTCGGCCATCAAGGAGATTCTCCTCTTGAAGGTCGCCCGGAAGCGCTGGGCTTGGATCGGTATGGCGGGTCACTTGCCATGGTGTTGCGTCCTCTTGTGCTGCCATACATAACTCCATGCTCGCATCTCCGCATGGGGCGCATGTACAGTACATATAGAACTTGATATCGGGTTGAATCTCGAAGGGAGGCCAGTTGACTGATGTACCGGCCCCGGGCTGTGTTGGTTTTCTTCTGCGAATAAACGGAGACCTTGAGGCATGACTGTGCTCAGCATCAATGATATCATCTAAATTGATAACTTGATTGCTCTCCTCTATCGACAAAGCATGGCATTCGTTTAAAAGCCAGTAATTAAAAGCGCGAATGGCTAAGATCTCAGCATGACAATCATGGAGGACGAGGCCTTGACAGCACGGGATATGGGAAGCTGGTAAGCATTTTGCTCCGGTACTATAGGTATATTAGCCGAGAGAATCACTGAAAAATGATAAATCTTATCAAAGAAAGATTGCAAGGCTCTTGGGAGCCGAGAAACGTACGTGACAGATATGCAATGTAGGCTTTCTGAATCTGTATTTTCTCCTATTGCACAGTCATTATATTGTTATACTGTAGGATTGAACGAAACGCCTAATAAATACCCTTGACAGCCACAATACCAGTCATTGGAATCCATTCTCTAGATCCATCGGGGAATATCCTTGGTTTGCTTCGCGCCGGCAAGCCGTCAAAATGCGTGTGAACCAGCGTCGCTATTCGAGACGCCAGCGGCACCTTCCGTGTGAGATCAGACATTTATATCTGCGCTGAGCGCTATAAATAGCCTTGTATAATCATTATACGAATACTCCGTCGAGTCTAGAAGAGGAGGGTCAAGATGTTGAATGTGTGATTTTATATTCATCACGTGATCGGCCGCTCACCTCGCCGCGACCAGACTTCAATCAACCATCGATCCGTCTCCCCTCTGACAGACCTCAGACACATTCCATTTTCCCATACTTTCAAAATGGCCGACAAGCTTCGCACCCTCCAGAACCTCGAGGCCCTACAGGCCCGTTACATTGGTACCGGTCACGCCGACACGACCAAGTACGAGTGGTTGTCCAACATCAAGCGCGACAGCTGTGCTTCCTACATCGGTCATAACCCGCTGCTCTCTTATATGGCCGTTGGAATGGGCGAACCCAAGGAGAAGGTTCGCACAAAGATGCTGGAGAAGATGGTTAGGGGCGCTGGTAACCCACCAGAGGTACGTGCTCGTTTCGCGCTCACCGCGAGTTATGAGAGAGTCGTTCGCTAACAAGTTCCCCCTTGAATCCTTTAGACTCAAGAATAATGATTCTCTGAAATCGGCTAATTTACCTCTCAACAACAAAATTGGATACCCATACCTCTTCCCACCAAGGGAGCCTCTTCCAGAACCCATCGACAACTCCCCGATCCCTATCGCCGACCTGTGAGACTCCGTCCGAAGGCATACGAAACCGCCTTACTGCGCACTGTTGAATCATCTGCTACGATATGATGAATCATATCATGTGTCTTTTGCACAATAATCGGCGGGCAACGTCTCTGCATTGCATCTCAGACTCGCTACATTTACTGTGCTTTGACAGGGCGAGTCTCGCCAGACTAGAGCTAGTACAGGCCTTTGCTGCGTTGTACTCTCGGATTCGATGGCGATTAAAGCTATGGATGATTAAGTCCACTTGATGCATCTGCAACAGCCTTAAAATAGAGCAGATGCTCCCAGCGTCCGGGGTTTATAATAGATCCACAATTATCAAGCAATGGAGAAACTTGTTACGAGGCTTTATTTACCATGAAGATGAGGATTAGTCGTGGATCAAAAAGTACATACCATAGAAAACTAAATAAGACGATATTGCCAATAAGAAACCCCGACCATATCTTCAAGGAATGCCGAATACCTCAATAACACCCCATTCACTCAACTAGACTCTTCCTTCCCAGCCAACCTTTTATTCTCTGCCTGTAATGAAGAGACAAGATCAACCCACTTCTCGCGCTCCGCGCGTAACCGGCTAATCTCCTTCTTCAAATCTTTAACTTCCTGTCTCAATGTCTCATTCTCAGATTTTGATTTTGACTTCTCCGAGCGTTCCACTTGCTTGCGCTGTCGTGCCTCAATCTTAGAGGCTACTTTTAGCTGACTGCCCTCAATCTTGCGTAGTTGCTTCAAAAGCTTCGACTCCTCGTGGAAGAGCTGCGACGCAGCTTTGTGGATATGTCCTGGTAGTTCCGGTTTTTGCGTGCGTTCGGATGACGGTGTGTCGCCACTGCTACTATCACCATTACCGTTGGTCTTTTGGCTCTGTTGCTTACTGGAGGCAGAGTTTGGAGTTGAAGTGGGCTTTTCTGTGCGCTTGGGTAATCCGCTCGTGTCGCTGTCTACATCATTGTAGATGCCCCGGGATGGAGAGGAGGTGTTGCTTCGCGCTGGGATGTGCAGCTTGTCCAGCTCGGAGCGGACAGTTTCAAGTCTGGCATCGATTTCGCGTTTGCGCAAAGCCAGCTTGGCTAGATCTTTTTCATGACTTGTGAGTTTACCGGCTTTGGCTATTTGCATCAATTCTGCGGGTGGGAGGTCGGTTTGAGGGACATCGTCTAGTGCTGGGATGCCGAATCCAGATTGGGCGGACGATAGCGAGACTTGATCAAGGTGAGTATCGCGCGGCTTGGTATCAGACGAGATGGTTGACTTTGACTGAGGAGCTGAATGCTCATCTTGGTCATCTTCTTCTTCTAGCACCTTGGTATCATTAACTAGATGACCTGAAGCTGTCCGATGATGTGGGACATAGTCGAAAAATGCTTGAGGCGCGAATCGTTCAAGACCGGAGTTGAGCAGGCCAGTCACACTGGCAATCAAACCGTGATGGGACTGAGTGTCGGTCTCCACAGAGTCCGTATCTGAATCAGATAGACTGCCTTCATCTGAAATGGGCTCGTCGGCGAAATCCTTGGGCTGAATCTCAGGGCTTTGTGATGTCCCGATGGGCGAAGTGGCACTGTGCTTCCCATGCCTTTGTGGCTTATCATCCTCCACGGCCCAGTTGACAAATTTGGCAGCATCTACCCCGACACTCTTCGGTGTGCCTTTGTCGACCATCCACCTGGGAATACTGCCACCGGGATCACTCCTAGTGACCATGATCCACTCAACAGGATTGGTTTCTTCTTCCTCGCCATCAGCAGCATCAAGTCCATCTTCAACCAAGCCATCTCCGTTGTGGCTGTTGGCTTTTGACTTCTCCACAACGCCCTTGCTGGAGGAAGAGCTGCTGCTAGTCGTTCTAGGGATCTCCCGAATGAGTTCAACAGATTCATACTCGCCTCGAGTATACCCGTTTTTATGCGGTACATCTGGATGGTCACACGGCTTGGAAATCATCATCCAGCTTCGACCAGGCTGTTTCGTTCCGCCAATTCGAAGGCCGACATCCGATGTGATAATCATAGCCACAAAGTCCCGTGGTGCCGTGGGCTTGGGGAATTGAGCCGAGACATGATAGACCGTTACCTGGCCTAGCACAGAACCATCCTCGCCATTGACCTCAATTGACTCAATCTTCTCCTCTGCTCCAATACCACGAATGCAATTATCCGGTGTTTCTCCCTTCTCAATTTTTCGTCGGTTGACCTTCAGTGTCTCCTCATATTCCGAAGAAAGCTTCTTCCGCCACCGCGAGAATGGAAGACCGTCGTGTATGCTCCGTCGCCCGAACCAAGATCCCTTCCCGTCATTGGAAGACAATTTCCAAACATGCAATCCAAGAGGATTATCTTTTGCACCGCCCATTTTTATTGGCTTCCCCCAGTGTTTCTGCATCGACGTAATCTCCGAGTCGGTTTCGCCCACACGTGCAGACGACGGGACGATTCTCGTGCGAGATCTGGAATTCGTTGCCTGTGATTCCAGCTCATGATATTCTTCACGGTCGTATGGTGGAGGGTCTGGGAGAGATTCTGCTATGAGGCGACCACTCTTGAAAATATCGCGGACGTATTCACGGAGCGCATCGGGGGACTGAGGAACCTGGTCCCAGGACGTCGGTAGGAGAATTTGGAGGGCATCGTGCAAGGTGGCCATGGGAGCACCAGAGAGTCGGTAATCGAATCAATTGGAGTTGCGCAACACGAAGAAAAGGGTCACGGTCGTATAGTGACTTTGATTTCTGGGGCATGTTAGCGATGATCGACAGGGCGCATAAGAGGACAGGCTCCAACGAGAGCTTCGTGGACGACCATGTTTCGCACCCGGAGCCACAGCCTTCCAGAGGAACGAACAGGTACATACCAAGATTTAGAGAGATACATAGGTCAAAGCGAGGCTCAAATGAATGTTGAAACCAGACGGTCAGCCGACGCGTAGAGGGGTAGAGCGATAAGCCGCAGGATTCCGGCGGAGGTAAGCCTCCACGAACGCAACGGCCCGACAATAAGGCAAAGTTTCAGACTGAGTGTCTTTATATACCTCGTCCACCAAAGCGGTTATCAACAATTTGTCGGGGCGAAGAGTACATGGATTGCAAGGAAGTCACTGTGATGTACAAGGTAGTCCATCCCTGCTTGGCGCTTGCCCCGGGTTTTTGACGTCATCAATAGTGGAGCGGGTGTCAGCCCTGAAGAATAATTAGTGAGAACTGGTACCTGATTTTCTACGATTATTCCTGATACGAGAAGTTTATGCTCTAAGGATTTGGCCTGGCTGGTTCTCGATTTTTGTTTCCCTCGAATTATTATAGAAATGGAGCAAGTGCTGGAAGCTGGGCAACCTTTCAACTGTTATACATGCAGCTATGAATGCTTTGGTATAGAAAAAAACCCAACATTGCCGTTATCCAAATAAAAGCCCAAGCGCCTATTAGATTAGGCCAGATAATTTTACTTTGATTCCTACTCATTGTGTTTATACTCTACTCGAACCGGTTGTTGTTGCACGCATCTTTCAAACTAAAGCCTAACAAGATACATACAAATTGGTACTAAGTAGATAGATCGATGAAAAGACAGGAGAAGAGAGGAACAGCCAGCGCGAGGGGGAACTAGCCCCCTCATTCGCAGACAAAAAGAAACCAAAAGACCCAGCATCTGATTCTCAGTGTCGGGCAAAAGAACGAAACTCGATCAACGAGCCCCCGACAAACCAAGCTCATCCAGGTATCCAAAAAACCCAGCCCGGATGATGTAGGAGATGAACCTAAAAAGCGAGTCGTGGAGCTAATGGTGGGATCATGGTGTCAACAAAGAGCTAGGCTGTCGAAATGTTCGTCGCATTGGGCGGGATGTAGAAAATGCCAGCGTCACGGACGCCGAGGGCAAATTCACATCCCAGGCCCTTTGCCTCGGGTCTTCGCCACAGGCGAATGAACCAAATCTGACGAAATCAACAGTTTAGTATCTTCGCCTCTCCCGTGGATCTCACTACCATAGACCATGACAAGCCAAAAAAGGCACAGCCCGACCGAGCATCACGGATGACGGTCGAGAACTGCGCCGTCACGTAGACTTGTCCTCAAGCAGACCCATTCAAGGGGATGCTCACCAGTCCGGTATCCCGTACCAGAAGGAGAGTCCTCAACGGAAAAGAACCAACAAAAGAAATCCAAGCGCTGAGACCAGTCGGCGATGTAAGAGTCCTGATGTCGCATCCCGTCGAACCGTGACAAAAGAAATGAAGTCGTTCCACGTCCAAATTCATATCCCATGCCGCGAGGCAGACCTGGTCTTCATGACATATATGCGGGAAATGAAACACAGAGAAGAGAAAAGAAAGAGCCGACCCGCCGCTGCTCGATGCAAATCAAAAAAGACAAAAAAAAAACGCTGACGCTGGCTGGAACAAAAGCAAATAACAAGAGCAAAATGAATAACAAACGCATGCCACCAAACAAGATTATTCTGGATATGATGCAGTTGGCGAAGTGGAGTATCACGAATGCACACAGAGTCGAAGAAGAACGCCGTCGAGAAATGCCAATTAGTCGAGGATCGGGGCTGCGATCCATTTTCAAGTGGATCGGTACCAAGTATTGTCGATGTTGACTGGGTCGCTCGATGAGGGAGGGAGAGTATGTGGAGGAGGCGGAGGCGGAAGAGGAGGAGGAGGAGGCATAGATTGCTGCATACTCCACGATCTACGTGAAGTATCAGGCCGGAAGGGCTGGGGCTGAAGCTGCGAGGATGCCGCTTGCTGGGTGGAGGATGATCCGAATCTATCGGATCCCCTCCATGCAGCGGGCTATATCGTCGTGCCGTAGGGCAACGGGGCGAAATCACCCCAGCCACCAAACCCACCAAACCCACCAAACCCACCAAAACCGGTCATGTTAGCAGCCGTGCTACACTGTTGCACAAGCAAGCTGGGAAGCGGGAGGGGTGCGATAACCGCCGAGGTCGCTGCCATACTGATGTCGTAGGTCGGGTACGCCGCGGTGGTGAAGGGTTGGCTGTAGGATGGGGTCGGCGATGGCAGTTGGGCTTCAGTGAAAGCGAGACTGGCCCACAGATTCGGATTAGAATCTCCCGTACTGGCCGGGGATGGACTGGGTGGCAGTACTTTCCACTCCATTGGTGCGGAAGGGGGCATCGGGGTATGCCACCAAGTTTCAGGGCCCGTGGAGCTGGGGAGGACAGGCACGGAGCGCATCACATCCACCACCCGTGGTGGCGGAGGCAACAGCGGCAGGAAAAGATTCGAGATGGCTGTTTTGGCCTCCTCGCTACGACCGCAGAGCAACTCCCCAGCTCCATCCTCCTCGAGTCCCTCCAGGGCTTCGGCGTCGGTTCGATAGACGAACTTGTTGGCGGCTTGGACGAACTCTTCCTGCAACTTCTTCAGCTGGGCCTGCTTGCCGGACCAGTCCCACGTGTTCGCGGCGGCATCGACCGAGTAGATTTCCTTATGGAAGTCCACTAGAGACTCGATAGTCTCCGGGGTCAATTTGAAGGCCACCTCGTTACGCGAGACCATGTCGACATGTACCACGTAAGCCTCGATGTGGATCATCTGGTAGTTGAACAGGCCCTCCACGAGCGGATTCTCGTCCTTCCTTAGCTCTGATTCGGGCGCCTTGGTGAACATCATCGAGCATAGGGTCCATATCGCATTGTTGGACGACAGGGTCTCGGTTAAACACCGAGTATGCTGGGTGACGTTGTTGAGCGGGCGCTTGACCCGGTTGACACGCTTCAAGGTCGCGGTCAACCACGGCGCAACCTTTCGAGTCAGGACCACATTGGGTGATGACCGGGGCGCAAAGGCAGCAGCAGAAGATGGAAGCAAGACTGTAGGCATTATGACTCTGTGCGTAAAGGGGATACGACCGGCGTTTTGAGAGAGACGAAGAAAGCAATAACAGAAATAACAGTTTGGGGGGGCGTTAGAAAAGAATGTATAAAGTCAAAAGCAGAATCATAAAGGCGACATTCGCCCACACAAAATGCCCTAATCTGATGATAGTTTAGTGGTTCGTAGTTGTATGGGAGTTTCTCAGGGCGGGAATTAGATCAATCGCATCACTCAAGAGTGGGAGCCTAGTTGTGGTGGTTGTTGGAGCGGCCAAAGGGTTGAATCTATTAATGTGCGGGCGAATGCGCGAGGAAAAGAAGCGAAGAAAATTAGATATAAACAAAAAAGAAAGGAGAGGACAGTGAAAATTCACGATGATCGAAGAAATCGACGAGAGAGAAAAAGGTGGCAGACGGGGAGAATAAGAATTCGGAGGGGGCGGGGGATCCGCGATGACTCGAAGAGGTAATCCAGTGGGGATTAGAATTCTCGCTCGCAAGTCAAAATCGTAGTGGCTGGAGTAGCTTTGATGTATATAGTTTAGTGGTACGCACACATTTATTTCGTTCTGTTATAATTATAATTATATATTCTTGTGGGAGACAAGATTTTGGGGGAAGAGTCCCTCGTATCAGGGTGTACAGGATGCACGCTGATGGAGTCTTTCGGGAGTACCGTATCCCAGCTTATTCGTGTTCTCGTTTACGAGTCTGAGAGTTATGTGGGAATCTGTGCAATGCCAGTGCAGTATGTATACTCTGTAACTCTGTATACTCCGTACGAGTAGTCTAGTACATATGTATGTACGGAGTATACCGTACGAGACTCCGTTTACGGGGCGATGCACCGTGCGGATTGGCCACAATTTCTCGGACTCCCCGATCTGCGACTCCAGAAGCTCGGGTTTTCGGGTGGCAAGTGATCCTACATTAGCAGAGATCCTTCAGGAATAGGTATTGAAGAGCTATAGGCATAAATATTATGATGATCATCTGTATTAGCCATATAGGCGGGAGTTGAAACGGCAGCGAATACAGCAACTGCACCGCGAGGCCCAACCGATCACGGTGTTTCATCGCGGAAGTATGAACCACTCAATTGAAAATCAAAGAACGAGATAAAACACAACGGAGAACTTGATCCCCAAAACAAAATTACAGAAAAATATAGTAAAAAATATTATAAAACATCACTACCAACAAATAAAATTTTGATCGCACTGTATTCCCCAGTCTCACACTCCTAGGCCTGCGCGTTGCACGTCCATTTCGCCAAAGCAACCTGCAAGATGCCCTAAACTGCAAAAGCTAAGCCCCCGATGATCCGCGCTGCGAAACAGCATTCTGCTAGCGAGGAAAATCCTCCGAGTCAAAGTCCAGCGAGCCACTCAACGATCGAGCGAACAGGGCATCATATGCCGCCTTGGCCTGCATTGCTCTTTTGATCCAGGAAGCTTTCCATCCCTGGGGGCAAAAAATCACTGAGAGAGCAACACGTTGCCGGGTTGTGTCCACCTTTCAGCTGGGGTTGACGGATGCAATGCAATATTCGCTTCCAATGCCTCTATTCAACTGCAATCCAGTAAATCCTTTAAACAGTTGTATGCATAGGGGAGAAGTGGGAGAATGATCGATTGCATGCGATTTCTCTGCTACAACTGGATTACCAAGTTCAGAAGGTCATCATAACAAGTAAGCAGGCCCGTCGCTCTGGGACCAAGGACTTGAATCATTTGAGCGCCATGCAGCTAGAATCTACTCCACAAAACCCTAACAAACTGCAAAGACTAGTTTGGCGCCCACCCTATCGCACAACAGATAAAGGGTGGCATCCCACGTTCCCCGAAGCCGACGGCTCGATTTGTGCGTTTCAAGAAGTAAAAAACTGCAATAGCATCACTTCAAATATGCATGAGAATAGGGGGTGGAAGGTTGCAACGACAGGGCATTTTCGAACAATCAGACTTGAAACCACCCAGTTTTTCCTTGTTCGACGAACCTTGCCCACCCTTTTTCGGACGTATCGAGTGCCGCTAGCACAGAAACCTCAGCTGATGGAGGGTCGAGCAGACGTGGGGCAAGTCGGTCTTGGGCCACTTCAGCCCGCGGATTTGCTGAGGGCCATCGCGTCGGGCCAAGGCGATCCCAGCTGAGATCCCTGCTTTGATCTACGATTGGGCTGAGCCTCGCTGATAGTCTCTTGCCAGACTTTGGGGAGGCGCCCCATCTACCTTGTGATTTGTTGATCTCTTATACCGGACAATACGTAGCTATACCGGATAAGAACTCCTGTAACTTGACTCTCACGCCGTGTACATCTACATGATGTGCTCCGGTTCTTCAGCGACCGTTGACTCCCGCCCTAGGTATAGCCCACATGATCCATACGCGGTGATCTCATCTCACAGGGCGGCATCGACTCCTATATCATGCGTAACAAGGCGTTTTGTCGTGCAATCAGAGGCCCTGATTCTACAAACCTGAAGCCTGCCGGCATATGAAGTTGGTCATGTGGTCGCTCCGCGCCAGGGAGTGGGGGAGACGAGCGTGAAGCGGTTGGAATCGGATACTCGGAGGTGACAATAGAAGCAGCACTTTTCCAATATTCGATCAAATGACGCTTCATCAACTCTTGAGAGTCACGCAATAATACCTTGAAAAATTCTTCATTCTTCGTATGCTAGTAAGGCGGGGTATCCGAGAGGGCGAATGTTTCTCACTACATATTTTTCTTTCCTAAAATAGGAACCTGTCAACAACGAACTTAGCCGACTGCGCCTCACTGAGTTGTGCGCCACGTCACTCGCCACTTGCCCCACCAAAACGTGGCTAGTGCGCACTGCCGATGAAGTCATGGACAGTAGTATACAACATAGATGCAAATAGATTGTTCTCAATGTGTTCCAGCGCCTAACTAATTCTCCGATAACCGGTTTTATGCATTTTATAACTCTTACCCAATCGATTAAAGTTCAAATCTTGTTTCTCAAACTAGTTGCAGAATTTCAGCGGCTTCGGGCAACACACCGGGCTGCAGAAATGTAGCCCAACGGCCAGCGCCGGGATGAGAGACCACCTGAATGTATCCGCTAGGAATACATGTCAAGAATGTCGAAATCGTCATTACTGAAACGATGATAGTAGCAGCACCTGACCGGGTGCTATGAGTCACTGTGGTTCCGAAATCACTAGTTTGAAATCGAGCCGTCGTCGATTCTACACCGACTATTGTCGGCAATTTACCGGCAATGAGATATTGCAATGCCTGGTTCCTCGCGCAGCAGAATAGACTCTAGAGAGACTCGCCGTATGATGAGAATAAGCTTTTATCCAGAACCTCCAAATTCAACGACTATATTGCTACAGTCTGGCTTTCCAGCAGACTGCAAACACCTCCTACACATTGAATGTAGTTTTGTCTGTGAATGGTTTGATCAGGATAAGAGACCTGTTTCTTCTTTATCAATATTTGATAATGATGGAAGCTACTTCACGATAGAAGCCCAAAATTTTCCTTCGAAGTGGCTAACTTTTCAGGTCCATGGCACTATTTGCCTATTTGCCGGGAACGGAGAATGTCCAATCCTCAGGGAACTGGCCATAATGGATATCGTCCTGTCCCCGGAAGATATCATCGTAGTGCTCGATGCGAGTTTCCGGGTCCTTGGCCTGCTCATAGTACCGGTGAGTTAGTCCCTTGAACACCGGCTCGTTCCACATCTTCGCCATCCACGCCAAAGCGTCCTCGCTAGCGGAATCCAAAGGCAGTTCATATGTACGGAATCGCTAAGAATCGTTAGCTAAGCACACAACGGAAAGAAAAGGGCGATTCAAAAGCGCCTCATACCGTAAGAACCGGCCAGAAGAAAGCATCAGCAATGCTGAATCCTCCAAACAGGAATCCTTCATCGGCCTCGCCCAGAGCCGCGAGGCGCTCCTTAGTACCCTTACGAGCGGTATCCCAAAGACTCAACATCTTCTGAATCTCCTTGTGCGCCTCCTCGGAGATCGGGACGTTGCCTGTATAATGCGCCAAGAAGTTCGTGGAGAACGAGTTCCGGATCGCGGAGAAGCCAGAGTGCATCTGAGCAGTGGCGCTGCGAGCGAGAGCCCTCAATTGGCGATCCCGAGGCCAGAGAGGCAACTCGGGGTTCGATTCAGCCAGGAATTCGCAGATTGCGAGCGAGTCGCAAATTCTGGTACCGCCGAGAGAGCGGCATTCCAGGAAGGGCACGTAGCCGGAGGGCGAAACTGTTTTCACCTATGCACTTATCAGATTCATGCGAAAGCATCGAGTGCGACAATATTCGAGCTATCATACATCGGAGAGCTTGATGAATTGGCGAGTGTGCGGAATCTTGAAGTACTCCAAGACCGCCTCAACTCGGCTCGTCCAGCCTATGTCCCGTTAGCGAGGAATTGTATGAGGGGTGAGTGCTGGACTTACTGGAGTAGCGAGTGTACGTGCCGATGAAATGGATATCTGGCTGTTCGGTGGCCATGATGGTTTTGGAGATTTCTCGATTGACTTGGGGAATTGTGTGGTTGACGTGCGGGATAACCAAATTATGACTGACTCACCAATTTGCGCCTCGTATCTGTTTCGACCGAGGCTAACCGGAGGGTCACCGGAAACATTATCCTATCTGTTAGCATTGATTCAACACTTGACATTTTGTTCGCATCTCAGGGTTAAGATGCGGTCTTTATCATCTTCAATGAAGCTGTACAGATAGCTACTAGAATGAGGTTCGATGGACGGTATTTTTACCCCGCATAATGATTTCCCCTCCGAAACAGTCTCGTATTTACACAGTTCTAGAAACCTCGTATCGTATTATCCATTGACTTCAACAAAGCCGTTCATCATAACAATGGCCAAAGCAAAATAACATCAGATCCATGGAAAGGCTGGAGGCCTGTGCAGGCGGGTCAAATGTGACTCCTAGACACAAAACCAAGCTATCTCCAGGAGCGGTTAGAACAAAACACTGAAGAAACATGTCATTGGCTCATCTACGGAATTTACGCGCCGACCCGACAATGAGATGTCCTCGGGTGAGATGACTGCTTATTGTTTCAGAGAAGACTTGACGCTGGGATTCGCAACGATGATATCATTCTGCTCTTAGCATCGACCTCCAGCTATATTTAGCATGATCAATGCTGACTATCAAAATCTAGCCCCCATGGTGGCCCTATGGCCAAAGCGCGCAGAAGTCTAGAAGCACCGGAGCTTTCTCTCCATAAAATACTCCCGAGAAAGGATAAACGATGTCAGATTGAATACGTAAAGTAATATCCGTGCTATGACCTCGCCCGTTTTCAGATCAATGCAGAAACTCGCCATTAGTTTCCTTCAGCAGAAGTTGATACTCGGGTTCGAACTGCATGTACATCGCCTCGGGGCTGCCTGTGCCTTCTTTGGTATACCGCGCGGTGTCATCATCGACGAGTGTTTTCTTGATTTCTCCCATACTGTGACCAATCGAGCCGGGAGCAATCGATGCCTCTACGAGTAGCTGTGTCTGGCATGCTCTTTCTAGGGCGATGAAAAACGCAGCTGCCTCGGCCACCGTTCCACCCGCTGTGAGAAGGCCATGATTTTGCATGATAAGGTTCTTGTTCTTGGGTCCAAGATATTCTGCAATTCGCTCACCTTCCCCTTGGGCGAAAACCACGCCCCCAAAGGCAGGATAGACGGAGAGATCGTCGTAAAACATGCAAGAATCTGTGGTATCAATATTAGCCGGAAAAAGCAAGATAGATCTAGCCAAAAAGCTTTATTTAAGGTATGAGTGGGCCGTGAAGGTAGTGTAAAGGACATGGTACCTTGATTCAACATGTCAATTCCCTTCCCAAATGTGCTCCATGCTCTCCCATACGGACTATGCATATGACAAGCAGCGTGAATATCGGGTCGTCTCTTATGGATGGCCGAGTGAATCATGAAGCCTGCTGCATTTACAGGCTTATTTGCACCATCCACTCGATTCCCTTTCTCATCTACACGAACCATGTCAGAGACTTTGAGCAAAGCAAAGTGCACCGCATAAGGGTTAATCCAGAATGTATGTGGTTCGATAGGATCTGCTGTGTGTCAACAACATCAATGACGACTCTTCCATTCTTCACCATCGACTATACCTCGCAAGCTAATATGGCCACTACTGCCATCAGCAAAGCCTAGCTTGGCAAATATACGGAAAGCAGCTGCCATCTGCCCGAGGAGCCATTCTCGCTCAGCTTCTTTGATGGCAGGGCGTGGAATATGATGCAGTCTTTTCACCTGGCCATCCGCGTTCTTCTCTGTATTTAGAGCAGAGGTTCGCGTTGTAATTTCGACTTCAGAAGCGACCAAGGTCATTTTGAAGTATTGAGTGCTGGTTCTTGGAGCAAATTCCAAAATTGAAGAGGTGTTCAAAAGCAAATAAGATGCAACGACAAGATGGCCTTCGAGATGATGGCAAATCCGACCCCGCAATAAGTTATCAATAATGCGCGATTACGCCTTCTACCCCTCGGATAATTTTCCGACCATAACTAACTCATATTTGTCGACAGTATTAGGTTGGACGTCCAGAATGATTGTCATATAGAGTGTGTTTCTATATATGAGTCCGACGTACTCTCCCTGAAAAAAGAGCGCTCCTCCAAGTAACAATCCCATTAAATTAATACAATCCGATTGTCAACGTCTGTCATGTACCAGGCAAAAAAGACCCATAACATGTGGCCTTGTTTCTCCGTCGTGAGAAAAAAGGCAATGCGATATTTTTCACCAGTCTGGGAACATGGATTAATCTTCTTAACCAATTCGGGGAAGGCCGCCGGTAAGACTTTATTGGCACTGGGAGACAGCCATAATGATTGATGGCTACAAAAGTATTGATTACCGTGTAATCCATCAGATACGCGGATATATTGGGTCTACTCAGCCGCACCATATGCAGTTCAAGCTTTCTGAGCATCAGAATCTCCGAGGAGCAGACAGAGGAAAGTCCACCCATTTCTCCGCGGCGTACGCAGGAACGACTGTGAGGGGCAAGTGGCAACACGGGAAAAAGAAAGAGGGGCAAGGCTGCACTTCGAGATCAATAACCATAAGGCTTATTCCATCATTTGAACGCAAAGAGTATCTGTGCGATGATATCCTTTCTTGACTTGCCGGGTGAAATCCGGTTAATCATTTATGCTTACTTGCTGCACCCAAACGACTATCTCAGCGGGTACCGACAGATCGAGACTATGATCACAGCACACACGGACCGATCTCGAGGACCTAGCTGTGCTGACCCTCGCTATTATGTTGAGCGGTATACACCTTCAATTCTGCTCTTGAACAAACAAATAACCAGCGAAGCCCTCGATGTTCTACATCGAATACCACTCAATCTGGAAGGTACTCCAGGTACATACCTAGCCATGCGTCAGATGGACATCACCGAGTTTATCAGTGAAGAGCTGCTTCAAAATATGCATTACGCCATTCTAAGACTAGACACTGCACACAAGCATTTCGTCTTGCCACTACTCGACATTTGGGGACAAAAAAACAGCCTGAAAAGACTTGATGTATATCGTCCGAAGGCAACTCCTATCCCACGAGATCATTGGAGAGTTGTGAAGAACAGGGTACTTTTCTTGTTCGGTCATATCGAGTGATCCACTGCTGACGGTTCTCTAGATACGAACTTTCTCGACCACAGTGCCTGTTGTCTGGCACAAGGTTGATAATCCTCTTAACGCCGGTGTTTGAGAGCGCACGGCATCAATGAGATCAGTGCCATATTATATTTAAGCCATGAAGAATGGATGTTGCTCATTCTCTTGTTGCGCAACTCAGTCCAGCGGCTGAGCCCTGAGACTCGCCCGCGGGTAGGCGAGAGCAAGCAGTTGCTCGAGTCAACAATTAGACATTTAGGGCCACTCCTTTTTTTGGACGACAATTGAGGGAGAGGCCTGCGGTGGCGGAGTTTTGAGGGGAATGATGGCCCGATTAACGGTTATTTGGAGACCCCTGAGATGTTTAGACGGGCCACTTTGCTACTCTTTCTTCTCGAATTCACAGTTAGTTCATAGGTCGTTATCTGTTCATACGCTGTCGTTGGACGAAGAATGTATATGACGAGGTATCAAATGTGACTTGAGGTCGTCGAAGTTGATATTGGCTTATTTCTTTAGTTCTTATCTTTGTGATGGATCTAGTGGGTTTTCACACTGAAGGAGAATAAAGTGGTTGCTCGTAAGCTTGTTATTGTGAGAGAACAATATGTGACGCCTGGTAAGTAGATTCATGTTCAAGACACCATGGAAGCAATCTTTGTAAATACTCATCCCAGATAGCTTACAGCGGTACTGGAAAAGGAAATGCGAGAACCGAAGCCTAAGTACAATTGTTGGCACAAAGCTGGACCGAATTTTGCAAAGGTCAATCTGCTTCCCCCGAGAGCCGGGTAACAACATGTCTCAAGGTGGCTGAGACGCATAGATCAAGCCGTTCGCATCGGATCACCCGAAGCATGGTATAACAGTTCTGAGGGTGATCCACTCCGCGGTGGAGATGGGCCATGGAAGCGAGTCCTTTGGGCGCAGCCCGAAAATCCTCGTAGCTGCTGTTTTGTGCCCGGATCGGAAGGAGTCGCAAAGAAGCGGTACAGGGCTGGCCTAGGTGAGACCGTTCATTCCAGATGCAAGACATCGTCGCTGCATCGTATACGGCTATAAAAATCGGCGCATTGCCAACCAATGTGTGGGTCGTGAAAAGCGTCGGCACAAAAAGTCGCCATCATGTTGTGGTCCCTGTTGCGTTTGCGGTGTCGATAATATGTGGTTTCGCAGTGCCTCGATCGTTTATCTTCAAGATGGGATATCTGATGCCTTGACTTCCCGGTATTTCGATGCAATCTTCATCTCCATATCTAGTTCCTTAATCTTCTTGTCGATCTCCTTCTGGACCTGCTCTCGTTTCTTTTCGGCTTCTTCGATTTTCCTTTTCGCTTCTTTGGCGGCCTGTTCTTGGGCTCTCAGGGCGGCTTCTTTAGAAGGAAACTCTTGTCGCAGCTGCTCGAGCTCTGTGCGGAGATCTTGGTCTTCAATTGGTTGACAGGAAATTGGATGGTAGCTGTAAACGGGAAGAGGTCCTCCTGGTACTTGAACCTCAGGGAGGTCTGGGTGTATGGGTGTGGTACGAATCGGGGAGTCGAGTGGGCAAGTTGAGACCGACTCCGATGGTGGAGAGAGGAGGGGGCCTTCAGCTTTCACCATGGTCGCAGTGTTTGAAATGATCCGAGACAAAGGAGCGACAGAAAGGAAAGAAAAAAGTCTTTAGAGAAGGGTAATTGGAGAAGTTTAAGAAGAGTGAAGGTCGGATGGTCTTGAATCGGAGATTCTGCCACAAGCCCCCCTCACCGCCAAGACATCATCATATGCGGGGAGCCCTCTCCGGACAATGCCTATCACACCTTTATTCATGTTTGCAGGGGGGCTGTCAACTTAAGATCAAGAGATATCCCTTAGGCAGGTCCTAAGTGGACTAGTTGTGGTGGATCTGATCCGTCAGAGTGGGCGGACAGGACCCTGACAGAGTCGCTTCGTTTCACCCTTACGGCGAGTTAATTGCATACGACTCGAACCACCATGCAGGCATTCGGTAAGTCCTCGCGATCAAACCACTATTCTGATAAGATTTCACTTTGTATCAAGTATTCACTAACCTTTTTGATACATCTAGTCCCTAAAAACAGGAGGGTAAGTTTCCGAGGTACTCCGGACCGCGAATCGCGAAGTACTAACATACGCTTCTAGCCCAGATTTGAGGTTGTCCTCAGGGTAAGTGTGGTCTTTGTATTTTAAAATAAGATCTCCGGTCTAACTTTATTACATAGATAAACGACATCAACAATGTCCCTCTGGGCAACGGCACTGTTTGGGTGCGTTGGCGCCTGCCATCATCTAGTGCCACTGAAAATCAGGGTCATACCGAGAAAGCGCCTCTATCTGATCACCGTGCCTACTGGAATTATGAGAAGGCTCTCCACGTAAGACTCACTATTGACCGAAACTCCATGCTTCAGGAGTGTGAGATCAATTTTGAGATCATTCAAGAGTTTCATTCTTCTCCTTCCAACGAGAAGAATGTGCTGGGGAAAATCAAGCTGAATCTTGCCGAATATGTGGACAAGGTTGATGAAGATGAAGGCGTTGTCAGGCGATACTTGATGTCGGACTGTAAAGTTAATAGCACCGTCAAGATTGGCATCGCTATTCGCCAAGTTGAAGGGGATCGCAGTTTCACCACGTATGCAACGCTTAATCCATGATTCTAGTTCTCATCATGCTGACTTCTGTTAGGCCACCTCTCAAGTCTGCTACCGTCTTTGGGGGAATTGCAAGAGTCGTCCACTCTGCCGAACCGGGTGACTCGGAGGAACTCGGACATCTTCCATCCATCAACACCAAGAGCAGAGAAGTGGCTGATATGCAAGACATGTATCGCCGCACTCTCGCAGCATCATGGACCTCTCGGGCCCGTGATCTGCCCGCAGATAAGCTGGTCGAGGAACTCTTTGCGGGGAGTTCCTGCTGGAACAATGAATCCCACAATAACCAGTACGAGTCTTATCCAGACCGCCATAATGATCATCTCACGGCAGAGGCTGCAGCTCAGCAACCACGTTCCGGGAAACAGCTGTCGCCAAGCTTTGAGAGGCGCTCTAAGAGCGGTTCGAGTAACCATTCACAAGGTAGTGGAAAGACACTCGACTCGCATTCTACTCTCGTCAACCCGCAGAAGGGTGGCAGCATCGAGCAGCAACTTTATGATGGGGCGAAAGGACGGGGCTGGAAGCACCGGCATGCTGAGCACGAACTGTCTGAGTTTGACGTGAGAGAAGATTTACGGAGCTGGGACATTACAGCAAAGGATGAGCAATAAAATCCTCGCATTTGAAACGCAGAAAAAATTACAACATACCATGATAATGACCTGGGGCTGAGATTTCCTGTAATGTATAGTTGCAGACAGATCATATTCAATCTTGGTTGCACACGTTTACACTAGGATTGGCAGTCTTCTTTTTATCAGTGGACCTCCTATAACACATAGATGATAAGTTATATTTTCTCTTATATAGCTAATATATAATGATGTTGCTACCATACTAGTCACTCTCCGTAGTACTGTATGTAGGGGCTGGTTGGCGGTGGGGGCCTATGACATCGGTCCAGGTGAACGCCCTCGAACCTCCGGCCCCACAGTTGATCGGGTGCCGCTGACTTGAGTGTAACCAACCTCTGGCCCAACACTCCCCCAACCCTGTGCTAGGACCACATTCCCTACGCCGTACGGGACAAATCACTTCATCTGATTTCTCAAGACCTCATCTCCTCACAGTCTTACAGCACCAGTGATCAATACTTGGTGTCCGCTACTCAACCAACCGGAATCTGTCCCCCTCCGTCAGTATGAAGACTATGCGCGCATAGTGAATCCAGGCTCACGGGATGGAGAAAACACGGGTTGCCAAGGTATGCTATTGAACTTCAAAGTGAACGACGCGTTCAACCTTGCTAATCTATCGCTACTCTTCAGGTTGACAATGTGACCTTGGCTCGCCGTGGAGACCAGGTCGACGGCGCCCTCCACCTTACCCCCCACCACCTAATATTTTCCCACACTCCCCAGATCTCGAGCGAAGACGCGGCCAAGGGTGTACCCATCAGACCGAAAGAGCTTTGGATTACATACCCGATCATCTCTTTTTGCACTCTACGACCGGCTCCCGCGGCCTCCCGCCAGGTCTCCTCCATTCGTCTTCGATGTCGGGACTTTACTTTTGTGTGCTTCTACTTCACCAGCGAGCAAAAGGCCAAAGAAGTCTTTGATAGTATAAAGCTATGGACATGCAAGTCTGGCAGACTGGATAGGCTCTACGCGTTTAGCTACCAGCCGCCGCCTCCGGAGAGGGAGTTCAATGGGTGGGACTTGTATGATCCGCGCAAGGAATGGGAGCGCCAGGGTCTTTCTAAAGAGAACTCTGGCTGGCGAGTCTCCGAAATTAACACTGATTATGGTGTATGTGACCTCGTGGTTTTGAACCTATCTATATGGAACTTGGTGAAGGCGCATCCAAGGCTAACCAATCCTTACAGTTCTCTCCAACATATCCTGCACTGATCCCCGTGCCCTCCTCGATCTCGGACAATACACTCAACTATGCTGGAAGATATCGCTCCAGGCAGAGAATCCCCGCATTGACATATCTACACCCGGTCAACAATTGCAGCATCACTCGGAGTTCGCAGCCCCTGGTTGGAGTACGACAGAACCGCAGTATTCAGGATGAAAAGCTCCTGGCGGCGATTTTCTCGACTTCTCGTACCGAAAGACCCTTGGCCAGCTTTGTGAAATCTACTTTGGACAGGGAGGCCTCCGATTCGAGCCATGATAGTGGGTCGACGACTGACCTTGATGTGTCAAATGCCGAGGAGATTGAAGATGAAATGCTGGCTGCTGCTCGCGAGATTCATCCTGAAGAACGCGCCATCTATGGAGCTCAACAGCAAAACCTGATTGTCGATGCACGCCCTACCGTGAATGCCTTTGCGATGCAGGCTGTTGGCCTGGGCTCTGAGAACATGGACAACTACAAGTTCGCCACCAAAGCCTATCTCGGCATTGATAACATTCACGTCATGCGCGATTCCTTGAATAAGGTCATTGATGCTCTCAAAGAGACGGACGTTACTCCCCTGGGGCCGAATCGCGACCAGCTTGCGCGCAGTGGGTGGCTGAAGCATATTGGGGGTATCTTAGAAGGTGCACGCCTGATCGCCCGCCAGGTTGGCCTTCAGCATTCTCATGTACTTATTCATTGTTCCGACGGCTGGGATCGAACGAGCCAGCTGAGTGCGCTGAGTCAAATTTGCCTGGACCCGTATTTCCGAACAATGGAAGGCTTCATGGTCCTCGTGGAGAAAGACTGGATGTCATTTGGACACATGTTCAGACACCGGTCGGGCCATTTGAACAGCGAGAAGTGGTTCCAGATTGAAAATGAGCGCATTGGCGGTGATACAGAAGGAGGAGGTGCAGGCCCTGCCAAGGCAATTGAGAACGCCTTCCTGAGCGCGAAGGGGTTCTTCAACCGGGACAATACGAGCAGGGACTCCTTGCCTGACTCTGAAGGCGAGGTTCAAAGCTATGACTCGGACAGTCCAACCAAAAAGCCCAGCTCCGCGCCTCGCAGCATTATCTCTGAAAAGGAAATCACAAAGGTGAAGGAGACCAGCCCCGTTTTCCATCAGTTCCTCGATGCCACCTACCAGCTGCTTCACCAATACCCAACACGCTTCGAATTCAATGAGCGTTTCCTGAGGCGGCTGCTCTATCACCTTTATGCCTGCCAGTTTGGAACCTTCCTTTTCAACAATGAGAAAGAGCGCATCGACACGAATGCACGAGAGCGCACGCGGAGTGTATGGGACTACTTCCTTGCCCGACGGGAGCAGTTCACCAACCCCGAATATGATCCAGTCATTGATGATCACAGGCGTGGAAATGAGAGATTGATCTTTCCACGAGTGAAAGAGACGCGCTGGTGGAGCGAGGCCTTCGGCCGTTCCGACTCCGAGATGAATGGGCCTTTCACTTCCACTGGGAATGCTGGCACTGAGAGTCCTGGTTCAGGTCGAGCCCCTATTCTAACTGGAATCGAGACAGCCCACCAGTCAACTAGGACAGCATCATCTGGTATTGCTGCTGTCACTGCGGGAATCTCCAACTTTGGCGTCTCAAAGGATCACAGGACGGATTCAACGGAGGATACCTCCAAGAAGATGGAGTTGGAATTGCAATGAATAGTTAGCAGAGGGGGCAGGTATGGCTCCCTATGGGGCACTATGAAATGCAAGTAGTGTGAAGCCTTGAGGTTGATTTCATTGCATGGCCCATTGAAAATATGAGGGGTCCTGGTTTGTCTTAAGTTTAGCGTATTGCCTAAGAATCTGCGTGCACGAGATTCATCCGATGCCAAATGTATTCATGCATGTATGGAAGTTGTTGATGCCTTATAACCTTAAGAGTCTGGAGGCCTTATTGCCTTATCGCCTGAGAACCAAGAGTATCCACACCAGTCCCAAAAGGGAATAGCTGCCGTTCAGTCCAGCAGGGCAAGCGAGGGTTGAGCCCTAGCCCAAACGGGAAATCGAAGCCCTCGTCCAAAAAATCCCCACTAATCAGAGAATCTCACAACGACTAACCCTCTCGACTTCGACCTCGCCTTCCCCCGTCGACAACCTCCCCCCCCCCAATTCCACCCACCAGGAACGTCAAAATGGCCGCTGTCCAGGGAGCTATTTCCAAGCGTCGCAAGTTCGTCGCCGACGGTGTTTTCTACGCCGAGCTCAACGAGTTCTTCCAGCGCGAGCTCGCTGAGGAGGGCTACTCCGGTGTTGAAGTCCGTGTCACTCCCACCGTCACCGACATCAGTACGTCGCATCTCTCGAAATATTCCTTTTTCCGTTGGACCGCATAAGTTTGGATTGGATTGGATCTGCAAGAGCTTGGGAAAGTGCCGTGATTGAGATGGGAGATTCAATATTGTTATTGGGCGGAAATTATGCGGTCAACATATCTGTCGGGAGGATTCGATGCTAACGGATGTCTTCACTTTCTACAGTCATCCGTGCCACCCACACCCAGGAGGTTCTTGGCGAGCAGGGTCGCCGCATCCGTGAGCTCACCTCGCTCATCCAGAAGCGCTTCAAGTTCCCCGAGAACTCCGTCTCCCTCTATGCCGCCAAGGTCCAGAACCGCGGTCTGTCCGCTGTCGCTCAGTGCGAGTCCCTCCGCTACAAGCTCCTGAACGGTCTTGCCGTTCGCCGTGCCTGCTACGGTGTCCTCCGCTTCATCATGGAGAGCGGTGCCAAGGGTTGCGAGGTTGTCGTCTCCGGCAAGCTCCGTGCCGCTCGTGCCAAGTCCATGAAGTTCACTGTACGTTGATGATCGATTCTTGGAAGAGAATACTACAGGGGGATGTATCGTGCGCCGATACTTGAGGGGCAGATGATGGTCATCTTTATGCTCCTCTTGGAACCGTCGCACGATATCCCGCTTGTCTGATGAACTAATTGCATCTGGACAACATAACTAACCACGTTCATCTTTTCAGGACGGTTTCATGATCCACTCCGGTCAGCCCGCCAAGGAGTTCATCGACTCCGCTACCCGCCACGTCCTCCTCCGCCAGGGTGTCCTTGGTATCAAGGTTAAGATCATGCGCGGCTCCGACCCCGAGGGCAAGTCCGGCCCCCAGAAGACCCTCCCCGACTCCGTCACCATCATCGAGCCCAAGGAGGAGCAGCCCGTCCTGCAGCCCATGTCCCAGGACTACGGCGCCAAGGCTCTCGCCGCCCAGCAGGCTGCCGAGCAGCAGCGTCTGGCCGAGGAGCAGGCCGCGAACGCCGAGGGTGCTGCCGAGGGTTACACTCAGGAGTAAACTTGTTTTTTCAAGCCCGGCCCTTCCCTTTATCTTCGCTTCCTGTCATAACCTCACTATACTCTCTACCTGACGCAATCAAAATTACATGAAGACTTCAAAAAATCTCCTGGTTTCTCTGTTTGCAAATTTTCGACGAATGATGTCTAGTCTGCGCTTTCATTACTGGCCCTTGGCTCTTCTGGTTACGGGAATGGTTTCATGAAGGAATGGACGTCGATGTACAAAGATCTACAGTCGAGGATATTTCCATGAGAAAAATTTGATAATGACCTCGATCTTCCAGCCTAGATATTGTAGTTGCGGTGTCGATATTGGCATATACCAGACGGTGTTTTTGATATCTAATCGCCGTCCTGGTTGAGTCTAGACCATGGTAACATAAATTTGTACGTCAGCCCTCGTCGAACAATGGATATCTATGTCGAACCTCTAGCGCGGATATCTCGACGGCTCAACCAGATATCCTATTCGGACCCACGGGTGTCTCTTGGCAACATAGATATAGAATAAAGGACCAATTGAGTGGCGCAGGTACCCCACGTAAGCCATTTCGAGGAACGAAGATCACCTCTAAAGGTTTAGCATTTCTGGAAGTTTTCTAAGGTTGCGTACCTCGGCACTCAGAGCCTACAGCTATCTAGATATATTGCCCGTATACTTCCATTTGTGCATAGGTTCATCGCCAGACCTCCAGACATCCATTCTTTACTCTTGCTTTCTCAATGCCTTAAATATTACTGAAAACTGGAAATCTTATCTTTATTGCTTTTGGCTCTGCAGCTTTGAACATCTTGCTTATAACAATAGAGCGCTCCACGTCATGTCATCATCTATCTGCATTGCAAAGCATGGAAATACTCAATCCCAAATCTAACCAGTCTACAGGAAAGGCTCGATGTTGATCTCCAGAGTACTGACGGGGTACTTGAGCTCGTACTTGCCCAGCACGGTGGGGTGGAGGATACCGAAAGAGCCAATAACGTGGTCCTTGCCGCCGACACGCAGGTGGATGGAGGCGCTGTGGCCGGGGAAGTAAGTGGGGTCTAGGAATAGCGAGTTAGTTTGTGATTAAGTTGTGATTGTTACGAGGGAAGGAAACGTACCGTCCAGCTCCTGGATGTAATATTGAGAATCACCAATGGCGGGGTTGTTAAGGCCCTCCTCGGCAATGATGAAAGCGCTCTTCAGCATAGACATCACACGGTCGAGCAAACCGTGGACAACCTCGAAGCCACTGCTCTTGCCGTAGAAGGCGGCAGCAAAGTGACGCTCGTTGCGACTCTTGCGCTCCAGGGACAAGTCCTTGAAAGCAACATCGCTAACCTCGAAGATCTTCATGGGCACACTGTGGGCCTTGTTCTCACGGATGGTCTTCAACAGACCAGGGAGCAAGCTGGTGCGGACCACCTGGAACTCGGTAGTTTTGGGGTTGGCAAGCTTGACAGCGGTGTTGCCATCGTCCTTGCGGTTCAACCAGGCAAAGTTCTCGTCGTGCGAGCAGAGAATCAGAGGCAGGACCTCAGACCAGCCGGCCATAGCAGCCTCGACACGGACAATGTCGGAGAGCTTGTTGATGGGGAGGGGCTGGGCAACAGTGCCGGACTTGCTGGGGAAAGAGCGGGGGAGATTGTTGAAGCCGTAAGAGATGGCGACATCCTCCATGATATCACACTGGTGAAGCACATCGGCGCGAGTAGGGGGGATCTCAACGTCAATGGTATCGGTGTTGTTCGTGGATGGCTTGGCACGGTACGCCATCTTGGTCAGGAGGTTGCTGATCTCAGCAGAGGTAAGATCCAAGCCACAGCATTGGTTGATGTAGGACACCTCGGCAGTGGTGGTGCGAGGAGCGAGGTCGGGGGTGACCCGAGTCTGACCGTTGTGCTCTGACACAATCTGAACGGGCTCGATGCTGTATGAAGATGAGTACACAGAGACCATAAAGCTGGTATGGAAAGGCCACTTACGTGAACGGCTCGGAGGTGTATTGGGAGAACATGGTGACCATCATGCGGTTCACAATCTCGAGCTTTGTGCGGTCAAGAGCAGTGATCTCAATGAAGACATTGGTGGTGTCCAATGAGATCTTAGAGTGATCACCGTTGATGATAGGGGGCAGAGAGCAGACAGTACGCTGCGAGTCATAGATCACTGGGTACACGGGAGAGTCGCGAATGATGTGCAGGTACTTGCCCAGTTGTTGGTGCTTCTGTTGTTCAATTGTCAATATGTGATAATGACATAGGAATTAGAATGCCACATGGACCACATACCTCGTAGAAAGTCATCAATTCTTCGCCGTTCATCTCCTGGGTCTGGTTCAGGGGGACGAATTTGATGTCCTTGGGAGACAGAGCTTCGTAGGTGAAAGGTCCCTTGACGGTATCCAGATCGTGGGTACCAATGGAGACCAGGGTCCGTTGACGGGCCAGGTTTTGGTGAAGCTTATCTTGCAGAGCAATGAAAGACTCATAGCGAGCCTTGTCGAACTTGACACCTCGGAGAATAGCACCCGACACATAGGGTCTGATCTTCGTAGTCTGTTCAGAATGTTCAGCGGGTATTCCTTGTACAAACTATTAGGGGTCTACCCACGTCTTCCTTCACAATGATCTGCTCAAGCTGGCCGTTGGCGGGTGGCACCAACTTGTAGTCGGGAAGAGCCTTGCGCTTTAAGAAGATGTTGAGCATCAACGCAATACCCTCGAAGCACAGCAAGTCATATCTACAATCTGTCTCAGCCCACGGACTTTCTCAATATATTTTTTTGGGGTTTGCATCAGGCATACCGGTTGGCGGGGATTTCGATCTTGAGCTGCGGCGGCTCCTGCACGCCATCGACGATCGGACGGTCCTGGTCTGTGGTCTGTGGTCATTTAGCCGGCGATCTTTTCAGTCAGAGTATGTTGGAGGGTCGGTACATCTTCGTCAAGCTCAATTCCTGTTCAACAATGTCAGCCTATCATGCCCCGCGGAGTCTCTCGAGCAGCCGAGACCTACCGAATTCGAAGCACAGCTCGTCGAACTCCTCCGTAGTGTACCTATAGTTGCGCACAGAAAATATCAGAGATGCACACACACTATATTTTCGTATTCATGGTGGTGTACGTACTCCCGGCCCAGCTCCTTGAAGAGAGCGGCCTTGTCGACCGAGATAGTGGGCATGGCGGGGGGATTCGCAATGCGATGAAATTCTGGAAAGGCGAGAAAACGTTGTTATTAGCAGGCGCCCGAAGATAAGAAGATGGGTTCTTGGAATCCTCTAAGGAAGAGGGACTTTGCGTACCAAAAATAACCACACAAGCGGAGGAGAAAGCGCAAACCAACAAGATGATAATCGTTATGACTCCGATCGGACTTCTGGAAATTCTGCCTCCTCAGCCACACACCGCCACGCTGGTCCCCCTCTTTTATGACGCCTGGTATCGTATTGTCACGTTGGCCCCTGCGCTGCCAACTTTCCCGGAGGTTCGTCCAGTTTGTCCAAGCAGGCCACGCGGTATGTAATTTACACCCAGCCGCAGCTGTTGTGATGGTAAAAGCTCACTGCGATCGCTCACTGCGATCATTCAAAGACACAATTGATTTCCCTGACTCCAAGACCCCCTTCGACCTCCACACCAACATTCCCGTCCGTGATATTCTCTTTTGGGAGCATTGATCCCCCCAATTGTTCCGAGGTATGCTTCTTGCTTCTGCGCGAAGGTGGACAGTCCGGCGGCCCAAAACCCCACGAAACCTCATCGACCTTCCCCTTCCCATTTAAACCTCCCACCCCATCACGCCCTCCAAGTCGAAACTAACCCGTCCACGGGCCCAGTTCTTATATTTGTCATCGAAGCTCATGAAGCTGTGTTCCTCCTCTTCCCGCCGATAATTTTCTTTCTCCTGGGTGGCTCTACCAAGCACCGCCTCGATATCAACCCTTCCTCAGCACTGGGACCGACCACCACCCCCCGACCTCCCAGTTCCGCCCCTTCTCTTGTTCTTGCTTAATACACAAACCGCACATACGCGATGGAGGGTCAGAACGAGAACGATGAACTCTACCCCATCGCCGTACTCATCGATGAGTTGAAGGTATGCGGATGCTCCGCTCATCTTTCCCTCCCCCTCCACCGGTGGAGGGGGAACTTACCGGCCCAAGCTCACACCTCAATCTCGTAGCACGATGATGTACTCCTCAGACTGAATGCCATTCGTCGTCTATCCACGATCGCCCTGGCTCTGGGCCCCGAGAGGACCCGGGATGAGCTTATCCCATTCCTGGACGGTTTGTCTCCCTCCGGACCCCCCACCATCATTCCGGTCACCGACTTGCGCCTAATAATTCCATCACTAGATTCCGTTGAGGATGAAGACGAGGTCTTGACCGCGCTCAGCGAGGAGCTGGGTAACTTCACAGAGTATGTTGGGGGGCCAGAACACGCGCACGTGCTTCTGTCACCGCTGGAGAACCTGGCGGCGATCGAGGAGCCTCTGGTCCGGGAGAAGGTTGGTAATGCCATACATGGGATTTGGGACCAGCATTGCTGACTGTTACAAACTAGGCTGTGGAGTCGCTTAACAAGGTTTGCGATCAGCTGTCAGAAGGTCAAGTCGAGGAGCATTTTGTCCCGCTGGTTCTCCACCTCTCCAAGGCCGACTGGTTCACTTCCAAGGTCTCCGCGACAGGTCTATACTGTTCACCATACCGAAAAGCCGCGCCGGCGCTGCAGCAGAGCCTCCGACAGCACTTCGGAGCCCTTGTACACGATGAAACCCCGATGGTCCGCCGTCAAGCTGCCAACAACCTGGCAAAGTTCGTCAAGGAGATGCAGACCGACGTGATTATCGATGAAATGATACCCCTCTTCCAATATTTGGCCAGTGATGACCAGGACAGCGTGCGTCTGTTGACTGTGGACATCTTGATCGCGATCGCAGAGGAAATTCCCAAGGAGCAGCAGCCCAGTCATGGTGTACTGTTGACATCTCTGCGCAATCTCTTTGAGGATAAGAGCTGGCGGGTCCGCTACATGGTTGCTGATAGATACGAGAAGGTCAGGATCCCACTCCCCTTTGGTCCTAAACGTACAATATACAGGCCAAGACTAATTCCGATTCGCCTATAATAGATTGCCAAGGCTGTCCACGAGGAGGTTGTTACACGCGATATGGTGCCTGCGTTTGTCAAGCTTTTGAAGGATACCGAGGCTGAGGTCCGCACTGCAATTGCCGGCCAGATTCCTGGTATGTTTCTTTTTCAGGATCCCCTAACTATGACGTCAAGATAAAAACTAACAACATGATTAGGATTCTGCAACTTGATCGACCGTGATACGTTGCTTAATGAGATCATGACTAGTGTGGAAGACCTGGTCTCTGATCAGTCTCAGCACGTTCGTGCTGCCCTCGGCACTCAGATCAGCGGCTTGGCGCCTATTCTTGGGAAGGAAGAGTCAGTATCATATGTCCCCTGTTTCTCGAGACCGCCAGTTGCTAATCTGCTTCACGGATAGGACCATTGCCCACTTGCTTCCCATGTTCCTTCAGATGCTTAAGGATGACTTCCCCGACGTTCGTCTGCACATCATTTCCAAGCTCGAGCAGGTTAACAAGGGTATGTTTACGAATGTCTTTTTCACCATGATTTCCTTATCCGTCTAATATATTTTCATAGTTATTGGCATCGACCTCCTCTCTCAATCTCTCCTTCCTGCGATTGTCCAGCTGGCCGAGGACAAGCAGTGGCGCGTGCGTCTTGCTATCATCGAATACATTCCCCTCCTCGCCAGCCAGCTAGGAGTCAAGTTCTTTGATGAGCAATTGAGTGATCTTTGCATGGGATGGCTTGGAGACACCGTCTTTTCGATCCGAGAGGCTGCCACTCAGAATTTGAAGAAGCTTACCGAGGTCTTCGGCGTGGAATGGTCGAAGGAGTCGATTATCCCTAAGGTGATGGCTATGGGCCAGCACCCCAACTACCTTTACCGCATGACTACATGCTTCGCCGTTTCCGTGAGTTTTTGGTCTGCTGCTTGCCTCAATCCGTTGATGTACTGACGTTTCCAGACCCTTGCTCCCGTTGTCACCCTCGATATCATTGAAAGCTCCCTCCTCCCCATCCTGGACCGACTTGTGGCAGACGAGATCCCCAACATCCGCTTCAACGTCGCCAAATCATATGCCGTCCTGATTGACACTCTGCGCCGCCTGCCGGAGGACAAGACTCTGGTCGAGGTTGAGAAGTCCGAGGAGACTATTACCCCTTCGCCCAAGGCCCAAGAGTTGATCCAGCAAAAAGTCCTGCCCAGCCTGGAGAAGCTGCAGGAGGATGATGATGTTGATGTCCGCTATTTCGCCACCACTGCCGGGGGCAACCAGGAGGAGTCCATGCAAACTTCCCCTTAGGATCAGTTGTCGGATGACTTGGTGCCGATGACACCGCATGAGACTACTCTCTTCAGACCGCCTCTTCCAGATGGGTGAAACAAACGACGACAGAGCGACTGCAGAACAGCTTGGGAATGAGCGGAAAGGGCATTCTGTCAGTTTAGAGAATAGCCAGATTTGGGATGAGATGTCTTGATGGCGTTTTTAATGTAGAGGTCTTTTCTTTACTCCATGCATAACCGAATCGTTTATTCCCACTTGAGGTAGTCATAAAAAGCACTCATGCCAGTTTGGATGACCTCTTCTATACACTTGCCTGGCTTTAGATCTTTCTGTGAGTATTCATCAGAGGAACTTGTATCAACCTAGGGGCGGTATACTCAAGCGGAGGTGGGGGCGCCTGGCTGAGATGATGGACGCTGGACTTGGAATTGTGCAGCATTGAAAGGCCGCCCGGGCCTCAGTTAGTGTATGCTTGTCGGTGTATATCTCAGTAGACTTGTAGTTCCATTAAGCGAATTTGAAAAAAAATCTAGAGCTTGCAATTGAAGGTTTCTAGTTCCTGTCAGTCCTTTTGAGCATCCCTGAAAAGCCGAGGCTGGCGAGTAAGGTCGAGTCATTTGTCAGCGGGTCCAGGGCAGACCTCTTGGAATCTCTGGACACGTAAGAAGATGGCACCTTCTATTTACTCTTTCAGCACATAATCACCAGCAAGCAGATAGACTACCAGCATCGCATGAAGAATTTATGTTGTTAGTGTCACTTTAAAAGCATCTGATTCCACGAAGTTCCCGCAATCCTCCGCTTGACGATAGCTCCACTCTCGATATCCGGCACCTTCCAAGTCTTGTTTCTCACAACCGTGATATCTCGCCAATTAATTGATCATTATTCGCCTCTTCGTATCATGGAAATTTCCTGGCCGTGGCGCTTTGTCACTCCCTCTGAAGAGGAAAAGCTTCTACGTCGGGAGCTCCTTGACCTAAGGGGTTCCTACGCCCAATGGTCGATCATCGCGGTGATCATCGTGCTTCGCGTCTATCAAGGCTGGGCTAAGTCCGTTACTGCCACTGAGCTTAGCTCCAAACAGCGCCGGGGGCCTACTTCATGGTGGGATCGACCGATCGCTGCTGGATGGCTTGAGACTCGTCGGCAGTATGCTCTCTGCGGGCTGTGGCTCTTATGGCTGTTCAGTCTTTCTGTCTGGAACAGTGGCGAAGGTATGTCCCCAACCAACCGTTTTTTATTCTGATAGTCCATGGAGTGTCATTTGCTGATTCCCACACGCAGACTATATGCATCTTACAAAGGCCTTGGGCCACGTTGCACTCTCACAAATCCCTCTTCAAGTCCTGATGTCTCCAGCAGCATATATATCAACTTCAAAGCCAGCAGCCTCTTCAATCTTTTCATTCGTGACTTCTATCCCACAAGCAACAGTGACACCCTATCACCGTCTTTTCGGACGGATGGTCATCTCGCCTCTACTCGTGGGCCACGCCACGCTCTACTTGTCGTTCTTCATCGAAACAAACCACCCAGAATTTGGCTCGCTGTTGAACAAGCGAGTGCGTGATCTCGATGTGCAATGCGGTCTCTTTGCGATAAGCATGGTGATCTCTCTTATCTTCTACGTGCGGCCTCGCGGTGCAGCATTGAAGACCGGAACTCAAGGACGGAGTGCTGCGGGCTCGATGCAAGAGCGGAGACGTTCTTTCTATTATGGCCACATCTCTTTAGTAGCATTGTTGTGCTTTGCGGCGTATTATCATGTCCTACAGGCGCAGAAGTATATGGTTCAGGCACTTGGCGCTTTTCTGGTTAATGGAGTGTTTTCGTGGGTGGTTGTTCGATGGGGAGAGCGCAGATAGATTCTTGCAGGAAGGACTTTGCAGCAGAAGGCTCGGTCAGCAGACTAGAATGTCTCCATACACATTTTTGGTATCATAAACTGGTTGCCCTTATTTTTGATTATAACCCCTTTCCTTTTGGATGAGATATGTGATCAAATCGAGGCTGTTGTTACTCGCGCGACTAGTTAGGCTAAATCAGGATAGCTCTTGGTCTGCTCTCTGCCATATGCTCCGACTAAAATTCCAAAAGAGTTTTGTTTATTATAAATCAAAGATAGCCAGAGAGAAAAATTTAAAACTATCTAGTGAGACGGTCCAAAAGACGGTTCAAAAGATCTTTCCAGGGAGTGGCAGTGAAAGCATATGACTTGGTTGCCCACAGGGCATTGGTTTTTTGTTATTTAACAAGGGGAGTGCACGTGTTATCTAGGGCGTAAACCGCTGTTCCTGGACCTAGTTAGGTAAAGGGTTACTTCATGATCCACTTCACCAAGAAATCGACTTAATTAAAGTCTTATCTATGCCACGCCTAGACGGAGGTCACCCTAAACAGCCAATAATAGATCACTAACCGGCACCTTTTCATCTAGGGCAGTACTCCAGGGAAGAATCCACACGGCAAATCAAAAGGCCGCACGATGAGAGTGTGGAACTACATAATCATGGGGAACAGCACTTAAATGTTCGGGTTATTACAGGTCTATCTCACGGCAGTCGCCTAATAGATCTTACGAGTAAGTGATCAGATGGCATGACAATAGATTTCTTGCATTTCTGGCAGAAGATCTTGAATCCCTGCCCCTTGACGGCAAGCAACGTACCATCATTCCAGACGCCCGGTAGCTGGTTAGTATGTGGGTATAAGTCCAAAGCCTTGGGGGTACTCACAAGTTTTGCTAGGATTATCCCCTGTGGCCACAGCAAGACTGGATTTACTTTCACCTCTTGGGGAAAACTCTACGCAAAGGAAGTAAGAAGAAAATTTGGAACAGAAGCAATCTAGAATTCTTGATCTTTCTAGAAGGAACACATGAAACAAGAGAGGGCCTATATATGCCATCGACAGGAAAAATATTTTCAAGAACATGATAATCTCTTCTGTGGTTTCGTCCTTGTCCACGCAGAGGGTTTCGTATTGTTGCTCAGCGACGGTTGACTGCGCCAGGGCGCGGGTGGTGAGCAGTGCTAGCAAAATGCCGCGCAGGTTCATAATTGTGGCTTTGTGTTTAATATCAGGTGAGAAGAGGTTGTATGTTGGTCCAGAGCATTGAAGGGAGGGGAATTCCCTTCCTTTATACAATTGGCTTCGTGGCCCTTTTCTTCTGCAGCCATGGACCCTCAACGGAACTATCATAGGATAGAAGAGCATCATATGGTTCATCGCTAAGACTCGTCTCGCCTCCTCACTTCTCTTCCCCCACTGGCTGAGGCATGCACGCTGTACTAGGTAAGGATATGTGGATGCGAGTGCCATTTTGGTCACTGATCGAATTTCGGGGCTTTCTCTTGGAATGGGTCAATTCAGCAGAACGCAGCTTTTGCCCATATTAATCGATCTACGCAGCCGGTCTCGGCATCTGTCGCGTCTACATATCTTCTCTAGTAAAAAGTCTCATCTCCTGGGCTATATTATGTGGATCGTTACGACCGATAAGGATCGCCCAAGCGCATTCAATGTATCCGCAATTTGAAATTGACTAGAAACCCCTCACCCGTAGGATCTAAAGGGCTCAATGATGTTCTCGTTCTTCTTTCTATAACCTCAGCTTACATACTTCTTGTACTACCGTTTATCATTTCCTTGCCTCGTTACCCTAACTAAGACATGATAACTTAGATTATCTCGTGTCCAGACTTAGGTACCTAGGGCTACATATTAAGTATTATGTATAGTCTCCTGCCACTTCTGCCACTCTCACAAGAATATGACTATCAGGATTACGATGGGGGTATTCAAGATTGAGGTGGACTGGCTGGACGCAAGCATCTGAACAGAGCCAAAACCTCGCCTGTAGGATGCGCGTCCCCATGCCGGGAACCAATAATCCATATTGTGGCTGAGTACACTGATCCGCATCATGTTTTGCAATATGGATTCAACAGCAAGACTTCTTGTGCTACCTTGTACTCGCAGAATATACAGTAGTTGTCCTTGGTAGCCGTATATCCGACTCCAGTTACATCATTGGGATAGCTGGGGCGATACTCAACTCAAGTTTACGGAGTACATACGTGCATATATGAAACCTGGGCTGATGATTGACCAAACTCACGATACGATCTTAAGTTCCTGTATTCATACTTCTTTGATTGGTAGGAACTTTTATCGTTGTTGGTTCTTGCTCAACCCAAAGCCCGCGAAGCATGTAATGAAGGTTAGTTGTCGCTTCTTCTCAACCAAAACTTCTAAGCCTTGTAAACTCTCCTGTTGGCTTTGCGGTTGACGAAGCGAGATGTCCTGTCCTTGCTGGGATTCTTTAAGATGCAAAGGTAAGTGAAACTACCCCTCGCATCAATATTCTAATGCAGAATGCACTTCTTGGCTGCAATAACAGAACTGAGGAAGTCTGACTTCATTCTGCATTGTCGAGAAAAGAGGACTTTCGTTTCCTTATCCTTGGGTGCCCTATAAATTCTAACCCTGCACGCCCCAACATCCGATTGTTCTACTGTGACAAGACACTCCGTTATTCCATCCATCTCTTTTCGTGACCTCACTCCGAGATGCTTATTCGTCCTTTTATTCACGTCTTAGTGACTCTGCCAGCTGTCATTGCTCAGGCTGGCACCGCCCAGGAGGAATTCGATGCGGCATGCCCTAAAAATGGAGCTTCTAAAGACCAAACAATCGACACTTTAGAGAACGGATACCAGTTTTAATATATCTGTCGTCGAAACGGCCACTCTGAAAATTTGATCACCACCACGACCTGTTCAACCATTCGTCGGTGTGCCTCCCTATGTGCTGCCGATGATGCACGCAAAGGCAGTGCCTTTTTGCACGATGCCGAGGAATGCGAGCTGTTCACCGATGGTGATGCAATCACGGCCAGACGAACCGGTGTCTTTCTTCGCCGAGAATGTGATCCAACTTCCCAGGAGCCGCCAGAGGAGTCCGACACGGGCTCATGCAGCGAAATTGAGACGGAGCTGCGCAACTGCCGGAGGTCCGAGAACCAGCTCCAAGAAACTCTTCGGCGATGTCAGAAGGAGAAGCGAGATTGTGATCAAGAAAGGAACACTTGTAACTCGAATCGTCGGAAATGTGCCGAGGATTTAGCCACATGTCGGCGAGAGGAAGAAGAACTCCAGCAAAAATGCTCCGATACGCAGCGAAAACTTGAACGGGACCTTGAAAAATGCAGAAGGCACAAGGAAGCCGAGAAAGCTTCGGCACAAAAGTGCAAGACAGCCAAATTTGCCATAAAGCTGTGCCCCAAGATTGATCAAAACCTGCGGACCTATGGTGGTTGGCAATATAAGATCTGGTGTCAGCGATGGGCCCCTGAACGTGGTGCTCCTTACAAGCAGAATGCCCTCGGTTTCCGCCAATGCCTGGTTGCTTGTTCGGCGGATCCAGGCTGTTAAGTCGTCATCTATTATCCCACGGCTCATGCGCCCTGCAAAATGTTCCCTCATTGGTCTAAGGAGCCTCTGGCCGTGTCCGAGAACTTTTATGCCAAACAGCCTATCCTGACCGCTATCCCAACGCGCGAGAAGAAATAGGCAAAGCACGTTGCTTCGAAAGCATTGAAACTGCCTATGCAATAGTCAACTATCGATGTCTCTCTGCAGTTCAAGGACGTTTATCGAATTCGAGGGAATTATGAAACTCTAAGCATTTGCTTCACACAATAACAGTCAGGATACTGATATTGATTCGAGTTTGCAGTTTTCAAATATAGTTGAATTTGAATGGTTCCTGTTCATTTCGGAAGACTGAAGAACAGAGCTTGTAGTTGCTGGTAGATGTTCAAATCAAAGATAGACGTGGCCACTCCATACATGCCATATGTAGTAGTCAACCAATCACGGGATGGCCAGAATCATTTGCCACTGGAAGATGGTACATTTTCCTCCTCGTGGAATTGAAAGTTCAACCGACTTCAATACTGAATAAATTAATTAGACAATAGACCAGAGATAACTAATAATGGTAGAAGTAGAAGAATAAAATAGTACACTTTGAACGGCTTGGCGTTTAGCGTGTCTACTTCGCGGCCCTCGAACAAAAGGCCCAGGCCAAGTTAATAATAGCCCCCCCGAGACTCCAGACCACTTGCCTGATGGAGTACACTCTCCTTAGACCCTTTTTTGCCTTGTCCACTCCCCTCCCCTCCCCCCTCTCCTTCTCATCTTGGCCCTTCAACCTCTCCACTTGGCATGCCTCCCTCAAATGGCAGGATGCGCACCCAACGTCTGATCCTCCTGCTCGCCATCGTCCTCCTCGCGTGCGTGTCGCTGGTCCTTCTCCGTCCCGATCCAACTCCCCAAAATGAACCGCTAGACCTCCCTCCCCCCGAGCCCATTAGACATCCTCAACTCCATTCGGGCCAGACCTCATACCCGCCGGAACAGGTGCACCCGGTCGCCAGCCTGATCCAGAATGCGCAGCAGCAGTTCGACCATGTGCAGTCTCGGCAATCGAAAACCCTGGCCGAGGCGGTCCAGGAGTACCAGCGCCGCTACAAGATGCACCCGCCGCCGCATTTCGACAAGTGGTTCCAATTTGCCCAGGCTAAAGGAGTGAAACTCATCGATGAGTTTGACTCGATCTACCACTCCCTATTGCCATTCTGGGCTGTGAAGCCAGCGACCATTCGCGCCCGCGCTCGAGAGACACTGGGATTTGACAATGCCGTGATTGGCCTTTTGATTCGCGATGGCAAGGTGACTCTAACGGAAGGTGGTGGTGACGGTCGCAAGTGGCAGCGCGAGGCCACGGTCGGCATGATGAAGGAGTTCGTCAAGTACCTGCCAGACATGGATTTGGTCTTCAACACGCACGACGAGCCCCGCGTGGTGATCCCCGGTGAAGACCTCCAGCGTCTGGTGCAGACTGCGACGGACCATGCTATTCCCGCTGCCTTCAACCGAAAGTCCGCGACGAATGGATGGTCGCCCCGTGCCGCTGACTTGAACAAGGGCGATCGTATCGACGAAGTGCGTACAACTCGCTTCAACCGATTCGCCCACCAACCGACCTGGACCAACTCCCGGATTTCCTGCCCCGTCGATAGCCCGGCCCGATCCCTTGATGAGGATGCCCCCGACAATGACTCCCCCTATGCGTACGGCGAACTGGGCTTCATTTACAATGCCAGCGCCTTCTCGGATATCTGCCACACTCCCTCCCTTCGATACACGTACGGCTTTTTCGATCGCCCAAATGCCTTCGATGTTGTCCACGATTTGTTCCCGATCTTCTCACAAAGCAAGATTTCCAGTTTCCAGGATATCCTCTACCCCAGTCCCTGGTACTGGGCGGACAAGGTTCCCTACCAAAGATCCAAGGACTATAGCTGGGACGCCAAATCCGACCGCATGTACTGGCGCGGGACCACGACCGGTGGCTTTTCACGTGCCGGCGGCTGGCGCCGTCAACATCGCCAGCAGTTTGTGGACAACGTCAACTCGTTGGAACCTACCAAGGTTCTCACGCAACAGCAAGACGACTCTTGGGTCTCACAGAACGCCAGCCGGGATTCCTACCGCGATTCATTTGATGTCAAGTTCACAATGATTGGTCAATGCGATCCCGATGACTGCCACGCACAAGAAGAATACTTCGACGTCGTCAAAGCTGCAGGACAGCAGGATGCATGGGCACACAAGTATCTGGTCGACATTGATGGAAATGCCTTTAGTGGTCGCTTCTATGCATTCCTTCATAGTAACAGCTTCGTCTACAAGATTGCCATCTTCCGCGAGTGGCACGACGAATGGCTCAAGCCTTGGGTACACTATGCGCCGCTCAGTTTGAAGGGCAACGAATACGTGGAGAGCATGCGGTACTTTACCGCGGAGGAAGAGGGTAAGAAGGCTGCCCCTCAGATTGCCACCCAGGGCCAGGAATGGGCGCAGCAAGTATTACGGAATGAAGACCTGGAGGTCTGGTTCTTCCGCCTCCTTCTGGAGTAAGTTTATTCCATCATTTACTGATATGCATACCCTTGCTAACATTGATCTTCTCCTCAGGTATGGCCGTCTAGTGGACGACAAGCGCGATCAAATAGGTTTCACTCTTTAAGTCGCACCTATCACCCTTTCTTCGTTCGTGTTTAGATATCGCCCTTGTATATATACCCCTAATATTCCCGCCGATCAGCTGGCTGAATCCCGATTCAGCATCCTGCGGGACCTCGACGAGATTACGGCCTTTTCCTTTCGTTGGCTTCTATGCTTTGATTCCTGACATGTCGCTCTACTTGCATCGTTCCCTCCATGTGTTAATACCCTTTTTTTTCTGTCATTTGATTGAATCAGCCGGACTCATTTCTGTTGTCAAAGATCTGAACCCTTTTTGTCTACTTGATCTATTTGCATGTGTGAAGGGGAACTTGGCGTTCTCCGAGATGGGAGGCTTTACGGGCTCTCCCCAAGACTGCATTTCAATGTGTATCCTTTTTAAATACTTATATAACCATGTCTATTAACAATGGCTTTCTTTTTTTTCACGGGATAGTCTTCCCATTCAGTACCGATATCTTGGGTTTCGTGTACCTGCATAACTCTGCGATGCTGCAGGTTTATCAACTTTATCAAACCTTATGCAAATCGAGCTGCTCCCAGAAATGGTTAGCGCTGCGAGAGCGGGCCCGTTTAGGCTGACTAACTGACTCGCTGGGTGACGAAACGTTGCCAAAGCTCCGAGGTCCCCCGCCGATGGAGCTCTCGGAGCTTTTTGTTTTAGGATACCGAAGACCGTGCCAATGCGCCCTTATTATTTCTGTCACTATATTATTTCTATGTGCTTACTTTTGCGTCTCTTACCCCTGTTCATCTGATGCACAATTGACTGGTTCTCGCTCCATCATGGGCAACTTCATCACCAAAGCCATCACCAGGCTGGTCACATTCGCCTATGGTCTCTATTCGGTGTGCCTATACGGATACTTAGCCACTAAGAGGGGCACGTTTTTCAAGAAACGCACCGACAGACAGAATCTTGAGTTGCAACTTGGTAAGATCCTTCTTTTTTTCTAGCCATCGTCGTTTCTTTGCTTTTGGCAGCCGGTCCCTATTCAAATAAAGAAGAAACGTCACTGATGATCATGGTGGATCCGTAGCTCGCGATCGCCTGTGGAACCTTTCTAAAGACTACGCCGGCCTCTCCCACTACTTCCTAACGCTCCCAAGCGGGTTCAAATTCCATTTCGTGAGCAATGGTGCTCATGGTTCTCCGTCGGCATTGACGTCGGAAAAGCCTCTTGTTATCTTTATTCATGGATTCCCCGATAGTTGGGCTATCTGGCGTTATATCGCCACCGCGCCATCTCTACAGAGCTCCGCCAATGTCGTTGCTATTGACCTGCCTGGATATGGTGGAACGGAAGGTCTGGAGAAATACACGGCTACAGCTGTGTTGGAGAAACTGACCGAACTTATTATTACCCTCCGCACGCAATATGGCGTTGATCAGGGTACCGAGACGAACAAGAAGCGAGTCATTATCGTGGCTCACGACTGGGGATGCGTGCTGTCGATGCGACTTGCAGCCGAGGCACCATCGCTGGCACATCGATTTATCCTGTCCAATGGTCCATTGGTATGTTATGCATTGATGCTTATTTTAACAACACCCCCTGAGCAGTATGAATGCTTACGATACCTGTGATAGATGAGCTTGGCTGGATCCAACGTTCGCCGCATCGTTGCTTCAGCATCCAAGATTTTCAATACTGCTCTGGCCGCTCCACTCTCATCCCGTACGCCATTGCTCCAGGCCCTTCGAACTCTGGGACCCGTGTTCCGCCAACTCAAGATGTCCGGTTATGTCTTTGCCATGCAGCTGCCTCCCACGCTGGTGACTTATTTCCTAACTGGAGGCAACTACTCCTTCATGGCAGGTATTCACAAGGGCTCTCACGGACGAGGCGAGTTCACCCCGAGTGATGAAGGCACCTCCATGGCCAGCAGCATGGGCCCGTCCCTTGCCGAGTCCAAGACGCAGACTGCCGGCGGCGAGTCATACCCGAGCACCATCAAGTATACCCACAATTTCGCCAACGTCCTACACATGGCCGGGTACTACCGCGATGGCGCATCCGTAGCAAGATGGCGCAAATCCGTCGAGACCGTCGCCAACCTGCACAGCATTGCTGGCGGCAACGAGCTTCGGCGCAGCAACAGCGGGGCCGGTCTGCTTGACGAGGGTACCCCCGGTGCCTTGCAGGCGAACTCGACCGTGTTCTGGGGTCAAAAGGATATTGCGCTGAACCCGCAGATCTGCCTGGATGGCATGGCCGATTATCTGGTTGCCGATAGCCAGGTGGTGATGCTTACCGAGTCTGGCCACTTTACTCCGATCGAGCCAGAGAGCCGGGTTGCCATGGTGAAGGCCGTGGAATGGGCCATTCACGGCGAAAAGGGCGATATCGGCGCCGTTATTCAGGAGTGCTATCCGAGCGCAAAGGTCATTGCCCGGCGATAAACGCGGTCGGCGTGTAACTCTGGGGAGAGTTGAATTGATTTGTCTATGGGTGGAAGAGTCGTTGTGTTGTGTGTGGATGCTCTATGATCCCCGTGCATGTCTGATTTATATCAAGTTTCTTGCTCCGGAAGTTATTTTTGGTTTAAGTACTTCGGACTACTATGGACCGTTGGCGTCTTGCATAATTGTGACGCGCCCTGGCCACATCCCGGGCCCGAGGGCTTTTGTCTTAGTTTCATGTAAACAGAAAGTGTGAGCCCAAGCGCAATGCAGTTACAGTACCTACAGTTCATACGTATTATTCGAGAAAGACCGTCAAATATTTCAATCATCCATTGTTCGGATCGGACACTAGGCGGATCTTCCGTGCCCCAAGTGGATTCGGTGAGGGGAAAAGCCCCTCAAGATCTTCAAAAGATGGGGGTTTTCTACAGAACAGTCCAAGTTGTAAGTGGTCTAGAAGCTAGATAGGAATCAGTCATACTGTTATTATCCGTACTTCGTCTTCCAAAAAAACCCCCTCAATTCGCAATCTCCACCTTGTCGTACTTCCGCCACCCCCGCCGAAGCTCTCGGAGCTTCCATCTTAGCTTTCCCCAACCTTCGACTCGCCTTCCACCCTTTCCAACCCTTACCTTCCTCTTTTCTTTCAAACTCTACTCTCGACTCTCCGACACACCCCCTGATTTAACCTTCCTCAAGAAAATATTCCCCCCTGACCTTGCACAACGGAAATGATGCAGCGCTGGTGAACGTCAACCCGTTTTCGTCCGCTCGAACGTCCGATCCAGGTACCACAGTTCCCCCCGGGCCCGCTTGTTGACGGGGCCAGTCCGAACTGAATTGTCGCGGAAAGCAGCGCGTAACCCCCTCCGATCCACGATAAATATAGGCTTCGGTCGGAGGTCTTGTTCGCCTTTGCGATTTTCTTTTTCCGGGAAAGACTGAGAAATTGTCGCGTTGTCTTTCGCTGATTGTCTTGGAAGGAGGCCGTTGACGGACTTGGGTTTTGTTGAGGGACGTCATGGCGTCCGAGCGGAGTGCCGTTTACTGCACGGTTTGGATTCCCCTCCCTCCTAGTACCCTCCGACGGTCTTATACGGTGCAAGGCATGCAGAATGAGAGGAAATACTAATTGCAATTCGTTTGGCAGCTCCTGTTGAGCGATTCATACTTGCCGGGTAAGCAATTGGTGCCCTTGTGCGTTTGTCGGTGCTTTTGATCTAATTCTCGGATCTAGGTGCTATGGTCCTGGCGCATTCTTTGCGCGACAATGGCACAAAGGCAAGGTTGATCGTCCTGTACACACCGGATCGATTACGACAAGAAACGATCAATGAATTAACGGTGTGTATCATCTGAATTACAGCGCAATTGCCTGCTTCCCAAACTTGCGCGACTAACTTGATCTTCTACCGAAGACCGTCTACGATGAGCTGATCCCAGTATCTTCGCTGGTAAACGGTACACCCGCAAACCTCTGGCTTATGGACCGCCCGGACCTCATCGCGACATTTACAAAAATCGAGCTTTGGCGTCTGACCCAGTTCTCAAAAATCGTGTATATCGACTGCGACATCGTGGCCATTCGCGCTCCGGATGAATTGCTCGCGCTCGAAGTCGACTTTGCAGCGGCACCCGACGTCGGCTGGCCAGATTGCTTCAACAGTGGGTTGATGGTACTACGACCTAACCTGCAGGATTACTATGCACTGAAGGCGCTGGCAGATCGAGGCATTAGCTTCGATGGCGCGGACCAGGGCCTGCTCAACATGCATTTCCGGGACTGGCATAGGTTGAGCTTCACGTATAATTGTACGCCCAGTGCAAACTACCAGTACATTCCTGCCTATAAGCATTTCCAGGGTTCAATCAGCCTGATTCATTTTATTGGGGCGCAGAAGCCTTGGACTTTGCCGCGACAAGTGGTGCCGCTGGAATCGCCGTATAATCAATTGCTGGCACGGTGGTGGTCAATTTATGATAGGCATTATCGTCCACCATTTGTGAGTTTTAAAAGCAAGCTCCGGTTTAATTGAGACTGATCGGGTTTTAGGTATCTGTTCCCCAACGAGAGAGCGGTGTGCTACTCCCGCCACGAGACATGGCAGCCCATCATGGCCACCGGCAAGCATCAAGTCATAGTCCGAAGAGGGTTCATTTCGAGGAACCAGTTGGGGAGACATACGTTGAGCAGGGAATAGAGCCTCAAAGTGCTCCATCTGGTGAACACGGTCCCGTGGAGTTCCATGGTGAAGCTGCTCATACCCATCAAGACATGCCAGAGGTCGTATCGAGTGATCAACAAACACAAGATACTACCTGGCAGCAAGATTCTGGTTACAAAGATTTTGGTCACCAAGAACCTACTTATGATGCCCATCAGACAGCCCAGGAGATCACTCCACCAGTCATACCCGTACTGAGTGCAGTCCCGCAGTATGTGCGTGGAGAAGAGCATGTTTCGACTTACATTGCGCCTGTGCCAAATACTCAGATACCGGCTTTCCAGGTTCAGAGAGACCAGCACATTCATCACCAACAACCTGAAGCTCCTCCAGAGTATCATTCCCACCAACACCACCAGCAACATGCACCACCGCCAAGCTCGGATCCGCCAATTCATCACCCACAGCCTGTAGCACCCCCAAGGTCGGTGAATGAGCCCCGCCAACCCTCTCCTCCCCCGGAGCCAGAGGTCCCATCTTTCGAAGCACCAAGGTCAGAATGGGATGCCTCACGGTAAGGATTTGATTTTTGTATATGTCTCATCATTAAAGGGTTAGCTGCTTATACTTCAAAGAGAGCCACCACCGCTGCACTCCAGGCCAGAAGGAGCCAACTTCAAACACCAAACATACACCATGTCTGAAGACACCGCGCTGTTCCAACCACCCCCGTCTTACCCCGAGGCACCGAAAAATATGTACTATCAAGTTCCTCCAACAAAGCCAGAGCCACAGCGAATCACACAGTTATTCCCCTGGGAAACGCACGCGCCCAGGCCCACCCGTATCTTTGCCCCCGAGCAGCCCGTTCCTCTAGCCTCACCACCAGAAGAAGCCCTTCCAGTGCCGCCCACAGAACCGGCAGTTCCATCCGAGATCCTGCCATTCCGAGCCCCCTTCGAGCCCTCTGCCGAGACCTGGGAGTCATACAATCGTTCCAACGCATGGGACGAAGACCCCGACATCCAACGCTACATCGAGTCGATCCAACAAGCGCGACGTGCCCGCACACAAGTGATATCCGGGTCCAGCCACCCAAGCACGAGCACACGGTCCAGCCAAGACCTTACGAGCTCTCCCGCAACGACCGTCACAGGACCCCCTCCGGCCACCGGCCCAGCATCATCCTCACCGATTTCCCCACGGAAATCGAGCGTCCCAGTCTCCCCGTGACACCCGCGCCGATCCAGCGCAACAGGGGCATCACCGGCGACGGCGACGAGAATGATGCTTCCGGTACGGCCGCCCTCCCTGCTGCCGAGGGGGTCCCGAGCCAGCAGGAATGGGTGGGTGTCACGGTTGATGCGTTTTCACAAGTGCTCCGAGCAACGTACTTATTGTGGCGGTTTACAGAATCCCCTGGCCAGTCTGGAAGAACTGCGTCGCCGGCAATCCGAGGTTTTGGAGCATCCCGAGCGATTGGATGAGCGGCTTGCTGCAGTTGCGAGCAAGTCTGGGTCTTGGTCTGTAGGGCGAGGGTAGGCCTCGCCTATGTCTACTAATGATTGGCTCCCTGGGGGTGTAGCTACTACAGCTACATATGTAGCAGCCTAGCAGGGGACTAGGGCAGGAACGTGCTGGGTTTCCTTATTTGGAAGTTCGATTATCGTTTTCTTGGCGATGATTTAGCGGAGAACCTCTTAATTTTCTTCCCCTTTTTTTCTCTTTGTTTATTTTGATTTCTTTTCTCCTCGGTCATTCTTTCTGCTCTATTTGAAGCACTTGGGCGTCTTTGCATACGTCCGTTTCTCGCATTTTGTACATTGCATATGCATCAGCTCGTCCACAATGAATTTTTGCGCTTCCCGCTACACAACCATAGAACTCGACAGCTCTTCCCGTCGCTAAAATTCCTCTTAATTTCAATATTCGAATGTGGACTCCTTCTCCACTCGCTATGCACGCTTATCTCGAATGCCGAACACACAAACCGAGCATGATTCAGACCGTAGATCGGAACTGTAGCTCTCAGGTGTCCAACGAACTTCGCTAGGAAGATAACTATTCCCTAGAGGCCAGGCCGCGTCGCATTTCTTCACCCTAAAATTTACCTGCCTGATAGGGGGACTAGCGTGCCGGGAGGATTAGCCATGCGAGGGCAAAAGCCAATGAGCGGGCCGGGAAGAAAATTTAAGACGATGCTTATCTACGCCTAAAATCAACCTAAAATCCGTGTGGCGAACCGGTGAGAGAAAAAAGGCTGACCGGTTCTGGGTCGAGTACGTAGCCAATGTTAACGTTTGTGAATTTCTCGGAATGTTCCCGCTGGACCTTATTATTAAAATTCTCTTTTCATTTCTAAACTTCTTGTGCCTAGGCTTGGTGGCTGATTTCTGTTAAAGGTTTTCTTCTCGTTCTTCTTCTGTGGCTGGTCTCGTGATCTCGGGATCCGGCGAACCCTATTGTTCAAAGTTTCGACGTCAAGATTAGTAAAGGACCCTGGCTCGGAACTGTTGAGCCGTGTACGCGTGGCTTATGGCAGAGATTTTCTATTCTATTTTGTGGCTTGATGATGGGCTTGAGGGCTTCCGGGGAGGAATATTCAGCCGCATTTACATCATATCTTGCTACACAGTAGTTAGAATTCCATCCTAATACGCTATCATCTGTCGAACAGGTTGCGCTGCCAATTTTCAAATGGAATCAGTTATGGAAGGCTCGGAAAGTCTAAAACACGTGGATGACTCCCCATACCGCGGAGTCTGCCCAGTGCTCCGAGGGAGAACGGCGATCTGTTGGGGTTTCACCCAAAGACATGCATCGTATAGACCCTCCTTCCCCCGCCCCAGCATCGTACGACCAATCTACAAAGCCCGAATAGTGCTTGGAAGTGGGCTTGGGGGATCCGCCGTAGTTCCACTATTGTTGTCGACGGAAGTAACCTCGTTAGTCATGGAGGTGACCTTTTCCATTACCTACAGAATCTCCATTGCCCCGTTATAGTGACCCTTACGGATAGCTTATTGGCTCACAATCCGAAGTTCGGCCCGAGTGACAAACCACCCGCCAATCAAGGATTCCCACGGAATGTTCGGCGGGTCTTCCATGGGACGTTCGATGCAGATTTGGTGCAGATTTGCCTCCCACGGGGGCAACATCGGCCCTGCGGAGAATGGGGCATACCGAAACTCAAAATGGCAGGCTGCTGGCTGGCAAGATTTCTGTTATTAATTGAATACCCCAGTCCCCCCGTCTTTCTCCTTTCACGTACTCCTCTTTATCCTTCTTCCCCTCGTTTTCTATTTCCTTCTAGTTTCTTGTTTGCATATAGGTGGAGGGAAACGACCTTCTAAAGACTGTGAGCTCGTATCCTCAACGACCGGCTCAGCATTAACATTATTTCATCATTTGTTTGAGATCTGCTGCTGCCTTTGATTCGAGTATCATCATGTCAAACATGGAGACTGTCACAGCCCAGCCTCCGGCCTATCACAATGACAAGATTGGCGAGCAGAAGCACTCTCCCCCCAACTTTGAGGAGGAGGGTGGCCTCAAGCACGGCGAGGTCGCCGATGCTTTTGGTAACGAGGAATATGCCGAGATCAAGTACAAGACTCTCAAGTGGTGGCAATGTGGTCTGCTTATGATTTGCGAGTCTGTCTCGCTGGGTGTCTTGTCATTGCCCTCTGCTGTGGCTACACTGGGCCTGGTGCCGTGAGTATTTCCAATTTATTGATTCTAAAGAAAAAAGACTGTATAACTAACATATCTGCTTTTTTTCTTCCAGTGGTGTGATTCTTATCATTGGTCTGGGTCTTCTGGCCACTTATACTGGATATAACATTGGCCTGATGCGTGAACGCTACCCGCACATCCAGAACCTGGCTGATGCTGGTGAGATTCTGCTTGGCCGTTTCGGCCGTGAGCTCTTCGGAGCTGGTCAATTCCTCTTCTGTATCTTCGTTATGGGCAGTCACATCCTGACCTTCCGCGTCATGATGAACACCATCACCAACCATGGCACTTGCTCCATCGTCTTCAGTCTGGTCGGCATGCTCATCTCCCTGGTCCTGTCCATCCCCCGCACCATGCGTGGCATGACCTGGATCTCCTTCGCCTCCTTCCTCTCCATCTTCAGCGCCGTCATGATCACCATGATCGCCGTCAGCGTGGAGGAGCACCCGGGCCGCGTCATCGAAGCCACCGTCGAGACCAACCTGTACACCGCATTCCAAGCCGTCTCCAACATCGTCTTCGCCTACTGCGCTCACGTCGCCTTCTTCGGTCTGATCGCCGAGATGGAGACCCCCAAGGACTTCAAGAAGTCCCTCTTCATGCTTCAGGGCTTCGAAATCTGCCTGTACCTGACCGCCGCCGTCGTCATCTACTACTACGTCGGCACGGACGTCCAGGCTCCCGCCCTGCTCTCCGCAGGCCCTCTCATGAAGAAGATCGCCTTCGGCATCGCCATCCCTACCATTGTCGGCGCCGGCGTCGTCAATGGCCACATCGGCCTGAAGTACATCTACTTCCGCCTCACCGCCAAGTCCGACCTCATGCACCAGCGTAACTGGAAGTCCGTCGGCCTCTGGCTCGCACTCGGCGCCTCCTGCTGGATCGTCGCCTGGATCATCGCCGAGGCTATCCCCGTCTTCAGCGACCTGAACTCCCTCATCAGTGCCCTGTTTGCTTCCTGGTTCAGCTACGGTCTGTCCGGTGTGTACTGGCTGCACCTGAACGCTGGCCAGTGGTTTGCTTCCCCGCGCAAGATTGCCCTGACCATTCTGAACATTGCTATTGCCCTGTTTGGTCTTGCGCTTTGCGTGCTGGGTCTGTATGCCTCCGGCACGGCTATTCATGATGACACCAGCAGCGCTAGCTTTAGCTGCTCTTCTACTTAAGAAGAGGCCGGTGGTTTTTATGTTTGAATGTATATATTGTTTTGAAACGTGTTTTCTTGTATGAGTTGCATATTTGCATATAGATAGCTTGGTTTTCCTTTTGCATGGCATGCGTTTCTATGGATTAGAGGCTAGACATACAAATTCACATTACTGGCTAATGAAATTTCTTCTGGAAATGTCCTCCATCACAAGTAAATTGTTCTTAAATATGAGATGACTACCGCCAACCATAATTGATATCACGGCCTAGCTAATGACAGGGATCATGCTTCAGGGTTCCGAAACAGCAACCTCCCTGTTCACTTCTGCTCGGAGGGGAAATAGAGCACGGCTAGCTCTGAGGGCATTTTCTAGACCCTAAACAACAAGATACAATACGGGGTCTATACAGCAGAGCTGAATACAAGACTGATATCTCGTGAAACTCGAGGCGCCGCAACATTCAAGTAAGCCATAAGCGCCCTGCTCAAACTCAATTTGTTTCCGCTTATCGGATCTTCAAATCTTGAAGCATCGCCATCAGCCACCACGGCCCTTCAATTACGTTGTTCACAAATTTTGTTCTGCAACAAGTGTCAGAGGGACTGCGGGCTTCATTGTTTCATGACTTTCCCAAGAACAAAAGCAACCGAGAGAGCTGCCAGTATACACATGGATCTACCATATTGCAGTGAGATTACAGTAGGCAATCGGGTTGATGGGTATTTGTCATTCAATCATTAATAATGGCTATGGTGGTGGGCTCTTCACTAAAGATAGGGGACAGGAAATGACAAGGGGGGGGGATTGACAATTGTAGAATTCTAAGCCCGTGATCTAGGAAAGACGCTCAAAACAACGAGTGTACCGGAAGCTCTTCCATCAAGGGTGCTAGCTGGGAGAGTGAATGCATGTGATGATGTGGGAGTGACTTAGGTATGAGTGGAAAGACAGTATCTTCAGGCCGTGTGGGTGCATAGAGCGACTTTAGTCGTTTTGACAAATGCAGCCTGGCCTTACACCTGCCCATCATTGAGTCGTTTACCGCGGACGGAATAAAAGTTGGTTTGCTTGATGTGAACTGACTTGCCAGTCTTCTCGTCAAAGAGTGAGAATCCGTAGTTGGCAGCATTAGGGGGTGTGTAAACTGTAAAACAATCAATGTCAACAGATAAAGCAAACGAATGTCAAAACTCGGGTTCACCTACGATGTAGTGAAATAGCAAAGTCATCTGGGTGAGGGTTGGAAATTCTATGAAGACCGAGCTGTTTTCATCAGTCAGTATCGTTATGGACACTAACATAAGACGGATTCCTTACTTTGTCAGACATGTAAGTCACCTGGTTCTCTTCGTAGACAGTCTCCCGGGTGAGTTGTGGGGGAGAAGTCTCTCCTTGCTCAATCTTCTTCTTATCTGGCCAGGAATAGAGCGTCTCCTTGAGCTTTCCCTTGAGTATCTGTTAATCCAGTCAGCATGTGAGTCCATTGTGTAAAGTCTGCTTGGACCGATAATACCTTCATCACACAATGTGCATTTGCATGGTCATGAATCGCACTACTCTTCCCAGGGCTCCAGACGAGGATGAGCTGGTTAAAGCCACGGTCAGCAAGTTCATTAGGTACACAAACTCATCTCAATGTCGAGGGCGAAGATCAACTGACCAGGTTGCTCTTGCCATTTCCCTCGTCGATTAGATTTCTCGTATAACCCCGACTGGAATCTCCCAGAGCATATGGTCCCCATTCTCCCTCATCCGAGACGTATCGCTCCATCAACAGCTGGATGTTCATGGGGTCAACATCATCAGAGTCAAGGCCAGAACTGGGCCCGAGAGCAGCACTGAGGTCCTCGACGAGTTGTTCAAAGGCCACGGTCTTTTCAGACTTGCTGGGCGAATCAGACTCGTTCTGGATGAATGGCATTGTGAGAGTGTTCTGTTATCTGATGTTGGCTCTGTTAACAGTTGAACAACCAGCGCGAATGATGAGGCAGTCAGATCAAATAGGCCCGTTATCGGACTTTGACTCGGGAAGAATGCTGCTCTTTTATGCACTTCTCCCGGACGAGATCAAGAATTGCGATTGAAGCGTGCCAGCGTCACCATGTCACACAAAGGTAACCCAGATGCGATTAACCATCAAGGTTCGGAATGGCGAGATTGAACGACTTGATAGGAGATTGTTCGATCGCCATCTTTTCCGCTCCTACCAAACCGAGAATCGATAAGAAGGATATTGTGGCCTGAGGCCTGAAATATATTACCCGAAAAGTCAGGCACACTATGACATAGCCTGGTGCCTCAGGCCAACACCCCGCCCTGACTAAGAAAGAGTGCCACACTTCAAAGATTGTTTCTCCACCAATTTTATCGCTTTCGCCGCGAAGTTGTCCTGCTACACAACGAGGGAGACCAAAACTCGAGCGAACCCCGGACCCTGTCGAAATAGAACACTAAACCTCTCCCCCGACGGTTTTCTATTTTAACCGCCAACATGTCGACCACCATTGAGAAGGTTAGTGCGCCAACTCGCTCCGCTTGTTCAAACCCAAAATCGCCTTGCAGACAGTCGCTAATGCAGACATTACTGGGTATAGATCAAGGAGATCGAGTCCGAGATGGCTCGGACTCAGAAGAACAAGAACACCTCCTTCCATTTGGGTACGACTACCCCGCGAACACAAAACCCCTCGAAACCGAATAAAAGTGATCAGGGCTGACAATCGGTGAAGGACAACTTAAGGCAAAGCTTGCGAAGCTCAAGCGAGAGCTGTTGACCCCCTCTGGCGGTGGTGGTGGCGGTGGTGGTAAGTGTTTTTCAATATCAAGACTCTGTGGGCTCCCGTTCAATCTCTAATTCCAACATTCTATAGCCGGTTTCGATGTTGCGCGTACTGGTGTTGCCAGTGTGTAAGTCACTCGACGACGACACAACAATATTGGAAAAGGCAGGATACTGATGGTGAATACAGCGGCTTCATTGGTTTCCCCTCCGTCGGCAAGAGTACTCTGATGAGCAAATTGACTGGCCAGCACTCGGAAGGTGTGTTTCTGCAAGAAAAGTTTTTGCATTGATCAATGACTGATATCATCGTATAGCTGCCGCTTATGAGTTCACGACCCTCACGACTGTTCCGGGACAGGTGATGTACAACGGTGCCAAGATTCAGATTCTCGATCTCCCTGGTATTATCCAAGGTGCAAAGGATGGTAAGGGTCGTGGTCGTCAGGTCATTGCTGTGGCCAAGACTTGCCATCTGATCTTCATCGTCCTCGATGTGAACAAGCCTTTGGTCGATAAGCGCGTCATTGAGAACGAATTGGAGGGATTCGGTATTCGTATCAACAAGTCGCCCCCCAACATTGTGTTTAAGAAGAAAGACAAGGGTGGTATTGCGATCACGAGCACTATGCCTTTGACGAACATCTCGCAGGAGGTGAGTAGTGGATCTTGCGGCGCTTTGAAAACCACGACTAATTTTATTTTCCAGGAAATCAAAGCTGTGATGAACGAGTACAAGATCTCGTCCGCTGATATCTCCATCCGTTGTGATGCTACTATTGATGACCTGATCGATGTCCTTGAAGCTAAGAGCCGAGCTTATATTCCCGTCGTCTATGCGCTCAACAAGATTGATGCAATCTCCATCGAGGAGCTGGACCTTCTTTACCGGATTCCCAACGCCGTCCCTATCAGTTCAGAGCACGGCTGGAACATCGACGAGCTTCTGGAGATGATGTGGGAGAAGCTCAACCTTCGACGAATCTATACCAAGCCCAAGGGACGCGCTCCCGACTACACAGCACCCGTTGTGCTTCGTGCTTCGGGATGTACCGTGGAGGACTTCGTATGCACACTTCTATCCGTCACTTTCAATTGGACCACGCTAATCGGTGACAGTGTAATGCCATTCATCGAACGATCAAGGATCAGTTCAAGCATGCCATTGTGTACGGTCGCTCCGTCAAGCACCAGCCGCAACGAGTCGGCCTTGCGCACGAGCTCGCTGACGAGGATATCGGTACGTCCTACCCTGCCATCCAACAATCGACACCTCTAGTCCCAGGTGAAAGCTGACCTTTTCGGTTATAGTGTCTATTGTGAAGCGTTAAAGAGTCTCATCACAATCCTTGGCCGTCATCGCCCTCGTGTGAATTGACGAGTCAATCTCAATCGCATTGGGTTATGGCCCGTGGTCGGAGTCAGCATGATCTTCACCCCCCTGTAGCTCTATGCTGACAGGTACGGGGAAGTTCTGGGTTACAGCTCCCCGTAGGACGCCACGGGCTCCCAGTGTGGTTGGACGGCAAGAGAAGCTCTCTCCGCACAGACGTTGATATCAAGTTCATCAAAATTGGGGGTCTCAACAAGTTCACAGGATTTGTCGAGGAAGGAAAATCACTGGGCTGTGAACGAACCCTTTCGGGGGCCGCGCATGCACAGCTTGCTTAATGTGATTTCATTCTTCCGTGCCCCCTGGTGCGCTCCCGAGTGCAGTGTGGCCCGAGTCCACGAGGGAGCTCGTCGAGTTCAAGAAAGGGCCGATGAATTTGCATTTCGGCCTCCCAGGGACAGCACGAGGGGAAGGATGATGGATATGTTTCTTTTCTCTTTGATCGGTCTTTGCGGACACAAAGCTTTTCTTTCTTTTTTTTTCTTCCTTTTTCCCTATCTCTCCCGTCTTCTTTTTGATACTCTGTATGGTCCTTGCAGCGACCGGACCGGCCCATATTGTTATGATTACCCCCCATTCATTCTCCATTGCGCGAGTTTGGTCTCTTTGTTCGCTTCATGAACATCCTAAAATGGCAAACAAAAAGTTCTAGATCGAGGCCTGGCATTTCAAACCGGACCAGAGTTGCAGAAGTACGGTACTATGACCTACTGCATGTACCTCACTATCATTGCCACCCTCGGGTGGACTACTTGTCCACCAAAAAAAAAATAATTCAAACCCAATGAACCATTTTTTTTTCGTAAATTGACTTTTTTCGCCCAACCGCCTTGCACTTTAATCTCAAGCATGCAACCCACAGGGTCAAAAAAAAAGCCAGCCACACTGCCTCATACCGATATGCGACATGCATGGATTAACTGCGACTGGGCCAATGAGACACCCGGTATATAGAATGCCACGCTTATGGTATTGAGAACTAACTAAATTAGATGCAGGCCCATATCCTTATCGGTCCCAGATGCCCTTTCACTATCCCGCGTGTGAGTCGATGCCGGTCCCAAACCTGGCATTTTCTCCATCTGGGACATCTCCTTCTGTACATGCGAAGCCGCAGATGCACGACAATCCTTACTAGTTGAATTTCTTTGTCTTGCCAGCGATTTCCCTCTTTGGTGGCATATTCTTTTCTTGCTGTCAACAAAGCCTCCTCGGACCCGAGACTTCAATTACTTTCTAACGAGGCTGGCAAAAAACAGCAACCACCCTCCTCCATCAGGCTGATTTCCCCCTGTCAAGCCACCCCCAAATCTGGAACAGAGCCAGTTTCCCCTTTCGCCGATCTGCCGCCAGGTTATGGTCTGGAGGGTCGATGATTTCCAGTCAGCTCAGGTCAAAGCTCCGCGTCCTCCCAGTTGACAGTTGATAGCTTCGAACCGGAGGTGACTCTTTCCCCTCCTCGTCGCCAATCCCCATCTCCACTTGACTCCCGTCTCCCTTGAAAGGCAATTATGGTGTGCATACCGTGCAGAAACAGTTAGACCACGACCCTCCCTTCCGCCCGTAGTGCACTGACCCTATAAGCTAGCTAATCACAGCGATGATTTGGGCGTCTTCTTCTGGCCCCGTCTGGCCCCTCCCAGCCCTCGTGTTGATTTTCGGCAACGGTGATCATGAATCACTACTCCTCGATTCGGGGGGATGCGTATACCCGCCATCTCCGCAAAGGCTAAAGACTCCGAGAGGACTCTCCGGGATCCGATAGGACAACGGCGCTAGTTCAATTGGTCTTTTTGCCCTAGGCCTAAGGGCCTGAGGGGGGCAAGCGGCGAAAAGCAAAAATGATATGTCGACCGAGCAGAGAGCACGTTTTCCTGCAGTCCGTGTCCCTGCAACTGTCCCCTGCTCGGTACCAAAATTTGGATCGTGTCAAAAGTACGGAGAGCCGGGGAGGAGAGGGGGGTGCACCCCGCCCGCGATGCTCGAGTCGAGTCCGCTAGGGCATGTTATTGTATCTACCCTACCACCTCCAGGCCACGGTCATCGCGTGTGTGCGGTACACTGCGGTTTAGCTAGGGCAGGCCGGGCTTTGCCCTCGAGCTTCCTTCCTTGAAAGATCTGCGTTCAGCAGCGGCGGGGATTGACATGGCCTGCATCTGTGAACGGGAACTCTCAGCAGAGGAGGTCAACTACGCCATATTGAGCGAGGGTTTGAGAGCAACGAACGATGATGCCATTGAAGGATTATTCCTTCGAGAAAGAGTAAGAATATCCGCAACAAGCGGTGAAAAGAGCATTGAATGCCCAGTTGCGTTCGCGACGTTTATCTGATCATCTCCACCCATCGAAGGACCCGGTGACCCTCGGTGTACTGGGATTGAGGTGCCACAACAGGTAGGAGGGTGAGGTCTCTGGAAAGTCACGGTCCAATGGGGAGAGTTGAGGATGAGAGAGCACTCAATGTTCTCCATCTCCCGTTAGGTTTAGTGCCCGCCGTACATACACTTACATTTTACATACTGTCTTCGTAACTGTACTCCGTACAGTTAGTTCATGGAAATCCCGTTCTGTACGGCTGCGGAGACTCGCGGACACCAGTAGTTTAGCGTACTGGTGAATACCTTTTCCAAGTTTCCCCCTCCTTCTCCTGCTCGGACGGGGCCTTAGTGCAGTTGGTTAGCGCACTCAGAACAGTTAGTGCTCAGGAGGAGTTAGCGTAGTGGAGCATCGCCCGCAAATCGCCGATCTCGATAGCCCGGACACTCACGAGGAGACGGGTTCACGATCTGGTCCGTTCTCAGATGCTAAGTTGACGAGATCGGCAGGATTCTCCAAGCTACTGCATCAGTACCCTCTTGGGGGATCCAGCTGGTGCCATGGATTGAGGTATGGACTTGGACGACATGGACCATGGTCGATGGGATTGTTAGTGTATACAAGGGGGAAACTAGTCTACCAGAAACATGAGAATACATACTAGAAATACTCGGCTGGAAAGGCCTAAGTAAATACAATAGTTTGTCCGATGGTACGGCCCGCTGGACGTTAGTATGTCAGAAATAATGGGGTACTCTATATGCTCTGCAGTTAGGGAACCACCAATCAACCCTGTTCTTCAAGTCCAGGTTCCATATCTTTAGAATCTTTCATCATAATTATTAGCTATTCAACTAGACTTTCTCACCGTCTAATGAACTCGTTTAGGTAGTTCTCCCATCAGGTGACTGGGCTGGCACCGATCCCGGCTTTGGCGACAGGAACCTCTCCGAATTGCCCTCTCGGCCCTGCTCGTGGAAGATCCATCCACCACACCTCGTTGCATTGCATTGCATTAGGCGGGGCTGCAATGCCCTTCCCCGGAGTCGCAGGCACGGCTGAGGTTCATTGACATGACTCGAGGTTTCGAACGCGAGCTCCACAAGCCTTCTCCGAGATCCTAGAGCTCAGATTTGGATTCTCCGCCATTATGTCATTCATCCCATGCCGTAGATTTAGAGACCCATTTCGAGTATAGATTGAAAAAAAAAGAATTTTATAGAACCGTGGATAATGCGCAGGGCTAGTTCTTCGAGTTCGCTATATCTTTTTCACTCCACGGGCATCGATCGACAACGCTCTACCTTGGGTGGGCGATAGCCATGGTACCATGCAGTATGGCCTTCGTCCAGAGTATCTAATTCATGCTCCGTACCCTGTACATATTAATCCTTGCCAGTTCAGATTGCAAGGTCTGCGCAGGACGGTGCATTGCCGTTTGAAAAAGTCTGTGTCGATCGGTACCTGAACTTGACCCTGACACCCCCGCTTCATCCTCTTCGATCTGCTATCTACGAGCGCAACCTGTGACTTGCGACCTTGTGTTCCCTGACCAGTCCGTTCCTGAGTCTCAACAGCATCATTTTTCAAGGTTGTACGCCTGTCCTACTCTATCAAACTTCCAAACCAGCAAGGTTCCCGATCTCAAGAGCGATGTAGATCGAAGGAGGGGGAAGCAGAAGAAGCAATTATTGCCAGGCCGACCAGAAGAGAGCACCACGATTTTGATCTTGACTGGTCTAGACTTTTTTCTACTTCTGCTCCGAAATTTGACCACCCTGTGAGAGCCTGGTCGCAATCCAGACGAAGCCACCCCAATGGCTTGCGCCAGAGATCAGCCGAGATTTCTCCTCCGCTCTCGGTCAAGCGTCATCCAGCCCTTTTTCTTTTTTTTACCCTCGTCACTGCTGATTTACATACATATTTACGAAGCGCGATTCGGCTCGCAAAAAAAAAAGATGGCGTCAGCCCACTTCCCGCCTGATCTAATGCGATTGCCCTTGGAGACCGAAGAGCTCAAATCCCGCGATGGGTAAGGATATGCACTGAACTACAGTAGACTAAGCCCTTTTCTTTTATGACATGAATTTTGTTTTGTTTTGTTTTTTTGTTTTTTCTCCTGCCATGAGCAATTTGACTGGCGCATACTAGCCAAAAAACCGACGGCAAGGCGCATGATGATTGGTCTTGTAGTCGAATCAGAGGCTCGCTCCGTCAGCGACGGTTAATCTGCGCCCCTGGCAGGCGATGAATATTGACCGTCCAATCTGTCCAACCTGTGTGGAACTTGTCGCACTTACCAAGCAATTTGTCACTTAGTATATTGTCAATCAGACATTCCATCCCGACGGGAAAAAAGGGCCACTGAGTCATCGACTCCGACCGATTTGACATTTGGGTCCCTCGTGGTATCTGTTGAACGAGCGGGGTTGCATTTTTGTCCATGGGCTTTACCGATGATTGGATTGAATATTTACATGATTGATAGTAGTATGTTTGTGGGATTTATTTCTTTGCATTTGAAATATACTCCACGTAAGACCATGGTAGACAAGACTTGCTAGCAGGCTTTTGTTCTCGCAAACTCGTATCGTGAAAATGCGACCCAGACCGCATCCCCCCAAAAAGTGGACTGATTCTGATGGAAAATGATCATGTCCAACCACATTGGAGACGGAGTTACAAATCATGGAGAGAGAGAGAGAGAGAGCATAATCCTTGCCTGGATAAGCACCTAAGCAACCTTCCAGTCAGCATCCAGGCATGTCGGTCTATCATCGGTTCAGGGCTTCCATGGCTTAGAGGAGGGGGATACTATCTTTGGAAACAAGTCATTTTTCTGTCATCCATCATCGTCTCTCCCTCCTCTCTCCTCAATTCCTTCTTCTGCTTCTTCCTATCTTCCTCGTCTCTTTGACCTTTTTGACTCAGTTCGAACCATGGATGGCCTGACCGTGGAGAGAAGATCCGTGCAGAGCTGTCGAAGATCCTAGGCCCTTTTGACGTTCTTGTTTACTGAAGGTTTCCGGCCCGTCGAGGACCGCAGTGGGTCGCAAAAGTGGAGTGTCCAAACGAGGGCTGAACGTTAGCGCCAAAAGTAGCCCGATCGCATCATTGGGGAGAGTTCCCCTCTCGTCCTCTTCGCCAAGAGGGCTCTTCTGCCCTGTGATAGGGCCAGCCGCTACAACCATGTTTGGCCCTTGTATCGTCTCGGTATTGTCCCTAGGCGAATCGTCGCGGGGGATTCGCCCAGCCGGAGAGGATCCATGCTGCTCCTCATTTGCCTATTTGCCGTGTCATCTTTCAAGGATGTTTGATGCGTTCGGATCCCTGATTTGCCCCAGCCAACCAGAGACGTGAACCCCTACAAAATTACCCATTCCCACCTTGACTGGAAGGACGAGGGAGATCGGCACGTCCTTCAGAGATCCATCCTGGCCTAATTAGGCAATAGTCCCTTTGGCCTTAGTTTCCTGTCTTTGGCTCTCTGGGCTCTCTAGGCTTGGTCATGGGCTGGCGATGCTAAATGGGCTGGCTATAGCTGGGCTTTGGGGCTATTGACTATGGGCGTCATCCCGTCCAATCTGGGGATGTGCTCTTCCCTCCTTGTTGGACCCCCCACCAATGCCCCCCCCCCAACCTCCCCAATTCTGGCCCGATGGGGTGAGAGGAGACCGAGGTCTTACCCATCCAGTCAGGCCAGAGATCGCAGCTTCGGGCTTCCTATTCGCAACTTTCTATATGTCCTATTCCCTCACTACTTCGACCGAGTGCTCCGTGCCCTTAGAGACATCACATGAGATGGTCCAGAAGCTGGATACCATGTTCTCCTTGGTCGCTTTGGTAAACCGACCGTTGAGACCCTCATCCCTAAAAGGGGACGGGACGAAACGATAGTCGGATGAGGCGATAGTCGAGATTTCAGCACCGCCGCAATCGCCTTACCCGTTTCCATCCTCTAGCAGGAGCGTATACGGTCCTTGCCCGGTCCACTTGATCGTCCCGGCCTACACGAGATGTCATGCGGCCATTAGATTCAACAGTTTTATCAATCCGCTATCCGGCCCCCAGCAAATCATCACGATTATCGGTCCCGCAAGCCATCGTCTGGTTCCCGCGGGTGATCTGCTTTGCCCGGATAGTTTCGTGTGGGAATTTGATGCAGAGCAGGACTCCGCCGACAACGGCCAGTCATGCTGAAGGATCCGACAGCCATCAAAACGGATCCAAGCAGCGGTATGTCAGTTAAATAGAGCATTGGATATAAGTTCCAAAACGGCAAGTAAAAATACCACCGAACCACGGACACGCCGACGGGGAGGAAGAGGCCCCGTCGCAAGGACCCCTTCTATAGAGCTTGGGGGGTATTGTATTCCTACTATCTCCATGGGGTAGGTAGTTAATTAAGAGTTACGCTTGTTAGATGAATATAGATTGGGTACCCAAAAAAAGAGAGATCGTAGTATTTGGTTCTTGCTCGTATATACCCAAAGCCCGTTCAGAACCCGGTCAATTATGTGCACCGATAGTCCGAAGCAGGGACGAAGACGAGGACCAGGACGGGGGAAAAAGAAATCACACACAACCCGGTCATTCAAATATCCCTCACTTTAATACTCTAATGCTATGATGCAAAGAAGTAATTATGATCTGAACAAAAACAGAGCCAATAGTAATAATGGAGAGCCCTCCATTAAGACTACGAGGATATCTCATACTTGGTATGGTAGTATCAGAAGAAACAAACCACTCTGATGCTCGGACATCCCGCATTTACCCTTAGAAAGAAGAGTTTCCATACGATACCCCGTCCTGGTAATACACAAACCTGCAGCAAAAAATGGGCCTGACGAGATGCAACTCCTTTAACTCAATATATCGCACACTCGACCAATCAAATGCCGCTATCCCCTTCTACAGACACAGGGGTGTCTAATTTGATTTTCTTTTATTTTTATTTTTCACGGCGCAGCAAAATACTGGTCCATACTGGACCATCATTAAAATGAATTTTATTTGGAATATTTTATTCAATTTATTTTTTTCCCTGCTAATATTTCTTCTCGGATTGCTTTTCGAATGACCAGGCCAATCACCATGGGGATCGGCTGTATTCCTCTGGCGGGCAGAAGGTTATCATGGATTTATGGCATTTCTCCGGACTGAGTGCCTTCTCGTGCCAGTTGTAATCGAGATTCAACTCGTTTCTGTCAATCCACGCGATTATTGATCGCCGTGCTCTCGCTGGCCCTGATTTTCCTTTTAACTCCGTCCATTGCCTTACCCGCATACCGCGCGCTCCTTCGACTCTTCTATCCACCTTTTGGCTTCGGCTCATGCATATTTGTATACTTGAACCTCCACCATCACACCACCCTTTTCCAATCTCCGCCTCTCTATATCCCCTATTAGACTGTACTACTGCTAGTCATCCTTACTAGCATCCTTGTCTCTCAACAAACAACCGCAGTCCTGTCTAGGCGGCAAATATCTCCTCTCCTGGACCCTTGCCTGTACTTCTATACAAGCTTGCGGTTCACTGTAGCGGGTTGGTGGAACATGCATTTTTCTCCATTGTCTCACCTCTGAAACCCCGTCGCATTGTTCCTCCCCCGGACGGTTTCTTTATCTTCTTTGATCCAGTATTTCTACCTGACTCGTGCGACGCCCCATCGGCATCGCGAATATTCGAAACCCCGTCCTGATCGTCCCGGTCCATGGAGGACTCCTCAACCGCCATGGAAACCGAATCCCACGCAGCACCAGACAGCGAATTTGCGCATTCTCCCTGGGTCGAGCTCGGCACCTTTACTTCCCCTCAACACTCGCCGCCGATGCCCGAATATAGCGGGTTTGACTATGGTCATTCGCCGCTAATGGCCGTAGACGCCACCTACGGCATGTCTATACCGCCGCCTTACGCATCGATGCCTCTCCCGATGCCGTCGCATTCCTGGCCGAGCATGCTTACGCACCAGTCTCCCTTCCACGAGTCCGGGTTGCCTCCAGTATCGGTTCCAACCTCGGTTTCGCCCTCGGCGCCAACGCCTCCGATTCGGAAGACTTCGACAGGGGGCTCAACGCCGCGCAGGACGCTTACGGACGAAGATCGGCGACAGATGTGTTTATACCATGAGGAAAACAAGCAGGCAAAACAAACTGATATTGGAGGTAAGATTGGTCAATGTGCCAGATTTGGTTCCGTCAGAGAAATATGCGCTGACTATTTTGATGTATAGCGCTCTTTGGAGTGGAAAGAAGGTAATTACTAGGATGCCTTGTTCAGTCTTAGATCATCAGAAGCCCTAACATCAAATCACAGCACTGTTTCCAAGGTCCTGCGTCAGAAAGAGAAATATCTCAATCCCGACGATGGGAGTCGGTCGCCCATCAAACGGGCCAAGGGTCGAGTCCCCGATATCGAGAAGGCGCTATCAAACTGGGCCAGAAACTACCAACGCCAGGGCTTCCCTCTCAACGACGAAATGATCAAAGAGAAAGCGCGCTTTTTCGCAAGCACCTGCGGGTGTCCCGAGGGCAAGGAAAAGGTGCTCACAGCGAGCTGGCTGGAGAAATTCAAGCAGAAGAATAGCTTGCTAGGCGCAAAGTCTCGAAGGGGCTCGGGAGGAAAGGGCGTGCGCAGCAACTCAAACAGTCCGACTCGCATTAATACCGATTCGGCCAATGAATCAACCGTTCACAGCCCAACTGGACGCTCGCCCGTATCCCCCAATGGCTTTGGCTCGCCTCTGTCTCCTACGCATAGCCAAGAGGGCGTGAAACAAGAGGGTGATGAGCTTCCTGGGCTGGCAGGAGGCTGCCCACATTATACCAAAGGCACCACAGCGTTGGATACTACCTCCTGTTCCGTCGGAATGACCAGCCCTACCTCTACACTCGTATCCGACAGCCCCTTCACTCCAACGAGCCAGCATCGCCTCCCAACCTCCGGGCCTAACATCAACCGTCCGCGCAGTCAGACATTCCCTCTGGTGCCAATTGACCCCAGCCTCCTATCCGCGGACGACTCGCAATGCACAAAGGTCGAGCAACACATGGGCGTGACTATTCTAGAGTCACCATTGGAAATGGACGATCACGAATCCCACATCGCGATCAAGGGAACAGATCCAACCAAGGTGATCAAGCGCAACCGCAGCAATCCAGAGATCAAGACTGAGTCGATGCAGCCACCTCCTGCGGTCTCCAAGTCGAGCACTGTTTCCCCGATCAATGCCCCTGGCTCCCCGACGCAAGACGAGGCAAGACGTGCACTGGAGCTCGTCATGAATTACTTCCAGCATCAGCCGGCTGGGCTTGCTGCGCAGGAGTACGTGACTATCGGCAAATTGATGGAGCGGCTTGAGCTGGCTAAGAACCATCAGGGTCCCCTATTGGGCGGGCTGACCCGAATCGATGAGCACGACGACGTTCCTCGTGTTACCAAGAAACGGAGCATCCACAACATAGGGTGAATGTCTTCAGGGGCTCACTCCTGATTTCTTCAGGTCATCCTCTCTATTCTCTATCTCCAGCCCTCTCTACTTTATTTTTCCAGTCTTTTTTTTCCTTTTCATCCTCTTGTGATTCCCCCTATCTTGACGTTCTGATGTTCTACGCCATCTCGTTTGTCTTGGGCGGCTGCGTTATCTAGCTTTTCTGATTTGCATTTTGCACGAACCAAACTTTGCTTTGGTCATTGTACCTTTTTCATTTCCTTTCCAGTTCAATTTTCTTTTTTTCTATTCATTCCAGCGCCAACTCTCGGCTTCTCCCGGTGCGGCAATCCAAAAAATCAACAGCTACCTATCATCATACACACAACCAGGGGGCAACCTCGACCTTGCTTTGACATGGGGTTTGGGTTTTATTCTTTTGCTTTATCTATTTTTTGTTTCTTCTTTTGGGCGCTGGTATAATTCGCATACACCTCGGACGACGGACTGTGTCCATTACTTCATGGGATTCATGGGACACGGGACATCGAACATGGGAATATGGATGGATCATGGGTCTTTTGGGTGATATGACACGGGTCATGGATTTAGGTTTCTTTTTCTTTCGGAGTTGACTTGTGTCTCTTTTTTTTGGTTTTGTCTTCTCATCTGATTATGGATGAATTCCCCCTACCGTTCACCTACTCTCTCCGCACCCCAGTTTGTTCTGATTACGGTTTTTTCTTGGACTTCTTCCCTCGCTGTCATACCCTTTTTTATTTCTTACTTTCTTTCAAATTTCTTTCTGCCTTGTATCATCTCTTTTCGTTTCTTGTCCCTCGCTCTTAAACTGGGCCGCTCACGCGGAAAGAACATAATTTGCTGGGATCCTTCAGATACACGAGTCTCCAGCCGGATCTTTCTTGTCAGATTAATCCCCCGATCTTGTTTTCTTTACTTATTTTTTTTTCATTACTTTCCTTGCATTTGCCTCGCTCATGCCACCGAGGATAGATATTGAGTATCTCCTCTAGTGCATGAACGAGAGCCTGATACATTATTTTTTTCCATAGTTAGTATACCCCCAGCTCCGAATGTTTCAACATATGTTCCTCTATACTTGACTTTGTTGCACACGAAACTCAAAACAGCCACATCCGTAGATTTAACCATGTCTCATTAAAGTATGTAAAAGAATGAAGGTTACAAAAACGTACTGCCGTAGCCGTAACTCTACTTAGAAGCCGCCGGGAACTGGGGTAACCCCACGGTCCTCCATTAGGTCTTCGACAGTGCGCTCAGTCAGTTCAGGGAGCACCCTAGCGAGGGCAGTCTCTATGATCGAGTACACCAGGTGCTTGTTACAGTACTCATCAGCCAGGAGGTCCAATAGATCCGTCTCAATAGCCTCCAGGAAATACAACTCCTCAAGATCGATATCTGACTCCTCATTCCCCTCGTCCGTGCGCTGGGCGGCGGGATAATCGCCACTCTCACTGGTTAGTCCTGCCAGAGTAGGGGCGGAGGATGATAGTGGTGACGCCTGCGACGAGGGAGTAGTTCCTTTGTCCTGTAATGAAGATCTCGGACAGCCCCCACCATCTCCATCAAGTGATGGGGGTGGAGACGGCTCACTGGTGGTGAAGGGTGAGTTCCCAGTGGCGGCGCTGCAGGTACGATCACTGCTAGAGGGCGGCGGGACGCCAAAGAGGGTTCGTGCGACCTTGAGCGGGATCACGGCCAGAAGACTAGCTGCACATCGCCGCTTGATAGCGGCGATCTCCGAGGGAGATGGGCCAAGTCTGTTCTCTGGTCCGGTTGACACCTCCGTGGAAGCTTGTTGGACAGTATCGATGTCCGATCTCGTCGCAATGGTTGGCGATGACGGCGATACTGTCGAAGACCGGGGTGGTAAGCCAGCCTGCAGACGATCGCCGCCACTACCAACTCCAACTGCAGTACTGCTTTTGCTGTTGCTGTTGCTACTGCTGATATTACTTTTACCAACTGCATCGCTTGCACCTGGGCTAGAAACCCTGCTACCTTCCGGAAAAGGCGCGGAAGTGGTAACCACAGTCACAGCGAGGGGAGATTTTCCGCTAGGGGCCGGGGGCTGCACGGACGCCTGCGGAGCCGGAGCCAGGGCTGGTCCAGTATTTCCAGCGGGTGCTTGGGAAGTTGGGCGGGCATTGGCCGGGAAAAGAGCAGACCGTGTTGCGAGAAGAAGGTTGGGCAACAAAGTGGGGGGCAAGATGTACTCCTCAATGGTTTCTCGGAGGAATCTGTGGAGTCAGCTATGATCGCTTCAAATCATGACATCGGGCGGGCCGATGATAAAATGACGAAAGGGAAGGGGGTAAAAAAGCAAATATCTCTCTCAAGGAAAGAAAAAAAAAAGAAAAGAATTCAAGAGTGAAGCGAAAAAGTGAGTTCACTTGACAGTGGAGCAATCTCGCCGGGACGTTATTCCTTTGTGCAGGTTCGGGCCAGTCCCACCGCTAGAGAGACAAAGAGCTCAGGATCAACCCGCACTAGGGCAGTGAGGGAGCCAAGTGGGGAGCGAGGCGGAGCACGATCGGCTTCGGCGTGGGTTGTGAGGAGGAGCTTGGGCCAACTATTGGTGCAACAGGGATGTCACTGCTCCAAGCCATAAGAGGCAGAGAAGCTCAAAGTGACCGAGTAGCGACCAGTGTAATCGATGAAAAGGCGAATGAGGCGGATTTGCCTCCTGGCCTCTTTGGTCTCTGAGCTCATCCCGATCCTCGTCCTCGTCTCTGCCCCTTCTCTGCCATGCCCCTGCCCTAGCGGGTAACATCCCAGCAGCGTACCTGGCGTACAAAAAGCGGGCTTCATGCGCCAACCTCGGCCAGGTTGTAAATTCGAAAACTCGCCGCCAGGAATTTCGCTGATTGGATGACCATTGGGAAAATCACTAGCACCTAGCCTCGGTGGACGAAGAGAATTGCTCTGCTGCTGCTGCCGCCGCCGCCGCTCCTGGTCTTCATGCACGTCCCCAAAATGGCAAGGCGATCCGTCTGCCCGCTGATGCCCGTCGATGAAGGCGATCGGCAGACATGTCTGCTCGTACGCGCGATTCGCCCGCCCCCTCTTCGGTCGCAGTAGAGTTTGTAAAGTTTGGACGTGGTTCGGCAGCCCCTAAACTTTGTTTGTTTTTCATGGAGTTTTTTCTTTGTTGCATCTTTTGCTTCGTTTCTTTTTTTTGTGGTTGAGAAAACGAGACTTTGCCAAGGAGGAGTAACATTGGCGGTCAATGGACTGGTAGCTGAGGGACGGTTTCGCAGGGTTGAGATCCGCACGAAGAGGAGCGGCACGGAAAGGGCCGGGCCCCGGCGCTATCGCGGCCAGAAAAATGAGACGGTATGGCGTGAAGAGGAAAGAGCCCTCTTCCCTGCTCTGTTCCCTGCTCGTCCTTCCCCTCCCCCTGCGATGTCCACTGCTCGCTCGGACCAGGTTGGGGCAGCCAATCTGGCGCCAGCATCGACCCGGCTGTAACGCCAGCCCCGTAATGACCGTACAGTCTGTCAGCGGAAGACGTACGGTGACCGTATCGTCCGTATCGCTCGATGGGGACGCTAGCGCCGTAAAAAACCGTTGCGGGATCAAGTGATCGCTGCAGCATGCGAGCAAGACGCTTCGCCGTCCCACCATGACTTGCACAAGTGACACTTGACCCTCGTAGATCGCAGTTCGGAGATCGTACCGTTGCTCCACCGTCAAGAGTTCGCACGAAAAAGGAAGGGGCCTGAGCCCTGGGCGCACACGAGGGAAAGGAAGTGGGGGAAATACTCCGATGACACAAAACAGCCCGTAAACCATAAGAGAAATAAACTCACCTGTCAAGAATTCCATCCGTGTCCCCAAGCCTGCCTGGTCCGGCCAGAATCAGGTGTTGGGCAAGGGCGAATAGCCCCGAAAGCCATGGCATTCGTTGTGAGATGCCCAAAAGTTGCGAGATCATCGAGTACACTCGGTAGTCGAGGACCGGGCGTTTAGTTGGGACTCCGTCTGACGACGGCGACGAGTCGAAGCCCCCCTCCTTCTTGGAAAACCCTGGCGTTGCAGCGGGAAATGAAACACTGGCTCCGTGCGAATATCCTTGCCTTGGATCTGATGCGACGCGGAATAGACCTGTCGCGATGAAACGCAAGGCAACATAGCCAAGATAGATATTCTGGAGAACACTCCATATCCAACCAGTGGCTCGCGACTGGGCGCTTGCGTGGGATTTGGTCGAATCGTCTTCGTCCGTGAGTAGGCCAAATCTCTCGAGTCGATTTGTAGGGACATCATTGGCGGATTCCGAGTGCTCCAAAGTTTTCCGGCGTCTCACTGCTTCCGTAACTTTGGTGATAGCCTCCCATAAGAACCATCCTTGGCAGACCCTGCCGGAAATCTCTTTGCCTAGAATCAAGTCTGATAGGATGTCGCTCACGAGCTGGCGTAGGCTGCTATTTTCCAAATCTTCCGTGGGTAGGAGAACGGCAAGAGTCCCGCTAGCAAGTAATCTCCGATATACGGCTTCGTTCTCAGCTTGCGCGTTGACTGTATCAGGATCTGCGGGATCCGGGACCGGTGATAACCCCGGATGAGGGTTCAGCTCGTGATATAGCGCACGATGCGACGTTGGTAGTCCCGATAGGTGTGACCGTTCTTTAGCAAGTCGATAGGCTAGACAAGATGATCACCCAGGTCAGCAATCGCGTCTCTCGTTTCCGGTTTCCGGGATGTCTCTGTTTCCAGAAACTACTATCCCAGGATAAAATAATTCGGGTCTTACAGAGTATATGTGCTTCAACCAGCGCAGGAATCTCATCCAAGGCGAGCTGTGTGACATCTACCTGGCGTATCCGCTGTTCCAGGGCGCGGGTGCAATGCGCAATGACTTGAAGGACCTCATCGACCAGGGCCTGGTCAGGGGTAATCTTTGTGTACCACGAGTGAACAAATTCTCTGATTATAACGGCGAGTATGGCGTAAAGCTGACGGTCAACGTCATTGGAACTCGTGAGGGGAGGTAACAGCTCTTCCGAAGGCTGCGGAGACGATGCGCCGTGGCCGCTGCCTGGCTGGGGGGATAGGACACGTCGAATCAAAGCAGCAGTAGCCTTGTCACTCGTAGCATCAGTTGTGTCATCTCGAATAGATGGTCGTTGGGCTCGTAATCTAGAGGAAGGTCGTGTCAAAGGCGGTTGCCCTGAGGAAGGTAGCGCGGTAGACCTGGAGCTTGAGGTGGTCGGTCCAGCCTTGAGATGCGAGACCGGCTGCAAACCGGGTCGTAGAGGGTCATTCATGGCATCTTCGGGGCGTAGAAACTCTCTCAAGCTGGTTCATTAGAGACCGCAGGGCGCAAGGGCATCACCCTTTCTGAATGAAAGCAGATCGTAGCTGTTGCGGTGACCGCGAAGTCGATGATTTGGAGCTTCCTAACTTGGAAAGTAGGGCTTAGGGCTGCGATAACGGGCTTATCGCGGTGCGGGGAGATGGAGACATGGTTCCCTTGTTGGGCAGTTCTCCTCATTCAACGACACTCCCTTTCCAGTCACTGAAGATGTTGCCTCAAAATGACAGCACGGACAGAATACCGCTTTGGTTGGACTGCGATCCTGGTTGGTCACTGAAAAACATACTCCAAATCTTTGCTCAGACTAAGTTTATCCTCTAGGACACGATGTATGTCAATACCTACATGACAGCTAAAGACCGGCATGTTTATCTGCTGTCTAGGACGCCTTTGCAATCTTAATTGCAGCGCATCACCCTTCTCTTAATCTTCTTGGAATAACGACTATCCACGGCAATGCTTCTTTGGAGAACACGACCTACAATGCCGGAAGTATTCTAGAAGCTATCGGCAGACCAGAGATCCCGGTCTACCCTGGAAGCCGGAAACCATTTTCGCGCCCTGCATTACATGCTCCAGACATCCACGGTAGGACTCGCCCTTGATACCTGCCTCACAGGCGACCTCGTTATTACAATGCTCTTATCGGTGCTTCTTAACAGGTGAATCCGGCCTTGATGGCACCGATCTTCTGCCGAAACCATCTGTTCCTCCGATTACAAACGAGAACCCCATCCTAGCCATGCGCAACGCACTCTTAGCCCAGCCCAAGGGTACCCCATGGTTGGTTGCAACGGGAACACTGACCAATATTGCCCTGCTATTCGCAACTTTCCCAGAGGTAGCGGAACATATCCAAGGTTTAAGTATCATGGGAGGGGCTATCGGTGAAGGATTCACAGATGCCCCCATGAGTAGGCTTCCTGGGGAAAAGTCCCGTATTGGAAACGTCACACCCTGGGCCGAATTCAATCTCTATGTAAGTTTTGTCTTTGTCCTGGTTTATCGTTGGGGCGGCGACAAAGTCCTGACTCAATGACCCTCTTGGCATAGTGTGATCCCGAGTCTTCCGAGTCCATATTCAGTAATCCTGTTCTGGCTCCTAAGACCACGATAGCCGCGTTGGATCTGACCCACCAAGTTCTCGCATCTCAGGATGTGCAGACACGTATCTTACATGGTGGAAGGGATCCGTCACAGCCACCCACGATAATTCGACAGATATTGCACGCTCTACTCACCTTCTTTGCGGCAACGTACGAGAAAGTGTTCGGTCTGGCGACCGGCCCTCCGCTGCATGACCCGTTGGCCGTGGCAGTAATCCTATCGACATTGAACCCCACATTTGCCTTGGTGCACCCTCGCGAGGCTCTCCGGTTCGATGACAGGGATGGGGAACGATTTGCTGTGAGCATTGTGACGGACGGCCATCATGGCAAGGATGTCTCTGCCACCGGCCAGGTGGGACGCTCGATTGCTATGCCAGTCACGGGCCCCGGTGTGGCAATTCCAAGAAGTGTTGATCTGGAGGCATTCTGGTCAATAATTCTGGATTGTGTGCAGTTGGCCGACGACTGCAATGCGGCTCGATCATGATGTAGACACTCATAGAGGTGGATATACTTCGAATTAGACTTCATATACCTGGCAATAGTGCACTTCGTAACCCATATCAATAAAGCGATTATATTTGGGACAGTTTGTACTCTACCTGGTTGACTGGAGATGCAATTCGCATCCCAAGAACAGAATAAATATTGTTTCATTGTTGTGTTGCGCGCTACCCGTCGCGATGTCAATTCTACAGCCCGCTTGAGATCTTTATGCGGGGCGGGGCATCCGTCGTGATATATATTCGATCGCTGTAGGCGCGGTGTCACACCCATGGATATTGGGCTGCATGGTATTTGGCCATAAACCGACAAGACATTTACTGAAGGACCATCAAGAAAATGAAAATTAAATAGGAATGGAACGCAAGTAATGTTGATTGATTTCAACAGTGGAGGCCAAAACGGAAAAAAAAGAAAGGCAATGTTCCCTCGAACCGGAATCGAGCCGGTGACCTTTCGGTTATATGATGATCCATTACAGCCGAACGTGATATCCAACTACACCATCGAGGGTTTGATTGCGAAAGTTTCGGCACAGATTGGCTATAGAAAGGAGAAAAGCTAAACTCGCAATTATAAAACGTGCGGAGTGATGGCCCGCCAAATGAAGAGCACTCACAAAAACCGAAAATTCTTGAATATTTATATAGGCTTTGAATATCCTAGCTGCACGGTAACGGCACCTTCTAACGAACTATCACCATCACTATACATGAGACAGTACAATTATTACGGCTCTCGGGACTCATCATAAAGCGTATTCGCCCCCGGCCGTTATCTATGGTCACCTTATGGGCGGCAGGTCTAGAAAGAGGACTTCCTCAAAAAAAGAAAAAACCGTAAAAATTATTAGATCAGAGTAGGACGTGAATAAACTGGAGCGTTGAGAGAAGCAAGAAAAAAAGAAGATGCAATGTTCCCTCGAACCGGAATCGAGCCGGTGACCTTTCGGTTATATGATAGTCCATTACAGCCGAACGTGATATCCAACTACACCATCGAGGGTTTTGATTGCGAAGATCTGCAAGAAAACATGCCATATAAACCAAAAGAAGCTCTATCCCGCGCCGTCCAAATCAATGTGTTTGTTCAACAGGCGGCCACGAGCTATTAAAATTGGCATGCATATTGTAGTGTCCCATGGGCACACTCGCTCCAGGCCGGGTAGGTCCTATGCCCCACTAAACACCCTTACAAAATGTGCTGCTTAAAATTCTGGTCTCTGATTGTATGTCTATCATCCAGACCTTCATTACATGAATTAAAACACGCCGCGGAAATTGCTACGCTGACCAAAAGCCCGAGCAGACCAACGCAATAGTGTTAAACCCCTGCATTTTGCGGTATCTCATACCATCGGTTTGCGGGAAGGGAAGAAATTTAAGCATAGGACGCTTTCTGGGGCTGTTGCTAACAGCTCCGTCAGCTTACGCAGGTGGTCATGAATATCAAGGCCCTGACGGCTTTCGGGCCCTCCAAACTCGATTCACATCACTCGGAGAGTTGAGTTAGCTAGCTTGTTCAGTGTAAATCATTTTTTCATCTTCGAAAACCTGCTCTAAGTGGCTCTTGGTTGGTAATCCACATGGTCAGGCCAGGTCCACCTAGTCCAAAAGTACAAAGATAGTTTGTTGCGAATCTTGCTAACCCGGTGGTAATGTATCTGTAGGCTTCATTGGTTGTTATTTTTTTTTGCTCCAAAGGAGCATCGCCCATGCGAGAGATACTTCTCCATGAAGCCCGTGTGCTAGCGCAGTTGCCAAATATGTTCGATGTCACTGGAGTTGTAAGTGAACACCGCCTTGCTCGAAAATGTACGGAGTAGGCTCAGGTCCAAGTCCATGGACGGGTCATCTGTCCTGTAGTCTGCAGTATGTCTGCTCAGAGCATCGAAAGTGTCCTGCACAACTTTTGTATAGGTTTGTCCTGGATGCTTGCAGCCCAGCGCCACTGGCCTCATTGGTCGGTACATTCGATGAGAAGCCATTGAACTATAGCCTGGATATTTTCAATGATTCATATCTTCATCGTGATGCCATTAGGTCTTTCTGTGGATCATAGGCTGCCATGGACTTTCCAAGTCCAGGCTCGAAGCCAAGATGGAAGATATAACCATATCCACGGAGGCTAAGAGCACCTCAGCCAAGCAATGCTATCGGAGACGCTCCGTTAACCTGGCGGTAAAATGTTGAACATACGAGGCGCAAGCCCTGGGGACCAGTTGACGGCCGATATTGTTCCGTGACAGCTCCGCACGTGGCTCGGCCTAGACTCCGAGATTTGACTTGGACCGAGGACTCGGGGTATATGATAAAATGGAGATCCTGCAATCTGTATCAATCTGATATGCGTGCTTGATGCATGAGAACCCTGTTAATAGGCGGGAACTGAGGTTCTCCTATGGGAAAGACTCCCTCATGCTGTGTCTCGGGTAGGATAGGAAGATGCGTAGTCCGTCGACACTGGCAAAGTTAATCGAAATTCAGTTGATCAATTTAGTCCACGGGGTAGATAACTTCAAAAGAGTGAAAACATATCATCTTGGTGTGGAGCATCAAAGGTCCTTCGTGGACGCGGAGAAACGGACGTCATGTTATGCGCTGCTTCTCCACATTTTTATGAAGACAAAGCCAACCCAAACTCCGTCATCTTCGGCATCGGCTTGCAACAACACCCTCTTCTCTTCTCTCACTCTTCCTCAACACCACCGATCGGGCATACTGCCAACAATCAACATCAAATACACTTTCCGGGGTTAGTCTGCTGCATACTCCCCGGTTGATCCACCTGCCGACCTCCCTTACGGCGGATTCCGGCCCCAGCGCCTCCCCGAGGAGATGCCGCCTCCCAACTCGGCATCAGTATGTTATGGCCCTTCGTGCCCTTGGACCGCTTCATCCCTTTAGTTCTACGCGGTCTTCGACCTGTCCACTAACGCGCTTGACTGCTCTAGCACGGCACACCAGTCCTGTCACCCACCACACTCGTGCCCGAACCGTTGTCGCGACGATCGTCGGTTCCCGACTCCCCGGTCCCTGTGGAGAGCGATAACGCCCACGACGATAATGTGAACTTCCTTCGGTCTCGATCCTTACTGTACAATCCGCTACTACCGTCACTCAGCCGACATCGCCGTCGTCGATACCAGACTTCGCATCCCCGACAGATGGAAGAACCGTCGGCCGACGACCGGATGGACCTGGACGACCCCAGCAACCTCCGGTTATCCGTCGAAATCAACCGTCGCATCCCTATCGTCCGACGTCAACGTGAAGAGCCCAGAAGTGTGCCTAACTACGAGACCCGCCGGTCGAATTCGCGCTCCTTGTATGGATGGGCCCCTGGGTCAGATGACGAGGACGAGGATCCCCGCCACGAAGAATCGGATGGTGACCAGATCCAACCTTTCCTCCACGCAGTTCCAGATCGCAACGCCACGTCAAGTCGATCTCGCCGACATGAATCAACAGCGCACACACCCCCGATTGCAGTCGGGGATGGTCCTACCGAGGGTTCCAATCGATGGTTGAACGGGCCGATCCCGATGGAGCTGTTGCAGTCGACAAGGCGACAGCCGAGATTGGCGAGAACGCGGACACTGGAGAGCTTTCTGTTGGATCGGTATGGGGCTCGGCCAAACGATGAGTTTGAAGAGACCGAGCGGACGGGGGGTTCATCATCCACAAGAGCCTACCGATATCGTCCGCCCAACAGGGGCGACTCACAACGACCTCTAACTCATAGCGACCTGCGCGCCCGGGTTGCTGCACATCGGCAACTCCATTCGAGTACCCCTGGCGACTCGGTTCTGAAGGATACCATCAACTACCTCGAACGTCTCCGATATTCCAATTCCTTTGAGGAGAGCATCAGCTCCGCGGCCGCAACGGGCTTCATCTCATTGGAGAACTTCTCGTTGAAGGACAGCGACTTCATTCTGGACATCAACACCATTGTGCCACCGGCACCCTGCTCATGGTTGCGGCCTGGAGTGGTATTCTCTGGCTGCCAACGGGCTGCGAACGCGAGCTGTTCTGTATTGTCCCAGCGCGTGCAAAGTCCCCACACGCCCAGCGAGCCAGTGATCGTCAACGGCAGCGACAGTACCCGCATCAGTGTTTATACGTCAAACGGGCGAAGGTATCTTGCCAATGCGCGGGATGAGAACTGGCCTGTCAAGGTCACAATTCACAGCATAAACTACACGGACATGACGTTGTCCGGTACCATGGAGGCCTACAATATCCCCGACAAGTCGTCACCAACCCATGATGCGCATATCGTGACGTTCTTGGAGGGAGAAATCATCGACTTCAACAAGCATACCCTTGAGACTAAGAACTTCAAGGCGGATGCGGATATCGATAGCACATATTGGCCGGAACTGCAGCCATTCAAGGATCTGCCCGATTCTGAAATTGCCAAGAACCTCGTGAGCAAGAAATGGATTACCGAGGAATTGGTTCAAGGGTGGATCCTTATGAGATGGAAAGGTAAATTTACATCCAGAATGTTACAATTTTTTTTGTATTGACTTAACTGACTCGATCTCAGAGCGATGCTTCATTACTCCAACCGATGCGCGTCAGGGTCTTACAATATCCGGCTTCTACTACATCTCTCTCCGACGTGAAGATGGCCACATTAATGGCTTGTATTATGACCCAGGCAGCTCGCCTTACCAGCAACTGTCTCTGAAACCAGAAACGACGAAAATGGTTCGACCTTCCTACAGCTTCCGCTAGTCGGATGAACCCCGTGCAATAGGTAGGTCACACCGTTTTGATGCTCGTGGCTAGTCTGTGGTATTGAGCAGCATGGAGCTATTCAGGTCTTCCTTTGGGATATGGCCAATGGTGGCCCCTGGAAATTCTACAAACTTTCTGCCTCTTTGTGGCGTTTGGGGAAAACTTCGGGATGATAACTCATATTATGATCGACTGTTGGCCTCTGTTATTTTATTTTGCATAGCTGGATGGAGTTGTATTGTGTATTCAGTCCACTGACACTGCACATGTTATGGAAAGGGTCTCTTCCCGGTCTCATCTTTCTTGTTCTTTGGATAAAGACATTGTTTCCTGCATTACTAGCAACCCTCCAAAATTTCATTATATCATTCAGTTCTTGGATCCGGTGCTCGACTACTTCGATGACTCCCCTGGGGCTTGGCATGCAATTTCCTCTCGCTTGCAGTTTCCTGCAGAACGGCATAGACTCGGTGCCAATTCAGAAATCAATGAGAACCACCAGCCGATTCTGGTTATAATCCGGGGACGCGGGGAGAAGAGTGGAGATAACGAAGATTGCACTTCTGCTCTCCACGGATCTCGCTTCAGAATAACCTCCGTTGCATACTGATCCGTGGCTGACTGTTCAGTGTGGATCATCGTGATGCGTCGGTTGCCCTGCAGCCAGCTCCATGACCGCGTGTACCTGCCCGATCTCACTACGCGATCTATGCAGGGGTTACATGTGGCCCTGTCGATCATTGGACATCACGTTGTGATATTCCCGCTGGTCTCACGCATCTCAAGCTGTCTATTCCTGCAGGACAAGGGTCTCACAGCATACCCCGCTGTGTTTGCAGTATTTAATGAGCACCTCGTGGCCCCGGAATCGACAGTTTTATTACAATTGACTCTTTTGTTAAAATCCCCGCAATGCATCTGCGCTGTATCTCGTTGTTGACGGCTGCGGCTGGCTTGGCTTTGCAGCCTGCTGGTGCTGTGCCCCACTCTCCTAGGGACCAGGATGCTGGTACTTGCAAGAAGACCACAGTTGCTATCTTGTAAGTATTGAGCCCCAGTCGATGGATTGCATGACCAATTAACTAATGCCACGAAGAGGAGGTGGAATTGCTGGGATTGCTGCAGCAGTAAGTACTTCTCGCCAGTCGGATTTATTCCTGCCAAGCAATGTGTTCTGACTGCCTGCAGCAAGCATTGGCCAATGCCTCGGTGCATGACTTTGCTATTCTCGAATACCGCGACACCATTGGTGGTCGTGCCTGGCATAAGCCATTTGGCAAGGACAAGGATGGAAAGCCTTATATCATTGAGATGGGTGCCAATTGGGTACGTACGAGACCTCTTCTAGTCTATGTGGAGATTGCTAATGTAAACGAACTAGGTCCAAGGCCTTGGGAACCCCGGTGGTCCTCAGAATCCTATATGGAGCTTGGTATGTTATCATGTCCCTGATGTTCAACACTCCAAAGCCTATGATCTAATGAATGTCATAGGCCCAAAAATATCAGCTGAAGACCCAGTACTCTGACTATGACAATATCTCGACTTATAATGAGCATGGCTACAAAGACTACAGCCATCTGTTGAGCGAGTACGATGATGCTTATGATATTGCCAACGCAAAGGCTGGAGAGATTCTTCTCAACAATCTGCAAGACCAGAGTGCCCAATCTGGTCTTGCACTGGCTGGATGGAACCCCAAGAAGCACGACATGGAGGCCCAGGCTGTCGATTGGTGGAAATGGGGTAAGGAGGAAATTCATTGTAACGATATTTTAGTGAGATCTATTGGCTGACACGAGAATTCAGATTTCGAGGACAACTTTACGCCCTTAGAAAGCTCCCTCGTTTATGGCTGTGCTGGCGACAACCTGACCGTGAACGGATTCAGTGATCATGATAACTTTGTCCTTGATCAACGAGGCTTCAACACAATCATCAAAGGCATGGCGTCCGAATTTATGAAAGAAAATGACCCACGCCTACACCTCAACACAGAGGTCACCGAGATTCAGTACAGCAAAGACGGTGTCACTATTCACAACAAGGATGGAAGCTGTGTCAGCGCGGCATATGCCATCTGCACCTTCTCCCTAGGCGTCCTGCAAAACGACGCAGTTAAATTTACCCCCTCCTTGCCCGAATGGAAACAAACCGCGATCCAGAAATTTACCATGGGAACTTACACCAAGATCTTCATGCAATTTAACGAAACCTTCTGGCCCAAGAACACTCAGTACTTCCTCTACGCCGATCCCGCCATGCGTGGCTGGTATCCCGTCTTCCAATCCCTTTCAATGCCCGAGTTCTTCCCCGACAGTAACATCCTCTTCGTGACTGTCACAAATGAGCTCGCCTGGCGTGCAGAGCGACAATCAGACGAAGAGACAAAGCAAGAAATCATGGCCGTTCTCCGGAAAATGTTCCCAGACCAGCAAATCCCCGAGCCAACGGCTTTTCTGTATCCACGCTGGAGCACCGAACCTTGGTCGTACGGCAGCTACTCGAACTGGCCACCGGCAACAACCCTCGAGATGCATGAGAACCTACGTGCTAATGCAGGCCGGCTCTGGTTCGCTGGTGAAGCGACTAGTCCCACGTACTTTGGTTTCCTTCACGGGGCGTGGTTCGAGGGCCGTGATGCTGGGCAGAATATTGCTGCTATTATGCAGAACCGTTGCGTCAATGTGGAGTCGGATAAGCTCCGCGAGTGTGGTCCCCGGAAACACTGGGAGACTTTGCATGGAACCACACCCTTGGCTGATTATAGTGCGCTGACGGGATGGATGGCGGATAGTTTCCTCAACACCAACAGCGAGTAGAAAGGTATGGCCTTGATATAGAAGTGGGATATCAGTAGTAGCATGAGACGAAGATACTGGAATTTTATAAGATCATATGTTTGCATCGTGAAAATTTGACCGAGGACGTAAGATGGGAGTAAACTCTATAAGTACGCCCTCGGGTACAGGTTGGAGAGTAGGTCTTCATGCACTCGAGGTTAAATGATCTCATCAAATCTCCCTAGAAGAGAGATTTCTAGATCGACATATGTGACAGAGACTGGTGCAGATCAATATATTCCCCCATTATACTGCTGCTGCACGTTGTTAGACTAGAGTCAGGCACTTTGAAGTCTGAGGACATATAAAAAACGTTCTTAACGTAATTCTCAGGGTGCACTTCAGTAACAGTCCCTTGCAGACCTACCCCATAGAATCCAACTCAGCCTGTACCAGGGTTCTAAATGACGTGCATCGGAGCTTATTTAAGCTTAATCTACTTTTGACAACTATGGAACTTGCCGGCATCGTACTAGTCCTTTCAGGGCACGCCTGCCTATTTAGGACACTACTAGTCCCTTTTGAGCGCTGCCTCTGGGATTACAGCCTTCCCCAATGCCTTCTTTTGTTCTTCCCACCCTCCCTCCTCCTTGTTTTCTTCCCACCTCCAACCTCCCACCTTTCCTTCTCCCTTCAATCTCCCTTTCACCCACACGTCTCAACAATATTTCTTTTCCATCCACAAAGACCTTATGAGCATCCCCAGTTGACCCAACCCATCTTGCATTCATCAAACCTTTTGACGAGGACTTTAACCCCGTGCTCCTGATAAAATTTGCACTCCCTCAGGTAAGCTTGTCCATCCTGACCTGGGACCAAGATGCATGATACACCCGCCAGTGTTGCTGACGCGATGACACTTCGTCGTCTGCTCCAGGCCTCTCAAGAATCCCTTTCTCTCCCTGCTGTTTCCATGTTTTCTCTTTGGCATAGGTGACTTGCATCAATATTGGACTTGGTTGCCGTGCGATGAAAATCCTCCCAGTTGCTCTTACGCCATCCAAATACTGAGAGCAGATCTCGGTGTCTGCAGATTCCAGGTGAGTGACGATACCTCCATGGTGGATTCCTCCCAGCTCCCCTTTACGCCAGGCCGAATGCTGAGAGCAGACGTGCGTGCGTGTCTGCAGGTTTACCCAGGCTATTCCGATCTCCTCGAATATCAATCGAGCATCGAATATCTCTTTGTAGTGAGTAACGATTTAAGTTCTCCCAGCTTCCCCATTACGCCACTCGAATGCCGAGAGCAGATCCCGCTGTCTGTTGTTTGTTCTTAGGCCACCTTTCATACTTAGCACACAACCCTATGTTGGTTTTCCATCGAGAAACGACCATCTCCTTTCAGGCAACATAGATGAGCCTGAAGGTCGCTCTAACAGCGGATGGCACTTGGCATATTTATTGGATGCATCCATGATCACCTTGTTCGCGACGCCAGTTTATAAAAACTCGGAGGGGAGCCGCGCGAGGGCCGAAACGGAAAATGTCGATATTCAGAATCGGTGGAAAAGCCTCTTGGCCAAAGAATACTGCATTTTAGACGAGAAAATATTTCAATATGGTTCTTAATCATGATTAAACTGAGACATATGAATGGGAGTCTAGAGGTGAAAACATAAAGGCATATCTAAGTGTCTTTAGATAAGCCAAACTGCTGGAGTCATCCCATGGCCATTCCTAACCGTTGAAGAGGGTCATTAATAATTCGATATTGAAACACGAGTAGTCTCTTATTTATTCAATTTACTTAAAGAGCTTGCTCTTGCCTCTAAGCCACGGCCCATATATCCTGAATGCAAAGGGAATCGGTATCATCACTGCCGCGAGGCAACCGAGGAGTGTGCAAGCCCACTGTACTCCCATATTCTGAAACATCTGCTTGGAAAACAGGGGAAATCCAGAGGCGACCAATGAGCGAAGTATGATATTTGCTGCCACCGTCGATGCTGCCCTGTCATAATCAAGCCTGTTAGATTTGTGACTTCCAATCCAAGTGGCACATATGTAAGCTTACAGAGGCAAGTAGGCATCGACAAGGTAGATGAAGCATGGAAAGAAGACGCACAAAACGCCAAATCCAATAAAGCCTCCAGCGACTGTGGGAGCGGCCCAGTGAATTGCAGGAGTAAAACCAGTCCAACCAAACCTGAAATGATAGAATAAATTAGCCGCAAGCCCTTTACTTATTATTCTTGAATCACTCACCAGAAGATTCCAATTGCGAAGACTGGGGCTCCCAACAAGGCCGGACGGAGACGCCATTCAGGGACCGGCACGATCTTGTCTTCTACCATTTTCTTCGTGTAGGTCACATACTGGAAGAGAATAAAGCTGCAGGCAAGTATCTGGCCAATGATGAGTCCAACAAAGGGCAGTCCGCTAACTCCAGGTTTCATGCCGTGTATGGACTCGAAGACATACTGATATGCTTCCAAAAGCGCGTACACGAGCCCGTAGATGAAGGACATATACATTGACACCAAGAGGATAATCGGTTCCGTCACCAGCATCCTCAGTGGGCGAGTGAAGTATTTCTTGACAAGTGCCCGGGAGTCCACTTCTAATCGTTCTTGTTTAGCATGGATTCCCCAGTTACCTGTCTGGTGGCGAAGCCTGGCAGCCTTTTCGATGAGAATGCATGGCGCATACGTTTCTCGCAAAAACAATATGGAGATGGCTCCATTTGCAAAACACAAGATCGACGGAATATATAGCGTCCACCGCCAGCCAAGAGAACTTGACACAACGAAGCCCCCCGTGAATGGCGCACTGAATGGTCCGACAAAGACCGTCAGCGCGTAGAGAGCAATTGCTGTACCACGGTAGGTATTATCAAAGAGATCGGAAAGTACCCCGGGTACGACAGTGAGCTGACTTGAGCCACACATGCCAGCGAAGAAGCGACATATGATGAGCGTCTGTATATCCTTTGCGACAGCAGACGCGATGGTGAAAATACCGCCACCGAGTATTGCAATCGTGAGAGGCCACTTGCGTCCTTTCAACTCCGACATAGGTGCCCAGAGCATTGGTCCTGCCGCAAATCCGAGCACGTATAAACTTGTTCCTAAGGTACCGACTTCAGAGGAGACCCCGAACTCTCTGCTGGCTTGATCGGTCCCCGGTGCGAACACGGCGCTGGTGAATGACACGATGAATGTTCCACTGCAGACAAGAATAGAAATGAATAGCCTTGTTGTATTTCAAGTCAGTAGGAATTATGATAAACGGCCTGAAAGGGCAGCTTACTTGGTAGAGAACTTCCAGTTGTATGGGTGTGCGGGATCGTCGATACCGTCGAAGTCGACAACATAATTCTCGGAGTCAGGGGGTGTTGGTGGGAATGGTCTACCCATGCCCATAAGAAGCTTTTCGGTCATTGTGTTTGGGCCGAAAAACAAATGCTCGATGTTGATTTTGGAGGGCGGGCCGAATATGCTACGTTGTGTTCGGCCAACTGGGCACGTTGCACTCGGCCTGTAGAGAAGGGGCGTGATCTGTGACACTGACTCCTCGGACGAAAAAGAGACAAGCTGTTTTGGAGATTCAGGAAGTACAGATACATTCCGACTACTATTTAACAATCTCTTCTCATATGGCATATGCTGGTATACTGAACGGGGCTTGGTTGGGGTTTGCGGCAATTGCGGCATCTCAACCGCGGGGCTACGTGCCGTCCTGTATTGTTTACAAATCACCCACAGATACGCCTACTAAGCGGGTAAGTTCTTTGATTATCCACTTTTAATGGAGAAATGATGGAGAAAGCTAAACTCATCGATGTACCATGATTGGTTTGAGGTCTTGCTTGAAGTCAGCATGGAGAAATACGAGCATCTCAACCCGAGCCATCAAATAACGAGGTATCGATCATATCTGCGTTCAGGAACTGATCAAGATCAACCCTTTGAAGACCAGGCAAATCAGCTACAAGTGCACCCAGCCATGAATACTCCTCGGAGTTAGGATCGAGTTGTGGCGGCGATTCGAGCGGACTTTCTTGCTGATGCACATTCAGCGCCTCACCGAGAACCGCAAGGTCATCTTTCCTACGCTGTTGATGCAGCATTACGAGCAAACAGGCTGCCCTATAAGCCTCCCTCATCGTTTCGGTATCATATGTGGAAGCGACTAGCTCGACGGTCTGCATCGCCTCTGGGAGCATGGCAAGAGACGAACGAGTGTCCATGACAAGCAGAACGCAGATGATGTGAAAAGGCACGTTGGCAACTTGATGCCATGGAGAGCAGTCCATGACCATACCTCGTGCGCAGCCAAGTCCTTTCTTCAACAATCGCAACACCTTCGCCGCGAGCTCAGAAGGGATATCGAGGTTTTGGGTATGGATGCGTCGAAGGATACAGAGAACAAGGTTACACTGCGCCATAACCGATGGGGGCTGAGTATGAGTACCTTCTAGAAGACTGGAAAGTGTAGAGGTGAGATCTGTCTCATCTTTTGTCCTGCCTGGATCAAGGCTGACGGAGACTGGGAGGAGCCGGAGAACCTCAACTGTACAGTCACCGGGCTTTGGGGATGGGAGCGCTGGAAGATCGTTTTTCTGGAAAGAAACTCTGGAGAGACCGAGGTCATAAGAAGTCCACACGTTCAAATGATGTGCAACACCAACAAGCCGTCTCTGAATATCTGGATCACACTGCACTCTTGGCGGCAGAACCGAATGTGACTCTGGGTGGAGTCCTGAAGCTTCGACTAGGTGCATCAACGTGGAACTAGCAATCCACGTGGAGTGTGGTGAGTCTGTCATCCGCAAATAAATAGACCGCAGAGTCCATCCCGTCAATAGATCGATGGACGGAGGACCAGAGAGATGCTGCATGTCTAGCACGGCACGAGCTGTCCGGATGAGATGCTGCTCCGTGATTGTAGCATCTCGCAACGAGAACAAGCACCCGAGAGCCGCCACACCTGCTAGTGTACTATCGTAGATATCCCATAGAAGGGGAGATTTCCAACGAAGATCTAGTCGTTCGAAAAAGGCGCCCCGATCGATGAATCCATAACATGGGTGGACTTTATCGAAATAAACCAGAGCCATAGCCTTCATATGATCAAGCGCTGCGATCTCTACAATCGGCAATGTGGAGGTCGAAGTGATTGGAGATGCCGGTTGTCTGGTGCCAATGTTCCAGCTAAATAGATTGAGCTTGGGAGCTTTGGCAGGATCGATCTTGAGGCCAAGCTTCCTGACAAAGGCGGCCCCTGAATTGGCCTCCATGCGTCGCACCAGTCCACCCCGGTCGGCCTCAACCTCGATGGGCTCGGTAATGCTAGGCCTAGAGGTACTTTTTGGTGGAGAGTGGGCTTTAGGCTGGGCATCTGGGGTGGGATCCCTCACTTTGCGGGATCTCGGCCGGCGCGCAAGATAATAACAGTCATAGCCCCAAGACGTGCATGTACAACAGGGTTCACGCCCATCACATTTTCGCTTACGCTCTCTGCAAGGAATACAGGCTAACAGAGCCCGTTTGCGCTTCAGCGAATTCGGTGTCTCCAGTTGTGTATCCATTCCGATGCGGCTTCAAGGGACGATGAGGTGCTTGCCGTGGCTCGGGAGGAATGAAAGGTGGATGGATGTTGCGGGAGCTGCGGGTTTTACGGGACTAGCGGGAAGAGACGTCATCGTTTAGCAGCCCCGTCAACTACAATGAAGGTTATTGCGGGAAGCAACACAGACTGTATTACAAACGAACTGTTTTCATGCCTCGGTACACGCAGGAGGCTAGATTCTCATTATTCATATGATAATACAAGAATAAAGCCAGCCAAGTCTGCACCTTTGTTCCACAAACACACTTTGAACATCCTCCAAAACACCAGCAATGGCGGCCAAGCTGTTATCACGCTACTCCTGGGCAACCAGCCCCTTCATTGTAAGCGCGCCAATGCGCGTTATGTCCGGCCCAGCTCTGGCTCTCGCAGTGTCCAGAGCAGGAGGACTGGGCTTCATCGGCCCCGGGGCCAAGACCCAGGACACCGAAGTTGATCTTGAACAAGCATCGAAGCTAGTGGAGCAGACACGGGCCTCCTCGTCCGTCTTTGACAAATTGTCAACAACCAACTCTGTATTGCCCGTCGGTATTGGCTACCAGCTTTGGGGAGACGACGTCAACGTGGCTGTCGCTGCGATCGGACGTTTCAAGCCTTGTGCAGCCTGGCTGTACGCTCCCAAACATAGCCTGAAGGAATTCGATGACTGGTCTCGTCGAATCAGACAGGTATCCCCAGAGACTCAAATCTGGATTCAGATCGGTACTTTGAAGGAAGCCAAGCAGCTCCTCACAAACTCCGAGAAGCCCGATGTCGTCGTTATCCAGGGAGCGGAATCAGGCGGTCATGGACGAGCGAAGGATGGAATGGGCCTCATGGCTCTGTTCCCCGAGATTGCAGATGCCATGGAAGGTAGTCAGATCCCTCTGCTCGCCGCAGGTGGTATTGCTGATGGACGGGGCGTTGCAGCGACGCTGTGCCTGGGTGCTTCAGGCGTGGTGTTGGGGACACGATTCCTGGCTGCGAGTGAAGCACGGATTAGCAAAGGATATCAGAATGAGGTTGTTCGAGCCTCTGACGGGGCTACTTCCACGACACGGACACTACTGTATAACCATCTCCGAGGCACGTTTGGGTGGCCAGCCGAGTACAGCCCCAGAACGATTATCAACAAGTCATTCATCGAGCACCAAGCTGGCCACACATTCGATGATCTCAAAGTACTCCATGACGAGGCCATGAAGAAGGGTGATAGTGCCTGGGGACCCGAGGGACGGGTTGCGACGTATGCAGGAGCTTCAATCGGATTGATACACGAGGTCGCTGATGCTGGAGATATCGTTCATGGGCTGCAAAAGGATGCCCTCAAGCGGATACAATCAGCTGGTTCCAACTAGACAATGCACAGTATCTCGTTCCAAGAGTACATGGTGGTAATGATTGTATTCTCTTAGTTGAAGCGCATCTTGCGGTAAACAATATTCCCGTTGAGGAAGGCACAATATCGCTCGCCTTTAAATATCTCATCTCCCCAAGCCTTCTCCCAAAATTTCTTCTTCCTTCAACTCCCCACTCCTCAACCACTTTCTCCACTGATCTCCCAACCTTCTTTTGACCCTCCTGGCTCTTACCCACGAGGGGTTCAACCTTCTTCGGACATCATGTCTTTCTTCGAGCACTACCTCTTGGCCTTCGAGATGTCCTCATCCTCTTCTATCCCCTCGACTGGGTCTCCCAAGTACTTCGCCTGGCCCTTCTTCTCTCTTCAAGATTTCTTCTCATCCTCCCAGGATTCTTTGAAGTCTCTCTTCTCTCAACTTCGTGTTGACTCTTTCTCTTCCACCAAGTGATTTCATGTCTGGCGTGTCCGGTCCTCTGAAACTCCTTATCTGTCAACAACACGTCCACAAAACACGTCTGCATCCATGACACGTTAACATCACGACACGTACACACCATCACACATCCACAACTTAACGTGCTCACCTGGCCCTTCGCCACCTTGGCCCATCACTCCTTTGGCCCTCCATCATCATGGCCCTATCCGATGGCATGCAGAGTCAAGCATAAAGGTATGAATGTTTCCAGTATCTTCATCACCCTCAACACAGCTAACCGTCCCACTAGGAGCCTACATTAACGTTCTTGAGTGAACCTCGGCAGCAATGACCTTGTTGACGAGCCTGTGTAGGGCGTGGTTGACTACAACAGAAGTCTCCACTGCCACACATTTCAGCCTCCATCGCCCAAACTCTGCTAGGAGATACTAACTTCACAGATCAATGAAAAGAGAGGGAAAACCAACAAACCATCGTTCTATGCCACACAAGTCAGCCTCCTCTTGGATTCTGCGAGCATAATAATCAACCACCATCAACCACCATCAACCACCACCAACCATCAGTCACAAGGTATATTCCTTGCCTCGTCGTGAATACATTGAATTGTGTTTAACTGTTACATTTATAGGTCAATTTTTCAACACTCTCCGACAAGTCTCCATCTACATACCGAAGCAGCTACGCCCCACAAAACTTTCAACCACCACATGATAGAGTTTCCGCCCTTTCATCACAGATATTAGACCGAGTGTTGTGGAAGAAGGAGAAGAATATGACACATGTTTGTACTCTGAATTCGAAACACCAATTTCTGCAAGTCATCACTTTGAACTTAATGTTGTATCATGGTTATGTTTGTAGCAGACAATAAATTGAAATCCTCAAGTAAAAGAGCTCAATAACAGAACCTTGTACATGTAGATCGGCTTTGAAATTGATTCGCAGAAGGAGAGATCGTCATTGCGCTATTAATATATACGGAGATTGTTATTATGATACAGTGAACAGCTTTCGTCGAATTCATCACGATAGAAAGCAGTCAGATGCAAAACACACCGATTTCGCCTCTCACCTCACATCGAACCAAAAACTTCCATCATCCACGCATCATCAAATCCGCTCATTGGTAAGATGTCAGCGAGGATTGCAGGATTAGGTGGATCAAGAGTATTATCAACACCATTGGAGGGTAAACTCGGGTACCAAATCTCCATCAACTTTGGCTCCCATCCTTCTTTGATGCACTGAACCATCGTCTTTCCCTTCTCGAAAATATTCCATTCCGGCTGATGGGGCACAGCGATATGATCGGCACATTTCTTCATCATATATGCCATTCTGTCGAGGTATTCGAGGACATTGGCTGTGTTTCTCACAAGAGCCTTGTCCCAGGCAGGGTCTTCGAGGATGGAAAGTCTATACAAGCTGACGAGGGCGCGGGAGAATTGGAAGAAGATGGTGAAGCAGACGGCCATGTACTGTTCGGTGGGCACAGATAGCCACAGATCCAACCAAGATTTTGCTGCGTGAAGAGAGGTATAGAGACTTTCTAGTCTATGTAATTCTGGCGAGTTGGGTGTCGAAGGTGCTCGGAGCGCGACTTCGTGGATAGTGAGTTCAGCATTGGCAAGGTAAAACAGAATAGACCCTTTTGGATATTGTCAGCATAAGCCAAGTTGAGGGGAGAGTAGAACGAGACATACTGTCTTGTTGTAGGTGACTTGGAATTGAGCCCTTGACAGATTCCAGCTGTGATTGAAACGCCTTTGTATAAAATGTGGATGAGTAGTGAGTGTCTCCATCACGTTGTAGATGGTACACTTTATCCATGACTAGATGGATCTTGACAAGTGAGACCAGACGCTCATCCTCGGGGCATTCCTTGGCATTCATCAAGATTGAGAGCGATTCTTCCATATGTGGAGTCCATCTGAGAGCGTCGATTCTGGACATCGTCAGGGCAATGCTAAAGAGAGAGGAGTGTTAGCGGATTCCATGCAACTCCAGGATAGACACGAATTTTTGTATACCTCGAAGTGATCAAAAAGCAACCCAACGCTGCTCGCCGTTCTTCCATTGTTCTTGTAGTAGGAATATTTTGCTTGTGACCAACGGCACACTTAAATGCTTGCATTGTAGAAAATTCAGTTGGAACCGGTTTGTTGATACCGAGATCACAAACAAGGCCCATGACTATATGAGCATAGAAGTTGAGAAATGGCCTTCGAGAGTATGTAGTCCTATATTTGATTGAAAATTAATATGATTTGCAATGGTAAGATAACAAACTGAACAGGGTATTCCGACTTACCATGAAATAAAAGTCATGATTCCAAGCAGCATATCCATGCTTGGTGCAACGTCGACAAGTAACTTTTGATGAATGAACTCGGTGATTTTCAAGAAGACAGATTCTCTTTGGATGCTTCCCGGTGTAAGGACTGCCATAATACACAGCCAGAAGAATGGCTTTTCTTGCCGTAGTTGTTGTGAGGTTATATGCGAAGGAATATGCACGTATGGGAGATACTTCATATTCTCAGTCCGGAAGAAGGTGAGAGTCTGCTCGGCTGTCTCCGGAGAGATCGGAAGAGCAGCGCATAGATCCTCTATTGAGTTACTACTCCGAGGCGGCGATGCTGTTGCTGGTGGAGTAGGAATTCCATCGGAATGGAAGCTACATGATGAAACACTGGCTTGACTTTGCGAAGTATGTTGGGCAGTGGCTGGTGATGTGGCTTCCCAATCGGTGGGGATACCGGTGGATGCTCCACTAGTCTGGAGTAATGATACAATGCTATCAAGCTTCGCTTCCAGCTGGGCTGTCCTCGAAGCGGAAGAGCGTCCATTTCGCTTTCGCACCGTTGGCGATGGCCGACATTCCTTACTCAGTCGCTGACATCTAATGGTTATTAGTCAATCAAGCTTTTACTGTTATGATAGCATTACTCACCTCTCGCAGCCATTTCCAGCGGCAAGAAGAATACACTTGCTCTTGGCACGAGAGCAGTTGATGCAAGCTCGGCCATATGGTGCAGGGGTCCCACTTTGGAGCTGGTTGAACGCCATTCCGATATCCGACCGTTGGAGTTCGGGTAGGACAGAGAATGTGCCACGCAGGACTTCGCAGGTGGTAGATTTAGGGGGATCGAGCGCCACAAGGGATTCACTAGAACATATAGCCGCTGCCGATATATCAGGAGATAAAGATTAGGGAAATTTCCCAACACACTCAACGGGCAAAGAGACTTGTCTTGAACAATCGGTCGGGATTGAAACGTCGAAATCCGATCGACTTGTAAATCTCACCCACAGAAAGGCTGTGACTAAGCAGATTACCCTGCCCAAGACGAGAGCTTGATTTACTTAGCACCTCCCTAGAAGATGTTCAAAATAGTATAAATCTAGCAAAAGCGCCATCCTAGTGCATGCCACCTCAGGTAAAACCCAATATTCAGTGTCCCTTTTCATCCCTCAAAGTAGGAGAGCTTACTTGAAATTTATTGAGTTCCAAGTACTACCACTTACATTGGCCAATAGAAACCTTCTCTCTTTCTATTCACCCGAGTCCGACGGCCAGTTGACCTAAGGCGTCAAGTCCATGACGAATAAACGAGCTTTGCTATACGAGTTTTGTTATACGAGCTTCTAGAATCAATAGCTTTCTGCGAGTCATAGTTAGCTCCAACGGTCTGACTCAAATGTATCACGCCCTTCTTTATAATAGCCTGACAGCTTGAAACGCGAGCCTCGTCGGGATTCGGGATTCGGAGTTAGCCAACTCCCCGCGCGACGGTTTCGAATCTTCCCAACTATGACCATAAACAGTAGGCAAAAACTCCGAATTACCACATACGATAGTAAACCCCTGTAACACCGAAGACTTCTTGCAGCTTTGCCCAAAGCTGCTTATTAGCATGGAGTTAAGGATTTGACCACCGATCATTTCTCGTATAAGATTGTGAAGAAGACTCAATGCAATACTTTGTTCTGCTTTCTCTGGTTTCCCAAGCTATCAAGGTATAGGGTGTTGGCTCGTTACGCCACCTCAACATGGCCGAAAAAGACCCGAAGATGTATGACTCTGAAACTGAGACAAAGGAGCAGAATCTGAATTCCCCAGAAACTTCAAAGGAGCTTGGGTCGGATACCAGCTCGACGGGCGAGGTGACAGAGGAGGCTCCAAAAGCAACGCAAGAGTCTATCGAAAATGAAGAGCGGGAGTATATAACAGGGTTGAAACTTGGAATGGTAGTTGTGGGTGTTACTTTGGTCTGTTTCTTAGTACTGCTCGATACTTCTATCATTGTCACCGTGAGTTACCCCAGGGATTGGCCCTTTCCCTTCTGGTAGTTCTGACGCTTCTAGGCGATTCCCGTGATCACAACCCAATTTCATTCCCTGGAGGATTTGGGATGGTATGGTAGCTCATATCAAATTGCTAGGTACGTTATTCAGAGTGATGTAGCCCGTAGGCGTGCCTACTAACACAGCATCCAGCGCTTGCTTGCAACCTCTGGCGGGGAGAATCTATACCAATTTCCGCACAAAAGTGAGTCCCTCGAAGGTATTTGGTCGCAGTTATTCTAATTCGAATATAGTGGGCATTTTTGTCTTTCTTTTTCGTTTTCGAACTGGGCTCGCTTCTTTGCGGCCTTGCGACATCCTCGAAGATGTTGATCGTTGCTCGCGCTGTGGCAGGACTTGGATCTGCAGGATTGATGAATGGTTCTTTGACTATTATTTCATCCTCGGTTCCTCTTCATAAGTCACCTCGTATGTTCGCCTTCACTATGCATCTGATAATCAGCTAACCAGTAACATAGCTCTCATCGGGATAATGATGGGATGTAAGTAATTCCAACTGGCCCTCGAGCCGCATCTCAACTGACCATTGTCTAGTTTGTCAACTCGGAATCGTCCTTGGCCCTCTCTTGGGAGGAGCATTTACCGAATATACAACCTGGAGATGGTGTATGTCTGACTCTACGTTCCCCGAGAGACTAAGAAAAAGCAAGCTCAGCTACTTATCTTGCAGGTTTCTACATCAATCTTCCGATCGGTGCTTTAGTTGCACTTCTCCTCATCTTCATCGATATCCCCGATCAAGCGGCTAAACCCCCATTCAAACAAGTATTCAATACTATAATCCACAATCTAGACCTCACAGGCTTCGTTCTATTTGCACCAGCTGCTATCCAGCTTCTCCTCGCTCTCGAATATGGTCAAAGCCAGTACCCATGGAACAGTGCAACCGTTATTGGCCTTTTCTGCGGAGCAGGAGGCACCTTCATCCTGTTCTTGCTCTGGGAATACCACCAGGGCGATAAAGCGATGATCCCTCTTTCAATGGTTGCAAAGAGAAATGTTTGGTCAAGTTGTCTTGTGATGATGTCGATCTTCGCCGTCACTTTGTGCACTTCGTACTATCTTCCAGTCTACTTCCAGGCTATCCAGAACAAATCGCCCATGTTGAGTGGTGTATACATCCTTCCCAGCATCCTGTCTCAACTGGCGGTGGCCGTCACATCCGGGGCTTTGAGTAAGTGTTTATTGACCCACCTAGAAGTTGATTATGGGCATATACTAACAACTATCCAGTTGGAAAAATGGGATATTACCTTCCATGGGCTGTAGTGTGTGGAATTCTCACATCCATTGGCGGCGGTCTTCTATCGACGTTGACCCCGACCACAACCACCGGGAAATGGGTTGGATATCAAATCCTTGCGGGAGCTGGCCGTGGAGCTGGTTTTCAGACTGTAAGGATATCCTCACCACCATGATACGTACATCTGTTAACGTTTGCTTTCTTATACAGCCTATCATCGCCGTCCAAAACACTCTCCCGCCCAGTCAAATATCAATCGCCATGTCGATCCTAATGTTCATCCAGACCCTTTCCGGCGCAGTCTTCCTCACATTTGCCGATGTGATCTTTTCTACTGGCCTCAAAGACCTAATTCCAAAGTACGCACCCAATGTCAGTTCACAAGTCGTTATTGCTGCAGGTGCCACTGGTATACGGGACGTGGTGTCTACACAGAACCTCCCCGGGGTCTTGAAGGCTTACGCAAAGAGTGTGGACCATGTTTTCTACATGGTTGCTGCAATGGGAGTGTGGGGATTGATCTTCTCTTTTGGGATGGGTTGGAAAGATATTCGCAAGAAGAAGCCTGCTGCTGAACAGGTCTGAGAGACTCTAAGGGACTCGGTTGATAATTTTTCTCCACTCATTGCTTGATGATAGCGCTTCATGTATACTGCATATAATAGAGGGAAATTTCCATGGCTATAGAATATTTTGCATTCAAGACGTCATGAAACTCCGTTAAAAATGAGAAAGCTTCCATGCTAGTCTCTTGCTTCTCTGTCTCTCAATACAAGGACTATCCTTGGTTATCATCATATATAATACCACGCCTGAAAAGCCGTCGCGGTTACCAACGACTCCCTGATCAGCATCGTATCGGAGCCCGGATGCCTCGTTGAGCATTTTTGTAACGCAGAGAGAGGTAGGATCTTCGTTCTCTTGATTCTCAACGTGACTTGTGTAGATGATTCTTGTTTTTTTCTATGTCGTAAATGTTGGTTAGTTAAAGCTTTTATCTGAAAAGGGGACTTTAGCTGTTGGGGGGGGGGGGGGGGGGTAAGGGCGGGCGAGGATTGCGTTAGAGGAAGGCGAGGGGGACGAAGCCAACATGACTGGGTGGGAAATAAGGAGAACGCGCGCTTTCAAGCGGGTTCCCGGTCGATCAGATAATTGGAGGGTGGGAAAAGGGATCTAGTTGAAAGCTTGGAGGCTTTTTCTTGGGCTTACCGCCAGCCTCTTCAGGTGCGGGCCTTTTTCGGTGCTCCGATCTGCCAGACATGTTTAAGTGATTGGCGAATAATAGGCAGGTAACCTCGTATCATTCACGTTGAATTTTCGAGGAAATAGAGGGGAAAGTGAGAGTGCACCCTGTTGCAGGTGACGGCAGGAGCGGTCAACTCTCCAAATCATGCCATATTAAGTAGAACGAACGTTGAGTAAATAGACGCCAGCCTGCAGTATACAAGTGTAGAGGTGATTCCCATCTTAAAGAATCTTCCGAGACGACCGTTACATCTGCTCAAGGTCTTCGTTATAATATCAGTATTACTAATGTACTCCATTGACTCTCAGGTTGACCTATGGATCCCTTGGAATATAAGAGATAAGCTCTCTTGCATAAGAAGCAGCAGCGGCAGCTGCATATCCGTGCCAGTCATCATTCTTATGACTATCACAATAGTCTGAAATGCCGCGAATAACGAGGCAGGGGAAATTTGCCAACACGCCTGCAGCTTCCGTTTCAAAGCACAGGATGTTATATTGTTCGGCTAGAAGATCCCTCAGCCTGCCGTCTGTAATAACCAGCTCACCAGAAGCAATCGTCCCCCTATGAACAACCAGGAAATGATCATTATCCCCATTATCCAAGAGTTGCATGCGTTGGGATGGATTGCACCCACATTGAGCACAAGAAAGTCCAGGGCCAAGGTGCGTATAATCCGCTCGGTACAAAGCGTCTAGCGCTGGATCTGGGCGCGTATACCTCCGCAGCCCCCTGATTTTGTTGTTGATCCTTAGAATGTTGTCCAATAAACAGTCCTCTCTGGACCTTGCGCGTTGTGCAGCAAGGGCCTGAGCAGCGTTGAGAAGTAATGCTGGAGGCGGAGCAAGCGCGCCAGTGCGAACAAAACGAGCCACTTCGGCTCTTCCACGGTCGTATTGCAAGACACCTGAATGCTCTCCTGATGGTTTACTGACCACGACATCGCCGAGTCGTATCATTCCGTTGTCAGTTGTTGTGGGCACCCCGCCTCCAATGCCCACTAAAAGGCAGTATCTCAAGTTTGGGAATGTTGCCCTCGCTTGAGTAATAACTGCTGCAGCTGAGTTATTACCTGTTTGAGGTAATCCGGCAATTACTATGTTGTGGTCCTTGATGCTGCCAAGAGTGTAGACATTAGAGTCTGTGTGAGGCTGAGATAGCGGCTCGTGGTGTTCGTCAAGCATCTCTAACGCAGGGATCTGTTCCACTTCCAACGGACTGATCCATGCGATATAATAATCTTCATGCCGTCGCATTCCTTGTGCTCGATCCCTGCTATTTTCATGGAGGCTTGCTCCCCGATCTGCTGAGATACGGGAACTGAGCAAGGCACGCACCCCAGAAATACAATCCAAAGGATCCTGCTGTACAGAAGCGCAACCCACCTGGAGACAGAAAAGTCTCACTCGTCCGCACAAAACCCACCATACTTCGTGCTCCGCAAGACGTGGAAGAGCTTGTTCGAAGGCTTCCAGTACCTCCTGCATCCAATTGTCATCTGGCCTATGTTCGGATTCCTTCACATCAGTCAGTACAATCTATAATTTGATGAAGCAGTGCCTTGTGGGCTTAAACTTACTGCTGCCTCTCTACAAAGGGGCGCATATTCTCTTGCCAAGCAACTGTGATTATTGTGCCAGCCATATGCTTTACAAAGTCGGCTAGAGTGATTGTTGCTGCATTTGGATCCTTCTCAAGTTCGAGGGGCGCGTTATCGAAATTCCATGATGGGTTGATGAACGCAGTAACCCATGCATGTGTTACCTGAAAGTTTGCCAATAAACCACCCTCAGAGTAGTCATTCAGATGGGGAATTATTCTGCGTCTGAATATGAGCTCTTTTTCCTCGCTTGAGTTTCGTGCAGGTAGTTGAAGCCAGTCTCGGTAGTCTGGGGCCCCGAAGGCAGGAATGAGTGATGGGATATGTTCAACGGCCATTTGGAATTGTTCACCGCCTGGAAAGGCGTCGTGAATTTACTCAAGGGTACCGGCTTAGGTGTTGAAAGCCTCTTAATGAGACGTAACATCCGGGCTTAGGGGAGCCAATATATTTACAAGCCAAAACCTGATCCATGGATGCTGACAGGTACGAAAACAGAGCGGCTGATAGTCCCGATGACAAAATCCAATCAGACGCGCGTGACATGACACAGGTCAGCAGTCGCTGAAGCAAACAGCGAGCAGAAGCATATCTGTTGGTGGCTTTCGTGTTTGGACGATACTTATCCAATCAATTCCGAGTTTGCGAAACCTCACCGCTGAAAGTTGAGCAAAATTGGCGAGGGAGAGAGCACTAGAATGGAAGGAGATCGCCAATAATTGCCAGACATTATCCGTTATATACACGGTGATAGTGAATATGAGAAGAAAATGTTAAAGATAATCTTGAAATTTGTCCAATATACACATAAAAGAAAGAGCCATGATGCTCGAAAACATGCCCCTATCTCGTCGAACGCCAATCAAACACGAAAACAACGCCGGAAACGACTCAACTTAACCAAGGGAGCAACGGTCAATGCGCAGGGCGGCAAATACGACAACGCGCTCCAGGCATCAAGAGATCAAAATGCCCCAGAGAATGCTCGATGGTACATTGTCTTCAAAGCGGTCCACACCTAGGCCTACGTCGCCGCTTCAGGGGCGTTCAGGAAGTTCAGGTGAAGGGGCCTGAAGAGGCTGAAGAGTGAAGCGGTTGGAATAAAATCAAAAGACAAAAACAAAAACAAAAACATACAACAGCCAGGATTCGCATGTGGTCACCCACCATACTACTAACTGGCCGGCGTGTGGCTTAAGTACGGCTGAGCGGACGGGAAGCCCTGTTCTCCACACCCTATGGTCGTATGTACCAGGAACTGTGTTAAAAAGAACTAGATTCTTAGCGATAATTTGAATACAATGCAGAGAGAGCTACTTCCGCGGAATAATAGACGGGGTGATAAGGGTGAGTGCGTAATAGACAAGGTGAGCATCCACGTGAGAGCCGCTTTACTTAAGCGTCCTTTAGGCGGCTGTTTACCTGCGTTTTGGGTGGTTGAGGGCTATAGGCTGGGAGACCTTGGATGGCAACATTGGACCCTTTTGATTCGCTATTGATTATTTACAACCCATTCTAAGAGATTCTTCCACTCGTTGGCCACACTCCAACGAACAACGGCGTCATAATCTCGGCAGGTATGAACCGCATAACTCGACTCAGCTCCGAACAGATTGTCCTTATCCATGCCAGCGAGTGTGATATCCAGGTTGCACATCAGTGTATGGCGTAAATACTCCAGGCAGTGCCCCGTGTGGTGATCAAAGTGATAATTTTCCAGCAAGTTCTCTCGGATCATGTGCTGCCAAAGTGGTGTATTGTCTTAATATGAACTCATGTAAGGTGGTGGTGCTTAGGTCGAAAACTCACCAAACAGTGCATAGCATGAAAGCCATCCACTTGATAGACCAGTTCTCCTGGTGTATCGGGGGTGGGTGCACTCGGGGGTAAGCCATGCTGAGCTGCCCACTCTTCGGTGACGGACACAATGCCATGGTCTAACGTAATGAGCACATTGCACTAACTGAACCGGAGAGCACTTACGCCAGGCCATGTCGTCCCAAGTCTCATAGTAAAAGCTTCCACTCTCGCGGGGCTCACCTAGAGTACTATGATTGCTATAGTCCCAGGTCCTGTTAAATTGGGAGAGAGATCCATCTAGAACGTATAAGTGGTTTTCTGGTGTATTTTCTCCGTTACGATGAACATTAGACTTACAGTCATCCAATTGAGGCTGATGTTGTTCTCTTGCTTTTATCAGAATAAAGTATCCACCAATAAAAAAGGCCACATTAGCCAACTCAAGGAGAAGAAGCCAGAGACATATGGAGGAATATGGAGTCTTGGACTTTTTGCCTTCATCGTCGACAACCCAATACCGACTGTATTCCAACTCACTCGTAACAAGCGGGACGCATTCAGGCTCATGCTTTTCGTCCATACCCGTTATTCAAGCAGGAACACCGAAGAGTATAAAGTATATTGTGGCTGATCCGGGGAGAAGAACAAAGACTTGAGGGCTTGCTATGTAAGTATTTATTATCTGTAGACCACCGGATTCCCACTCAATTTTCTTGTGGGGCATATACTAAGTTAAGTATTAAGGGTTGAAGCTAGTACAGGGCGCAACGTTAGTATGTATCCAATCGCCCAGCCCCTTACAGATGATAATGGCGCCTCTTCTAGCCCTGAATACGTTAGACCAAAACATCTAACTTAAATTAACTCAATTACAAATTATAAGCTCAAGCATAGCACTAACAATACCCAAGTAATTCGTGATAAACAAAACGCGTCTCTTAGGAACGGAGAGGACACCATATAACGCGTTATACTCGAACGATGGCCGGGCTGAGGAATGTCATCTCGGCCCGTTAAGACTAGCTGTAATATGGTCGATTGCAACCCCAATTGGTTTGGAATGTAGGAATACTATAGTTAAGTGGGTGAGAAGCTAGGGCGTATTCCGCCCTGTCCTCCCTCTCTCTAATCCCTAGTACATTCTCACTCCTCTTGGTTAATCTGCCGGTTGGAATTCCCGATGCCAATATAGATGAAGACCTTATGCGAGCCCCAAGCGCTTACTGGTGGCGGTTTCTCGAAGACAACGTCCTTAGATATAAGGCCTCCCGCGACTGAAGGGTGAGAGCTGAGGATTCCGGCCACCGCCCAGATGGGCAGGGATGGGCTGCGGTATCCGGCCATCGGAAGAGGTCCCTAGAATCCTTCGACAGTCCAGGGATCCCGTCGAAGACAAAAACACTCCTGTCCTCCTTAATACAATCGCGTCCGGGTTTAGTAGCCGCTGTGCGATTCAACGATTTGATCGATGAGAAGGGCTGTGGGCTCAATATCCTTCTGCAGTGCGGTGGTAACCCCAGGGCGGATATTGGACCTACAAAATCTAGTTTGTGCTTTAAGCAGAAACACCCTTGAAAGTATGCTGCGGCCAGGGGAACGAGCTCGGCTAAATTGGCGCTGGAGGCAAGTTCGCCCAGGGTGCCTAGAGGCGAGCACTTTGCTAGGTGCGAACTGGGTGATCTAGGTGAGAATCCTTGTATAAGAGAAGAGAATTACGAAATAGCCAATCACTACTCATACACCCTCCAGTTTACAACCCAAGATACCGAGAATTTACGACCGAAGAAAAGTTGTCATCACATCATCGTGTTTTTGTCCAGTAGATAATAGCCGCCCAGATGCCACAGTGCCACACCCGAGCAAACGGGTCTAGCACAGAGAGTCCACTAACAGACACCGAGAATTCCCAGAATACCCCAAACGAAAAGTCCGACTAGCCGTAGCGGCCAGACCATATTTGGACAGATCCCGATCAATCCTCCGCAATCGCCCATCAGCGAATATCACTCATCAAGCGAAACATCTGGAGACGTCCATCCCTCCTAGAACCGACAGCAACGACCTAACCCATGAGATTGGACTAGAGGCGCATTTACTGCTCAGTCTGGAAGTAGTTGAGGAGGACGGAGCGCTCCTGGCTGTCCTCACCCCAGTCCTTGACGACGACGCAAGAGCAGTTGACGACCTTGCGGGCGTTGCCCTCACGGTCAAGGGTGCCTGTAAGAGAAAACGAATTAGCACATATGCTCCTTGCCTCCAACCAAGCCAAGCTTGACACTAAAAAAAATGAGAGTAAAGAACTTACAGAGACCGACCCACTCGCCGAGCATCTTTCCATCGGGAACCTTGATCAGGGGGATCTTGTGCTCAGAGCAAAGAGCGACGACCAGCTTCTTGTAGGCCTCCTCCTCGCAGCCCTCGTTGAGGACACACATGTGGGCCTCGCGGCGGTCAAGGGCCTTGGCAGCCTCACGCAGACCACGGGCAAGACCGTCGTGGATCAGGGAGATGCGGAGGACACCCTTCAGAGCGTCGAGGACGGACATCTGGCCGGAGCCAGCGTCAGCGGAAACCTCGACCTCATCGGCGGCAACGGGGGGGTTGGACTGGGTCTCTTCTCCGTCCGACTGTTGAGAAAGTTGTTAGCATATGGTTCTGCCGGAGCTTGTCAAATGTGGAGTGTGTGCAGGCGACGATTGAGGATTGGATTGAGGATCTCAGGGCACCATTATGTCTCCTTGCATCTGGGTTTGACATTCAGGTGCGACGGCGAGGTTTCGGGGACACCAATGTCCGTCCATGGCGATGTTCAAATCCGAATCCTCATCTCGTGTGTGCCATTGGCGATTGGTATTTGGGAATAGGGTGCATATTCGGAGATCAGCGTACCATTTTGTTGTGCAGGTATGTTCGATTTAAATGTCGAATTATCCTCGAAGAGTTAGTTTTGAGTGATGGAAGTAGGCGCTGGGAAATTTTTGGTGGGGATTTGGACTCTTTCGGCTGTGTGTGCCCTACAATTATGTCAGCGTCACGTGATAGACTACGCATGCGCCACTTTCCCTATTCGGAAGTTTCCATACTTCTTCCTAGTCCGCATGAACATTTTGTTGTTTGGATGTTTACTAACACGGACTATTCATCTACTCTACAGACTAAGCATAATGTAGCAAATGAGGCGATCGTCGCCAGGTCCGGATTCAAGCTACCGAATAAAATAGATTCGTTACACGAACGCAAAAGGTATCATAATCGTACATTCAGAATCCGCTCTTTAAATAACCAACTGGAGATCTGCCGATTGCACAAGCGCCTGCTAGCAAATGAGGTTGCAAAGGAAGGGACATGGAATGAAGGTGAGGAAACTAGAAGTATGTACCGGGTCGAGGATAGCCAGGGCCATGGCCGTTGAGAGCCCCGATGCCGTTGGCCCCCACGGCAAAAGTGCCAGTCGTGGAACCATTGGTATGGTGGGAGGTGCCCGCGGAGGGCTCTGGGTCAAGGTGCATGCTCATGAACTCAAGGTCGAGACCGTTGAGATGGGGGATGTGTGGGACGAGGTCCATGAAGTCAGAGAGCTAAGGGAAAAAATTAGCAAGATGCAGTTAGCATATTGGGAGCCGGCTTCGACTTACTCTGATCCAAAAGACATGTTCCATCTCGAAATACTTGGGTCGCGTCTCGCAATCCAGCTGCATGATCTCTCCAAACGACGCATTGTGGTATCTGGGATCGTCAGTGTAGACTAACATCCTGCGAGTGCATCGCCAGAGGTTCATGCGTTGGGTTGTGGTTGCTTTGCGTTTCTCCCAGCTGGCATCTGTGACAGTAATGTTAACCACTGAGCCAAGGTTGCAAGACGTTTGTTTAGATCAGAGAGAAACTTACATTGAGAGAGTTGTAGGTCATTGGTAGCCAGCAGGGGAGCGACCAAGTAGTTCGGGATCCATTTCTCGTCCGCCACATCACTAGCACAGCCAGGGTCGAGCTGTCGAGTGACAACGGTAACCAGAGGCAAGAAGTTCTTGAGCCACGAGTGACTCCGCGCGCGGGGATCATTGGAACCCACAAAGTTGGCAGAAGCACGCAAGCGACCAGGTAGAGCGTCACGACGGCGTTGCTCTTGAGCCTCTTGGTCACGGCGCATCTTGATCACGCGAGCTCGCTCCTGTTCCAGTCGCTTCTGGCGCTCATCTTCGGCTTGCTTGGCCCGACGTTGCTCCATTTCTTTGCGCTTGCGTTCCTCCTCTTCGGCCTTCTCACGTGCAGCTTGGGCAGCTCTTTCCGCTTCTTCCTTGGCCAGACGAGCACGTTCAGCCTCTTCCTCACGACGCTTCTCCTCGGCAACACGTTCTTCTTCTGCCTTCTTCACTTCAGCTTGCCGGCGCTTCTCGGCCTCAAGCCCAGCTCGCTTATCGTCAGTCGAGACCTCGGGAATAGAGTTGGGAGTAGGTTCGGGGGGCTCAGTCTTCACATCTCCGTTCTTCTTGATTGAATCAGAGTTGGTCGACTTCTGAGAAGATGTGTGTTGAGGATGAGAAGAGGAATCAGGTTTGTGAGATGAGGGCTCGGGTTTCTTTGAGGTCTCAGTTGACTTGCGTGGGGCAGGATCGGTGCTTTGCGAAGTTTCCTCTTTCGGCCGACGATGTTGAGGTTTGTCTCCATTCGTATCTTCTGCTTTCCGGGAAGACCCATTCGGCAGGTTTGATGCCTTCTCTTCCGCCAGCACACGGCGCTTCTTCTTCCGCGCTTCCGGTGACAGTCGATCGCTATCCCCATCCCGCGAGCGAGATCTTTCGGGAGAAGTATCGGTTCGAATACGCTTGAGAGAGGATATGGAATCGGGAGGGTTGTCGCGTGACCTGGGAGCTTCTTCTCGGCCAGACAGGGAATCAGAAGAAATGAGGCTGGGTCGTCGATCACCATCTTGTGGACGACGCCCCGCAATTAGACGTCTCTTTCGAACTTCATCAGTTCGAGCAACCCCGCTAGACTCACTGCCTCTCCGTGCCGAGAGGGCAGCCTTGGGCTTCTTGGACTCTGTTCGACCTGAATCATGATCAGAGCTGGCAAGCGCATGGTCATGCGCATCTCGGGTGTCTCGTGCGTCTCGCGAAGTGGTCTTTGTGCGACCGCTTGCCGTCGCAGCTGCAGCCTTCTTCTCTTCCCGGCGCTTCTCCCTCAGGGCATCATGATCCTTGGGGAACCGTTGGCGGTTGGCGTTGGGGCTGCTGTCGTTGAGCTTCTTCGTGCGAGCCACAGGCGAAGAAGACTCCCGGCGGGCGCTTCGTTTCTCTTCCTTGTCCTTGCCACGGGCACGACGCGGGGACGATAAATCCTTCCGCCCCTTGCCAGAACCCGAGTAGTTCTCGTACGCCTTCTTCAGGATATCATATTCTTCCTCCCAATTCTCGCCTTGGCGGGATCGCGACAGTTCATAGTAGGTTTTGTCTTCGAAAAGTCGACGTGTCGGATCAAAACCGGGCTGACCCAGGATGAGCTGGATGTTATCCATATTGCCCCGACCGATGGCAGCGAGCATGGGAGTGTTGTAGCCCGGCTTATGGCCAGATCCGCGTAATGGGTTTGGATCTGCGTCTGCATCACCGATGGCGTACATGAGAGACAGCACGTCAAAGTGCCCTCCCTTGGCAGCAGCGATCAAGGACGCATTGTCGGCCTTTTGCAGAATATTCAAGATGCTCACCACGCCCTGCTCGTCACCCTTGGCGGCAAACTCGCGCAGGTTCTCGGAGGTCGGTTGAGTCCACAAAAGGTCATTGCGGGTTGCTTCACTTCGGCCGGTCTTGCGACGACCGGTTGTGCTCGCCATAGGTGGTGGACTTCGAGAAGGGCTGGCCACGGATGCCCGGCGGGACCGCGGGGGCTTGTCAGGTCCAACTTGCTGCTCTTCAGATCGTCGTCCAGGGCGCGAATTTGCCTTGGCATCCGCAAGCAGCTTTCGAATCTCATCATATTCATCGTCGGTGAGGTCCGTCGGTACTAACTCATACGGTTCATCTCCAGAGGCATTCACGGTTCGAGGATTGGCACCTGAATCGAGTAACAGTTTCACGACATCTACATTCCCATTCTCCACTGCATCAATCAAAGGTGTGTCCTTGTCAATGTTCTTCGTGTTGATCTCACAGCCCGCATCCAGCAGGAACTTCACAATCTGTTCCTCACCGTTGAGTGACGCGACCTGTAGAGGGGTATTACCAGCGTTATCGGGGACATTCAAATCTTCCGGACGCTCGCCATAGCGCAGAACTACTTGGTCGTATTTCCTGTCTGCGCATGCACGTGCGAGAGGAGTGCGACCGCTCTTGTCGCGCAGTTTCTTCGGGCCCATATGCTTCGCGGCAGGCGATGCAGACGCCCCCACGCCAGAGCCCAGCTTCCGCAGATGAGCACTGGGAAGCGGGGAGCCGCTAGCAGAGGAAGAGGTTGATTGGCGGTCCTCAGAGGTTTGGCGTTGAAATCCGGTCAAAAGAGGGGCTGGTGCCTTTTTCTTGGAGGGCAGATGGGAGCCGGACGAAGACCGTTGGTGGGAAGATCGACCAGGAGACACCGAGCGAGTACTGGCGGATGGGCGGGAAAGGCGGGCGTGATTGAGATGTTTGAGATCGCGAGCAGCATGCGCAGTCGAATCGCGGCGTCGTTCCCTCTTTTCGTCCACACTATCACTAAAACTGCGCTTCCGATAGTTGCGCGGTCTCTCGGGGCCATCATTGCTACTACCTCTCTCCTCCATTACATCCTGCGAAACTGATGGCACATCATCCACTTTCTCGACTTTCACCACCGACGGGGGTGAGCCAGCTCTGTCCAGCGGGCTCCGCGCCCGAGAGACGCGTTGCTCTCCATCACGACGATCGATGCGCGGTTTCTTCCGTTGTTGGATCCCATCCACTCCGTCGACGCCCTGGCGATTGGGATCATGTCTGATATGTTTCCTTTTCTTCTCTGGCGACAGAGATTCTCGACCGGATTGAATGATCGTTTCAGCCTCCGAGTCCGCCTTGGGACTTGGCGGACCCTGCTCGTCATCCTCCTCATCCACCGGATGCGATCCAGCGCTGTCTCTTCGGGGTGAAGCGGGCACAGCAGGGACAGCCGGTTTCGATGTAGCTACCGGTGCAGCTGCAGAGGTGCAGCTGCAGCAGTAGCAGTAGTGGCAGAAACCGGTGTTGCAGCCTTGATCTTGCGATCGGGAGACAAAGGCCGTCCCGATGGGCGCGTGTCTGCATCGCCATCCGTCTTCACCGCCGCGAGAGTGTTGTTTGGACCGACATCTAGGGCAGCGGGGAGGGAGACAGGCTCGACATCACTCATAGCGATAGCACTCGATGAGGGAGGATTCCGCTCGTCATTTTGGGAGGGACGCGACAGGCCTGAACGACCGAGCTTGGGGACGACAACGCCAGCAGTGGGTACGCAGGCGCTGATCACGGCCACAAAGCGAGGATAATCCAACAATCCACGGGGTTCCCGAAGAAGTAAAGGCTGGCGATTCGATAATAAATAGGTCAAGCTACTTCGAGGAAGTGATTATATTGTGTGGGATGGGAGGCGAGTGGAAGGCGACCGGTGGGGAGGTGCTTTCGGTGGTGGTGGTGGTGGCCACAGAGTTGAAACACGGGACGGGAAAGAGAGATTCGGTATATAATTAGAGCGGTCGAGAAATCGAGAGTCGTGGGGTGGGAGGGAAAGGCGGGCGGGGAAGGTGAAGAGAGTTGGAAAAGGGAGGTTGGGGGGTGGTGGGTAAGAAGAGAGGAAAGAGGAGATGAAGCGAGGGAAGAATGGAGAGAGGAAGAAGAGAAGAGGAGCAGAAGAAGTTAGGAAGAGGAGACGGGGGGGCAGATCGAGTGGGCGCGGTGAATCATCGTCCAACTATCTTTCTTTCGGCCATGGGGGCTTGGTTTAGGGGGAGAGAGTTACGCCTGGCACTACGACCATTCTGTAGACTGTAGTCTACTGTCCAGTCCATACTTGGAATGGTAGGAGGAGGGTACAGTCGTAGTAGTCGTATAGAAAATAATAATATGGTTATTAGGTGTCCATAAGTAGGTCTATAGATATCACGAGGCCAGTTTATCCGCACCCATCGACTTTCCTCTTTAAACTTTCATCTCTCTGCTGCTCTCTGCTCTCCTCTTCTCCCCTTTTATCTCTCATTATTTCCTCTGCGACCGTCCATTCCACAAACTCAGCAAACTTGCAGGCTCCACTCGTGTGGCGATCGTCCTCGATGCGGCCACTCAGCGTGCGCCCCCCAAAAACCTGGTCGTATTCGGCTTCTCCCCCAAAACACACTTTGGTCCTCTTGGACGGTCGCACCAGCCCTCGTTGCCCGTTTCCCTGCTAACCCGACTTTGCCTAGCTTGGCCTAGAACCTGCTGGGTCGGATTTCACTAGTGACCCGGACGAGTGAGCTTGCGAAAGCTCCGATAAGAACCTGCCAACCCCGATACAAGATTCCCATCATCCTGACTTCTAGGCGGCCATCCCCGGGCCACCTACCCTACTTGTACTCTATACCTTGCTATATTCCCTGTATACACCAATCCTGATTTCGAAGCTCAACGACGGCCTCGCTATCCACCAAGTAAAGAGGGCCAAAGGTCGCTTCTCGGGGGCGCCCGAGGGATCAGCGGAGACCCCTTCGACTCCACCGCTCAGCTCAGCTCTGGTGGTTTCTTTCTGCCTGGAAAAAGCTGACGAGATTATTCCACTCGTTTCAACTTAGTTGCCCCCCAATCCCACTCCAGGCTGGGGTAGTACCTTCATTTTACATCGGCAAGGAATATTCGAAAAGCAAAATGGACCTCCTCGCGCATGTCGATAGTGCCCTAGAGGCGGCACATATGGATGCCATCGACGCCTTACGCGCCTTTTTCCTCCTCGCTGCCGCCACGGTACGGCCACCGCGCGGCGACCAGCCTCACCAACCACTCCCCACCAGGACAAGCTAACCCAACTCCTTCTTTTGGTTCTTGATTTTATAGAGCGTCTCGGTCAGCATTCCCTCCGCTCTGCACGACCGTTTCCTCCTTTATGGCCCGCGTGCAACCGTGACTGCAACGGGCTCCGAGCCCGTCGCCGGGTCCCGCTCAGCAGCGCAATCCCAGACACAAGCGCGATCATCGGGCTCGAGCTTACTCGATTACCTCGCGACCTGGCAGGTACCGCACAGCTACTTTACCCAGTTTTACGTTGCCTCCGTTGCATCTTCAGTATTCTGGGCGGCGCAGCTGTGCTGGCGTGGGCGTGTGTTCGAGGCGATCGCGTCCCGTGTGAGCGAGGAGCATCTGAAGCAGTCGATGTCGCTTACACAGGTGCTTATCTGCTGGGTGCTTCTCGCTATTCAGGGCTCGCGGAGACTATGGGAGAGCATTGCCTTTGCGAAGCCCTCTTCGTCGAAGATGTGGTTTGCGCACTGGCTGCTAGGGCTGGGGTTCTATCTTGCAGCGGGCGTTGCTATCTGGATTGAGGGATCAGGTATGGAGGCCCATGGATCAAGGCTCTCGTCTCCTTCATCTGAGGACCTCGAACAAGCCACAGAAAGTCAAGTTCTAACCCTCTCACTACAGGCGCAATCCTTACCCGCAGCCTTACCCTCGCCGACTTCCAGTTTACCAACGCGCCCACTATCCGAACCTTCGTCTGTGTCCCGCTATTCCTGATCGCCTCTGGTTTGCAGCATGACTGCCACCACTTCCTCTTCTCCCTGAAGAAATATACACTCCCGGATCACCCAATCTTCCGTGGCATCGTATGCCCGCACTACGGGGCCGAGTGTTTAATCTACCTGTCGCTCACTTACTTGGCCGCACCGCCTGGCCAGGTGGTCAACAAGACCATGCTAAGCAGTCTGGCCTTCGTGGCGGTCAACCTCGGCTTGACGGCACGTAATACCAAAAAGTGGTATATGCAAAAGTTTGGCCGGGAGGCAGTGCAAGATCGGTGGCTCATGATTCCGTATATCTACTAAGCAGTGTACGACTAACATTGAAGGTTGAAATGATGAGATGAATAGAGAGAGTGATATTACATGTATTTGCACAGACTAAAATGCAAAAACGAGAAAAGAAATGCATCACCGACCTCCCAAAAACTTCAACGTATTCCCTACCTTGGCAACCTTCAAAACATCCCGATACGTCAAACTCGTCCTGGTCATCCTCTCATACGATCCTCCCATAAACCCATCCTTCTCCCCCAACAACCCCCAATTACAAACCGTCTCAGCCCCCAAATCCCCATCCACCACTCTCTCCGCAATCCCATGCAAGAAATCCGTATACATCTTGCCCCGAGTAACCAACAAACTCCTCCTCTCCTGTAAGACCCGGAACCGTGGTATCCGTAGATCCTCTTTTCCCTCCTCGCCCTCCTTCTCATAAAGATCCAACACAATAGCCGCCCCCAAGCTCACAGTCGCCACGAGCGGATAATACGCCGGTCCATCTTCGTGCGGCATAATCCCCTGACCGGGGCGGTATTCGTTGATTAAGACATGGTTTGGTGCGGCGTGTGGTGCGTCGGCGAAGATGCCTAGTTGTTTGAAGCGGGGTTCGATAATGGGTGTTATCAGCCAGGACGGAAGTGGGGAGGAGAGGAGGGTGTTTGTTTTTGTTAGAGCGGAGGGCCAGGTTTGGAGGCGCCGGTGTGTTAGATGAGTCCAGCGGGGGAGGGGCGCTGATGATATCTAGAGAGAGAGTTAGTTTGGTGAAGATTATATGTGGTGTATGTCTGTGCTACGAGGCATATATGAATTCCAATTGGGGTATAGGAGACTTGGATAAACCAGAACTAGCAGACACACCTTTTGAAGCAAGACCTGCTCTTCTTCTTCGGAGATAAAATTCGGTATGTAGAATGTATCGTCTGGTAGAGATGTAATGCGCGCAGCCTCCAGGTCCCAGACCATATCGAATGAGGAGCTTTAAAGGTTCTCCTAGACCTGTCAAATGAAGTGTGGATGAATCAAGGAACGACAACCAGTCAATTCCAGAATTATTTCCAGAGAAAAGTAAAGTCAAGCTAAGCTAGATAAATGGATAATCCAATAAAGTCCCCCACGTCACACGCTCTCCCTCCTGCCTCAGGCAGCATGCCCCACATCAACCAGAACCGCACGAGGAAACAATTCATCAGCCCTGCCAGTCCGATCTAAACGCTAAAAACACGGATACTGTACACAGCTACAAGATTCAGCAAGAAGAATCTGGGACTGAACCATCATACCACACTATCTACATCATGGCTCCCAAGAACAACGCCAAGGGCGGCGACAAGAAAGGCGCTGCCGGCAAGGGCAAAGGCAAGGACGCTGGCAACGACGACAAGAGCAAAGTCAAGGGCGCACAGTCGATCAACGTGCGGCACATTCTGGTTAGTTTGATACTTGATTTATCTTTTTATCTCAATATCTCCTGTTTCAAGGCACGAGCGTAGCTTCTACCTACCTGGACCTTGGCGATATCCTCATCCGCAAAAAAAGACTAACAATGACAATGAACGTGTATAGTGTGAGAAGCACGCCAAGAAAGAAGAAGCCCTTGAGAAACTCCGCAATGGAACCAAGTTCGACGAAGTGGCTCGTGAGTTCTCCGAGGATAAGGCGCGGCAGGGTATGTATTCTTCAATCCATGAACCTTGTTCATCTCATCTCTTTGATTCTTTCGGAGATATGCTCGGACTATTACTTGGAAGATAGGCTGCTAATGCCTTGTACAGGAGGTTCCCTCGGTTGGAAGACCAGGGGAGATCTTGATCCAGCCTTTGAGAAGATTGCCTTTGAATTGGAGCCCAGCACTACGGCGAAACCTAAGTATCAAGAGGTGAAGACGGGCTTTGGGTATCATATTATCATGGTGGAGGGACGCAAGTGAACTCACAGTTTGCAAGTGAGATATAGGTTCAGAGATGTCTTTCTATGTAATGTTGATCCATGGATGATACCCTACTCATAGGGTACGAATGATACCAAGTGCTATGACACAATGTTCCGTTGCAGATTCCCTGCCTTCTCAGTCCGACATGCTTATTTCAAGGCATTGATCGCGATATATGATAGATATTTTTATTTCAATTCTAGTATTCCCGGTAGGAAATGTCGGAATTCTATCACAAACAAGAACATAATCCGCAGAGCAATCCATCTACTGCCCCTTCTTCGCAGCCTCCAATTTCGCCCTCTCCTTCGCCTTCTTCTCCTGTCTCTGTACAACCGCCTCAGCACCGATTCCACCAAACACCAGAACAATACCCAACCACTGCCCCGGCTTCAGCGAGTGTCCAAACCAAAACACGCTAAGCAGCATCGTGAGCATCTTGCGGGTAACGGTAACCGTCACAAGAAGCAGCGACGAAAAGCGCGAAAGCGTATAGAAAATAAACAACTGGCCAACCGCACCACAAGCCGCAAAGCCCAGTACATGTTTCAATGCCTCCGGGTGCCGCGACAGGAACGAAATAGCAGAATACAGCTCCGTCTCCGTGGAAGGGGGAATCGGGAAGGGAAGGAAATTGTGCAAGATCCCGCTCTGCGAGATGTGTGGCATGATAAGCAGATACGCAGCGGTTAACGCGGTTGATAGAACGTTCTGCGCAACCATCATCTGAGGACCGGTGAACTTTGTATAGAGCTTGGGCGAGGTGAAGACGTGGTCTTGCGTGGTATTCGTCAAGCCATCCAGAAGCAGGTTGATCGAGAGGAGGAAGATACCCCACATCGAGGAACCGGATTGCTTAGCCGCCGATGCAGCGACCTTCTTGCTCGTGCCGGGGTGATGCAGGGTGAAGGTTGCTACTCCCAGAGTGACGAGCAGGACGACGCCGTACTTGTACAGTGGGTAGCGCTTGCGGAAGATGGTCAGATGGAGGGCCATGACGGGGAGGAGTTTGCATGATTTCGCAAGGATGAAGGTGAGGTAGTCGATGTGCGCGAGACTGGCGTAGCCGAAGGGTGAGGCTAGCGAGGAGGAGATGCTGACGAGGAGGAGGGGGAAGATGATACGGCGTGTGGGGAAGATAGAGGGGACGCTTTGGCCCTTTGGCGTGGAGAAGAAGAGGTATAGGAAGCCGGTAATTGCGGCGAAGGTGGACTGAATCGTGTTGAGAACGAGCGAGTACGTGAAGCGCTCCGTTGGCGGATCTGGTTCGGCGGCGGATGGGGCGCGCAGGGGGTAGGTTGTGGTGGTGATGGCTTCTTGGAGGACACCCCATGAAAGGCTTTATGGTTTGTTAGTTTCGTGCGCACGAGGATCTCCATGATTCCATGCACGAGGGTTCGACTCACAAAGCGGCGTATATACCGAGGACGCAGATGAGCAGCTGCATCAAACCAGGGCTATCGGCGACTGGCTCCGGCGCGACGGCCTCTGGAACAGAAGCTTTGCCGTTAGTGCCTGCATGCTCAATCACATCTCCATTCGCATGTTTCTGCACTGCTTCAGACTCGTCGGGCAAGGTATGCATCAACTGGGACGAGGGATTGCGCTGGAGCGGCGTGGTTTGCTTTTGCCGGCCCATTGCGACGACTATGAGACTCGGACTCGAACTCGGAGACTAAACGGAAACAAGAATGAAAGACGTGCTGGGTGTAGAAAAGAACGGTAACACCGGGCTCGGAAAGTAGGAACAAGTCAGATTCCCCCTTGGACCCTGGCGCAAATATAAGAAAATCCCCAAAAAAGATGATGCCATGTGTTCTTAGCTCGGGCTTATCGATAGTCGGAGATCGCCCCACACGAGCCCTGAAGAGTCGAGAATGGTTGGCCTATCAGAATCGTTGAACGGTTTCACATACATACAGGAGGATTTTATCTCGCTCTCCTTGCGTGCATGTTACCGGGGTTGCTTCTGGAAATAAGCTCTCAGGATCTATGTTTACCATGTAAAATGATCTGCAAGTATAACTCTAATAGAAGAATGGGACGCATTGAGAATAGGGTTTGGTCCCATGTACGCCCTCTTATTCGCATTTGTCTATCCGAATACCGTCGAATACCGTCATTCTCGATCTTTTATCTTAGTCTGGAGATGTTTCGAATTTCTTTCCACTCTAGTTTGAAGTATATTTAGCGAAAATTACAGTATGAACTTCGAGAACGACAATTAGAGACTAGAAACTGAAGATTCGAGCTTGGAAAGCGGTCAGGGCTCATTCACTAGGCGGTGAGTCACTTCCACCCAATTTATCCGCCAATTTGGTAGAAAAAGTGTCCATAATGCGACTCAGCATCCAGACATAACACACAAAGCCATAACCAGCCCAAATCTCAAAATGACTACTCAACAAACACAACTCCCTTCCCTGGAGCCATCAGCACTGACAAAACTCATCGAGTCAGCTTCTGCCTCCGGCAATCCCCTCGCTGCAACCACCATTCAAATCCTCCACAATCTCCAGCACCAACATCTCTGGACCTCTCTTGAAATCCACGACATTTCCACGGACTCAATTGCATCTGATGCCCCGCCAACTCTCATCTCAGGTATCCCACCGCACCGCATATACACGCACCCAGACGAGCAGCTATATATGTTGGAAAAGGGCATTGCGGAGGATGATCTTCGACCGGAAAGACTATTCGTGATTCCTACGGCTCAAGGACAAACTTGGAGTTTACGCCGTATGGCTGCAGCCTTTGATTCCTTGGCTGCCATTGAAGAATCTTCAGTGAGCGAGGAAGCAATGTCGACCAGCGAGTCTGTGGATTCTGAAAAGGCAAAGAAGCTTGACGAATACTACGAGAAGAAGGAAATGGCCAAGGAAACCAAAGAATGGGGCACTAGGCGAGCTCTACTCGCGATGACCAATAGGGGTATGGGCGGAGAGGGTACAGTCGTCTACTACGTTGTTCAGGAAGGCGAGGTCAAGCCGCGACAGAACTGAGCCCATCTCGAACTGCGGATGTCTCGCGATCTACGTTATTCAGCATGGAGTGCACATTCAACTCGGGAGCAAAATTATATTCATATTGCTCGAAATTATCTGCGAAGAAGCGAAGTGGGGATCGGCATCAATATTTACGCCAAGATTATTCACGAAACATACAATCATTGGGCTGCCACCGGGTATAGTGTTATGTTGCAATGCAAATGCAAAGAGCAGAAGAGTGCAGGAAATCCACGCCACGGGAATTGTACAGCAAGGGAAGACGCTTCAAGAAGGGATTTCAAGGTGGAGGGGGATTTTCGATGAGACCGCTCAACTCAAAGCAAAAGGTTCTCCCGGTCATTCTTCTGAACCTGCTCCTGCTCTTGGCGACAGCTGGTGCAGTACCGCTCATACCACTCCTTGATGTTGCCTGTGTTTTCGGCGAAGATGCGCTCCGCCTGGGCAACCTGTGCGGCGGTGTCGCCTTCGCCGTCGCTGCCTCCTCCAAGAAGGATCTCAACTTGGCGACAGCGACGCAGTTCCTCACGGAGCCACCGCTCCCATTCGTTTTGAATGACTTCCTTTTCAATACTGTTCACCACACGTAGGGCAACCAAGAGGTTATGCCTGTACATCCCTAGGCGTTCTCGGGTTTGCAAGAACCGCTTGGTTGCGCTTTTGGCGACTGCATCGCGCGGGTTTGACGTGCTCAGGGAAAGAGGAAGCTCCGCGTATCGCATGCTATGCTCGTTGAATGCGCCAAAGCATGTACTGGTGCTTCCGTTGTGAGGCCAGATAGTTGAGTTAGCGACTGCTTCGTCGATATCTCGAAGGTAGATGGCCTTGCTCATGACCATATTTGGTTGAACACCGAGCCTGGACATGAAATTGCTAGCGTGTCGCTCGTGCCACCAGTCCCAGCTATCTCTCGAGGTATAGAAGCCGTTCATGAGAGCGCTCGTTACCAACAAGATCAAGATGACCTTGTGTGCACTCAGAGTCTTCAAAGTCCAGCCAACGAGACCGAATGAGGATTGCATCAAGAATGATAATGCGCTTTCCAAGAATGATAGCACTGTCTCCATAACGAGGTGTGGCATGGTACGCTGGGTACGCTTGCGCGTTTCCAGCTTCAAATTTCCACCAGCGCCTGTGAATTGAGACACATTACTCTGGCGGCCGACATGGCCAAAGATGGTGATGGCTTTCTTGGTACGACTGTGTGCACCTAAGCGACGCACTTGGTCACTGACCAAATCCACGAGATCCAAAGCATCCTGTTCCAAGTCGGCACCCGCTCTCTTGTCAATCATATCTAGCGCCATAGTTAGAATCAAAGCTTTGTCGATCTACCAGTCCACTTTCAACTTACTTTTCAGGCCGTAGGGTGACTTCAGCCACTCAACCTTGGTGTAGATGGCAAACTTGCTCTTGGATTTGGCCACGAACGTGATCACAACCTTGCTCACAAGACGGAATGAGCGACGGAGGGGGAGATGCCACGGGGTCCGTTTATCAGTAATCACGTAACAGAGGTGATCATTAAGTACATCGATGATCTGATAATCCGAGATGGCATTGTTATGAGACCGTCCTAATCGTTGGTTAGTTTAAGACTCGTACGTAAAGTTCACTTCTGGGAGATTCTCACCAAAGATATCTGTCGTCTCAATCTGATAATGGAAGTCTCTTCGGAGATGCCGTGCCTCCGTACTGGCCCATGGCCCTTGTTTGATCTCTTCACGACATATTAGTACACTAAAATTCACATCTCTTTCAGCTTCGTCCAGATGATTTACATACCTCGAGCTTCGCGTTCATGGAGCAAAAGCTGCCATACTGCGCTCTTATCGCCGAAGAGAATGTGGAACAGTGCTTTCGGGCTAACGTCGAGTACCTTCTCCGCCGCCAGAACAAGATCACCCTGCGGAACGTACTCCACAGGTTGGGTGGGCAGTCTGAATCTCTGATGATCTTTACCACGGCCACCCTTACCCCCATCGATGTCCAGATCTTTGTCGATGTAGATAGGGAGGTGTATATCGTGGCCATTCTTGGTGTCATGTCCAGATGGGGCGTCGTCCCAACTGTCTGCACTAGAGGGTCGATTTGGAGAGCCAGTATCCATCTTGATAAGCTCCCTGAGGATCCCCTCGAGGTTCATCGGCTGGACGGCAATGGATGACTGGATCAAGAAGTTAAGACGCTTCTGGAGCAGTCGAAGAGGCTCGAGGAAGGTCTTGATGGTGATTCGACCAGGAGTATCACTGCCAATAGGAGGGATCGTGTGTAGGAAGAGGAAATCACAGTCACGCCCAGAAGCAGCAGTCACCTCCTTGATGTTGTCCAAAGCGGCGCTGGTAGTCAGGACCAAACCAAAGTGGTGGCTGTAGAAGTAGATGCTGCGAGTTGTCACGTAAGCTCTGCCAGGGAATTCTTGCTGCTCATTCGGGCTCCAGGTTGCCCTGAAGACCAAGACCAACGGTTCCTCCTTCTTGACATCAGGGAAGAGCAAACGGAATTGAGCATCCTGGATCTTCAACTGCTGTGGATAGATGCTAGGATACTCGGTTTCTGCAACGATTGCTCGCGCAGCTCGTTGAATCTTTGACGCATCCTCTCCGTCAAGGCTGACGGTTTGTCGGTGACGCGGCCCAGATGGCTGCCAGGGTTTTGCGGATACACTTTGGATGTCCGTTTGAGCAGCAACATTCTGCTTATCAGAATCACTCATCACAGACGCCGGGCGTCCGTCGGCTGTGGTCTCCGGATGGTCACCATTCGTGTAGGGTTGCTCCCGCTGGAACTTATTGATAAAGCCCCAATTGGAGCTACCCCATAGGTTAGCCATCATACCGCTAGGCATTCCGCCAGTACTATCAACAAGTCCCAGACCAATTCCTCGTTCGCTACTCACTACCACTGCAGCTTTACTCATGCTTGTAGGCGCCGGTGGGTTGGCAAGAGTCGCAGGGGCGAGGCTCACTCCAGGCTCATCCAAGCTACTCGAGCTGCGACCTCGGTTCCCTTCAGCATTGGCGGCAGCAGCACCTCCATAAGGAAGAATGTTATGGCTAGCGGATATCAGACTAGCAATACCACTCGCAGGGCCGGGAATCGACGGAGACACCGGTGCAGCGTTGTTCGACTTGCGGTGGAGATCCAATTTTTGAATAATCCTAGACGTGTGATCCCTAGTGTGTTCACGAGCAGAAGATTCGGCATCCAAGCCTGTCAGTCTTCGACCGCTCACGTCGGTACTGTTTCGCATGACAAGTCCATCGCGGTCTGGGACTGGAAGTGTCGAGCTCCGTTCAGAATGAGACTGCTCGTCACTCAAGTGGGGAGTGAGGGACTCGCTTGGATCGGCAGTGAATTCCGGTGCGGGGGGCTGCGATATCGAGAAAGCTGGATCCTGAACGGTGACTTTCCCTGAAATTGACAAGTCGGTGCTCGTGGGATTTTCCAATGCTTTTTGCTTCGCAGCTTCGAATGCGCCGATCCACTCCATCAACTCCTTTTGTGTCTCGGCTTGAAGAATAATACTATTGTTCTTTGTCTTCACTTGGAAACAAAACCGTCGCTCCTCTTGGAACGCTGGGCGAATGCTGCACAGGAGCACACCAATTCGCTCGCTTTCTTCAACACCACCGGTACGTGAACCCTGTACAAGACATCCAAAGATACCATGCTTGAGGAAAGCCCAACGCCTCACCCAGACCGTGCGGCTGGGTCTACCGGACAATGTTCGCAGGTTGAGCCACCCTTGCTTCTCTGGCCTAATATCCTTGCCCATGTTCAGCGTTGATAGAGGTCGAGAGCCGAGGTATGGAACCGTGGAGATTGAATAGTCCTCGAGCTCACGAGGCGGACGGGCCACCACTTCTGCTGCCTCCTCGATTTGTTTCCTCGTAGCTAGAAGCTCACGCTTGGCAGATCGGTCACTCGCTTCCATCTCGTGAACCCATCCTTTGATCCGATCCATCTCGCCCGACCACTTTGAGAACGTCGAGCTATTGTTGTTATGGAACAACCGGAACTCTCGCCATTGATCAAACGAGACTCGAACTAAGAGTCGATCAAGCGCATTGCGAACCTGAGGAGCCTGCACGGAAAAATCCAAGGACGCTCTCAGGTATGCTTTGCGAGCCTCGTGGAGCTGGAACGCTTCCTCCCTCAGAGCGGAGGTTTCTTTAGACTTTGACTGAGATGCATATCGGGCTTGTAGATAATCGTACTGCTTCTGGGCGTGCTCGAGAGCGCGGCGGTTTTCCTACATCGACGTTAGCCCATCATGTCACACATAGTACATCCGTAAACAAGCAAAAGGGGCCAGTATTTTACCTTAAAATGCCGCAAATCTTCATGGATAAACACACGAATGGGCTCGGCAATCAGCGACTCCATCTTCTTGGTCGCCATCACCAGTCCATTCCAGAGATCCTTTGATCCTTCTCCGCTCCTCCTCATTGCCAACAGCGTATAATCATGATCGACGACGGCCTCGGAAACTACCAAAGGGTTGGAGTAGGAGAGGAAGCTATTAACAACACTCTCCATGGCCACCACCTCGGAGGCGAGCTTCGCCGCAGCTTTGGCATACCCATCGAGCCATCTCTCAATGAATTCGATCTGGTCGCAGAAGTGGAGGGTAGTCGCGCGGAAGGTCGGGGAGTCGAGTGCAGCCTCTTTGAGACCAACGGGACTAATAGAGTGAAATATCATTAGCATTGGGATTCAAGCAAGCACATGTCCAGACTTACACCACGCTCACGAGCTTCCCAACCTGGGGTAACGGGGTGTGCGATTGAGTCGACATCTAGTGCATGCCTCCAGCCACACACTTGACGCGAACAAAATGGAAGCACAACGGTGCGATGCGTCGATAGTATCCTTCCCAATATCCGACAAACAAGACCAGAGAATGAAGAAGGTGGTAAAAGGAGCCTGGAGAGAGCTGCCCACGTGCTGGTAAGCGGAGTGAACCTGTCGGCCTTGCCTTACGATGATCTAATTGGCTACGTCAGTGAGACCGAAGATGGCTGTAAATTGGCCTTGGGATTCAGGCGATCACTCTAGGCGGTTTCCTAGGCAGACGGGCGGTGTGAGAATTTTTTTCTTTCTGCCGGCCCGCGGGTTTCTCTCCGGTACAGAGGTGCAAGCTCGTTCAGCAAATTTGTGAAAACAGCAATGGAGCCTCCTTCGAAGAAGATGCGAACCCTTTGGGACGACGACAACTCCAGCGACTCGGGTGATGATGCTGGTGGTGTCTCCCTCACCAAGGCCCCCGAGGCAGGCTTCAAGATCAACGAAGACTATGCCCGCCGCTTTGAGCACAATAAGAAGAGAGAAGAGGTGCAAAAGTGTATGGTTCAAATGTTAAATTTCATCATCTAAGATTAGCGGTCGCTAACATTTTTCTGTTTCCCAGTGGAGTCCAAATATGGCAAATCCTCCAGTCTAGGAAAGCACCGAGCTGATGAACCCTCCGACGAGGAGTCTTCTGACGATGAGGAAGAAGACGACGATGGCGAGCTGGCTACCGAAGCAGTTGATGCTGAGATCATTGCTACCCTAAAGGCTATTCGTGAGAAGGATCCCCGCGTGTACGATGCGAACGCCACTTTCTACACCGAGGTGGATGAAGACGCCGAGGCGCCGAAGGTAAAGAAGGAGAAACCCATGACGCTGCACGACTACCATCGCGAGAACCTTTTGAAGGGAGTTGATGCCGCCGAAGAGGAAGAGAAGACAACCATCAAGACCTTTGCTCAGGAGCAAGCCGAGTTGAAGGATGCGCTGGTCAAGGAGATGCACGCAACCGACTCGGACGAGGAAATGGAGGATGCGGAGGACAACTTCCTGGTTCGCAAGGCCGGTGGAGCCGATGTTATTCCCGAGAAGGAGATCGAGCTGGATGTTGAGAATGCAGACAAGGACCCCGAAACGTTCTTGTCCAACTTCCTTTCCGCTCGCGCTTGGATCCCGGCAGGTGGTCAACGAGAGCTCCACCCCTTCGACTCAGACGACGATGAGGAATTGGACCGGGCCGACGCTTTCGAGGAGGCCTACAACTTCCGCTTCGAGGATCCCAGCAAGCTCAACGAAAAGATCATGACGCACGCTCGTGACACTACCAACAGCCTTTCAGTCCGTCGTGAGGATAAGAGCGCGCGCAAGAAGCTCCGTGACGCCGAGCGTCAGCGCAAGGAGGAAGAGAAGAAGGAGCGTGAGACCGAGAAGAACCGTCTTCGCAAGCTCAAGACCGAGGAGCTTCAGAAGAAGGTCTCGCAGATCAAGGAGGTGGCCGGTCTACGTGCTGCTGAGTTCACGGATGAGGATTGGGCCCGCTTCCTTGATGACGCTTGGGATGACAAGGAGTGGGAGAAGGAGATGCAGAGACGCTTCGGCGAGGGTTACTACGAGGAGCCCGAGACGGAGGGCAAGAAGCACCCCAAGAAGCCCACATGGGACGACGACATTGATATTAAGGATCTGATCCCTGACTACGATGACGAAGAGGACGTCAAGCCCTCTCTGGAGTCTGGTGATGAGGGAGAAGACGACGATGAGGAAGAGGAGGAGGGTGCATCTGCGTCAAAGAAGAAGAGCAAGGCCGAGCTGAGACGCGAACAAAAGCGCGATGCCCGCAAGGAGCGTCTCCGTATCGAAGAGGCAGTTGACCGCAGCCTGGATCTCGATATCACCTTGCTCCCCGGTGCTACCAAGAAGAACGCTACCCGTTTCCGCTACCGCGAGACTTCCCCCAGAGCTTCGGTCTGACCGCCCGCGATATCTTGATGGCCGACGACACCCAACTCAACCAATTCGCCGGTCTGAAGAAGCTTGCCTCCTTCCGCGATGCCGAGAAGAAGGCCAAGGATGAGCGGAAGCTGGGCAAGAAGGCTCGTCTGCGCCAGTGGCGGAAGGACACTTTCGGCAATGAGGAGGGCCCTGCGTTCGAGTTTGGCAGTGGCAAGCGCAAGGTTGATGCCGATAATGAGCAAGAGGGTGATGAGACTAAGCTTGATATTCGCGAGGGTGATGGCAGTGGGAGGAAGAAGCGGAAGCGATCCAAGAAGCACTGAGCGCAGGCGCTGAACAAAAAAGCCTTTCTTTGTCCATAGCTTGTTGAACCCACTATCTGGAGCATGGAGTTTATCCTTTTTACTGAAATTAATGACTATCCATTATGAGCTTTGCTTTTTTCCTAGAAAATAAAATCTTATCTGGTTTTTTGAGTATTAGGTACCACTTAGTAGAGCCTCCAGGTGGTGTATTGTTGCGAGTTCATGTTTAGGTGTTTAGGTGATCTATCATCTGGTGGATGTATATATTTGCAATCCGACACCTATCCAAGTGCGCCTTATCTAACAAATGCCACCTGCAACTTTATTCCCAGGGTGTTGGTAGTGATATCTCTAGCTAAGGTGATTTTTAATTTATCTCTATGCAGAAGTCACCATGAGTCCGAATTCAAAGCAGCCGAGGAAGATAATTTGGTTGCTACTGCTAGGATATCTCTGCTGGACCCAAACATGAACAAACCGCAGTCGGCCATATTTGAGACTCGCCTACTAACTGTAGCAAGTGGGATGACGACGAGAATCAGGGTTTCAAGAAATCCTTTTCTCATCATTTAACTTGTATATTCTAATTGTAGAGGATATGTTAGCCTACCACGAAGTTCTCGATGGTTGTTCCACAGGGCCGAGGAAGCCAGTAGGAAAGTGGATCGGGAGGTATTATTGGCGTGTACCTGAGATTTTGTCCAGGTACTTTTCACATGCGGCTCCTCTCCACTATAAAGTTTGTACCGCTACATAAATAGCAGCGAGTGAAAATGTCTCATACTATATCAGACACTTCCAGTGAGGGCCTCGATCTAGGCATGCTGCCCAGAAAGGCAGACTGTCGCCTGTGGACAGGTCCAAGGAACTTTTAGTCGACTATTCCTAGCTAGTTGTGCATGAACATGCATGGATATGTACAGCGTACATATACATATCAAGGGAAAGAAACAAAAACCTTGCGGCTGGCGCAGAAATTCTTCGATCAGAGTTTAATCTACCCGTCTCTGGTCGGACCCAGCTTTGAATTCATCGGAGACCAGCTAATCACCAAGAAGATATTCCTAATAGAAAAAAAAGGTAACGTTTTCAAGAGGCAAATGGATCCTATACATAAAAAATCCAGGCTCAAATTATCGGGGAAGGGGTGGCAAGCCCCAGTTGTAGCCGGGCTCCCTTCGGATACTCGGGCCCATGAAAAAGGAGGTTGCCCCGGTGTGGATGTGGAGGCTGGGCCGGCATTGGACGGGGAAAGATACGCCGTACCGTTACCGTGAGGACGCATGGACGTCGCCGTTGCTCCGGACTACAGATGAGCTGGCAGAGAGACCTGAGATGGGCATGTGAGAACATGGGAGACTCGGGCAATTCGGGGGTGTTTTCAAGGGCGATGGAAAAATAGGATGGTCTAGTATGATGCTATAGTAGTGATAAACAGTCTTCAATGTAATATACCAACTCTTTTGGATCACCAAAAAATGGCCACTTCCAAGAAAGAAAAAAAAATCTCTGCGATCGGGAGATATCGGCAAGACCCCGAGTCGATACGGCAGAATACCAGGCGATACCGCATGATTTCAGGCCGTACGGGCCCCTGGCCTTCCTGATTGGGCGCTAGTGGCCAGCATTCGCTTCCATCCACGTACAGGTATTTTTCTCCCCCTTCCGCCCCCTTCTCTCTCTTCTTCTTTTTCTTCCCTCTCATCCCCGGTGTCCTTTCTTCTTGACACTCCTCCCTCTCCTCTCTTTTTTTGTTGCTATCTTTTTTTGCAACTCCTTCAAAATGTCTTCCCAGCAGGACAAGTCCTTCATGGGCATGCCCGTAAGTCTTTCCCTGATTGCATCCTGCCTCCCCTGGTTGAGCTGGCGTCGACTCTCAATTTGCAACGAATATCATCGCGATGCCATCGAAATCAACCTCAATGCATCGCAGTGATTGCAAGTTTGGAGTGGATAACCAGCCAGCCAGCGTGGCTAGCAAGCGCAGACCGTGTCAACACAGGATTACGCTAACAAAAATTTTCACAGGGCTTCGTTGTCGACTTCCTGAGTACGTTTTTGATAACCATTGAAAAGCCATCCAGCCTGACCGCTGGATTCGCTTTCCATCAACAAGATCAATAATACTAACTGATTTCACAGTGGGTGGTGTTTCCGCCGCTGTCTCTAAGACTGCTGCCGCCCCCATCGAGCGTGTCAAGCTCCTGATCCAGAACCAGGTTAGTCAACAATTCGACATGCAGTCTTCCAACCGAACATGAGCCAGAACGAGCCGCGGAGAATCATATTCCATCATTGGTTGTTGCAATTGGCTTGTCTGATTTGACGATGCCGATGCTTCGACCAGAGGAAAATTTTTTTCCCTCCTCGCGCGTGGTCCGTGTGACGGTCGGACCCTGACTTGTTATGAAAAAAAAACAATCCTTCAACTCAATTGATCAATGGCTAACCATGTTTTTCCTCACAACAGGATGAGATGCTCAAGCAGGGTCGTCTTGACCGCAAGTACAACGGTATCGTTGACTGCTTCAAGCGCACCGCCGCTCAGGAGGGTGTCGTCTCTCTCTGGCGTGGTAACACCGCCAACGTCATTCGTTACTTCCCCACCCAGGCTCTTAACTTTGCCTTCCGTGACACCTACAAGTCCATGTTCGCCTACAAGAAGGACCGTGATGGATACGCCAAGTGGATGATGGGTAACCTTGCCTCCGGTGGTGCTGCCGGTGCCACTTCCCTCCTCTTCGTCTACTCCCTGGACTACGCCCGTACCCGTCTGGCCAACGACGCCAAGTCTGCCAAGGGTGGCGGTGACCGTCAGTTCAACGGTCTCGTTGACGTCTACCGCAAGACCCTCGCCTCCGACGGTATTGCCGGTCTCTACCGTGGTTTCGGTCCCTCCGTTCTCGGAATTGTCGTCTACCGTGGTCTGTACTTCGGCATGTACGACTCCATCAAGCCCGTTCTCCTGGTTGGTCCTCTTGAGGGCTCTTTCCTCGCTTCCTTCCTGCTCGGCTGGACTGTTACCACTGCTGCTGGTGTTGCTTCCTACCCTCTGGACACTGTCCGTCGTCGCATGATGATGACCTCTGGTGAGGCCGTCAAGTACAAGTCCTCCATGGATGCTGCCCGCCAGATCGTCGCCCAGGAGGGTGTCAAGTCCCTCTTCAAGGGTGCCGGTGCTAACATCCTCCGTGGTGTTGCCGGTGCTGGTGTCCTGTCCATCTACGATCAGGTCCAGCTCATCCTCTTCGGCAAGAAGTTCAAATAGATGATTCGCTCCTAGCGCATCGTTTAATTTGATTTTCTGTTTTTTTCCTGTAGTTATACTGGAGTCGGGGACGCGAAACACAACCCCCTGGTCTGGTCTCTTAACTCCGGGACACGGGAAAGTTGAGGTTGTGGCATTGCAAAAGATAGATGCGACAAGAAATGGGTTCGGGGGGATCTTGAAGCATAGAATGGTGTGATTCTTCCCTTTTTTACCCAAATGTACTTTACTGCCTGCAAACTCTTTTTTCTTTTCTTTCAAAATCTGTACTCTTGGCGAGCCAATCTCTTTTGTAACAGTTCTTCAACGTAGTCTGTAGCTTGTGGTTTCACATGGTCTTGCTCTCTTTAGCAGTCTCGCTGTGGTTGACTAGGTATGTCCCCTATATGGCGTACCTCAGCGAGGACATTTGTTGCAGAGAATTCTAGGGATTTTACTGCATCTCGGTGTCCTTGCCCCAGTTCAACTCCTTCGAACCTGTCATTTTTGACCTTGTGGCTACGTGTCGTGTATATCTGGCCGCTTCCGTCCGAATCGCCAAACCAGAAAACCATTCCTCTCGACCAATATCGATTCTAATACTTGATACAAGCCAAACGACACCCCCCGAAGACGATGTCTCTCTAAAAAAGATCACTGAAGCTCTCCGCAACGAACCCACACCACCAAAGCGGCAAGCCGCCCCACTGCGGAAAGCGCATGACGTCTGGGCTTGGAAGCTCTCCTTGAAGCTCCATCTTCTTTACTTTAAGACAAACCACCCTCCTCTACTCTCTCACACCACGCCATTTTTCACACAATATCCTTCATCATGTCGACCCCAGGAAGCATAAAGACCTACACCTCTGCACCTCTCAATTCCAACAAGACAGAAGAGGAGACAACGGCAGCCAAAGTACAGCCGCAACCCGCCACCGCAATCGAGGCCGAAACAACGACTGCGACGCAACCCCAAACCACGTCGGCTACTGCTACCGCGCCAGCGTACTCACCGATATACGCATCTGCACAGCCAGAGAGTCTCCCAGCTCAACCCGGCGCCGCACCAAGTCTACCTGCCCCAACAGCAGCCGCGACGCAACCAACAGGCAACCTTATGCCAACGCCAACCTCTACCTACCCAAGCGAAACGTCTACACAATCCCCACCACCTCCACAACCAGGTGCCGTACCACAAGTCCCAACTCCAACCGCACAATCTACAGTCCCGCCACCTCCCAAGGCAGGACAAGCCATCTCTCCCTCCCTGCCTTCTACAGCACAAGCTACCACCGCACCGCAACCCTCGACCCAATTCACCTCTTCCTACGCCTACCACCGCTCACCACACCATACCTCTGAAATCCCAAACTCGACCTCCACCCCTTACTCTTCCGTGTACCAGGCCCCGACTGGTGCGGGTCCCTCTGGATCTACAGGATTGCCGCTGCATTATAGCAGTGGTGGAGGTGGAGGGGCGAGTAGTATTTCCCCCGAGGATGATGAGCCTTCGTTCTTTAGTACTGCGAAGGGGTGGATGCAGACTGCGGGATCGAAGTTGGCAGAGGTTGAGGCGGAGGTTTGGAAGAGGATTAATAATGCGCATGATGATAAATGAGGGAGTGGGATATGGGATGTGAGATGGCTATTGATGGGTTGTCTTTTTTGGGTTGCGAAGTGGTGCTGGATGATTAAAACTCTCTTTTCTGGGGTTGATTTCGGTGGTTTCATTGTTCGGTTGGATATTCCTCGGGGCTATGGGCTAGGTCTGGCTGGACTTGTATTTACTGGACTCAACATGGTGTTCGGGTATTGATCAGGGATTTGAATATTACCATTAGACTGTCATAGTTCGAGCCTACTAGCCCAGCTGTGTGGATATACTGCCTAATATTTTCATTTCGTAGATCACACTGGACAAGTATAACCATCCTCATCCTCGCTATTCCTAGCGAGGATCTCCTGGAAAAAGTTGTCCTTGGCTGCCAACCAGGAGGCCTATCCGGAATCTGAGGGGACTAAACGGTGACGAATCTACGCCTCGTCTATGGATCAACTCCAATTTGCATGCTCTGATCACCCAAGTGGCAACGAGGCAGTAGAGACGCTCCTCCGAATTCCCATACCGCAACCAACCCATCCTTAAACCATGAGCTAATACTCCCACGTCCTAAATGTGCCACACCTTGTAACCGGAAGCCCCATCATATCTCGGCTACCAGATCTCTGCCACCCTTGGACGGTATCGGTGGAAGTTCCTATCACATTAGCCCTGTAAGGTCCAAAGGCGCGACTGTTCACCTTCCCCAACTTGTCCCTATCCGTGAACGAACGTTGTAGCATAAAGAGGCACATGATACCCTCAACGGCTGTCATGACGGACCATTCCGGGGACATGGATTCAATATCACTTGTTCCATTGGTTGTAGTTCTCCCTGCTCGAATGACAGAACTTTTCCAGGGATTATAGACCCCCGGGATGAGATTCGCACTTTCCAGAAGTCATGTGGCGTTCACAGTGAGCGCAGAACAAACCGACGGTGAACCCATGATCTGGAACTTCGTGTGTTGGAGGCTTTCTCTCACGACAGGTTCAGGTGGGTTGACGAGGTCTTGGACATGTGGTTCTCTTGATTGATCAAAGCAATAAAACAGTTTCGAGTCTCTCTTCTTGTTCATGGAGAAGCCCCTTTGAAAACAATGTCCAGGATCGCTTTTTTTCTTGCTGTGGAAGCCATATTGCAAAGCGGTTAGTAATTTCGAGCGGTGATTGAAAGCCGAGCAGAGATCTTGGAAGCAGCCATTCCATTCTTTGTAGCTCCGGTAGGGTAACTTGGCTCATCGTCTGCAGAAAAAGCGGTAGGTACTTCTTGATGGAGAACTTGGGGGAATTTGATCAACTTCACGAAGTCGTACGCGGTGAGTTGGAAGAGGCAGAAGACAGAGATTTGGTATATGTTCGATTTTGTGTGTGGATGGGTGTCAGGTCTGTCACTATTCGTGTCTCCCTCCTTCAGTGTTGGGTCTTTGGTTTGTTTTGACCTGGGAAAAGGAAGGTTGAGATTTGGCGAAAAAGTTGCTATGTAGCAAGATAGGGTTGTTTTTGTTCATCGGGGAAGATGGTAGAAGTTCGGAAAGCAGTTACCAGATGAACGGGAAACAGTCATGACTGAGATCTGACTATCTTCGAGATCGCTGTGTGTACATGTACACGGTTAATACCTGATATGACATCGCATCGAAGTTCAAAGGGGGAAATACATACCGCGAACAAGATGTCAAAATCACGTTTCTCTCGAGTAGATCAGCGATACAGTGTAGATGAGCTAGATTATATTCAACTCTCCCTGTTCCTCTATCCAGATAATGGCAGAAAGTCGAATGATTAAAGTCCTTGACTCGAACTCTTGTGACACCAAAGCCGCCACGAGCACGACAGGAGAGTCAGTACAGCTGATGGTCATCTGTCAGCCCTACCGAATCCAAGTCTAGCGGCCCCCCTTCGCACGCGTGTCCACATACAGCGCCCATAGTGACATGATCCGCTCAGAGGGCGGGATTCGAACATGTAGTTTGCCAGGACGGGGATTATATCCTAAAGAAGGACTAGCAAAGCCGTTTCGTTGATTCAGTCTTGAATATCTTTGAGACCTCCCCATCCACCGGCGACTCGTTGACATAGTAGAGGCGAGAGCCATGAAGACGGTGTGATTTTAGAAGGTCACGGAAAAAGATTACCGTTATTAAGGAAGACGGCAAATGAATCGGGGCCGAATGGAGGCCCCATATTGGTCGTTTTCGGCCTGAGACGCACCAGCAACGGGGACTTGGGCGTGGTTGAAGGAAGACGTTTCGACTGTCAATTCATCTGGGAAGGCTCCTATATGGCCAAGGAGGATTGCTAAGTATCTATTTGGGCAAGTCGCATCAGTTATCTTGCTTCCAAAGATGGGTAGGGGATATGACTTACTGGTTAGGGGACTCAGGAGGGTGGTGCAGAGGACCCATCCCTCCACGTTAAGCATTCTGTGTACTGGTGACACTCGTGAATGATGTGTTGCAGGGCAAGCCTTGAATATAGGTAGGGTAGGGTGCCATGTGTATATAGAGTATATGGGCGAGGTTTTTGGTAAGTAGTGAGGTCGAGGACTGAAAGAGGAAGAGGGAGATCTATTGATTTTATACTCGCCTACCTGCTCATAGTGTCATGTTTTCAGCGGTCAACAAGCGACATCAAACAGCATCAAACATTTTCTTCGTTACCATACTGTGAAACCTACGGAGATTACTAGAAAAATTTCCAACAAACGCGATGGATTAACCAACTACTAAACAAAGCCATGCACAAGGTAACTGCATCCTGGCCTATGTACTTGGCATTTTGAAATCCAACACGCAAACTGATCAGGCCATTGTATCCCCCAAGTCAAAACCCAGAGGGCAAACCATCCATTCAAATCATATAACTGCTCTCAAACACCCACTCAATACCCGACCCGATGGAGGGACCATACACACAAAATCCCCACAACACGTCAGGAAACCGAGCAGGCCAATCCGAAACTCAACACACCCAGTGAAATCAGTGAAGATGACCAGGTATACCAAGCCCAGAAAAACAAGAATCACTAGGAAATCCACAAACCACAGAATAGATAGAGAGACCAGTGCAGTGCAATAAAGACGACCAGCCATCTCAACGACTCTCCATGACTGTAAATACTCAAAGTGACCGGGGCGGCACCGGAGAGGAGAGACAAATCTCAGAACCAACAACGTCAACTGAACCAAAGAAATGATAAGAGAACCAAGAGAATCGGTGGATATTAGAAAATGAGTACACCAAAATGCGAGCGCCACGGGATATGGTTGAAGTCCCGGGCCTCGATGCGAGAGAAAGAGAAATTTAGCCCACAAGACAACTGAACAACAATCCCAATATAAGAACTTTGCTAGCCCAAGGAAAGGAGACAGGAGAAAAGGAGCGGGGGGTATTCAGGCTTGACACGTCACGGCGATGGTAGAAGTAGCCAAATTGCCGCCGTGAAAAATGGTGCAAGTGACAAGCCATTTCATAAAACAAGAAAACCAAAGAAAAGCCGCCGTATAAAAACGCCCATTCGAATCAAGTTCGAATGTAGCCATGCCAAACGCCAAACAGATATAAAACAAAGCCCACCAATCAAAAAAGAAGTCATGTGGCAATATCATGCCCGTGGCTGCGACGAAACAGCAGCTTGATAATTTTCATGACAATGGCAGAGATGTTGAAAAGCGTCAAGAGTGGTCCGGTCCAGCCTTGACGACCTCATTATGGATATAGTAAAGTGTATCCCGGAAACAAAGAAACCACAAAAAACGTGGATCGAGACGAAAACCCAAAAAGGAATGCCTGACGGAAAAGAAAAGAAAAAAAAACGCCGGTCATGATGAATGAATCGTAGAATGAGCCTTTACATAGAGCCCAGGCTGAGAAGCGCCTCTACCGCAGCGCGTTCCTGAGTATCGAAGTTGCGGGGCGCCGACTTGGCCACAGTGGGTCCGCCGAAGCTGGCGTTGCCAAACGCCCCGACGGGCAGAGGCTTCGCTCGAGCGGCAACGTTGCTGTTGCGCATGAACCCACCACCGGCATTCATCGAGCGGGCGCGCAGGGCATCCGCGCCGATCTGTGCCCAGTCTTCTTCGTCCGTCACGTCACCCTCATTCCACTCCTCGTCCTGTAGGTCGTCCGGCGCCTCGGAGGAAGAGCAGTACTCGTGGCCGTCGTCGCCATCCAGCGACATCTTGTCAGCCTCGTGTTCAAGCATGTCCAAGTCCTCGTGACCGCCATAGTCCTCTGTATAGGAGAACGCCGTCGAGTCCGCCATGCTGACACCGTACGGGTTCCGCACAGCAGACCAGGTCGAGCCACGCCGGCCCTCGATCTGCAGCCCACGCTGCTGAAAGGAGCCAGCTAGACTGGACGGGGGCGAGGAGACGGCGAACGAACGCTCACGATCGCGCGGGGAGTCCCCACGACGGCGCGCGTCCCAACGTCCCCAGCCGACCTTCTCAAAGAGCACATCGCCATCGACGCCGCCTGCCTCGCCGCCGTTCCCACGGCCCTCGAGCGCCGCCACGACGAGTCGACGCGCCTTGGCAGGTGGGATGCGCGAGAACCCAGGCACCGAGGTGGTCAGGAAACCCATAACGTGACGGATCGCGAGGGGGCCCTGCTGCAGGAGAATCTCTGGCAGGTGGTATCTGGCCAACATAGCGGGCGTGATCGCGCCGGCACTGTCGAGATCCTCATGCGCAGCCGACTCAGGGTGGTTCTGGCTGTTGGCATGGTCGACGGCGTCCTGGAGATCTATATCGGAGTCCAGCTGGGGTACTGTGGACAGCGGGGATCCTGGTGACAGGGCGGGGCGATGCTTAAAGGCTTGTGGGGGGAGGGTGGGCGAGATGGAGTTGGGTGGCGTTGGGAGCATGGCCGGGTGGCCTGGTCGCGACGCGGTTTTGCGGGCGCCGGCGCCGGCTCGAGGATGAGGGATATCGACAGAAGCGGTCTTGGTCTTGCCAGCAAGAGCCATCGCGATGCTGGAGTTGGTCTGAAAAGCAGCCATGTTGGGTGGTTATGAAGAAGGAGAAGAGAATCTGTCTGTCGCAAACAAGGCAGTCGGGCGCAGATGAGTCAGACATGGCCGTTCCATACAAATGCGATAACGCCGCGCCACGCGATTGGGGGAAGTTGGTTGGTTTGACGGGTGGCAACGGCCAGGGCGAACAAAGAAAGGACTCACCTCTTAGAACAAAGAGACAGCAGAAGAGAGGGATGGGATGGATGTGTGTGTGTATGTTGGAAGAAGTCTAGGCAGACTGCAGATGCGCGGTGCCTTTGTGCTTTCCACGTAGTAGCGGGTAAGATGCGACGCGGCAAGGGGGGTGAAGTAGATCAACCACGCGATCGGGCCGGTCTGTCGAAAGTCCGAATGGTCAAAGAGAACAAAGCTGGCCTAAGATAGGATGGTCTGGAGGAACAGAGAATATAAGAGGAAAGAAGAAAGAAAGAAGTAGCAGAGACTAAGTAGATCAGGAGGGGGGCTTGTGTGTGTGACGAGGGGGAAGTATAAGGGCAAGTACTACTCAGCCGCTCTCATTACCCTAAGGAGTATTCTCTGTACTGTACTCCATACTTTCCAGATGTACAGTACTACTACGGAGTACACTACACTATGTACTGTATTTGGGACTCCACTCTTGATCGCCTTGGACCGGCATTGTCTGGGACTCCGCAGACGCTCTCCAGGCCCAGCGCGTGGGTGCGTTGATTGGCGCCTCGGAGAGCCAGCAGCCCCGGGAGGTTCCGGGGGTTCAAATGGGTCCAGTTGGTCCAGAAAGAGTGTGTGATCCCGTTGGCTACTGTCATAGGTAGAAGAGATGTACGGTTGAGAGGATCTACTGTAAGTATAGTATACTCTTGCATGATGCCATTGTCGTAGTGTCAAGATGAGACCATCTTGACATATTGGAATTTTATGTATAATTATTATACTATCGATTATTTTATCATAGTAGGAGAATGACCAGTACAATCAAGATTTACCACTGGATGAGTTACTATATACTCGTGATTGGATATTCCTTGTTTTTTTTTTGAACCATTCCATCATCCCTGAACCGATCAGCCGAGGGAACTGAGATCCCTCCATTCCCACTGGCACTGATCTACTTCCAGTTGTTCCTCTAGTCTGACTAGTTCCCAGGTACCTACATCGGTACCTACATATAGATAGGTACATACATAATACATCCCACCAACGATAACTATTAGGATAACTATACTAGTGTACCAACCCCTCTCTTGGAGTATGTACATCGTCCCCCTCCTACTACTCCATGGCCCCGTGCCAGGTATGCGTCCGAAATCGCAGTATTGCGAAGAATCTCCTTATCGGCCAGTCATAACCGAGCCGGGGGTGCTCGTGCACGCATATCGCGGTAGGAGTCGATCACAAAGTCGGAAGGGCGTAACCCTACGCAAAGGGAGAACCAAAGTTTCGCAAAAATCCCCAAAGTCAGTTTTCCAGCCCTGATAAGCCCCCGTTGCCGGCACGTGGTCCAGTCGTATGGTTGTTGGTCAGAAACTCTACTTGAAGATTTCCGCTTCACCCGATTTTCCAGTCTGACTACCCGTATTGTTCCTGAGGTACTCGCTACTTAACTCCAACCCTCGCTAACTTTTTCATTATCTGCCCATTTCTATCCCACAAATCCTAATTCTTGGGATTCAAAATTCAAAATACAGTAGACTGCCCCTCCTAAAGTAACTAGAATCCCAAAATCCACTCCTAAGCGGGTCCCTACGCCCGCGGGAATCTGGACTCTCCAGCCTGTGCTTTGACGTCACAAAGTACCGAGATACTCCTTGGCATCGTGCCCGAAGCATGTTTTACTGTATCGAATACGGACCGCGTCTTGCAGGGACACGCTGTTCCGACTTGTTGATGACTGTATTCCTACCGCTGTTGATTATTATATGCCTTGCTGCTCTGCATCAGTGCATACATACAGTATTCCCTACCCCTCCCCCCACTCCGAACACGGTCCCCTCGCCGTTCTTTTCGACGCGTGTCCCACTTGGATACTACTAGGGGCGCGGGGACTCGCGCCAGCCGCGGTGCGAAATGCCTCTCGGTAACTACTTCTAGGTGCCTGAACGGCCGCTACAACGCATACCATAGGAATGAGACAGCCTTGTTTGCTTTTAGGGTTGGTTTGGAGTCAAGCCACATTCGGGAATGCACGACTGACTTGGCCTGCATTTTTTGCGTGGTTTATAGTAGACTACTCGAGTACTGTACTCCGTGATTATGGAGTAGTATCGTGCCTCTGATTAATGGCTGGCTTATTATTAGTGCCCCTCCAACTCCGCATAGGGTACAACGTCCTGCGTTGCCTTGTACAGTACGATAACGGCTTTTGGGTACTTTGCTGAGCTAGACTTGGAACCTATTGAGATAAATGAGCCCGATAGAAAAAGTAAAGTATTGAAAACTAATCAATTAATGATGATTTTCATCTATCCTAGTTATGAATACGTCGGCGGGTCTAATATCTCGTTGGGATCTATTATTGCGCCCTTTGCGATGACGCACTGGGCCTCTCTTCCCCTCGGCGTGGGGGGCATTAGCTTAACTACCATAGGGTTGAGCTCAACTATACACTCAAAAGGCGAATTCCCTAAAAATCCCAAAAAATAACTCATATATTTAGAAATATTTGACCTCCACAACATAAATCTCCAATTCTCGGCTTTTCTTCCCGGAGAATCCCAGCCTGGTCGTTTGCGGGCTGGCCCTGGTTCCGCGTTGAGGATAATTGTCCAGCATGGCGGTATGCGCGATTACCATTGGATATTTAGAATTTGTATACGGACGAAACTTGAAGTCAATGATTGAATGATGAACTGCATGCTTTTCGCGGTTCTGAGGTAAATCATGCGGGTGGAAACTTTGAATTCGTTGATTTATTGCGCACGGGTGGCGGGTATATTGACTGCTTCTCCGATGTAGGACGTATATACCCCTCCTCTATGTTAAGTGCGATAGCTCGTGAGACCATAGGACACCGGAATCGGCGTTAGCTTAGTATTGCTTCGCATTCAATTCTTCGAGTGCCGATTGCATTCCACGCTGCTTCAACAATTGCAGGTTCACGCCCCCTCGTCTGGGATCCGAGCGGATCCCACAAACACAACGAGCCCCTCACCATAGATAAGAGCTGCGCATTCCGATGGCTGGATATTGCTAGAAAAGCTACTCAATTGCAAGCTGCTGGTTCATACCTAGTTATTCCCTTCAAGTCTTCAAAAATCTGTACACAATACATCGCACGATCTGTAGCACAATTCATTCTCCCCTCCACAAAGACACGATACTGACCCCACCTTGCATACAAATCCCTCAATATAGAGCCGGAGCCCGGGCTTTGTATCCAGTTCCGGGACCTCGATTTAACCAATATGTTATAGTTATGAGACATGAAGGAAAACCTGAACTGTTAGCATCTGAGGTCATTGTAGAGCAGACTTGCCAGAAAACCATCGGTCGGCCGGAGGAGTTAAGCATCTTTGGCATGAAGGGACGAGCTTAGTGCTATGGGTAACTGGAGGAGAACAGGGCGGGCTGCTCTAAGTAAAAGTCTCATTCTGTTAAACTTTTATACAGACACTGATTGAGCTTGGATAAATCGAAGGTGCTGTATATTCGTGATGCTCATACCAACCCCCTTTCCCCGGATCTACACGCCGTTGCGGGGAACCTTTCTTCAAAGGCAGGGAAGGCAGGATGCTGAATATTTCATATCTTCTTATGCAAAGGCTTGAAGAAATTTTCAAATGAAGCAGCCCGGTCTCTCAAGCCACGCGAGATGCAATTCTGCCGCTGACCCGTTTGAAGATGATGAGCATGGCCAATTATCCGAACACAGTACACTCTTCTGTTCCAGCGACCTTCTGAAAGCGATGGATTCTTGAGTAGAAAAATTTCCTTTGATATAAAATAGGCAAAACCAATTCTGATTTGTTCTCCAGCAGTCTCTTCCATGTCGCCGGACGAATAGCATCGTCTGCGGCTCTTTTGGTGGAAGCTATTTTGCCGGCGCGGGGTTTCTGAGTGGATGGCTAAATGGGACACGGGGAGAAGAAGAGGAGTCTACCAAGAAAACCCTGATTCTTCAAGATAAATAAAGCTGCATGACGATAATTCTCGGCATGGGGTTGAGTTTATCTTATCTAGTATACACTACTATGTGATTATCATGATGTCGCGTGCTCTTCCCTATACTATCTTGTTTCTGGCAGTCGCGGCTAGAGCAGTCGTGAATCCCGGGACGTTGGATTCCGATATTTCGATTCTTATTCACAATGACTTGTTGGGTGAGAACTTTCTTCAATTCAGATTGAGGAGAGCTACTGCTAAAAATAAATCGCATAGAAAGTTCAAGCCCCCATACTGGGTCCGGTGTGCTCGTACTAGATGCGATGCCACTACAGAATGCCCTGAATGGATGCAAGAGTCTCGGCGAATCGCTGTGGGACTCGAGTTCAGGATTCGGAAATATCCAAAATGATCTAGACTATCTTGTCTTGCAAGAGAAACTTTCCCTCGATCAGAGGTATTGGGTTGCTCCTGTCCGCGGCACACCGTCCAGCATAGACTCGAACGGCTACGTGAAGAAGGCTTCTGCAAATGAGCACTTGCCAGTACTATGTACACAGACTGCGCCTTACTCGACGCCCGATATAAAGGATACCAATGCCACTTGGCAGGTCACTGTGAACTCCAACAAGCAATACCTTACTGGGTGAGGCTCCCCATATGACATCTTGAATTTCCCGACTAACCGAGATCAGCTTCCGGGATCGGTTCAGTTTTCGCTTCCTTGGTATTCGGTATGCCGAGCAACCAAAGCGATGGGCCTACACCAAGTCATACGAAGGAAACGGTGATCACGTTTCTGCTCTCGACTACGGTTCCCAGTGTTTACAAGGTTCGGATGGTTCAGAAGATTGTTTCTTCCTCAATGTCTGGACCCCATATCTCCCAAAACCAAAAGCTAGGTCCGATAAACTGAAACCGGTGATGTTCTGGATTCATGGTGGTGCCTTCACCAGTGGTACGGGCAGTGATCCTACATTCGACGGAGGAAATCTTGCTTCTCGAGGCGACGTGGTTGTAGTCACTACTAATTACCGCTTGGGAACACTGGGTTTCCTCGCTTTGGATGATGGTACAACCAAGGGGAATTATGGACTGGCAGACCAGATCACCGCGCTTGACTGGGTTCGTCGCAATATCCAGGATTTTGGTGGTGATCCCGATCAAATTACCATTTTCGGACAATCCGCAGGCGCGGGATCAGTACGAGCATTGTTAGCATCGCCTAAAGCTAAAGGGAAATTCGCAGCTGCAATAATGCAGAGCAATCTTGGAGGTCTGGCTTATGGGACGACGTACTCGAAGTACTACACCATTAAGGAGGAGGTGAGCGTTGTCGGAGATGCTATCGTGAGGGAAGCGAATTGCACGCATGCTGCATCTCAACTAGAGTGTCTACGAGCTCTTCCCGCCACGACTATTTCCACTCTCAGTGATTCAGCACGCTACCTCGTAGTGGATGGAGAATATCTCCAAAGCTCCGAGCTCGATCTGAAAAACCCACACTCTACTGCGGGGGTACCTTTGTTGCTAGGCACAACGAGAGATGACGGGGCTGCCATGATTGGCTATCCTACAGCAGGACAGACAATCCAGCAATTCCTGAATGTATCTGGCCTGCCGTCAACGGTAGCCCCTAGCCAAGTATTCCCGGTGCCCTCTGGCTCTAACCAGACACTGAATATCTTCAACACGACCGCACGAGTGGCCACCGACGGAATGTTCCGATGTGTCGACCAAGCGACTGCCTACGCTGGATACAACAATAAGATATTCCCCGAAATCTTCTTCTACGAGTTCAACCGTACCTACCAGATGCCCGGCTGGTCGCCCAATCCTCCCCTCTGCCAAGCACCCGTGACAGCAGACTATCCCAACGGCGATCCAAGCCAAGAGTACTTCAAATGTCACTCTGGAGAACTCTACTACGTATTTGGCAATCTCCTACGCGAAAGCCTTCCATTCAGAGATGAATTCGATCTGCCTTTCCAGCAGTTTGTGCTGGACTCTTGGGCTAGTTTTGCCCGAACGTTCAATCCAACGCCGGATGTGAAGTACACAGAAGCAAGAGGATATGTCAATACGACTCGACAGGTTGAAGCGGTTGGCTCGTGGACGCCTTTCAAGCACGGTAGTTATCAGCTTCGGCGTTTACAGTGGCCGTCTTCGATGGTTGATTTCGATGAGATCGAGCAGTGTCGCGCTTTGGACTTGGCTTTGGATTATTATGATTGACTTACCGGTGTGATGTTCGCTCCGTTCGCTTCATTTGACTCGGAGTCTTGGTTTTCATTCATGTGAGAATGCAGTATGATAATGCAACATCGGGGCTTACAAGCTACACGGTTCAAGCCCAATTTGAGAGCTCGCAAATGAGGAATATAATGACCAATGTCATGTCTGTCTGGAGATATTCTTCATGTTGCTTATTCCACCCCTCTGCCAAAATTTGAGTCATTTAAACAGCAATCCTTTATATTAACCTTCCCTTGGTAGACTAACTACTTCAGCTCCGTCTTTTCCAATGTTGTCCATCGTAGAATCCAGGCATCCAAGCCTTCAGTCGGCGTATCCTCCGAGGTTGAGGGCTTATCTTCCGTAGATGCTGACACTTGATTCTGAGTTTCAGCTCCAGCGTTTGTAGCACACAATGCAACTGTAGAGGATGACTCGTCCATGGAGACGTTTGAATCCAGATGTATCTTTTTCGACTTCCCCTCTTCTGGCATAAACTCAGAATTTACCTGGGGCTCCAAGCTGTCCTCTGCAGATGCAACTGCAATCACCTTCCGCTTCTTGCTCTTCCTTTTCGGATTCGAATCACCTGAATCCCGAGGCATGGGCTGATCGTGTTGAGGCTGGCTCTCCGTGTCCAAGAATTTGTCAAAGTCAAAGTTTTCCAAGATGTCCGGGTGTTCTAATACACTGAAGTCTAAGGCAAAAGCGCTTGGCTATATAATTCAACGTTAGTCTCAGCCGTTGCAAGTCATGATTGGTTGATGGGGGAATACGTGCATCAGGAAAGTTGCGGGCAGGGGAAAACTGCTTGACATCACTTTTAGAACGCTGAGTGACTGGAATTGGCAGTTTTGGCGGAACTGCCCGTCGTGCATTTGAACCTGAGGAATGGTCAGGTATTCCAGATTTTGATCGCACACGATGTTGATATGGTGGTGGCGATAGAATTGGTAGGTCAGAATTAAACGGTTTTGACGGCGCTGACTGGTGCACTCCATGTGGCCGATTGGGCAGCTGATCAATCTGATTGAGACTAGGCTGATTCAGCTGCATCTGCTGTTGTTGCATCTGCTGTCCATATATCGGCATCTGTGGCACAGGTGGTGACTGCGCCACCGGCCTATTCTGCATATTCAGCATCCGCCTCTGCATTTGCTGTTGTTGCAAATGCATTGCTCGTGCTTGGAGCGGATCCAACGGTTGCGGTAGTGTCTGCTGGGAATTCAGCGGGTCGGTTTGGCCCGGAGTTTGTTGGACCGGCTGAGAAAGATGGAATTCCCTGGATATCAGCATCGCTCGTTCCCGTATCTGCTGGGGACTCAATTCTGATGCATTAAGCTGCGAGGAAGGCGATTTGATTACACTTGCCCGATTGAAGTTGATGGCGCTTTGCAGATTAGGAAGTACCTGGGCTGTTTCCTGCGCCGAGTTCAAGGAATTGCGAGCTTGGATGGATGTATCGACTTGGACTGCTAGTGGGTTAGATCTGAATACTCTATAACTAAAATATTGGGGATTCTGGCGTTCTTTTGAAATAGTACGCCGTATATCAGCTTACAGCTTTCACTCAAGTGTGTACGAAAGAGGCTGATAGCCCTCTGGCCATGAATACGCTGAAGCGCCAAAGCTTCTGCTCTGTGCACATTGATGAAGCCACTTCTGACTCTAGAATACCGATCGCGGTCTAGAAGCTGTTGCACAGTGTTGATATCGTGCAGAACGGATTTGACCATTTGGCAGTAGTGGTAGAGCTCGTCTTTGATCTCATCTGGCTGGGCACCACCAGCCAAGTTCTCTGTGTGTGGAACTTTCTCGGTAATGCTGGTATATTGGAGAGTTCTCGTAAGCCTCTCGTAATCCCTCTCACTCTCTATCTTTTCACTGGTCAGAACAAGGAGAAGATTGCGCTGTTCTTGGAGCTCATGTGTCTCTCGTCGACTATCTCATGATTAGTCGTCTCCGAGGCAAAAATAATTGGGTTGAGGTACCTTCGTATCTGTCCAGCGTATATAACCACATTCAGCATCAGTAGCATGGTCGACTTTAATCTCTCCAAGTTCCCTGCCACGGTGTCGAGATGGGACTCGTTCATCATAAACTTGAACTTGCGAGTCACTTTTTCAACGCGAGATTGCGAGAGGGGATCCGGATAGTGTTGCTCGATCGCACTCTCAAGATCCTGAAAGACCTGCTCGCATTCTCTCAGCACATCCTGGGCCGTTTCAAAGGCGTCGGGGGAATACAAGCAAGCCAAGTCATCCTGCCCCAAGCTCTCGCCCAGCTGGCGCAGCACATTGCAGGTGAGTGCGACATCTTTGGACAAGTACCGGAGTGCTTTGTTGGCATTCTTGAATTTATGACAGAACGTGCACAACTTGACGGACAGACGGCCACCCAACTCGGCTATCTGGACGATGCTGGCGACGACTCCTATGATTTCAACCCCAGACATTATGACTGTGCATCAGATGACCGGATATGAGTTGTTTCATCCAGCCCTTGGAGAATTGGAGATTCTCTCAGGGGATATCTCAGGGGATCGCGGGGGTTTGTTTGGAGGCTGGGCCACCCTCGTACTACTTTGGCCCCCACTTTTGCATCGAAATACGATATATCTCACGGGGCGGCCCGCTGTCATAGAGACACACGACACAAGCTCATCAACTCCATATATGGCTAGTAGTAGAAGTGTAGATGTGATCGATAGAATAATTAACTGCATTTTGATTCTGTTAGTCGAATGTCTGAGATAGGAGACGCAGTTTCATGACGCATAGGTACTAAGTCGAGCTATGCCAAGTGGCTCAAGTCCCTCAATGCGAGTTGGTCATGGTCGAACTAGAGCACCCTTAGAGTCTATTCTACACTTGAAACAAAGATCTATATTCTCCATCACAGGTGTATGCATTAGATACCGAATCAAGGGACAGTGTACAAGCATCTCACGTGACTGCAACATCCGATCTTATCGCATCCGAACGGCTTTTCTCCGAACCGCGAACGGTTTCTTTCGGATCTGCAATTGCGGGGGCCCCTCTGGCACATTTAGGCCTGTTAAGCCAGTTGCATTTTCGTAGTATGTCAGTTCCATATCCGCTCTAGAAGTAAATCCACGAGCCGACGGCCCAGATGCGGCAAAAGTCTCCCGACGGAGAAAATCCCGGCCTGCTCGACCCGACTCTAGTGCCGTCATACTTGTACGCCTATATAGACTTTGATCTTCCTTGTCGCGCGGCTTGACATTTTGGCTCTTTGGTATGCCCGGGTTTTTAACAATCGCCAATCAAATATCTCCATACAAACCTTTTCCACAACTTTATAGATCGCCTACTGCTTGGGTTCACCTAGGCGACTCTCCCACCCTGCCAGACAACATACTGGTATAACTCAACGGCATATTCAAGAAGTATCTCAAAGCTCATACGACAAGGATCACTCAATATGGCGAGCAACGGTCACACCAACGGCGTGTCCTATTCGCCTCTCGTCGAGACGAGCCGAATCTTCTCCGACCTTTGCGCACAGTCCGAGCGCTTGAACCTACCACCACAGGTACAGGCGAACAAAGATCATGTTTCTTTCTCTTCAAGCCATAATGAAATCTACTTCCCCATCCCTTTCAAGGAGACCGAGACGTTGGCGGCTTTGAAGGGTATTGAGGGCTCTGTGGCTGCCGCAATTGCGGATCTGCGGTTCGGATCGCAGCCGCGTGACGTTCAAGTGAGCCTCGAGGGTGCAACGGCATTCGGATGCCAGGCATACATGGCAAAAATTGATGGATTGTCCAAGTTGGATCCTAATGTCAAGTCTAAGTTGAAGGGTACGTACTAGCAATAAATTGCAGCGCGTCTTTGAGGAAAAGAAAGAATGGTGTTAACATTCCCTCCAGATACTGATCTTTTGGCGGCCCAGTCGAACGGCTACCGTCGCATGTCGGCTAATCTGTATAAGACCAAGATTCCCGGTGAATATTACCATATCCACGGCTCTCTGGAAGCTACTACGACCCTCAACATGATTGGTCTCGAGGGCCATCGTCCGGATTTGACCGACTATGAGGAAGTTATCAAGGTCATCGAGGAGAAGGTACAGAAGTATACCGTTCCCGAGCTGGAGGCAATGAACAAGGAGAGGCGGCAGGCTGGTGTTCCGGCACTCAAGTATGAAGACTTTATCAAGACTCCTCACGTACGCATCTTCACTCCACTCTCAACAATGGCGTATCCCGCTAATGCTAAGCATAGGGAAAATTGAACGTCCAAGAGCCTGCCTGGAAGGTAGACAAGCTTCCGGGTGATCTTCCTCCCACTCCCTTCCCAGCTAGCCAAACTGGAAGCAAGAAGATCCTCGAGGGTGTCAAAGTCCTCGAAATGTGCCGCATCATTGCAGGCCCAACGGTTACGCGTATTCTGGCCGAATATGGTGCCGACGTTCTGAAAATCACTAGTCCCAATCTATCCGATGTACCCTTCTTTCAAGTCGACGGTAACATGGGCAAGCACGCAGCCGACCTTGATTTGAAGACTGAGGCCGGACGGCAGGAATTCGAGAAGCTCGTAGCCGATGCCGATGTCATTGTTGATGGATACCGGCCCGGCGCTCTCGAGAAGCTGGGCTACGGTCCCCAGGCTATGGCTGCTCTAGCTGAGAAGCGCGGAAAGGGCATTGTCTATGTGAACGAGAACTGCTTCGGTTACGAAGGCGAGTGGGCCGAACGAGCTGGCTGGCAGCAGATTGCCGATTGCGTAAGTTGATTTTACCGAGCACGATCGATTGATTTATTGACTAATATGGACGACATAGGTTACTGGTGTCGCCTGGGCTCAAGGTCAATTCATGGGCCTCGACAACCCCGTTGTTCCTCCCTTCCCAATCTCTGACTACGGCACGGGCTGTATGGGCGCTATCGCCGCTCTCTCTGGTCTCTACCATCGCGCCAAGACCGGTGGTTCTTACCACGGCAAGGCCTCCCTGATGCACTATGATCTTCTCCTCTTCGCCGTCGGCCAGTATCCCGCCGAGGTACAGGAGAAGTTGCGCGCTGCCCAGCCAGCGGATTTCTTCAAACTACGCCACTGTGATAGCGTGGATCGCATTTCGTCCACTGTACTCAAGGGCATGCAGACTCGTTTCCCACACTTGTATATGTCCTCCGGTGCTAGCTCGAAGGAGGGCCAGCAGGCGTTGACTGAGAGCTGGTTCTCCAAGGCGTACAACACGGATATCGAAGTTGTGCGTCCCGTTGCCGTTGTCTCGGGTGTTGATAATCAGTTCGTGAGGGCTAGTCGTCCTAATGGATCGGATCGGGCCAGTTGGGAGGATTTCAAGCAGGATGGCGAGGGAGATGTTAAGAAGTGTTAATTCTTTGGACCTGATTAGCTCTTTTCTACTGGTCAGTCTACGGAATTTCGGTCTATTGCATTGTACATAAATGGCATTTTTAGGAATTCAGAGGAATATATTGCATCGATAAATGACCTGATGAAGCATCGTATGCCATGCAAGATACTATCCCTCGAATATACGAGCCGAGGCTCATCCGGTTCCATCGCAATCCATGGCGGGCGTAAAGTGGGGGACGCGCAGCCGTCGGAAGACACGGAAAGCATAGAGATTCCAGGTTTGCCGTCGATTACAAACCCATATATTGGCATGAAGTTAAGTATGAGAGTCCGAATTCAATGGCTCCATGCTTGAAGCCATGATTAGTAAACCCAGTGTTGCAGGATTCTAGTACCTAAGCAATAACCCGGTGGGTGATATTTTCCCATGGAAGTCGCCGATAAGATCGGATGCGGCACCATACATCGGACCGATGGTTCCCCTCATGATGTCGACGTTTTGATCGCAAATCAACCGCGATCCATACATGCGGCTAAGCTTTAACTTTCCCTCTATTTACTTGACTTCAATTACTCCCAGTTCCAATCTGCGTTCTTCTATTCTCACTCATATTACCAACACGAAGCATCATGTCCTATAAAATCGCCTACGACGCTGCTCTCGCGCCGCCACGCGGGCCGGCCATCGTTGCTTTCATGGAGGACTTTTACCGAACCAGTGATACCGAGTCCTTGCACGAGAAATATGTGGCAAGCTTCACGGAAGATGCTACTCTGATTATGGGACCGAAGGAGGCAAAGGGTGCTGCTGGTATGTTTCCTTTTCCCTGGTTTCGGTTGAGTAATATGCAAGGATATTTGCGGACGAACTGTATTGCTTTCTTGCATATAGTATATTCGACCCTAGTATCTGAAGACAGAATGCTTACTATGACTGACAGAGATTCTTCCCCTGCGCCATGGTCTCTGGACGCACGTGGCTTCGCGCAAGCACACTCCTACTCATATCTTTTTCGGTGGTGAGAATGAGATCATGCTCTACGGTGGCGTGAACTACCGACTAAAGGCTGATCCTGAGAGGGATGTCTATGTGCCTTGGGCTGGGCGGGTGGTTTTTGCGCCTCAGAAGGAGGGAGAAGATGTGAAGATGCAGTTCTATCAGGTTTATCTGGTGTGTAATCTTTTCCAGATTGAATGCAGGCTCTTTACTGACCATAACTATAGGATCCGTCTGCGCAGGCAGGCAAGAAATGAACGGGCGAGGGAGTGCATTTTTAAGATTATAGATAGATTTGAAAAGGAATGATACTCCATATACAATGATCCAACATATTGGATGATCTCTACTAGCAAAAAGGGTCTTCAGAATACACATCTCCCTATCAAATCTACATCTTCAGATCTTACGCCTCTACAACCCAGAGATGAACGGTTTTAACGTGTTTGGTCAGACATGCTCTTTATTTCCAGGAGACCGCGAGAGAAAACAGGAACAAAGACGCCGTAGGGGTAATTCGGGGTCAAAGAGGGAGGTCAAAAATATGTTAAGGAAAAAGAAACTCGTCTCTCTCCAGGCCGAGTCATTGCAAACTCGGACACGAAAAAAGATAACGAGCCGGATGCCCATGTCTCGTCCTCTCGCTCATGCTCTCGGGAATTTTTCGCACTCCTCATGCAAATAAAAAAAACCTTTCCGCTTTCTCTCCGCTAGCCCCGTCTGGTCATCAAGGTAAAAAAAGGAAAAAGGTTGGAGAACAAACGTGATAAATCGCCGGGACCTAGCTCCGAAAAAAGGTTTTTATTTTTTTGTGATCATTCCGGACTAAAGCCAAAACGAGCCCCCCGAAAGCCAAATTATAGCCTTTTGAAGACACGTTTACTCCTCGTCAGACTCCTCATCCTCGTCAACGGTGGTCTTGGCGATACGGTCAAGATCACGCTGGCCGGACTGGGTGATGCGGCGGCCACCCTTCTCCTCATCAACCTCGAGGACACCGATCTTCTCGAGAGCCTGGAGGGCCTTGCGGTCGACGGAGCCGGAGGCATCGACGTGGTGAGCGGGACGGGCACCACGGTTCTTGGTGGAACCGTGGACCTTGCGGAGACGGCCAACACCGACGGTCTTGCGCATGTAGATGTGGCGGGCGACGGCGGCAGCGCGGACGTAGAACCTTTTAACAGATCATGTTAATACAGTTGATTTTGGATTTGGTGGGTTTGGTGTATTCGGAGAGTCGTACCAGTCAGCATCCTGGGGAGGGAGCTCGTTGGAGGCAGAGGTCTTGACAGTGTCAACCCAGCCGGGGATGGGGAGCTTGCCCTGACGCTTCAGGAAAGCCGAGTAGGCGGCAATGAACTTCTGAGCCTGTAAGAGAGGAAAAGATGAATGGTTAGCGTCGTGTCTCGTGGATGTCAATGCAGGTCGCGAATGGTCGGGTCCAATGTGTGAATTTGCAGATGTGTCGGGTTCGTCTTTGAAGGCAATTCCATCTCTTGTCGCAATGCAGAATTCTCAGTATTCCGTTGGCGCTGTTTCGTTTGCACCTTGTGGTTTGACCATCGGATCTTGATCAACAGAGCTTGGAGGCTCCATAATATCAAGTCCACGAAGGATCTCGCATGTCGAGAACTGCGCTCCCACAGCCAGCAGAATCTGCGATTGGCGAAACCGGGGATTTCGAATCACACAGTGTGTGCCAGTGTTGCCCGTATACCCGATGCCTTTGTGTCGATTTTGCCTTCCTCCAAGACGAACCCATCCATCATCCACAACCATGCACACCAGCCGACGACCAGGCGAACTGAAGCCATCAGAATTTGAAGGACACTTACGTCCACATCGCGAACGGAAACACCACCCATTTTTGCGGTCTCGAGGGGTCCGAAGAGGGCGTAGGGGAAAGAGTCGTTTGGCGGAAGTCGAGGTGGGCAGGGTCGAAGTCCAAAAATTCAAGAGACACACAAACTCGCCCCGTTGGGTCTGCGTCGTGGTCACGTCTGTGTGCCGTGGGTTCGCTTAGCCTGTTTGGGTTAGCCGTACCCTAAGCACGGTCATGTGATGAGATGATTGGTGGCCGTATAATTAAGGCACAAATTAAGGCAACAAAATTATTCGAGATCCTCCCCTTGCCATCTCAGGCGCCAAGGCACCAAGGCTTGTATGTGGATCTTACCTATAAACATCGTGCTGTCAACGCTGTACTGTAACTCGAAAAGCTAGAATGTCAACCTCGAAGATGTCGCATAATCTCCCTTGGGCGGATTAGTTCGCGGCTAAGCAGGGATCCTTCCCTAGTGGAAATCTAGAAGCAATGATAACACCCACGGCCCCCGCTTCAACCTCATTCCATCGTGTCTAACCACTCCAGTAACCATGACATTTCCAAACCCCCTTCAATGGTTCCAAAACAGAAGTAAGTCAAGCTCCGGTAGACCATAGCTTCAACAAATCTAATCCCGAACAACCAGAATCCGAAAAACACAGGCTATCAGATAATGGCCCACCCCTGAAGCACCTGCTGAAAAAGAAACCATACCCAGCTCTATCTTCAACCAACCCACAAAGCCAAAGCATCTTCTTTGGCCGGTTACCGCTAGAAATCCGACTAATTATCTACAAGCTCCTCTTTGGGAACAGACCTATACACTACGAATGTGATTGGTTGGAAGACGAGAAAAGATGGCAGATCAAATCGTTCGAGTGCTTTGCAAGAACGGAGAGGTTCGATTGGGATGATTGTGCGGGATATTCAGATCATGCTACAATAGTCTCTAAGCGTTGGGGACTATGGATGGATGTTAGGATTATGTTTACTTGTTGGAAGGTGTGGGTATTCATTTCCTCGAACTTGACGAGCTTCACGAGGTACTAATCGTCGAAATAGATACCTCGAAAGTCTCGAAGTACTCTACCGCACGAACGAATTCCGATTCTCAAACTACGATGCTATGAGCAAGACTTTTCCCCGGCAAGTTCCCGCCCAGGGACTGGTTGATATCCACCGTCTTACTTTCTGGTGGTCCCTCCGACGAGATTCACAGCCACACCTGTCTCGCAAGAATAGAATCCAATATGATAAATTCTGGGTCACTTTGCAGAAAACATTCGTCAATTTGACCGAAATCCGCGTCTTTGTGGATACAATCGGTCTAGCAGATATGAAAAGTATCCCCGAGGACATGGTTGGAGATACAGATGAAGAAAAACAACGCTACATTCAATCCGCATGGCTCGACGAAATGGAGTCGATGATCGAGGCAAAGCAAAAACTAAAGGTCTTCGAAATTCATATCGACAATGGGGTATATCGGCACGTGAAAGAAAGAATTCAGCCTTGGCTGAAGGAAAAGGAGGAAGAGAGGAAGACGGAAAGAAAGATCGATAGGATACGCTATAAGGCGTATAGGTGTAAGCACACTAACATCACCTACCAAGGAGTCCCGGCTAGCAGGCCTATCTCGAGAGGAAGCTCGAAAATCGGAATCGAGGATTCAAGATCGGTTCCTGATGAATTTTGGAGGAAGAACATTAGCAAACGTGGAAAGTGAAATTTGTTTGTGAAAACCCGAGAGGTTCCGAAGAACGATCGATGCCCAAAATAATATTATGATTCCATGATTCGTATCCTAATAACACACATCTATCGCTGGTTTGAATGTAATCGTTTCTCGTAACCTGTAAAAATGCAGCAAAACCAAGTAAAAGTGGAATACCCATTGCCAAATGCCTTGCCTTCCAAACCCGACCAACCCCTTCCAATTCTAACCTAGAAACGCCGATGAAAGTAAAGAGGGAAATAATGATAAACAAGAGATGTCAAATTACAGGGTTGGGGCTCTCTTCAGTCCGACGCAATATCGAACAAAGAGAGTATCAATGAAATGCCCGTGCCGAATACCAGGGGGACGGCACCGGTTGAACTCATCAATGGCATCCTGGACGCCAAAGCCCAGACGCTCGATGAGGTAGCACACAATCAGGAAACCAGTGCGATTGTATCCATAGTGGCAGTGGACGCCAACCAGTGGCCGGGGCAAAGTAGTGTCCTCGCGCTTCTCCATCTGATCGTCGATCTCCCTTTGAAGCCGATCGACCAGGGCGATAAAGTCGCGAGTCTCGTCGGGAGTGGGAGGAATTTTGGACACAGTGGGATGCTTGTTGTAGTGAATACCGCCCTTCTCCATAGTCAACGGGTTGTAGACTGGGCTTTCGTGGCTAATATCAACGACAGCGTAAATGCGGCCTTGGTATTTCTGAGAGAATAGCACTGGGTTGTGCTCTTCGTCAACCTCACGAAGCATCTTCAGCGCAGCAAAGGTATTTGCGATCGGTTGAGAGACGGGCGCAACCTTCTGCCACTTGGCGAGGTTCTTCACGTCCCACTTTCCTGATGTGTTCATGTATTGGAGTTGCCACCCCAGACCCAGGCGCTGGTCAATATGCTGGGACAAGAAGTCCTGGATAATGCCCGAAAGTGTACGATATGTTGCTCGATCGTAAAGCAAAGCATGAGAAGCTGGCGCCGGGAGAATGGCTGACTTGACAAGTCGCTTGCGGCCAGTATCATTACGGTTTGGCTGCCCGATCAGCTTCTCACCTTCGGTAGGCTGGAGGCCAAACTTTTCCTCGTGGGCAAGACCCGTGGACGAGGCTGAACCCTGGTCGTGAACTCGCGAGGCATCGGGGATGATGCTGCTTCCGCTAGTATCAATGGTGGTATGCGCAGAAACATCACCGAAGAATTGGAGCAGTTTCTGGATCTCCACCGGCTTGGTCACCGAGTCTGCCTCGCCTGCAACCAACAGCATGGGCATGTGAATGGCAGCCCAGACCTTATCTCCAGGGATACCTCCGACGGGTTCATCCTGGCTGTAATCAGGAAGCGTGCCCCAAGCCATGCGACGCCAGACTGGCGTTCGACTCTGCTTGTTGAAACGGACTTGGAGACCTCGTGTCTCTTCATCCGCGTCGCTGCCGACCATTCGCATCACACTTGTACTCTTGATACCACCACGGCGGTCCCAAAGACGCCACAAGTTAAAGATCGGGTCAGGAATAGAGAGCAAGCGGCGGAAGGTTGTAACCTCATTGGCCGATGGAGGTGTGGCGCGAGGGCAGACCGCGATTAGACCAAGGATATGTTCCTTCAAATCCTTTCCAATGGGAGAGGAGGACGAAGCGAGCAGAGCAGACAGGGAACATCCCAGACTGTGGCCCACAAGGATCACGCCCTGGCCATTCTCTCGATCACGATGTCTCTCAATCGCGACAGCAATCAACTCGGCCAACGCCTCCACGGTGTATGCGTTCCAATCGGTGGGCGCGAACTTGGACAGACCGCAACCCGGCAGATCAATGCCAAAGCACGATCCAACATTGGAAAGACTTGTAAGGAGGTGGTGGAATTGGGCCAGCGACCCTCCGAGACCGTGGATGAACACTAGCAGAGGAACGGGAGATGGCTTATCGGGAAGGCGACTGAGGTTCGGGTGGGGGGAATAAAAAGTTCGAACGGCCGGGTATGTCGCGACGGAGGTAGTGTAAGGGTTGTAGGTGGTGAACTTCCTCAAAATACCGGGATCTGTCTTGAATGCTTTTAAAGTGTTAGCGAAATTATAATTGGCAATGGTGAAGGGGGAAAAGTCAACACTGGAATCTCGCTTACCATCGGAGGTCTGCTGCTGAGGCTGTGACGACCACTCAGTTGCCTGGCGATGAGGTTCAGTACCATGGCGCAACGAGCCGTTGCTATCATAGTCATCATCCTCGTAATCATCGTCCGAGGAGGTAAGAGGCTTGGTGGAAGACTTGGTCGAGCGCTTGCGCAAACCCAGGCGCGGTCGGGAAGAAGATTTTCTCTTCTCCGGCGACCGCAATCGCCAGATGAGCGACGAGAACAAGCCACAACCGACCATCGTGATCACGCAGGTAGTCAAGAATGCTACTTGCCCCCAATTCACAGAGTCATTGCGGTAGAGGGAGCGAAGGTAAGCTGCGAGGGAAGACCAAGAGGCCTGTTGGGCAGCGATGCGCGCAGAGTGATACAGGTGCAAAACGGCCGCGATGCCTGATCGATTAACGGACTGTGAAGACAGTGACTCGTGAAGAGCAGAGATCGAACTGCCAGCGCCATCGTTCCCCATGGCTGAGGCTGAGGCGGCTTAAGTAGCTCTTCGGTCTTGCACTTGCGAACAAGCGCAAGATAGAGGCCCCCAGGGTTCTGGACCCCGGGAAAGCTAGAGGAATGAGACCACGCGAGGCCACAACGGGTGTTGCTTGGATGCGGTGGAGTGATCGTAGGGGGATGGGCAAAAGCAACGACACCAATGGGAGGCGCCGGATCGACAACGTTGGAGAGGTGGAAAGAGTGAGGCGTAAGTTGCGGAGGGCAAGAATGAGGCAGAGAAAAAGCATTAGACTCGGCCAGTCACAATCTCCGGCGGCGCAGCGTGGGGGAAACAACGTGACTCACCGGCTCCACTGGGCGCACATGACGGAATCGACCGCCTTCGCTGGCTTTTGAACTTTCTTCAAGTGGCTTCTAGGGCTTCTAGAAGTTGAGGGTTCTTCGACACAATGTGGAGATTTCCCCCTAATAGTAACAAACAGGAAACCATGTTCATAATTTTTTTGGTATATTCCATATTGCTGTTCCCAGAATTCGGGAATGTTCTCATTTGAAACGATGGGGACACCTCCCCTATACACATCCCCTTCACCCCCTAACCCCCTAACATACCATCACTATCCCCTTTTCTTACGATATTCAGAAGAGATCTGTCATGGCTCCATGCGATGCATCACCCACCAATCGTGCATACTTGGCCAGCACACCGCGAGTGATCTGTGGTTCCGGTGGCGTCCATTGGCGGCGGCGCTCTTGAAGCTCCTCATCGGATACATCCATGGACAACTCGTTAGTTTCGGCATTGATAGTGATGACGTCCCCGTCGCGAACCAGTCCAATCGGCCCTCCCACCGCTGCCTCGGGGGTAATGTGACCAACGATGAAACCGTGGCTGGCACCGGAATAGCGGCCATCCGTGATGAGGGCAACGTTGTTCAACTTGGCACCCATCAGCGCGGCACTGGCCTTCAACTGTTCCGGCATACCGGGTCCACCCTTAGGGCCCTCGTAGCGGACGATCAGAACCAGATTCTCCCCACGTGGGATGCGGCCTTCATCTAGGGCGTCGTTGAGCTGTTTCTCCTTATCGAAGACTCGGGCCTTGCCCGTGAACCGGAGTCCCTCCTTGCCTGTAATCTTGGCTACAGCACCGCCAGGGGCGAGGTTACCGCGCAGAATCTGGATGTGACCTGTAGCCTTGATAGGGTTGTCTAATGGGCGAATCAGGGTCTGGTCCTGGGGCAGCGAGGGGAATGATGCCACGTTCTCAGCCAGCGTCTTGCCAGTGACGGTGGGAATGTCGCCATCCAGGAGGCCTCCGGCAATCAGCAGTTTCTGGACCGACGGAATACCTCCGATCTCATAGAGATCGGCCATATAGTATTTGCCACTAGGAGATAGGTTTGCAATGAAGGGAATCTTATTGCTGACCCGCTGGAAATCGTCCAATGTCAGGTCGACACCGGCAGTGCGTGCCATAGCGAGGAAGTGGAGAACACCGTTGGTGGAACCACCCAGTGCCATGGTCATCACGAGTGCGTTCTCAAAGGATCGCTTGGTCAAAAGGTCGCGGGGGCGGATATTCTTTTCCAGGCAGATCTTAATGGCATCGGCTACGCGGACACACTCGCGCATCTTCGAAGGCGAAGAGGCAGGAGTAGATGAGGATCCAGGCAGGGACAGACCCATGGACTCGATCGCAGTGGCCATTGTGTTAGCCGTGAACATGCCACCACAGGCACCGGCACTAGGGCAGGCGTGCTGCTCGAGGTCATCCATAATCTCATCCTTGGTCTTGCTAGTATCACCGCCATCGTCGGGCTGGCGGAGGGTATCGTAAGCATAGGCACCCGCTGCCTCGAAACATGTGGAGATGTTGATTGGCTTGCGGAGATGCTCTGAGTAACCAATATTGATTGTACCGCCGTAGATCATGATCGACGGGCGGTTGTGACGGGCCATACCCATCACTACACCGGGCATGTTCTTGTCACAGCCGGGGATGGCAATACAGGCATCATGATATTGAGCACAGGTGACGGTCTCGACACTATCGGCAATGATCTCACGCGTCTGCAGAGAGAATCGCATGCCTTAATCCAAACAGTTAGCTTGCATTTTGACTTAAGGGTATTGTTTCCCGCCTAACATACCGTCGCTGCCCATCGTAATGGCGTCCGAAACACCAATGGTATTATACTGCCAGCCAATCATTCCCTTTTCAACAACTGCCTTCTTGGCCGTTTTGCCCAGGTCCATCAAGTGCATGTTGCAAGGGTTGCCCTCCCACCAGACAGAAGCAATACCCACATGGGGGCTCTTGGCCATGGCTTCCTTGTCCGGGACACCGGCAGCGAAGAGCATTGCCTAGTACAGTCAGCATTGAGCATCGCAATTGAAAGTCCTTGCATTCCAACATACTCGCGCACCCGGGAATTCATGGCCGCGGGTGATCGTTGACGAGTGTCGGTTGAGTGCGGGGGTACCGTCCTCGTGTTTGGCGTCGGAGGGCAGACTGGGGAAATTGATGTAGCGGGGCTCGGAGAGCTTGCTAGGCTCTGTGGACTGGGTGGAATCCATGATGGGTGTAAGGAATTGATGGAGCAGATAAAGTAGATTACAGTGTAGGAATAGAAAAGAGCTTAAAAAAGCATCATCCCACCTGAAGAAGAGAAGCTCGCAGTCAAGTCCGATCGACCCCAGTGGACCCCGCGATGCTCAGGCGGGCAGCCAGTCAGTGCGATCGCATTTGCCAACCATCGGAGTTGCGCCTATTGTCCGGCTCGGCCTCGGCAAGTCTTCCGTAGTGGAGCTGTTCATATATGGGATCATCAAGTAACTACATATTTATATCGATGCTATCTAGCAGTGAATGATTACGAGTCATAGTCTCATCCATGTTGTATACACTGGGACTGGGAGCAGTACTCAACACTGGACATTAGTAAACTATCGAGGAGAACCTTATAACACTTGAAGCACCTTGAGACTTTAATACTATACCGAGTCGTAGCTAGCTATAGACCACATATAGAATATAACTCACCAAGACCAAACCCTCAAAATTCTATCAACAATGCACCTACAAAAAACTATGCCACCCCCACATTCCTAGCCCCTCGTACAATCAATCCCCTTTCCAGCGATCAACTAACTCGATTAGGTGTAACGTCATAGCCAAACCCCTCGAGAGTTTCTTTTTTCCCTTCTCAACCCAAACCCAAATCTCACCTTCCCATCCGAAACACGTCTCCCCAGCATCTCGGCGAATATATTCCTATCTAGCCTTGGCTCTGCACCACCTCGGCTTCCTTTGTACCCCGAGACAAAATTCCCCGATTGGCATCCTCGTCTCCCACATACCCTACCTTTTCCCGGCATAATGACGGATATTATTATCGCCCAAGCAATCGGGACGCTGGGATGTAGCTTTACGGCTGGTACTACTGATCCTCCCCTTCCTTACTCCAGTAATCAATTAAATTAATGGATCATTCAAACTAATGACTATCTAATACGTAACCAGGCGGCGTCATGACCCTCTCCATAATGGACATCCCCAACCTCGCCCTCCCCGCACGCCGTCCACCCGGCGCAACAATTCCCAGCAACGAAGTCCCCGGGACACCAATCGCCCATTTAACGCACCAGTGGCTCGATGTCTACGAGCGCGGGAAGGGTATCTTCCCGCCAATCGCGATAGTAGCGTCCCTAGCCAACGGGTATCTCGCCTGGACACTGCGTGATATACCCGTCCCCGCGACGACCGGTCAATCCTGGACAAGCTTCTACGTCACCGCTATAGTGGTCACGCTGGGCATGGTACCCTGGACGCTGACGGCAATGAAGAATACGAATAACCGGCTGCGGGCGCATGCGACGCGGGACGATGCGGCGGTCGCCGAGGGAACGGAGGGGATGGTGATGAGTGCGGCGGAGAAGGTTCGTCGTGCGAAGGAGGATGACGAGGTTCCTGGGCTACTGTGGAAATGGGCAGAGTTGAATTTCTGCCGGTCTTTGTTCCCGTTGGCTGGGGCTGCTATTGGGTTTTGTGGGGTTGCGTGGATGAGGTAAGAATAGTCATGGATTTGAGGAGGATTGATTTGGTATAATTGGTTATGTACAAGGCGTAATATCCCAGGTTGGGTGGGTATCGTGGTGGTTTTCTAATGATAGGTGCCGTGGCAATTTGAGCTTGCACATCAGCTGGACTGGATAGGTGTTTAGACAATGGGTAGAAGGTAGAAGCAGAGATCATGCAGCAGTAGCATGTCTTCATGACTTCTCGTAGTCCTCGGCAAAGCCATTGGCTTCGGTCGTGGGCTCGTCCTCAGTGGGCTCTTTCTCATCCGTAGACCATTCGCTGGAGTGCTGCAAGGCCTCGTCGGCTGTGATTTCCTCCAGGGGACTGGACTTGCCAGGTTGTCCCTGTACCTCCTCCGTGTCCTGGGAGTCGTCGCGGGGCTCGTCATCTATGGCAAATCCAACAATCTTGCCAGTGCCGGGCTGCGAACGCGATTCCTCCAGGACGTCGCCGTTCCAGGGCTGACACTTTTTAACAATTTCACCACACCGGAGACAGACCCATCCCTGACCTTCCTCGGCTTCCAGCTTCTGCACAATACAGACGAAACAGTAGATACAACCACAAGGAATGGTCTCGTAAGGGTTTGTGATATCTGTCTGAGCAGATCCCGAAATTCCACCTGCTCCAGCCGAGGCTGCAAGGACGTCGCTTTCGGTCGTCGCAGCCGGATTCTGATCCCGATAGCAGACTGCACAGGTCCGTTCCTGGAGGAAGGCCAGCTCTCCTTGCTTCTCGGTGGCTTCCTCATCATCCCCGCTCGACTTGAGCGCTTTGACGGTCTTTCGCCATGCGCGTGAGATCCATCGCTTCCAACGGCTGATACCGACCAGAGGAAGAAGGAAGAGGAGGAACTCGGTGAAAGCATGCCAGACCAGCTGTCGGTTCAAGTATTCAAAGGAAACTTCACGGCTAGCCTGAGCAGATGGAGGTGTAAGACGAATGCGGAGGATTCGATCGACGAGAGTTCGATAGCGACCGTTCACTAGGAATACAAGGAAGGAAACAAAGGCTGCGACCGAGTGTGTGGTGGAAACGAGGTCTGTAATGCGTGAGAACATCCGAACTTCCTGTGATGGCTTCATTCAATTGTCAGCAATAACTTCGGCTCGTAAGAAGCAACCCATGGCTTACCTCTTCATAGCCACCCTCTTGTCCAACCAACCAGCTCTCCCACTTGTCCCAGGCATATCGTCCGCCGACCGTCAGCAAGCCATACATGGTCTTCTGCAATTTAGTGGGGGCAGAGTGCACAGGGCCCTTGCTTCGGCTATCGGTATATCGGAGGCCTTGCAAGGCCGCTCCATATGACGCATTGTGGTCCCAGATCGAGAGCTTGAATAGGATCGCTCGTAAAGCGAATAGAATCTCATGTGACCAGTCTTCCCGCATTTGCGGCTGTTATGAGTTAGCATCTCCAAAATAACCACGGCAATGCTTTGAACAGGACTGCTGCATACCCCAAAGTATTTAAGAGCATCTCCAACCTGGTTCTTCATCAGACCCAGCAACTCCTCGTCTAGTAGCTCGGCATCAACCTGGCCAACACGAAACGCCGGGCGCGTCCCATCTCGGCCTTTGATCGAGTTCCACAGCGACCAGCCCGCCCCTGGTACACGATTCAATGGATATGGAAGACGCTGGACGGTGTCCGGGTTGATCGGGGACGCCCGCTGCTGTTCCGCACGACGGGCACGCGCTTCCGCCTCCCGGAGGCGCCTGCGCTCGAGAACCCGCTCCTGTGCAGCGGCAAAATTTGTTGAACTCATCGTATTATCATGATGTGGTGGTCGGGACAAGAGAAAGATAGACGATAATGGGGGAGATGAAGAGGGTCGGCCCACGGAGATGGCCTATGGGTACTCGGCTTCCCCAGACGCGGAGCCGAGGTTATTTTCACGTGACCTACCCATCTGGGGAAGGATAATTGACTGGAAGAGAAGATGGCGATTGAAGAATGCGTGTGATCGTAGACAGGTACTATATCTATATTCAGTAGTTATTATAGGTACATCGTTGGTATTATCTGTGGAAACTCCCCCCTGACTGAGCTCAAAGAAATTTCATGGGCTCTTAACTCGAAATATATCTGCGCTACCCCCGCATTAGTGACAAATTCACAAAGAATCGATAGCCATTCTAGGAACATTGATTGCAGGATGTTAGACTAAACCCAAATCTTATTTCTGCCAATGAATCAATCAAGATGGGTATGATCTGAGATAACAAGGGTTGATTAGCATACTCATCATGCAGTCAAGCTGGACATAGTGTTCCAGTGTCGTGATCTACCTCAGATAGGGTTAGACAAGCGCGAGTACCATGCTTTCTAAGAAGCCAAATGTTTCGAAAACAATCTTTTATTTTGTTCTGTGGAGGTTAGCGATGCGATAGGGTCGAATTGAGTCCTACTTTTGGGAACATGAAACCCTGCTGTTGATGAGAGAGATGGCCTCGCCGTTACCAGATACTAAAGCTGATCTTGTACTAAAAAACTACTCTTAGAAGTAGGATGATTGTAAAAGCTCGTTCGATCTGAATTTAGAAGCGTTCAGGTACAATCTAGATCCAGTTATTACTCTAACCGTACAGGGGCGTCAAGGATGATATGCTCGACAGCATTTTCTGATAGGGACCACTCTTGACTACAGTCATCCCCGGAGGAGTACGGAGTACCAGGGTAGCTATGGGTAGGTCTCCTTATAACACGAATCATACGACCAAGGTCTAGAACAATCCTTCTGCCTGCTTCGATAGGATATCCAATTGCATTGGGTCTCTGTCCCACCTGGCGCAGGCACGGAGCTACACAAGACCCCGACGGGTTGCGAGCGAACATTATATTCTATCCAGTCTTCTGGAGCAGTTTTATGAGCCAGTCAGCTATCGGTAGAACCTTGGACGCTATATTGTTCGACGGTGATTGGATCAAACAGGGAATACTCGCTACACGGAAGCATGTAAGCGCTCGCTAAGAACTGATTGCAGTAGTTCATGGATCGGATGATTCCGACGATGCTCCACCTCGGCAACACCACCCGAAAGCGACAAATGTAGAAGGCTTCGAGAGTATTGAGAGGAAGGAACCACAATCGGGTATTGCGTCTTCTTCGGTATGCGCGGTGTCTTTCCGAGCCCTACAAAAGTGAGATGGAGCAGAGAAAACGTGGATGAAAGCCAGTCAGAGACTACACGTGCAGGGCAAATGTAAGACATTTGGGGGCAGAGATATTGCCAGCTCGGATATACCCCGTATATCGAAGTCTTCGAGATGGCGCCCATGGCGAGGCCAAGCATCCGCCCTGGCAATGCACGTGCCTGGCCCCACCAGGGGTTGACTAGAGCCCAGCCAATCAGAGTTCTCCAATTAACACCGTGGGGGCAGCTTCGATGATCATTCAGCAATTCCTCACAGATCAATCGGAACCGTTTCCCACTTGGTCTATCAACAATGCATCACTTGCCCCGTCGATTGTCCGTTTAGTACAATGAATACAGCTCCGTGCTAACCGGGCTGGGCAACCCTTGGCCCTTTGGACAAGCACTGGTTAAGCACTAACAAGCACTAAGCCGTACTACGCTCGTGGATACCCAGCCACTGACATCGAGATATGATTGTAACCCTGTAAACCCTACGACAGGGTCTGACTATGGTCTCACCAACCATGACTGGCCTAAACCAGGGATCCTAACTGCAGGTTCTGCTATATAGACAAAATAATAATAACGGTGCCTACATGTAAGACTGTGCGACCACGTGCCTTGGAGCTCCTTCCCGTATAAATCAATCTTTCCGCGCATCCCTTCCTTTTTCTTCTCGTGGTTATCTCTTCTCTTCTACCGTCACCCTCCCCGCCCTTTGGCTTTCCTGTCTGCCTTGACAACACTCGTTGACGTGCGACTTCAAATCAATCGCTACAATGAAGGCTGTCGCTGCCACTCTTCTGGCTGCGGCCACCCTTGCTCGGGCCCAGGTTGCAACCACCTCCGAGCCCTCGGTCTCTGATATCAACAAGGCTGCCGCCACCACTCTCCCCGAGGTTACTACCTCGGATGTCAAGGGTCTTGCATTCAACCGGTTCTACCAGGTCTGGCTGGAGAACATTGACTACGAGGATGCGGCTGCCGATGCCAACATGCAGTGGTTGGCCACCCAGGGTATCCTGCTGTAAGTGATCAACATCCCGTCCTCCGCACTTGAAACTCCCCACTGAACTTTAATTTGTAGGACCAACTTCTATGCGGTCACCCACCCGTCGGAGCCCAACTACTGTGCGGCTGCTGGTGGTGACACTTTTGGCATGGACAATGACAACTTCAACCAAATCCCCGCCAATGTTTCCACTGTCGCTGATCTGCTCGATACCAAGAGCGTTTCCTGGGCCGAGTACCAGGAGCACATGCCTTACCCCGGCTTCCAGGGCTTCAACTACTCCAACCAGAAGACCTTTGCCAACGACTATGTCCGCAAGCACAACCCTCTGGTCCTTTACGACTCCGTCGTCAAGAACGAGACCCGTGCTCGCCAGATCAAGAACTTCACTGATTTCGAGAGTGATCTGTCTGACAAGAAGCTTCCGCAGTGGGCTTTCATCACTCCCAACATGACCAACGATGCTCACGATACCAACATCACCTTTGGTGCCAAGTGGGATCGTAGCTGGATGTCTTCGCTGCTGAAGAACGACTACTTCATGAACGACTCCCTCATCCTCTTGACCTTTGACGAGGATGATACCTACAACAAGACAAACCGTGTTTACAGGTATGCTAAAGCTGTGAACCTTGCAGCGGACGGCCATGGCGGCTATCACCTTGCTGCATGCTGCCTGTGGACAACATATTGACTTTGACATAGTATCCTTGTTGGCGGTGCTATTCCCGACAACCTCAAGGGTACCAAGGACGACACCTTCTACACCCACTACTCGTCCATTGCCTCCGTCAGCGCCAACTGGGGTCTGCCATCTCTCGGCCGCGTAAGTCCGGAAATGCCTTGAGGAACGAAGCAGTTTAACTAACGGAGATTTTAGTGGGACTGCGGTGCCAACATCTTCGAGATTGTCGCTAACAAGACCGGTTATGTCAACTACAACGTGGACATTACCAACCTGCGCCTGAACGAGACCTACCCCGGTCCCGAGTCGGCCGGCGAGTACTCCAAGTACTCCCCCGTCTGGCCCATCCCCCTGACTGATGGCAAGTGCTCGGCTGGTAACGGTATCTTGGACATTGTCAAGACGACCTATGCTGGCAAGACTGCCACCTACAACTACTCCAGCCCCTACCCCTGGGACACCAAGTCCGACTATAACACCAAGGTCACCATCACCCGCAAGAATGCGACCAACACCACCGGCACCACTTCGGCTTCCAGCACTGCCTCCAAGGGCGCTGCTGCTGATATCACCGTCCCCGGCTCCACTATCGTGACCGGTGCTCTGGTGGCTTTCTTCGCTTACCTGCTTTAAGCGGGTGGCAGGTTCTACTCTGCCATTTTTGAGTGGGCTCTCAGGCTGATGAATATCTTATCGATCACAATATTTCTTTGATAATGATGATTGAGCCACCGAGAATAGCTTATGTTTCTTCCTGTAGAGGCAGGAAAGAAAGAAAATGGCTGTGATGTATTTCAATTCGACAATATGCCTTAATGTTTTAGCTACGATTCGCAATTCAATACATGAATATCTGCATACTAATTGGGCAATTAAAAATTTCGTCGAGAATGGTAACCTTCTCTCATTGATTCAAATTGTGGAGCAGCTCCTTCACTTGCATTAAACATGACATGCTAAATCCAGTCCTCAATCTATCCAGTCCTCAATCTAGAAGAGACCTTTAGAGCCCTCTCCCGACTTGATCAAGATAGTCTTCATCTGTAGGAAACCGTCAATGCTGTACAGCATGCCCTCCCTCGTATTTCCACTCATCTTATATCCACCAAACGCCCCATCCTTCGCATTAGTCGGGCTCGTACAATTCACACCCACCGTACCCGCTTGCAATGCCTTGGACATGCGCACCGCGCGATCCAAATCTTTCGTAAAGACAGATGCATACAGACCAAATTCCGTATCATTCGCCTTCTGCACTGCCTCCTCCTCTGTCGTGAACCTGTTGATCGTCACGACAGGACCAAACACCTCCTCCCGCATCAGCCTCGAGTCCTCTGGCACCTTCTCGAAGATAGTCGGTTTCACGAAGAACCCATCATTCGCATCACCACCCTGCGTCAGGGATCCGTCCTTCTGTCCAATACCCAGGTACTCCTGCACGCGCTTATACTGTACAGCATCGATCTGTGGACCGTGCGAAGTAGTCGGGTCCAGTGGGTCACCCAGCTTAACGGCGGCAAATTTCTCGCGGAACAGCGCGACAAACTTGTCGTACACACTTTCTTGTACGTAGACACGGCTGTTCGCAACGCAGACTTGTCCGCTGTTGAATTGGATGCTGAATTGTGTTTGTGCAGCGGCGGCTTCGAGGTCTGCGTCTTCGAATACCACTGCGGGCGATTTCCCGCCTAGTTCCATGTGGCAGTGCTTCAGGTTGGACTTTGCGGCTGCGGCTTGGATCTTTTGGCCTGTTAGTGATGAGCCTGTGAAGCTGATGCAGCGAACGCCCATGTGTTCGGCCAGGGCTGCGCCGGTGGGGTTGCCGTAACCGGCGATGATGTTGACGACGCCTGGAGGGAAGCCGGCTTTTTGGATAAGCTTAGCGGCGAAGATAGACTATTTGTTGTTTGCTGTTAGTTGGAATCTTGCGGATTGGAAGTCATGGTAGGTCTGGAGAGGCTTGTATACTCACTGTCAAGGGCGCCTTCTCGCTGCTCTTCAACACAACCGTATTACCCGCTGCCAGGGCAGGCGCAATCTTCATACTGAAATTTGCTAGTGGAAAGTTCCACGGGATGATTAGGCCCACGACGCCATATGGCTCCTTCACAGTTATGCTCATCAACCCGGGGTTAAAGGTACTCGCTGTTCCTTGCGAGTTCCACACTGCGTCGGCGAAATACCGGAACAGCTCGGAGGACAGGCCGGCATCGATGAAATACGAGATGGGTCGGCCAGTGCATAGTGTCTCCAGTCGAGCTAGTTCGCTGTTCGCCTCGAGGAAGAGCTCGGATAGCTTGCGCAGGTACGGGGCACGTCCGTCAACGCCGAGGTCGCGCCATGCTGGGAATGCGGCGTTGGCAGCGGCGACGGCGTCGTTCACGTCGTCGACGGAGGCTTGGTGGACTAAATATATTGTTAGAAAGGGAGAAGATCTTGTAGAAGCGTTAAGGTCTATGTACCATTTGCGATGACTTCTTTGGTGTAGGGGTAGACGACCTCGAAGGTATTCTTGTCTGAGGATTCACGGAACTATGATAGAGTTGTTAGTTTGGGTTGGCCTAGTCAGGAAGAGATAATATCTTACCTCGTTGTTGATGAATAAACGAGTTTCAATAGGTTGCGATGCTTCAGCAGCCATGATGTTGTAATGTCTTGATTGAGGACGACTTGATTATAGGACTAATGAGTTCGATTCAATGCAGACGCAGGCCAAACGAACATGGATTTGGTGCGAGACCAGCTAGATATAGGTACAGGGATCCTCACACAGCACAGCTCTTCTGGACAAGGACATGCGTCCACCCATCCCAGCGCATCGACCCGCCTCAAACCCCAAGACAATAAATACATAGTTCCAGAACGAACCGAGAGACCCACACAGGCCATGCCCCGTCCAATGCTTGCGCGGCCCAAATTTCTTGAGCTGGTGAAGGATGACCCTTCCGAAAGTAGTCATTATTGTGTCAGCTTTCCAGCCATGCTTGCTTCCGATTGGAAGTAGAATGGGTGAGCTGTCAGCTTGATCGACATAAGCCTTGGCGTACTTGGCGGGGCGGGGGGATATGTGGGGATCAAGAGAGCTTAGTAAAAAGTATTTGCGCAATTAAATCTTGGTTCTGGGATAGGGCGCCCCGGCCCAAGTAAGTTTTACCAAGCAGAGAGAGTTTATGCGGAAGTTTCAATTCGTAGGAATGGTTACATGTGGCTGGTGGCCTGATCCGAAACACGAAGCCGCGTGTCCATGGGCGTTTTTAGAGGCTTAGCCGTGGAAGTATGCTAGGGACTTTACGGGCGTAGCCCGGATTTAAAATGTGCTCTGCATATATGTAGGTGACTGCCTAGGTGGGATGTCATGGAACAATCTACTATCATACAGGCTTGGTACTTTCATAAATTTTATGAATTGGATCATGTATCGTTTTCGTCAAGAGCCATGTTGACCATCACATAGGAATGACTATTGTTTAGTCCGCAATTCCATGGTGCTTCATGGTCTGCAGGTTCAGAGCACCCTGGTCGCCAGGCCGTCTCTCGGACTGGATCTTGAGTTTATCCTCGGGGCCTCCCTGGCCTAGGAACTGATCTCCCCTAGGTAGTCTGCAGAAAAAAGAACAAAGCCGTTATCATCTGATAGACTTGACAAAGGCTAAGTCGATATGGATGGTCAATTGCTTACCTGCCACGGTCATCCCGAGTACCTCCCTCATCCTCGCGGATCTTGCGGTGATCACTGCCAGAGGCTGCTGATCCAGGGCCATACTTGACGCCTGATTGAGGGAATCGCTGATCGACCATCTCATCAACACCGGACTCAAGAGCTTTGCATTGGTCAGTATATCAAGGTCAACTAGTTTAAACGGGCTGGCATATACTTGAGTCACTCTTCCGACCGCGGCCTTGCTTTGCCTGGTAAGAGTTCAGGTCTTTCTCGGCATTGTAGGCCGTCTGACGAAGGTCATCGAAGTGAACCATTTTGCTTGAAATGTGATATGTAAAGAATGCAACGGAAAAGATGCTGGAATCTTAGGAATTCAATGACTTCGCGGATAATTGTAATGAAGATTGTTGGTAAAGACGAAAAAGAACGTCTTGATATATGAATAAATACCCTTGGAGAGCCACGCTAGATACTGCATTGCCATCATTATACATCATAGGTATGTCACCTAGCCCTACAGACACCGAGGTAGAGCAGGGAGCAGCATGCGCAAACCAGTCATCTATCTACTTCATCAGTCTCTTGAAACAAGGATGGTAGCTATGATCTACTAGTCTAGGCCCTGAGCAATATCACATTCGATAATCAATCGCAGTGACTTCATAGTTCTCCACATTCTTATCGTACCCTAACTGACCCTCCCAATCCGGAAAGGCCGAGGGTCCAGCCCTAGGGCTGGGGCCGGCTCGGCTGAACTATAATCCGTGATGGATGAGGGAACCATAGCAGGAGGGCGGTGGAGCTCCAAGATCAGGTGGGATGCCATTGTTGACGACCGAGTTAAAAGTTACGATTCGACCCGTGATCAACCCTATGGACAAGCTGTGACAAGTGATACCACCGCTCATTGCTCGTTCTCTCAGGTCGAGCTCGGATAGAGCTTCCGTCACCTTTTCGGCGACTAACCGTCCAACATTTTCACCATGGCCCCGGCAATCGAGTTGCCCGGCGAGGCAAGCCCATTGACACACCGTCATGTGGTGGATGCCTTAGTTCTGGCTGCTAGTTCCACACAGCAGCAGGTCCAAACGGGAACTAAGCAGCTGGAGAACTGGGAGCGACAGGCTCTATACCATGCCATGCTTCAGGTATGTTTGACTTCAAGCCAACACACAAGATGCTTTCAAGCTGACCCATGGAAATGTTAGGATGTCTTTCTTGACCGTTCCCTCCCCACCGAAGTCCGCTATCTCGCTATTATTCGATTGAAGCACGGTATCGACCGATATTGGCGCAAGACAGCCACCAAGTATGTCTTGAGCCGCAGACCGCCCCGCAATTTGTTCTAGGATATACACTAATGTTGGCTGAAAGCGCGATTTCCAAGGATGAGAAAGCTCAGATTAAGACCAGAGCTTTGGAGGCCGGCATAGAAGAGCCCGCCCGTCCCCTTGCTCTTCAGAATGCATTGATGGTTGCCAAGATCTTGCGTTATGAATTCCCTCATGACTGGTAAGGTGAACTTACCCTAAGCTATCTTTGTTAATACTGACCATGTACAGGCCCGACGCGATTACCTCCGTCATTTCCTTCCTTCGATCGTCGATTCAACCTGGCGCCAACCCGCTGCAGCTCCCTCGAACCCTCCTCATCCTCCTGCAAATCATCAAAGAGCTGTCGACTGCCCGAATCCAGAGAACTCGTATACACCTGCAGTCAGTTTCTCCTGAGGTGTTCCAGGTGCTGGGTAGTATCTATGTGGACAAGGTTGGCCAATGGACTGGTATACTGGAGCATGGTGGCTCGGACGAAGCAGCTTTGCTCGAGATTATCGAACAGAGCTTGGTATCTCTAAAAGTTCTGCGACGCCTGATCATCTCTGGATTCGAACACCCCGGCCGCGACCAAGATGTACAGAATTTTTGGGAGTTGACCAGCACACACTTCAGTCGGTTCCTCTCTTTCCTGGATGGGTCTATTCAATTACCGGAGTCTGTCCACACGGCCATTGAGAAGCACATTCTGCAATTATCGAAGCTGCATGTTGAGATGGCAAAGACACACCCCGCATCCTTTGCGTTGTTCGACAATAGTATCACGTTGGTCAACTCATACTGGTCATTGGTCGTCAAGTTGAGTGAGAACTACGTCAGTCTCGGCGCCGATATCGAGTCGGAAGGAAAGTCTCTGTTCGAGAAAGCCGGCCTCCGAGCCCTGCTTCTTATCAGAGCCTGCGCCAGAATGGCCTTTAACCCGGTTCAAACATTCAAATACCAGACTCCTCAAGACAAGGAGGAGCGCAAGCAGGCTGTCGAGCGAGTCAAGACACAGCTGTTTACCGACGACTTTGTGGTGAATGTTATGGAGCTCCTTGTCACGCAATTCTTCAGATTCCGCAATATTGATTTCCAAGAGTGGGAGGAGGATCCCGAGTCTTGGGAGAAGAAAGAGGAGCAGAGTACCGAGGCCTGGGAGTTTTCTATTCGCTCGTGCTCTGAAAAGCTCTTCCTTGATCTTGTCATTCACTTCAAGGATTTGCTTATCCCCCGGCTGTTGCACGTGTTCTATTCATTTGCAAGTAAGTTTAGATTGCTCACAAGTTATGGGTCTATCAGTACTAACACAAAATCCAGACACAGAGAACCGCAATGTGGTGCTGAAGGACTCCTTGTATTCTGCCATTGGTCTTGCAGCAGCCAGTCTTGAGCAACACTTGGACTTTAACAGCTTCCTTGAGAAGACCATGGTCCCTGAAGTTCAGATTCATGATCCCGAGTACAGACTGCTGAGGAGACGTATTGCAGTCGTTCTTGGCCAGTGGGTGCCAGTCAAGCCTGGTGAACTGAATCGAGATGCTGTGTACCAAATATTCCAGCACTTGCTGAACAAGGACGACCCACTGAACGACCTGGTCGTTCGTATTACTGCCGGTCGCCAACTGCGCAACGTTCTTGACCCTTGGGAGTTCACAGCGGAAGGTTTCATGCCTTATGCACAGTCAATTCTTGGGAGCCTCATGGCTCTTGTGCAGGAGGTGGATGCAGCGGAAACGAAGATGGGGTTGCTGGAGACGGTCCGGGTGGCCGTTGTCAAGATGGAGAACCATGTAAGGTCCATTACGGTTCCAATAACCCATACTATATCTAACGTATACCAGATCGTTTCCTTTTCGGACCAAATTCTCTCGCTTCTTCCGCCGTTGTGGGAGGAGTCTGGAGACGAACATCTCATGAAGCAGGCGATTCTCACCTTGCTGTCGTCGTTGATTCACTCATTGAAACAAGAGTCTGCGCGTTACCATGCGCTTATTCTTCCCTTAATCCAGAGCTCCGTTCATCCCGAATCTGTGAGTCCTACCCTGGAATCTACCGTTGAAAATTAGCCAACCTGTCTCTAACATTACTAGGATACAATTGTCTACCTATTGGACGAGGCATTGGAACTTTGGACGGCTATCATCATGCAGACACCCAGCCCTGCCTCGCCTGAAATTCTCTCTCTCCTCCCTTCCGTACTTCCAATTCTCGAACAAGGAACCGATGCTGCACCCCAAGGTCTCCAAATCATCGAGTCGTACATTCTGCTTGCGCCGCAGGCAGTTCTAAGCGACGAGTTCCGACTTCCACTTCTTGCCTCTCTGGAGACCCTACTCCAGTTCACGACGAAACAGCGCACCGGTGTCGTGGCTCGCCTAGTTGACATGATGATCCGTGGTGCTGAAGCTGTCGATGGTGGAAGCGAGGCCAGCTACAAGGCCATTTCGCAGTCCCTGCTTGACAGTTCATTCCTACACTCCCTCCTTGAGGGTCTTTATACCGCCCACGAAGCGAGTCAAACTACTGGTCCTAACCGGAAGACCACATATGTCGTCGGTGTCGTTGAGACGGATTACTATTCCGTTCTGGCACGACTTGCGCTGGCAAACCCTACCGTCTTCGCCTCGGCTGTCGCTGCTGCAACAAATTCCACCCAGGAGCAAACAATTTCCTGGCTACTCACTGAATGGTTCTCTCACTACGATAACATTGGCAGCGTGAACCAAAAGAAACTGCATGCTCTCGCCCTGACACAACTCCTTGCCCTCCAGGGCCCCTCATCCGATCCGTCCCAACCTGCCCCACCCCCCGCCTACATCCTTAGTCACTTGCAGTCTTACCTTACCGTCTGGACGGATATCATTATCGAACTTGCGGAAGGCGGCTCAGATCAGAATGCCGATTACCTGGTCTGCTGGAACGCCCCCGCCGGCTCTACAACTGCTCAGCCCGAGGTAGAAGAGAACGAGGATCCCGAGACTCGTCGCCGACGCGAGTGGGACAATGCGGATGCGATCCACCGCTTCCCGATCCGCGACTTTGTCCGACACCGTCTGCAGGAGCTGATTGTGGCTTGTGGTGGTGCGCAGCGGTTCCAAGAGGAGTGGTTGGTGAATGTCGATAGTGAAGTGGTCTCGGCGTTTGGTGCGCTAGGCCTGATTTAATCGGGGAATGATCGATGCAGAGTGTTCATTGCATGTTCAGTTTTACCTCTTCCCTATTACACATGTGCATCGTATTAGACGCATGTCTTTAGTTAGACGGCAAGACTTGGATATTTTTCATTCGTTATGCTGGCCATTTCTAGCTTCATACCCCAATCTACATGAATTACGGATATACCTGAACAAATGTTAATGAGCTAAGACCAAGGGGATTATGGGAAGTAGTGGTAGGATTAAATATCAAATAGTGACTGAAAATCACACCGTCTTTGAAAACATTATAATGTAAATTATCTCGCATCAAGAAAGAATCTTCCAGACTACACTAGGCTTTGGGACGTGGGGCCATGGTCCTCCGCCCATTCATCACACTTCTCCATGCATCTTGCTCTGTAGCCCTCTGAGAATAAGCATCAAGTTTATCTGGCACCAACCCGATTCGGCCAACGTCTCGCATCCGCTCAATAAAGACAACCGCATGTGCATCTAGGGCAGAAGGCTCCTGTAAACCAAACATCCAAGGACCAACGCTAGATTCATGAGAATTCTCCGGGAGTGTATTCGCCAAACGATCGAGGATAACTTTAGCACGACGCTCCATCTCCTTAATTGTCTCGGGTTCCGTTCCTGCGACCTTGAAACTTTTCACACTGCGCACAAAATTAGATCCCCGACAACGAAAGAGAAAGGACAATTGGGAGAAGCCCGTGAGCCAAGACTTACACGTCAAGCTTAAACTCCAACGCCTTGCGATAACGATCTGAGATGGTAGGATCTTGGAGGAGTTTTTCGATTGCTGCCGCAAGCCCAGCCGCTACACGCGCACCGCCAAAATCTGCAAAAGAAAGCGAGAAATAGTTCACTCCATGCAGCTCCTTAAGTAGAGAAGTGATTTCCTCTTTATGAATTTTGGGTATCAGGTTTGGATATCGCTCTGCAATGAAAAAGGTGATCTGGAGACTATCTTCAATCGGGGTTCCCTTCCTAGTATCTAGGACGGGAATCTTGATTGGATTATAGAGTTAGCATGATAGTCTTGTTGTGGGTGTGATTCTTACGAACCTGGCCGTATTTATTAATTTCGCAGAGAAATTCTTCAGTCAAGTGTTCCCCTTGGAAAAGATCGACTGATACTTCGCGCACGTTTAAGGTCGAAGTATCATCTTTTGGAGGCCCTTTTAGGGCCAGAGTATAGCGCACCATAAGAGCGCAGATGGAGTAGGCACCGTGATAGAGAATAGATTGATTGTCTTCCATGATTGGAAAAGAAATATGGAAGTCAAGTGAGGGATTGATGTGGTAGAATGCCCACTGTGCTTCAAGCTGAGAGAGAGAGAGAGAGAGAGAGAGATTGAGAGAGTATACTCTGCAGTAAAATCTTGTGTTAAGTATAGTGATACTTCGGACTCTCAGGAATCGACGTAGCACAGGCCCCGAAAAGAGGGGTACACCGGCTAGGAACCACTAACTGTCGGGGCCATAGTACCGCACTGGGTGATGAGTCTAATAGACGGTGAACCGAAGTTATCCGTATTGGAGGAATCCTGGTAACCACATATCAGCCCCACGGTACGTGGCAGAGTCGAGGAAAGATCGACCTCGTGATGAAGTAAGCGCCAGTACTTAATTCAGGGATCTTTGGGTAGAGAAAATAGAAAAAAAAAGCTATGCAAAGCTGGGTTTCTACGATTTGTGCATGCGAGGCTGGGATAATCCCCACATCCGAGCCTTGTCCGGTCCGGGCTGTCCCCGCTGTCTGGAGTCAAGGTTTAGGAACCGTCTGGTCTGGTCTGACCACTAAGTAGATTAATTGAAAGGCGCAAGTGCTCCTGGAGAATTTTGTGTCTCGTACTTTGGCTTGTTCAGACGGGAATCAGACTGCAATTCAAGATATGCCTGTCTTGGTTGGAATGGTAATATTGAGCCATGGCTGTGAAATCTGGGAAACACCGCACTGGCAACCTGTTGCGCAAGCAAAAGCAACTGTTAACTATTCAGATACATAATTTTCGCCCACAGAGATGTTGCCGTGTAGCCTCCAAAAATGATAGCCCCGTTTGCTGAGACTATGGACTGCTCGGCCTTGGGAAATTGCGGGGAATTCCGTCCGAAGTGAAATACTAAGACACGTTCAAACGAAGGGTGGATCAACAGACATTCAGCATTGAATTCCAGCAAGCTAAAACAACGTGTCAAAAAAAGTAATAAAAACTTATCGTCTGCAGCAGCTAGGTGACAACGGCCAGCCTGCATGAATCAGGACCCGAGCTTCCCACAGCGATGACAAAGAAAGAAACAGACTCCAAGCACCGAATACCCATAATAGAATATAGCAAAACCAATTAAAAAATTAGGAAGAAACAATCGGCACCGTTTTGCCCCTTAACACTGGCCGGGGAACTGGCGGCTAGTGACTGGGTTGGGAAAGACACCACCAGCAAGCTGCATCTGCATGTCCCACTCAGGGGCACCCTCGGTTTTCCAGGTCCAGTAGAGCCAACCACTACCCTTCTCATAAGCATCGAGTTGGCCCTCGATGAACTGGCGAATGTTGGTGCGCTCATCAGAAGTAAGAGTATCGATATTGCCAACAGCCTTGCCATCGCAGCTACCGAGCATGGTGCTTCCCTGGTAGGTTCCGTCGTAACGGGCACCGATTCCCTTTCCGTTCAGGTATTTGGCACAATCGGTCATGGCTCCAGTCCATTCTCCGACGATAGTCCACTTGTCAGTGTGAAGGACGTGGTCATTGACGAAGCTGCAGGTATTGCCGACGTGGGAAGCGGTGTTCATGGCCAACAGACCGTTGTCGAAGACTTCATAGTGGTGAGTGTCCATCAGAACGTAGTAAAAGCCAGTCCACTCGCTCATGAAACCATTCCAGGATTCGACGGGCGCAAATCCGTCATGAAGAACGACGGTAGTCTCTTGACTTGCCTCCCGGGCGACGCCCCAGGAATCATAGTAGTACTGCTTGAGGCCGTCCTCATTCACACCACCAGGAATGCTGGGCTCGTTGAGAGCTTCAATGGAAGTAACAACATCCGTATCAGAACCATATCGCGCAGCAAGAGTCTTAAGGGCTTCCTTGGTGCTTTCAACGTTGTCACCCTGCTGCCAGGTGATGGCACCACGCTTTCCACTGTTGTCAAAACCGTTCTGAGATCCAGGAGCTGAGACAAGTCAGTCAACGTCAAGCAAGCGGAATGGGAATTACTGTTGACTCACCGCCATGCAGGTCAACCATCACCTTTAAACCAGCAGCGCGAGCCCAGCCAACTGCGGAATCGAGATACTCCAGCTGACCGTCAACATATGGGTCGCCCTCAAGATGCTGAAGAGCCCAGTAGCCGATAGGAATTCGAACGTGGTTCATGCCTGCGGCAGCAATCTGGTTGAAGTCATCTTGAGTGATGAAGGAGTTCCAGTGATCCGTGAGGACAGCACGGCACTGGTCAGCTCCAAGGGTTGCGCAAAGTGACCACTCATCAACGGCGGCATCACCAACATTGTCGAAGACTGAGGGTGTAATCCATGGCTCCAATACCAGCCAGCCACCAATATTCACACCACGAACCTTTTCAGATCCGTAGTCAAAGGCAATGCCACTGCGAGAATCAATGTGAGGTCAGTGTTTATTATAGAAGTATAGAACAAAAATCTATCGTCACTCACACTGCCGGAGACGCTAGGGCCGACACCAAGGATAGCCCGAGTAGGCTCTTCTTCGAGAACAGGGACGACATTCTGATCTTCCTAGGCTAAAGTCAAATTCCAAAATTCAGGAGGCTGGGTTTTGGAATGAGTGCAAAGGATAATTCTGTCAAATGGCATGGAGATCGACGGCTATAAGTAAACTCTCGTCGATGCTTTGACTCCCAGTCGGCCGGATGCAGGGAAAAAGCACCTTCGGTGCTCGAGAACGGAAATCTCCAGTGATTCTGGGAAAGAAGGACCACACACATCTTGCGATCAGCTCGCTGATCTCCCCTCCAGTGTTTGACTAACCTATCACAGCTTCCGGGAAAGGAAGGCGACCTGGCCGAAAACAGAGGACGGTGGGTCGAGGTCCCCCTGGGGTTTCTGGGGTTGATAAACCAGACAATGGCTTTCTCAGCCGAAGGTTGTATTGAAGCTCCTCCCTCCAGATTTCTTTTAACAGCTGGTGGAGGCCTCGATCGAATAATGGGCTAAATCGAGTAGAGCTTGGGTCACAATAGCTCAGACGGTCCACACCGAAATGTGAGCTGGTAACGCTGGGGCGAAATGGAGAAGAAAGTTGCAAGGGCGAACAGAATCTAGGTCCATAGGACTTCTTACTTTGCTACCAATTCTCAAGACAACTTGAGAAGAGAAAGAGCGATGCCATGCGACCGTCCCGGCACTTACAATGGTTTCCTTGGTGGTATCCCAACTAAGAACTATAGTTCCCGATGTCCGGAATTCACAATCTCAATTGCATTAAATTCATCATTATCTGCGATTTTTGCCATTCACTAAAATTCAATTATCAATTTGACTAATTGGTCTTGACTGCGATCTCTGTACGCCATGATAACCTCGTGATATTTGTGCTGAGCGATAGACTGCCGCTTGCGGCCAAGCAGCAAGCCGCGGGCTGAGATCCGCCACGTGTGGGGAGATGTGCCCTTGCTTATGGAAATTAAAGACAATCTGGACTTGCTTCTTGGTTTTCAATACTCTTTGGGATTAATTATATGATACGAGAGAACTTCTGTCGTCGGGTTGAGGGACATAGGAAACTGCTGCAGAATATCGAGAATTACGTTGTACAGCACATTGTACTTTGAATGCACCTGCGACCGGGGTATTTTCGGCCCTAAAATCTTTCGGCTTTACTTCGAGCTAGGATATCCCGTTGATTCTCCCCTAGCGTACATTTCATGTCAGTCGAATATCTCTGGACCCAACATATAGAAACCTCGGGTGCTTCCGACGTGGGGTAGATGCAAGGTCAATCAATTGATGTCCGTTCTCGGCGATATGCCCATTTTTCCCACCAATACAAACCCATCACGGGTTGGTTTTTACTTACTAGCTTGCCTTAAAAGTAGATTCAAAAGTACCAACTCTCGATGAATGGCCCAGGCCTTGATGGATTAAGAATTGCCACAGTGACCTGTCCAAACCCCACACATTTCCTGGTCGGGTCGGGGGCAGCGTAGGAGTCGGGGACTCTTTGTAACGCTAAGATCGCAAGGAATGTAGCCCAGGAATGCACGTGTCCTACGCCAATCCACTTGCTCCAGGTTTGTTCTGAAAAATGACGTACGTCGGATGATTATGGGCTTACCCGATCGATCGGCCTACTTACTGACCTGCCCTGAGCAAGCGCCCATCCAGATACCTTTCGAGACAAGATAATATAGAAGACTTTCTACTGAGATTTTCCTGCATTGATTAGAAGATAATGAAAATCTCGCGGGCTGATATTTGAAAGCAAAATTATTAATTTCTTAGACATGCTAGGAAGGTTTTCGACGATGACAATCAATAGTAACAATATAACACGTCCAATTGATGAACACGTTCAACAAGGGCACAACCCGCCTCAAGCCTTAGAATACCCAGTGTCATTGACACCCTCATATTCCCGGAATGGCTTTGGAGGTGTCGTACTAGTCATTGTACATTGCCATAGCAGTCGTCTTTTGTCTTCGTCATCCTTGTGCTGTGAAAGCTGACCAGTGATGCTATGCATCACTCCCCGATTATGAAAGATGACCAAGTCCCCTTCCTCCCAACGGTGTGCATAGATGTTTTTCGCCGCATAGATCTTTCTTTGCATAGCATAGACTACCTTTCTCACTTGCTCGACATCGTCCATGATCGAGATCTCTCCAGTTTGGGGGTTGTGTGTGGTAAGTTTATATACACAACAACCATGGACCTGGAGAAAGGGTCGTTCGGGATTGAGTGGATTACGCCAAACCATCTATAAAGTCAACCAGTCAGCTGGGGAATGGACTTTTATATACCATGTTGGGGTCCAAACTCACGGGGTGTTCAGCGACCTTGTTCCACTCCCATTCAGATAAGTTCTCGATTGGTACTTCGCGTCCAAAAGTTGGGATTGTCAGCCCATCTTCAGAAGCTTTGCACTGTCTGATATACTCGTAGGCTTGAGGTGCGTATGTCACTGTGGTATTGAGAGCAAACTCCTGCTCCTCCGGAGACAGAAGTTCAAACGCACGAGCGCCCGAGAAGACTAACAATCATTTCCATTAGAAGGGTGATCCTTTGTCTAGACTAGTTTGTTTCAACTCACACGCAGTAGCTCCAGCAGCAATTTCCTTCTCCTCTCCGCCAGGAAACTTGATCTTTTGGTCGGACATCTTGGGGATTCGGATCGAATGGAGGATAGTCACTTCGCCCGGCAATCTTTCATAGAAAGGAGTGTCCATGTGCCACCTGTATGGGCGAGTATATCCCTGGTCTAGGCTATCCTGACTGAGAGGCTCCTCGTGAAAGAGAGTATGGTCCTATGTTTCGGGTCAGCCAAGTTAACTTCTCTCCACAAAGGACTGGAGGACTGACCAAGTGCACGACCTCAAGTTCTTTAATTCCCTCATAATCCTGGAACTTCCCGGAACCAATAATTCCCACTTGCTGAGCCCTTGGTATTCTGCCAGCTTTGTATGCCGACAGAATGTTCTTTGGGTTGCTCACGGCTTTCTCGCCGGCGGAGTGAATATCAGTTGCGTTGGGATCAAAAACCTTGGCAAGCTTAGGAATTGCAGTGGGGTCAATTCCCTTCTGGTTTCGGATGACAACAACTTGGTTCTCAAAGAGTGCCTTTCTCAAAGTTGCCTTGTCCGCATCATTCAGCTCCTCGGGGCTCACAATCGGCATCCCTGGCGGCAGCTGGATTTCTGCTCCAATGGCCGAGCTTTGCCGGATTGTGTCCGGCAAGAGTTCAAACGTCAGGCTAGTCGGTTCAGGCATTTTGAGAACAGAACGGTTGTGTTTGAGTCTAAAGGTTTTTGTTTACCAAATTTCGTTGAATATTCCGGTGTCTTATATAGAGCTGTGTAACCAAAAGAGTGCGGATGGGATTGGGGGACCCACCCGCTCAGACTTGCGTCAACAATACAGATTAGATTGAAGAAGCTTATCTGTAGATCTATAATCCCCAGATAAATTATGGTGAAGAATAGTCCGTTACTGAGTATTAGATCTTATCTTAACGGCCGGGTTGACTTAAATCGCCCGCAGCCATCGTCTGGTTGACAGAACGTGACTCGGAGACTTCGGGACATATATAGTGGCATCCGCATACTGAATACGTGGATTTCATTCTCAAGCTATCCCTTCTTTAATCAGCCTTCCTTGTCTCAAAATGACTACTTTAACGATCTCTTGCAAACCGCTCACGAAGTCAGCCGAGTCCCAAGTGGACTTTGGGGCTGAGCTCCATGGCCTGAACATGGAAGAGTTGACTGGTAAGCTCTTGATGATGAAATAAATTGGCGACTCGGGCTAATAGCATGAAGATGATGATTTTGCCATACTACACAAAGCCTTGTATGAGCATCAAGTTGTTGTGGTCAAAAACCAGCAGAATCTCTCCCCGAAGGCGCAGTACGAGCTCACGCGACGATTCGATCCCTCCGCTGGAGTTTACAGTCATGGGAAGTCTATTGACAAGCGGAGCGTTCTTCATCGTGATCTGACCACAATTCCTCGTCAACCACAAGTCCAAGTCATTGGTCATGGTTTTGTCAAGGAATACGAAGGGCTAACCAACCTCCAATTGAGACACCCTCATCATAAAGCCTTCCACAAACACCCCATTCCAGAGGATGAGGATGAGGGTTTCACCCACTTCTACCGGTGGCACATTGACTCTGCAATGTATGATCTTGATCCTCCACTTGCGACATCTCTCCTGGCTGTGCAAGTACCCAAGGGACGGCGCCAGATCTGTCGCTATGATGATGAGTCGGGGACCAAACTTGACGTACCTCTCGGAACGACTGCCTTTTTCAGTGGGTACCGTCTCTTCGAGCTGCTATCAGAGGAAGAGAAGCATTTTGTTCGCACCAGCAAAGTCGAATATGCTCCCCACCCATACATCTGGATGAGCAAGGCCAAGTCCCGCTCCAACGGTCTTGGTATCGTCTCTGAAGGTCTGGAGTTGTCGGAGGAAGAGCTACCTCCCTTTGAGGACGAGAAAGTCAAGATATATCCAATGGCATGGAAGAACCCCGTTACCGGAAGACTGGCGATGATGGTCTATCCTACTTGTGTCCGAAAGATTCACCTTGAAGATGGAAGCATCTTGGATAATCTTTCCGAAATCCGGGAACGGCTGTACCGACTGCAAAGGCGTGCGATTGATCCCCAGTATGTTTATACACACGATTGGGAAGAGGGTGATCTCGTTCTTTTCAATAACCACGGGGTTATGCATTCAATTGTCGGTTCTTTCAAGGATGGTGTTGAAGTGAGGTTGTTTAGGCAGTGCAATATGGCGGGAAGTCGCCCACCATTGGGTCCTGAGGATATTTTGTGATTTTCAACCGAATTGAAATTTAGTGCGGCAAAAGAGAAGCCATTCGATGCTCATTTAACAACTTTTCAGGTAGTCTTATATCAATTTAAAGGTATCAATTGATTCAAAAGGCTCCTTTTCCGAGAAACATTGCCCAACGAAACTTACAAATACACTACCGGAGAGAGCATAGCCGATTAATTCTTATACCGATCTAGCGTTTCGGCTCAATCCGACGGCAATCTTGCACAAATCTGTCATAGATTTTAGTGTTGTCAAGCTAGAAAATTCTCGAGTCACGCCCTATGCCTTGCCTACACATCGGTGGGAAGTCCGCATCCGTCATCGGCTGCCTAAATATTGTGTCTACATACTTTCTATACCCCGGTTGTCTCGCGCTAGTAGGACGGGCGCTAGCCCTTCGCTTACAGCAATGGAAGCCGCTCAATGGCTGGTCGTTACAACGCGTCTCCGCTTGGCGTCGCGATAAGATTGCATTCGTCCCACGTGTTGAGCTTAAGAGTGATGATTGCAGCTTCTTTGATGTCTCCATCTTCGGGTCTTCATCATCCGATCATCCGGGAAACTGCAGAATCCCACCAAAACTACCGACACAGAGGCGACCCAATCGGATGACGTTTAAGTATACGAAGCTATACGACGACAACAATGTATAAAAGGCCCAGGGGCTACGGCTGGCAATGGGGTATTGTGCACAGGCGTATCAATCGCAGCTGTAGCTATGGATAAGCTCAAGTCAGTAATTCTGTCCGTGGCAATGGCCACTGCCGTCGAGGCAGGTGCTATTAACCAGAGGGCTACGCCAACTCAGCCTGATTGGTTCAAAACCTCGCCCGATCTCTATACTGGTTAGTACCGAGGAACGTCTGGTATAAAGCGATAGTGCCCTGATATTGATTGACGACTAGGTACTGTCGCGACTGGTGCTGCTCCTTTCCTGGCTGAGATTAACCCTGCGCCTTTCGGCGATGCCACCTATGTTCCCAATGCTCCATTGGAGACGTCGGAACCAATTGATGGTGCCAAGGGACGGAACATCTTCCACCTCATGGGTGATCTGAGGTAGGAAGAATTGTCTCGTGAACCATATCCATCAAATTGCTTACAGTTCATTAACAGTCCCTACTTCTCGCCGTCTGAGGGCTTCGGAGTGAACGAGTACCCCCTACCAAAGGGTGCTAACATCACACAGATGCACATGCTTCAACGCCACGGTGCTCGATATCCCTCATCCTCGGAGGGCTTGGATTCTTGGGGCGCTGGTATCGTCAATGCTACTGCCAAGGGAACTGTCTTCACAGGCAAGCTTGATTTCTTGAACGACTGGTCATACAAGCTGGGCAAGGAGATCCTTGTTCCCCAAGGTCGTCAAGAATTGTTTGACGCGGGTGTCTTGAACTTCTACAACTATGGCCACCTGTACAATAACACCACCTCCAAGATTGTTGTCCGCACAACCCTTCAGTCTCGGATGCTTGAGAGCTGCGAGAATTTCTTGGCCGGCTTCTTTGGCCTGAACTGGAGAGATCATGCCAATATTTTGGCTACCGTCGACCCGGCAACAACTGGAGAGTACACTTGCACCAAAGAGGCGACAACCATGATGGAATCTATCGAAGTTCCAGTCGCTACCTGGATGGCCACTTATCTCAAGGAGCGAACGGCCGAGCTGAAGCTTCTGACTGGCAACTACAACTGGACGGTTACCGATACGTACCACGCTCAGGCTCTTTGCCCTTATGAGACCATCAGTCTCGGCTATAGTGACTTCTGCCAGCTTTTCACCTACAATGATTGGGTGAACTATGCGTACCTCATGGATATTGAGTTTGCGGGTCTTTCCGGTTTCCATAGCCCCACTGGTCGTGCCCAGGGTATTGCCTTTGTTGAAGAGTTCCTGGCTCGCGTTGAGGGTCATTTGCTTAATGTCCCCGCTAACACGACCGGAGCTAATATGACTCTCGACACGAACCCTGTCACCTTCCCCCTGAACCAGAACCTCTACTTGGAGTTTACCCATGATGCCAACATTGTCTCGGTCCTGACTGCTTTCGGACTGACTCAGTTCGCTGATGCCCTCCCTCTCACTGGCCCTACCAAGGACCAGCAGTTCCATACCAGCCGCATTGTTCCATTCGCAGGACGTCTAAACATTGAGATTATCTCAGCACCGCACAAGGTCTCCACTAAGCGCTCATCTAAGGCCACCAAGAAAGGCGACTATGTTAGCGGTACTAGCGCGACAAAGTACGTTCACTTCATTCAAAACCAGCGTACTATCCCGCTGCACTCCAGCTTTGACGAGTGCGAGTACCGCGAGGATGGCTGGTGTGAACTGTCGACCTTCCTGAATGTCCAGAAGCAAAGTCTGAAGAAGGCTCAGTATCAGTACGCCTGCTTCGGAAACTGGACCATGAAGAGTTGGGGTGCCGTTAAGGATGGCGTTCCTGCGTAAGGCATGCATGATTCAATCCAATAGAAAAACTGCCTCGCTGCATGTCGAAGATCATTCCATGGTCGTCGCACTTGTTGCTAGTATGTACCATCACCTCGGATAGAAACATAAGCTTCTTTCAACCACTCCTCATCGGCCCCTTAAACGAGTATAAATTTAAAACAGTCTCCATTATCCTGCATCTTATCTCCTGTGGGTAATAAAGGTAGCAAAGAGTAGTGAGGATGTGAAAAGGGTGTTCTTTCTTAGACATGAACATAGACCTAGTATGGAGCCCATAGGCAACGGGAGAACAAGAACAATGGTAGGAGTACTTCGCGTGATACTAGCTGTACACGAGAAAACCAGCATCCTAGATGACATTTTATACTCTATCAAAATACAGTATATCAACATCAAGCCATAGTATATCAAAATACTGTATCTCATCCCCAGCAGACGTTCACTGCCATGCCATTTTTTTCTTTTACTCTAGACACTGTGTACTCGGTCTATTCACCTTACCAACCGATATCTGTGCATGAGCTCGGATAATTCCCTTGTAAGCACGCGATTCCCAGCTCGGTCTCAATATTTCCCGACAATTCAAAGCTGAGTACCTGCCCAACAGGTACACCGAGAATATCAACATCCATTTACTTTCCCCGCATCTCCTGAAATCATCCACGCTAAATTGTTGAGTATCGCATGTACACCGCTCCATCAAGGATCATATTTGCCCCAGAAAAGTTCCAAATCATGGGACAACTCAAAACTCCGGCCCGAATTAGGAATCCGAGCATGCTAGCAACGCGACGGACGCCATTCCCCAATCCGCATCCAATAGGATGGGGGCGATCGGCGGGCCAAGTCAGTGCCGAAGATGAGGGGAAGCCCCGTGCTTTTTTATATTCTTCCTTGGAGCCGCGGGGTAGTTATATCTCTGATCTCGCGATGGAACGCTAAAGTACCACGTCAGTGTTTAATAGTTGAACTTTGAGCACGGATGGCTTGATATTGGGCTTGGTGGCTGCTTGAAAATCCACCACGCCTTTTGAGCCTGAAAGGGAGGGGGGCCTGATCCGTGCGGGATGCAAGGGATTCGACATGCATAGGAATGCTTTGGAGAGGTTAATTTGGTTCCTTTCGAGAGGAGAGTCAAATATGGATTTAATAGCTCAAGCATAACATTGTCGCATTGAAGATTACTGTAGATATCCTGACATGACTCGATCTAGAAAGGGCGACCACTCGATGGGATAGGAAGGTGCATATATACAACTTCTGGTATTGCCTTTTTAGCGATCGCCGATGATTCTCCACTAGTCTGCGACCAAGAAACCAGGGCCTTGTTGCTCTCAAATCAACATTCCAATCTGCGCCCTGATTTGTCGGACAAGGTCCGCTGCATGTCTAAAAAGTTGATCGTCGGCCTTCTCCCTCGACTCGATACCCGGTCATCCTGGCTTATGTAGTCACTATCACCGAGTCAGTAACAAGATATCCCAGTCAGTTGTTTATCGACCTCTTCCAATCAACATTCTATCTGCCAATCCTTATATATTGAACCTAGGGATCCATAAATCTCCCACGTCTCACATACACGCATCAAACATTGCGTTCTGACGTGTCTCTGACCGCCATGCTAACTAGCTAGCTAGCTAGCCAGGGATGGTCTGGGCAGGTTCTCCACTATTTACCAGCCAAGTACCAGCAACGACCTTGTCGGTACTCACACATGCGCTGGCCCACTATCCACGGAGTAAGCGGCATCTAACTACAACGTTACTTTTCCCAGATCGGAATCTCCCATGCATTCTCCGTGCGGGGGATGAGTGGCTCCTGTGGAGCTAGGCCTGGTATAGTCTGGGCAGTGCTTGTCCAAAATGCCGGTCTAGCTGCTCACTCGCAGCCCGCAGGGGGGTCCAAGGGTCTTTCATCCCGTCCGTCTGTGTTTTCACTTGGGTTTGGCAAGAATGGTGCAATTGCTCGGCGATTTCGACCGTGTTCCAGTCCGCGCTCATGTCCGAGACGCAGAGTATATAAACGCGGGGATGTGCTCGGTGGACAAGAGCAGATCTATTCTCCGACAGTCAGTCACTGCTATTGGCGACTTCTTTTTATATTAGTGATTTTAAGCATACCTCGGTGGTGGTTGAATCATGCAGCTGCTGCGGAGCATTGTGTTCTCCCTACTGGCAGCAACCAGTGTGGCTGTTCCCAGGGGAGATGATAGTAGACACCAGGCCATCCAGCCTCGTTCTGCAAATGCAAAGTATGCCCTGAAAGAACCGCCCCTCACGACTCCATGGACGGACAAAGTGGGAACGGATCCCTGGCCTGAATATCCGCGGCCACAGATGCAGCGGTCGCAATGGCAGAACCTCAACGGAATTTGGCAGTATCGAAATGCCTCCAGTCTTGCTGAAGCCCAAAATCCCCCATTCGGACAGGATTTAGGACAAGAAGTATTGATTCCATCTTGCTTGGAGAGCGGTATTTCTGGTAAGACCTTGAGTTTTCAGTAGCCAGTCTAGAGGGAGCTTATCACTTACCAATCTCACATAGGCATCCAGGGAAATTACCATTTGTACTCGTGGTTCTCGAACTCGTTCAAGGTTCCGGCAAACTGGAACGGTCAGCAGATTCTGCTCAACTTTGGAGCCGTCGACTATGAGGCCACTGTCTTTGTCAATGGAAAGCAAGCTGGCTTCAACCGTGGCGGTTACTTCCGCTTCACTGTTGACGTGACTCAATTTGTAAAGCCCGGCCAGCAGAACGAACTGTGAGTTATCTGAAGAAGTGCTGGATAGACAGATGATTAATTGTGATCAGGCTCGTCTTTGTGCACGATCCTACCGACTCAGAAGACTATGTCATCCCTATTGGCAAACAGACACACCACCCCAGTCACATCTTTTATACACCCTGCAGTGGAATCTGGCAGACTGTCTGGCTAGAAGCTGCCCCGGCCAACTATATCACACAGCTTGATCTCGACGCTAACATGAACGGTCAAGGTGAACTCCTTTCAATTCCAATGAATGATCGATAAAACTGACCACGGCCTTTAGTCAACGTTACGGTGCACACTTCGGCCGCCAATACAACCACCAATGTCCAAGTCATTGTGCATGACAATGGCGATGTAGTTGCAACCCACCGTGGGCCATCTAATCAGCCATTCCAGTTCAACGTTGAGTCGCCAAAGTTGTGGTCACCAGACTCACCCAAATTGTATAATGTCACGGTGAAAATGGGTAAGGACCAAGTCCAGAGCTATACCGGATTCCGGACCATCTCAAAGGGTACCGTTAATGGTGTCGTTCGACCTCTTTTGAACGGCGAATTCATTTTCATGTTTGGAACTTTGGACCAAGGCTTCTGGCCTGATGGCATCTATTTGCCCCCCACCAAGGAGGCGATGGTTTATGATCTGAAGATGTTGAAGAATCTTGGTTTTAACACGGTCCGGAAGCACGTAAGTACTCGTCAACAGCGTCTCCTGCGAACATACATACTGATAGAGTCTGCAGATCAAAGTTGAGCCCCAGTTGTTCTATCAAGCGTGCGATGAACTGGGTCTTCTGGTTATTCAAGATATGCCGTCGTTGCGACCATTGCAGAGCAGGAGACTCTCGGATTGTACAACGCAGACCATCCTGCCCGATGCGGCTCAGCAGGTCGAGTTTGGGCGTCAACTGGAGGTCTTGGTCAACCAACACAAGAGCTTCCCTAGCATCGCGACCTGGGTAAGAACCCAATACCTAGTATATGAATTATCGAGGACACTGTACTGATAGAAGCTCATAGGTTGTTTACAATGAGGGCTGGGGCCAGATCACCAGCTACTATCCCGAGTTCGAGCTGACAGACCGGGTCAAGCAGTTGGATCCCACTCGACTGGTGGATTCCACGACTGGCTGGTTTGACCATGGCGCTGGCGACTTTAGCGTAAGTAGTATACTCGCTGCCAATTTGTGAGGATTTGTCGCTTACGGAAGACAGGACAATCACCATTATGCCAACCCTCAATGTGGTAGTCCCTTCTATTCAACCGACTCGAGCCCGTATGATGACACGAGAATCGGTCTTCAGGGCGAATTTGGAGGTCTCGGAAACAACGTTTCTATTGAACAGTGAGCTTTCCAACCGTCATCTTGAGAACAGAGCTCTTTTACTGATACATTTCAGTCTCTGGAACGTCCAAGCTGCTATCAACACCATCAACCAAACCTATGAGCTTGACCAGACCATTGAAATTTGGAACTACCGCAGTCACATCATGCTTGCTGAGTTGGAAGACCAGGTGAAGCGGTTCTCGTGCAGTGGAGGTATCTGGACTCAGACGACTGATGTCGAGGGAGAAGTCAACGGTCTGATGACCTACGACCGCCGTTTGGCTCGTGTGGACGAGGCACAGTGGAAGGCTGACATCCAGGCTCTGTATGATGCTGCTGCCGCACGTGGCAACGCCACCATGTCGACGCACTAAGCAGGAATGAGGGGGAAGTGTACAGACCAGATTTATCTGTATAAGGTTTGCTCGAGTATATTAACAACTCCGTATATTGTTTCCTATTCATCCAAATCTCGCTCGTAAATTTCCACATTCCACATCCTCGCCGTTGCAATTTCCATAAGGACTCTGGTCCAGATCATCTAAGAAGTGTGTTGAGCTAGGACACATCACATCCAAAAATCTTTGGAAACACCACCCAGTTCATGGATAGCTCACATTGCCTCCTCCAATTTAAGCATTGATTCCCAGTTGACTGTGTGATAAGACCTCTTCTGTACCCGCAAAGCGCCAAAAAGCGGGCAGTCGTAGGTGTCACTTTCTTCATCAAACTTAATTTGATTAGCTTGGCACGTCAATCCATGGGAAGCTTAAGAGCCAGTGTCCAAAGCGTTGCAGAACGCGGGGCAGACACGACGCCTCAACGGCCAGAAACCTGCATGGCAACGTCTAGACCATGCTTTTTGGCAGTGATCAACACAAGCATTGCTGATCGTCTAGCGCGGCTGTTTAGAAGTCACTCTAGCGCGTCTCAGGTTGAAAGCGGAGCCGTTGGAATGAGGCCAATGGTCCGAAGCATAGCAAAATGGGCATTTTGGATCTATCCAAGGAAGAAGAAGAAACAAGAAAGACGAGCAAATGGCGGGTTGGCCTCTCTTTTTTTGTATACCCCTATTTGCCTGAAGAAATTTCAATTCTCACTATTATTTTTATTTTCATCCCCCTTTTCTCCTTTCTGTCCAACCGGAAGCCTCCCGGATCAGCAACTCATCAGCCCATTCGACCGAATCCACCCGAATCGAAAGAAATCGGCTGTTAGCATCAGGCCACGCCATCACACGACACCGATTAGTGTATAGCGCTCGTCAATTGGACGTTTGTAAGCGTTCACCGTTCATCGGGATGGGGCCGCTTTTCCTCTAGTTCATCCTCCGTCGTCTGCATGTCTTTTCTCGGGACCCACTGGCAGCCGAGCGGTTCGGAAGTTTTTTTCTTTCGTCTTTTTATAATTTTAGGTTTGGTCCTTTTCCCCTTTTCTGTTGACATTATCTGCTAGACTGAGCCACAATCCTTTAATTATATCCAGAGGATAATTAGTTGATCAAGGTTTGTGTTGGAATTGCATTACTTTGAACAATACCCGGCATTTTCATTCGAAATCGTTCCACGCTTGTCTGCTCCACGCTTTCGGCTGCTTCATTGTATGTAATGGATAGCATACTTAGGCAGCACACAAAAAAAGTTAATAATGTAAACAAATCCTTCGTGCCGAGCCGTCGGCTCCGAGTCTTAGTGGACCTGATCTCCGTAAGAAAACGAAACCGTTGAGGGACCGCTGCGGAGTCTGCAGAGTTACTCCGTCACGGTGCGTCAAACGGTGAAGCTCAACCTGGTTTCTGCTCGGTACCGTGGGGGCCTAGCGTCGACATAGATGACAGGATAGTTGGGATTTTGAAGCGAGTGATCTATCCATTCTTTAATTTCTGGTCCAGATTCGAGGATTACAAAGCCATGGCAAAGGAGACCAAAGCGCCACGGCACGGCATGCCGGGCAGTGAGACGCCCTGTGATACGAGCGGTTCTCTTTCTCCGCATTTCCACGTGGTCGCTTATTTTCATGGTCTACTTCATTCTCGTTTGATATTTCTCCTTTCTTCGAGTGGGCTGCTCCACGGCCCTCCATGGCTGTCTAATAGTTTGGGCGGTTTTTATGGTAGAGAGACGTAGGTGGAGGAGATTGCAGGGATCAGCCCACACTTGCCGGGGGCTTTGATATCCGCCCGGAGTCACAATTCCTGTCCTTATGTTGTGGTCTGATTCGACAGGTATCCTTGAGCCATGCGTTGTATCTCCATCACCAGGCGGGAGAACTATCGTCTGAAATCGGGATATCTCCCCCTTCTTGGAAAGAGTTCCACTCCACCGCTACTTCTGGTGACTCCCAATTTGGGTTGGATGTGCATTGTTCTTCCGGTGTTCGATCGTGGATTCGTGTAGGATAGCCGGATCGGGCGGGGGGAGAATACGATTGCGATCGTGCTGGTGAGTATAAAATGGGCTGGTTTGTCCTCGCCGTACGAATTTCCCACGATATGCCCCAGTTTTGGATCTCTTGACTTTGCCTGAACCGTGGCTCTAAGATCCCTTTTGCCACTTCTCTGATCCTTCTAGAAGACTTTTAGAGTCGTTCGTGGAAGCCCCGGCCCACCCCATACTACCAGTACTCAGCCCTCTATAGTAGTGCTGTCCACCATTCATCAAGATGCCACACGATTATGGATTGGGCCCAGGCTTTGAGCCTAAGCATATCGACCGGAAGTCTATTTATGTCAATCTTGAGGAAAGAATCAAATACTTGCATGACTTTCTTGACTTTAACTCTGGTAAGCATTCTGCCCGACTATGGTTATCACCTCCATACCAAAGCTGACGTGTGTTGTCAACCTATAGCCGACATCGAAGCCCTCCAGGGTGGAAGCAAGTACTTGAAGCAACTCATTCCCGCCGTCGTCAACCTTGTATACAAGAAACTCCTTCAATATGACATCACCTCGCGTGCATTCCACACCCGCACAACCGCCGACGAGACCGAGCCCGATCAAGAATGGCTGGATGAGGAGGCACCAAAGATTCAGCGACGCAAGATGTTCCTTCGTTGGTACCTCACCAAGCTGTGCCAGGATCCCACTAGTATGGACTTTTGGCGGTATCTGAGCAAAGTCGGGTAAGTTGGCTCTTGTCCACCGAACCCATCTAAAAAGCGCTGCTAACTGGTGAATTAATAGTATGATGCATTGTGGTCAAGAGAGGTTACATCCCCTCAACATTGAATTCGTTCACATCAATGTCTGCATGGGGTTTATTCAGGACATCTTCATTGAAGCCCTTCTATCACACCCACATATCTCACTCCGACGTAAGATCGCGCTCGTTCGGGCCGTCAACAAGATCCTGTGGATCCAGAATGATCTATTTGCCAAGTGGCGGGTCCGCGATGGCGAGGAGTACGCCGACGAAATGTCCGTGTACAGCTTTGGATCTGGCAAAGAAGGATATATTGGTGATAAAAAGATCTTGGGCAGCGACACCAGTAGCTCTGCCGATGACGACGCGGCCAGCATTGTGAGCAGCATCGCGCCGTCGACATATACTACACAAACCATTCAGACGTCGCATACCAATGCCTCAAAGACTTCGGTGTGTCCCTTTGCAGACCTTGCCTCCAAGGGGTCAGCCACTGAAACAAAAATCTGGGCCAATTGATGAGTATGAAGTTGGCGATGGGCATGGCATATAAAGGCACGTGGGAATTGGGGGGGGTTGCTATACGAATACCCAAATGGTTATGGGGCGTTGGGACAAGTTAGATTCATAAGGGTGTTTCATTCAATTCACTTTTTTACTTCATCAAGGTCCTCTATAAACGTTTGTAGGCTGTGATAATATATGTATACTCCTACAGTATGCATACTACTGTATGTATGTGGGGCGCGGAATTCCCCCGGCCACGAATCCCTGCCACCCGCTTAGTCATCTCAACCTTGAATGGGGCTCGTCCAATGGAAGCGAACTTCTCTTTTCGTGGATGTGAATCTCGGGACTTGTCCCCCACTCGGTTCGCGATTTCGGGCAGTTGACCTCCTCCATTCTGGCCAACCGGGGTTCCAGGTTTTATAGCTTCGCGGACATATCCTCTATCCCACCTTTGGTCCGGGGTTGACCCCCGGAGATACAGTCGATGGCCGATTCATCGGTTGCCTGCATCCACTCCCTCCTCCAAGTGCGTCTCCACATCCCTGTATTCGGCATGATCAGCTACCCGATGTTTGATGGGTTAAAACCAACCCCTCATCCTGCAACTTCTCCCCTTGTCGAACCCCTGACTGCATAATCTGGTACCTTTTTTTCACAAAGAGAATCGCAATGTCTCAGAACGACTCCAAGGCGGTGATCCCGCTCATCATCAACAATGAATCCGTCGTGACCGATATTAAGTTCGAGGTCCACGCCCCCGCCACCGGCGAACTGTCCAGTTACTGTGCTGGTGCCTCGGTTGACGATGCGGTGCGCGCGGTCGACAGCGCAAAGGCAGCCTTCCCGGCCTGGAGCAAGACCAAGGCTTATGATCGCCGTGATATTCTCCTCAAGGCCGCCGAGATCATGATCTCGCGCAAGGAGGAGCTCATCGCATACCAGCGCGAGGAGACTGGTGCGGGGCGGCCCTTTTCCGAGCACACCTTCAACATGGGTGTCAACTTTATCAGGACTTTGCGGGCCGTATTTCCACCATCGAGGGTGTTGTTCCTAGTGTGACCTTGGATGGCGAAGGTGCGATGGTTTATAAGGAGCCCTACGGTGTGATTTTGTCAATTGCCCCCTGGTAAGTCTTGTATGCCCATTGAATGCGGCTCCCCGTAATGAGCAATCTCGAATTCTTGGGCCTGTATGTCACTAACCTCGGATCTTTTGTGATTTCCTTATAGGAACGCTCCTTTCATCCTAGGCACTCGCGCAGTCGCTCTCCCCCTCGCTGCCGGTAACACTGTCGTCCTTAAGGGTTCCGAGCTCTCGCCTAAGTGCTTCTGGGCCCTCGGTGATATCTTCCGCCAGGCTGGTCTTCCTGATGGATGCTTGAACGTCATCTTCCATCAGACTTCCGATGCTGCGGCCGTCACGACCGCCCTTATTGCTCACCCTGCCGTTCGCAAGGTCAACTTCACTGGCAGCACCAATGTCGGTTCCATTATTGCCTCGACTGCTGGCAAGTACATCAAGCCCGTTCTTTTGGAGCTAGGCGGAAAGGCTTCCGCGATTGTCTTGGACGATGCAGACCTCGATAAGGCTGCCATGAGCTGCGCACTTGGATCATTCATGCATGTAAGTATAATATGTTGCTTTTTCGCTTGGATCATTATACTAATACCCTGTTTAGTCTGGGCAAATTTGCATGTCCACTGAGCGCATCGTTGTGCAGCGTGCTATTGCCGACGAGTTCCGTCAGAAGGTCGCCGCCAATGCCGAGAAGCTCTTCGGCAAGGATGCTCCAGCTTTGGGACTTGTTAACGCTGCTGCCGTCACTAAGAATAAGAAGCTCGTTTCAGATGCCGTTACTCGCGGTGCCAACATCCTTTTCGGAGACGCTAGTGCCAATGAGTCTGTCAACACCTGCATGCGCCCTATTATCGTCGATGGAGTCACCAAGGAGATGGACCTGTATGCGACCGAGTCTTTCGGCCCCACCGTGTCCTTGATCGTCGTCGACACCGAGGATGAGGCCATCGCGGTGGCCAATGACACCGAGTACGGCCTGACTGGCGCCGTCTACACTCAAAACTTGTTCCGCGGTCTTCGTGTCGCCAAGCAGATCGAGTCTGGGTAAGTAACCGGATCCTCCCGGCTGTATCAACTCATTCCTTTTCTAACCCGGGCGTTGCTCTAGTGCCGTTCACATTAACGCCCTGACCGTTCACGATGAGCCTACCCTGCCCCACGGTGGCTGGAAGAGCAGCGGTTTCGGCCGCTTCGGCGGTGTTGCCGGCTATGATGAGTTCCTGCAGACCAAGACCGTCACCTGGATGGAATAAAGTCAAAAAGGCCAGGGACGAGGGAATAGGATCCACACTATGGTAGGATTTTGTGAGCTCAGCAGATTCCGGGGCTGAGCTGGCTTAGCTTGGCTTATTAATTGGGATAACTAACTAACTACGACTAAATCGAATTAGTCGTATGATGCTAGGGTGGCCTGATCGATCTTCATGATCGAAATAAGCCTAGATGCCCAACCCCACTACAGATAACGTCAGACGGTCAGGAAGTGATGGTTCTCTTCGGGCTGTGATTCCCCCCCATGTTCAATTTCCATTTTTGAAAAACATTCATGAAATTTATGATACCTCTCAAGCTCTTGATCTCGCAACAATAGGTGGTGCAAACTATCAATCGCATTGTTCTTCTCACACCTACTCACTTCCAACAACTTCCCCAATAGCCCTTGCCACATAATCAACATTACCCTCATTCAATCCACAGATACTCACTCGGCCCGATGGCAAAAGGTAAATGTGGAACTCGTTCCGTAGGCGCTCAACTTGTTGACGACTCAGCCCTGTATAACTAAACATCCCAATCTGGCTCTCAATATGCGCCCAGTCCCCGGCTGTTCCAAGCTTTTCTAATCTTCGCCGAAGCTCATGTCTCATCTTCTTGATCCTAGCACTCATCGTGTTCAAGTCTTCTTGCCACTGACTCCTAAGATGGTCATCACCAAGCACAGTCTGGACAATACTTGTCCCAAAACGTGGCGGGTTGGAGTACTCCGATCTCGCGATAGCCATCAATTCCGATTGAGCACCTTGAGACGAAAAATGACGAGGCACAACCAAATGAAAAGCTCCGATACGCTCACCATATAACCCGAAATTCTTCGAGAAAGACTGCGCAATGCAAAGACCAGGATGCGTCGCATCTGATTCCGCATTTAGAATCAATTGCTCAACAAAGTATCGTACAGCCCATGCATCACCATCAACATCTCCAGTCGCGAAACCCTGGTACGCACTATCAAACACGACGAAAAGATTCTTTCGTTTGATAACGTGGACTAGTTCTTCCCATTGAGCCTTGGATAGATCCACGCCCGTGGGGTTGTGTGCACATGCCTGGAGAATCACCACGTCATTGAGTTCAGCTTTTGTCTCCAGGGTATTAAGCATCCCTCCCATGTCCACGCTGTGTGTGTCTGAAGAGTAATACGGATATTCTTCGTGCGGAACACCGGCCATAGTCCAGATAGACTCGTGATTCACCCATGTCGGGGATGGGATGAAAACGCGTTGTGGGCGGAGATGTTTCGCCAGGAAGAGTGCTGCCATGTGGTTTGCGCCGGTCCCTGAAACAGTCTGGATACTTGCTATATGCGTTTTGATTGTTTCGGAGAGGTTGACTCCGAAGATGAGAGATTGGGCGTGTTTGATGAATGTAGGTGAGCCGGCTATGCCTAGATACTCGTGGTTTGGGTTCTTTTCGAGATAGGCTTTTGCCTGTAGAGCACATTAGACTGCATCCGGTTTTCATCGCTTTCCGGGTATGAATATTACCTCTTTCACACTTGGTAGGACCCAAGGAAGCCCATTCTCATCCCGATATGCGCCTGCAATCAGGGACACTTTGTGTGGGTGGGGGTCCGCATCAAAATCGGCCATCAGGCCAAATGCAAGATCTGCCGGAGCAACTGGGATATCAAGATATTGTCTCGCCATGGTTGGGTTTGATCGTATCTGGTTCTTTCCAGCAGCGGCTCGATGATGTTGTTGACGTTGAATTCGGCAGGAGATAGCGCGGCTTCGTAGCAAATATGACCAAATCCAAGAGATTCAATGAATGCTTTGAACAGAATTGGTCAGTGGGTTTTATCGTGATTCAATGCTTGTTGTACTTCAATTGGAAAGGTTCTATCTACCCGATCATCTAGTCGGTGACTCGACACTTTACCGAAGGATAACATATTATCGTCTTGCAGAGCCTATCAGCTGTGTCCACTCGCACACTTTTTTCTCAGCTACTTAGTGGTAATTTCTGGTCGCTGGTTCGAAGTCATAGTACAAGACACTTATGTGTCGGTGCTTGTTCTATGCATACTGTTGAATGCTCTTGTCTTATATATCAGCCATCATTTTCTCCAAGGGGTTTACGGGCGATTGAACTCAATCCAGAAACAACTAAAGAGAATAGAAGACACCATAGGGAGATTCTCGGGTTTCGTGTGTATATTGTGCATATCCTTTTCACTCGATCAGAGGATCGTGTAGACTAACATCCAATCGGCCATTAGTCACTTAGCCCTACTTTCCACAAGTGGTATATATCATAGAACTGCATCGCTGCGCCCTTTAAGGGAGAATTATACTCATTATAGTGTGATCTGTGATCCTTAAGCTTGATGGACTGAATATACGATATTATACGACTGTAAAGAGAGAACCCCCTGGTCTGGGTAGTTTGTTGATTCCACTTCGGCGAAGTGCTGTGTCCCCGAACCAATTATCCCGACGACACTTCACCGGGTTCACGTCTCCAATCTAGATATATGGATGATAAATCATAGTAAAAGAGCAATAATCTTGCCGAATTGAGTTATCTTGCCGAGAATTTTCAGCTAAAGTCTGTAGGGTAGGTTATACAAAGCAGGATTGGTGCAAGGATTCAAGATCTATACCCGGACATCAAAATGTTCAAGTCGAAAGTGATCATCCCGACAATCTATTTCCAATCCTCGCAATATCCTTGGCTTGATAGCCTTCGGTCTCACTATCAGCCACGGCGCACGAATCACCCTTCATTCACCAAAGTCAAGACGGCACAAATGTACGTGACGGAAAACGAGAAGCATTCACCGCAGCCACGAGTTGACCAGAACGCAGGCCTAGTTTTGCAGAAAGTCCATGGCTACACAGCCGGGCAATAGAAGACAAAACTCAGATATGTCATCCACTGGGTCTACATCCAGAAGCACGTCCTAGGTCAGATGTCATATCTGACAGGCGCGCAACATCGAAAAAGACTGACTGTCACCTCTACGGTCCTAAAAATCATCGTCTACAATCCCCTCGCTAACACCATTCTATCAGCCAAATACAAGGGCACGCCAGTCCCCAACTCCAGCGACAGAATGCCACCGGCGCCCTATATTGACAGCGACACTGGGACAACTCAGTCCCCAGCCCAGTCGATATCAAGCCGGCTGCTGACAGCCAGAACCTAACCGTGCCAGAGATCGAATCCCACTGGCTCCATCACAACTCACAGCTCCAGGCCTCAGCACAGGGAGCACAGCGGCAGAGATGGAATATGGCTTGGGGTTAACAGGTTCGCGCGGCTATAAAGGGGCCTTGCCATGGTTCCAGCCCTTTGCCAGGGAATCTGATCGAGGCGCTGGACCAGGCGTGGAGGCGTTCTCGGCGGATTCCTTGGATCTAGACCTGGTTTACATACGTATGATACGGTAGCCTCGTTGTTCGGGGTGGATGGGAAATCGCTACATAAGTACGTAGTGCGTCCTTCAGTGCGGTGTAGAAGTCGGCAAGCACGTCGTACGCAGGTACAGCATGTACAGTACTCGGTACGAAGGGAGGCCTAACTAGCTCAGGGCGAGGGGGCTACCGCTTGGTGAATCTCATTTCCACCAGGCACTGAAAATAGCATAGAGGCGGGCCACGGGCGAGCGAGACCATCCGCCAAGCACTGTACTCTCAGCCGCTCGAGGCGTTGTCTCAAAGAGTCCATGTGGTCGGGGTCAGCTGGCGATCAGACCTGTTCCATAATCATACATACAGTATCCCTCGCCAAGAAGGCAGGAACAGGGCAGGGTAAGACGGGGGCCTGAGTCTTCTCTTTGCCCCGTTTGTTATCGTATCAAGGCTCGGAGCACGGCGCCGAGAGGGAAAGGGTCCTGGAGACTGGAGAGGGGCGCTCGGAGGTATTATGATGTATGCATGCATAGACAACGCATGGATACAGAACGAGCAGAACCGGATTGATCCATGCAGGTGAGAAATGGAATTCGCCCCCATTTAATGCAGGTCCAATCGCGATCTAAGATCAAATAGATCGCGATTTAGCACCGGCCACGCTATGTAAACGGTATGCGGACCGAGTCGGCTGCGCGACCGTGCTGTTCACGGGTTGAAAAAAAAAAGCAATCATATTCCACGAGTGGAAACCGAACGAGTGATTGCTAAGACACGACAAAGCTCACGACAAGAGGCCAGTGGAGGAAGGTGGTTAGCTCGTGAGCACTTGACTACTATTTTGAGCTCTAGGAGCCATGGACGGGGACTCAATAGTGCCAGTGCCGGTTCGAAAAACGGGGGGTGGACTGTGGAATCATGCGGCGAAAGTTGGGCAGCGCGCTATCCAGCGCCCTAACCCGTTTAACCCGGGAGTGTAACTGCGGCGAAAAGCGAGAGAGGGGCAAGAAGACCACTGGAGTGTCTAACTTTTGACTTAACCCCGAGACAGTTTAGCGGGCTCTCCACCGGAGTTGAGTTCTTTCAGGAACAGGAAATTTTGCAGCTGCGGCGAATGACCGTGCGCACTACTGAGACACTGCAAATTTCCCATTCCGTGAAGGCGCCATCAGCCACGCTGACTTGATCTGTGCGAGGTTTATGGCTGTTATACCGTATGGGATTTCGTGGTGGTATTCATTGTCGAGCGAATCCTAGTGGTTGGAACCCAAGCACGCAACCACAGCGTGTGGCCCCCCCGGATGGTGTAGTTGGGATGTCCCCGCTGATAGTCTAATGGAAAGGCTGCCCCCTGATCAACGGTTGATCTTGAACCGGTGGTTTTGAATGCACCGATGAACCGGTGGGATCGACCCTTTGGTGTGGCTTGAGAGGAGGGGGATGGGCGGGTGTGGAGGTGGTGTCCATGATCATCGTGAGATGATGTTATAATGGTCGGTAACTTGTTCAAGCAAGAGTCAACTTGGGGGGAACATGACGGTAATGTTTCCAGGGTCTGGCCCCCCCGAGGATGACAGGATGGGACAGGCTGGCATCCTCACTGGCATGGGTCAGGGACGCAGGATCGTAGGGTCGTAAGGAATGACACGAGGCGGTGGCGTCCAGTCACCGTCTTCACCGTCCAGTTGACCCGACAGAAAAAAATACAGACACTCCAAATACATACTGTAGTTCTACATCACTGATTTTACTCTTTCTTACTTCTCTACTCATCGAATTCTGCGATCTACTCTGGAAAAATTAGGCGTATCCATTTCTCGTTGCTCAGGGTCATCATTTCAAAAGGATCCATCGCATCCCTGCGAGTCAACGGTTTGACCGGATATTCTCCGGAGGGACCACGAGATGATGTCCCACTTAGATCTCTGTTTTTTTTCTGTTTTTGCTTTTTATTTTGTCTTCTTTTCGTGTTCGATTACCCGGTTATTTTACTTTTGGGTCTAACGGAGAACAGATCATCCATGGAAAGAGTAATTGCACCGATCGCATAATAGATCACGATCACGACCATCATAAGTAGCTTCGACATACTGTAATTCCCGCCCCTGGACAAGAGTATTTTTAACCTTCTCCCCCCATTCCATACTCATACCAAGACTTGTCAAGGACGGCAGATATTCTTCCATTCATTTCCCGCAAGGCACACTGGCCCAAAGCATGCTAGCTTAGGCTCGGCACTGGCATTTTTAATCTTACGGCCAGCATTCTCGAGCAAATCAGGGCCCGCCGTCCCTGCGTGATTAGCCTGGTTATTAGCCTGGTTATTAGCCTGGGAATTAGCCTGGTAATTAGACTGGTAATTAGCCCGTAATTAAGTGCCCCGTAATGAAGGGCCTTCCCCCCCCCCTCATCCCGAATAACCGTCCATTAAGAGAGCATTTCCCACGATACGACAGGAAGTTGTCCGTAGTTATGGAGATGATCTAGGGTCTGGACTCGAAGAGAGTTTGCCAGCCTTGTGTATTTGGTCAATTTTACCTAAACTAACAATGCCCTCTAGGTCAGTTGAGTAACTTCCCATAGAAGCACAGAATTTACTCTTCTTCCCCAAAAACCAGACTAACCCGCTTAGCCACAGCCGGGGAGGTCCGCATGCCCCCACGAGGGCAATTGAAGCATGGCACCGTCGTATTTCATGCGGCTACAGAGTATGTGCCTGGTATTCTTGTACTGTCCTAGTATGATGATTATTATAATTATTATTATTATAATTATTATACATCTCTTAATCGCCATGAGGACAGGTAAGACGCCTTAAAAAGAGACCAATCTCGTGTCCAGTGACATGTTCCTGCAGAGTAGTCTACTCTAGAGTATACTCCGGTATACTTCCTCTCGTTCCCCTATCCAACCAAAATAACCAGGACCCCGTCGCTTGGAAAAGTAGGCTTTTCGACGGGACCCCACTATGACCGCAGACTGGAGCTTGGTTGGCTTGCAACATGCTTGGCAAAGGGCCCGATGGGGCTCTGAAATGCAGCCTGTCTCTCTCTCTCTCTCTGGTAAAATAAATCAGTCATCTCCGTACAGAGGACTAACCCCAAAACATACGTAGTCCATGGAGAGTGCCCCACTAAAACGGGCCTGTCTCCGTGCTTCCGTCGAATATCAAAAGGCCTTGAGTTTAGTAGGAAAGTAAAAGTAGGTACGGAGTACTACCGTACTACTCTGTACGGGGTGACCCCCAGCTCCTATCATTTCCCCTCTTATTAGAACTTCGCTGCCCTTTCCCTTCTTCCCTTTTCTTCTTCTCTTTCTCATCCACCCACGGTCATTCTTTCTACCCAAGTCGCTCTTTGCTGCCTTCGTGCACTCCAACCTCTTCCCAACTTCAGTCACTCTTTGCAGTTCTCTGCCTAATCATCCCAAATCCATCACAATGCGCTTCTCTGCTGCTGCTCTCGTCTCTGCCTTCGCGGCCCTCGCTGCTGCCTACACCACCCCCGACTACACCAAGTCTCCCGAGGGTAACGCCATCCGCTCCCCCAGCCTGGACGAGCAGGTCCCCGAGGGCAAGCCCTACACCATCAAGTGGGATCACGACCTCGGCAACACCGTCTCCATCGTCCTCCTCCGCGGTCCTTCCACCAACGTTGTCCCCATCGAGACCCTCGCTGAGAGCATCCCCAACTCTGGCGAGTTCGTCTGGACCCCCAGCACCGACCTGACCCCCGATGTCACCCACTATGGTCTCCTGATCGTCGTCGAGGACTCCGGTGCCAACCACGGTGCCTACCAGTGGTCTACCCAGTTCGGTCTCTCCAAGGCCGAGGGCTCCACCACCTCCTCCTCCGCCGTCATCACCTCCCAGACTTCCCAGACTTCCCAGACTACCGCTGCTGCTTCCTCTTCCTCCAAGCTGACCATCGTTACCGTCATTGACGATGTCACCACCACCTACTGCCCCGAGGATGAGGCCAGCTCCACCGCCGCTGCTGCTTCCTCCACCGTCATCAGCTCCTGGGAGGTTACCACCACCATCTGCCCCGAGACCACTGCCGCCCCTACTGCTTCTTCCTCCCGTGTTGGCGTTGCCCCCGTCAGCTCCAGCACCCTGAAGAGCACCCCCTACGTCGCTCCCACCAGCACTGCCACTGCCACCGCTTCGCCTACCTCCACCCCCGCTTTCAACGCCGCTGGCCGCAACGTCATCTCCTTCGGTGCCGTTGTCGCCGGTGTCGCTGCCTTCATGGCCCTGTAAATTTGAGACAACTCTCTCAAAATTTAAAAGGGACCTGCATGGCAGGGGCGCGTGTGACCACGTGAGGATTGTGATGTAAATGCGATGTGTCGTATCGCGACAAGAAAAGCCACCCTCCACTCCTAATCAAAGTGGCAGGGTGGTTTTCTTATCATCTACCGATCGATCTTTTTTCGACTCGCGTGCACCCCCTCTTGCATTTTATCTTACTTTTCTTATGACCTCGTCCAAGAATCTGGTTAGTGTATGAGTTAAATTATTCCCCCGCGCCAGTACATTAATGAGGAGGTTTTCGACCCTTTTTTATCCTGAACATATTATGCAAAACTCTTTCTATTTTTTTGGTCATTTTATCTTGAGCTGGGCTTGTCTGCGTTTCAATACCATGTTTTTCTTTCGGATCTTATGTTCAAGGGAATCCAAGCCGTCTTGGCTTGTAATGTCACGTTCCATGCCTTTTATGCTCTGGTTATTCTTAGTCTGTTGTAATCTGTAGAGTAGATCGAGACCTCAACGGTCGATGTAGGATGTAGATTGAAGCGTGGATACAGCCGGATGTCTAGGTAGTTTCATGTTGAGACCCACCACAGCCTTGTAGGGAATTGTTGATCTTACTCTGGTGATGATCGTCGCCTTGATATAAGCTTCTTTGGTCGTTTCAATTTTAATCTCCGTTCCATCACGACGGAAGATACGACCCAATTAGCCGATTGAAGGCTATTAATGACTGTGTATACTGATCCTCCCCATGGAAATCAATAATTTCTATTCACTTCCAAGAGTTTGGTTCTCGCTAAATGGCGTGCCGTGTAATATCGTTTTATTCTAAAGAGCCCTTGCATAGGCATAGAAGTGTCTTCGTCTTGCGAGAAGTTCCAGGTTCATTTGAGCAAAGGATGGAGGCGGGATGGCTGTTGGCAAAACCATACCATCGCCTCCATCTACAATTTGCACATTTCAGCCAATATTGTCAGAAGGGTTTACCATGCATCATATTTCTAGATTAGCATCATGTGTAGGGCGATCGTTATTGCGAGAGGGGTTGGCCCTAAAACTCCTCGCCCAGTATCGCCCAACCTTCCAGTGGTGGTATATTCTGAACTTGGAATGCGATCTTTTGTCAGAATCCACATTATATTCCTACTAAAAATCTCAACAGCACTCATCATACCTTGCATTATGTATGTAAAAATGCTATAAACAACATTACCCTCCAAGTATACCACCTTGTCTTGTTTACACCCACACAACATCCGCTCATGATTGGTCCATTCCCCAAGTATGATTTCCCACTTCCCTCCAAACCACGTGACACCCGATAAGTCCACTCCGATAAGGAATTTTCCCCGACAACGACATCCTCATAATTCTCATTCCCCTCCCAGTCTACAAGCACACATTACCCATCCGGCTCAAAATCACCCCGTGCTGCTGGCAGTACTCGCCTCTTTCAAATCTACTATCGATCCTTCAAGCGTTTCGCTCAAATAAATCATGGCCCAGGGTCTGTTGAAGAAAAGCAAGCCTGCTACGGCAACCGCTAAGCGGTAAGATTTGTCTTTCCTCGCACGTCAAGCGAAACGAAGAGATGCAGAGAGGGCAGGAAGACTAACTACTTACTCTGGATAGATCCTCGCTCGCAGCTTCCAAGACGAAGCGCGGTCCGCGACAGATTGCGCCGAAGAAACAGGCTCTTATTCGACAGGCGAAGATGACCAAGGTATGCATATGATACCCCCGTGTGCGGGCGTATCTTTCTCTTCTTTTTATAGGACGATAATTCTGACGGTTCATCTTTATAGAAACTCACCTCCGGACTGGTCACGAAGACGGAACGCAGTCTTGCTACCAAGGCGGGTCATTTGGAGTTGCTGGCTGGTGGTAAGAAGGATAAGGCTGACAAGGCCAATAAGAAGAAATAAGTTGTGCAGGCAAGGATTGGACCTTTTCGGTCTTGGTTCTGTGTTAGGCTGTACTTGATATGTGTGTTGTGCGGTACTCGATTCGTCCGTGTCTAGGTCGTGCTAGCGATGCCCATCTTATAAATGTGATACCCCGTTCTTCTACATTGGTTCCTCCTTGAAGAGTGTCTCTTGCCCTAGAGGCCAGTCCAGGCACTGCCATGTCATCCAGATGATTACGGTGCGTTGTCTAATATGTAGACTGCCCTATAGCGGCTCCCACCTACTTCATTACCAAAGACTTCAGGATGCTCTAGTCAAAGCTTCAAATCAACTCTCGCGAGAAGAAACAAAGTATGTAACACGAAAGTCAAATCCATATACAAACGAATCCAAAAGCAGAATTCAATCGCAGAGTGGGGTAGGTCCATGTTGAAGATGAGCCAACAAGATCTGTCGATATAAAAAGCCGGAAGCAGAGATCATAAATCATAAACGGATGGGAGGGTGGTAGAGAGAAGTATACTCCAAAGAGGAGTGAAAAGTGATGAGTATATCAGTAGTCGTGATCCATCCAAGGCACGCAAGATCAGAAAAAAAAATCCAAACCAAAATATAAACAAAGAAAGGAAATGAGAAAAGAAAAATAAGGGTATCTATAAGTCCAACTCCGATGCCGCCCACATTGTCCTTTGCCATATAGTGCGCTGAGGCAGTATAGCGCTCCGTTCCGTGGCCCTTTAGTGTTTGGAGACCTTAGCCGGAACGCCGGCCTGCTCAATCAGCTCCTGGCCACGCTGCAGCCAAGACTGGAATCCTGCATCGGAAGCATCGGATGGGAAATCATCCCAAACTGCGTTCTCCGAGTCCGCGTAGGTGGACCAGATTCCCTTGGGCACATCGGCGGTCGACCAGGATGGCAGCTTTGCCAGTACGCAGGTGTAGTAAACGTACAGGATGCGACACAGGAGGTCGACACGGTCGATGTAGTGCTGCTGCGATGGGTCGGGGGCTTGACCACCGTCACCCAGACGCTTCCACCAGGACACACGCCACCGCAGTGTGAGGAGGATCTGGCCCAGTTCGCCCAGGAAGCGAATGTGGGTCTCGTGCGAGATCTGCTTCCACTTGATGTTATAGAAGTCGCGCTCGAGTTTGCGGAAACCCTCCACTTCGAGCATGCGGCAGACAATGCGGGAGAGTTGTGCGGCCAACAAAATGTCGCGTCGCTCTTCCGGATTGTTGATGTCCATGGGGCGTTCCTCGCCATTGCCGTCGAGAGGGACGAATGTGTACTTGGCGCGGGAAGGCATGTTGTTCCAACGCGAGAGCAGAGTCTGTTGAACGGACATGTTAGTGGATATGGGTTTTTGTGATGAGAGGGTGTGTGCAACTTACGTAGGCTTGGGTCATCGGGTCACAGTCCTTGACACAGGACAACCAATTCTTAGACTTGTCCTTGGACTCAACGATACGACGGTCAATGAAATCGAGGAAAGTCGACTTCGAGTTGCCATTGTACTCGCTCAGGCCTTTGAGGAACTTGTAGGTCTCGCCGAGGTCGAGAATGTACAAAGAGCCCCAGCCCTGGCTGGCACGAATGTTGAACCGTCCCTGGCGTTCGTTGAGGAACGACAAAAGTTGACTCAAATCGAACTCTGATGGGATTTCCATCCGAACTCTGCTAGCGCCATCCACCGTTGGGTGGTTGACAGCTCGTTGAGCTAGATTTAGTTAGCTTATTTGATTCTTGATTGGCTTGAGGATGAAGAAACGTACAGATATAGTTGCAAGTTCCAAACTCTACGATGCTGGAGAAGCAGGCACGGGCGCAGGGTTGCTCGTTGAGGGTGGGTCGGCAGGCATCGCATGGTGAGCTTCCATCACACTGTTCTAATTAGTTTGTGTCATAGAGTAGACCCTCTGGTTTTTTCAAAACTAACCTTGCGCTTATTCAACCGGCACTGGACACAGGTGTCCTTGTTCTTACGGCGCAGGCCGGCATTGGCGCGCCCGACCATGCTCAAAGGACCCTTACGGCGAGCGCCTCGTGGAGGAGAAACGAAATCGGCAGACGCGATAGATCCACCCTGTCCATCCTCCTGGACGATCTGCAAAGGCTTTGGCAGAGCCTGGTCCATGGAGGACCCTGCAGAGCGGTTTTTGCGCTTCCGCACAGTAGCCACAGACTGCATGGCAAGAGCCATGGGGCGGCCCGATGGGCGCTGACCAGCCGATGAGGAGGCCCGGGATCGCGAGGGGATGGTGCTGATGAGAGATTCGGGAAGGGTCTCGCTGACCATGAATGCAGTAGCCTTGGCCATCGACTGCGCACTCTCCGGGGAGCTCGCATCGGGAGTGGGAATCTTCCACTGAGCATCATCTTCCAATTGGCGATCCGCAAACGCCGGAACATCCTCACTGGTGACAGAGTATGAGCACTCATAGATTCCAGAAAGGTCGCCTGAAACTGAAGAGCTCTCTGACTTGTACTGGAATCCGTCTTGCGCGGTCTGCCCGTTCTTCTGAGCAGTGTGGAGAGCCGCCGGAGTCATCTGCGACACGGGGAGTTGCGACTCCAGACTGTTCAGCCATCGGGACTCGAGCGATCGAATGGATGGTTGGAAGTCGCGCAAACTATGGCTCTTGGCGTTACTCTGGTTGATCGCCAGCGGAATGGGTCCTTGTCCGGGGATGTTCTCCAAGGAAATTCCATGGGGGACCTCGGGCCACTGATCTGCCATCATGGGGAACGATGGCGGGATCTGCTGGAACATGATGGCCTCGGCCGAAGCATCCGAAAATCCTTGACCCTGGGGCATTTCTCCCACGTCCTCCACGATCACGGCGCCGGTCGAGTTGTTCGGGGCTTTGCCATACGGGAAGAGCATCGGGTGTTCGAGGTTCACGCCGGCTGCGACCGAGTTGAACAGTTGGAAGTGCGGCCACGTTTCCTCGGCGTGGAAGTTGTCGTCGGCCGACGAGGGCAGCGTGCGAGGGCTGATAGTGCCGCTACCAGTACCCTCGACAACGCCATCGGTGTAGTTGAAGTTCTCCGTTACATCGTGATTCCTGAAACACACAGGTCGAACCCCAATGTTAGTCATGTACCATGTACCTCGTATCGCGCTCGTATCGGAGCTTACACCTCCGCGGCGATGACTCGGATGAGGATGGATGCGCACCTAGTATCCAGATGCTGGATATCACGGGAGCGATCAAGCAGCGCACCCGTGAGGGGGGTCGTGAAAAGCGCCTAGGTCGGCGACATCGGCGCACTGGCTTGATTCCTGGCTGGTATCCCATTCGGGAGGTTGATCGTATCCAAGGTGTTCCCACGAGGCGACAGAAAAGGCACCGTCGGTTTGCCAATTATCGAGAATTTTGGGGTCGATCCCCGCAGCCGTTGCAGCGCTTCCACAGTCCATTCAGGGTAAGTTGGGAAGGTGTCGTCGGTTGCCGACCAAGCCGGAGCAAAGATCGCAAAAAGACCGGGAGAGTCTTTTGCGAACTTTGCGGGAGTAGAGGGGGTAGCTATAATTATCGGTCGCGAGACGGGACCGATGAGCGAGAGTTGGGATCGAGGACGGTGGTGGTGGTGGGTTGATCGAGGGACGAGGAAGGTGAGATGATGAAGGTCGAGGGGAAGAAGATGGCTGACTTTCCCCACCACAAAGTTTTGCGTGTTGCGATCGTCTCTAGCGTGTCTTGGGATCCGCACAGACCGCCGTTGGGAACGAGTACGGAGGTGTATTGTAACTCGATTAATCTGGTGGAAACTGTAGAAATTACTTTTAAGAGAGAGAAGAATGTATGTTGATGTGTTGTGAATATAAATGGGTGCAATACAAAAAATGGGGTGTTGGATATCTATGCTATACCAAGACCCCGTACACGAAACTAGTGAGTCGAAGCCAATATGCCAAGTTGCCCAGTTGTTACCTGCAGGCCGGCCTATTGATCGCCGCACGAGGTGGAATGATCTTACGTGAGTCGATCAGCAAATCGCCCCTGATAGCCCTGGATTTGTAGTGAGGACCCGTGGGCTCTTTCCATGGGTCATACCAGGCGCGAGGGGTTCATTTGATTAATAACCCTAGGTTCTTTCCAGAAGAGAAAAAAAAATATGAATCATATCCAGACCAGAGACTACCGTGTATACCGTAGCACCGAGCATGCATGTCATACTACAATCTACGGTAGGGTTGGTATAGAGTTAATCTACTTCTGCCCTAGTACTCCGGAGTAGTAGTATAGTAGTATACTCCGTGCTTAAATAGTCCAGAGTTGATACTGGATAATTATCTAATTACCCTTAATTATCCTAGCCCTATAGTCAAGTATACTAGATAACTACTGGTGAATTGTGTACTGCAGTTCTCGCCTCTTGGCAACAAGGTTTTGCCCTCTGAAGTATAACCTGACTATTCTAGAGTATAATTCGCCCCCTCAGACTCAAAACTATACAAACTCTTCAAGGTTCCCTCTACTATGAACCCAGGAAGAATATCTTCCATAGAAACCCTTCCAACTCTAGATACTACTACTCCTAGGAATAAATCTCCGCCTATTTACCCGCTTGATATATCTCTCCTCCGTATTCTTCAGGCCCTAATCTCTGCAGCGTCACCAGACTCGACGGATCGGTTCACCGCAGACTCCATCCGGCCCTGTTCCTCCCCAATTGCCGCTCCCCGCAGCCTGAACAGCTTCACCGTGCCCAGCCAGTTTCCCCGGTGTGTGTCGGTAATTCAAATGGCTCAATCCTTACCCAGCAATTGGTTTCTTTGCCCCCTCTCCCATATAAGTACATAATACCCGTGGAGATGACCAGTTCTTTGAATTCATAGTGCTTTTCTTTGGTTTCTTTTCGATATCCCTCAATTCGCATCTAGACCGCAACGGACCCCGCGGGAAGACTTTCAGCTTCGACGAACGAGATAGAAATCGCGCTTTCTATCTTGATTTTCAGCTTACAACGCTAAGAGAGAGACAAAAAAAAGAAAAGAACGGAGAGAAGTCCGAAAGGAATTCCATATACGCCCTTGGCGCTGAGAAATTCGGAGTCGTCTTGATAGTTCATCATGCATATCCTGGTACGTATGGAAAAGGTTTCTTCATTGTGGTCACGAGAGCGTTTCTTATCGCGACTCGATTTCCATTATTCCCCTTTCGTTCTTGTGCCTTGTCCTGGCAATGGCAATCTAGAGAAGATCTGCGTCATCTATCTGCACTGCCAAGTGTCAAGCATGACAAAAAAAGAAATGCTCTAGTCGATTGGCGCAGGCGATAGTCGCATCTCCAAGAATATGACCGTTCTACTTCTATCCTGGACTCGCGCATCCCCCCAGAACTAAGCAGAACTACCCAAGCAAAAATACCCCAGACGCTAACCCTTGCCAACAGCTAGTCAATGACGATGGCCCACCCAACAAGCGCCTCTCGCCCTACGTGCGCCCTCTAGTCGACGAGCTCCACGCCGCCGGCCACCAAGTTTCCGTCGCCATCCCGGCCTCCTCCCGCTCATGGATCGGCAAAGCCCACATCATCGAAGCCTCTCTAACCGCAAGCTTCGTCCACCCAGACTCCTTCCACGACGACGGCTCCTGGGACGAACACTACGAGCCAAGCCCTGAATCCGCACACCTCGCCGATTGGGTGGTCATTCAGAACGGCACACCGGCTAGCTGCGCCCAGCTCGGTCTATACAATCTCTTCCCGGACCGCCCGCCAATTGACATTGTCATTTCGGGCCCTAACCATGGTCGCAATGCCTCGACTATTTACAATTTATCCTCGGGGACGGTCGGCGGTGCCCTCGAGGCTGTGTTCTGTGGTCAGCGCGGTATCGCGATTTCCTTTGGTAGTAAGGATCCGCAAGCGGCGGATGTGATTGCTGCTGCGGCGCGGCATGCCGTTCGTATCGTGGATCATTTGCTTGGCCATTGGGATGAGCGTGTTGAGCTGTATAATATCAATGTCCCCATGCGCATTGATGTCGAGACACAGCCCGTCTTGTATACGCGTACTCTGCCGTATTACTGGTCGCGTGGCTGTTTGTATGCCGAGGCCGAGCCCAAGCCTACGAAGATGGTTAATGGTGCGTTGACGAATGGTGTTCACAAGGAGCAGCGTGATGAGGTTGCCGTCAATGGAGCGAATGGCGCAAATGGTGTTAATGGTGTCAACGGCGTGAATGGCGTCAATGGCGTCAATGGACATGTCGAGGCGCCGAGCCGCAAGCAGCGCCATTTCAAGTGGTCTGCTGATTTGTCGGATATGAAGAAGAGACTCCAGGAGAGCGAGGAGGGTACGGATGCACACACCGTCCTCAACGGATCGACTAGGTATGTCCTGCAATGCGAATCGCAATACACGCTTTGCGATAGTCTTTACGAAGATAAGATGCTAATATGTGCTTTACAGTGTGACCGCTCTCCGCGCCAACTTCTGGCACGTCCCCGGTCTAGACGGGCCGCTGCACCTGGATCAATAGAGATCCTGACATCTCAGCATCTCTTCAGGTCTAAGATTGAGATCTAAGATCTACACAAGGATCAGGGATTCAACCTTCCACCCCGAGGATCACACATCCCCGACACGGCTTTACGAATGCATAAATAATGTTTTCTTTCCTTTTGTTTCGTGTTCCGACCCCGGCGCAGGGCTATTCCCCATATTGCATTGCGGCACATACCCCCCCATTTTGGATCTTACGCGGGTTTGGCTTTCGATTTTCCGTCCGAAGAGGAGCAGACATGTCCGCTGGCGCACTTGTACATAGAATGATATATTGGAGGGATTAAGGTTTAAAAAAGAATGGACTTGACATATGTGAAAGACATTGATCTCGTTGACGTCTGGATGCTGGTACTAAGAGTGTATGGCCTATTTGTATAGTTCGGGCTAGCTGAAATGTCGTATCCTAGCAGGTTTGAACGGTGTAAGAATGAAGAATGGAGGGGAATTGGAAAAGCGGAAGCAACTCGAAAACCTGAGGGTGTATCACATAAAAAACAGACCTATCGCCCGCCCATCAACGACAGAAGTATAGAAACATAATACTTCCCCTTCTCTACAGAGCACGAGCAGCCTCTCCAGCGCCACTATCCACGGTGGACGCCTGCTCAGCACGCATCTTGCCCTTGCCGACACCACCCTCACCTACACCCATCCGGCGCGCGACATAGCGCTGCGCAACTACACCAGCCGCCAGCGACAATGTCTCCTCAATCCACTCGGCGACCCACTCACGGGGATCGACACCACCGCTCTCGACAATCTCGGCAATAGCCTCGGGGACAACGGCGCGTGAGAGATCTGCATCGTCGGAGTCCGGGTTCTCGGCCGCGGGGGCCGATGCATCGAGCCATTCGATCCATTTCGCAGGCACGCTCTGCGAAATGGTATGGAAGGCGATGCCATGCACGGGGTCGTGTAGGTACAAAGCAAAAGAAATCTCCTCGTCCGCCTCGGGGGGTTCAACCACGCCGGCTGTCGTAGCTTTCTCACCCGATGCACCGGCCTGGAAGAGCTCCGCAGACACGGTCTGACTGATGGCCTGGATGGCGAGGAAGATATCACTGCTGCGCACGGGGTTCGACTCGCTCAGGTCCTCGCTCGCTTGCTTCGCTGCTTCTTCGATACCGCCCCGAGTGGAGAAGTATTCTGTTGCGTAGCTCTCGGCGCTGGCGCGGGCGAGCTTGGAGGCCTCAATAGCACCGCGCACGGCGTTGACGGTTCGCGGGGTGCCGGGTGTTACGCTGCGCCACCAGGGTCCGTCGTTCCAGCCGGCGCTGGAGACGTAACCGCCCACGTCGAGGCCGCGCTTTGGTGCGGATTCTTGGCCGCGCTGGATTACGAGGAGGTCACCGCCTTCGACTTGCGACATGACTCGTGAGAAGACTGCGTAGACGATCGGGTCAATACCTGGGTAGCCGGAGAGGTCGTGGGTGACGTGGATTTGGAGGCGTTCGTGCGAGGAGATTGGAGGGGCGAGGGTGTGAATCAGATTGGTAAAAGTTGGAATGGCCATGTTGCGAAGCTCGCCGCCTGTGGGAGAAAACGGTCAGTCAGGGTTCTCCATAGTATAGTAGGGCTGCTGCAACGGGGGTTGTTTCTACTTACCAAAGTCACGCAGGGCACCAACATTGCCCTTGACTTGCTGCGCCCACCGCTGGGCTTCCTCGTTATTCTGGATTTCCTTGACAGCAGCTTCGGCCTGCTTCACAGCAGCACCAGCCACAGCAAAGAAACCTCCCCACCATCCACCACCCTGACTCTGCTCTTTCAGTGGGGCAGCAGCAGGTTCGGGTTCCTGCTTTTGCTGTTCTTGCTTTGCGCTCGCACGAGGAACCTCCGCTGACAACCGGCTCTTCTCCTCGCTACTTCGCTCGATGGTGGCGCTGAGACGAGGAGACCGGGTCGCGGAGCGTGCCTTGTCTGCCGATAGTCGTGGGGTACCTGGGCCGCTGCTGGGTCGCTGAGAAGCTTGCTTTTCCAGCTCAGCTAGAACGTCTTCCTGCTCGCCCTTTGCCTCGTCGGCTGCGGCGGCTGCAGCAGCGGGTTTTGAGGACTTCTTGTCCGACTGTTCGATGCCAAGGTCATCGAACTGAGCTAGTAGCTCATCACTGGTGGGTTTTGCACCCTTGGGAGGCATGGTTGGTTGTTTGGGGTCGATGGGTGTATGTTCAGGAGAGGTGACGACACCGTTTGTTTGGAGCTCCCAAGGCGGCACTGCGTGTGGAGACCGCGCGCCAAGACCCGCTCAACCTTCTACATTCTCAACACTCGAGAGTAGTTCAATACAACTGGCATTGAGGGTAGGATAATTATGTCCTCGTCCTTTTAGGTTTAAATCTCTACATTGTAGCATCAGTTGTGCACTTAAAAGTAATCTTAGTAGTCAATAGACCGGTGGTGAGGTTGTGTAGTTCCAGTGGGTGGGCTGTCAATACTTCGAACTACATATATATTCCAGCAGTATTCACCACTAAGTGGAATGACGGCAGCTCCCTGAACCCCCTCCATTAAGCGTCGAGGTAGGCAAAGCGAAAATTATGGATAATGCTTACCAGACTAGAAAAGACATTTGTATTCGATCCAGGCGAAATATCACCGAGTAGCAAGATCAATATTGACTGGCCGGATCAGCACAGCGGCGGGGTGAATATGCCTCGTTCTGCGGAGTAGTTGCTGTATAGATCATGCTCTTGACCAGATCTCCTGGCCAAATGGACGTGGTATACTACTAAAGTATCACTGGTTTCTGCAGCACCCGATTCAATCCCGTCAACTCTACATGTGTGGAGCGGACCCTGCGTAAATCCACGGCGAGCGCAGAGTCATAGCCGCGGTAGTCACTCCCAAAAGCTCGGATCGATCCCGCTCGGCGGGACCATGCGGGGGTCGCGATACCGAACGACATAAGTATTCGCTCTCCCCCCACGAAGAGACCTTCTCAAGCCATTGACTTCTTTACTTTCAACAGCGATTTCACAACTAGCTGTTCTTTCTCCTCCAGATAGCGCGAGTCCCATTCTGCGAATATTCCGCCGTGACTAGCCGACTAACACACTATCTAGATCCCACTACCGTCCTATCCATATACTCGAGTACCCAGTCTCAACACCACAGCAAGCCCTCACAATGCGTCTCCCATACGTTTCAGACCCTCCACAAACAACCACACCAGAGGAAGCCAGAATCCTCTCTAACGTCCAAGCCCGCCGTGCTCCAAACCCCCTCCTCCCCCTCGACCTCGCCCTCCTACATTCCTTCCCCGTAACGGACGGATGGAACTCCTTCATAGGGGCAATCCGCACCCGAACCAGTCTCTCCACGGTGACCCGGGAGCTCGCAATCTGCCGTGTAGCGGTAATCAACGGCGCGCTCTTCGAATGGGAACAACATGCACCACTCCTAACGGAGGGCGGACTGAGCGACGAGGCGCTTAAGGTCGTCGGAGATGCGCAGGCTGATTTGGATGGCGAGCTTGCTTTGAGCACGTTGAGTCCGGAACAGAGGGCCGTTGTGAAGTATACCGATGCTATGACTAAGACTGTTACGGTGCCTGATGAGGTCTTTGCGGAATTGAAGGGTTGTTTTAGTGATAAGGAAGTTGTGGAGATTACGGCTACCGTTGCGGCGTATAATTGTGTTAGTCGGTTTTTGGTGGCGTTGGATGTTGGAGAGAAGAATCATTAGTTAGATTGTTGTTGGATGAGTATAGATGTGGGAATGGATGCATTTTATATCATGTCGAATAGAGAGTCCATTCGAATCTTGCGCTTTGTTTTGATAGATCGTTGGTCGTAGTGAATATAGATGCCATGGATTTGCCATAAAAAGCACAATGGTATCTTTCACACCATGCTCCAACACACGTGGAATCAGAATTACGGGTAAGCATTCAGACCTTGAAGAGAACGGCTCGAGGGCATATGTTGATCTTAGATCATGCAGGTTTGTGGGAAATTGTCTGGAGAGGATGTATTCGTGTCAGCGTCCACTGGATATACCTCGCGGAGGGTGGAAGGTCTTAGCAAGGTCTCTTCTAGTCCCGGAGATGTATGGACTAGTCTTGTCTAGACGTGTGAGCTTCTGGGTGCAAGCATATCGTCGTGGTATTCCCTAGTGAAACAAGCCATTAGCACAAGTAACCAGAATAATAAAATCAAGCAAATCAACAAGTCCATGTGCAAAAAAGAATATCATACCAGCAACCACCCTAGCAGATGCAAGACTCGGAACTGATCTCAAAGGCCTGGGAGACCAAACCAAGTCTCTCGTAAGCAGAAACAATATAGTTCAACAAGCTTGACGTCAAGGCGTTGGGGAACGATCGAAGCAGCGTCCACGCGCCACAAAATCAACCCGACTGTTGTGCGACCGAAATATCGCGCGTTTCGTGTAGGAGATCAACGTGGGAAGCACCGAAAAAGCATCTGACAATATCCCAACCGTGATACGATGGCCCTGCAGATGCGAGTCGGAGATAAAAAGTCAAGTCTAATATTGGCGGTCCGTGCTTGCAGGATAGACGATTGGAACTAAGGGGCGAGACGTTAGGAATATTACTGGTCTAGTCTATGCTCTGTGTTTAGGGGTCTCTGTTTTTGTGTCTACTAGATTAAGGACTTCAAACTCCCGTGGTCGCGTGCATTGCAGAGTCGACTGAAAAGTACGTGCTTGTGCGAGTATAGACTTGCCCATGCGGTCCCCGGGTGCATTAGCTGTCTCTCCCCTTGCGGCAGATGGGGCCATGACCGTAATATGGAACTGTGGATGGACCGGATGGTAATTATTGAGGCCTTGTACAGTCTACCTATTCCAAGACTAGGAGGAATAGGCATTGACCAAGATTGATTGTTGGATGTGCTGCTGACTGCACAGATTTCCGGGACTTTCCATTAGGCTCCGGAATAGGCGGGAGATTAAACGGTCTTCCATGGAGGGGAAAGTTCTTCAGGCAGCTGGAAGAATTGACTATTGCTGCTTTGGAGAGGGGAAGAAGACAGGAAGATGTAGACTCGTTTGCTGCCTTGGAGAATCGACTTGTAGCCTAGGAGTCCATTCTCAGCATGAACCAGAGTTTTTCATACTACAGTATAGAGTATACGGTACTCCCGTCATGATACTCGAGACTAGCCAGTGGCTAACTAAATGGCAGCCTGCTGATTGGCTCCAAGGCAGCCTGGTGGAGCCGGGCAGTGGTCTAACGCTATTGAGGAATCTCCCTACCAAACAGCCAGCAGCACTACGGAGGCAGCCCCAGGCCTACTCCCGACTACTCAAACCTCCAATCCTGTACAAACTAAATCTGCCCTCAAATCTCTTCTTTTTAAGCTTCATCCCTCTCCCTCTCCAGATCCCTTTTCTCCTCCAACTGTTTCTCCAACTCTCTCCTCTCTCCTCAACCTGCTTCACACATCGCCCTTTCTCATTCTTTCGCTCTCGCGGTCCCTCGGCTGTGAGATCCTTTTTTTGCCTTTCTCATCTTTCTCAACTACATCAACCACTCTCTCCCAGTTGTTTTCTCCAAACAACACGCTTCTCCTCTCGCGAGAAATTTTTGACGAGTTCACCCATCATCTCTTCAAAAATTTCTACCTCCTCTCATCTCTTTTCTCTTTCCCCCATCTCCCGCGGTGGTTGTTTTCCCATCCTCAACCACCCAGCCTTCTTCTTCTCTCGTTGTACACATCCCTGGCAGTCCCTACGCCAGCGATCTGTACCCTCTCGCACCAGTTCACCATTAATTGGTGGAGACATCTCAGAAGAAGACCTCTCCCTTAACCTTCTTTCGACCCTTTTATGGTAAGTCCCCGTTGTCGCGTGTCTTGTTCGTTTTTCCTCCACTCTGCCACTGCTCCTGTACTCTGTCAACTACACTTCGGGTCAGATCCTGATCCACACAATTTGCCGCGACCGTGTCTGCATCTACCCTCTATCCTCCCCCTCATGAATCACTCTACGGAATATTCCTGTCTCGTCGATTGTTTTCATCTTGTTTATCAAATTACGCGCTTTCGATTTCTCGTGTTTTCATGTTTTCTTCTGGTCGTGCCATCCTCACTCCCGGGCGACGTTCCGGATTGCGCTGCGATTACTTTACTGGCGTCTTGGCACCGCAAGCGAACCACCCGAAACTAACTCATCTATACAGACCATCCCGCCATACGTTTTCTCGTCTTCACGGCACCACGAGTGCAACGTTGGCCCGGTCTAGAGGACCCTCAGACTGGGAATTCCCTTCCCTGTCTTTTCTGTTCTTTTTCTTTTTCTCTTTCTCCTTCCCTTCCTTCTTTTCTCCCTTTTCCAAAAATGGCCCCTATCCCCCGGGTCAATCTCGTTGATATGGACAACCAGTCCTCCGACGTTGGCGACAGCCCTGTGCGTCGCCAGTCCTCTGAGCCATTCCGCCGACCTCAATCAACTTCCACTCAGATCTCTGTTTCCTCTGAGCGGACCCAACTTTACCGGTCCTCTGAGCACCGCCCAATGTTTTACCCATGCGATTGGTGCGGGAAGCTCATCGAGCTCCCAAGAGACTCGAGCCTCGAGGAAGAGGTGATCAATGCCCACGTCCTCGCTCACCACCCTGAGCGACTGAAGGGCCAAGTGGGGTATGATGAGGTCGAGGATGACTTCGACGACGACGAAGAGGAGGAAGAACTTGACGGCGGTGATGATGAAGACGGTGACGTGGCTGCCGAAGCTGAAGAAGCCGAGGCGGAGATGGAAGCCGATGTTCTCGACGATGTCACTGCTCGAGAGGAAGACGAGCTTCACGACGCCGAAGCGGACGAGGAAGACCTTGCAGAGCCAGTGACTGCAGCTCCCTCCGTCCACGGCGATCAGAGTGACGCGGGACACGGCCCCATCTTCAAGGCCTCGAGGCCTTCTCTCAAATTCGCCGCCGCCAACAAGCAGAAGGACCCCGACTCGGCCCGGCAGGAGGGTCTGGACAGACTTATCAACAAGCTGTCCAACCCTCGGAGCAATTTCCCAGAGGAATATCGGCAACGAGTCGCAGCATGGCAAGAATCCGAGATGGATACGCGCCTTCCGAAGATTTGGACCCTCCACAACGTGGAGATCATTTCCCCCGGTTACGAACAGGAACGAGCCAAGGTGGACCACACCTGGCAACAAGCGTTCCAGGGGGCCAAATCCAAGAAGCGCGATGCACCGGAGCCATTGATCCGGCCGGACCCCTACAAAAAGGTCAAAGTTGACCGGGGTCAATTCCTCGCTCTGAACCCGCTTGACGACCTCGTGGAGATGCTGAAGAAGCCCGACCAACTCTCGTATGAAGAGTTGTACGCAGCCACCGAAGCTGCGGGCTTTGCGATGAAGATCTGGCAGGACGAATTCCTGGCCCTAGACAAGCTCTACGTGCGAGCACATCGCCACATCCGCGCTCCAATCACCGAGGACACCAAGCGTGAGTTCCTGCAAGCCGGGAAGAGGAAGAGCGGGCAGCCAATGGGGCGACTCCCAGAACCCGATCTCGACTATGAGGACAAGAAGGAAGCCATGTTGTACGGTTACCGGTACACACCCTTCCAACTCAACACCGCCACCACCGTCAGCCGCATCCCGCAAAATCCATTCGTCCAGGGCGGCTTCGTGCCAACCCCTGCACAGGGACGAAAGATGGCCTCCAAGGTTCCACCTGGAGAGCGCAATCCGGATGACTGGCCGGCTGTCGTTCGCGACGGTGTTGAAATGGTCCCCAAGTTGTGGGAGGAGCCCCAGGCGCCCGTTCAGGCCAAGGTCACCCGCAAGCGCAAGGCGGCAGCACTAGAGACGACATTGAAGACCGACACAGAGGAGACACAGCAAGAATCTCCTGACGCGGACGAGACCGAAGAAGAATCAGCTCGCCCACCAAAACGTCGTGCTCGGGGAGGAGCTCGTGGAGGTCGTGGCCGTACTGCCACCTTCGAGGCCTACCAGCCCGAAGAAGTCTCTGCTCCTGTCGTTCCTGTTGCTCGCGGTCGTGGCCGAGGCCGGGGTCGTGGACGTGGTCGGGGTCGTGGTCGGGGTCGGGGCGCTGGAAGTCTACCAGCTGAGCCTCATGCATCTTTTGATGCAACCCAGACGACCACCACCGCCACGCAAACGATAACTTCGGGGCGTGGGCGCGGTCGTCGCGGCGCAAGCACGGTTGTGAGTACAGCCACAACCACTCCGGTGGCACCCCCTCTGCAGCTTCGCCAGAGGAGTCCACACCATCATATGTGGACATTTCGCCAATGCCGGAGGCGCCCGCGGCGGCCAAACCTGCCCTCGCAGTGAAGAAGGAAGTGCCCGTGGAGGATCCGGAGGAAGCGCGACGGCAGAAGATCGCAAACTCGAAGAACCCAAAGCGCACCAAGGCAATGCTGGACCATTGGGAGCGGTTCAACCGTGAAGGTCGAATCCGCAACCCCAAGCGGTCCAAGGCGCAGATCGAGTCCGATAAGGCAGCCGACGAAACCCGCAAGACCAAGGAGGTGGTCCCGGGTCGTCTTCGCGCTTCGCCGTCGTCGCTTGCCCCGATCCCCGCGGGCAACCTCGCCCCCAAGACCCCCATGGGTATGCCACCCATGGTGGGCGTCCCTCACCTGGCGCCGGGTCCCGTCCCTGGCCCAACCCTGCCATCGCTGAGTATGTACGGTGCTCCAAACCCGTACGCTCCGCAGCCCCCGGTGGCAGGGTTGGGTCAGCCAATGCCCCAATTCGCGCCGTTCCCATACCCGGGAGGGTATGGGATGGCACCCATGCAGCAGGGTCCGCCGCCACCCCCGCCGCCGCCCGGCCCTCATGACCCTCATCACCGAGGTGTCTAGGGGTCGAGGCCTCTCTTTGCATAGATGAGGTGAGCGTTGTTCTGTTTGTATATAAGCAGAGCAGCGCTCACCTTCATCTTATGTACAACATCACTTTAGGCTCGCATAGCCACTCATCAGGCTTGCATAGCCACTCATCAGGCTTGCGAGGAGGGTTCGATTTGGGTCACTTCGGTGATCGTCGTTTTTTCTTTTCTTTTTCTTTTATTTTTCTCCATTTCGTTTGGAGTTGGCGCAATTTGCGTCTGGGTTCTGGTTCTGGGGTTTGGTTCGGGTTCGGGGTTGGTGTGCTCTTAAGCACACCCGGTGTACATCTACTGGGAGGACGGTGTTTTTTTCTTCTTGCCTGGCCTTAGAGCCAGATGTGTATTCTACAGCTGGTTTTTGTTTTTTTTTTTCTCCATATTCTTATTTTGTTCGTGTATGATAGCCAGCATGAAGCCAAATAAATGGCGTTGAGAACAACCTTAGGTGTCTATCAATCACGTGCATAGTAGTTTTCCTGTCACCGCTTTCGCCCAGCGCGAGACTGCGTCACTTCAGTTCCTAACTTGCCCCATCCCATCCCAACGACATAGTCGGGGTTATTTTCATCCACATCTAGGGACTGTTAAATCATCAAATCTGCCAGTTTTCCATTTCAACAAACACAATGGGTAAGAAAAGACGTGGTCCCACGCTGGAAGAGCTCATGGCTCGTCCATGGTGCTACTACTGCGAGCGCGACTTCGACGACTTGAAGATCCTCACCCTACACCAGAAAGCGAAGCATTTCAAATGTGATCGCTGTAATCGGAGACTAAACACAGCTGGAGGTAAGTCCCTCGTCTATCTATGCGACAGTATCTACCAGTTTCGAGACTAACACCATGCGCCTTCAGGTCTATCGGTGCACATGAGCCAGGTTCACAAGGAACAGCTCACAGAGATTGAAAATGCCCTGCCCAACCGGTCAGGCCTCGATGTGGAGATCTTCGGTATGGAGGGTGTTCCTGAGGATGTCCTCCAGGCTCATCAGCAGCGTGTGGCGGCTCAGTACCACCAGGCTGAGGCGGAGCGACAAGCCGTGACTGGTAACCCACCAGCTGGCAGCGGTGCTGGTGGACAGCCGAACAAGAAACCCAAGTTGGAGGATGTTTCGGATCTCAAGGCGCGATTGGCCGCGCATCGTGCCAAGCGTGCCGAGGCTGCTGCTGGCGGTAGCAGTGGAGAGGCGACACCTCTGGGTGCTGGGCAGTCTGCATCCACCCCAACGTCATATGTAAGATATCTATTCTTGAGGGGATGCTAAGCAAGACTAACGGCTTCTTTTCAGGGACAACCACCAGCTACAGCTTCACCAGTATCGCAACAGCAGCCCCCAGTGCAGCTCACATATCCCCCACCATACGGAGGCGCCGCAGTCCCTGCCGCAGCTCCCTATCAACAACAGACTGCCAGCCCAGTTTACCCGGCATTCTCTCCACCTGGTGCTGCTCCTTACGCTCCCTCGCCGACTGGCGTTACACCCTATGCTCCCACCGGCTATTCTCCTCAACCATACCCCGGCCAGCCTGCCACACCCGGCTATGGAGCTACTCCCCCTCCCTTCCCTCAGCAACAAACACCTCCAACAGACACCGGCCTTCCTCCTCGACCCGGCAGCTTGCCAACACTCGCCGGTCTCCCGCAACGACCTGCATTCGCCGCCCCTCCCATCAACGCGCAACAGATGCAACAGATGCATATGGGCCACCCAGCTCCGCCCACACCAGCCACTGGTTACGCCAATGGCAATGCAACTCAAACGCCTGGTCAGATCTCGTCCTCCGTTGACGACCTGATCTCAAGCGCAGCCAAAGAAGCTGCAGCACCTGAGAAAGCAGCTAAGAAGGACAAGACCAAGAACACTCGAATGATCTACTCGGATGAGAATACTAGCCCCGAAGAAAAAATGGCCAAGCTTGCACGATATGCATTCTCACGATCTGCATTCCAGCAGGAGACAGCCCTGGGCGAGATCCCGGCTTCGGTCGTTGTGGGTACAATTCGCGACCAGGATACCGTTATCGATCCGGCGCATTAGAAAATGAACCCCTGAACGAGGCTTTTATCGCATTACCATCGATCGGAACGAAAATGAGACCGAGAATCGGACGAGACTGATGCATGGAAAGCTCGAAAAAACGAAAACGAAAGCGCCTTTTTGTGCATTAAGGGAGATGGATGGATGATCGGGGCCACGGACTCCAGCTAAGTTCGACGCATACTTCTGGCTACGCATGAGAAATTGGTTTTTGGCCGGTCGATTTTCTTTTACTTGCCCTGATCCATTAGTAGTTCTGGCGAACAAAAAGTTTGAAACATGAGAACGAGCAAGACCTCTCCTATTTGCCAATGCCGATGCATTGAGGAGCTCCCTCGATCTACGCGATGACATGTGGGCTTGTCGGTGAGTCCCATTGGATTGGCTTGTGTCCCCTGCACAACTACTCGAGGTCGCCAGTGAGCTGTGATGAAATTGATCAGACCGTACGTCTTTCTGCCCTTGTCAAGTCTTTTCTTTTCCTTTTTCCTTTCTACTTTACCTCATAACTTGCATCTTTGTTTCTTGTTCGATGGCATTTCAGATCTGGACTCTGGTCTGGATAAGGTGGGTTCTTCTCCCTGCAGGATCGACAATGTCATGCCACTCATGATGTAAGTTCTATCTATCTTTGGCGTTTCGGAGGTAGGCCAATTACCCTTTGATGGTTTCAATGCACGATCTAGACATTCTTTATCCTATTGCCCAGTACCAGTCCAATTGTAGATATACGACTCCGTCCAATATGGTATATCTTCGCCCTTCGAAGATAATAAAAAGGCCTAATCAACCAATCAATGGCATTGATAGAGTATCCTCGCTAGAAACAGCAAAGAAAGTAAACCCAGCCCCGTGTGACCATCAACCCCTCACCAAGTATCATACCACCCTCGACAAATTCATATCTTAAACCCTCTTCTCCCTAAGCGCCAACCCAAAAACAACAACCCCATACGTCGCCAAAACACTCAACCCCATCGGCACTGGCTTCCCACCCGTCTTAATCGCCCTTGGAATCGAGCTCCCACCCAACACAGTCGAAGCCAACAACCCGATTTCCTCGCCGTAGGATTGACCAGCGCGCAGGCGCAGGAAGGCGAGGAGGTAGAGGGCGCCGACGGAGAGGCCGGCGGCAATGGAGGGGATTGAGCCGGTGCGGGCGTAGCCGATTGCGCCGCCGAGGGAGGTTAGGAGGGAGAGGGCTAGGGCGGAGGTTGTTGGGAGGGGGTTTGGGGAGGACTGTAGGTTGGAGGGTTAGTTTGGGTTGGGGGAACTGGAGGGGGTGATGGGTGTACCATTTTTGCGATTGAGTGTGTGAGGTTTGGCTTTGAGGGATGTGTAGAGAAAGGGGATAATGTTGGAGGTGGATTTATTTACTTGGAGTTTGGAGTACAGGAAGGTTACCTGGGGAAAGCACCGGGGCATTAGTCAGATGACGTGCGGAGTCCAGACCCGGAGGTTCGGAATGCCGAGGCCGAAGTATATCTCCATAGGGCAAGTAGTTGAAGAGCAAGGAAACACAGTGTTAATAGGTAGCTTCCAACAAGTCTCATTTTATACAATCTAGTACTATCATGCTTATACAAATTTTAATCAACCGTGACTTCATGCTCATGCAGGACATAATCCATAAGCGCCCGAAAATATGCTCATCACGTCAACAGCTTCAAATCCCCAACATCGCAAGGATCTACTCAATCCCCACGAGTAATATTTTTCGCAGTATCCACCGAAACTGCAGTAGCACCATATCCATTAGCACGAGGCTCCTCCACAACCTCCTCCTCTTCCTCCTCCTTCTGCCCCCCATAAGGACCATCCTGCTCCACAATCCAAAAAGCAGGAATAACACTCGTCAACCCCAACGTCCCCAACAACCACCAAGGAACAATAACAAAGCCCTTCTTAATCCCCCACGAGAAAGCAGCTCCAATCAAAGCCGGACCCGCCGCACGACCCAGCGCACTGACACTGGTTCCCACACCGTTCAATGTGCCGAGGACCGACATGCTGGAGGCCGAGTTTGTGAGTAAGATCGTGCAGCAGGGGATACCGAAGACTGTTGCGCCGAGTTTCGCGAGCATGAGGACTAGGACTGCTGGGATGCGCAGGCTTTCCGGGGCTAGGGCTGTGAAGGGGGTGATGAAGAAGATTATTGGGAGGAGGATGGCGGAGAATTTGAAGCAGTTTAGGACGCCGTACTGTTTTGCTACGGGTGGGAAGCAGAGGAATTGGATGACCATGCCGATGACGCCGATTATGGTGTAGAACATGCCGATCTGGGGGGCGTCTGGATAGTTGGTTAGTTGTGTACTCGTGTGTAGGTGGTTACGCAAAGTGAGCTCGTAGGGACAAAGAACTGACCAACGCCGAATCCACTGGCAAACTTGAATGGTAGTTGCACATTGGGATTATCGTGGAGGTCCTGGACAGGATAGTGCAGGAAGACTGGGAAGACCGAGTCAAAGGCCATGCCGAGTCCCGACATCAATGTATATGACAACAGGATCAGTTTAGACTGGGGCGTGAAGATCTGAGACCAACTCGGCCGTGTGACGGGTTTCTTCTTCTGAACTCGCGTTCCACCAGGAAGCAAAGTCGTGCGCTCTTCATCCAAACCCTTCAACTCGGCTTGACGCTGTCTGCGCGACATACAGGGTCTCGTAAGAGCCTTCCCCAGTGCAAGACCGGGATCATACCGATCCTTCTTCGTCTCGAGAGTCTCCTCCAAAAACAAGAATCCAGTCGTAATACCCACGATAAAGAAACAAGCCGATGCAAGATTCGGCAAGGCAAAGGGGTAATTTCTCAAAAACTCAATGCCCCCGAATAACCCGGGATGTTTCTCTGCCGGGCGCGCTAGAGCCCCGCCAAATGCAGGACCGAAGATACTCCCAATCGTCCAGACGAGGGGCATCAGGCTAAAAGCGCGTGGCTGCAGCTCCCGCTGTGGCACGATCTCGGCGACCATCGTGCGCAGGATACCCACGTTACCGTTCATTAGGCCGACCATGGCGCGAGAGATTAGAACCATCGTCAGGGTTTGCGACATGCCCAGCATAATGGAGATGAACATCGTACAGGTCAGACCTGTCAGGATGATCGGTTTGCGACCGACATAGTCGGATAGAGTGCCCCAGGGCACGGCCATGATGGCCTGGCTCACGGATGCGACCGCCGTAGAGATGCCAGCCCATTTGGCGACTTCGGTCTTTGGGACACCGACATATTCGATAAGTTCAGGCTGGATTGTATACGTTAGATCTGAATGTAATTTCTGCTAAACAAGTGCAAAAGTGCTCAAAAGAGGGGAAAGCAGTTGGAGAAAATATCCAACCTCGGCGAGATGGCCGAGGTTTCAAAGGCGCGGTGTGGTTGCGACGTACCAAGTAGGGCAGGACGGAGGTGAAGACGACTGTTTACCCGAGATAGATGGTTAGCTATTGCTTATTGGGCCAGCAAGAACCTAATTCTCCATCTGATAGATCCCTCGATCTACCAAGATATTCCATATCTCATAGGTCCAAAGGCCAGGGGAGAGCGAAACCTACGTGGCTCGGCAAAGCGACATATTGCTAATAATTCCCGTCAGTTTAGAAATTTGCAGTTCAAGAAACCAAAAAAAACATACAAAGAATAACCAGCTGGCGCACGGGTAGCTTTGCTTTTTGCATTTTCTTTTTATTCCGTGCTGTTCGTAAATGACGACAGCACTCAACACCCCAACAAGAGTCAAAAAACGAGCAAAACGCAAAGAGGAGTCGAGGAGAAAAGAGAAGAGAAGAGGGTCGGATGGCGTATTCACAGATCGGTGACCGCGTCGAGGGTCCGAGCCGCTGCCTGATCGGTGCCGACAGCCTTTTCTAGACTGAGTTAGACTCGAGTCCACTTCGTTACTGTTGGCTTGATACGAGGGAGGGGGAAGATACTGTAGTTTTCGGGCTGTCGGCAAAAAAAGAGTCCCCACTTTGGCGCCTCTTGGGTCAGCAGTCGTGGGGTTGCATTTGATCGAACAAAGTACGAACAAGTAAATGCACGAGCACTGTATATAGCAAGGGATATCGCCATACAAGGGATGGCATTCATATTTTGCTCGCCTAGTAGGTCTAAGTACAAACCGAAAGTATAGTTCGACAGATGTAATCATAGACACTGTGCACCATAATACCAAAGTATACACCCCAACATCTACAACTACTCTTTGACTCCTCGTATCTACCCCAAAAATGCCCGGGTAATCAGCATCCAATGAGACTGAGCCCGAGTACTCCCTCCTATTTCAATCTCGCCCAACTACGACAGCAGCTTGGTCGCCGCACCAATCCGTTCCTGGATAATACGACTCCATTTCTATACTCGGAGAAATTCATGCAGTCAGCCAAGCGGGTCTTCCCATGTGAAATTATGTCCCACATAATCATCAAAGTTGTCAACTCACCTTGGCATTCTCCACATCGCCATCATCAAGGCTCTCCACCAGTCCGGGGTAGGTGGCTCCCGAGTAGCCAGTCCAGATACCAGGTGCAAACACAACGTGCTTGAACCAGTTGCGCCCGTCTAGACCGGGCTGGTACAGGAATGATCGCTCGATGCTCTTATACTTATCGTTGGCGCCGCGGATTAGGAAGTAAAGGCGGACCTTCTTCCACCAGTGGTACCAGGGAACGTCCTCATCCAACTTCTCGGTCAGCGATGCGGCATACGCATCGAATGCGGTCGCCGCCGCCTGGAAGTTGGAGATTTCTCGGTCTAGGTGATCAAAGTCAAAGTGGGCATGCTTGGGCAGCTTGTCGGCCGAGGGCTTGACGCTCTTCAAGTACGACTCCAGTCCGGTAGCATAGTCACCAGCGCTGAACGCGATCACAGGCGATTCCACCAGTCGTGCAGCTGCCAGTGCCCAGAGCTTCGTGGTTGCGAGGTGGTAAGACCAGGTTGGATCGCCAAACTTCTCCATCCACGCGAAGCTGTCGTAGTTGGAATGGTAGTGGTAGACGGGGTCATTCTTTGTGTGGCCGAAGCCAAAGTCCAGACTGGCCACGCCTGCAAAGTCCTGGAAGGCAGTAAAGTCACTACCACTGCCCATGGTCGAGATGTGGCCGTCCCAAACATCACGAACAGTCTGGCCAGGGACAGTTTGGTTCGGGTGCGGCACGAGACCAGCCACCTCGTTGATAACTTGGTTCAGCAACGGTGCAGCACGAGGGCCAAAGTTAGTGCCAGAAGCAGCCACATCAACATTTAGGTAGGCAACATTAGCCTTTGACAGCCAGGGAGGTTCTCCTCAACCCACTCGGTCGAACCGAGCAAACCGTACTCTTCGCCATCCCAGCTGGCGAAGACGATAGTGCGCAGTGGCTTCCATCCGGCCTTCAGAGCCTCACCAAAGCTGCGAATGACCTCGTTCATAGCGGCAGAACCACTGTTGGGATCTCCAGCTCCGCCAGCAATCCACGCATCGCGGTGATTACCCAGGATGATGACTTCATCAGGAATAGAACCCTTCAAAACACCAATCACATTCCACAGAGGAGTAGTGACGTACTGTTGCTGGTTCTCGAGGTTGATAACGATATGCTCTGGCGAGGGTCCAATGTTATATTTCACGCCCTTGTGGCCCAGGGCACCACCCTGCCAGTATTCATTGAAGTCCGAAGCCTTGGGGCCATGTCCATTGAGAGCCTTCAAGAAGGGAATAACTTCCTTGTAAGAGATTGGAAGTGAAGGAATAGCAGGAATGGAGCCGTGAGGGTCCTGACGCTCACAGCCGGGCTTGGACGGGTATCCTGGAGTAGTAGGATCACCAGGAGCGATGCCTGATTCCAAAAGTTAGCTGAACAATAATTGTAATTGTATTCTTTCGAATCAGTGGGAGAGCGAATACATACTCAGGAACTGCGTGCTGCCTCTTTGGATAGCACTGGGGTTACGAGCCGGTCCGTTAGGATAGGCCTCGTAGCCATTCTCTTCAGTAATCTCGCCATCCTCTTGGGGATCGCTGTAAATGAGCACACCGACCATGCCCAGCTCTTGCGCACGCTTCACCTTCAAGCCACGGAAGTTTCTGCCATACTTGACGATAGCAATCTTGCCTTCCAGGGTGACATTGGCATTGACCAAGTCCTCAAAGTCCCAGTATGTGCCAAAGTTGGCATACACAAACTGAGCAGTGACGTTGCCACTAGCCGAGTATCCATGGAACACAGGAACCCGATCGGGCAAGCTTGAAGTAGGATCTTCCTCCAACACATCCTCCTCCAGAGTAGCTTCGAAGGTGACTTCAGTATCATCGCCAGACTTCTTCAGCAGGGCCAAGCGGTGATCCAGGGGGTAATTCAGGTAGATATCATAAGATGCAAGCGAAACATCCTCCACACCGAATTCCTTCCACTTGTCCATCGTCCATAGCGCCTGGCTCAAGTTCTTGCCAGCCAAGTGGGGCCCAGCGGTATAGTACTCGCTCCACTCACGGGCCTTCACGGCGGATGGAGTGTTGAGGAGAATCTGTTGAAGTTGATCATAGGGCAAGCCATTGCCCTGAGGCCACGCGTCATGTGGGAATGGGTTGGCACCTGGTAGATAGGACCAGATGGAGCCGTGTTCGCGGGGCAGAACCGCGGATGGGATCAAAAAGAGGATGACGACAATCACCAGAAGCGTGCCAAGAAGAAAGGTACATGTCCGACGAAGGGCACTATGAGGGTACCGAGGTCGTCGGGGCGCGACATTGACCTCGAGCAGAGGTGTTGTCTCCGAATATGGCATTTCTTTTTCTCTCTCATCTTCGACAGAATGAGAGGAAAAAGAGGAATCAAGGGCAGCTTGTTTGAGCAGCTCTTCTCCGCACTTTATCGCGTTATCGGCTTACTAAACGCCTCGCGGGATGGGCCGCCTTCAGAAGAGTTCCACTTTCCTATTTAGAGTTCTATACAAGTCTCTCGTCGGCAAATAGAAGTAATAGAAGATAGGATGCAACGTTAATGGCTTAGATAGGACGAGGTCAATGAATGATTTGACCATCTCTTACTACCGATCAAATTAGGAATGGCTTCAAATGGCAGGATAGCCGGGCCCATCTCTGGAGACACTAAGAAAAGCCACATGCAATTTTCCCCTCATCTATTTACGTGGTTTACGTATGTACCAGCATGGTCTATTCATATTCCCCCTATTAATTCCCTCCTATTACACCTTCTAGCTCCCGATACCAAAGTCATGGCATCCTCTCTACCTGAACACCTATTCCTCGACTTTCGCATCTCCGACGTCGTCGACAAGACCATCAGAATCCCAAGAGCTGAGCCCTGGGCATCCCACTATTGCACGGCTATCTCGGAAAAGCGCTATGGCGACGCAATATTCGCACGATACCATATGGATGGACAAATCAAAGACGGCATCCGGACGGATCTTCGCGATGACGGTAATGGATCGATCATATCGCACGAAACCACCGTGTTCGATTTGATTATGGAGGATGCTCTCGGGTATGCTGAAGGATGCCCTGACCTTTATCGGGATGCTTTGCTTTTCTACACCGAGACAAGTCCGAACGATACTCGGCGAGATATAATTGATGGACTTTTGAAGATAGGGTCGGATCAAGGCTTGTACCATGGTTGAATGGTATTCCTCGCAGTAAATCATCATTAAGTTGAATACTGTATTGCACGAAAGCATAATTACGAAAGGCGGATAGCAATACATTATCGCAGGTACTTTTGACTTCTCGTGATGAATTCTGGAAAAATGGGTATTTTTGTATCTCGATGTTTAACAGTATACAGCGACATGGTATCACAAGTGCTATCATATACAACCGCTAAGACCAAATGGAAAAACAGAAAAGAAAGTAAAATGCAATCCAGCCCGAAAACCACAGGATGTATCAGAGCTCGACTATGATATTCGATAGTTCAAGACAAGACCGTCTCAAACGCATCCCCTTCAAGCTTCATCTTCAAAGGTCTCGGCGAGATCATCTGGAATCGGTACTTCATCGTCCAGTGCGGGGTTGAGCTTCTCGCCCAAAGCAATACTTTCCCGAAGAATTTGGCGAGCAGCATCATCGTTGACTGCCATGTCTTCTTTGACCAGGCGGATCGCTAATTCGGGAACCAGGACGGACTGGGCGTAGCCGACGACGCCTGCCTGCTTGACAATGTGGTCGGACGTGGCTAAACGGCGTAGTTTCACGGCGAAACGATCGGTGAGAAGTTGTAACCTGATCAGATATTAGCATTGCGTTTGCAACTGTCAATTGACGAGTTTCTTGCGGGTATCTTACATCTTGCCAGACCCTTTCGTCCCATAATACCCACAAGACATGGTCTCAAGGCCATCGCCAGCCAGAGTAAGACGAAAGTTTCGCGCTTTCCCACTCTTAAGCGCTGTATCCAGTATGTTGCGATAATACGAGGAGCAGTCCGGGACGAGAAGCCTTTCAAGTGCAGAAAAGTGCTTCTGAACCCGCTGGTCGAAGGTATCCCAGTTGATGGTAGGGTAGCCTTGTGATTCCCATTCCTTCTCGGCAGTGTGTTGTTGATGAGATGCACAGAATTGTTGTTGTTCCCGAACTCGTTGCTTTGGCTGTGCGCGGAATATCGCGAGTAGTTCGGGGTCGACTTCCTTCTTGCACATCGGGCATAATGCTGGTCCTAAATATTCGGGCTGGGATGCGGGGGAGCTTGGTAGGGAACTGAGAGACGAAAGGGGCGAATCTTCGGCATCCAAGTCCATAGAGAACGGTTCCCTGAAGGACGAGTTGGCCAGTGTTGAATTGGGGTTGGAGCTCGCGGGAATAGCAGAAGGCATCTTGGATCCAGGTGATGATTCTGATATCTTTGGACATGACCTATGGATTTCCTTTGCGACTATAAAGTCATTGTCCGGCTGCGAGTTGGAGGTCGACTTCTTGTCCTCCTTCTTGACCCGCATTCTGGGAGTTTGTGACTTCACACGAGGAGAGCTCTTATCGGGAGTGGCCGGTGACCGAACATAGCTGGGGGTTCGAGAAAATGAAGTCGCTGACCCGTATGTGTTGGACTTTGCTCGTTTGGAGCCTTGGGAAGACCACATCATAAAGGAGTCCTCGTCGCCCATCCCACCTCTGTCTGCTCGCCCGGACTTCTTCTCCTTATAGAACTCGAAAGTTCTCTTCTTCGGTCGCTGGAAGTCGAGACCATCATCAATACTTTCATCTTCGCTGGTGCTCACCGGCTCGTCGTCTGTCGCAGGTTCGTTCTCGGCTTTGGGCTTTGATTCTGGTTCCTGGTCTGCTTCATCCTGCGATTCGGAAATGGAATCGTTCTCGAAATCGGCAGAGCTTAGTTCGGTCAATTCCTCGTCATCACTTGACACGGGCAGCTCATTTATCGTAGACTTCGGTTCGCGGGGTTTCGTATCGATGTTCTTTGCCTCAGGCTTATTGTACGTGGACAGCAAGTGCCTCCCCAGATTCACATTCCTTGTGAGGCCCGCCGCCAGGACATGGCTTGAGTCGGGCCTTTTTGCGCCTGGTCGCATCGTATATAGGGCAAGTCGCGGCCGGAGCGTTGAATGGGGAGGTTGGGAACGGACAAGCTAGTGAGTGACGCGTGCCGATAAGAGGTCGAGGATGAGGTCGCGTCAATCGCGCGAAATGGCCGGGTCTGCAGTCTGGGGACACGTGCTCAGCTAGGGAGTCAGTACGGAGTACTCAGAATTGGGAGATCTGCCACCGAAGGACGACTGGACCGTAAGAATTGCGAATTGGGCTGAAGAAAGACAATGCGTGAGGGGAACACGCGTGACACGCCAACAAAAAGAAGGCCCCACAAAGCGGAGACTCGCAGTGTCCGGAGTACAGATAGCTCACTAAGCACAAGGACCAAACACCTTACCGGGACATAGATTGTGAGACTTTTGAGTACCCTATTTATTCTTCACTTATTGTCGCTATACATGACAGCCATTCAGCCATATACACATGTGGTCTCCCAAACGCCTATGCAGAGCAATGCTCCTTCTAGAATCCCAGTAAAAGCTATGGAAACCTTCGAGCAAAATAGGAAATGTCGATAGGAAAAAAGAGAAAACCAAGTATTCCCGTCATTATTCAAATGTCATCTGAATCTCGTCCTCCCCGTGGCCGTGACCATGATCGGCCCAGGCATTGGGTTCCATGGCTATGGCCCCAACTGCAGTGGCGCCAATACTAGTGGGCATGGTAGATGAGGACCGCAACTCGGGTCGCGAAGGCGTATCAAAGTGGTGTTGAGAAGACTCATGGAATGACGTATCAAAGGTCATTTCAATTGGCTCTTCTTTGTGTGAGGGGGTAGGATCGGGTGTGGCGCGAGAGGGATGAACTTCTGTGGAGAGCTGCGGCTCAGACGCTGGACGAGGAAGACATGGCTCAGGTTCCTTGGGCGTTAGATCTGTTTCAACCGGTGTCACAGGTTGCGTAGCCGATGGGCGGTTCAGCTCGAGCTTCATAGGAGGCAGTGTAGATTCTAGCTGTTTGACCTCGATAGCTTCGGAGGCCAGTTCAGCTCGAATGGCTTCGATGTCGAAGAGGATGGAGCCAGGCGCACTATTCGGTTCGGCAGCGTTGTGCGGTGAAGAGTTGCGATCAACGTCGTACGTCTCCCACGTCTTCTTCTCAGCCATCTTTCCACGCTTGAACAGGCCAAAGCGTTTCTTCTCCGGCTTCAGCTCAGCATTTCGACGAGCCTCGTCAATCTCGCGAATAAGCTCCCTTTGTCTCTCGGCATGATTGTCCGGATCGGGGTCTTCAATTTCGGCGAATTCGTCTTCCAGAACCTCCCATCCAACCTGCTTGAGAATACGCGGCATGGCGGCACGGTAGTCCATGTGACCGTTGACCGTTTCAGTGAGGTCGACGTTCTCCAACCCTGGAATCCCTTCGATGGGAGCAAGCCCAGATACACGCATGATACCACCGCTCGTTGCTCGGAAGAGGTACCCCAGAATCCAGTCATTCGTGGAGTAGCCATTGACAAAGCGGCCAGAGACCACGCTACGAGCCTTCAGGTATTCGTCCTTGCTGGCCACAACTGGTGAGCCAAAGAGGTACACATTCTGAACAAGCCCGTAAGCGCCCTTGGCAGCTAGCTCCTTCAAGCATGAGAAAATGACACGTGCACCCAGGGAGAAACCGAGCAACGTAACAGGGCGGTTGCCAAGATTGCGATCCTGCAAGGAATCGGCCAAGACCAGACCCGCTGCATTGGCACGAGCAAGTGACACGTTCCAAGGATTGTCAATTAGATAGGCAAGCTTGGTAAGAACGAGAGGGAGTTGCAGCGAGGCCATGAGGGCCATCAATATGGTACTGCCTAGTACTTGCTGCAAGCCTTGCGTGAGCGCCTAAAGGGGAAGTCAGTCGTCGTTCTCAGTGTTTGATAATAGTATGATTGGGGTTTACCTCTGTCGCAAGAATATTGATCGTGTCACCCATGCTGCGCAACATTTCAGGCTCCCAGAGAACCGAGTATATATCACCCATGATCGGGTCGACGGTACTGTAAGGCAATCGGACGTCGTCGACTTTGCCGGTCATCCAGCCGGATACAGTCACGATCAGATTCAACTTTTTATTGTTGTGAAGAGGTCGGTATTCGAATGTTTGGACAGCGCCCATCCGCCGGTGAGAGGCCTTCATACCGATGGCACTTCCGGTGAGAGAAGCGCCCGAGGCAATGAGCGCAGTACCACCCACTCCACCCAGGAATGCACTTGTACCGGAAAGGCCAATGGTAGTGAAACCAGCAGCAAGACCGGCTCCAATAACTGGAGCTAAAAGCCCTGCCGAGAGACCGATGACAAGACCACCACCGACAGTTGCAAGGCCCATGATCATATACTTCTGTTTTAGGTTGGCCTTGCGGCGCTTTTCCATATGCTCTGATTCATCCCATGTCTCTTTCTCGGCTTCTTCTTGCATTTCAAGAGCGTCCGTTACGCGCTTCTCGAATCGGGATATTTGCAGCCAGGTGATATCCATGGCTGCTCCCACTCTTTCGAGCAAGGTCCGAGATCGGGAATCATAGGCCGAGTCGGCAATTAACAAGAGGAAGAGGTCACATAGTACTGTCCATCGAAGGTCGATATCGATCTTTGCAGATGTGGGTAATTGAGAAGGGGTGTGGACTTCTGGGACATCTTCATCATCCGCGTGAGCATCATAGGGCGGTGGAGAGCCCGGCTCAGAAGTCTCGGTCTCTGTAGATATCCGGGAGCCGGGGCCATTTCCTAGAGTTGGAGATGAGATGGAAGAGGTTGAGGTTTTGGGGTCACTCTCTGCCATGGGGTTTTTGACACACGCATTCTGCATGAGCGGACGGACCAGATCTCCAGGCTGGACGCCATGCTCAGCAAGCTGCTCAATCATGAGTTGCTCGGCAGGGCTGATATCCATGTGCATATATAACCGTCCCATCATTGTTTGACCCCACTTTCTCTGGGCATCTTGTGCTTTGAGTATCACCTTGCGAGATGATTTGGTCTTGGGTACTTTATCGATATCCATATTCATCTCGTGAATTGTCAGGCGGACCACACCCACATATGCGATTTTTTGTGTCTCGTTTAGAAGGTCCTTCGTAGCCTGAAGCTGGCTGACAGTGTCGCGAAGTTCTTCGCCGACAAAGCCTGCGGAGTTGCCGGCTGCCTCGCGGAAAAGGTAGCTCGTGTCCTCGTCCATGCTGGTGGCGGATTGGGCATCTTCATCAAGCTGAACTCGAGTATATCCTTTTCCAGCACCACCCAATCCACTGTATACTGCTTCGTCATCCTCTTCCTGAGCGCCACGAGCGATGAGCCTTCCATAGTCATCATAGTAGTCCATTTCTCCAAGTGCAGGCATTGCCTTCCACCCGTCTTCCTCTTCCTCGCTTTCCTCGACTTCATTTTGAGGTTGGGTCATCCTTTGATGGGACCATTCCGAGATTTGAGTGTCATTTGTTTTCGAGATCGACTTGCGATACGGAGGTGGAGGGTCGGCAGTCTCATTGTGTGGTTCCTCATGCGAGGCAGCATTATGGTCTTGGGACTCGGTCTTCTTGTCGTCCGGTGCAGATTGTTTGTCTAATCCTTGCTCAGCAGTCTTAGCCTCCCCCTCTGCTGCTTTGCCCTTGGAAGCATCCGCCTCCACATCAGCTATCTTCTCCTCCACTTTTGGTTCTTCCGTCGCATTGGCAGCTTCATCTTCGGGTTCGGATTGGCGATCGGTTTCAGGGAGATCGGTTGGGGGCCGTTGAGGCCTTGAACGCGGTCGAATGGGAAGGCCAAAGTCATCCAGCTCCTCTGCATCGTCCTTTGATTCCTGTATTTTCGTGTCCAACGTTGATTTTGACCCTGTGCTTTCCTGCTTTATATTCTCCTTCTCGTTGCCAGCATCGTCGGAGGAGGTCGCGCCCGTGACAGGAGGCTGTGGCGTAGTCGATAAGGAGGCCGTTGACGAAGCAGTCTGGTCGGAGGTGCCGCCGACAATGACACCTTCAGCGGGCATGATTTCACATGGACAGACTGCCCTTCCGAGCGCAAGTGGTGTTTTTGAGATCCTGCTCTCTAGATTCCTTCGCACGTTCCTAGCTCAACATCCAGGGGGATTCGCCCATTCGGCCCAAATACGAGCAATCCCACAGCGCGAGGCGATCTTATGTTGAATTCCCCAAGATCCGATGATGCTGGATCCAGGTTGTGGTCATCGGACTGGGGATATTCTCCGCAGATGACGGGGGTGCGGGAAAAGGAGGTTGTGACTTGTGAGGGGGGTGGATTGCGCGGCGGGGCGGAATTGTACCAGGAGACAAAGTCCCGATCGACAGATACGCTGGAGATGACGATAGATTGCGATTGGATGTTTGAGCAGAGCTATATCGCTCATCAAATTAGAGAGATCTAGTAATATAGTATATAAAGAGAGAGAAAAACTCTCCAGGCGTAAAGATCTCTATTGACCACTGATCAGGTGCCGAAAGCGGAAGTGTGGCCAGTGGGAATGTCGAGTTGCTACAAATAAACAGCCAAGAAGAGCTCCATCATCTACTAATCCATGAAAACAGCATCATCTCTTGCAAAAGGCAGACCTGGCTGTCCATCAGCCATACGATATCCGTGAGATCGTATCCATCCTGTCTGTCAGATGTCGAGTGTCATGAAGTGGCCACTCCGGCATTTCTTTGTTGCCTGTCGATCCCTCGAAGGTCAACTTCGCCATCGTGGGCGACCCCAACAGCATGGAAGACCTTATCACGATGTGAGATGGCCCGTTCAAGATTCGGCCCGAGCAGAGCCACAGTGATAACCCTCCGTGTCCACTACATGGTGCACACCCTTCGTGGGTGCCGGGCGAGACAACCTTGATAAAAGGCGCAGCCGTCAATACGAGGCGCGAGTACGGCGGGACGTCATGCCGATCACGGTTTAACATGACCACATCTCATTCCCTGCTTTGCGAGGCAGTGCACGACGGGTGTCCTGTACTTTTGGCCTGACCTTTTTTTCACCCTGGCCTGGTGTATCACCGGGGAATCATTGTCTTCGCCCGCACTAGCGTGGGATAGGCTCCAGATCGGCTGCTTTGCCCATTTTCAGGCCAAAGAGAGTCTGTCCCTAATGTCCCGGGGCTCCAGCCATGGCGTCATGCGGGGGCTCGGACGCTGACGGCCGGGGTTTGAGTCACTTGATATGCACAACACTTGCGGCTCTGAAGAAGGGAGGGGGAGTTGTTGATTACGCAGGGGTCCAATAGGCCAACGGGCACATTTAATGTTGGACCCGTGGCGACTGCAGTCCTGAGGGTTCTCGGGCCCTACGCATCATGTCCCGTTTGTTTCATCGCTTCTCTTCACTACGTTACCACTTTCGGCCTATCCACTACGTGACCTAAAACAGTTTACTGAACGGCTAGTGAGAGAGATACACTTGACAACGATGGCACAAGGTATGGAGCCTGGTTCCTGCACTTCATGAGCCCTCGCACAAGGTACTGACGGGGAAACCCATTCATGCTAGGCCCCGAGACCTCCATCATCCGGGTGGCGGGCGCGGGCTTTCGACTCTCGCTACTGCTCAACGCTGCAGCATGTCAACTTGCACAGTCTAGAATAGAGATTCACAGTATTGCCAAGGGCATCTCTCTCTTTGCGCTCACTCTGAAGCAGCTTGGGCAAGCACTGGAGAGTCCCGATCTCGCGCGAACCACCGAAGCAACCGAGAAAGCTTGGGAAATCGCCAGCCAGGGACAGTTGGTCTTTGTTGAAATCGAGCACATGTTGGACAAACTGCAAGGCACTGATGCCCACGAGGATTTGAGCCGGATTCCAGTGCAAGAGAGACTGAAGTGGTGCTTTCGAAAACAGCATGTCACTTACCTCTTAGCGCAACTGGAGTCTCTCAAATTGAGCTTGATCGTGATGACGCGGATTCTGCAGTTGGGAGACTTACTGAAGTCAGGGAAAGAGGGTGCCAACTCGTCCAACTGTGGGCTCGTTGCAGAAGATATCATTGCCCAAGAGAAAGCAGAGACTCAGAACATGATCATCGTTAGATACTGGTCTCTGAAACGGCTAGATCGCTTGTGGGATTTCGTTGCGCAGGAAGCTGTGGATGCTGCAAATGATCCGACGAACCAGAAGATCATCTCTAATCATTCTTCAGCTACAGCCTCGGCGATGGGACCTTTGGTGACGGCAGCCAAAGGCTCGGATCTCTCGAAGCTTCCAGTTGTGACCTTTGGAGACAGTGACGTGGGTTTGGCTAATCTGGAGCGATCACCAAAGGACATGGTTCACCTTTCGGAGGGTGCGATGAACCGCCTGCTGCTGGCTTGGATACCGTCACTGGACCTGTCACTACTATCAGCAGCCAGAAAGCCATCTCCAGATGCCACGAAACCCAGTCAGCCGCGTGCATATGTCTCATCTGGCAGTGAAGATGATGATTCGGACGACCCCGACTGGGATGGCCATAGCTCCCACGGCTACTACTTAGAAGGTACGACAGACGACTGGCGCAAGCCTCATTCACAAGAAGCCAGAAAGCATGCAGCCGAGCTACGCCGGCGATACTCCAGCTATCAGGCACATGTTGAAAACGATTCCGAGACCGACGAGTTGAAACAGCGTCGGCAAACTCGTCCCAAGAACCCGCGAATAACCGACTCCAGTGACGAAGGTGAGCAACGATCGACCTCTCGTCCACCACCCAAGAGTGTCACTATCAACGACAACCGTGTCCATTCCAATAGTTCTTCGTCAAGATATCCACCTAGCCCAGTGTCGGACCGAGGACCACCAGCCTATCCAAACGGAAGCTTCCAACCCCCGCCACCAACTCAATCTATTCCTCGCTCGCAAGGACCTCCACAGAGCAAGCCCATGCCAATCCACATCCCCGGTCCTCCTCAACAACCCTATCGATACCACCCAAACCAAGAATTCAGCAACACTGCGCCACGATCTATTCCGAATAGCCAGCCCAATGTACCTGCAGGGTCAATGCCCATCCCTTCACCAAGGGCCACACCACCGGGTCAATTCGATGCATCTTGGGCCCGACAGCAGCAGAACTACAATAACAATCACCTGCAACCACGGCCCCACCCCTCGGCGTACCCGCTTTCTTCTTCATCGCCGGAATCTAGCTTCAGCCTCCGGCCCTCGCCGCCTCGTTCCGCGCAACGTTCTCCGACCCGTTCACACCGTCGATCCTCACGTGAAGAGGCTAAGGAACGACACAAGGCTTTGACACGCAGTGCGACTCGTGGATTGGCGGGGATCGGAGCGATTGCAGGGTTCATGGATGCTTTGGAGGCGTTTACGTTACTGTGATATCCCCTTTTGCTCGTCTTTTGCTCGTTTAGGTCGTTTCTTCATTTTATTCTTTATTTTGGGTTTAACACCCCGGGCCAAAGTTATCCTCCGGGAACACAGTCGTTGAAAGATTCCCTTTTCGTGTTCTTTTTTTTTGGCTTTTCCTTTCTCTTGGATTTGGTCTGGCCTGGTCTTGTATCGGTAGGGAGCAGGCGCCGACCTATTTTTTCTTGCGATCTTTTTTAGTCATGATGTATAAGCGCAAGTAGTGTATCCCCCATTTGACGATCAAACGAGAAGCACGAATGAAATGAACAATGTACCATTTTGGCTTTACCTTTTTGGACCGTTTACCCCGAGAAACATCGATAATTCTCCGGTTCCACACGGACCTAGAGTTAGTTGCACGATTGAACCTTGCAGGCGCTGACAAGGTTTAGCTAGATTACCCGTATACCACAAAGAAGGATCCGGTCTCCGTGAAGCAACTCAATCCGATGTCAACGCATGCAATTGCATATCCGTGGTTTCACCCGGAAGACCCTCCCAGGTTACAAACCTACACTTTCCTTGTCCGGCTACGAAAACGAGAAGTGAATACGGAGTAGATACGCACTCCATTTATCCCCCAACAATACCCTCCCTCTCTCCTAAAGCTAATAACTCCGCGTACTCCGCCTCCCGTCCAAATCCCCAAGAACCAAGATAAAAACACCCACAACGAACAGAATTCAATATAAATTGCGCCATCGCCAAGTACTTACCCCCCCATACAATTTTCCCCCTGTCTTACCAGAAACCCCACCGGTCCATTTTAGCCGGATCAGGGCCCCTGCCCCGTCGGACACGACGATCAACCCGATCTCCAAGCTGATGTCAAGCGGAACTTCCGATTCTACCGATCCTCCGGTCCGCCTTACTGACACGGTCTTCATGCCTACTCCGGCGCTCCGTTGCGTTGCGATGGGTAGGTGTGTAGGTTTTTTCTGGGCTGGGTTACCTACGGAGGACGGAGTGAATAGTGGGTGAGTGAATGCGAGAATTTTGTATTTGTAGGTTTGGTTCGGGCTTTTTTGGGGGTTTCTTTTTGGGGTTCTGGTCGTTAAGTATATTTGTGTCGTTGGCCTGCTGTGTTGAAGGCTTTTTTTCTCTTCTCTTTTTGGGTTGGTTTTTCTTGGTGGTTCTTATCATTGTGGTATTGGACTTGGGACTTTGGACTAAGATGTCATCGTTCTATACTTTACTGCTCCTTCGAGCTATACTAAGGTTGTGAGTGAATACTTCAAGGTCTTTGGAATTGATATCATGTTCATTTTGTGATATGCATTATATTCTTGTTCTCTTTTTCTCGTTCTCTTCTTCCCTTCGTGCCTATTATACACTTGCTGACATGGAATTGTGTATGTTGCTTAGAAACCATGCCCTATATCCCGCGAACGAAATGCAATTCGCCTCTGTCCAATGCCGATAAGAGAGACTACTCGAGTCTCTGATGCTCCTATCCCTTAATATACCACACCTAATCACACAACCTCCACTCTCTCACAACTATCAAAATTCCGGCAGCGGAGGCATACCGAAGATACTCCCATCCGGAAGCCACCCGTCCAGCTCCATGCCTGTGCCGGGCATCTGACCTCCGCCATGCGGAGGCATTCGTTGAGGATCATATCCAAACTGAGGAGCCACTGTCGTTGCTGGCTGGTGAGTGGGTTGGTAACCCCCAGGCATGGACTGGAAAAACTGGCCGTGGCTGTGACTATGACCATGAGCATGGCTCTCGTCCATGGGCCACATGGCTGTACCACCTATAGCCACATATCCATCTCGCATATTCTCCATACCAGGTGGCATATGCGCTAATCCCTGTGGTGCCGTGAATGAGCCTACGGCGGATGGATTGACCGGGTGGTCCAGATGAGCAGGCTGTTCCTGTGAGCCTGGTAGCTGGCCCGTCGAAGCCAAATGTTTAGTATCCGTGGATGAACCCTTAGATACCATCGCATCACCGGCGCCGCCCCCGGTATACCTCTTCTCCAACCGATCATGCCAGTCCCGGCCCTTGACGGCTACCACATGATACCATCGACTCGGGATCATGTATTTGCCGCCGCCGCTCGCCTCGCCCAGCTTATTCGCTATCGCGTCGAGGTAATAGCCCACATTCACAGTTTCCGGGGTGACTACCTCGCCGAGGGCGCCCGTTCGCACGGAGAAATGGATCTTGAGCAGGGAGGTCACAGCCATGCCGAACCGGGTGTACGTCAGATTCGGCATTCTACGCATCGTGTCCACGCTGCAGGTCAAGACGGCGTCGAGCAATTCGTGCGCCGCGTTCATCCATTTCACGTTGATGTCGATGCGGATTGCGCTCATCTGTGGACCCAAAGGCTGATTGCCGTCTTCGTCTAGGGTTGGAAGAGTGAAGTACCGCTTTTTAACAGCGTCAGGATCACGGTAGCCTTCTCCCACGCCGAGTTCGTACATGGCTAGGACTGCGGATCGGTATTCGAGGATCATAGGGACTGTTGAGGGAACGTTGTCAGAGAATATTGCGGCATCTCGGAGAAAATGGATACTCACCCGTGAGCATGTCGGTTGGAGTGCTCTTCCTCCACGCCTCCATTCGCTTGTCGAACCATCGCAGTACTGCTTGGACACGCGACTCGGTCAAGGGTGACGAAGCACTCGTGTCGTCCAAGCCGAATGAGGACATGGCCTCGTCCGTGATCCGTTGCAGTTCGAACCAGATGGCCAGATGCTGATCTGTCCGATGCGGGGATCGCTCTAGTTGCTGCACGCACTCATTCATCCAGTCGTTGAACTGAAGGAGATTGGGTCGACGGGTTTTCATGGCCACACTACATGGGTTCACCATTAGTAAATCCATCTTTCCCCCAGTGCAGAGAACCTGCTGACTTACGTTGACCCCAGATGATAACACCCCAGAACTGCCCTTGCCTGTTCGGCCAAAAGTTCATCGTATGGTTCATGCCGGTTCTTCCGGTCGGACTTCTTCTTCGAGACCCGCCGTTTCGTGGCCAGGCCAATCTCCAACGCCATCGTCGAGGCAATATGGGTATACTGATAAAACTGCAACTTTAAGGGCGAACCGGGCGGGTAATAGAAGATGATCATAATCAGCAAGGCCTGCACCAACTCCAGCGACTTTTCTCCCTCGATGAAGAACCGCTCTGCATAGAGCCGAACCATCTCACGATTCAACACACCCGCTAGCCCCGCATCGATCGAGATAGCCGCCGCCGAAATCACAGAGAGGAAAAGGATCGGCTTCGTCTGCCGCAGCTGTGCAGCCGTGGTGCTAGAGGGCAGAACGACCAGCGGGAAGAATGAAGCCAGTTCATGTAGGAAAAAGGCCACCAGCTGCTCTGCATCCTCCAGCGAGATAATACCCCGATCCACCACGTCTTCCGCAGGGGGCCTATTTGCGTCAGGCGAAAAGTTCATGTGCAACCCGGACATGGACGGGGGCGCTGAAAGGGGGCCACTCCCGCCCATACCCGGGTGAGCAGTATTCACAAACTCGGGCGAATAGTCCATAAATCTGACTGAACCCGTTGCACTGGCCGCTTCCTCCGGCAGAGGCCCCAGATGATCGTGAAAGTCCATCTCGCCGGACTCATCGGGAGAACCCTCGCTACCCTCGGGGGACTCCGGCTCGCTCTCCTCGCGGATACGATCCTTCAGTAGAGAACGCATCATACGCATTTCCTTCTCAAGCTGAGCCACTCGCGAATCGGTACGTTTCCGCGGTCGACGCCGCTGAGGGGCCACGAAGACACAGGCCTTTTTACCCTTTGCACATCGCTGGCATTGGTTTGGCGTGGACGGGTTGGGCAGACACCGTACCTTCAGGCTGCGGCAGGACTCGCAGGAGCGGTTCAACTGCTGTGTCGGAAGCGACTGGGCTGAACTGGATTCACCTTGAGGCGTGATAGAGGTCTCTGACATGTTCACACAGCCGGTGGGACGATGCCGGAGAGAAAGGTTCGGATGGCGAGAGAGCAAATGACGCTAGAGAAACTGATGGAGATTTGCAAGATATCTTGTGGATGATTTGATCCGTTCCATGCACGATATCTGAAAATGGAGGAGGAGAGAATATGCCCAACGAATACTCGGATCCGAGTCGGCCAATCATGCAGAGAAAGGGAGGGCAGGAAATGGAACCACCGGGGAAGAGGGGGCGAGAGTAAAACAACAAAGATGGAACAAGGTGCTATTCAACCTGGGTATTTCGACTCATCGTATCGAATGCAACTGCAGGTGGGACGGTGAACATGGATCTGAACATGGAAAGCCAAAAGCCACGGCCGAGCAAGGGAAAAAAGGACGATCGACGGCAATCTTCACGAGCAATCATAGATTTTTTTTTGCCCTCGCGACCCTGCAGATCTCGAGAATTCAGAACCCACGGCTTCGTCCGACTAGTGTTTTAGCGAAGCAGCGAAAAAAAAGCCTCAAGGAAGTCTAATAATAATATACCCCTTCTGAATGCGAGGCAGAGCGAAAGTGGGTGGGGGAAGACGATTGGAAGAGAAAAAAAGAGGGCCAGCCTTGGCTCCAGGTCGAGTTGCATGTGCGAGGCACAGAGTGTTGCCTCAGGGCCCCCGAAGCTTAAAAAAACCGAGCAGAATATGAATCACCGTTTCTCCTTTTTCTGGCCCCTGGTCGATGTGACAGAAAGGTGGGTGTCGTTAGGTAAGTGGGAGGTTGGCGGTGCCCAGGAGATCTTGGGAGTTGCGAGCCTAGGCAAAAATAGGGTCCCCGGCTTCCAGGCGATTTCAGGTTCGAATGGAGAATGCTCCATTCATACTCCATTCATCCAAAGCTATCGAGTCCCTGAGGATCTTCAACGGTAAGTTCGGTTAACAACTTAACAGTTGTTTTTTTTTTCTTGTCCCACTATGATCCACCTTAACTGTCACCCTTTCTATGGGGTAATGTGGATTGTTAGGAGCATCGCTCCAATGACACCAACCCCTCAATTGGGGGCTATCAGGGTCCAACAATCAGCAGGAACCGCCAGGAACTGCCCGAAAATAATCAGCATGACCTGCCGTATGCCCGAGGAATCAATTCCGCAGAGGAACTAGTTATTAGGCCAAGGCTGTCATCAAACCAGTCTTCCCCGTAATCGTTCAGGTTCACAGGACGTCAGGGTCCCATAGTAATCCATCACGAATTCACGGGTCGGTGGCTGAATTAGGGAGGAACAGGCACCAACCGAGTGCCCCGGGCCACCATCGACGGCGGAGAGAAATCTGTCGAGAAATCTGACGAGATAGTCGCAGGGGCGGCGCGAATCAAACGCGGCGACCACGATGTCGTTTAGCGGAGAACGAACCCTAAAGTGCAACCTGGCCAATCATTGATCTGACAGAAGATTCCTCCTTCCTCCTTCTTCCTTCCTCCACTTTTCCATGTCCCTCCTTCCATTGGTTCGCTAGTTAGTTCGAAACGATCCCCCAGCCCGCTTAACGGGTCCGACCGATTGCCCAAATCGGGTGCCCTTGCGACTCTGTGATGATGATTCTTGGTTGGCACTCCATATTATGGAGTTCTCCTGGGTAGAGTTTTGGTTATACGGGAGGCTGGAGTGGAGTATCGTATGTACCTTCAGCCATCACTATCTACTTTGTGAGGTATGAATGCACTAGGCTATACCTAGAAGGTATGTAGGAGACCTGAGTATTACTATACCATGATTCAACTTGTAACTTGCAAGTAGCCAGATAGAATCATATATACTACGAACTACTCTAACCTAGGTAAACTAGATGCTAGTGAGGCTGCTAGGGACTAGTCAGGCCCTCGCCGTGGACTTCCTTGAGTTGCCTACGGATCTCGCTCATGGCTGACGCTCGGGGATCCGGGAGATCCCACGATACCTACTTAAACGTTACCTGCGCTACCTAAATCTTCAAAGAAATGAACAAGTCCTGCAACTCTAATAACTTTCAATGGTGGTATCTTCATGGTCCAGGATAAACCCTTGTCTCTACAATCCCCTAGCATCACCGGCCGAAACCAGTAGAATAGACGATGCACCAAACCATCCAACCGATTCCCTGTCATTGCCCGATTGTACCTTCCAAAACGATCCAAAGTCCCAAACTCAGTCCCTCACAGAAACTAACTTTGATGAATTATTCTCGAATTTCTCTGCAATTTACACTCTACACTATCACCCATTCACCCTCATGGAACCGCCAAGCTGATCCAGACCTTCGACGCCACACCCGGCGCGGTCTCGGCGCTGCCCGAGTTACCCGACAATCGACCGTTTCCAGCGGGCAGCTGCAGGTGTTACGCATGTGATCGGCTTTCGAAATGGTTTAGATTATGTACGGCGCCCTATTCATGCAACGGGGCGTTCGATTTTTTTTCGGTATGCCGTAGATATCCGTCGGGTTGGAACTATTATTATCGTGATCTTCGGTGGGTGGAGTTTTACGGCGTAGTGTGGACTGTGGATGTGTACTATTGACCGCTAATCGGGAGGGTGGCATAAACTATGGTTCGAGTTTGAGACTTTGAGTCGCCAAGACATGGCTATGAGATAATGAGATAGGGCTAGCCGTTGATCTGAAGCTTTTTGATGGTGGAAAAATGCCTGTGGTCCAGCTTGGGGATTGCCGGTCAACGGTGCAGGATCTTTGCAGCCTAGTGTCGTCGAACCGTTGCTCCTGCCTATGGGATTGAAATAAAATGCTCTTTTTCCATCTCCTGAAATATCTACTTCTCCCTAGATAGCCAGAGGTTATCCTGTCCTAGACCGGACCGCTCGGCTTCTGGCTGTTATGGCTGCTTCCTATTATTTCTTCACTCCAGGCTTATGACAATAGACATCTATACTATGTCTAACATGATCAAAGCCGTAATGTGGTCGATCTTTGGACTTCCCCTTGCCTCCTTTGCACTCTCTATCTCCGGTATATCCGTTTTAAACCGATCTTGACGAGATTGTCTAATAGTTTAAGACTGCTGTTTTGACTTGCTCTGTACCTAACCTGCCTCTAATGTGACAGTTCTTTTATGGAATCTAACAAGAAGGACATTCATAAATTACCAAGTTAAAGAAGAACCCATCAGGAAGGAAAGAAAGAGATGTACTGAGGGAACGAGACAATACAAACTTACCAAAGTGGTGCCTGCGAAACCAGGCATCACAAAATGCATCAAATAGAAGCTTTACACACTCCAACGGCTCGAGTTCTTCCGCGTCAATGAGAGATTGCGGGGATGCAGACCCGCTTCTAGCAGACATCGTCACACCAGCGGGGGGCCGAGGGCCAAGGAGAAGATCTAAAGTTCTGAACAGATTCTAAATCAACAGACCTCCCCTCCGTCCGCCTCCACCCAAAGCCAAGAATCCTACCAGCCACAGCAGCGCCTCATCGACGCCATCCTACGCATCACCTTGCGCAGCTGCATCCCGACTCCTGGCCCTACCTCCAAGCGCCCGCGGATCCTAGCCCTTGTCCGACGGTCCTTCGAATGAACAGGAGGATAATTGACCCCGGAGTCCGTCGTGCTACGGCTTTCATCTGGAAACTTCAATTTACAGATGACGGGCTCGTTAGGGTCACTACCTTGTACGCGTGATCAGTAGGGCGCCCCCTTTGAGACTACCAGCCGTGGGCTCATACACATCTAGCCCGGTTACTGGTGGGATGGCAGGAAACGCTCCGCGGCGCTGGAAACGGCGCAATAGCCGGCGCTATTCGAGGCTTGTTTGTGCCGCGAGGCGGTGGCTCTAACTGGGGGCTTTTAGTCTAGCGTTGTCGTTCTGTATGCTTGTCCGTCGTATGTACTGTGAGAAGCAGAGTACAGTACGGAGTACGTACTTGACTGCTTGTGTACTGTACTCCGTAGATAGGCGCTGGCCAGGACTGGCGGAATCGGCGGAGCGAACGGGCCTCCCGAAGGGTTGGAAGGGACGCGTATGCGTTTGGCTGCGGACCGGATCGCGTCATTTTGTCTCGGTACTATTTAATTAGACTCGCGACGAGTACGGTGTAGCGTCCCTGTGGAGAGTCAGATGGCTGTGGAGGACGCGTAAACAGCTGAGGCAGGGTTTGAATATCTATACGGAGAGGATGATTTTCTTTGGAGGGGAGGAGTTATCTTGAGATTCTGGGGTATCCCTACGTGCCAAGAGCTCGTATGCTCTTCCTGATCAGTCCGGACTCTGGAGTAGTACCACTTGTACAGTAGGTTAAATTGGGTTTCGGATTCTGTGGGGCGGAGCGGGCGATTGGCGGAAATCTTACGAGGATGACGATGTACGAGGATGGGGATCTACAGTATGTGTACAGTTTCTTCATAGTTCAGTTCATCCTGTACGTTCATTGTCTGACTGGTGGGATATTCTCCGTAGTTGCTTCCCTAGATTAATGGTAACGTCTTCTAATTTAATATCTTCTTACCCCATGGTAGAACACAGGCTATGGAAATAGAATCCGCTAAGGAGTCAATTGACCTACTAGAGGATACTCAACGATATAGATAAATCTATGTAGAGACTCTAGACTACCGCGAGACTGTTTCTTGTCTTGAATTCCACGTGATTGTAGGATCCTCGCAGGTAATTTCTTTGTAGAACCCAGGATTGTACTTCTTATCTGATGTTCCGCCTCGGAGTCTCCACAATTCCCAAAGGACGCGAATCAGACTGGGCTGACGAGGGTTGACGCGGTCGCAGACTTTTTCTGACGGGCTCCAACCAGTCAGACTCGTCATCCATCCCTTCCGAGATCCTGAACGAATACGACTTTCGCCAAGGGTCTCTGGATTTCGTACCAACTCGCATGATCACTTACCCTCTCCAGAGAGAACCAAGATCTTAGGAGGCGACTCAAACCTGATTTTTCGGATGGTTCATGAATCGGATTGGGAGAGCCGAGAGTTTTTGACAGCCAACGGGGGAGGTGGAAAATGTAAAACCAGCCGTCAGCCAAGCCTCGATGGCACCAAGCCACGCAGAGATTCGTAGATCGGAAGTGTCGGGGGGTGGAAAAGGTGGAAACGATCTCTCGCATCTGGAACGGGCAATTGGCCACACGAGAAATCGTTAAAAGTGTTTCAACTCCCGCTCCCTTCTTCTCCAACCCATTTACCCGCCCTACTCTTTCTCTACTGCCAACTCTTCTTTTCTCCTCGACTCCTAGGTCCTGGTTCTTATACTTAACACATTCTCGGCCTGACCTTTCGTTTCTCCCCTTTCTCTTGGACTCCCCCCTTTTTCTCTCCCCACGGTAATTATTGGTGGGTATACTGTATTAATACCTTCTTATCGCCGGCCCCCCTTTCACGACACAACCAGAATCAAAATTCCCGCCAAAAGAAACTCTTTGCATCTCTCTATCGCGCTCTAGCCGACGGGCTGCGTGTATATATTTTCCGATCCGAACATACCACTGTCGATCTCTGTATAGCGACGTCACGACACCATGCGATTCTCTTCGAGCCTCCTAGGGCTATACGGCCTTTTATCAGCCTCCGCCCTCGCTGTGGCCCAGCCCGGCGACACCGACTTTATGAGTGTGCGCGAGAACCTCGCCAAGGACTATGAAAGTGAGGGCCAGATTCCTACAGAGAAATATTTCAGTAAGTCTCCATTCCTTTCGGCTTGATCCGAGCCAGCCCCCCGCGGCCTTGGCAAGGGGGGGGCCTGGCCGGGCCGTCTTTCGATCTTTTACTAACTCGTATCCAATCTAGCGGAATCCTCGTATGTTGATCTTTTGGATACGATTACGGTTTAATGGTACTAACGATTATTCTGCAGCTTCCATTATCACTATGACGGCCGGTATGTATCTCATTGACGATGTTCCACGTTGCTTACCCTGCTAACGCCGTCGCCAGCTTCGCGGACCAGCCCCTGCCCGACGACAAAGTCACACCCCACCTTTCCGCCTTAATTCAGACCTACCTATCGACCATGTCATCCATTGGCGCCGAAACTTGGATCATGCACGGCACTCTTCTTTCCTGGTGGTGGAATCAAAAGGTATTCCTACCGACTACCCAACGACTGCGCCTCGAGCCCGGCACATACAATGGATTCCGATCGCTAACAAACCCGGCCCACAGATCTTCCCATGGGATAACGATCTCGACGTGCAAATCTCCGAGCCGACTATTCATTTCCTGGCAGAATTCTACAACATGACGGAACACCACTTCGACCTACCCGGTGTTGACGGCGGACGCAAATATCTACTCGAAATCAACCCCAACTACGTTGTGCGCAGTGAAAAGGACCGTTTGAACGTGATCGATGCGCGCTGGATTGACACTTCGTCCGGCCTGTTCATCGATATCACCGCCGTGCGCAAGGACGAGGCTCGACGCCAGCGTGGTGAAACCGAGGCTTTGATGTGCAAGGATCGCCATCATTACCAAGAGAGCCAGATCTTCCCGCTGCGGGATAGCTACTTCGAGGATGTACCGGTCAAGATCCCGTACAGTTATACCTGGCTATTGGAGGAGGAGTATGGACCCAGGGCCTTGACGAATAAGAACTTCCAAGGGTATGTTTCCATATCTGATCAAGATGGATCCTTGTGCTAACTGTCTTACTCAGACACAATTTCAACGAAGACAGCAAGATTTGGGAGCACACGAAGTGAGTGACTATGGAATTGTGTTTCCAATTCCGAGATTTCATGCTAATATACCACCTCCAGACGCAGCGTCAAGCGGTTTCTCCGCCGAGGCTGGCGCATGAGTGATCTGCCCACTCGCTCAGCTAACAACCAACCTCTCGTTCGCATGGACGCATCTTGATCGGCGTGCTTTGCATTTTCATCAGCATTTACATTTGCATTTTGCATACGTCCTTTTCTACTTCAGCGTGATGGGTTGGAAACCATTTCCGCCTCTATTTTCCTTTTTTCTCTTCTGCATTTGCATGGCGTTGGATTTACTTGTTGAACATATTTAGCAGGGAGTGTGCTTGTGTTGGAGCTAAACCAAAATATACCTTGTACATAATCACATGGGTTTATTATGTACTCACGATCATGAGTCGAGTGTCTGACTGTCAATGTTCCACATTTTCTTAACTTTGAGTAGACAAATTGCCATGTGAGAAGTGGATCTGGAGTTAAAGAGGTGGTGGCACCGTGGCAACGTGCTATAATCCTTGGCGTAGCTTGGCATCTTCCATTAACTTTCAGCATTAGTAATGAGGTTTTTCTGAGAATGGCCTGCTTCTTTCATAACTAGTCTAGAATTAATCCTCTGCATGATTAGTAAACTTCTCGTATCCATTCCATTATTAAAGCACTGGTGTACATTACGAGCGGATAGCTCTAGTAGGACGAGGAGAAGGTCCATACTCAGGTATCCCACGATCCAAGACAGGATTTGGTCTGCTTAATTTGCAGTCCAGCCATTTTATTGAAATAATTCAATAAGCCAACTAATGTCTATTATATTTGTATTTTGTAGAGGTAGAAGACGCTCCCATCGGACGTGGACGGGGTTATCGGAGCTACTATGAGCTCTCTGCGGGATTTTATCCAAGACCCGGCTGAATACTCCGTATCTAACGGGGGTTGAACGGAGAGGGAAAATTGTCCAATCCCTAGAGAAAGGTTGAAAAATAAGTATAGCGTAGATGTAGTATATATCAATGCATCATTACACCTGATTAGAGAAGAAAACCCCTCCCTCATGTTCCCACAAGGCTGTGAGCGGAGCAAATGAAGCTTTCGGGGATAACGCGAATTTACCCAAAGTGGACGGGCAAAACAGGCTGAGTCACGGGTCACATGTGGCCCCCAGGGCCCCTTTGAATACGGACCTCGAGAGACTGACATGTCCTTTTTTTGAACCGCCAGAAATCTCACATCACGTCTGCACAAGTTGGAAGGGCAAAGAATGCGGGTAACTTGGTCTTCCCCTGGGTTGTCATGTCATTCCACTCTGCTTCTCCGGAGGGGCTGAACTCCTCCCCCGCCAGTGAGAATTCTCCAACCGGTGCGCGCTCTGGCGTGCCCGCCACCGCCCCCCGCCCGGTCTCGGATATAGCCAGCGCGCGGAGCTGTGTAACTTGTCGTCGGCGGAAGGTCCGCTGTAATAAGCGTTCGCCTTGCTCGAATTGTGTCAAGGCCGGTATTGACTGCGTGTTTCCCCCACCGGGCCGAGCCCCGCGCAAGTCTAAGCGTCCGCCCGATGCCGAGCTGCTTTCGCGCTTGCGTCGCCTCGAGGGCGTCATCGAGCATTTGAGTGGGAAACCTCCCGATAATCCCGGTTCGACATCTAGTATCTCGCCAACCCAACCGTCTAACACTTTTTCCCCGCTCCCTACCGTTCCTCCTACCGTGGTGACCGCGCCGTCGACTACTCCCGGCTCCGTTCCACCGCCCGCTCAGGACTCGGGTTGCCCGTTCGAGAATGACGATCCTAAGAAGCTTGCGCCGAAGAAGTTTGAGAATGAGTTTGGGAGGCTGGTTATTGATGAAGGCAGGAGTCGATATGTGAGCAATCGGCTGTGGGCGAGTCTTGGGGACGAGGTATGTGTAACCAGTTCTCTGCCTGTCGATCACCTGCCGATCAACTGTGCGACATTAGCTAACAAGCCTATCATGTTTTTAGATCGAAGAACTTCAAGACATTTTAGACCACTCCTCATCCGACGAAGAGGATGTTCCCTCTCCAGAATCCTCCCATTCCGGCTCCCACGACGGCTTTCTATTCGGATTTTATTCCTTGTCGCACTCGCTCAGGGAATTCCACCCCAATTTACCCAAGGTGTCGATGTTTTGGGAAGCTTACAAGGAAAATGTTGCGCCTCTGATCACTATCGTGCACAAGGGAACGGCTCGGAGTTTGTTGGTCGAGGCTGCACAGAATCCCGAATCGTTGGATAAGAATAACGAAGCGCTCGTGTTTGCAATTTACTTTTCGGCTATTGTCAGCTTGAAAGCTGAAGAATGTATCGCCCGATTTGGCGAAGAGCGAAGCATTCTGGTCAAACGCTACCGCTTTGCCGTTGAGCAAGCTCTGTCTAGGGCTGGTCTCCTCAATACACAGAGCTTGGTGCTCATCCAAGCTGCAGTTCTCTTCCTAATTTGCGTTCGCCGAGAGGACGACTCTAAGTTTGTCTGGTCCATGAACTCGGTCATTCTCCGCCTTGCCCAAGGACTGGGGTTGCATCGGGACGGTACCAACTTCGACCTAAAGCCCTATGAGACGGAGATGCGCCGACGCTTGTGGTGGCACATTTGTCTGATGGATGTTCGTTCGTCTGAAGACCATGGCACCGACCCACAAATCAACGAGAGCATGTACGATACTCGGCTTCCCTTGAATATCAATGATGACGATATCACTCCAGAAATGACCGAGGCCCCGGCTGAACGCGAGGGTATCACAGATGTCACTTTCTGTCTGATTCGTTGTGAAATCACTAGCGCCCTGCGACGCGCGAATTACTCTTGTCCAGGTATTCGATTCCGCATGGGCGAGACTGCCCCCGGAATCGAACGCTGTGAACGGATGATCGAGATTATCAGCAATCGTGTTGAGAATCGCTACATCAAGCACTGCAACATGAATATTCCGATCCACTGGGCAACGGCGACAGTGGGACGTCTTATTCTTGCAAAGCTGTGGCTGGTGGTGCATCACCCAATGACCCGAAGAGATCGCGTCCTCAATGTGTCTCAGGCCACTCGCGAGAGCTTATTCCTGACAGCCATCGAGGTCCTCGAGTTTGGTCGGTTGTTGGAAAGTGACCCGAAGACCGCAAAATGGGGCTGGCTGTTCCGAACTAATATGCAATGGCATGGAGTCGCATTCGTTCTATCCGAGGTGTGCGTTCGTCCAGTCTGCCCTGTCACCGATCGGGCTTGGAGTGCAGTCCAGGGTATCTACTTGGACTGGGAACGTCAGGCAACACACAAGAAGGGCATGCTATGGCGCCCGCTAGCCGCATTGATGAAACGAGCCGCGTCAACTCGCGCTAAGCAACAGGAAGAACTCCTCGCCAAGTTTGGTCCGAACCGGGTAGCTTATAACCATGATCCCACCGACTTTGCATTGACACACCACCACACCCTCCCTCAAATACACATGCCAAATAACACACCACTTCCCTCATCGATCCCTCCGTCCCAAAACCAGCCAATCCAAGAAAAGTCCGATCTAGATATTGATCTGAACCAGGGACCCTGGGAGACATTGCAGAGCATCTTCCCAAATACCAACTTCCTGGCACCGGTCACTCTGGATAATCCCCCACCGCAAGAACCAGTCTCGGCAATCAACGTGCCTACGGGACTATCATTTAATACGCCCATGAGTAACAACACGTTCATGAGTCAAGTCAATATTCCCGAAACTGCTACGCTTAGCTGGGATGAATGGGACCAAGTTATGCGCGACTTCCAGATGGATGTTGAAAATGAAGATACAGAGCTTGGAAAGGGGACTCACGTTACGGAATGGTTTGCATGATTCTGCTTTGGTTGATGCTCGATGGTGTTCCCCATCTGCATCTCACCCGACTCCATTCTGGACTTTTGGCGTTTAGATATAGATGTGGTGTTTTGGCGCTCTTACCTCTTCTGGGGTTGATCTATTATGACGTGACGACATACGGTGTAAATTTGTTGAGCTTGTCTTTGGGCAAGCTCTTAATTCCCCTCCACTCAATGTGAATATAGTTATCTTCTCTCTTGATAAAATACCCATCAATCCAGCCGCGATGCTCTGCTATCAACCTGGTCTTATTGCATCCTAGGTTGCCGCATAGGTAGCTACTCGAAAGTAACAGGGCTACACCTTATACTGGACTTCATTTGAGGCGAAAGAGCACCGTCATTCTTTAGTCCGTGGACGTCGTCGAGTATCACCACAGTCAGCCACAGACATAGCGAAATAGGCTTACAGTGACGACCACAGCTAAGAAATGATGCAAATAGAAGTCAATTTAGATTAACTGACCACCCTTTCCACATTCTATCGCCTATCAGATTACCGTGCCACTACCTGCGATAAATTAAAAGATGATCGCGTTGTACAGCCACAACCATCATCATCCGCGTAAACAATGACATCATACCCTCCCTATCAAGATCTATATCAACGTCGACCCCAACTCTCCATACCGCTTTTCACACACTACAAATCCAAAAAGAATCATTTGACTTTACCAAACCAGTCAATAAATAATAATACCTCCCAAAACAAACCACATCACACTACATCCAACTTTCAATACGTCAACTCTCCACAAAAATGCCAATCAACACCTCCTCCCAAGACATCGGCGTAACGGGCGCCGCTAAATTCGTCACATCAACTCTGGGAAATACGGTCGGCGGCGTTACTCGCACCGTTGGCGGTGTCACTGGTGCTGCGACGCGTGGTGTAGGCGATACTATTACTAGTGCTACTGGGAGTGCTGGGAAGCCTGTTGGTGATGCGATTGGGAGTGCCGGGACGGGGGTTGAGGATGGGGCGAAGAGGGTTGCGAGGGGGGTGGAGGATGCTGGGCAGTGGAGGTGAAGAGTATGGGAACTGTGAATGCAAATAGGGGAGTAGTTGTGGATTTGTATATAGTTTGATATCCTTCAAGGTTGGGCGGTACCTGAAGTTGATAGTGAGAGGTTAGCATAGGTACCAATGTTATGAAGTTGACATGGAAACTATTTACGTGGGAAATTTATCCTTATGCCCTAAAGAATGATCAAGAGGACCATGCGAATCTCCAATATGGCCGCCATGATACCTCTTGCACAGCTCGCAGAACATCCAAGGTACTGACTACTAACTACATCACTCACTCTCTGGTTCATTTCAAAGAGCTTTGAAACATAATTCCTTGTTCACCAACTGATTCAAGGTTCAAAAAGAGCCATATTTAGATAACAGCCAAAAATTGGGGAACTATAAGGAATGGCAATGATTCCTCCTTGTAAAGGACATTGTGACTGCATGTACTATCAAATCACATGATAGTTAGGCTGAAGTTGCCCCTCAGTACATTGCGGTTTACGCCTATGCCCATCGAAGACTCAATAACCTTGTATCTGAAAACCCCTCTAGCATCAAGTTTAATCATGGAAAGTATATCTTTCGGTGGGGTAAACTCCGGTTTTCAAGTGGGAATCAGTCATGGCCCCATTTCAGTCTATTCATCTCATCCTTCCTCCGGTAAGGCTGTCTCGTAGAATCATCTCATCGATGAGACATCATTATCCCCTTAGATAGTGACTTAAATTTGATATGTAGGCCAAGGGCAAAGTTTCTTTTTCACCTCAAATTATGAGGCACAGAAAAACATCAATCCTGCACCAGTCCGGGGTACATGCAGATGGTTTCTCAATCATCCAAAATTTCTAGAATGGGAAAATAACAACCATGCCAATCTCCTCTGGCTTTCCGCAGATCCTGGTTGCGGGAAATATGTTTTATCTAGAGCTCTGGTTGATGATATTCTAGCTCAAGATTCGTCAGCGACAATATGCTATTTCTTTTTCAAGTACATCGAGGAGCAAAGCAGTGCGGCAACTGCAATTTGCGGGCTCCTGCATCAGCTATTTTGCACGAAGCCAGATCTCTTCCAGAAGAACGCTCAGAAGATAATACGCCAGGAGGGGGAGCAACTGAAATCAAATTTCGAGTCTCTTTGGAAGTTATTGCTCTCCGTGGTCGAAGATCCTTCCAGTGGAGACATTATTTGTCTCATGGATGCCCTTGATGAATGCCGACAATCTGACCGCGATAGACTCATACAAGAATTGGATCAAGTCTACCAAATGCCTCAGCGAAGTCAAAACGGGAATTTCAAACTCAAATTTCTCGTCACAAGTCGTCCTTACGGTGATATCGAGCGAAGATTTGCCAACATGACTCGTCAATTTCCATCTATTCGCCTCGCAGGCGAAGATGAATGGAGGGGTGTCAGTCAAGAAATTGATATGGTGATGAACGCTAGAGTGGATGAGATCATAAGAGAAAGAAATCTCTCTCGTGATATTGGGGACGCTGAGAAGCGCCGATTATCTATGGCCGAAAACAGGACCTATGTATGGCTAAATCTAACCTTGGATTTCCTTCGGGGTTTTCATGGTAATACACAGGCTAAGATTCTGCGAGAAATTGATAGATTACCAGAGACCGTTGATCAAGCGTACGAAAAGATCCTGCAGCGGTGCAACAGCAGGTATCACGGAGACGGAAGAAGACTGCTGGAAATTATTGTCGCAACACACCGGCCACTAGACCTCTCCGAGATTGATCTTGTGCTAGAAATTCATGAAGCCTGCAGATGTTTCGAAGACTTGGACCTTGAAGGTCCCGAAAAGCGCAAGCAGTGGATACGCGATGTATGCGGCTTGTTCGTTAGCGTTATCGATTCACGATTGTATCTGATTCAGCAGACTGCGAGGGAATTGCTACTACAAGAGGGACCTGAGCCCGCTGCGCCAGGTACATGGAGACGTTCCATAGATCTACGTCACGCGCACCTTCTCCTTGCAAAGCTCTGCATCACATATCTCAGCTTTGAGAACTTCAAGATGCACGATCACGATTATGACCCGGACATCCCTGAGAATGCATTTTCGAGGTATTCTGCAGCACACTGGACATCCCACGTAAGACAAGGTCACAGTCTAGGGCATGGATGGGTTCAAAAAGTGATCATTTTGTGCGATAAAAGAGGTCACTCTAAATACTGGACTCGCTATCCTACATTTGATCTTGGGCAGATGATTCCGGTCGTGCTGTCCAAGAAGTGGTCGTGCTTGCATTGGGCAACGTTCTTAGATCTCACAGAGGTTGTGCACTCGCTTATTGACGAGCGAAACATGAAGATCGATGAAGATGTGATACGGGCTGCGGTGACGAATAGTGGAGGTGGAGCAGAGGTGCTGAAGCTTCTTCTCGACCGTGCAGATATCAAGATCACTAAGAGGATTATCGAGATCGTTGCATCGAATATGGATTATGGAGAGCAAATGATGCAGATTTTGTTTGACCAACGAGGGTCAGAGATGAGGATCACCGAAGATATAATCTATTGGGCTGCGTCAAACCAACCGAAGGGTGAAGCGATCACGAAGCTTCTCCTCGACTACAGAGGGGCGGACATCAAGATCACCACAAAAGTAGTTTATGGTGCTGCATTCAATTTTCGGAATGGTGGTAAAGTGATGAAGTTGCTTCTCAACCGAGGAGCAGAGATCCAGGTTGCCGACCAAGTGGTCGAGGCTGCTGCGTCATTTTGGCCAGATAGGGACGAGGTAATGGAGCTTCTGCGCCGCCGACGAGCAGCGGATCTCAGAGCTGGATTATCTCATTTATTATGATATCCAAATACAGCGAAAATTGTTCAGGTGAGATTCAGCGGTTGCTGGCTATTCTGTATTCCTGATGAGTAGATGGAAGTAGTGGAAAGCTGATGTACTTCCACATCCACCAATGGCGGCATATCAACCACGTGACCCTCCCCGATAACGAAGCTCCCAGCTGGCATCAATTGATCTTCCTTTCCCCACGCCATTGAGTTATTCAACAACCTTGAATTGCTTCCAACAGTGCGGCACTCCTTTAATATCCTGCGAAGCATTCCACTGGAACCTTTTCTATTCTCTACCAAAACCCGACACCCGCCCATTCCAGCAACCATGCCTGCCAAACGACACGCGGCCTCAACTACCTCCGCGCCGGCACCCGTTACGCCCGCAACTCTCTCTTCGGGCCCTTCAACCCTGAAGACTAATGCTTCTGCTGCTGCAATTGCGCAACATGTTTGGGAGCAGTACCTTGCGACTACTCCGCAACGGACATTGCTTCTGGATGCTTTCATGGCCTTCCTAGTTCTCGTCGGTGGACTCCAGTTCTTGTACTGTGTGTTGGCTGGAAACTACGTAAGTTGATTATGAACCATGCAGCATTGGCGAAAGCGTGGATTCCTCAATTGCTTTCTTCTCTACTTATGGATCCAATCTAACAATTGTCGTCGATTCTAGCCTTTCAACGCCTTCCTGAGTGGCTTCAGCGCAGCTGTCGGCCAGTTCGTCCTCACGGCCAGTCTTCGTATGCAAACAAGTGATAGCGGTTCCGGATCATCCAGCAAGCCCAGCTCCAAGGGGAAGAATGCCCGTTTCGCAGATGATAATGAGGATCAGGGCTCTGGTACCTCGCACGAGAGGTGGGTTGATCGCGGGCGTGACTTCTGAATCGTTGTGACTTGGAGTACTAATGCGTTATATAGAGCTTTCGCCGATTATATCTTTGGAAGTCTGATCCTACACTTCTTCTGCATCAACTTCATCAACTAAATCCCTCGGTCCTATCATCGCATCAAGATACTCGCTCTTCGCTTTTTCTGGCGCTGGTCCGTTCGACAAAGGGCAGGACAACCTCGATATCTGATGCTCAACTTGGTTCTGGTTTTTAAGCGCCAATTGCAGATGTATACGCCTGTAGCTCTGCCCACTTTGAGCTTCCAGTCTGAATGATTTCTTTTTGTATAAAATACCAATGCGAATCATGGAGTTTGAAGAATGGCATTTCAAGAAGCACGTAGATCGCGGAAGAGGTTTGAGATCAAACGATGGGTATCTTATTCAATGACTCTGGATGCTTGCAACACAAGTCCAGACTTCTAAAAGTGATTTGTATGGCTTTTGTACAAACGTATATGAATGGCATGTCGTGTGAGGCATGCCTGTAGGGCGATCACCTTAAAATTGACCTGGCCTCCTCCGTCCGATGGGTTTCTTCACCACACTACCTCCGGAGCCACTGCCTCCAGCACCAGGTCGAGGGGAAGGGGATGAAGAAGCAGTCACCCCGCCAATCTGCCTTTTACCACCCTTGATAACAGCAGGCCGACGCACAACCGACCGGGCTCCCCCAACCTCGATTTCGGTTTTGCGTCGCGTAGAATCGACTTCTTTCTCGGCTTCTTTAGCTCGAGCAGCAATCGCACGAGCGTCTGCCATCTCTTGTTGGATCTGCATGCTTTTATTGATTTCTCGCTCTTTGATACGACGGTCACGCTGAGAGTAGCCTTTCTCTTTCATGGAGTAGAAGACACCGCCGAGATCGGCAAGCCACTAGATAAATGCAGTTAGCTAACGATGTACGCCAGAAGAAGGACGTGACAAACTTACCTCAGGATCGACGGCTGTCACAACAGACATGTACTCTCTTGCTGTCAACCTCAACTCGTGGTAGACAACGAATGGAGGGGCATCACTCAGCCCAGACAGGGCGCTTGATCTTTGTAGGTACATAGAGACACTGGTGCGAAGGTTGAGGTATTCTTTCTCACTACCACTGCCACCGCCTCGTCGCGCAGCTTGATGATAGAAGCCGGAGCAAATACACTTGCGAATGACATCCCAGTCCGTGCCGCAGCTGATGAGTGGCATCTTTTGCTGTGTCATAATGTCTTGGAATTGATCACGGACTTCCTTGGCCTGTCTCAAATTTTTCGCATGAAGGAAGTGCCGGGTACACCAGCGGTCGGAGCAGCCATTAGCTCTCCACTGCGTAAAGACATGGAGTAGAGTCAGATGATCCGATTCGTGGACGTAGAACTTTTCGTGGGCAGAGTCGGCCTCTTCCTCGCGCTCCTTGGGTCGGTAGAAGACATGAGGGACCGTGAGCATGGACACGATCGTAAGCATTTCCTCACTGCAACCGTATACCTCGGAAGCCATTATGATAAGTTTGGCAAGGGCCGGATCAGCGGGGAAAGGCGTCATGCGGCGGCCGAGTTGGGTAAGTTCACCCAGGTTGTCCAGAGCTCCAAGAGCCCAAAGTTCGAAAAGGGAGGTAGACATGACTTCTTGTGAAGGAGGATCCATGAAATCGAATTCAAGAAGATCCTTCACGCCAAGGGACTTCAGCAGCAACACTGTGTTTGCGAGACTCGTACGCTGGATTTCTGGAATTGTCTGCATGTAAAGCTCGTTCTTAAAGGCCGACTCGGTGTACAGGCGATAAGCTTTTCCGGGGCCAGTTCGTCCAGCACGGCCAGATCGCTGATTGGCATTGGCCTGGGAGATCGGGGTGATTTGAAGACTGTCCATGCCCATTTTGGGGTTGTACGTCTTGAGCTTGGAGTATCCTGGATCCACAACGTACATGATTCCGTCGATGGTTAGACTGGTTTCGGCAATGTTGGTGGCCACAATAACCTTGCGAACCCCCTTTTCTGCCCTCTCGAAGACCTTTGCTTGTTGCTCTGCTGGTAGTTGACTGTAAATAGGCAAGATGCTGAGTTTTGGCGGATCATTGAGCAGATTTAATCGTTCGTCAATGAGCTCGCAAGTTGCTTCAATGTCTTCTTGTCCCGTCATGAAAACGAGAATATCACCGGGACCCTGCGAGACGTGGATGGTCAAGACCTGCTTGACCGCACTATCGACGTAATCTTCACAAGGGGACCGGGAGAAGTGAAGGTCCACGGGGAATGTTCTGCCAGGAATAATAAACTCTGGCGCTCCACCGAAAAAGCGCGAGAAGCGCTCTGCATTCATCGTGGCCGACGTGACAATCAATTTGAGATCTCTTCGTCGAGCGAGAACTTTTTTAAGAAGACCCATCAGGACGTCCGTGTTTAGACCTCTCTCATGTGCTTCGTCCATGATGATGCAGGAGTATTTATCCAAATCAGCCTGTGCCAGAGACTCTCGGAGCAGGACACCATCCGTCATATCTGTAGAGGCGTAAATCAGTTAGTATATTTGAAGCTCACCCAAATCGTATAGATGCCAACTCACATTTGATTACCGTCTTATCGCTGGTGCAATCCTCAAAACGAATGGCATATCCAACGAGATCACCAAGGTCCACCTCCATCTCTTCACTGACACGCTTCGCAACACTCATAGCTGCCACACGACGAGGCTGCGTACACCCAATCATTCCGAGCTTCGAGTAGCCATCTTCATACAGGAACTGAGTCAACTGAGTGGTTTTTCCGGAGCCCGTTTCACCCACGACAACAATGACTTGATTGTCCCGAATCACGCGTAGGAGATCTTCCCGGACGGCGAAGGCAGGAAGATACTCTCTTTGCTCGCGCAGAGTCTTGCTCTTGCTAAACGAACTAGAGCCGCCTTCGTCCTTCTTAAGGTGCTGAGCAAACTTGTTTCCTCCCCGCTTGTAGACCTCTTCGACCGGCGCAGCTACCGCACTGTCACCTTCTTCTTCCTCCTTGACACCCATAAGATTTCCTAGCGTGGTACCTGCCATCGTCGTCGCATCCTGAGCTTGCCTCTGTCGCTCCCGCTGCTGTCGACGTTCCCGCACAACCTTGCTTCCCTTCCGACTGAAGACAGCCATGTCACTCTGGGGATCTCGAATGGCGGAAATCGGGTCCAGCTGCGTGGTGAAGATCGTGCGGCCATCGAGGAAGGGTGGTCGAAGCTCGTGGACACTTAGATGTACTCGAGTATCCTCTTGGTCTTCGGCAAGGTTGTGCGCATGTTGAATTCCAGTCTGTTGTGCAAGGCCCGACTTCACAAGTTGCTCTCGATGCCACATCTGATCCTGGTCGTGCTGAAAGTGACCAGTTCTCTGTCGCTTGGCTGGAGGCACTCCATGGCCAGCCCCATTGCGATCCATGATGTGGGTATTGACCTGAATCGTAGGTCAAGGCAAGGCTTGAATTGATCCTGCTGGGAGCTTAACTCGTTGCGGCGTATCTTTGGAATTCTGAGACAAACAGCGCAAACAAGTCGTTATCAGTCACGTGAGAAATCAGCTTGTCCGCATATCGCAGCGCAAGTCTCGACCTGCACAAAAAAAGAGAAAAGAATTTATTTCTTAATTATTCTTTAGTGATTAAAATTTGAAAACTTTGCAATTCAAAGGATTTTTCCCCTTCAAACCGTGTAGATAAGTGGGAGAAATCCAATTGCGACTTGCCGAGCCCGCGGAACAAGCACCAAGCGCCCCGCATCGTCATCTCGACTTTTGAGCTTCCTGTGTCTCCTTGTCCCTTACCAGCACAACCGTCACAATGTCCAGCCAACAGCAAGTAGACCCTAAGAAGCAGCAGGGTAAGATGGACCCAGACTCAAATACGGATGAAACTACACAATGGCTGACATATTTCTCCACAATAGAGCTGCAGAACCAGTACACCAACTTCAAGAACACCCTTCAACAACTAGCGCAAAAGATCGGAGACATCGAGCAAGAGGCTGAGGAGCACAAGTAAGTCTAGCAAGGCTTGCATCACGCCCACGCTACTTAAGGGGGCAGAGAGGAGACTGTGTGATGAGATCTGGCTCCTGGGAGCAAAGATGGAGGCGCACCTTTGAACACCATGGATTCTAATGCAATCTGAACTGGCATAGACTCGTCATCGAGACATTGGACCCTCTTCCCGAAGATCGCAAATGCTTCCGCATGGTTAACGGTGTCCTGGTCGAGCGTACGGTCAAGGAGGTTCTGCCGACCCTTAAGACGAACTCGGATGGCCTGAAGCAGGTGCTGGAGGATATGCTGAAGCAATACAAGTTGAAACAGACGGAGTTGGATAGCTGGAAGGTGAGTTCAAGATGAATCTATGAGCCAGTCCACATGCCAAGGGCAGCCCTCGAGCCCTGGAGGCATTCATTCCCAGACCAGGAGTATTGACCATCTCTGCTTGAATTTTACAGAAGAAGAACAACATCCAGGTTGTGCAGCCCTGAAGGACAAATGCTTCGGTTATACTTTTTGATACCCGGCCTTTTCCAATAGTTGCACGCGTGAGCGTATGAGGGAGATTATTGGCGTTTATGGAAATGGCAACAAAACTAGAGAACCTAGCATGATTCACCTTTGATCATAGCGAAATAAAAAGAATCAAACATGGGATACAAGAACAATTGGCCACTATGATTCATGGAATGTATGAGTATAGCCCTATTAGGATGATTGTGATATGTTGGTAATTCTTGTTGGCCCTTGGATATTTCCAATCAGCACGACTATCCTTGATGTCACTGGTCATGCAGCAGTGAATCAAACAACCGGATTCAAATGCGTCGAACACATCATGGATAATGCCAAATCATCATTTGAAATTCTCTTTGCTTTTGCATGTTGGTTTATGCAAGCCTGGGTGCCTGACTTCCCGTCAGCCTGTTTCATCAGGCCTTCAGCAACCCAACCTGGAAAATGACAATCCAGTCATCCAGGCTTTACTTGGATAGGTCTGGTATCCTGATAAACTTTGGATTTTAATCAAGTCAAGCAGTAAAACGGATTATGACCTAGTGGAAGGGATCTGGTCTTAAACATACCGTTATTACACGATGTTGTGTGTTGGTGGCGGATCTACACAGTATCTTTGTATCTAACAGTACTGTATTATATGACGCCTGGATTTTCTGCCTTGTTGCCTGAGGCGGCCGTGATCGGATGCGACTTGCGACGGCTCGCGGCCTCCCCTCTGACTCTTTGACTCTGTCATTGTCAACTTCATCCTCCTCAAATCAGCAGAATCTAGAATTTTGCTCCACTGATTCTGCAAACAATCCAGGTGGCTGTTGTGGTCTTTGTGACAAGTATATCTCCCTGCTCATATCTACTTGGGTAAGTAGCCAACCGCCGCGCTCGTTCGGGGGGCAGTTCTGGTTCGCCAATTCGCCCTCTGGATGAACGGGGGGACCCTCTTCTCCCAACCACCGCCAGCAGCGCCCTGACCCTTGTACAGACGAATCGGGATAATCAGAAAATATACCTAAATTACATCACGATACCCTGGGTCCCCCTTTCCCCTCAAAGGTTAGTTCTATCCTTCCACCCCCGGCCCTGCTCAAGGTGAGTCCGGTTGGGCTCGAGGACTCCTCTCCTCAAGCCCTCGACCCACCTGCGACGCTTCCCGCGTTGCATCCCGCGTCACCATCTCCTCCAGCTCTTGCGCTCACGAGGCCCTCCCTGTTCCCTCTCCCAACGTGCGAAGCGCGCATAATTGGCATTCGCACTGCAGCTGCCGGTGCGACGCGATCGCGCTTCAATCACTCGATTCCTCCCAAACCCTCGTCCGATCTATTCCTGTTTCAGCCCCGCTAATCGGGTGTCATTGCGCGCGTCGCAAGTACAGCCAGCTTTCGCGCATTATTGCCAAATCCCCCGCCCCGGCTGACATTTTTCCTCCCTGAGGCTACTGTGAAGCGGTTTGTACCCAGCCAATACAGTTCTTTTTCCATCCGACGCGGCTTGGGCTATCTCGGAATCTCTGGGCGCGCCATCATTTAACCGAACTGACGTGGTCGTTGCCAGCAGAGCGAACAACAAAGCTTGACGCCCGAAAGGATCCGCGCGCCTCTTAAACTACTCATAATCATGTCCGAATCACAGTCGCACTCCCCCAAGGAGCATGAAGAACCCGGGGCGCAATCCGGCGAAGAGCAAGAGCAAATGGACAAAGACCAGCAAGATGCTCAGGCACAGGGTCAGGGCGAGTTCGAGGTGAAGGAGCAAGATCGGTGGCTTCCGATTGCAAATGGTTAGTTGCGTCTCCTTGCAGCTTGTCGATGGTTCTGATTTGCGCGTACCTTGCTGCTGATGGCCGGCCATTGCCATTCACTCTTTCTTTCCCCGCCTTTGTCCACCATACATCTCAGGAGCCCTATTGCAACGTTCTCTCTCGATCCGATCTCTGCGCTCTTTGAACGACACGACTCGATGTCTGGTTTCTCAGAAACATCGATCTTGTTCTTTGTTTTTCTGCCATCTCATACTCTCTTCTATTGCTCACCAACGATGAGACGATACAAACATTGTCAATGATCATGCACGTGCTAATTTAAAATCCTATAGTTGCTCGAATCATGAAGCTCGCTCTCCCTGAGAATGCCAAGATCGCCAAAGAAGCCAAAGAATGCATGCAAGAGTGTGTGAGCGAGTTCATCTCGTTCATTACCAGCGAGGGTGAGATCAGACGCCCTTTTTATTACTGCGAAACCCTGACATATGACTGATACAACCCGATTAGCATCCGAAAAGTGCCAGCAGGAGAAGCGCAAGACCGTCAACGGCGAGGATATCCTGTTCGCAATGACATCTCTTGGATTTGAGAACTATGCCGAGGCCTTGAAGATTTACCTTTCTAAGTACCGCGAGGTAAGTTCAACCTAAAAACACGACAGTTTCTGTCATGCTAATTCTTTGAAAGACTCAATCTGCTCGAGGCGAAAACCAGGGCCGCCCCAGTAGCAGTGGATATGGTGCCGGTGGTCCCGTCGGAGGGGGCGGTCAAGCTCGTCCCGCTGGATTCCCAGAGGGCGCAGAGGGTGCGAACAGTATTCTCAACCCCAACTTGGATCCAGCGGATCAAGATGCGGCCGCATACGGATATCCGGCCATGGTGGGCCAGCCACACAACGGTGCTGGTGGAGAGTCCTACTAGTGGCATTCGCTCCGTTCGTTTGACTGGTGACACTTGATATTGTCAGAAGGCGTTGATTTAGGGCTACCCTCCGGTGGCTAAATTCTTTGGTGGAATCTTTGGTCAGCCTGGACATCGGGTTGGATTTGAAGAATGGAAGCGTGAGGCGTGCAGGCGTCTAGGGTCTCTTTATCCAGCTTCCTACTAGCCCCCTCGGCCGACAATGCTTTGGGCTTACTCGAAGGTCGGTGAAGTGACTAGGATACATTCGACACGACAGAGTTGGTCTGGTTCCAATCATCTTTGTTTTCATGCTTTCGTGGCGAGCAGGATCCTTCGATTTAGGGCTACTCGCCGTTCGTTATTTTTGGAGTTTTCATAGGAATTGGGTGGACAAATGAATTGATAAAACCTGTGTACCTATGACCACGGGCCTTTCTCGAGGATCCTTTAAGAATTTCTGATAGAAAGTAGACGACTCGCGGCAATACTTCGTTTCTGCTGATAAGCTCTATCAACGCCAGTGGACAATAACCGGCTTACAACCGGCTGTGTTTTGTAGGCGATTCCAGGGTCCAGGCTAGGCCAGCTGTAGATTCGCGGGGCTTATCGATCCTTGAGCACTTGTTCCCGAATACTTCCCCTGCTTTCCGAGCCTTATCTCTCGTGTTTTTGCGACTTTTCCATCGTATCCCACCATTTCAGTTACATAATCGGCGCTCTTCTCCGCACCACGTGAGACTCCACCGGACCCGATCCCGCAGTCCTCAACTTCCCGAACTTTTTCGCTTCACAGTCGCATTGATTGTCCTTTTACCCTCGGCAATAGACTGTGCTCCTCATGATGCCCTGAAGGTGCTGGTGAGAATTGCTCACAAAATAATGCAGAGCAGTGGCCAATCTGCACATGGAATGATGTCGATGGTCCTTCTGCCATGTCTACCGCCAACGATAACGCCTCCTCGCCGCTCCCGGGCGATGGGGTGAGCAAGCGCAAGCAGGGTAAGCACTTTATGAAGGCCGTTTCTCGGGGGCCGATCTATCTCTCTGGAGAGACCATCTCTTCAGTAGAGAATACGATTGTCCTCTTAGTTGGCGCCGGGCCATCCAACCCTTGGAGGCTTGATAACGTTTGCTGACCGGTGACTGGAAATCTTTTAGGCTCGGCTGCCTGCGTTCATTGTCACCGGCGCAAGGTTCGCTGTGATGCCCGTGTCGTCGGATTACCCTGTACAAACTGTCGCACATCTGGCAAGGCCGACTGTCGCATCCATGAGAAGAAAAAGCGCCTTGCAGTGCGGTCGATCCTCGATCCCGTTCCGATCCGATCTCGGCCTCTGCCGACTTCAGAAAGCGTCGCCAACCCGCCGACGACAGCGGGAACACCAATGCCTCCAAGTTTCCCAACTGCTTTTTCAAACGGTCCAGGGATTGCATCTCTCGCGAGCAATCAACAACATGAGTACCAAGCGAATTCCGGGTCTGACGCATTCGGGCGCCATGACTTATCGCACGCCCACGAGGCTCACACGGAGATGGAGCAGCATCTCGTGAAACTAATCGATGAGGAAGAATCCGGCCGACGAGAGATTCAGCGAGGTGTACGCGCATTCTACGTTGGTCATGAGCACTCCAATATGTCGTTTTTGATCCGCCAGCAGCGAGATCGGGACGACAATGTATATCATTTCGCCAGTAACGAGATCCCACGGCGACAAATGAAGACTGGTCACGACCAACTACTGATGGATGCGCTCACACTTCCCGAGCCCGCACTAGCGGATGAGCTAGTTCAGGCTTACTTCACCTACGTTAATCCCGGTTATCCAATCGTCGACGAGGATTTGTTCATGACCCAATATCGGAATCGGGACCCTGCAGATCCCCCGCCAATCTTGTTGCTCCAGGCCATCCTCCTGGTTGGCACGCACGTATCTCGTCCAAAGCCAGAGCGAGATACACTGAAAGAGATCTTCTTCCGCCGTACCAAGTATCTTTTCGATAATCGCATCGAGCGAAATCGAGATATCCTTGTTCAAGCAGCATTGCTCTTGACTTGGCACTCAGACAGTGCCGATGACGATGTTGCTGCAGATGCTCACTTCTGGGTTGGTGTGGCCGCTCGGATTGCCACTGGACTTGGTATGCACCGTAATCCAGTATCCAGTAGTTTCGTTACCCGCGATCGGCGAATGTGGAGACGCGTCTGGTTTATCATGGTGCAATTTGACGTGATGGTCTCTCTATCATACGGTCGCCCTCAAGCTATGTATGTGATCTCAAGAATGGTCTGTAAATTGCGAATGCTAACCGAAGCTCTAGAAATTTGGACGATTCAGACGTTTCTCCCTTGACACCCGCTGATTTCGAAAACTGTGGACCTCGCGTACAATCAGACTTTGTGATTCATTTCACTGAGCTTTGCACGATGATTTCATATTTGATCAGAGATCGATTTGGTCTTCGCGCCACGGATGAACGTCGCAAGGCGGTTCTCCAAGAAGCTGATGAGTCGCTTGCAAATTGGTCATTAAAGCTTCCCGACAACCTGCGCCTTCGTGCGTCAGACATGGACCCATGGTCGGCTATGCTTCATCTGACGTATAACAATTTCCTTATCTTGCTGCATCGGCCGCATCCAAGAGCTTCGGCATACTCAGATGATTACGGCCCTCACGATGCGGAAATTTGCAGTGCTGCTGCCGGAGTCATTGCTTCTATCTTCGAAGAGCTGAGACTAAACGACCGCTTGAAGTTCCTGTGGTATACTGGCGTTCATACTCTGTTTACAGCCATGATTCAGGTCCGGGTGGAGCTTCGGTTCTCCAACCCAGTCTTGGCGATCAACGCTCTACGTCGCTTCGATTCGGCATCTTATTCTCTGCGCGAGTTGGCTGCATATTGGGTCCACGCAGGTACAATCCTACGTCTCTTCGAAGACTCGAAGCGACTCCAAGAGGATCTCCGCTTGGCAACTACCGGCGGCCCCAAGCCATATGCTGCAGCTCAGTCCCAGGCCCCGCCCCCGCCTCCGATCAAGGCTTTGCAAGTCACGTCTCCTGCTCCTGCATCAACGATGCACACCCCACGACCGATGTCATATGGTGTACCTACCCCCGACTCTACACTTTCGCAACAGACTATGTCGCCGCAAGCAAACCCAGGCTTCGAGAACTGGATAACAGCACCGCTCAGACTCAACGTGGGCCCATTGGAACGGAACGATCCTTACTCAGCTGCAATGCAGGTCGACCAGATGGATCAATCTCGCGATTATCCAGATTGGCGACAGCTGTTCTCTTTCACAGATTCCGATCTTCCCGTCCCCATGGCGATGGAAGGCTTGATGGAGCTCGAGGACGAATGGCGCCAAATATACTGGCAAGATACTCCCATGACAGACCTCATGCAAGACGGGGGCTGGATCCCTGGTGGCTAGTGGCTTCTCAGTGCTGTACATACACGACCTTCCTCCTTCCCTCTAGTTCTCGCAACCCGTCCTCCTCCTCGAGCTTCTGGACCAGCTCGAATCTTCCAATTCCGACCATTTTCCTTTCTACTACAGCACTGTGGCCTTACGACGAGACGAGATACGCAGGGCACTTTCAACGAGATGTTCCAAAAAGGCTTCCCACGATACCATGTCGAAAACGATAACATACCACCCTTCACCCTCATATACTTTCCCATAGAGATATACAATGTTATATAATTGCAAGGATCTTTACAACTTTGATATGGATATAGATTTGTTTCACATTCGTTCAACTTGATCTAGATATCTCCATGTTGTCAGCTAGTGCGAGCAAGTATATCGCCAGTCTATATGATAATGTGTAAGCTGCGGCGGGAGAAGCTACAAAGATACGCCTTGTGTTTGCCTGGTGCATTAGACCAAGCGTGATGTCTGTTGTCATCCAAAGACAAACCGTCTCCAGTTATCTGCAAGCTGCTGCACGCCTTCTCTCAGCTCCCATCCACGAACCTCGCAAATCTGACGCGCTGCATCTTCGAGTAGCTGGTCCATTTGTGCCCCAGCAATGTGAAGATCACTCTCGATCAAGATCCGCTCTGCAGGCAGCGCCTTGATCACATCAGACACTTTTCGCGCCGATAACCCACTAAAATTAATGACCGCCGAGAAGGAGAAGTAGACATCCGACGGATTCGACTTTTGCAGGAACTGCCGTATAGGCTCGATCGGTCCGGAGTATGAGTGCATACAAATTCGCGGAGGGAATGGGAGAGGCTGCTGGGCATTTTCCAGCTTACTGTTGTTGGTGGTAGTTGTCTGCTTCTCTCGTCTATTTTCATCTTCCTCTTCATCTTCAGATAGAGCCCCTTCAGCGTCTTGTAGCTTCTCTCTTTCCCTTCGGGACAAGACTATCCGTTCATGTCCTTTCCATAACTCCTTGAGCACCTCCAAGACTGCTCCGTGCGATTGTACACTGTGCACTGAGACGGCGCGCTGCATTTCCCCCGCTAGCTGCAATTGCGCTTTCAATACTAGTCGCTGGTGGTATATCTTGACTTTATAAGGGGATAGTCGTCGCCCTTCGCGTGATCCGGGTGTAATCTCTTCGTCGCGATTGTCGAGGTCTTGTTGTGTCCATGCCCCAGGTAATCGGAACGATTTGTCAAGACCCACCTCGCCGACGAGAGCGTTTGGAAACCGCTTCAATCGCTCTCGTGTCTCGGCTATCAGCGTGGATAGAAGTTTCGGTTGCGGGAGGCGCTTGATAAACTCAGGATCCTCGGACGGGGAGGGTGCTAGGACAGCTGTGTAGTGCGCATCTTTCTGTTGCGGACTGTCTGTTTGTGTATCGTCCAGGATTTGATGTGAAAACCACGGGTGCCAACCAAAAGCCGGTACAATTCTTTCTTCTCTCGTAGAGTCTTCATCGCCATTGAGAGACTCCGCCGTTTGCTGTACCAGCTTTTGGTCTTCGCCCCGCGTGGCCATGGCGGTGAGGGTCGTCGTTTTCATGGCGGGGATGCTGGCGATCGAGGCCATCGTATCGGTCGGATGACAGTGTGCATCGTAGACGCCAAGATCCCAGGGGAAGGCATCGCCATCTTGAGAGGCATCCTGGGATATGGACATGGTGAGCGAGGAGAGAAGAAAGACAAAGTGGGAGCTTTATCGGAGCTGTCGTGTTATCGGTCGAGGCTGGATGATGTAAGTGGGCTGTCACATGCATTTTCTCCGCAATTTCTCTCGCCTGAAAGAAGAACGATAAAAACAAGGTCCTCTAATACCTCGGGGGGGCTTGGTCCTTACTTTGTCCTCCTTCGAGGATTTTAACCTCTGTGAGGTACTCCATGACCTTGATGGGTGCGGTTCTCACGACGTTGGTGGCGCTGCCGATTCTGGGGCTGGTCTCCATCCCGCTGATTATATCGGCGTGGATCACCATCTCGTTAGCACTGATCACCTTGCTCGTGCGATTTTCTGTGGTCTACTTGGAAGTCGGATACGGTCTCGTCGTTAGCTTCTTTACGATCCCAACATCAAGCTCGTCATTCTTGCCGTTTGCTGCATCCGAACCTGTTACACCCGCTGCAGGGAACTCGAGACGTAACTCGGCGCATGGCCTGATCCAATCCAGAAAAAACAATGACGATTCTCTATTGTCTGGGGCATTCACCGCGATCCATGATGATCCCACGAGACACAAGAAGAAATCCTATGCACGGAGTATGATCGAGGCACATCACTTGCCGAATACGCAGTTCCTAGGCTTACCAGTGAGCGGTGATGAGCGTCGAGACTTTGAAGGCGTGGGCGGTTGGCGCTCATACCGGAATCCATCGCATATTTCGAGGCCTCGTACATCTCATTCAGCGCACGAGAAGACCTTCAGCTCCCCATCCTCTTCATCTGCACATAGCATCAACGGCGAGGTTGAAGTGGAGAATGATGTCGACGCCGATGAACTTGCATGGCTATCATTAAACTATCGCCTGGAACTACCATCACAGGTTGTCACGCTAGGAGCCGGATCAAATGCAGCTTCTGCCATAAACAGCCCGTCCAACGTGGATTTCGATACCCATAATGGGGGTAGTTTCCAAGCGTTGGCTTCTTCAACACCTGCTCGTTTTCACCAGACCAACACCCAAAACCAACACCAACACCGTCCAGGCCAGCGACATCACCATCGATCCCATACCACCTCAGCCCTCACAACCTTTGAGCGCCGCACAGGAGGTGGTCTCTCTATCGCCCTCTCAACTCGACCAGACCAAACGAGTCGTGCATTATCCCCTTCAGCCTCTCGAGTCGCACCATTCATGACTCCACAGCCATACTCGCCAGTGCAAACCCGCCCATCCACACGGATGCTGCCGGTCAGCAATGGGACACATTCAAACGCATATCTCTCCAGCTCGGCCGACGGTGCAAGCTCCGGATTCCTTGCAAGCAGTGGTGGGAGCTTCGGATCTGGAAGTGGTGGTTACTTTGCACTGCAGCGGCCGGGGAATGGAAATGGGAGTCATTACATGCCTCCGCTCTCGGCGATAGACACGCCTAGTGGGAGTGGGTGTACGACCCCCGGAACGGGCGTGTCGAATGAAGATCGAGACGCCTCGTCGCTTGGGTTCACGCGGTTGATGGCTCATTATCCTACCAGTGTGAGACATCGGAGACGGAGTATTGCTGGTCCTCACTCGAGAGTTGGCACTATTGGTGAACATACTGAGTGATGCTGCATTTATGATTAGCGTCTAAGCATATTTCTTGTTGCATTTGTATCGACCAGCATTATAACAAGATTTTAGACTATATCATTGATCTCTTCAATTTTGGTGTTCTAGTAGAGGAGGGAAATAAAAAGGACTTACCCCTCCATGAATCGAACCCCCGACCTTCACGTTCCCTATATACTTCACTAAAATGCTCCATCGCCATCCCACGATGCCGAAGGTTATACCCTCCGGGACTATACCTACAAAACAATCTCCCTTAACACTACCATAAAACTATTGAAATATCTTATTTTAGGTCTAGAATAGAAGATATAAAAGGGATCTATCTATTCAATAAAAAAATAAAAATAAAAGAAGAAATCGGCGAGCGGGGGGGGGGGGTTAGCCCGCTCGCCACTCTCCCCTTAGGGTGTGCCCGGTCATCCGTGGAGCTGTGCTCGACATCGGATACCAGTCAACCATATTTCCCCTCATTTTTCCTTCACAGGGGCACGCCCTTGGCCAACCAGGTGGCGACCAACCTGGCTGACCAACTAGGCCATATGAGGGGGCAGATTACCTAGAAGACCTGGAAGTTGGTGATAACCCTCATTTGCATGCTTCGACCTGCACTAACTCGACCATTCCAACGGTCTCGTTGATTGGAAATTATCAACTTTCTCGTGTATGCCCGAGTGTTCTATTGTATACAACAGGATAAATTGAAATTGAAGATAATTACAAGACTGATGAATTGATCTCTGTTCAGGATCTATATCTAATAAGTTACATTACTGGATGTGAGTGTTTCCTGTCACGAAAAACACAGAATCCCATCCCGAAAGGACAAATCCACAAAACTCCAAATAGGGAAGAAAGTTATTCACGCCAGCTTCCAAATCACGCTATCACGCTCCAGCAAATATTCATGGTCCATTACTCGTGGACGACGCACTCTTCCAAACAGGATATGCTCACGCCGCTCTCTCCCGCCGACTGACATCTTCCATCTCGGCCAGAACGACCTTGTTGAATTCTTTCCACCCATCAAGGTAGAGATGATGCCCGGCTCGACTGATGACGACTACCTTGGACGAGCCCTGGTCGTTACGTCGTTCTTCTGGCGTGGCATCTGCCAGGACTCGCTGCTTCTCGTCCTCTAGGCGGGCAACAGCAGCGTGACCACCAGAGACGTCCATCCAATCGTGGTCGCCGTACATGAAGACGATTGGAAGACCGTTCTCGCGACGAGGAGCCGGCACTTCAGTTGAAGCTGGAGTGGTGTCTTCCGCGGGAGAACTCTCAGGAACCGCGGTCTTGGCTGACGATTTAGAGAAGATAGAACACGAGGAGGATGCCGAAGCAGGGTTGGGGAGTGGGTTGTTGTCAGCGCCAATCATCTGGCGTCCAACGCCGTGGATGCGGCGGATAAGAGGGCTGCGAGCAAAGGCGCCTGGGGCAAGAATGTATGCCAGGGCATACTCGCCACTGCCTCGTTGACTGAAGATCGAGTATGAGTAGTCGTGAAGCGCCTTTGCTTCATCCGCTGGGAGATGAGAGAACCGGCGTGAGGTCCAGCCAGACACGATTCGCGGGCCAAGAGGGCCAGTCCATCGTACCAAGCTGAAGGGAGAGATATTTGCGTCCCACAAATAAGCGAACCACTTGGGCATGTTGCGGCGGGGTGGGCGGTTTGCGGCATCATCACTTGGCTCGGGGTTGCGGCCGGTGATGAAGCTACCATCAGTTGTCTTGGGAGCAGATCCCGGGACTGCAGCGGACGATGCGATATCCCGCTGATCATGTGTGAGCTCGCTGGCGAGAGTGGATTCCGATTGCTCGGGTACGTCTGCCGTCACCGCATATGGGTCCTCGGGGATACCCACAGGGGAAGCTAGGATGAGCTTGTTGAGGTGGCCGGGGTATTTGAGAGCGTAAGCGACTGCCATGTAGCCGCCGAGACTATGGCCAAGCAAAGTGAAACGATCAATCTTGCGCTTGATGCGCCATTCTTCCAGCGCATCAACAAACCATGCCTCGGCTTCACGAATAGCCTCTTCTCTTTCTTTGGCCTTGATCTTGAATGGAGGCCGTGTGCTACGGCCCATGCCGAGCATATCCAAGGCATGGAGCTGCCATCCCCTCAGTCGGCTCAAAGGCTCAAAATTCTTGTAAAAGAAGCCTAGACCGGCGCCGTAGCCGTGAAGCATCACCAAATGCTGGTCGGCTTCCTCGCCTACTCGCTCCACCGAAAATTCGTTGAGCGCCCGGTCTTTTCCGGAGAGCTCCACCATGCTGGAGCTCCATCGGCGGGGGCCATAAGGGTCATTGAGAGAGTTGGTGGAAATCTGCCCTTGCTGGTTGTGGTCTGCAGACTGCAGGCTGTCTGGTGTAGATCCGTTGGGGAAACTCGCCGTAGTACCGGTCTGAAGGTGGGTTGGAGGCTCGTGATGAAGATACGGTAAATAGGATAGAACCTTGTGCTCGGAAGCAGCAGCAGGTAAGCGAGCCCACTGGTAAGAAAGCAAGAAATTAGCAGTGCGTTCAATGGCGCTGCGCGTGGTTGTATTCCTCGTGGCTTACCCATTGACTAAAACCTTCTCGATACCCCAACGGAAAGAAAGAGTTGCTGGCCGCCGCCGCCCCAGCAGCTGCACGAGCAGCATACGGGGTTCCTTCTTGTCCTTGCATTGGTGATGAGCGCCTTCTATGTTCGCGCGATTCCTCTTGAGGCGGATTCAGGGACTCTGAGGTCATGGAGGAGTACTTGCGACGTCCGCGAGAGTAGGTGGCAAAAGCAACCAGGTACGCAGGATTGGCCCAAACCCGCGAGACTGGAAGGTTTATAGAGCGCAAAGGGTTGGCCGAGCGCGAGCCAAACTGACAGATAGTTTCTGTCGCTGGGAGAAGTTGAAATGCGAAGTTCATGGGCTGTTGAGGGCTGAAGAAGTTGAGCCGGAGACAAATCGGCCACGCCGCTTAACCCCGACAGGCAACCAGGCGCATTCGTTGAACCGCAGGGAGTCGGAGGGATAAAAGAGCCGACGGAAGACGATCGAACTGAAAAGTCTGGTAGACTTTCTGCAAGAGATGATTCTGACTCAATCGAGAATGCGACAAAGGGTGAAAGTCAACCAGGGACAGTAGAAAAGCAGGAAAAGCAGGAGGAGAGTATATACAGTTGGAAAAAGTGGGAAAAGGCGGAAAGCGATGATGTCGCCGCGATCTGCGTGTCTTCCCCTTCCGATCTTCTCCTTCCTGCTTCTCCTTCTCCTTCGACTCAACCCGCGATGACCACCGTACTGGGCCGCCAGGGCCATTGATTTGGGTGGTTTACATTCGTTCCTATAAATCGAGAGAATACCATGACTTCGCCCTTGGACCAGCTCGTCAAGGGCGCTCCGGTGTCGACTGCCCGCGCTCCCACGCCGGAGCCGTTGAATCCCACCCGACCACCAACAACTTCGGACTCTTCCTCGCAGCGTCCCCCAACACCAGATCCTCTAGCCACTCTACCTTCCTCTCCACCTCAAATCTATTTGAATCTGTTGATTCTCGAAGCCTCGCTTCGTGCGCAATACCTGGCCCTGCGCGAGCGTCGCCGCCAAAACACCTTCTTCCTGCTCCTCCTTGCAGCTTGGATCGCCTACTTTGCATATGCATTGTTCCTGCGTCCCCGTGAAGATGGGCGCGGTGTCGGTGGTTCGGTATACTGGGTGGTTGAAATGGGAGAGAAAGTCGCTCTCCTTGGTGGGGTAGTGACTGCCCTGCTAGTTTGGGGAACTGGGCAGTGGGAGCGCGGTATCCGCTGGCCCCGTCGGTGGCTGGCGGTTGCGAATCGTGGCCTGCGCGTGATGAACACCAAGATTATCGTGATCCGTGGACCTTGGTGGCAAGAAATGCTCTCCTACGTCTCCTTCCTCTTCCCATTTTCAGCACCATTCTTCCCTTCTCCAACGGGCAGTTTCCACCTCGTCGAGCGGCACCCGTCCGATAAGCAGCGTAGTCGGCAGCACTACCAGCAATACTATAATGGCGGCGACAGCGAGTCCGGCCTGGTGGAGGAAGACCTCAGTGCCGGCGGTGATTACATCCGTCTACTTTTGCTACCCAAATCATTCTCACCCGAGTTCCGTGAGAACTGGGACGACTACCGTACCGACTTCTGGGAGAAGGAAAACGAGCGCCGAGCTCAGCTGCGTCACAAACTGCGCGAGCGCGAGCGCCAGCTTGCCCAGGCCGAAGGAGGTTGGTTTTGGCGTCTTGGATTAGGCTGGCGCGCTTCGCAGCGCCGCCGTCTTGTGTCTGCCACCCTCCACAAACCTCTTGAATCAGAGCCCAGATTCCGGCCTGGCGCTCATCATCAACATGCCCCATCCATTTCATCAAAGCTCAACCAGGAATTTCGCGCACCATCTGCCCGTCGTAACACCCGGTCCGAATCATCTCATTCTCGGACCTCCTCCCGCAGCTCCACCCCAGTTGATGTTGATGACCGTCCTCCTTCTCGCTCCTCTGCATCTGGCCGTCCGCGTCGTGGAAGTACTACTCCTTCGATCTCAGGACCAGAGGCGAGTCCTCAGCAAAGGAAGCGCAAAGGCTCTAAATCACTACGTCGTGGGTTGTCGCCTCTGACGCAAGCTCAAATTCGGGAAGGCGTTCGTACGCCATCGTTCTCCTCGGACGATTCTGGTATATTGCCGATGGAGAGCAAGGATAAGGAGTCTATTCCTACCTCTGCCCCTGATGCGAGTCCCTCAGTTTAGACTATGATAATTTCTGGCCCTACTCTACTATGGTGCCGTCTCTTTCTTGTGCTGCGACTAGGTGTTGATTTGAGATTCCCCCGTTTGTAATATTCCTAGCGTTCGTCATATATACGTTCTATTATAGATATCATTGTATGGGCTGTTGAGCATGTGTCTTATTCAGATCTGTTGCGAGAAGGAGATGTAAACAGTAGAAGCACGACGGTATTCTCTAGCATTACCAAGATCTAGTGTCTCCTGGGGTTGATCAATTGAGACGCCTTGGATTTACCCGTTTCTCTTGACTCTTTACCTTGCACGACCCTGTTCATTGCCCTCATTGGCGTCAAAGACATGATCTGATCGAGACATGTGTATAGCCCGAGGGAGAGTCCAACACGTATGATCTCACATGCCAACGATCATGATTCTCAAAGGATTCAGATTCCAATTTTCCGATACCTTAGCGTCTGGAACTACATGCTCATTGTTCTTCTGGATACGTTCTTGTATATAGTCCTCGTAGGTAAAGATATTACTGCTCTGAGGAAAGTACTTCTCCACTTCGGTCTCAAATACCCCGCAGAGAAGCAACCTAAGATCGTCAGTCCGTAGCATGACCAACGGAAAAATACATCACAATGATCGGGGACTACAGTTTCTTCATGTAGCTTCAACACTCTCGATGCAACGTAGTGAAATACCCGACTGCTTAGTTTAATTTTCCGCCATACAAAAGCTCTAAGTGCGGGGATCCGATGGGATGCTTGCTTAGCCAAAGCAACCGATGGCAATGCCGATCTTGCTCTTATTTGTGAATTAACCCGAGAGGGGATTCAAGTAGATCGAGATTTATAAAAGCCTGGAGCGTGTATACCGATTACATCTAATAGCTCCCTCAGATAAGTGTGTTAAAGAACATTTCATTATGATGCATCTAGGACTCTTATTGAGCTGTAGCACACTTGCTACTGCTGCTTCGCTATGGTCCTCGAAATCAGCTTCTTGGGATACAACCAACGAAGCGTTTGTTCTTGGAAATGGAAAACTTGGCGGTAAGCGGACACATTATCTTAGTTTAGTATTAAGGGAATGCTGATCGATCGTTCAACTTAGTGATGCCGTTTGGAGCAGCCGGAACTGAGAAGCTCAACCTCAATTACGACGAGCTTTGGAGTGGAGGGCCATTTCAGGTTGATGTGAGTCTCACAACTCGCTCCGCTGTCTGATTGATACGCTGACTCTAGCAATAGGAATACCGTGGAGGAAACCCCAATTCAAGTATGGTGGGCATCTTGAATGATATCCGCGCTGAGATCTGGAAGAAGGGAACCGGAAGTATGAATTACTGAGTCTGGAAGACATGCAGAATCGCTAATTGGATGTAGATGACAGTCGATTACATGGTGACGAGAGTGGCTATGGTTCCTACCACTCGTTAGCCAATCTCACCGTCCATATCGAGGGTATATCCGGTGTGACTGGGTATAATCGATCTCTAGATCTGAGTAATGGGATACATACGACAAGCTATTCAACAGCGGATGGCACCTACACCACGTCAATCTACTGCAGCTACCCCCAGCAGGTCTGTGTCTATCACCTGGCATCACCCGTCGTACTGTCAAATGTCTCAATCTGGTTTGACGAGCTTGTGGAATCGTCATCTCTATATAATACAACCTGTGGGTCCTCATTCGCTCGGTTGCGCGGCATCACTCAAGAGGGGCTCCCTCGTGGGATGCTGTATGACACCATCGCGCAAAGCTCCCTTCCAGGCCATTGTGATGGCTCAACAGGTCGTCTCCGAATCAGTTCTTCCAGCAGTAAAGCCTTGACACTAGTTATAGCAGCCGGCACAGACTTCGACGCTACCAAAGGCAATGCAGCCAATGGGTTCACTTTCCGAGGCGATGATCCTGCGACACAAGTTCAAAAACTTACCAGCACCGCTTCTAAATTACCAGAGTCAAAGCTGCGAGCTGCTCATGTAGCTGACTATGGATCTTTGGCCAGTGCATTCGTCTTAGACTTGCCAGACCGTCGTGGCTCGTCGGGAGCGGAGTTCTCAGAGCTTATCACCAGATATAGCGCCAACTCAACAGCAGGAGATCCGTTCCTGGAGAAACTCATGTTTGATTATGGAAGACATTTGTTCATCTCATCCTCTCGCGAGAACAGCCTGCCACCAAACCTGCAAGGAATATGGAGCTCGACGCAGACTGCAGCTTGGGGTGCAGATTACCATGCCAACATCAACCTACAAATGAACATGTGGGGTGCGGAAGCAACTGGCTTGGGAGACTTGACGATATCCGTTTTCAACTACATGGAGCAAACGTGGATGCCTCGAGGTGCAGAAACCGCCCAGTTACTTTACGGAGGCAACGGATGGGTGACGCATAACGAGATGAATATCTTCGGTCATACAGGGTATGTAGCATACTCTACCGAGCTTCCCACCTCAGTCGATCCAACTGACATAGTTTAACTCCAGAATGAAAACTTGGCAGACTTCCGCGGATTATCCTGCGGCACCGGCATGGATGATGCAGCATGTTTGGGATCACTACGATTACTCCCGCGACAGCGAGTGGCTCCGCAAACAGGGCTGGCCGATGCTGAAAGGCGTTGCCGAGTTTTGGCTGTCCCAGTTGCAATCCGATCAGTTCACTAATGATGGTTCGCTCGTTGTTAATCCGTGCACATCCCCAGAACATGGCCCCGTCACATTTGGATGTACCCACTGGCAACAGTTGATCTATCAGGTATTCGAGACCAGTCTCCAGGCTGGAAAAACAGCGCAAGATGGCGACGAAGCATTCTTCGCCGAAGTGAGGAGCAAGCTAGCCAAGCTCGATAAGGGCCTTCACATTGGCTCTTGGGGAGAAATCAAGGAATGGAAATTGCCCGATAGCTACGGGTATGATGTCGAGGGTGACGAGCACCGCCACCTATCCCATCTGGTTGGTTGGTATCCAGGATGGACCATTTCGTCATATCAGAATGGATATTCCAATGCTACCATCCAGGAGGCCGTTAATACCTCACTTGCCAGTCGCGGACCGGGAATTTCAGACTCTAATGCTGGATGGGAAAAGGTCTGGCGATCAGCTTGCTGGGCTCTCCTGAACAATACAGATGAAGCATACTACGAGCTTCGCCTGACCATTGACCAGAATATTGGTCAGAGTGGACTGTCACTGTATAGCGGTGGAGATAGCCCGTCCGGACCATTCCAGATTGACGCTAATTTTGGATTTGTTGGTGCTGTGCTCAGTATGCTTGTCGTTGATTTTCCTTTGGATAGCTCGAGCTCCGGGTCTGCTCATCGTACTGTGGTTCTTGGTCCAGCTATTCCTAAGACTTGGGCGGGTGGCAGCGTTCGAGGCCTTCGCCTACGAGGTGGTGGAAGTGTAGACTTTTCGTGGGATGATAATTGTGTGGTTGACAAAGTGCAGGCCAAGGGGCTTGCAAAGAACGTTCATCTTGTCAATGTTCAAGGGACGTCGTTAGCATGATAGGTTCATAGTCTTATAACTCTTTGCCATCAATTATTACCTTATCTAATCCTCATCGCCTCTCGGGATACCCCGGACTCTCCGCGGGGCCATCGGGCCAGCCCGAAACGACTCGGTCATCGCCGGAAATTCCCCGCGGTGCCGATAACGTGCGAGATTTTGCTTTTTAACGAACGACTTCTGACTCGCTCTTCATTCTGAACTTTTATACCCCGCGCAGCCTCAATTCTTTCCAAGCTTCAACTTCTGCTGTTAAATACACTCAATTGTCCAGCAGCGTCCAATTGAGACTGCAGGAGATTCGCCCAAATACCCGCACGCGACACATTCACACCGCAAAAGCAAATCCTCATCATGGGCAACGACAAGAAGATCGGCGCCTACTATGCGCCTACCGGTGGCCTGCCACCCCAAACACAGCTCCTCACCGACCGCGCCATGTTCACCGAGGCCTACGCCGTCATTCCCAAGGGCACATTCAGCGACATCGTGACGAGCTTCCTGCCATTCTGGGAACAGACACGCCTATGGGTGATCGCCCGCCCGCTCTCCGGCTTCGCTGAGACCTTCTCGCAATACATCATGGAGGTGCAACCGGGCGGTGGCAGTGACCGCGCCGAGCTCGACGACGCTGCCGAGGGTGTTGTGTTCGTGGTCGAGGGCGAAGTGACCATCACGCTGGCCGGAGAATCCCACACACTGGCCGAGGGCGGCTACGCTTATCTCCCGCCCAAGAGCGGCTGGACCCTCCGCAACGCCGGCGCCTCGACTGCCCGTTTCCACTGGGTTCGCAAGGCGTACGAATACGTCGAGGGTCTTGACAAGCCCGACCCGCTTTTCCTTAACGAGAAGGATATCAAGCCCACCGAGATGCCCGGCACTAACGGTGCGTGGGCTACCACCCGCTTCGTGGACCCCTCCGATCTGCGCCACGATATGCACTGCACCATTGTTACCTTCGAGCCTGGCGGTGTTATCCCCTTCGCCGAGACCCATGTCATGGAGCACGGTCTCTATGTGCTGGAGGGTAAGGCCGTGTACCGCCTCAACCAGGATTGGGTCGAGGTCGAGGCCGGTGATTTCATGTGGCTGCGTGCCTTCTGCCCGCAGGCTTGCTATGCTGGTGGCCCGGGCAAGTTCCGCTACCTGCTTTACAAGGATGTCAACCGCCACATGAAGCTCGCTCCTCCCTCCCGACTTTAAGCTTCTTTGTCTGAGAATGGGCAAGTTGCTTGGATGAAATAACGCTATATTTAAATGACCAAAAACACTTGTATATACTACTATGAACAATTAAAGGTTCTTCCTCTTCATCATACGGCCTTAGATTTCTTATATTAAACTGCGTACAGAGACCTTGCTTTTACGATGAGCGGCAAATCTCATCATAGCGCGACAGGCCTAGATGAAGTACACTACAAGTATGCGAGCAGAGCTTGGTTCAATATGTTCACATTCAACATCCCCAAATTCTTGATCAAGTAAGCCTATTTCAATTTCCACATGCATCGACTCCATACTCCAGAGAAAGAGAAACATGATATCATCCCAATGCAGCAACCAGAAAACATGCTCATGAGTAAGGCTAATGATACGCAGAGAAAACACCGCGTAAAAATAGCACTATAGATTAGATACGGTAGACATTCTCGTCATCCTCGAGGAACCTATAGAAAATTAGTAACTGGACGTACTGATGCATATGAAGGGGGAAGGGTGTACTCACATCAGCAGGTTCTCCTCGTTCATCTTGCTGAGAGCCTGGATAGCCTCGGGCCGCGAGAAGACATGGGCAGCGCCGTGTCGCGGTGAGGCACGCACGGCAGTGTTGACGGCCTCGATTAGCTCATCCACATGAATCATATCGCCGTCAGCGAATACCTTAGTACCCATGAGAGGACCCAGGATCTGGCGGAAGACAGCCATGCGAGCAGGCGTAATCGGTTGCGCCGACGCAGAAGTAGACTGTGAGTCGTCTGTCTGGGACTGGACCAGCTGCGATGCAGGGTGCGAGGAAGCCACCGACATCTGGGACTCGCTCTGAGTCTGAGTGCGGGTGGTCTGGCTTGACCGCAGACGTGAAGCGCGCGGGCTGGACGTGTAGAGGCTATCGGGGTCATCCTCGGGAGCTGCAGTGCTGGCAGCTGCCCTCGTTCTCGTCGTAGCTCCACGTGCAGGGGTAGCGGTTGACGTGCCGCGGAAGGGAGTGTCATCATCATCGTCATCATCAAGCTCGGGCTCGCTCTCATCATCCGACTCCTCGAAGGAAGTGACCTTGCGTCGCTTGCGGCGCACATCCTCCAGGATTTCCTTGAACATAGCAAAGCGCAGAATGGCCTCTGCATGCTTAGCATCCTTCTCGTCAACACGGTTGGACAGGCGGGCCTTGGCGTGTGCGGTGGAAAGACGGATCAGCGTCTCAAGGGTACGAGGTGTGATAGGAGAGGTACGGCGCTGAGTGCTGGCAAGGTCGTCGTTACGCAGAGCAGAGTAGGCTGCAATAATGTGATCGGCCGCACCCTTAGTCAAGACAGGCTTGACACGAGACTTGGCGTACTGGATGTACTTCTTGATGAAGGGGATGCTGATGATCTCCACGTTCTTACCACGGTTGCGGCCAGTGTTAACCATGCCGCCATGAAGCATGACGTTGAACTTCTCAAACACCTCGGTGGGTTGATTGGCATCAGCGCGGTCTTCAATGCCAACGCCCAGAGTTTGGTTAAGCTGCTCGCGAACGGGGGCGCCCTCCTCGGTGCCAGGCTGACGGTAACGGTGCATGCGCAGAACATGCTCAGAGACGGTCCGATCCTTGGCATCCTCAATATCGTCGGTAACGACGAAGAGCAAATCGAAACGGGAGAGGAGGGAATCGGGAAGAGCAATGTTCTTGTGAGGATCCTTGTGCGGGTCGTACTGGCCATAAATGGGATTGGCAGCAGCAAGGACACTGCAGCGGGCGTTCAAGCTAGTATGAATACCTGCCTTGGCAATGGTGACGGTTTGCTGTTCCATGACTTCGTGAATGGCGACACGATCAATATCACTCATCTTGTCGAACTCATCGATACAGACCACACCGCGGTCACCGAGAACCATGGCACCGGCTTCCAATCGACGCTCGCCGGTCTCCTTATCCGAAGTGACGGCGGCAGTCAAACCGACACCAGAAGAACCACGACCAGTGGTAGCGATAGCCAGAGGGGCCGTGTTCAAGACGAACCGAAGAAGTTGAGACTTGGCCGTGGAAGGATCGCCGACCATGAGGATGTTGATATCACCACGAAGATGAGTACCGTTATCCAGATTCTTCTCCATACCGCCAAGCAGCATCAGCAGAATGGCCTTCTTAATGTAGTCGTGTCCGTGGATACTAGGAGCAAGCGACTGGGACAGCAGCTCAAAGACATTCTTCTTCTTGGCAATCTTGTTAATGTTTCGGATATCGGTATCCGTGATGGTAGCCTGCGCAATGCCAGATCCACCCTTGGAGGAAAGTTGGATGATGTTGTTGGCCATGATAATGGTACGGAAAGTAGACGATCCGGAGCTTGCGTTTCGGTTTCCGAGTGTGCGATAGATACCGACCAGCTGGATTCTGTCACCTGGCTTGGCCTTGTCGACGAGATCGTCATCAAGAATAACATCGACGCTGCGAGGCAGCTGACCGGCTGGGGCTCGTTCGGGCATTTCTTGGATCGAAATCGACTGGTGGTCCATGTAGGTGGAATAGCCGTACTCGGTAATAAGCTAGATAAATGAGTCTCTTGTTCTTGTCGCTGCCGGGCGCATATGTTGTACTCACAGGGTTCTTATCTTCATCCTCCTGGGGGTAAACATTCAAGCTCGTAGCACCGCTCGCTGTCATGGTTTGATCACGGTATTTCCTCGACAAGAAACGATCCTTCTTCTCGCTGTAATGAACACTCTGTATCACCTTTGGCCGGACAAGAGAGCATTTCGTGACGATACCCTCGAGGGATACCATACGGTTCAGGTGGGAAGAACCGAGTGTGCGGGGATTGCAAGAAAAATCTCCGAAGGCTCCGATATAGGCGCAGTAATAATTCTGTCGATGCATCAAATTAGCCGTGCTCGACTCTAAAGGCTTCAAATTATCTCAAAGATGCATACCACTTCATCCAGCTTCTCCTTCTCGGGGCGGTTGGGCAAGCGCTTTACGACCTCTTTCAAGGCATGGTCAAAGGCTTGAGAGTAATCGAACGGGGACATGCAAAGCCTAATCAAATGATTTAATCAGTAACTCGATTTCTGCCATATCAGAAGATCATCAATCCTACCCGTCGGAAAGCTCGCGGTTGTGTGCTCGGATTTCATCAAGGCTGACCTATACGACCATCAGCTTTTTCCCGCCTTTTTCAAGGGAGAGAGAAAAAAACAAACACACCGTCAGACGTCGCAGTCCCCGGTTCAGCATCACCACAATATCGACTCGATAGCTGTTCCATTTGGTCAGAATTTTCAATGTGAAATTCATTCGTTTCCAGCCCAACGAACCTGCGTGCCCGCTCATCACCTATAGCAGAAAAAAGCCACCACGTTAGATCAAGTGCGCGGTGAGAGAATCAGTTGCGGTAACTTACTAGGGTCAAGGAATTCGATAGCAGCACGCACGCGATCCTGCGCGGCCTCATCTCGCAATTGAATTCCATCCATGGTTGTGGTGTTCAATGTGGTCGGGGGATGGCAGGTCGAGGGGGAGAGGAGGAGCTTGAAAGTTGGGATGTGCGCGCTCGCCCGATCGGGCAAAATTAGAACGCGTCCCACGACGCGGCGCGCGTCAGATTATGTAATACTATCAATTTCTTGGCATTTATCTGGAATCAACAAATCAGAGCGAGGGCCTCATTACTGTATTCACCTAGTGGGTAGAAAGTCTATACATAAATATTTGCTCAGAAAATGGAGATATAATACATTGGAATCTATATAGACATGATGTACAGAGGCTAAAATAACGAACAAATCACTATACACACGGAAGACACTTCATTGTGTCTTCTCGTCTAAGGGCTCAGGGGTCTCCTCTGTATTCTGCACGCGCTCAACAGCCTGCTCGGTTGCCGACTCTTCTTCAGGTCCACCTTGCTCAGGCTCCGTTACTAGCTCCTCTGGTTTCTGAGCGGTGGCATGCAAATCATGACCACCTTCTTGCTTGTTTCTCATCTTAGAAACTGCCCTCCGCTTCTTGAGATAGACATGTCGGGTGTGACGGCCCCGGATAGCATCTTCAAGATAAGCCCGGTCCTCCACCGAGAAGATGTCCTCCTGTATGTCAGAGCCTGACGGCCCAAAGACAGCTTGGCGAGTTCTCTCGGCCTCCAAGTCAGCAGACAACGTCACATCAGCGGGTAGTGGTGTCTCCTCTTGTTGAGGGCGTCCAGAACGACCAGGAGCCCCCAAATGTCGGTTGCGAGGACGAATACCCAGAATACCACTTGCTGCCACAGTCTGTCGACGGAGTCGCTTGTGTCCGTCTTTGTCGGCTTGGTGAGAGCGATGACGAAGGAGCACGCCCTGGAATTTATCGCGAAGATACGGCATCCTGCCAATTTCTGCGATCGTCTTGGGAGCGATAGAATGAAGCTGCACAAGCTCTTTGCCGCCTTTTATAATGCTGAGATCACGGATGCGATCCACCGCGGCAGCGAGGTATACCATGGAGACATAGGTTGGTTGCATGAAACCTGGTTCAATGTTGCTCCAATATGATTTGGAAGCTCTACCGAGAGTGCCCGAGGGAGGAGGAAAGTGTCGAGGATCTTCAAGCTGCTGGATAGTGAACGGAACACCCTCTGGCTTGAGTCCTTGTCCAGCCTGAAGTCGCTTCCAGTCGGGGAAATTGGGGATGAAAGTATGCTCGAATGCTCGGAAAGCCTCTTCAACATCGCTGAATCGATCAGAGGCCGCCAGCATCTGGACGTAGGTGGACCAATTGAAAGTGCTCAGCCGGAAACCGGCATCTTCAAATTTAGCCACAACCTCAATAATCTGGTCCGTCTTGTTCTGATAGGCTAAAGCCCGCATATAAATGGACAAGGGGCGCGAGAGGGCGAACCGCTGTGATGGAATTATCCCGGGTTGTTGATGTGGGTCAGCCATCTCTTCTTGGCCGTTGGATTGAAGATCCAAAGACGATGGTGGCTGACCGTCCTCCGTCAATGACTGCATTGCATCAATTTCACCCGCAGCTGACGAGTCAGCACGCATTAGGTCATCGAGGTCAACTCGACTTGCTATCTTGACAGTGTTGGTGAGTGCGAGTTGCCAGCACTCCTCCACTTCCAGATATTGCTCTGCTCTCAAGTGCGCCAGCATCATAGCGGAGATGAGGCGGATCGGGGCAGATTCAGATGCTGTTTCGCGAGAGCCTATAGCCTTCTTGGTGTCGAAGTACTCCCTAAACAGCTGCCGGGCCTCGTCAATCGCACCATTCAAGCCAAAATTCTTGATGCGGTAGGTGTAATATGAGTCCTGGAAAGCGCCACTGGGATGTCCTTTCGACGATGAAAGCTTGATGCTTTTTGTAAGGCGATCGATCGACGTAAGTGAGTTCAGTAGGGTTTGCTCGGCGTTCTTCAACCGTAGCTCAGAACCGGGCTTGGTAGTGTCTTCCCGGAACTCCAAATCGTGCTCAATCTGACCTCGGAGCTCCAAGAGGCTGGATCGGGCACCAGGCTGACCAAATCGCTCTTCAATCTCGTTAAAGATGACTTGGACCATGGTGCGGTTACGGCTTTTCACATATCCATACAGAATGATCGCGTAGTGAAGATCCGTAGCTTGGATAACTCGCTTCTTGTGAAGGTCCCTCAGGGTCTTTCGCGCTCGGTCCGTTTTGCCAACTAATGCCAGAATGAGCATGTGGCTTGCATAGGAGATAGCGTCGGGGCGAATCCCAGCGGATTGGATATGCTGCCAGATTCGATTTAGAGCCACAAAGTCCACTCTGAATGCATATTGAAACAAAAGGGTGTTCCACATGCCCAGCGGCGAACCTTGGACCTTGAACCCCTTACACGCAACAGCAAATTGCTCAGCCTGAGGCAACAATCCGTTGGCGCAATACGCCTGGACCACCATGTCCAGCATGGGCATTGTGATCTCAACATCATGACGTTCCGCCTCGCTGAGCAAGTGACGAGTGTTCTCAATATCTCCCCTTCTAGCAAAAAGAGCCATCAATGTGCCAAATGTGTGTGGGCTGGGGGAAACTCCAGCTTGCTGCATCTTCGAAAATATCGACAGAGCGCCAGCTAGGTTTTCTTCATTGGCATAAGCTTTGAGCAAAATGTTCCAACACACCGTATTTGGCTGAAGATGAAACTCTTCGGAGATCCTCTGGAACTGTTTATTTGTTTCTTCCACGTTTCCTGTTCGTGCATGGACGTCGAGAAGCGGAGTCAACAATTTCCGGCTCCGTGGTGGCCCATGGTCTTCGACGAGCTTATCGAAAAAGAAATTGACTCTCTCCGCATCGCCAGCTTGTGCAAACGATTGCATGGCATCTTTGTACACTTGGAGGTGTGGCTTTCCGTAGAACTGCGTCATTTCCTCCAGGAAGAATCGCACTCCAGAAGTAATTCCAAACGAGGCAAAGGCTCTCAACTGAGCAGTGAAGAACGACTGGGGGGGCCTCGTCTCCGGCATTTGCCGACGCATGATGCGGTAAAACACAATTGTCCGAATGAAAATGGATCTTGCTTCACTCGTTTGAAATGTATTTAGCGTGCTGAGATAGTGCTCACGCTTCAAAAGCCCCAAGTCGTGATAGATCCGAAACAACTCCACAAGTACACCGGTGGAGGCAGATCTGAGCATATAAGAATAACGGAAAATGTGGTCAAGAAGGAATTCGGCCAAGGAGCGGGCTTCATGACTCTGTTCACGCATGACGAATTTTCCGAATGCCACAGCATCCCAAGCCAGTCTTCCATGTTCAAGTTCACTGAATAAACTCAGGTATGGCGGTTCAGGCTGTGCTGTGGATTGTGACACCAAATGCCAGATTTCCAGAGCGCGCTTCCAATTACGAGCTTTCCAAAAGCGCGTGAATGATAATGTACAACATTTCGATTCGTAACCCTTTTCCAAGGCTTGTTCGCACAGAGATATCAGTTTTGAAGGATCTCGAGAACCGAGTTGAGATTCAGCGGCATGCAAAAAATCGTCTTCCGAAAGGCTCTCTTGGGGTATTCCTTGAAAGGCCTCCCAGGCCCGATCCCGGTCGACAGTATCCTTCGACCTACTGAGGTAAGCACATAGTGCAGAGCGGCAGTCGGATGGCCTTCCAGTGGCAATGTAAAGCACCCAGGCTCGATCAAATTCGGCCTTTTGCTGCTCCAACAAATTTATAAGATAGCCCTTGGAAGTTCTGGTTGCTTCCATTCCCACCGGCTGTGGGCTCGGTTCGTTTGCATGAGAGTCCTCGTCAAGGATTTGTTTGGTAGGGGATGATGCGTTCGATGTGTACGGTCTCGAAAAGCCAACCACCGTTCGTTTCCTCCGGCGCAATGCCAGTCGCTTGGATTGGCGTGAAAGACGTGATACGGCGAACTCCTGGGTTCTTGGTGGGTAAAGAAAGTCGAGGAATGGCGAGCCTCCATCTTTGGCAACTTTGCTCTCGGCGGGAGATAGAAAAGCTGAAGTCAAGGTTTGTTGACCTGTCGGCAGCACTAACGCGACAAAACAGCTCGCAATATCCCCTCCGGCAGCATTATGCTTCCAAAAATGACGAGACAGACTCCTCCGGGATCGAATTGTGCCGTTGGGATCTCGAAGGAAACGCCTTCCCGCGCTCTCGAGGCAGCCGGCCGCCCGTTCGAGCATTACCCCCGATGGTCGCGGCGTCAAACACTGAAGTCACCTAAGAGAATCCACAGTCTGCATCATATCGTATCGGACGGCCCTATATATCCGAGTTCCAAGTCAGAAATCACTGTACATGTGGTGCTTTTGGTTGTTCCTGGCGGCCGGGATGAGCTGTTTAGGGTGGTGCCATTTTCGTACCGAGAAGGGGAAAAAAAAGCCGGTGGATTGCAGACAACCTAGCAGAAGGAAGCTTCAGGCGCTGAGCTTCACACAGGTCGCAATTGCTAGATTGTCTCCCAGTCGTCGGGCGATCGGTTATGGGCCAACAAGAGTAAAGCCAAAAGGTAGGCTGGAGAATGCCAACCACGCAAAAGATTCGGAGAGGTTGGAAATTGCCGGGCAGGTCGGGCCATTCGTTTGGCCGAAACGGGGTACCGCCTTTGCATACCCACCAAGTCAACCTGCCAACTACTCGGCTCCCCTCAATCTCGCCAATTCAATCACAACCATGGAGATCACCGATTACATCTTCAAGGAGCGTGAGGAGGTGCTCCTTGCCGGAGACTACAATGCCTACCGGGCGCATGCCACCCGCAAGCTGCACAAACTCCGCAAGAAGCTGGGACAGGCCACTCCTAAAGGCCGCAAGTACGCTGCTAAGCCAGCTGTAACGGCTGAGAATGTTGGAAGCAATGTGTCGTATGTGTTTCTACTGACAAGTGAATGATACATGCTTACCTACTTTTCTCTTATGACCAGATATGTGCACCTCTTGCTTCTCGGATCCGAACGAGCTTGGGCGCAAGCCATGCACGAGAAATCCACACACTCCGCCGATCCATCATCCAAGGGCATCTCCGGTGCTGCTAGACGCCATATCATTTCGCGACTACACAAGGCAACCGGTTATGCGCAACATCTTGTGAAATTGCTCCATGAGCAGTCGGCCACTGGCGCCACCGATATTGATATCCTCGAAGCCCGGGCTTATCTGGCTACTGTCTCTGGTGCGCTGTGGCTGGAGAAGCGCAAGTGGGAGCAGTGTCTACATGACTATGCCATTGCGCGCGTTATTTATACCGCCCTAGGACAACGGGAAAAGAAGGATTCTTTCCGCGACCTCCTCACAGGAACCGTCGATCCCAGTCTGCGCTATGCGGCTTACCAGATGAAGCTTCCCCGCTCCAAGCCAACCTCGTCGCTGGCCATCGAATTCTTCCCCGCCGATTCTGAGATTCGCGCCGAAGTCGAGAAGATTGACCCGTCCTGCCTCGCCGAAGAGGCCGCCGGAACACGGAGAACCGCCGAGGGTGAGGTGCAGAAGTTACCCGAGTCTGTGACATGGAGATCTCGAACCGTCCCGTTGGACGATGCTTCGATTTCTCAGGCATTGGCTGCTGCATCCGCTGGCGAGGCTGGTCTCAGTGCCTGGCTGGCCAGTGAAGGCAAGTCTGCTAGCGCGAAGGATCGCGCTGCTGCATATGATAATGTCATCATTGCCAGTCAGGATGCCGTCGATGCCACTAAGAGTGCTATTGATGACCTGACTAGCGAGGGAGTGGATCCTGGTGATAAGAGAATGCAGGCACTTCAGATCACTCGGACGGCCGTTAACTACAATCTTGTCGGATGGCGGGTTGGTCGTAACCGTGTGCTCTGTGGTGAACAGGACGGCCTGACGTTTGAGGAGGAATCAATTGCTCAAGGTGGAAAGGTCATCAAGCACGGTGCGGGTAATGGAAAGAAGCTTAACAAGCTCCGTGAGCGCGTGGTGCTGTATGACTCGACCCTGCAGAGCCTGGACTTTATCCTGGAGCTGCCAGGTGTTGCTGCCGATACGGCATTTGTGCAAGATCTTGAGGCGAAACGGCGCTACTTCCGCGCGCTTCGGTACGTCTCCTTTCTGCAACAAAATGCTTTCTTCTCTATATGACTAACGCTTTCCATGCACAGATGCCTCGCTCTGGGTCGCTCCCACGGCGTTCTTGGCAAGCCCACCGAGGCACTTGCCCTTTTCGCTCAGGCATTCGATCTCGCCAGCACCGCCACTCCGCAGACCTCCGACAGCTCCGAGGGCCCGCCTCAGCTCGATGTCTCTCGAGCCCAGGCCAACAACCTGGCCTCTACTCTTCGTGGACTTGTTGCCCAGTACCGTGGACTCGTGACTCTGGAGCGCTTGGAGGCCCAGTCTGGTTCCAGCCAGCAGCGCCCGTTGGTCGAGCGCCTACACCAGTTCAGTGCCGGTACCGACCTCAGCAACCTGGTACCCTACCCGCCTCAGATGGAGCCTGTGCCCGTGAAGCCGCTCTTCCTCGACGTGGCATGGAACTACATCGACTACCCCCGCCCTGGGCAAGCACCAGTGCAGACTCCAGAGCCGGTTCCATCCCCAGCGCCCGAAGAGAAGAAGCGCGGATGGTTCGGGTTTGGCGGTCGGTGAGCAAGGTTCTTTGTACATACCGGCGTACTTTATTATGATTAGCTAGGCGACGAATATGTTCATGTCCGTTTTATGCACCGGGTGTTCTCCTTGCCTTGCTCCTCTGCACTGAATTAGTACACCTCTATTTCCTCGGTGTATCCGGTATCCGTGATTAATGTCAAACACAATCCATCAATGCGTATACATTTCGCTCGTTGCGAGATACTGTAAGTGGACTATAGCTACCTAGGATATACAGGACCATCTTAGTCATTGTCCGGATCCAATGGCAATGCGGCCTTAGTCAGAGGCGGTTTATCTGTGCACGTGCCCCCGGAAGCCCTCATTGAAATTTGCGCCAATAGTTCAATTAGCCTTGATTTTGCCTAGTCAAGCTATTTGCAATGACGGTCAATAAAAGTGGAATAATTTAAATTAGTTAAAATAGATAAATTATCTTGTACTTTATCAAGTATATGGTTTTCTGTTTTTTACCAAAGTGTTGAGTGACGTCCTGGCTGGAGAAGGTATTCTATGGAGTGCCCATATGTACCGAGTAGATAACATCATTCCTAGACGGGAGGCGTAGGGACAGAAGTACAATACAAGGTTGCTATAGTGATTTCAGTCATAATGTATCCTATAATTAACTCCTCTCTATCTTTTTTACTATGAAAAATGAAATAGTGAACCTTGGTTTTATATCAGGTTCAAAAACAACAGTAATGGTTTGCATGTTATGGTTAAAAGCTGGCTATAAACCCAATAACTAATTAACTATGTCAACCAAGTACTTCGATAGTCATGCCACGGCCGGCTTCCCCTGTGGGCTGCGGGACCTGAGAGTTCCGGGCCCCGGGAGCCCCCCCCCCATAATTAACGAATCGCCAATCGCCAACCGCCAATGCGAATACGACTGCAAATTATTGGCCTTCCCACCCCTGACCAATTTCCTTTCTTCCCCTCTCCACCTCTCCCTTAACCATTGTCCATCCGTTCTTGGTCTCTGGTTAACACTTCTGCTTGTGCACTCGGCAGAACAGAATTTTTCAAAGAAAGGTCCTCCTTCACCGTGGTCAACATGTCTGGGAGCTTTGCCTCGCCGTCCGCAGATGCGACAATCTCGCCGCAACTTTTCGCGCCGGCCGGCCTCGTCGCCTCCGTTCTCGATGGCTTCACCATCTGGAAGCTGATCCTGACGCTGTTCGTTGGAGCCGTCCTTTACGATCAGTGTAAGTTCGATCCTTCAGGAGAACCCTCGAAAGACTTCTCGCTTGCTCTGAAATTTCAACGCGTCTCGGATCAATGGCTAACGTTCTCCCCCTTTTTTTTCTTTGTTAAACAACAGTCAAGTACCACTACCTCAAGGGCAACATCGTCGGTCCTGCCTACAAGATCCCGTTCATGGGCCCCTTCCTTCAGTCTGTCAATCCCAAGTTCACCGAGTACAAGGCGAAATGGGACAGCGGCGAGCTGAGCTGTGTCTCCGTCTTCCACAAGTGAGCCTCCCTTTTCCCTCTATATCTTCTACTGCGCAATTGGTTTTTCTATGGGGAAGAGACGGAGAATGGATATCCAAGATTTCAATTCGCTAACATTTGCGACCAAGGTTCGTTGTGATCGCCTCCACCCGTGACATGTCCCGCAAGATCTTCAACTCTCCCGGCTACGTCAAGCCCTGCGTCGTGGATGCTGCGCACAAGCTGCTCGGCAAGTCCAACTGGGTCTTCCTGGATGGCAAGGAGCACGTCGAGTACCGCAAGGGTCTTAATGGCCTGTTCACCCGCCAGGCTCTGTCCTGCTACCTGCCCCGTGCTGAGGAGGTCTTCGACGAGTACTTCAAGCGCTTCGTGTCCAAGTCCGCCGCTACCAACCACGCCCCGACTCCCTGGATGCCCGACTTCCGTGAGCTGATGACTGCTCTCTCTTGCCGCACCTTTGTTGGCTACTACATGTCCGACGAGGCCGTCCAGAAGGTTGCCGACGACTACTACCTGATCACTGCCGCCCTCGAGCTCGTCAACTTCCCTATCATCCTGCCCTTCACCAAGACTTGGTACGGCAAGAAGGCCGCTGACATGGTTCTTGAGGAGTTCTCCAAGTGTACCGCCAAGAGCAAGGCCCGTATGGCTGCCGGTGGTGAGATTACCTGTATCATGGACGCCTGGGTCAAGGCCCAGCAGGACTCTGCCAAGTACCGTGAGAAGATCGCCCAGGGAATCCAGGTTGACCCCTCCGAGAAGCCTCCTCAGGTTCTGCGTGACTTCTCCGACTTTGAGATTGCCCAGACTGTCTTCACTTTCTTGTTCGCCTCCCAGGATGCCACTAGCGCTGCCTCTACCTGGTTGTTCCAGCTGATGGCCGACCGCCCCGAGATTCTCGACAAGGTCCGTGAGGAGAACTTGGCTGTTCGCAACGGTGACCGCTCCGTCCCCATCTCCATGGAACTCCTCGAGAAGATGACCTACACCCGCGCCGTCGTCAAGGAGACCCTCCGCTACCGTCCGCCCGTCATCATGGTCCCCTACCTGGTCAAGAAGGACTTCCCCATCACCGATAAGATCACCGTCTCCAAGGGCTCTATGATCATTCCCTCCGTCTGGCCCGCCACTCACGACGAGGAGGCCTACCCCAATGCTGACTCCTTCGAGCCCGAGCGCTGGATCACCGGTGATGCCGAGCAGCAGACCAAGAACTGGTTGGTCTTCGGCACTGGTCCCCACTACTGCCTGGGTCAGACCTATGCTCAGCTGTCTCTGATGGCCATGATTGGCAAGGCCAGTATGGAGATGGACTGGGAGCACACCACCACTGCCCAGTCTGAGGACATCAAGGTTTTCGCCACCATCTTCCCCCAGGTATGTCTCTTTTTAAACCCTTTTCGCCTCAAAAACCCATAACTAACGATCTATCTCTAGGACGACTGCCTGCTCACCTTCCGCCCCCGCGCTTAAATATTGATTGACGAGTAATGCAAAAGCACCACGCTGGAAAAAAAACCCCCCGGCCCTAACCTCCGGATAGAACGGGCTCGGCGACAAATTCAGCACGGCCTTTCTGTCCTGGAGATGGAGGGGCCATTCTTTTCCACCTTTCATTTCTCGCCTCCATATTGGCACGCATGGTCAACAGTCCTCTTATCGGACTTGGAACAAAAAGTTACCGTGATTGCTGCCCAGGGCAATTGGTCTTCAAAGCTGGGAGAGCTTTTTTAGAGATGATCCCCCTAATACCCCGTTTGTGTATAAAGCGGCCCATGTGGGATCGCTGCTGTTGAGCATTTCTTTTTCCGGGTTGTCTCTGTTTCTTTTCTCTCTCCTCGCTGTGAAAGACCCTAGAGCCATTCTTAGAATAATTTTAATTCTTTTTTTTTCGTTTTATATTCATTGATTTAACTCGGTACTTGCAGAATAGGTACTCGAATAATCCTAGATAAAAATTTTCGATGTTCTCCATGGAAATCGCCATTAGAGATACAGCTAGATTAGGTAGTGCCTGGGCTGTCCAAATTATATATCTTTCCCGCAACACATTGGAACTCCACATCTACCGACAATAAAGATACACATCAACACATCACACCATCGATCGAGCTATCGGTACACTCCACGTATGCATGACCCTGTTATTTCCCCACAGAATCACCATGCAACTCCTGAACCAAGCTAGTCGAATTACTCGGCATCTCCCTCAGAACCTCAGAACCGGCCAACTCCCTCGGCGGCTTATCTCGTGCATAAAATGGTCTCAATTCTTCGTCACCAGCGACCCTTGATCGTCGTTTCTTCAGTAGAACCCATGTCAGACCGGCAAGAATCACGAGAGCCCCGACACTGACGCCAATCCCGATACCCGTCTTCGCCGCAGTCGACAGACGCGATGATGACTGGGAAGAGGGTTGATTTGAGGATGTAGACGTTGGAGAGGTACTAATAATAGTGCTTTCAGAGACACCAGAAGTAGTCGTCAAAGTTGCGATATATCCCTGAAGCGTTGCGGGTATGTATTCAGCATTGGAGCTATTACAGCAATCCGTGTTCGCGCCGCAGCACCATGTCGTAGAGGTATTCGGATTGCCACAAGGTGTCATCCTGATGGTCCTGTTGTTTGCCTATATCCCATCAATCAGTCCCCTGAATTGGTAGAAAAACCAATCATTTTGAAGCATTTATTTGCAGGCAGGATCCTAACATACACTCCCAGCACAAGCCTTCAGACAACCCCCATCATCCCAATTCTGACTCGTGCACGTATCCCGCCAATATTGCTGGACCTGAACTTTTTCTCCGTGAGTATTGATGGTCGTGAATCCGTCTAGACAGAGACCATTGGGCAGGCACTTGTTCGCTGTCCAGCCGTTGGTGTCTGCGCCGCCGAAGGGGTTACTGCGGTTTGTGGCACAGCACATTCGAGTGCCGTTGAAGTCGGGGCATTGCTGGTAGGCTGGGTTCGTTTCTATAGTACCGTTGGGGTAGTAGCATTCGGAGAAGGCGGGTGGTGCGAGGAGAATAGAGAGGATGATGGGGAGATAGAGGTAGGGTGGTTCAGCGTTAGGACGCTTCATGCTTGTTGTAGTATGGGTTCATGAGGTATATGAGGACGGGGTTGGGAGGGATGTTGGCATGATGGGATGGGATTCTGATAAATAGACCGAAGAGAATTTCGAGGAACAGAGAATAGGAGGGCGAGTAGAGGTAGAATTATAATCCTGACTTGCTCAGCGGCGGGATTCTCCAGCCGTGTAACCTGCAGAAGATCGACAATGTGCATGTTCAGCCCTGCCCTGTTGTAGTCTACTGTAGGGTCATCAAAACTGCACGGCCCCCAATATGAACAAAGTCCTAGGTGTATTAGGCCCCCTCAACTCATTTGAAAGCAAGACTACAGCTTCCAGTATCATCCACCTTGGACCAACATGTTATACAAGAATATCCTTTAGCCTTGAAAGTTACCGCAGATATAGGTGCCATTGTCATATGGACAATTCTATGGAGGACGAAGGGCCACAAACTTTGTGACTATGCATGAACCACTCACATTCAGGCCACCAAGTGCTTATAATCGGAGTCGCCGGTAGACTTAAAAGGCTTAAGTTGGCGTCGGCGATGGCCAATTAGGGGCCAAAACATCGTCACTGGCCATTTAGTCAGTATGTGACGCCAGCAAAGAAATCTACTGTGCTATCATCTAACTAGCCCACTACTATATAGTGGAGTTTTATAGTAAGTTCAGAATATTGACTAAAATTCAAAATCATCATATTGGCCATACTTTGAGAGATACCAGTTACCTACTTAGATCGAGAGATATTATGTGGACTATCAGGAAAGACATCTCAAAAGACCTTCCGAAGATCCAACTTGTACTCATGATGGCCTTAGCAAGATTTAGCCCGCCAGGCAGAGAGCTAAGGCCCAGAAGGATGGCAGCAGCCTTGATCACAATAGCAAAGCCACCTTGCAGACTAAGACTAGTCTAGCAAAAATCAATCCTGATATAGATCAAGAAACAAGAGGTGTCAAAAGAGGGATGAAAAGAGGTCGACTTTTCTCTAACTCTTATTGTTAAAAAAAGACCTTTAGTAATAGTACTCTACCATAGATACTAGGACATAAGAGGGATATCTATGAATCGAATAGAAAACTGTATGAAAATAGTATACAATGGATAATAGATTCATGGTTATTTGTCACGTGATGGTTCCCCACTGACATCACGGCATCATCCGCAGTCGGCCTCGTCTCCGACCTCCCGAGATCTTTCTTTCCACCGAGTCAACTTACCATTCACCACAGCTACCATGGCTGCATCATTACACTCCGCCGCCCGGCGCTCGGTCGCCACAATTACCTCCGCGGCACTTAAAGCCCCAGCCCGTCAATCCATCGCGGCTACATCAGTTCTCCAGCGCGGAGCTTTCGCCGCTGCCAGCCGAGGCCTCAGTTCAACCTCGCAAAGCCGCCGTTCTTTCGCGCCATGCCAGGCCAAATCACACAGTGTATTCAATCTTCGTCAGCAAGTCCGATGGAACAGCGACGAGTCCACTCCCGTGTTCCGGGAATGGGGCTTTGAAGACGTACGTGGGACAGTCACCGTCGCCACTGCCTATACTCTCGCCCATTCTTCTTCTGTACTGAAGCTAACCCCAATCACAACCCAGATCAACGCCTCCCTCCCAGCTTCAACTTCCTCCCCCTCCCACACCCCCGTAATCCTGATTGACGTCCGCGAACCCGCCGAACTCACCGGCACCGGCATCATCCCCACTGCAATCAACATCCCGCTCGCCTCCCAGCCCGATGCGCTCTATCTGACCGCAGACGAATTCGAGACACGCTTTGGGTTCCCGAAGCCCAGTGCTGATGCGGACCAGAAGATTGTATTCTATTGCAAGGCTGGTGTGCGGGCGCGTGCTGCGGCGCAATTGGCTGTGCAGGCGGGTTATAATGCGGAGCAGCTCGGTGTTTATGATGGGAGTTGGTTGGATTGGGAGAAGAAGGGGGGCAAGACTGAGCGGTGGGAAGGGAATGATGAGTGATAGATTGAGGTAGGAGAAATGAATTGAAAATGGAATGGGGATTTTGTACATATACAACTGGACCAATATGAATCGAGCTGTACGAGTCTACGAGGAGAACTATGGCAAGAAGATAAGATGGTGATCTCGAGTCACAATGTAGTAAGAATACCCAACGACGTGTAGTTCAAGTCTAACAATGTGTCCATTAAAAAAGCAACTATAAAAAAAACTCTGGTAAAAGAACCAGCCAGAGGGGAGTGCTCGCTTTTATCTTCTTCCCATGTCATGTACAGAAAGCATTCGCATCAACTTTTGAGCCTGGTCCATTTCAAAATCGTGGTCGTCATTGGTATGTTCATATCACTGTCAAAAACCACCAGATCAACTTTTGATTCATTCTCTCTCGATGGCAATAATCAGAAATCGACATCTTCAGTCATCCCCGCAAAGTCGTGAAAAAAATGCCGCATCAATCATATCACAAGACTACCTACTCGAGGCACTGCGATGCTAAATGGGCCAGAGTCAATCGTCACCCCCTCAGATAAAGAGCAGGTTCTGTAGGCGATAGAAGAGCACCGCCCGCTCAAGGAATGTCGAAGACGGGCTTGAGCTTCTTGACCAGAGCCCACTCCTCCATGGTGACCTCGGACCGGTAGAACTCCTTCAGGGTGTCGATACTGGCACGCGAGATGTGCGAGTACAGCTGGTCAGTCTCCTCCAGTTGACGGCCGTACATGGGCTGGTTGGGACCCTCGACCTTGACGGCAACGGAGGGCTGGCCCTTCTTGCAAACTGCGATGGCCTTGTGGTCACGCTCGATGGATGTCCTGCGGTTAATGTTAGAAACCAACACAGAAAAAAAAAGGGTAAAGTATGGGTTGTGAGAACTTACACTCGGCCAATATCAACAATCTCCTTTTGACCCGCAGCATTGGTGCGAACCGCCGCGAGAGGGGTGTGCATCCGCAAGCTACCCTCAATGACATCGATACCAATGACAATGGGGTCCTTTTTGTTGAACACAGCAACGGGGTTAATGACGCAAGGGAAGATAGCAAGCATCTTGCTCTCCTCCTTGCGTTGCTCGGTCAGTTCAGCCATGTGCTTGGTGAAGTCATCGAACAGGTGGTAAATAATATCGGCAGTGAAGATCTTGACGCCGACCTCAGCAGCGTAGGCAGCGGCTTCCTTGTCAACCTTGACATCGAAGCAAAGCATGACGGCATACTCCTTGGCTTTCTCAAGCATGGTTCCAGCCATCATAACATCACGCTTGTAGACAGGACCAATAGAAATGTTGGCCACGGGAATCTTGGACTGCTTAAGGAACTCGAGAAGGGCCTCCAGGGAACCCAGGGTAGAGGCCTGGACCGTGACACCGCGGTTATCGGTGGCGACACGGCTAAGCAGGTTCTCCAGGTCAGTCATGACCTCGTCCTCGAGGTCCTCCTCGTCGTCATCGGGTCCAACGACAAGCAGACGGGAACCGGCGATAGCATGCTCCAGGTCGTTGGCGGCAATCTTGACACCAAGGGCGGCCTTGACCTCCTTGTTGTGGACGTACTGCGACTTCAGACGCAGCTCCTTCAGTGGCGCAGGAGTCAACAGTGCACGAATATTCGTAACAATGGGTCCGTTAAGACCACACAGAACAATGCGATCACCCTCGCGGAGGATACCGTTAGACAGGATCACATCGATGGTGGTACCGAGACCCTCGATAACCTTGACCTCAAGAACAGTACACTCAACCTCGGACAGGTACATGAGGGAGTTGGTCATACGCTCCTGACTCAGCTTGGTCAAAAGCATCAACATGTCGGGAACACCCTCACCAGTGTGAGCAGAGGTGGGCACCAGGGAAACGTTGCGGGCCATGGACTTGTTCTCGAAGAAGAGCTCGGAGTTGAAACCCTGCTCGGCGAAAGCAAGCTTGGTGGCCTCCAGACGAGTGCGGAACTCGTTCTGGACACCCTTGCTCTGCATGGCCAGACTTTCCTCGAAGCCGTTGTTGTCAATCTTCTTCCAGCCGTAAAGACGATCGATCTTGTTCAGCGCCACAATGAACGGAGTGCGGCGATCACGCAGTAGACGCATAGACTCCAAAGTCTGAGGCTCGAGACCGTGCATGATATCGACGACAAGAATGGCGATGTTGCAAAGGGAGGAACCTCTGGAACGAAGGTTGGAGAAAGACTCGTGACCGGGGGTATCGATGATCAAAAGACCGGGGACCTTGAACTCGAACGAGCCATCCTTGTTCACAACGGCGGTCTTTTGCTGCAGAGCCTCAACGGGGAAGTAGGTAGCACCGATCTGCTGAGTGATACCACCAGCTTCGCCTTCCTGCACATTGGTCTGACGAATCTTGTCCAGAAGCTTGGTCTTTCCGGTATCGACGTGACCAAGAATACAGCAAATTGGTGAACGAAGGTTGTCCTTGGAACGAGCCGCCAAAGCCTCCTCGTGTTGCTTCTTTCTGCGCTCCGCAGCCTCGGCCTTGCGCAGGGCAATAGCCTTTTGGTTGGCAGACTGCTCCTCGTCCTCGGAGTCCTCCTCGGAAGAAGAATCCTCTTCGGAGTCTTCTTCGGAGTCCTCTTCGTCCTTCTTCTCCTCTGCAGCCTCCTTGCCACCGCTGGTCGCAGCAGGCTTCTCCTCCTCATCGTCAGTGGGGGCATCCCAGCTGTCCTTCACATCATCCTCAGCCTCCGCAGCTTGCTCCCAGTCATCAACGGCATCCTCATCCTCTGCAGGAGCAGCCTTGGCCTTGGCCTCAGCCTCAGCCTTAGCCTTCTCCTCGGCTTCCTTCCTCCGTCGCTCATCTTCAGCCTCGCGTTGAAGACGAGCCCGTTCGGCGGCGGCCTCAAGATCCTCCTCTTGCTTCTTGCCACCCTTCTTCTTGCGGTTCTCGTAGACAGGGCGCTTCTTCTCGCCACCGGCCTCCAGACCAGCAACTTGAACACCAGAGGCAAGCAGCTGCTTCATACGGAGTTCATTCTTGGCCTGAGCCTCCTTCTGGGCCTTGGTCAAGAGCTTGCCCTCCCTGCGGAGCTGTTCCTTCTTCTCACGCTCCTTCTCCTTCTTCCGTTGGCGGGCCTCCTCACGCTTGGCCTCTTCCTCGGCATCGCGACGTGCCTGCTCTTCCAATGCAGCCTTCTCCTCAGCGGCGAGACGCTCCTCCTCCTCGCGCTGTTTGCGTAGCAGTTCCTGCTGCTTCTGAAGAGCCGCAAGGTGGGGAGGAAGCTTCTTGGCCTTTCCAGCGGGCTTAGCGGCAGCGGCGGGCTCAGGCTCGTCCTTCTTGACTTCAGCAGCAGCCTTAGCAGACTCTGCCTTCTGCTCGGCAGCAGGGGCGCTCTTCTTCTTAGCAGCAGCCTAGAAAGTAGATATGGTGTCAGCTTATCTCGAGCTACATCGATTGTACAAAAAAAAGGCTAGAGGGAAGAAATCGTAGTTGATCTTACCTGCTCCTTCTTACGCTGCTTCTCACGCTCCTTCTTCTCCTTCTCCTTCTCCTTCTTGGACTTCACGCGGAACTCGCCCTCATCAGCGGCGGGGGCTGGGGCAGGCGCCACTTCCTTGATAGGCTTCTTGGCCTTGCCAGCGAAGACATCGTCCTCGTCGAAGGTACCCTCCTCGGGCTGCTTGCTAGCGAGATCGGCACCGGCATCCTCGCCCTCAACAAAGTCGTTAACGGGCTTGCCCTTCTTAGCCTTACGGGCCTTATTCTTGCGCAGGGCAGCCATCAGGCCACCACCGCCGGCCTCTTCTTCGCCGCCATCTTCGCCGCCGTCCTGGGCCTGGTCCTCCGCTGGAGCCTCGGTGGGGGCAGCAGTCTCGCCGAGCTCAGCTTCCCAGTCCTCCTCCTGGCGCTTGTTTCCCTTCTTCTTAGGCGCCATTTTGTCAAGATATGTGTGTCGGGTCTTTCAGGTGTCTTTCGGGTCCGAATCGAGGGGCGATCGGAGGGACGCAGTGGGCGCACAAACGGAGCTAACCGTTCACTTGCGGGCTGCGGGTCGCCGTGAAAATCCGGCGAAAAATAGGTGGAAAGGTGTAAGATAGACGAGTTTGAAGCTCCAAACTCGAATCCCCGATAAAGAAAGGCTGGTGGAGTGGACCGAGGGGAGAAGGTGGGTGAGAAAAAGAATTTCGGGAAGAATAATCGAATGGTGGGGAATGGGAACAATGCAGTCTGACTTCACCCGCGGGCTCCCAGCATTGCCACTGTCCACAACAGTCGCCTCCCAGCTTTAGTCTGTTATTAACGGATGAACCATATAAGCAGGTATTGTTTAATTTACTTAGATCCGTCTAGTTTTCGGCTGTTTACCACACCCTTGAGGAAGAAATGCTAAGAAAAGCTCATTTCATTTGCTCAAAGATATCAAGTAGACTCGTCTCGTTACGCCGTGTTGAGTGAAGATCAGCCTCAGTAGGTCCATAGAAAGGAGAAACCCAGAGTTACGAAATCAGGTTGCCTGAACTGCGCTCATAAATTTCAGATCTCGACATGAAGCAGCTGTCGAAGCCATCCAACGACTTGCTGGGCATAGTTGTCCGAAGGCCCCAAAGCTTTGAGCGCTGCATTGCGCATGAAAGGCTCATAGATGGGAGATCCTCGCTTTTGATCAAGTGCATGGATTCGATCTTCTAGGTAATCCGCCCTATGCCGAGCCAGGCGTATCAGGATATCCCCGTCCACCTGGGAATTGTCCTTCTTAGGATCGGCCCAAGTGGGCTTCTTGCGTTTTTCGCGCGCAGCTAGGGACGTAAAGAGAGCTTCGTCCTTTCGGCATAAGTCTTGCAATGCGAGTAGAAGGCGTGTCTCATCCTCTCGTAGCATGGAGAACCGGCAGACCGATCCATTGAGAGCAATGCCGTAGATTGCACCGCCTCTCTCCCGGGACGACTTGGGGAAAATGTCGCCCTTGGAGCTAGGGACAAACTGTAGAATGGAATCCCATACCGAGGCCTCTTCCGGTGCCGGGGGCACAAATACTTGGGTAGTGCGGAGCTCAGCATTACTTGAAAGTCTCCCGGCACGGACGTTGCCACCGCGAGTGCTTAAGAAAGCAAGAGAAGGCTCGCCAGCGGTCACATAGTGAGCCAGTCCGTCGAGAGGCTTCGAATCATGAGCACGCAATTTCAAGAGATGGTGTCCAATTCCGTCGTCAAGAACTTCCAAGACGACGAATCCGTGCCGGGCAGTAGTAACATAGACGAATGGCTTTGAGACGGTAATTGCCACCGCTGGGGAGGGAAGTTCCTGCCAGCTATTAGACGCCCATTTGACGGACGCACCACTGGGGGCAATGGGACGAATGATCCTCCCCGTGCATATAAGCAGTGTATTGCCATAGGCTGCAATCGATCGCACCGGACCGTCAAGGCAGTCCTGAACATGCTTTGTCACGAATCGCACTTTGGAGGGATCCTGTGGATCACGGGGTACGGACATCAGGATGAGTCGGCCTCGCGGTCCGAAATCAACGGTTGCTGAGAGCCCCGTTCCAATCACGATGAAATGATACATATGCCCCTCTCTTTCGAACATCCAGTCCATCATACAAGTGATTCTCTCTCCCGGGGACGCACGGGGCATCAACGGTTGGTCTAGTGGATTGACGGGTTCCTGTGCGTCCGGAAGTACGAATGCCAGACATGATCGCATCGTAATATCACCAGGTCTGCTGGGTTCTTCGACTTCAGCCTTATCGTAAGCCAGTATAAGTCTATGAAGATTTGGTGAATAGACTAGTTTCCTAGCCGTGCCAGGCACGCCAATTCGTCGAGGCACAATCTTGCGTTCGCGGTCCAGTGAGCATATAAGAAGCTGTCGATCTGCAAAACAGAATAGCGGCCCTATTGAAAGGCCGGCTTCTTGACTCTGTTCACTGATCATTCCAAAGCCGTGAATGCTGGTAGGGAAATACGCAGGCTACATAGAGTTAGCAACGATGCAGGCCTGGAAAAGTGTGTCCTTAACACTTACATTGCTCTGTTCTGTGATCCAAACCCGCGAAAGGAAGCAGTCATTCGGGACGCCATCGGGGTTGGTTGATACACGCCACAGCTCGTTATCGCAGATAAGCATAGCGAAAGCACCGTGGCTTTGGAGTCGAAGCGACGTCATTCCCACATGCTTCGGTGTTACTTGACTCAAACCTAAATATGGCATTAGTCTTGCTCAATTTCAAGGTTCTAGGCTTGGACCATTTCTTGGACTTGCCGATAAGAGTTGGGGCGTTGAAGTCAACCTGGAACGGCACTAGCACGCCGCTCCGCAGGCCACATAGCAGATGAGCACGCAGAACACCCTGATCAGTTTGGCGAATCATTGCAAGACTATCTATTGCACGAGAAATGTCGTCCTTGCAATCAATCGAGACACAGGCATCCAAGAGGAAGTTGATCCTCTCGTTTTCGATGTGAAAGACTTTGATCGTGCCATCGCTGGTGCCCATGAAGATAAATGTTGTGTCTCCTAGTGTTTGAAGGGACAGGCATACTGGCTCCTTGTCAATTTTGACGGTCTGAATAGTGTGCAGGCCAGCATGAGCATCATTCACAACAACCCGAGTGAGTGTAAGCTTGAGTTCATTGTTCTGTCGAACGGTGGTGACCACAACCGAGCTTGGGCCATCAACGGTGACTGCGATGACGGTAGAGTTCGGCTGATGTAGGATGAAGGTATTGGAAGAAGTACTATGAGGAACAAAAAGGTGCGTGGCCTTTTGTGTGACTTGCACGAGGACGCCTGTGGGAGTGCAGCCAGCTGCCAGTGTCTGTGCACTGTCAAGGCCTGTCTCGGTGTCATCCAGCGCACTGATACCATCCTCAAGATTAGGGTTCATGTAGAGAAGCAGAGTGGACATGGGGTCAGAAAGCATGACATAGACGCCTCGGTTGGCATCGTCACTGAAGGCCCACATATCTCGTATGCTAGAGAAATCATCAAGGGGAACAGCGAAGCCTACTTGGGCCTCGAATCCATGCCGAAGTTCATGGAGTGCGCTGCCCCCGGAGGCGGACGATGCGGAACTGACAAATAGGCGATCTCGCGACACGTCGCATTGGACATTTTCATGCGTTTTTGATGGCACCATGACCGCATCTGTGACTGGAGCCCAGTTAAGAAATCTTTGAACACACTGAGGTTTATTCCGTGCCTCTTGAATGAATAGGCCACCATCACCCATACTTCCGGCGGCCAGAATGAAGTCACCTCCCTCGTGACCCATGTCCAGGACGTCAAATGCAGAGTCGACATCGCAGTGAAGTTGGCCCAAACTGGTCTGGGTTTCTAGGCCGCCTTCATTACCAAACTCGAGGTAATAAATCCAGCCATCTTCGCGGCAGAGGTAGATTCCATCGAATTTTTGACTGTAAAGCCAGTTACGGGCAGGCCGTGCCCATTGGGTCCAGAGCGAGACCTCCTTGAAAGTAGCATCGGGTGCTATGAGCGGGTATTTTATTGGTCGCGGGTGTGAAGAATCGGAAGGGTAAACTGCCATGGAGATGCTTGTGACAACCAAAAATGAAGACTCCTTGGTTAGAGGTACGATCATCGTGGGCAACCTATCTTCCCTGCGAAGCTTAAACTCAACAATCTCCGGACGGAGCATCGTAGCATCTCGATCATCCCATTGAAAGATTCTGGCAAATGAGCCCTCAGCACTAGAGGAGACAATGAGAAGAATGATTCTCTTGTCGTCGGCAGCTCTGGGATAGAGAAACTCCATAAACTGGATAGTTCCATCACAGCTGTAGAAATGTTCCTATAGAAGTCTTGTTCAGAATAGATATACCCAAGATAGATGTGCGACAGCATACACTTTTAATAGGATCGAGTTTCCCTTCAGCCATCTGCTGCTGGATTTCTTTGGGGGATTTGAGGAGGAGCAGTCCAAAGTACTGGCTCGATGCACTGACTGCGACTGCTCGCGATCTATTATTGGTTAGGTTGTCAAGTGTACGATACCCAGAACAGAGTGGACTCACTTTGGGTCAACGGCAATACGCTTTCCGAACCTTTCGGCCAGATCGACATCAACCGGCAAGGGCCGGCGAAATGTCACGAATTTGTCATCACCAGATATCGGACAATATAGGAACTGAAGCTCTCTCATCTCAAGAGAAAGAACAAGAATCTGAGAAGGGAGGCGATCGAGGAAGTCTGAGTCGTCATGCATTTGATCATCGGCACCAGCTGTTCCTAGCTGGGTGTCCCACGGAAGTTCAGTATTCACATTAATAACCTTGGCCCCGATAATGGAGTGATCAAAGTCATTCTTCTCAGTCACATCTTCTAGGTAGCCACTAGTGGAAGCCTCTTTGACCTGCACTCGACGCTGGCCCACAAAGACAACATCGTTGTGGTGGTTGCTTCGAAGACGAGCAGGGAGAATCCACTGAACAACAGGGCTGGGAAGGATGGTCTGGGTGAAAAGGCCAGTGAGTTCGCGCGTTGGGCGCGTAAAGAACTGTTCCTCATCCATGGAGGTGGTGGATCATAGTTCAAAGGAGGTGCCGCTTGATGTTGGTCTCAGTCATTTAGGGCCAGATTGACCGTGTTAAGATTCAAAATTCCCCGCCTCGAATCAACGGTTCAATTGATATCAACTCAAGTTGTAGAAGAGACTGTGGAGAGTTCTCTGGGTAGTGCTCTGTGATCGAGATCAACATACGCTCACTTGCATAAGATCACCCGGGTAATTCAATATCGGAGGACCTACAACCGAGAAAATAGTGAAGCAGAGCGTCGGCTTAGGAGATGGTTTATACAGCCATTTCAGCAGCTCTGCTTAATCCTTTGTTCTCTCCAGAGAACTTGACCGGAACTGATTGATCCCAGAACCGTCACCTTCTTGGGGGGTGTGGCTCTCTGTTGGGGAGCAACACGTACCGCCTGCGGGGTGATGCGGCAGAGTTGGTGGTGGGAGAGGGGCCCAAGGCAGAAGGCGAATCAGTCACCAGTCACAGATATGACGGCCGGTTGTCGCTTATCACTCTCTCATGGAGATGCTCGCTGGGAGCAGCCGTTGATATACTTGGGCGTATAAGCTCCAGCTATCGTTTGATGTTTTGCAAGATGGAGGGAATCACGTTTCTTGGTGCCTCAGGCTCCGAGGCGGCACCACTCAACCGTCGTTTCGGACTCCAACTGCTGGCATCAACTACGACGAATCTGTGCTTGGCAAGCAACCATCACGCTGGATATCTTTGATTTTCAAGTTCAATTTCTGTGCTCCTCAGTGGCCCCATACTATCTGGACATTATCTTTGAACCTCATCTGGGGCGAAACCCCAGAGCGAAGCCGCAGTCTTTGAATTGTGGCTTCTTGAAGAATGCCCGAAGACCGCATACAGTCAAATGATCTAACTAAATCGGACATTATCGCCTGTTCATCCATTCTTCAAGCACAGTCGAAAGTTCTGCGGTTTTGATCTGTTTGAAAATTGACAGTGGGCCCATCAAACATGGACCCACGCGACAGCGACCTTGAAACACGGCCGGTCTCGTCAGATGGGGAAAAGGAATCAGCCATGTCCAGAAAGCCATCAGAAGAATCATTGGGCACTCAGCAGCGAGCCAAGGCTAGAGCAGAGAAAGCAGCCGCAATTCAGCATGCTTGCGACACGGGCAACGTAGAAGCATTGATCGCGTACGCCACCAGCGAAGGTGGATTGCTGGATGATGAATTGAGGCAAAGAGCATGTACGATCATCGAAGGCCCTGTTCTAGATGATCTGAAATAACGTGTTGTTCTAGGGCCGATTTTCTTACAATGCGACGCGAATTCACAACTTGAGGACCTTAAACCCCTCAACGACCTACCACGACACGCCGATGAGGACCAGGTACAGCTCGATGTCAACCGAGCTTTTGTCTATTATCCTAATGGTGAGGCTAGAACCATTGATCATGTTTTATTGAGGAAGACTGACCTGTTACCTAGTCCCCGAGGAGGATCTCTTGAAAAAGAAAGACCAATTGTCAGATCTCATCGTTCAGATCCTCAGGAACTATCCCATGCTATGCTACTTCCAAGGATACCATGACATCGTGCAAGTCCTGCTTTTGGTCCTGGGTAGCCAGAAGGCTGCACTAGCCATGGCTCGAGTATCGCTCTTTCGAATCAGAGACTATATGCTTCCCACGCTCACGCCAGCCCTGAAACACTTGCAGCTAATTCCTGCAATTGTCGGAACTATCGACCCTGCACTATGGAGGCATCTTGCCAATATCCAACCTTTCTTTGCTCTTGCCTCGACTCTCACACTATATGCTCACGACATTCAAGAGTACAGCGACATTGCTCGTTTGTTTGACTTCCTTCTTGCCCGAGAGCCGATTGTAGCTATTTACCTATTCGCGGCTATCATTCTCTCTCGGAAGAAGGAGCTGATGAATATCCCCATGGATGAGCCGGAGATGCTGCACTTTACACTATCCAAATTGCCATGTCCACTCAATCTGGATGGACTGATCACGAGTGCGGTCCAGCTTTTCAAAGACCACCCTCCCGAGTCGTTGCCTCTTGGGGCATGGAAACAGATTCCCAGTTGCAGTGTCCTCAAGACCTCCCGGGACACCTCTCGGCCTTACAATGTTGATGAAGCGGTGCAGATGTTCCATCAACAGGCCCGGCAAATGCGAAATGAGGAGCGCCGGAAGCAAGCTCTCGAGTTCGGGTGGAAGCACAGGAGGGCGATCGGATCTGTGGCATTGGCGATCCTTGTCGGTGCTGCATCTATCTACATCCGGAAGAAGGGACTCGACTCTTCAATCTGGTACTATGTGGGCCGACTACAGTCCATGCTCAAGGGCTAAGGAGAGACTATTCAAAACAAAAAACCATAGATACGATTAGCTTATGTTACTGGACCTGTATACTAGTGTTTGATTTAAGGCTACGTTGAGAAGAGAGAATCAAAAGTAATTTCAATATTTCATTTAATCAAGAAGATCAAATTGAGATCAAATTAAAATGCTAATAAAAGGAACCGGCATATATATGGTACTGCTAATCATTCAGGATGGATCCTTGAGCATAGGCGGCCCGCAGCGTGTGGCTCTGCCAAGGTGGCGTTCCGCCGGGGAAAGCTGATGTGTACACTTCCACCTTCCCGATAACACGCTAACTCTCCAACTCAAATCCACCCACTATGGCGAACCGGGGCTACGATGTGGTTGTAGACGTGGATGCTGAGGTAAGTACACCATGTTCCAGCTGTGCTTCTTCTTTATACTCACACAACAACAGGGCGACCTCGGGCATACCGACCTGCAAGAGGACCTTGAATTCCACCCATCCAGTGAGTCCCTTCACAAGGCAACCGCATATCCTCTCCATGAAAATGTCTAACCATCGCTCTCTTATCAAACTACAGACTTCGAAAATGACCAACGCAGCGCCAAAGTTCAAGGCGATTCCACCCCGTTCCTAGGCGGCGGCCCCTCTCGCGGTCGCCGCGACCGATCTCCTGGCGGTACCCCGACCAAGCACAGCTGGTGGTCAATCCACTACTACGAGCGATTCTTCGACGTCGATACGAACGAGGTTTTGCGCCGCTGCATGGCTGCGCTCTACCCGCGCTCAAACTTCCTGGACGTTCTCGAAGGCAACGCCGACCTCTACGGACCCGTCTGGATCGCGACTACCGTCGTGGTCATTCTGTTCCTGACCGGAACTATCTCTCAGTGGCTATCGAATAACGATGACAAGCACTTTGAATACGATTTTACTCTGCTGTCTGGTGCGGCGGGTCTGATCTACGGGTACACGGGAATCCTGCCCATTGCACTGTGGGGTGCGCTGCGATGGTTCGGAAGCTCGACGGCGGACCTGATTGAGTGCTGGGCGCTGTATGGATACTCGAACTTGGTCTGGATTGGTGTTGCACTTGTCAGCTGGAGCCCGTTGACTGCGTTGAATTGGGCGCTCGTCGGTGTTGGCTTTGCGTGGACGGTCTTCTTCCTCCTGCGCAACCTGTACCCCGTCTTGAACGCTACGGATGCCAAGGCTAGCAAGATCTTGTTGATCTTGGTTGTCGTGCTACACGCGGGTCTGGCGATTGCTATCAAGATTCTCTTCTTTGCGTGAGTTTTCCCTGCTATATTCTTGGTTTTGGTTTTACCAGTCACAAACTGACTTTGATTTTAGGCACGCGAGTCCAGTGTCGAAGAAGAACAAGGACAAGGAGCAAGATGATGACAAGCGGTCGATGATGTTCTAGATATGAAACTACGCGCTATATTAGCGACGCACTGGACAACTGGTTCCAGGAATTTGGTCTGGATATTGTCGGTAATGCTCAGGAAGCACTTGTTTCTTTTTTTTGGGGTTTCTTTTTTTCTTATAGGCGCTTCTACATCGACTCATGCATGTATTCTATTGTATCTGCTCGCCGTAGACGGCTAGCAGTGTTCCAATCGAAATCGTATCAGCATTCAAATTACAACTATTCCACTAGACTTCTGTACAGTTCATCTATGCCGAACATAGCCGGGTTCTTTTCTCGAATTTGAATTGGAGTTAATCGTTGGAGGGAGGTACCATTACTTCCATATGGAGAGACAACAGCTCTCTGGATATATATGTGGAACCCTGCCCGGATCCTCCCGGGTTCGCATCTACATGGTGAGATGCGCTATATATATTGTGTGTACATACCTATCAGCTGGTGATGGCGTACCTAAGTACCTATACCTAGCCGAATTCGTTCTACTGCATCCGATAGATATACATCGTCGCGTACGTACCACAATTCCGAGGAACCCAAATATAGATTCCTGGAATTACATCATTGACCACTGGATACATCTTCCTGGGGTTTTGTCACCAATTGAGATTAAGCCTTAAAGATCGATTTAAATAACCAAATATAGAATCTACGATTCTCGGCTTGGCCGGTTGGAAAGAATGTCATGAAGAAGCCAGAAATCCATAAGTCATTTGAAATGTTTTGAACTTTTACTTCAATTCATGGACCGCGACTTTGTAGCCGGGAGGCGCCAACTAAAAACAGTATGACTGTGGCTGTGATTGTTTCATCATTTCTAACGCCATATGTAAACCTCTCCGTGTCGCGTTCCTGCCAAACCCCAGACCAGGATTCTGCACCACACACCGAGCACAACACCGAAAAGCGAGTCGTCTATTTCAGCTTCTTCTTGGGGCGGAGCTGGTTGGTGTGACCGCACTTCTTCTTACGGCAGTTGGTGGCACGAGGGGGGAGACGGGCCTATATAGTCATGTTAGCAAGTTGTGCGAGAAGATGGATTCGCGTCGTGTCTCGTAGGTGTCATCGAAAAAGATTGACGGAAAGTCTTGACGTCGGCGCGAAGGAGAAGAAGGGTGCACGTACGTAGCACTTGCGGCAGATGGACTTCTCGCAGTTGTACTTGGAGGCGAGGGCCTTGAGGGAAGGCTCGATGATACCACCACGCAGGCGCAGGACGAGGTGAAGGGTGGACTCCTGCCAAGTGCGAAACCCATGTTAGCCCAGTCCCAGATATATGACGTATCCTCGAATCCGGCAAAATTGGATGTGATGCCTCCTCCTTTGAATCGCGGTGGATAATTGAAACGTCGCCATTCGCATGTCGAGTTTGAATTGCCCCCCCCATGAATGCATCCCCGCATCCCCACCCAATCCATGCCATCATCAAATAGGTAGATATATCCCAAACTCTCGTACCTTCTGGATGTTGTAGTCGCTCAGAGTGCGGCCATCCTCGAGCTGCTTGCCGGCGAAGATCAGGCGCTGCTGGTCAGGGGGATGCCCTCCTTGTCCTGGATCTTGGTCTTGACGTTGTCGATGGTGTCGCTCGACTCGACGTCGAGGGTAATGGTCTTACCCGTCAGGGTCTTGACGAAACTATATCGAGCCGTATTAGTCCACGCTCATTCCTTTCATTTCGGCTGCTCTTGGTGCGGGCTGGCTGGCCATCGGGGGGCGATTTGCGGGCAATAGGTATTCGGAGAGTCCAAGGGTGACCTACATCTGCACTGGAAAGACGCGGAAAAAGGGACATGTTAGCTCGTATGTTCACACGGGTCATAGGAACGCATTTAGACGGTGTTTGGCGAAACGTACTGGTTGCGAGTTTTCGTTGGTGTCGGCGGTCGGTCGCTGAGTTCGAGGCGGAGGAGGCGATGACAATTTGATGATTTCTCGCTTAGCCAAAGGTGGGCCGATTCGCGGGCACGGGATTGCCCTAAGCCCTAGTCGCAGCTGCCGTTTTGGGGACAAGTCACGTGAGTGGGTCACCCTAGCTATTTCGGGATTCGAGACCATCCGAAGTATACAACCTCAGCATTTGATGATGATCCGGGGTTGAGGAAACTGTTAGCGACACAAGTAACTCAAGGATTGAATTTCTACAGCCTTACCTTATCGAGTCCCATCTAATGGCCTTAGCTGTTGAACAACAAGCAGTCAATATGAAAAACATTCGAGCTTCAATGTTGCAGAATGAAACCGCTAATCAATTCAAAGTAGTTCTCTACGATACTGTATTTTGCAAATCATGTATCATGGCCCTTCTCCAACATCAAGTCCAGTAAGCTGCTCATCAATCTCGTCCATCCCATCGGCACTGTCTTCATCTGCCTCCCCCTCCATATCCAGATCCATCACTTGACTGAAATACTCCGCTCGCCGTTTGTCTTCCACGGTTTTTGCAATCCTATATTCAGTGATGGTAACAGCATGAATAAGCGTCTGTAACGAGACAGCTGCAATCTGAGCGGCCAGTTCGTAGAAGGGCCTGGCCGTGTCGGGAAGTTGCGATTCCCATCGATATCGCCAGTACCAAGAACCTGGCCGGCGATCGTCCTCTTCCGGATCTGGATTGACTTCATTTGCCTTCAAGTCCTGCATTACTGCATGTACCAAGGATTTCAGGGCCTCTTCTGTGTTAGCAGCCGTCGTCAGGGTCGAAGGTGGTACGGCTTGCGGCGGGGCGGGCGTCTCAGTTGTTCGGCTGGTTGAGAACATGTCTGCGACAGGGTTCGCCAGCCGGAAGCTATCGATCCAGTTGCTTTCGTACCAGTCCATGTACTCGTCGAGCTGATTGGGAGCCATATTCAAAACATCTTCATCAGTGAGTTGAATGACCTGCTCTTTGCCAATGCCCCCGTTGGCATTCTCGCGGTTATTGAAGTGAGTCTGGGCTCGCGCCCACAGGGACCAATTTATAGCCTGACTGGCAGGCTCTTTGGTCGTGGCAGGATGGCGTTCCAGGTCGTCGAAAGGGAAGAGTAATTTGGTCGCAACAACAATAAGCGCCATTAATTGGACTTCGGGTAGGTCGAGGGTGCGTTTCTGCTTGGTACTACCAAATGCATACTTGAAGCCAACAAGACCGTTCAGGAATTTGACAGTCTCATAAATATCAACTTGGCAAACGTTAGTTTTAGCTGGTAGACGCGGGAATGGAGGATTTTGTTCATACTTGGAATTGCAAGTCTTTTGATATGCCGGTATAAGATGAGGTTGGAATTTAGCGGCGGAAGAGTGATCTCAAATCGGTGTTGGTAATGCAGAATGAGGTCCACGAAAGCGCGATGAAGTGTTTCCAACTTGGGCAGTTGCTTTGATGTAATGATCAGCTTGAAATCTTGATTGTTATGAGGGAAACATGTCGCTTACATGAACATCGAGTCTTGCAATAAATTCAGGAGGGAGTTTATCTCTCATCTCGTGAGGAATAGATTTTGCAACCCTGATATAGGGAATATCTTGTCGTATGATCAAGCTGCCAGGAAAATTAGATGTGGCAGGAATGGATGGGATACTTATTGACAAAGAACGTACCGATGAAGGTCGCTGACGCAGACAGGGAGCCGCATGAGCACGGCTGCCAAATAGCAAAGGCCAACGGAGTCTAGTAGACGCGGCCATTCGAGATACCGCCCTCCCCTAGACTTGAAGCCCAAGTCATCAGAGCTATCAGTCTCGGGCTGAGAGCTAAACAGCTCTCTTTCATCATCTTCCTCGTCGTCTGTCGTCGCGTTGATCCTGAGGGTAAAGTCTTGCAGCCTCAAGACCCAGAGGTCGCGCAGAACGGCCTGAAAATGACTGTTAGAATGTCTTCATCTTCTTTCTAGATGTTAGACCGACCTCGAATTGCTCTGGGAAGCCATGATCATGAATCAAGGCGTGACATTGTTTCCAAAGAATTAGCTGGTAAGCTTGCAAGAAAAGCGTATGCGCCCTGCGACCACTATATGCTACAATGACTCCAGTTAGTGAAGGCTGGAGCCATGGAGATGAAGATGTCTACATACTCTTTCGTGACCTCTCTTCCTTTTCCTTCTTTACCCGGTGCTTTTTACCCTGGGTGCCGAAATCATCCGGATCCTCTTCAATTTGTCGGCCCTGTACACAAACTTAGTATGACTATCCTGGAACTTTCCCCGCTTTGTGGCTTTGGATGATCCCGGGAGTGGTCAAACAAGGCACGAGGGCAGGGTTGCTAGGGTCTTGCATACCTCTTGCAAGTGACCACGACGGCAGAACCAGAGGCCGTTGTCGAGATAGTATCGTCTCTCACGACATCCCTCCTGGCCACAGACCCCTCGGGTGACATACTCCATCCCGAGACAATATGGTCATGCTGGTTGGGCGGGAATGTCTGCCCGATGAGGTGCTGGTTGCGGTTAAGATTGAATGCTCGGAACATAATTTTTTTTCTGCCTTGTTTTTCAGCGACCGCCATCACTACATTTTCCAGTGAAGTCTACACGAACAATGGTCTACCACTAGGGAAAGAGCTTATGTTGTAGAATTGAGAGGTTGAAAAAAAATACTGCGTTGCATCTTATTTCTCCCTCTCTCATTCCCTCATGTCTATTCGGAATTTGATGCCTTCATTCTACTCTATGATTTTCTCTCTGGCACGGATGAAGTGGTGAGACCAAGCAAAGGTTTACGGGTTTATTCATTCATCACACTATCATGAGATGCTGGGACTCAGAACTGTTCTTCGGACAACACTCATGATGCCAACCAAAGCAATTCTTCTCGTCGGTCCAGCCTACATCCAAGGCTAGATAATGGACAGGCCTGGAAGCAACAAACAACAGGTCACTGCCCAAGGTATCATGTCCTCCATTGAACCATTGAAGATGAATTTTTTGGGGGGCAGAGGCCCATTTTTGAAACATAACGGTTGACATAACATGTGAGAGATCCAAGGACCTGGCGTTTATTTGGGAGCCTCCTTGGCCTCAATGGCGGCCTCCTCACCCATGGCAGTCTGGATGATGACGTCTAAGATGGTGGTTAGAATCAAAACAGGCGGAGCAGAAAGAACTAAGAAGCAGCTCAACGGGTTTACTTACTGACGTCCTTCTCCTCCTCACGGAACATCTTGACGATGCGGGCACCGAGGTCACCGTCGGGCAGCTTAACATCGTCCTTGGTGTCACCGTCATCCTTCATCAGGGACAGGAAGTCATCATCGGTGATGTCCAGCTATAGGGAGAGAGGGAGGGTTGTTAGTAATGGATTCGTGGAAAGGCAACCCGAAGAAGGGGGTTGGAGGGGTAAATAGGCGCACGGCCAAGAGGGGCAAACACTCACGAGCTGGTACTCCTTGCGGGCAACGTTGGGGACATCCATGTTGTGGGTGGAGGGAGACAGATCCTCGAGCTTCTTGCCGGTGAAGATATCGATGGCGACCAAGTGAACCTTGGCGTGACCGTGCTTGCCAGTCTTGGAGGTGGACATGTCGACGATCTTGCAGGGGCGGCCCTTGATGACGACGTGACCGTTCTTGCGCAGAGCAGAGCACTGCATGGGGTAGGTCGTCGACGCACCGGCGTCGGTGGACTCGAAGGTCATATCATGCTAATGATGGTGTTAGTTTGGCTCGAGTGGTGTCGAGGGTTGTTTGTCTGCCGAGGGGGGGGTTTGCATGTTGCTGGGAGAAGAGGGGAGGCTCATAGATGCGGGGCTGGTGAAGCCTGGCGGAGCGATTTGGGGAGGGGATTGGAGAGGAGCGCAGAAAGCGAAATTGGAAGGGAATATGCGTACCTCGTCAGCCATGGTGAATGATGGTTTGGTAAGGAGGGGGAAGAGAAGGAAAGAATGTAGCAAAAATGGTGGGTTGGAAAGAGGAGAAGTTTTCTTCGACAGAAAAAGGCTTTGTGGTGGGGGGCTTAGTCGCTACGTCCTGATTGGGTTTAGTGCCTCTGGGGTCTCTCTGTCCTCCTTACGGGGGCCTTAGCTTAGACAGGTTGAACGTGGTTGACTCGACATTATTATATACTCCTTCTTTTTCTGGCCTCCTCATTACCATCTCAATTGAGTCTTCACTTTTACTCTCATGCGCCTTCTCGCACCCCTGCACAATGTGGCGCGACCGCATCTCCGGCCAGTCGACTCCCTCCAGCGTGAATCGCGCGCCCTCAATACCCCGGAGATCCTCCTCCCAGCTATCTCGTGGCCCTTATAGCAATCGACCCGGTGCAACCTCCAAGACATCATCTACACCTCTACTATTAACTCCGAGCGACTCGACGACTTCACTTTCGGGGGTTGGACGAGAACCCAATGGCACCGGATTAAGGCAAACAAGCGGACAACGGCCCCGTCCGGCCACCGTTGAGGACCCGATAGAGGTATTGAATGCGATTATTGGCATAAGCGAGTCGGGGAAAGGTGACTCAAAGTCGCCGAATCAGCCAGAATCAAAGCCGTCAGAGCTGATCGAGACGATTGAGTTTGATGGGCTGAGCCTGGAGGAGTTCGTCGCCAAAGCCGACGTGGCAGCTCCCACGCGAAGGACGAAACGTAGTGAGGTCAACGCGCAAACAGTCAAGCAGTTTGAGCAAGAGCGTGACAAATTCCAGGACCTACATACGTCCATCACCGGCTGCGATGATGTGTCCAAGTCGGTTGAGCTCTACTTGAATGACTTCCAGACGGAACTGGGCGCAGTGTCCGCGGAAATCGAAACTCTGCAAACACGCTCCACACAACTAAATGCGATGCTGGAAAATCGACGGAATGTGGAACGACTGCTGGGCCCAGCAGTGGAGGAGATTAGTATCTCCCCCAAGACAGTGCGCACGATTGTCGAGGGTCCAATGGATGAGAATTGGGTGCGCGCATTGAACGAGATGGATGCTCGCACCACTAGCATTGAAGCTAAGGCATCATCGTCAAATGGATTCAAGGCTATTGAAGACGTTCGACCTCTATTGGTAGATGTGAAAAATAAGGTACGTACCATCCGCAGAGCTTCGGGAGGAAATTCCAGGAAGAACATGGATTAACTGTGGAAATAGGCGATTGAACGAATTCGAGACTACCTGGTGTCGCAGATCCGAGCAATGCGATCGCCAAACATCAACTCTCAGATCATTCAGCAACAACGCCTGGTGAAGTTTAAGGATCTTTACACATATCTCTCCAAGGCGCACCCTGCCCTTGCCGGGGAGATTGCACAGGCCTACATCAACACCATGCGCTGGTATTATACATCCAACTTTACGCGTTACTTACAAGCCCTGGAGAAGATTAAGGTATACCCCAGTGATCGAAATGAGGTTTTGGGAGGCGATCCCTCGGCCCACCGAACTGGCAACATCCTCCCAGGCGGCCGAGCTGGCTCTGCTGCCCATGATCCTTTCTCTCTGGGTCGACGCATCGATATCCTTCGAAACACCAACCAGCAGGCCTTGTCGTCCTACCTAGCGGAACAAGACAACGCTTATCATGGGATCGAAGTACCGTTCCGAAATTTCAACGTTGCGCTGGTGGACAATGTATCCGCCGAGTATTCTTTCCTCACAGAGTTCTTCTCTCCTTTCACATTCCATGAGATTTCACGCAAGGTTGTGGAAATTTTCCAGGCTGTCTTTACCCTGGGCCAGAACCTCACCAAGAAGCTGATCGACAACACTACTGACTCTTTGGGTGTTTTGATCTGTGTGCGTCTCAACCAACACTCAGCTTTTGACCTTCAGCGACGCAAAGTACCCGTCGCTGACTCCTATATCAATGGTATCAACATGCACCTTTGGCCGCGCTTTCAGATGATCATGGATCTTCATGGGGAATCTCTCAAGCGAGCTGGTTCCAACACCGGACGCAGTGCCGTTTCCGCTCTTTCTCTAGCTGGTGGAGATGATCTAAAGCAGTCATCGGCACCGCACTTCCTGACACAACGGTTCGGACAGTTGCTGCACGGCATCCTCGTGCTGAGTAGTGACGCCGGGGACGACGAGCCCGTGGCAAACAGTTTGGCGCGCCTGAGAAGTGAATTTGATACCCTCCTGGCCAAACTCAGCCGAAACGGCACCGATGCCAAACGCAGAGAACGATTCCTGTTTAACAATTATTCGTTGATATTGACCATCATTAGTGTATGTCTCGATCTCTCCCACTAGCTCACCAGAGGCAAATGCTGACTTGAGACGTAGGACACCAAAGGCAAATTAGCCACCGAACAGAGACAGGTAAGCCTTGATGACCCGAGGTGTGCTCTTCAGATGTGCTAACTTACTATGATCATAGCATCTGGACGAGATGTTGAAGAACTGCAGCAAGCGTTAGCGATCGCATAGCGTCTGGTGATATGTACATTCTACCGCAAGGACTCTATGAGCATTAGATAGCCTTTCTTTTTGAACATAAGCATTTAATCAACTTTGAAGAGAACAAACACCTCAGTTTTGTAACCATCTGTATTGGTAAATATCTTGTCTAAGTTGTCTTGCACTCGGGAGCTGACCGATCCGAGGCGGAGCCCGCGATCGGCGCGATCCCCGTCCGCGGGGCCTCCGCCTTATCGCGTCGTCAATTGCTCAATTAAATTGTTACAACTCTCCAATTGCTCCTGCTCGTGATGTCGGTGCGCAGGATTGTACCAAGATCCCCTGCATTGCGCCGCTGCTTTTCAAGTGCGCAAGTTCACCACGCAGACTTCACCCATGCGGTAAGTGCTCTTGCGATATGCGCTATGCGATATGGCACTATAGCTGCCAGCTGGGGGGCAGACCTAACGAGAGCTCGAAGCTGACCTCGCAAAGGTTATTGGCGCCGGTGTCGTCGGCCTCTCAGTAGCTAGACAACTCGCCGCGCGCGAGGGCACTTCCACCATTCTTCTTGAACGACACGATGCACCAGGAACCGAGACGAGCAGTCGCAACTCCGAGGTGAGAGCTTTACCCAAGACCAAAGAGTGAACCCGACCTGACACACACTCAATTGACGCGCAGGTTATCCACGCCGGCCTCTACTACCCAGCCGACTCCCTAAAAACCAAACTCTGCATCCGCGGCCGCAATCTCCTCTACGAGCTGTGCTCCAAGCACGCCATACCCCACCGCAACACCAAAAAATGGATCGTCGCCCAAACCCCCGAACAATGGGAAGCTGCTCTACGGGTCCACACCCACGCCCAAGCCCTAGGCGACGCCCCGACTCGGCTCGTCGGCGCCGCCGAAGCGGCCACCCGAGAACCCGACGTCAAAGCTAACGCGGGTATCGTCGAGAGCGAGACGACCGGTATAGTGGATAGTCACTCGCTGATGACGTATCTGCACGGTGACTTTGAAGATCGCGGTGGGGACTGCGCGTTTAAGACGCGCGTGACGGGTGTGGAGCCCGTTGTTGGCGGCGGGTATAAAATCACGGCCGTGTCTGGGGAGGATGGTTCCGAGACGAGCTTCACCGCTGAGACGGTGATTAATAGTGCGGGCCATGGTGCTTGCGCTATAAATAATCTGCTGCTCCCGTCGGAGCGGCATCAAGTCCCGCATTATGCGAAGGGCACGTACTTCTCGTACAGTGCGTCGCGGCCTCGGACGTCGGTGCTGGTATACCCGGTGACCATGCCCGGGCATGGGGGTCTGGGTACGCATCTAACGCTCGACATGGGTGGGCGAATTCGCTTTGGGCCCGATGTTGAGTGGGTGGATGATCCTAATGACCTGCAGCCTAGCAATGCGCGTTTGGAGCAGGCTATCCCCGAGATCTTGTCTTATATGCCTGGCGTGGATCCGTCGGCTATCGCGTTGGATTACTGCGGTATTAGGCCGAAGTTGGGCCGGGGCGGTGCCGTGAATATAGGCCAGGGATTCCAGGACTTTATTATTCAAGAGGAAGAGGGATTCCCTGGGTTTGTGAACCTGTTGGGAATTGAAAGTCCGGGCTTGACGAGTTGCTTGGCTATTGGGGAGATGGCCGATGGAATACTTTATCGGTAGGTGAGAGAAACACCGACCTCATTGCGTGTTTTGTATTTAGCGTCGTGAGCTATTTCCTCCTTGTACAGAAAAGGACCTTTGCATGAGATATAGACAACATGGGTCAACGCAGGAGCAATGTTTAAGCAATGATTTACCTATATACCTATTCTTATTATCTATATCGATGTCTGTCATTAAAGTCATATTCGCGGTAGAACCAGCCGCCCACAATGCTCCAGGAAGTCTGATAGTTATACACAAAGCCAGGTGACTGAATGAAAAAAAAATGCCATGGATTCTCACTCCACGTCCATCAAAACGTCACTCATAATATGAAGGACATATGAGAATTTCTTGACACTCCATTTCCCCGAGTCTTTGAGCAGGTTCGCATAATCAAGAAGAATCCGCCGAGCAGACTGATACCCACCCTGAACGGGTACGCCGCGCAAGTAAATCGTTGCTCCATTGCGGATGAAATTCACTGCTGGATCGTTGGTCGGTGAGAATGCCTGACTACCCCGCGGCTCCATAAAGCTCGTAAACCCCTCCGTGCCAACCTGTTGCCAATCAATATCATCCATCAACTCGATAGAGCCAACGCTGGACAGCCCACTAGCAGAGCCAGGGGCCATGAATGTGTAGAGACCAAGGATGAGGGCCGCGGAGAAGAGCGAGAAGACAGAGTGGAAGGTAGGATGATCGGAGGCCTTGCGGTTGGTCATGGCTTTGTAGATGTGGGCGGCGTGCAAGCACGCTCTTCTCGCGGCGGGTGTCTGTGACCATTCAGCGATGTCATCGAGTGCTTTTCGTGCCGGGCCCGGCCCAGCCCGTCCAGCAGCGAAGTCGAAGATCTGGATATCGGCCGTGAGCATCATGCACATATGATGCCACATGACGAGGGCGTTGGGGTTTAGTCGTTCCATTGCTTCACCGTAGGTGCTTGAGATCTGAGACTGCAAAGAAGGAAGGCATCTCGCGCGGCCGTCCATAGCGTATGTATGGCACGGGGCAAACGGATAGCTTGCGCGATTGGAGAGGAGGCGATGGTAGGCTTCAGACTGGCGGAGTTGAATCATCGCCAGGACAGTCTGGATACATAGTTCATCCATAGGCCCTTCGAGGGCGGGAATATTGATGTTTTCCGACGGCGCCAGCGCCGTGGGCATCAGGATCCGCTTGCCGCTACGGATGAGCTGGGTCCAACGTATGGATGAATGAGCTTTGAAAAGGGCTTCGTTGCAGGGCATGATGATCTGGATCGAGTCGGGGACTATGATAGGGCTTGTCGAGAGGAGAGCGGAATACCAGGAGTCTAAAAACAGCAACCCGATAATAATTTTCTTGCAGGTCTCGACTTTCGACCATGCCTTCCAGCGCATGTCGATGTCGGGCACCATTTCAAACAGGCTCATATCGAGTATCTGGCCCTCAGTTGCAGCGAAGAGTCCGTGGCGTTGAGTGATCTGCGAGTTGGGTTTATTAGCCGGCGCTCGAAAAAGGATTACTCAAAGTATGTACTTACCGACATGAGATTCACATAGAGCATCTGACATTGTTCCAGATGATGTTTCTCCTATAGATGGATTAGTCTTAATAAGCAGCGTGGGACAAGAAGTGACTCCTACCCCAGTGAGAACAGCGAGGTTGAGGAACAAGAAAGCTGTAGCAAAAATGGACATTGCGCTGGCTGGAGACTCAATTCCCATGGTGCACTTGGCAAGGTCGGCCGTTACTTTCTCGAGCATATGCTATAGTCTGCGTTAGCATCCTAAACTTGTTTTTGAGATCCTATACCGAAGTGCTCACAGTAAAGTTCTTCGATACAAAACTGGCCGTGCCTTTAGTTCCCAGCAGCATCATGCCGATGAGGCACATCACGTAGAGCAGAGGAAGGCGCGTTTTCTTAGCGGAAAAGGTAGGAAGGTGAACAAACGGCACGAGCGGGTGGAACGTGCGGAAGTAAAGATCTAGCGCCATGTCTAGAATCTCTGCAGGAGGGAAATTGGCAAAAGTCATAGAGGCCGAGCCGGTCGTAGACGGGGACGTGCCCTCATTGCGTGGTGACTGCATTTGCGGGTAGGCAAAGGCCTGACCGAACGCTGCCTGAAGGCGTCTCCTGCAATCATCGTCTACGCCACAACGAGATCCTTGGAGCAGGCCAGAATCTTCTGCTACATATGGTGAGTTCAGCGAAAAGAGATTGTCTCCATCTGTGTAGACAATGTCCCGCCACAGACTGTTCATGAGTCGGCCAGTGTGATTCGGCGGTGCAAGCCAACACCGTTGAACTTTGGTAAAACGTTCAGTGGGAATGTTATCACATCCCGATTTGCCGCTATCGACAGAGTTGCGGTTCTGTTGATCCGGCGTGAGCACTGCGTTTTCGCTTATGATAGGGAAATGGCCATCTCTCATCAGATCCAAAGAGCCGTGATTGGATCCTGTGTCCGTACGCGGCTCGAGCCACAGCTGTAGCATATCATTTGGCACGGTGTCAAAGGTTATGCTATTCCGCTGCGCATTTTGATCACCGGGAGTCACTTCATTCCATCCGAAGTAGGTCTGCTGCTCATCGAGTATCATGGAATTGATATCGGGCCCAGCGCGCACTGATATATCAGCCAAAAAATCCAGGGACGACGATGGGAGACCATTCGCCGAGAGAGTCATGTCACGAGGAGTGGTGAGATTGTGTATTTGGTGCGCCTCTGAACCGACAGTTGGAAGAAGCGGCGTCCCGGTTTCTGGACCGGGCAACATTGGCGAGGCACCTGCGATTAACGAGACGTGCTGATCTGGAGCTTGTCCTATTGAAGAATCTTTTCGTTCCACAGCTGTAGCGCTGGCATTGGGTTGATTGTGGCCTTTGGCATGTCGGCTGAGAACATCGCTGTATTTCACTACCCGTTAGATTTCCGGCCGTAAAAATGTCTGGGAAGCTCTCATTTGGGCCGAATCGCGGCCCTCAAGGTAATAATGCAGCTGGTCTTACCTGCGAGAGAAGCGCTTGTGGCACACACTGCACTCGTACGGGCGCTCCTTGGTATCTGTTCGAGTTAGAGTTGCGACCTCGCAAAGGTACTTGCAGGATGGGGAAAAACTGACGTGACCGCTCGTGCCGCTTGAAATGCTCGGTCTTTTTGAACTTGCGGTCACATATAGTGCACTTTCGGAGGACCATGACGGAGTTCGCGACACATCACAGATATCGTATCATGATTTAATCCAGAGAGACGATGGAACGAAAGCTCCCCGGCGAGACTTGAAAGATTGGGTCGAGAGGGGGGAACTCTGGTTAGTCAGCTCCGGGGTTAAGCCGATCGCCGCAAAATGACCTTCTTGTTTTGTTCCCTTTTGACTGGCCTTTCAACTACGGAGTTCTGCTCTTCAAAAGAACCTTTTTACCGAGGATGTGCCGCTTCCATGTCCAATAAGGCCACTGCGGGACTAAATCCCTGCTTGCCTACGAATTACAAAACTGGATTCCGGTCAGCATGTCGCATAGGCCGCTCTAGTGCAAGCCACTGGAAATTCCCCGTGGGGGAGACAAGGCGAAGCTGCTCCGAGCCCTAAACGACGGGTTCCACTGCAGATCTGTACGAGTCTGGTCTGCCATGCGACAGAGAGTTACAAATTCGAAGAATGGAGGCAATGGAAAATGGCCCAATGCATTGATATCACCCAGTAAAGACGAACCACCCTTCCAAACTCATCGCATCCGTTCTGGAATACTGATTTCTTCAACATTTTCTCGCTGAATCAGCGAGCATAGCGAGTCGCTCATTGGCCCACGCATCCCCTCATGCCGGCAGTTGGCAATTTCGGCAAATACCGATAGTGTTTGACGCCACGCCACTACCAGAATGTTGTACGGATGAAGGTGAAACAAGACCCAAAATCCACCAAGGGTCCAACATGCAGCTTATGAAAAAGGCAAAACGATCGAGATCACATCATTGACACACAAGCTGAGCTAGTTGCTCATCGTCATAATACGCCTCCAACCGCTGCCTCCGAGCCTCATTGTCGGCTTTGACCTGTTTGAGGATCTCTTGAATGTTTGGATACGAGGAGAATTTGTCCTGGAAAGTTCAATCAGATATGCACGAGACTTTGGTTATACCCATGGCAACGTACCGGCAGAGCATCCCACACCTTTGGATCTGTGCCCTGGTTCTTGAAAGTCCCGCAGCCAGTGCGGGCGTACTCGGTGAACAGGAATGATCGACTGCTCTCGATCATAATGGTCATTTGGTCTGCAATCATCAGTAATGCATCCACTATAATGATCAAGGTTCCAAGGTCACTCACTCTCGAGAATCCTGCGAGGCTCATTCACTTGATTCCTCATTTCGTACACGTATGCTTCGTTGAAGTTGCCATGTGGAGTGTGGCTAATTTCGACACTTCCACCACCCGGGAGGAAATCGTCGGATCGCCCGAGACCGTTACCATATAGACTAGCCAGGAACTCTGTGGCCGAATTCCGGTGGAAATACGGTAGACGGAAGGTGTTGGAGGCGACATCCCACCGTGGACCGAACCACAAAAAGTCAACCAGGGGAGTGACAGGGTCCCGGGAGGGGGCAGTGAGGACGACGTTCACAGAGGGATCAGTATGATCGATAGAGGTCGAGTTTTGGCTCGAGAACTTTGTTAGATCGTACTGCATGAGAAAAGGTCAGTATCTGATCAACCTTGACATGTGGATGTATTGACCCACCTTATACGGGACGACATTCCCATGCCACGCAACTACGTCGAATGGACTATGGTCCTGCTCGATGGCATGATACAATCCATTTGCCTTGTTCACAATTGACCAGTCCTTATGCAACTCCTCGTCAATATACGCCACTGGATGCAGGAAGTCGCGAGGATTCGCCAGACCATGTCCACCCAAAGGACCCAAGTCTGGTAGTACCCAGCTGGATCCCCAAATCTCGGTGATATAACCTCGAGCAACACTGTGACCAGGGTTTAGACGAACTGCAAAACGGATACCGCGAGGAATCACGCAAATTTCACCAGGCTGGACGAACAGCCTGCCCAGCTCAGTCTGAATGTCCAAGTTACCCAGCTGCGCGACGATGAGTAAATCGCCGTCTGTGTTGCAAAATGCGCGCTGTTCCATGTCCGAATTGATCATGAAGACGTACAAGGCAACACCCTCACGCAGGTTGGGATCGCCACTTCCACCAAGTGTGTGTAAACCGTCAACAAAGTCGATTCTCTCGTTGTCCGCGGGCAACGGGAAGGGTGCCCATTCGCTTTGTTCTGCTAGTGTCGAAACTTTCGGGTTGAGGGTCAAGAAACAATTCTCAATGTCAGACCTGTGGGGAATGTTGGCTTTGTAGCCATCTATAGAGTGGAAGTCAGAATCGTGAACCAATTATTAGTCCAAGCATTGGAAGCTCATGTTATAACGTACTGTGAGCAGCAGCAGGCCGCACTCGGTACATGTACGTGCTGAAATTTGCTGCGCGAGGCGCTCCAAAAGCCGAGTATGTAATTCCTTCGGTGTACAAGCCAAAGCGCGCTTCTTGAGGATTATTCTGTCCTGCCGGTAGAGTTCCAGGTATAACCTCCGACTGGTGTCTGTTGCCAAATCCGGGATTATACTCATAGGGGTCGTTTTCCCGTGTGGGCTTGCGTGACATGGTATCCGTATAGTGAAAGACCTTTTGCAGGTCCTTTACTGGCGTCCTCTCCTGGACTGGTGGCATCGGTGGAGCTGCCATGGTTGTCGAATGTGTGACTGAATTTGGCAAAATGGATGCTTTTGCGCAGACTCCAGAAAGGTTGAGTATCATGGGTATTGTCAAGAAGAGATTGGCATAAGCTCTTCTTCAGTTTATAATGCGGCTTTCACTGCACGAATACCCCAGTATTCCATGCTTTGGAGACCCCACATTGACCTCAGCAGCCCCTATTGAGACCTTGGGTTTGGCTATGGGCCGACCCGGATTGTCCATCAGCTCTCTCATGCGGGGCTATGTGGATGTGGAGCAGGTGAGCATAGCAGCCTGAGCTTGACCTTGTGATCGACCAGAATTAACACCTTGCTCATTTGTTTATGGCGAGGGTATTCCTCAGAAACCAAGATATGGGTAGAAATGAAACCTTGTATGGGATAGCCAAATTCTAGTTCGCCACTGTATGTGGCTACTATTCACAACATGGGATTTAAAGTATCGAAGATAGTTTATTGATAGGAAATAATTTAGTTGACAGCCAATACATCATCCACCATTCTCGCTGATGAGCCAAGGTAGTTCTCAGGATTGCAGAGCTCCGCCAGACGCTGTTGGCTCATTTTGAGAGTGACTTCCTCCTTCTCCAAGAGGCACTCAAGAAGTGTCCGATCATTCTCAATACTCTCACGGCACGCTTCATAAACAATATCATGGGCTCGCTGACGGCCCACATAAGGAGCTAGACCCATCATCACAGCCTCTCCCACAATCAGTCCTTTGGTGGAGTGGAGATTGTCCAACATCTTCTGGGTGTTGACTGAGAGGCCAGAAAGAGCAAATTGTGTCTGCGATAGGGCTCCAACAGCAATTACAAAGCTCTCCGGTACAGCTACCCATTCCAGGTGCCAGGGGCCAGAGGCGCGCTCAAAGTCAGCGACCATACCGTCGAGAACCAGACCTGCGTTGGACCGGAGGATCTTGGATGCAGCCAAGATCACCTCACTGGAAATGGGATTCCGTTTTTGCGGCATGGTGGAAGATGCCCCACGATGAGGTACGAAAGGCTCTGCAACTTCGCTGAACTCATTGGAAGACATGATAATGATGTCCAGGGCAAGCTTGCCCATGGTGCCTCCAATAAGAGCCAGGAGGTTGGCGGCCTTTTTAATAGTCAGTAGGATTCCATTGTAGATATATTTTTATAGAGAACGAACCTCGGCAATACCATCACGAGCAACATGCCAGGAAATGGAGGGATTATGGAGACCAAGCTCTTGTGCCAGAGCCTTGCGTACTCGGACTCCGTCATCTCCGGATCCTAAGGAGGAGAGTGTACCTGCAGCCCCGCCAAATTGGACAAGCAAAGCTCTCTTTCGAAGCTCCTCCAACCTTTCGGCATGGCGCTGGAAACCAGAGAGCCAGACAGCACACTTATAGCCAAAGGTCACCGGTAGGGCATGTTGCAAATGCGTGCGTCCAGCCATGGGGGTATCTTTGTATTTCTCCGAGAGCTCCCGAAGAGTCTTGATGACATCCTTGAGAAGCCGCTCAACGATGTCCAATCCCTCCTTCATTTGCAAAACACTCGCTATGTCCATGATATCTTGTGTAGTCGCTCCCCAGTGTACATATTTGCCAGCTTCATCGCCACAGATATCCGACAGCTGGCGCACCAGAGGCAGGATAGGGTAACCGACGATCTCAGTTTCGTGTCGTAAGCGCTCAAAGTCCAGATTGGATTCTTCCACTTTTTGGGTGATTCGAGGCCCAATATCCTTTGGGATGACACCACAATTGGACTGGGCACGAGCAAGAGCGGCCTCGGCATCTATACAACGACGGATGTATGCTTCGTCGTCGAAGACCTGAAAGTATTTAGCATGATTTCGCAAGAAAATAGCCAGTAAAAGAACGATAATGGACCTACCTTGCGAATTTCTTCAGTGCCAAACAGAGTGCGGAAGATACTCGAGTCAATCGCGCTCACGGAACCAATTGACCTCCGGCCATTGGCGGAGGCAATGGTGATGATCGGTCGACTTGTCGTGGCTCGGGATAGCCGTGCCAGGCGCAAAAACATTGACATCTCGTTCGAAGACGCGCTTTGCTAAGATCCGACGGAAACAAGGTGATGATTTGAAACTATCACGAATTATCCAGTTTCATATGTCACCCTGAACAACCTCTCTGGACAGTCCACCGCCTGAAGATGGGGCGATTGTTCTCCTGCGTTGCGGTCAAGGGCTGACCCCACATAACAAACCACTGGGTGGTGGGGCTCTGGGGCGCTGGCGATAGTGACGCTGGACTTTCTGAACGAGCGATCAAATGCAGAAAAATGATTGATTTTCAATGTCTTGTACCATAAGCTTGATATTATGAGGCCCAAATAGGTAACTTCAAGCTTCATAACAACCTATATTCGAAGTAGAAATCCCTGCCCTCTCAACGATGGAATTCCCTAAGCAAAGCATTTAGCCACCGCTCTCTCTGAGTCTCTATACATTTTAGCTATAGTTGGAAACGAGCAATAAATTGTAGACGAGCCGTCGAGGATGCGAAATTTCTCTTTGTGCAACCTCGGCCTTCATCCATGTCATTCTTGTGAATTCTGGCAGTGATTCAGCATTCTATTTGAGAAAATTTGGTCCAATTTCGACTTGCCAATTTTGATAGTTAACATCACCCGGATGGTTAAGGTCTTAAAGATCGTTACAACTTTTGCGTATACGAGATTATGTACTGGAACCTACTCGTTGATATCTTTGGAGACTATAAGGCCCTGTAACCGTATCATCAACATCTACCTTACTAAATAAAGTATTTAGAGGTAGCCCGGTCTCCTTAATTTTTGAGCATTTAAAGCCGATCAGCTAATTTATTGATTTACAATTCAAGGACACCAGCGAAGCGAGCAGATACATCAAAAGAAAATAGAAAACAGAGTGGTTTGCGACGATTTTAGCGAAAGCTAGACTCCAAATCCATCTCATAGTCTTGCAAGACCGTAGCTAATCCACGATGTCTACTCTCGAATGAAAAGGGATGCAACGCCCATGCCAGTACTGTGAACATAGAATTAGCACGGCAGCAATTGAGAAAACGCCAATGCAGCAGGATACGCAAAACTCACCTAGCACACATGCTCACAATCCCAACCTCCTTATCCTGTCGCTGTAGCTCCGCAAGAAGAGTAGCAGTCTGCCGAGCACCAGTCGCACCTACAGGATGACCGAGTGCAATAGCTCCACCGTTGCAATTAGTCTTGCTCATATCAATCCCTAACTCTCGAAGACAGTAAATTGACTGGCTGGCAAATGCCTCGTTCATCTCCACTAGATCGACGTCCTTGTTTTCAATTCCGAGATATTTGTATAAGTTGCGAATAGCAAAGATAGGGCCAATGCCCATTTCATCGGGAGAACAGCCTGCAATTTGAGTACCTGCAAAGCGGGCGATAGGCTTCAGGCCATGAGCATCGGCCCAGGACCGGCGAGCGAGGACAGTGCTTGATGCGCCGTCGGATATTTGAGAACTACCGTGAGATAAAACATTAGCCAAGGGCCCTCTGGATCTTGATGATGAATACTCACGAATTCCCGGCTGTGCTGAAGCCATTTTCCAGAACGGGCTTGAGAGTCGACAATTTCTCGACGGTAGCTCCATGGCGAACACCCTCATCACGCTCCACAATTTGATAAGTAATCTCATCAATACCCTCACTGACATGTCTAGCTCGAATCGGCACGATTTCAGAATTAAATCTGCCCGCCTTTTGCGCCTCACTCGCCCGCCTCTGGCTCTCCGCGGCGAACTCATCCTGCTCACGCCGGCTAATTCCGTACCGCGATGCTACATTCTCAGAGGTCTGCAACATCGGCATAAGACAGTCTCGAGCATCCTTCACAGGTGACTCTTTCATTGTTGCCGACACATCCACGGGAATTCCTCGTGTGGCATAATTCCGAGACATACTTTCCACCCCGCCGGCAAGACCGACATCGATTTGCCCCGCCAGAATCGAGTGGGAAACATGTGTGATGGCCTGGAGACTGCTTGAGCATTGACGGTTGACAGTGTGGAAGGTAGTCGAATTAGGAAATCCAGCGGCATTAAGTGCCATGCGACCGGTTTTGGCGAAGCCTAGCTCTGCCAGGACGTTGCCGATGAGGACGTCGTTAACTTGGCCAGGCTCGATGTTGGCTCGTTGGACGGCTGCTTGCATGACCTTGAAGAAATTAGACAAGAGTTATGCGTCATCTCAGATAGTCGTTTTTATCCACATACTGGCATCAAAATCTCCTCGGGATAGAGGTCCTTGAAACCACCTTTAAACGCCCGTGTGATGGGACTTCGTACTGCAGATAGAATGACCACATCGTTGGGGCTCTTCTTGAGTAACTCCCCCGCCTTTCTGCGCAGCATTTTGATGTCAACGAGAAATATCGAGTAGGAAGAAGTAGCTCACGAGTGTTTGATAATTAATTAAACTTACAGAAGTGTGGACATGGTACTGGTGCATAATGGAGAGCTCCGAGGCTGCTCCGCATGGGCGTGGGGCAATTTCCGCAACCCCTTCACGATCGTTTCGTTTCTTACGGATTTGTATTTGAGAATTCGGGTTTCTTCATGAGAAATACGTATTCTAAAGATATTCCATGCAAAATGTCTTACGTTTGACCAATTGTAAGCCTCAAATATCTGTTCCTACTGCGTTATAGGTCGCTTCCCCATCCATGATTGACGGGGTGTGGGGCAACCAGGAATACATCGAGTCGGTAAACCTGAGGAGGTGTATTGTATTTCAAGCAATCTTTCTGTTCAGACCTTCCGAATTCACACGAGACATGCATCTACCAAGTTAGAGTCTAGTAGACCCCGCACTGGGGATCACCCCTTGCCCTTCAGAACTCTCATCCTTACTACTCATCTCCCAGCCACGCCCACGATACCGCGCCGGCCAGATACCAGACTTACCAGGAGCCAAGATTCCATTGGGATCCAGACAATCTTTAATCTTCTCATTAAACTTCATCAAAGCCCCATCATTCCAGTTATACGTGCCCGCAATTTGGTCCATGAATGCCAGGTGCGTGCGATACTCGCCGTAGCCCTTCCCCGCAGCATCGTCGATCATCCCCCGCAGACAGGCCCGTGCCTTGTCCCGCATAACGGGGTCATCACGGTTGAAGACAATTTCCACGATGAGATGCATCTCGCGTAATCCCACGACAAAGGTCGGGAATATATCCAGATCGAACTCGTCGCAGCGTTTGCGTGCGATATCGAATAGCGCCGTAGCGTCTTGGCCTCGGACTGGTGAGACTGGACTGAATGCAACATGGCCTCCGTTCGGGTGCCAATTAACCCAGCGAAGCTCTTCGAGATCAGGCACGCCCGAGGCGACTCGATCGCGGACCCAGAAGTAGTCGTCGGCGGGGAGACTGGTGGGGTCGATGCGCTGGGCGCCGGGTATCTTCATGAATTCTTTGTGGATGATGTCCAGCTTGTATTTACGGATATCTTGAGGACCGTAGGTCATGCCGTAGTATAGCCATGCGCAGTCACCTTGAGCATGAGACTTTGCTGCATCGTGGATGATTTTATCTGGAACTCGTCCCTTTCCATTATAGTAGGCACTTCGTGGTTTGCCTTCCAAGGCGACTTGCATACTGATGTGGCGGAGTTGAGCGACATTTTCCAGAATCATGGCAATTCGGAGAGGGCGAATGACCTCAATCTATAAAACCAGTGAGAACTAAAGATTTGCGATGAAATAATGCAATGGTTGCCTACCAATTGAGAGAGATCTTCCTCCTTTGGGAAGGTATAGAGCTATTTCGGGGTTAGTTTCAGCAGATGGGAGCAAGAGCGAAGAATCATACATAGCTTTCATAGCCGCCAGGGTTGGGCATCAAACCAAATCCCATCTTCGTCACAATGCCCATGTTGGATTGAGAGAAAATGCCACTATGAAAATGTCAGCTATAACCCAGGGAAAACACAGTAATACTCACTCAGCAGTCGGCCCAAAACCATAAGGGAACAGCTGCCAGCTATTGTTCCCGGGCAGAGCTCCCATCCCAGTTCTAATAACTTCACCGGTAGGAAGAACAACTTCCATTCCAGAGTGCATCATCCAGTGATCACCGTAAGGAGTATAACCGACACCCCGATCCATTGCATTTCCCAGGACGGAGCCACCTCCAATATCGGGCACATCAACCCATAGATTCTTGAGACCACGGGCTTGAATCTCCTCGTACAAGGCAAAGTAAGTCACGCCTGGCTCTACCAAGCACGTACAGTCGTCAGGATTGATGTCGAGGATTCGGTTCATTCGGCGTCCGAGATCGATTACGACTGAACCACGGACTCGAGGGGCGGCGCCACCGTAGCCATCTATGAAAATGGGTTGTATGTTAGCTCTGTAATTCTGGATTGAAAGTGAGCTAAGCTCTTACAATTGCGCCCAATTGAGATTGGAGAAATGGGGATACGATGTTTGTTTGCCCAGCGAACGATTGCCTGGACTTCTTCCGTGGTACCCGGATAGACTATTGCCGATGCGACAAAGTCATCTTCCTGAGACACGTGCATTCCATCGTGGGTGTTAGGATCTGCGAGTCTGTTAGCTAGATTGACAGTCGAGATAGCCGACAAACGATACTAACTCTCCATATACCTGGTGGGATGATTGTTAGCTAACCAGGCCTGGAAAATTTACAGAAGTATCAAGCATACCACCCATCGACCAGCTTTGTCACGAGTTCCACATGCTCTTTACCCAGCTCTGCACTGAGCTCCTCGATAGCTTTGTGGAATGCATTCTCACTTATTCCCTGTGGGATAGCCACCTTGGACTTGTTGCTCGGAGACTTAGTGGTAATATTGAAGATGGCAGACTTGGCTTGCTGGGCCTTGTCAAAGAGTCGTGCTGGAATGCCATTATGTTTCTCGGACAGCAGCGGTGTTGGGGGGACAGTATTCTTGGCAGCCATTGTGAGATAGCAGAAGATTTACAGATTCTGATAAGCAGCAGTCCATTTGCCTCTGGTTTTATCTTTCTATATGGAGAGTAATTCGGGGGGAATTCCGCATGTCGTCGCTATTGTCTCAAGCCGATTGGATTAGAGGCGTAGGATTACGAGGCCATGGAAGAGAAGAATGTACATGATATCCTTGCATTGCCAGCTCATTTGTTCTTTTTTAGCTAGACGGGATTACCCCGGACAGGGATGTACTGCAGAGGCGGGACATACTACGTAGTACAGTATGTATACACTACTGTATACAGTAGTGTATAGTAGCATGCACGGGGAGCGGAGATGGTGAGGGGAAACGGCCCCGCCCGTTGATCTGCACCCCAAAAAGCCAAACTTAGGGTATGGGAGACCTGAGGCATTCAAGAATATTTTCTAGAATCTGGAGAGAACTCTTCATCTTCACTCCCTACTAGGACATTAATTATCGTAGCTCGGAATCCAACGTCAAAAGTCAACGGGCCGGGAGGATCGGGTTCGGCTATGGAGGGAACAATCCCGAATGCTTCTCGTCCGCTGCCGATGCCAGTCCCGGTGGTAAATTACCGGTAATACCAGGCCTGATTTACCAAATACCGTACGAGCAGTAAAATAAGGCCAACAAGGGAAATGAATACATTTTTGCCTTATTTCGCCTTCTTTTCACCAGCTTCAACTCTGGCCCACCAACATCAATCGGCATGCCACAGATTACGATCCTCCACATTATGAGCCCTCAGTTTCCACCCCGCATCCAATGCCCTCCCCATCATGAGAGCACATGCCCACATTCCCCAGCCCATCGCCAGCCCTGACTCCGTTCGGGAAGGGTTGTGGGGTCGGCTTCCGATGGCGGCAAAGGGCTGGGGACTGGCCGCGCTGCCAGTCCGACTTGTGGGGAATTGACTGGTGGCCACTGAGCGGTGACCTCCGGCTAAGTGTTTTTTTCGGCTCCTATGGCTCTGCTCCTAGCCGAAAGCTTCCTTGGGGAATGGGGTCAACTTTCGCGATCATGAACTCTTCTTCTTTTTCTTCTCTCTTTCTGCTGGCTCAGAAAGCACACTCATCCGTGATCTCTCAAGGCTAGTCGACACCATCATGTCGCGGTCTTTCCCTGCGGTCTCGGTGTTCCGCCCCGTCTGGCGGCGGAACTTCTCTGCTTCAACTGCTAAGAGTGCCATTGACAAGCGCGCCAGCTCCGCTGCTGATGCGATCAAGAACATGAAGGGCCCGGCCACCGTCCTGGTCGGTGGTTTCGGTTTCTCTGGTGTCCCTAACACTCTGATCAACGCTGTCCGCGATCGTCCCGATATCACGGATCTGACCGTTGTCTCGAACAATGCTGGTATGCCCGGCGCTGGTCTCGGTGAGTTTTCCCCCCCCAACATCTTCAATTGTAGTGCAATTGGAGAAATCTCGATCTGGGTGAGGGTATCTGCTAACTTGGATATCTCTCCAAAGGCCAACTCCTTGAGTCCAAGCAGATCAGCAAGATGATCGCTTCCTTCATTGGCGAGAACAAGGTGTTCGAGAAGATGTATCTCACCGGTGACCTTGCTCTGGAGCTCACTCCCCAGGGCACCATCGCTGAGAAGTGTGCTGCTGGAGCGGCTGGCGTTCCGGCTTTCTATACCCCCGCTGCTTTTGGTACTATCGGTGAGTAGCTACAGCCTGACAGCTAGACGAGGAGAAGAAACTAATCATAGCTCTATTTAGTGCAAACTGGTGAACTCCCCGTTCGTTACAACAAGGATGGCTCTGTGGCTGAGAAGTCCAAGCCTAAGGAAACCCGCGTTTTCAACGGCAAGGAATACCTTTTGGAAGAATCGATTTTTGGTGACTACGCTCTGGTTAAGGCTCACAAGGCCGACAAGCTCGGTAACTGCCAGTTCCGCAAGTCTATGAACAACTTCAACGAGGCTATGGGCAAGAACGCCAAGTTCACCATTGTCGAGGCCGATGAGATCGTCGAGGTTGGCGAGATTGACCCCGAGAACATCCACCTGCAGGGCATCTACGTCGACGCTGTCATCAAGAGCACTGAGAAGAAGCAGATCGAGAAGGTTACCTACGCTAAGGACCCCTCCGAGATGCTCGCTGCTGGCTCCGGTGATGCTACCGCCCGCCGTGAACGTATTGTCAAGCGTGCCGCCAAGGAATTCAAGGACGGCATGTACGTCAACCTTGGTATTGGTATTCCTCTGATTGCCCCGTCCTACCTCCCCGAGGGTGTCGAGGTTGTCCTGCAGGCTGAGAACGGTATTCTGGGTCTGGGTGGCTACCCCCAGCCCGGTCAGGAGGACCCCGACTTGATCAACCCCGGCAAGGAGACCGTCACCCTGGGCCGTGGTGCTTCCCTGTTCGGTTCCCACGAGAGCTTCGGTATGATTCGCGCTGGCAAGATCGATCTCACTATGCTTGGTGCCCTCCAGGTCAGTCAGTACGGCGATCTGGCCAACTTCATGCTTCCCGGTAAGGTCAAGGGTATTGGTGGTGCCATGGATCTGGTTGCCAACCCCGAGAAGACCAAGGTCGTTGTCACTATGGAGCACACCGACAAGAAGGGTAACCCCAAGATTCTGGCCGACTGCACCTTCCCCCTGACCGGCCCCCGCTGTGTCTCTACCATCATCACCGACCTCGCTGTCTTCGATGTCAGCACCACCGAGGGTCTGACCCTGATCGAGCACGCCGAGGGCGTCACCGTCGAGGAGATCCGCAGCAAGACTGCCGCTCCCTTCAAGGTCTCCGAGAACCTCAAGCCTATGCAGCTGTAAATGCATGGGAAAATATAAACCCCATTAGACTTCATGTTTTGGATACGGTGTCTGTTATTTTTGCGCATGTCAATACTCCCTGTAGATTGTGAAAATTGATCCTTTTTTTTTCTCTTCAACTTTACTTCCAGTGCTTACTGTATATTCTTCTCTCTAAAGTTAGTCTTTTACTGGGCAATCTTTGAACTCATCCATCTGTACCTTAGTACCGTAGTGCTGTCGTACCTGCGTGTTGAGTTCATGTGGGGTCGAACCCACCTACAGATCGAGCAGTGGGGCTCTCTCCACGACGAGAGTGCGGAATTTCAAATGCAAATTGGAATTTAATAAACCCTTTAAGAAACTACACATGATCAACAGGGGAGTGTACATTTCTCCATTAATCATGCATTGTTTATCGTTGTCAAGAGTTGCCTTGGTGGCAAGGGTCACCCCCCCTGTGGGAAGGCCAGGCAGCCTATGCTTCTCGCGAGGCTTAGCTACAGCTGCGAAAGTGCCAAACTCGAAAAAGCTTCCTCTAGCAGGATTCAGAGTGTTAGATATGAGTCGGGTACTGGCTGGAGTATGTGATATTCATTCTGGGAACAACAGCTACGACGACATCGCCGGTATTGCGGGATACTGATTTTGGGAACAGCCATACTGCACGCAGATTCTTGGCGATTTAGGGTATGTCTCGAATTTTTACATACTAGAGATAGAGACAGCAAGAACTAATTCATTACATCTTCAGAGCTGAAATCATTAAGATTGAACACCCCGTTCGAGGCGATGATACTCGTGCGTGGGGTCCACCTTTTGCTTCATACACAGACGGCCGCACCGGTAACGGCGAAAGTGCATACTACCTTTCGGTAATTTCGTTCTAATTAATGAAATTGCTTCAGACTAATCTGTATAAAGGTCAACCGCAACAAGAAATCCCTCGGTCTATCATTCGCACACCCCGAAGGCGTCGAAATTATCCAACAACTCGCCCGCGATTGCGACGTCCTAGTCGAAAACTACCTCCCCGGTTCTCTAAAGAAATACAACCTCGACTACGCATCCATCAGCAAAATAAACCCCCGTCTGATCTATACAAGTATCACGGGATACGGTCAAACGGGACCCTACAGCAACCGGCCAGGCTTCGATGTCATGGTCGAAGCTGAATTCGGTCTCATGCATTTGACGGGTACCCGCGATGGTCCACCAGTTAAAGTCGGTGTCGCGGTGACAGATCTGACAACAGGGCTGTACGCTTGTAATTCGATTATGGCGGCTTTGTTGGCGCGGGCGAATACGGGCGAGGGACAGCATCTTGACGTTTGTTTGAGTGATTGCCAGGTTGCGACGCTGGCTAATATGGGCGAGTCGGTGTTGATTAGTGGGAAGAAGGACTCTGGGAGATGGGGAACTGCTCACCGTAAGCCGTCCACTCTTGTCACTCTTGAAAGGGTTGAGAAACTAATATTCTCGGTGCTTGTAGCATCCGTCGTGCCGTATCAGGGATTCAAAACGGCTGATGGCGATATCTTCGTTGGTGGTGCGAATGACCGCCTCTTCGGCATTCTCTGTGAGAAAATCGGCAAACCCGAGTGGAAAACTGATGCCCGATTCGTGACCAACAATGACCGCGTGACAAACCGTGCTGAATTGGAACCCTTGATCGAAGCCGAGCTTTCGAAGCGAACTACGCGGCGATGGCAGGAAATATTTGAGGGGAGTGGTCTGCCATATGCGGCTGTGAACGACATTCAAGGGACGATGAATCACGAGCACGGTAAGAAAGTGTTATCCCGAGATTGGAGTCGAGTACACTGCTGACCATTTCTCATAGTGCAAGCTCGTGGGATGGTTCAGACAATCGACCATCCGGCTTGTGGGTCGATCAAGGTGATTAGCCCGCCAGTCAAGTATTCAAATGCAGAACCGAGTATTCGTAGTCCGCCTCCATTGTTGGGTGAACATACGGATGAGCTACTTCGGGATGTTGTCGGTTTGAGTGGAGAGCGTATTGAGAAGCTTAAGAGGAAGGGAGTTGTTGCATGATAGAAGTCAAGTGTACGATTATATGACATAGACCGAGATAGATGTTTCGAATTGATGGTCCTAGAAGAATGATTTGAATTCTCTATTGTATGTGGTATTATCAACCCACATAAGGGTACGCCCTCCATCAAATGTGGCTCTGTATAGCGCTATGAAGTATGTCGTTATATCTGTCATGATCTCCCACAAGGGTCTCGTCTCAAAAAATTGCAATCCGCTTAAATATCCATCATTGGCATTGGAGTCCAGTCATTGGTCTCTTCTGCGGGCTCTTCAGATACGCATCGATCGCACTGACAGGTAAACTTGAACGATTTACGCAGATGCTCGCGGCGCGACGTCAAGTCCGTGTGCTTGGTAAGGTCGAAGTAAGAAATACAACATTCCTGGCCTGGTAAAATGTCACGAGAGGCCGTGAAAATCATGCGGCCATCTTCATCGGGTTTATGTGTCATCTAAGGCAATCAGTCTTGAGATAAGCGTTAAAGAATGGAGGCAAGCTTGCTTACATTTGGTACACAGGAGTGGTTTGCCATTGCAGCCGTAGGATACACTGCTGCGGCAAACTGCTCCCCTCGGCCAACAAGAGGTTGTGGAGGTGGATAAATCCCCGTCTCCCTTGGATATAGGCCAAACGAGTTGGCCTCTTCCTGACAGATCAGGTGCAACACCTGGTCTGCACTTAATCCATGAGGCAGAACCGGGCCATTCTGCAGATATTTCTTCACCAACGTAGTCCAAGATCGGACCTGCTCATGAGGCCATGTATCGACAGAGCCGCATAGTGACTCGATACCAGCCCAGCCATGTTTCAAAGGCTGCGACGTTGGTAAGACATTCTCATTTTGCGGCCGCGGCTTCGTTTGCCGAGAAGCAAGCAACCGAACAATCACCCACAACATGCCGAAATCGTACTCGCCCCATTTCTTTCGAATGGGATCGGCATAGCGTTTGAGCCATGTACATTCGAAATCATGTCGAGCCTTGTCAGCATCTCTGCAAGTGCTGCTGCACCACGAAACATCAGCGATGCAGGAATTGGAACATGACAATCTGCCCGATTGACTCAGAGACCGACGATTACAGGCGGAATTGCTGCAAATGAGGTCGTCGTTTGTTGCTGGGTCGTCCACGACGGGAATTATAGCATATGGGTGGTCGATGAGGACACAGGTGCCCTTCGGGATGTGTTCCGAGGCTCGTAGCTGACGGCCTTTGACCGGGTCGACGCTTTCAATTAAATTCGGATGAATCCAATCGGACTGTGTTTTAGGGATACCGTCTATACGATTGGGTATGGGTTCTTCAAGTGTAATATATACAACCTGCGACATGGTGATGATAGTGCTTGGATGGGGGCTTGTACCAAGTGTGGTTCTACGGTGGCTTCTTTTTTTCTGCTACGGGGGCAATTATTGAGGCCATCCGGCAAAATTTTTGCTGGGAGGCAAGGCTTATCGAAGAACCACACAATCCACAGAGTCCACTTCATCCCTGAGGCTTTTGTTTGGTTGTGCTCGTCTAGTGGGGCGGTTCTTCGCCGTGTTGACTTTGGTTCAGCCAATCTCATCGCTCTCCGAGCCCTCGGGGTGAGGTTATTCCTAGCGATTGCCTCTGATTGGTGGGGTGAATCTCTCGCATAACTGCATAGAAATCAGTGTTTTCATTGGTCAGTTTGCTTATGGTGGAGCATATTGACACTCGACTGGAAATCTTCATGAACGAGCACTGGAATCTCAACATTTTATTATTACAAGTTCGGTATAGCAATCGATAATTTGAACTGTATCACATTGGTTAGAAAAAAGACTTCTTACAATCCATGAGTTTGGAAACCCTAACTCGACCATTGCCAACCTTGGGTAGTGAACCATATGCAGGGCATCGGGTAAACGCTCAAGACCGGAAATATATAATTCGAGTGAACCTTCATAGAAAAGATACCCTCTATTGGGTAGTGATCTACCTAGCCGGGAAAAACATGCACAGACTGTATGAACATCCTTAAAAGTTACGCATTTTACTCCACATTAAATGGAAGTCGAAATAATTCAAGATCTGCTATAGATACAATTTAGTCTGTTCTGGCTGGGAAATGCCGGTGATATTTGTGATGGGTTCCAATCTCGAGCCCCCCACTAATTTTCCCTGCTTCTATCTTCTAGAATTTGTTCTTACTACCATGTACCAAAATCGAAAAGCACAGCCCCTCTCTGTCTTCCCCATGTGAATCAAAATTCATCTCTTTGTCCTTACGATCAGTACCCGTAAATGACGTCATCATCGCCTTTTGAGGAGGATGAGACCCTTCTCCATTGCCCAAGCTGGGTATACTCGAATTTCTCCAACGTGCAGTAGGCAGGTCTCCTGACGCTACCAACCTAGGGTTTGTCTGACAACTTAGTTAGGTAGTGTAGCAAAAGATAGTTCTTGGTTTGCGGATGATTACAGACCTTTCGAGACCTTTCGCGACGACGACTCATTCATCAAGACCCAACTCAAGGTTATCGGGGTCGGAACTGTGAATCTGACAGTCAAATCCTAAAATAGAAGCAATATCACTTGAGCAGCTAGGCGGTCAAGGGTGGCTAGTTGTCTATCGCGAACGCGACCCCAATATCTGGCAGTGAGGTACACTATGGATGCTGGAAGGGTTGCTCGTCTAGTAGGTCATCCACGGAGTAGTATTCAAAAGTTGTGAAACCTTGAATTTTCAAGACATTTACATTCAATCATATGTAGCCAACCTTTTCTCAAACAGGAGCTCAAACGATTATACTCTCCATCAAAGAAAAATCCTGAAACCTCATGATGGTAGTCTCCCTTGCCCTCCACTGCTGTGGGAAATACAGTAGACCTTTAAGGGTCTCTCCTTCCATCTCTACTCTCTTTTCTCTCTCTCCAACCAAACTCCGAAATACCCAGAAGCTTCCCCTTTGCCCCCTGAATCAGTCTTCGGTATGCCGCTAGCAATTGAAGTGGCCGATGAGTCCCATCTTCCTTGCCCAGCTTGGGTTTGGTCAAACCTATCTAACGTCCAGTGAGTCTTAACAAAATTCGCTGTTGAAACATTATCTGACTATCCCCTAGTGTTGCGAAAGATCGATCCTGGTTCGGTAATGATTACACTCCTTTCGAGTCGTTCTTGGAAGATGGTCTCATCAAAGTCATCGGAGTTGGAACAGTCGACCTTCCTGTCAAGCTCGGCCCGGACTCACATAGTATCCTCCGTTTGGAAAACGTGCTGCACGTCCCTAACATGTTTTGCAACATTGTTGGAGATCTCACCAGGCATGGTTACGGAATGTTGGTTAACAAGTTCGTCGACGAATGGACCAATCAGACTGTAGCCCATTTAACTGTAGACCATGATCTCTGGGTGGTTGTCCTGAGTGAATTCCCGCACGGGCCTCGAGTTGGACCTTCACCATTCGAGAAATCCACATGCTATTCTATCAGCGCCACCTGGCCTGAAACTGAGCGATTGCGATTCGAGGCTCTGAAGCAGCCGCGGCCTGCCTTGCAAGACCAACCAGTTCTCAAATCTCTCACATCGGACGAGCAGGTATGGTTGGAGAAGAATTGGGCATCGATACATCGTGCTTGCAATCTCCAAAGAAGAGACTCGAAAAGAAGGCCGCATGATTCTACGAGCGCCAAGTTCCGTTAGTGAGGACTAGGGTTGTGATTTTGACTTGATCCCAGGAAGACGTATCACTTGAATGGCCAGGCGAGTGCTTAAATGTCTATCCCATCTCTGAGTTATGGACAGGGGTCGAACGGAGACGTACGTAGTCCTAGGTCAGATGGTTTCCCCAATTCCAACCTCTTTGAACGGTCCGTCGTCTTTTGTGTCTACAGTACGTAGTAGGTATTACTAGCTGGGTTTAGCATGTATGCCTTCATGTCAAGGCAACACGAGTGGAAGGCAACCAATAATTCTGCCCTAGAGAAGAAATAGTCTGTCAAGGCTTGGAGAAATGGAGCACCGCCGTATGGTTGTGCAAACAATGTAAACATATGTCATGTGATGATACGCGATAAGGATTATTACGAGGAGATTTTTTTGGCAAAGAATGTTGGGTGCAGAATTTTGAATTGAAATTTGCAAGCTATATACGGCATGTGTTTTGTTGATTCATCTCCAGCTTCTCCTCTCGCTGCAATCTGCCCCCAAACATCAAAGGGAAGAAAACAACAAGAGTCAAAGCACCTTTCAGACCTCCTCGACACCCACCAGGACCAGCCGACCGAAGTCAGACGCCGAGACCAGGTCAAGATCATCACCACTCCCTGGACTAACATGCAGACGCCGAAGCACGCGTGTCAGTCGAGGCGGGAGTCCAAATGGCTTCACTTTAGGGCATCGAGGACATAGCAGTCATCAGCAAGGGTGAAGATTCTGTGGCTCGTTTAAAGAGCTTAGAAGTGGGACGTCTACTCTAAAGTGATTCTTTGAACTGTAGGAGGAAGAGAGGTTAGCAAACGCTTCAACAGGGAGTGAAATGTCCACTGTAGGGGGGTGGGATCACATACGTAGAGTCGCTTGAAGAAGAGAAAACTTTTGCGACGAGCGACGCCTTTTATATTTGCACGGGACCCACTCGCGGGTCTCTCAGATGAGTAAGCAGGCTTCGGGTGTCGGTGGAACTTGGCTCCGGGACCGGCATATGACTGAAGGGGCTTAGTGTATTTCAGCCTAATATTTCAGGCTGACATATTCAATTTTCAAACCATCTCAGACCCTGCAATGTAGCATGCTGTCAACCGACGAACTCCGAGGCATCCGGCCCTGGCGTCTTAGAGAAGCACTTGGAATAGGGGAAGATTAGAGATACGGCGTGTTGGATAATGGGCAGGCTCTAAACAAATGAGTGGAAAATGCATTTGACCTAGAAACAACGCGCGAAACAGTAATGAACGACTAAACTGTCATCAATCCATCTCTCCCTTAACATATCTCTTCATTGTCCCTCCGAGATTCTATCCTCTTCTCAAATCAGCACACTACCACCAGCCATCTTCCAAATATCTCGTTCTTGAATGCAAACCGATGCAAATTAAGGAGAGTCCAAGCAAATCTAAATGATCATGATTGAATAATTATACCCCGTGGTGATATCCCCATTTAGACGGCCCAGCATGTGCCCTGGATCTGAGTCTGGGGAGGACCGACGTCAACGGTGGCGGGTCCAGTGACGGTGGTGACACTCTGGTCAACTCCCCTGAAAGTGCAAGAAGCACCAGAACCATCGATCTCGATATGGGAGATGCTCAGAGGATTAGCTAATGAAGTTAGTATACCCGACTCCTCAATTGATACAAGTACCATCGTCTTGGTAGCACGAGGACTTACTGATTTGCACAGCCGAGCCATCAAGAGGGAAGCTCTGCCCAAACTTGGCATCAGCAGCACCGATGAAGCTGACTGCGACCTGAGGGGTGTCACGACGCCACAGCTTCGAGCAGGTGCCAGAGACCTGGGTCTGAGGGGGCCCAACGTCGACGGTTGCGGCTCCACTGACGCTTGTGACACTGTTGTCAACACCGTTGAAAGTGCAATAGATGCCATCGGTGCTGGAGGAGATGTGTGAGATGCTCAGAGGGTTGGCTAGTAGAGTTAGCGTTGTTACATAGAGCCTATGGATACTCGTGGGCGTCAAACTTACTGATAGATACCTCAGACCCATCGAGGGGGAAGCTCTGAGAGAATTGGGCATCAGCAGCGCCGATGAAGGTGATGTCAACCTCCTCGGTACGGCGCATAGGGCTGGCGCTCGCAGCGGTAGCAAAGGCAACGGAGAGAGTGAGGACGTCGGAGAACTTCATTTTGAGTGATTGATGTTGTAAGGAGTAATAGATAGCCTTGATGGTTGAATAGCTATTGTCTTGTTGGTGTGTTTAGAATGAATGTGTATTCGAAGGAGGTTTAGAACCTTTATATACTTGAATCTTCCTCGCATTTACAGCATTACATGACAATTATAGAAACCATCAACTGTATACTGCCTCGAGATGGTCCGCCTTAACCGGAGATACGAATGGTGACGTAGATCTAGCAAGACAGTTTCGGCCTCCCCAGCCTGTAAGAAGTAGAGAAGATGGACAGCTCCAGCAGTCAGAAGGCTGAGGCTTTCCTATTCCATCTACGAATCTTGATACAAATCCGCCTGAGCCGCATTGATAATCAATTTGGGGGTCCGAACCGTTCGTATTCTCCCCGTGGTCCTGACTACAGTATGTACATACTCCTAGTTCCATGGGATAAGGGTATATTCATGTACCGTTCCACGGTCGAGCATGCTAATAATAGTCCGTAGGGCAATATTTCGGTCACGCGGGGATCTCCATCTAGTATGTAGATCGTGACTGCCAAGATACTGTCTCAGATATGACACCTTCTTCCAACAAATTCCGAAGAACCCAGAGAACATGAGACAACGCAAAAAGATGTACTATGCAATGCCGAGATCTCTCGGCTGTCGCCACTTCGGAACAAATTCAGGCGTGAGCGCGGCTGACCGTAACACGCCAGAGGCTCCGATTGGCGGTACACTCGGCGGGCCTACTTACCCGCGATTCGTTGATGTTCTTCCCCGCACAATCGATCTAATCGGTAGTTGACCTCATCAGGCCACCTCGCCCAGCCTTACATTGAGGCTGAGCGTCCCCGAATATCTATCTGATGTGCTGGCCGTAGTCCTAAGCGCGGCCACATCATCTCACATCTTGAGGGATATTCCCGACAGGTCAGAGACTTATGACGACAGCATCTGCGTAAGCTCCAAGGTCATCGATAATCTTAGAAGGGCTTACATTCAGGCAGTGATGTGGTCCCAGAAGAACCACCAGGTCGGGTTATCCTAGAGATGAAGTACGAGGGATGATATCCCGCTCTATAGAATAGTTATCTGCCTGTAAGGCCCAAGTGGCAAGGCGTGCGATGGCTACCTGGCAGTGAAAGACTTTGGTACGGTGATCTCCCAAGGTAGCGCAGGTTTCTATATTTGGAGGCCTTCGATGTCCGCTGGTAACGGGAATCTCAACTTATACAGAGGGTGATAGAATTCCCGAGTGAATACGAGGTAGTGCTTATTCTGCGGCGAGGCTGCCCACCGATCTTTATTGAATTGATAATGAACGAGGCTTTGAAAAGCACTCCCGCCGATCTTGATTCGACCTGCCATTCCTCTAATGGAGCGGCGATCTAAGCAAGTACACCGACTTTTGTAATACACTTTGTCAGCTCAGTCAGGATCGATACGGCCGAGCGGAGTGTGGTGCCTGCAATAGAGATAGCAAGGACCACACTCACAGGTCACCATATGCCCAAGCCTTCGATCAAGATATCATATTCAATGGCGCTTGACCCTGGATGGGCCTGGGGTATAGTCGTCCGAAAATTCTCGGGGCTCATCGTATTCCTCTGGCGTCAAGCGACGCAGATATCCTCCTTCCAGGAGTTCCTTGACGTTGTTGTAGGTCACGAATTGAGTACCCATACCCGGTTGCTCAAACCACGGCGCAATAGGCCCCATTCCCACAACGAAGCTTATCGTCACTTCATAAACATAATAGTTGAACGGATGATCTCCATCATAGGTAATCAGGTTGCTTGGTGGCAGTGCGCGTTGGATGAAGGGTGCACCCAGCGGTGCAAGGAACTTGCCATACTCGGAACCGAAGCGATCGACTTTCTGACCGACAGCCAGCGTGGCATTGCCTAAGATCGGGTCCCCAGAAGTGTTGATAACAAAGCCGTTGGCGGGCGGGTATTTGTATGAAGCACTAGAATCGGTCGAGCCAGCCCATTTTTCGAGGAATGTCGCGGGACACAGGCCGCCGAAGCGCTCGTAGCTTTGGAGCTCGTTGTCTAGAGGGAACTTCTTGGGTGCCTGGACAGGCCCCAAGCGTGGGTCACCACAAACATAGGTGTCATTCTGGGAGGTGATTCCGGCACAGGGATTGGGATAGCAATGGTCTGGGAATTTGTACTGCAGTGTGTTAGGGGTTTGTGTTTTGACGAGTGGATAGGCTCCGAACATACTTCTGCAGCGCTTCGGGTATTACGAGGAAGAGCAATGGAGGGCATCACCAAAGAAGTGAGCCCCACGAGTATCGTCGAAAAGTGCATTTTGAAAGCTCGTCAAGGGGAGAAAAGGCGGTTCTCACAAAGCGAGGGCTTGAAAATATTGACGAACAACTTCCTCTTCATGATTCCCGAGTGGTCGCTGGATCAACGAATTAATACTCCGACCCCAGAAATGTAACTATTGTTTTGTTTTTGTCGTTCTTGTCGCTCCCCTTGCGTTGTCGACCGTGACTGGCGGAGATGGTTACACAGAATTGCTTGGCGACGCACTCAAATTCAATAGCGTGGCTGATTCTGTTATTTTGCTGATCCCTTGGCAAAGAAGGGTCTTCAGCTCCTGCACGTCGTACTTTCTTCAGCCCACTATTGATATTGTGATGGCCATTATTTGAATAACGTGAAGAGGCAAAAAGAAGCGATGCACATACATACGCCCAATTTTTTTAATTCCGTTTTCCTCCACCTATAGCCCAGATGCATTTGAGCGCAGGGGCCCGCGGGCAGGCCGGTGGTCTTACCGACCTAGAATCATCCAAGTCAGCCTCAAACTTGCAAGTCGAGTTCGCAAATCCTGATGAATTTTCAAAGCGAAAACAAAACGTCTCCAGTTTGATATTGGAAGCAGGCACCATCCCCGTGGAGGAGGAAAAGGAGAATAATTAATCCTGAGAGACATTGGACCCGACACTGCCTATAAACACTAACAAATTATTCTAGACCGGCTAAAGGAGCAAAAGAACAAAGGTAGTGCTCAGAGAGTGGCTTGAGTCTAGTTTAAGGGCTAGATTCCTGCAAAGCCGAATATTGTTCTAGAATAAGCTTGACGACACACGACAGGAGTATGGCCGCTACCAGAGAACGTGGCATATCTCACATCATATATACGAACTCAACCCCATGCATAATCATTGCTCCATCGTGTCAGCCAAACTTTTCCAGACCGCACAGCGGTGCTTTTGATCATCGGGTACTGGCTCCATGTCTGTCGCATTAAGCTGGAACCGCATTCTCTGGCCACCCATGGTTCCCCATGGCTTCCACTCCGGAGCCGAGCTGTCACGGTATGTATTTGGGTCCAGTGAGAGTATAAAGCTGATCCAATAGTTCATAACAATAGGGACCATTGGCTTGTTATAAGTCAAGTAGGAGCAGTTATCGCATGTCCCCGCATACCCAGGACCCCAAACCGCGGGCTTCTCAGATACGTGCGGTACTCCTAATCCTACGGTCTCATAGTCTGCGTCCCAAACATTGTAACGATAGTTCCAAGTTTTGGTGGAGGAGAAGTATTTCGCGAGAGATGAAGCTATCTCGTTCCCGGGACAGGTGAATGTGGATTCTCCATAAGCCTGAGCAGCTGGGGCAAAGTACAGAGCGTGGTCTGGCATTAATGCACCTGGTGGGTAAGTCGCATTGATAAGTCGAAGGTCAGCGGATGTTAGTCGGGGATAGTTGGCCTGCATGAAGTCCAGAAACTCCGCAGAGGTAGTGGCATTGGGTGTGAAGTATGTTCCTTCGTCATTGTCATCGCCAACCATTACCGGGACTTTTGTCACTCTTCCTTGTTCGAAGAGCGTATAAAGCTCATCCGGAGCGAATGTGCCGTCGATAACAGGCAAGAAATACCACAGTGGAGTTTCGGTTGTACCAGGGAAGCGCGAAGCCACATCGGCAGACTGAAGAGTCGCTGTATCTTGGGATCGAAGGCAAGCGAGAGAGTCCTCATGGTTTCCACACCCGACACCATCCACAAATCTTTGGTATTGAAACTCGGACTCGGCGACAGTCCTGTGAGTAGGAAAGAATGGGGACTCTGCTATTGCGCCCACGAACAATTTCTCCCGCTCTCCTCCGTATGCTGTGAGGTGGTAGGCCACGGAACCACCACCTGCGGATGTTCCATGAATGACGATGTGGTCAGGATCACCTCCAAACTGGGGCTAAGTCAGTGAAGGTCTTTGATAGATACCTCAGTCTAGAAATAGTCAAAGAGGCTCAATATTACCAGATGAATGTATTGCCGCGCCCATTTCAATGCTTTTTGCTGATCAAGAAGCCCAACGTTCAGATCGCCGTTTTCTCGTATCTTTTCACTGGCCAGAAATCCGAATGAACCGACACGGTAATTCATTTGTACAAAGATCATGCTGTAATTGGACTGGGCGACGACTTCAGATCCATTGAAGTTCCTGTCTGAGTTCGCAGCATAACCCCCACCTTGAATGAAAAACCACACCGGCAGTTTCTTATGCGGTGTTGTTTTACTTGGCGCGAAGACATCGATGAACAGACAGTCTTCGTTGGTGGTGTTGCTCAGTGCTGGTCCGGACCCATTTGTCCCGATGCAGGTTGCCCCGAACTAGAATGGCGTGAGAACGTGAAATACTTCAAGGCGTGACACTCCGGCAAGGCAAATACCTCCTTTGCAGCTTGAACTCCATCCGTAACAATTGGATCTTCCGGTGCCCTAAATCGTAGGTCTCCTAAAGGTGGTGCAGCATATCGAATGCCAAGAAACTGATTAACTCCAATACCAAGAGTAGTGCCCTCATACTGAGCATAGCCCAGGTCAACAATTGGACTTTGAGATTGGCTGTTCTTGTACAGAGGGCGCCCATCCGCCGCTAGAGGAAGTATCAAAACTAGATTAGCGATAATGGTCATCCAAAGCATGGCTGATATTCTGATAGGGATTCAGGTCAACTTCTAGTCCAAGATAGAGGGAGTGCTCGGGGTATCTTTTAAAAGGACTCTCCCTTACCTTAGAAAGTGAGGGGCAAAAAGGGACCCTCGATCTAGTCTATACGGACGTACGGAAGGATTCCAGTTTAGAATGCGGGGAAAGTTGCTTAACCTACCATAACTGGAGTTGGATGCGAGTTGGGTGCTAGCTCACGGAGAAATTATGTCATGGGGCATCGTAGGGAATCTTGACTAGTATTGATTCTAGGTGCAGGTGAGAAGGATGCTTGGTTCAAGACTATGCACGGAGGAGAAAGGCCCGACCGCCTATCATACAAGAATATAGGCAGGGATCTGTATAGATGCCCCTCACGCATGAGCTTATACCGCTAGTTGTAAAAATAAAAAAAAGATGATAGCCTGTATCAATTGATGCGCATTGGTCTCTGTCGATGACTTAATCTTTCTTGTCCATATACGGTAAACAAGCCTCATAGATCTCCTGATAACCAGGGTATGTGATATTCTTTTGGAAGACCCCTTCGTCGACCATCCTGACACACTGAAGAGAGCCCGCAATGAAAAAGTCAGTATAGCTCGGGCGAGCACCGAGTACAAAAGGCCCATCGACCTTGTTTGTCCGCATCAGTTCCCCCACGGCGCGAATTCCGTCCGCTAGCGAGTTCCAACTGTTCTCTTCTTGGCTGAGAAGATCCTCAAGACGGTGTCCAAGTATGGCCTCCCGGGTGCGTCGGAAATACTCTTGGGAGCGAGGCGATAGAATATTTATCTCGCGTGGCATTACTGAGTTGCGGAAGGTCGTGCCAACAACAGCGCGTGCTTTGGCTTCAATCTCACGTCCAAGCTCTGACGTCAACGGCACTGGGGGTTCTGGGTAGGTAGCCTCGATGAATTGTGCGATGGGTGTCGAGTCCATCATGTAAGTATTACTCGGTACATGGTGGATCGCAGGAACTGTGTACTTGGACTGGGAATCTATACCACTGGAAAAGAAGTCAGGACCAGAGAAAGGAGATTTGATGCGCGACGGACGAGCGTCTGGCCTGTCTGCTCAAGGAGAAGTGTAGCCGATGTTCGCTCCAAGGAATCTAAATGAACATACAGTGCTTTCAGTGTAGGTTCAATGTCGGGAAATTCGAGGAATATGGTCTCGTAAGCGATCTGTTTATAGTTCAGCAGAAGGCGGATGCGCCACACTACCGGAGAGAAGCAGACGCTCTTGGTGCAGGCCAAGTCGTACAGCACAATCTCTGGGTCAGGTTGGGATGCCATATTTGTTTACGAGTCACGATCATAAAAGATTTGTTGAGCATGAGCTTCAATCTGATGAGTGTCCAGTGTCCTTGGGACCCTTTATGATTGAAGACGGATAGTTCTTTCATGAGTCACGCCTTCGTATTCTCCATGCCCTGCATAAGCCGGACGTCAGATTCGAAAGAGGAAATACCACGCACGAGAATAAAAGGACATGTTGCATATGCTGAACATGTTCTAGGATCCTACGGACGGTAGACTAACTGCCTATTTCTAGTTTACTGAGACTATACCCCGAATGGATTGCCCCTATGTCTCACTCTCGAAATGCCCGGAAATAATTTGGAAGTCATGGACTGAGCCCCCGCCGATCATAGAGGCGGCAAAAATAGCTGCACCCCACTAATGACGTTACAACAGACCCGGGTAGCTTTACCCCGAAGCAGTATAGCACTGGCTCATTGATCCTAAGCCCATCGGCTTCGCTCACGGACCTCTTATTATCGCTTGGGCAAAGACCCCACTGATGTTGCAGCCCACAACTCTGCACGGATTAATGGTGTGGAGTACTAGATCAAGTGGTTAATGTCAGCTTCACCGAGAGTCTCCTTTGATCCCGTGGGAGGCTCATCATCTATTCCAGACAAGGCGATTCGTTGCTCGGCGTTGCAACAGCACCGGTGTAGCAATGAGCTAGCGGTCGGAATTCGGGAAGTTTTGTTTGCCGAAGCCGCGTAGATTGAAACCTTTCTTACATGATCGAAAGTGACATAAATTGCTTTGGTGCGAAAAGAATGTCAAGTTGATGCCAACGTTGATTTAGCAACATAAGTGACAATCTGGATAGATACCATGCTCTACAGTTCTGTTGATAGTCATTGGGCACTTGTATTGATAGGACTCCGATCCCGCGACAACAACTTGAAATCCTGTTTACTAAGAAAGCCGAAAAGATTTCAGGAAAGGCCAGGGAACTATTTGTACGGTGGTAGGTTGATAGAGCCAGCGGAGTCTGACTTGTTATTGGTATGGTTGATATTGTGCCAGGAGGAATTGGTCGTCGATGTATGAGCCGCCAGGGGGAGTGAATTGAGAGAACAGCTCATCTCCATCCAGGTGGTCCCAGTCGTTGGCAAATATTCCCATAATAGTATCCAAAGGAAGTTGTGTGTTTATGTTTTCGTACCGAACATTCGGGTGGGACCCCTTGATAGCAGCAAAGAACAATTGCTCCAAACATGCCTTCGTCCTTTGGCCGACGGGACTGAATTGCGACATTTCCCGGCAAATCGTAATTCCAATCTGAACCTGATGGTACCAATTTTGGTACTCCGCATGGTCGGTAGGCTCGAGGGCCAGTGCCATCAATGGTACTAGGCAGGCCTGAAATATGAACCATATTGCATTCCAGCAGCATATTTTGTTTGGGCGCCATTCTGCTTGGATACTGAGAATAGATTCTGCTGCAATGTCCCGACATCGTGATACGATGGCTTGCTCGTTTGTAGATAGGCAATGGAATGGGGTTTGTCGCACAATGGTGTCGAGAACGAGGGGGCGATGCAAGAGGAATCGAATATTCTGGTATCTCCATTTGAGAACCACACGAGCATCTTGAAGGTCGGGGACGTTTGGATCGGGCGATCGCAAGAATGGCGGCAGGGCTTCAAACCAAGATAGCAACATGTCATCATACAACTGTATCTCATGGTCATCGAGAAGAGAATTGATAAATAGCCGGTCTTGGATGCGGTTGATAATTTTGCACAGCTGGATATTATGGATCAGAGGGGCGTGTATCGTTGGCTCGTTTGGTGACAGCTCGCCGCGCTGAGTTATCATTAGCGCTGAACTCGAAGAAGTTCAAATTGTAGGAGTGAAAACCTCACCTGATCATCAAGAATATTTTTTGGGGCATCGACCAAGCTACTAAGAGCAACCGATGGCCGACCCAGCGTTGTAGAGCCCCATGTGTCAAGCACATAAATAGCCCACCAATTTCGTCTCTTGACCTCTTCTTGGAGGCTTAATTTCCCTTCGGCATCTTCTGGTAGTTTCAGGTGTAGACCGAGGCCGCTCGCAATTCGATAGCATGCTCCAATGATGGCAGATGCCATATTTGGTCGGTTGCGAAAGTGCAAGTATTGCCCACCCATAAGCACCAGCGCTTGCAACGTCTCCAGCCTTCCACTTCCAAAGCTTTCTAGTGAGAGATATTGCTGGGCGAGGTGGTAGTATTCAAAATCCTCGTCAGAATCACCTGGTGAAGTGGCAATGCTTCCCAGAGCAAGGACCATATTCAAGAGCGCCAGCCACGACCGATCCTGGCTGCCACGGCTGGTCAAGTATTTATTCCGAAAGCTGGGCTCATGGATTATGGGAACGAATACGTGAATGGTAGCAAAATATGCGTCGATAAGGCGTTGTTCATCGCTGTAGGAGATGACTCGATAAGGAATGGTCAAAGGGATGGCAGAAGGAGAATTTTCCATTTCGCTCGGGGGAGATTTTTGCATAGTAGGCTTTCGGTCCACAAGTTGTGTAGGAAGGATGCTTGTTAGAGCTCTTATCGCTGCAGCGACCGACAAAATTCCGACAAAGGAGGATCTTCTATCTGTTGATAACGAAAGTGCGTTCACGTCGTCCTCCACAGAGTGATGATATCTTGGAGAAGTTTCATTCCATTCAAATAGGAAAGAATCTCGAAATTGTAGTTTGTAAAGCCTGTCGTTGGCCTCCACATCTGGTATGGACCTTGCCTTGAGAGGCACGGTGATATCTGGAGATGCGATCGAGGAGCTTTGATTGCTTGTCAATGGGGAACGATCCTCTTCAACATTGACAGTCTTGGCGCGGTCTAGCAAATCCGACCGCGAAAGTCCTTTGAGTGACTGCAAGGGTGTGTGAGGGAAAAGAATATTGACAATTGATTCATAGTCAGGGTTGCCAGCGTTGTTGAGAGCCTTCTGGCTTCTAGCGAAATATCAAGGTCAAACTTGTTCGGATGTCCAATTAAGCAATAACGGGACATACTTTCGACCTCGCCGTCGATACTCAGGAAATACGCATTCCACATTGCATGCTAGACAACCAGTGCAGGGTTGGGTTCCGATGCACTTGGTCTTTCGTCTCCGGCATTCCACACAAGCCTTCGCCACAATAGCACGACGTCGCTCGGATGGATTTCTTGTTGAATCATTGTGGTTAATTCCCACGAACGTGTTAAACATGATGTTTGGGCGATTTCCTGCTCAATGGTGACAATCGAACTCGTACTAGAGACAGCAATATAGAGAATCCGGGGCCCCGCGGGCAAGGAATCGGCCCTAGTAAGATGACGCCTTTCAATGCCGACTCCGGGGCAAAGCGCACTGACAACGAACTACTCAGCAAGCATCGGCTATAGCCGACGTGATTGGTGTCAAGTTGCCGATGCCTTGTCCCATGTGGACTGCGTATCGCCTACCCCTAAGCATTTGCAAGCCTCCTGATGCTGGATGATTCAATGCAACCTTCAACGCAGGCATTTGGTGTCACCATGTGCAGCTTGCAAGGATCAAAATGTTGGTCCTACGTGCACCTGAAATGCCAACAATCCTGCCCAAGGCTCTTAACTACTTATGGAACCGAGCCCTTTGCAGGAAATCGTGACTTCAAGTTCACACTGATTCTCTCTCAGTCTCTTCACCAGAGGCCTGAGTTCCAGAAAACGTGGCACGATTTTTAGGGCCATAATGAAAAGAGAAAGAACATAGCGGGGCCTATGGCCCCTGGTTTTGCCCGCTGATCAACATCCTCGCCAGAAGGAAGTTCAGAGAGTAGATCTTTAGACTTTCCGTCTCCCCGCTACCTCGATATTAATGCGGACTTTGCGGCGATATCGGGCTAATCTACTCCGATGGATTGCGACGTTGTCAATGTGGCCGAGTCCGGGGAAAGGCGGGAAAAGACTCCATGATTGGGTATGACTGGATGCCATCGTGCTTTGTGAAATTGATCCAAACTGCATTGGGTTGGGACAAGCCGATATTCCGCGTCCGAAGGTCCCGGTCACCGATCGGTAAATGGGGTTGAGGAAACCACGCTCACATCTGCCCCTCATGCTAACGACGGTCGTATGACGGGCTGGTGGTTCATAATCATTTTGTTCGTGGTACATATATAGCCTCTCTTAGCTGCCCCGCTACGACTGCTTACACTGGGAACTCACGCCCTCCATTGCTAATGCATCTAGTTCCATCTGATTCTGGTTTTGCTTACCCTGTTACCCCTTCCACCAGCGCGTGCTCAACCCGGGATGATGTCAGGACCTAGAGCTCGTCCACCTAGGTCTAACGTTGGGCACTGCTTATATCGGTTCCGGGCATGCTAGAACATAGCGTTCTAGTGTATTTAGCCTTTTTCTTAGCCTGTTCGGATAGTCTGTCCGGGCACATGTCGTAACAGATGATGTTAGATGGCATCTTGTTAGAAGAGACATTCGTTATAATGCAACAATGCAGACTTTGTGGTGACGATTTCGAGATACGTTGCTTCGCCCAGCGGGGGTAGGCAGGTGTTAGTCATGAGCGATCGTCTGGTTCTTGGGGAAGACTGTCGTGGACTCAGGGGGTATTCGCTGCACTGCAGAAGATATTACGAGGAGGAAGTGAGGCTGAGGTGATATGCTTAGGCGGTGATTAACAGCGTAAATCTCACTACGCCCTGCGGGCTGCCTATTGCGCTCCTAGGATGTTTAAGTAGTAGTGATTATTGCTCGACAATCGACATCAGTTGGAAACTTGAAATATGATCGAGGCTTCGGCTGACATTATTCTTGGCGGATGTGCAAATACCTAATTGGGTTAGCGGCGGGGTATGGGTAGGGTAAACGGAAGTGCGAAATAAGGGGTTCTATTTAGTTAGAGCCAATAATAGTCTTGTTATTAATCGTGGGATTCAGCTAGTGTATGCCAGAGTGATCCCTAGTACCAAATAATGACAATCACAGAACATAGCTTGCAATTCCAATTGGAGAGATGAACTACTCAGCAGTTCTAATCGTGGTTGAAGAGCTTAAAAGTACATATCTGGCGATAACCTCGGAGCTAACCATTATGAGGACTAGCGTATCGTTTAAATCGCACAGGGTCTCCCCTCTACGAGCTTACTACTGGTATAAAGGCCACTCCGCGCCCGCACGTGCATCCGCCTCCTTATTCCACAATCTCTGTGCCGCTAGTTGGGATTTCACAACCATGGCAAATACCCCATCCGAAGGGGAATTTGCCGCAAAGGCATGTGCCGCGTGTAGGTCTAAAAAGCGAAAATGTGACAGAGTTCTTCCAGCCTGCACGAGGTGTAAACGGTTAGTACAACCTGATTCTTTGTGGGCATATCTTGATAACATTTGATCTGTATAGCTTGCATCAGAACTGCCAGTATGATAGTGAGTCGTATCCGAAAGAATTCCCGGGACTGGTGACAGGGGGAACTCCCGAATCGCTGTAGGTGTCTTTCGGCACCCTATCTATCGGAAGGTACTTTGTTTCTCACGGCAATTTGTTAGCGCAAGCCACTTTCAACGAATTGTACCCACAGAGCAAGCCTGGACGAAATCAAGGCTAGCCTGTTCAAAGTGTAGGGTGGGGAAAAGGCAATGTAGCAGGGACTTTCCGTCCTGCGAACGCTGTGTGCGGTGAGTCAGCCAGAGCAAAGCTGCTTGCGCATCTCTAATCCAAAAGAAATGAAGAACAGGGATTGTTTGCAGATACGATGGCTGGCAACATGATAATTCGGCAGATACTGCCCTTCATTCGCTGCTGCTGCCCTCGGAGGGGTTTACAGAGCTGGTAGATGGGCATCATGCTTTTAGATCCTTCCCTGCCCATGTAGAGGCCGATCTCTCGGAAGTTTCCGATCTGCCAACTACAGGTGATATAGGATACAGAACGGAGCGCACAATGGAGGAGATAGCCCAAAAGCTCTCCTTGCAATATCAAGGAAATGAGCACAGTTTTGCTGTCACCAGACAGACACCGAGTCCCTTGATAATCGATCACAATAGCCACCTTTACCTGGACCCATTCCATACTTATCCGTCCAATCTGAGCCGTGAAACCATCTCTCGAACCTTCCATTACTGTCGGTATCCACATCCGAGAATTACAGGTACATTGCTGATAAAATACCCCAGCCATTCATGAAATGTGGCCCAGACTCTTCCCCGGTCTAAAACACAAGGGCAAGAGCTTCACTCATGAGTGGATGCAATTGGCCATGAGCTGCCCACCCCTCTTCAGCGCATGGCTCCACTCGGGTGCCGAGCATCTCCTAATGCGACAGAGATCATCTGGTCGCGCCCAGAGTCCTACGACCCGGAAAGACAGTTACGAATTGCTTCTTATGCGACAAGAAGCCATCGTAGCGTTGAAAGATGCTGTGAATGATGACCGCCCCAATACGGTCACGGATCAGATCATCATGGCTGCGTTCGCTATAGCCTTACACCCGCATGAGCGACACCAAGTGGCAGCCTCTCGAATGAGGACGGCCCCCCTCTCCAACTTGCAATGGTTGACACGGTTCACCGACATCGTGATCTTGGACGGCCACGTTCAAGGAATCCGCCATCTAGTCCAGGCTAGAGGCGGATTTGAAAAACTCGAAATGCCAGGGCTTTCGGAGGGATTGTCGACGTGAGTGACATTTGACGGAATTTCTATAGGACTCAAGCTAATACTGCTGAAGTTGGGATTTGATAACATCTAGTAAAATGCTAACAAAACCTTTCTGGCCACTGGCAACAAAACTACAGCTTGACAGTGCCGCTAAGTTCTTGGCTAAATTTGAACACACGGATGTTGCAATCGATGATTTACATTCGCTTCTCTCGTCTGAATTTTCCCAGTCAACGATGTGGGTATTCCACGCTCTTCGCGGATACAGTTCTTTGCTGGAAGGATATTCTGACGGGCGTTTCTCCGATCTCGATCTGGGCTATATTCTCGACCTACGAAACCTAATCCACTACCAAGTATTATCTCTTCCGTCTGCTATCGATGACAAAGTTGGAAGCCCTTCACATACATACGAGTCGTTCCGATTGGCGCAGACTATATACAGCCTTCTTGTCTTGTTTCCCATTCCGTTAACGACAACTCCGTACCCAGAGTTGACGCGCCTTCTGCGCCTCGAGCTGGAGCTTGTTTTTGAAGATGACTGGGCCACAATGCCAACATTATTGCTATGGATTTTGGCACTCGGTGGAATTGCGGCCTTGGGTACACCACATCGCTTGTGGTTCGTTGAGAATTTGCACATGCAGCTTGGGAACTTGGGCATCATCAGCTGGGAAGGGTTTGTGCACATAATGAGTACTTTGATATGGTTGGATAGCCCGTGCGGTATAGAGGGCCTGATCCTTTGGAAGGAAACTCAACAACATGGTCATCAGCCACTTGCCGAATACCAACCAACCCCTGGGATTGGCGTGTGATGAGTTTTATCAATACTGCTCTGTTACGTCGAAATGGACTCTGTTGTTACCTGATCGACCATCTTCGTGTCGGTCTTGAACTCAAGGGATTTGCAGTGCTCACAAAAGTATACAAATATGGTGTTTTGTTTGCTATATACACATGCATATCCCAATCCACTTGGTATGACCAGAAAGGATATCCACCCTTCCATGTTGAATAAATATCCCCAAGTCCTATTATTCATCCGTTGCCCTTGATGTGATACCACAGAGAGTGATCATGCCTTGCACACATTCTTGATACGAGTAATGGTATCCAACTTCGCATTAACAACATCACCAAATGCCCTGAGCGTGTCAGACGACATACCACGTCGAACCCCGGCAGCCTTGGATAGCGCAACAATGTCAGTGATAGCCAGAGGAGCAAGAACGAGCGAGAAGATGGCAAGTGGTGCATTTGCCGGGTCATTGACGATAGTATAAATATCCAGAGCTGCATTGCCCGTTGCACCAACCAACGAAATGATCCGACCGATGTTCGCCAGTTCAACAAAAGAACCCACAACCTCGCCAACAACGGGAATAAAGAAGAACAGCGCACTGAGAAATCCGAGGATAATTGCTTTGCGCTGTTCCTCCTGAATTTCATCCGCAATGTCTTTGATTTTCTCCATACTGTCGACAGCATCCGATATCATGAACACTGGTAATGAGATGGCGTCGGCAAGGTCGTCCCCGCTAGGTAGATACAACCAGTTGCGCATCTGTCGGAGTGCGTCATCTAGTTGTGGAGCAAGTCCATTGAGCTTATCTCGGGCATTGGAAACAATATCCTTCGGGTTAATCACGTCGCTCTTATCGTATCCAACGGGGATGGGGTAGTCATGCTCATAGTCATGGTCCCAACAGTGTTCATCAGACGGCTCACACTCCCCGTATTGTTTATCTCCAAACTTGATGTTATCCTTGTTGATACCGACGTTGGTGTATAGGTCGGTCCAGAACTGGTCCGCCTTGTCATCGCGGAGAGACCAGTATATCGCCTCATGCCAGGTGTACCCAGCCTCGGGGGCAGTCTCACCGCGGAGAGAGTAGTCAGGCGCACAGGGCTCCGTGAAATTCTGCCAGCGTGATTCAATATTTGGGCAAGGCGTGACGGTGCCTTCTCCGCCTCCAGTGTTGTGGTTGCAGTTGCTGTTCCAGCCACAGTTCCAGTCTTGACAGTATCGACACTCTGCGGTGTCCGTTAGACCTAGACCCTTGCACTTGTCGCAGCACCAGATCTCCTCGGTGATCTCGCATGTGAAATAGTCGTTGCCGTGTTTGGCCATAAAGTCATCCACCTGCTTTCCTGCACTGTTCACAACAGCCTTGGCGTAGATATCAAAACTCTGGTCGTAGTCTCCGGCCAAAAGCTGGTCATAGCGACCGAGAGCGTCATCTAGTGTCGCCTTCAACTGCGTCACGATATACAGGGAAAGGCATTCTTGAGGAATATTGTTAGCGTCTGCCTCAATGGCGTCCAGACTGTCGTAGGAAGCGTTGCAATCCGCCAGCGGAATTGCGGGCTGATCGGTTCCCTCGGTGCCGTCTGGGCCTTGATACTCATCTTCCGTGAATGCCTGCAGATCTGTCGCCCAATCAATGGTCCCTGCAAAGTTATACCCTCTGTAGACTTCCCGACGCTTGGTCTTTGTGTCGTCTGTCATGTACGCCACCCATTGCACGCCTAGATTAGATTTCCTCTCGTATCAGTCTGAGTTCTATTCATCCGCCAACAAGGTCTTGGTAGTAGCCCAAGTACATACCATCGTAAACGACAATGTCTGAATCCGATGCGTCATCATGCCAAGCTTTCACGTTGTTGGCCTCGAAGATAATCTCCTCAATCTCGGCATTGGCAATGTATCCCGGTTCTTGGGTGCAAATTCCCGGCGCAGCTGGAGAGTTGAGCCAGTCGCCCTCAAACAAGCAATATGGTTGGGTACAGCCTTCGAATGACATGAGGAATGAACGACCATAGCTTGATTCACCGACGAAAATTTTGTTCGTTGGTACACCGGCCTTGGTAACTATGTCGCGGAGCCATTAGTTACTAACCACCAAGAAGTGTGTACAACGAATTTTGTTTTGTTGCTCAATGAAACTTTACTTACTCATTGCGAGTGCATCGACAGTCTCTGTAAAGTTCACTGTTGACTTCCGGGTAAGCAGATTTGTGTGAAAAAGCCAAAGGGGGGTGTTATCTACCATGGCTGCGAAGACAATTTCCCGTAGGGCAGCCTGGATTTGTCCAGATATTACCGGCATCCCATTGACCTGTGGTAACTTTTAGTATCATCCAGAGGGACTTGAATTTTTGGAAGGGGCAAATTTAAATGAGCAGTCCTACCATGGAGATCGTATGTCATATACACAATGTAGTCCAGCTGGTTGGCCATGCTACTAATAGGAAAGTTCTTGAGATACCAATAGGATGAAGGAGCAGCAATGGACATTGTCTTTCCGCTCGGCAATTTTGATCTCACTGTGGTTAGGAACTTCAAATAATTGGGTCCATCACTGGCTTGGCCCGCTGGGGTACCAGGAATATCGGTGGCCTGGAATTTTGTCAGCTTTGCTTGAATTCACTTCTCGAGGTTTCCCCCTTCTGTAGAAAGGAGGAAAGGCACGTACTCCGGGATACTCCCAGTCAAAGTCAATACCATCAATTCCCTCGGATGTGAGGAAGTTGGCCAAATTCTGAGCAAATGTTGCTCTGTTGGCGGGCGACATGGCTTCTCGCAGGATATCGTATGTAGGCTGATCATTTGAAAAGCTCCAGCCACCAAAGGAGACCACGCGTTTGACATCCAGGGATTTGAACTGCTCCCATTGATTGTCTGGATCATCGATTACGACAGTCCAGTCATCAGTGTTGATATTGGCAAAGGACCAATGGATGTGCGTGTAGGTACCATCCGTATTGGCGTTGATCGCTCGCTGAAAGAGACAGTCTCGATCGAAATTCCACGACTCGTAGTATCCTACACGGCCATATTCAGCTGGTGGAGTGTCACTCTTCACGACAGCAGTTCCGCAACTAGATATGCATCCAGCTGTACCCGGGGGAGATGTTCCTGGATTGCCATCGGGACCGCGCTCTGGATTGCAAAAGTCTGCGGATACGCCACACTGGCCCCATATGTTACAGCATGCATTGAGAGGACATGGATTGAGATCCGCAAGATCCACTCCAGATATGGCAACGGTCCCCGGCTTGACTGGACCGCAGACAGCATTGTCAATAGGAGCTGGCATCGGCGCGGTGCCACTGCTCAGGCAAATATTGACACCAGTAAACAGGTTACTGCATCCATTCCAACCCCAGGTGGTGCCCTTGTTGTACTCTTCAAGCTTGTCAACAGTCAACCCGTACTCTGCGGCCAATGCATCGCAGTTGTCGTTATCTGTGGTGAGATATGTCGCGCAGCTTCCATCGGCATTGGGTTTGGGAGAGATATCGGGCAATGTTCCAGCCGTGCAGCACACGCGCTGGTTAGGTACCAGGTTTGAGCAAAATGTATCATCTGCAGAATTGTATATCGTGAAATCGGCACCAGAAATGCCGCAACGACTCGCAAGCGTATCGCAACCGTCGCCCGCTACAACGGTGATAGTTGTGCAGTCAGAGCGTCTATGTAATGCAGAGGAGTTTCTTTGCGAAGTAGAATGGGCCGTAGTGTTTCTGTTGGACACGAGAGGTCGCAAATCCACGGTCGACTCCCAAACCTTGACTTTGTCCCATGTGGCTGAGCTCTTAAGGCCGTCCACACATTTCCCGTGACGATTCCAAGACACCAATGCATTCTGTACGGTGGCTATGCTCCCCGTGGTGTCGATAGCAATACCGAAAACATGGTTGGCATTGCGTTTCTCGCCGCAGAGCTGTGCAATCATGGTGTCGGCGGCTCCATTGGTTGTGACCTGTTGCGACAGGGCAGTTGTGACAGACGAGAGCGATTTTCTGTCAAAGGATGAACCAACGTAAACACCTGCAACAGTTCCATTGGAGTATCCAAATAGGGTGGGTGGATCCTGACAAGGAGAGCCTTGCTCTAGATAGCCCTGGAGTTTGTCGAGAACGGCGGCAATATCGTCGAGACTCCCTGCATTGGACCCCTGTTGGCTGAACTTGAGAGAAACCGGAGTCTCCTCAGGCTGAAAGCTTTGGCAGCCCGGCTCTGTCTTGTCGCGCTTTGTGATTTTGCGGGATGCAGCCGTCTCGTTGGTAAACAGCGCATTGACGGTGTTATCCGCGTCGCTCTTGGTGCTGGCGGTGCAAGCTCGGATCTTTACCGTCGTTCCTTCAACATTGACAGGGTTGTGGATGGCCATACTGAACAGCATAGGCTGACTACAGAAGGCAAGACGCTCAACTGAAGGGTAGACAGTCCACGAATCAGGCTTGCTGTTCAAGCATGCCTGCGGACACGGGTGCAAGTCCGAGTAGTAAGTATTGGGGCTATCGATAGGAACAGCATCACCAAATTTAAGAACCGGCTTCCCATTGACGTCCTGCCCTGCCTGGGCAACCAGAAATAACGAGGCCAGAGACACAGCCGGCAAGGCCCACGACCGTAGGGAATGCCACCGCATTGAGGTTGTGCCAGTGAGGAGAGAAACAACGAAAGAAAATAAGATGGGAAGAAGAATGGCAGACACCAATTCCACTACCTAAGGATATATATATTTTTTCAGGTACCTATTGGGCTCCATTCCCATTAGATGATTATGATGCTGGATTATCATTCAGCTGGCAGAAATTAATTCTCATCATTAGTCAGGCCTAGATCAAGGCAGTACTGAATACGGTATCATCATTCGAAAACCTGCGGACTAGCGGCGGCTGTCTTGGGGACCTAATAATCATAAAAAAAGGTTGAAATAGCATTTGCATGAGTAAGATTCCCCTAGCGTACGCTACCATGATGGTTTGGAGCTGAGGACTCTTGGCGAAATCTTGTTCAGGTCATTCCGAAAAAGGCAACTTCATCTATTAAATTCAAGGATATCGCTAGAGCTAAAAGGGGGTTCAAATAGTTCACTAGCTATAATATGGATGCTACTCCACGTACCTTATCGCTCCCTTCCCATCTCCAACTCATATTCCACCCCTACACTAGGGCCCTCTTGCTGTCTCCTCACGTTTGTATCCCCTACTAAGGGTGATTGATTACGATGAAACTCATCATCACGCTCATCTGGGCAAATTTGCTGGCCGGCGTGGTGGCTTTCAAGGTCCGTGGAGCAGCAGAACGGTGAGTCTTGCCAGGCCCTCTTGCATACATACCATAGAATTTCGCCCATATGAGGATTCTAAACCATCAATCTAGTGCATTCTTCTACTCCGTGTACATTATGGAGGAACTCGCTTATCCAGATGATCTCGGTCGCATGACAATCGCCAAAAATTGTATGGGTACACGTCAGGGGCTGCGTGGACAGGCGAATCGCTGCTTTCTAAGTGAATTCATCGACTTCCTATGGTCCCCGGAGCCTGGAAAGGATGCAACGTCAAAACCCGATGCTGACCTGGTCAACTGGAAAAGCGCGAAAACAGGGGATTTGACCAAGGGAGAAATTACAACAATGACCAGCTGGATCACTCAAATATTGAATACGAAAGTCAGGGACCCCCTGACCGGTGAAATTGTCCTCAACAACCCTTCAGAGCCGTGGAACTTTAAGCTCGAGAAAATCCCAGAACCTGGTTACACGGGCTTTTTGGCAACTAAGAAGCTGTTCCCCGATGCAGAAGATTACTATGACGGAATTTCAAAAGCGGGGAAAGCTGGCTGGGACGCCAAAAAAGCCTACGCTGAAGACAAATCCCTAGAATCGGTCGATGCTAAAACAAAGACGGAGTGGGATGAATGGCCAGGTCGTGTTTCGAATGGGGCAGCGAGGGTTGCCAACTACCGAGTCCTGGATAGCGGTAAATTCAAATGCGATCAAATCGCAGAGAAGCTGCAGGCAGAATACAACAAGAAAGGAGACGTTACTAGGAGATCAGTCAGCTTATTTGGGGGCGACGGGGCTAAGGTTAAGGGAGCAGTTGACCTGGATGAAGCTACAACGGTGACAAAGTGGGCGGAGCTCACGGGGAAGGACGCATCAGAGATCAATACGAAGATCCAGGATTGGCTGGAAGAGCTCGAAACTGCACCAGGGGCTGCGGAGCACAATAAGGCACTAGAGTCGAGCAAGAAAGCCTTTGCCAAGGTGGAAACAGGTGTTTGCTGAGTGCTTGTTGTCAAACCGGTGGCATGTTATCGTTACTATACCGAAGATAAATTTGATGTTAGATTTCAGACTTAGGAGCCACGGCTTTACCGAATTGACTGTTTATCTTTTAATTATTCAAAATCCCTCATCCCTTTCTATTTCATCAATCAGTTCATACACCTTTTCCGTCAATTGATTATAGACTACGAGGACACCAATATTACCATACTGCATAGAAACTTGCGAATGAGCTCGGTTCCTACTAGCAAAGCTCTTAGCAAATCTACGGATTATTAGCTCCTTGGAATTTTCCTCAGCTGATTTCCTACCATGTTTTGTCAGAGTTGGGTGGTCTACGGGGGCTGAAAATGCCGTGCCAGTTGCTCGAGGCTGTTATTATCCATCTCACATAGTAAGGCTATGCAACCGGGACTTTTACACTAGTGCGAATGGTAGTTGATTGTAATTCCTATAAGATTTGACATCCATCTCCATTCAGATGGGGCTCTAGTCTTAGAAGTGAGGCTAAGCGATGTATTGATGACTTTCATCAAGCTGTAAGAGTCGATACGCAGTAGCTAGTGGCGGGATTAGCTCGCACTAGTTTTATATCCTTCACCCCCTCTTTATCTCCTCGTCGGATCCATAGTCTTTCTATATTGATGTTTCACTCCGACCGGTGTGTCCGGCGCCAAGAGTTTGCCAAGAACGGGCTATGTTAGTGGACCTGGGTCATTTCATCTGTGCTGTAATACATACCGTCTAACGAAGACTTCGTGGCCCTGGTGAGCGCCGTAGTTCAGCTTCCCATTTATTTCTTTCTCATCCCTCCCGTGGATGGCTTGAAAGCGGCGGATTCATTTACCCTCTTCTTATATCTTGCAGTTTAACTTCCCTTATAGGAAGGACTAGGAGGCTGTTCAGTCATGGAGGAGTCCCACTGCCATGATAGTATTCACTTGCAGAAATCAATGGCTCTTTTTATTTTTCGCCGATGGCTTTTCAGGGTGTGGGAATCTCCGCCCTATTGTTCTAGATAATATACCTTTTGTAGAATGAACGTGGCTACATCTATGAGACTTGGAGTATATAATGGAGCAGCGAGTTACATTTCAGACCCTCCAAAAGCTGGTTAGTCGTTTGCCCAACGCCTGTCACGATGTTCTTGGTCAAGCTGTTTCTGTTTGTTGCTGGGCTCAGCTCTTTGCCCTCAGTCTTAGCCAGACCCGGCAATTTCCGCCGCGATGATGTGCCCAAGTTTCCATATGATTCTAACACCACACCGTACTGTACGTGGTGGGTGGACAATGATGGGTCCACTGCCTGTCAGGATATCCCTGCTTTCTGGGCTATCTCGTTTGACGACTTCAGGCGATGGGTCAGTCTCCCCCTGCCACTCAACACTTACCCAAGATGTGAGAAATACTGATTCTGATAGAATCCGTCAATTACTGCCTCCTGTGGGGGCTTTGAGGTCGGCAAGTCGTACTGCGTAGAGGCGTATGGGGAACCTGCGCCCACGACTACTACCAACGCTATCACGACCACAACTCCAACTCCAACTACTACAAGCATAACATCTGCTACAGTAACAGTCACGACCATCACTACAGACAGCACCCCGACTGAAACCTCCATTGGCAACGACATCGCAACGCCGACTCCCACTCAGCCGGGCATGGTCTCCAACTGCAATAAATTCTACAAAGTCACAGATGATGATGGGTGTGAATCCATCGCTCTGGCCAATGGCATTACTCTGTCAGACTTCTACATTTGGAATACCCAGGTTGGCACGGACTGTTCAAGTCTCTGGACGGATTACTACGTTTGTATCGCTGTGATTGGAACCACAACCACCGTAACAACAGCCCCTATAACGACAACACCTACATCCACAAACGGCATTTCGACTCCAACCCCTATTCAGCCTGGTATGATCTCAAACTGCGACGCATTCTACTACGTGGAATCCGACGATGTGACATGCGCACAGATCGCACATGACAACGATATTAGTCTATCGCAGTTCTATACCTGGAATCCCACCGTTGGAACTGACTGCAGCAGTCTCTGGACTGATTACTATGTCTGTATATCTGTTATTGGAGTTTCGCCCACCACAACTTCAACGATGACGACCACGACCACGACAACATCTACAGGCAATGGAGTCGCAACTCCAACGCCGATTGAACCTGGAATGACAACTTCTTGCAAAACATTCCATAAAGTGGTTGCAGGAGATGAATGTGGCGTGATTGCTACTAATGCTGGTATTACGTTGGCAAATTTCATCAAATGGAATCCGCAGGTCGGAAGCGATTGCTCCGATCTTTGGTTGGATTACTATGTGTGTACTGGTGTGCTGTGAGGTCGAATGCCTGTGTACCTACCTAGCTAGCGGAAAGGGGAATGTGTGTAGAGTGCAATATGAGGGAGCTTTTTTATTTGAAACTTCGTTCATCATTTGACGACTAGTTATCATTATCGACGTAATTAATTAGACTCGTTGCAAGTGGCTCTAGGAGTGTTGCCGTTACTAGGACCCTGAACATAACCACTATAGATTACAGAGAGCTTTTCCCTCGAAGCCGAAAACGAATCTGCAAATTAGATATGAGACGGGATGACTCTAGCCCTAAATTCAGGGTTCCTGAGATTTGATGTGGTTTGACGGCGAGAAAGCACCGGCGGACCGATGGTGGGGAGGTGCGGACTAGCGGCTCCGCCACTTCGGGGTCGTACATCGGGTTACCGGCTAGTTAAGGCAGGGTCTTATCTAAGTATCCAGGGGGAGTAAGTAAAGGAACTTTCGGACCCCTAATCTCGGACCCTGAAAATCATTTCGAGCTATGAGCCGGGTTGAACCTTTACGGGTATTACTCAAACATGTCCGCTGAACTCATGTAGCCAAGCCTTTGGATCAACGTAGTACCCTATCTTGGCAAGCTTGCTAGTGCTTAGTTATATCTTGCAAATTGTCAGCGCTACCCCAAGAAGATTATATGCATATCTACTAGAGCACAGGTTGAGACGTCTTACGGTTGTCTCTCTCCTGACATGCAAAATGGATTACCTGTGGCAAGAATGAACAAACCCGGCACAGCCGGCGTGAACCCAAGTTCAATCTACTGAGTAAGGATTTCAGACCTATAGGCAATGAGAGTGGTCGAGCGAGAAGTAGAATAGCCTACGGCATGCTCATATGGATTCCAGGCCTAGGTCAAAGGGCTTATATCTACTCCCCGAAGTCAAGAATTGTCTTCCCTTCTCCCCATCCACATAAAATACCAAATCTCACATCTCTTCAACCCTTCGCTCCAATTCATCAAAGGTGTAACGATGAAACTCTCCATCTTTACCGTTGGGACCTCCGCCCTTGTCGGCCAGGCCATGGCTTTCCACGGCAGCATGGGCGCCTCCCCCTACGTCCGTGACCCAAGTGGATATTACCAGTACATCTACCTGACAGACTACACCACTGGCTCGGAGTGGGCAGGCCGACTTGACGGAGGATTTGACAATTGTGTCAATGGCGTTCAGTGCTGGGTTTCGTGAGTTTTCATTTTCATTTGATTTTTTTTTACTTGGATTCCCTACTCCAAAACGCAACGAGCTCTCTGATCATCCATACATGTGATAACTTAGCTGACCGGACTTTTTCATAAGATTCATTGAGCAAACACCTGGCGTATATAACTATGCTGCAAAAATCTGGAGAACTGAGGATGGGTGTCATAATATTGATTTCAATGGGTATCTCGACGCTCATCATGGATATTGCTGTGGCTCTTTGCCTTGTGACATCTGGGCTTGAGGTGAAGGGTGGTTTATACCCAGCTTGCTCACCCCTTAAATTATGTTTTTGCTTAAGAGACTGCAAATATTAGCATGCATCCCAAACATTAATCTCTCTTGATCGTCGAAAGTTCATGTATGATAAAGCTTCGACGGCAAAGCTCCTATTGACTAGCCCACCTTAGCATATGTTGCTAGCATCTGGTTTTCATCCAGTCTTTCAAGACAGGGGAGCAAAGTTCTTGCATAGCAGGTGTGCAGATAAAGAGTATTTATGATCCTCAGTGAACGCTGAATTTAGAGATCGCATTCACTTCCCAGGGATCACATGCACTATGGTAAATACATATGTCCCAGTGTTCTAGATGGGTTGTACTCGTATGTTAAGCCTATGGCGGCGAGAACAAGGCCTCACTCTCTGGAGGGGCTGCCTTCGGCTGTGGCTACTCAATGGTTTAATTGATCTATACCGGAAATTGATGCTAGAGGTAAGCAGGCCTAGTCTTAGAAAGGGCGAAGCAACGGAAAACACGGAGGATGCTGCTGTGGACGGGGCACTCTAATGCAAAGCATTTACCTTTTTTTAGGGACGGAACAAAATCCCCTAGCAAGTTGTTGATTTAAAAATCGTCAAGGGTTCTGATGATTTCTAAGCTGATCTCAGCTGAGGGTTGCTGACCCGGTTACTCCACCACCGCCACCAGACCACACCCTTGGCACTGAACAATTCGGCAATAGTTCAATCAAGAATGTAACAATGGGCCGTTAATGTCTTGCAATTCAGAAAATTATAAGTACTTCATCATAGCCATACAATACTAGGAATTCAGAGCGAACCTCAATCTACTGGACAGTTTCATACATTCATCCCAGCCAACATGAAGTTCCCCATCGTCCTGAGCGCCATTTCTCTTGCAGGCTATGCATCTGCTTTTTACGGTCAAATGGCCGCATCCACGTACAATATCTACGAGGGCAAGCCATTCCAGTTTATCACTCTGACCGACTACAATACTGGGTCTGTCTACCAGGGTGAATTGTGGGGAGGATTCAACGGTTGCGTCGACAATCACTGTTCAATCAAGTAGGTCTTGGCAAATAGTATGCTTTCACTCATCAAAGCTGACATCTCCAATAGCTTTGGTGAAACGAGTGACGGAAACTACCACTTCACGGCTTCCATGTGGAGGACTAATGATGGATGTCATAACATTGATTTCCAGGGTGGTTTGGATGCTCACCATGGATACTGCTGTGGATCGCTACCATGTGACTTCACTGCTTAGTTTAGAATTCTCTTGAGGGAGAAAATGGAGTACAGTAGTATGATAATATCACAGGTCTGATGGAATTTGGGTGTGATCATTATGATAGAAATCAAACAACCTCCTTGCGACTGTGTTAAGAATCGTATACTAGGTGATCCATGAAATCTGTTGAAGTCTACATTTCAGACATTGCTCGCACATTCTTATGAAACTCTATGTACATGAACTACTTCCTCATAAAGAATATGTGGAAACTCTCCAATCAGCCACCAAGGTACCTTGAAAACACAATATCGAACCCTACAACCGTTGATATAAGTCCGTCAAGACTAAATGCCAAGACGGGCTCAGTACCTAACGAGCGAGTTGTTTGGTGGTTGTTGGCTCTTCGTTACAATATGGTGGCATTCTGGTATTTTCGACAAATCACCCACTCAAACTTAGTAGCCGGCCCTAACAAGGTCCATATTAGAGCCAGCCCACCTACAGTACAGGGCAGGGTTTAGAAGGATGCACCCTTAAATTGCAGCAATCCGAAAACGAGGCTTAGTGAGAGTGGGTTACATTTGAACAGACTGTCAGACAGGGATGTAGGCGGGGATTGCCGGTAGTTTCATGTGAGTCCCCGCACTCTCAGATAATCCGACCCATCATGGCTGTCACATTCTTCTGCAGCGGAGTAAAAAGTTTCCTAAATCTTCTATTATTATTCCCACAGGTGCGACAGAGTTCGTGACAGTATTATAGACTACAGCGTGATATCCGGCCAGAGTATCAAAGTTCTATGGCCAGTTCTCGAAAAGTGGGGCACAGAATTGGGAGACAATGGTCGTTAGAAAGCAACGAGCTCTTTGCATGATGCTTGATGGAGGAATTTCACCTCAAATTCTTTTCCTTTCTAGCCTCGGTTGTAGAAGTGAGGTAACATTGTGCTCAGATCGATATTTCAGGCATATGTAAGCCTTGGAAGTCAGGGAAATAACAGAGACGGACTTTCCAACAATCTATTTCAAACGAGTCACTCAAACTCTCTGCAAGTCTAGTCACTATTATCTATCAGCAAGTTACCTCCATCGAAGATTTCCTCATCTTCCATCTCTTTACATCCACAACACACACTCACTATGCATAAACGCTTCCTGCTATGTGCCTTGGCACAAGCTACCTTAGCAACGCCAGAGTCAATACAGAAGCGCGGTGCTAGTAATCCAGTTGTTAAAGGCACTCCACAAGTAGTGGGAATCCTCGCCGACCCATCATTAAATCGCGACTCCTGTGGCTCCTCTGTGTTCGAAGGCCGCGCCCTCTGGGTTTGCAGAGATACCCAACATTACGATACGAATGGCATTCCAAATCTGCCCATCTTCACCAGCTCCGCCTCATGGACCGATCTGATCACAGGCGGCGGCTCAAATTTGATAATGTACGGCAACAATAATGACCAATCCTTCTATCCACTGGTCCCCGGCAACTGCGACGATAACCAGGCCGGAGTGTGCTCTGATGGCACTCGATATCCGCTCTGGGCGAATGCACCTCCACTAGTGACAAGCTCCGACTCTAGCAGCAGGACTGGATATACATGGATCAGCAATTACCATATCTCGGGCCTGACCAACCTCGTCGCAGACCCTTCAGTTACACTCTATCGCGTTAAGTACACCTCCGGAGCCGAAGATCTACCCCAGGCCGAAATTATCAACTCTGCTTTCTGGGCGGAAAATGAGATCCCCTATGGTAACTACGGTGGTGTTGTGCAGAGCGGTACGGCCTACCTTTGGGGACAAAGCTCGGACAAGAATGTCGCACTGGCGCGCGTCGCCCTCGGCAGCATCGAAGACTCGTCGCAATACGAGTTTTACGTCAACGGAGCCTGGACCACTACCAAGCCCGCTCTGGGCGATGATGCCGCTATCATTGGCAATGCTAGCGCGGGTGGTCAAGGGACATACTACTATTCGCAGCCCTGGCAGTCATATGTGTGGATTGGTCAAGCTGGTATTTCCGTTTCGGCAGACTTCTATATCACGACTGCACCGGCACCGGAAGGCCCCTGGATTGAACCCGTTCATTTCTACTCGGGAGTCAATGGAAATTTCTCTTTGGGGGCTTACAGCTTACAAGCTAATCCTGGTCTTTCTCCGGCGGATCAGAACGAGATATACTTGACTTATACTAAGACGGACGCGGTCGGAGATAACGTTGCGCTGTATACCACGCCTCTGATTTTAGTCCAGTGGGAAAGTTAAGATCGGAGTTATTTCAAACGAGGCAAGTAGGTTCTAATGAGGCAGTCTGATGAATGGATCTAGTTATTGTTCGCAAAATTGACTTTCAACCAACAATGAACTTGGCCCGGATCCGAGTCCGAGTCCGGATCCGAAGTATACAATTATCTCCGGATCTCGTTATGCTGAACGAATATTTAAAGATCAATGCCTCGAACTTCCTTGTCAATTAGTATCCAAAAGCAATTTCATAATTCCTCCTTGAACCTCGAGCTTCAAAGAGAAAAAGTGCAAATCAATTCTCGACATAGTGTGATCATTTCACGACCAGCGATATCATCAAACATCTCAACATGCACGCTCTGATCATCGGTGGCAGTGGCCGCACTGGCAAGCTGGTTATCAAGGAACTGTTGCGACGAGGTAAGATAGACCAATCAATATTTTAATTATTCAAAACTAACATAAAATAGGACATGAGGTCACTGCACTTGTCCGAGACCCAGCTGCAATGGAAGGACTAACCAACGTCAACACGGTCCAAGGTAAGCCAGATATCAACCTTTTCCACTGACAAGGATGTAAATACTAACCATCTCCCAGGATCACCAACCCAACTCTCCGACGTCAGAAAAGCCTTCCACACTCGCATCCCAGACGTCGTCATCGTCACCTTGAACGCCCCCCGCGCCTCTGACAGCCCATTCGCCGCGCCGATATCCCCACCACGACTAATGGCCGACAGCAACGCCAACGTGGTCACAGCCATGAAGGAATTCGGTGTTCAGAAGGTAATCATCATGCAAGCCTTTGGCGTGGGGGCGTCATGGCCAAACATGTCCTGCTTGTTGCGCGGATTGATGAGCAAGTCCAACATGAGTTATCAGTATGATGATCACAATATGACCGCCAAGGAGGTTCGAGCTAGTGGTGTCACGTATGTGATGGTTCGTCCGTCGCGGTTGGTGGAGAGTGATGTTACGGCGGTGCGTGAGTGGCCTAGCGATGGGAAGGGGGTGCCTTTGATGGGTAGTACGAGTCGCAAGAGCGTTGCTTGCTTCTTGGTAGATGCTGCTGAGGAGTCCCGGTGGGATAATACTGCGCCGGTGATTACGAACTGAATGTGTTGCGGGGAAGTTTCGAAATATTTGAGTTTGTGGAGGAGTCATTATATTGCTGAAGCCATGGAGAATCTGGGTACAATAAACTGTCATGATAAATCGGTGCTCATCACCCTGAAATAGCCCATATCCCTCGGTGCTTCCTCACCGCAGTATTCCATCGCCCAGCAGATTGTGCCTCCACGCTGCCTTTCTAATCTATGTTGATCGTAGATTCTCCAGGGTGCATTACAGTCGAGATTTCCCGTTCATATATTCCACATAAATGATCCATCATCAAATGCGAATAGATCGTCGACGAAGTTTTCGAACTCGGCGGTGGTTTGAGAGGGTAGTTGCATGGTATCCGGTATTTGGGGTTGGGACGTAGATAGGCGTTGCCCCGTGTCTTGTAATTGGGTTAGGGTCTCGGAGGACTGAACCTGTAGACTGGTGAGAAGGCGTTCTAAATCAGATGAGTGGAAGTTACCATTTGTGCCAAGTCCGGCATATCGGAAGAAAGAGATGGCTGTGTAGTCATAGAGAGTAGTTGCTGGCGGCAGGCAGTCAAAGTATTCTTCGCTCCTTGTAGCATCGAACGCTCTTTTTGCTCTTCTGACCCACGAGCGCGAACCGACTGAAGAACGACGGTAAGCAAGATGAGGTCTTTGACGTTGTTTCCTTTGTTGTGGATTCGACGCGTGAAGCTGTCTATTGTGTTTTCGATCATGCGGGTCAAGCCAGCCTTGCTGGGCGTCGGGATGCGGGAAATCCTTGACTCGGTGACATCGTTGGCAGGAGATGAAGCCGTTGGGGTTTTCATGGGTAGCCTCATATGCTCGCATACACTGAGAGCTGCCCACAAGATGTCATGCTGACAGAGCATGTGGAAAATGTCCCAGTAGGGGGTTGAGTTGGACAAATCAAGGTCAGCAAACTGAGGGTCAAAGTGATCTTGATAAGAAAGGATGGCAAGTGATGAATCAAGACAAGCCCCGCGTATCTCATGGAAAGACGGGTCATCATGGGAGATGTGGGTGATGACAGGACGGAAAAGGCAAAGGAGAGGGCGGCGAAGAAAGATGTCGAGGAGGACCTGATTCAAAACAAACGCGGGGCGCGCGCTTTCCGTGTTGTGATTTGGCTTCAGCTGGGTTGGAACATCCGAAATGTATTTCTCCAGCCTTAGGCCTTGCTTGACACGTTCACCGAGGTTGTCATGCGGGTTTGTATGTTGCACCGTCTTCATAACTCTGATCCGATGAGCCAATGAAGTAGCAAGAGTTATTTGAGCCAGAGAGTCCGTCTCTCCGCTGAGAGGGCTCGGCGAAGGTGGCTTTGAAGTCGGCTCGTCAAAGTCAACATCATGGATATTCAACGGTGTGAGAGGTCCAAAGTCCAGCTCCGGAGTCATGACCGGCATGCCGGACGTAATAGAAGCCTGCAAATCCAGTTCAATGATGGTGATCCAAAGCCGTCGACGACATTCTGCCTGGTAGAAAGACAGGTTGGTGGACTGAGACAGGTTGACATGCAACCCCATCACCATGCCAGAGCGGACCAGGGAGCCACTGGCTTTCCATAGCTCTTCCGGGGACACAAGGCGGAGTTGCTGGGAGATCAACAACAATGTTTCGACTTGCAGAGTTGCCAGACCTACCCGTTGTTTTCGGGGTAGTTTAGCTAACCAGACTTGTAGTGACTTCGTGGCATCTTTTGTCAGGTAGTCCCATGATGTTGATTCATCAAGAGTAGATGGTTGAGGATCAAAGGAGACAGCAACGGTCAAGACTGCTGTCAGAAGAGGCACAAAACTGGACGCAGACTGGTGATCAGAATCTTGCCAGAAAGAGGTGTATTGGCGAAGAAAAGAGGGAACGTGAATGACTCTGAGAGTCTTCTCGCAGTTGGTGGTGTAGACTTCCAACAGCTTGTCACAAGTTGATTTGGGAGGGAGAGAACTGAGGAGGTGTTGTAGTTCAGGGAAACTCTCTAACCCAGAGAGGGACTGAGGGGAGGTGATGGGTGCCAGGGACTTTGTCTGAAGAAATTGGACTTCTTTGGCCAGCCCCACGAGCGCGGAGTCTTCAGAGCAGTGGTTGATGAACGCTTTCGCGTCAGGAAACTTTGGACGCGCCAGTTAGTATGAAGTTCAAAGGGGAAAGTAAACAGAAAGATTTACCTGATTGAGAAGCGTGACGCGATTGTTTTGCCCGTGATAACGAGTTCGCGACCCCTTGACGACTAACGTCCCGAGAAAGGGTGCGGTGGAAAGTGTAGAGTCTGATTGAGGCCTGTCCAAAGGAGGGAAACATATGAGAAGAGGAAGTTGAGAAGAAACAAGAGGATATATAACCTACCATGAACTCTGAACAGGAGCATCTCTTATCGGGCCAAAATTGCCAGCATGTGGTCGAACGGCGAGGAGTTCCTCCAGCTTCACCACACGCTGCTGAAGATCCTCGATGATGCCGGTCCCCGGCCGCGAGTGGGGTTGTTGATCATCACCATCTCTCTCCGTGGAAAGCTGAACTCGCTTGGCCTTGGGAAGAGACTCGGTAGACTGAGGATGTTGATTGTAAGCGCACTCCGCACGACAGCCCGCTTTCCAGCAGTTCTGACATGGCGCCGCCCGGTCGCATTTCAGTTTCTTCTCCCTGCATCGGAGACAGGAGATTACTGGGCGTGGCCGCTTGCGCGAAGGCGAGATTTCCATTTTGATCTGGACTCAATGGGCTGTCGACATTTGATCCGGAAATATATGGCGTGATGAGTGAGTTCTAGAGTTGGAGGAGTGTGTTGATTGGTGAAGTCTACCACTCTCCTCCGCGACTCCAGCATCAGCAGCACTTGGCTAAACCGCCCCCAACTTCCAACTTGAATTCTCTACCCCATCGCCGTTCTTTTCTCGGCAGAGCTTAATAATTACTTCCTTTTTTGTTCACGAAGGCCCAAAAAAAAATCTATGCCCTTTTTTTAGGCTGGTGTGGTCACCTACAAGACTAGGAAGATTTTGAGATTTATGAGCAAAGGAGTAAAACGTAGCAGTACGGTCAAAACAATGTCGAATGAAGCTAATTTAAACGAGAGGATGCTTCCAAGAAGGCAACTCTATGTTGAATAGTGCCAAATAAAGAGCTAAAGAGCAGTTTCCATGTGATGTCCATGTTGGATGGCATCTAGAAACATATGATCAACTCACCTCGGGCAGAACTGGATCACCCGGCCTTGACTTTAGTAGTCATCGCCCCGACTGATGATTTCCTTGCCCGATTCGCGTAGCAGGAACGTCTACTGATGTTAGATATGAGAACACTGGCGAAGAGGGAATGGGCATACATGTTCAAACTGCGCCGAGTACGATCCTTCAATGTCCATCAAAGGCGGGTACATTTCAACCACGCCTTGCGAGACAAGGTTGTTCATCTATCATGATCGTCAGCAACTGACTCGCAAAGGACCCCAAAGTATGCTTACTCCTGCCAGATAACGCTCAACACCGAGCCTCTCGAGATATCGACGACAAAACACGAGAGTGCCGAAATTCTCGTTGATCTTCTGGTAGAGAGATCGAGCAGAGGCCAGATGCGAGGTAAATCTCTTCGGCGCGAATGGGTCTTTTCCATAGCCATAGACGCCAGGCTAGATGCCAAATAAAGCGTTAGTATTTTTTCTTGTCCAGTCCTTGGAGTGTTGCAATACGTACACCATCAATGATTGAGCCTCTGCCCGTCGAGCCAAATGTCTCACAAGCAAAGATTTCTCCTTCTTCCATCTTAGTCTGGTCTTTAGTTTTGACGAATGGAATAGACTTTCCACCGTGGATCTGATATTGCTTGATGTTGTGGCCCGAAAGGTTTCGCACGGGCTTCACGGGGTATGTCTTTCCATTGATCTCGACCTCATAGCTTTCCATCACCTCCTGGATGGCAGCGCTGACATCGCTGATTCGGACGTCGATTCCAGCATTCTAGGCATCGTTAGTTCTGTGCAGAGAGTGAAACGCAACGGTTAACAATTTCGTTGATTTACCTTGATGCCGGTGTTCGTCGACTCCTTGACGGCCGCGAGTAGGTTGTCATAGGTTGGATCGAATGACATGGTGAATGCACTATCAACAATCCAACCATTGATATGAACGCCAAAGTCAACCTTCATGACGTCGCTGGATTGGAGGACTATCTCCTTCTGACCCGGGTTAGGAGTGTAGTGCGCAACGCAGTTGTTCAGCGCTAGTCCGGTCGGGAATCCCAGGCCAGAAACGAGGCCTGCTCCGGGCGCAAGTCCATCGTTGTCAAGTAAAGCCCTCACGCCGTCATCGATGCCCTCGGCAATCTCCGTGAGGGTCTTCCCAGGGCGAGCAGTCTCCTGGGTCCACCGTCGAACCTGGCGGTGCACTTCAGCGGCCTTTCGATAATCATTCAAGAAGCTGTCATCTTCCAGATGAGTGCGACCGTTGTATCGAAGTTCTTCGGAAGTGGTGCGGGCCGTGTTGTCCACGGGTGCATAGCTCTGGATTTCACCAACCGGATACTGGCCGGAAGGGAAAAGCTCGCTCAGGGGAATCCGCGGAGGGGATGACTGCTTCAGCAACGAAGTCTTCTTCTTCGACTTCTTTCGCTTTTTGTTCTTCTTCTTGGAGGTGGCATCCAATGCAGGCTGGTCAATCAGCGATACGGTAGTAACGCCGGCCTCGTGTTCATCATCTCCGTCGTCGTCGCCGCCATCATCTCCAAGGCTACCGTCACCGTCGCGGGACAGATGCACTCCTCGTGGCTCTCCACCAGTGGCATTGGAGTTGATTGAGCTCGACGGCTCACCTGTTGAGCGTAAGCACTGATCAAAAAGCGGGGACTAGCCGGTGTGTGGCCAGGAACTACGTACTACCACCATTGCGGCCCTCATTTTCGAGTGTTTTGGAGCCCATCTCGACATGAAGGACTAGATTTCGTGATGAGTGTCGGTTGTGAGAGGAAATCGCAGTCTCACCAGACAAAATCTTCGTCGGTTGGGGTGTCGCGTGAGCCGTCAAAGGCGGTGTACTTTGTAAGGCTGCAACCTCGCCAAATGAAGCCAAAATGAGATCCGCCAATTATCGTCGACCGAGTACGACTGAGGTTTGGCTCTCACAGTTGATGCAGGAAGTGTTGAATTAGAAAGAGAAGGTTTTGAAATTGAGATTCAGTGAGGTATATCACAAAGGATCGTTTGACAAACTGTTTACTGTTGATGGATTCCCTATATATTTCATCTATCAGGTACTCCAACGGATGGTCCGGCAGATCCCTTGTCCCGACCTAAGCTCGTGCGAGGTAATAGGTTTAAATTCATACTCTACTTAAAAACAAGAGTTTAAACGGCATTGTGATAACTTCTATAACAAAAATCGAGCTAAACCTACTCTACAATCTGGCTTCTTCGGAGGGTTTCTTATAGTACTGCGCCATATCGTGCCGCAGGACCTCCAGTCCCTAATCAATAAGTTAGCTTCTATCTCGAGAAAAAGTACTCGACAACACGATTCAAACTCACCAGTGCGAGCTCCTTTGCCAACTCCGTGTCTGATTCCGCCTTGACGAGGATATTGAAGAACTCGTCATTATCACGGGCCTTCTCCGGGTCTTGATCATGTAGTCTTCGGAAGTTCTCACGGGACATGGGGTCGATAGTCTCGGTCCAAATGCGCTTCCGAACTTCGCTATATATATCCAAAATACTCTCATCTGCTAAGCCATTGTGGATACCGATTAATGAATCGAAGAGACAGCCCACATCAGCGATACCGCCCGTCAGACCAAGCCCTCCACTGTATTCAGGTTAGTCCTTCAGCTTGCCCAGAAGTAGTTGTCTCCTAGAACTCACAATGGGTTGCATAGGTGAGCTGCATCTGCCGCCAAGATAATCCTTCCGACACGGAAGCTAGGAGCGCATCTCTGTTGGAGTTTATACGGGCTTATGTTGGTGATGGTATAGTCGCCGGGCTTGGGATTTCCAGGTAGAATCTCCTCGTAGCGTTGTGGCTGGCGCGCAATATATTCTTCCCTCGTCAGTCCCGGGACATCGCCGTAGGATACTCGATATAGTCCGTCCGCGGTGATGCGTGCTGCCATGTACCAGTTCTTGGGGTGGACGATGAAGTTGCTATCCCAGTAGCCGTATTTGGTAAAGTCGTAGTATACCTAATGATGACAATTATTAGTCTTCTTTTGTCGATCTCCACGGGAGTGGGTTTCACCAACATTCGTCGCAATGATCTGCGCATTCAAGGTCTCTCCGGGATATTCAGGCCCGAATAGCTCACGACGCACGGTGCTGCTCGCTCCATCACAGCCGATAACATAGTCTGCGTCGGATCTCACGGTGCCCGTGGGGGTTTCAACATCAACCCAAGCCTTCCCTTGGTCCTGGCCAATACGCACAACGCGGTGTGACCACTTAACCGTTGCTGTAGGCTGTCTCTGGATATGCTCGTACAGAATCTTTCCCAGTTGGTCAAGTGGAAGCACCACCATGCTGTAGGGGTAATCTGCCGGAAGTACATCGTGTTTCATGCCAGCGATGAAAGTGGTATCCATTTTTCTCCATGCAAAGCTCTTGCATCGAATACCCACAGCTTTCACGTCATCCAGAACTCCAGCTCGTGCTAGTTCGTAGGTCGCAGGGGTTGCATAGTGGGCTGCGCGAGGTTGATTGTCTAGGTCCGTACCAGCATCGAGAAGTTCAACTTCAATGCCCTGTTTGGCGAGCAGAATTCCGAGGATCAGACCCGAGGGTCCAGCACCTACTATGATTACCTGAAATCCAGACAGGTTAGTCAAGGTCCGGGGTTTACAGGACTAGAAGGAGTACCTTTTTGATAGCCATCATTGGAGAGACAGATTGATGATCATGCAGGAACGTGCCAATGGTTCATTTATGAATTTGTCGAGAGATGTGGTTTGGAGCCACTGGTGCCCCTGCAGGAACCTGAGCAGTGAATTGTGAAGCCCCTCACTAAACACTCCGTCCCTCCACGCTGTGGGGCTCTCCCACTTTTTTTCGATTTCATCGGCGCACAAGCCATCTCTGTTGAACTATAATGACGGAGTTGCGGGGAAGGTAAGTGCAGCCAAGGGTCATCCTCCGCGGGGGGCATTGGGGGGAATTCCGGGGATGCGGCGAATCGCAATTCTCTCCGATGTGGATTCCTATTATATAATTATGTTCGTCCTTTAGCTGGAAGAAATTTCCCCGGGCACTTCTTTTGACCTTGGAACATATTGTAGCTCTGGTAATCAATGATTTCCTTTACCAAAGGAAACGTTGCTGGAACTTGAGAGAGGGTGCTCCATCCCAGGAGCTACTTGTCTGCGCATTGATAACTTGACCTTCTAAAATAGGAGGATAAAGTTCGATATCAGCGGTTTCAAATTCATTGTGTTCACTCGCGTTGAAATTTGGGTCTTTCTGTGCTTGTTGAGGAACGAAGGTCCGCTCTTGGGCCCTGTATAGTGCGGTTGGAGATGGAGACCATGACTCTAACCCATGAGGAGAACCAGACGCGCCTGATAACTTAACACGCTCTTCAAGGGGCCGGTCTTTCGACCCCTCAAGTGCTGAATGCTTTCTTTTACGGCCACTGGGATAGCCCGAGCGACTAGGAGAAGGTTCGTTTCTGACCACTGGGCGTGAGGGGCCAGTCGCATCCTGACCAACGCAGAATCTCTGCCATTTCCGAATATTTTCGGCCGTATTAAGAGGGAATTGTGCCCAGTCTTCAACTCCTTTTCTCTCAATCCTTGCGAGGGGCACATATCCACAAGGGCTTGTTCCGTCGAACGAAGAGTAATTTGGGAAAGCCTCCAGCAGTTGGGCGTTCGAGACTTGCGAGAGCAGTCTCAATAGCACATTCTCTGTAACTTGTAGCCTATGCTCCAAGGCTTCGATATGCCCTTTGGGAGGACCACTTTAAGACGTGTTTAGCTGTGGAATGCGGTATTCGCAGCATTGATCTCCACGTACCGTCTCAGTTGTTCTGGCCAATTGCAAGGGCGATTGTATTCCAAGCACTGTTGGCAGACTGGCCTTTTGTTTAGAAGAAAGAGATGGGTTTTAGATCATTCAATCAGATAGCAGATGAAACACCTGATAAGCTTACTTTCCCCCGCTACACTGAAGCAGGTTCAAAATAAGTCAGCCACAGCCTAAACGTGTTTTCATTGGAACAACCTGCCTTCTGCTTCCTGGAGCGACACGCATTGCATGCAGTCGTAATTCTAGAAGGCTTAACCTCCGTCTTCTTAACCATTTTTGCGTATTTGGACACCAAGTGAGTGTGGAAGTCGAAGAGTGTGAAAATGAGAAGAAACGGGTGAGGTAATCGCCTGAAAGTTCTGCCGATGGCGGGATGAACCTTCAGGCTAAGCCGAATCACGCCGAGGGCCATGGAGGATATGATATTATTTAAAGCATATGTTAAAATCAATCAGTAGCTCATATAATTGAAACTGTATTCTTTTAAAACATCTTATTCAGTCATTGCAGTTGAAATTTGATCATGACACCGTCCTATAACATTGCCTCTATTCCTGGTGACGGCATCGGCCCCGAAGTCGTGAGCGCTGCTATTCAAGTGGTTGAAAAACTAGCGAAAACATTGGGAACTTTCCAGATCGAGTTCACTCATATTCCTTGGGGAACCGCATACTATAAGGAAACCGGGCGATATGTCTCCGAAGATGCACTAGACACTCTACGCAAGTTTGATGCGGGCATCTTTGGTGCCGTGGGTGCTCCCGGTATGCTACATCATCATACTTATTTTAGAGACTTTCGCTAACCTTAAACTAGATGTTCCTGATCATATCTCCTTATGGGGTCTTCTCCTCGCTATCAGAGGCCCTCTCCAACTATACGCCAATGTCCGACCGGTGCGAACTTTCCCAGGGACCAAATGTCCACTGAACACCGCAACGGAAGGAATCGATTGGATGCTGGTGCGTGAAAACTCCGAGGGCGAGTATGCCGGCCAAGGTGGTCGCTCGCATATTGGACAGAAATGGGAGGCTGCCACTGAGGTAGCCATTTTCACTCGCGTCGGCATTGAACGAATTATGCGCTTCGCCTTCGAGACAGCCCGGTCACGGCCTCGAAAGCTACTGACGGTGGTGACGAAGAGTAACTCCATGCGCAATGGAATGGTTCTTTGGGACGAGATTGCAACTGCTGTTGCAAAGGATTACCCCGATGTAACATGGGACAAGATGTTGGTGGACGCAATGACTGTGCGAATGGTGGCCAAACCTCAGTCCATTGATACGATAGTCGGCACCAACTTGCATATGGATATCCTTTCTGATCTTGCCGCTGCTCTAGCTGGGTCAATTGGTGTTGCGCCATCAAGTAACTTGGACCCCACACGCAAGAATCCGTCGCTTTTCGAGCCTGTTCATGGTAGTGCTTTCGATATCACTGGGAAGGGAATCGCCAATCCGGTCGCTACTTTCTGGTCTGCCGCGGAGATGCTCAAGTGGATTGGTGAGAAGGATGCAGCGGGGAAGTTGATGACTTGCGTGGAAAATGTATGCGCTTCTGGTGTCTTGACGCCAGATCTCGGCGGTACATCCAACACTCAGGGAGTCGTTGACGCAGTATGTGCGGAGATTGAGCAGATCAAAGCCTGATCATATGGAACAATGGCATTTAGCTGTCAATCGACGTCTCAGGAAATAGAAAGCAAATGAATCATAGAAATGGACGATGATAAGTTGAATTCTTGCCATGTAGAAATCTTTTATCTGTTTATCTCTTTACCATAGCACTCTTATGCGTTAGGAAGTGTAAGTGAACCTACACATACTGTTACTTGGGAATCGTGTACGGTGCTAGGGGTTAGGCAAAGCCCCCTGCCTCCCCGCAGAAGTGAGCATCTGCCAGCACAGCCTCCATACCACAGTGCATCATCCTTGAAAAATTGTCAGTGTTGGAAATTTATTTGGATTAAACTTCAAAGAAGAAATACGTTCACCAGTGGTCTCCGTAAGGGGTATAACGGTATAACCAACCCCTCTCTCCAGAGTGTTACCAATGATGGATCCTCCACCCAGGTCAGGAACATATCAAATGTTTTGGGGCGTCATATACTCTGTTTCCTTCAAATATTCCGGACGGGTGATAAGTAAGACATTCTCCCTACTCATAATATCAACGGCTCTGCTGGTGAATGGCATGAAATTTGAACAGTTGGTGTTTGGTGGCAAGACAGGGGCTCGTTCAATGGATCACTATCATTAATAGGCCCATCCGATGTAGTATTCCGGTGTGCCATAATAGCTTCTTGAATGGCCAGGCTTTTGGGAAACGACATTACTCGATCTGTATTTCTTTATCTGGTAGCACTCTTGTCTTATATGATTTAAATTAAAATCCCCCCTCTCGCAAAGTTGTGGCTACTTGTAACGCATGCCTCCTTCTCAATGCTGGCTGAAAATCTATTGAAATTTGGCTGCCGCCCAAAGCGCAACCGACACTGAGAACGCTTATTATCTTTTACTTGCCACTAGTACCTCAGACTGCTAGCAAGAATACTTTGTACGGGCGAATGGATCTACGAATGTGTTAGTGGCTGCGGTCATCAGGATGGGATGGAGAAACAGTTCAGTCTCACTTTACAACCAGAAATCCGAATAATAAGAGTGAGTATTGATAGCTGTTCGCCAACTCCACTTTGGTAAGCTCCTATATGCGTAACTGGCGGGACTTTTCTCTTTTATTGTATCAAATTTATAACATTCGAGGTACTATACATTGATTCAGAGTAGTGAGAAGGATAGTCTAAGGCTTTGGCGGAATGTGGAGAGCCGTTTGCTTCCGAGCACCAGTTCTCTTTCTCCATTATTCCGTTTACTATTCTCACAGCCACCCCTCTGTCCGGACCAAATAAAATTAAAATAACTTCGTTCGAACTCATTGATGGCTGGCTCTAGTCGTCGAATGGCCTTCTGTGTAGCCTGGTCCACGTTATGCCTTGAGACCGCGTCGGCTGTTTCCTCCTTCGTTATATTTAATATAAGGCAATATAACAAAGAAAAAAAATACTTAAATAAACCGAGTGCTCCTGATAAGAAAGGTATTATTTATGATAGTATCGATTTCAATTCTTGAAGAAAACAAATTCAACGAGCGTGATCTCAACTTTAAAAACGATAATGACGATGATATCGTTGATCATAGACGGCAAGGATGTCACTAGTGACAATTACTTTCACATACATAATCCCTCAAGTGGCAAATTGGTTATTCCGTGTACTAGTGCCGGTGTTGAAGAAGCTACTCAAGCAGTGGAAGCTGCAAAGGCCGCCTTCCTAGCATGGTCAAACACAAAGCCTTGTGATCGACGGGATATTCTGCTCCAAGCAGCCGAAATCATGCTTTCCCGAAAGGAGGAACTGATTCGCTATCAGATGGACGATGCCGGGGCTGGAAGATTGTTTGCCGAAAAGAATCTCTTGCTCGCGGTCAAGTTTATCAAAGACTTTGCAGGCAAGATCACTTCCATTGAAGGGGTTGTACCGTCTGAATCTGTGCCTGGAGAGGGAGCAATGATCATTAAGCAGCCCTACGGCGTAGTCTTGAGCATTGCCCCTTAGTAAGGGCTTGCCAATCTTGGACCAAGAGAAGTGCATAAGCTGACTGTGTTATGGTAGGAACGCACCCTACATCCTCGGTACCCGATCTATCCTTCTGCCTTTGGGTGCTGGAAACACTACAATTCTGAAGGGCTCGGAGCTTGCCCCTCGATGCTTCTGGGCAATTGGAGATGTGTTTCGCCAAGCTGGGCTCCCAGCCGGCTGTTTGAACGTGCTTTATCATCGGACCTCGGACGCAGCTGAGGTAACCCATGCACTTATTGCGCATCCTGCGGTACGGAAGATTACCTTTACTGGTAGTACTTTAGTGGACTCTATTATTGCCGCTACTGCTGGAAAATATACAAAGCCGGTACTGCTGGAACTGGGGGGTAAGGCATCGGCAATTGTTCTCAATGATGCCAATCTTGAGACTGCCGTTGCAGGTATCAAAATGGGGGCGTTCCTTAATGTAAGCACTTTGCGTTTCGAATTGAAAACATATTCTGATCGAACTTAGTCAGGTCAAATCTGCATGTCCACCGAACGGATTGTGGTTCAGCGTGCTGTTGTCGAGGATTTCCGCAAAGTCCTTTTCAAGTGTCGCGAGATCGATTACGGAAAGGACTCGGTCCCTCTTGTGCTGGCACAAGAAGCCGCAGCCGAGAAGAACCGCAGACTCGTTCAGACGCCATCTCCAAAGGAGCGAACATCTTTTTCGGTAAACTTCAGGAGGGAGGTGGTGCCACGATGAAGCCCCTGGTAGTTGAGGGTGTGACAAAGGATATGGATCTTTATTGGACAGAGTCGTTTGGTCCGACAGTCTCTTTAATCGTCGTGGATACGGAGGAGGAGGCAATCGAAGTCGCTAACGATACCGAGTACGGTCTCACTTCGGCGATTTTCACTCGTGATCTGCTTCGTGGCATTCAAGTTGGGAGGCGTATTGAAAGCGGGTATGTGTCTCTATACTCTTTTCAAAGTATTTACTTATGGTGTGGTAGTGCCGTGCATATCAACACTCTTACGGTTCGTGATGAGCCGGTCTATCCTCACGGTGGCTGGAAGAGCAGCGGATTTGGCCGATTCGGAGGAAATTCGGCTTATGACGAGTTTTTGCAATTCAAAACTATCACTTGGTCGGAGAAGAGGTGAGAATTTCTAAGGAAAAAGAACGTCATGGGTGATGGGTATCAATCGCTCTTGCAACTTTAGTCTCCAATGTATCTTAAGCTCAAAGTTTTGCAACAGCAAGTTTGCTTGTCTAAGTTGACTCTCTAGATGACTAAAATTTCGCCATCCTGTTATAGGCCCTGGCGTAGCTCTCTAGGCCTCTCGGCCACTGGCCACCTCTCGTCGATAGTCAGGAGGTTCTACCGCACTAGTATCCTTTTCTCTATGTCTGCTACTGGCAAAGCAAAATAGCAAATCCCCGCATATGAGACATGGCAACATCCCTGATTGTCTACGTGAGTGCCCTGAGTGAAGGGTGAGCAGACAACTAAGCAACTGCTAGTGCCCAGGGAGCATACGGAAACACTTTAATGGGCCGAAACAGATCACAGGTGAGTTCGATGGCTATGATTCTAGTACAAAGGACTCTTGAAATGACTTCAAGAGTAACCATTTTGGACGCCCAATTTACCTTTACCTAGCATTGTGGTGTAACCTTGTCGGTTCTTTCATGATATCTTTGCCGACCCCCCCCCCCAAAGTTCTGATAGAATGGCCTTTATGAGGAAAATCAGTTTTTACCCGCACAAAGAAGCTATAATTTGTCTTAGGATGGAGTATTATTTAAATTAGATCGAACCCGGCCGTAATCTGTCAGTGACTATTTCAGGAATTTGGTCACATTCAATACCGCTTGATATTCGTTTTAAATTTGCCATCGTTGAATTTTGAATAATCTGGCCTCTACAATAACTCAAATGTCTGAGTACTCTGGTAGTCTTGGAGAGGCTGTGATCCAAAGAAGCCCCGGTGGCTATGATGAGAACCTTGATGATCTTGGCGTGGGAAATCAACTCAACGAACTGGGATTCAGCGGCAGCGAAGACAAGGGTAGTAGCGATATGGAAGCCCTACGCGGCAGTGGCATCGACAGGAACTGTAGTGACAGCCAGTTGAGCGACACGGCCATTGTAGAGACGGGAAGTTACATGGATAAATCTTACGACGAGCAAGATCCTTACCAACATGAACCGTGCCAATACAATGAAGTGGAAGCCATGGCGGTGGCAAGGGAGATGGAAAGAAAAGTTGACGCACGAGACAGACAAGAACTTCACCAAGGACCGAACGTGCGCTGGGTGAATGTCAGATTCTCGGAGCATGAAGGCCACCTGACCGGGTACAGACTTCTCCTCAAAATGAAGTCTGCCATACAGAGCCAGGAGGCTACTATCACCATGGAGCCGCAGTGTGCTGGTGGGCCTTTCTGGGTCTCTATTGAGGTTGTTGGTCTCACAGAGAATGAACGGGCAAGTTATGGCGGCTTTGGGTCCCGAGGGGCTCTATTAAGCGCGGCTAAGGATATTGTCGTCGCGTGGTTGGGCCGCGTACATGACGAGGGGTTGCCTTTTGAGAAGGATGTTGTTTTTCGCAAGGTTCATGGTCAGGAGTCGACTCTACGTCTGAATTCACCCCCGAAGAAATCTCCGCCGAAACATGTTCAGTGGGAGGCACTGGTTGAACGGAATGGGGATTGAAGAAGGATAGAATTGCGCGAAGCTTTTAATTTCCCATTTGTTTGTTTTCGTCCTTTCAGTTTTCGTACTTTCACCCTTATCTCGTATCAATCAAGGAGAGCTTTCCATCAGATAAGGCAAAGAATCAACAGTCAAGGTTCCTCTAGAAACCGGGATACTGTTGCCCAATCATATCAAGTATCGAGTCGAAATTTGACCCTCCAAATAGATCTCCCATGTTTAGATCAAAGCTGGACCCCCCAGCCAGGTAATTTGTGTCCATATTCTGGAATTCCAGAATCTGCGAAGATGGTATATCGGTGGGTGCTGCATCTCCATAGAAGTTTGTTGGTTGCTCGTTGATGACCGGAGCCGGAGGAATCCCAGGTCCTCCCCGGTCATGAATTGAGGTTTGAGGATTTTCACAAACGGTAGTATAGGTCTGTTCAGTTCGAGATCTATATTCACCACCGCTTCTCATAGTTGCTTGTTCATGCAGGTTCGACGGCCCCAATGAGTCTTTTGCTCTTTCCATATTTCTGAGAGCATAAGAATGCGAGCTCACTGCGGAATCTGGGTCGTCTTCCATTTGCTTAATCTTTGTAGACAGCATTGACAAGGTCATATGACAGTGCCTTGCAGTTTCCCACTGAGAAGACATCCTGCGCAAAAGGTTCGAACACTCTTCAATCTCCCTGTGAGATGTTAGCAAATCCAGTCGCATGATCCGTGTAGGTTAGTGAGGAAGGATCTTACTGTAGTCCCTTCCCCAAAACGTATTGTTTGAGCTGGCAGGCGAAAGCCAAGACAAGCCCAGACATCCAAGCAGCCGACAAGAATCCCGGCCAGAAAAAGGCTTGCTGGCTGTCCACCTGAAGCCTTAAGGCAGCCAGAATCGCGCGGGCTGCGCCAATGCACGTCTGCAGCCCAGAAGAAAACTCCGCACTTAAAGGATCCAATGAGAGTGAAGGTCGATTGATTATCAAGACCAGGTGTTGATATAAAATTGTGAAGAATGGTCCAAAATCAAAGGGACTGTCGGCAAGCGGCATCTGGGAATCATTATCGGCACCGGCTGATTTCCTTTGAAGCTCGACAGGGAGGCTGTTCCACCACTTGTGGACATCTGTCACTAGAAACAGCACTGCGCTCCGGGAGACGGAGCGAACAAGAATAGATTTGTGGAATAATTCCAGAGCTCGCCCGGTCAGTGTACCAGAGTCCACATAACTGGCCAGAACACCCTCCTTTTTGCGGTGTTCTTCAATGTGGCTCTCCCGACGGGCGGCACTCGCTGAACGAGGGCGGCCTGGGGTGACACTCTCCTCGGTAGGATTTTCAGCTCCCTGGTCCGCGTTCCCAGTCCCCTCTACTGATTTGGAAGTGGATAATATCGCATTTGAACTTCTGACTCGCGGGGGAGAGTGCAATTCTGGTGCAGCCGGCAAACAGACATCAATGTCAGAGTCCTGGATACCTAGCGGCAAGCCAAGTGCTTGGCTCAGATATCTATCGATAGCATATGCGCACCAGAAGATTCTCTTCCGTAATTGCCGATCATGCGACGAGAGCTGAGCATACCGGAACGGACAACGATGCAATCCAGCGTGAAGCATCGACCGCAAAATACACCCGCCAAATGTCGAAGCCGGCCTCAGTGACATTTTTGCAACAAGGAAGACCTGGGCAGCAAGCAGCGCTTGGAGGGAGGCAATGTCATGCCGCGTTGAAAGGCTGCCCAGTAAAGCAGTCATGCTGGCAGGGGACTGAATTTGGCATTCTAGTGGCACCTCCAGATCAGGACGAAGTAGGGCTCCAAGATTGAAGATACATTGAAATATCACCGTCCAACAGGCACCTCGGTGGTCCGGGGTGGCTTCCTCGCCTGTCGCCGTTTCCGATGTGTGTGAATATAGCCTCTCCATAGCCTGCAGGAAGGTGGGCCCATGCAAGAACGGGAAGAGGGGATGCCAGACTTTGAAGTAGGCCATCATCAGCTCCTTTCCCAGTTCCAATGGCGGCGCATTGCCCAGATAGGCTGCCACTTGCGGGTCATACTTCCATTGCAAGGGCGAGTCTCCAGCTCCAGGCGAGGAAATGGAATCTGCGCTGGAAGCTGCGAGGCGCGGTCTCTTCTGCCGGGGCGAGTCATCTACACCGACTAACGTATCTTCTGCTGTCGGGAACTCTGTCTCTGGGGACCCTGATCCATCGAGACCGGTTGAGAAGGCCCTTTTCACCGTGTTGATGAAGTAGACCCCGCTAGAACTGCCGACAAATTGACTGTCCTCGTTGGAATGTGCTGTCAGGGAGCCAATCTCTGAAGTGCCGGGTAAATACTCTGGACGCTCCATTCTGGAAATGGCATGGCGATATCGTGGATTCACCGTCAAGCAGTTGCCGTCTGGCTCAGCACTTTGCCCAATGACTCGATGAAAGTCGACGTATAAAGTCCTCGGCCATTCTTAAAGTCCTATTCCCGCCCATGGAAGAACGGCCCCAAGGGATGATGAGTCATCAGGTTGAGCCCTGAAACCTCACCCGCCTTAAGAGTGAGTACTGAACAATATCAGTGGATGGTGAAGTATTGACTGACTACATTCTTAGAAGGAACGTTTGATGCTTGCTTGAGAGTAATGAAGATGATTGAAAAAGCAAAAAGACTTTTACCTAGCCGTCCCGTGCTTTGGACGAGTGCCACACTCTCGAACCCAAGCGCAGCAACGAGGACGAGACAAAAGCCCTTCCGTGAGGAAGTAGAACTCTATGTTACACTCATAGGGGGGATAAAGGGGTGAAATACGAGGCGGAATTGAAATGAATCAACAGGTCGAATGATAGGGGAAATGTCACAACTCCCTCCCACAAGCCATAAACCGAACGAACAGAAAAGAAGAGAAAGAGAAATAAAGAAGTCTGCATCCAGCGCCGAGAACTGAAAAATATCAACTTTTACCGAACCCCCAAATACAAACGCTGCTTCCCCTTGAACCACCAATTCCAGGCGAAGGGGACAGATAAAATGGGAGGATCCACGGTGTGTGGGGAGAGTGTACGATAAAGTTGAGAGGGAGAGAAGGAGAAAAAAAAAAATTAAAATCGAATGTCGTGCCGCGTTCACTAAACACCAGTAGGTGCCACTGCCTAAGACAGAACTTTTCAAACCGAGGGATATCAGGATTCGGAAGGGGAAGAGCAAGAGATAGGGGGTGGTCAATGGTAGAAAGGAAAAAAAAAAAAAAAAAAGAAATTGTCATCAAAGCGTGCGTCCAAAGTTTTCCGAGCGGTGCAGAGAGCAAAATCAAGCCGGGGCCTTCAGTCACGTCTGCGAGGCATTCAGCAGTCGAGACACGTCGCTTAAGACTTGTTCTCCTCCGAGGAAGCCTCCTTGGCGGCCTCCTGGGGCTTGGCCTCGCTGGCCGCCTCACCATCGGTACCCTTGTTCTTCATGTACTCATCATAGACATTGAGAGCCTCGTCGACCTTAGCGCGCAGGGCCTCTTCGTCATCGAGCCTGTAGAAGAAAAGAGATGAATTAGTATGCGATTTCCCCAATCGTCAGGGAGTGGAGGAGAAAAACTTACAGTCCAAGGAGCTCGGTGTTGTCCATCTCCAAGAGCATACCAGTGATCTTGCCGGCAAGCTCGGGCTGCTGAGCCTGGATCTTGGGGTAGAGAGCCTCACCCAGCATCTGCTTCTGCTGAGCAGGGGGGCGGAGGTAAGAGCCTGGGAGCTCAGGCCGGTAGCGGGAGCGGCCTCGTCACGACCGGGCTGACCGGCGGGGGCGGGCTGGCCACGGCCCTGGCCACGACCCATCTGGCCGGGGGGACCACGGAAACCACCGCGCATGCCCTGACCCATAGGTCCAGGAACCTGACCACGGCCACCAGCACCACGACCGAACTGAGGCTGCATGGGGTAGCCCATACCGTTGGGCATACCGCCGGGGACCTGCATACCCATGGGCATGCCCTGGAAGTTACCGGGAATCTGCTGGTTGGGGCCCATGCCACGGCCGCCCTGCTGACCGGGGAAGGGACCGGGGTACTGGCCGGGGCGTCCACCAGGGATACCAGCCATGACCATACCGGGCTGGGGAGGGAAAGGCATACCACCACGCTGGCCTCCGGGGATGAAGCCCTGCTGGCCGGGAGGGTAGAAGACGGCGGGCTGCATGTAAGGCTGGGGCATACCGGCAGCGGCAGCGGCCTGCTGCTGGCGAATGGTGTTGCGGGCCTGGATGCTAGCCTCGAGCTGGCTGCGACGGACATCCTTGCGCTGGGCGAGAGCGACGTAGAGGGGCTTGCCGTTGACCATGCGCTGGTTCATCTCGGTAACAGCCTTGGAGGCCTCATCGGGGCTGGAGAAGCAGACGAAACCGAAGCCCTTGCTCTTGCCAAGGAGCTTCTTCTCGCCCTTCTCAGTCTCCTGCTCCTGCTCGCCCTCCTTCTCCTCACCCTCCTTCGTCTCCTCCTGCTCTTCCTTCTTCTCTTCCTCCTTCTCCTCGGTCTTCTCGCCCTCCTCCTTGGCCTCACCCTCCTTCTCAGAGTCGGGGGAGGGGGTACGGTCGGAGACGGAGTCGCGCATAACCTTGGCGGAGGTGATAGTGCCGTAAGAGCTGAAGAGCTCACGGAGCTTCTCGTCATCGACGTCATCAGTCAGGTTCTTAACGTACAGGTTGACGCCCTGGTACTTGGAGGCCTTCTCCAGACGAGCAGCCTCGTACTGCTTGCGGAGCTCCTCCTCACGCTCGTGCTTCTTCTGGGCACGGCCAACGTAGAGCTTCTGAGACTTGATGTCCTTCTCGTTCATCTCGTCAACGGCGGCCTGCGCGCTCTCGTGGGTGGAGTAGTTGACGAAACCGAAGCCACGGCTCTTGCCCTCCTGGTCGTGGCTGAGGGTGGCAGAGGTGATCTCACCGAACTTCTCGAACATGACGCGGAACTCCTCATCGGAGATCTCCTGGTCGAGGTTCTTGACGTAGATGTTGGTGAAGTTAGCCTTCATCTCCTCGAACTTGCTCTGGCGGTCCTTCTTGGAGATGTGGTGGCCGACGAAGACCTTCTTGTCGTTCAACAGCATGCCGTTAACATGCTTGATGGCGTTGTTGGCGGCCTCGGCGGTCTCGTAGTGGACGAAACCGTAGCCCTTGGAGTTACCGAACTCATCCTGAGCGACCTTGCAGCTCAGAATATTGCCGAAGGCAGCAAAGGTGTCGTGCAGGGCCTTGTTGTCAATGGCGTTGTCCAGGTTCTTGATGAAAACGTTGCCCTGGCCAGTCTTGCGCAGAGCGGGGTCACGCTGGGACCACATGATACGGCAGGGCTTGCCCTTGATGAGGGTGTAGTTCAGATCCTCGAGGGCGCGCTCACCATCAGCGGTGTTGTTGTAGTTGACGTAGGCATAGCCCAGGGAGCGGCGGGTGACGGCATCACGGCAGACACGGATGGAAGCGACCTGGCCGATGGAGGAGAAGAGCTCGTAGAGCATAGCCTCGGTCACGGAGGGGTCGAGCTCGCCGACATAGAGGGAAGCCGAGTGGGGCTGGTTGTTGGCAGCAGCGCCCTCAGCGGGGGTCTCGGGGGCAGCAGCGACTTCCTGAGCGCCAGTGGCCTCGGGGGTGCCGTTGACGGGGGCCTCAGCGGCGGGGGGTTGGTGGCAGTCTCAGCAGACATTTTGAATTTTTTCTTTTCTGTGTTTACTGTAAGAGATTAGCATAGACTCGCCAAGTTTTGGCTGTGGAAAGAGTTGAGAGAGGAAGATTCCACGATGTTACACCGCAGGCCATGCAGTCTCTTTGGCAAAAAAAAGAAAAAGACCATTGCGTGGATCCATGGATGAAGAGTGAGAGGTCAAGGGCAGCAGTGTCAAAGGGAATGTGGCTGTTGCCATACACAGGGTAGTGCTTCCGCGAAACAAAGGGCTGTTCTGAGGTATCGCACCAATGCGAGCGGGGTGGTGGGCAGGCTCAATGACGAGGTGCAGCAAGGGAGACAAGCCACTGAAAGCCAACGGAGTACGAGTGTGAATGGGAGGGCAAGTGAAGTGGGTGGTATCAAGTGTAGAAAAAGATTGGAGGGGGGGGGCGTTGACCAACCTTAGTGGAAGGAGAGAGGCGGATGAATGAAAATCTTCCACACACCGCACAATGGAGAGGGGGTGAGATAAGATAAATGGGTTGGGTTTTTTTCGAGGGGGTTTTCTGGTTTTTTTTGGGGATTTTTTTTAGGCTTTCGAGAAGAGGTCGAAAGGAAAAAAGGATTCCCTAAGAAAGAGAGAGGGGTTGTAGGAGATCGAGGGATGAAGAAAGGAAAAAAAAGTCGACCCGCGAAGAAGGCGTTCTGGAAAACTCAGAGTAAAGAGAGAGGGAACGCGCTAGTCCTAATGAAGTAGGCGGTGATGCCTGAGTGAAGGGCTTGCCGCTGGATAGTCACGGGACGAAGTATGAAAAGGCTGACTTAGGGAAGGATGGAGAGAAAAGGGCCAAAGGGTGGCAAATAAATAGTAGAGAGAAAATGGAAATTGCTCAAGGTACAATCAAACGGCAAGTACCATCGATGTTGCCTTGGAGAAACTAGGGAACATGAATAGAGGATGCCCCAGGCGACAATTAGGCTTCCAACCCTCCAGGGCTGCCCACGAGGCAGACGTAATTCGACTACCAGAACTACTAGAAGGTATTTCTCACACTACAGCTCCACGCAACCATGAATACCAATTAACAGCCTTTCATTTGCTCAACGCCAATGCTATGCATACACGAATCACGGGCAGTTGAGAACTGTGTACATACAGAAGGTTAAAGAAAGAGACACAAAGGAAACACTAAAGTCGGATAGTGGACATTGAGAGCGTGAATGAATACCATCAACTTAAATCAAACCCAGCCCCGGAGCTCACTGCATACAGTAGCTTGCTCCGTAGTGTCTCAGCATTGGCGTAGCGGGGCAGCTTCAGCAGGTTGACACAAGTGCTCGTACTCGGAAGTCGTTCCTGGTCCTCGCTGGAGTCTCGAATACTGAAGCGCGGGTTGAGATGGCTGAATCCGAGCAGTGGAGCACGTGGTGTAGAGGTGACGAATCGAATCACCTTCTGTCGCTCTTCGTTGTTCAGCTCATGCATCACCTTCCAGAACAGCTGCACAGTGGGGTGTTCCTGGTTATCGTCGCCAATGGTATACACGCCACCATACTGGGTGTTGCGCCGAAGATCCTCGACATCGATATCGCCGGTCTCGCCACTGACCAATGTCTGCAATTCAGATTGGTTGAACATGGACAGCCAAGCGGGCTGAATGATTTGTCCAAGGCCTTGCAGGAAAGCGTTGGTCTGCATGGAGGGCTGCACCTGCAATCGATACCGCGCAATATACGAGATGTAGACGAGTCGATTCTGATTCGTCACGGGCGTCTTGGAGCCATTGTATCGTAACTCTCTCGTCGTAGTACGGTTGGCCGACCCGGGCATAGGGATGGTGTCAGTCACGGTGAAGTCCAGAGAGAAGTCCTCCACGTCGCCGGGGTAGTTCTTCAGTTGAAGCTAGAGTAAATGCATTAGTACAATAGTAGCGCTGAAAGATGATACTTGACTCACCAGGCCTTGGTACAATCCCTGATCAAGATCCTTCAGGTCATTCAGATTTGCTCGGTAGGAAGATTCCTTCATGGCCGATCCAGTGCCACCAGTCAAGGCCCACTTCAGCAGGAAGAATGGTGCAAAGTTGACATCCACCAAAATTCCCTCGTAAAGACATTTGCCAATGACCCGGCCGAGGAACTCATATCGACGCAGAAGATCTCGGATTTGCTCGGACCATTTAAGACTAGACTCGCTTACGCCAGTCTGGCGCAGCCGTTCCTTGCACTGCTCGACGGCTGTGGGATTGGGGTAGAGGAGATGCTGATCGTTCTCCGCAAACATACTGAAGTCGTCCTCGGTCTTGAATGCCTCGCTGGTAATGCTAGTGAGAAATTCCTTGGTCACTCCACCGCCGTCAATACCAGCCTCCATGGCACCAAATCGATCAATGAAACTGATCTGTATGGGTTCCTTGAGACCATCCCCTAGAGGGTAGAATTGAGCAAGGGCATCATCAAAAACATTTTCACGTCGAATTTCGGCCTGGTGGCGAGCCAGCACATCTTGGACAGCAGGATTTCCATTGATCATCTGGCCCATGGTGGCTTGAGCAACAGATGCACGCCAGGAATCAGGATCAACGAATCCATGTCGTCGGCGGTGCTGATCATGGAAGATGAATTCACGGAAGATCTGGACCCGAGTGGTAAAAGGTATGAAAAATGGCATGTTTCGAAGAATCTCTAGCCTGGGTGCAATGGCAGCCAATACCCTTCCTCGAGCAACTCGCTGTTGATGCCGCCGCAAGGACTCCAGGCGGATGGTTTGCTGAGCGTGGCCGGTCCCTGCAAGGCCAAAAGGCGTATTCGCATCGTCATCCGCCAGGTCAGGATCGCCTGAATCATCGGCTCTGGCTTGGAACTCATGACGTCTCTCCTCCTCTCCGACGACGGCCGAAATGAAACCTTCCATGTCGAAGCGGCCAGTCATGAGCCAGTGATCCTTAGGTAGGAACTTTCGACGTGAACTAAAAGTTAGGTTAGCATCCTATACGAATTCGTTGTCTCGTTTGTGGGTCTTACTCTCGTTCGTGCAACATTCGCAAAAGACCCGTTACAAGGCCCTTGAAATATTCCAGCGGGATTCCAGTCACTCCAGGAAGATTGTTGCTTTGAGGTTTGGATTCGAGATCATTCGTGCTTGGTACCGGCTCTGAGAAGCCGGGTTTCTGTGTGGTACTATTGAAATAACTGCTCAAACTCACCCCCGTCGGTCCAATTTCGGGCTCACTCAAGTCTACCGCATTCCAATAGAGTGTGAAGGCAAGGTTCTTCAAGAACACCGTCATGTCTTTGATGTCGCGCAGTGGCAATGCGCTTTCCCTGGTCCACGATAGCTTGGCATTGTCTGAGGATGTAAAGGACGACGTGCTAGAGAAGAACTCATCGTCATCCATAACCTTCAGCACAAAAGTATACAGCTCAAGGAATAGAAGTATGGTCGTCCACTCTTGATCGCGCTGGTCTTGGGGTATTTCCGTGGCTTCCTTGGATTGCGGTGGCAACAGTAACAGTGGGAGCACCTTCATGGAGTCACTGCTGATGATCTGGAAGATGCGACTAGACCTAGTCGCCTGCCAGAAGTATTTGATAGCTGGTATCTTCGCATCTGGCTGGCCAGAAATCTGTTCACCGGATGGAGCAGAGCCTAGATACAACCACATACGGATATCATCACCTCGTCGGGGGAAGATCCGCAGTAGATTCAGGGCGTATTTTGCAAGGACTCTGGCTTCTTTCGATGCCTCAGAGTCTTCGCTTGTCGAGTCTGTCTGTGCCAGGGGGGATGATCGGATACGGGAAAGCAAACCAGTGACGCTACTCTGGTTGATAAGGCTATTGATTTGGTCCTTGATAAAGGGGTGCAGGGGCCGCACACCTCGAGGTGAATCCATCTCAGTCGATTCCTCCACCTCGAATCCTTGCACAAGGAAGGCAGCCGTTGAAGTCAAAAGATCAGAGACCACAATCACGAACTCCAGCTCCGGGGTATGTGAGCTGTTCTGAGTGCCAGAGGTGTGTTGTTGGAAGTATATCAAGTACGATAGCAACCAAGTGCGCGCCTGAATGTCTTCTAGGATACCAGCACCTTGCGTGGTAGATCCCAAGCGTGCTGAGATTGCCAATGCTAGCATTCTGTAATTTATTTGCCCCGCAAGTCCATCCATCTTACCCAGATAGCTCTCGAGGCTCGGAATTGTGAGATATGAAACGGCAAAGGACTCGTATGCAGACATAGTCTCGGAGGTAATCGGTCGGAGGAGGGCAAGTACAGCTTCCTGAAGAAGATCGGGATTAACGACTGGTCTATCTGCTCCACTGGTCTGTTCAGATCGATGGAGACTCGACATGTTAGTGGTTAAATATGCCATGGTACCGTAGTACGTCTCTGCGAGCGTTGCCATCTGCTTTGGCATCAACCCTGTGAGAAACATCATTGCTCGTAAAAGTATCTCCATAGCTGCGGCAGGGACCGAAGTGTTTCGAGCTGAGTGCAGCACATTGAGAACTGACTTGGCAAGTCGTTTCAGAAGCTTGGTCCATTCACCCTCCGCTGCGATCGTGTGCAGCGTCCGAAGTGTCTGTTCGAAGGCACCAACAAAGTATACCAGCCGAAGAACGTCATCGTGCCTTCGTGCTGAGACAAATTGAACCAGCAGACGGAGTTGGGTGAGGCACTGGGCAGCGGTTGCATATGGCGGAGGAGGGTGTGAGGCAAAGACGGGAGCATCTGCAGAGCCTTCGATGGCCGCCATCAAGTCCGTGGCCCCGGACATGTTCCTTTCATTGTTATCCCACTCCATCCTCCACATGCCATATGTAGCTTTCCTGCTGCGATAGCCCCGCCACCCTCGCTGGACAACCCGGACGGCATTCTGTTTCTCTCGATCTCGCTGTCTCTGAAGACGTTCTTGTTGCGCGATCGCGACGGCACTTTGTGGATTCGAAGCATGAGGGGTATTTCGACCGGGTGAGCTTCCTGGGAAGGCAGCGAACGGATTATTGGCACGGCCGCTGAGGTTGACCTGCCTCGGACGGCGAGAGCTTCCGGTGAATGACTGAAACATTGTGAGGAGGGCCTTCCGCCCAAAGATGCAGCAGAGATATCGACGGAGATGATCTATGCGAAGAAGAGGCGCTGGAGATGCAAGAAACACAAGAGATGCAAGCCCATAGCGCACCAACTGGGCAAATCGAAGCGAATGTGAAGAACTATGACATACGCCGGTCCGATACGGGCGACCATGGGGACCTTATCGGGCTTAACGCACGGGCCACGCACAAGTTCAATAGGCGCTAGGGTATTACCACGCTATGGCTACACGCGCGGCAAAGATCGCATACGAGAATGGTAGACTTGGGGTTTACAAGATGAACTGGAAGTTAAAGGCTACAAAGGGGCATTTGCCTGATAATCCAAGGACAGAGAGTTTTATGAGTGAGATACATTTGAGCGATAGCATGGATTGCCATGATAACAAGATCGTGGTCTTTTTTCCAAACTCTTTGTTACCATACTCAGATACTGATGCAAAGGACAAGACATCTGTAAGTGTTGTATGATGGCGGGCTTTGCCCAATGTGAATCGAATATGCTATACATATAATACATGAAGGATTCGATCGGCCGGCGAGCGATGTAATGGTAGATCGGGGGGTATGTGGCCGTCGAGTGTGTGGATGGAGGTGACAAAAGTAGGTGTTCAACCCCTGGAAGAGCGCCCGTTAGAAATGTCAAAGATGCAGAATGGAAAGACAGTCAGGGTCTTACATTGGAATGGCAAGGGTGTATGCTTCAAGCCAGGCTTTCAATGGCTGGTTCGGGAGTCTCTTTATTGTTTGGAGGTCTTCAACTCATCCACGGCCTCCTGCTCGGCCGTTTCGCGGGACAAAACCTCATCGGGATTGCTTGAGTACCACTGGTCCAGGAAATCTTGGCCCTTCAAGCCATCAATCACTGTATTCATCCGTCCGTTCCGTTCAACCCGCTTCTTGTAGGCGGAAGGTGTCGGGGCCATGCGTTTAGAGACAAAAGGAGTGAGCTATGGGTGGTCAGTAATGGCTTTGACATCATCCGGACGATTGAGATATTCGACGAGCCTACCTTGAATGTGTCCAGGTCTTCGGGGACGACGTAGGTGCGGACTTTCTTCCAGTCGATCACGTAGTTGCCCTTGGGGTCGAAGTAACCCATTGAGCCTGTCCGGGTACCCTTGTAGTAGCCGCCATTGACCTGCTTGGTGGTCAGGCGCAGGCGCGCCATCATTGGCTGTGAGGGTTTGAACATTTTCGCGAGGCTTGACGTTCTCGAAAGGAAGGGAAAGCGACTGTCGCAAGGGTCCGTTGAGGTTGAGAGGACAAAAGTTCGGGCGGTCGGGCCGCGCTAATCGCCGCGCCGAGAACTTTTTTCTGGAAGCAAAAAAAAAGTTGGTACACAAGTCGAACAGTTTACCAAACCAAACCCCTCCAACCACACAGCAGCTGGGTCCATTTTTTACTATTTCTACGGACCCAAAGCTTTAGCGGTTCTTGTTCGATTATTTCTTTATTGCATCACAACCATGCCCCGCCAGCAAACGCAGTCGCGGGCTCCAAAAGACCGTGGTGCGCGGAAGCCACCAGCGCAGAGAGGCCCAAAGGGCCGCGGACTCGACGCTCTTTCTCGGGCAGAGGAACAGATTCCAACCAAGCTCGGTGTGCGCCGCAACCGTCTCGGTGACTACGATGACGGAGAATGGCGGAAGAGGCCTACAAACGACGATGACGACGACGAAGACAACGAACCCCGCCCGAACTACAAGCGCCGCAGAACCGATGCTTCGGACGAAGGTGGCAGTGATAGTGAAGGCCATGAATGGAAGTTGGGACAAGTCGACACTGATGACGATGAGTCTCTGGACAGCGACGAAGCTATGGGATCAAGTGACGAGGAACGTTTCGAGGGATTCACATTCCGCGGAAGCTCATCGAACAAGTCCAAGCCCAAGGCGAAGAAGAACGAGAAGCCGAAGCGAAAGGAGATTAGTTTGTCTGAGGATGTTGAAGAGTCCGATGAGGAAATGTCCGACGAGGAGGAGGATGATGAGGACGATGAAGATGGCATTGATCTTCTTACCGCCTGGGACATGAACACAGCTGCCGAGGAGAAGGCGGCCCAAAAAGCTGCGGACAAGGCGAGGAGAGCTGCAGATGGCCAGGATAGCGACGAGGATTCTGGCTCAGAAGGCGACAGTGAGGATGATCCCAGTGACGACGATACCGACCTGTCTCTTTCGGACGGCGATGCGGACGCTCAGAAAAATGGGTTGTCCAAGCTTCAGGACTTTGTCAAGTCTATGGAGGCCGACGGATCTAGAAAACCCAAGCAACGGTCGCAAGAACAGGGCACGCCCACTGAATACGGATTGAAATCCTCGCGCAAATTGACCGTCGCCGACCTACTGCCTTCCATCACGGATTCCCGTCTGAAGAGCTCCCTCAAGCATGTCGATGCGGCTCCACAGACAACAAAGTCGGGTATTCCGGGCAAGCTGGATGCGCCTTTGGCAAAGCGCCAGCAAGATAAGCTTGACCGCGCCGCCGCTTACGAGAAGAGCAAAGAAACTCTTGACCGATGGCTAGAGACCGTCAAGGCCAACCGCAAAGCTGAACACCTCACCTTTCCCCTTCCCGATCCCGATGCGCAACAATTCCATCGCCTGGATGTGGCTAGGCCCAAGACCGATTTGGAAAGCACTATTCAGGAGATTCTGGTTGAGAGTGGATTGGCCGAGGCCAACGGCAAGTCCGCCGAAGACCAGCTCCAAGGCTTTGAAGAACTCAAGGCCCGCACGCTGCCTATTGAAGAAATCCAGGCTCGGCGGGCAGAGCTCAGAAAGCGGCGTGACCTGCTCTTCCGAGAGGAGGTTCGTGCAAAGCGGATCAAGAAAATCAAGAGCAAGTCTTACCGTCGTGTTCACCGCAAGGAGCGCGAAAGGCTGGAGCAGCAGGAGCGCCAGGCTCTTCTCGAAGCTGGTGTCGATCTCGACGAGGCAGAACGGGATGAGAACGAGCGGAAGCGGGCTGAGGCACGCATGGGTTCCAAGCATCGTGACAGCAAATGGGCCAAGAGCAACAAGCAGACTGGCCGTACTGCGTGGGATGAGGAAGCCCGTAACAGTGCCGCTGATCAAGCCATGAGAGAGGAGGAGCTGCGCAAGCGCATTGAAGGAAAGCGTGTGTCTCGTGGAGACGAAGATTACCTGGGGTCATCGAGCTCGGAGTCAGAGGACGAGGACCCATGGGCATCGGATGCCGAGGACCGAGAGAAGCGCAAGTTGCAAGAGAAGCTCGCGGCTCTAGAGGGTGACGCTTCCGACGCTGAGGTCAAGGGCCCACATTCCACTCTCTTCTCCATGAAGTTCATGAAGAACGCCGAAGCCGCTCGTAAAGAACAAAACGACGCCGAACTTCGTCGTCTCAACCGCGAACTACATGGCGAAGAGTCACAGTCTGAGGCGGAGTCGGAGACCGGACGACGCAAGTTCGGTCAGTCTGAGAAGGCAGAGGCCAAGCCCCAGGCAAGAGCTCTCCCCAAGGACGACCTTGAAGACGCACTCGACTCGGACGATGAGAATCAGCAGCGCAGAGCACCCGAGCAGGATGCTGATATGATTGTCGACCGTCCTACAAAGCAGAAGTCTGCTGCCGTGTCTGGCTCCAAGGCTACCTCTCGTCCAAACCAGAAGATGTTCAGCCAAGAAAATGAGCCAGCGGCAGAAGAAGAAAACCCCTGGCTTGTTCAAACTGAACGCAACAATCGTCGACGCACCGGTACGGATGCTCAGGAGACCATCGACATCTCTCTTGACGCCCAACAACCACAGGTCTCGCAGGCCAAGACTCCCGCCAAGAAAAGCAAGGGAGTCAAGGCAGTGTCTTCTCGCCGTGATGAAGAAAATGACAGTGATGATGACAACGTGCCTGTCCTGTTGAAAAACCACGATCTCGTGAAGCGGGCGTTTGCCGGCGATGAGGTGGTTCAAGAATTCGAGCAGGAGAAGATGGACACCATTGCCGACGAGGGCGACAAGGTTGTGGACAACACTCTCGAGGGATGGGGCAGCTGGGCCGGCGATGGTATCAGCAACAGAGAGAAGAAGAGGCAAAAGCGTAACCTCACTACGGTGGAGGGTGTGAAGCCCGAGAAGCGCAAGGATGCCAAGCTCTCCCGAGTCATCATCAACGAGAAGCGAATTCAAAAGGTATGTTCCGTCTCGCTGGTGTATTAAATCGCAGTTCAGTGCTAACTTTCTTTTGCTACAGAACAAGAAGTACATGGCTAGCCAGCTGCCTCATGAGTTCGAGACCAAGGCACAATATGAGCGGTCGTTGCGGATGCCCATCGGCCCCGAGTGGTCTACCAAGGAGACCTACCAAGCCAGCACCAAGCCTCGTGTCATGATCAAGCAGGGCATCATCAAGCCCATGGAGAAGCCTACTCGGTAGAAAAGCGCGAGATGTCACGATACCCTTTGTTGCCGACATCCATGTATATTCAATTTGCATTGCATATTTAGGCCGAGTCTGATCAGCTACAGTACTCATCCGCCCAAAAGAAATACCATTTAGATTTCAATTTCATTAAGCTTGATGCATGGTCATCATAAACAGTCCGTGCTGTGCGACTCTCGTATAGTTTATGCAGCCCCAGGTGATGTCAGAACACACAACGCGTCGTCTTTCAGCCGTTCCGTAGAACTTACCCTCCTTCATCCACCTGTATATTCAACCTTCCCAGCCTTCTCACATGGCTCGGGATGCCGTCACCGGGCTACTCCAGTTTCTGTCTGATGACGAGGAGGCGCCGTAGGGCAAAAGGACCAGCCTCAACCGAGAACTGGAATGCTGCCTGCCATCGCAACGTCCAATGCCACGGTACTCGATGAACCATCCCGCCCATCGGGACCTGCCTCATGGCTGAATGACTCGGCCCGTCATGACGGTGCCATGGAATTACACAAGTGATTCATCGGCTTCGAGTCATCGCGAACTATCGCAGCATCGAGAACGGATTGACTGGGGCTCCCGCCAGCTCCACATCCTTGGCACCACCAGCGACAACACCGTTGCCTACAGCTTGAGTGGCTCCCATTAGACTTGCGTGTCTCTTGCGAGCCGCTCCTTCATAAGCTGATCATTCCATCTCCAATCTTTGACGGAATAAATCGACAGGTCAACCCAGGGAGAGATAAACATCAAGCCTTTACTGTGTCCAGTTCACACCTTGCCGCACTGTTTACACCCCGCGGCACATTCCTGGTAGCGGGGACAACATCCGCCGCTGGGGCGTGCACCGTGAATATCGCAAGGCCAGTGTGGTCTTCTTCCTACGCCCTACATTGCTGGACCGAACACGCGCTGCGTACCCCGTGGAAGCACCGGCCACCCTTTTCCTGAACGGTGTGAACGTCCGCGCACACGAGCCCCAGTCCCATGAGGATCGACAATCCCGGAATTCTTGTGCAGACCAGTCAAAACAATCCAATCTGAGCTCACTGGGAGCTGAGGACATCTCCTGGAATTTGTTGAACATATTTGTAAGTCCCTGTCCCTCGTGCGTTCCCCCTTTTTATGGTTGCTTTTTCTTCTGGTGTATGTGGCTCGCCCTTTCGACAACCCTGAAGCTTGCACTGCTGTTTAGTTCGTATTCTCTACAGAGGACGAATAGAAGCATATAGTTGGCTATCTGTTAGTTCAGTCGAAGATCGATTGAATTGATTGTTTTTGTCAATTGGGTTGTCCGGCGGTGCAATCTAAAACCAGCACGATGGCGGCTCTGTGGAAAACTACAGCCGTGCTAACATGGCTTCTCACAATAGATTCAGTAAACTGTCTGCCCCAGCCAGCGGGCACCGTTGCTGAACATATTTTGGTGCAATCAGCAACACATCCAGAGACTGCCTTCAAGACGCAGTATCCTCCATCGAACCAGCGAATTGCTATACCAGCAGCGGAACCGGTATGTCATTCGAGCTGAGTCATTGAAGAGTTGTACGAGCAGGCTAATATCAACCTTATTCGTTAGGATTATCGCATTGCCCTTGACAATCGCGGTCATCCATCGCAGCTTCCTTTTCCAACCGTCGACATTGGTCGCATCCTGGACGGCATCGGCGGGTTGTTGTTACCTCCATCCACCACCTCCTTGCCAGCTGCAGTTCAGCCCACTGACACTCCGAACGAGAACTCGCCAAACGCAGTAACTTCTGCTACAGGTGAGTATCCGAGGATTACATTTCTGCGAGTACTTTTCGGAGAACTTACTTTGATCAGATTCTATACCCACCATACCTGCTGATACAATGAATAACCAAAACATCTTCGAGCCAGTCGCGACTGGCGCGGTTCCCGCCAACATCCAGACTCGTAACGACCACCCGGTGCAAAACAAATATGTAAGTCTAGGTCCATTCTAACGCCAGTCATACAATATGGTGCTGACCTCGAATCAGGCCAATGCCACCAATCCAATCGAAACCAACAAGTTCTATGCTGGCCTCTTCCTGGGTTCGCAGACCAACGCTACTTTCACTCAGCCTTACTCCCTTGCCTGGTCGCGAGGAGGTGGAACCCTCAAGAGCTGGGGAATGAGTGTCTCTCATGTGGAGGCCAATGTTCTTGCCTATGGTCCCCCGAACACCAAGCTTCCTGGCAGCCCTGTCAGTTACTACATCAACCCTATCGGTCTCCAGCATGTCATTCTGTCTGCCTCTGAGCTAGACGAATCCAGTGTCTTGAACACGGAGGAGCCCAAGGCGTTTTCAGCCCAGGCGGTTCTCAAGCGATCGGGTGGTTCATCTCAGAGTATCACATTCCCCATTGTTCAGGGTATGGGCTATGTGACTGGCGTATACAGCGATCTGCAGCCCCTCGTTGAGAGTGGAGTCTTCTTCCGCAAGGTCGTCAATGCCGGATCTCCCAAGCCAGGTATCTTCAAGTACCAGCTTTTCCTTGAAGATGACAGCGTTTGGTTGCTCTATGCTACCCCTGACGATGGAAAAGACCCGCAGTTCCAGCTGGTCTCGACTTCGAGCTTTCGTGGTCCTGCTGGATTTACTGGGACCATTCAAGTTGCCAAGAATCCCGCTGGTACGGCAGGTGAGAAGTTTTATGACAACTCTGCTGGCGTGTATCCCGTTGCGGGTGCCGTTTCTGGTACTGTCACTGGCACTGTGGGCACTTACGGTCTTTCGTGGACCAAGGCTGGCAAGAATGCTACTGGTACCCCCCTCATCATGTTTGCTTTGCCGCATCACGTCGAGTCCTTTGATACCAGTACCATTGGTCGCGCCACCGCGATTCACCTTCGCACCACCACCAAGGGAAATGCAACTGCCGTGATTGGAGACAACTGGGTTATGACTGAGCCAGATCTGCCGACGGACATGGGATTCGCTCCTTGGTCACCTACCAAGGGAAGTGTGCACACATTGTCGGCGGATGCCCAGCGATCTATCGTCCAAATCGCTCCTGTTGAGCTACAGCAGGATATCGATGGCCAGACCAATCTGAACAGTATGTACTACAGTGGCAAGGCCCTGAGTAAATTTGCGACCTTGATTTGGACAGTAAGCAATCTCGGCAACAACCCTGATATCACCAATACGGCCTTAGTGGAGCTCAAGAAATGCTTTGCCCGCTTCGTGCAGAATCAGCAGCAGTTTCCACTTGCCTATGATGCAGTCTGGAAGGGTGTTGTGTCAACTGCCGGCTATGCTGGTGACTTGAACGCCGATTTTGGCAACACTGCTTACAATGACCATCACTTCCACTACGGCTACTTCATTCAGGCTGCCGCTATCATTGGTTCCCTTGATCCGACCTGGCTGGCTCAAAACAAGGAGTGGGTCAACATGCTTGTCCGTGATGCTGGCAACTCTGTCGAGGATGATCCGTACTTCCCCTTCTCGCGCTCCTTTGATTGGTTCAATGGTCATTCGTGGGCAAAGGGTCTCTTCGAATCCTATGATGGGAAGGATCAAGAGTCTACTTCGGAAGACACCATGTTTGCCTATGCAGTCAAGATGTGGGGCCAGACCATTGGCGATGCTAGCATGGAGGCCCGTGGAAACATGATGCTGGCCATCCTGCGCCGGTCCCTCCACAACTACTTCCTCATGCAGAGCAACAACACCAATCAGCCGAGCAACTTCATCGCGAACAAGGTGACTGGCATCCTATTCGAGAACAAGGTTGACCACACTACCTACTTCGGTAGCAACCTGGAGTACATTCAGGGTATCCACATGCTCCCTTTGCTGCCCAACTCTGGCTACACTCGTCAACAGCAGTTCGTTGCTGAGGAGTGGCAGGCTATGTTCGCTGCCAACGCATCAACCCCCGCTACCGGTGTGGACGGGGGCTGGAAGGGTGTTTTGTTTGCAAACCTTGCTCTCGTCGATCCTCAGACATCGTGGAATTTCTTCGCTCAAGACCAGTTTGACTACAGCTGGATTGATGGTGGTGCTTCCCGCACCTGGTACCTTGCCTATGCCGCCGGTGAGTTTTTTTTTTTACACCCCTTTTATCGTTTTTGATACTAATCCATTCCAGGTCTCGGTGGTGGCCCTTAAACGGTCTCAAGACCTTGCCGCTTTTGCTTTCTATACTCTTATACCGGCGTTGGCGGCTTGTTTGGTGATTTAATTATTGCTGGAATATTCTTCTCTTTTGCTTGGTTGGCCTTTTTGCTGTGGCTACAGGCCGATTTCTATCTAATTACGGGCTCCAGTCCCTAACACATCTCTATGAGGCTAGTGGAAGTAGTTATATTGGCGTTGCGGTTTCGGGTATATACTTTCTTGACGGGGCCGTTATGGCAAGTATTGTCAACGTACCTAGATATTTTAAGAAATTGCTCTATATTATTTACCATTCGAGTCTTCTTTCTGTAACCTTACAGTGCTAATTTTTCCTAGGAGTGGTAACATCGTATGTCGTTCGGTTGGTTCAATCGAGTGCGTCCGTGCGTATATATATATATCTGCATCAGATCAGACGCTACCCACATCAAGCTCTAATTTACGCGCGGTAAATGTAGCAACTAACACAGGCGGAGAACGAAACCTGGAAGGAGAAAGATCATTAAATATATATTTCAAAATCAGAAGCCAATGGTAAGGGCCGTGCCACCAACTCATCCTCCGAGTGTCGAGTACCTGTTACGTGGAACACGTTCAGAAACAGATAGAGCCCATTCATATTCGAAAAAAAATTCTATGGTAACGATATGTTCATTTCTCATCAATTCGTAGCGGCATATTCATACAGGGGATTGCATTTGCAAATCCGCACACGGAAGGTCCAAATCTACCACCCAAGGCGCGTTATACGGATGATAGCCCAGCGTCATAATACTAGCATTTACGAAGAGCGTCTCCGCGCCAACCTGCAATGGCCTCGCACTCTCCGAGCTGATATCGTAATATGCCGCGCGACGCTCCAGCATATCCTCCCTATCTGTAGGAACTTGTTCTTGTTTGACACCACCGTCTGCAAAGGCATTCCATGATCCGCGGATAGCTCCCCATCCCTCGTGGATATGTCCGAACATGTACAGGCGTGGACGGGCGCGCTCGGCAGCCCGGAGGAGATGTTGGCACCCGACGTGCTGGTGGTGACCTTCGTCTCGACCGACGCGATCTAGGATATGTGCGGGAGGGCCGTGGGTGAGCATTATGTCGACGTTGGGGTAGTCGGGGACGGGGTTTGCGGGTGCGGGGTTAGAAGAGCCGGGGAGGGGAGGATTGAAGCGATCCTGGGAACGAGGGTATGCGAAAGCCCAGCGACAGAATTCGGGTTGGTAGGGCGAGGCGTAGACGGTTAATTTGGCGCCATTGGAGAGGGTAAAGGAGTGGACGCCTTCTTCGAGGTATCGAATACCCGCGGCGCGGGCTGATTCGTTCGTGTACATATCCTTCACGCGACGTACGTAGGCTTGCATTTTATCTGATGGGGGGACATCGCCGGAGCGAATTGCGTTTGTGAGAGACTTTTCGTCGTCTTCTAGGAGGATGCCCTTGCCGCCGAGCCATTCTGGTCGGCGATGGCGTCGGTATCCGAAACTGGTGAAGTGCTCTTCGTCCAGGGTGATGTCGTGGTTGCCGGCGATGACGAGCTTTAGTTCGGCGTCGGCGGCTTTGAGCATCGAGACCATGGCCTCGTGCTCGACGCTGTAGCCGACTTTGGTAAGATCGCCGCCATGGAGGAGGACGTCGGCTCTTGGGAGCGGGCTGCGATAGGCATATGAGGTTTGGAGTGGGGGGTACGGGGCTGCGGTGTGCGTGTCGGAGATCATGCAGATTCGGGTTTTGATCCCCGCAGAGGGAGAAGCCATGGTGGCTGTGGAAAGTGTGGTTGAGAGTGAAAGAAGGAATGGGTAACGGGAGAAGAGAGAAGTGTAAGTCTCGTTGGGGAGAAAGAGAAAGGGCAACTTCCGGAAGGTCAGCTTTCCCCCGCCGAATCGAGAATGGGCTACGTAGGATATAAGTCTCGTCTACAATGACCAAGGGAATTCCTTTCGGAATCAAAATTAGACAAACGGAATAATAAGACACCAGAAACAGCAGGTAAACGTAAACAGGAATCATTCCCATGTAATTGACGGCTCAGAGCTCTACAGACATTGCATCCGTGGATGCCCAGATCATGAAAATTTTCTGGTAAACATAGCTGAAACTCCGATAACCACCCGTGCAACGACAACCCATGCGGCTCTCCTAACCGAATGGTTTTCCCTTTTGCTTTTTCGTTTACTTGCGGATCGCACGCTGGTAGAAAGCCAGCTCCTCACCCTCCAGGATGTAGCCGTCAACACGGCCGGACTGGCCGGGGCGCGAAGAAACGACGGCGAACAGACGACCGGACTCGAACTGACGCTCGATGGCGCCCTCAACCTTGCCCTGCTCGGCGAAGCGGGCAGCCTGCTTCTTGGCGACGGACTTGCTGCTCTTCTTCTCCTCGGTGGCCTCACCAGTCTTCTGCTGGCGTCTGCGGCCGATACCCTGGCCGTAGTGGGCCTCGTACCACTGGCGGAAGGGAGCGGCGTCGATCTGGACAACGGCGGACTTGGTCAGGGTGTTGGTGCGGACCAGCTCGTTGTTGGAAGGGTGGTAGGAGACACCGATGACACGGGTCTTGCGGGCAACACCCTCGGAGCCCCACGAGAAGTTACCGGACTCGAGACGGAGAGCACGGTACTTCTGGTTGCCACCACGGGTGCGGACCAGGTGGATGCGCTTGGTGCCAATACGGGTGTTGGCGGGCTGGCGGCCCTTCTCGAAGGCTCTGTTGGGAAAAACAGGTAAGAATTGGTTCTCCAAGAAAAAACGAGATGATTGCACGCGGGCTTCGATCCTTCTCCCCATTGCCCTCCCAGAACGTCGTCACACAAGTAAAAGATCCTTGTCCTCCCCAAAATGCAAATGGAACGAAAACCCAAAAGTTCAACTGGCAGATATGTCGTACCTCTTCTTGCGGTAGAAAGCACGCTTAGCACCGGTGGCGCTGCGCTTGTGGCGAGAATCACGAGAGATACCCATGTTTGCGATTTGATGGAGGGGTCTGTATCAAGGACAAAGAAGAAAAAAATTAGAAACTCGACTCGTTTTTGGCGCGAATATTCCTCCTCAATTCCAGTCCTTCTGTTTCGTTCCAAGCGACGGTCCAGGATTGATCGAAAGAATTTTTTCCAGGGGGCTGAACACGATTGGCGATGTGTGTGCGTGTCGTGGGTAGTTGTAGACGGAGTCGAGACGAATGTTCAGATCTTGAATTGAAGGTGGCCCCAGAAAAGTGGAAATTGGCGATGAACCCGAAATGTGCGACCCGGACGAAGCAGAAGAAATAGAACTGAGGGATTGGAGAGGCGTCTTGCGTGAAACTCACCTCTAACCTGCGGCCCTTCACCAAAGAACACGGATAGGTTGTCGTTGGGTGTCGTTGAGAGTTGCGGTCGTGGAGTCCGTCGAATTTCGCAGGGCCAGTGTGTTGCTCGCTTGTGCGGTTGCCCTAACTGACGCTAGTCCCAAAACGGGTTAGCCCCGAGTTTTCTTGGTCCCGTGAAGTCCCGTGACCGGCAGACTCGATTGCTGACTCATCGTATTCTGCCGGCCAGCCCGCCTTGGCCGTGGGTGGAATTTCCCGTTATCTTATCTCCATACATACTAACCTCGATAGAATGACTCTGATTATTGGCAATTGTACTGTAGAATCACTTGGATTGAAGAATAATATTCCTAAGTGCTGCAATAATATATTTTAGTCCGCGTTTTCTACTTTGATAGCCTGATCTGACAGAAAATGTCTGTCTATCACGTGATCTTCAAAAACAAACCGTCTGAGAGGATGACTGTCAGCTCTCGAACTTGTCAACCATCAAGCAGTTGCTTCTGCTAGACTCTCAGCCTCATCATTACTAGAATTTGCTACATCTGACACCTTCAACCTCTGCTACTAATGCCCTGACAGTGTATCGGGGGGTTTTGATGGTTGTTTTGATGGTTGTTTTGATGGTTATTTTGATTGTTTAGTTGATGGTATCTTTGGCAGCGAGCCTGATAGTAATGTTGGTGAGAATTCTCCACTCTCTCGAGCATACTACCAGAAACACTATCAATATCACTGCCAGGAATACCTTCAACAACCCCGTCAAACCAACTATTCAAAATTCAAGAGATACTATCAGCATGGCACTTCCAAATGCGCTAAACACAATCTCGGTCCACGCTAGCGATACAAAACTACATGGCATCTGGCCATCCAGCTTGATATACATGTTGGAAAGAGGAATTTACACACCAATATCAAGACTCGATAAATTATGACCGGAGGTTCTACACCATCTTCTATACATTCCATATTCTCACGCCACCAATACCCCTCAACCCACCATCTCAATCCTTCTTCCCACCCTTCTTCGCCCTCTCCTCCTGAACAATATCCCGAATACGCGCAAAAGAACCGTATCCCTCAATAAAGCACGAGCCCATCCAAGCAAACCACAACCCGGAACCAACGGGCACACCCATCGGCTTCAACCGCAACACAGCCATCGCAACACTCTCCACCACATGGATTCCAACCACGGACGGGAAAAACACCGGCCAAATCCTATAAATGAAATAGGCAAAGTCTGGAACAAACTTGAACCCCATATTCTCGTAGACAAACGCGCCCGGGAGGAGATTGCTACGCTGCCAGCAGGTAGCATAGGTGAAGACCACCAGTCCGAAGATAACGGCCTGGAGGCCGCGTGGGCCGCGGTATTCGGTGAGGGTTACGTCGGAGCGGCCGAGTTTGGTGAGGCTTTCTTTGTGTAGGGCGACCAGGCGGCTACGGGCTTCGGTGTAGTCTTTCATGGGGGGTTGGAAGGGGATGGTGTAGCGGGTGCCGTGGGCTTTGAGGATGAGGTTTGAAAGGGTGAGGTCTTCGAGGGTGGCGCCTTTGGATTCGCGGGCGGTGATTCCGCTGTAGGCTTGCAGGTAGAATTGGAGGGAGTCGCCATGGTCGGCGTTCATGTGTTTGATGATGAATTCTTTGTTTGCCATTTTGGGTGGTAAGGGTGATTTGGATGGTGGTGGTTGTTGTTGTTGTTGTTGTTGTTGTTGTTGTTGTTGTTGTTGTTGTTGGATGGGAAGGGAGGATTTGTGTCAAAGAACCTTAGACCTAGATCGAGCAATGGAGGGATTAAATGAGCCTTTGGACCTGGGAAGGTGCTTGAAAGGTGAGGTTGGAGGGTGGAGGGGGATGTGAAAGCAACCTTTGATCTTCAGTTCTGCGGCCCCGTCGATCTTCGCCAAGACCCGAACCTCGGCCTTTCAACATGTGCAGGGCGACGCGAAGAGATGCTGATATAGAGTTTATTCGCCTAATGAGAATCCAATGTTCAGTTGGAAATGAAATATCTCTGGAACTTATTTTATTGGATCTTGGTCTGGCTCTGTGACATCCGTACCGACATCGTTTTATTGCTGAGGCGGAGATATATACATGGGTGGGGATTGTAACAAGTATAGAGTCCACTAAATCGACCTCCTGCGCCGCGCCGATCACACATCACACATGGCTTTAAAAAAGAACAAAAGACAGTCAAAATGGCAACGACGGCAGGTAGAGACCAAAAGAAAAAAAAGAAAAAGATTAGACGATCAAGATCAAGGCTCTATGGACGCAGAATGCAGCAACAAAGAGCAGAGAAAGAGAACAAAGAGGTGGAGGCATCGATCGTGACAATCATAGGCATTCGACGGAATGAGACGAGCTGGGAATAATCGTTTCGAGGAAAGCCGGTCGAGTAGGAATGAAATAAGGTGAAGGACATGAGAACGGAATACAATGTTCAGGCACTGCAAGTTGGGCAATCAACTCCTAATTCACGTTGAGCGAATGGTATTTTAGGGGGATAGGATAAAAGACTAGTTAGGGATTAATCACTTACATTAGAGCCAGGGTCAAGTCACCGTGGATACGAGCCTTGAGTTCCACTTCAATCTCCAGGTTCAATTCCAGCTTCAACTTCATGCCTTCCTCGTCGTCAAGGCTCTTCTTCTGCTCTTGTGGGATGACGTTCATGCCACCCGTGGGCGCCGTATCGGAGCTGGTACCCTGGGACCAGGGCTGCATGGACTTGCCCTGGATGATCTCGTCATCAGAGTAGTCCTCGTCATCATCATATTCTTCGGAATCATAGTCGTCGTCGGAGTAGTCATCCTGCTGCTGCTGTTGCCGCCGGCGGCGTTGGAGCTGTTGGTTTTTGTTTGGGACCGTTTGGTCTTCGTCCTCGTCTTCGGAGTATTCAATGTCGTCGGCGCTGTCATAGTCTTCCTCTGAATCGTACTCGTCGGGGACTTGGAATTGCTTCTGCTCCTTGGTCTTTTCGGCGGTCGCCATGATGTGGATGTGAGAAAGTGTCTTTATTTAGGACACGACTATGAGGAAAGGAGGAGAGCGAAGGAGGAATGGATATAATGCAGGGACAGGAATGGGAAAAGGGGAAAATTGGAGTAACTAGCGAGGTAGAAGATTGGAAAAAGAGGCAAGCGGTGATATGATATTGATTTTGCTTGAATATACACGGAAAGGAACCCTCCTCCAGCTAGAAAGAGGGGTGGCTATAGCATCATCGGCATCATCACTCTGCAGGCCGGCCATGACGTTGGCGGCTGGTGTGATGCAGCTCCACCGAGAACGACTACTTGGAGGGGCTTGGTTACAAGTGTATTGGTTGTAATGAAACAAGAGTAACAATGGAAAAGAAATGAACTGTACAAGATGAGCATAACGTCATTGTCCAAGGGACTTTGGGGATCTGGCCCAGGGCATGTATAGTCCGGAGTACTTAGGGTATACATCTATCAACACCTTATAAAATATAGCAACCATTAGTCACTCGGTAGTCACTATCTGGTTGATTTTCTCTTGTCACTCCTTCTAATCCTGCCAGTGCTGTCAAAATTGCCATTCCCCGTTATTCCCCTGGGGCAGACCCGTGGATCATCTTTCGCCTCGTGGCTCTTAACCAGTCCAGCCCAGCCATGTCAACCAGACAACGTCTCCTCCTCGCTTGATGCCTCCGAATTACATCCTATTTTCCTGGCCCTATTCTCGCATATTCTCCAACGCCCACTCGTCATCTGGTTCGGCCGAACTGCCAAATAGTCCCGATGGCCAAATGGCCAAATTGACACGCCAACCCAAATCTTCATAGGGTTTTACGCTTGTCCTACGGAATCCCTGACACTTGGTCAGTGGCGTCATGGACATAGGGCTTGTCAATCCTGCTTTTGACACTGACGGGTCTTACGTCGACATTCATTTATAAAAGTGGAGCACGGGGCTGGTGTCAGTGCCAAAATGGCCCGGGCGGCACGATGATTGGCATGTTGATCCCCGATGGGCTTCAATATTGCATGGAAGTTGCACAGTCATACCGTTACTACTACGGGGTTTACACTATGTATTGTATAGAAGAGAGTAATACAAGTGGGAAATACGTATAGGTTTGCTGAGATACAACACCTAGTCAATAGAACCTTTTTAGAATAGAACGTACTCCACGGTACAAGAATATCCCTGCCGATCGCAACGTTATCCATCATCGGAGAAAAAGGGAAGTTAAGTTGCCCTGTGCGCCATACGGAGGCGTTCCAGGTCTTGTTTAAAGTCCCTAAATTTGTAGGAAGTTACTTAAAGCCGCTAGTCTCGTTTAGCCCCGACGTCATACCTGCACATTCTCCACTTTCCACATTTTCCAGATCCATCCAGATCTTGACATTCAATTTTTGAAAGTACGAAGACCTGGTCCTTTTTCCCAGGCAGACAATTCAATTACATGATTGACCTGGCAGCCCCAGCCACCGAAGTCACGAGTCTGCAACGAATTACAAAAAAAATAGAACAACTCTCTATACCCCGGAACGTCGTCTGACGTCGGAGGCGCCACTTGCAACCCCATCAGCACCGGTTTTTGGATATAAACGAGGTTGAACAAGCGTATGAAGATCCGCCTACATCATACCCCCTCTCCACAACCATACGGTGCAATTACATACTTTACTGGAAATCTTTACGATAGTAACCTACAGTACCTTTCGTACCTATAGTTACTACAATCATCCCGAGTGACGCTTGGTCCTTCATAACCCCGTTGTATCCATCCGATCACTTCATATTCCCCCTCTTATCCCCCTCATCCACCTTCTTCCTCTTCTTCTTTTCTTTCCACCATGGCCGATCAGGAACCTTCCACTCCCAACAAGCCCAAGCGTGCCCCTCCAAAGCTAGGCAAGAAGTCCCCTGCCAAGCAAGAACAAACTCCTCCCCCTTCCGAACAAGGTCAACAAGAACAAGACCACGAAGAATCCGAGAAGCCTCAAATAGAAGACAAGGAGACTACCGAGAACCAAGATCAAGACCAGGACCAAGACAAGGACCAGGATCAGGATCAGGATCAGGATCAAGATCAACCCGAGCCGCGCAAGCAAGAGCCCGACTCAGACGACGATCAAAAAGAAGACGAGGATCAGCAAACAGAAGCTGAACCCGAGCCCGAACCTGAACCTCAACCAAAGGCTCAACCCGAACGCCGTCGCCGCAAGACCCGTCCTCCCCAGCGCGTCCAAGACTCAGACGTCGAATCCATTCCCCGTAACGACATGGACGGTCAACCCGAGCAACGCCGCCAGCGCACCCGCCGCACCCGCCAGCCCCAGCAACAAGGCCAAGAGGGCGGACCCCTTGGTGGCCTGGGCGGTCTCGGTGGCGTCGACCAGGCAGGTCAACTGGTGCAAAACACCGCCGGCAATGCACTAAACGGCGTCACCGGTTCAGCTGGTAAAGTGGTTGGTGGAGTTCTGGGTGGTGGACAGAAGGAGGAGAAGGAGGATGGTGGTCGTGATGAGCAGTTGCGGTTGAGACTGGATTTGAATCTGGATATTGAGATTCAGTTGAAGGCTAAGATTCATGGTGATCTTACCTTGGGCTTGTTGTGCGTATAACCTTTCTTCATTGAGGCCCCTATACCCCCCTTTGATACTGAACAATGTGGATCTATATCTGGTACGAGAATCTTTTTGACTGACTAACTGACTTTTAGGAATTAATTTGTGTTGGATAGCAGCTAGACGTTTCTTTGCCCGTCTGCTATATTTGTTTGCTGTTCCGACTTTTCTCCCTTTCGACTCGATTTATTTCATGCCCTCAACGAATCGATACGTTATGCTTACGCTTCCGGTAACGCAAGATGCAGGACTGCATGGCTTGGCCTGATTTGCCTTTTTTTCGTCTCTTGTTATCGAAAGTATCTTTTCCTCGTGTTTTGTGTTGATTTGTCTTGGCTGCCCCCCATTTCCTCCTAGATCTGGCTCGGCCGCTTCTGGTGTCTGGTCTGTGATGAACATTCTTGATGTACTGTACAGTTATCTCCCGCGTCTATAGTAGCTGGCTTTTGGCGAATGGGATAATGAAGACTCTACATGATTCAGACGATTGGATTGTAAGTAAGTCTGGCGCATGGTAAACATTTCCATTATGACTGCTTCCGGCTCTTGACTGGAGATGTTGCTACAAAATAGACTTGTGGGACGAGTGTCACGGATCACGTAGGATCATTAGCTAGACCATGTCTAGTACGGCGGACGATAGAGGGGACTTCCCCAAAACTCCTAAATCCTACAAGTGCCTTTACCGCTTCTTCCACCGTCCTATACGCTCTACCCGAATATCCTAAAATCCTCTTACCTAGGCAGGTGTGTACGTCTACCTATATAGCTTATATCATAAATCACATAGCTCGTTACTGAAGCGTTATCTATTGACCTATTTGCTAGTCTTGTGTATACTAACGAGGGTGATTTAGGAGATTAGCTATAAGATTCTAGGTCTCAAGATTGGTCTCAAGATTGGTCTTGAGAATAGCTGAAATCGAGATTCTGCCGGTTTGAAAATCGCTAACTAAGAGTTTTGGGGAAGTCCCTTCTATCGTCCGCTGTAGTCTACACAGTCCAGAATAGGCTAAGAAAGTATTGTCAAAATTCTACTTTTCACCCAACATAATCCAATGAAGGTTTACAGTTGGACGGGCCAGTTATTTCACACATTTATTTATTGCCAAGCAAATTTAATCATTAAAATAGGCAAGACATTGACTAAGAGTAGAAAGATCAAGCAAAACGCTGAAGAACGAGGGAAATGAAATGCAAATTGGAGCGTTATAGACGCCGTATATACCGTTCTACCTTATCAACCTCCTATAGTGAGTAGGTATCAAACAAAAGACAAATCACCCAGCCAAGATTGCACAAGAAAACACAAAGCTAGAGAGGTCAATCTCCCCTACAGACCCGCAATATACATAAGTCCATAGCCGATGGTTACAATCACCACAAAGGCCATCAAACTCGACGGGATACCCCGGGTAAGGAAGTGGCGGACCTGGAGGTAGCGCTGACCGGTCTGGGGGACTTCGGTCATGATCGCAGCTGGTGGTCAAGTCAGTAACAAGATCAAACGACAAACAAAAAGTTGGTAAGTGACGTACTCATGTTAGGGAAACCGCTCGTGGGCAAGGCCATAGCGACAGAGCACATCAGGGCGCTGGCCATGACAAGCAAATTGGGGTGAGGGTTCTCCATGCCGACGCCGATCTGGCGAACGAGAGGGAGTATAATCAAGGCGGCAACAGTGTGCGAAATGAAAGTAGCCATGACGAGGATCAATGCCGAGAAGACGAGAAGCACACTATAAAGGCTGAGATGCTCGACCTTGGCAGTGATGCCAGAGGCAATGGTGTGCAGTAAGCCGGACGAAGTGACGGCTTTGCCGAGGCATAGACCGCCAGCGGCGAGAATAATAATAGTCCACAGGAAATTGTTGAAATCCTCCTTGTTGAGGATTCCGGTTCCAAAGAACAAGACCAACGGGATGATTGCAATCACACCCATATCGCCAAAGACATGTTCGAGTTGATGGCTCGCACACCAAAGAGCGATGGTCAGCAAAGTGACGGCACTGATAAAGTATTGAATGCCAGTGAAGCGATCCTTGACAGGGCGAATGGGGATCACAGTGGCGTTGCGGCCGGGGTTGAAGGTAACCAACAGAAGACCCCAAATCATGAAAATTGATATAATGCAGACGGGCAGCGAGATGAAGAACCAAGTTCCCCAGCTGATGCTAGGATACATGTTCTGCAAAGCGATGATGTTCTGCGGGGATGCAATTGGAGATGCAGCACCGCCAACATTGGCCGCCAACGCAATGCCCAAGACAAGCGCCTTGGCAAAATCGGAATCGGGGGACAGGTTACGGAGCAAAGGCTGAATGATCGAGTAGCAGAGCACAGGAGAAGCAACGTTACTAATCCACATACTCAAGAACATGCTCACAAACATGTTTGTGAGCAGGACAACCTTTGGCTTCGACCCGGCCTTGCTGAGGACGAACATGGCCATACGTCGGGCAATGTCGTATTTGGAGAGCGCTGCGGCAATGGTGAAACCACCGAGTAGCAGCATGATCACCGGAGTCCACATTGATGCAAAGACCATGCTGGTGGCCTCTTTCGGACCTAGTCGCTTGTGAGGTTTATCATCGGATCGCATAATACCCAGGACGACGACTAGGAATGGGATCAACAGCGAAGTAACGAAAAGCGGGATGGCCTATTGGGAGGTTGTCAGTGAGAGGTACGGCATTTTTTATTGGAGAAGGGATTCTTACTTCAGTTGCCCACAGGATGCTGACTAGCACGAGCATCGCTAAACAGTTTTGCTGCTCGACGGACTCCATGATTGGCACCGAGAGCATAGCTCCGAAGACAGCAAGACTGAACACCAATGTGCCAAAACTCAAGCTGCACAGCCACAAGGGGAAGTGAATCCGACCTAGGGGAGTAGAAAATTCTTGGGTGCGAATCTCCTGCTTATCACCTTGGCGTCGAGCAGTGGCCGGGTCTTCATCACCTCCCAGAAGAGTTCGACGGATACCTACATTGGCAGCTTGGGCACGGCGTTCAATCTCGATCATCTCACGCCAGACCGTGTTTCGCTCCCAGACCACATGCTCACGCAGGTGTAGGCGCAACTCGCGGGTAGCAAGCTCACGGTTTCCCTTGGTGACGATATCTGCGTACATGCCCTCGACCTTTTCGATGTGGTTGTCCACAGCAGCCATGGTGAGATCGGTGAACGGGACAGCTGGGTGTACCACAGTGGCCAGGTAGTCTCGGCGCATGTTGCGGAACAAGGTCTTGTCGTACTTCTTCAGCGCTTTGGAGAAGCCGGTCCTGTTCAACTCAATGAAGGATCTCAGCTCGCAGAGGGAGACATATGACTCGATTAGACGCTTCTTGAGCGATACGCCTGCATTGTACAGAGCCAGGAAAGCCTGGTCACTAAGTTCAGAGTCTCGGCGTAAGCGACCACTTGCCTGGCCAAAGAACGTGGAGTCTGCCATGTCGCCCGCGTGGGGGTCATCGGTCGTAGACTCGCCATCAGTAGACGTCCGTTGGCGGAGGCCGAGAGCTGCCGGGGCGGCATGCTCATCGTCGCTATCTACGTCGTCTTCACTCATAACGCTGGAGCGGCGGCGCTGGCCATTTCCATAATTGCGGAAGACACTTCCTGTGCCTCGCCGCGAGCTCGAGCTCAAAGTCCTGGCCTTGATAATAGTCTCGCTGACTGGGTCCATGTTGACCCCATCGGTCTCTGACAGATAACCCATGGCCTCGTGGATCAGCTCATCCGTATTTTGAAAGATTTCAGCCTGCTTCTGCTGATAGAAGGTACAGATCTTGTCCAACTCCGTGTCTAGGGCGCGCTTGAATATCCCATCTGGGTTGTTCACCTGAGAACTGCCCAGCAGCGGAGCGGACTCGACATCTGCACCGGATTGACCATCGGGACGGTTGACTTGCTTCTCAAGTGTGTATATCCTAAACAGCAAAAGCACAAGGTTAGCAACCTGAACTAGGACTGGGGCACCCCACACATCGACATCCACGACATCCATGTGAACCACACAATTCTGTGCAATGTAACACCCGCGCGAAGTTGCATCTCGAGCCGTCACCACGAGCGCATATCCAAAACATCCACCCAAAACGGAAGGTAGTTACTTGGACACTCCAAAGAGGCAATAGAACTGGGCCAACTTACAATTTCTTGAGATTGCTGTACGCAATGTAATTGGAGCTCCAGTCCGGCACAGCATTGAACTGAATGCTATGCGAGAACTTCATCTTGGCGGTAGTCTCGAGATCGTTGTCACCTTGAGCTTGCTTTGCACGATGAGCTCGTCGTCGAAGGGCCTCAGTCCAGAACCTGAGTCTAGTGGAGCGGAAGCCCCGCGGGCGCTGTTCGAACGAAGCTGTTTTCTCCCAGTCTACCTCCCCGTTTGTGCCCGACCCAAGTCCTGCTAATGACCGCGAGCTGGCGGCTGGCTCAAAGGGCCGAAGGGTACTTCCGAATCGCTGTGCGCGAGCAGTTGCAGTCTCCGCTGGTCTGGCCTCGGGGGGTCTGCCAACGGTGTTGAAATCGGCGAGCTCGTAGGATTCACGGTTCGAGGGGGGAGCCACCGTCGTTAAGGGGCCGGAGGGAATTCGGCCTGAGTCATGTAAATGTCCAGCAGGAAAGAGGGGTTATCTCAAAAGAAAAGAGGAGATATTGCGGGGCGCGCCAGGCGGATCAAGGTGTGGTCAGCTGAAGCCGGTTGCGTGAAATGTGTGGGTTGCACTGATGGTCAGGCCTGAACTGAATGATGCGCGGCTGATAGACACTGTCTTCAATGCTTGTTTCTTATTCTCCGAGACACGACCAAAGTCTAACGAGGCATCTTCCTTGCTAGAGAAACTGCTGGGGGTTTCTCGCGATGGTCGCGAATGGCCTCAGTAACTGGTGTGCCCAATCGGGTATAGACTGAGAGGTCTGAGTAAGCGACTTTGCCGCAGCCTATCAATGCACCGCTATTTCTAGCCCAAGTGGAGAAACTAACTATGAGCTGTCAAATGGTAGTGAGCCTCGATAGGAAAGAAAATAGTGAATGCGAACGAGGCAACAACCTAACTACGGTAGCTCCATTGTCGGAGGAAATTGGTGATTGTGCGGACCTTATTTCAGAAAAAAAAAGAGCGAAATACAATCAAAACTCAAAATCCATATGACCAGACTAGATATACTACATATACAGATGATGCTGAAAAAGGAAAGCTCACATCCCATGAGCAGGAAACCCGACTTTTCAGACACATTAAAAAAACAGTTGATCGGTTATAACAGAGAACCACCATAGTCAGCTATTTTACCGACGACGAGGCGCAAGTCCCAGGTTCGCACGGCCAGAAATACCAATCTTGTGCTGCTGATCTCTGCGGTCCCACACACCACTGCGACCCTCGGCGACGGCTACCAGCTCGTTGGCAACCCGGTGGGCCAGCTGTGCGTCACGTCGCTTCTCCGATGCGTCCAAAATCCACTTGATTGCGGCACGGCGACGTTGGCGGAGGTTGAGGGGGTGGGGAACCTGCACGGCAGTACCACCACCAGCGATACCCTTCTGTTGGCGAATGCGGAAGAGAGGAGCCACCGAGTCGATAATGCAAGTGAGGTAGAGGACGGGGTCGAGGGGCAGCTGAGGAGCAGGAGGGCCACCCATGAGAGGACGACGGGGGTTGACGTTGGGGGGAGAAGAGGTGCGGAGGTGGTCTAGGATAATAGACATGTTCTAGAGAGATTGGATGTTAGTTTCTTTGTCCGAAGAAGAGATGACAAGTTTATCCCACCTTTTGGGCGCGGGCCAGCTTGCCGTCCTGCATGAGCATCTTGGTGAACTGCTCCTGCATCGTGTCGTAGCGTTTCCGGAAGTTCAACGTCTTCTTCTGGGCCGGCAGGACTGGCACATCAAACTTCAACCCCTCGGGCAGCCGCGCAGCAGCCTGCTCGTTCACCTGCTGGATCATGTCGGCAAGGACAGCAGCGGAAATCTCGTCTTGGGGTTCAACGTTCTGCACGTCGGGCAGACGGCTGCGAGCCGAAGTCGAGAACGAGCGAGAGCCACCGGCGCTCTTCTTCAATTGATCTTGCATGACCTTGGGCATGTGCTTCAAGCCTTCCTTGTCGCGCTTCAGGATCTGCCCGGTAAAGAAGTTGTCAATTGCTTTGTCTCATGGTATATCTGCAAGGAAGAGGTCGTCTTTAGGCCACTCACATCAGCAACTGGGCTCCCTTGTTCCAACTCCGGACTTGACGGCTGGCCATCACAGCTCTTCTCCTTGCTCATAATGCGGTCCATCTCGGCAGCCTCCTCACCGACATGAGGAAGCGGGTCCTGGGTAGGGAACCTCTGTTCGTCCGGCGAAAGACCCTTCTTATTGTTCTGTGACGAGTTCCATCTCTTCTGGACTGGAGCCGACTGGTCGCGGAATCGGAGAGGGAGAGCGACGCTCCGCTGCGCGCACGCAACGGTGGAGGACTGGCGAAGGGCGGAAGCCGCCTTGTTGGCTGTGAAAAGGCTGATCCTGGGTGACATTTTGCGAATCAGTGACCCCTGGGGCTCTGGATTGAGTCGTGATCAAGATTCCGATCTCGATGGAGACTCGTCGTCGGGCTGCGGTCTGCAATTTTCCCGGATTTGCTTAGTCAACGGCTCCTCGCCGCAAATGATGTAAACGCACATTATTACTTGCAAAGCCAGGCACAATAATTCCTTACTACGAACTGTCTGATACCTTATCGGATAGAAATACTTTCGTTTGACTCACTGGCTAGACTATTAACTAATTTGCCAAGCTTTTTTGTGACTCTTTGCCAACATGGGGTTTTCATGAAATACGACCTCTGACACCAAAACTCCGCTATGACTTGCGGCTCAACCACCAACAACACGAGTTTAGAAATCTACACAACGATGACTTTTAAACCCTGGAAGTAAACAGCAACCAGAAAATAAATATTTCCAAACATGAGGCTCTCCGAACTTCCATCGGAGATCATCTGCAATATTGCTTTACATATCCCAACCGCTAACGGGATAACTCGCCTCGCACAAACATGCCGTCGAATATATAAAATCATCACTGCCGAGGAGTCATGGCTATTTCGAGCATTTGTCCAAAACAGATTCCCAGCAATCCAAACGCCACCCTTTTGGAAAGATGCAGCATGTGCTCTTACATCGCGCTCACGCGCCGTGGATCGACTGGGCGTAATTGGGCGATTCGTGATCCTGCCCGAGACGATCACGCGCATTGGAATTCAGGAGGAAACCCGACAGGACAATCCCACTATGGGCTATCGCCCTCCCATTGACTCCTACGAGACTTGGAATGGTCAGTCTTGGGCCGACAGGAAAGAAGTTCTTGCATGGGGTGCTGGTGAAAAACTCTTGATGCGCACCAAACAGTCCGGAACACAGCACCGAGATGATTGGATCTTATTCAACGACGTGGACCAGCCTAGCAGCCATGATGATATCCTGGGCTTACACCTCCTACAGCCAGAGCATGGCAAAGAGAATGACGTTGAGAATGTGATATTTGGACGGAGACAAGGCGATATTCGCCACATCGCGCTCTCCACCAGTGATGCCAGCCACGAGTACAAGAAGACATTCCGAACCGAAGGGTTGGAACTCAACGAGACAGACCTGATGCATGGTTCTAATCCTATACTATGTGCTCAATTTCTTCAAGGTTCGACTGCGCTATATTACACTGGTACTGAAGACGAAAATGTCGAACCGTTCGCGTGGATTCGCCCCGAGCGATCATCTCGCGGCCGAAAGGCGAAGCTGCTGTCATCATCGCGGATTGCCGTGGCTACGATGGACGCCAACGATTCTGTAGTTATCTCAAGAATCTCCCCAGACGGCATCTTTACCGAAAAGACAATCGGTATTTCTTCCCTGGATGTGGAGGACAGATTGAGCCATTATACTTGCCAGGCCATTAGTGCCATCGAGCCTCTCAACAATCATCCTCTGGCCGGGTCACCTGGTGATGTTTTTCTTGCTGCATGGGGTGACCGCACCGTTCGGTAAGAAGTTATAGTTCACATATACTCCTGAATTCATGCTGACTGTATTTCTAGCCTTCACGATCTCAGATCCCCCCGGTCCTACGAAACCACATACGAAGATCCTACGGATGACAATTTCATATACAGCGTGCGCGCATTTGGACATGACCGGTTTCTGGTTGGATCCGGCGGCAATGCTCTGATAAAGATATTTGATCTCCGTTGCACCAGCTATAGTTACCTCGAAGCCCAAGGTGCTCGACCAAAAGCACCCAGCAACGTACCAATGGCCCATAACCATGGTCAGTATCCAAGCAAGGATTTCAACATCTTCCTTTCCGCCCAACCGCCTACTTTCTTCAATCGACATATCAATTCCCGTCGACGCAGAACCGGTTATCCATACCGAGGCCCGATATACAGCATGTCCATGCCCTCGCCGTCCTCACCAACCGTCTATACTGGGGTAGCAGGCGGGCTTATCCGGCTTGACTTTGCATCAACGGATGATCTGACTGGAGCAGCGAAGGAGTGGTACGATTCCAATCTCAATCTTGGATTTGATGCAGAGATGAAGCCGGCAGATGGGTCGAGCTTTTTCACGGTGGCAGGATATGAGAGACCGGATCCACGTGACTTGACTACAACCTCGAAGCTGAGAAAGCAGCATGGCTCCTGGAATTTCGAGCTCAACGGTGCTCGAAAGGGTGTGGTGACCGGTTGGGATCATCGGTGGGAGGCGCTAGAGAAACCTGGGGCTTGGCGGCGACAGGATGGTTAGAGTCTACAATTGCATATCCTGCGTCTTTGTATAGAGTATTTCTATAGATTTATGTAGAAAGAAGTACGAATTTGTCTGAGAAAATTTGAACTTTTGGTGGTATTCTAGCAGGTACAAAGCAAATATGTGAGTAGCAAATCGCAGGATAAGAGAAATTCTTCCGAAGCTCCGTAAGCGCCATGCTGAGTGAAAAGGGTCGCTCGTCCAAGAGGAGCGAGGTAAGTGGACAGCGACGTGATATGATCATCGAAAGTTACACCACCACGTAACAGTAAGCCCATTAGCGTGTCGAACCCCCTCTCAGACAAAAAAACCAGAAAAGAATAACGAGAAACCGTCGAAGATAGAGCAACCCCCGCCGTTGGAAATGTTTCGAGGGAAAGCAATTGGATTCACGGTATGGAAACATCGTTTAATCGTCGAACTTGAAGGACTTGCCGCCCGAGATGTCGATGGGGCCACCACGGTAGGAGCCGCGCTTCTTCTTGTTCTTCTCCTTGGTGAATCCCTTGCCGCGAGTTACCGAGAGATCGGCGTAGGCGCGTTCAGCGTAGGCGTAGGGAACATATTCGTTGGAGATCGCGTCATAGGGCTGCTGGCTCAGAGCAGCCAGAGGGGTAGGACGGGCGCCAACGTGCTTCTTCTTGGCCGGTCCATTTCCAGGTGCAGGGCTGGCGCTGGAGGAAGAGGCTTGTGTAGGCTTGCCCTCGGCAGCGGGAGAGGCAGACATGGTTGCGCTGGTATCGGAAGAGGAGTTGCTGGAGACGGGGACGCCGCCAGCCTTCTCCTCATCAGAGCTGTCAGAGCTGTCATCCGAGGAAGAGCTGGAGCTGTTGGAGCTGGAAGACTCAGGAAGCGGGGTCTTTGTGGCCTTCTTCAGAACCTTGGCGTCAGCCTTCTTGGTGGCTTCGCCCTCAGACTCAGAGTCGGAGGAGTCAGAGGAGTCAGAGGAGTCGGAATCAGAGCTAGAGCTGGAGCTGGAGGAGCTGCTAGAGCTAGAGTCGGAGTCGGAAGAAGAGTCAGAGCTAGAGTCAGACGAAGACTCGGCCTTGGAGACCTTGGCCTTCTTCGTCTTGGGAGCCTCATCCTCAGACTCGGAATCCGAGCTGGAATCGGAGGAGGAGCTGCTAGACTCAGCCTTGCGCTTTACACCGGTGGGCTTCTTAGCAGCAGGCGCAGGAGTAGGAGCCGCAGCATCTTCCTCCTCGTCATCAGCGTCGCTGTCGGAGCTCGAAGAGGCGGAAGAGGAAGAAGGAGATGAAGAGCGAGCCTTGGGAGCATCTCCCATGCTGACGTCGGAGTCGCTAGCATCGCTGTCGCTGTCACTGCTGGAATCGGAGTTGCTGTCACTCTCGGAGCTGCTGCTTGAGTCGCCGGAAGTCTTGTCCCAAGTCTGGAAAAGCTCGATCAGAGACGGGGCGTTTTTGGCATCGGCATTGGCGTTGCCATTCTTCTTCAGCTCGTCAGCGAACGCAGTGCTGGTAGCGGAGAATCCATTCTTGGACAGGAAAGATGCGACAGCGCCGAGCAGCTGGGGAGGGAGAGTGGTGGTTTTCTTCTCGACCTGTCCATGGAAAGTCAAATTAGATCAATGTTCTGCTGTGTTTCGCGTAACGAGTGAAGACCCTACCTTCTTGGTCGAAGCCTTCTTTGAAGGAGCCATAATTCTGGAAGATCTGAGTATGTGTGTCTCAGTTGGGTAGTCACCAGCAATGACCGAGAAGTAGAACGGCACAAAGACGGAGATTGAACTATTTAGAGTCTCGCCTTTCAGGAACCAAAAAAAAGTGGAAAAAAGTATATACAAGGCGGTGAGGATATGTCAGACGGTGATTGGCGGAATGGTTCAATGATGGCGGGCAGGCGGTAGTCCAGATGTAAGCTGCACGTGACTGGGTGTTGGTCCTGTGGTGCCTAATAGATTGATTCTCAATATAAGGGCAAGAGTGAGATATAGAGAAGAAAAGATCAAGAGAAATCTGAACGACAGGAGAGAATTGTAAGAAGACTATCAATTACTCTCGTGCTCTTCAAGAGGTTCATAAAGAAGATATAATTCGCCGGAGTCGAACTAAACCAATGACTTGCTCCCACGAGCTTTCTCCGCCCTGCCCGCAACCCCAAACATAATGAGCTAATCGACCTCCGACTCCTCCCACTTAGCATTGCATCCAATGTGCCACCTCGTTGCGCCCTTGCTCGCCGTGATTGAACATCGTGCCTGCGTGTCTACATTACCGTCCTCAATTCCGCTCTAGGCACCGTGCGCGAGGAAGACTCCCGGTAGACTTACCCCGGCATCCCGACCATGTCTCCTTGATTTTGCGGATCTTACCAACGAACCCGGTGACCCCCGCTTGATAAAAGACAGCATAATGAACGGCCGTGATCGTCCCCGTCCACCGGCGACGAATGATGCGCGACGCGGAGCTGATCCTCGCAATGGCTCTGGCTCCGGTTCCGGGGATGGATCCATGTCCAGAGCCGAGAAGTTCGAGGACGAGAAGAAGCGCATCATTCAAAGTTGCTACTCTAAGAAGGATAATGATGGAACTTGTATGTGACAGGTCCCCATTTGCCCCTTTGCGACGACGAGGGGGGATCCCCCTCCCTACTCAGGGGATAGGAGCACTTCGGCCCCAGCTAGCCACAGCGAGGATAACAGCCTACTTGGCCGAGCTCGACGTGGCTATATCACCGGACCGAGAACTACCATACTTTTGGACACGCAAGCTGACTCTCTTCGTGCATGTAGTGATTGAATCTTATATTACGCACGTCCGCATCACGGAAGATGCGGCGCACCCCTCAACCCCTGCCCCACCGGACTCAGCTCCGGGGAACAAGAAACCTCGCGTTATTATAGTATCCGTTCGAAGATCAGGTCGTGTTCGAATGCACAAAGCCCGTGAGAATAATGATGGCACCTTCTCCATTGGAAAGACGTGGATGCTGGACGATCTTACGGGGATTCAGTCGTACAGCGCTTTTATGCCAAAGTCACCAACCGAACAACAACATAAGGACTGGGCAGGAAGTGTTGGATTCGTTGTTAGCGTGGGAAAACCATATTACTGGCATGCCAGAAGTTCCAAGGAAAAGGAGTTCTTCATTGGCAGCTTGGTGAAGATTTACAAGAAATATACTGGAGGCAAAGTACCGAATCTCATTGGGTTCGACGAGAGAGAAAGACAACTGCTTGTTGGCGGTACAGGTCCCTCAGCTCCTTCAGGCCCAGCTCCACCGGGCTCGCGGGGTGGTCCTGAGCCCTCGACGGATATTCCCTCCCCTCCTCAACACCCACCTCCGCCGCCATCATTTAGCCGCGATCCGAGTCGCGATGGAGCTCGGGAGGTTCGGCGAAGGCCCTCCGAGGACCCTGTTCTTCGGTCTCAAAAGAGCCGTGAGCAGATGAGTCGTCCATCTACTGCTTCAAAGCCGGCACCATCACCTTTCGGCCCGCCTCAAAACCCACCGCCTAACGTGCCACTCCCGCGCGCGGAACCGAAAAGCAGGGAAGCAACAACATTCCTGCATACCGGCGATGAGTCTAACCAGGGCCCTGCACAAGACGAAATTCGTCCTCCATCCTCTCGGGAGGGTCGCGCAGCAATTCCACCCTCCCTTCTGGCGGCTCGAGCACCCGAACCAAGACCCTTGGAACCCAAGCGCAGCACAGACGCTCTACGCCCCACGACACCTGGGTCATTCACCAGTGAAACCCGTGGTATCACTGCAAGCCCTGGAAGCGGCATTGGCCAGAAGTCTCCGTATCGTGATGCTCCTGAGAAACCGTCTGCAGTGGCCCAAGAACCTGCACCAGAAGCCATTGCTGCCCCTACAGTCGCTCCGGAAATACCCAAGCCTGCACCTCCACCCGAAGCAGAACCTCCAACTTCACCATCAGTTGCAGAGCCTGAAGCAGTAGCAACTGCAGCCGGGGCCGAAGAAACATCGAAATCTCCACCAGCAGAAACCGGTGTCTCCAAAGAGGCGACTCCCACTAGTCCTACGAAGGCAGCCGATGAAGAGACCGAGGCACATCGCCCAGGGCTAGGCCCAATGATCAAGAAAAAATCTGCAAAGGATATTGCAAGTGCTTTCCGCAAGGCTGCCACTACCTATGGTGCCTTCAAACCACGTCCTGGCGGAGCTGGGGAGCGTCTCCTCGCAGCAGCAAAGAAGCAACAGGCCGAGGCTATGGGCCCAGATGGCATCACTGGAGTTGTTCCCGCACCTTCCAGATCTGCCAACGATGCGTCGAAGACATCTGTAGATGATACTGCAGAGCGAGAAGCATCAGCAGCATCTGTGCCACCCGCTACTATTAGCCCGCAGCCCGTGACACCAACTGTTGAAGTCACGCAACATCTAGGCGAGGATTCTTTGCCTCCTTCAGAACCTGCACCCGCAGCGACGGAATCGAAAGATTCCCTGTCAGAACTCACAAAAGTGGACAGCCGTACCAGAAGTCCATCCCCCGGTGCCCAGAGTCGCCGTCGGAAACGCCGTGAAGATCACACCATCAAATACTGCCAGTCTCTTGGGATTGACCCCAGTGTTCTGGATGGACGGGGTATTGACTTTGATGATATTTTGACGGATTTGGGATGGAACGGCCGACTGGGTGACGAGCAGAAGATCGAAGATTTGGAAGCAGACGTCCGTCGGGAGATTGGCCGCGTTGAAGCAACCAGCTGGCTGGGTAACCTTGAACAGCAAGAAGGCAAGGTAGAGCAACTGGCTGTCCTGATCGACAAAACCATTGAAGAGTGTGAGGAGCTGGATGGCTTGCTCACGCTCTACTCGCATGAATTGAACACTCTACATGATGATGTTGCATACATTGAAGCTCAATCTCAAGGTTTGCAGGTGCAGACTGCCAACCAGAAGCTTCTTCAGAACGAGTTGCAAACTCTCCTCAAAACTCTCTCGATTTCTCCATCCGATATCCGTCCCCTCAGAGAGGCCTCTTTGACCAACCCCGATGGATTGAAGGAGACTGAGACTGCGCTCTCGACACTATACAAGGCGATGCTGATGATTGATGCTGATATTGGGCAAAACAAGAAGAGGCAGGCCGACGCCAGCGTGGGCGTTTATGCAAATACCGAGATTGGCCAAATGCGTGCAATCAAGGAGAGAAAGGGCGAGTATCGCCAAGCCGCCTTGACATTCCTTCAGCGTCTGAAACCATTCATGGCCGTCGCCTTGAAGACAGCGGAACAGAAAGGGGCGGATGCCGCTGTTGGCTCACCCAAAGACCCCATGAAGCTGGACGGCTCTGCCCGACAGAAATTCCGCGAAGAAGTATGGAGATATAATCCGTTGATGCTTTTTGCAAAGGAAGTCAGTACGTCGGAATGGCACGACCTAGTTCAGCTGTACGAGCAGCAATCCAAGCCGTCTTACCAGAATGACTTCCGCGACAACACGCTGGCGTGGAAGAAGGCAGCTCGCAAGCCTACTGGAGAGGAGCAGGAACTCCTCTTCACGCACCAAGAGAAAGAGAAAGAAGGCGAGGGCATCACAATGGCTGCTCGTAAGCTGACCGTTCGTCGCGGCAAGACCATCCGAGCTGCAACTGGTCTGCGCTTGGCTTCGAGCGAGAAGAAACCCACAAGCAAGGTCGAACCGTGCGAGGCATTCGCATCAGGTCTACGAGAGACATTGCATATGATTACCGACGAGCAGAACTTTGTTGTTCAGTTCTTCCACCTCGACTCTCTTGCTACTGCCGACTTTTCGGACCTGGTGGCTGCTGCAAGCCCAGAAGGTCGCCAATGCCCCGACTTCACCGTTAAACACTCCCCTGATCCCGACCGCCAGATGGCGAAGCGTGTCGAGCAGATTATGGATGAAATTTATGCTTTCTGGCCTAACGACCTGCAGAGCATGGTGGATTGGGCGGTGCAAGCTGATCCAATGTAAGTTGTCCTTGAATTCGCATTGTTTTACAATGCAACGGCCCAGCATACTAACAAGCATTTCCCTCTAGGCAAGGGATTGGCATCCTGTTCGCTCTCGAGTCAGCTATGACTGAACTCGACGACACTAATCAAGAATTCATCACTCACTCTCTGCAGAAGGTCCACTCGCGATTGATGGGCTTGTTCAATCGGTTCGTGGATGAACAGATCCGTGGTATTGAGGATACGAAGGTCAAAGTCAACAAGCGAAAAGGTGTCATTTCCTTCATGCGAATCTTCCCCAATTTCTCCACGGCTGTTGAAAACATGCTGGCCAACACGGTTGCCGAGACTTGTGACATCCGTGTAAGTGTGAATGATGCATACGACCGCATCAACCGGGCCATGTGGGAGTCACTCAAATTTATCGCCAAGGAAGCGCCTGGCCAGCCCCCGGAGTGGCTGCCAGCGCTGGAGATCCCGAGGACAAAGAGGTCCTCAACTACCACATTTTGCTTATTGAGAATATGAACCACTACGTCGAGGAGGTTGATGTACACAGCCTGCCAGTGCTCGAACGCTGGGGGGACCGAGCACGCCAAGACTTTGACGAGCACATGAAACTGTATCTCGACGCCGTCATCCATCGTCCCCTGGGCAAGTTGCTTGACTTTATCCAGTCCGTCGAAACCCTGCAGGCCAATGGCAACCCGGGAGAGATTGCAACGCGTGCCAGCCACTCCCGCATGGTGGCTAAGAAGGTGCTCTCCTCGTATGACGCCAAGGAAGTCAAGCGTGGCGTGGAGATGCTCAAGAAGCGAGTTGAGAAACACTTTGGCGATGCCGACGACCCTGGTCTTAGCCGCAGCCTGGTGCTCAAGGTGCTCCGTGAATGCGAGCTTCGCTATGAGAATGCATGGGACCGTACTCGGCACATTATCGATACGGTGTACGAGGGACAGCTGGAGATGGATTGGCGCAAGGAGGATGCCGTGACCATGTTCCGGAAATGAGGTCCCTGTTTGATTCATCTTGTTCCCTCTAGAATCTTTGATGTTTTCCCTGTCTTGCTTTTGGACGTTGCTTGTCGTGTTTGGGGTTTGCAGCGGACATTTGGGTCACATCAGCCGGGCGTATGGGATTTACAGTTCTTCATGTCTTATATACTACAACCAGCTTATGATATAGCGTTTTGTAGGAATTGTTCACGAGTGGTAATGGTTTTCCTCTATGATGCTATACTGATCGGCGGCCGTTCTCCGGACTTGGTCATTAGTCCTCATACCAACCCATTTCTGTGCCGCACTCCGATGATTGGATGGCTGCTCCAATCGGCCCACCGGTTCGAGGTCGTCCTCATTTTCCACTCAGGGGCACGCTCTGGTCTGTGCTTCTCTCGATGCTGACCGGACGAGCAGTTTAATTAGCTTAAGGTGGATTATCACGGAGGGCTACGTACTCCGTAATGAAACCAGACTGTCCCGGAGTAGATAACGGGCAAACCGAATCATCATGAGGTCCATGGTTAATTGATTGTAATTAAGCATAGATTGGACGGACGGGGTTCTTCCGAGGACTAATTGGTCCCTAATCATTTAGGGGCTGGAGGACGAGGTTATAGTTTGAGTCCTCCTCCCAGCTAATCACGCGATAACACTGCAATTGCGAGGGTAAATAGTCAAGCGTAGAAGCTAAGATTCAAGATGAAACTCGGTCAATCGATCTGAACAAAGTCACGATCAGATCTAGCAGTAGCTATCCTCCCCAGCCGAAACTCACAGACTTGCCAATTGGGCTAAGAACGGTCGGTGTGGGGAGAGAGACTGAAGATCGGTGATTTGCGCTCTCTGGGATCTTTTTCTTCTTTCGTATCGTCGCCGTCCATTCCTTTTTTTTCTTCTTCGTCTGTTGTATTCTTTGCCTTTGTCGATTCTTCTCGGGTTTGTCTATTCTCTCCATACTTCTCTTTTCTATTGTGAGTACCCCCCTCCTCTAGCAAAAGCCCCTGGTTTCTTCCCCACTGTTCCTCGCCAAGGGCTGGATGTTGTTCGTCTCCACAACGCGAAAGGTTTCGCAAGGGGGGGGGCACGGTTACCCAATGCGACTCTTTAGTCTCTTTGGACCCTTCGAGGCGTTGACGGTGTCGAGGGATCGTGCCAACTGTTTCGATCGTCTGCACTCTTGCTTCTTCAAACGTCTTTCCATCCTCCCCCCCCCTTTGGCCCCCAACAGCCCCGTGCCAATTGATACCACCACCGCGATCTCCTTCTTCCCCCCGTACCCCAGCGCCTCCTAATGATATGACCCGCTAGACCTCTCGAGCTGTCGCATACCTTTCATCGCAGCATTCCTCGATCATCCTTCCCCCCGGACCGAACGAAGCTGGAATCCTTCCCTGCATGTCGCGTTCCAATTGACCCAACCGAAATCCACCCCCGTCGTGAACCTCTCCCCGGGCCTCCCTTGCTGGAATTCTCGCGATCGGAATTCCCCAGTCCGCCCGTTGCGGGGATTGGCAACACAATCCTGAGCGCCGAAGCTCGTGGCCTCGACATTCTAGGATATCGCGCCGGCTAGACCAGGCTCGTCGCCGCTGCCATGCCCTGGCGGCCGCTGCCTCGCATTGCCTTTGCGGTGGCCATCTACCCGTTCCACCCCTCCTCTCCGGCAGACCTCCCCCTCGAACTCGGCGATGAATTGTATATTATCGAACAAGGCGGATTGGACGGCGAATGGTGCCGCGGATATCTCGTTGCGCCACCGTCGTTACTGGCGGGATTGACAAGTACCAAGGGTCAGACACTCGAGGCCCGCGTCTTCTCGGGTATCTTCCCGCGGAACTGCGTCGAGATTCGCGAAGTACTTGGCGACGGCGAAGGATATAATAAGGCTCTACTCAATGGCGACCGGAAGAGCGTAGATCGCCTGACCTTGCCAGGTCTGTCGGGACTAGAGGCCGACCTGGCGTCGCGCAACAGTGTGGCCTACTCGGTTACCGACTCCCAGACCGGCGGTGAGGTGTCTGAGGTGGTAGTCGCGAAGAAGGGCAAGCCCGCGCAGATTTTGATTCACAAAATCGACGAGTCTGATCTATCTAATCCGCCATCCGCTCATACCTTCCGAACCGGTTCGATCCCACATACGCCCGTGACTCTTGCTCCCCGCGATCCCGATGCGCCGAAGCCCGCTGCCCCCGTGCCGATGCTGAAGATTGGCGATGAAACGCCCACGTCTCTAACGGAGCCATTGGTCGATGAGATTGCCTCCTGCCTGCGTGAATGGCACTCCACGAACTTGCATGAGCTGTTGCTGGCTCGCCAGTATGATGTGTTGGAGGAAATGTCAACAATCGTTCAAGAACTGGATTTCGCACGGCGCCAATTGCTGCACAATGTCTTGACTGGTAAAGAGAAAGAGGCGCTTCGCGATGAGACAGTCTGGAAGCTTGTCAGGGCCAACAAAATGCTGAGCGGTGATACTATAGTACGAGACCCTGAGCAACGAGGTCGATTGTTGACGGGCGAGGATTCAGCCATTCAACTTGCGAAGCTCCAGTCTGAAATGAGCATGCTTGATAGCAGCCCTGTCGCCAATTCTGATAGCACCGCACTGAACCACCTCTTGTTGGAGATTAACGCAGTATCAGGAAATGCCCCGGGACCTGTCTCGCTTGGTATTCAGCTGTATTCGCGGTCTGACGCTGGCGCATTTAACCCGATGTCGGAAACATACAGCTTGGATATTCCGTCTCCTGACAAGTTTGTCAGCTTGACACAGAGCAACAAATTAAAGACATTGTTCACCGAGCTCGCTGCAACGGATATTGGAGATGGTTCCCAAAATGGTCGCCAACTCTACGTGGTTGCTTCTGTGCGTGCGGCCGAATCTCGATCGACCGTTGACAACACACCCGTTCCGAGATCGTCGATATCACGCGAAGGATCTACGGCTACAAAGCCAGCTGCAGCTGGTGGAATCCAGCCATCGGTCAAGGGTAGCCTCCGTACACGGCGAAGCATGATGTGGGCACCCAAGACTCGGGGCTCACCCAGTCTGGATCAAACACCCAGATCTGCTGCTTCAGGAGCTCCGCGGTCATCAAGCAGCTCGTCCGCCCCGCAAGAGCCAAAAACTCCCCAGCCGGCCCCGACGAAGGAGAGCTCTGCGATTCGAACCATCGGCGTGGGTATTTTGGAGGTCTCCCCAATTCTGCGACAAGACCGGGACACGGAATCCGTCATCAACATCTGGTCTCCTCCCCGTGACGGCGAAGAAGGCGAGGGCCACCCAGACGGGTTTGATAAGTTGCTTCAAACTTTTCTCCCCAGCCCAACGGGTCGGTATGTTCGTGCTGATACTGCTCGTCTGCACATACATCTGCATCCGTTCACGAGTACCGACCCAGAGGCCCTGGTGCGTCAGAACCCAACAATCCTCCAGGATGTTGTACAGACTCGCCGCATCGGTTTCTCCAAGGCGCCCACCAAGCCGCGATCAGATATCTACGTGACTATCTCGCAAGCGGTTTTCCCTACAGATGCTCTTCTGTCTCACCCAACGGCTGGTCAAATTCCCCTGCAACCAACCACCGACCTTCGGAACCTCCAGCTTACACTAGAAGTTCGCGATTCCTCTGGTGCGCGGGTGGATAAGTGTGTCTTCCCTTCATCTGCCAATACTTCACACACGGCATGGCGGACGACAATTGCCGAACGCGGCACACCTTGGTACCAGACTATCCGTTTGAACATTCCCACTGAGAAGATTCCCGGCTCGCACATGATCATGAGTGTCGCCGATGCACCCGAATTCCCGTTCGCCCTAGCGTGGATGCCTCTCTGGGACCAGCAGGCTTTCATCCGAGATGGTCAGCATTCTTTGCTGCTCCATGCCTATGATAAGCAGACCTCTAGTATTGAGAATGGCAAAGGCGCATACTTGAATCTCCCGTGGAGTGCTCTGGGCAAGAACGAGTCGGCCAAGGACGAAGCGGTTACGGGCCCTTTGGCAACTTTGCGCCTCCAGACTCATCTCTGCAGCACGGAGTACTCGCAAGATCAGGTCATTTTGAGCTTGTTGAACTGGAAAGAGCGGCCCGTTGATGAGGTACTGAATACTCTCAAGCGGCTGCTTTTCGTTCCCGAGATGGAGATTGTCAAGCAACTCCGTGGAGTTTTCGACGCGCTCTTTGGAATTTTGGTTGAGAATGCCGGCAACGAAGAATACGAGGATTTGATATTCAACAACCTGGTCACTGTACTAGGAATCGTTCATGACCGACGCTTCAACCTGGGCCCTCTGGTTGACCACTACGCGGATGAGCAGTTCAATTTCCCCTTTGTGACGCCATGCCTGATTCGGAGCTACCTGCGTCTTTTGAGTGCCGCTACCGATGTTCACCAGTCCCGTAATCTACGTGCCGCGTTCAAGGTTGGACGACACCTCCTGAAATTCATTATCAATGCGCGCGAGCAGCAAAAAGCAAAGGAAGAAGGTATCGGAATCACCTCAGTCCAGTCAACCTTCAACCGGGATTTGCACACAATTTTCAAATCCCTGGAAACTCTCATGAAGAACACCTCCCCAGCTCTGGTTGGAAGCAAGACTTTGATTGTGCAGCACTTCCATTCATGGTTACCCGAGCTGTCTAAGGTCCTTGGCCGTGACGAAATGATTATGATTGCTTTGAGTTTCATGGATTCTTGCAAGGATGTGACAGGCATGTTGGTTCTATACAAGTTGGTTCTCATCCAGAGCTACACCCAATTTGAGATCTTCGCTTCTGGAGACGAGAGACAGACTCTGATCTCCAGCTGCGTCGGCTGGTTGGCACCTTACTGGGGGTCGACTGCTAGCGTGTCTGACCAGTATCGTGATCAGGTTCGCCTCAGCAGTGCAATCGTGGCCCAGCTACTGACCCAGTCTCACCCCCAACTTTACGACTTCATGCCCAGCATTGTTGCCTCTTACTGTGCCATCTCTGCCGAGGGAGTGGATGATACGGAATACTTGTCCCTGCTCTTCAGCAAGTCCTTCCCCTTCCAAGTCAAGGTCTCCAAAACTCCTCAGAGGTTCGATGAAGCGTTGGTTGAGTTGTCTGCGATTATGGCCGCCATTTCCAAGATTATGACGCCCAAGACTCCCAATCTTAAGGAGCTGGAGCTGGCGACGTTTGTGGGCCAGGCACTCGAGGCCCACAACTCTATCATTGATTGCGAGGCCTACCCGGAGACATGGTTTAGCATTCACGTGTATAACCACCGTGCCGCAATTAAGAGTCTGGAACACCTTGCTCTGCTCCTGATTGATAAGCTACTGCCAGATGCTGATGACGCTGACGACTTTGATACGAAACTCTGGGAGTCATTCTTCACGACGCTACTCAAGGTGATTTCAAGTGACGCTTTGGCTCTGGAAACCTTCCCCGAGCAGAAGCGCCGCGCGGTCTGGAAGATTGCGGGCGATGTCCGTGAGCAAGGTGCTGATCTCTTGCATTCTACGTGGGAAGCAATTGGTTGGGACACTACCGATGAGGAGCGAGAACGATTCGGTCTGAAGAAGCTGGGTGGTTACCAGGTCCAATATGTACCGAACTTGGTACCCCCTATAATCGGGCTTTGTCTCAGCGTGCATGAGGGCCTTCGCCATGTGGCTGTTCACATTCTCCGGACGATGATTCTGAGTGAGTGGGACCTGAACCAGGACATCTCCATCATTGAGACCGAGATCATCTCTAGTCTAGACTCTCTCTTCAAGGTCAAGCATATGAGTGAGAGTGTCAGCCAGAAGATCTTCATTGGAGAGTTACTGGACTTGTTCGAGGGGGATGCCGAGTCTGATGAGGACCTGTTCAATGCTGTCAAGGGTCTCATTGCCACTGTCGATGAGCTTCTCGACCTCCTGGTTGCTTCGCAGAGCAGTACCTCGACTCAGAGCCTGCATGCGCTGAAGCTCATGGAGTATATGAAGGATATGGGCCGTGAGGACATTTTCATCCGTTATGTCCATGAACTTGCCGACCACCAGGCAGCCCATGACAACTTCACCGAAGCCGGTCTAGCCCTCCAATTCCATGCCGACCTCTACGATTGGGACGTCAACAAGCCTCTGCCCGAGCTTATGACGCCAGCCTTCCCAGCACAGACTGCATTCGAGCGAAAGGAGTCTTTGTACTTTTCGATCATCCAGCACTTTGAAAATGCCATGGCCTGGGCTCCTGCTTTGGCTTGCTACAAAGAACTTGCAGCGCACTATGAGAGTACGACCATGGATTTCGCGAAACTTTCCCGTGCACAGAGCTCTATGGCTCGCATCTATGACTTTATCGCCAAGGGCACCAAGCAATTCCCCCGGTATTTCCGCGTCGTCTACAAGGGTCTCGGATTCCCGCCTAGTTTGCGGGATAAAGAGTTTATCTTTGAAGGTTCCCCCACGGAGCGGATGGCCTCGTTTGTCGATCGTATGCAGCGGGAGCACCCTACTGCACAGATCATGTCTTCTGGTGATATCCCTGATTACGAGGGTCAGTTCCTTCAGATCACCGGTGTCACGGCCCATCGGGACATTTCTCATCCCGTGTATCAGCGGTCGAAGGTCCCTGGCTCTGTTCGTGAACACCTGCTGATCTCAGATCCGTCTCGCTTCTCGGCTACTTCGCGGCGACACACTAGCAGTTCGGATGTGCGTGAACAATATGTCGAGAAATTGATCTTCTCTACTGCGGAGCCCTTCCCGAACATCCTTCGACGCAGTGAGATTATTGCTGTGAAGGAGATTGCCCTGTCTCCTCTGCAGACTGCCATTGAACGGACATGGCGCAAGACCCAGGAGTTGCAGCTTCTGGAGCGTCGGGCTGCATCTGGTGAGGACAACGGCTTGTCGAATTTGACCGAGGCACTCGAGCAGTTGCTTGAGATGCGATCATCACCGTCCAACTGCGTTGCAGTCTACCGTGCGTTCTTGAGCGGTGCTCAAGGCACCAAGGAAAACGGCAACACCGCAGAAACAGAGGACGGCGATGACGAGGTGAACGATGAAGAAGAGATCCCCGAGACCATGGACCCGATGGAGAATGCTCTTGCAGTCGCTCTCATCGACCATGCCCTGGCCATCAAGCACGCTCTGTCGCTCTATCAGCGCCCCGCTCAACAAGCTACCCAGGCTGAGCTCCTCCGTCGTTTCGATGCAGTCTTTGACCCCGAGCTTGCATCCCTCTCGACCACCCCACCAGAATACTCATCGCCGACACCCACCCAGCCAACTCGGCGGTCCCCATCGTCTGAGACGCGTCGCAAACAGGCTGTGCAGCGATCCGTCAGCCCAGAACAAGAGCTTATCCGGGCGTCCCGGGGTAATACGCACAACCGTAAGCGCTCAGAACGGCAATCGGTCAGCCACCGGATCAGCATCATCAACCCCTTCAAGCGGTCGCACGGTGCCTCGAACTCTATTTTCACTATCCAGCAATCACCCGAGAAGGCCCAGAATGGCACGGGTGACCTCGACGAGGGTGCCGAGGACGACACCGCCACTATCCACAGTCGAGCCACGAGTCAATCGCGGGGTGGTAAGAGTGACAAGCGTCGCAGCTGGTTCGGCGGAGAAAAGATTAAGCATGGATCTTCCCCCTCCGTAGCTGCCGTCAGCGAAGAAGTTCACGGTACAACTCTCAAGAAGCGGCCCTCGCGGAGTGCATCCCGCGACACAGCCGCCCAGTCTCATGACGGCCGCAGCCGCGCAGGCTCCCAGCATCGCGGACCAACTGCTAGCGGTGCCGTTAGCTCACCCGTCGAGCGACAAGCCCCTCCCGCATCGAGTGGAGGATGGTCTACCATCCCATCGACGCGCGATTATTCGCGCCCAGTGACTCGGGACAGTACTCACACCGGTCGCGACTTGACAGGCAGCCTGAACGGGACGTCGCGGGCATCAGTATCTGCGCAGCCCGTCACTATTAACCCGAACAAGGATGGAATGCGCGACTCGGTTTTCCGACGGTTCAGTCTGTTGAAGGGTGTCAGTCGTAAAACGAGTCGGATGGATTTCAAGGCTAATGGCACCTTGCAAGAGGAGTAATGTTGGTTACCCGCAATATAGTTCTTTCTACATCACCATTTCCCCCCCCCCCTATCACGTTGACGCTTTTCTTTCCTTTTCCTTTCTCTCCCTTCCTTCTTCCTCTTCTCTTCTCGATGTGACTTACTACTCCTTTTCACGTAACCCTTTCCCTTCCCTTTCTAATTTTCTTTTTGATTCTCCCACCCATTTGAGTCGATCTCGTTGTTTCCCTTGTCTTTTTATTTGTCTACGGATCGGGGGACTTTTGTCTGTTTTTTGAGGGGTGTTTTGAGATAGATACCAATGTCGTTCTAGTTCCTATCTCCGCATAGTCCAGTCTGTACTTTGTTTATGGATGTATGGTAAATACCTCAATCTTTGTATACAGATCATACTCCGCACGGAGCACCTTCGTTTAAATGACCAGCCACATTTTACTATTCGTTTAGAACTTGGCGGTTTCTGACCTGACAGCTTTTCGGTCAAACTCTCAGCGTCCTTGGGACTCCCAATGCATCGTATGTCTGTGGCAGTGCATTCCTTGGCCTTCAGCGGACCCAATCAACATCCTCGAGACTAGTGAAAAGGGTGGACCCCTCTCCGATCAGCGTCCAAGCTTCCTAGTTCCTGTACTCTTACTGTACTCATACTCTACCAAGTTGCTGTACTCCCAAGCTCTCCTCGAAACCACGCTAGTGTCGCTGTATCAAGTCAATCGAGGCTGTGCACGTCTGTTTTCCCTCTCTCTTCCCCCGGTCCTGGCGCTTTAACCCTTTTTCCACCACGGAGCTTCCTTCCCCCTTCCCATTCCCTTATCCACCCATTATTCCACCCATTCCACCCATTCCACCCATTCCACCCACCCCGCCGGTTACGTCGCAAGTTAACCCACTGGAACCACGGATTTGTGGCTGGAAACATCCCCGCCCAATTCCTCCGTTAGCCCATTTGACTTCCTTGGACTTTGTTCCAAGCTTGGCTACTCGACGAATCCAACAATATGTGTAGGTTGAACCCTCCTCTCTCCTCAACTCTGTTCTCGACTTCTCTCTTCCCACTCTTTTTCCTCCTTTGTCTCTCCCACTGCTATCCATTCTCTTCCCTTCCCCTTCCGCCTCTTTCCGACGAGACCGTTTGCTATCCAATGACCCCGTGCAACTGGCGACTACCCGACCTTTGCACATCTCGCTGACGTCTCCTTCCCTTCCTACTCGCTAGCTTCCGTCGGGTTTCGCTCGCAAGTCCGGAGCCATAGCTTCGGTCTTACCAGGAAAATGACTTCCTCTAGCAATAACCGTGTCGACGCTGGTGAGCGCACCGCGCTGTTGGGTCATATTAGCCACTCCTCGTCATTCTCCGGCCTGGCGCCGCATGAGCAGATTGAGCATGGTGCTCATCACCATCATCCCAAGGATGATCGGGTTTGGGTCCGCTGGCCTATGCATGTCGTGCGTTTGACCTGGTTGACTTTGGTCCGTGATTACGTCAATCTTCTTTTGGTGTTCGTTCCCTTGGGTATTGTTGCCGGAGTGCTCGGTTGGGATCCGAGTGCCATCTTTGTGCTGAATTTCTTTGCCATTATTCCGCTTGCCTCTTTGTTGAGCTTTGCGACGGAGGAATTGGCTGCGACGATGGGTCAGGCTTTGGGTGGTTTGATGAATGCTACTTTTGGTAATGCTGTTGAGCTGATTGTAAGTGCTGGAAGCGTTCTTGCCAAGTTTTGATTTCAAGTGAATGCTAATGACTTGGGTCTCTATAGGTCAGCATCATCGCCCTCAAGGATAACCAGATCCGTGTCGTCCAGGCCAGTATGCTGGGTAGTATTCTCTCCAATATCCTGTTGGTTCTGGGCTGCTGCTTCTTGGTGGGCGGTCTGCGTCACCGCGAGCAATCCTTCAACAGTACAGTGGCTTCTACAATGTCATCCCTGATGGCGGTGGCCTCTGCCTCGTTGATTATTCCGGCTACTCTCTACGCCGCCCTGTCCAAGTCCGAGCAAAGTGCACGCGATAATATCCTTATTTTGTCCCACGGTACCTCCATCATCCTGCTCGTCATTTACGTGATGTACCTCTACTTCCAGCTCCGCTCCCACGCCGATCTCTTCGAAGAGAGCAACGATGCCGAGACTGCCGAAGGTGGCGAGGGGGAGGAAGAGGAGGAGCGTCTGCTCAACCCCGTGGCTGCTACCGTGGCCCTGATCGTCGTGACTATCCTGGTGGCCATCTGCGCTGATTACCTGGTCGGTAGCATTGACAGCATTGTGGAAAAGACCGGCATGAGCAAGACTTTTATCGGTCTGGTGCTGATTCCCATCGTTGGTAATGCCGCTGAGCACGTCACTGCGGTGGTGGTTGCGTACAAGGATAAGATGGATCTCGCAATCGGAGTTGCTATTGGCAGCAGCTTGCAGATTGCCCTCTTCGTTACTCCCTTCCTGGTCATCCTGGGCTGGATCATTGGTATTGAGATGACTCTGCACTTCCAGACCTTTGAGACTGTCGCATTCTTCATTTCGGGACTGGTCGTGACCCTGTTGATTCAGGATGGCAAGTCGAACTACCTGGAGGGTGGCATGTGCCTGGGAATGTATGTCTCTCCCATCCTGGAATTACACTCACTTGATCATCTTCTAACCCTCTTTTTTACAGGTACCTTATCCTCGCCCTGGCATTCTATGTCTACCCCGATGATGTCGACGAAGGAGTTGGCGGTATCTTCAGCAAGCTCGTCAACTGAGCTGGGATTCCCATATTTCCAAAATTGGAGGAACTCTCTTTGGGAACCATCGGTCTTTACTCCCCTCTTTTCCTACTTGACTAGTAGTCCAACAGTAGGATTGTGTTCTATATTTTGTCTCCGCGCACGTAGCTAGCTGGTCTCTTCGTTGCGTCTCCTGTGCCCCACGCACCTGTTTCGTTTTCCCTGTTCAAAACCACTCAAAATTTATGCGTCCATAGGTTCTCCTCAATGCAACTCTCATCTACTCTATCTGAATGCTCTGTCCACGTGCTCATTTACTCTGTTCTTAAAACGCGGCAATCTCCGACTGGCTGATTATGTCATTTTCTCCCTGTCTTATCGGCCTTATCGGGAATTATGGGGCCGTGGAGTAATCGTGATCACCTGATTGGATGTTTCCAGCATCGTCAAAAGAATAGCGGATCCACTCGGCGCACTGCATCTCCTCGACTTACTAGTTCGGAACAGCGCCGATTCCACACCTTCTCTCCTCACGCGGGGTCCAGCCTATCAATTACCTAACTCTGCCAATCTCTGTGTGGGCATATATAAGTGGTTGTGCCTTCCATTTGCAACCTCACACATGTCACACACAGGCAAGATTCACCAGAGAATGGACAATTTGTATCGACACACTTGATTCTGCAAAATGGCCCTATCAATGACTTCCCTGGTGGCCGTTGCCATCGTGGCGCTGGTGGTATACAAGGGTGTTATCTATCCTGCCTTTATCTCGCCACTGGCCAAGATTCCGAATGCACATTGGAGCGTGCCCGTTTCTCCGGTTTGGATGTTATGGAGGCGTTTTCGGATGCAGAATAATCGCACTATTCAGGCTGCGCATGAAAGACTCGGTCCTATTGTGAGATTGGGGCCTTCTGAGATTTCGGTTAACTGTGTGGATGGTGGGATTAAGTCAGTTTATACGGGTGGGTTTGAGAAACATGAGTGGTATCCTCGGGTTTTTGGATCGCTTGGGTGAGTGGATCTCGTCTTTAAATGTTAATGGGATTATGTTCTGATCAAATTTCATATCATAGTACTGTAAGCATGTTCACCATGGTTGGAAGCAAGACTCATTCTATTCGAAAGAGGATGTTGTCCAATATCTACTCCAAGTCAACGTTGCAGACGTCACCCAATCTCCGATTGGTCTCCAAAGCGGTTATCCTCGACCGTCTGCTCCCTATCTTGCAAGAGGCTGCGGATTCGCAGAAGCCCCTTGACGTACACGACCTGAACCAAGGGTTGACCATGGACTTTGTCTCTTGCTACCTCTTCGGTCTCCAGAATGGCACGAATCATCTCCAAGACCATTCATTCAGGAAGCACTGGCTCCATATGTACCTGTGCCGGAAACCATTCGAGTTCTACCACCAGGAAATGCCGTATTTGAATGGGTGGATGAAATGCTTGGGTCTTCGCGTTATTCCCAAATACTGCGATGTAGCCAATGACATGCTAGACGCCTGGGCTCTTGACCTCTGCGGCAAAGCAGAGCAATCAGTGAATTCGACCGATCCATCTGTCGAACCTATTGTCTACAAGCAATTGAAGCAGAGTCTGGATAAGCAAGCTGCTAAGGAAGGCGTCAAGCCTGATCGTGCCGAGCAATTAAACGATATCGCATGCGAAATGTACGATCAACTCACCGCGGGCTTTGAAACCAGCGCCGTGGGATTGACATATCTCCTCTGGCAACTATCCCGACACCCAGATATCCAAGAACAACTTCGCGAGGAACTGTCCACCCTTGACCCTCCAATCGCCTTCCCCAGGTCATCGGAATTGCCTTCGGCAAAGTCTATTGATAATCTACCCCTGCTGGAAGCTATCGTCACGGAAACACTCCGTCTCCACGCTCCAATTCCCGGCATTCAACCTCGAGTCACGCCCGAACCTTCGTGCAGTTTGGTTGGATATGATAATATCCCTGCAGGAATTCGAGTCAATGCACAAGCTTACTCGCTGCATCGTAACCCGCAGGTGTTCCCAGACCCGGAGTCTTGGCAACCGAAGCGCTGGCTTAAGGAAGAGAACGATCTGGAAGAGCTGGAAGAGCGGCGTCGTTGGTTCTGGGCCTTTGGAAGTGGAGGGCGGATGTGTGTGGGAAGTAATCTCGCACTGCAAGGTATGTGTTGCAGATTGACTGTGAATTAAGTTGGTTGGACGATTTGCTGATGAAAACTATAGAAACGAAACTCGTTGCTGCGGCTATTTACTCCAATTTCCGCACCACCATCGTTAACGATGATGATATCGATGCTATCGATGCTTACACCGTTCACCCCCGAGGAGAGAAACTGATTCTAAAGTTTGAGAAAGTCTAGTACCCAGGGAAACCGATTAAGTAGAGCTATCAAGAATAGTGCTTTCCAAGACTGCCAAGATAATAATACAATCAATTCTTTTCAAAGGCAATGCCATGTTCCACGTAGGTATAAGTACTGTACAGATGCGCAAAATAACAAGACCAACTCCCGTATCACCTCGGACAACAAGGCCGTCACCAGTGTAGCGAACGGTCACCGCCAAGCCTCGTACTTGAGACTGCACTGGCGCTGGCGCTAGCACTGGTTCTGGCAAAGTATGTGTGATCCCAAAACTCCCGTATGAAGATTTCGATAAATGGCACGACACAGCTAAGCCAGGCCGTGCCAATCCATGCCGGAAACCGAAAATTTAACCCAAAACACCGTCCTTCTTGCGCGGTCCCACCACCTTGGGGTACATTCTCATCAAGTGGTAGTTGACAGTGTTCTTCTTGTTTTCTTGCGATTTCTGTATAGCACACGGGCATATTAGTTGGGTAGGTTCGGGATAATCGAGGTCGATGGATGGGGATAAGACGTACCGGTGCGTCCATGCACTTGCGCAATTGCGCCTCGAGGGCGGCGCAGCCTTCGTGGCCGTAGCCCTGGGAGGCCCAGCAGTCTATTTCACAGCGAGATTAAGTCAGTAATTGGTCATTTGCGAGGAAATTGGGAGCTGTGGCTCTAGCTGTCCATCGTGTGCAAGCATGCACATACGACCGATCGTGGCAGCCACTACCCCTGCAGTTTCAATTCTCAAGGTCCAACGTGCACATACTCAGCATTGAAGACATGACGGTAACGCAAGCGTTCTGCTCATGTTGATTCGGCCGGCGGACGCGGAGGTGGTTGATGGTGTTCAAACGGAGCGGGTTTAACCGGGTCGTAACGTTACCCTTGGGAGCCATGGCGAAAGAAGTAGACAGTCAAAAGAGACTGTAATAGGGGTGTGGGAGAAAGAACGGATCGAAGTGCTGCGAGGGGCCTCTGTGGACAGCAATCGAGATTGGCGCGCCTGCGATGGGATGCGCATCAAAATCCCCTCGAAGTTTTGGGCTCCGCGGAGGTGGATGACATAAGCAGCTTGGATCGGGGCGCCTGATCTGGAGCTTGCCACTTGCGAACTTGTTTCTTATGCAGGGGTTCATGAAGCTCTTTTTTTGATCATCAGCGACCTTACTACGTGTCTACGAGGTTGTTGAAAATGCCAGGATCACAAATTTGGAGCGCTCAGTTGTGTCGAGTGCCTGTTCGTGCATCGAGATGTACAGCTCCCGCGGCCCGATACCTGTCAACGTCATGTCAACGAAGACAACAGAGCACGGCGACTTCCTCAGCGCAAGATGATCACAAGAATGATCCCACACCCACAGAGGAGAAGGAAGAAGGTGCCATGGCCCGTCGTTTGTCGCAGATGACTGAGGATGCCATATTGGAAGGTGGCCGATCAGCTCGCCGCAACATTGAACACGCCGGGTTCTCGGAGGAGTTGAAGAGACAATTGGAGGAACGTGTGAAAGCAGCTTCATTTAAGAGTGAATATGCAGCAGCACACTCGATTTTGAATATGCCGGTATGCTCTTGTCCGAATCCGAACCTATGGTCTGATCTATACAACTAACATAGCGATCACATATATAGGCCAGCGCCGGTCAAGGAACGCGCGAGATAGCCGCAGCCCCAGCATGGACAGGCACAGAGAGCTTTCAAGACACAGCCCTCCGCATGCTGGACGACGCCAGCAAACCAATGCGAACGCCCTACAAAATCCCCCAACCCGTGAACCTCCAACCCGCTGCCAAACCCAGGCACTCGCCCGGAACCCGTCTCGCCTCCGCAAAAGAGCGCACATCCAAATACACCCTAAGCCAAGACGCAAGTCTCTCCGACGACCAACGGGCAGCCATGCGTCGAGAAATGAAAGAAAAGTTAATGCCAGGCGCTCACTCAATGCCCATATCCATCCAGGGCCTCTCATCGCTCGCGAACGAGCGAATCGAAGACGCCATTGCGCGCGGACAATTCGATAAAATCAAACGCGGCAAGGGTGTTAATACCGAGACGGATCATAATGCGAATAGTGCTTTCATCGATACGACGGAGTACTTTATGAACAAGATTATTCAGAAGCAGGAGATTGTTCCGCCGTGGATTGAGAAGCAACAGGAGCTTGCGTCCGAGTTGAGTCGGTTTCGTCAGCGGATACGTATGGAGTGGAGGAGGCATGCTGCGAGGTTGATTGCGAGTCAGGGCGGGTCTTTGGAGGCGCAGATGCAGCGGGCTAGGGGGTATGCTGCTGCTGAAGCGCGGTTGACTCAAAAGGCGAAGATGGATGCTTTGCTGAGGGATGAGAAGAGTGATGATTCGGTTTCTGAGATTGCCTCGGATGGACGGATTGTGTCGAGGTCTGCATCGCCAGAAGCAATCGAATCTACCAATCAAGAGGTGGAGGATACTCTGCATCTTCCACCGCTGCGAGATGAAAGTTATCTCGCTATTGAACGCTCCTATCATGAACTCGCTGTGAAAAAGCTCAACGCTATCGCCCGGTCATACAATCTACAAGCACCACGCTCGGCTCAGAAACCATATGTCAATCTTGACCGTGAGTTGAAGTCCTGCTTTGCCGAAGTCGCTCCGCAACTTGCAGAGGAGATACGACGACGTGCAACAGAGCGTGCACGCCCATCGGTATCCGTGGCTGCTCCAAGGTCGAACGTGCTCGGGTCGCTGGGCATGGCACAATCTGTGCATGTCTACGAGGAGGATAAAGAGAATGGGTATGGAATGAAGGAACTCTGGAGAGACTTATTCTCTAAAAAGGCATAAGAAATAAAGAACGGGAATAAAACAGGAGGCGGCATTGGAAAAGGTGCCGTGTGTATGATATCAGTCGAGAATCCCGTCTGCTGCTGGCACTCCAGGTGAAGATTTAGTTGTAATACCATAACCCGATTCACAATTCCACACGTCTTCCGTGTGAAACCGAACTCCCCATGGTGTCTTGAATAATAATGCGACACCCCAATCGATCCCGAGCGGACCATTGTGTCACTCCTCCTTTTCGCCAGTGATGCCCTCCGAGCCCTGTCTCTTGCGAGTCAAAACCACATCGCGGAGTTTTCTGTATGTCTTGAAAAGCGGAACCAAGTCGAGGACGCTCGCCAGCACCAATTCAAACGTCAGGAGCCCGCAAATGAACCACGCCAAGGTCTCAGGATCCAGCTCCCGGATGCCAGACACCAGGATGGGGGAACCCATCCAGACAAGGGCTAGGCTGGAAAAAAGTGCGAGTGATATGACAATCGTCACGACCCCGAAATGGAGTCGAAGAGAATTCAGCGTCATCCAAGTATCGGGAAGCTCTACCTCCACGGCTGTCTTTCGATCCGGCTCCCTAAACCACTTGGGGGTTATAGAGTTGCAGCCAACGGAGAAACCGAATAAGACGAGAAAGAAAAAAACACCTTGAAGCCTGGAGGAAAGGCTGCAAGGCCTATAGAAAGCAAAGAAGCTCAATGCAGCCATATATCTTAGGGTCAAGGCTCGGGGGACTTTCAAAAGAGCGGAGGATTCCACCGCCATGACGCCAACTACGGCGGGATTGGAGTTGACGAAAGGAAAAGCATCAAGAGGCTATCGCGTGTGACAGAGTAGGCCTTTGCTGGAGATGCGCAGTTCCCAAAGGCTCAGGTATAAACGAGGCACACAAACGAGAGTGCGCAAGTCGGGATACGAGCAGTATTAAAATCAAGTTGAAGGACGAGTCCTCTTCACCTTCGAAGAAGAGTTTGAAGTGGTTCCGATATTATGCAGACGAGGTGGCCGGGACCTTTTCCGTTTCCAGGTATTGACGACGCGAGAAACGAGCTCGTCTGTATCTCAACACGAGGAGAATACTGAGAACGACTGCTGGCAGAAGGACGAGGGATGTTAAGAGAAGCGAGGTTTCGTATGTTGCCGAAAGCTTTGCAATGGAGTCCGAATGACACTCGAGACTGCTGCACTGGACCGTGTTGAGGTCTCGTCTCAAAGGAATGATGAACTGATGCCAGGGGATCTTGGGCCAGTTGCCGGGTGGCCAACCAGCCTGGCCAATATCGGAATCACCAAAGGGCAGTCTGGAGATGATCTCGACGTCCCCTACCCAAATCTCGTTGATGGCGTTTCCTTGCTCGTAGAAATTTCCCGACTTGACACCCTTGACAACGGAGACTTTGTGGCCCATAGCTGGTGAGGAGAAGGTAAGGTGTAGAGGGTCATGGTAGAAGGAGAGAAGAAGAGCGAGGAAGAAGACGAGGATGGGGGAATTGTGGGCATTTCTAATATAAATGGCAGGAAGGACCATTCCAACAAGGTTGTTGTTGTTGTTGGAAGGTGCGATGCTCGAAGTATACCAACCACGTGACTGAAGCTATTCCCATCTTCACAAACTCCAAACTCCAGTGCTTTCCATCCTCGAGGATATCACAATATCAACACTCCTCATTGGATATCATATTCTCTACTTCTCTCCGTCCTGATTGGTCAGTGCTTGGTCCTCTTAATGCCAAGATATCACTGTGGAGACTCTTATCCCAGCTTCTGACTGGCCGCCCGTTGGTGATGATCGTGCATGCGGGCGCTTACTGGCGACCAACGACAGGCCTTGACGGGCCTCGACAGGCGAATGCTTCACCTGCAGCCCCGACGCTCTCTTCACATCGTCACACCCGGTGGCTCACCATGTTTTATACCGATCCCATCCCCGCTCTGCCGCCCCGTCACTTCTGGAAACACAATGTGCCACTCGCTCGCACCAGATTCGACAGCACCACCGCTTCGACATGTCGATCGGCCCAACTTAACTGCACGCTGCACTTGAACTTGAACTGACCTCTCCCTATTTCTCTCCCCCACCGTGACTGATCTTCTGGTCACAAAAAGGTGCCGGCGATGTCTTCCTTCCCGGTTACTTTTTTCTCTCCTTTTCTTTCGTTGCTTTTCCTTTTCCTTTCTCATACAGATTTGGTCTCTGGATCAAATATAGAGCACGTTGAACGCTCTACTGAGAATCGTCCTCCTCTGGATAAGGCGCTACTCGGGATTCAGATTGGCAGCATTGCGGGTGCCTACTTGATCTTTGTCGCGACTCTTCTTGCACTGCTTCTATTTGTCGGACGCAGAATTCGTCGGACAGTTCAGTCTTCCAACTACTCCCTTCAGATGGAAATGCTGCAGCCAGCAAAGCAACCCCCAAGCATGGATCCCAGCCCAGTTTCTCCTATTACCCAAACTCTCCCTAGTCCCACGGCGGGTGGTTTCACTTCCTCATGGGGCAGTATTCCTCGAGGAGGTCGACCATCTCAAACATCTGTCAACGGTAGTATGGTCACGATTGACGAGTCGGTCGTGGCTTCAGACCGTCAAAGGGCACAAGATCAAATGGAAATGCTCTATGCGGCAGTCATGGAGCATGATGCTCAGAAGGCCTCGGGGGTCAACATCTCTGCGAGAGATGCGGACTCACAGGCAAACTCCCCCGACAGCCAATATACCAATCCTTTCACCGACAGACATGCTTCTCAGCCTCTAGAGCCCTCGTACAGAGAGCCATTGAAGTCTCCGAAGTCTAACGGTTCTCGTCTTTCCAAGCTATTCAGCTCGAAATCGAGCTCGAACCCGGATGGAGGAAAGCTGCGGTCCCCGCGATTCCCCCTTCGCAAATTGGGTATTTCATCCCCACTTGCCTCGCCAGACATGAATGCATCTCGATCCTACGGCCAGGATCAGGCGCCGCTGTCTCCCAGATTCTACAATCCAGGACCACCTCCAACGGCTCCTCACGCAGGGCCCCCTGTTGCACAGATTATGGCCCCTCCTGGCCGAGCCCGGGCACCGCCAGCACCACTAAACTTGTCTACTGCTGGTCAGCCCCCTTCCAATCTGCCGTTCCGTGACGCATACCCATTGCAGAGCGCACCTGCAACGAAGACTACCATTTTGGAACGCCCTACGAAGAACCGCAACGGGCCTGTAACTGGAATGCCCACTCCCTACAGTGCTTACATGCCCTTCACGCCGGTAACGCCATTCACCCCCGGACGAATGGTGACAAAGCGTGATCGCCGGCGCGAGGAGCGCGAGAATGGCCTCCGAGTGTTGAACGAAGACGATTTGGTAAAGGATGACAAAGATGTATGGGGATGAGCACGAATTTGAAATCATTGCCCCTGTGTGTTTTAGTTGGCGTTGACGGGAATTTTGGTGTTCATTCAATATCATACCCCTGGAGGGCCAGTATATCTATTCTGCAATATCTTGAACCATCTATATACATTGACCGTATCTCACGTTTGATTTGTTATGTGCAACTGCGCGGGTCCATGTGTCTCACTTCTTATCAGCTTTCTTCAAGTGCTGCGTACCATTGATAATTGCCTCGGCATAATCTGCCCGACTTCCAGCCTTCTCCAGAGTCAACAGAGCTTGAATAGTGCACCCCCGCGGGGAGGAGATACTCTCACGAAGAACCGCGGGATGAATACCAGACTCGAGAGCAGCAGAGAGTCCCCGTAGACCGCCAAGCATCATCTCCATCGCATCGGATCGCTTCAGTCCTTCAGCCACACATCCATCCAGAATTCCTTCGATGGGTACAGTCATGGCTGCGAGCGCGGCACCAACAAGCACAGAACCAAGGTCCATTTGGCTTTGAGGAAGGTACTTGATCTCACCAACTTGCTTGAACATCCACTCGACGACCTCGGTCATATGCGTGGGAATTGCATTTTCAGGCGTCTCAATGATGGTAACCGACTGACGAAATTGTGCGCCCATGTTTGGAATAGCCTTGACGATAACAGGGTCCATGGCAGAGGGAGTAGTATCTGGATTGTCGTTTCCAAACGAATCTACCGCGTTCCCACGGATAATCCTGGCCAGATTCTGCGGCGTCTGTCCGGCCAGCAAACTGATGACCAGCTTACCAGAGAGGGCTTCTTCCACGCCCTTGGTTCGTAGAACGTCTTCTGCCATGAATGGCTTGAAGCCGAGCACGACAATATCGGCATTCTTCATAACCTCAACGGGGACAGCTTGCGAAGAAATCACTTCCACATGAGGCCGCTGCTCAGTTGGGATGGAAGCTCTTAACCGGTCCGCTGAGGCGGCAGTTTTTGTGCAAGCAACAAATTTGGATACTGGTCGTGTCCGCTGGGAGTTTGATTCATTTGAGAATGCAGCATCGAGCACGCCGTGTAGGATGGCGCCTCCCATATTTCCTGCGGGTTTTTATGAGTCAAAGTGTTAATTGTGGACTTGATGGGGGGTATAGTGACTAACCACACCCAATGAATGCTACCGTAGGCTCTGAGTATGACATTGTGCAAGATTGCGTATGTTGGTTTGGTGTATGTATGTGAAAGGTGAAATGTTTGGAGTTGAGAGAATAACGAGTCTGGAATTGGAGAGCAGAAGCAAAGAGTCGGAGAGGCGGTCCGAGGCTTCGGGTGCAGATGCCGATGTAGTCAGAGAATGGATACAGCCTGCTTGATTACCACAAACCCTTGATATTAGGTCCGTTTAGTCTAGATATATCGAAAATTTTGCATATTTCTCTCGTACAGTTTGCACAATCACATTTGAAGAATAAAATGCCAAATTTTAGTTGCAGAGCGATGGTCTCGGGCTTCACGCCGATTTCATGATCCCCGCTGATAAGATTGCAGGAGTGGGGCATTTAGCTGTTGTTCTGAACAATCTTGAAGAAGGTTTCTACATTTTATGATACCCCTAGTAAGCTTTACTTCTTTCTCATGCCCGAAATGCTCCATTTAAAGATCTGTTAACTATGAGATATAGGCATTGTATAGCAGCAATCAGCATAGGAGCAATTAGCATAGCAGCAATCAGCATAGCAGCAATCAGCATAGCAGCAATTAGCATAGCAGCAATTAGCATAGCAGCAATTAGCATATAGTTGCTTCACCTTCCCCTTAATCCAGAACATCAAAGCGTTCCATTGGCAATCTGTTCTCGCAACGCAAAAGAGCCATATAGATGACCCTAACTCACAATCCTTGGGACGTGTCGACCTTTTGATGCTTCGAGGCTGGGCCCTCATGACCGAAATCCTCATCGAACTTGCGCTTCTGTTGAGTTCCATGCTCCCGTTCACTCTTCTTCGCTCTGGTGACTGAATTTATAGGAGTGCGACGAGATATTACGTAGATTCTGTGCTGCAACGGGTCCTCGACCTCATCGGCCTCGATGTCCTCAGTTTCGACATCCTCAGTTTCGACATCTCCGGTCTCGGCGTCCTCAGTCTGCATGTCATCAGCCTCCAATTTCTCAGTCTCGGTGTCCCCGGTTTCGACGTCATCGGCCTCAACATCCTCTGTGTCTAGGTCAAACAAATTCCCATATCGCGAATCCCGTACAGCGCATCCTGGCTCCATGCCAAGTTTGTCAGGACGACAAAGGAAATCGTATGCCAGTTGTCTTATATCTTCCTGGCGCTGGGCATCGGAATCATCTTCCCTGTCCGAGGCAGTAGAGGCATCATCGAGGCTCAGGTCAGATTCACACTCTGGAAGATCCGAACGGCGACTTTGGCGAAGCTCCTTCAGCTTCACGGCAAAGCTTTGGTGCTGCTCGCCGGCAATCTGTGGTAGAATCTTTTCAATATTTTTGTAGTCAATATACCGGTTGATGGTGTGCTCCATGAACAAGATCCAGACGCGTTGGGGGTTTGTCTGTCCGATTCTGTGAATTCGGTCGATAGCGTGGAACTGTCCATTAATATGCTGATCAGGCTCCATCAGTACCATGTTACTGAACACAAGATGGTCATTCAGTCCGAGGGAGCCACAACTGTAGGTAGTCAGTAGTACTGTTGCCTTCGACTTTGGAGTGTTGAATGAGGCCATGATGTCCACGCGTTGCTGAGGAAGCAATCCCGGATGGATTCTCCGGTATTGAATTCCCATGGCGCATATAAACATTTCCACAAGCCAGAGCGATAATGGCCACTTGCAGAGGATGAAGAACCGCGGGGGATCTTTCAGAGCCGGCCCCGAGGCGGGTTCGTCAAATGCACCCATGGTGTCCATAATTCGCACCAGGTAACGAAGTCTAGGGCTGTCTTTTGCCAAGTATGCTGCCTGGGCAGCACGCGTGGCGGGAATTTTCTCTGTGTTGCGTTGTTCGCAAGTCGCAGCCCAGAAAACACTGAATCCGCGATCTTCTCCACTCAGATGCCCTTTGATATATGGTCTCAGTTCCTCCGTTTGGCCAAGCTTTCGGATAAACTTATCCAATAAGGGACTAAAAGCAAGTAAACTCAGGCGATGACGGCTTCGATTTCTCTTGGTATCTTGGACACCATCTTCGTCAACATCCAGAAATGCGTCATCTAGCATTTGAGCCTCGGTGGGACCACCGATCATGCATTCGTAGACTTGATTGTGATACGTTTGAGCCTCAGAGCGGTGTCGTAATTCGATGGTCATGACTCGAAGCGCCGGGGTACTTTCTCCTACCTCGTAGGTCTTTCCATTATCGTCATGGATCACATCACCCATGCTGCGCCGGAGCTCAGACAGACAGTTAATTATTGGAAGTATGTCATAGCCGATGTGAGCACGAACGGGACCCTTGTCGATCATGCTCTTCACCACCTTCCGTGCAAAAAGACTCTAAGGGCGCGCTTCTGGTGGAATTTGGTCAATTTCAGACCATTTTCGATAGTAATCGATTGTATTCTCGAGTCTTTCCCCTTCTTCAAGGCCGGGGGGCAAAGGAAGAATGAAGCGACCGTTCCCGAATTTCTTGCACTCGGGAATGGATTTGGACAGAATGCTCACATAGCCCAAGGTGTCCAAAAGGTTATTGCGAATCGGAGCAGCGTCGAGTAACCAGGTGCTCTCTCGCGTAAGCTTGGCTATGGCGTGATGTCGTTGGGTAAACGTCGATTTGAGATAGCTGCCTGTATCACAGATAATTCGACCCCAGTGGATACTGCTAACCAGCTTGTATATTTCCATCCAGCGTTGCTTTGCGCGGGCTTTCTTCTCCTTTTCTCTCTCGGCCTTGGTTTTCTCGGCCTTTGTCTTTGCCGGAGGAGGGCTACTCGCCTCTGTTGAAACCGCGTCTTCCTTGACAGTGTGGCCTGTAAGCATCGGAATATGGGTGGTGCTTTCTTCATCTTCGTCGTCAGACTCATCACCGGTCTTATAGAAACGGTCGTATCGAGTTTGAGGTTCGTCACTGCCCTGATAAAACGAGCGGTGGCCTATCCACCGAACTTCTCTCCTCTGGAAAGAGACTGTCAGTATATAAAGTTCTTGAGAACTTATAAGAAGTAGCATAGCTCATGAAAGACTAGTCCGCGAGAGCTCTGCTTCCAAATCAGATCATATGTGAATGGGAACCATACCTTATTGCTACGACGTAATAACGCATCCTCTATCTCACCTTGGGACCTTCGCCAGGTGTTGTAAGTGGTGAGAAATACAGTAAATGCTGTATGAGAGCTCCTGGAATCCAGAGCAGCAATCGCTTTCGCCAACTTATCGAGCTTGTCCGCCTCAGCGCCAAGAAGAAAGTTAGGCGTCGATACCGGGTCAGGGAGGATTTCTTGCCATCCATAGAAAAGGTGAAGCTTGATGGCATTACCGAACCGTACCGTGATCTCATCAAACCAGATATGGAATATCCAGCTCGGAACAACAATCAGAGTTGGACGGAAGACGGCATTTGGATCCAGAGCCCGACGCTTGGCATCGAGGAAAATCAGCGTTAACGCCATAAGGGTTTTTCCCAGGCCATATCCATCAGCGACAATTCCGCCCCGTATAGGTTCAGACTCTTGCGCCATCATCCACTCTATGCCCGGCGCTTGCCAAGGCCGTAGAGAAAATGGTGGTCTGCCAGAACTATCTCCAGGCTCAACCAGAGGGAGATGGGTGACTGGGTCTTTCCGGAGCCCAAGACGACGACAAGCCTCACCGACGGTGAGCGTCTGGTCGGTGGTGCTACGTTTCTCTACGGCAACTTCGCCTTGACCACCGACATCTCCACTGGCCTGGACCTGAGATTTGATGTCTTTGTTGAGCGGGACACTCGTAATATCCTCTGGCTCATACAAAGCTTGACACTCCAGGAAGTTGTCAAGTTCACGTGTCAGCATATTGGCAAGAGCTTTTCGATCCTCGGGCTCCATTGGTTTTGCGACAGGAACACGAGCACCCACTTGCATGTCCTTGATGGTTGGGTTTTTAGTTAGATCCTTGATAACACGCTCGTTTGCATGGATCTTAAGGTCTGTCGGCAGAGGGGCCGAGAGTTCCGAGAGGACTGGAGCAAGTGCTTCCTGAATCTGGGCCTGGAAGACCTCTTCGTTGCTAGGGCCAAGCATACCAGGAAGAGGCGTAGCTTGGGCGGGTTGAGGTGGAAGTGTTGGAGACATGGTGTCGACCTCAAGGCAAAGAAAGTCAGCGTTTACAGCTGGAAGGAAAGAATGAATCAATGTAGTGATATCAAAAGATGAGAAACCTGGGAAGTGAAAACGTACCATGGATAGAGCGACTCTGTGATATAGAAGTGAGAAGGCTTGGAGGACTGTAAACATGTAGGAGACGTTGGGGTGCCCGGGGCGTGTGGTGAGGAAAGAGAGACAACAGCTGATACCCTCGAGGTGCAAAATCCGAAGTGATGAGAGCAAATGAGATGCTTCTTCACTTATGCGCAACCATGCACGGAGGATTGCCGTTTGAGAAGTGATGATAATCTTGAAGATGGATGCTGCTGTTGGGTTCTCTCGGTCAGGTTTCCTGGTCGAGATAATCGAAGCATTCAATGAAAAGAGAGAGAGGCAGTGGTAAAGAAGGTGGAAGGACGAATCTTGGGGAGACAATCCTGGAAAAGCAGAACATTATTTGAGAGTGATGTAGGGTCTCTGTTGAAAGATAAAAGGACGCAGAGTATATTTCGGAGTGGAGGATATTGCCAGAGACGGTTAGAGATAGAAGATTGTGATCTCTCATGTTATTCGCGAGGAAGAAGGTAGAAAAGATCATTCCTTCCAACGAAGCTAACCACTTTCAAGCGGTAGAAAACTCAGATAGATGAGAAAGAGCAAATCAAGGAGTTACCGCATAATCGACCATTATATTACGATTCGTCTTGGCTAACTTGATAGACCTAGCCTTTTCATAACTAAATTGATCTACGCGGGTATATAGCATCTCTTAATGCTTAAAATAAGATTTTACAAAGTGTTGTCCAGGATCTAGAATGAAAAGAGGGTTATCAGATCACTGTTGTTTAGCTTAGATAAATGTTGATTACTGGCATAAGATTGCAAATTTTCCTCACTTAGATATCACTTCGAATATTAGATTAGACTTTCTCAAAGGTTCATATTCAGTACAATGCAACTCATTCATTAAGACATGGATGCGCTCAGAGTAAACAAGCGATCTATGGTGAATTCTAGTAGTACTTAGGGCTGGCATGCCTAAGGCAACAAGGCCTCCAATGATCGGCGTCCGAGTGTCCGAGAGGCCGAAGAGTCCCGCATCAAGCCACTGGCCGCTTTCGGGATCGGTCGCTGTCAACGAGGGCCGATCATCTGCTTGTTTTGCTTTTTCGCATTTTGATTTGCCTCTCATATGCACTGATACTGCATTTCCTTTGAACGACCATTTCTCACAGGCCTCATCCTGTCATCTCGGCACTGCACACCTGGAGCACCGGGCGCCTCCAACGAGTCTGATCGCGTCCGCCTTGTTGATCACCCCCGCTCCCCCACCCTCCAAAAGTCCCGCCTGTCGTCATCTTCGGAGATTTCGTGAGCCTCGAGATTGGGTCCAAGGCTGATTTAAATTGGAGCCCTTTCCACACCTTTTGCCCGACTGCTCCCTTGGCGTGCTGGTTTCTGTTTTCCACGGCGAGGTCTTGGTAGACCAACTACCCCCTCTCTGGTGAATTGGTTTCACTTGGATCTTGGCGAATGCGCGGCCCGTGGCGGTTGTCTTGACTCGCAAGATCGAATCACAGATAACTAGCCTGAACGATCCCGGTCCCGACCTTATCTTTTACGTTCTTTTCCCTCCCTTCATCACCTCCCATCTCCTTAACCAAAAGCACATCGACCCCCAACCCGACCAGATGCCGCTCACTATCCTCTCCCAATCGCAGCTTCGGCAACTGCTGCTCTCTCTCACCCGAGATGAGATTATCGAACTCCAACGGAGCCTCTCTGAAGCACTCCGCGAATACTCAACCGGCTCCCAGGATCAGGGTTGCTCGGCCACCTATCAGCCCCAACGAACTGCCATTACCCGCTCAAATGGTTGCACCACACTCTTCATGCCTGCCACCACGGGCAAGACACTTGGTATCAAGATGATCTCCCTGCAGGACGGTGGCACTGCAGGGTGTGCCATAGAGCGTGGGGGGTTCGATATTCCAGAGGGCGAGTCTACATCTTCTCGATCGCGCGGTGGATCTATAAGGAACTCGGTGGCCTCGCTATCATCAGAGATGAGCGATTTGTCTGTTGGGTCATCCCATGAAGATGATAACTCGATTAGCCCCTCCGTTACCACGGGAAGCAGCGGCGGAGGCGACAGTACCGATAGTTCCACACTGCTGACTGGTTGCGTCAATCAACAACCAGTCACTACTGGAAATCTCTCATCAACCCTAGGGGCATGGCCCGGGGCAGGCACGCGCGACACCTCACCCAGGGGAAGTGTCACCCTTTTGGACGCGCAGTCACTCCCATTCGGCTTGATCAACGCCCACGAACTGACGGCCTTCCGCACAGCGCTGGCATCACTGATGCTTTTTAACAAGCGCAAGAAGGTCCGCACCCTCCTGGTGTTTGGGGCTGGCACCCAAGCATACTGGCACATCCGGCTGGCTCTTATCCTGCGCAGCAATGAGATTCGACGTGTCTATATTGTCAATCGTTCCTTCGATCGCGCCGCGGAGCTTCTCCGTGATATCTACCTTCCCGAAAACACCGAGTGGCGCCGCGATGTGAAATTCTCGGCCATGAGCAGTGACTTTGGTGAATACAACCGCATCCTGAAGGAACATGTTCGAAAGGCCGACGCTATCTTCTGCTGCACCCCATCTTCCACACCTCTCTTCCCAGCTGAGTTTTTGACCTCTCGAGAGGGTCGCCAGAAAGGTCGTTTCATTGGCGCAGTGGGCTCCTACAAAAACCATATGGCCGAGATTCATCCGGATATTCTTCGGGACGAGGTCAATGTCACGCCGCCCCACCGTCACTTCCACAAGCATACCAGACGCAGCGGGGTTATCGTGGTGGACAGTCTAGACGCAGCCATGAAAGAGGCCGGCGAGATCATCCAGGCCGGCATCAGACCTCACCAGGTTGTGGAACTAGGCGAGTTGATGATGGTGCGCCATGCCGCTCGCAAAGCTAGCGAGGAGGAGTCTGCAGACGAGGAGAAGAGCCTGCGGGAATGGGTGGAGCGAGGAAATGTCATCTACAAGAGTGTCGGGCTGGGCTTGATGGACTTGGTGACGGGCGGAGACCTCGTGCGTCTCGCGCGTGAGCGAGGAATTGGAACAACCGTCGAGGACTTTTAGTCTGCATCTTGTATGACCAGAGTTATGAAGAAACATGTTTGGGGAGGTCCTTTGAAATCACAGCGTGGTACCCTGATCAGCTTTTAGTATTATTTATCTTCTTTTGCATAAGCTAACCTTCCTTTTTTGGAAACGAATCGAAGAGAACTGGAATGAGATGAAACCCATCCCAAGTGAACCTATATTCCCTAGTATATCGTATTCCCTAGTATATCCCTGTTTCTCCAACCATTAGACTTTGACACGAAGCGAAGGCCCAGCCTTGACAATCCTCGCAGCCACCATCGCAATCATCGAGATTCCAACGCAACATCCGCAAAATGCCTGCAAAGCCGGCCATCCGGTTGCTTTCAAGATAGCCCCCGCGATGGGATTGCCTGTGAGGAGGCCAATAGCTGCAAACACAAAGCTCATTCCCATACGCACGCCTACTACACCCAGATTAGGAGAGAGACTGACCACAGTCGTCGGCGACAGAGACACGAACGCGCCACTGAAGAAACCGTATAGGCTGCAAAAAATAAACAATGTCTCCACGGTATCGACCCAGATCCATAAAAACGCGAGGAGTGTGGTGGTGAGACTGCACGGGATGAGGATGTTGAATGGGCCCGTCCGATCAGCCAACATGTTAGGGATGATACGCCCTAACAATGAGGCCAAATTGAGGGTGATCAGCGCATAAGACGCCGTGTTTGCTGGCAGGATATTGTGTTCAATGGCGTAATTCTGGACGAAGAAGAATGGGATATACATGCCCATGAACGCGAAGAGGACACCACCACTATAGATCGCGTAGGGGATCTCTTTGAAGGCAGAGAGCTGTAGGTACGCCCGTCGAGTCGCTGGAACCATTCGCACTCGCATTGTAAGGAGGGCGATGGATTGGGTGAGAAGCATGACCAGGGCGAGTAATCGCACTGAGGCGGCGAACCCTAAGGAAAGCTCGAACCGCTTGAAAAGAGCAGAGTAGACGATACCTCCTACTGCAGGTTAGTGCTCAATTCATAAAAGATAAGGACTCGTGAGGGAGATACGAATCACATACCGACACTGCCGCCACTTGTAGCAATTCCTGTCGCCAAAGAGGCATTCTTCTTGAAGTATGTGCTCAAGATGGCCACTCCAGGAACAAACAGACAGCCAGCTCCAAGTCCTGTGCATATGGCCTGAGCAAACAGCAATTGCCAGTACTGTGAACAGAAGCTGACCATCAATGTGCCGAAAGCCATCAGTGTCGTGCCAGTCACGATCAGCGCCTGGAAATATCCCGCATCATATGCCGGCCCCGTCAGGACGGAGATGAAAATTAGCAGGAAAGCCTGCAGCGATCCGATCCATGAGATGGCAGCTGGACTCGCATCGGGGAAAAGCACGGTCTTGTAATAGGCTTGGAAACTTCCATAGCAATTGACAATTCCCCTACGAGATTGAAGAGCTCTAGCATTAGTGCATGCAAGATACTTAGCGACAACGTACAGGCACCAAACTTACCAGCAGTTGAACATAAGAAAGAATGAACCGATCACTTGGCTCCAGGCTTTGAGGCCGCCATCGGGTATTGTGGTATTATCAGGCTTTACCACATCGCGCTGGCCCTCTAGCAATGGCTGTCTTTCATCAGCATGGGTCATGGTTTGAGATTCTGGAACAATTCGGTGCAATTGGATTGTAATCTCAGAGTATCCCAATGCGATAATGATAAATGGAAGGAAAGTATTCACAAAATATCCAGTGCGTCTGGGTTGCGAATTTCGAAGCTCAGCTACGACCTAAGCTTACTCTAATCCATTTTGGGTGGAGTTCGATGAGGGCTTGGGTTCGGAAATGCGTGGCTGCCATCTTGGCCCGATCACTCATTCTCCGATTGGTTCGCCCCCCCCAACTAATCCCACCATGATGGAGCAGTTTCCCTATGGGATAACTGAATGCGCACTGTTTGAGTGTTTGGTCAAGTTCGTTTCAAAAGGCATGAAACAATGCCATTCTTGCAAAGCTCCAACAATGAGAGGCGTAGCTTCTATCTACCCCGAATGAAGACACGCAAGACCCCCAAGCAAAGAAGCTTGCAGGAGCTAAGTCCTTTCGCAAACTTCTCAAGAGCACCTGAATATTCGCAGTCAAACAGAGAATGCCCACAGTCGGAGGGCTGCGACAGACAATTATACACAAGACGTATAGCCTCAACTGTCCGTAGGGCTTCGTATTCAATTGAGTCTGAAATCCAACGAAGATCCACTCGATGAACTAATCAATTCAGAAATTCTGCACTTCTGTACTAGTAGCTTTCTAGTTCAGCTCAAAGGAATTTTCTGGGTCTTGGAATTCCTGGCCCCGATAGTAACACGAATCCAATTGAAAATCCATACCTCGTATCCGAGGCTCAGGCAAAGTTTGTCCGCCGATGATCACATTTCGATCAGCTAAATCGATCTTTTTATCTGATGATCTTCTATACCTCCACTTATTTAATTAGTAGTTACCTACTACTTGGGTAGAATCCTCCTTCTTCATCCAATTTCCGTTCTATATGGACAATCACCATCGTACCCTAGAATCTGATAGAATCATATCATCATATTAGACACATAGATCTACTCATACCATCTCATCTAGTTATATCGTCATGTTGATGCATTGTATTGATTCCTCGTATTGCATATTGGTTGGTCATAAACCAAAATGTGTTGCATTAATTGCGCGCATTGCCTGTTACTGCCAATCATATCTTATGATGCATTGAATTCGATCTGTGTATTGCCCATTAGCTGATTTACATACATCATATATGATGTATATAGGTTTCGTGGTTCCTGAAACCTTTTCTCAACCATGGTATTGTTGCCATAATAGTACTGCGGTATGATATGATCCTACATATTTCATATCGTAGTCGTTATATCTTAAATTATCATACCGATATTATAGTGTAGTTAGATAATGAGGATCATCCAGGTGCTAAGGACCTTATGAAGCTAGATCGCCTAGCTAATACTCGCACTCTTGCCGCTACGTTAGAGAATCCTACTCTAACCTAGACATTAGCGGGGATACGTCTAATATCGCCTTCTTTCTAGGATAGCGTTGACCTTTCCACAGTCGATACTAGTAGAAATATTAAACTAGCTGGAAGTAGCCCTCCGGGTATCGTACCTCTTCTATTTTATACGGTAATAGGGGGTTTCGCTAATTTTATTTTGTTTCCAGAATTTCTTTAACCCTATATTCGTTTCTATTTCTTCTTTGATCTCAATATTAGTAGTAATTTCGGCGTTCTTAGGTGCTTTTCTAATAATAAGATATAGAATATTATATAGATACGTCGTATAGTTACTTAGTTATTACTAGTTTTGCTTAATAAGTAAGTAGTCGTAACTAACTTTTCTTTAATCTCGAGTAATCTAAGTCTTTTAAGAACGCTAGCATCGCAAAGAATACAGCCCTGGGACGCACGTGTCCTACGATAACCCACTTGATCTGGCGATTAAGTTCGATCTTGACTATGACGTGCAACTTGCGATCAAGGAACGCCACGGCGCTTCTCACAAGCCCCTGCCTGCAATTGGCGATTTGGTGTACGTGCAGCTACCTGCATAAGGATTACCAAGCTTCCTATAAGACTCACCACAAGTTTCGCACGCAGCGCACAGGACCTTCAAGTCCATCAAGCTTATCCCAACGAATTGCCATCCTGTGCTGCCCCCTAAGTAGAAAATTCACCATACCTATAACCATATCCAACAGACGCAGACCCATAGCGCCCTGTAAGAAAAGGCCAAATAAGCCTCAAAATCTCAGTTTCCTCTCACTTCTCAAATAGCACCGAAAAAAAGCTGGAGACACTCGTGACTTCTCCACTCTATGCAGTGTTGACGGCAAATCAGTGTACGAAACTGGTAAGAAAGTAGTTCTGGCGTAAAATAGTGGTTTGTAACGTATGGTAAGGGACAGAAAGAAGTTAGGAGTAAAACTTTCGCAGGGGTCTCATTGAGGATTTAACCCGGGTGAAGCTGAGGCTGAGGTTCGGGTGACGTCGGTTAAACTAGGCACGGATAAAGGTTGTATCTCCGCATGGATTATCGAGGCATCCAATGGGATGCTCGTCTGAACGGCTGAGAGAAAACGTGTCTCATTAGGCAAAGCAGAGCCGCTGTCAATTTTCTTTTTCATCCTGTCCACTCATTCTGTTTTTCTCGGATTTTTGATAGCAGTGTAACCCGCTCTTGTAATCTTGCAGTTACTCTATGTTCAGGACACCAATGCAGACCCAATCTATTCAGATCACGACCATCTTCAGTAATAACTTGGAAATCCATGGCACGAATGGAGGAAAACCAACAAGACAGCGAAGGAACGGCGGGAAATGAAAACATGGACCCCTTTCAAATATGGGGAGGTACATTTACGTTTTCAGCCCTATTCTGCCATATACATGTTGACCATATATCATTTTATAGGCGTCGTTAAGGAATATGCTGAGAAAGTCCGTTCTCAAGCAGAGACTGCCTCGGGGCAGTCATTATATCCGGGTGACGACTTTGGAGATTTCGCAACTTTCCTTTGGCAGCCGTATAACTACAGACCACCACGGCTGAATTCCGCCTTTACCGTAGTAGAGCCGACTCGTTGCTTCGCCTCGTTATACAAAATCTCTGATCAAATGATGACCCGTATCCCATTTGAGACAGTAGAGAAGTTTGAGGAGCTTGGTCAGACAGTCACACCCACTAGTGACTCCTTTTCCTTACTCTTGTTGCGTGGTTATCCTTGTGCAACATGGTTAAATGTTTTAGGAGCGAGGTTCAATATTGACCCGGAGTTCTTCCGACGACATCTACTGTTTGAATCAAGGCCTGGAAGAAAAACCTTGAAGAACACCGCCATGCAGATCCTTCCATCTTGCTACTCGGACATGCTGTCGTTAGCGGTCACCACCATTGACCTGCAGAAACAAGATATGCAAATCAAGCACGACCAGGAGCAGTTAGATGAGCTGCGAAGATATTGGTCTAAGCGGATGAGTAACTACACGAGGAAACTTGCTCTATTGAATTCTCCCGATATGGCCGCAGGCGATCCATTTCCTCGAGACGTCTCTGTTCACAACTTTGACTCCTTTTCGTTGGAGCAAACAATCTCCATCTACGTCCCTCCTGATTGGAAAGGCCGTTTAGGTATTGTCTGGCACGATGGTTTGCAACAATTAGGCGAAGAGTTGAAATGGCCATGGGAGACTGGACCTGGTACTCAGGCGACCTCTTTTCTGAAATATCTACCAACACCGCTGCACAGCCCCGGAATCTCCTTCAACGGCAGAAGCAGAACACTCAGAAACCAAGCCGAATCCATCAACCCGTCAGCAAAGGTTGACATTGTTTTGCGAGACTACCAGCAGCACATCGATCTAGCGCGTGCAGTTCACGATCCCTTCTACGCCTTGAGCCCATTCTTCAATTTGGCAATTTCGTCTGAAATGGCAATACTAGATCTTGTTGATACCAAGATTAGAGAGGAGCTCAACCATTCTCATCTAATTCACAATAACAATCTAACTCTGTCGAACCTGCTCTACCACCAGCAAGTCCTCCGGCGCCACATTCGAAACCTCAAAGGGACTATCGGTGCCATCGTGTCGTTAGATGCGCGAGATCTGTCGGAGAAAACGTCCTATAGCGATGTCAAGGGCTCTAACCCACGGAAGATTGAATCTATTCTGAAGGATTACCGCTCGGCACTTACATACGCCGATGGCCTAGTTGCTGAATGTGTGCAGGGGATGACCATCACAGCTCACAATGCGACGATCCGCGAGTCCGAAAAGGCCATTGCCGAAGCTCAAGGTGTGACGAAGCTTACCAAGTTAGCCGTCTTCTTTGTGCCTCTATCATTTGTAGCTTCGGTGTTTGGAATGAATGTGCAAGAGGTCAATCCTGGCAGCAATCCGCCGTTTTGGTCGTGGGTTGTGGCATCTCTTGCTGTAGGCGTTATTACCTGGGCAATGTTTAAGTATGATGAGCTACAAGACTTGACTAGGAGAGCTTGGATGAGTTCCATTCGGAGGATGTATAAACTGTCTACAAGAAGCGATGGCCTAGAATTAGATCACAGGGTCTGAATGTAGAATTCCCTCGTTTTTGAGCCATTGCAGCATGGCTATTACTCTGACAATCTATCAGACTATGCAGTAGTGTTTCTTGAGTCTCGGATTATTGCAGGCCAGTGTGATAATCGTGAAAATAATCATGTAGGTTGTGCGGTGTATCTTATGAGGGACTCTTTACATCGAAATTAAGCTATGCACCAATTGCGTCTCACTTTCGAGGGTCTGAATCCTTTTCACCGCTAGTTTGGTAGCCTCATCTCTAGTGTTCAAAGGAGGGGTAATCAGACGGTATCTGCTTCGACTATTCAAGCATTAGTTTTTGCATGACTAGTATTACCTTGTTGACGCCCATTTCGCTCTTGTGTCTTTCCCTTAAGACGTTGGTGGGACCATGACCTGGGTGACCCTCTGTAGTAATCGCTTGCTCTAGGGAGACTGCCTGATTAATACGCTTAAAATCGGATATCTCGGGCCGAGTCTAAGCAGATGTGGGCGCAGAGAACGCTGATCAAAGTTGATCGACCAAAACTCATGTCCACGAGCTTGTCTGTTCTCGTAGCCGACTGCAGAAATCTAAAGAACGATGAGCACAGTAACACACACGTACACACGTCACATGGCACTATATGCACTGACTTGCGCCGAATTCGCCAGGGCGCCAAATTTGGGCAGCAAGAGAGTGCGTTTTCCCCGCTCTCCTACCGCCAGCGAGAAAATACGTCGGTGGCTTCTCGTCACGGTGTACGAGGTAGATCGGCGGACGATCTCCGTTTCTAGAAGAACCTCAAGATAGAGTTGCGGAGATAAGTCGCAAGAATTTCGCTAGCAGGTCAAAGGTCATTTGCACTGGCCTGCATTTGTTGTGGTTAGCTGAGACGAAGCCCCTCCTCCAGTACACCTTATAGGAAAGGGGACCAGGCGTATCAAATCGGCATAACCCCCTAAATTCTCTTCTAAAGAGCTAACTACCTAGGGTATTGACTAGGCATTGTCTACCCAACTACTACCATAAGCCCCCCTGTAATTCTGTGTGCCGGTGCTCCGATTGCACAGGCGCAGCGAGTTTCCTCATATGCCTAAGGGGATTTCGCCCAATTTGCACGTGATATATTACCCTTACGTAGGCTGTCTCAACTCCTCGAGTAAGCTCTCTCCAATGTCTTGTCTCATTACTGTTGTTCCTTCATCCTATTGATATAGCCATAAGCTCGTACCACGGGCCTTTGCCACAACGCTCATTTAGTCGCGGTACTCACGATGGCTGTCGTAGGCAACATTGACTTCCTCGCGAGGGACGTCTTGTATGACAAACAGAAGCCTTACAGGATGAAGTTTGTTCCGCCGTCCGGCTTTCCATGGTCAAATATCAAGACCAACATTCAACCCCAGAAGATTGAGGACATTCGGGGTCGCGAAAAAGATTTTTCTCTGGGCGCAAATGGATTCTCTCTGGAAACGTTGGACTCCGGCATGACTTACGAGGATTTTGACGACGAAGATAAGATTGTTCAAACATATTTACCAAATGTTGCCAAGCTCCTGAGATCCATGCTTAACCCATCGAGAATACAAATTTTCGAGTTTCTTGTACGTTGGCCTTGATATGCCACCTCTCTGTCCAAAGCTAATGAAGCAGGTTCGGAAACGGGGCGAGAGTTTCCCACTAGCGACAGAGACTGCTTATGAAGATCATCAACCCACGACTGCAGCACACATTGGTTTGTGAATAACTCCTTCAAGAGGTTCATGTTCTAATATCCCGTGGAAGATATGACACAAGAATGGGCGAGCACTCTTGCCCGTCGCCTGAATCACAAGAGCGGAATACATCGTCTCCCCGGAGAGCACTATCAGTTCATAAAGTTTGTTGGCTTCTCATTTCACCTCTCACTGGCTCAGTCATCGCTGATTTTAAGTACAGTGTTTGGGCACCAATCCGTGGACCAGTTCACGATTGGCCTTTGGCCCTCTGTGACGCATCCAGCCTTAATCTGCACGCTCTCCACGCCGGAGACGTTGTGTTCCAGGACTTCCAAACAGAAAATTTATTGCTAGAACATCACCCAGAGCATCGCTGGTACTACGTTAGCGAGCAAATGCCTACCCAAGCATGGGTATTTCTCCAGGGAGACAGTAGGGGGCGTCCGTGTCAGTACTCTAGTCTTTCACGGTCCTTGAATCTTTACTGATACTTTGCCAAGGTGTTCCGCATTCTTCTTTCCTTCATCCTGGCGCCCCAGAAAATGCTCAACCAAGACAGAGTATTGAGGTGCGGGCCCTAGTCTTTACAACATGATGGATTCGCCTTATTGGATGGAATCTACGGTGGTAGTCCGGAGTTTCTTTCCTTCTTCCTTTTTTCACCAAGAAGCTTGTTTATGGCTAGCCCAGAAAATTAATAGTCTCGAATCGCACAGTATTTTGGAGAAAAACGCTTCTAAGACGCTAGAGGGCCCTCTATTCCTAATACTTTTTATTGCCGGTGTACACAGGCCCACCTTATCAATCGCGAGTTTTATGAGACACCTCTTGAGTGGGCAGGTCGCGGTGGGGACGCTTCGTATCCCTTGCTCTGTTAATTAGCAGCCACACCATGAAACCATTTGCAAGGACTTACTCGTTGTCATAGTCACCTGTGTCATACAGGATTGTCACATTGACCTCCCCAGCTGAACCTGGGACTGACATTTTCTCCCCAATAGCGGCACCGTAGAAGATATCCTTGTCGCTAGCCCTAGTTTTATTGAAGCTGTCACTAACAGACTTCCAGGGCTGCTCTAAGTTCGCTGCTCCTGATTCCATGGTTCGGCTTCTTCTGCAATTCCCCTTAAATCGTGCAATAGCGATTGTTGAAGCGGCGCGTGAATATTCCCTCGAGATGCGGAATGCTTTGTCGCGTTAGACATCAACGGATTCCAAAAGCGCGAACGTTTACATTGAGTCGTTCAGTCTCTGCACGTACATAGTCCGGAGCCACTGAGTGAAAGGAGTGGAAGGGAGGTCTTCTCTCCTAGTTGCCCCAAGTTCTATGGATTAATTACTCGAGAATGTCGTGGGCTCTAAGGATATCGATGAGGTGAGGTGTTTTGAAAATGTCGGGCGAGCTAGGTATTTGAACCTCCTTCTACACCGCCTCCCCGCCAGCCACATATTTTGGGTAACATACCGCAGCGAATTAATGTAGGGAGTACAATAATAACTTCAAATGCTTTCAGCCTGACAGCGTTTGACTGAAGTTGTACAGGAGCCATCGAAGAATGTTCGACTTGATATAAATGTCCATACATATCAGAAAAGATGCTTAATTCTCCTCAAAGCGCCCACATGTACGGAGTAGCGCTAGTAAAGATTTACATTACATTACACATGACTTTTCCTGGTCAGCCTAACTAACTAACAAGAAGTAGGGCCTCTACTTGGCTCTGGGGGTGCACAGTGCATAGACACAGATTAGGTGACCCTGTGCCAGTGTGACGTGGCCCCAAACCCACATCTGCGCTTATCAGCCCCGTCCTCCTTTCCCGCCCCCTGCCCAACCCCCGCGACGCGCTCCGGGAAGTGACTTAGGTCCTGAGCTACCTATCTACTCATCGCGGGCATCCTGCTTGACTTATCGTAAGCATGAGTTATGTACAAGAGGCTCATAGTATCGACTTGATTTTTGAACTATCACTACGAGTTAGGATGCTCCAGATTCATTCCGTTTAGTTGGTTCAAAATGAACTACAATATTAACGGACTATCAATTTGGCAGGCATCATTACTCTTCGGCAAATTACTTCGCTAAACTCTTTGTTCCACATGACTTTTCCGAAAGCGAGGATCCGTGCCTCCTGGTGCGTGTTTCACGACTATGTTTGATTGGTTTTATGTAGGCCCGCTACCTTGTTAGAATCAGCTTGCTACCTAAGCCGCCGCATACGACATGGGCAGGGGTGTAACCTACTCGAGCGGTTCAAAATGTGCGAGCTTGCCTCGTCGGAGTCTGTAGGCATGTGTTGGCACTATGCACTTCCGCTGTTGCTGCTATTACTACCAGGTCGCTGTTTCCTCTCCGGGACACTGGGAGATGTGAATTTCAATCACTGCCTGTTTGAGCCACCTACTTCTCACCTCCATGCTCTTCCTACAACACCTAAGCTACACTGACGGTATAGGGAGCATAACCGATCAGTATGGGTCGGCATCGAAGCTCATCGTCATCAAAGCCGACCCCCACCTTACGGAAGCTTAAAGTCGTCAAGGAGGGTACCAAGAACATCCAGTAAGCCCCCTATGCCCCCAAATTATATGTTATAGAGTGTCTCATATACCTCAGCATCATTCTTGTGCCTGGCGTAGGGACCCTTGCTTGTGACGACTGGTCCTTCTACCGGCACCAGCCCTGGAGCGACTTCTTCGCCTCACTGGACACCGGGGTTGCCATTCACGGTTACAATCATGGTGTGTCTCTGGAGGACTGCTTCTCCTGGCAGCAGCTCCTAAACGAGGGAGAAGAGTTTCTCGAAAAGCTTCAAACTTTCGTAGACAAACACAGGGTAATCGTTACTTTCCTCTTTTTTGCGCTATTTGCTAAGAATAATATCAAGGAACCGAAACGTCTGCTGTTTATTTGTCATGGCCTTGGCGGTGTCATTGCCAAAAAGGTACCGATCCATCTCCAAGTTGATAACCAGGAAGAATTTTCAATAATAATGCTCATATCGGAAAGGCGCTGTGTATCGCCGGTACGCGTAACGCCCGGTGCTCCCACCTCTTGACCACCATAGCTGGCATTGTGTTCCTCGGTACTCCGCACCGCCTCGAAGGAGCGAGCGAGGGCGATTTTGGTGGTCGACTTGCCAGCATCTTAAAGCTCGGTAATCTCACTAGAACTACACTAAACCGTCAGGCTCTCGCACGGCTAAGAGACGCCCGCGTGATGCTCGAGCTGGCGGATGATTTCGAAGAGACGAATATACGTGTAGAGATGCTGTCAATCTTTGAGAAGGAATTGACTGAAATAAAAGACCACAGGCCTTTGAAACCCAAGACGAGGAAGATCATTGTTCGACCCCAAGTATCTTGGTGTTCTTTGCTTTGATACAAGCTAACTCTAGACTTCATAGGTCGTCGACGAGCTTTTGTGTTCTATTGGGACAAATATGGAAAGGAAACTCGGCGTACAGCTTGACCACCTCCAACTTCCGGCGATGCGTGATGAACATGGGAGTTCAATATCCCAGATAAGGCTCTGGTTGAAATCCATCATCTGCCCACCAAATGTACAGAACCAACCTAACAGTACGAACATTTTATTCCTAACATCGTCTTTCCGATTTACTGAACCAATGCAGACAGAGCTCACAATGTGCAAATTCTACCGGCGGACATGAGCAATTCAACCCGACAGGCTGCCAGAAACGGAGTCTCTGGCTGGCCAGAGCCTAGGGCGTCCTCTCACGTTAACGCTGATTCAAGCCCAGAACAACAATCTATCGAGGCTCTCCTGGAGAACTTCTCCGTGCAACAACTTGATCCCGGAATACCTTGTTTAATGATGCACGCCTATGCGAGGAACAAGGACTTCTACGGAAGACAAGATGTTCTAAGCAAAATTGATGATTGGCTTCTTCCTGCAAATGACCAGATGCCACCTTCACCGCCCGATCGAATACACGTGGGAATACTATGCGGCATGCATGGTCTCGGGAAGACAGAAATAGCTATCGAATATGCGTTTACTCGCGAAGCCCGCTTCGACGCTGTACTCTGGATCCGAGCCGATGACTCTTCCAAACTTGAATCAGACATTGCTCAAATCGCTATCCGTTTGGGCATCCAGGACCCCAACGAGCCAGACAACCAGGTCACCAATCGAGGACTCGCTATTGAGTGGCTACGCAACCCATTTAAGATAGATCATAGTACTGGGGTGCGTGTACGCGCTTCCTGGCTGGTCATTTTCGACAATGCCGACGAACCTGATATCCTGGCACCGTATCGTGACATCGCTCATAGCGGTGCAGTCTTGATCACTAGCCGCAGCCCCCTCTCGAAGACCAGTTTTTCGCACCATGCAAGCTCTCTCGATGTTCAGACTTTCGATGTAGAAGATGCTGGATTGTTTGTTCAAAAATATACGGAGATTGAGGGCCATCTTGAAGAAGCCAGACAGGTTGGCGATCGACTAGGTGGCCTACCTCTTAAGCTAGCCCAGATGGCTGGTATAATTAGGCTTCGATTTCTGACCTATTCTGACTTCATGAGGATCTACGATGCCGAAGAGATTCACGAGATGGAGGTTCAATCACCCCGAAAGCCGGCTCGTGGACAGATTTCAACAGTCTTAGAGAAACTGTCGGATAGCGCACGAGCAATTTTGGAGGTTTCATCGTTTTTGGATCCAGACAGCATCCAGGAGGAGCTCTTAACAACCCACGCTACTAATGTAGACATCCCCTCGTACCCCAAGAACGTGGGGGCGTTTTTCATGGCTCGGGGGCAATTGATCGGATCGTCCCTTTTCCGCCATAACCAGGAGAAGGCTGAGTATTGGATACATCGCTCAACGCGGGACGATGTGCGTGCACAAATTGAACCCGAACGAAAACGAAAGGTCTTTTCAAATGTGGTCACCATGGTCGCAGCTGCCTGGCCAGTTCAAGAAGTCGAGGGTCATGATGTCACACTATGGGATACATCAAAAGCACTCTATCCACATGTCCTCAGCCTGGAGGACGCTTACAAGAAATACTTCAAGCAAAAGGAATATCTTGACGGCGACTTTCAATTTGCTGAACTTCTCAATCGTGCTGGATGGTGAGTGGCCGTCTATTATATCGAGTCACTCCCGTGATACTGACTCCTTTGAAGGTACAAACACGAACGCGGTGAATCCCCTATCATAAAACCTTTATTGGAACTGGCCCTGGACCTCTGCAATCGCGGTACATCGGTCGATCACCAAGACTTGGAATCCGACATCCGGTACACACTTGGAGCAGTCGCAAGCGGGACGAATGACGCAGATGGGAGCATGATGCATAACAAGCGAGTCCTCGAGATTCGCTTGGCCATCGCAGAAGGAAGAGGCACAGTTGACGAGAAACTTGCCAGCGCTTACAACCAGATGGGCATATCGTGGGTGATGGCCGGCGATTACAAGAAGGGGGAAGAACATTTTGCGACGTCTGCGCAGACGTACGAGAATATCCCGGACTATACCAAGGACAAGCGCTCATTGGCCCTCGTGAATCTTGGTTTAACGTACTGGCTCCAGGGAGACTTGAAGCAGGCGTCGGATGTGCTAGAGACGGGCCTCGCAGATCGAGAGAAAATATACGGACCCATGGACAAACATTGTTTCCGGTAAGCGACCTGCTTATTTCCCACATCACTCACTAACGCCGTAATCCGTGCTGGCAGGACCGGTCGCTTCCTTCAGGCACTCGGAAACGTGCGTTTCTCTCAAGGCCGGCTCAAGGAAAGTGAAGATTTTCATCGACGGGCCCTCAAGCAGTATCAGTCTACCATCCGCAACCGCCATCATCGAACTGCAGATGTCTGCCACAAGATGGCACAGCATTGCCTTCGCAACGGGCTTCTTGAGGATGCCATCGTGTTCATCGACCAAGCCCTCAAGAATTGGAGCGTTGATCCAGAAATATATGCTCCTGAGATAGCGCGGACATCATTCCTGAAGGCTAAGGTGCTCACAGAAGCTGGGCGGGAGAATGATGCAGCAAAGTTGTTCCAAGAGGGAGCATCCATGCGACACAAGATCACGAAGGTGTGGCGAGACAGCAAGGACCTGCGAGAGGAGGACTTTGATGAATTGGTCACATTCTGGTCAAAATAAACCAAAGACTGCCAATATTAGTACTCGAGTCATCGGTCAAGTTGTCATCGTCAGACACTATGTATTCCTATTTTCATTTATTTCATGTACCTCATTAGCCATTGAGTCATCTTTTAGGATAGCAGGATCAGTATCTGTGAACAGCCAGAATATAAGAATATAAACATCCCAGTATCATCAAAAGAAGCAGATTGATTAAGAGTTAATGTTGACGAGTGAAATGGATTTCCATGTAGAAAAAGTGTATACAGTAAAACACAGCTCAGGATCAGGTATTGTAGACAGATCACTATCTTCACATCAAGCTTAATCAAATTACAATATCGGAGATCAGCTCCGGATATACTGAGGAATATGCGCGACTCCCCAACCCCTTACATTCAGCTCGACTCACTCGAGGACTCCACTGACTTAGGCCTGTCGACGGGCTTTTGCTTTTTCCACCGGTGCACTTTCGTCGCCCAGGTCACAAAGTAGACCAAAAAGAAGCTGGAAACGGTGAACAGCACAAAAATGCCCCAGTCACCCCAAATCCCGCCATTCTCGCCATTACCAAGTCGGAATCCCTCCAGGTACTGATTTCCCGTGGTGTACTGACACAACTCGCAGTTATCCGTGGCGGAAGGATTCAGGACTTGTACCTGTGCGGAACGAGCCCAGGGGGAGAGGTAAGAGTCACATGTTTCGTTGGCAGGTGGAGATAGGAAGATGAGGTCTCCTTCATTGCAGACGACATGTTGATCTTCGATGACTGCCGTGACGAGACCGCCAAGGAGGTAGGTGAAGGGATTGATCCAATACATCTGCAATTTTAAAGTTAGGGCTGGTTATGGAAATTGAGACCATTCGGCCTGTTTGTGCCGTTAACTTGGATAGAATAGCTTACCCAGTATCGCCAAAATACTTGGATCTGCTCGTAGGGAACGATGATTCCGTTGTACCAGTTGACGGAGCAAACTAGGAACACAAGAACGTTGCCGGCCGTCCCAAGATCAGGACTCATGCCGATCATGAACAAGCCGAAGAGAACCTGTGGATTCACTTCAGTCAGTCAAATGATTCCTTGCAGTCCTCGTGACAGATAAATATGTGGAGGACGACTTACTTCGAACACCTCGAAGGTCAGGAACGACAGGAAGACATAACCGGCCGCCTCACCCGTGGGCAGTCCGCAGAGCCAATACCAGATGACATAGTAAAGAACACAGCATACCAAGGCACCGGGCATCTCGGCCGCGATACTCGCCGAACACAGTGCCTGCCAACCGTAGGTACGGGAAGGGCCCTCGCGACTTTCCCAAAGAAGACGAGCGAAGAAAAACCTGGCAAGTACGGTATTGACGATAGTATTGACGAGAAGGACAATGGAGAAAACGCTCAGCATTCTAGTGGTCTGTCGTTAGTATTGGTAGAATATTGGCCGAAAGGAGTGCGATGATTCGGAGTAGGTTCATGTGTGCGTACCTGTTCTGGAGATCACTGGGAGATGTTCCCAGCTTGTAGACAGTCGTACCGATCAAAATCGCATGGACGACATGCACCCAGATCTTCGAGTACATGTATGGTGGGTTTCGCCATTGATTCTTCAGCATTCGGATCGTGAGCAGCCATGACTGCTGCAGGACAGAGGCGTTGTATTCGCCATGGCCGATCTCCTCATCCACGCTGTTATTTCCTTCTTTGTACTCCTTGTTAATTCGATCCACATCCACAGCAGCGGCCTTCGCCTCGGGAGACTCGCGCCAGTGCTTGGCCCATAGACTTCCCTTGGTATCCTTGCGGGCATTAATACCAGCGCCGCCAGTTTCGAGGATAAATTCGGCAGGGTTCGTATCGGGGGGTGGCACAACCCCATGGCGGGTAAAGTAATCCAGCACTTTGTCATTGGGCCCAAAGTACAGCTGTTCTCCTTCCGGGGAGAGAGCGAGCAGCTTATCGAACTCCGAAAACACAAGAGCAGATGGTTGATGGATGGTCACAAGTACGGCCTGGCCAGCGTGGGAGAGCTTGCGCAGGTACATGACAATGTTGGCTGCGCCCTCAGAGTCTAGACCCGACGTTGGCTCATCGGCGAAGAGCACGCGAGGTCGAGCTGCGAGTTCCACGCCAATCTGAGGGAAGACTTGTTAGAAAAATAGTTCCATTGACTCAAAACGGGAAATTGATGAATGTCCTTACCGTTACTCGTTTTGTCATTTCCACTCCTAGTCCAGAGTTTTCATCACCAATCAAGGCGTCAGCAACATGCTTCAAATCCAACAGGTCGAGAACCGTATCCACATATGCAAGCTTCTCGGCGCGAGTATAAATGTCCGGTTGACGTAAGAGAGCAGAAAACTCTAGTGCTTCCCGAACAGTGGCAGTTGGATCGTGAAGATCAGCTTGCTGCGCAAACCCTGTATTATTATTAGCATTCATCGTCTATCATCAACAGCAGCCGTGAGTCATCTAAAGAGTCTAGGAACTGACCTGTGACTTTTTTGAACGACTGTCCAAGGGCCATGTTTCCAAAAAGTAGCTCTCCTCCGACCTCGCCAGTCACATTGATCTGGCTTAGAGCCTTAAGCATCGTGGTCTTACCAGCACCACTGGCGCCACAAATTGAAACGAAATCACCCGGCTGAATATACGCAGTGACACCCTTGATAATGCGCTTCTCACCAATGTCAATGGTCAGGTTCTTCCAAGTCAGAGAGGGACCGCTGTGTTTGGCAGGTCCAGACTTCGGCTCATCGCCACCAGACTTGGGTAGTTCTCGCTCAATGTCCTTGTCAGCAAGCTCGGTAGCTCCCGGCTGAGAGTTAGCATGTTCTTGCTTCTTAGCAAAGACGATTGGCGATCCACCCTGTGGCGTAAATCGCATCACCTCACTGCCAATCATACTGATTATAACGTAGGCAACAATGAAGGCAAAGAGGATGCCCACGTTACGCCACTTGTGTGAGAGGAGGAGCCCCTGGGCTTCAGCATACTGTAAGCCCGGGATTGATTGTTGGCCTGCTTTGGCTCCGGTGACCAGACAGATCTGGTAGTCAGGTTCGGCTCCCGGCGTATTGGGAACCATTCCACCGCTGCAGTCGAGGTTCAAGCCATCGAATTCATTAACAAAGACCTGAATCAAGATTGCATTAGTTTACGCTTTTGTGGGACACTTTGTTTCCATCGGTGTTCTTACACTCTCATAGGCATAGTTGATTGGACTGAGATAATGCAGCCAGCCGAAATAAGGTCTCATGTCCTTAGTCGGAACCAAGAAGCCGGAAAATAAGATCGTTATAGTCGAGCCAGTGCCACCGAATCGGAAACCTATACCAAAGTTCATATCAGAATCAGAATGTTTGCATGACGGTGAGATGTCCACTTACAATCATCCAAAGTCGGCACGTAGTACGCGAACATTCGCAGGAGATTGCTGAAACAGAGAGTCGACAAGATGAGGACGAAGAAGAAGAAGAAGAACTTTCCCGCTTCGACCTGTAGCCCCGCCAGGAAGTAGAATACGATGACAAATATGCAGTGTTGGAAAACGACCAGTGGCACGTCGATAAGGACTCGAGCTAGAGCCACCGCTGATGGTCGGTACATGTGTAAGGCCGCTTGACGCTCCAGAACGGGACGATTTGTGTGCGCATCAAAGAGCTCCGGGAATTGAAGCCAGCCGTTGACGATGAGAGCAAAGAAGATCAGACCACCACGGGTGAACGCACCCTGGGCATCTGCTGAGACATCGAAATACTCACTTCCAATAATCAGACACAAGATGATAGTGGCAATCCATTTGCCAAAGTGGACGATTCTTTGGCCACGCACGAGCTGGACCTCGCGTCGCAGACACTCCCATACTTGCAGCGGGTAGGACAAGTTGAATGATGCCGTCCCTTTGGACTGAGCGGCATGCGGGTGACCCAAGGACCGTGAATCGTCGATTTCACGAAGTAGGCTGGCGTAGTTTGAGGAGTTCTTGAACTTTGCTGCAAAGTCGGCAGCCGTGTGCATATTTGCGGCTATGCTGCCAGGTGTGGCTTCACGATGGGCAGGATCGGTAACATAGGAGAGAAACTCGGCGGTGGTCTGGCCCTTTGCGCGTACAAAGCCCAGGTCTTCAAAGTAGTCCCGGGCCTCGTCAATCTTGCCGAAGAAAGCTTGTCGTCCTTCGTAGATGACCAGAACCTTGTCGAAGTAGTTGTACAAGGTCTCTCCGGCCTGGTACAGGGTTGCCATGGTGGTTCGATCGCCCACCTTGGTGAGCACTCGCAGCGCCTTCACGAAGTCAAGCGCGGTAGATGAGTCCAGGCCGCGGGTGGAATTGTCGAAGCACTGCACTGATGAGCCAGCGGCAAGCACCTCGGCAATCGATACACGCTTTCGCTCGCCTCCAGACACACCAGGAAAGAATGCTCCGCCGACAGGCGTATCCAGGGCATGATCGATACCAAACATCTGCGCCATCGACTGAACCAGCTCCTCGACCATCTCACCATTGCGGACCTCTGAGGGCAGGCTGATGCGGAGAGCGAACCTCAACGTTTGGCGCACGGTCAATGCCGCAATATGCTGATCCTCCTCTGGGAGATAGATCGTATCACGGCGATGGCTCTTTCCGAACTCCTCCGCCGGAATTCCCGCATACTGCAGATCGCCGTTAATCTCGAGGGAGGATCGATTCGCCAAGGTGCGCAGGAAAGTTGAGCACCCACTTCCAGGACGGCCCAGAACCAGCAACATCTCACCTGGTTTCACGATTCCCGTGAAATCTTCAAGGAGATTCCGAGTCTTAGTCTCCCCAAATCCTTTCTTGAACAAAAGGTTCTTGACGAAGTTGAATTGGTCAATGCCAAAGGTATTTAGACAAGCCCGAGGAAGCGTCTTGACAGTTACTGGGCCAGTGTCCGGAGCAGAGACGCTCAATCCGCGCCAGCTGATAGGAACATGGGCGAGGTGGGCATTGCCCGACGCTTGCTTCTCGATCAAAGTGCGGATTGCGGCATCGCCCTCGTTGGTAATTTTGGGCTCCAGCTTTTCTGCATTATGGAGCGAAGAAGACTGGGACTCTGGTGATTCCGCCATGGTGGTTGTGGTCGGGTGAAGAAAGACCAGAAATGAATTGAGTGGTTTTAATGGCTCTTGGAGGTACAAGCCATACCAAGGAGAGATCACGAACGCCACTGGTTGCTTGTCAAGTGTCTGGGATGAAATTCACACGAATAAAGCTAGCGATGAGTATCTTCATATTAGAAGGATACTGAGGGGTTTCCAATAGAGGAAAGACATGGGTTACGACCATTTTGATCCGCAAGAGCTATGCCCAATCGAAAGCTTTGTTCCTAGTTTCGATCTTACCAATCACCTTCTTGCAAGCACGCTCTCTCACGGCAATGTAATTTGCCCCTATCGAAGCAGCATTGCTCCATCACAAACAACGACATTCCATTTCCGTCCGAGAAGATAGTCACGTGATGTCCACTCTTCTCCGAGCCATTCACGTGCCTGCTGGTGGACCAAGAGAACTGCTGATCATCTGTGGGCACCTGTCTTCGAGGCTTACTAACTGGGTCGGGCATGGCCCCAGGTCCTTAGGAGTAGGTACTACGGGCCTACCACAGCCCAGTACTGCCGCTGTAGGTAGTAGATCATAGGTATTTCATAGACATAAGCTCCATGCGATGGGGTTGGTATAGTCAGCAACTACGAACTGTATAACCTTGAATAGTTACTCTTGTACTAAATGCATACTTGTGGTGGACTTGCCTTTCAAGGGCTTATAATTTATTAGTCTAGCTAGCAACAATGGCATTTCCTTGAAACTACTTCTAAATATTGCCAAGCTAGGCTTAGAATATGGGTGTTGCTGATACATAAGGCATCTTCCCTGGCATACAGCAGCCCGCGGGATTGAGTTGTATGGGTATGTAGTGATTCTCGCCAATAGAACGCCGGAAACTCAGACCAACAATATAAAAAATGTCATGAAAGAAAGGAGAATAAACAGAAAGATCGTCTCCTTTCAGGGCACTTCTCCATCGTAACCCCGAGGCCGAATCTTGTGACACGCCAAAATCATCCTGGTTAAGGGTTGCAGTGACGCGACGTTCAAGGTACCAGCACGGTCCGAATCCAGTAACTCCTGAAGGGTACGCAGGGTATGTGAACTTGGACGCGCGTATTCATGGGCCACTCGCCATTCTTCTTCGCTGCAGGCGCGCCACATATACTCCGGGGCTGGAAGGGGCATTTGTAAAACCATGGCATCATTCAACGGCTCAAAGTAGTCATAGTGCAGCTCTCGGGCTTCGGCGGCGAGTATATTAATGATGTGAATGAAGAAGACGTTACGGCGGAGAGATTCGGCAAATTTCCACTCAGACCAGCCTGGTTCATTTCCTCCGAGGGTTTTCTGGTGCACCTTGCAGAGGCGCCGGGTCATCTGTGGGTCGTGATCGACGGTTAAGAAGGTGGATATTTAAAGCAACGGGAAAGGAACACTCACCTTCAGCAAGAAGGAACTATGGAGTTCTGCGACCTTTCCCGAGTCTTCGCGACGTCTCTCATTGGCATCTTTGAAAGGCGTGCTATTACCTGATTTGGGAGTGTCTACGGACGAGCCGCCAAACAGTCCCAGGATCTGATAAAGGCAAACAGCATGTAGGGCGGCAAGGCAGGTCTCTGGACGGTCACTGTAATTGTTAAATTCACGCAACAGCCGCTCCCGTTGCGAGTTGATCATATTATCAACGAACTCAAAGCTAGACTCAACCGAGCTTGAATAGGCCGAGACGCAGGCCAGGGCGATGCCGAGGGGCTCGGCCATGCCCTCCTTAGAGCAACGGTAAAGACGGTGGTGAATGAAGGGAGACCAAAATCCGGGCTGCTGCATCAGTTGGGGATATCCGCGCAGAATCCCGAAAAGCTCATGAGATAGATTGGCTGTGTCCCGTAGCGCCGGACCGGACAAATCTGGGGCAAAGTTACTGGCAAAGATACTAGTGCCACCAGGGTTCGAAGTCTCTGCGTCGTCGCGACCTGCGGACAGTTCTCGGTGACTACTACCCCCTGATGAGGAGAGAGGTGGTAGGGGAATGTCAAGCGGATCCCCTGAAAGTAACATAGAAGGGTTGTCTAGCGGATGGGGTGTTTTTGATTTTTCTTGCGGCGCAATGTAGAAGGACGCTGGCTGACCGTGTAGGTGTTCGCCTACAAAGCCTGACCCGAGGTCAGGCCATGTATTCTGGCCTGGAAATCCCGTTCCATCACCCATCGAGGAAAGCATCAGATCGATATTGTCGAGTGCCGGGCTCCAGGCGATGCCGTCCATACCGGAGGTACTATGACTGCCATTCCCCGGCATAGCTACGGCCGCAACGGGGGCAATGGGCGTCAATCCCGTGGACGTCGGTTCCTCAACAGATGTCATGAGTTCTGGGCCGGTGTCCTGGTCTCCGCGTGTCGAAGATGGGTTGGGATAGTGACAGGCGGAGCCCATCTGAACGCATCGACTACAGGCGGGGCGGGTCAATGAACAGCGCAACTTTTTCTGCGCGCAAGTTTCACAAGACTTGCGCTTGGAGGCGCGTTCCTGGCCAAAAGTTTTGGCGCAGCGACGTCGATGCCGGTCGCGGAGATCCCCTGTCGAGCTCGTTAATACTTTTGTGAGACAAAGAAAAGATCACATGCACGCAGATTGACAACGTACGGCGACCGTAGGTCTTGTTACAAAGCCCGCAGCGGTACTCGGCATCTGTTGTATCGGGGGAGGCTCTAGAATTGGTATATTCCATGCAGTTATTCCAGTCCATGATGCTAGAAGTGCGCGATAGACGGCAGGCGGTGTATGTGAGAACTGATGGGTGTTGTAGGCGGGGCCATAATAGTGAACAAAGGGAACTATGCACCTCAGCCGCACAGACTTAAAAGGAACTTATGTGGATAGATGGTGTTTTTGCCTTCGCCCTCGGGCCTCCGGCTTCGTTGGGGGGCCAAAGTCAAAACGTTTTTGGAGCGCACTTGTGGCTTCTGCTCCGTCCCTTGTCAAGTGCGTAAGATTTTTCCGCCTCCCGTTTGGCTTGGCGCCCCTCGTTAAGCTCAGGCAGCTAGAGGTCTCCGATTCAGCACGCAGGATTGCCCTTAACGGTAAATCCGTGAAGAATAAACATCGTGTCGTTTCCATAGTCGGGAAATAGAACATGCCACGCTATGCCTTGTGAGGCTGAAGAATTGGCACTTTCTTTTCTGACGCCCCCCGAATAAGGCCCCCAAATTTACCCACCCTAATAGGCCTAATAGGCAGTTGTAAACCTCCCTATCTAGAATAAGTTAATAATCCATGGCGATAGGAGCCCAATCAAATCGACGTCTTACAAGTAACTACTAGAGAACTGAAGCTGCTAAGGTACTACGATACCGGTGTGTCAAGCGTGCAGATAGCACACGCGGCTAGACACTACGAACTCACCCAAGTGGCTCCTCGCAACAATTACCACTTTATCTGACCCTCGCTATACGAGGGTCCTCCACTCAAACGATACTACCTAAGCGATAATCTCCGGGATCATACACATGGAAATCTAAACTCTGCCAAGGTATGTGAATATTATGTAAAGTTTGTGGTTTATATTTCTTGGACCCGCCCTGTAGAAAGATATATGTCACTGTTATTTCGATATTCCTGCGATAGAGCGTCCTATAAATTCGGCGTTAAGAATAGGTATATGGCATGAGACTAGGTAGTATATTTCTCTTTCTATCTTCAGTTTAAAGATCTAACCATTTATGGTCATAAGTTGGGGTGGCTGAATACTGGAACAAGTATCTTCTATATGATTTCTCTAAGAAAAGATACCCGAGAATTAAGTTCGGTCGGAGGTCTCACGCCACACGAGGATCCAAGAAAACTAGCGACACTTGTAAGGGGCTAATTGTGCATGATGCATGCATCGTAGCATGCATCATGCATGGCTGTATGCGTGAGCCCAATGTCGTGATCGTTCATAGTTTGGCGAAGCGGGCCCGCAAGTCGGAACTTTATGAGTCGAAATGCCCCGGCCGTTGACGACTGTAGGTTGCGGCACCTGCCGACCATACTAAGCCGAATACGGGCACTGCTTGATCAAAACAAAATCTAAAGATAAGCAATCATTACACCAAAGCATCATTTAAACATAATAATAGGGCCTAGCTATTAAGAGTTAATAATCTGAATTAAAATCTTAGCTCAGGGGAGTTGAAGAAAAAGATTAAAAGTGTGATAGACCTTGTGCTTTAATCTGTAGTGACTTTGGAGTCACTAGTCTGGTCCGTCCCTAGTGGATTATTGGTGACATGATTTACTACAGTAGTATATGGTATCCTTCCTCCTTGATGTTCGTTTATTTCTCTCTTCTTTGAATTTTGAATGCGCAGGGATTTTATGGTTATAATATCATTCACTCTCAACGTATCCTACTCTTACAAGACCCCCAGAAGACCCCTTGTAAGTAGCTGCTACGGACAAAATATAACATACCCGATCCTAAGGGCGAGCCCGAGAAAAACCACTTGGTTAGGCTATACCTAGGCCAACTGCGAACACCAAAAATCTTATCCTCCGTCAAGATCCTTAACGCTCTCTCTACGAAAGTTCCCACTCTATTTAGATTAAATAGAGTTCCTTGCAGTCCCCAGATGCGAGATGAATTAGTCCATAAGGCCATAGGCCGCAACTCGCGCGATAATGCACTGAATTAGCAAAATTGATATAAACGACATCGACTTTCTTGCGCCTACGAGCAAGAACGACAAGAACGGTTGGGAAATGAAGTCTAATACCTTTAGAAAATTGTCAATGTAGGTATTAGAAAGATAACAACAGACATAGGTTTCAGCTGCCACTATATGTTAGCGTAAGGATCCATACTATCTCCGACCAGAAAACAACCCTTCGCTTTGGAGTGTATCCAAGTAGCGTCGAGGTAAGAGCTCGACGTCTTTACGCACTAGGGCTGCATTATATGATAGAGGTTTAGCAAAAAGGAGTTCGCTAACTTTATGATAGCTCTTTTTGATATCATCGAACTGATCTCATACAACCTAAGGAGATTCGACTCCATATAACACGAATAGCCTTGGAAGGACATTATACCTGGATTAAATGTTTCTGCTTTTAATAATGGCTTGTTTCTGCAATCCTAGGTCTATAGGTTCTCATGTCTTGACGTCTTTTATACTTAACTAAAAGGTTAAGAATGTATTTTTAGCACCGAGTTTTCTGTATCTGCCATAGAGGCAGGGCCACGTGCTAGCTACCAGTAAGCTACCAATACATCTCTATATCCTAAGGGTATTATCTTCGAACGCATTGTGTAAGAGAGTATATAGTTCCACTGATATTTGTATCCGATTTCCATTATCAAGGGAATGGATAATATAGATCTATTCCCGTTTAAACCAATATAATATGTTCCCTAATAGTTACTAGATCTGCGATATGGATACGCTAATTTCATAGTTTTCGCGGAAGGCATAATCCTAGTTCTACAAGCATACCGAAAATTTAGACAATATGACCCTTAGTATTCCTGGCTGTGGCTTCATCTTGGCTCAGCTCGGAATATAGCCATCCACCTTATCAATCTGGCGAGGATATGGTAGGCGTTCCCTAGAGATAATGGTCCCCTTAGGTCAAATAAGCCCCGTCAAGGACAAGTTCATAGCTTCGTTCATGAAAATAATGAGATTGAATCAAAAGAACTCGCTCTAACCTTCGTTCTGACCGTGATGTTTGCTCACAAAATCTACAAACGAATTAACTACACTGCAAGCCTGGAAATATGACAAACGCGGATCGCAAAGAGAACGATAGTTGAGCGCAAGACCCTGTTCCGATGATCCCTGTTTTGTGCCATCCAGACACTCAGTGACAAACTCTCCAGTCTGCTCCAGGTGCAATCCGCCTAGAATTGATCCATTGTCACATTGTGTCTGCCATGTCCTGATCAGCTCTTGTAGAATACGATCGACATGTCGCGTTTTGACACCACATGTGGTGTTTTGAGTGTTGCCATGACATGGATCACACATCCAGACAGGACGATGGCGGGTTTCTTTCACAGCTAGGATCAGGCTCGGTAGAACTTTCTCGACGTTATCTGCACCCAATCGCGTAATGATTGTAATTCGGCCTATGTTGTCATCGTTGCCAGGATTTGGACACAGAGTATCCAACAAATTGACTAGTGTTGGGCCATCCATAGTCGGTCCGATCTTGACGCCGATCGGATTTCGAAGGCCACGTACGTACTCTACATGAGCTCCGTTCAATTGACGGGTTCGTTCGCCAATCCAGACAAAGCTTGCCGAAGTATTGTAGCGACCATGTGTGACGGCACTCTCAAAAGGTAAGTGCAGCGCTTCATGAGATGTGAAGATGGCCCCCTGTGGACCATCGAACGGTTCGACAGTGTTTCCAGATAGCATCTCATCGATACCAGGAGTAGAGGGGCCGGGAGTAGGGGGCGTGGCGGGGAGTTGCCCTTCTTTCATCAGGTCAAGTGTTGCTCGTGAATGAAAATAGCCGAGCAATAGTCGATGGGGATCAGGGTGTCGTTCATCAAGACTAGGACCGTTCACGTTGTGACCGCGGAATGCATGGACTTTTGTCCCATTGGGCAGGACCTCCCATGGGTTAGATCGTGGTTTGGCGTATTGGCCAGCTATACGGCCCACTGTGATCACGGGGAGATTTAGGCATTGAGCCAGCATTCGCGACTGCTCCTGCAGTAGTTTGACCTTTTGGTGGATGATATGCGGACAAACATCCTTAAAGCTCTCGGCGCAATCGCCACCTTGCATGATGAAAGCTCGCCCTTGCGCAGCAGCAGCGAAGTAGGATCGCGCAATCTCAATTTTCGCGGGGCTCACCAGAGGTGGTAACGAGGCAATTGTATTGCAGACTTCATATAGAGCCATTGGATCGCTGTATTCGACAGCCTGAGCGACACGGGGCATCTTGGTCCATGACTGGGGACTCCAAGAGCACTGAGGCGCGCTTGTGGACATGGAGTCTGTTGCAGCAGACTCGACTGGGAAGTCTTCCGGCATGCTTATCAGGGCGATGAAGGATTGTGTAGAGGAATCTTATGAGAGTTAAGAGGTGCGTGGTGCTTGCGAAGCTAATTCACTTACTGTGATTTTTAACTTGGAATCCTCTTCAAGTCACATAGCTGAGCCGGCAGAAGGAGATTACCCCCTTACCCTGCTCTCTTAAGGAAATATGAGGGATTGATACATAACCTTTAGGACTTAATGACTCCGGGTGACTATTATCTTCTCTTCCTATCCAGGCTGTAGGGTTGTATTGTCGAATTCTGTTGGCTGACGATAGATTTCACGGAGTCCTGGCATCCACCCATCATTTCGGAGAGAACGGTGGCCATGGTTTGCGGATCCAATCCCGGAAGCCTAGGCTAATTCTGATAGGAATGTGCCGTTTCTTACCACTGCTTTTGGTATGAAGTATCTCCGAGGTTTCATTGAACGCAGGCACCGGATCTCTGATGCTCAAGATGCCCTGTAGTACGCAGAATATCCTTCTTCTTCCCCCCACTGACAAGGCACCTCGCTGCAAGTCACCCCTGTCACATCCGCGATCAAAGTGGGTATCTAGCATTCAACATCTCGTATTCAGCCATAGTCTTCCGAATAGGTTCTTGGTAGTTGTATCTCTAACTTCCAAGTCCGGTAAGGGTACAGTTAGTGTCTTTTTCTCGGCGTGACCCACTACTCTGACCTTCTAGGCCTTGATAAAGGATATCCTCGATCTGGAAGGTGATTGGCCTGCCATTATGCACGGGTACGCCGCGATCTGCATATGCATGGCGTGCATGGGCTGCAGAATGCCTTTGTCAAACCACATGGTGACCATGACAGGCTCCACGGCATTTTCCTGAAATGAACTAAGCCGTATATATTTTCCGGGTCAATCTTGCATAGCTCGTAACAACTGCACTACTGTCATGGTAGATTGACCTATAAAATCTTCTAATTTGTGACTTTAACGAGCTATGCTGTACGCCTAGCCGGCGTGGAGATATAATTTCCGACTAAATTCTTCGACATTTCGACGGTTCGCACGCAATGAATCGTGGCTACGGGTGAGACGACTTCACCAACCTGCATGCGATGAACTACATGTAAGCACTACTGTAAGTCTTCAGGTCTCTGTCGTCAGCCCTAATTCACATCCTGATACCGATGTAAGCGCCCTCCCGTCGTCGGAAGAAGATGGGCTTGATTTCAGGATGTCCATCGGGATACAGCCAGTTCCGATCATCACGGCTGTCCCGTAATAGCAGTGCAATAGGGTTCCAAAATTGCTCCACCTATCTTTGAAAGGTTATCTACTATGGCCTTCGCCAAGCTTCGGCTCTTTGGTAATGTTATGTGGTCAGACGGGGCATGGATCGAGAGTTGAAAAGAGTCCTGGGCACCTTCCGGAATATGCAGATGAATACGACTTTAGATCACTCGGAGACATGTCCATGTGGTAGAATCTAGCAACTGAGAAGAGATGTCAAATGGTTCGCCACCGGCCCGTGCTGACGTTGTCGATCATTATTCTCCACTAAATAAATATACGAGAGCTTTAGTTGCATTAGTGCCACCGGGAGGCCTTCGTCAATGGAAAGTTGCAGCCAGTACGGAGTTATCCGACGCGGATCGGACTTGGCTGGTCCTGCATGGCCCCAAAGTAAGCCCTGATCTCGAATTGGGGGCTACTGAACTACCAACGCCTCATGTAAAATTGTAGAACGGATATTTCTCTATCGGTGACTGGATCTTTGTATGTTTCAGGTCCTGTCAGTATGGCATCCCAATGGAGGAGGTATGATTACGGACAGTCGAGCCACCATCGTAGTTTCGCCAATGAATACTGTGACCTCGGGGTAGTATGCAGAGAATACTTCTAACGCAATTGTAATTAAACTATTTAATCTGTTCTCTTGTCTTGATGGATTGTACACATTGGAAAGCAATACACAACATTCAACATTATACCACTAGGTCCCGAACAGGCTCATCCCTTTCTGAGACGGGCAATTACCAGTCCTTCAACCAGTATGCTTTTCGACTCGAGACTCCCCCTTCCCCCGTGCCAAGCACGGACGCCTTCTCTTATATCTTTTACAAAGGCCGAAGAGACTATCCCAAGAACAGGGTCTTGTATCGTGTCGACGGCACAGATAAGACGCTCACGTATGCTCAATTGGAGAAGAAGAGTCGTCGATTTGCGGATGCAATTCGTCAAAAATATGAAATTCGGCCAAACAATGTAGTGGCTATCCTGGCAAAGGATAAGGTAAGTCTATCCCGTACTCTCTCATCCAAAATACTCAGCAAGAGCTAAGTTGAGTGGTAGATTGAGTATGCCATTGCCTACTGGGGCGCCGTCGCTGCTGGTGCAATGGTCGCTCCCATCCCAGCCCAGAGTGAAATGAGTGAGACGGATGTTGCTGCTCGGCTTGTGCAGGCCAAAGCAAAGCTCTTCATCACTGACTCCGAGCTTCTTGTCTTGTCGGAGGTAGCGTCCGAGCTTGCTGGTGTCATACCAATTGTGACCTTGGACAAGACCACTGAGAGTTGGCCGACTCTGGATGAGCTAGTCGAGGAGGGGAGCGAGGCGCGGGTATTCGAGTTGAAAACCGTGCAAGAAGCTGACGAACACAATGTCTTCATAAATCGGACTAGCGGATCAACAGGAAACATGAAGTCGGTCCTTACCAGTCACGCACACTACATTTCGACAATGGAAGGTACAATTGGTACTATTCCAAAGAACACAAATCCCGACACCGACATTTGGGTGTCTCCTCTCTCTCTGGGATTCTTTATCAACTCCAAACTGCATATTGGGTTGAACATTCTGCTTGGAATTCCGGTCGTCCTGATGAAGAAAACACTCGACGAGACCACTGTCGACGTTATTGCCCGCCATCGTATTACTTTCTTGTTCATTACGCCACCAATTGCTGCCCGACTCGCTCGCGCCGATATGAGCGAATGCGACGTCAGCAGTGTTAAATGGTTATTGACGGCGGGTGCCCCAATGCACGAAAACCTCCGTAAAACAGTCTCGGATCAGTTTGGGGGCGTTCACTTGACTCTCGAATGGGCAACCTCTGAGACCATGCTCCTAGCCATGCAAGTGGACGAAGGCTCCAAATTACCAGGTTCCAGCGGTACCTTGGTGAACGGTATTCAGGCCAAGGTCATAGATACCGAGACTGGAGAAGAGCTGGATGCTCACGAGGAAGGAGAGATCTTGGTACGCAATGTGATCGCCAGGTTCAAGGGATACCAGGACAACGAGGTAGCGAATCGCGATTTCGACGGAGAAGGATGGTTTCACACTGGCGACTTCGGATACCTCGATGAAGACTCCAACGTGTACATCCTTGACCGTATCAAGGAACTTATGAAGGTCGGGGAAGGATACGGAAGCCATGTTTCTGCTGTGGAAATTGAATCTGTGCTCTTTGAGCACCCCGTAGTGTCGAGCGTCGTCGTTGTTGGGGTCCGCAACACAGAACTGCAAGTTGATCAGCCGACGGCGTTTGTGATTTTGAAAGAGGCCTTCCGTGAGGAGACAGCGAAGACAATAAAGGATATTGAGAAGTTTGCGGCAACAAAGCTAACAGGTCTGAGAAGATTGACTGGGGGAGTCTATTCCGTCCCGAAGTATCCGACGACGGGGTTCAAGATCAACCGGAGGGAGTTGAAGAAGATGGTCCCTTGCCAGAAGGAGTAGCAGAGGTGATGGGAAGGCCGATTATTCAATGATTATAATCTTGTCTTGAATTGTTATTTCTTTTGAATTTGTCCAGTGGACTATGCGTACTGCTGGAGGCTAGGTAGGTAGTTACAAGAGGTATTACAGAGAAATTTTGAGATCTTTATTTGTAAACATCTAAGGCTGCCTCCAGTTAATCCTCGACATTGAATCTCCCATTCCCCTCAATATCTGGTTTACCTAATTTGTCAATAAGATCTTAACATTTCTTTATGTGGTCTTTTAAGAATTGTACTAAGTACCCTGGAGTGTCCGTCACATATGAGAACTCCATTACCCTGTTGTTTGGAATAGTCAAATCCGAGAAATTCCCAGTCACAGCGGCTTCCGACCAGAGATCATCCTCAATTCCGGGGCATAACCAATCGCCTTAATCTCCTCCACTAGGCGATCCAAGAAAGCATGATATTCCTCGGGTGTCTTGGCAACTCCAGGGATGCCATCCTCTGCACCAGATCAAAGTCAGTGAATGAACCACGCAAGGGCAAAGACCTGAGGAGAACCACGCACCACCTATCCGACCAGCCAGATGCCGGAAGCTCTCCACCCACAGCTCAGCCGAGGAGTCACGGTCCTTTTCATGTTTCGCACTCGCTCCATAAGCAAAAGGATATGGGACAGTGGTTATATCTTCGAACCCATTCTCCTGCAGCATGTCCGCTAGTTTTTCGCCGATATAGATGTCCATTCCTGCCATCTGAGTGGACCAGATTTGGGTCAAAGCCAGTTTGTGCTGCTCGGGATGGCTTTCCCACAGATCTGGGAAGATCCATTTGCACTCAACAAACTGGATGCGACCGCCGGGTTTCAATACGCTCCGCAGATTGCTCAGAACCCTTGGCCACTCCGTTTCCTTCAGGCCCCAGACCAAGAAACGTTGGTGGATGACATCGAAGTGGTCTTTCCAGCCCCAGTTCTCGGGGAACGACTGAAGGAGGTCATGCTGGCGAAGATCGAGATGAGGGTTTGCCAGGAACAAGTTGGAGCCAATGTCAATGCCGTGAAGGGAAAGCTGCTTTTGAGGATATTCGCGGGCCAGGTCAAGCAGCCAAGTCCCTAAAGGATGTTAGACATTATTAGGCCAACCCCTGAGGAACTAATCAATTGAATAGGATCGTGCTGCTACTTACCATCTGCACAGCCACTGTCGAGAATTTCGAGTGGCTTGCTAGACTCTGGCAAGGAAAATCCTAGCAAGTTACCGTCGCAGCAGACTTTGGTATACTCATGTTGTCTCCTCAGGCGGTCGATTTCGGTGACGTGGTGGGGCAGGAGGTACTGGCCTTCGGTTCCCCCAAACACCTCCTGTGTGGTGGAGGTAGAGTTTTCTACTGCGGCCATGATTGATGAATTTACAAATGTGGGATTGTTTCTAGACGCGAAGACAAAATTACTCGTGTGGCACCCTTTTGTACGAAATCCGGAAGAGTGAAGAGAACTTCCCGCTACGCGGGCTTACTTCACGATGTCGGAGATTTTGATTTTACGACCCATCGCTAGCAGATCCAAGCCAAATTGCCTAACAACCCCGTTATCACGACTGCGCCGCATCTGCTCCTGCGATTGGTTCCTCTAGGGCGAGGAAAGAAGGGGTGGCCATGTACGGAGCCACAGACGCTGGTCGGACATGGGTGGTCGCGAAATGACCACGATTCTCCGAAACAACCCTGGAGATCAGGACGCCATTAATAATCACTCCTACACAATTTCATCATTCAGGCCAACCGTTCTGGAGCGATCGGGATATTCCTTTTATCGGATGTATGAAGGATCTTACGCCAGTGAAGATCCTGCTCTTTCTCAGTTTTCTCCTCGGGATGCTCAACGCAACGATGATCAGACCAGCAGCTGAAAGCGCCATCTACCGTCTCGCTGGCCTGGGAGGGGGCATACTGGCTGGGCACACCATCAGTCATAAGCCAGAGGGTAGTGCTCGTGATAAGCCCCAGCCCCATGCATGGACTCTACGATCGGGGGTGTATACTCCGCGCGAATTAGTCGAAGGTTTCGCTCCTCTTCTGGATACGGTCGTTTACCGTCTGGGTGAGGATACCCCCAATACCAGGCCTGCCCGAGCATTGCTACTCGACAATGTTGCTTCCAACCTGGCCACCAACGCTCGCGAATCCACCTTACCCTTCCAAAAGGATGTGCCGGATCACTCGCGCAGGGAGATGAAAGAGCAGGCAGAGAGAATCGGAAAGGTTCTCGTTCAATGGGCGCGTGACGCATCCAACGGCCCCTTTGATGCGAACCTCAACATCCGTAGCCCATGCGAGAATCACCTATTGACGCCAGTGAATGTCGACCTCATGTTTGGGCGTCGCAGTCAGCCGCACCTGATGCAACTTTTTAATGAGTACATGCACCAGATGGTGCTGCTTCGTGATGCTCTCCTTCCATTCAGGAACTTCGAGGACGTGCTGGTTCCCGTAGACGGCAAGGCTGCTCGGGGGATTCGTCATCTGGAGCCCAGTCGTGCCCAATTCCTGACGGGCCTCTTCACCAAGAGCGTAACTCAGGCTTCGGTGTTGGCATACGCGAAAGCCCTTCTGGCGCCAGATTTGCCCCGGACCCAAACCGGCGGCTATGGCTTCCAATATGAGCACGGCACCATCCTTCCAGCCGTCCTCTCCGGCGGAGAGACCCCATTCCACTTGCTGGAGTACGTGCCGGCTAAGCTCGATACATCTCAGAAGAACATCCTGTTCGACTACGAGTTCACAGATTACTATACCGCACCACGGCCTGAGATCCTTGCTGGCAACCAGGTGCAGAGTGAAGAGCTGCTCAAGTTCCCCTCCGAATCCGAATCTGCCGTGGTGCAGAACGCTAGTCTGGGCCTCGTACCTTCGGCTGAGTCCAATCCAGTCCGTCAATTAGAGCTTCGCCTCGAGCTAAGTAACGGCAAGTGTATTGGGGTCGATGTCGGTCAGGTTGCTCGTGGACACCGCTACGCATATCAGGCGCTTAGAGGCAATGAGACAAACCTCCAAGATAAACCTGCGATCGTCCACTCGGCCCTCGACATTCTCTTGCAATCTGAGAGTGGACTCATCACCGCTAAAAAAGGCGGTGTTCATGTCATCCCGGCTCAGGCACCCATCATTGCACTCGCACTTCTAGGGAAGCTATATCCGGAGAATGTTGTGCTCCTACCGGAGGATGGTCACCTCAGCCAAACTGAGAAGGCTGGTAAGGGTTTCGAACCTAAATTTATCATCTGGGGTGGTGTAAAGCCCGGTGGTTATAAAGGACGTTTCTGATTTCACTCTATTTGGGTTATGCATTGGGGTTTCGTTCATTATTTTGTTTGTTATTTACTGTCTTTGACGGTAATTCCTATCGCTAGCGAGTTACAATAAAGGATGCATATCACTGACCTTACCCATTTGACTACCTATTCGTCAAATTGCGATCGAGCCCAACACGCTGGTTTGAGGTAGTCGCAGTTGAGCTTTCATCGGTCTTCAATACCGCTCAGGCTTTGATGGCGTCCACCCTGGGCACACCAGCCTTATGATAGCGTATATCTCTGGAAAGTTCGGATCGCAAAATTGTATTTACAGGGTATCTTACTTTAAGAAATCTTAAATATTAATCAATAAGGGACTAAATTTATTTTTCCTACAGCATCTCCAATCCTATCGCTCGTCTCAACAGGTGCCTTTACTCCGCTTATGAACATGGAGAGTACAATATACGACATAAAACTAAGAATCTTTCGTCATAGAAACTTGAAGTGAGCTGCGAATTAGTACATTTGTCTCAGGCCTTCATATAGACATGAGTTGCAGCAACCTAGAGCCAAGCAGGGACTGGACAATCATCACCCCGTAATGCCTAATATTCAAGGTCTTTCTAAAGGGATAAAAATCACCCCATTTATTCATTTACATAAAGTAGTTTCGTACAAAATGGCAAGAGACATAGGCCAAGATCAGATATACGCGCTGAATTAAGCTGCTGGCACCTCTTTGCGGTGCATATCATCCGACCATTTCTCTGGGAGCTTTCCCTCGTCCAGAAGTCGTGCCATGCGCTCTTTGACATGCTTTCCCGCAATAACAGCTTCATACTGTTGTGGGTAATCGTCGGCAATGCACTCGGCGAGGGGCTTGATAACGGCATCACGGTTTGGATGACCAAACCAGGCAATAGCATATCGAGCAGGGACTACGTTCGTCACTGATCCATCAGCCAGAACACGGGTCTCCGCGGCGGGTGCGACAACTCTATGCTCAGTGGACTTCAGGCGGTTGTTGAACCAGCGAGCGAGAAGGTCCGCCACGTTCACAATCGCATGGCCGGGAATGGGAGGCGCATCACACCATTCTCCCTGCTTGTTGCGCACCTGTAAGCCACCAATGGAGTCATTGAAGAGCAGAGTCAGGGTGCCAAAATCTGTGTGAGGCGCCGATCGCACCCGTTGATCGAAACTCTCGACGGTCGTCTCGGGATAATAAAGTAGAGCCGTATAGGAATCCTTGGCCTGGACTGAAGGGACGAGGGTCTCACGAGGGAGTCCGACTTTCTCCGTCAACGCACGCAGAATCTCCAGATGCATCTGGAAGCACTCCTCGAAAAAGCGCGAACAGTCATCACGAAATTCAGGCCATTCCTTCGGCCACCGGTTAGGACGAGTGGGATCGGCGTCATTGCCCAGCCCAAATGCCTCCTTCTGATCTGCGGTTTCAGGATTACGAGCGGTGCGCACTGGTGCAAACCACCCTCGGAAAGCAGATTTTTCGTCACCTTCGATGGCGAGTTTATATTCTTCTGGTAGGTCGAAAAGTTTGTGGATGTGGGAGAAGATTGTTTTCATGAAGTCATCAGTGAAGATGTGGCCTTTTAGATATATGAAGCCAACATCATGGAAGGACTGAAAGAGTTTGTCTTTCTCTTCAGCAGCAATTACGGAATCGGTTGAAACAAGCCGCGAATAATCGATGACGGGAAATATAGGACTCGCCATTGTGGATGAAGTAGGCAGATCAATTGGTCTTGTTACCATAAAACAGATGTATCGAAGATGACAGTGGGAACGTGAGACCAACCCTTTTCGATGGATTCTTATAAGCCTGTGAGCAATCCTTGCCACATCAATTTATTCGGGAACTAGTGATTATCTTCGCCAGGAGGGTGGTCTTTGCGAGAATTGAGCTGGCATATTCCGAAACGAAGAACATCGGACGATTCCCAGAATATGCAGCTTCATCCAACAAATTCCGGTCATAACTGTCTGGCGTTGGTTCTCCGATAGCAGATCACTCCGGAGATGGCTGTCCTTGAACGATGATTCCGTGCCTTGGGGGCTGAGGATGTGCTAATGCATGTGCGTCCCGGGGTGGGTACTGTCAGATCTTACGATGTTGCACCACGTATTTAGTTTGGGCTCCACTTCATGGCAGGAAATATGAAAACATGCCAAGTCAAAACTCGTATTTTGGAAATCAGACTCAATCTGTAAAGTGAATGCAAGGAGAATACTAGTCTATCCACCACGTCCACTTTCAAGCCCTCGGTCAACTTCAATCAATGGACTGTAGGGAGAGTAGTCTCTGGTTTATGCATTTAGTTACAAAACAATGCCTCCAGCCAATTCATGCTCAATCGCGGCGAAGAGGAAGGCGGTTGCACCTTCTAGATCATTGTAGGCAATTGTTCCATCGATGTAAAACTGCACGAAGTTGACGTCAGTGCTTGCGAATCCGCATGTTCTCTAAACGATTCACTCACCTCGTAGGAGAAATTTCCACCAAGCCCACGAACCTGCACTGTGCCGTTGAAACCCAGCGCGCCCTGCGACTCATACACCACAAATTGATCAATCAGTCCCTGGAAACCTTTGGTCGCAGAGCGATAAATTGCTGTTTGGTCCTCTGCATCCTCAAAGTACCCCAAACGCAGACCCTTATACAGGGAGTAGACGAACATTCCCGAAGCACTGCTTTCGATGAAGTTTCCTTCGCGTCCCGGCCAGGACATTACCTGCCACCAAGCTCCAGTGTCGGGGTCTATGGCTTTGGCTGCAGCCTTGGCCAAATCAACATACAGAGTGTGCAGTCTCGTCCACAGATCCGATCGGTGCGAAACGGGCAGCAGCTCCAGTGTATCGACCAGGGCCATGGTCATCCACCCATTTGCACGACCCCAAATCTCAGGTGTTGCGCCCGTTACTGGATCAGCCCATGGTTTTTGCTTGGTATCGTCGTAGCCCTGTGCCCATAGGTGGGTGTCTTGGTGCTCGCAATGGTTTGAGAAGAGCTCGAATTGGCGAAGAACATCGTCGTAGGCCGCGGTTGCGTTGCCGATATCCACCAAATTCGTATAGCGAGTCAAGAACGGAGCGAACATGTATATTTGCTCCACAAAAGCCTGGTCAGGAGTGTTGGGATACTCGAGGTCTTGACGAGATGTGTCTGCTCGATACCAGTACATACCCTCAGCAGTGCGTGGCTGCGTGTCCAAGCTCTGGCGCAGCTGCTTCGCGGCGCTCAGGTACTTCTCATCACCGAGCACTTCGTGTAAGTAGAGCAGTCCATGACCCAGAAGCAAGTCATCGATAATGTGCGTATGTTCCACATCGTAATATCTAAGACCGTGTGTGCCTAATTCCGCCTGGACGCTCTGCTGAAGATAATCAAAGTAATGAGCTTTTGATTGCTCGTTGGGAACATGCTCCAGTAGTCGCTCCAATGCCAATTGAAACATGCCGTGTTTGAATACGGTAGAGGTCATGGTGTTAGGCTCAACCTTTAGGGCATCGCCGCGACTGATGATGCTGTCGGCCATCCACTGTGACCATGGTTTCTGAGCTGGTTTGAGGGGTATCTGGGAGGAAAAAGGTTGCGATTGAACATTGGTGACCAAGAGCGCTGTAGCGACGGTAAACTGTATGATAGCTCGTTTCATTTTTGTTAACGTAGTCATTTCCTGCGTGGAATGTAGTGAATTGACAGACTTCTGAGGCGAAAGTCGGCGGGGAAATCTAAATAATCCAGACTACACGTCGCAATCAGGGGCTATAGCTGTATAATTATTTGTGGTGGGTCAGAACAGCGATCTCCGAGCATGACAGTCATCTCCGAGCGTATCGGAAGGTACCGAGGAGCAACAGTCCAGCAGGCTTATGAGCACGCACTGTTTGCTGCACCGGGCTGTCAAATGTAGTTTTAGATGGTTTCCGGGGTGTTTTGAGCTGCTCCTGCCCCTGGTCTAAGTGAACAGTTCGTCTGGACTTGAAAGGTTGGTCTAAATAGCTGGATGATCATGCCCGTTGTATTTCAGGTAACATCCAGGGATAGAAACTTTCACAAGAACGACTTCCAGATCCTTGGTTACAGTTAGCGTTTACCCCCGACAAATCTATATTTCTTAGCCTAGATACTCCAAGACGCTATAAAGGTTTTTCACAGTACATAGACTAACTCCGGATTCTCCAAGTCCGTCAAGTCCTTGAACTCCGACAAAGGCACCTCCTGATAATCCGGATCCAAACGTATCCTTTCCTTTTGCGCATTCCGGGCCTTATACCAGTAGCGAATCACCAACATATCGATCAGACATGCGCCCCAGCAGCAGCAGATGGTGATTTCAGCGGGAATGTACCGGGGCGCGTCCTTCGGACGGAATGTTTGAGGCCCTGGTCCATGTCGTGGTTAGAGTACTTATCGGCGCAGCTGCCTGCTGTGTTTGCCGTTTGAGAGGTACTTACCGACAATATTTCCCACGCAATATCCTATCATGTAGATAGCTGCAACAGTAGTCTTCTTGGTTGACCCTGCTACATTTGTCGAGATGAAGGACAGCAAGGCAACGAATGCAGTCGGACTAGCTTGTGTGAGATAGAAGGCGATTAATCTCCCGAGGCTGTTGGATAGAGGCAAAGCTGCCAGAAGGAAAGCACCAAGTAATCCGATCGCTAATCCAACACAGCTAACGTAGATTCGCTGATGATATCTATCACTGAGAATACCGCTCACGATCAAGCTAATGGCCTGGATTGCGCCTCCAGGGGCGCTGTATAGGAGCGACTCGGCTGCTGTATACCCCGAGTTCTTGATGATTTGAGAGAAGAAGTTGGTAATACCACCATTTGGAATATTTCCCGCGCAGGCAAAGAATGCAAACGCCCATGTCATGGGGTCAAGAAGAGCTTCCTTGAATTGGGACATCTTGAAATGCTTGTTACCAATTCCTTGTTGGTTCTTGCGGATGCGCTGGACGGCAAGAATCCGATCCTCGGGTTTCAGAAAGCGAACATTCCACTGGTTGTCGGGCATGTAGTATAGGAAGACTAAGCCGATAATAACGGTGAAACAGCCTGTGACCAGGAACAAGATTCGCCACGGCTCAATGGCAGTAACCTGACCCTCGGTCCCTTTGGCGATACCGTAGGCTAATACGCCACCGACAATCATCGCCACGCCGTTGAAACCGAACCAGATGCCCGTTCGAGATCCTTGCTCATGCTTTGTGTACCATTGCGATGTGAAAAGCGCAAATCCTGGGGTTACGACTGCTTCGAAGACTCCTAGGAAGAAGCGCACAATGGCAGCTCCCCGGAAGTCCTTCACGGCCGCGAAACATGCCAATGTCGCCCCCCAGAGAATGATATTAAGTGATGAATATTTCGCAAGGGGATAGTGTTGCAGCAGTCGGCTACTAGGATATTCGACCGCAAGATATCCTAGAATATGCCAATTTCAGCTCGGGATAAGGTCAGTGGCTAGTTAATGTGCATCAGAACGCACCGAAATAGAAGATACTCCCGAGCCATTGATATTGATCGCCAGTTAGTCCTATATCGGATTGAAGGCCCATCACACTTGCGTAAGAGAGCGTGGTTTCTGAAATCTGAATTAGCTTGTCCATTCCCTTGACCCTCATATCACTCGACGCCTTACTGTCTAGGAAATTAAGCCCATAGATAGTACATAGTAGCTAGTGGCTAGATCAGTATTCGTGACCGAGGAAGAACTATGAAGGTATAATAACGCACTGGAAGTAGATTGCGATCAATTATTTTCAAAAGCCGCGCATTTGTTTCTTCGTCTATGTCTTGGACCCCACCTGGCGCTCCCGCGAATGCTCGCATGGCCTCATCCTCCTCCTGCAACGGGTTGTGAGGAGCAATTGCATCTTCTTCGACAGCCATAATGAAATGTTGTCTTCGTTGTGATAAATCGATCGGTGACTTGATATCACGCAAATTAGATTGACGTAGGTATAGACGACGAACACCGGTTAAGTAAGTAACCACCGTCGCGTGTGCACCAGAATAACCCAAGAGCTTCGGACTTTATTGGTCACTGACGAAACCTCTCCGATTGGAAGGTGGGGGCAGTTTGAGCACCTGAAGTCGTATTCGAGCTCATTCGTCCGATTATGTCTTTTAATTTGAATATGCATATCATCCGTCAGTGCTTCCGTGCTTGGCGAGTCCTGCAGAATTAGATCGATGGCGACAATTTGGCAGACAGCGCTAAAAGTTCCCTTTGGAACGAATCGTCAGGGTCTCCTGGTAGTCCCACCCTGAACGTTTCTCGTTTCTCAGAGAAACTTACCTTTCTCACATCAGCGAGCCGGTAGTGGGGAAGGGCTAAGGTAAAGGGAAAAGAATTTCATGAAATGCTCATGGATAATGATCTAGCCATTCCACCTCCCTTATAACCTGACATAACCTATCTAGGTTCTGCCCAGCAGAGTATACAGAGGACTAATAAAAACACGCCCCTAGGTTACTATTTACACGTCCCTCTAACTGTATCTAGTAAGGCGCAGTTAAGCGATCGTCGGATAGCTACACCCCGCCCCAACAGTAGCGCTCATATTCCATCCCATCATCGAGTGTCCGATCTCTATCGTCAAAATCTTCTATTTTCTAACATCCCCCTTGGAATATCTTTAACCTCATGACTCTCTACAGCTCTATTGATCCTAAATGAGAAACAGGTTTTGATTAAATTATGCAGCGGTAATCAAAACAATCTCCTCAGTCTAGAACGATGGCGTGTGTTATCTCTCGAGTGTGGCCCTATCGTCCGATCGATCGAGAAGCATCCTACCAGATCACTGTCGGTCGGATAGTGATACTAATTTGGCCGTAGTATTATATTCGAGTCCTGTGTTTCTCCTAGTCACTAAGTTTGTTAGCCAATCTTCTAGTGCCTGTTGAAACGAGTGTGTCTTGTAAAAGATCTGAGGCAGTTGCGGAGCCTAACGCTCCCATACCACCAAGGGTAATCGCATAACTGCCATCGAAATCGAGTCGATAAAGACACGCTAATATGCACTCCACGCGATAATATCATAAATTACTTATAACTCACCTCTTATGACGCTTGCTACTAAAGCCTGGTGGGGTGTATCAGCTAGGCGTTTGCAAAAGACTGTAGATCGGCCGATTGCCCGATCTGGTACGCCATCAAAACCCCGTTAGCAGTTGCCCCACTAAAATATCTATAGGAAAGTGAGGTTAAATAGTATATTAAGCTTAAGCGAGTTAGGGCTCTGTCGATAACTACACTATCTGTAAAAATCATATTATAATCATGAGAACGGCTTTATAACAGTATCTTGGTCTAAACAGTATTCTGGTCTGCGTCGTGTCTATTTGGTTTGCTTAACCCTGTTTTGGCAATTAATTCCGAGTTCTTGTCGGATGATCCTAGAATATTGATTAATTTCCATCCAGTAGTCCGGTGTAGAAAACGGCCTTTGACAAAGCCCAATAGATGGATGTCGACTGGTTTTGCTGACCATCAGACGCGGTGTGGATGGCTTGTGGTATGATGCTCGCGGGTCCAAGTGCGTCATCGCCATCATAGAATCAACACCTTTAAACATCAACCATGCCACCCCTTTCTCGTCCTTTCTTTTCACCCTCATCCTTCCCATCATCAGCTCAGTCTATCCAGACTCCTGGATTTACGACTAGCTTGAGCGATCGTATTCCAGGCAAGGGCCATTGGTGCACTGTTACAGTATTCCCCGCGCAAGTGAGGGGCAAAGTAAAAAAGCAACGCGAGTCGGTCTCGTGCGTCCACTTTTTTCCTCCCTTCGCAGCCCAAAGCTTTCCCCTTTGCACCTCGAAGCAAAGCTGCTAAACTGCTCTGTCACTATGAGAAACTCCGTCTGCCATCTACCCAATGGCCTCTCGTTCACAGTGACGCCCGTCTTTGGCGGGGTCACCTTCAAATCGAATGACTCGCTGTCGCACAGCTCAAGCTCGACCTTCCCACCCGGCTGGACAATCATTATCCATAGTGGAAAGACCCCCGAGAATCCTCCAGCCGAAGAACGTGGACGAACCGGTTCTGAAGACATACGCCCTACGTCTAGTGGTGGCAGCGACGACAGCAACATCACGCGCTTCACCACCCCCACCTTGAACCGTGACTGCCTCTATATCTCGTATATTGTGAACCCCCCTTCGAGCGACTATAAACCGGTCATGTCGCCTACTCGCCAGATTGCGATGATGCTGTGGGCTACTCTGTGGTGGTACTTCCACGAGCCCGAGCCGGACTTGCATCTGGAAACCGCTGCCTCGAGCTCGACACCGCATGATGGACGACCACAGGGCGAGTGGCGCGTGAATATCAGACGAGAGGGGATCTTCAAGGGTCGGAACTTGCTTCAGAAGCTCGAACGCATGGGTTTGATCGCGAGCGAGGACTCTTCCGTCGGTCTTCAACCTATGGAGACGCGTGATTCAAGCAGCTGGTCCAACATGTTTGTGAGTCGACGGAGTTTCTGGCAGATAGATCCTCGCTTGTTCCTTTTCACGCTCACGCCACGAGGGGCTCCCCTTTCGCCCTCGCTGACTCCCTTCCAATCTCGCCATGCCTCCCCGGTACGAGACGGTATGCCGAGTCCGCATGCGTTGCAGCCGGCGGAAGCTTCGTTCCATACATCCAACATAGGCACGTACACTTCTGCGGGTCCCTTTACGTCGGCTAGTCACCTGCCAACGTACTATCCTCCGGCACCTACACAGTACACCTTTACCAATGGCGTGCGCCATCCTGTCCGGTCTAAACCCCCGCATCAAGGCGAAGTCTTTTACGTGCGCCATATCCCCAGTGTAGACCAGTTCCTTTCATTCCGAGTGCCCTTCTTGCCGATGACCAAACCCGGGCCTGCAAATGAACCTACCACGGGCAGTCGACCATCAACTCCCACCATAACTGTCAGCTCCTCCGTCACCAGTGTTGAGCAGCATCTCTGCACGAGTGCACCCTCCGACCTCGACATGCTGCATCGGTGGATGAACGACCCCCGAGTTGAAGCCATGTGGAAAGAAGGTGGCGAGCGCTCAGTCCAAGAGAAATTCTTGATGAAGAACCTTACTAGTCGACACAGTTTCCCTGTCATCGGCTGCTGGGATGGAAAGCCATTCGGCTACTTTGAAATCTACTGGGTGAAGGAAGACCCGCTGGGTCGATTGATCAACCGTGTTGAGAACTATGACCGGGGTATCCATGTTCTCGTTGGTGAGCAGGAGTTCCGGGGTCCGCATCGAGTGGCCGTTTGGTTGAGTGCGTTGGTGCACCATTGCTTTTTGTCTGATATGCGGACTGAAGCGGTCTATTTGGAGCCCCGGGTGGATAATACCAAGTGAGTTGATTGCGCTTACATCCTGTTGTATTGGACAAGTTGACTGATGATGAATTTAGGTTTATTCAATACCTCCAGCAAGCTGGCTTCTATAAAGAGGGCGAGGTGAACTTCCCGCATAAGCGCTCCGCCGTGATGAAGATCAAGAGGGAGTTCTGGGAGGCACCAGCGCTGTGAATGAGGATAGAGTGGCCATCCAGTTCTATAGATCTGTATGAAATCATGAGTAACGAATAATTTGCATCTGGCTTGGTTCATTACATTCGAGATCAATCAGCACGAGGGAAGTTGGGGATAAGTCGATCCGGTGTCATTGCATTTAGAGAATACGGTAGCGGTCATGATAGCTTGAAGTCAATACATCAAACCTGTCCTCATTCTTGATCATCAATCGTAATAGTCAATTTTGTATCCCCCAGATCGACATCGACCCCTCAAACCACCGAGGCATCTCCAGTCCTTCCCCGCATTCAAGATCGGTGATTCTCGGTCTTCCAACAGCGACCAGGTATAATTCCCATGTCTGAAAAAGAACCTCAACCACCAACATCCAATTCCCAAATCCCATCATTATCATATCACAACTATGCCCCCAACCCCAGCCTCAATCCTCACAACCCTCACCCCCCGCGCAAAAGGCAAAATAGCCCACCTAACAATTTCCCGACCCACCAAACTAAACGCCCTAAACACCTTCCTCCTAACCCAACTACCCCAAACCCTCCACTCTCTCACAACAAGCCACGCAGACCTCCTCTGCGTAATCATAACCGGCGCCGGATCCAAATCCTTCATCGGCGGCGCGGATATCGCCGAGATGGCACAGCTGGACTCGCCAGCGTCGGCGAGAACGTTTATATCCAGGGTTTCGGCGGCTTGTAGGAGTATACGCGAGTGTCCGGTTCCGGTTATTGGGAGGGTGAATGGGTTTGCGCTGGGCGCGGGATTGGAGGTTGCGGCTTCGTGTGATTTTCGGGTTGCGTGTCGGGGGGCTGTTTTTGGGATGCCGGAGGTAGGTTATTTTGAATGGACTTGCTTGCTGAGATGGGGGCAGAGATCATTGCTGATACCTTTGATAGGTTCGAGTGGGGATTCCCAGTGTCGTTGAAGCGGCTCTTCTCCCTGGGTTGATTGGATGGGGCCGGACCAGGCAACTACTCATGCTGGGGGAGAATATCACAGCCGATGAAGCTTTGAAATGGGGTCTCGTTGAGAAAGTGGTTGAGCCGGAGGCTTTGGATGATGCTGTGGAGGAGTGGGTGTGTCAATTAGAGAAGAATGGACCTCTGGCTGTGCGCAAGCAGAAGGCTCTTATGCAGACGTGGGAGAATTCATCTTTGGAAGAGGCGATTCAGGCTGGAGTTACTGCCTTTGAGGAGTCTTTTGTGTCGGAAGAGGGTGAGATTACGGAGCCGGCGAGGATGCTTGGTGCTTTCTTTAAGAACAAGTCCAAGATATAGGAGTCTCGTGGATTGAAAGTGGGGCCATGGTAAACATTCATTAAGGTGATTATCCAAGTACTTTTAGCTCTATGCCAATCCATCTATCCCTCTGCTTTAAGGGGTTCAATGCCAATGTCAGTGTCAATGCCGATATGGTCATCCGAACTGTACCATCCAGCAATATTCCAACCCACCATCCCATTACAATATACAATTCCTCTGCTCCTCGTATCCCCAAACAATCGAATCGTACAAAGAATCAACGAGCATCCCTTACAACTTGAACTGCAACAGGTTGCCCACCATCTCGCGCGCAGTAATGCGGGTAGTCGCCCACAAAGTGGGGAAGTCGAGGGTGCTGGTAAAGGTATCGGCGTAGCCGAAGAACAGCATGGGAGGGATCCAGCCGCGGGCGTACTCGAGGGCGAAGCACGCGCTGTCCATCTTGTACTGCTTGACCTCGCCGCGGACAAGGTGGTGCACGGTACCGGCGGGGTACTTCTCGGGCTCGAAGGATCCGGGGACGTAGGCTAGTTGCTCGCCGTGCAGGATGTTGAAGTAGTCGTCCGCGGTGTGGCGGCCGGTGTGGCCCTCAGTGCCGATGGTGGTACCTAGAGAAGACGATGTGAGAACTCGAGCAGGAAGGGGGATCGAAGATAGGGGAGTGCGATGGCTTACCGAAGATGATTAGGTACTCGGTGATACCTAGATAGGAAGACTCGTTAGTCAATTGACCAGACTTGAAAGGTTGGGAGTCGTCGAGGGACCAATTGCGCCGAACTCGGTTTCGAGCAAACCAGTCACACAATTGACCTCCATGGATTCCACACGGCAAAGCCTCTTCCAAGAAGGGATATCACTTACTGGCGTGAATGACGTACATCGCGCCCATAGCGCCGCCAGCATTGTTGAAAACCCACTCCTCCTCGGTGCTCAGATACTTCTCGCCAACCTTGTCCTGCAGCTCAGCGACGATAAAGTCAACAATGGAGCGCGTATCCTCGCCATGGGCCTTGATAGCACGCTGCGACAGATCATGCAGATGCTCGGGATCGAAGATGTAGAACTGGTTGAGGCGCGCGTCGAGGAAGCTGTACAGGGCAGAGAACAGGGCCAGGAAAACCGCGAGGAGGCTCAAGTTCTTGAGCGTGAAGCAGCGACAACCGCAGCCAGAGGCGGCCTTTTTGTTGGACGAGGATTTGGACGGCATCGTGATGTGGCAGGTTCAGAGGGGAGATTTGGGGAGGAGGGAAGTCGGGTGTTGTGATGCGTGAGAGGACCCTTGGATTGGAAATTGAATTTGAATTTATTGACGGTCGCCCCTGGCCAGCCGCGTCCCCGCAAAACCCGCCAAACCCATCGGCCTGTGCCCACGCCATGTCGGATCGACCCAATCCGAATCACCACCATTCTAATTGGCCCATGCTCTTGCTCGCCCGAGCTGCCGAGAGCTTCACGGGATTCGGGACTGGTTGGCGGGATCGAGTATGGAATGGTAAATGCTGCTGGCTATTTCGCGGTACCGTTTCGCTTTCCGCGGGTCCCGAGGGGATCTGGAATGCCGAGGGGAATCGGGACATGAGGCGGCAGGTAAGCAAAGTATATTGATCAAGTTTTATGGTGAATCCTAGTCCTCTCCGGATGTATAGGTGGAAGAACTAGAGCAACTGGGTAACATAAGACTGTAAGGACTGAGAAAGAACCCTCAGGTTCTTCGATTGGTCTAGCAATTGTCTGCCTCAGGAACGGCCAGATCTGTCTTGACATGGTTAACTCTATCTATATATTTCTACAGAGGTATGTAACAGCAGACTAGCTGACAATAATTTTCTAGAAATTGATATTTAGGCAGAACAGTAGTGGACATTAAAAGAGTTGTATGTTTCCAGAGCCGCCCCAAAGAATTAGCCGATGCTCGGAATATATATCTGCAGCTCTAGAGGACCCTGGGATAGTCGAATCGGAGTAATAATGGATCCATGTCCACTCTAAAATCGTGCAATTAATACGATAATGTCCCTTAAATATCCGACTTTCACAAATTCCAGAATATATCTGCTGTCGTCATCGCTCCTGAAGTAGATCATCCCTATGAGTTCATCGGATATTATCATGCAACCCTGCTGATCATCGCCAAGTATAAAGCGGCACATTCTCCGACTCTGCATACGCCGTATACAAGCCACCACTAAACGAAAGTCTTGACATTCGTCACAACATAATTGAGATCCGGGGTGCGTTCCATCTATTTCTTCAGGGTGAAGATGCGGGGTGCATAACGGGGGGCTGCAGTAATATGCCCGAAAGTCCTCCACTTCTATCGTTTCCCACCAATCCTTGCACAACACGACAGAAAGATACAATTCTACAAGCGAGCTGAAATATAGAGCTAGGTACTTCCCTGGGCATGATTTTGACCATTCGCCCCTCCGGAGGATTGCTATTGCTGTCAAGTTTTTCTCCGACGGCGGACTCCGTAATGTTGCCTTACCAGTGTAGACATCGACAATAAGTCTGCTTCTAGAAAGATATTACCCCTGACAGAGTGACAAGTTCTAGAACACAGTTATTTATTCGAATAGCAATAACAATCCCACGTGCTTTGATTCTTCAGCCAACAGAGTGTAACGTGCAAAATTTCGGCGGATCCTCGGATAGACAAGCAATGAAATGTTCCACCGTTGCTCGATCAAGTAGTTGTCTCCGCCTCCCGACCCGGCGCCGTCGTTTTGCATTCGCTCTCCACGCTCGGAGATCTTCCCGAATCTGCAAGGATAATTCCATCTCCATTCACCCCTTCTAACGTTTAATGCCAGTCGTGGAAAAATTTAAGAGAGAGACTTGACACTTGTGACGCGTAGACCAAAAGCCACGGCGATCATTTCCTCGAAACCGGGCTGAACACTGGTGCGGATGAACTTCATCTAGTCGAATATGCATGGATTGGGAGATATTTACAAAGTAACTTTTATGCTAGACATCCTTCTGGCAAATATCCGGTTTGTGGAGTCCCGATTATAGCGATATGAGACAGGACCACTCCCGTTTTCTACACGGAACAGAACATCCACAATGGTAGCCACTTTCCAGTGAAGAGACAACATATAAGAAGATCATCCAGACCTGAAAGCCGTTGTCGATGCTTGTTTCTGATCATCAATCTACTCTCCTTAACCCAATTCTATTCATCCTTCGATTCTTCCTGCTAGTCAGCTCCCCTCCTTCACCTTCGAATCCATCACCATGAAGTCCTTCGCTCCCCTCTCTCTTGTCTCCCTGGCGCTCGCTGGCCTGAGCAATGCCGCTACTATCCCAACCAAGTCGCTGACTCGTCGTGCCGACTTCTGTGACCAGTGGGGATCTACCACTACTGGCAGCTATATCGTCTACAATGACCTCTGGGGTCAGAGCTACGACACCTCCGGCACCCAGTGCACTGGCGTTGACTCGCTGAGCGGTACCACCATTGCCTGGCACACTTCCTACTCTTGGTCCGGCGCTTCTAGCCAGGTCAAGAGCTTTGCCAATGTTGCTCTTCAGTTCACCGCGAAGACTCTGAGCAGCATTAGCAGCATCAAGTCTTCCTGGAAATGGAGGTGAGTTTTGCAACCCATGTTCGATACAATGCGGATACATGAATACGGAGTGACCTGACACTGCAATATCAACAGCTATTCCACCACCAGCATCGTCGCCGATGTCGCCTACGACATGTTCCTGAGCTCCAGTGCCTCCGGCTCAGACGAGTACGAGATCATGGTCTGGCTCGCTGCCCTGGGCGGTGCTGGCCCTATCTCCTCCACCGGCTCGGCCATTGCCACCACTACCATCAACGGTGTCACCTGGAAGCTGTACGAGGGCCCTAACGGTTCCATGACCGTTTACAGCTTCGTCGCCGAGTCCACCGTTACCAGCTTCTCCGGTGATATGCTCGAGTTCTTCACCTACCTGATCAACAACCAGGGCCTGAGCTCTAGCTTGTACCTTGTTGATGTCCAGGCTGGTACTGAGCCTTTCACTGGTACTGCCACGCTGACTACCTCCTCTTACTCTGCTGTTGTTGCGTAGATGCAGGTTGATGGATGTTGGTGGTCAGTGGTAGGAGCAAGTCTGCACAGACAGTGAATTCGATTCTCGTATATAGTCTTGTATAGGAATGGATCCGGAATCTTGTTCCACAGAAATTCTTGCCATGTAATTTGTCTATCGAATGGGATAATTTATAAGCCTCGGTCCAGTCTAGGAAATCTATTGCACCAATTATGGATGGGGTGGGGGTTGCTGTCATCCAATTCCAGAATCTAACCTGCTAGCCGTTTCAGCCCGCCACACCAGTTGGGTCCCAACGCTATAACTTGACTAACCGCCCACGTAGCCAATGCTGAGACAGCCCACCATCGCACCCTGAAACTCGACTGCGTTTCAACCGTCCTGTCGTTCGTCTCGGTCGTTCGTGACCGTTTGACCCACTAGAACATTATCCACAGTGCACGCACCACTCTAGGATCTTGTTGTACCGAGGTCAGTCTGGAAATCCACGCCCAGGCAAAGACGTCTTGTCATGATGCAAGACGCTCGCTGCCTCAAAGAGTCATCATCCATGAATCCCAATCATTCCGCCCAGTATCCTTGGTTCTTGTTGTCGCACGTCCAGCGGTAGCGCCTCCTTCTGGAAGCCCCCGATCGACAAGCCTAAAGCCGAGCGCGTAGACGATACTAAGAATCACAGAGCTATTCTATCAATAGATTTAGCCTGAGAAAAACGGCGCTGGCACTCAGTGTATAATTAGCAACATCGTGAAGATGATTTTCCCAACAAAAACGGCCAGCAAGCGCCGAGCGGGAGGCAGAGGAAAACAACCAGCTAGACGGGCGGGGACTGTTGTAAGCGCTGGCGTGGGGGGAGAGGGTAGACGGGCGCTTATATAGATGGGATGGACCTGCATTTGAATTCTGGCGAGCGCTCAAAATAGCTTCCCCGGTTACTTTTTTTAGATGGCCAGTTGCTGCAGGTCACCGGTCGGTCGGAACATTGCATGCATTGCTAGCTTGAGAGTCGTATGTATGGAGATGGAGAGCGGAGGATAGCTCGGATGCATGAGGAGCAGAGTGTGGGCGTGGGCGTGGATGGGGCCATGGGCGACTCGATAGATCGATTTTTCAGTCTTTCTGAACTCAGAAGGGTCTTCTCGGAGACATAATTGAGCATCAAGGAGGAAAAATGACTCGCCTCATGCGAGGTTCAAACTATTCCATCGGTCATCCACGGGTCTGTACTCCGTCCAAATGGTAACGACAGAACTATCGATGATAGAGTAGTACTCGGTAAAAGAGGATCATACAACCCCTCTTCTCTCCCTCCTCCCCTCCTCACCCTAGCCATCCCTTCTGATGTGTCTAATGGAACTATTATTTGCCCTGTCATCCGGTATGTTCACCTTCCCCTCGAACACGCTTCGCGACCCACTAAAATCCCATCTGTACCTCCTGGCTAGGCGTGTGACAGGGGTCATTTGGCATGAAGGCAGAGAGATCCGAGAGCCCACCAATAGCTTCATCCCAGTTCTACCGTACACAGTCCGGCCAGTTGGGCTCGCCTGACTAGCAACTCCCGTAGGTGCGTTAGTGCACAGACACCCTCGTTTTTGTCAGGCTGAGGCTGGGCTACATGATTGGGCCCATTTTTCGCGGGCGTCAAATTGAAACGCGACTTGCCACATTGTTTGAAGAGGTCATAGGTCCAATGGTCCACAGGTCATTTTTTTTTCTTTTCTTTTGCGCTCGTACGACTTGGGCTTGCTTAGTGGATGATAGTGATGGTCCCTTCAGCTCGCCCTGAACCTGGTTTGGAGATTTCGGGGAATGCTCCTTCTCTCTTTGTGTTGCCCTGCCGTACATTGAACAGGGAATGGTTCTCACTGGGCTGGTGCCTGGATTCGTTCTCCGTGATCCAGAGGAATGAATGATGGGTTGGTTGCAGGAGTTTCTTGAGTAGTATTGCATGGCTATCCTAGGGTAGGGCGTTCGCGCCTAGATTATTGAAGCCTTGGGGGCGTGTTCAAGGAACACGAATTATTGATGATACTCTATTTTTGCCCATTCTCCGGGACGGGGAAGGAGGGCAGGAATTCGATAATGTACCAAAGTATGTATCCTACTACTCCTCCTGATTATCTTCTTTTCCCCCCGCGTCTCGGACAGGAGACTTGAGACGGTCGCCAGTTTCATGGTCGATCTAAAGTATATCACTGGGAGGTTGGTAAAAATGGTACCCAGGATCGGACAGGGGCAGCCACCGGGATTGATTCGTGGGATGAGGCCCTGGCCATCCCCGGTGGAACTCCACTGCGGACACGAGTGGATCCCCCTGGGCTGTTGATCTCCTCACAGGGGACGAGTGGATTCTAGTTGAGTTTGTGATCGCCCCCATTCTGGCTGGCTCAAGCTCCTGGGGTGGTTGAGTCGTCTTGGACTCTTGGTGGACGGCTCCAAGCGCTGGGGAAAGAAGTTATTCTAGGAAACATGAATACCAAAAAGGGACAATTCGAGGGTCTGTACAGAGTATGGTAGGATAATACGTGGTTTTGACATGCAATCGAGATATTCGGGCCGCGGGTGTGCAATATTGAAGAGATGCATGAATCTAGGGATAGCGGTGGATCGTGAACCAGAATCGGAGATAAAATGGAAAAAAAGAGAGTGGCGAGAGTTTATAGAGAGGGGAAAAGACCTTAATCCAAGGCAAATAGTTTAGATTCGGCTGGAAAGGTCCGTTTGCAATTGTTCTTAGACTCTGGTGTACATTCAATAGACTAGATAGTATAGTTATTAGTATTCCATCCAATATTATATGATGAGAATTATTAGGACTCAAGGATAGTTCATACTCCGTACTTGGTACAATCCGTACAAAGGCGTAGTGCACTTTACTGCTGACACGCTAGCCAGGTATGTATTTTGGGCCTGTAATCGCCTTCTCCACCACATTCCAACGCGCTGCCCATTAGATCCGACCAATCACCATCCTCCGAACCCTGTCTATGCCCAGCTCCTGTCCTCGTCTCAGGTTCGCGCGCGAAAAAAAGGTTCAAGCATCTCAGATCCAACTATGCAGGCTCGCTCTGCCTCCTCCGCGACCATGAATCCATTTGGGTCCTTTCCACCCCCCTTGGCCTTGTTTGACTGGCCCCAGCCCAACCTTGCAGCAGTCCAAGAAGAGACTTGCCCCCCCTCTCCAGCCGCCCGGTTGGCGCATACCGGAACTAGTACGGAGTAGTTATATCTAGTCAAGTATTCCCAGCTGGACTTCTCGGATTCTTCACGGGATACATCCGCATGCTCAACGTCGTCACCAACATCCGTTCCTTTTAATAATTTCCACCCCCATATCTATTTGCTAGTCCCATTCCTCTGGCTCGGTCGCTCCCTCTCCAACTTCCAACTTTCGAACCGCAAGATTCAGCCCACATCAGATCCAAATCTGAAATCAACTAAATAATTTGTGCGCCCCAGTCACAGACATTGTCCGATCTATTGCTATAGTCCAGTGGGCTGTCTCTCGGATTAAATTCTCCGCTTCGGCAGGTCTCAGCCTTTCTCAGTCGCTCTTCAGTTAGGGCTATCGGCCTGACGATAAGAAAGGGTTGACACGACAACCTCAACTATCCTTACTGCACATTCCTTCTCTCCCCAGAACTACTTGACTCCATCATCCTGCTGGCCAGGAATTCCGTTTTTCGCTATTCATTCTTATATCGGATTACTTGGTCGACACTTCTTCTGCCTTTGTTCAACTCTTTCATCCATACGACAATCCCGCCGCGACAAAGTATACTATACAACCAGTGTAATACATTTGTCGATCGCCTCTTTCAACACAACTTCATTGTTCTAATTTGCCGAGACATTTGTTATCATTTATTATCGGTGACCAGTCCTTGGAATATCCCATTTTCCACATCTATCCCCAACATCGGGATAACATTGCAGAATCGACTGCTCCGATCCATTTCAAACTATACAGCAATTCACAGGTTCCGATGAACCAAATAGCCACCATGTCTGCCAACTCCTTCAACCGCGCAGCTCTAGACGAGTTTGTCACACACCGAGTCTCTCGCGAGATGGTGACGTACCTTGCCCAACAAGCATCACAGGTCATCCGATGCGAGGCCCATGTGACCAACACTGTCAGCCAGCATGGCCAACCCACGCCGCCTTCCACACCTCCTATGGACGCTACCGACTCCCTGCCGCCACTCCCTTCCATCGAAGCCTTCATTGCATCCCTCGTCGCACGGTCGCAGGTCCAGGTGCCCACCCTGATGAGTTCGTTGGTGTACCTGGGCCGTCTCCGAGCCCGTCTCCCACCCGTGGCCAAGGGCATGCGATGCACTGTCCACCGGATCTTCCTCGCTTCGCTGATCCTCGCCGCCAAGAACCTCAATGACTCTAGCCCGAAGAACAAGCACTGGGCTCGGTATACCGCTGTAAAGGGATTTGAAGGATTTGGCTTTTCGCTGCCAGAGGTGAACTTGATGGAGCGTCAGCTGCTCTTCTTGTTGGACTGGGAGACCCGTGTCACGGAGGAGGATCTCTTGACTTATCTGGAACCTTTTTTGGCTCCTATCCGTCATCGCATGGAACAGCAAGAGCGTGAACGGAGAGCGGAGGAAGAGAACCAATGGAAGCAACATCACCGGTATGACATAGACCTGATCCGAACCGTCTGTACTCATCTTCTAACACATCACAGTCGTCGTATCGGTACCCCCGCGGATCTGCTGGCCAGCCGCCTGCGCCGTCAGAAGGTGGAGGCCCGCGTTGACAGTCGCCGCGGCGAAGTCACCGGCCTGCGTCGGCTCCCTAGCCACGTCTCCTGCCCTGCCATTCACAACATTCACAATTCACCCCAATCCCTCGCCGAACTTGAACGATACACTCCCTACCACCGTCACCGCACATCCCCTCACCGACCTGGCCGGTCCATCTCCCCGCCTTCCATCAGAGATGTCCCCGGTCTCTCCCATGCGGAGACTCTCAACTCGCTTTGCTCTCGCTCATCCAGTGCTGCTCCAAGCTCCCGCGGTACCCCTGCCAGCATCAGCACTTGCTCTTCTCATGGCACCGACGACGTGATGCTGGTGACTGATACCAACACCAGCCCGTCCGTCTCATCTTTGACATATAGCTATGTCAATGTCGACTCGAAGCAGCAGTTTGAACCCGCTCGTCAGCCTAGCAAGAAGATGAAGGTCTCCGGTCATGGTCACGGCGGTGGCTTTGTCGCACGCTTCCTGGCTTCAGCTACGGGCTCCTACATGGGGAGCCGCATCGGTCGGCCTCACGCATAAACTCGAGCAGGTCTCGATTTCTGTCGTGACTGGTGTGCCACCGATCCTAATATTCTCTCTTTACTCCATGCCAGTCTACTCATCTGGCTGTGTCTTATTTCTTTGCCTCTCTGATCATCTTTCCTACCTGATACGCCTTATTTATCCTGCTTCTTGGCAAAAAGCATTTCCTAGTTCATACTTGTGACAATACCCTTCGTTCTCCGCCGAACCCGCCTTCCATCATTCATGCTCAACGATCTAGGCATGCAATGTTTCCTCTACCCTCGTTTCCATCTCTTACACTCTTTGCTCATTGCATTTTACCACTTCATGGGCTGGCTTAGCTCGGCGTTTTCTCTGTGTCTCTATTTACATTGTCCACTTTTGGTTTTCTTTTGGTCACGGGGTTTTTGGTCTGGGGTCTTATGCTCTCTCGAATCGGTTTCATGCGAGGTTCTGGACACTAGGTTGGGAAAGGATGCCCTTAGACATGTTTTTCTTTTTACAGATGTATTTATCCAACATGGTTGGGACGTATAATGATACTCTACAAACCACAAACTTTCCACATCCATATTAGACACTTCGTAAATGACGAGTTACAAGTCATAACTTGCCCCACATCTATATTTAATGGATTAATACTGTGCAGCTGAAACATTGATGACAAAAGTACAGCCTACATGTGTATGTCTTGCCATCCCTTACAGCCGTGGCTTTCAACGGCCCGCGCTACCGACGGCACGGGTACACCGCGATGCCAGATCAATAAACCACGCCCAATTCTGAGACAATATTGATGAACAAAGTGAGGTTGGAATCTTATTTCTCTTCAGAAAGCTCTACATGGGGAGCTAGCTAGGTCTAGAGCTCTTCACATGGTACCTGATCTGTATCGCATCCTTCTCAACGTAGACAACCTTCGAAGGTTTCCCTCGAGCCCGATTGATTGCGCCCTGAACCAACTTCAGATCTTGGCCATGTCCCATGGTACCATGGTACCATATCTACCCAGCCGCGTGTTCAATAAGCCAAAGCCGGTAAGCATGGAACCAAAATGATCCGTAAACGGGCACGCAGTATAGAGGGGGTCAACTAATTTACGGGCGGTGGCCGAAAATTAGCGCCATTGCTCATTACAACAACAAACCATAAACGATCAGCCATATAATTTTGAGATTGGGATGCATTTCTTTCTTTAATAACCAACACAAATGGTCGGCGGCCTTCGATACTCGAGGTCCCAGTCCGAACCATACTGCATCGCAGAGGAGGCTACAGTTTGCGCTCGATCATAAGAAATCTTCATCCAGCCTACATCTTGTAAGGTACAACCGTACAATGGCTCGTACTCGTCATCTTCCTCCCCTTCAGCCAGCTCACAGGGGTCCGTCTCTGGCACCCACCGCCCATTAATCAGAACTACAAACCCAGTAGAATTATAGCCATCCAGGTTCCCCGCCGGAATATCCAACACAGACTGTAACGCTTCCTCATCAACCATAATACAAAGACGATAGCGTGCCGTAAACGCCCACTCTGCCCGCTCATATGTCACCCCTTCCTCCCTCTCACAGGCCGTAGCCGCCCACTCTTTAAAAGCCTCTCGGATTAGAGCGGGCGTCGCGCCGTCAAACCGGCTCTTATCCTCTATCACTGTTGGCCTGAACGAATCCCACATATCGAGACCATGGTGGCACGCCAGTGTATCGCGCACACGCTCCAGAAACCGGCGGAGGAATTCTTCCCAGTCCGAGTCACTTTTGTAGGTAGTTCTGTAGATGGGAATACCCCAGTACTGGAACCCAGTCTCCTCCACATGTCTCTCGATAACGTCGGCTACGTTGTAGGAGAATGGACGCCATGGGGTTCTTTTAGAGTCTTCGATGATCCTGGTTGGTGATGTAGACGAAAATAAGCGAGCGGGGAGCTGAACTTGACGTTTAATGCCTGGTAGTGCCGCTGCTCCATTGTGCCGTGATGTGAGGATGGGCTGTTGAATAGGGGATGAAGATGCGATGCTTGAGAGCGTCCTGCTCGGGGATCTGAATTGACATGTCCGGCTTTTCAGAAGGTTTCTGAATGAGGCAGAAAGTGATGACGGCATCGCGTTGTCCTTTGCTCGCCGTGTGTGAAGAAATTAAGCAAGATACAGAAACCAGGAAGATGACTGATTCATAGGCATTTCCGATTGTACATTAGCCAGTCCCGTATTTTTAGCGCGTCGCATGTATTGGCCTTACAGCCGTACGGCCTGAGAGTCTGACTTTGATCTGTGGAGCCCGAGTCTTGCACGTCAGGGCGATATGAAGTTGAGGCTACGTGACAGTGTTTAGGGCGCTATGACAAGAACGGCAAAACTAACCCAAAGCAGTAATTAACAGGTCCTTCTTTTGTAATTACCGCGTAAAGTGACCGGAGTTGATCAGTAGTTTCTGTATTTGATCCTGATATAATTCAAGAAACAGGGGGCATCAAAAGAGGTATAGAAACAAGTAGGCCTATCTCTAACTCTCGTTATCAAAAGGGAGGTAATTTAGCGATATTAAATGACAGTATCTACTAATAAGTTACGCATCTTTATATTCGATATACCGCGCGAGGAAAGCTGGCCTTCAATGGCCTATATCTTGTCCCGCAGCCGAGCAGAGCGATGTTCCGACTGGGCAACGAACTCATTCACACTCTTCTCCTGGCCTATTAGCACATGTGTTCTTAAACCTTCTTTCTGGCGAAACTTACCCTCGGCGTCGGCAACCTGGGGATTGAGCATATCGAAACGCCGAAGGGGTTTGCAATCGTTTACGCCCTTCTGTGGTCCATGGATTTCCCACAGGTAGCATCTCTCATCATGGAGACCGATGAATTAAGCGATCAGATTAAGTGTCTGTCTGCAACCTCCTGTCCTCGTGCATATTCCTGTCACACCCTCGATCGCCGCTTTAGCGTTACGTGAAACTTGGTATGTAGAAGCACGTCAGTTCTTGGGTTTGTCTCAGCTATAGTATGCAAAAGTCTGGTTCCCAGAGCTTTAAAGTTGGGCAGTTTGATTCTCATTACATTCACATAACCACAAAACTGGCAATGCCAGTAGCTTCTTTTTGGCACTATCCACCTATAAAGCCTAGATCTGAATGGTCGCACCAAGCGATAATTAACTTTCCCGAGCCTCATGATACCGGGAAGCCCGAGGTTCTAAGAGATACAGTAACTCTTGCCAGTGACGATTATACGGTGGATAACACGCCCAGAGTACCATGAGCGAGGGCTTCATCCTTCTCCTGTGCGCACCGAGTTCAATTGACCCGGAAAGTAGAACCAGATGGTGATCAGGGGATGAGTCTATCTGCCATGTGTTGGGTCTTGTGCGCGTTTGGTGGTCACGCTCTTTCTTCTTCTCTCACCTCCCACCTCCCAAGCCCATCACCACTGTTTCTCTGTCCTCCCCCCTGCGCAGAAAGAAGACCGTTTTCATTTTTTTAAAAAAAGGAAAATCAAATGGTACGTTTCGACCACGTAAGTCTTCTTTCCCCATTTTCTCACGTTGTTGATAGTGTGTTGTGGAGGAGATCTCTCACCTCGGCCATCAACTCCCCTCCCATCTCATCCTGCCCCATCATCATCTCTCATTGCATCTCATTCGGTCGTGCCTCATCATGTCCCATCATCATGCCCCCATCAACCTACTCCCTTCCGTGTGATGCAATCGCCTGTCCTTCGCGGCTGTCAGTGTGGTATCTCTCGTGCCATCCATGGACATCGTGGACCACGCAGAGCTCGGATTATTCTCTGTCATGTTATCACTTCTCGAGCATTTGTTGCCCTGCTCATCGGGATATTCTGCCGAATCACCAATCTGCGCCCCAATACACTATCTTACACACCCTGACGACTGATCAGTGAATATAAGCTAACAAGTTGGAGCCACGATGTGCACACTGTGGTGGCAACCACGCGGACCAAAATTGTCCGCAAATGCGGCAGTACGCGTCATTCGCGAGCTTTCCCGACGTGGTGTTTCAGATGAGAATAGAAGTAATTCTTTGGACAATGACTCAACATCTTGATACGTGCTATCTTGTCGAAGAAGATTCTAACTATTTATAGTCCGACACCTCGAAGAACTCCGCTCTGCCCGTGCCGCCCGCGATGCCCCTGGCTCCCCCGGCCCGTTGACCGGTGCCCCCCTGGTCCCCTCCCCTTCTCTCCGTCTCCCTCCCCCTCCCACCGACGCCCCCGCCCCCGATCACGCCGCCCTGCTCGAGATGGTGCAAACCCTCTCGAAGCAGGTAGAAGTGCTCGGGTCCCTGTTAGAACAATCCAACAAGGATAAGGGCAAGGGAAAGAGTACTGATAGTATGGAAGAAGACTAGACTAAAGTCGCGTAAAGGCATAACCTGGCCTTTGTTTTTGTTCTCTGGAGTCTTTTTTTTCTCCTTTATTTTTTTTTCGATATTTTTCAAATCAACATATCGATACTAGATTCGGACTTCACAGTAATTTGTAAAAGTTTCCCTTGGTCGATTGTCGAGACCCAACACATAGCACCGTCTTTCTTCGCCTTTGAAAATGCCCTTTGGCCTGTTTCAGTTCCAGCTCTATATCCCTACCATTCATCTTGATCGATTAGAGTCTTTGCAGAGGGAACTGGCACCCGTTCTGGATCCCGCCGTCCATTATGAGCTACTGTTAGTCGGATTATTCACTCAAGGAGTGGCCCGGATAACCCTGGATCATATAATAATCGCCGATTAGCGATGAGGCTATTTTTGAAAGCTTGTTTTGGTCGACAGCCTTGGAATCTTCGTATTGGGTAAGGCTTGCTCAGGCACCCTCATAATGATCAATGCCCCAACCTTTCCTCTTACTCCAATGGGTCAGTCAGATTGACCAATACTTTGGTTTGCATTTCAAGGTCTTGGTGCTCTGGGGTGAAGCTGACCACACTTCAAAAGACACTTCAAGAGATGTTTGAGAAGATAATTGTGAAAATGTTTGACAAGATGTTTGAAAAAACCTACGAATCACACCTCCTTTGGATAGCACACGTTGTCATGCTCGGTAATCTTTCAATACCTTGTGAAATCCAGAATAATGCTTACTGATATCCTATGGAGGAATCCACGTTTGGACAAGGGATGTCAGCTTGTTGAGTTGATTGATATATCGCTATGTCTTGCAAAAATCCATCCAAGCTCTTGCGTTAACTGTTGTCTCCAATCCGAACGAAAATCTAGGAGCTTGAAGCTATTGTGGAGACCAAGAATTATAAATCACAGCCGCTGCAAGCAGAACACGATCACTACCAACAACAAACCATGCCCGATTCTGAGACAATATTGATGAGCGAGGCTAGAATCTTATGCCTCTTCACAGTGTTCCGCACGAGGAGCTATCTCTCTTTTGCCAAGTTGCTCAATTTGAATCTCATCTTTCTCGGCATAGGCCACTTTGCGCATAGTATACCATGGCCGCTGGAAAAGACCGTCTAGAGCTTCGAGTGATCGCCCAGTCGTATCCTGTCCATATTAGTAAACACCCAATGAGCCAAGCGTAAAACCGAAATAACTTACCGGCATGGCAAAGTAAACGTAAATCAAGGATATTAAGCAAATGCATCCGAAGAAAACAAAAGCCCCCCATTTGTGGGTTGCAGCAAGTAGACTAGGCATCGCTCGTGAACATCCAAAATAGAACGCCCAGTGAAAGCCCATCGCAATAGACATGTTAAACGAACGGATCTTTGTCGGGAAAATCTCGGATCCGATTAGGTACGGGATACTGAACCAGCCGATGCTCCATGCCACGGCGTGGAAGTAGATGGCTACTATGGCGCCGGTCGATGCGCGAGTAGCGTCCTGCGAGTTGGCAATCTGACGTGCTGTCATGTTGCTCGTTCCACCGAGATAACCACCAACATAGGCCAGGGTGATAATCTGGAGACAAATACCCGTCAAAAGGGAGCGGCGCCGACCAATAAAATCAACCACAAAGAGTGCGAACCCCAATGTACTCACGAACTTGACAATAGCATAGATGCCAGTAGCCAAGAACTTAGACTCATCTCCCGAAATACCCAGGTAACCAAAGATAGTCGGCGAGTACTGCGTGATTGCATTCGCTCCAGACCATTGTGAGAACAGCGTCGCCATGAAAATAAGAAAGAAGCGCCGTCTATTCTCAACGGGGACGAGGGTTTCTCTCAAGAGATCCCACAGCCCTGAGTTGCCGACTGCTTCTGTTTCATGGAGAATTCTAGCATCCATACCTGCTATCTCGGCGAGGAGTACTGGGTGGTCGATAGGAAGATGCCGTAGCTTTGCCAGGTTGGCCATGGCTCGCTCTCGTTGGCCAATGTATAGAAGCCAACGGGGAGATTCGGGACAGAGAAAGATGCCAAGTCCCCAGATAGACGCTGGTAGAAGTTGGAGTAGCGTTGGGAGCATCCATTGGGTGTTGGTGCCGGCGTAGCTCTTGGTCACGCCGTAGTTGATGAAGAAACCAAATACCACCCCGAGTTGTTGACAGGCGGCGTATTGGAGGGTGAGGAGTCCTCGGATAGACTTGGGTGCGATCTGAATGCAGAATATGAATGAGGAACTAGTGAAAGTAAAAGTTCATGGGAAGAAAGACTCACCTCAGTGATATACATAGGAGGTATAACAGTTGTGGCCCCGATACCAATTCCAGCAATGAATCTGGAGGCGTACATGCCAGACAGGCTTCCCCCATTCAGACCCTGTCCGAGAACGCCGGCCATATAAATCACGGTTGCAATGAGCAACGTCCACCGTCGTCCTATTTTGTCGGTAAGAGGTAGACACTTGCATGAAGGTCAGTTTAACAGTTTCCAGCAAGTAGTTATTTTCAATGAAGCTGATTCAACATACCCCCAAACATCCAAAGACAGCACCGGCGGTAGCAATAGAGACCAGCCAGCCTTTTGTGTTAGCATACTGCTCATCAGACTCTTTGGAGAGTCCAAAAACTTTCTTGAAGTGGCTTTGTACCACGATGGAGGCAATGTTTCCTATTCCATTTCATGAGCGAGAAGTTAAATAGGGTTGAGACAAACAACTAATTCCAAGAAAAAGGATCTTACCTTCATCAAACCCCTTGGAAACACCTGAGAAAGCGAAGATGCAGGTACACATCATCACGTACCAGTTAAACATCCCCTTGGGAGAATCCCGAATCGCTTGTTTCGTGTCCGCAATGAGGCCCATCGTGGGTTTCTGATTGTCAATGGGCTAAAAAATGCCGGCGAGACGATGAATTTCTTTAAAGGAACACCCGGCTTATGAGGGCCCCAGTTCTGCGTAGTCTATTTCTCCCCGACCCTCCGCTAGGGCACCATGTTAGCCTGGGGTACAGGTGCAAATGCTGGGGGAAGTTGGGGCCCCGACGGGTCGTCGGAAAATGTCCGTGAACTCAAAAAACCCGAAGGCAAATTGCCTTTTTAAAGTCTTGGTAATCGCCGAAAGTCACAGCTTCGTTTTAGCGCCTCTCGAGATCGATTTCTTTCCAACTATTATTACCGATAATGAACTTCTACCCCGTTCCACCGGTCATTCAAGCCGAGGTATTCGTACGAATCCCTGATGCACTCAGATGCACTGGGCAAGCTACCGATTGGAGGGGTGGATCAAGCAGTCCGCCATCGGAAATCTTCCTTGAGGGGCCGACATGGCTCAGCAGTGGGGACCTCTACGTGACCGACATTCCCTACGGTCGGATTTTGAAAATAGATGCGCAAAAACAGGTCACCGAGTGTGTTCGGTATGATGGGGAACCAAATGGACTCGTCGTCCGTGACGATGGATGTATGATCGTAGCCGACTACAAACAGGTAAGCAGCAAATATTCCATTGCTTGGACAGGTCCAAGACACTAATATTATGCAGGGACTTTTACTCTTTGATCCGGTCGCAAAGACTATCTCTCCCTTTTTGACACGCCGGAATCTGGAACGTTTCAAAGGCCCCAATGACCTCATCATCTCTTCCAAAAATGAAATCTATTTCACCGATCAAGGCCAAACGGGCATGACTGATCAAACCGGTCGCGTGTATCGACTTTGTCCTGATGGCAAGCTCGACTGTCTTGTTGATAATGGCGTATCTCCTAATGGAATCGCCTTGTCGCCAGACGAGCGGTTCTTGTACGTGGCTATGACTCGTTCCAATGCTGTCTGGCGACTGCCTCTTCACGCGGATGGCTCGACCTCCAAAGCGGGACTATTCTTTCAATCGTTCGGGTGTGCTGGGCCGGATGGATTAGCTGTGGATGAAGAGGGTAGTCTGTTTATCTGCCATCCTAGCCTTGGATCTGTTTTTGTCGTTGATGCGGAGGGGGTACCCAAAGCGCGGATTGTTACTGCACCTGAAGGAGGGAAGAATCTGACTAATTGTACGTTTGGAGGGGAGGATGGGAAGACGATCTTTATTACGGACAGTATGAAAGGTAATATTCAGTGTGTGAAATGGCATTGTAAGGGCACAGTGAGACCGCATTGAAAAATTGATTGTCAAAGAAGTTCAGCATCCATGTGTAAAGAATCAAATTCAATATACACTGACGACCTCGGTTACCCCTACCTTGTGGAGAGAAGAAAGAGATATGTCTGAATGGTATTGAATTTTAAGCAAATCTAATTCTGAAGTGTCATCAAATAATCATACAAATTGTTCACAGCCGCCATCGCACTCGCAGTTTGTGCCCGAGTCGTAGCCGCTCCGATGTGGGGAGTGCTGACGACATTCAAGTTCTCCCACAGCGTGCTATACTTCTCAAAAGTAGGAGGCTCTTGTTCGTGGCAGTCCAGACCTGCACCCCAAAGGTGGCCTTCGCCAAGGGCCTTGGTGAGATCTGCCTCATTCACAATTCCACCTCGAGCGGCGTTGATTAAAATGGCATCAGGCTTCATCATTCGGAGCTCCTTGTAAGAGATCATATCCCGCGTCCCATCGGTCAAGGGAACGTGAATGGAGAGAATATCAGCCCTTCGAATGACCTCCTGGATATCTTGTACACGGTCATGGGGGATGTGAGGCCATGCATTCTCGGGCATGAAGACATCAAAGGCGACGACTTCGGCATCAAAGGCCCCTCGGAAGATTTCCGCCACAGTACGGCCAATGTTACCCATGCCGATGATTCCAAGGGTCTTCTTGTAAAGCGTCAGACCATTGCATGTTTCCTTTGGCACGGGCTTGGTCATTTGGCGAGTAGTGATGGAGCGAATCCCGCGGGCAACGGTCATGCTTAATGCAAGAACTAGCTCGGCAACATCGCGTGCGTTGGCGCCAGGTGTATTGCATATTTTGATACCCCGCTTCGCACAGGCTGCTTGGTCGATCTTATCAATACCCACTCCATGCTTGCCGATGGCAACGAGGTTAGGGCAGCTGGCAATGTCGTCTGCAGTCAAATAGGAGCCTCGGATTAGAAGGGCGGATGCCTTCTGCCTCCACTCTGCGAACCCCTCGTCTTCGGGAAGGATAACATTGAAAATCGTCTTGGCGTGTGAAATAGCCTTTTCGTTGAATTGATCGAGGACATAAACGGTGGGCTTTGAGCTGGTGACCCCATTTGTTGGGGAATGATCACCGTCAAGAGCGATTCCAGGAGCCATCTCTGAGGTATTGATTGAAATGAGAGAGTATAATAAAGACCAGGAAGTCAGAATAGATGGCACGGATAGGTTTTCAGAAAGCGATATTATCCGTCCAATATAAACCAGTGGCCAGTATTATCGATGTTCATGTTCAAGCTATCGGACATTTCCCATTCCCATCGGAGCCATCGGGGTCCGTCCGGTGGCTCAATATCACGCTCGACCCCAGCCTCAGAGTGGGGTTATCGGAGACATAACTGCGGGCAAGGGTCATGTGAACCCGGATATCAAGTCTTTAATCCCGTCGGGTATGACTGGGGGGAGCTCACGGATGATCGGGTCATTTACCGACTCGCCCAGGACTAGCCCCGAGAGTGACCACAAAACACGGCGTAAGACCCGCAGACCAGTAAATCTTTCACCGAGAATTGTAAGTAGAGCAGTACACTTGTTGACGACATTTGCATCGCGTAGAGGAACTCCTGGCTTCCCTGCAGCCAGACAAACAATAACCACACCTGCATTAAAAATGTCATAAGCATCAACAAAGCTGCCCGCAAATTCGCCCCGCTCGGATCGCTGGTACTCTTCCTCGATATACTCCACACAGGCCTTGATAAAATCGTTCTCAATGCTACTGGCGCTGCGAACAAGACTGGGCTCGATGATTACTGACCCCTTCACCTTCAGAATTTCGATCATCGCTCGGCATGAAAGACGCATAACATACACAGCCGGGAAGCTCGAGGCTGGAGCACATTCTCTCCAATAGCACAAGTTGCTATAATGGTGGAGGATGCTTTTCGAAGGAGCGTCTCGGATGCTTGATATGAACCTAGCATGTGAGACGAGATGGCGAGCTAAGTCACTATCCCTAGCTGAGCTGGCATAGTCTTCAGGGCCCTTTTGTCTCCATAAGCATACTTTTCATGCAAATTATTTGAAAGGTTCGACTCACCAATACTGCTATGTCTTCATCTTCAATACCGAATGGTCGATCCATGATGGTGCTAATCGTTCTATATCCTTTTAGTAACACTTCCACAGCAGTCCCGGGTGAAAATACTAACCGATCAAGAGTGTATAGATCCCAGAATATATTTCGCCTGGCCCTCAACATCTCCGGGGCGATTTGAGCATCCGCATCTATGTCTTTGTGGAATCTGAATGCGATTGCCTTTTTCATTGCCAGTCCTATCAAATGCCAAGCAGATCCACCGAGGGCACTGTGAACTGAGTAAATAATGAGTGACAGGAAGCAATGGAGAATGTCCAGTCTCGTTCCTTTGCCCAGTATCCCTGGGAAGAGTCCCATGGCGGCAGCATGGTAATTACTAGCCAGCCCCTGCAGGCCGCCTGAACCAGGAGAAAGTAGCACCCCAGTTGCAAGGGACAGGTATAAATTGAATCTTTTGACTGATGACAGGCAGTCATTTTGCCCGGTGGCATCTTCTGATGCCTTGAAAAATGTTTCGAAATCCTTCAGTAGCTCTTTCGAATTGATGTAAAGGAACTGTACTCCTATTATCTCGGTGAACCGAGTAATGAACGGAAGAGCCAACTCAGTGTTTGATGTCACGGAAGGATCAACCATCACCGCTACAATTTGTCCATGGGGATCTATGACTGATTCCGATGGATTGGATCCGCCAAGAGACAGCGTTGAGTGTAGCATGTGTCCAATCGATAGTTCCTGAGAAAGGCCTCCAGTCTCAACCCGGGGCTCTGCCATGGCACTGCGGGACAGGAATCCAATCTCACCCATTGCTTCTTGGATAGTATTATCGGCGGCATTTTGCTCCGTGAGACCTCCTTCAGAGTGTTCGCCTGGATCGTTATCCAAGTGCTCTGTAGGTGCATCACTATTTGAGCGTGGCCGTTGGCATCGTATGCGAGCCTCCAAATCATCGCGCTTCCTTTTCAATGTTTCTACATAGCTGTTAAAATTAAGTTTTAGTGATTGTGACAATGTATAATTCTAGCAGAAAAAGGCACTCACCTAGGAATCGCTGAGTGGGATAAGCTGCCCCCGGTCCTTGTGATTGGATCAATGGGAAATTTCCGAGGAACACATGGGACACCCACACCAACGCACGCTGTGCATTCGGGCAAATTTCTATCGCACTGTTTCCCGTTAGCCTTCAGCATTTGAGACTATAGATACGATACGTGCACTCCCATGCCGCTCACCGGCAGAGCGTCTTCAAGTGCATTCCGAACAGACCTTTTGTTTTCGCTTCCAGCATCTCTCGCAGGCTTGACCACGGGCTCGTGGTGTTGAGCCTGGTGAGCTCCTTGTAGTACTACTTCCCTGTCTCATGATCTAATCGGTAACCCCAGGCGAGAGCAGGGTGGTCGTATGAACTGGGGTAGCGGCGGACGTCGGGATTCCGGCGCAATCCATCGACGGAAGAATGCCGGGCAAGTCTTGGCAGGATTTGATTGGATATCTTCTAGTCCCACACTTGCCCCACCTTTAACTGAATATTAGGAGTCAATATTCTCAAGATTCTAATCTCGACAAACAAATATGATGCAGGTCGAACGGTCAGAGATGTGGGATACTCACATTCATTGCCTAGACCCGATGCATCATCCCTTCAAAGTTACGCGAACATACACGCCTCCACCTGCTCCCCTGGAAGAGCTCGCAGCCCACACCCCAGCTGATCGACTCGTCTTGGTGCAAGCATCGGTCGAAAATGGCCACTATGGCTTGATGGATCATCTACGCCGTATTCGCACGGAATACCCCCACTTTATGGCCCGTGGGATCATGTGCATGGATCAAAGCTGGAATACTCTTTCAAACCAAGACATTGATATTTTGCATGGCCTTGGTGTGCGCTATGTTCGTATACATGGCTTTCTTGGAGAGTCCGTGCCCGACTATTTAAGCCTAGAAGAGCAATTCCGTCTATTTTCCCGCTCATATGCAGCTCAGAGATGGCATTGGGGGTTGTCGGCTCAATTAAGCCTCGCCACATGGGCTTCACTCACAGAGTTTATTATTCACGACATGGAAGTTTCCCGGCTTCGCATTATCGCTGATCATGTCGCCTGCTGCTCTCCTAACGACATTGGTACCCCGGAACTCGACAAATTCTTGAAATTGCTACAGACCGGACGCGTGTATGTTAAGGTCTCCTGTCTTTATCGACGAAGTCCGGATGACATACGGAAAATGAAGCCCATTATTCAACGCTTGGCAGACACTGCACCCGATGGATTACTTTGGGGGAGTGATTGGCCCCATGTAAATAGCACTGGAAAATCGGGCGACTCACCGGTGACTTCCGAGAGGCCGGATATAGGAAACGAGTTGGATATTTTACGGGGATGGCTATCGGAATGCCAATGGCGAAAAATGCTTTTGGAAACCCCAGAAAAGCTTTTCGCAAACTGAGATCGATTTTACGGGGGCAGGGGAGAAGGAAGGAGAAACAGTATGTCGATAGTAGCCTTATCCCAATCTAGCCCTTGAATTATGGATTGGATGCGCCCCGCAAAAATTGTGTGGCTCCTACAATGTAAAGATTCTAGGCCGGAGCCAAAGCGAATTTTAATTGGCCATCGGCGGATTTCCGAAATGCCAAGACTGGGGAAGAAAAAGTGTTGCTCCGGGGAAAGCCATCCTGGATGGTACCTAATGTGCAAAGAAAGACGATATAAATACTATAATGGGGTAAGTCTCTGTGCATTCTCCTGTCAGTTATTCTACACTCACACTTCTATCTTTCCTCACCATAAGTTGAAATGTCCAAACCCGTTCCAACACCTATGCCAAATAAGGATGACCCGAAAGTGGGTGGTGGCAAAGATGTTTGGGTCGAGGATAGCGATGGTAATGCTTCACTCGATGTGATGGCAATGTACCACTCTTATGAGCCTGGGTACCGCCGTGATGTTGAGCAAAAGCTACGCCGTAAAATCGATACTCGAATCCTGCCCCTCGTCGTCATTATCTATTTGTTCAACTACCTTGATCGCAACTCCATTACGCAGGCTCGTCTATACGGGCTGCAAGAGGATACGGGTGTGAAAGGAGCGCAATATCAAACTGCAATCTCTATATTCAGCGCCGGTTACATCCTCATGCAGTTGCCAGCAACCTTGTTAATGACGAAACTTCGGCCATCCATTTACCTTGTGAGAACCCTCAAAAACTCCCGTATTCATTCACCAGCGCTAATACCTTTCCCAGCCAACCTGCATTATTGTTTGGGCTATCACTAGTGGATGTACCGCCGCCGTTCATAATACTCCGGGACTCTTGATAGTTCGGCTGTTTCTCGGGTTCGTGGAAGCTCCATTCTTCCCTGGAGCGATCTATTTCCTCAGTTGCTGGTACACAAAGCGGGAAATCGGCGTTAGAATGGCTCTCCTGATTTGTGGTATCCTTCTTTCCAACGCCTTTGCGGGACTGATCTCGGCGGGAATTCTGTCTGGCATGAACGGTGTCGGCAACTTGGCATCATGGAGGTGGCTCTTCATTATCGAAGGGCTTGCTACTGTGGTAGTCGGCACCATTGCGCTCTTCATTCTACCAGACTTCCCAAGCACGACTAAATGGCTTAGTAAGGAAGAGAAAGTGGTTGCTCAGGGTCGCCTAGCTGCCGATGCCGGTAGTGACGCCGTGCTTGACGAGGAGAAAGTGCCAATTACCCGTGGATTGATGTGGGCGGCGAAAGATATGCGAACTTGGATGTTTGCTTGTCTCCAAATGGCTACCACTGCGTCTGTCTCCTACTCTCACTTTTTCCCCACCTTGATCAAACAATTGGGGTTCAAGAACAGCACTACTGTCTTGCTTCTCACCTCTCCACCTTACCTGGTTGCGTTCTTCTGGGCCCTTTCCTGGGCATGGGTGGCAGACCGGCGTCAAACTCGCTCGATTCCCGCCGGAATCTCCCAATGTCTCGCAATGATCGGTACAATCCTCCTTATTGCCGTTGGAGGCCCCCTCTGGGCCCGTTATGCCTTCACCTTTCTTGTCTGCTGTGGTACATTCGGTGTCTACTCAACTACGTATGCATGGCTTTCTTCGACGATTACACAGCCACCAGTCAAACGAGCAGTGGCTATCGGAATCGCTAACACCTGTGCAAACATTGCGTCGCTGTTTGCGAACTATTTCTGGTTGGACCAATACGAGCCCACGTACCGACAGTCCTGGGGCTGTCTGTTGGCATTCCAGGCGCTAGGACTTACCTGTATCCTTACACTTCGTTTCACCCTTCAGCGCGCGAACAACAAATTCGAAAGCTTGTGTAATGAAGCGGATGTCAACGACGCGGTTTTCATCGCCCGCTTGAATGACGAAGAGCGCAAGGCCGTCCAGAATGGATTCAGATATATTGTGTGATCGGAAGGGTGTTAGCAGATTGAGCAAATGTCAACAATTTGGGTCAGAGAGTTAGCAAGCCCACAAGTACCAACATTCACTAGCATCCAATTGACCCTTAAATCTTGAGTACATGTCCATATTTGGATTTCGAATTGTTTAACCCCTCGTGCGTGTAGGGCGAGAAATTGCGGCCAGGCCGGCGCACGCTTAAGAATCACGTACCCATAGAACAGACCGTGTACGAAGCCGCATTGTTAGGGATACCCTCGACTTTCTAAGTACGTAACATAAGCTGGCTTGAAATTGGCCATAAATTAACCATACAATCAGCTTAGTGAAAAAAAAGATGAGTTAAAAAGACGAGATCAATTTGGTTCAAGATCACAGCTTTCCCATACTGTACAAGCAGTGATAGATATCACAGCGTATATGTACCGGCCTCGATTCCTCTACCATGTATGTTTGCTAGGTTTGCATTCATGTGGGGGTAATCACCTGATGGGGTCGCCCCAGACTCTCGATTGCCGACGAGAGTACTTCCTCCAGTCAAATACTCCAAAATTCCCACTAAACCATCGGGGATTTTCTCTATATCTCTAGTGACTTTCTTCCTTCAAGGGAAAACGGATCTCATCAAAGCATGGTGAACAATACAAGCTCCAACTCCGAATTGACGCAAATGGCCACATGAAACTCTCGCTTTCCAGGAATGGAGCACGACACGTTACAACCTAGTGAGGAAGCAAATCCACTCCCGCGCCTTCCAGCGTGTCGATTTTGTCACGCACGGAAAGCCAAGGTACGGTACATAATTTCCGAGTGAGTGCGTAATCCTAACATGGAATTCTAGTGCGACAACGCGCGCCCGAAATGCAGCTTGTGTGTCAAACATGACGAGGAATGTATGACGCTGGGACTGGAGAACGATTCATTTAGTAGGCAGTTCGTTAATCCAGCTCTGATTCAAACAGGACGGTAATTTCGATCTAATCGTGTGACAGGTACATTGGAGACCTTGAGCAGGAGATTGGAGCACTTGAAAGACAAGCGCAGGCGTTTGACGCAGAAAGGCCAAACGCAACACTGCCTCAAGGCACTGAAAGCTCAATAAATCCCCGGCAGAGATCCCGACCATCAAATTTGAGAACTGTCAGCCGCCAGGAAGGAAGCCATTCCCCGAACTTTGTGGAAGGAGGAGGTATCAGGTCAGTCGATAGCGCCTTCTTCGGTTATAAGTTGCTCACCATGTCTGCTACAGCTTTATGCGACATCTGGTAGCAGATTCCGGATGGCGTGAACATGACCCGACTCTGCTTCAGAATCTGACGAGACATCCTGGCCCCGCTGAAGCGGGCATCAAACCGCATCCTCTTCCCACAGCCACCGAGGGACGGAGGATTTTTGACAATTAGTTAGTGATCCCACATCTATAACTTGGTCCATTGGCTAACTGCATCAGTTTGAATGGGTCACATGTCCAAAATCCGTTCTTTCTTCGGCGAGAAGTGCAGAAGATATGTGACGCCGTGTTTCCATCGGAACCCAAAGAAAATGGGAACGAGGGTCATGATAATTCGACCCAAAATGTCCCTGACCACCATCTATTTCGTGCATTCATGATATTGGCAGTGGGGTCTGTTGTTCTGTATCGCAACGGAGTTAGCGAAAATCATCCATACGGATATTACCTTTCCGCGATGAATTATCTCGACGACACCATACTTTCGAGGGGAATTGAATCCATTCAAGATCTGTTGCTTGTTGGGAGATTTGCGATCTATCATCATATAGGTACTGAAATTCGTGCAGGGATATATGTGGGCCATGGGCTGATGATTGTGACTTGATTAGGAACATCCATATGGGAGATTCTTCGTCTGTGCATGCGTTTATGTATTGAGCAAGGTCTTCATAAACCACCCCCTGCGGCCTCAGCATGCAGCCTTCTAAGAGAGCAGCTTCAACGAAGGGTTTTCTGGGAATGCTATATGATCGACAGGTATAGCTCTATCACGCTCGATCGCCCATGCGCTATACCCGAGAAATACATTCGGATCGGATTCCCGGCCGATGCAAACGATGAGGAAATAGAGGCTGCGGATGTATCCGGGTCATTTTCCAACTTGGATTCCTTCTGTGTCGCCTTGTCTAACCGGTCGCCATCTGCTGGGAACACTGAGATGTCGGTTTTCTTTGCGTGTCTCCGACTTCGGCAAATTACATCCTCCATTCATTCAAAGTTTGGCGACAAAGCAACATCTACAAAATCACCTCACGACACGACAGCCAGAGGGGCGATTTACGACGAGCTGGAGCACCTCTTGGGTGAACTTCACCAATGGCGTGTCACCACTCCTACATTTGACAACCCCCGAAGCTTGTACGAGATGCAAGATTGGTATGACCTTCTTTACTTTAGGGAGCGGCTTCAGTTAGTGCGGAAGGCAATCGACTTGGTCCCTAAGCAAAATGGCATTCCACCTCGAGACCTTCTATCCCTATGTCTGCAATGCGCAACTGGAGCGATAGTAGCTTTCTGGAAGCTGTTCGAGCCTAAAAAGATCACCTTTACGCGGAGCTATTTTCAAATGCTCTTCACAGCGGGCCTTTCGATCATGTACTGCCTGTCGGTAGTAGGTGACTTTGACCACGCATCCATGAGGGCTGGCACTGAGGCCGTGACAACGTGCGAGCTCATCCTGAAACAAATGGGCGTAGATCTGTCGGATGCAAAGCGTTATGTCGCAGTCTACGAGGCACTTCGAGGCTATGTCATTCGTAAATACAGTCGCCATTTGCAGACAGATCCACAGCATGGGGACAGCCTTTGTGCTTCGACATCACACTTCAACCAATCTTCTTCTAATGTTGCGGCCTCCCATGGAGAACGGTGTGATAATGATATTCCCAGTACCCAGATACCGTCAATACGTGGACTTGGCTTTGCGCACAATCACACACAGCAGCCACTGGGGGATTTGCCGCTGCTCGACACTCAGCTAGTAGATCTTCCAGTCTTGCACGACACAGCCGGTTCTCTCTATAACGATGCATCTATATCTGAGGGATCCGTTCTCTCCTGGAATATCTTTGGCGATGATGCTTTATGGAATATGGAAGCTGGATTGAACGAATATGCGTATGGTGACCCCCCAGCGACTTTGTATCTGGAGGATCCTTTTGACTTGCAAAACATCTTGTAATAATATTTGATATATCTGGAATATACACATTTACAACAACCCAACTGATTCTTCCACTATTGCTTCGTCGTCTTCTCCAACCTTGAGCTAATCTCGTGGTAGTTCTGCACAATCTTCTTCATGCCATTCTGGAGGATGGCGCCATCTGCACCACTCAACGACCAGGTTGCCCCCATGGAGAACCACTTCTCGAGAAGATCAAGTCGTCCTCCAATACCTCCAATACCAATGGGCTTTCCAAACTTGTTGGCTGCATTGATAGCCTTGGTAACTGAGTCGAGGTAGCGCTGGTCATCATACTTCCCGGGGATACCTAGATCCGCGCATAGATCGTTCGAGCCAATCAATACCCCATCAACGCCGTCAATAGCGAATATATCCTCGGCAATATCCACAGCGCAAGGAGTCTCAATCATAGGGATGAGCATGGTCTGGGTGTTCATAGCCGCGTTTTGCTTGAGAGTGGGAACGTGCTGGAAGTTGAACACGGGCTGGTTATTCGTGCATCCACGAGCACCGAGCGGGGCGTACTTGGCATGATGGACGAGATCGCGAACTTCTTGAACAGTCTCGATGTGGGGAATGACAACGGCAGCAGCACCTGCGTCAAGAATGCGACTGATGTGCCAATGGGACTTGGAGGGAGACCGGACGACGGGTGAAACTCCGACGTAGTTGCAGGCTAGGATGAGTTGAGCCACAGAGCGCATGTCAAGAGATGAATGTTCCATATCGATGAAGACGGCGTGGAAACCGGCCATTTTGGCCATCATGGCGATCTCGTTGCCCACCATGTACTTGATGGACAAGAGTGGGGTAATCTCGCCATTGAGAATGCGAGTCCGGAATGGATTCGAGATGGTGAAAGTTGGTTCTTCGATTGAGCCCATGGTGAACAAGACTTTGAGAAATTTGATATATGCAATGCCAATTAATAGGTATGGAACTTGCAATTTTTGGGTTTCTCGGAACTGTGAAGTTACTTAAATACACGATTGAATCGAAGTCTTGATGGTAATCACTATTTGATGACTCTTCCCGGAGAATCTCCGACCGCGTAGGAAAGTATCCGAAGTAATCTCATCGAGAGGGGTATGCCTTCTTTGCGGAAAAGTGAATTGCCGGGGCCGACTTCCGATAGGATTTAAACATGACTGACTAATTTTTTCTAACCTCGGGCCCTCCTATTACTGATAGGTGGAAGTAGTAGAATGTATAGATCTATCTGAATAAAGAATTTTGCCTTCCTCCACTTAGAGTGCGCGATAGAATCCGTCAAAGCAAGCTTCCATTATAACTATGGGAAAAATCTGAGAGAAAATAGCTTCATGAATACCGTAACTCCTTGCTAATATGGTCCACTACAGCTAGATACGAATGGTTGAGAACCTATAGAGCAGATGGGAGAAAGCCGTTAGAGGGTAAACTGTATCGGGATCATAGATCTCATTCTATACGTTTAATGTATTTTGTTCCTGATCTAACTATTTTTTGTAATATTCTAGAATATAGGCGTACCTCGCTGGTCAAGGTCCCTCTAGAATAGCCGTCATATCCCATCGACGAAATATCCAGATAGCAGCATTCGGTAGAAGTATCGTTAAACGGAATTGGGCCCAGGATGATATCAGCCGCTCTTTTCTGGCTTTCTCATTGTTCGTGTCACTTTCGTCATGAGCGTTCTCGTCTGGTTTGCCCGTGACTGGCAGTTTGCTTGTCGATTTGGGTGGAGCAAAGAAGCGTCTGAATATGGACAGCGCGCCTGTAGGTACCAGGAAGAGCTCGATGGAGTATGAGAGTATCGAGTCAGTCAGGACCGGGTCGCGCTCCATCAAAATGCGAGCAATGCTCCATGCCATGAACATCGATAGACAGAGCAATATATATCGACCGGCAACTTTGACTGAGGAAGGAGTCCCATTAAAGAAGCTCATAATCATATTCCTCGCTGGCTGCAAGGAGACTGATGTACGAAATATCCATGGTATAAACATAACCAAGGTGAGATATGTCGGAATACCCACGAAAAAAACAACTGCGCACAGGAATACAAGGGTTAAAAGGTCATTCAGAAACCTTTGAGCCAACAGAATGCGAGATATGCGTATCAAAACGGCCTGTGTGTTATCATGCAAAAGCCAGACGGCCGAGCCAAAATCGAACACCGCCACGGAGTAAAAAAGAGCTCGTACGATGACTCGTGAGAGCATGTACAGAAGGCAACGTCCGTGTCCACACGTCCAGGGTACCAATACGGAGCCCGTTGGAGCTGTAACCTGCGCGATGTTGGGGATGTGTTCCAGAGGATGTCGTCCAACAGGGATATCCTTATCTGGACGCGTATCAGGGGGCCAGACACGGCGCACGCGATCGCATAGATTGTCACCCACAGTAGCTTGACAATCTTCATCCCCATTTTCTTTGCTGTTGTCGAGGGTGACTGTATTGTTGAGCTCTTGGACATGATTTACTGGACATGGACCTGAAACGAAAAGTTGTTTACCGACAATTGGGCGTCGTGGCCAGTCTTTTCGTAACACGACGCCGGCGCATGGCAAGGGCAAAAACCAAGTCGACAATTCAACCATTGCTGCTTCTGAAAGCAGAAAACCCAGGGTCCATTGGACAGCCCAGTGGTAAGACGACCGGATTAATAGCACGTAAAGTGGCAGAGAGATTCCGGCAAGGAATATACGACGCGCAGAGGTGACCAGTAACCCATGACTCAATTCAGATGGTATGGATCGGGCCCCTGGAACATAAAAGTGAACGCCAGCGAGGGCCCACAGACTGGCATGTATTTCGGCGATATTGGTCAGCCTCCAGGTGATCAAGTCGATGATTTGAGCAGTGACAATGACTCCAGACTGGTAGGGTGAAAAGGCTTTGATGTTGGCCTTGGCGTCCTCCAGTATTGTTTTTTGGCCTGTGGGCCTGAGGAGGCTGCTAGCTAGTACAGCGAGTATAGCCAAGGAACCGGGTAAAGTGGACATGATGAGGCTCAATCGTGCTCATGTATCGCTCATCATCAAATCATGACTGAGGGTCAAGGAAGATTCTCGGGGAGAGAAAATAACTGGAGCAATGTTGAAGCCGCCAAGCCACAGAAAGGGTCTAAAGCGAAAGGTTCCTAATACGGGGTACTAAACCAAAGGAGTTAGCGGACCCTTCGGATTGATTTGAATGGCTCGGGTGTGATACGACAGGTACTCTTTATGTATGCATAAAAGGATCACATGACAAAGGCTAGTCTAGAAGTAGTTAGTTTTATGTATTGAATTGTGCATTCAATTAGAGACTCCTATTGGCAGACTTGGGATTTCTCGTAGTGTAGCTTACTGCCCACACAGTTCAATATTCGACACAGTTGGAGTTCGAGTCTAGACTTAGGACCCATCCATCATCATGCGACCGAGAGATACGTATATTAAACTATTCTTGACTATGTGTAACGGTAACTGTCCCCACAGCAGGTTCGCCAGTTGGTTCGGTCGGAGTGGAGGAAATCGCCCCCTTAAACAAAAGTACCAAAGACACACATTATTAGGCAAATTGGCGACCTTGCAATCTTCCTCGACATTAGGAGGTTGAATTCCCAACCCAATATCTGAGGTGGCTTCCCTTTCTTTGTTCCAATCAATTTTGTTGCCTTCCTTGTCGATTTATCAGCAAACCTTAGAAGCCTTTTGTTGACTGGTCGGAGAGGACCTTTCCGTTTGTGGCGCGGTGCTGCCTGGTGGTCTGCCTCGCGTATAAAATCCTCTAAGTCTCCTGTCCTCCCACTCTCTTATTCTTCTTTTCTATCAACACCCCGAAGATTAGTTTACCTCAAAATATCACAAAAATATCAGCTTTCAGGTCTACTTACATCAGTACTTTCCCCTTCACCCACCGTCATGTTGGGCTACTCAGGATGCTGCTACTACAGTACCACTTGGTGTTATTTGCCCCAGGTTTCTGTAACGGCCCATGCGACCATACTCTCTTCCGCATCACGTACAACTCTTACCCAGACCTTTGTTAATCCATCGGAAGTCCTCATCAAGGAAGTATCCTACACTTTCCCTCTTTACGATGGCGTCAGCGTCGTGGGGTTCGAGTGTCGCGTGGGATCGCGGTTGCTTCACAGTAAGGTCAAAACAAAAGAACAAGCTGAATCCGAGTATCAAGACGCCGTTACAAACCAAGAGACGGCAGCTATCATGGATCACACCGTGGAGAATGACATCTTTGTTATTCGACTTGGCAATGTCCCTGCCAAGGAGACTATCACCGTTGACATCACCTTTGTCGGCGAGCTCAAGCAAGACCCTCAGTCTGACGGTGTGCGCTATACTTTACCGAACTCCATTGCTCCACGATACCCTGGGAACCTGTGGAGTTCCAATCCCGCTGGTTTCCTTACTAGCCACGGCCTGCCGGCAGACCTAAAAGGTATTACAATCACGGTTGATGTTCTCATGGAAAAGGACTCGATAATTCGGGAACTACACTCGCCGAGTCACGCTGTCAAGGCTTCCCTTGGCCGAATGTCTTCCACCCCCGCCGATGCCCAATCATTTGACCCATCCAATGCCTCTGCAACTCTGCGTCTTACCAAGGGCGAATATGCTTTACTAGAACGCGATTTTGTTCTAGTCGTCAAGGCTGATGGCCTCGATAACCCCCGTGCGTTACTGGAAACCCATCCCACACTCCCAAAGCAACGGGCCTTGATGGCCACGTTGGTTCCTAAATTCAGTCTGCCACCAGCTCAACCTGAGGTGGTCTTTGTCATTGATAGAAGTGGAAGTATGCACGATAAGATCCAAACGCTCACCTCTGCCCTTCAAATATTCTTGAAATCCCTGCCTGTCGGCATTTGTTTCAACATCTGCTCGTTTGGATCCAGTTTCTCCTTCCTCTGGCCAACAAGCAGAGTCTACGACGCATCGAGCTTGGAGGATGCCTTGTGCTTTGTATCCACCATCAGTGCCAACATGGGCGGTACGGAAATGCAACATGCTGTAGAGGCCACGGTCGCCAACCGTTTGAAAGGCAAAGATTTGGAGCTTCTTCTACTAACCGACGGCGAAATTTGGCGGCAAGATATGCTGTTCGATTTTGTTCGAAAATCGGCCGCCGACAACACTGCTCGCTTCTTCTCCTTGGCCATCGGGGACGCAGCGTCACATGCTCTCGTGGAGGGCGTTGCCCGTGCTGTAAATGGTTTCTCCCAGTCTGTAATCAATTACGAAGAGCTGGATCGGAAGGTGGTAAGGATGCTCAAGGGCGCACTCACCCCCCATATCTTTGACTACAAGCTCGAGGTGCAATATGATGGTGGTAAGGCCGATGACGACTTCGAAATTGTGGATTCCGACATACCCATGTCAGACTCCGAAACTGAGATTGCAACCCCAACCTCTGAAACGTCTCAACAAACCCCCACACAACAGCCTATTTCCCTCTTCGATGCCAATTTCAAGGAATCAGACGCGGAACTTGGCTCCCGTCAACAGGCAGATGACAAGAGTCTTCTCCCCATCATCCCTCCCCCTCGAGCTCTTCAAGCCCCTTATAAGATCCCGTCACTTTACCCGTTCATCAGGACCACAGTCTACCTGTTGTTAGATCCCCGTTCATCACATCGTATTCCAAAGTCACTCACCTTCCGTGCGACCTCCAAGCTTGGGCCTCTGGAACTGCAAATCCCGATTGGCGATTCTGGCAAGGGAGAAACAATTCATCAACTTGGTTCGCGAAAGGCAGTCATTGAACTTGAGGAGAACCACGGTTGGCTTCAAGACAGCCGTGATGAGTCTGGAAACCCATTCCGCCAACTTCACTCGAATACACAGCAGCGCATCGTGGCTCGCGAGTGCCAGACACTGGGGATCAAATATCAGGTCACTGGAAAATACTGCTCCTTCGTTGCCTTGGAAAGCGATGACTCTTCCAACTCAGAGGAGAGAGGGACCACGAAGGAGATTGAGACACAAACAGTGCCGGTTGTCAAGACGACTCGAACTTCCCACCGCTCATCTAGGCTACTTGCCAAGCCAACTACAGCTCACAGCGGCGGCGGCGGAATTTTCGCAACATACAGCGCCGGACCGCCACCACAGAGTGCTTCTACTTATGCTGCACGTAGCAGGCAAGTGGTAATGGCGCCAAAGCCCCTGATAGTCGCCCAAGCATTCGGCTCCTCAAAGAGCTCGCTCGGTTCCCCAGCCCCAGCACCTCCTCCACCGCCACCACCTGCATCAGGGCGAGCACTCCCTAGAATGAACGCTATGATGATGCCGTCGAGACCGGCCTTCGGGGCTTTCTCTCGATCCCCTCCAGCAAGGATAAGTTCCTCCGAAGGAGATGGTCAGGCCCAGTCTCCAGCCCAACCAAGTGCCTTTGGGGCACCATCTGGAGGCCTCTTTGGTTCATCGACTCAACAGTCAACAGGTGGCTCTCTCTTCGGACGACCCAGTCAAGCCCAGGCTCAAGCACAGTCAAGTCCCTCTGCGGCACCATCTGGAAGCCTGTTTGGTTCATCAACTCAGCCCACAGCAGGTGGCTACCTCTGTGGGGGGCAAAGTTCTGGATCAACACCGTTTGGAAGTGCCGCTCCTCCTCCACCAACTTCGATGCCAGAGAAAAAGGCGCTCTTCGTTGCTCGCCAAGAACGGGATAATGCAGAGCCACTGCCCCTCACAAATCAGCCTACAGTGCATGCCCTTGTGAGATTGCAATCTTTCGAAGGAAGCTGGGAATGGAAGCAAACCCTGTTTGATGTGATCGGGTGTCAAATGACGGATGTTCAAGCCCAAATCCTTCGTTTGCTGCAAGTAGAGGACTTTGACAGTGAAGCCGGAAAGGTTGTGGCTACTATCCTGGCACTTGGCTTCCTCGTGAATAAGCACGCAGACTCCAAAGGTCTATGGGAGTTGGTTTCCGATAAAGCAGAAGCCTGGATTTCTCAGAGATTGCCTGCAATGCCTCTTGGCCAAGTCATCGAATCTCACAAAAGTGACATCATGGCTTTAGCGTGAGATAGGGATTTGAGTTTACTTTGATTTACTTACGATATTGAAACACAGAATGACACGGCCAGTAATGAAGTAGCTAGTGTTTTTGTAAATTGCCGAGTAGCTATGAAATAAAATTTGATTCACATCATTTCATCCACTCACGTAGTGAATCACTGTAAACAATCCAACGAGACCCTATGTCAAGTCAATCAACCAACTAGAACTTTAGCTTAGTAGGCACATCCCTAGAGCGCATTCGGCACTTCAAGCCATGCTGTTTCGCAAACCAATATGTCTCGACACGCCACTCTGTCTCCTTTTCAGACGCCCACTCAATCTCAAAATGCCGGATGAGCAATGGAACCAACTTTCCCATCTCCATTATAGAAATGTTTTTCCCGATACAAGTTCGAGAACCGTAGCCAAACTAGTGGTTCAATCAGTACAATTGACGTAGATGAACAAAGTGCTGGCTGTACTTACAGTCATCAAATGACGATCCATCAATTTAATTTTCTCTTCATCGGCCTCTATCCATCTCTCCGGTCGGAACACCGCCGCATCATCACCGAAAATAGATTTGTCATGATGAAGGACAGCTGGGTTAACTCCAACGATTGTACCAGCCTCGAGATGAGTTCCGCAAAGTACAGTCCCCCCTTCAGGCACAACCCGTTCAAGGGGATATGATACCCCGGGGTGACACCGCATTGCTTCTTTCATTGCCGCTTGTCTGTTTCAATTAGAGACTCGGCCTTTGGGGATTTCTTGAACGGAAAAGCTTACAAGTATGGTAGCTCAAGACACTCGGCGTACGTGATGTATCGTGACAGTCTCCCGTTTTTATCTGCGTCGTCTACCTCCTTTCGTAACTTCTCATATGCCGAGCGATTTTGAACGAGATAGTAGATTATTGCGCGAAGCGAGATGGCTGTAGTGTCGCTACCGGCAAGTCTGGGCTGAATGTCAGCAATCAGGGCGTCCTCCGCTCGAAACTCGGTCTTCATAGTTATTTTTTAAGGGGACGTACAGGTTATTACTGAGATGGTTCATCATGTCACGATTAGACATTGGTTTCCCCTTAGTCTCTTCGCTTCGAAGCCAAGCCAGGAAATCAGGCCGCTCTCCATGCTTCTGGGGCTGACGGTCATAGTCATCAATGCACTCTTGTGTAATCTATTGAAGTCCGAATGTTAGCATTCGGAAAGGTACATTGGATGTCATGAATAAAATCCTCACCTGCACCATTGTCCGAAGCGGGTCTGCAACTTTGAAGAAAGGTTGCGCGGCCAAGAGCTTAGAAACGCTCAGATTGCCCATCAACCAACCGTGCAAAGACGGCACCTGACTGACGATCCCTGCATATTTCAATCCTGACTCAAGACCGGCAATCATATCTTGTATATCTTCTCGTTTTTCCATAAATCCGAATCTGCGTTGGAATGTGATGGCTCCAATGACATCGAATGCGTACCATTGCAACCAAGCTCCAAGGTCCACCTGCTGACCCTCGAGATCCTTCATCGCATCAACAAATATTTTCGTACACTCGTCTGCAAATAGCTCGAGGGACTTGATGGAGGACATGGAGAACTTTTGAGCCACTGGTCGTCGTAAAGCTTGATGGCCCGCTGGGTCTCTGATCGTGAACATGCTGGGCATGACTTTGTCCTCGAAGAAAGGACTGAAGGTGTCGTAGAAAGCGGACTGGCAGACACATTAGTTCAAAACCCAACCTTTGTTTTGGTCAGAGGACACGCACCTTCAGGAATTTGCTGTTGATGCCATAAATTACTGGGACGGCTTTTGGGTCGGAAATGTCAACGGTATTAGGTCCAGTGCGTACAATAAGGCCATACTTCTCGTGAAGCTGCCGGTAAAAGATCGGGGCATCGCCTTTTGATACTTTCACAAGACGGTAGAACGATGAGAATCGGGCAAGAAAGGGTCCTGGAATTGACCTAAGACCCGTTTTGAAAGCAGTCGCAAGTGATGAACTGATAATCGTCAAGGCTAATATGATAGCGGCAAGAGCAGTCCAATCGCTGTACTGCACTTGCAGGTCTGATATGATTCCCATGGCTTCTTCGCTTCGATTTTGAACAGAAATATCAAAGCCCAAACTACAATAGTCAACTCGAGTGAAGGAGCGCCCATTTATCAAGCAATAGTAACAGAATGATAAGTTTCTCCCCGCAGTTTCAACGTCCAGCTATGCGGGGGAAGATCCCACCTCCAACAATCGACACTACCATGGGGAAGTTTTGCGGGATCTATCTCAGTAAACGCGCATGTTCCCAGAAGAGTGAAATAATGTAGAAAGCTCTGAGTAATCAAGTGAAATACCAGAAGAGACAATTTATTCCTTCGAAGCCACCTAACCCTTCTTAATGTCCACGACGTGCGGGCTACCTATAAGGGCCAACATCTTGACCTCTCAGATACTCTCACGGTAAGGATTTATCTAACATGGTTTGAGCATTCGTCAATAGAACACGCCTATGCGTATCGGACCCAAAATTAGTATTCAGACCCTCATCCATTCTCTTCGCCAAAGATTTCGCAAGCGGCGCTGGCGTAAAGGGATAGTCGCTCCCGTAGACTAATCTACTAGAGTCGACAAGGCGAAGGAGACCGTGAATCTGATCTGGAAATGGTATACCGGCAAGGTCAATGTAGAACCGAGTCTGTAGTAGATTCTTTATGGTTTCAATGGTGAATGGCTCTCCATCCTTAACGAGAAATGAGGAGAATTCGGCGATTCGCGCCTTTTGAATACTGATTTTAGCGACCGAAATCTACCTGCTCACAACCATCCATGAATTAAATTCTTACCACAATTGGTGGAAAGGTTGCACCACAGTGACATATCACAAAAGTGATACCGGTACACCGAGTGATTGTCCCATGCATAAACAAACTCGTCAAGGCCCGGGTCGTATCGAACATAAACTCCATCAGGGGACTCGGGACTCCTGCAATCGGGTTCACGTGCTCCACCGAGCCTGTCTCTCGTTGAATGTTGCAACTGGTTGGGTGAAAGAAGACTATGGTCTGTCGTTCACTGAGCTTGTCAAAAACGCGGCTGAGTCGTGGATCACCGGGATAGATGCCGTGGGAATTGGTCAGTATTTGGAACCCCACAGCGCCTAGATGGTCAAGGGCATGATCGATCTCCGCAAGGGAGCCTTCGACATCTGGAAGTGGGAGCGATGCGAAGAATTGAAAGTATTGCTTGTGTTGGTTGCAAACTTCTGACATGTATTCGTTTACCTCTCTTGTCAGTTTCCGGGCTTGGTGGTCATCGCCAGGGAATATGTGTGTCCCAGGTGATGACATGCTAAGAATTGATCTTGTGATGCCTATATCTTTCATCATCACAATGTGGTTCTCGGGATCCCATTCCTATGATTTTGTTGAGAGATATCCACGCCAAAGATCTTGAACCGAACGTACGGGTATTGCTGGCATGCCATCAGGGTGTCCTCGTCCAGCGAAATCATTCTTTAAGCAATACTCCCGATACGATGGCGGGACACAATGAGCGTGGACGTCGATCCTCTCCATGGTGGTTCAATATCGTGTTGGTCGAGAATGTCCGAGATTGTCTCCGGATGCAAACAAAGGGGAAGTGCCGAAGGACGCGGGGTAGCTCATAGTTCCCGCAATTTATCCAAACCTCAAACCCCAGATCGTGACAAGAAATCAATGCGGGACCAGCGGACAAATAGAAAGATGCGCCACTGGCCATAAGTTTCTCATCTTGCATGTCTAGAGCTGATGCCACAGCTGTCTCACATTCCCTAACGCCGCGCGGTCGCGTCGGTCCACACCGCAGAAGCTTGGCACATGGTTTCAAGACACACGCCTTGCAGTGATCAGGACGCCAACTGAAGTGGCTTTTCATATGTATTGACGTGAGCGTTACCCATCCGATATTTCAGGCGTCCAGGTTCATTGTGAAATCTGATTTTTTTCCCCTACTGTGTTCGTGAATCGGGATCCTTGAATTTGTGAATTTCCATCTGTAGCCCCATCACCTCCCAGTCCCCCAGCTCAAAACGCTGCCCATGTTGCCCAGTTCCTCGTGAATTCGGCAGATCTGCTGGTCTGGTGGTTGGATACTACTGATTTGATGTTCCCGTTAAAGCTTCCCGGCATTTGATCTACTCAGCAAGACTGTCGCTTATCGTTTTGAGGATATCCACCATGATCGGGGTGGGGGGTTCGAATGGGAGCAACAGAGGGCTTTCGTTTGCCAGAGTTGGAGTCTTGACCTACGAGCAGCTCTGGAAACCACGGACTAATTGACAAAATTCTGTTCTCCCTATTCTTTCGAAAAACAAGGATTGGCATGGGCTTCAGATGCTTTGTGTCGTAGGTCAATGTTCAAACAAATAGTCGGGCGGTTTGGCCGGGAAGAACCAGTTCTACGTTCTCGAAAACCATAATTCCGGCTCGAGGCAACATATTGAAAACTAAGATAGTCGGTACTGAGAGCCAACAAAAGTTCCCATGTAAACTCATTTCTCGCAATGAAACCGTCAATGCTCTTGTTCGAGTAAAGAAAGCTTGACCCTCTTAACGGAGATAGGTACACGTACCGATGGCCATCCAACCGAAGGATCGAATACCTCAACCAGGAAGCTTTCTGGGGAACGCCACTGAAGTAATACAAAATTCAACCACCAAAGCAATAGAATGGATGCCCGATTCCAACCAGGCTCCAAATTTAATCAAGAACGGTTGCACCTAGGCAATGAGCTCGCAAAGCACTGGGGAGGATTTCCCCCTCATGGAAGATACCGAAGCGATATCCCGCCCGGCGTCAAATCATGCTGGTTTAAATATTTTGTTAAATTGTTCCCGGTTTCAGCCAATAGCTGTGGATAGGAATCGCCCTCTGACAGATGTATTCAGGTGGTCTGATTGAGATCGTTCACGAACGAGTGGTCATCAAAGTATCCTTCTGGATGGGTTCTGGCCTGTTGGATTTCGGTGTGAAAGAAAGTAGCCTCTGGCATAGTTATTCTCAGTTAGACACTTTGAAACGTTGTTTAAAATAGGTAAGTCCAACCAGGAAACTCAAGCCGAGGGCTTGCCCTCGAAAAAGTGTATCCCTCAGTTACGCGGAATAAAGTCCGCCAGAGCATCCAGATTGTATGAGTGCCAGTCTCAACGTACGTAGACTAAACCGTGCCTCCCTGACTCCTTACTGGCCCCCGCTGATCAGTGAGGAGAGCTATCGAAAGTTTACTGGCCAAGATAAGCGGGGGTGGATCATGTCCATCTATCTTTCATGCCAAGCCGGCCTGTTTCGTGCCTCCTGATTCGCCTTGAGGCTATCATCGTCTAGCTTTCTCCACTCAGCCCTTCGACACCCGAAGAGAGATAACGTTCTCGGTTGCGAGTGTATCTCCGCACGCTCAAACATGTCGGCTCGTGAGGAGGCGATTTCACGAGAGGTCTTTAAAGGCCATGGCCGGCCGCGGGGATGAGGCAGCGGTGCCCTTTTCACCGGCTTAACGTTTAATCTGAATTCAAGTTTTTTTTACATCGCCCCTTGTGTGATCATATTGCTTCCAGGATGGTGAATGGGCATGATGATCGAGATGAGACCTTTTGGGCACCGGGAACAGTCACCCTCGAAGATGGTAGCTCAAGTTCCTCTCCAATCTGAGCAAGTCCATATTGACTGATCAATGTAGTTCACCGGACCAGCGACCAGCTTGTCCTTTTTCCTACGCCCTCGGCCGACCCCAATGATCCCTTGAATTGGTCAACTGCTCGAAAGATCCTAAATTATACCCTTGTCAGCTTCTTCGTCCTGTGGACCTTCGTTCAACTGGACATAGGGTTCACAGCATGGGGCCCTATGGAAGAAGAGCTTGGTTTCTCCGTCGATATTCTCAATGCTGGCGCGGCAGTCAATTATGGCGGGTTGGCTATTGGATGCTGCTTTTTCATTCCACTCGTCCATAAATACGGTCGCCGACCGATCTATCTATTCAGTACAGCGCTGCAACTTGCATCCTGCATTTGGCAGGCGAAGACCTACAGTGTTGGTAGCTTCATGGGCGCTAATCTGATCTCTGGACTGGGTGGTGCTATATCTGAGGTCATCGCGCAAATTACCGTCGCAGATATGTTTTTTGTCCACCAACATGCTACCATGAACGAATGGTTTGTTATATTCCAGTCTGCAGGGGCGTTCCTTGGACCCGTTGCATCCGGTTATATCGTTGACTCGCAAGGATGGCGGTGGATGTGGTGGTGGTGTGTGATATTTTTCGGTATCACCTTACTCTGCGTCCTCTTTCTATTCGAGGAGTCCAAGTTTGTGCCTGTCCTCAACGGTCAGAGCGTCATGCCTGCAATTCCCGCTCCTGAGACTGAGCTGCCGGATGACTCCAAGGCGAAGTCTGCTGGTGATAGCAAAGCCGCGACTGAACAAGTGGCCGCCAGTCGGGTTGCAACTAATCTGGATATCAAGCCAAAAACATACTTTGAAAGGATGGCTCTCTTCACGCCAACCGATGAATCGCTGCTCCCTCATTTCTGGCAGCCAATTGAGACACTATTCACATTCCCGGCTGTAACATATGCTGCTATCACTTACGGCTCCACCCTCGGTATATTCGCAATAATGACGTCATTACAAGCGTCGTACATGTTGCTACCGCCATACAACTTCGACGCGATTGGCATTGGTCTCATGAACCTGGCACCATTTGTTGGCGCTGTTCTGGGCTTCCCTGTTGGTGGTTACCTGAGTGACAAATCCATCCTGTGGCTTTCCAAGAAGAACGGTGGTATCTATGAGCCCGAACAGCGTCTCTGGTTGGCCCTTCCTACTGTAATACTAGGACCGGCATCGATTTTGCTATTTGGCCTTGGCCTTGCCTACGTATGGTCAATTATAGCTTCTCCTCGCAATTGAACAGTCAGCTAACATTTCTCAGGGCGTACATTGGTCCTGCCTCGCTGTCGGCTTCGGTGTTTTCGGTTTTACGCTGTCTTCTATTAGTGGTGTCTCGCTTTCCTACCTCATGGATTGTTATCAGGATGTAAGTATCTCTCAAATTTTCGCCGTTGCTTTCTGTGCCTTCTGTACGCTAACCCCATCGTCTACAAGATCATTGGCGATGCTCTGGTAGGGGTTATTTTTATGCGAAATATCATTTCTGTGATTATCTTGTTTGTCATCACGCCATGGGTCAATGGCATGGGTATGCAGAACCTCCACATCCTCGCAGCGGTGGTAGCCTTCTTCCTGTATCTCATTCCAGTGCCTCTGCTCATCTGGGGGAAGAAGGCCCGAGTCGCGACTGCTGCACGTTATCGGAAAATGGCTGCGAACCAAATCGGTCGCCGAACAGTCTGAGGCTATGTCAATCTTATGATCCTTAATACATTTTCATACATAAACCTTATTTCTTTCATCATTTTGCTTCTGTATTAGGTACATATTTGCTAAGCTCAAACCAGTAGAACGGAATACCAGTATCTCTGGCCTCCCACACGGAAGTTACCGTAGCTTTGAAACGGATTTGCGTCTGTTTCGAGAACGTGATTATTTGTGTGCTCCGCTCCATTGCTATCGCCCTTGCTTCTCTATCCATAATCTCAAAACAGGCAGCCAGGTATGCAAGCGATGTGCACGGAATCGAGTGATTTGTAAGACGAATTACTGTTTCGAACTCAGTTGCAATCGCTTGAGACAATCGAAGCGCCTCTCCATTCTGCTGCCCAAATGGATAATTCAAGCGGTGTATTATTAGGAGGGCAGTGAACCGAAGGATTTTAGCCTGTGCCATCATGGTCGCCACTTCAATATGGGTAAATCGCTGAAGAAAGTCCCCTGGCTGTAGCGGTTGCCATTGTTCCACGGCGAGCTTTATTTCATTCAATCGGCGTAATAATTCGGGGTTCTCTGCCATAGCACCATCTCCAAGCAAATTGCTTACTTCGGCAATATCATAGAAGTAGGAGAGCATTGATGAGCTAAGGCCGAGATAACGGTCGACAAAACTTTCCCTATCGTTCACTCTCAAAGTGGGAACGTGAGATCGCAAAAGGCAATCAAATGTCTCTGCAGTGACAAGGCACATCAAGAAGTCCATCAATGATGGGTCTAGGCCCAATAAATCGGGGTGCTGGGTTTTGATAAGACTCAAAGTGAAATGTGATATCAGGAAGGGCTGGCCGTTCTCCACATGCATTGCAAAAGTCAGCAGTGCAACACCAAGTACGAGTGCGGTCACCAAATCTTGTTGAGTGTTGATCTTGAGTGATCGGAGAGATGAAACAGCTAATGCTGCTCGTCGATGTCCAACTTCCAACCCGTTTTGGGCATACTCATCATATTGATCACCGACAAGGGCAGCTGCGCATGCTACACTTGCGTTTCTGAGAATAGCCTGTGATGGTTGCATGAAATTTTGAAGGAATGATGAATGATGAGACTCGTGGAAACTGGTTCCGACAAGAAATTTGGCCAGAGGCGAGGGCGCCGTGATGTTTCTCATTAGATTCAAAAAATGCCGCTCCCAGTCATCAAGGTCAGACAAAAGTGCCGAGTTGATGGCCAATCTGGAATTGTAAGAGAGGAAGGAGATCTTCAAGTGATCTTTATCGGAGATTTCACCATGAGCTGTTACAAATCTGGTTTTACTTGGAACAGTATAAGTTACCTCTCTCAAGACCTGAGGCTTCCTGCCAGTCTTTGCAGCGTTTCTAGTTGTTCGACACTTGTGTCCCAGTCTGTCACATCTCTCGCAAGAAGTTTCGGTACTCAAACGGCGACATTTTTCCTTGACTGAGTGGCATTGATCACAGGCTCGTTTGATCGGTTTTGAGGCGGGCATTGTGGTTTCTCAGGGTCGACCATAAAATGCGTCGCCATTGGCATGGCTATATTCTTAGATTTTCTAATTCCACGCCGAAGCTCAAGTCAGGCATGATTTTGTTCATTGATCGTTCTTTAGCTTACCGAAGTATACCACCGTTACAGTGTGTAGGTATTCCTGTCAAATATGGGCGTCTTCTCAAATATCGAGGCCTTAATGCCAATGGCCTGACTTGGAGGGGTAGCAAGGAACTGAAAGGATCCAGTTGTGGTGCGGAGAAGACAAGATAGGGTCGGGTGGACCTGACCTTTTCAGTTAGTGTCTACGACACTAACTATTCGGAATTAAAGACTCGAGATTAGACTTTGCGGGGACGCAGAACAGACAGATAAGACACTGCCGAGTCGGCAATTACTGGATGTGGGGTTCCGAGTTGGAGGAAGGCGAGAGACGCTTGACGTTTTGACGGAATATTCTCAGGGCTTAAATATCCATTTTCTTAGGTGGTCTGATCAAGACATGATTTTTTCAGTTGGTCGATCTCATGACTCAATCGAGAGACTATTGCATGTATGAATGTGAAGCTCCTAGTAAAGGTAAATATAAACACACTGGGTACAAGGCAGCATTTTCAAGTCTAGAGAACCTAGCAGTAATCCCCGCTCATCCGGTTATTGAAGTTAACCGCTTCATGCTGCTCTTCACCCGCGAAAGGTCTCTACAGTTGCTGAAGGGATCCGTATCTTCCATGAGCTAAGGTGGGGATAGTTTCTGGGGCTCATGCGTCATTATATCTTCCCAGTCTTTCATACAATGCTTGAATCTAGATCATAGCCCAAGATCTCTGCCGATAAAGCCGCAAGAATAATGCACTTTCCATCATATCGTGAATATTCCCGATCTGGAACTTTCTCGATCCACCCGCCCACATATAAGATAGAATCGTACCATATATTAGTCATGGTGAAACATGAGAAGTCAAATAGTCCAAAACAGGAAGGCATATTTTAGCATTCAACCATGTGAATGGTCAAACTGCGTAATTCGAATTCAGTATATGATCGCCCGATTGAATGATTCAATTTCATCTCGGCATGTGATAATTTGGGACAAAATGTACACACTCAACTTGTTTGAAAGCAAAGTTACTACCCTAGTAGAGGCACTACTTCATAATCTAAAATATTCTCTAGATTCCGGGTTGTCAAGTTCTTTTCCAAGAGCGCGCATAATGCGGAAGCTCCATAGAGCGGTGAGTACTGAGCTCCAACCCTCGATTAGAACATGACAGCCATGTATTCAAGTCACATACATACAGTAATTGATTGGGTGTGAGTCTCTTTGGGGTGAAGAACGCTGCGAGTCAGGGCCCGGGACCCATTGCACCTTGCACAACCAAATACGGCCAACAATCCGACGGGCCTAGGAAACGATCCCAGCAGGACGGCCCGAACACATTGCCACAGACACGGCCAATGGAACATACCATCAATTCCTTATTTATACGCTAGAATGCAAGCACCGACCAATATACGCTATATGAATGGTTCGCGCTCCCAGGATGCCCCCTGCCCCGTTGGTTACACAAGCTGCAAAAACCCCTCATCTTACTGCAGCACGTTGCATGTATCCATTTACGGGCCATTTCGGATCCTTGATGGTTTTCTTCATATCGCTTTGAACTATCGTCATTTGCAGAATTCTCATGTCTTTCCCGTATTCTGGACCACCTCAAAAGCTGCATACCTTACATGTACTCGCACGACTATATATCTCCACCGAAGACCCACCTGGGCTTTCCATTATGATGGGTCCCCTCCATTTGCACACATGTTTTTCCCTGGCTTCTCATAAAAACCTTACAGAGTAAAAGCAAATCTGATATCAGCAATTATGGTATGGGACTACTATAATGGCAAAATATTGTTCGTCACTGGTGGGACAGGGTTTATTGGCACAGGTATACTATATCGACTTTTAACTCAATCAACTCCGGAACACATTTACGTGCTTTGCCGGGGTGGCTACTCGTGAGTACCATCAAATAAGCGCAAACCTTTATCAACCACTAAATAGGTTTTTTTTTTTTTAGAAAAGCGGAGTCAAAATGGAAGAGCATGCTGCCAGCATCTATCGCGGAGACTCTTACCCGAAGCAACTGCGTGACGGTTCTGGACGGAGAATTGGGGGACACTGCCACTATGAGTCTTGAAGATGAAACATTGCAAATGCTGAAAAGAAGAGTTCACGTTTTCATTCATGCTGCGTGCTCAATCGAGCTGAAGAAGTCTCTCCGAGAACTGTCTTACACAGTCATTGCGCCAACACTCTGTCTTGCAAATTACGCTCTAAAATTTCCGAATCTCGAGAAATTCGTCTTTATTTCAAGCGCCTATGTCAATGCACATTTATGGAAAACGAGCGAGTCTTCCGATGTGGCGGTCGAAGAGCGAGTATATTCTCTTGATAGGAAAGGCGAAGACCCCTACGAAAGCGCACCCGAAATCTGGAGAGAAGTCCAAAAGAACGGTACATCGCATGAATTCGAGACCCACGACTTCCCTTGGCCCTATGCATATGCCAAACACCTAGCTGAGCGACTGGTTCTACAAAAGGCTTCTGAGAAGGATGCCCTGGACAAGATACTCATCATCCGGCCGTCAGTTATTGGTCCAGCAGAAGAGATCCCATATCATGGATTCACTTCGTACTCGACGCCATCGACAGCCTGTGCAGCTGCTTACGCCTTGCACCCGGGCCGAAAGATAATTCTTGCAACGCGCTGTGACCAACCCGACCAAAATGCTACGATTGACGAGGTTGGAGTGGATCTCGTAGTTGATCGGACCTTGCTCCATATTGCCTGTGGCACAAGTGGATGCGTCCATGCAGTTAGTGGCGAAAAGAGAAGACTGCGCCTGGAAGACTGGTGGAATGCGTTCAAGAATGAGCGTCGTCTGCCTTGGAATGTGAAACCCATCTGGACCAACGAGGATTGGCATTCCTCCAACTTGCACCAGATGGCTCGAAACTTCAAGATCATTGGGACATCATTCGCCTTTGCAGAAGATAAGACTGATCAAGTGGTCAAGTCACTTAGCTCGGAAGAGCTGGAGCACCTCAAACTGTTTACAGATCGCTCTCAGCCTTATCATCATTCCCTCATCCACCGCAGACATCATATACACCATTTGGCTAAAGAGATGATCAAGAAGAACAAACTGCCAGTGCCGGTGTTTATGACTGGATTGTTTTGCAGAAAGGGAAAGCCACCGCACCACTATCGGACTCAAAGTCAAAAACTTGCTGTATAACTTGCGATGGCTGCTTCTACAAGTTGTCCTCTATTATTTTCGGGATTGTATCTGTTCGTTTCTTTATTTGCAGATACTGAGAATTCGATTGTCCATACTTATCAGCTAGTCACTTCAAAATCTTTTTTATGTAGTCTCGGAGAATGAGGCGGTGGCTGTTTACTTCCCACTCGCCAGTTCGTCACGCACGGACCATGCGGGGAAAATAAATTCTTTTCTTTGCCCCTCACCATTGATCCAAACAACCACATTAAACACCATGGCTCCAACGGCGTGTTTCAACTGCAAGGAGGCCCGGGCGGTCATCATTCGCCCAAAGAACCGACACAAGCTCTGCCGAGCGTGCTTCCTTGAAGTATTCGAAACCGAAGTCCACGAGACGATCATCGGCACAAACCTATTCTATCCCGGAGAACGAGTAGCGATCGGCGCCAGCGGTGGCAAGGACAGCACTGTACTCGCCGCGGTACTGAAGACCCTTAACGAGCGATACAGATACGGGCTCGACCTATGTCTCCTCTCCATCGATGAGGGAATCCGCGGCTATCGCGACGATAGCCTGGAAACCGTGAAGCGCAATGCGGTGCAGTACGATATGCCCCTAGAGATTCTGGGATATGGTGAACTTTATGGGTGGACGATGGATCAAGTGGTGGCACAAATTGGAAAGAAAGGAAATTGCACATACTGTGGTGTCTTCCGGCGACAAGCTCTTGATCGGGGAGCTGCCAAATTGGGTATCAAGCACGTTGTGACTGGCCACAATGCAGACGATGTCGCGGAGACTGTCATGATGAACCTTCTTCGCGCCGACTTGCCTCGGTTATCTCGAGGAACGAGTATCGTGACTGAATCCGGCGCATCGGATATCAAACGCAGTAAACCACTCAAGTACGCTTACGAGAAAGAAATCGTGCTTTACGCCCATCACCGCCAACTTGATTACTTCTCAACCGAGTGTATCTACTCACCAGAGGCATTCCGTGGCAGCGCGCGAACCCTGATTAAAGACCTGGAGAAGATCCGGCCCAGTTCGATCTTAGATATTGTGAAGAGTGGCGAGGATATGGCTGCCCTCGTACCCCGAGAAGTCAACCAGAGCGGCAAGAAGTGCGGATCGACTGCGGCGGCTGAAGATGATGTCGGCGGCTGTGGAAGTCAGAACGGACGTACCAGTGGTGGTGAGATGGCCGCTATGGAGAAGGAACTGGCTGAAAATGAGTCTGCCGAGTCCCGTGAGACCGAGATTCGCCTACCCAAAGGCCCGCCTTCGAGTGTCCATCTGCAAAAGACTGTCAAGAAACAAACTTTGGGTCACTGCGAACGCTGTGGATATCTCTCAAGTCAGCGTATCTGCAAAGCATGCAATCTCTTGGATGGCCTGAACCGGAATCGGCCCAAGACTGCGATCGAAGTCAGTGTCGGCTTGGAAGATGAGGAGATCAGCTCCACGCTCATGAGGCAGATGGAACGGACTGAATTGACCAACAGTTAAACGGTCCTTGATTGCTTATGACTATCATTTCCGGGCCATTATATTGCCCTGCCCACCCTATATAATGCTTCATCGCAAAGGCACTCGAGGGTAACCTTCCACAGTCTGGGAGCTGCTGCCTCAGCCTCAGCCGCTACAGTCTCATTGCTGAGCTACTGCGGCCTCGTCAGACATGAATACACAGGCACTTCATGTGAGACGAAGCACATCCCATTAGTTGGAACACGACGCCCGACGAGGTTCTGGTCATACCGCCAATGTTCACGGCCTTTGAAGAGGACGGAACACATGATATCGCCAATAGAGGCCCCTGCAATACTGCGGGACTCAACTCGATACAGGAGTAGCAGATGGGCAACTACATGTTTCTCAGCGATAATTAGAGATCCCAATACACCTCAAAAATGCTTCTACATTTTAATTGTACATTGTTCAATAGTATACAAGCCCAACAAAAAAAAAGACATAACGCCGATGCCATTCAAATTTTGTACAAATCCAACCCCGAGAACTGCCCATTTTCAGGCCATGGAGAATAATACATCACCGCCAGGGCTTCCATGCACAATCCGCCATCGTTCAATCTGACAGACAGTCCATGTGAGGGAGGATTTCGGACAGCCAGGGCTGATTCACCGAACAAGTCCCTCGTAGCTTGCTCCCAAGAAGCCGCTATTAACGATCTCGGTCATCTCGATTATATTGAGCAGCCGCAGAGGATGTAAAAAGTCCAGCGCTCAAGAATCAGGAGAATCATCCAATCACTCCTTTTGACCCTTCGCCTCCTCCGAGTTATGCAACTCAGGCAAATCAAACCCAACCCGTCGAGCCGTCAACCGAATCTTCTCCTCCTCATCCATACTCATGCCGGGGTTATACCGCTCCAGCAACTCCGTGTACGTGCGCTGCGCCTTCGCATACTGCGCCAACTGCTCCGCCTCCTGAATGCGGAGCGTGTGTTCCTCCGGACTCGACGGGATTGAGAAGACGCTTGGTTGCGTGGAAGACGCGATGGTGGAGGTGTGTGAGGGGGTGGGCGCGGATGCTGTGGAGGGTGTTTGTTCTTGGGAGCGGAAGAGGGCGCGGAGGCGTTGGTGGAGGGGGGAGGGGGTGGATGGGTTTGCGCGTGGGAGTTCGCGGAGGAGGGCACGGTAGGCGGAGCGCGCTTGGTGGGTGAGTGGTTGGGTCATTTTGGAGTTTGTTGGCTGGAAGTTTGGGTTAGGATGAATGATTGAGGTCTGATATGTAGATTTCGGGGAGATTATTTGATGGAGTTCACGTGATCAGGGGACTATGCGGACCTGGGACCTGGGAGGTACCAGTGTACGAGGGTAACATCGGCTCAGTAACTAGAGCGAGGGGTTTTCAATTCTGGAGTTATTGTGCTCTACTTGAATTTAATGAGGAAAATAGCAGAATATGTCCAGAGGTAGAGATTCTTCTCCGCACCACATCGTGGCTTCATCATCACCGTTACCACGAAAGCGCACTATGTACAAAACAAGCATCATATCGAAGCTTCGGGTCAACACCTCGCTCCAGGTGTCATCTTGCTCATGCCGTGGGTTCCATTCCAAAAAGAGCATGCTAATAGAGAGTGAAAGAAAAACATGTTTGAACCAATATACCGATCATGGGAGCGTAGCGACGTGAGATGGGGGTATGGCGATCAAATGGTTGATAGAGAGATATGTAGATAAGTTGGACAGATACCAAACTGAGTGTACAGTCGAGAGGTAAATCTTGACCTATGTTGCGGGGGACTAAGCACGTAGCCAGGCGAACTTTTTACGGCCGGTTTCCCCCCCAGTTGAAGGTTCGAGTTGCAAGCTGCGAGCATAGAGATCCTTTTCAAAGCAAGTTAGTTACGTTGCAAAGTTTGGAAAAAGCCGTGGATATTTCAAAAGCATACCTCTTCATCGCCGGAGAGTTTCGAATCGAGAATCAACCGCTCCACATCGTCATATTTCTGAGCTTGGGGATGAGGACTCTTCTGGCTTCGTTGAATGCCAATAACCACCTCTCCCATGACCTCGAATTTCTTCCAATTGATTCGAGATTTGCTTTCGCCCAAAAAGGTTCTATTTCCTTCTTCCGCAGAGACCAGGTCGCGACGGTGAAGGGGGAGGAAGGGGATACGTTCAGAGAAAGAGTTATCCCATGCTAGTCGGTAGGCGGAGTGACTGCGTGAGGTACTCATGAGAATGACCAGTCGCATGAACTCTTTTTGGCTAGCGACTGGAATCAACTCCCTGGTCTGAGTGAGTCGGTGAACAGGAGTGCCATTAATAGCTGCGATCACAGCACCGAGGGCGTTGTAATTGTTTTGGCGGCGCAGTTTCTAAAAAAAAAATCAGCCATCATGTCACTTTCCAGGCCCTACGAACAGACACGTACCACTGCAATGCTCATAAACTTCTCCAGGCACCTTGCTCGGTGCTTGGGTTTATCACGAAGGAGAATCATACTAGCCACGAAGAATGCCACATGGTTGAACTGCTTGATCATCCGATTGACATTTTGCAAGCTTCTGATCTTGTCTTTGTCCACACCAGAGATACTGACGTGGCGCACAAGATCGCGAGGGCGGAATGAATTGTACATAATCCAGTCAATCCGGGTCAATTCCCGAGCGAATTCTTCATCTGGTGTCTCCATGAAGTACCGCCACTGGATCTTGCTGAGTGAAGTCCGCCCAGTCATTTCGAGGCGCAGAGCTTCCTTTTGAGCAGCCTCCACTGTCAAGAGAGTGAAGGATTGGTTCATAGTGCTGGAGGGTTTGTCGGTATTTGAGGAGATAGAAAGGGTTCCGGAAAGACGAGAGGTAGACTCGTGTGGCCCCTCACTCAGGTCAAGGGCGCTCATACTGCTGTAAATGGGGTCTTCTTCAACTTCATCATCTTCATCATCGTCATAGGTACCGGTCATGAAAGGAACGGGGGAGCTTCGGCCGGAGTTATCGAAGAAGGTCTCAGTAAAGGCTGATTCGTCAACCTCACCGTCACTGAAAGCCCACCCGATATCGTCGTCCTCGGCATTTGTGTCGAGGTATGATCCGATTTCCTTTGCGGCAAACATGTAGAAATGGCTTTTTTCAAGAGTCGTAACAAATTCGTTGATGCGTTTTTTAGTTTTGAGATTGGCAAAATCGCCAGGGTATTCAGAAGCCCAGGAGGCGATCACATTTAGTAGGCGCAATTGATCAGCCATACGGGCGAGCTGGTCCACGTTGCTGGATTCATTTTTTTCAAAGCGACTGATCAATGCATTGAGCAGGGTAGCCGGGGCAGCGAATTTTCGATAGAGGCAGAGGAAGATGGCACTGAATTTGGAGTCTTGCTTCGACATGGGCAAAGCGACCAGCCGATCGACGAGTTCGTCAAAGCTTAATCCAAACTCTGCACTCGAATTGCTCTCACTGCTCGGCTTCGGGCGCAAGACGGCCCCGGGGCTGGCGGGGGCTGCCCCATCCTCCATTTCGTCTTCCATATTCAAAAAGCTGTTGAAAGCGTCGGAGCCTCCACTGTGTCGCCAGGTAGGCTGGAGTCGCTGGCGAAGGTGTTCTTGGGTAGGAGAGATATCTCCCTGAGCAGACGGTCGGCGAGGATTCAGCCGCGCGCCAGTTGGCGGAGTTTGCGGTCGGACCGGGTGGGAATTACTCCTGGCATTTCGAGACGAACTGGAAGCATGCTGTTGCGCCAGATTGGATGGGTGGATCTGGTCGGTGGGCAGACGGTGGGCGCCGTTGCCATCGACAGTTCGATCCGAGACCGAATTTGCTGAGCCGCCAGCGGCTCCTGAGAGAATGACGGAAGGAGTTTCTGAATTGGCGCGGGTGTGGTGCCAATCAGGAGGAGAAGGGTTGGGCTGAAAAGAATTGGTGGTCGTCCTCGGCGGGGGAGGGGCGGACGGGGGATGTTGAGGTTGAGCCGACGGGGGAGGAGGAGGATTATTACGGTCAGACGCGGCCAAGTCTGGGCGAATTAAGAGACAAAGTCAGCCGTCACGAAGAGCCAAAACGCCACGAAATTTATCGTGTTCCCCTTCAGCTCTGGTTCTTCTCTCCTTGGGGCTCGTGTCGATCGGTGGACTCTGGACTCTGACAAGAGGGAGGGTAGCGAATTGCTAGGCCCACGACCCACTTAGTCCGCCCTGAGGGGTCAAGGCTCAGCCCATAACAATCCGGTTGACACTCTCCCCAAGGATTGCTAGCGGACCAACAAAGAAGAAACAGAGCTAAAGAGCAGGGAATTTTGGGGGGTGTTTCAAAAAAAAACTATCAGGACTTACCTGCTCGATGACTGATGACGGACCGCAAGACTAGTGCAATGCACATCTGCTGAGACCGTGGTGACTCGGGCGATGTACGGTAGATGTCGTGTCGCTCATGAATCGGACCCAGCTCGTTCTCCTCGGGGAGCTGGTCACATTTGCAGGCAACCATCACGCATGGAACTGTGGTGTCATCCAAGGCGTCTAAATGGGGATCCTCGTGGTCAGCAACGAGGCAACGTACGATAGGTACCGTAATGGATACACCCGAGCTCTAACCAGAGACACCGGCCGGAATGATCGAGATTGGAAAGGCGATTTGGTGAAGGCACATACCTGCAAGTTCAATGGTCTTTTCCAACCTCTCTGGCTGAGTGGCATCATGCAAAAGCAAGACTCCGTCGACGATCGGCGCGGCCGAATTCTTGTTCACCCCGGGCCATACGATATTTAGATCCTGGTCGAAGGTGACTTGCTTCAAATCGATTTCCAACAACCGCACAATGTAAACCGCTCCGTCCAAAGACATCTTCTTTTTCGTGGAAACTGACGATGGTGTGCCCTTCATATCCAATGCAGACTTGATAAAGCTCGTCTTGCCCGCATTGTCTTCTCCAACCACGGCGATTGTCACTTCTGGTAAACTGGACTTGGAGGATTCCTGCGCGCAAAAAGATCACCGTTAGCCAATTGACGGTCAATTCGCGAACCCTATGCGATTTAAACATAATTCGGCCTTGGAAATGACGATACCTCATCACCACGGTGTCGGGACCGCGAACGCTTCGGCGCATCATGGCTCGTGCTCGAGGATCCTTCGTCCTCCTCCAACAAGGTATGTCCGATCTTCGCCGCAGAGCTCGGTCTCCGTCCGGTGTCCAATTTGTATAATTCGCCTGCCGGAGCAGACGAGGTACGGCTTCCTATGCCGGGGCGCTGCGGCACCCCGGGGGGCATTGCCTGCGCTCTATCGCTCGACGCCCGCGCGCGGCGGGACTGTTGGGCACTCATGGCGGCGGAGGCAGCTCGGAAGCAAGGGGGTTGGCTCGGGCCAACGAGGCGCGACTGGGTGGGATCAGGTTATTGCGTGTTTCCGAAGATCTCGCACTGCGTCTCCATTGTCGACTCCGAGACGGGGGAGTGGAGTGATATTCTCAGAATCGGTCGCAAGGCGAGGCGGTCATTCGGGGAGAAAGTCGGGAGGGAACAATGGTTAGGGCAAGCTGATGAATGCCGTGCTTAGTCTGTGATACGATCACGGTAGCGACCGAAGCGATTGATCTTTGGTGTTCAGTTGGAGGGAATAAATTGTGGAGGGAGTCCGGATGTCCGAGGAGATGTTGGCGGGCGTAGAAACCGTGGAACCGGGGGCAGCTGAACCAGGGAAAAGTTGTTCTTCCGATTCCCCAACTATACGAATCGACATCAATTTGAGGAGAAAGTAGAAGTATATGAATAACAACGAAAAATATCCAACACAAGTTCAAAACAGGGACCCCCCTAACTCAAATATAGAAATCCGGCAGGTGGACAGATCATACTCATGCGTATGGAACCTCTGCTCTTTTTTTTCGGCAAGCAGAAGCTGAGAGCTCGGCTCTCATTGGAGTGCACGGTGGCCCCGTTCTCCAGATCTTTCACCCACAATCTGAAACTAGACGCCTCCGGCCTCGTCATTCGTGGAGCATTGATGTCGCCCTGAGCTCGACCGGAGCTGAACTGGGGCTCGACATACTCTTGGTTTCCATACAATCATATGCACCACCGGAGTACTAACAACCACACAAAATATGTCCTCTATCCCCCCCAATATTCCGAATTCTACCCAAGATACACGGATCTACCAAGAGCCTTGTCGTGGCGCCGCCACTACCAGAACCCCACGGCTTACGAAGAGTCAGGGAGCTCGCTTAGTCGACAGGTATCACACGTCCTGCTCGGTGAGTAGTACTTGCTGGTCCAAGAGCCCGTTGTACTTGCTCGTCATGTTGTGATTCCTTCGGACGGCCAAGGCCCAATGACGCTGCAGCGGACGCAATTCGTCATGGGATTCGCCCATTCGACAGGATCCCACTCCATCCTACTGCTCCAGTCTCTTCAGCCGTAGCTGCCGTACAGTACAGCTGCAGGCACTTTCCTCAAGGCCTCACGTCGTGCAGAAATGGGCAGATCAGCATAGCCCGAACGAGCTTGTGCTTCTCCTTTTGGCCCCCTTGAATGGCCCGTTCGGGACAAAGCGCGCGAGGCCCTGGAGAGATCAAAAAAGGGCGGCCGCCCAACCAGACGAGCCGCATAGTCCGTGGACCTTGGTCCCTGTGCCTGCACGAGGGCCGCCGTTGGACTCGTCAACTGCGACGCCCGTGCGAGCCTACGAGGGACGCCGGTGCTGCCGGAGGCTCCAATTTTTCGGTCCTTGTTGACGCCCACTCTTTGGTCTTTTTCGGGGGTCTGGCCGCGCGAGGTCTCCGCCTCAAAAGGTGGACTAGGTAATGGAGACGCTAATGCGGTGCTAACTGCACCGCGAGAACCCACCCACGGCCTCGGTTGCCCGTAAATCACTTGTGGGTTTGGGCCTGTCAGACAGACGACTGTCAGACCAATTCTCGCCGTAGCTATCCTCAACCTTGGGATCATATATTAAACCCCGTTACGCTAGTTTAGGTAAAAATTAGTGTCGCATTGCCTACTTGGCTATCTATTTTACTCCGGAACCCCGCATTGAGGTCAGGTTCCCCGATGCAACTCTGTAATCGTTTCTCTCGTGTCATTGTCCAGCAATGACTAGATATTCAATAGGAAGATAGAATCGGAAGGGAAGAATCCATATGCCAGCCCAAGGAGAGATATCCCCGAAGGTGGATAATCCTCACTCTTGTGATTGAGATTGAGATTGAGCCTGTCGGTCCTTGTTGACCACCGCCAGAAATTCCATAAAGGCCTCTGCTTTGACCCCGGTCTCCATCCCTCCGTCACAATCTTGTCGGAGCTTCCGCACTTTGCCCAGGCCGCGGTTGAATCCCTTTTCCGCAGTCCATGAGCCTCGACTCCGGCGTGAAGGGCCTCGCCCTCCTCGGCCGTAGGGCCTTCCCCTTGTAGGAGGGGTGTACCATTCTTGCCATTCCTCCTCCTGGGTCGCCTGGTATATCTCGCGAAGCTGGCTGCGAAGCTGAGGATAGCGGGAGAATAGCGCTTGAAGCTCCGATGAGCTAGCTATAGCAGCAGCTGAAGCCTCATTCTTCTTACTCGAGGTATTTCCCGCAGTTTCTGGCGTAGTATCGCCATTCTGTAAGGGAGTCGGAGCAGTCGCGTGCGAAGCCGTGGCTTTCGGTTCTTCGTCCGGGGGTGTAGCCTTTGGTGCGCAGTAAATCTTATGTGATTGGGTACAGGCGAGTGAACAGCTAGGGCCAAGGCGATTAGATGGAACGCGGGGTAAAGAAGAATAAACGCCGTGAAAGAATGGCCCTTACCTCATGAGCGAACATGTTGGACAACGATATTTGGACGGTTCTGACGAACAGACCTCGCAGGACCCGGGCATATTGTCGGTTACGACAAGACAAAGAAAGTAAAAACCCGGTCCGCAACGTCTCGCTCACATCTGGCTAGTCAAAGCCGCGAGTCTGTGGAGTGAACGAGGCTCAAGGCTTGCGCAAGATCTTGAATCCTCGCGGGCAAAAATAGAAGAAGCTTGGACGTTATGGGTGCCTCAGGCCAACGAAGGGACCCGCATCATAGCTTCCCAAAACGGACGGTTCGTGCCTCGGGCCACTTTGTTCAGCTTCAAGTGACGCAACCTCCGAGATCCAGCCCATATTGATCATTTAGGCGTCAGCGTCGACCTCGGATGTGGCTTGCTACAGTGTATCACTTGTCTCAAGCATACGTTGTGCTCAAGTGATCACTTGGATCTATGACGAGCACGCCTTGAACGCGGGCAGCCTTGAGTTACATGGCTCCACCGTGGTTGCCGACCCTCATCCCCATGATCCATGAACGCCAAGATGGGTGGTGTTCCATATAAATCCAAGGGGTGCAATACATGCCGACGACGAAAAGTCAGGGTTCGTGCTCCTAGATTCGAAGCTGGGCTGGGAGCCCAAAGCAGAGCATCCAATCCTGACCCCGGTCTAGTGCGATGAGACGAAGCCGGAATGCATGCGATGCGTGAAGAACGGGCATGAGTGCCTGGGCTATGAGAGGCGTCGCGTGTTCATTCAGGGAGCAAGTAAAACCTCGCATACTCTTGCTCATCGACCCCGAGATCCACCAGCAGAGCAATCATCAAGCAGCGAGACATCTAGTTCTAGTTCTCCCGAAGCAGACTCTGATATTCCCTGGTTTGATGTGAATCCTGAGACGCGGATTCAATTTGTGGCCAACTTTGTTGATTGCTTCGAGCCTTCGGCTGTGATTCGAGATGGGAAATATCGCACCTTTACGCATCTTCAGGACACTTTCCCCGGCTTTGTTGGCAGCAGTCCAGTCCTTGATAAGGCCGCGACGGCGCTGAGCGCGGCCTTTCTTGCCAAGACGAAACAAAATAATGATTTACTAACGTACAGTACGAGACTTTATGGCCAAATTCTCCAGACTGTCCATAGCCGGATTCGTTCCGGGCGAAAGTGTGGCCAGGACTTGCTGTTTGCTACAGTGATCTTTCAGATTTACGAGGTATGTCTGATGACAATGTTCAAACGTGACATACTAACATTTACCCAAGTTGGTCAATTGCTCGCCCCTTGGGTTCCGTGCGTGGCTGGCCCACGTTCAAGGAAGCAATGCCATCCTGGCCCAGTATAATAGTCCAAGTCCGCTCAGTGTGACAGAGCATCTATTCCGCCGGCAGTTGAAATTCGTTACGGTAATATCTTCGACTTGCAGTTAGTTCTATTATGGTGATGAATAACTAATATTCCAATTGGCTAGGTGTGCGATGCAGTCGGCATGCGCAAATCTGCGTACAATTACAGCCAATTCTGGCAGAATCCGCCGCCAGAAAACCCCTGGCGAGAACCGGTCGACATTATACTTGATTCTATCATGGAATGTTCGTCACTCATGGAACAAGTTGACAGTCTAATTCAGTCTGGAGACCCGAGTGTGCGAAGGGAATACGAAAAAGGAGAACAATTGCTTGGTTCATGTTTATCCTTTAAAGATCAACTTGATATTGACTTTCGTGGGATGCAAAAAGTGCTTGGGATTCCATGGTCTTTCCCACAACAAGAACCTTTCTGGAGTGAACTTGACCACACCATTCCACAAGATATATTTCCCGACGCCATTGACTATCCGTCTCTCACTTGTTCCGAATCCCATCTACTTTGGTGGACAACTTTTATACTGCTTTACCCTCTCATTGATGAGCTTCTCATATTTCTTGGTCGGCCACGAAGCAATGTTCAATTCACATTGTGGGATGTTCCACCTTCCTATGACCCGGCCGCCTCAACTACCACACTAGTCAACGACCTTCCCGAAGACGTCCTCGCTGTGGCTGAACATTACGCTAACCTGATATGCCGTTCTGCGAAGTTTCTTGTCCAACCTCAAGCGAAAGGCATGGGCGCTCAAATATTGCTTGCTCCGTTCAGTCAAGCAACCCAATTCTATCACAGCCGGGGGGCTACTGATAAGCACCGATGGTGTCAGACAGTGTTCATGTGCCTCCCAAAGCTGGGCTTTGGCATAGCTCCTTTCTTGAAGGATATGATCTGGCCCAAATATGAGGTTGCGACTGCAAAGAAAGCTCAATCGTCCTCGCCAGAATCGGCAGAGTCAAGTAGTTGATATCGATCCACTGGCTGATACGCACCTGCAGGAGGAAATGCCATACCTATAACATATTACATTGTCTCAATAAAATCAAATAAAGCAACGAAGAGATTCTAAAAGCATATACATCTCCCTTTGGCTAACATGTCTTCATCTCAAACAGCACTCCGGTTATCGGCAACTTTATGTGAAAAGCATCTTCTCTGATTGGCCCGTCGGAGAACTTCATTTGTCATCTCCTTCCCCGAGATCACGTGCCTATCAAATTGCGTCAGAGTCCGGGCTCCAGCGCCTCTCAACTTTCCATAAACATCTTTCTTCCGCTGTACATACAGGAATTTGCAACACATATTGTGATTTTGCAACATTCAAAATGTCTATCAGAGCCACTTCAACCAACATGCTCCGACGGGCGCTGGCCAGTGCTCGGTCGACCCCCGTTTCCGAGGCTTGCACTCAAACTGTCCGGCCCACGGCATTCAGCGCATACCGAAATGTGTCCAGCGCTTCGCGTTTGCCTACCATCACAGCTTCAGAGACTCGCCGTCGGCCGACGGTACGACCGCACCAGCAGCCCGTGGTTCAGAATGGTGTCAACGGCATGTCCCCGACCAGCAAGCGAACGATCTTTATTCAGACGGAGAACACACCTAACCCTGATGTATGTTCTATACCCCGTGGTAACGATTGAGAATATTCAAAGTATACTGACAATTCTACTTCGTTCGATCAGGCATTGAAATTCATTCCCAACCACCGCGTCCTTCCCGAGGACTTCCCGACCACTTTCCTCGAATACCTCTCCCCTCGCTCTACGCTCTCTCCTCCACACCCCTCCCCTCTCGCCGCCAAGCTCCTCGATGTCGAGGGTGTTACCTCCGTTTTCTACGGCCCCGATTTCATCACCGTGACCAAAGCCAGCGACGCTCAATGGGCACACATCAAGCCCGAGATCTTCAGCCTGATCACGCAGGCCGTGACTGCCGGCGAGACCATTGTGACGACCGTGGAGAGTGATGGCTCCGAGAGTACACAGGAGGGTGGTGTCAGCGACTCCCTCACCTACGACGAGAACGATGACGAGGTTGTTAGCATGATCAAGGAATTGCTCGAGACTCGCATCCGCCCTGCCATCCAGGAGGACGGCGGTGATATCGAGCTGCGGGGCTTTGAGGATGGTATTGTCATGCTGAAGCTGCGAGGCGCATGCCGGACCTGCGACTCGAGCACCGTGACGTTGAAGAATGGCATTGAGTCGATGCTGATGCACTATGTAAGTTTGCCTTCCCCGGGTTCCATCCGACCCTTGCGCTTCCCACCCGAACGTTTAACTAATATTGTGCGCCATTCTAGATTGAGGAGGTCAAGGGCGTTGAGCAGGTTATGGACCAGGAGGAGGAGATTTCCATGCACGAATTTGCCAAATTTGAAGAAAAGCTGCGCCAGCAGAAGGGTGCCGCTGCCACGGCCGGCTCCTCGATTGACAGCGCCCCATAAGGAGTCCCTCCAACAGCCGCAATACGGAGAATATTTGAATCCGTAATGTCGCAGTGTGGCTTCTCCAAAATCTGTATATTAGTTTATCCCCCATATCCAATACAGCTTGTTAATGCATCAACTCTCCGTCGTAACGATTAACCCTCCGATGCCAACCGAGGCCCCGGGCCTTGTGAAGGCGCTTTCCATCCCAGAATCTAGACTCGCATCTTGGGTCCAGGGACTGCAGTGTAGGCGATGATCTACTGTAGGCAAGTGTGGTCTGGGTCCAACTAGTTATATTAGCGCAGAGGGGAACCCGGACCGTCTGCAGGAGGAAGGGCCCATGGGGTGGTGTTGGCCAGTGAGGCATTTCGGTGGAGTAAATCTCCTGTTCATTGTTGACTCGGGCCCTTTGTATTGTTTTTGAGCATCGTATCTGCACAGAGTACGACAATGTTTCGTCAAGATGTTTTGGGTCTTCTCTATTGCAACTTGCAAGGTATATCCATGATGGCTCGTTGCCCTGATTCCTAGAAATTCAGGCCATCGCGGGGTGGCGGGGCTCTTTCCTTGTTCGCAGCATCTTAGACTTTTCCACAATTACACCGCGTAGTTAGGACAATTAGTATCGATATCTATGATTATGATCGCTATGACAATAATCATTATGATCTTCATTGGAATTATCTCACCATTGATGAATCTACTGGGACATCCTCCGTCGCCCCCCCCCACCTACGTCAACCACCCATACCCATCCCCATAAGGCCCGTGATTTGACACGATGCAGCTCATCCAGTTCCAGCCATAGTCTGGTCTAGTCCCGCTCTTGCCCATGCCAGACCGTCCTCGTGCCATCCCCTCGGCCGTGAGACAGGGAATAAAATAACTTCTCGGTCGGAGGCTCGGGGCGTTGATTGATTCGCCCCGCCGTCCGTGGAAGTAACGCCCGCATGGTGTGCGCCCCCCTCGTCGCTCTGAGAGGGGGAACCAGAAAATAAAATGGGGAGTAAAAAGAAAAGAAAGAAAAGTAAAACTAGGTTGGTGCCGGAGGGGTGGTGGCGGGATTAACTTCTCATTGCCCTATTACTGTGTCTGCAAGGCCAGCTATAGTGGGTAGGTGGGAGAGTTGGACTTGTAGAACTTGTTTTGTATGACGGTGCGTGTGGGCTTTGTGGGACGTTGGTTTACTGTTTACTGCCGATCGTTGGTTGAAGGGGATCTTTGTTCTTGTTTGTTGGATTGAGGGGGAAGGGGGGTTTTAACCTAGTCCTTTGGTTGTTAGAGGTCGCGTGTGAGTAGTATATTCCTGACGGTAACTAGGAGAGGGGGGTTGTGCCTCATTGCCTCTGCTAGGGTGGGGAGAACAAAGGGCTCTAATGCATGAGCTTCCCCCGCAAAATGACGAGCCTAGACGAGATAGAATCATCCGAACGGATTAGCCCCTCTCTTTGGGGGGAAGAGTGGACGACGCCTATTGGACTTCTTGGCCCACCAGATGACATACGACGGGGACTGGATGGATGCAATAATCCGGGGTACGTGACGTGTTGACTTTAATAGGACGAAAGAAGTACCTATATCTACAATCTAATAGGCTCTGGCTGTATGGCTGTAATATATTGTAACTATATGTAACTATATGTAACCGAGCCATGGCCAGATTCGCTAAGGAGTCATTTTGCAACGGGCAGTCTATTCTCAATTTTTTTTTGATTTATTGTCATTCTAATTTCCAGTGTCATTCTAAAATGAGCAAGGGGGGACAGAGACGAGGGGGTGAACCCCGCAAGAGCGAGCCAATGCATGGGCCGTGCGAGATATCCAGCACGTACTTGGGGTTTCTATCCACCAAATACAACACTATGGGCAGTACCTGATGGCAATACAAGTACCTATGATACAAAGGCCTTACTCTACCATTTCATTATTATCTATGTCTACTCGTATTCCACAATATCATACCCTGCTGTGGGCTGACAGGGGCTGCAGACTGTCCAGGACTCTCTTCGCTTCCCACGCCAATCCCAACCCCGGACGATCGTCGGCTTCCTCTTCCCCCCCAAAAGGGCCCCGCTTGACCCAGCCTTTTGCCAGATGGGGCGTAGTCCCGAACGACTTGCATCGGCCTATCCAGAGCTGTCTATTCTGCGACGCCAATATTCCAGGGGGGTTTTTCCCTCTTGAATTCCATGCTATTAGTATAAAAGCCTAGTATTTTGACTGAATCTAATAATAATAATACAAAGTAATAGCCTCCTCTATAATCCTCCTAACACTGCTCATAGAACACCAGTATGGACAGCTCTCCGTACATCAATAATCAGACCACTCTCCACCATCTGCTTCCAAAATTCCCCAAGACTAGCCACTCATAATATTCGCGCATCAAGATTGAAGAACCTCCCGACCCTCCTAGTGGCTGCAAAGTACAACCGTCAACCTTTCAAGGGTACTACCGTACGCCGTGGAATCATCTGTAGTGGTCCGTGTCCCCTGAACATCGGGGCGACGTTGCCAGATCCGTTCTTCTTTCTCTCCCTCTCCTACATCCCCCCCCATTTTACCCCAGTTCCACCGTTCTGCTCCTCTTCACTTTCATCCGCCCCCCCCGCCTCAGCTTCATTTCTTTCTTCTTTACTCCCCTCCCGTCCTACTTTCTTTCTTCCATATTCTCCTCCTCTCGCCACCTTTTATTTTTCTCTTCGTCCTTCTCCCTCCTCTCCATATTTCCCCTCTACACTATGCGCCGCCCTTGAAGGGTCTCGGTTGCTCCACAACGTCATCCGTGGTCACGCTACCAGCTGCCCTCCAACCTTCCGAACGCATTCCCTTACCTCGCCCAGTGGCGATCAATCGATCCTTCGTATACCTCCACCAAAAAAAAACGGCCACGCCCACCAGGCCTCGAGGATTTCCATCTGCCTCTCGCGCTTCCCGATCGTTGCGGGAACTCTTTCGCCGCCCCCCTGCTCGCGCGCATTCGCCCCCCAGTCCAGACTGTGCAGCGGCGCGTTTCTCTTCGGTCGACTTTCCGCGGTCGCTTCCGACATCTCGTCACGCTTCAAGTCGTGAAGCTTCTTAAAAGTGTTGGCGATCATCACGAGACCCACGAATCCGTACTGGCGCAGTCCGTTGCCTTTTTATCGATAGAGTGATAGCTTCCTATACCATCGCACGATCCTGATAGAGTGGTGAGTCGCGCATCGACTGCAATCCGTCCTCCGTGTGCCCTCGTTGAATGCGCTCAAGACTCACACTCCCTGCTCTCGCCTGGTGATAGATACGACTACGATTACGGCCGTTTCCTGCCTCACTCCGTCGATACTCCTTTCCGTTTTCTGTCCGCTTTTCCCCCGGTGTCTGTCTGGTCAGGTCACGATCGAGATAGACTCTTAGAATCATCGGCTTTCCGGTACGTTATCCTTCTTACATTGAACAAGGCGTGTGTTGCCCCTTCTATTCATCGCCCTGTTCTGCTGCTTGTCCTGCGCTGCACGATGGGGCGGCTCTTCACATCCCTCTCCCGTCTCCAGTCGCGAGTGGCAATCCTCCCTGATGAGACTCAGGGTTGTTATGTCGCCTGGCTTAGGCCGTGTCGTCGACTGCATTGATTCCGGCCATCTGCGACACAATTGGGCAGTCTGCTGCATCGACCTGTCGCAGGTGTCCGAGATCCCCCACTTTAGCGCCGTGAGGCTCATCATGCCACCAACCCTTCTCCCCCGAACAACAGAACATACCCCTCATGACCCAAAACATGTTTCTTCAAAGACCAAACTGTTTCTCGGTTTCTCGCACATTCACGTCACTGCTCTCGCTGGTGCTTCGCATGTCGATACAAGATAGCTGACGTTTTCTCCTTTGCAGTTCTGCACATAGCGCATACACCCAGCCATCCGTCGTGTCTTTGAAAGATCGAGATTGGCCCCCTCACCTACAACCTTGACGGTGTGAAACAAAGACTGGTTCTTTGTCCTGTGCCCTTGACCACTGCAGGTAAAAGCATACAGCACAACCTCGTTTGCTCCGTTCCGACTTCACACTGGAGAAAACCAACATTTCGGTAGGTCCATCCCTGGCGCTCCAAGTGCGGATTCCTTTTTTTGTCGACCATCCCCCGTCTTTTCCCCCAACTTCCCTCCGCCTTCTTCCCGTCTCTTTCCCGTTATTCTCCCATTATTCATATCGCACTTTTCTGCGAACACGCTCGATGAATTCCAGCCGTTTTCTCCGAATCCAGTCACATCAGAGTCCGGGATAGGAACTTTCTGCCCGTCACTCTCCCGTCACTTCGATCAAACCCATTTCGTGGTATATCGACAGTATTTTTCAATATACCAACGGCCAGGACCTATTCCTTCAACTAGGAATATGGCGACTTGATGCTACGAGATGGGACTTTGTGACCCAGCCCCTTTATCGCAGCTATCCGCAGTATGCTAGCGATCATCCCTGCCCATTGTCTGCGAACAAGATGATGCGACAGGATGGAACTATACTTTTTTCGTCGTCGCATCGCGTTTTGGCCCTATCTTTTATCCGTCTTCGGCCTGGCTGTTCTCCGCCTTCGTTTCGTCACTTCCACGTTACTTTTCTCGCAGCGATTTATAGTATTTCCCAGTGAATTACGCCTATTTCCTGCGAATCAAGTGACGTGAAAGTCCGAGATGGGAGATATTTTCCCGTTACTTTGCCGTTACTTTCTCGTCACTTGGATCAAAATCATTTCGCGGTATACCTGCTATATTTCCTGGCATACCGGAGGTCGCGATTTTGCTACTTCCCGGCGAATATGGCGGCTTGAAAATGCGATATGGCACTCCTTCCCGTCACATTCACGTTACTTTTGTCGTACCTATGCCTACATTACCTGCAATCATCCCTGTCCCTTCTCTGCGAACATGTCCCTTGTCCTCGAACAAGTGACGTGAAAGTGCGAGTTGGGACTTTCTTTGTCTCGGGTTGAGTGAAGGACTTTGACGTCACGTATGCTAACTTTTTCTTAGCTTCACAACCCAGACAATGGCTGCGCCTAACGACAAGCAACCCCCCGCAATGCAGTCTAGCATCCCACCCGTTTCGGGAGTGACTGCCTCTGCCCGTCTCGAGAGGAGTCATCCTGGAGTGCGGCGGTCAACACCCGATTCAGATGCCCTAGCCTCGTCAGACGACGACGGCGACCATATTCCTCTCACTCACACCATCACGGCACCTGCAACTAAGCCAGTGCGCCGCACCTCCTGGTTGAACGAGATCCCTCTCTCAGCGCAGCGCAAGCATTCGCTACCAGGAGGCCCTCTCACATCTGCCCCTTCTAACCCGGCAAGCCCCTCCAGTGAACAGGCCCCCTGGACGTCAAACGCCACCAGCCCTGGACTCAGTGGCTCGTTCAACTGGAACCAAGCTGGTGGGAGTTCCTTCCCATGGGGTACTGGGATCTGGAACTCAGAATCCCGCAAGGAACCCCCGTCTCGTCTGTCAGAGATCGTCCCGTCTCCCACCATGACCACCCCAGTTCCTGCGAGCGGTCCGCTCGGCGAGGATATGCTCAGCCCCATCACTCGAACCATTTCTGGTGAATCGGCTATTCCTTTCTCGATCCCGCTCCATCCAACTCCCAAGACATACCGTTCTCAGTCATATTCCGTCGGTCAAATGGACCCGGAGTACCTTGGGATGATCGCGAACAAGGCTGGACCTGGTGCACAGTACCCCAGTGGTCGCTCTCGGGGCCCAGGGCAACTGTCCTCTGGCCAACCTCGCGCGTCACGGCCCAGCGTACTTGGCGAACTCGGGCATGATCCTGCCATGCTCGGTCGTGTTCGAGAGGACGATGATGGCGACGAGAGCCCCAATGGCTCTGACGGTGACACAAACTATGCCGCTAGCCAAGCCCGCAAAATCGAACAACTAGCCCGTGAAAACGCAATTCTCCGCCAACAGGCCGCCGCAGGCCAAATGGATAGCCGCTTCCGTGATCGCGCATCGTCGTCCGCCTCGGTTGTGAGCGGGATTCACTCGGCACATCGCATCCGAGGGGCTGTTCCAGAAGAAGATCTGGCCGTTGAGGGTCCGGGTGAATTGCTTGACATCCATGGATATGGCAATGTGCGCGGTGGCAACCGACGACGCTTCTCTGAGCACTCCTCCAATATCGATCAACAGTTCTCTACGTTTGCTACGCCTCCTGAGAACCGGGCACTGGAAAATGTGCGCAAGGCACACTGGCAAACCTCTCTCGGGTTTGCGGGCGCTGCCGATATGCCGCAGAGCCGCCGTCACTCCTTTGCCGACATCCCCATGCGCCATGGCTCCATTAGCTCAGTCGACTCGCATGCAACGGCCACTCCCCGGGCAGCGCTTGGAGATCGCGACGACGGATATGGTAATATCAGCGAGTACTCCAACCCGTCACTGCAACAGGGTAAGTGTTTTCATTAGTACACGATGGTATTTGCCCGCTAACTTGTATTGTTATAGCATCATATTACTCCCGCGAGCAGACTCTGCGCGGCGACGGTTCTTCCGGGATTCCTGCCTCGCTCAACCAGTATGCCATGTCTGGTGCGTACGGCCGTCAGCCAGCCTCTCTCTCGCACGGTCATCAGAACCAGCTTCTGTACATCGTTACCTTCAAGTGCCACCGTGCCGACGTCTTCTACATCCAAGAAGATACCGGTCTTCAGGTGAAGTCCGGTGACCTTGTCATCGTCGAAGCAGACCGCGGCACCGACTTGGGCACCGTCCAGCATGCCAACATCTCTCTGCAAAAGGCACGAGAACTGAAACAGCAATATGCCGAGGAGCATTATAAATGGCTCATGATGTTCTCTCGCCAGGGACAGCTTGAGGGCTCGGCTGCCGGCAGTACCGGATTGACTGCTCGCAGCGCCACAGGTGGCATGGGTCCGCATGCTCATGGCGTCCAGGAGACCGCCACTGACATCAAACCCAAGCTTATCAAGCGTCTCGCGCAGAACCATGAGATCCTGACTTTGCGCGACAAGGAAGGTAATGAAGCGAAAGCGAAACGTGTCTGCCAGCAAAAGGTGGCTGAGCACCGTTTGAACATGGAGATTCTGGATGCTGAGTTCCAAATGTAAGTTGATTGTATTTCGCTTTTGATTTCTCGTTCAACTCTAACTGGCTTCGCTGCGTAGGGACTGGAAGAAACTCACCTTCTACTATTTCGCCGACTCTTATATCAACTTCAACTCCCTGGTCACCGACCTGTTCAAGATCTACAAGACCCGGATCTGGATGTCTGCCATTAACCCTGCCTCCTTTGTGACTCCGCCTACCGCGGGTCTCCAAGGGGCGCCCACTGGCATGACTAACCCGCTCTACAGCCAGGATGCTGCACAAGCTGACCGCCGTCAACAACAAGATGGTAGAGCCTATCCTGGAACTCGGGACGAAGTTGGGCGTGAGACCATGGCAAATCCAGTTGGGGTGCTCAGATCTGCATACGCTGACGCCTACCCGTCATTTGCACCGCCATCCCGGCACGTTGATGGCGCGACTGCTGACCCTTTCGGTCCCTACTCACCTACCAGCTTCGGGGCGTTGGAGACCGGGTTCTCTGCCTATCAAGTCGGTGATATGGGTTCCAACAGTGCAGCCCGTATGCCCTCCGCACAGGGTGAGTGGGTAGGCAGGTTCCAAGGCCTGTCTCTCAACTCTTGATCGCCCTGATCATTTCCTATTACAATGATTCTGTACAATGCCGCATCTCCCACGATCTTATCCTCCGCTTCGACGTTCCTGCTGTCTTTTCATCCACGCTATTTCGCAACGAAAGAATTCCGCACTGCTAGACCTTTCTCGTTCCCCGATTGCTTTTAATTATTTCCCGTTTCCTTGACCGTTCTCGTTCCCCGGTGCCTTGTGCTTTGCCGCAACCAAATATCGTGCCCTGATTTTTTTTTCTCGCGAAAGAATGTTTCCCCCCAACAGTGCTGTACCAGGTGCACATTTATCTCCTCTTGCTTTCAAGTCCTCCCTTCATGTTCCTTTCACGCTTCGTTGCCCGTGTACCACCCACCTTGTTTGCTTCATTGATTTTCAGATCTAGATTCATACCCAGGGGTCCATTCTACGCCCAAAGACCCGCACATTCTTTATGCGGTATTTATTATTTATTATCTTTCCCTCGGGGGCTTGAGTTTACACTTTTCACCTTTTTTTCTCATTATTAATAGACTCGAGCAAACTAGGCTCGCATGACCAGATCAGACTGTGTGAATAATCTAAGATTGTTGTTTTTTCTTGCGCACGGTGCGCTTTGCTTTTTGATTTGGCTTTGTGCATTTTTATGTTTTATGTTTCCTGGATATCTTGACCTTTTTGTTCCTATTTTATAAAGATTGGATATGGTATTTTTGTGTGTGATTTTATAATGGCTTGCTGTTAAAGAAGATGATATCTGGTTACAAATGTCTAATTGGGAAATTGTGGTAATGACCTCGCTATATTCATCTGGATTGATTGATCTCGTCTCTTCATGTGTTCTGATCGTGTCATGCTCCTGTTTGAGGGCTATGGTTTGTGTCTGCTACGTCGTTGTCTTATACAAATTGTGGCGAGTGGTGCGGGTGAAGGTTGTTTTGCTTGTGGTATATTACGAAAAATGGCTCAAATTATATGAGTACATATTGTGCTGTGTCCTGATGCTGCTTTGATTCCTATAACTTACAGTCGTGTCTGAATTTCGAGACCTGAGAAATGGTTCCCCTCTCTTGTTTTGCAACCTCAGGCTTCTGATTGAGTTATTTCGCTTCATCGCTCCGGTAGAATCTTAGTTTCTCATTCATTTTATCATTGGTGGTATGCTCTTAAAACCTGATCGAGTTTAAGCTTACGGAACTCAACTGTAAAAGTAACTAAAAACACGTGCACAAAGCCACTGTGTATTCAGATCTTTATCTCCCCATGACTCTATTTTTGGTTAGCAGTACATTCTAACAGCATACTAGACCCAAATATCAGTGATAAACCTGGCTACATCTTTGAGGTGCTTTGAATTGATGTCTTGCTCGGGTTTGTCCACTAACAAAATGTTCGACCCCCGCCGGAGGAATTTCCCCACTTCTACTGCGTTAATTTCACCCCACGTTTCATGGATCATGTAGCTAGTATTTCGTAAGAAACTTGCAAAGTTTATAGACTGAAAAGGTTCGCAATTCCCTAAAGTGTAGAAGCCATGGGGCGCGGAATTCGGCCTTTTCATCGGATAGTCTACGCCGGATGACTACAGTGCAATCTTCTATCTAGATGAGGATGTGCATATAAATAGGTGAATTTGGACCCCAAACCAAATGGATCTGGTCACCAAAGCTCGATTCTCTTCTTGTTTCTCTTTGTCTGTCCAAATGGCTGTCATATTCTCTCGAGTGGTTGCCCCAGCAGCCCTCATTTGGCTACTATTGCCCTTCGCCCATGGAGAACAGATTACTAAAATTACCACCGACCAAAATCCAGGCAAATGGGAAGGATGGGGAGTTTCTTTAGCGTGGTGGGCAAATATCTTCGGCGACCGCGATGATCTAGCCGACATATTCTTCACCAAGAAGTCTACCTATTGGAGTCAGGGTAACCAGACACTTCCCGGTCTTGGCCTGAATATTGTCCGTTACAATGCAGGTGCTTGTTCGTCGAGTACAGTCAACGGCTCCACAATCTCCTTGTCATCCAGCATCCCAGTTGCGAAGCAGATAGCCGGATACTGGCTCGATGGCGAAAGTATCCATCCTGCTTCGAGTAGTTGGGACTGGACAATGGACGCCAACCAACGCTCCATGATGCTGAAAGCCCAGTCACGAGGCTCTAATATCTTCGAGCTTTTTTCAAACTCACCAATGTGGTGGCAGCTCAGCAACCACAATCCTAGTGGATCATCCAGTGGCGGAGACAATCTACCGGCGTCTCAGTACCAGAACCACGCTATATATCTATCCACGATTGCCAAATACGCCCATGACCACTGGGGCGTCACTTTCAACTCTATCGAGCCTTTCAACGAGCCTGCTGCTAGTTGGTGGAAGTCCACCGGTACCCAGGAGGGCTGTCATTTTGATGCCACCTCCCAGAAGGCTCTCATCCCTATCCTTCACCGGGAGATGCAGATCCGGGGCCTGAGCAAAACCATCATTTCCGCATCTGATGAAAACTCATTCCAGGCGGGTTTAAACTCATGGAATACCATCACAGAGGAAACAGAGAAATCCTACGTCGGCCGGATGAACGTGCATGGATACCAAGGTTCCAGTGGACCACGCTATTCACTCCAGCAAGCCGCTCGTAAAATCGGCCAGGGCGTCTGGGATAGCGAGTACGGTGATAAGGATGCCAGCGGCGATACTCTTCTCCAAAATCTGATGCGGGATATCCAGCTCCTACAGCCTACGGCTTGGGTACACTGGCAAGCAATCGATGGATCGGGTTGGGGACTCATCAAGGGTGATATCAACAGCAAAACCCTTACAAACGCGAGCCACAAGTACTTCGAATTGGCACACTTAACTCGCCATATCCTTCCTGGCATGCAAATTGTCAATACAACCAGCAGCAATGTCGTTTCGGCAGTCAACGAGCACACCAAGACCCTGGCTATTATTGCAGCAAATTGGAATGATACTCAGACTCTCACTTTTGATCTATCTGCCTTGTCTCAGGTCCCGGCTGATGGAACCCAAGTCAGGAGTTGGATCACGGACCGTGCGGGGGATAAGCTTTATGCGAGGGGCGAGAACCTTGTTATTTCAGGGAAGTCGTTTTCTACTGACTTTGAGACTGGTACAGTGATGACGTTTGAGGTGGATGGTGTTTCTATTTGAGTGGCGCGTGTTTTGAGACATTACAGATGTCGCGTATCTTGATAATCATGGACAATCGAAAATATGACCTTGTTTATGACAAATTCACTGTTTCAAGACATCATTTTAAAACATCCGATAGACATAGACTCGCTGAGTGTTTAATGGGTAAATAGTTTGGATAACAATATCTTTTCAAAACTGCCACTGGGTTCAAATATTTATCCAACGGGGCGGTAATCATAATAATTCTTGTTCTCTAACAAGCTACCATTTCCCCCTTCTCACTCAAGTTTTATTTATGTTACTAGATATAGCCGCTGGATCGGTATTGTAGAGTTCTGTTCGATGCTATCCTTCGAGTGACACGACGAAGGCCGCACTGTAGCTATCATGATTTCATTATGAATTCAATCAAGAGAAGGCGTTACAAAGCTGGAATTGAAGCGAACACTTCATTTGTATTCACCGAATCCTCTGTTGAGTGATCTGGCATTTTCCTTGGTCGTCTTGGTTTGAAAGCCGTTACCGACGAGGAGAAAGTGGTCATATACCCTTGATTCTTCATCTATGAAGATCTTTCTGTATTGCATGATTAGTTCAAATAAGCAAAGTTTGTGCCATAATTTGACCAAAGAGCCCTACCGATAATTGCTGGTGTGCGAGTCATCCCACCCATTCATGGTTATCGGCAGGGGCTTTGCTCGGCCGACCAATCGCCCGGTGGCCGATGCAAACCCCAGAAAGACGGGTAAATTGCGGGGATATTCTGCCCGGGCCTCAATCAGAAGACTCAGACCCCTGCACTTTCCATTGATTGTATACTGCGGGGGATTTTGTGGCTGAATGCGCTTTCTAACCACGCCATTTTTCTCAGGAAATTCTGTCGGAGTCCGTACGATAGCTCGGGCTGGCAAAGTTCCACGCTATCTCTTGGCGAAGCTTCAAGAAACCTGCTATAAACGCCCATCCCAGTCCACCTTCCTTTGTGTTGTTTGACTAAGTTTTATTCCTACAATCATCGAGCTACTTCTCACCTGGCTTCATATCGAGAATGGCCAAGGCGACTGCGGATACCAGCAATGTGCAGTACGACTTTACTGGCGTCACACTATTTGATGTGGTTCCAAAGCGCGACAAGCCGTGGTGGAGAGACGGCCGGCTTTTGAAACTCAATACTTTGCTACTATGTGCACTCCTCACACAAACTGCGCAAGGTTTCGATGCAAGCATGATCAACGGTATGCAGGCTTTGCCGAAATGGATTGAGATTTTCGGCTCGCCCACGGGAAATAGATTGGGTGCCATGACGTTTGGCCCGACTGGAGGAGTGTTGATCTCTATCCTGATCTCGTCACAACTGTGTGACTGGCTCGGTCGACGATATCCCATTTGTGGAGGATCGATCATCATCATTATTGGCTCCGTGATTCAGGCTGCGTCTATGAACTATGGCATGTTTGTCTTCTCTCGCTTCCTTGTCGGCTTCGGCTTGGGCATAGTTTCGGTAGCGGCACCCCCACTGCTATCCGAAGTGGCATACCCAACCCACCGAAGCAAGCTGGTATCTTTTTACCTGGTTTCTTGGCCATTGGGATCTCTCTTGGCAGCATGGATCACCTATGGTACCTTCCAAATGACAAACTCGTCGTGGAGCTGGAGATTGCCCAGTCTCTTGCAGTGTTCCTTCTCCATCGTGCAGGCAATCCTGAGTTTGTTTGCACCCGAGTCTCCACGATGGTTGATCTACAAGGGCCGCAGCCAAGAAGCTCTCGATATCTTCATCCGGTATCATGGAGACGGTGATCCGAATTCCCGCTTGGCGCACTTCGAAATGGCGGAGGTCACCGCGACACTACAGATGGAAAAAATCCAGAAGCAATCAAGATGGGGAGAATGGATTGCGACTAAAGGCAACCGCCATCGTCTTTTCTTGGCTCTCTATATCCCTGCTATGCTGCAGTGGTCAGGCAATGCTTTGACCTCCTACTATTTGACACTAGTTCTCAAGACAATCGGTATCACCAACCACAAGACACAGCTCATTATCAACGGCTGTCTATCGATCTGGAGTCTCCTGACTGCTAGTTTCTTTGCTCTCTTTGTCGATAAAGCCGGTCGCCGCGGTCTTTATCTGATTGGAATGAGTGGTATGGGAGTCGCCTACGTGATCTGGACCATCTGTTCTGCGATCAATCAGCAGAAGGACTTCAAAGACCAGGGTTATGCTGGCGGTGTCTTGGCTATGATCTTTGTCTTCTCAGCCTTCTACCATGCGTGTTCTCCTGTTTCCCCTACATATATCATGGAGATCACCCCTTATAGTCTACGCTCCAAAGCATCGATGCTTTATCAGCTGACTGGAAATCTTGCCGGCATTTACAACTCATTCGCAAACCCAGTGGCCATGGATGCGATCGGATGGCGCTACTATATTGTATGGGTTGTTGTGATCTTTTTCAATCTCACGATGATCTTCTTCTTCTTCCCCGAAACCAAAAATCGCGGCTTGGAAGAAGTGGCTGAGATCTTCGACGGTCCAAATGCTGCATCCGGAGCAAACGCCATGAAACAACTGGGACTTGATGTGAATGCACAAAATGCAGTTGAAATGGGTCGGGATTCAAAGCTTGCCGTGGAACAAGTTGAGCGGGTTTAAGGTGGACATGTGTGGAAATGTTATTGAAGGATGTTGATATGCGGAATGGCATGAATTGGTATCGTTCTTGCAGACGTTAAATAAACCTCATAATCTGTCGAGTGCTATTTTCTCTTCTTGACTTTCATTTCGTATATCCCATCTCCAATAATCTAGTTAGGTGAGATGAAAACGTTGAATTTCTTCATAATGCGCATGAGCTGCCCGACGGAGATGCCTTTCCCGTCAAATAAGGTAATTTCCCGGTGGGGCTGACACAATACCAACTCCAGAAGACTTGCATTCTACATTACATAGCGACTGAATATCGATCTTGTCGCCAGATGCTGTGCTAATAACCTGAATTGAATTAGCTTCAGTATTGCAACTCAGACTAGAATTTCGCCCTCGCTTGAGTGGGAGTTTCGGGATCCGGGGCAATGCTCGGGACAAGTTTATGCGAATACCCGAAAGTCATTTCCCCACAGCTTCCCCGCATTCGTGGGAACATGCGCCGAGGAAAAATGGATCTTTCCAGGTTGCCGTGATCTGATGAGTCGTTTTCACATCGATCAACTCTACAGCGCTAGCATGTTTGTATGCTGCATCTGATTCTGGAGTTGTGAAATGAGTGGCCGTTCCCGCGTGCTGAAAGCTCATTCGGCTTCGCGTCGGCATATTGCAGGCCCTCGGGCATGGATCCATCAAACGAGTCTGAAGAAGTCGGCACTTCCGTCCCAGAGCGACCTTCCTGCCAGGGATGTCGCCGTCGCAAGCTCAAATGTTCACGCGAGTCACCAACGTGCTCACAATGCGAGCGATTAGGTACGACGACCCCTGTCTTTCATCTGCCCTTGATTTTCATAGGTTGGCCGTGGGAGAGATTCGACGACATGATTTTGATAAATAGTTACTTGCAGGGGCTCCATGTGTGTACGATGCAAAGAAAGGGAAGCCTGGCCTAAGGACAGGAGCTGTTGAAAGCTTGAGTCGCCGTATCGGTAAGTTCTATACTTTGACCGTGATATATCTTTGGAACCGCAATTGACATTTTGCTTTATCATTATTAGAAGTACTTGAGGACGCGCTCCTGCGAGAAAGAGAGAACAATGATGGACATACCAGCAATGGATGTCGGTCGAATAGCCCGGGAAACGAACGTTTAGATGGCGTGGTCAACCTCCTATCCACCGTTTGTATGGAGCTTTGTAAGCTCAATAACCGAAATGAAAGCAGGGCTCATGACTCGAGTTTCAATTCTATGCCTCGCCCCTCCTATAATGGAGTGTCGGTAGAGACACCCTCTCAGCCATCAACTGCAGCAGATGGCTATGAAACTCACGGGTCGCCTTACGCTCAGCCACGAAAGCGACGACGGATTGACAGCTGTGGAAACCCTAAAATCGAACTTGCCTTACCATTGGAGGATCTTCTCGATGCCACAAGCAGTCTCCCTCCCCCAGAGCTACTGGAAAATATTGTCACTGCCTACTTCATTAACATCCAACCGTGGATACCTATTCTTCACGAGACACGATTTCGGGCTCGGGTGCATGATCCAGACCAGAGGACCCGTTTGGTCATCGTCATCCATGCGATCATCGTTGCGGCTATTCGCTTTGCACGCCCGGGAGCTCACGGTCTTTCGGCGGCCGACGTGGAGTCCCAGACCAAAACTTCTAGGAGCATCGTCGTCTTGAATGCGATGGATAGTCTTTCCGTCGAGAATCTCCAGGCTTTGACTATTATAGCTTTTGACGATGTAAGAGTATCAATGATCGAGCGCTGATATGTTTGATGATAACACTTTCCCAGATTGGAAATGGAAACACATCTAGAGCATGGTCAATAGTTGGCTCCTTGACGCGAACTGTGGAATACCTCCGGCTGAGTATCGAAGATGAGGATGATGACACGCAGAGACTATTGAAGCCCCTCCTATCGTTACCACCCTCGAAGGAATGGGTCGAAGAAGAAGAAAGGAGACGTGTCTTTTGGAACATATTCAATTTGGACCGATTTTGTTCTGTTGCAACAGGGTAGGTTCACTCATCCGTCTCAGAGGTTGAGTTTCCTCTGATAGATCTAGCCGTACTTGTGGCCAAATTGAAGCTAACTTTGCTCTCAAAGTTGGAACACAAGTCTCACTGCAGATGATGTACACAGACGACTACCTGCCGATGGTGGCTTGTGGCACCGAGAAGAGCAAGTAATTACGCCCTTCTTTGGAATCTGGGATAGATCCGAAGCACGGATTGGGAACTCGATCGCATTTTTGCCTGCCCAGTACTCGAGTAACCCTAAAAGCCCTAAACCGGTACCTGATGTGAATTCGCCGCACAGCTCCCCACAAGACGTCTCTCATCCTGTGACAAATTCGGCGCAGCCAGACATGTCCACCGTCGGAGCATTTGCATACTGTATCGAGGCGACCGAATCTCTGAGTCGCGTGACGACTTTTTTCCTTCAACAGAAAATCAACTTCCAGGACCGAAGGGAGGTCAGCAGTTGGTTGACTCGCTTCAAAGAACTTGATCTACGCTTAGTACAGTAAGTTTGAATCGTCCACTGGATTGACCCAATCATCTTGAATCGCTTCCCCTAACTGCTCCGCCTAGTTGGAAAATGTTCCTACCTCAGAAGTGGAGGGACTCTAATATATCGCGTCAGCCGACGTTAATACACATGGATCCGAACTTAACTCTTACACACGTTACTCACAATACCTCCATGATCCTTTTGCACCAACGTATCGCTTATCCGCCTGCTGAGTGGGCCAACATCGTTCGACTCCCAAGTGTTTGTAGCGCGGAGACTTGTCAGAACGCCGCAATCGAGATCCAAAACATGACGGCGAAATACCTCAGCAACACACCGGAGTCATCTCCCGTTAGCAACCAATTCATATTTTGCGTGTTTGTCGCAGCAAGAGTTCTTCTAGGTAAGTGCACGTTCATAAATCACCGCAGCAACGCTGTCTAACAGAATAATGCAGTCCATTGGCGTTATTATGGATCAGATCTTGCCCAGGAAACGTGGGATCTGGTCAACAGTCTAGATCAAATGGCTTGTCGGTGGCTGGGGTCCAGCTCATCAAATGGCCGTTGTCTTGCAAGCACCTACGCAGACCACCTAAGAGATTTGCACCAACGTTGCATCGCCGCTCCCCATTTTAGTGTTGACGTGCTGGGATACTCGACCGTTGTATCAAATAGTCACCCACAATCCTCTACCCGATCAGTCACCACTGGTCGCACACCTACAGAACAGCAGAATCGCAACTCTCGCGATGAACGCCCCTACAACACCAACCCACCTGTTTTCGCCAATTTCAATGCAACCGACACTGCAACGAGTCAAGATATATCTCCCTCTGATCCTCACTGGAGCATGGCAAAGGATAATATTACTTCGAGACATATGGCCGCCAATTACGTCGAATCTGGTGTAGGGTCGCGAGTTGCAACCGGAGTCACGCCGGATGTGGATTATTCAATCAACTGTGCACCTCCAGCTGATGAGCTTTCCAACATCTCATATCTTCTGTTGGATCAAAGGTTCATGGATATGGATCGGGTGATCAGTCTAGATGACATGATGTTTTCCACGAATATGGCAGCATCAGTGAATGGTCCGACTGATTGAACGGAAACTATAAAAGCCTTTGGAGAGTTTGCTACCTCTGACAATGACATCAGGGTGCTTTACTTTCCTGTCTGTAAGATCGACCTCGAAACGAAATATTCTTCATGAGCCATGCCAAATTCAAGGAAAAGCGGCTAAAGACGGCCATTTCCACGGGCTACGGTAGAGAGGGGGTAGAGATTAATGAATTAATTATCAATTTTAATATTGTCATGTGGTTTTCTGTTCGATTTATAAAGATACTCTTGCGTACTAGTATCGAGGGAAGATGACTGTTTCTAAAGATCTTCCTTTTAATATAGAACAAGGCCTACCTCTTTTAAAACTCCCTTTGATACCCTTTTAGCACTGTTTCAGCTAGAGGTGCTCAACATCGGCTCTTTCAAGGATCTTCGAAAAGTTCATTGAATAATCTAATTACGTATAACTTTGTATGCCTCAGAGTATAGGTTAGATACTATAGTATGATTCTGAATTCTAAATATATCCGAGTTTGCTGAAAGACATAAAACAAAGTCCCCTTCGCAGATGTTCTATAAATTCAGTTACACTAGCCCCATCCTCAACAACCGATTCCCAAATTCAATCAAATAATAATCACCATACACAAGTCCGTGATCCCAGTAGCGGCGATGGTCAGATGCATTAAAGTTTGCCGTGGCGTTCTTCAGGATTGCATCGAATGTTTCATTAGGCCGGGTATCTTCAACCGAAACCTTACTTCCATAGACCAGGATGGAAGCCTTTTCTTCAGCTAGAGAAAATGCAAGCGTATCCTCAACAATCGTTAGAGCAGCATCGAGGTATCTCTGACCCTGTGCATGATCTCCACGTGAGATGAGACATTGTGCCAGTACCAAGAGGCCATTCGCAGCAATGACGCCGGCAGAAGAGTCACGAAGCGGATTCTCCTCGTTGATAGGAGCATCAAAATCCCAAAGAGGCACATAACGTCCACAGGTCTTTCCGGAAGTATCAGAAGCCTTACGCTCGACACAGCTAGGTGACATTTCCAGACGTAGCAGGAAGTACTCAGCCAGTCCACATGCTGCGGTGAGGAACTCGCTTTCTCCGGTCCATTGGAATGTCTGCGAATAGCCCAAAATTCCCCATGCTTGCCCGCGGGCCCAGGTTGAGTTCTTTGCGTAACCCTGACCCGTGCGAACTTCCTTCAGCTCGCCGGTACTTGGATCGAAGTTCGAAACGTGGACGGTGCTGAACAAAGGCCCAGAAAACCCTTTTCGCTGAGAGTAGATCCCAGTCTCGTGGCGAAGAAGGGTGCGTAGAAGTTTGTGAGCGTGGCGAGTGGCAGCAACGGAGAGTTCATCGCGGCCGGTGTGTGCAGCAGCATAGTAAAGGAGATCTAAGTTGCACATAGAATCGATGATAACCAGGAAATCGTGATCCATGGAAGTGATATTGACACCCTTCTGCGTCAGTTGATCCCACGACCGAATGGCACCGATTCTTGGACTATAGCGAGTGTATAGACTGTCTGCTGCGGTGAGAATGGTGGTCAGAGCTCTTTCGTCGTGGAAGACCTCCCAGCGTGGTCGCATTGATGGCTGAATAATGAAAGCCATATCGTGTGTATCTGTTCTAGAGCCCATGTGGTGGATCGGCTCTGACCAGATTCCACCCAGTTCGTGCAGCTTCTGAATGACGAGTGCTGACTGGGCACCTTTGCCTGCACTTTGGGGATATTTGATCCAACGCTCGAGAAGCGAGTAAATTGAACCGGGGAAGAAGCCACACGTCCAGAAATCCGCCTCGCGAAGAAGGTATTTTCCGGCATCGGGCCCTGACTCCAGAACATACTCCGGGTACTGGGTGATTGGGTACTGTCCAAATATTAGTAAAAGGTAGGAATGATATAACTAATTTTTCGATGGGAATATGGCTCACATTATGCTCCAAACATGTGGTTGCAGCACGGATAATTTTGGCCGTGACATTCTCATCATATAGTTCATGCAGGCGTGCACTGATGCTCGATGGCGTCGGGACTGCCAACGGCTGTGTCCTTTTGAAAACATCCTCTTCCCCCACAGATTCGCTATTCGCTTCCGTCATGGTCGGACTGATTGATCGATATGAATCACTAAAGGTCCGAGAGGAATTCTCACTCGAATGATCCGCAGCGCTGTTTGTGAGAGACATGCTGATGCTGGTACTTCTGGTGAGAACCAAAGAATGAAGGTTGATCAAAGAGGACGAAATAAATATCTATCCTGCGTGTATATAAGGTACTTGAGTGGAGATTCAGCGATGTTACACTGGTGTAGTTATCGCCTTAATGGTCGGCCGAGACTTGGCCCGATGCCCGAGACTCACCCCGCAAGCCGAGTGTCTTTCGCGAATTTAATGTACACTTTTCTGGCAAACAACATTATTCAAGACGGAAATCTTACACAATTCTCAAGATGCCTCCTCTGACTGGCTTCTCGGATAATCCGTTTCGTACGCGCGACGATCTAGCAACTGCTGCCCTTGCTTTGTTGCGACCTTTAACAAGACATTTCTCGAGCTCCTGTGCCCGCATCCGCCTTCCAGTATCCACTGGCGCTCACTTCGACGAAGGTGCTGCGCAGCTAGAAGGATTCGTCAGACCACTCTGGGCAGTGGCTTCTCTTCTACAGTTTCAGTCCTCTTCGTCAGAAAATAATTCATCCGATGGGAACTTGAATGAAGCCATCGAGGAAGTCGTCAGACCATGGATCGAAGGCTTTACTGCGGGGACAGACCCCGACCACCCCGAATATTGGGGCTCAATTGGGGAGACCGAGCACCAGCGCATGGTTGAAGCGGAAGTGATCAGCTATGCATTGTTGTGTGCTCCAGAGAGACTCTTTCATAGTCGCGATGATAAGACACGAAGAAACATCACATCTTGGCTCCGTGGCATCAATGGGAGGCCAATGCCAAACAACAATTGGCGATGGTTCCGGGTATTCGTCAACTTGGCACTTATTAAAGTCTGCGGTGTGCCCGCGGCTGAAGTACTCGATGAAATGAATGCCGACTTGCAACTTTTAGATTCTTTCTACCTCTCCGATGGTTGGTCTGGCGATGGTCCATGGCTGACCACGGAAGAGGAAGAACAGGAAGCAGCCGAATTCGAGCGAACGCGGCGGAGAGATGCAATTGGGAAGGGCCGCCAAGTGGACTATTATTCTGGAAGCTTTGCCATTCAGTTCAGTCAACTCTTATATGTGAAGTTCGCCGAGGATTTGGACCCAAAGAGAGCAGAAAGATACCGACAGCAGGCCCGAGACTTTGGAGCGTCTTTCTGGACCTATTTTGACTCTGATGGTATATTACTCTCCGCACTTTGAAACTTTTCAAATATTTGCATAAATTACTGACGATATACCATTTAGGGGCTGCTATACCATTTGGCCGATCACTCACATACAGATTCTCCTGTGGAGCCTTCTTTGCGGCACTTGCAGTCAGCCCTATACCCGATATGCCATGGCAGCTGTCACGGCCTGGACAAGTCAAGGGATTCCTATTGCGACACCTCAGGTGGTGGGCCTCTCGCTCAAATGACATTTTTCATTCAGATGGAACTTTGAATATCGGATGGCTTTACCCGTGAGTCGAACATGGATTCTGCGAATTCCCCCGCCACCGCTCATATCCTTCTTACAGGAACATGTTTATGTGCGAAGACTATAACTCACCCCAGTCTCCTTACTGGTGTTTGAAGACATTGATTGCGGTTTCACTCGCACAAAACGATGAATTTTGGTCCGCCGAAGAAGAAGACTATCCGTATTTGCGCGAAGCACGACTTGTGCCTGCACCACGACAAATAGTCAGTAATCACCCGGCGAGCAATCATCACTTCTGTCTGTCACCCGCACAGTTTGTTGCTTGGCCGATGAAGGCAACCCAGGCCAAGTACTCCAAATTCGAATACTCCTCCACATTTGCTTTCTCGGTACCCACTGGACCCCTCATCCAACAGATGGCACCTGATTGTACATTGGCCCTCAGCAGAGACGGTGCGGAGACTTGGGCTGTGAAATGGAAATGCTCGGAGCCAACCTTCCCAGATGTCTCTGTGAAAACAAAGGCTGGTATATTTCAAGTTCAAGCCGCCTCTGTTCGATGGTACCCTTGGGGAGACAGAGGAGTAGAAGTTCACACAACTCTAATCCCACCAACAGACATGTGGCCGGGTTGGCATGTCCGTGTTCATCGTGTTAAAATCAATACTGCTATCCGCAGCCTGCACACCGTCGAGGGCGGTTTTGCTTCACCGAGTCGGTGCTCTCGAGATGGAACAAGACTCCCGGAAATCAAAAGATTGAGCCAAGATTTGAAGGTTGGGTCTAGTGAAGGTGTATTGGAGACATCGGATTCGATCTTGATGCTGTCGGTAGCAGGGGCCACTGGTCTTTCTTCCGGGTTGACAACCGACTCTGCAAGTTATACCACGAAAGCCGAGGCGCTCAAGCCAGATGCGAACACGAACTTAGCACACCAAAGGACGCTTATACCTGTCATAACTCGCGACGTGGAGCGTGACATTCAAGCAAATGAGGAGTTTGTCTTTGTCACGCGAGTTTTTGCAATTTCGGCTACTGCGAACGGCAATCGACGAGTGGGCGTGACTCTTGAAGACGGGTGGGAAGATAGGCCGCTAGTAGTACTGTCAGGTTGCAACGGTGCAAATTCTGACGACGAATGTATTATCCTACCTTCATAGATGAGAATTAACCTCTTGGTCGAAAGAGCCAAACTTTGAAACGGAATCCATTGAGCTTTTCTAGAGCTGGGACTCGTCTTCTATATTTCACGGGAAATAAATACATCTCTATGTCGCCCTATGGTATAAAACAACAGGTTATTGTATATCTGAGCTTGTGGGGCAAGGCAGAAGCCCGTGGTGGTGGCTAGGAAGGGCCAGACTAAAAGACCCTGAATCATCAGCTACTAACAGCTACGAACATCGGCAGGAGCTACTGCTATGATAGTCATGATACGGAATATGATTGGCCTTCATTTATACTGGCCGGTTGTCACTTCTGTACCTTTCTGGCGCTTTGGTAGTGTCCGCATGCGACCTGCTTACGCTGGGGCGATTCAGTGAATCACGATTACCGCCGTATGAGATCATGGAAGTAACCCTCGGAAGGCATTCGAGGGGAACATAAATTGCGGTTCCCCTCTCGTTATATGATCCTGTGAAAGAGACAAATAATTTGGTTGATTGGCTTGGGCACAGCGAGAAAGCTGCCTGGGCGCCTGTATTTATTTATTCATTTCACGGGATAGAGACTGCGCACCCATGACCGTCAGCGAAGACGACAGATTGCTAGGGAGCTGCAAACGAGGACTCGCCAAGCTTGCCGCGATCAATGAGTTTGATCATGAACTCGCCGCTATCTCTGGGAAAGCACCGGCAATGGTGGCTAAAAGTAGATCGAGCCAGCCCGCAGGCTTCCACGTCCGGACCCGTCAGTCAGGATATAATAGCCAGTATAAAGCCAGGCCTTTCAAGCAAACTTATCATGCTTGCCCTTGACCTTGACATCAAGCATCTCCTCATGGAAATTCCCCTCCCGTCTCGCCTTCCTTAACCTCCGCACCTCATCTTCATCCAACTTTCTCCCCACAAGCGCTTCCAACTCCTTCCGACTGATCTTCTCATAAGCCTTGGTCTCCTTTGCGACACGCAGTCGCGGTTTGAATCGCGCCTGCATGCGGATGCGAACCGTCGTATCGAACGAGATTGCACTCGCATCGCCCCGGATCTCAACGCCACCAGTAGCTTTGGCGCTCTCCTTGACGCACAGGAATGACTCGGCATCACCGCCGCGTGTTTGTAGTGAGAATGTGCCGGGAATGTCGGGGGATGGAATTGCGAGGAATGATTCGTAGTGGGACACTGCGGCGGTGTCTGCGCTGAAAAGGCCGTGGCTATCGCAGGAGAGGTATCTATAAAGGCGCGATCAGTTAGCCTCACAGTCCTCCGAGTATAGGGTGTAACCAATTTCACTCACTTTCCATGATGTCCCTTGAAAGTAAATGACTCCGTTCCCGCAACCCTCGACGCAATCCACACCTGTCGCACGTCATGCGGCTCCGCCGTCGACGGATCCCCCTCGATCAGATTCTCCAACACACTAGCAAACACCTTGCCATTTGCATCGCACGCCACACACGTCGGCTCATCTGATGGGAGAACTAGTACCACAGGGCCGGCAATGTCGCTCGCGGCTTCTGCGGACACCCAGCTCTGGTCTTCGGGTGGATTGTCGTCATTCTCTGCGGCTTCGGATGGTTCGACCTTGCGGGTTTTCGGGGTCTTTTCGCTATCGGGGTCGCGTTGCTTGCGCTTTTTAGGCTTGTCGCCTTTGAATGTGAGGGGCTTGACCATTGTGGGGTTGAAGAATTGGGGATTGAGCTGGATGTCGAGCTGGAGGTTCGCGATGGGATTTGGCTGTGGTGGAGCATAGCTGGCTTATCGATAAGCCACGGACCAATGAGGACAATGCTTCAACATGGTGTCTTTACAGAGGTCTTTGTAAATGGATATGTTTTTCTTGATAGTATCTGGTATTATCTTCTCATACTCTGGATGAGTTATTATATAAGACGATTTGGTAGGATGCAATTTTTGGGAGCTCCAAAGTTATGGAACCCATAGTGTACGTCAAATTGTAGCCACACTGCTGCTTCCTACACTGTGTGGTTGAAGACTGTTTAGGACCTGAGTTGCGACCGAGTGAAGGTAAGCAATCGGAATGCGATGATACATATTAGGCAATGTCACATGGTCATAACAGTTCCACTAGTAGTACCTTGGTGGTCGCGCAGTGCGCAAGGTCCTCACACAGTACGTCGTACTATATAACCGGATCATACCCCCACACCCCCGCAAATACCGATGTACCATGTTGTTATCCAAGTTTTCAATAAGGCAAGTTTAATTTATTGTTCTATGAAACAATCATCTAATTTGCCAACAGGACTATCCGGGTATGAAACGCTTGCATCTCATCAAATCGTGAAATTTTTCCAGTCGCATCGCAACGTGACGCCGACCAATATTCAAAAAATCTAGTCGAAGACAATGGCCGCCTTGATGGCACTCTTGTTGCGCATGGCCTCCAGGCACTCTTCCCACTGGTCAATCTTGTACACCTTGTTGACGATGCCCTCGACCTTGACCTTTCCGGAGTCGAGGTAGTCGACGGCGGCGGGGAACTTGTAAGTCTCCGAGAATGAACCAATGATGGTAATCTCGTCACCAAAGATCTTAGAAGGAGGCCACGAGACGCGAGCTGCGTCCGAGTACACACCATAGACAACAAGCTTACCACCACGACGGCAGTAGTTGATGGAGTCCTCGAGGATGCTAACGCTGCCGGTAGCCTCGACGACAATGTCGAAGCCGTAGGGGTTATCGGCCTTCAGCTTGGCATACTGAGCGGAAGCATCCTGGCGCGACAGCTCGATGTACTCATCACCGGCACCCAACTTCTTGGCAAGCTCCATCTTCAGACCAACGGGGGCAGCAACAACGACACGGCAGCAACCGTTCTGGCGCAACAGCTGGGCCAGCACCAGACCGGTGGGACCGGCACCGAAGATCAGAGCCGAGGAACCCATCTTGGGAGCAATCTTATCCAGGCCGTGGGCGGCGCAGGAGGCGGGCTCGAGGAGGGTGGCATCAACATCGGACAGGTTCTTGATCTTGAAGACACGGCCAGCGGGGGCATTCACGTATTCGCCAAATCCTCCGGCCATGGTCACACCCCGGGCCTGGAAGTCCTCGCAGAACAGCTCATCGCCACGGCGGCAGTAGAAGCAAGTGCCGCAGAGCTCCGAGTTATCGGCAACGACACGATCTCCAAGCTCGAAGCCCTGGACCTTAGGGCCGAGGGCAGCCACAACACCGACAACCTCGTGGCCGGGGATGAGAGGGAACTTGGCAATGAACTCGCCGCCGTGAATGTGAAGGTCGGTACCGCAAACACCGCATGCCTTGACCTTGATCTGTGGTTCAATTGCTGGTTAGCAAGGTGTTTTGAGATGCTTCTGCTACCAATCGATGTTATTGAAGTGGGGTCAGAATATACCAGAACATCGTTCTCACGTATCTTAGGCAGAGGGACCTCGACCAGGCTGTGCTTCTTGGGCTCCGAGTACTGGAGGGCCCGCATGGTGGAGGGGAGCCCGGCAGTCATTGTGAATGTAGGAAGGTTGATATCTGCACGATGGTGTGAGTGATAGAGTCGATGGAAACCAACCAATTTCGACATACCTGGACAAGTAGGAGTGAAAAAGGGTCTAAGTTGAGAGATATCGAGGCAGAGAAAGGAATGCTGAGAGAAAGAGAGGGGCAGGACCAGGGGGTTAAATATCAGGCCCAAAAGCAAAAAGAGGGGCAACAGCGTCCCAAAAAGGTTCGACTTTCATGCAACACGAATCCAACAACAGCACCAGCCTCACGTCCAACAACACCCGAAACGATGAAGTCACGGATCGAATCAATAACGAAGTGGGTCTTTAGATCGTCAACACCTTCAAAAAGCCTCTACAGTGGGCCCGGCTCCACTATTTTGTTGTGCCAGGCCCTGATCTTTGCTACCGGGTTTTTTGACTATCGACTCCCTCAGTGGAACACGGTTCTTTCCAGCAATTTCCAGCTGTTTTACAGCTCAAAAGCCAGCTCGAGCTTTCGTTTTTACTTTGTTACTTGGACCCCTCGCCCAACCGTGGAGTCGTCCAATGATATCGGGCGCCACGCCACGCCGCCGAGTCAATTGTACAGGGAGGGGTTGCGCACCAGTCACTTTTCCCCCAAGCAGATCAGCCAATCTGTCAATCTGGGATATCGAGATCCAGGGCCGTGCCACATTTACCCAACAAAGAGCTTACGAGCCTCGACGATGACCTCAATTTCACCAGCACCGCGCTCTAGGCTCGGGACATGACTTCATTCCCTCCGACTCCACGGCCCCGCCGTGGAAAACAAGGAAAAGCAACGAATCTGGTTGGCTGACCCCTGAGGTCACTTTCCAACTGTTCACCGGAGCTCTTCTACGAGGTTCGGCCTCTACCCGAGTTTTGCGCCAGGAAAGGGCAAGTATTATGGTAGAGATATGGCCTGGTTGAACCAGAGCGGACCGTTTCATTCAAGAAGTCGACGAGAAAGACGCGAATCGGAACGAGAGCCTTGCCCCGCTTCACCGCTAAACTCTGTTCTGTAGGTCTCCTACAAACACTTCCCCCGCTCATATTTTTTAAAGAAGCAATCTCCAAACACTCGCGCATACCCAGCGACGAGTCACGCGCTCTTGCTAACTAGGCGACAGCTTATGCGGATTGGTCAATTCGAATTGTCTAGCCCGGAGGTTCTCGGCGCAGTCTCAAGTTGACCGCCGCGGAGAACAAGGATAACATTCATTCTTAGTCACGAACAACCGCGATAAGGATGTGTGAGTCCGTTGATGAGCTGTCAAGTTCAGACTACATTCTCTACCTTACAAAGCCTTCATTCATTGGCTTAATCGACTGAAATGATGCAGGCGCCGGTTGCGATGCCCGTCAGGTGGCGACCCACTGGCACGTAGCGATCGGGCTACCCCGGATTGGCTGCTACCCGGTTCTACTAGTCGATCTGTCTCTCCCCAGTCTCTTCCAACCCACAGCATCCCAGAAATCGCTAGCCTTGTGATTGTAGAATCCTTCTTGCGTCCGCCAGCGGCAGCTATGAAATCGAATTCTTTTCCATTGAACACAATTGGCTCAGGCAAAGATTTAGTAATGGTCTTGAAACGCTTTATTCTCGGCCAGTCCGTGTTCCCCTACTGCAGTCTCATGTTCCTGAACCGCCATGTTTCGAATATGCGCCCACAGGGGCAGCCATTCGGACAATTTGAGCCAATTCAATAATCACTATGATACTGACTTCGAGTAGAATGTGAGAATCGCTTGGCTATGGGAGGCCGTCTAATCTTAGCTGGGCCTAATATTAGATCGGCGCTTAGGTGATATCTCTAGCTAGCGCGGGGCCATAACATCTCCACCGTTTACCCAATGGTCTCTGTTTCAGATTTCCACATTCCTCGACCTTTAGAGTGAATTGAATACCCAGGACTAGTGTACCCTTTGTGAAATCATATTTGAATAACCAAATCGTTATTGTCGCGATTGAAAGTATATCGTTGTTTTCATGCATATAATCTTTGGAAGAAACAGTGTGTCGAGATGTGTCCTCGGCAAGAGGTAGTAGTACTCTTTGGCGCATGCAACACAATATCTTAATACTCTCCAACATTTCATGTGATAGGTCTCCTTATCCCTATCTGTAATTTGGATATGGATTCAGAATACGCATGTTGCTCGCATTAGCCTCCATTGCAAATTCTAGATTCAAGGCGGGGACATGGAAAGTAGCCTGATAAGTGTCACTTACTTGCAATACCCATTCTACTGACGAGTTATATGCAATTCATAGCAGTCTTTCAGCCCTTATGAACGATTCAGTAGAATCTAGCTATTACTAGAATAAAGCAGACTAGAGAAAGTGATCAAAAACTGTACGGGGCAGCAGCCCAATCGAGTACAGCAAGTGATAAGGCGCGGCGCTTGGGATGAATAAAGGGAATACTGTCCTAGGATTAGATCTTCTGGTGAGACTTTGACTCTGCTTGTAGTTCTATTTCCAGCTCTGAGACCTTGTCTCTTTTTAAGAGACGATATCAATGTTCAAATCGATTGGTCGCCTGCCCAATTCATGGCTTCCTCCAACTTCTCTCTTGTATCCATTGTCAAACAGTAGGGTGTTTCACATTCATTCTCGGAGACTATTCATGTTTATAGACCTTTTATAGCCGCCAATGAGCCTCCTGAAGCCGCTAAGCCTCCTCTGGGCGCTTATGAGTGAGGCTCAACCGCCATCTGTATCATTATCTATATCTCCGGATTTCCTGCTTTAATTTCAGACCCACCTTCAGACTTTATATTTTTTCAGGGCACACAATGACTTTCTTCAAGCTTCATATAGGTGACACCAACCATGTTGCGAAGGAGGTATATGGTAACTACTCAGACTGGAAACTATTCTGCATTCTTCGTCGATATCTCGAGCCACGGAAAAGATCTTTATCACTTAAAGAGGCTGTCACACTTATTTATAAGATCCTCATACCTGAGGCTCCTGGCAAACCCACTGAATACCCAGCGGGGGCATTTGGTTCCATCATCTTGGGCGTGGCTCGACAAATCCCCTACTCTCATACATCGCAAGATCGCCTTGTCCGACTTTTAGAGCAATTTCACCAATTCATCGAACTCGAATTAATCAATAAGCTGGAGGTATGCCATCCCATTAACAGGGACTCTAAGACATTCTTTTAATGTACCTCACTCTAGACAGAAACATTCCACCTGCTTCTGGATAGTGTGATCTGGGCGGCACGGGAAATGTATAATGGTCAGTCAATTCCATTACAAACCCCCACCTTAGAGTTTTAAACTAATCGGTTAGCCACCATCCAGAACCCTCAAAGAACCTCTCCCTTGAATATTTAAACCTCACTTCTTTTCTCGCCCGGCTTGCATCTAGCGGCATACTGGGATCTTCGTGGGCAGTTACGGTTATGCGAGATGTTCTTGAACAAGACATTTCCAAAGAAACGGAATCCTACAACTGCCACATCGCGGAGGCAGCTCTTTGGATACATCACTATGGCCCGTGCCTATTTTATGCAATGTCCCATCCTCCTCTGAGAACAAGCCACCGCATGGAGCAGAAATTTCGGGCTGGCCCTCTTTATACCGGTTCAACATTTAGCGTTGGAAGATGGAACTTTTGGCGCGATGCTTTTGCTTTAGTAGTCAAAGAAGGTAAATTGAACGATGAATCTCAAGATCTTGCACTTAGTGCATCATTATTGATGGATGAGATTGCGGCAACTGGCGTCGTCGAGGCAAGGTGAAGATGTTCTTTTATTTTTTGAGGAGGCGATGATTGTTATTGTATTCTTATGCATGTATTCTAGCGAGCTTCTATACCCGTCTATTTGATTTATTTGGCCATGTCATGGGGCTTCTTCCTCTTTGAAATTCTCACAATCTTGCCTTGTCTTCCTCCCGGCCTTGAAGGTTGGGGTGGGGGGTTCGGACCGGCCGAGTCACCGCGTAAAAGGCAAACCCTTGAGACTTAGTTGAGAACTGAAAAAGTAGAGATATGTCAGTCACGTAAAAAATATTGAGGGGCTTTGTGGGATAGAGTATGACAAACCTTGACCTTGGATCCAACATGGAAGAAAGCAAAATCACCAGGAACCAGGTGGTGAGTGATTCCCGTGGCTTCGTCCTATGCGGATACCATGCCCGTTAACATTGTGCGAGTTTCGAAAAGGCCTTAGCGCGTCTATTTATAGACGCCGATGAAGAAGTAGAAAACATACCAACACGTCGATCTGACCACTCAGAACATATTTCGTCTCCTCGAACGTATAATGCGCGGGTCTTTGAGGCCCAGCCTCGATCTTATAAAATCCAGACGTAAAGTGGGCCGGGGATTCGGTCTTGGTTCGGATAGAGTGGAAGTCGGCCGTAGTAGCGTTCTCGCCCTGTGGAAGGGGAATGAACTCATGGCCAGCGCCCTTGATGACGGTAAGAGGAACGAGGTTGCTAGACACTATCCGACAAGCAATCGATTATTAGTTATACACCATACACATCCTCCTTTCAAGGGTAACCAGAGGGAGGAGATAAGATTGACTTACTCTTGCTGTGTTTTTAGTGAATAGAGATAAATCTAAAACATGTGCAAACTATAGCCTTGTATTCTGCGCCTAGGTATATATAAGTTCTTCATCACGGGCGCCTTCCCGTGGTAAGGTGATGATCCTGCATCTAATATCCTGACGAGGCAAAACTCCCCCGGGCGCATCACCCGTAGGTGGGGAACATGTCGGATGGACGCCCGATCCCGCTATAAATGGCTATGCTGTCCATTCGGTGGTAGATTGCGTGCTATGTGTACGGGAAGTCAATCTCATTTTCAAGAAAAGCCAGAGTGACCCAGTCGAAGATTTATGCGGGGTGAGGAGAGACCCCTCATGATGAAGAAAATTGGGGTAATTTAACTCAATTACGGCTGATCTCGACCCCACGTCAGAAGGCCCCAACTCGTCTTCATTTGTATATTTTAAGTGCTAGTAGCACCCCGTTGATCAGCATCGATAGTTGTATGGCGGGTATTTCATGAACTATTCGGCTTGAATATGTACGAAGACCTTTTCTCCCTTCTTTGTGCATCAACGGAAGTTGCTTTCGTAATTACTTAGACTCCCGATGACTTCTTCCCCTCGTGTTGTGGAGCCGCACTAAGAAAAGCGGATAATGGAATCCCTTGCCTAAATGGGTATGCCAATACCAGGCAAACCTTTTCTTGACTGTGGCACATTGTTTGTGTAATGTTTACTCCCTGTGTACGGTGGCCTTCATCAACCTATGACACCGTTGAAATCTTGGTATTCTTTGTTTGATCTGTTGAATATGACCAATGTACGTCAAGGGTCATATCCTCGAGGTATGCCTTCGTCTTGCGGAGTTACCGACACGAATTAGCCCCCGATATAATAATATCGCATAACTATGAGCATTCCTCCAATATGATGCCACGGATTCTGGCGTCAGGATCCCATTGAGTTACAATTTGCTGAATGCGTGCCTTGGCCGACTCATTCCAGTATCGATGCGGGAAGTCCCTAGGATGGGCATCCCCGATATAGGTACCCATACACAAGTGCTAACTTGATGTTTCGAGTTTCATTGCCAAATTTTGCGAAGCCCCACGGATATCGGACCGGCTTGATAAGATATTTCTCAGCGAAATGGAGAGGCGACAATTACAGATCGGAGGCGAAGCAACTGTAAGTTTTCCAAATACATAACCAAGTATCTTGCGGTCATTAGCTTACGTTGAGCCCAGGATATCATGAGCTGGCTTTGGCACTGGACACAAGAAAATGAGCCGGGTGAATATAACGAGGTTGAAATTGCTCGATCCCTTACATCCGCTGTCTTTGGGGCAATCCACACAACAACCCAGGTGAGATTTTAGAGGGCCAATTTAATGCATTCGATATTCAAAACTCATCTTTTGTGAACTCAGGTCCTTGTGCACTGTCTATTCGAACTCGCCACACGGTCCGAATATGTGGACCCGTTGAGACACGAGGTGCAGCAAGCATTTGAATATCATGGAGGGTGGAAGAAGGATGGCCTAGAGTCTATGCTCAAGCTTGATAGCTTTATCAAAGAATGCCAACGCTTTTACCCGCTTGACTCAGGTAAGTACTGATCTGGGTAGCCTCGTCGTTGAAGAGTCACAACGCTGAAGACACATCGTCTTATAGGATCACTAGCAAGATGTGCCACAAAGGATTTTACATTCAGCAATGGCTTGAAGCTTCCTAAAGGCACCTATGTCTTTGCACCTAATGCCCAGTTTTGTTTGACGAAAAATTCTATCCTCATGCCCACGAGTTCGATGGCTATCAGTTCTATCGACTTGGACAACAAACTGGCAAGCCACAGGACTTCCGATTCGTAGCCACAAACACCAAATATCTGCAATTCGGCGATGGGAGGCATACTTGGTAAGTTCAATTCCTGAGACCGCCTGAATACCACATGTATAGTTACTAAAGCTCTCTTTAATCTTTAGCCCGGGTCGCTATATGGCGGCAGATGAGATTCGCCTAATGCTCGGCCACATCCTCCTTCATTATGAAATAACAACCAAGAACAATGAGGGCCGCCCAAAGAATTGGTTCTTCAAGAAAATTCTGTTTCCAGATATGAAGGGCTTGGTTGTCTTGAAGCCGCGCTTGAGGCCATGAAAATCCGTCAGAGCACGGCTCCTATAGACAGTCTAATAGGCTATTATAGTCGGTACAGTTGTAAATGAAATTCATTTTCGGGTTGCTCAGTTCTATTTAGATATTGGAGGTGATCGGCATAAGAGGATGCACGAGCTACATGAAAGCAACTAGGAATACATTTAACAAAAGAAAAGGAAACAAGTTAAGGATATCTAATACTATCAGCTAAAGCTCTGGTCCCTTGATTTCGAATTATAAAGTACAACTCTACCCTATTTATCGATAGGCGGTTAATTTGATGATGGAATTCGTTCTCTTGGTCTGCTATGAAAAATACTTCCGTGGCCTCGCTGTCAGAGTAACGATGTAAGTATTTTTGCGTCTGTATTTGAAATACTCAGATACCGAATACTATCTTCATGATTCAAGCTCCAGGGTGTACAAAAATGCAGGCCCGCGATGGTGGGACATGCTATTGTCCAGAGGGGTAGTACACGAATTGCCAATAAGCATAATATAATATATTATACATCAATTATCGCAACTCTATATTTACTATGCCGGAAACACTTATTTGACGCCCATATAGCCTTGGATGGTGCATAGTAGAAACGAAGCTGTAATAAACCGAAATCGCTGAAAGGCTTTCCTCGAATATACAAATCTGCTCTCGCCGTGCTGCTAATATTTGTGATTTGCACCCCTTTTACTTGATCTTTCTCCCTGTTGCATTCTAAAACACAATGACATTCATCACGCTCTATCTCTCAGGTTTTAGGGTCTCTCCACGAGCAAATTGGCCCCGTTTGGAAATATGTGGCATTTATATTCTTCAGCTATCTTTTCCTTCCAAAACCAAGCTACAAGACTAATGTTAATGTTTCAACCATCAAGTTTGTGAGCCCTTGGCTGCCGAACATCATCAGTCGCTTGCTTTTCAATTCTCATGCCCCGTTCGTAATCTATGATGGCTACGCTAAAGTTAGGCCCAACCCTGTATACCTTTGTTATGGTATGTATTGACATTAACATAGTATAAATCATCGGCCTACAAAATCTTAAAACCAGATGGAGACCTGGTTGTTCTCTCAACCAAGTATGCGGAGGAGCTCCGACAACTGCCAGCATCGACTCTTAACGCTCTAGAAGCAACATTTTCGGTATTTTCTACTCTCACAGAGATCTTCTTACAAAATACAGACTAACGGGCAAGTTATATAGGATCATGTTGGGGGGTACACAACAATCCTCACTAATTCTCACTTACATACCGAAACGATCCAAAAGAAATTAACGCCCGCAATCGGTGAAGTTCCAGAACTGTTCAAGAATGACAAAAAGTTTTACTGATCGATAGTGCAGGGAGAATTATCCCCAGAATAATCTCTAAGCTGGATTACGCCTTCAAAATTGAAATCCCAGATTGTGATGGTATATACCTATCAACAGTAACCAATTGAAGCAAAAGCAAAGCATAAAGTGACTAATTTCTACTGTAGACGGCCTTGTTGCCATCAACTCCTACGAAGTTATTCTCCGCATCGTTGCCAGGGTGGGTGCTCGCATCTTCATAGGCGATGACTTGTGCCGCGAAGAAAAATGGCTCAAGGCGTCACTTGACTACACTAAGAATATCTTTTTGACTATTGCACTATTACGTCCTTTCCCTGGTTTCCTCCACCCAATCATCGGCCGGATACTTCCCAGCAGTAGAAGTCTGGACCGCCAGCTGGTCTATATCAAAGATGAACTCCTCTCCTCGGGCCCCTGATTGAGAAGCGCCGAAGAATGGAGGCCGAATCAGACCTCAAATATGATATACCAGGTGATTTCCTCCAGTGGATGATGGATCTGGCTAAGACCGAGAAAGAGTCACACCCACACAATCTGGCCCACCGACTGCTTGGAATCACTAGCATGGCGGTCGTTCACACCAGCGCCATGAGTCTAACCCATGCTTTGTACGACCTTCTTCTCATGACGCAATGGGTAGAGCCGTTGCTTGAAGAGATTCAAACGGAGATTTCGGACTGGCCTAATATCAGCCAGGCTAATTTGAATAACTTAAATTTCATGGACAGTCTTTTGAAGGAATCTCAAAGTTTCAATCCCCCTGGAGAACGTGAGTGATCGCCCAACCCGTGACACTAATAAATCTGAAATCTGATGGGTAAAAATCCCGAGATACAGTTTCTTTTCACCGCGTTGTGAAACACAATCTTACTTTATCTGATGGACTTCTTCTTCCTAAGGGAACCCATATCTGTATGGCAACCGGTCCGATCTCGCGAGATCCTGAAGTGGTTGAACATCCCGAAGTATTCGATGCTTTCCGCTTTGTCAAACAAAAAGCTGCAACATCTGGATTTGTGAGTACAGGACCAAACCATATGCATTTTGGTCTAGGCCGTTATGCCTGCCCTGGGAGGTTCTTTGCATCCGTGGTGATGAAGTTGATCCTGTGTCGCTTTATGATGGAGTATGAAGTTCATTTCGCTCCCAACCAAACGGAAAGACCAAGGAATATTTTGATTGGAGATAAAATTGTGCCAAGTGTCTCAACTCCAATATTCATCAAGAAAAGGGCTTCTTGAATTTCAAAATGGCAATTCCCTTGATATTTCCATCAAATGAGTCTCGATTCGGCGCCTCTCGCCGCAAGAATTGACCTTAACTACTTTTGCTGCTGTCTCTACTCTAAAATCTCCCCCATTCATGTAGTCTCTTAAATCTACCCTGGGTTTCGTAAGAAACATCCTATGCCTGGGGATGAAAAAGAACCGGAGTACTACGTGGAGTAGCTGGCTTCCTAAGTCATAGCCTTCTCAACTATTCAAGACAATTTTCGATGCAGGAATTGATGGAGTATCCACCTCGTGGTATTTTAAAGCAAGTATTCTGATCATCATTACACTGAGAAAGCTCAGGCCTTCAAATCAAGTTTTTCAGTCCTACCCCACAATTCCAACCACTCTTTAACGGAAGAACCGGATCTCTGTAGCTCTGCTGTGCATATGTCACGCACATAACTGCTTCTAATTACCTTCAAAGCGTTGCGAACATTATAGGGCGAGGGCAATTCTAGGGCCTTTGTCACCCAATGGCCCTCAGGTGCACCCAAGGCCACCACGATAGGGTACGTCATCTCACGGTTGTGTAAGTCTTCGGCGGCAAGACCTTTCAACTTCCCATACGCGGAAGAATAAACATTCTTACAGTCGTTCTGTAACTGCGAATACCAGCTATATAGAGAGGTCAATCCTAATTTCTCAGAGGGTGCTTCCGGAAAGGAAAGACTTACGCAACCACGGTGAAGGTCTTGTCCATAGAATCATTCTCAAGAACAAGGTGACCCAGTAAACGGAACAATGCCCCCGTTTTGAGAGAGGCCATTCGTCGATATGCCTCAACTCTATCCCTAGCTCGAATGGGGAAACCACTAATCCCATCCCTGCGCCAGATGAGTGACATATCCTGACCTTCAAGAATATCTCGAAGATCTTGCATCAGCCACGGGGCAAGTTTGGGGGAATTCCTTGGTCGTTTGGGTGAGGATCTGGGTGACTCTGTAGTATGCTCGGTTTGCTGTCTCTGTTGGGCCGTATATTTTGTGCGCAGCGGGCTTTCCTTTGCGACAATCGCTGCCATCCGAAATCTGGAAACTAGTCAATCAACAATCATCCAAGGCCATGCCAAACCAGGTCCTCGCCTATCGGTTCTCACATCATCAACTAGCATCAAGCAAAGGTGGATGGCATCCATAATTTCCAACACCATCATGTATTTCGGATGGTCGTCATTTTGAAGGGTTGGTAATAGCTTGTGAACGAATGGTGCCCAGTGGTACTTGCCATAAGCTTCTCGAAGGTATTCGTATGGACATTCGAGCCCGGTGATTTTGTCGGGGTTCATTTGTCCAATGAGTTGGGCCTTTTTGTTGAAGAATCGAGGAATAGGAACACGATCTACAAGGAAATAAAGAAAGCTGCTCACTGCAACCATGCTTAAGACAGGTCCCGCTCCCTGAAGGAACGTTTCTGGTAGACTTGCAAAAAGGCTCATGATTTAGTAAGGATCTTGACTGGGAAAACAACGTTAAGGCAGCGTCGTGCGTGCAAAAAATGAAAATCTTTTCTTTCGTCGGAATATTCGCCTCAATATAGCATTATGTATTCTAGCATTATGTGTCTGCTCGTCTCGCTGCTCTGAGTCCCCCGAGGGAGGAAGTCATGCCTTTTTTTTGGGATCTCACTCCGGTGCTTACTTTCTCGTCCTGACATGTACGATACGATTATCGATCTATTCATCAGCGGCTAGTTTGTGGCAAACTTGCAGACCAACTTTAGCTAGAGCCAGCACATTGCTGCCGGGGTCCCCAACCGACGCATAGATATCGTACTTTTCCCCAAGTAGGTGCATACCGGGGTTGCATCGAAGAACAAACTTGGCCAAGCTCAGATCCATCCCCGTATTATTCCTTCGAGTATTTAAATTACAATGGAGCATCCGAGCATACAGTGACTACGCAAAAGTTTCAGCACCCCCGCCCCACACCACACCAATTACATAATATACTGCCGGTCGCAAAACCTCAGGCAGAACTCCATGGATTGCATGTTAACCACTAAATATATACAAAATTCGCCTATTAAGGCGCATATCACCCTTCCAATTCAATCATTACCTTTAACCTATTAGGCATGGCCTGCGAAGGTACTCTAAGTGCTTCATATCGCTTATTAGCGTTTTTCCATGTATGCGATTTAGGTAGGCGGTAGGTAGATAGATTAGGCGGTCTGAGAGTGGGTCTCTAGGGGGGTGCTGAAACTTTTGCGTAGTCACTGTATGGTGTGGTACTGTATCACGTACTACTGTATGGGTGGGGCAACGGTATACTTCCAACTAATACATCGGTATTCCACAAGTTTTAATTCCCGAGCAAAATTGAAAAGAACCTTTTCAGTCACCAATTATACAATAACCCAACTCATGATACATGGACCATCGAGGGGGACGACTTTCAATACATCTATACAAGGCGTCGTAAGAGTTGGAGAATATCCAGTGTGACCATCCTATGGTCTCTGAATTTAGGGTTTTGGACTGTTACTGTACAACACTCGATTTGTATGACTTATTTTTGCTTTTCACTATCAGCATATAGAACACCCATCCAGTTCAAAAGCAGGGAGGTCAATATCGGATAAATTGACATCTAGGGAATGCTTTACATTAATCTATTGAATTACATGCACATATAGCTATGTCGTGGCAGATTTGCAGGCCCCGGGGAACCAGTCCAATTTGGACACTCCGCTTTTTCAGTGATACAATACACTTGACCTCCTATATCACCATGCAGTATTAGACCTGAAAGTATCATACTATGTACTCAAACGGGATATTTCGAGTCATATTTTATTCTATGTAAAAGACATAAATAGGTTTGCACTTGACAGGCTTTGCATCTAGGCTCGGCAATATCCAATTTCTAATTCCACCACGATATCTTCCTCTCTTGCTGGAATACACCATCATGGACGGTTTTGATGCATCTCAGGCCCCTCAAGAATACCATGCTGTGAAACCGCTTGCTGATCTTTTGGTCCTCGGCATGGGACTAGGGTGGTTGATAAATTACGTCGGAATGGTCTACACATCATTTAAGGAACGAACCTACGGGATGGCGATTATGCCATTATGTTGTAATATTGCATGGGAAATTGTTTATTGCCTGATATATCCCTCCAAAAGCCAGGTAGAACTGGGAGTTTTCGCAATGGGGCTTTTAATCAACATCGGCGTGATGTATGCTGCCATTAATTTCTCATCCCGTGAATGGAGCCATGCGCCGCTGGTCGAGCGGAATCTACCTTGGATCTTTTGTATCGGCATTATCGGCTTCATCACTGGACACATTGCTCTGGCTGTTGAAGTTGGTCCCTCGCTAGCCTACTCCTGGGGTGCAGTGATATGTCAGCTTCTGCTAAGCGTTAGTGGGCTCTGCCAGCTCCTATGTCGTGGCAGCACTCGTGGAGCTTCTTACACTCTATGGTATGTGACCAATTCTTACATATGATTATACGTAGGGTTATAGGAGCTCCCATTAATTTTCTCTAGGCTTTCTCGCTTTCTGGGGTCGTGTTGCACGGTGGGATTTGGGAGCTTACGTTGGATGTATTGGCCACAATCTTTTGCGTGGCTCAATAGCCCACTTATTCTATGGAGCCTTGTTGTTTTCTTGATATTAGATGGGTCGTATGGAGTTTGTTACAGGTATGTGGAGAAATATGAGAAGAGCGCAGGCATCAGGCGAACAAAAAAGGTCATATGACCTGGCTGCACATCGTCAGCTGTTGTGTTCCCTCGGATGCTTTACGTTCACCAGCAAGTCCTCTGTCTGTGATAGACTAGTTGTATTGCTGATAGCTTTGGATCTTGGCCGCCCAATAATCGAAACGATCATGTCTGTTCCCTTTTCAGTTTTATTGACTCCGCGCTGGTTAGGCCCCACATCTGATTTCGTGACAACACGGTGATGCCACTAGATGGTGGCAGTATTGGAAAGAAGGAACGGGATTGAACGAGAATAAAAAATAGTTCGCCTGCTTCATGCACTGGAAAAGTATACTTACAGTCCTGCACGAAAGTGAACAACAGATGATGCGTTGCGTATGGACTTCACCTAGACGTTCTGGTTTTCTTTTTTTTCTTTCTTGGTTTTATTTCTGGTAGTAGCCTGCGTAACTCTTTTCGGCGCCTGCTCGTCCACCTTGTGCGTAAACCGAAGTCTCAGTATTGGAACTTCCTAGGTACGGCCCCTCGATTACATTATCTATTTACTGCTCAATCCCAAGTTGGTCCCACAACAGGAGGAAATTGTGACTTTCAACTATTGAAGATGACCCAGTCTGAGCTTCAGGTTATCATTGTGGGGGGATCAATCGGAGGCTTAACACTCGCGCATTGCTTGCGAAGGGCCGGAATTAACCATATTGTCCTCGAAAAGTCGAGCAGTCCGGCACCCCAGATCGGGGCATCCATTGGCATCTTACCAAATGGAGCCCGAGTTTTAGATCAGCTGCAGTTGTACGATGAGGTTGAGGATCACATCGAACCGCTAAGCACGGCAATTATCGGCTATCCTGACGGATTCAGCTTCAGTAGCTCCTATCCCAGAATTATTCATAAAAGGTCAGTGTTTCTCGGTCTCAATGGACTTTTCTCACATTGCCTACGGAGCTACTCAGGTTCGGCTTCCCAATCGCGTTTCTAGATCGGCAAAAGCTACTTGAAATACTCTACCGCGGGTATCCGGATCACAGCAAAATTCGCCTGGGAGAAAAGGTGACAGCCATTGAGACTTCCAGCAAGGGTGCTACGGTGACTACGGCCAATGGCACTATATATAGAGGCCATCTCGTGGTTGGCTCGGATGGTGTCCACAGCAAAGTCCGCCAAGAAATCTGGAGAGATATCGAGAAATTCAGCCTCAGCCCCAAGATTACCAAGGAGAAGTCCAGTAGGTGAAAACTTCGTTAGACATCAGAGAACTCCTTGTGGGGACTGAACAATATGATATATACAGGCCTCACAGTCGAATTTCGTTGTATCTTTGGCATCTCATCAGCCATCAAGGGGTTGAAGGTTGAACGTGGGAGAGCAAGTAAATGCACTATTCGATGGTTTGACCATTGTCACAATTCAGGGGAAAAATAGTCGTCTATATTGGTTCGTCATACAGAAGTTGGACAAGAAATACACATATCCCGCCTGCCCTCGCTATTCGAACCACGATACCTCCGTCGCAGCGGAGGAGTTGAGGAACATACAGTTTTATCACAATCTTACCTTTGGACAACTATGGGACAGTCGGGAAACTGCTTCTATGACAGCTTTGGAGGAAAATACCTTCGAAACCTGGTACCATGGCTGACTAGTTCTGCTGGGTGACAGTGTTCATAAAATGACACCCAATATCGGGCAGGGAGCAAACATGGCAATTGAGGACGCAGCAGCCCTGTCAAACTTACTGGGGCATCTGAAAATCTCGAGCTCCTCACCCCCAACTGATTCCCAGATAGAGAAGCTTTTGGATCAATATCGGACAATCCGATATCAGCGCGTTAAATCCATCTACCGAAGCTCACGATTCCTGGTCCGCTTTCAGGCTCGAGATGGTCTGTTCAATACTCTTCTAAGTCGATACTACGCACCTTACGCCGGGGACCTGCCTGCCGATATGGCGTCCAAAACAATTGCCGATGGGGTGATGTGTGACTTTCTGCCTCATCCAAAACGCAGTGGCGATGGGTGGAAAAGGTATCGGAGAAATGGCCAATCATGGGGCTGGTGGGCTCAAGCTATGATGTATATTCTCATACTTATCATCTTGTATAAGTGGGCTGGTAGAGACTATTTAGGCTCGATGGTGTTTTAGGCCGTCCTTCCTTGTTTGGATTAGTTTTCTATTCTCTAGACAGCCAAAGCTGGTCTCCTACGAATCAATATTTGTTGAGTGGATGTCTAGCTCGGTGTGATTTTTTCAGTCCACAAAGTCCATCCTAGAAAATTTGTATACTAAAATGTTTCAACGAGAAGTTTAACTAATATTGTAAGCATTAAACCCTGGAAAGTCTGACTTGGATGTATTTAGGACACAGGAACGGTGGGAAGAGACAAGGCTTCATTTTTTTCTTCTAACATGTTGTACAATGCACTAATGACCAACCTTTGAACCCTTTCATTCTCGTCCCCATGAGGTACCCCTTTTTACCACGACCCCCTTAATGTTTTTGATAACATTTAGAAGGTCATTGGCAGAATTATTATGTATGCCTTACTAGAAACGATGCAACGGAAGGGCACGGGTCGACTACCTGCATTGGTTAGTCCGTATCTGCGGTTTGTAACGTGCTATACTTGCCTAAGATCTACCCGTGCATGCTATGCAGGTAACTTATCAGTTATTATGCAGGCGTATGAGTTGGAGTTGCCTCTCTTTCCATACCTTAGTGTTCGTGAACTCTTAACCTCCACCGCCGTCCCCCAGTACGGTGGATATAGCTGCAACCTCGGACCCGTTTATTGTGTGCACACTATCTACTTCCTCAACCCAATTTGATCCTCAGGTTTGAAAGAAACAAGAATGTCACGAACTACCAAGGCCACTCTCATCTCACTGTCCCTCTTTGCGGCGTATACAAAATACTACCAGTCATTCCGCATCGGCTTCATTGGTCTTTTGTCCACCATAGCTGACACCGGGTCTCTGTCCGAGCTACCTGGTCAGCTGTACTATAATTACACCGGATTGAGTCCCCTGGATGAATTTCTAACAGCATGCAATGTGTTCTTCTGGCCAGTGTTTCAGGGAGAAGTGCCTACGTTGCCGCTATACGGGTTAGCATTTGCAAGTGCCATGATGCCAATGTGGTTGATAATTGTGATCGAGACGAGTCGGCGAAGGCGTCCCTTTGCGGCTTTGATGGAGTAAGTTCGTATTCAAGATGCCCATCAAGATAAACTGACAATCTCCTTTACCATAGGTTGGCCCTTATTGCCGGTCCGCTGATACAATGCCTCGGCCCAGGGCTTGTGGTGCCTGCAATGCTGGCGCTTCATGACAACAAGTTACCTTTTGGATCTGATCTAGGCTCCTTTCCCTCATCTATGATTCTTGGGTATGTTCTCCCGCTTGCATTTGCTGCATTACCCGCTCCGGGCGTCTTGGCCTATCATACAAAGCAGCAATTCATTGCAATTTGGTAAGGCTGGCCTCTATACACGTCACTCATCATGGGGGCTTTCCGCTGTCTAAACCATGCAAAGGACTCATGGCATCGACAGCTGAAAACTGCATGCGTCTTTGCCTTTTCGTGCTCCACTGCCGGACACATATTGTTTCTTTGTCTCTCCTGGGTTAGAGCAACCTCACACCGTGTCTTTTTTCCACCAGTTCCATGTAGGGAGCCGCAAGTGACGACTCTCGAGTCGGGCGTGCTGCGGTTCTTGCAGTGGGACTATACGTGTTCTGCATGCGCAATTCTGGTGTGGACAGCCTCTTACCGTCAGGCGACCCTCACGAGAAGTCTTCGGTCTTCCTGGGTATTACTGATTGTCGGAATTGTCGGAGTGGTTTTGCTTGGGCCGTGCAGTGTAGCGATGGTGCTGTACTGGGATACATTGACGTTGGTCACTACGAAAGGGCGTCAAGAGCTATGACTACAGATTATAGTGGGCCTTATCCATAGATGCAGTATTTGATTTCGAGAACTAAGTAAACGGTCTGAAACTTGCAGATGAAATCCTGAGGTCTACCGAATGTTTGTGTCATGAAATACGTGCTGTGGTATTATCACGTCACATCATCAGTTTCAAAATCATTTTCATTGTGCAGCGGACTTAACAACCCTGCCTAAGGTCAGGGAATACGCTACTCTCACCAGTATGTATGGTACTTTGTCAAGGAAGTACCTGGGTTATCTTGTCGGGCACACTCCTCATCACAGTAATATACGCTGACGCGATCATACTATTCCACCATCGAAGGGTCAGCAATGCAGTTTCGCGCATTCTATACTCCGACCTGGCGCTCACGCTAGTGACAGGATGCGTCGTTCATGCAGTCTTATCTAGAATACGCCTCCGTAAACGATCACAGATCTGACTACATGCGCCTCACCCGAGATGATCCAGGGTTCATGATTGGGTTGGGTTATACGGATTTTTTTTCTCATATTATGGTGGGCAAATATATGAGCCTACTAGATAATATGTGCGTATACCAGGATGTAATAGTTGGCTATCGGTATGATAACATCGTTTAATATGGATTCAATTGTCAATTTTACACTCCTTGGTCACAGAGTTTGCAAAAAGACGCCCTTTCATTGCGTATTGAAATTCATTACCCATCTAGTTCTGTACTAAAATACTGTGTTGAGTAAAATTCAACCTCGGGACTAAACAACGTAATATTTCGATCCAAATCTGTTAGGCGCAAGTATGATTTGTAAATTTCGTAGCCAAAACACAAACCACTTACTGCATGCCTTGGTATTTGAATACATGCCATTATATGGCTGTCCAATATGTAGGATTGGCTATAGAGTACTCGACTTCGTAAGACAGATCTCCAAAGAAAGACCAAGCATTACATTAGTTGCAAAGGCTTGCTGATTCTCATCGTGGATGGATCACTCATATTTCCAAAGCAACAACATCGCAAGAGCAGGAATTATGTTTCGGCTTATAGCAACAAGGGTTTTAGATTTCATCTGCCAGTATTTCCTTCCTAATGGCTTCTTTAGGAATTATATCTCAGTACTTACGGTTCGTTCTAGGGGCTTGGATCTGAAAAGCATCCAGAGATTTCGCGCGGAGCCGAATCCTGCACCATTAGGTGGGCAGCCATGCCGTGGACCAAACCAGGTTGCCGAGCACTATGAGAAGGTGTGATGCCATACTTTGTTTGAACGAATTCTAGGCTTCAGGGCTCTAACGTTCATTAGATCATCTGCGCTCCGTTAGATTACCTACGTTCTATTCCTGGGAAAAATATCCGGGGCAAATTGATCCTCGCTTTCAATGAATGGATTCAACTACCTAACGATAAGCTAGCCATTGTCCAGGAAGTGATCAATCTACTACACACGGCATCGCTGCTGTGAGTCCCAGCATCATTGTCCTGTAGCCTGTGCTAATCTCCTACGAAGCATCGATGATATACAAGATGCGTCTCGGCTCCGTCGAGGCCACCCGGTGGCTCATGAAGTTTTTGGCGTCGCTCAAACGATAAACGCGGCAAATTACGCGTATTTCCTACAGCAGGAAAGACTGAACGAAATCAATGATCCGCGCGCATTTCATATCTTTACCCACGCCCTTCTAGATTTGCATCGAGGTCAAGGGATGGATCTCTACTGGCGTGATGCGGTAGTCTGTCCGACGGAGGAGGAATACATCCAGATGGTGATCTACAAAACTGGGGGGTTATTTCGACTAGCAGTGGAGTTGATGGAAATTCAAAGCACAAGGACCGTGTATGATCTCCCAGTCTTTTCAACGTTAGCGGATCCAACCTAACCTCTTCCAGAGACTTGTCCAAACTAGTGGAGTTATTGGGTGTCATCTTCCAGATCCGTGATGACTATATGAATCTACAAAGTGGACTCTACGCTGAAAAGAAAGGGCGCATGGAAGATTTGACCGAGGGCAAGTTCTCATATCTCGTCATTCACAGCGTTCATGCAGCCCCCGAGAATACCTTTCTAGTCGACATTCTCAAGCAACGCAGCGAGGATGACGCTCTCAAGATTCGTGCTGTCCAGTACATGGAGTCAACTGGGAGCTTTCAGTACTGCCGGGAGACTTTAGGCCGGTTGGCCCAGCAGGCACGCACTCATGTTGAAGAGTTGGAAGCTTCATTGGGCCCTAACAAGGGGATTCATCGTATTCTCGATTTACTTCATGTCCAGCAACCGGATGAGAAGCCTACCGTTTGATCCTCATTTTTTTCAATGTCGGTGTTTAAGGAATGATCATCTTCACTATTGTGTCAAGAATGTTCAAAGAGCTGGCAATTCTAGGGGAATACTATTGGATCTCGAGACTCGCGGGCGTTCCCCATTATGCTTTGTCTTCGCCTTGCTACTGGAACAGCACCCCTTGGATTCTCGAAGCGACGTCTCTGTAAATCACTAGTATTCCTTCCGAGTAGGCTAACAACACCACCCCGCCGTAAGACGACTTTTGGCCCCCAAAGCCTTCTCGGTCGCGCTTACAAAAGCCATGTCCTCCTCAAACTCCCAGTAAATCCCCAAATTCTCCATTACCATTTAATTCATGATCACATCACTATCATGAGCTCCTTTCTAACAACCATCGGCCTCCGCGCCACAAGTCCCCTCGATACAGTCCCAAACTTTGGTCCCGCCTTCCTAGCATTCCACTTCATCTGGGCCTACGGCGTGCTCTCCTCGCGAACGCTCAAGCAATGGTACGGCATCGACCATCAAGTATCTCCACGCGAGGATCTCGCAAAGTACGGGGAGGCGGCGGTCCGAGACGGGAAACTCACGCGGAAACAACTCGACATGCTCAAGCGCAATGAATCAGCTCATGCCAATTCGGTCGAGAATTATTCACTCTTGGTGGGAAGTCTGCTGTTTGCATCATATGCTGGGGTGCCGTCGCAGATTATCAATGCGGCTGGTCTTTCGTATACTATTGCCCGTATCATCTATGGTGGCGTGTATATCTTCGTTGGTACGCCCAAGTGGAGTTGGACTCGTGGTTTGGTCTGGTGGTGGGGCAATTTGAGCTGTCTCACGCTATTGTATCAGGCTGGGAAGCGTCTCAGTGCATGATTCTCTCGTTCTGAGGGATTGACACTCTTGTCGTCGTTTTCTCTAAGCAGCGAACGTGGTATCGCATTTGGCGCTGTTGGTAGTCTCCGGAACGCTGATTTCCTGAATAAAAAGTGATATGCAATTTCTCTATGTAAATGGGTCTTGGAAAGCCCACACTTGCCGCTTCAATCACAATTGACTCGGGTGGTGGTTAGTGGTAGTAGAAGATTTTCGGAAAGATGGAAATTATTGTAGTTATAAAGCAAGTGTGGGTTATTCGTATCCAGGCAACAAATTGGCAAGAATTACACATTCATATTCTCATAAGTTCTTCTAATCAAATGCTTCATAACGCAGGCCGCGCGAGCGCAGCCCCACTTAGTATCTATTATCAACCCGATCTAGCACAAAACTATATCACATTCCCTTAAGCACTGGAGCTAGAAGTAACCTCCATAGAGGCTGTCAAAGGAAGAGCCCTGCTAGAAGAGCCAACATAGAGGTTATAGCTTCCACTCTGAAGCAACCACTTCTGCGCAACGACATCCCAAGTGCTCAGGTCACGACGAGTCAAGGGGAAAGTGACCTTGACAGACTTTCCAGCAGGAATGCGGACCTTCTCGAATCCACGCAGCTGCTTCACGGGGCCACCGGGAATACCGACGTAGATCTGGGCTACCTCTGCGCCAGACTTCTTTCCGGTGTTACGGACGGTGGCGGTGATAGTTGCGACGGTCTCCCACAGATCGACGGCACCACCTTGCTCGATGGCTCCGCTGGGGTAAGCAGCGATGTTCTTCTTAGGTGCGGAAACCTTCAGGTCAGAGAAGGAGAAGGTAGTGTACGAGAGACCGAAACCGAACTCGTAGCGAGGGGTGATATCATGCTTGTCGAAGTAACGGTAGTCAGTGAGGACGCCCTCGTCAAAGTCTGACTGGGGGAAGAGGCCGTAAGGAGTGACCGCTTGGGTGTGGGACAGGGTCGCGTAGTCGGATTCGTTCTTGGCAACGGTGTAAGGGAGCTTGCCGCTGAAGTTCTCGTCGCCGTAGAGCAGGTTCACGATTGCACGACCGGATTCTTGACCGGGCAGGTGGGCGAAGACAATTGCGGTGACGTTCTCGTGGTCGGCGAATTGGTCGACCAGGCGAGTTCCAGCGTTATGGATGACGACGATGGTGTTAGCACAGGTTGATGCAACCTGCTTCACCAGGCCGTCGGAGTAGTCTTCGCGGAGACCAGGACGGTCCATGCTCTCGGTAGCGAAGGCATTGATGAATACCAAGCAGGCATCGGAGGCCTCCATCAAACCAATTGAAGAGGGAGACACGGAGGTATCCCACATGAGAACGGTGTTGTCCTCATAAGCGCGCTGCTGCAGAGCATCGAGGGGTGCACTCAGATAAGGACCGCTGTTGGCGCCTGAGCCTCCACCAACTGAGAGGGTGCCGTTGAATGCAACTTGGTAGTAGTCAGGCACGTCAGGGCTGGTGTTCAAGAAGACATCACCGGTCTGGTAGATCGCAGGTTCCAGACCAAGAACCCAAGGGTTATAAACCAGGCTCTGTCCGTTGGGCATCATGCTGTCAGGTGCTTTGGCATCCCAACCGAATACAGAAACCAACTTAGGGGATTGCAGAGGAAGAGCGTTGTTGACGTTCTTGACCAGGACATGACCCTCGACCGCACCTTCGTACAGAACGGGCTTCGCATCGGGAGTGAGTGCATTCACAATGTAATGAGGCTCACTGATGTTGTACGGCATACCAACACCAAGAGAGGGGAAGCTCGACTCGTCTTGTCCCATCTGGTACCAAGTGGCAATGATACGAGTAGCCATGTCATCCAAACGAGATACAGGAACACTGCCGTTCGTGAAAGCCTCGGTGAAGTTGTTGCCCCAGAAGGTCTGGCCATCAGGCATAGCCATGTCTAGACCAGCGAGGGCTGCACTGACACCAGCGTGCTGAGCATCCCAGTCAGTCACGACAAAGCCCTGGAAGCCAAGCTCGGTCTTGAGCAATCCGTTCAGAGTCTTGCTATTCTGGCAGCCATACGAGTTATTCACTCGGTTGTAGGAACACCTGGGCAATTGTCAGTCATGATATCACTTATGCTCTTGTTGGTGCGACTGACATGATATTTCCGGCGCCTGCCCTGAGGGCATCTTGGAAAGGCCAAAGATACAGCTCGTGCATGGTCTTATCATCAATGTTGCTGGAGACGGACTCGACCGTCTGGTTATCGGAGTTGGTGGTAGGGTTACGGTAAAGCTCTTGCTCGTTGGCGATGAAGTGCTATAGAAAATTCATGGTTAGAATCAATGCTCAGCTCCAATGACTGCTCTTGTAGATATCGACAAACCTTCACGCTTGTAATGACACCTTGTTCCTGTGTGCCTTGGACAGTAGAGGCAGCAATTGCGCCACCGAGATAGGGATCGTTAGAGGGACCTTCCAAAAGTTAGCAATTATCCCAACATCTGCTTCTCTTCCAGGCACTAACCTTCCCAGTTTCTACCACCGGTGGCGGTGCGTCCCAAAGGACCAACCATGGGTCCAAGAGCCACCTGAACACCCTTCTTTCTAAACTCTCCTCCCATGTGCCAACCGCGCTCATATGCAAGGGTCTTATTCCAACTATAGTAATCCTCAGGTCAGGGAAACGCCTTCATCATTGCTGGAGACCTGTGAGGCTTACCTGGCGCCAACATGAATACCACTGGGGTAACTGTTAACAAAGTCCGTGTTACGGACACCATTGCCTGCATCAGTCAAGCAGAGGCCAGTGAATCCCAGACGAGGAATAGCCGGAATGATTCCAGAGCACCCATTCTCGGTATTGCTAGCTCCGTAAGTGAGGTTGTTCTATAATGAATCCGGATCAGTATTGCCCTGTAAATCTCTGCAAATGGAACGAACCTTTTCTTCCAAAGTCATCTTAGAAACCATCGCGGCAGCCTTCTCATAGGCCTTAGCCCAGTCACCAGATCCGGTACCATTGGCTGTATAGTGTTAGCTATCAACGCCACCTTCATTTCAAGGGATGAACTTCAACCTACGCGAGGGATAAACAGGCTCAGACTGGCCATAGAAATAAGTATCCGAGGTAATATTACTCTCGGCATGGGTCAGTCCACAGACAGACAGCATGGCCGCAGCCAATGCTAGTTGCTTTGCAGAAACCATCGTGCTCAGGTACACTCAATCGAGCCGTGGGCGGTTTGAAGGGAGTCCGTGATCAACAAGGACATCCGAGAACTGGATCAAGCTTCTCTATATACTTTTTTTTTCTTTCGTCTCTAGTTACTCGTAACGAGTCAAGGCATGGCTTGCCTGCGCATCAATGATGGCATTTGCCGGGAGCCCGGCACGGTCTGGATAGAAGGATCTTCCATGATTCTTTCCTCTTTTGCCGAGAAACCAAGGTACGCCTCCCGTCTCTTGAGTACTATACACGAGTCATAACGAGCACTAGTCTCGTCGAGTATAGTTTTTCTCCACACTTTGCATCATGGGGTGAAGAAAGCTAACCCCGCGTCTGTGCTCTTGGTCTGGGTAAATGGGAAGAGATGGTTGTGGAGGGGCCTATGGGAGTGAGGTTGGAACTAGTGGCGTTTTTTTTACCTTTCGGGCTGGCTAAACTTCGGTCTTCGGGATAGCCAGTCCCTGTTGTTTGGCAAAAAAAAAGAAGGGTTGTGCAAGAAATCAGGGGGTTCCGCGGTATACACATCGAACAGGTTCTATAGAAGAGTGTCTATATGGTGATATCACTTCTCGAGTATTGACTTGTTCGAGGTGTGAAGTCGAGTTCTTTTCTTTTTCTCCCACTCTCCCATTATTGATACGACTTTATCGATCCTTCGTCGTAAGATCTATCCGGGGAATGTTTTCCACGGAAGTGGCTCACGAATATTCTAGAGCGACGGAGATTTATCGGATGTCTTCATAGCTTAAACTCTTTTTGGAAGGACAGTAGAATCCACTCTTTTGCGAGCAGCCAACTGATTCAACGGAGGACTGCCGAGGGCGTACGGAGTAGCCCCCCTAGAGTGACTTTTACAGTGCAGCACTGACTCTAGCTCCGAGCACATGATGTGGAGGGAAAAAACTCTCAGAGTGTGGGGAAAGAATGTGGGGCTTCTGTACAGAACTCGTGCACAAATCTGGGGTGCAGCAGGGATATTCGCATTGAACTGTGCACAGTACAGGAGTCAGGAATACGCAAATACGGACCAATATTAATCAAAAGAAAATTCTCATCATAGCCAAGCAGCAGCGCAAGTTCCTGCCTCTTGATATCATATCACATCCATGGTCTGCTCGACGGCTCGCGTGGCCAAGGGTGGAGTTAAAACTTTTTGCCATGTCTTAAGAGGCCAAGCAGCCGACGAATGCCAACTTTAGTGGAGCTTAGCATCAGCCATCTCAACCATCAACCTTCACACACAACCCCCGCATATACTTTCTCCCCGGGCAATACACGCGGGATTTCGGTGTAGATTCCTCGGCCTAGTGCCGGACTTAACATGGGAGAAGGCGAGGTCAGGCCTTGATGACTCGGTCATCGGTCAGCAGAATACACGCCGAACACGGACCCTAGCTCTAGATTCGTCCCATTTTCCGAGAGGCGTACAGTGGGGTAGTAGAAGTTGAGGCCCTCCGAAAGGACTTCAAACCCTCATCAGTCTTGCTTTGCGAGACATAATGCCTAAGCCATCTATCTAGAAAGACGGGTTGGAGTACAATGAGAAAGACCCTTCAAAAGAGAAGAAGTCGAGGCATATCTGGTTGAACCTTTTGCCCAGACTCAACCTTTTGAATTGCCGCTAAGACGCGTATCCGGGTTGAGGGCAAGTACTATCAGACGGCCGTGTATCGGCATCGATGGTAGCGAGCCGGACCGAATAGAATCGGGGCTTGCAATAGCGTCTAGACACCCGTTGGAATATTCATGTTATGACTGTTTATTTTACGTACTAGAGTCTAATCAAGTGTAAATGATGGAATGCGGGGAAGGTCAATCCCAACCTGGAGAACTCGTGTGCCATTGAATAATTGAACCGTAGAACGCCTCCCTGTGCATTTGGAAATAAAGCAAAAGAACAAAAGTGGAAGTCCACAATGCACCGCATTGAACAAAGGCATAGCTAATTCCTGTTATTCTCGAGACAAATGCCCGTCCAAAAAGAATCAAACGTCCAGCGTCTATACAAACATCGATAGCTATTATGAGGGGCACCGCCAAAAGCCAGTGCCAAGCAATCAGACAAAGCAAAGAAAAACCAAGTGGATCATTTCAACCCAAAGCCCTCACTATTCACAACTGCATCCCAAAGCAGCTTCTCGAGCTTCTCCCGAGAGCCATAGCGGTACAGGCCGAGTGTATTGAAGCAGGTCCGTGCGATCGGGTACCGGGAGCAGTCATCTCCGAGGCATGCGAGCCGAATAGACAAGCTGGTGGCGCCCATAGCGGGAATCCGATCACTACCTGTAACGAAAGAGAGAATCTTTCGTTGGGCCTGGGGCGGGGCAGTCTCGAAGAAGTCCCAGAACCATTGCACCACCGCAATTGCCTCGGGTCGCTGAGTTGACCAATTGTCGTAGGTAGCAACGGCCCGCAACGAGGTCACATCGAGCGCTTCATCGGAACCGCGAACGAGCAACTCAATCTCCTCCGATCGGAACAGCGAGAGAGCATTGCCCCCGCACACGGTAAAGAACCCGCGTTTGAACGGCTCAAATTGCCGGGTCACGGCCGTGTCAAGGAGATAGCGAACATACAAGTCGACAAATTCACGCCGATTAGAATTAGTCACAGGTCGCTTCTCGCCCCCCGTGCACAAGGGTACGCTCACAACCTCTCCATACCGGTCGACTTGAGTAACAAAGTCATAGCAGAACGTCTCGGCGACATCACCCTCAAACTCGAGAAGACCCCGAAGTCCCTTGGCAAGAGCGGGTCGGAACTCGGCGAGGTCGTCCAATGTACACTTGAACTTCGAGCGGTGAGGGTTGGGTGGATGTAACCCAGTGTTCTGTGGCGCGGCTGCAAGCAATTTCCTGAATGCGAATGGCGGCAAGGCGACGTCGAGAATGGTGGAGTTGTAGATAGCAAGGCCAAGCAACACGCCAACCAAGTAGAACTGCTCAGAGGACTCGAAGCAATACGGATTGAAATAGCAATACTGGGAGTCGTCATCGTAAATGAACAGCCCTGTCCTGTGTCAGCAAAAAATCGCAGACCCCGCGGGGAATCCTATCTTGACTTACCGTGGTGGGGATCAAAGACCTCCCGAACCAGCAGAAGGAACCACTCCTTGCGAAGACCACCGGCATCGACACCTTCCTCTCCAACAAATTCAATCCGGAGTCCCTTCTTGATCTCTTCGGAACCAGCCCCAACAGACTCGCTCACGGCACGCATGCTATCTTCGACAAGGCATTCGCGTCGCACCTTCAGAACGAGATATTGACTGACCGCACGGTGATTGAGAATGCTGCTGAAAAAGGCCTCGCGCGCTTTCACTTCCATCTGGCGGCGAGCGTCGTGCTCCATGATGTGGATCTTGGCCCAGATGCTCAAGAGGAAAGGATACTGGCAGAACGAGAACTTGGAACTTTTTGACTCCCAGATTTCAAAGTCGGCAATGAGGTCCGAGTAGTCCAGCAAGGTATTGTAGAAGGAACTGATGGGGACCATGTAATTATCACGACGTCCTGACAGCACAGCAGAATTAGGATGACGCTGAGTCCGTAGATCCCGCGATTGTACATCAGACTTCCTGGACCCGTCCGTGTTTGCAGTGAATAATAAGGATAATACTCTTGACCCGGCTTTGAGCTGCCAATCCTCCACATAAACAATGGGAGCTTCTTTCTTCTTCTCTGGCTTTTTGTTGGGGCTGCGACGATTGTTGATAGCTGCATGTAGCTCCGCAGGGGTGTTACCCGCAGCACTAGCAAAACTCGGGATAAGCTCATCCCCATCTTTTCCAATGTCGTTGCGCTTGCGACCATGCTGACGAGTCAATCGATAAGTCACAAATCCACCGATCAATTCCACAATCCGTTCAAATTGACTGGGAGAGAATCGGGAGAACCAGGAGATAAAATGGTGGTGGCACTCATTAGAAGCATTAGACATCAATCCCAGGATCCGCTTCACGAGTCCATGGTGGTGATTAGAGGACCCTTGGCGATTGTGATCTTTGTGCGAGGACTTGGCATCCCTCGTAGTCGGTCGTGGACCTTCATTCGGATGGGGTGGGCGTCGACCATCGCGATGCGGTACTTGTGCGGGTCGAGGGGCCGAATAAGCACCAGGCGATGACAACAAAGGGTTGGCAAGCAAGATGAACAACCACCTGGTATCGTCCGCTTTCTTGAGGAGACGACGCGGGCGCTTTAACAGATTCTCGACAGCTTTCATGAACGTCCGCTGGAGATGAATGCGAGAATCAATAATCTCCCTCTCCAACTGAGTAAGGTCAACTGATTCCCATCTCTTTTGACGAGCCGCATCGGTCTCTGAACGTATATGCTCGGGTCTCTTGGCAACCCAGCGTTCGGCCCAGGAGCTCCCGGCTGTCAGGAGCAACTGATACCACCGTCCCACTTCAGCCCAGTTAATCCGAGGGGATCTTGACGATACCAACCGAGAATCCTGTTGTCCTTTCTCCCTGGCCGATGAAGGAATGTGTCCCTCAGCCTGAGCCCATTCTGTCATCCACCAAGATGAGTTTTCGGCCAGATCTCCAAGGAGAAGAGTTTTGGCATCCGGTTCAAACACTGCCGCATTCAAGTTCGGTTCCATGAGAGCATTGGGATCAATTTTCATCCTTGGGGGGTTACCGCTACTAGCGGATCGAATAGACGGTTGATGTGTTGAGAAAGACGTATTAAGAACGTCGATGCCTTTCAGAGAAGAGATCAGGTAATTCTCCAGTCGCTCAAATACTGCATGGTGAGTTTCGCGGTCTTTGTTCTCCAGATCTGAGTGGTGTGTTGGGCGATCTTGAGGAGGCCGATCGATCTTATGTTTTGACTGTAGATCTGAATTGGCTCGAGTCCGCACTGGTGTATCCTTGCCTTCCCATTGAGCCACGTGGGGCGTCAAGAAAGTGGACGGATTCTTAGGCACACCAAGTCGCTCGCCAGATCCAGAAGTGCTACGGCTGCGAGGGTCTCGAGGGGCTGACAGGTGGCCACCAGGGCCACGGCCAATCGATGAAGAAGGTTCATCTGGTTTGGAAAGACGCGCTCGACCGTTGAGATCATCGGCCGGTCCCGAACCGGGTCTGGATCCATCCAAAATATTGTCGAAGTGCATTGAAAGACATTTGTCGATCATGTCGCTCATGTACTTGGCTGACAATGGCATATCTGGAACGGCATTCAGTAAGCCGATGTTGGTCGACAAGTCTGAAAAATTCGGTTGTAGCATACCCTGCTTTGTCTCTGGTGGTCGTGCGGATGGTGGCAGTGGTGGTAAGGGACGATCGTCAAAGGGGTGTTTCTTATTAGAGCGCCCGCCACGAGACCGGTCTTCAGTATCAGGGTTAACGGACGTTTTGGACTCCGTCAGCGGTTCGGGATCCAGATCGGTCACCATCAAGCAGGCAGAACAACGAAACATCTTCAAATCCCGTGGCCACCGTACGGTCGAGTTGCAGGTTTGACACTTCGTTTCTGCAAGATCCCCTCCAACCTTCGAGTCCTTGCGAGGGCTTTTGTTGACGGTGTCGGTGGGGAAGGTAACCTCGTCAGAGTCCGAATCTGATTCCCACATGTTGGCTTTTGTCTTGTCACGCCTCTTCCCAAGTCCAGGAAACGGAAATGGATGACTGATTGAGCGGTGGTGCCCACGACGGGGACTGGTGGGCGCGGGGCCGTTCATCGTGGCCATATTCGGCGCATTATGATGCTCCGGTAACCGCCTCCTAATGGTTTCTGAGGAAGGAGCTGAGGGAGTCGCCCGGGGAAGGTTCGAGGAGAGGAGCGGTGACGCCAGAGCTCAAGATCGGAGGCAGCGGAGGCAGCGGCGGGTCACGTCCAGGCCGGGAGGGCATGAGGGCGCATCTAGTCGACAGTGGAGGTTTGTAAAATCACCGTGTGTAAGATATTCCGGGTAGTGAGCCTGTAGGTGCAGCTCGGTGTTTGTACTCGACGCATGCGAATCGACCGCGGGGAAGTGACCTATAACAAGGACCCGAGAGCGTCCAACACAGCGTTTCTTTGTCTTTCCACCGATGGCTCAAGCTGCAACAAAGGAAGTAGATATTCTCAAATCCAAGTAATGCAATGATTTCAATACCGCCTGCCTCGCCAACGAGCTGAGGAGATGTCGTAGCAATAGCTCATACTCGGTCACGAACGGATTGGGAAGCGGCTAATTAACAGGGCAGGGGTAGTGTTGCTGCCTCAGGCATCCTGACGGACCTATTTTTGGCACGCCAAAGGTGTCTCTAAAGCGTGATGATGATTCGTCCACTATGGAGTCTGACGATCAGTTTGTTAGTCTATCGGGCTAGCATCTGGCCTGATGATCCACTGGAAACGTGGCGTGTCTTGTTCGAGGTGCTAGAGTGTTGCAGATTGAGGACCCCTGCTGTGGCACACGAGCACCCGCCAAGGCCTATCAGGAAGAGCCTAGAGAGCACTTGAACAGCATGTTCAATGTTGAACAAGTCTAAGAGGAAATCTACACATTCTACAAGTCCGGAGCGCCGGTATGGAGTTGAACCAGTCATACTTCGTTAATCAAGGGGGAATTCAACATAAAACAAAGATGGCTTTTTGGGCTAAAAACAGATCCTGCTGGTCTGCATTAAACTCGAACCCAGCGTAAATGAAACGGTCCGGGAGAGAATTGATCGAAGAGATAACCACATGCAGCCAATATTTTCCACCATAAAACACCGGGCCCGTGCATTAATGCACTTAACGGTAACGCCAGTAGCTCTGGGTGTTGTGGAGCTTCCAGGTGTGGCGGCGACCAGCCTTGGTGTTGTTGTAGCGGTGGCCCTTGTTGATACCACGAGACTTCTTGCCGGTAGCGGTGAGACCACGGGCCTCGCGGTGCTAAAAAGAAGAAACTTCAGTCAGGTACGGCCAATCTCGTAGGGTCCGGAAGAAAAGAAGAAAATTCTTCAATTCGTGGGAAAAACTCACCTTGTGGACGGGGTTGCAGATCCAGTTGATGCGGGCATCACGGCGGATAGCCTTGTGCTGGGGGTCAACGCAGATGACCTCGAAGTACTTGTAGGTGGAGTCCTGGTTGATCCAGTAGGAGTTCAGGACACGCAGGTTGGCGCAGCGGCGGCCAACACGCTCCTCAGCAGTAGCACGGAGAGCACGCTGGTACTTGAGCTGGTTGATACCCTGGTTGGTGGGCTTGCCGTAGGTGGCACCCTTGGGGGCAGGGCGCTTACGGCCACCGCGGCGGACACGGATGCGGTAGACGACGTAACCCTGCTTGGCCTTGTAACCGAGACGGCGAGCCTTGTCGGGACGAGAGGGGCGCGAAGCACGGTGGATGGCGTTCAGCTGGCGGAGCTATATTGATGCACTCTCAGCAATGTTCAACGAGTGTATAGCAAGACACATGAGTCGCCCAAAGGGTCTCATTTGCTGTGCCACAAGAAAAAAAAACACCATTTCCGCCGAAGGAGGTTCGGTTCTGAGCCGTCGAGTAATACCAGGGATCCAGGCATTTCCTATGGCTACGCACACGAGCGCTCGGCGGAGATGTTAGGAAATCGAGGGGGTCGGGGGAGTCCTATCTTACCTCCCAGCAGCGAACGCGGAGCAGGAACCGAATGACATCGGACTGCTTCTTCTTCTGGATCTCTTCGACGTACTTGAGGGCACCCATCTGGAACAATTCAAAGTCAGGATACTGGCGGTTTCTTGAGGTATTGGTTTTGGAGATTGAGAAAGGCGTGGGAGCGTACCTTGTCGGCTTCACGAGGTCGTCGGTTGTCGTTGTCGCAACTGCAAAAAGTTCGAGGGAGAAAGGTCAGTAAGAGAGAATGTGTGTGGGACGCTAGTGATTAGCCGAGCCTGGTCTGTGGGCCAATAACAAATTTTCAATCACGTGTGTAGTCTCCACATAACCTCCGCCTCTTTCTGCCTTTTTTGTGGGCCTGAGGTGTCTAGCTAGACCCTTACTTGCATTACACTACAAATTATTCTCCTACAGTATGGACCATACAATTCTACCCACAGGAGAAACTTCTACGCTTGGAAAGAATAGCAATAAAGAGTCATGTTTGACTAAGATATCTGGCAAGGAACAAGGTCCAAATCAAAACAAAATCACACTCGGCACTCGGCACTCTGCCGATGCAATTGTTTGATCCTTTCCACTCCCGCCGTAAGACTGTTCATGTCGTAAGATGCTGGCTGGAAAACTCGCTAAACATACATATGCTGAATGATGCTGGGTATCGGATACACTCCCCCTTTTCAAATGTCAAGCTTGACATTCGTCTTCAAACACCTCAAGCGGCGGGGGTGTTGATTGAGCCCGATGCAAGAATACTCATCTTGCACAACGGACACTCGCCGTTTGTCAGGAGCCAAGGATCAACACATTCAGGGTCAAAGACGTGTCCGCATGGGAGCTCACGGACTCTAGTGGACCCAATGACGAATGCATCCAAGCAGATTGCACACATGTTCTGGGTATGGCTCAGTCGATATGGGTTGCGAGAAGCCACAACCCCTCCACTGATCACAGCGGGTGCCGGGCGTCTGATGCCAACGACCCTTTCCGCATCTCTGGGAAGTTCCTGATGGATCTCCTCTGTTGGTGGCTCGGGAGACTGACCGCTAGGATCAATTTCTGCCACGTCGGCTTCAACTTCCTCCTTAACGAGCGATGCCACAGATGGAGACCTTGGGCCTGCATATGTGTAAAGAGGCAATTGTTCAAGAATCTCACGAGGTACATGGACAGTAGTTGCTCTGGTCATTGGAATTGCTTCAACGTTCTCTTGCGGATGGGCGCCAAGTCTCGCTGGTTGTAGAAGCCCTCGACGCTGGAGGGTCAGCCAGACAATGTACACTATCAAGCTCAGTCCGAAGATTGATCCGAGTGTAATGAGCACAATGCTCCATAGACTTGGCGTTGAGTCTGTTTGGCGTTCTTTCGTCCGAAGTGTTAGATACTGTGTAAGGATAAAGATTGGATACTGAGGTGGCTCACCATTGGCAATCACCGTGAACAATCGAACGTTACTATCCCGCTTCTGAAAAGATGGATAACTGTCGTCATGGCTTCGGTTTGTCTTTCCATCGGAGAACCAGGCAAGTTCACGCATCAGAGTTGTTGCTGCAGGGCCAGGAATTGCGTAGACGGGGTATGGGTTGTCTTGCTTCCACCGGTCATTGTCGTTGAGATTCCAGCAAATATCACTCGCCGGCGGAGGGATCCCAGTCTCGTTTGTAGATGGCTGGTAGAAAATCATCGCCTCTGCCTTTGCCTCCCGCGAGGCAACCAGATACGAGTTGGTACACTCTACCGAAATCCATGGGGCGATCCCAATCGCGGGATACCCGAAAGCCAGAACGTCCTCGTAGCGAGTTACATTCTTCGGCACGTAGATGGAAGCGATCTCGCTGCAGGGATCATCCTCCGCCAAGGTAGGCACAAAAAGAAGACCCGAAACCTGATGCGAGTCAGGAACTCCATTGGCGGACAGAGTTTGAACGGTTCTATCCAAAACGAAGCGAAATCCGACATTCTCCTGGGGTAAATCTCGCGTGAGCACTTTCTGCTTAGAATCGTTCTAGGTTCGAGGCTTATACATACAGTGACTGAGCCGGAGACATTGGCAGCGCTCCCCGGGCCAGCAAAAAGCGTGGCCACGGTGGACATCGAACCGTACGCAGATGTCACGGACATCTTTGTCGCCAATCGATTGAAGAATAGAAATTTTGTTATTTGTGTGATCAGATGGATGATAAATGTAGCAGTCAAGATCAGGATGCCCGCGAGGGGTGCATACGCATGATAGAACGCTCGTTGAAGACCGCAGGAGAGGGAAAGAGATTGATGAAGGCACAAGGGAAAATATTGTGATTTTGAGGGAATGCACTAAAGCGACGACCTCATAGGAATCGCATCAACGACTAAGCGCCGAGCCATCTACTAAGTTATCCAAACCCGATCATGATGACCTATTCCGCAACAGCATGGCGCAAGGAATGTAAGGGCAAGATCGTGTCCGTCGCAAGAATGTAAACGGCGTCTCCGACCACGAGGCATTACGGGCCTTACGCCTTGATTCCAGACGTGGAAAAAGAGAAACATTAGCCGCAATCGCTGTCTAGGGGGAAAATAGTATACAATATAAACTGTGGCGGAGCGAATGTCGACCGGATCGGGTAGGGCCCGCTGTTTGCGGAGAGGCCGCTTGCAGGGAGATCCTTTCTAAGTAAATCTGTTTAGTCAATGGCGATCCTTCTTCTAAATTAATAACTGATAACACCATGAGATATTCAAATTATGATTATTAGGAAACTAACTCTGCAAGGGTGTTGCCCTTATCATTACAAAAGGTTGTTCAGCAACTTAGGGTTATGAAATCCGGGGCTGACACTATCTATATATAAAGCCCATTTCTTGGGGATTTCGTCCTAACTGATAAGGTAGTAGGTATTCCAGGCCCTGTAGTTATCGATAGGTAGATGTCTTCATGTGTCATTTTACTTATATTATCCCTCGCCTAATAGTAGAGTACTCTTTAATGATAAATCTATCTGCAGATTTACAGTCTCATAGAATAATCACTGCCTTATTAGTTAACTAACTTAGATCATGTGTCTGGAGGCAAGATTATTAAGACGAAAGCTTCACCGCCCGTGTCGGATTTATCATTAGCCCGAGATGTCGGAGGAGCGATATCACGTGCCAAGGCTCCCCCCCCCCCCAGATGGCAGCTCAGCGCGTCCAAGTTCTCACTGGTTGAATCATTTGTCATCTCAACCTACGCGACTGGGTTATACAGCTTCCAGGAGCTCAAATTGAGAGGACTTTTATGCCCGTTGGAGTGGATTTTGACCTTGCAGTCCCTGGCAGCATGCGTCATCCGACATCCACGGATGCACACTAAGAACCTCGCGACTTACATATCGGCAGCTCCATCAGGCTATCACTACATTTTCCCTCATCTGTCTATCCCTGCTGTCTATTTATTTCCAAGCAGACAGAATGCCTTCCGCTTACAAGAGCAAGGGCAAAGGCCGTGATGCGCGCCCGTCGCGCAGTCGCAACACAACCCCATCAAATGCGGGCGGCGCCACTGCTGTTGCAGCACCGCCCATTCCCAGCTACCTTGAGAACGATGTAACGAAGCTCATTGACCTGGCTAATGACCAATACACCGATGTGCTTGATCTTGTTGCCGGCCCAAGCATCCCCGATTCCAAAACCCTCGAGTCCCTTGTCGAATACCTGAAGAGCCTCAGTGACATGGCAGATGCTCGCGGGGAGGCTTGCAATGCCGGAATGCGAGAAATGTCCCAGAAGAGGAAAGAAGTGATGGAGGATCAGGAGATCAGCCGTGAAGTTAGCGAACGTGCCAAGTTGAAGCGGGAGACCGAAGACGATGATGATCTGGTACACAAAGCGAAGCTAAAGAAGCGGAAAGAACGTTCGAGCACGAAGGAAGAACGGCCCTTGAATCATGGAGCTCATGATATTGCCCGGCAGGATGGTGCCGAAACGAAGGTTGAGGGAGGTACGTGATGCGACTCAATAGTCCGACTTTCGAGCTCCCACTCCACTTTGTTTTCTCCCCAGTGCTCCACCTCCCGCTTTTCTTCATTTTAACAGCTTGACTGACCAAAAACAGCGGCTTCTCCAGTTTCCAAGCACGCAAAGAACGCAGCCTCCGACGGTAGTTCCTCGCTCTCGCCTCCCTCCATGCTGTCTCCGAATGGAGCAGCTGCCGGGGCCGACGGCGCAGCTGCGCCTGGCTCCCCCGACTCGGAGTCCAGCGAGGACTCTCACCAGCCCGAACCTCAGCCAGCTGTACCTCAAATCCAGGTATTCGGCGATAACCCCCTCAAGTTCGACGATCCTACTGTCTACCACATTCGCGACATCACACCGGGCATGGGGGATGATGAGAAGAAGGAGATTTACAGCGTTGCGAGTTTCCCCAAGAGCGACCTAGCCCACATGATGGCTGGTGTGCCTCCGGACAAAGACTTCAGCAATGCAAAGCCGTCAAACCAGGTCGGCGCCAACACTTTCCTGACCTGGATTGAGCCATATGTGCGAGCTCTTACCGAGGAGGACATCGCGTGGCTGAAGGAAAGGGTAAGCTTCAAACGACTTATCTTGCTCGAGTCCTTGCGACTGACGCACGTCTAGGGCGACCGTACGACTCCATTCATTATCCCGCGTCGTGGAAAGAAGAACTATCGTCAAACCTGGGCGGAAGAAGACGGGGTCTCGTACGACCCCAACCAGGATGACAAGGACCAGCTACCTCTGAACCAGGGTCGCGGCAACATCGACCAGTTGACCGATGACAAGACTGAAACCAACGAGGTTTCGATCGGACCGCTGCTTAGTCGCCTGGTGTCTCTTCTGCGCTATGAGAACCGCACCCTTCCCGAGGACAGCAATACCTCCACTAATGGCGATTTGCCTGCCACCGAGGGTCTAAATGGTGACGCGATGGAATTGGACCCGCCGAATGGTAACTTGGAGATCAAATCCTCCTCGGAGAACAAGACCCTACCCGCAGCTACTACTTTCCGGGACGCTTCGCCAACTGGCTTCAAGACGTCTGTCGCCAAACTCGACCATGCCCAGCTTGACGAGCGCGCTAAGGCAGAGCTACGATACATAGGATTCCTCGGTGCCGACGATAACCCCGATTATGACGCACACTACGACGATGAAGTAGCAGAGCGCCTGCGTCTCCTCCAAGGCGAGCTCAAGAAGCAGATCATCACAAATAATGCGCGCAAGGCACGCATTTTGAAGATCGCCCAGGAGCACATGGCTCTCCTCGAGTTTACCACTATCCAGGATGATCTAGATTCCCAGGTCCAGCAAGCCTATCTCAAGCGTACTCGTACCATGGGAAAGAGCAAAAAGGGCTCACAGGCCAAGCACCGTCCTGGCGGTGCTGGCGGTGGCGTTGCCGGTGCCGGTGTTTCCCGTCCTGCCGTCGGCGATGCCGCGAAAATCGTCATGGATCGAAGAAAGCGCTGGAACGAGGCCTTCCTTCCGATTTTCGAAGATATCAAGACTACTATCCCGTCTGAGAACGAAACGATCTTCGATCCCGCCATCATGGCTGAGTACGAAAAGGCCGAATTGGAAGCTTGGGACGAAGAGTAAAGGTTTCTCTCATGAAATCACTTCTCATGCCAAGACTGGCTATTCTGTCTTGACTGTGCCTATCATCTGGTGCGGTATCTGTTCACATTTTGATGTCTTTTCTTTTTTTTTCCAATTTCGCGCAAATGATACCTGGGTACGACACGACTGGTATGACGGACACGGCGTTTATGGGAGTCTTTCTCTCTCTTTTTTATTTGTTCAAAGCCGAATCCACAGAAGCAGCGCCTTGTATTCGGCGCTTCTCTTTCTAGAGATAGGGCTTATTTGCATTTTTGGCAATACAGGGGAGGCGCGATCGGATTCTTCTTTTCTTCTGGGCATATTCACATGGACATATCTACGTGGTTAGATAGATGATCGTGAAATGCCAATGAGCTGAATTAACAAATGCTATATGTGAACTTTCTAGTCCCATGCTCAAATCGACTATTCTAAAGCTTTGCTCAAGCAAGACCAGACGGCCATCACAAACCTCATCCCATAAACGACAGGGCCCTCCGGAAAACGCCCAGCAGACTCTGGTCCTCCTTGGCCGAACGAATTGCAGTCCCGTCCAAGTCACTACTATCTTTCATGTAAGACAACAAGAGTTTGGCATACGAGGCAGCCGTTGCCGCCGCATATTCCTGGAACCGCTTGTTCTTATGGCTATCCGAGTAATCGCATATCCCCCTGATGACAAGACAAGGCAAAGTATTCATGATACCTGCGGCTTCCATCTCAAAGCATAGTACGTTCCTCTCCATGCTCCATCTGTCACGGAGTTTTGCGTCTTTCATGACTCGGTTGCCTGATGCGATAAGACCATAGTGTATTCGCGGGTGATGATCCGATCGACTTTGCCGTTTGGTAAGATAATTTGTACTGCAAGGATCGCAGGTGGCGTACTTAGAATTGTGCGAATAATGACTGGAAAATAGACGATCGTTTTCTGGTCCTGGGTATCGATACTCCTTTCTGCAAGCTGCGATTTCTTGAATGTACTCCTGCAGCGGGGCCTGGGGTAGATGAGGATCGGATTTCAGACTGCTGAGCGCAGTCATTACCAGCCGAGGAGGTGGTTGAAGAAATCCACTCTGCTCAAACTCGCCATTCTCGAGAGCCTTGCCCATGTCGTACTGGATCACCCCGGGATTCATGCCGATCGGCTTGCTCACAACGACGTCGCCAAGGCGAATGTCATTCCTGGAAGATGGAACACCACCTCCGATGCCTACCAATAGGCAAAACTTCACAGAGGGAAAGCTTCTTCGCAAATTTGATGCAACATCCGCGGCTGAGTTTGTGCCATACTCTCCATCTGGAAGACAGGCTGCGACAACCTTGTGTCGTCCCATACTTCCCAGGGCGTAGTGGTTTGAATCTGCTGCAGACAGTGGGAGGTCGGGATGAGTTTGATCGAATAGAGCGCGAACGGCCAGGAGCTCCAACGGCAGTGCACACACGATGCCGACAGCGTAGTCTTCGGGCTTGAATGACTCCAATTGCCACTTGGTGTATGATCGGACCAGCGGTTTTGGATGTACAGGTCCATTCTCAACTGTGATGCTGTCAACAGCGATGCTGTCAATCGTGATATCGGTTGACGTTGAAGGGATTTGCGAGCTCGATACGTCAAGTTCATCACTTTCAGAACCCACCGAAAGCGTATTGCTGGTCGTGTTTTCGGCATCGCTTGTTGGGGGTAACTGATTGCCTTCATTGTTGACGATTTCGTCCCTTTCCGGATCCCCGGAATCTCCCCATCGCCACTGGAAGTTGCGATTATATCCAAAGACCACCGCCCCATCGTGTGCCAAATTGACAGCTTCCAGGCATCCTTCTGATTGAGTTGACAAAGCGGCCGGCAGTATCACCTGTGCGATATCGGAATGATCTGCGGCGGCATCAGCGCAACCACATGGCTCGAAGACCATATCTGGGTTGTGCCACACAAGGTTTTCGCTGAGACGTATGGGATTTGTCGTTAAATCACCCGTATACTCCAGAACCATCTTCAAATCGGAAACTCCGGCGGCAAGATAGTACTCATGCTTGGGAAGCGAGGCCCAGTGGGGACAAGAAACGTCTGACGGAGCCAGAATCTCACCGAAATCGCGACCGAGAAGATTTATCGCATGTATTGAGCGTGTGAAATCAACCCATGCCTTTCCCTTGGGAGCGAAAGTCGCTAGACGTGGGTGTAGTGAATCTAACTCAGTAGCGAGATCGTGAAAGTCCCAGCCCTCGAAATGTGCTCTGGGAATGCCCTTGGAACTGTATCCACTGCCATCTGGCCCAGCAGCATGTACCTGGTAGTCAAATATTTGCTCGAGAATGTTCAAAAAGTGCTCCACTCGATCTTCAAACTTGACGTAGTCGTCTTTGCCCTCAAAGATCGCTAGGCCCCGATTTCTGTGACTCAATAGGATTGCAATGGCAAATTCAGAGGTGCTTTTTGATTCAGCTGGTGGTTCTTCCAAGTCCTCCCACCTGAAACGACACTCCGAATTGAAGGGTCCTGTGGTGTCATGCTGTATGGAGGCACGCACTAGATGGAGCAGAGCGCTTGCTCCATTCAGCAGCCAACCTCGCTTTGTCGCTTCGTCCCAGAGGACCACGGACTTTTGGATGATCCACTTGAGTTTCCGTAGATAACCACCTCTCGAAACATGAACAGGTGTATCTTTGTATCCCACCAGGAAGGGTGCGCCGCCCTTGATCATTTGCCCGTTATAGATGAACGCCTGGCTGAGAAGTCCATCTTCACGTAGCCTTGGAAGGTGGGAACCTGATATGCCATATGCTGCATCTCGCGTCCCTAAGAGGTACACATGTTAGCAGAAAAAAAATTGATAGATTTGGTTTATCATACCTGCAAGATGTCTTGCATTTGAGCACCATCCTAGAACGTGACGTGCCTGTGATAGCTGCAAGGTGGATATTCCCTTTGCGGGGAGCACGTTGCTGTCGAGATATGATATTCGATCGCCATTTTGATTATGGACCAAATGCCACACAACCATCTCTTCATGATTCTCGGTGGGGATAAGGATAGACGAAAATCCTTTGATGATCGCACTCCCCAGGAAAGTGCTAACATAACCTGCTTGTGCAAGGCCAGCCATCATTGGAAGTGGGATGTCAAGGCCTTTCGCCGCACCTGCTTCAGGTCGTCGGGATATTGGGAAGCCTTCAACAACCACGCCGTTCCTGAAGAGATCGTGCCAGCACTCACCGTTCATCTTGGAGGCAAGTGTCCCCTTGATTAAAAAGGAGATATCTGCGCTGAACTCAGTAGCTTGTTGCTTCTTGCTGTTCTGGCCCTCATCATGAACTGCCCTTAGCTGACCAACTTGTGGTTGACAATATACGACTTGATCAGATTGAGGCGAAGATCGAAGAGCCGATCCTAGCCATGAGAGCTGTTCTCCTACCTCGGCGATTGTATAGGCGGAGCCCCTCACTTCAACCATAATCTTTGAACTCTTCGAAGCCTCAGAGGAATCGAACCAAGCAGAAAGACGTGTACCATCGGGTAGGGTGCCTAAAGGGCCATTAGCAGACGAGTAAATAGCTGGAACATGAAATCATAACATACCCGAGGCCTTACTCTTTGGTTCGCTGTTTAGAAGACCTTGCAGTAGCTTGACCATCTCATCTGCAGATGACGGCCAGGTCTGACGCAGATATTCGGCGCAAGTCAGGGCCTGGGCTGCACCACGAGAGCCAGTAAGTGTTATGACCAAAGGGAGTGCTTCAGCATTGTCCTTGTTGTATTCCTGGTCTTCTAGAAAGGAAACCAAGTCCCAATCCAGAGAGTACGTCATTTTATACGAAGGTACTGATTCTCGTCTGCTGAAACGGAGCTGCGGGGGTAAGACACCTTGCAGGATCGCACTACCAATCTCTGCCATTGTATCCGGACTCGATGGTTCGAGAAGACAGAGTCTCTGGATATCACCAATGAGCCAGTCATAGGCCGGGTCCTCGAGAACACATTCGCGGTATTTCTGCAGCCCCGGCATGACATGATGAGCATCAGAATTGGGCTCTTCGCCCATCTCGACTATTGGAAGCAGAAGTGCAAGGAGATCGGCAGGACCAGCCTCGCCATCTTCAAAGCCTGATAGTAATTCTTCAGCGGCGCCCGCATCATGGCTCAGCCAGAGGTTCATCTTTTCGTTGAGCGGCATATTTTCATCCACTGTGGACTCTGTCTCAGTGGATGGATCCTCCAATGAATTATTGAATGCGTCGGCTATGTCACTTTATATGAGTTGTCAGTGAGCGATTTCATACAAGTAAATTATCGAAACAAAAGCTCATCAACTTACTGTCTGTATTTGTGAATGAACACAGTCACGTCTCGATGGACCTGTTGCTGGGACGAGACACTACTACTCCCAAGTCTCGATGAAAAGGCTTTCAGACAGCCAGGCATGGCATCTGTGACACGCCTCATAGATATGGAGTCCAGTCGGAAAGTAGAAACGACTTTGAGAAGTTCATGGGCGAGCTCATGGATATAAGCCTCCTTGATCGAGCCATCCATTGTTAGGGTATCGGAATATACTGTCCGTAGATCATCCGTCTCCATCTCCGAGACTGAAGCCGTTGGAGCCGTTTGAGTGTCCAGAGTTGAATGCGGACCCACAGAAAACACTCGATCAGAGACATATTGAGACTCCGAACCTACTGTAGCATCGAGATCATGCCCAATAACGGAGCTTTCGGTCATCAAAACCTCAATGGCATCTAATCGGTCCACTGGTCTGGAGTTTGCCGAGTTCGAGACGAGATCCTTTTCAAAAATAGACCTTTGGCTTATGGCAAACCCTGGATATGGGGCTTGATTGAACCCCTTGATTTCCAGAAATATGCCATTATCCAGAGTTTTCAAGTTCCGTTGGGCATCTTCAATATACCAAGGCAGAGGCTTCAGTCTGTTCTTGTTGTGCTGTTCAAACAGCTGGGTCAATTGAGCGACATGGGCTACATACTCCATATAATCATCCGAACCAAGGGGACGCTGAAGCCTGTTCGCAGTTTCCTGGGCGGTATGGTAGGATTTGCTGAGGAAGCGAGTCGCAAGAATCAGCCATGTATCATAGAACCCAGCTTCATCTTGTGTGTCGATTTCCCTTTGCTGTAGCTCCCGCGAACGATCGGTATCTTTCCGTCGCACCTCGTCCCTGCAGAAATGCTGCACGATGGCATGGATTCTAAGCCTTGAGATTTCCAGTTCGGTAACGGAGAGTAGGCTATTCTTATTACCACTTTGTGGGCCAGTTTCTCCTGACAAACCTCTCATGAACGGAGGTGATCCGGGAGTCTGCAATTCGGTATCATTCTCTCGCTCAATCAATCCATACTGGATCAAAGTTTGTATCGTGGTTTCAAGATCAGGGACCGCCCCAGGTCGAGGACTAGTCAAGATATCGGCAGAATCGGCTTCTGTCATTGCGTCGCATCCAAACTCGATAAGACGCACTGGAATGCTGTTCTGCAAGAATGACAGTAGATGAAGCAAATTCAAAGCCTGACGTTTCTGCAAACGATACATTTCCGACATGAGCGCCAGGAAGCCCCGAGACTCATATCTATCGGTGGATTCATCCATATTGATATCCTCGATTGATTTGCCCTCTGCCTTGAGACGGGTGCCTAGAGTGTGAACTGCCAATGGTAAACAGTCGTAGCGTTCCACGAGGGCTGTTGCTCCACGAATTTGCTCTTCTGTTGGTGTGTCTATGCCGAGGGTCTCATACAGAAGCTTACAAGCATCTTCAACTGGTAGCCGAGGCATCGATAAGTGACGTAGTTTGGGAAGGTGTGGCCAAGGTATCTCGTCACCAGTCGACGTGTAGAGAACGCTGCCTTTTGACCTTCTCGGTAGAAGGCTTCTGAACTTGTGGATATTGTCTTCATCCTTAAGTTTCAACCCATCAATAACTAAAAGACAGGATGTAAGCCTCGTAATTGATTCAAGGACGCTAAGCATATAATCAAACTCCTGATCCGCAGAGTCGTTGGAATGGCCAGCTTTGGTGGTATGTTGGACTTGCCCAGTCTCTCTACCAATCTGCATCAAGCCCGCGCATGTTGACTGGTAAGAGCTGGCATTGATCCAGAATATTCCATTTGGATAGGACTCGCGATGTGTGAAGACGTATTGTCTCGCCAGATGCGTTTTGCCAGATCCTGGAGCACCGGTAATTAGGACAGACTTGTTGGGACTTGGAAGGCCGGGCCGCAACAAAAAGTTATTTAGGGCTTTCAACTCTTTCTCCATGCCAACGAAGATAGAATTAGGACGGAAGCCTGGAGGTGTGACAAGGACGTAATCCAGTGCCGAAGAAGGCGTAATACTTTCCACGCTCGGGTTGCGTCCTTCGATATACTCCCTCCATCCAACTTCGGTCCTGGGTGACACATGTTGATCTTGTACATTTAACCAATCTATGATGCTGGGTTGCGAAAAGTTCTTCTTGTCTTCCAAACTATAATCTTTGTTAGTACTTTTGTCCAGCGCCGAACGCTAAGTATATACGCCCTAGAAGATCTACAAACATCACCGATTGTAGCTCCCACTCCAAACAACTTACATCGGACCCGTCGCGCTAACGGGCATGGAATTGAAACCCTCATCCGTAGGAGGTGGTGGCTCAATTTTAATCTGTACTTCTGGACTGCGCGAAAGCGGCGATCCACTCTGTCGGCCTTCTAGCTCGTCGTCCACTGCCATCCCTTCGCTCCTAGGCAAGACTTGAGAGACATGGGCCTTTTTAATCGGAGACTTTGTAGTCTGATCTGACTCGAGAGTTCCTAACCATGAATGATGTTAGCACGATCTGTGGTTGTGTTATTAAGCGCTCAGCTGTTCAGCTGCGCTCTCGGAACAAAGTCGAGACAATGTATCGAGTGCTTCGGACCAGACGTACCGGGAGAGTTCCTGTAAAAAATCCCAAGAGCATGAATTCTTCCTTTGTCAGCCCAGCGAGCCGCGATTGTCTCAGGTGCTTGTAAAGAAAATTTAAGGATGGCACCCGCCACGGCCTTGTAGCCGGGAGAATCTGCATTGTCAAACTTGCAAATATGCCTATGGTCTGCTTCAATTCGCCATCGATTCACACCCGACAGATATGGGGTTGCTGACGTTTTCTGAACGATATTTGTTTCAATGCTCTTGAAATTGCTGGGCCCAGCGAACATGTCGTGGTCGTCCCCGTAGCGACTACTTTGCGTTAAATTGACTTGCTTGGTAACAGTACTGGTCCAAACGATAGTTTCATCCTCATCAGACGATGTCCCAAATGGATCATCATGACCTCCAAGAGGTTGCGAACCTTTGTCATTCTGCTTGCGTCCCAGTTTTTTGAAAAAGTTCCCCAGCCGAGACCTTTTTTTATGGCCCTCGGTTACAGGATCCGATGAGCTTGCAGCATTCGGTGACTGCAAAAGCCCCGGTGATGCTCTAGCAGCCATGGAGTTTGCCTGTCTCCCATCATCAAGGCTAGCCTCAGAGAAGGCAGAGACCATAAAACGAGAAGACGATATCTCTTCGAACTGGCGAATTATTTGTACCATTCGTGCACTGTTGGCAGCCAGCGAGGCACCCAGTTGTGAGGATACCCCCATGCCCTGGGCAGGGAGTACAGTAGAATGGAGGTTCTGCAGCATTGAGCCCCAGTTGGCAATCTCAGATGTCGTGTTCGGCGTACCGAGAAAAATGATCCCAGCCGTCGACACGTAAACTGATTGTACGAATTGGCTAGCCTCCATTCCGGCGCTATAGATCAGGGCCTGTTTGACAACAATCCCGCCCAGCGAGTGGCAGACAAAGATGATTGGCCGGTCGAGAGGGGGGTCTATCTGATTAACTTGCGTTCAGCTTTTGCTCTGCGCTAGGTAATAAATCCTCTTACGCTGCTCATTCGGCATTGCTTGGTAGGATTCGAGAGCGGCCAGGTAAGATACCAAAAGACATCAGGTACCAAAGCACGGAGTATATCAAACGGCCCTTCTACAAGGGCATGGGAAAGGAGCATATGGAATTGGGATAACTCACATTTCTATCGCTCGCAATTGTCTCTACCAACTTCCTTGCGTGATAATCAATGCCCTCGCTCTTGCTCGTGTCGTAGCTGTAAGTAAGAATCCTAGCATGAACTGGGCCCGATTTCAGCGTCGTTGGCAGGAGATCCTCGGGCCAGAAGCAGCCAGACTCGCTCGTCCATGTCTTGAGCGCATCGCCATTCAAACCATGCACAAAAATAATGTCCACGGTGGGATCTCGGAATGGAAAATAAACTGGCGTCAACTCATCGGTTTTCTTGGGCCTATTAGGCCCAAGGCGAGGACTAAGGCGAGGACTAGGCACCCGCGACATGCTACGCACTCCATCGTTAGGTTCATACGGAGGCATTAAAGAATAGTGTGAAGGTGCAGTATTCAAGGAAGAGGTGGAGTCAAGAAAGAAAACTGGGATGAGGCAACTGCAGGTGTTAGTTATGATTGTGCTGCTTACTCTCAGCCGCATTGCGGGGCTCAGCTGCGGCCCGAGGCCGTGCTGTGCCACGGGTCCAAACGCGACTAACGAAAAGCATAAAGCGGCTCCGAGTAGATAGACAAGCAGAAGAAGGAAAAAAGAAAAGGGGGTATCTATGAACTATGAACGACTCGACACTATCGCGAAAACACACCGTCCTCTTCGAACAGCATCACCGGTGGAGAATCAGCACCTCCCCGGGATACCTCTTCAATCGAACCGTCAGCTCGCGCTCGCTAATCTCCAGTTCCGTACAAATCTGATCAAAGCTATGTGTACCATCGAGATACTTTGACAGCGTCCGATCATCAATCTCATCCTCCTCCTCTTCAAAGACTCCCGAAGGCGCACTCCCAGACCCAATGCCACCACGGCTCCCACTATGAAAAGAAGCCGCACGTTCACGACTAGCATCTCGTCGGGCGGAAATAGGAGCGTCCTCGCCCACACTAGATGCCGCGTACGGAGTGTTAGTCCCAGTCGTGGCACGAGAAGATGGTCCCGCCGATGCAGTCATGGGGACGATGGACGATGAGCGCGGTGTCGGTGCTGGCTGACCGGTTGCGCAGGCGTATTTGTGTACGCGGTAGAGGAAGCCCTTGATCACGCCGAAGGTGATGAAGCGGCGGATATCGATGTTGGCAAGCTCGCGGCTGTGCTGTGAGTACCACTGCTTCACACTCTGTCCTTGTTTCAGGGCCGCATAGAGCTCGACGATACCCACGCCATCCACGACTCGGGGGCCCTGGCCGGCGGGAATACTGTCGTTTTCGGGTATATCGGGGACTTTGCGGCTACCATTCGGTGCATCTTCTGGGTCGCCCAATAATGGCCATATCTCTTCTGCGTCGAAGCGGGAGTCGTCGCGAGACAGACTCGGGGCAGGATCGGTCAGCGGGCTTGATAGTGGCCCAGCACCGCCAGTACTCCCTCCACTGGTTGCCGCTGCTACCGGCGCAATCTGCGGTGGGAGGGGTGTGTGGGGGCCGATCGGTGGATGCGGCGCGAAACGTGTATTGACGTAGCGCGCACACTCAAGTTGCATGGCTTCGTCTGAGCCGATGGTGAGGCTGAATTGGGCTGTTGGTGCGTAAATGGCCGAAAATGAGAATATGTCCAAGAGAAATAGACAACCATAGTATAACAAGTGTCGGATGGCTCGGCATGTGAGAGAAAAGTCGGTATCTGCGAGAATAGAGATAATGCGGACGCTGTTGACGCCATTGATATGTGGAACGATCTGCTAGAAGTTAGTTGGTGGACTCGCTTCGAACATCGACGGTCCTCATCATACCCGTTGCAGGGAGAGATCCCAATTCTCGTCCATAAAAGCCTGATACCGGACCGTGAACAAGGGTACCTGCCACGCCTTGACTGGTGGTGGCGAGGGATAGATAGGAAACAACTTGATGTTCAAAGTATTGAGCTCATCTGAGCTACTGTTAGCTTCATCGCCTCGCAATGCAATTCGTAAAGGCGGCACCCACCAATTGGAATCATGCACTCGCAGTAATTGTTCAAATCCTCCATCAACATCTCACAAAGACTATACACCTTCCCTTCACCGGTTTTGGAGAAATCCCTCGATAAAAACCCATTCTGCTCTTCCAATGCATGCATCAAGTCCGCAAGCTTCTGCACCACGCTCTTGTACTGACTGAAATCCTCCTCTTCGGCCAGCACAATGCAAAAGTTGAAGATGAACTCATTGCGAGGATAGCGATCTGATTTCATGCAGATGGGATAGCCCAGGATACGGTATCCATTTGTGCAGACCTGCAGCAAGTTGCCACAAAGCTCCTGGCGGGGAATCACAAAGAACGAGACGTCGGAGAAGGTCAGGAAGAGGGGTTGCGCGGGCGCGGTGGACGAGGGGACGATGGCGCCGTCGGGGACTTGATGGACAACTTTTGGGCCTGGAATAGTTTTTTGTCAGCATTCAGTTGGAGTATGAGGACTTTGGGAGCTCGCAGTCTAACCCTCCTGGGTGTCGAATTTGCTGTAGAAGATTGCCTTGATCATTGTGAAGCCGGTGCCACGATCAAGCCAAGGGATAGGTTTCGCGGCATGCAGCTAGCGAGGGTGATGCTGATAGTACCAGTAGCCCAAAAAGACTTTAGCGATCCATGCTCCTTGCTCTTCCGTGTTGCCGAGTAGCAAAGAGACAAAGTATGGGCCTTCGTTGTCCCAAGTCGAGTTCGGCGCGGTGACTTTGGAGACGTGCTGGATTGCTTATCGGTGGGTCCGCCCGAGCTTTGGGGTCGAATGAGTCCCGACTACTGCGAAGTACTATAGTTTATTAGAAATTTTTACAGTCTAGGTTTGCGAGATGAAAGAATAGATAAGATAAAATAAATTCTCTGATAATAAAAAATCTAAAGATAAAGAAGAAATGAATATCTCGATCGAATCAGCAAATACCAGACGGATGCAGCAAATCGGGGGGTATTAAGTGGAACTGAACCCCAAGAGCCATTGTCCAGACAGATCCAGTGAAGGTCTGTCCAGTCCATGCAGAAATGAGTCTTTCATCATCTTGAAGGCTCGAGGGGTGAAACTGAGGTAGAAAGCGACGCATATGAATAGAGCAATAAGATAAACCCGGAAAGGAGCCAGTCCACTTCTGAGATAAGAATGCAAAAATAAGAGGGATCAATAAGAATGCAAATAAGAGAGATGGAAAAGAAATACGCCAGTAAATGCAGTAGGGTCATGTCGAGTTGCTTTTGAATCAGTCATATCGAAGAGGTCAAGCACACAGTTAGCGTGCTGTGTTGGGAGTGCGTGTCGTTGTCTGAGGCTGCGTGGCAAAAGCATGATCCATCTCATCCTCTGCAAGGAGCTCGCGCCAGTTCAGATATTGCCGAGATGGAGTCGTGTAATAGTCCGGGACCTCTGGCGGCTCTGGATATTGCGGGTATCGGGCTTCAGCCGCATGCATCGCTGCTGCAAGACTAGCGGACCGAATAGCTTCCCCTACCTGCCTTGCCTGGACTCGTCCGAAGTCATCAATGTGAGGGCTAGAGGGTGATGAGGTCGCTCCTGCCTCGGGATCGTTCAATGGCTGGTTAGCGCGAATAGCCGCCACCATCCAGCCGTAGCCGCCGCGCTCGTTGGCGTCTTTCAGCCACTGTTCGTAGTCCTCGTCGACAGGCACGTTGGCACCTTGCGCTCGTGCAGCCGTTGCTGCCAACAGACGATCGTTGAGGGCCAGGCCACAGCTCTCCACTTCCTCGTCGCTGTCCTCGTCGTCATCCAACGGGGTGGGAAAGTCGGCAAGGGCACTGGAGCTACGTGAATGGCTCGCGCGCACAGTGTCGTCACTCCGCGTCTCCAGTGTGTCATAGTAGTCTTCCTCTTCCTGCTCCTCCGTCAAGGTGTAGAAGTCTGGGTGGATTGTCACCGCGGGCAGAGGTGGAGGCGTCTCACTGCGAGTACTCTCGCCAGTCGTGTCCCGTACTATGATGCCTTCCTCCAACTCATAGCGCTGGCGCGCAGACTTAGTACCCTCCCAGCAGCACAACTCCGAGATTTCCTCTGCAGTGAGCTTGAGTTCGTCGAATGCGCGGAACAGGCGGCGGTGCCATGGGAAGCGACCTAGTCTGAGACGGTGGGGTGGATGGGCATAGTCCAATCCGGGATACTGGGCTTCAATGCAGTCGAGGGGTCCATAGAAAGCATTCGTCTCGATTCGCACTTCCGGTACAAGGTTGCGAGTAATGTGGGCAGGGAAGGAACCCGGGTCAGTAGAGCGTTGCCGCGGGAAGAGCGTCGCGTAAACGGTTTCGGCAAGCACTGGCTTCCGCATAGTGAAGACGAGGTGGCAGAAAGAGTGAGAGGGGGGGGAGTAGAAATAGGTGAAGAAGAGAGAAGAATTGGAAAGTCTGCTAGGCAATGCGCAGCTGCGATTGTGAAACGAAACCACTTGGGCGCTCAGGCGGCCCCTCCTCTCGTTGTCAATTAGGATCTCCTTGGAGATCCTGACAGCTCCTAATAGTGGGGCGGTCTAGACAACGGTGGGGGGAGAACAACTCATAGATGATCACGAAAAGGACAGAGCGGAGGCGTGTAAGAGGGAAGATTCACAAAAGACGAAAGGAAGCAGGAGCGAAAAGGACTGAAAGCGAAGGAACGAAGGGCAGGGGGGGAGAGTGAGAAAGAAAGAAGGGTGGTAAGTCACGAGAGAAGGAACCAGCTCAACCGCTCATCATCCCGCCCTTCCTCGAGGTCACCAACCATGACATCGTCGACGACTAATCCGACATCGTTTGTCTGCAACGACTCATCGCCGACTAAGCGACCGGATCCAGGATACCACCTACTTCAAACCCTTCCCACGTTGACATGGCTTTTCTTCCTCGTTGTCCCTCCTGCACGATCACTGCAACGCCAGCTGGACTCGGCAGATTCGTATCACAGCCACTCCACTCTTTCGCAAGGACAACACATCCAACGCCCGCTGGGCACTAGCCTTCAAGGCTAGTTCCAGCCGGGGGCCATCATGTCGACCTTTAATGGGGTCCTTGCAGGTAACTTATCCCCTCGGTCCCTGTCCAAACACGTTCCCCCCCCGGCTGACTGTCGTTTTCTAGAGTTCCCGGACATCCAGAGTAAGTATGACAAAATCCACCCTGTGAAACATCAGCTGACAAGAGCATCTTCAAAGTCGACTACTTCCGGAAGAGCGATGATCGTCCTCCACCTCTGGCTTGCTTCCTGACCCATGTGCACACCGATCATCTCCAGGGTCTCGAGTCCTTCCGGGCGCCTTTCATCTACTGTTCTCCGACCACGCGCGAGGTAAGTTTGATGTCTCCCGTTCTGATTCTAGAACTCGGGTGCTAACCACAATCAAAAAAATCCAGCTACTGTTGCGCCTTGAGCGGTTTCCTCATCGCATCAATTTTCAGCAGGGCATTCTTGAAGCACGCGAGGTTACCTACAAACATCTCAACAAGCTGCTGGTAAGTCTGAAGTGATATTGCTTATCAACATTCTTGCGAGTCAGCGGCTCATATCTTTCGTTTTCCCGCGTTATTCAGCGCCCTATCCCGTTGAACACCCCAACGGAGATTGAACTCACCCCGATCAAAAAGATTCGCGTGACTCTGATCGATGCCAACCATTGCCCTGGAAGTGTCATGTTCCTAATTGAGGGCAATGGCAAATCAATTCTCTACACCGGCGACATCCGAGGTCAGTAGGGCTGTCTCACCAAATCAATATCCCTTTCATGCTAACAGAATTACAGCGGAGAAATGGTGGGTCGATAGCCTGATCCGCAATCCGTTTCTGATTCCATACACTCTGGCCGGCAAACAGCTCGATAACCTGTATCTTGACACCACGTACCTACGTCATGCGGGCATACCCCCGGAGAAGTTCAGCTCCAAGGCCGAGGGGATTGCAGAGCTCTTGGAAAGGGTACAGCGCTTTCCTCCGGAAACGGTTTTCCACCTCGGAGCCTGGACGTTCGGCTATGAAGAGGTCTGGCTGGCCCTTGCTGCCGCGCTGAGAACAAAGGTGAGCCACGTCAAACACCATCCTCGAACTCTAAACATGTTTCCAAGCTTCTTGTCACTTACTCCTATCGATAGGTCCATCCTGATGCGTATCAATTGGCGCTTTATCAGTCCCTTGGTCAGGCCAACAGAGGAATCGACGAGTCTGCAGCCTACAATGGCTTCGAACTGGGCAACAAAATCATTCCAGGCTGCCTTACTAGCGACATGTGCAACGCTCGTATTCACCTATGTGTGCCTCCATGCCCTATCGCCTGTGAAAGCAGTACTGTCTACATCAAGCCATTCCTGGGCCGTGAGGAGGACGGTTTCGAAGTACCTGATATGGGTGAGGGTGGCGGCTCGGGCGATGTGTACCTGCGACAAGAACTTGTTTTGCCGCCAGACCTCCGGTTCTTTCACCTCGTGAACCATTGCACTGCCCGTATGGAGATCTTTGGCCCCGAGGATAAGGCTGCTGTAAAATCGAGGTTACTCGAGGACCTCTATGCCCATGGGGGCAGACTCTCGATCAGCAAGTATGGTATCTCCCTTGAAGATAATCTCCCCCTCGATGCCTTTCTAGGTGTTCTTGCACGCCAAGTCCTCGCGTACGATGGGACCATGCACACAGACGACGCAAAAGATGTCCTAGGCAACCCTCGCCGCAAAATTATCGTGAGTTCTTTCTCTATTTCCTTGATAGCTGCGTGATCGTCATTACTAACCGATTCTCTCAGCGGTTTCCCTACGCTCGGCACTCCTCGTATTCAGAGTTGTGTCATCTGATTAGTGTCTTCAGACCCAACGATATTCATGCCTGCGTGGTACACGACCGCGACATCTTGGGAGGGAAGGCTCTTGTCGACGAATTTTTTGGCCACCTGCTGACCAGTCATGCCGGTGACGCTGAGGTCCTCGAGCACCGCAAGGATCAAGTTGCGGAGGCAGAAGAAGTTTGGCGGGCCGCATCATCAGTCCGACAGAATCTTCAGGAAAATGAATTCCCAGAGCCTGATCCAATTGTCGATCCCCCTGTGAGCCCGCGCTCTTTCGCTAGAGTGGATAGAATGGGTTACGAGCTGATCCGGGAGCTTAAAGAAAACTGGCTTCTTCTCGCAAACGTCGAGCACGACTTTTCGTCGCTCCCAATTGCGGAGGAGACGGGCATAACTAACAGGCTGCTTCAGCTTATTGATCCGCCCACTCCTGGTATGGTCAAAGAAAAGCGCGACGAGATCGAACGTGCCCATGAATATCTCGCGAAACGGTCTGATCTGATGGAGATGGAAGTCGGACCCCTTCCTCCTGCTATGTTTAGAGGCCTGGACGGGGCAGACGGTGCAGACGTCCCAGATCCAAATCAAAAGACGGAGAAGAAAAAGAGCGAGAAGAAGGCAGAAGTGAATCCCGAGGGCAACAAGTCCCATAGACAAGGACCTCCGACCGTTCCTATCAGACGCCCAACTACTGGAGCTGCGCAAGCCTACGGATCCCAGGCCTACGGAACACATGCCTATGGAGAACAAACCTATGGAGAACAAACCTATGGAGCACAAGCCCACGGAGCCCAGGCCTATGGAGCCCAGGCCTATGGAGCCCAGGCCTATGGAGCACATGCCTATGGAGCCCAGGCCTACAGAGCCTCATCCTCGAATGCCCAATCCCCCACCGAGCCGGCCATGGCTACTCGAGAGAGGCAAACCTCGATCCCCGAGTCCGTCTTGGCCCCTTCTTTGTCATCGTCGAGATACGTTCACCCGAGGTCTGGTAATTTGACTCGTGAGCGACTGGAAGTGCTCAACATTATCCAGCGGAGGGAGATGTCCGCTGCACAGCAGCGACACGCTCGAATCGAGGCATATCTTGCCGCCATCGAAGACAGCTACTCGGCCTGGGCCGGTAGGCTTACCTCGGCTGGTGACAACCATGGTGAGGAAGAGATGGAGCTGTGATTGATTTGAACTGAGCAGGTTGTTTCAGGGAAGGGCCTGATCTTCATATGCGGACCGATGATGATGGACAGGCTGGTAAACCCGGCTATTGTCCCACATGTCATCTTGTCGGTTGCATATTAAAGATCTGCTGACACTGCGATGGATGGTTGACGAGCTTGACGGTTGTAGCGAAGGGTTGTAATTCTTTACATCCCGGGTTTCCTGTCACATGTCGAATGTCCGTGAAGTGTTAGGCCTGCCCGGAACAACCTGCTTGGGGAAGTCAAATCACACGCTGAAAGCCATCATCGTTTCGTATTTGCTTTTTTAGTAGCTAACGAGTTTTGGAGGGTTTCCCAGCGCATCAATGATGTTAATATGACGGACCAATATTGCCTAGCACATGAAACTTACGAAATGTAGCACGTAAGACATTCCTAGCCCGGTATGTTCGCTGAATAAAGTTTCTCTTGGAGCTGTCTGCGTAGAAATGAAATAATCTCCCTGCATTCAGGCGCAGACCGGATGCTTCCGATATAGATTGTCGGTCAATATCCCGCTGAACCGGCGAAGTCCGGTGGGTCTACTTTGGCCGGGGTGACTCTCTCGGCGAACTACTTCAATGGATAATCTTATGACCTAGAGCCAACATGTGAATTGTCTCAGACTGTATGCTACTTGATTGTTTCAGTCAGACCAATCGGACCGTGGTAAGTTGAACACCAACCGTACTAAACAGTCCCCAATACTCGAGACTGATATCAAACTCAAACATGAACTAAGGCGAGCATACATAGTACATACTATAACATCCAAAATCATATCCAAAGCAAATCCCATACTCTCAACTCAATCCCTCGGAATCTCAAAAACCCCATCAACAAGCCCCCCAATCTCTGGCACCTGTAACCCCCTCAAAGCCCTAAAAATCCCCTCCAAAATATCCTCCGAAACGCCTTCTTTCCGCCTCGAATAAACATCAATCCCCGCGGGCGTAAACAGTGTTTTTGCAAAATAAGTAACGACCCATGCATTCCTCTCTTCCTCGCTTCCAGTTCCATTTCCAGCTCCAGCCTGTTCGGGTTCGATCTCTCCAAACCCTAATACCTCCCAATGCGACGACGCAATCATCAACCACCCCTTCCCCCGCCAATCCCACGCCCCTGGATTCGATACCGAGGGCGTGTCTATCCCGTGGACGGTGTGGATTTTGGTTTTTGATGGATCCCGTGATTGATATTGGACTAGGTCGTCTAGTTTTGTGGTGGGATCATCACCACTTCCACTTCCTGCCGTAGTACTGGCGTTTTGGGAGGGGATGGGTGTATAAGTAATTGAGACGTTGCGTTTGTCTTTCCAGAGGGGGAGACTGGAGTGTGTGACGTGCCAGGTGCCGGTGAGGAAGGTGATGTATGGAGGGGTGTTTTTGTTATTGGGGTTGGTTTTGGAGTCGTTGGTGTGGTGGTGAGGGGGGTTTAGGGTTATTGTTGTTGGGTTGGGGATAGCCATTGGAAAAATGTATATGTGGGTATATGTGTATAAATGTTTGGTTGTACAGCGATATGAATAGGGGGTGATGGATGTTCTTTGAATGTTGGACGGCAAGGAATTCGCGGGGCTGGTTCTAGGTTGGTGCCGATCGATCGATCGGGTCCTCGATAAAGTAGTCAAACAGAGTATTAAGATGCAAAAGCATTCTACAGGCATATTAAGTTTAAATCAAAGAAATGAAAGATTACAGCTTCGGAAATCAAAGAGAAAGGAGTCATCACTTTCGTAGCTACTAAATCACAATCACAATCACAAAACGGCGCTCTCTCTTGCTATGACGAAAGAACGAAACGCCCAGAATAAGTAGACGCTCGAGAGGTATATGAGAACCAAACAATGCAGGGGGGACGATAAACGACAAAACAATCACAATGAACACGGACAAAGAGCCTTCGAGGGAGAAGTCCCCACGAAGAGAGAGTGGCACAAGCTAATCCTTCACAGGATTGCACAACTTCCAGCTTCAGCTTCAACCTAGAAGCTGAGAAACTTAGAAGATATAGTACGCCTGTGTCAGCGGTAGCTCTGTTGCAGGCTCCGCGTCGCACAGCATCCCATCGGCTTCGACGGTCTAGAAGCACATGTGTATTAGCGCAGTCCCCAAATAAACAGCCTGTGAAAAGCATTGTGAGCTCAAACTTACATAACTCTCCGGATCAACCTTCATCTTGGGCATAGCATCGTTGAATTTCATATCCTTCTTGCCAACGGTCCGGCAACCCTTGACTGCCTCGATACGCTTGCGCAGACCATAGCTCTGTACGACACCATTGTCGATGGAAGCTTGCGAGACGAACATGATCGATGTACTCGGCAGGCGGGCCTAAATAATTAGCACGGTGGACACGGTCAAAAGTCAAGCGAAAGACGGGGCAAACATACACCGAACATAGGACGAACAATCATAGGCTCGATCGTCGGGATCGAAGCGTTAGGATCACCCTATTTCACAAAATCAGTATTGACCCCTCATAGTCCAACCGGTAGGGGGAAGCTTACCATCTCCGCAACGGCAATCATTCCACTCTTCAACACCTGCACGGGCTTCGTACCAAACCTACTAGGCTTCCACAGCACCAAATCCGCAACCTTACCCACCTCCACACTACCAATAAGATGCGCCATACCCTGCGCCAGCGCCGGATTAATCGTATACTTGCTAATATACCTCTTCACCCGGAAATTATCATTATCCGTTCCCTGGTCCTGCTCCAGTTTGCCCCGCTGCATCTTATTCTTATGCGCAGTGTGCCAAGTGCGCAGGATAACTTCGCCACAGCGGCCCATGGCCTGCGAGTCCGAGGACATCATGCTGATAGCGCCGAGATCGTGCAGGACGTCCTCGGCAGCGATGGTCTCAGCGCGAATACGACTTTCGGCAAAGGCGACGTCTTCGGGGATGTTCTTGGAGAGATGGTGGCAGACCATTAGCATGTCCAGATGTTCGTCGAGCGTGTTGAGGGTGAAGGGGCGGGTTGGGTTTGTGCTGCTGGGGAGGACGTTGGGGTGCTCGACGACGGAGATGATGTCTGGTGCGTGACCGCCACCGGCACCTTCGGTGTGGTAGGTGTGGATTGTGCGGCCCTTGAAGGCTTCAATGGTTTGCTCGACAAAGCCGGATTCGTTCAGGGTGTCTGTGTGGATCATGCATTGTACGTCGTATTCGTCGCAGAGGGCCAGACAGTTGTCGATGGCTGCGGGGGTGGAACCCCAGTCTTCGTGGAGCTTGAGACCAGCAGCACCGGCCTTGATTTGCTCTTCGATGCTGATGGCTCCGCAGTCGTTACCCTTGCCAGTAATACCGATGTTGATAGGGAGACTGTCGCAGGCTTGCATCATGTTCTTGAGGTGGTTGGGTCCCGGGGTGCAAGTCGTCGCGTTCGAACCAGTGCTGGGACCGGTGCCACCACCGAGGAAAGTGGTGATACCAGATGCCAGAGCTTCATCCACTTGCTGCGGACAAATCAGATGAATATGCGTATCGAAGCCACCAGCGGTAACGATCTTATTCTCGCCGGCAATCACGTCCGTGGACGAGCCCACCACCAGATCCGGGTGCACTCCGTCCATGACATCCGGGTTACCGGCCTTTCCAATACCAACAATCATACCATCCTTGATACCAATATCCGCCTTATAGATACCAGTGTAATCAATGATCAAGGCATTGGTAATCACCGTGTCCACACACTCGACCGCCGAGCGCCCAGATGCCTGTCCCATACCCTCACGCAGAGTCTTACCTCCACCAAAGGCACACTCGTCACCATAACTGGTCATATCCTTCTCGACCTGAACCCACAAATTGGTCAAACCAAGACGCACCAAATCGCCCGTCGTAGGACCAAACATGCGCGTATACGCCTCGCGCTCCATGGAGAATCCGGTAATCAGCGCGCTATCCGCCGTCGGTTCCGGGACATGAGCGAACCCGGCCGCCTGCAGCTTGGTGACAATTTCATCGGCCCGGCTCAAGTCCACGGGCCCGTTGGCCAGCCAATTGCCTCCGCGGATAACCTTGTGGCCGGCGATCTCGACCAGGGTAACGGTCTTGGTATCTCCAGGCTCGAAACGGATCGATGTGCCGGCGGGGATATCGAGGCGGAAACCGTAGGCCTGGATACGATCGAAGTGCAATTGGGGATTCGTCTCGATGAAGTGGTAATGCGATCCGACCTAGTATCAAGGGATTCGTCAGTTTTCCAGATCTTCTGGTAGACAACCACACCGCACCACCCTGCACAACACTCCCAGCTCTACGTACCTGAATCGGCCGATCTCCCTTGCTCATAACCTTCAACCGAATCCGCTTCCGCCCATCATTCAACACAACTCGCGCATGCTTAGCCGGAATCACCGCACCGGGCATCTTCTCCGGCATATAATCCTCGGGATCTGGATCGGGGAACGCCTCACGCTGAGGAACAGGCAGGAAACTTCCATACAGCGCACGCTCCAGATCACCCTCGTCGCTACTAACTGGGTGGTGCACGGTGACCAGGTACGTACCAGTTGGGAACGTACCCTCGACCTGGAGTTCGACCAGGGTAGCGACGACGGAGGGGAGAACGTGGCGACGACCGAGCATGGTCTTGCCGATGGACATCAAATCGGCGACGGAGTAGTGGCCATCGCGAATGAGCTATACAGGAACACCGTATGGTTAGCCTATTCTTTGCTTCATTTGGCGCGTGGCGCATAACCCATCGCGGTCAATCCCAGGAAAGAAGCGAACGTACCTCGTGCAGAACACTAGAAATCAAAGCCTACAAGGAACACCCATGTCAGCGATACAAACGACTACACTACCTAGCAATTCCCCTTCCCCTTTCCAACTCCAGGATTCAAGGCACATACCACAGCCTCAGCATGATTCAATCTAACACCCCTCGCCAGACGACGCTGCGCCAGGAACCCAAGATGCGCGATCGTGAGCTTGTCAAGCTACACACACATACATATCAGCACGATTATCATCACAGCCCAACGCTGGGTATACATCAAAACCCCTACCTCCTTCGGAACAAGCTGCATGGCGCAGGTGGAACCCGGAGCTTGGCGTACAGCAGCAGGGAACCGTTATCGGCGGACGTAGACGGGGGGGCGGGATGAGGGGTAGCCGTGTAGAGAAAAGAACACAATCCGTGACAAGTTCAGCGAAACCGAAGGGAAGAGCGCAGGTCGTGAATTTCCCCAGTACGAAGGAAGCAAGGGGAAGGAAAAAAGCCAAACGGGCGAAGAGAATGTGGGGTGGATGTCAATCGGATTCGGGGGAGGTTGTAGTTCCTCTTTAATCGCTATTTTTTTTTCTGGTTCGGTTTTTTTCCCCCGTCGACTGCCGTAGTCCGGCGATAAGAAGGTCGAGAGCACTAGAATAGTGTACAGGCCCGCTCGAGATAAGCCTTGTCCGATGGGCGATTGGGCGAGTGGAATCACCGAATGGCTTGTTCTGGGCGGGGCGCTCGGCCGTGTTAGTCACGGCGTTGCTAAGCGGAATTGGGCAATTGGGAATTGGAGAGAGTATTGTGACTGGCTCGGTTTCCCAGGAATGACTGGTTGATGGGTGATGATAAGTGGATGACAGGGGAGTATAACTTGATGGTTTTATTGGTGGCATATTCGTATTTGTATACAACTACTTACTAGTACTACTATGTAGTTCTCGTATACTGATGTAGTGCTATACAGCTTTCGGCTCGCCCCGCTTCGACTTATAGTTCAGGATGGGCCCGGAAGTTAACTACTGTATCGGCAAAGTGTAAAAGCTATTTGAACAAAGTGCCAAGTTTAAAATCAACTGCAAATCCCATTTCAAGGCTCCATAAATACACTTTTGACACAAACGCCCTCGCCATTAAAAGTCCCAAAGACTTGCACGCTTCCCCGCCGGTTGGAATCCCCGGATTATTCTCCAAAGCGAAAAAAATGAACAGAAAGTGGAATGGAAAAGACTCCCTCCCCCTTCATAGGTACCCGAAAATCACTCCCAGTAATATCACATCATATACCTCCTTCGTCTCTTCTTCATGTGCACAGTTACAGTTTCACGCTTCCAACAATTCACTCCTTCCATTCATTTAAACCTCGCTCTTGCGCTTCTTGGTCTTGCGCTTGGTCTCTGCCGGGGTAGACTTGGCCGAGGCAGCTTCGGCGGCCTTGCGACCCTTCTTGACGGGCGAGGCGGGCTTAACGGGAGACTCGACAACCTCCTTCACGGCCTTGACGTCGCTACGACGGCGCTTAGCGGCGCTCTTAGGAGGGGTCTTCTGCTTCACGGGCTGAGGCGGGGAAGGAGATTCCTCCTCGACCTCTTCCTCGGACTCGGAGGTCTCGTCATCAGAAGACTCGGCCTCTTCGTGCTCGACACCGGCAATGCCCTGCTGGAGCTGATCATTGGCAGCATCGTCATCGCCTGCCTTACGACCAGCCTTGTAGGCGGCCATGTCGCGCTTGTAGGCCTCGTAGTTCTCGAGGTACTGCGCCTTGTAGACATCCTTCTCCTTGGGATCCATGGTCTGCCAGCGACGAGTACCCTCGTCGGCAACATCCTTGGGCTTAGCACTACCACCCAGATCCTCGGCGATCTTGGTGCGGTTCTGCTGCATGTACAGGAAGTAGGGAGTCAGGGCACGCTTGGGCGCGTTGGGGTCCACCGGCGCACGCTTGCGCTTCTTCAGACCGCCAGCCTCGGACTTGAGACCGGGGCTAGCAGCGCGGGTGGACTCGGCGTGGAAAGCCAGACCAGTGGGCATGGCGGGAATGTCAATGGTGGCAGAGTCACCGTTGATGACATTGTTGACGTGCTCCACGTAGGCCTTGCTCAGGTCGGCAATGTAGGATTGCAGAGCCATGAGGCGCATGATGACCTGGGATGTTTTGTTAGTGATATTCAGACATGGCAGAATGACATTTCCTATGAGCGGTGGGTTGGGAGAGGCAAATCATGTACATGATTTCAGGGTTCTTCGGGGGAGTCCAAAAATGTGCGGGGGACTGGGGGAGTGCTAGGGTTCGGGGGTTCGGCGGCTAAGCAGGCCGGAGGGTTTTGCGGGAAACATGACACGCGCGGGAGGAGCTGTCCAGGCCCATTGGGAGACGCGCTGCCCACGCAAAAGGGAACAAATGAATTACAAAGCTTGTTCAAGCAAGAGATCAATGTTGCGATCGATACTCAAAGCTCCGCTAGGCCCATAGAGCTTGTACACTGGGACGCGAAAGCTCTGTTGATATGCGACGCGTAGAAGAGCGCGCCGGTGGGAGCAACTGGGCATGGGAACAAGCAGAGCGCGACCGGGGGGAAAAGGCACAAAAAACGGGGAAAGAAAAGGCGATAGGTAAAGAGAGAATAATGACTTACAGCATCCTTGGAGTTGCGGAGCTCCTCGATGTTCACGGCCACAGTGGCCTCGGAATCGTGCTTAGCGGTCATGATTGTTATGGGTGGTGGTGGTGGCGGTAGTGAGGTGGTGGGAAGGAAGGGGGGGGGGGGAGGGGTTAAAGGGAGAAAAGAAAATTTTGGTTGAGAGTTTGGGGGGGGAAAGGGATTAGGGAAGAATTAGGGGGGAGCTTCGGCTCGGAGAGGGAAGAGGCCCACTAAATAGCACTGCCCGTGCCCGTCAACCCATCACCCCGTCACCCACCACCAGACTGACCACCAAACCCCAAACCCCCCGAGGGCCGCACAAACCCAACGGCACCCAAATAACCAAAACACTAGTCCCCGTTCCCCCCCCCAAAACACCCAGCCAGCCCCCCAAGCACCACCCCGGCAGGCTCGGCCTCCCAGTTACCCGCCCATGGCTGCTTTAGGCTTAGCCGGCTCCCCCCCCAAAGCTCGAGCCCACCATTTCTTTAGCTGAACCCTCCTCCCCTCCTTCATGGGCGCTTACCTTAACTATCGTGTCCCCTGGGACTTTAGGTCATGCGGTACCCCTCCCTGGCGCAACGTGATTCTAGACCTACAGTAGTTCTATGGTTTCTTTTTCCATCCCCCCTCCCTTCTCGACTTCTAGAACAAGGGTATTAGGCTGCACACCTACATAAACCCGGGTAACCCCCAGCTTAACCTGACCCCCCGTGACATGACTTGCTTGGTTCCCCCGCTATCTGGGTAAAGTACCTTCTGGCGCGGGGTCTTTGAGCTGAAAATAGGTAAACTCGCTGATGCCCTGCGAAGTTAGTTATAGACATATTTTATTTTTTTTTAATGATTAGCATTTTCAAGTGTTCCGCATAATATATTTAGTAATACATAAATAGTCCATCTACCCTTCGAGGGGTCTAATAACACTAGGTTATTGTGGTTGTTGGTGATATATATCGGGTCATCCATGCCCGTCTGATGTGCGACCACCACTTAAGCTCCTAGACACCAAGAAATTGACTTTACACGTACGTTATCCATCCCTACAGCCCTTTACTCGTAAATAAAAACATAACTATAGAGTTTATAGAAGTAGGTGGTACAAATATATTTCCCAGATATTCTATGGCATCAAAAACACCATCGCATCGACCCGGGGGGAATGCGGAAAATACGCGCCAATGCATCAATTTACATCGCTGCTCTGCCCTCTCCCACTCCCCGACCGGACAAAAAAAATCTATTCTACAATTCGGTACAATCGGAGTCCATCTAGAACTTGAACACCTGCTCCTTGCTGTAACCCAGATCCTTCAGGATACCAGTCAACTCACCCTGGTCCTTGGGGCTGACCTTACCACCGCTGATAGCCTTGTACATGCCAGGAGGACCGCAGACGAACACCTTGATGTTCTCCTCCTTGGGCTCGGGCAGGACAGTCTTCAACAACTCCTTGGTGATGAAGCCCTTGCCGCCGGTCCAGCCCTCGGGAGGGTTGTCAAGAACGTAGAAGGCACGGAAGCGCTGGGGGTAGGTGTTCTCCAGCTCGTGCAGCTCCTTCTTCAGCAGGATGTCCTCCTCGCTGACGTTGCCGAAGACCAGAGTCACCTTGGTGCGGTCCTCGGGGTTCTTGAAGATCTGGCGGGCCAGCTGGTACATGGGGGTGATACCGGTGCCACCGGCGATCAGGCAGATGTGGTCGTGCTTGTTAGCCTCCCAGGGGTACTTGGGGAGAGGACCCTTGAGGGACAGGCGCTGGTTGACGTTCATTGAGTGGAGGTGCTCGGACATGGGGCCACCGGGGTAGGCCTTGACCACGAGCTCGAGGTAGCCGGGGGTGTCTAGAAGGGGAGAGTGAGTTGAGCCCAATTGGCGAATTTCAAGGGCGAGAATGAGATCATACCTTCATCGCTGGTAGGAGTGTAGGGACGGAGGACAGCCTTCTCACCCTCGGGCTTGTACTTGGCCAGAAGAGCGGCTATAGTTCAGGTGTCAGCAGTGGAGTTTGACCTGCACGAAGGGAGGGGTAGAGCCAACAGGCAACGGGAAGACCAGAGACAGCCTCCTTGTCGTCAAACTCAAAGCGGAATCGCTTAGTGTTGTGGCTCAGAGTCTCGACGCTGGCAAGCTTGAGGTCAACCCAGTCACCAGTGAAGACCTTGGGGCGGTCCTCGAGCTTGATGGCAACAGGGGCGGAGCTGGAGCTGTAACGGTAGAGACCGACACCGGCACCGGCGAGGCCGACAGCGACGTAGATTGGGGTAAGGTTGGACTTCTTGGGAGCTCCCTCAGTAGAGTACTTGCGGAAGCTCTAGCAATTACGCAGCAACTGGTTAGACCTGGTTTCTTGTATTTTTTTTTCTTTTGCGCGGACAATTGACGATCAAGCGCAAGGCTTACCTGCTTCAGGGGCTGCGCACAGCGGAAACTCTGGCGAGCGAACATTGTGACTTTGAATTGAACGGATGGTAGGACAATTGGGGGTGGAAAGATGGAATTGTTTGGAGGAGGGCCAGAGGGGGAAGAAATCGGAATGAAAGCGGACAGGCGCTCGGTTGTCCACCCCCAGCGCAATGACGCAATAGCGGTTCCTGGCACAGCGGATATAACGAGTTTCGCTCTTACATGGAGGATGGAGTCGACTGTCTTGATGGCATTTGCATTTTATTGGTTTAATTTACGATTATCTCCGGCGTCGTAGCTAGAATTGGCTTGGGATATTCTTGATACTCCGGGATCCGCTTATGCTTAGAAACCTCCCCAGGCTTACCGGGAGCTCGGGCTCGGACTCGGGCATGTCGAATCCCCGAAGTAAATAAGGCTAGATCCAGCAAAAGATCATAGTGTCTCGGAGAAATATGATACACATGTACTATATGGCAAGGTCTAGACTGCTTGAGCATAATCGTCGCGTAGCCAGATGTAAAGGTCGTCTATAATCATATACAACTTTCCGATGGAATCCAAACTACTGGAATGCAATGCACAAGACTGAACTTGAACCCGATGATTTTTTGATTTCATCCTCGGACGCCACTACACGGGACTAGCGACATCCAAACCATCTCCCATAACTGAGTACACACAGGCCGTTTTCCGCGCGACCAGTATCTTTCATGCATGCTATTGGCCATATCGCAGTTATTTCATCCTCACACGCCATTCCCGAAAACCCCAAAACATCACATTTAAGCAAAGGTGGAGGGACGAGAGTAAGCGTACAGCTTCTTGCCCGGGTTGGCGGAGCGGTGGGGCAGGGGGAACTTGAGGTTCTTGGAGAGGAGCTGCTTGATGTAGGGGCGGCGGATGCTGTCGGTGTCGGTGACCTCAACAACCTTAAGGATCTGTATTGAAGAATGGTGAGTATTTGATATTGAAACTGCCAACAGAGTCGAAACGTACGTGGATGGAACCGAAGCGAGCACGGTGGCGGGCAGCCATGTCCTGGTAGAGAGCCTCGACGGCCTCAGTGCGGGACATCTCACGGAACTCCTTGTACATGTTGTGGGTACCGGAGCGGGAGTTGTAGCGGAGCCAGATACCGAAGTTCTTGACCTTGAGGGGACGCTTCTCGGTAATCTATATGAAAGAGTAAGTAGGAGATCGAGGGGAGAAGTGTCTGGATTGGCAGGTTTCCTCCACGTACGGTGTTCAGGCTGACAATCTCGCCGTTGGCCTTCTTCAGCTTGCGGAGAGAAGCCATGAAGTACCAGAAGCGCGACTTGGCCACAACGGTGTTGGGCGCAAAGATGCGCATGCGGTACAGCTTGGGCGTGGGGTTCGCCTCGGTGGGCAGGTGACGCCCGATAACCTGGTACTCGTTAAGACGCCCTGAAGATCCGTCAGTCATTGCTCCGGTTTGAGTGTTGAGTTTTGATTTCCAATGCTGATTTCCTCGTGGTGATTAAACGGTGCGCGCGATTGCGGAAGGTGAATCCCTAGGAAACGAAAGGGGGTAGACGTTTTGGTGGTGTGAGTTGAAAATTTCGAGATGGGCCAGCCGTGTTCTTTTTCGACAGCGCCGTGTGCTCTCCTCCTTCGCAATGATTTCTGATTGAATTGACGACGCCTCCTCCATAGTTGTTTTTGTTTGAATATCTTTCCCAATGATCTCGTGTCGGTATCCAAAGTTGTTCGTTCTTGTGTAGAATTTCGCCGGACCGTATCGCACACACCGTAGTCGTCTCGAGGAAATCGCTGGAATATCGAAAAAAGGTCACTTACCCATCTGGAAGGATAAATGTTAGCAGTGGTCTCGTAACTGATCGAATGGGGGCAGCACGTACTGTGATTGTCGCTGTGGTGGTTGAGTCGTTAGTGGTGCCGGCGGGAGAGAAATCAAAGATTGTGTTGCAATGTGCTTAGGGCTACCGCCCTTCGGTTAAGCGAGTGGAGGCCCCTTCGAAACACGCTAACCTAAAAGGGAACTTTCCTCACCAGCCACACTTGGGGCTTCGGGGGAGGGCTTCACCGCCACAGGTATCTGCACGGCCATAATGCGCCCCACTCTGCCTGCCATCGGCTCATTCCAAGTGTACCCGCGACTTGGTAGTTTACTGCTTCTTCGACACTCCAAGTACCTCTGCCAAGTTCAACCGCGCTTCCCCACACACATTTCAACTAGTCGGGATATCGAACCCGTGCTTGGGCAATTGAACTATGCAGCTTGCCAACGAGTTTAGACATGCCTACAGCATTGCTTCAGGGCCCGATCTCGCCGCAGTCCTGACGCCAATTGCGACCTCGAATAACCCAGATCGGCTGCGATCTTTCTACCAATACACGAACATTCAATACCTCACCCAAGACCTCCACTCAAACCTCTTCCACGGCAAAAACCTGAAAGTACCGAAAAATGAACAAGCTGCCTGGGTTGATATCTTCGCGGCATACTGGGAAGCAGTGGGGGAGGTGCTAAGGTGCGAGGGCCGGCACCCTGGAGCCAGTGCAACTGCAATCTTCACTGCCTGGAAGAAGGTTTCCAATGCCCTTATCAAAGGGTATGCCGGATCGAATGGTCTTCCTGCATGGACACTGCCGTGCTTGTACACGGTCGGCAAATTTCTACGAACCTTTGCGATCAAGGCAGACCTGGAGGTTGCGTCGCAGGGCTCCTCGGACTTTGGCTTCCAGGATGATCTTGCGGTGGATGTAGAGAAAAATGCAAACTTGGAGGAAGCTGCACGGATCATTAATCGGATGTTTACTCTTTGTTTGAGTGATCGGTGAGTCGAGTCCTGGGCTCTTGAGTTGCACGTACGATTTGCTGATAGATTTAGCGCCCCCATTGAGGAGTCACGGAAGTGGGGAATCTACGAAACTACCAACCTGCTTTTCAAGACTTACTTTAAGGTAAGCATGATCAACTTCTACCGAAGCTCCACCCTGAGCGATTACTAACTCGATACAGATCAACTCGGTTGGCCTTACGAAGAACTTGCTGCGCGCAATCAATGCGCAATCCCATGAGCTGCCACCGCTTAGCGCATTCCCAAAGTCTCACATCGTTACATTTGAGTACTATCTCGGAGTCATCCACTTTTTGGATGAGCAGTACACACAGGTATGGAACTGCCTTTGGCTAAGAAACAACGGGAGGACGAGTCTAATTCGATGTATTTCTTTCAGGCTGAGGAGCACCTCACTACTGCTTGGAGAATGTGTCACCGTGGTGCTTATAAGAATCGAGAGTGGGTATTCATCCCTTTTCCGCAATATGGCCATTGCTTACATGTTTCTCTAGGCTGATTCTTACATACCTGATTCCTTGCCATCTGGTGACCACCCACACCCTCCCCAGCAAACAACTTCTTGCGCCTTTCCCCCGATTAGAGCAACTCTTCCGTCCCTTGTCCAATTGCATTCGCAAGGGTGACCTCGTCGGCTTTGATCAAGCCATGTCTGCCGGAGAAGCAGAATTTGTCAAGCGACGCATCTATCTCCCGCTAGAGCGTGGACGCGATATTGCGCTGCGCAATCTTTTCCGAAAGGTCTTTATTGCTGGTGGATTTGAAGAGCCCAAAGATGGCCAGCCTCCTATTCGGCGAACCCGAGTGCCCGTGGCCGAGTTTGCGGCTGCGTTGAGAATTGGAACCCATGCAACAGGTCGAACACGGGTGGATATTGACGAGGTCGAGTGCTTACTGGCCAACCTCATTTACAAGGTTAGTATCTCTTGTGCTTTCACGGGGGCTCCAAAGGTGCATTGGCTGATAATGATTTATAGGGTCTCATGAAGGGCTATATTGCGCGTGAACGCGGGATGATCGTCCTGAGCAAGAATAATACAGCTTTCCCAGGCACCGGCGTCTAAGAAAGACGCACTCATAGGAACTTGCTCAAAGGTTTGAAAAATGCCAACCGCGATGAGCGAGTGGCTTTACCTGCGCGTCTGGAAGTCCCAGCTACACCACAGTCCACGGAAGACTGAAAACTCCCCACTACAAAGGCTCACCGACATTCTCATCTTATCATGGAAATTCAAACCCATTGCCCAAGCTGGATTTAGCCGCACCACGGAGATGTCGATGAACTCGAGGCTCGAGAAACCTGCCCAAGCATCCGACCAGCCTCATGTCACATTCCTTCTCCCGCTCCAGAAGTAGCATAACGACTGCTACAATTGCTACGTGCATATTGGTCTACGATGGATATGATACTAAGAGGACTGAACACCACGGATTCACCTTCATATTTTAGATTCAAACATATCTGCATTCCTACTTCATTCTGCCCTTACCGTTGATAATATTATAGTTGTACATGGGTATAAACCATTAGATCCCTGCTCCTGCAGGTGGTAAGAAGAAAGCCCATACACCGAAAAGATCCCAACCCTAGTAAAGTACAACCCTCAAAATCCAACCTAGCAACCCTGTCCATACTCCGGCACCGCCGTACTACAAACCGACATAGCCGACGGAAAAACATCATCCTAATCAATCAAATCAGCAATCCAGTCAAATCCACCAGGGAGCCTCAAGCATAAACTCACCATATGATTACACATAGCAACAAACAAATCAAAAAACAACCTCCCCCCCTTCTCCATCTCAACCTGCATAGTCCCACTCCTCTTAAACGTGCCCCGACACCGAATAATAAGCGCCAAATAATGCGCCCGCAGTCTGGACTCTGTCTCCGGCGTATGCGCATACGCAAATCGCGCACTCGCCAGAATCGTTCGACACGGTATACCCATGTGCAGTCCCTGCTTGCGCAGGGCCAGTCGCGCAAGTGACGGGAGGCGGTATGTTAGTGCAGCGCAGTAGACGGCTGTGTCGCGGAGGATGGGGGTTTCTGGGACAGCGTGGTGGTATATTACTGCGTTGGGGGAGAGGGTGGCGTTTATACTTGGTGCTGCGCCTGCGTTTGCAGCTGTGGAGGTTGTTGTTTGTGGAGGGAGGATGTCGTCGTCTAGAGTCCAGGTTCCTTTGATGGGATTGTGGACGAGGCGGGGTGTGTAGTCGCCTTTGTAGAGGTATTCGAGGACGCAAGAGAGGACTTCGGGGTTTTCGTCTGGGAGGTCGATGCGCTTGCTGGGTGTTGTGATGTGTGGGTGAGATGGGGGAGGGGGACTGGGGATTTGCGAGGCGCAGTGGGCTGCGAAGGAGGGGGATGCGCTGAGGATGGATTCGTGGGCGGCGAAGAGGCGTTGTTGAGGGCCCACGCGGAGCATTACGATGGGAGAGGAGGGACGTCGGTTTGGACTTCTGGTGAGTGAGTTAGTGATGGATGTATTGGGGGATTGGAAGGAGGAAAAGGCGGATTTGATGATAGATTGGAAGATATAGTAATTGAATTGGAAGATGCGCTTGAGCATAGAGGACTTACGATACATCTGGTGGACACGCCGGTCTCCTCTTCTCCAAGCGTCTTGAACTGCCAGAACTGGAGCTATCTCGCAGGTTTCTCCTCGACCGAATAGCCGAGGCTTTCGCAGCGCGATACCTCGAGAAGTTTGCGACTGGAGCAGGAGCAGGGGCAGGCTTTCTCGCGAGCATTGCTCGTTTGCGATATCGATCATCCATTGCGAAAAGCGTGAATTCCAGACACTAAAGACAGACGCGGGATTAAGAACAGGAAAGAGGATGATATGGAAGCAGAATCGTGGCCACGATTCAGGGGGGTTGACCAGCTATTTATACGTCTACGCCGAGTAGAGCTTCCACCCGGGCTGAGGAGAAAGAAAACTTTCATACAAGTTCGACAGGTCATGTTCTGTCATGCTTGTACAAGACACGGCGCTGGACGCTGGTTATATACGGTACCTGCATAGTCCCCGCCGCAGATCCGCGCAGCTAATATAACCATTTCTGGCAAGAGATCAGTCCTCGACGCGTTATGACAGGTTTGAAACGCGTACAAAGGGGGATGGAGCCCAAGTGATGTGTCGCCAAATGAGCGCGTGGTCACGGGATCCGTTAGCTCGAATAGCGTGGTTGAGGGAGCCAGTCAGAGTTCAGGTTGGACTGGATCAGGGGGTCTCTTTGGGACTTAGGCTGCCTCGGCGGGATTAGGGGGAGCTTGAAGTGGAGACTGGGAAATGAAATGTTGGCCTGGTGGAGGCCGATCATCTGGCATTGCCTACGTTCAAGTGTTGGGTTTAATGAGAACCCAGGGAAATAAATGACAAGGATTGAGAGCGAGAGAGAGGTGAAAAACAAAAAGGGGAAAGAAACATTGACAAGAAAGCCTCCAGATGAAACGCCGATATTCTCCCCTAACGCCAATCCAGAAATTACTTGAAGCCGGCAGACCCAGGAATGAAAAACCTTGACAAGCCAGCTCGTCAGAGGAATACCTTCCGGGCGTCTTTCATGTGACTTTCGTTCGGGCAGTAGGGACACTTGAACCGGCTGCCTTTACTGAGGCGCTTAAGAGACTCTTCTGCGATGACGTGCCCGCATGGCATCATCATGGGCGGGTTCTGATCAGTGGCCTGCTCCTTGGAAACGGGACAGACAAAGATCGAGTGGAAGAGGTAAGATGGTGGAAGTGAGATTTCGACCTGTTCAGTACCCATGTTAGTCCGGTCGTTCGCATTTTCTTGCGGCAGCTTCTATGGTTGGAACTCACCGGTAGCTCGTTCTCGCTCGTCCACTCCGTGCGCTTCGCCTTCATAATTGTCTGCAGCTTCAGCAGTGTAGGCAGCGCAATCGCGCCGGCAGTTGCGGCAATGTAAAGTGGCGAGTCCGCTGACAGACCTAGCAGTGAACAGAACTCACGAGTAAAGAACTGGGCCACATCGTCCCACGCCGACGAGTTGTTGAAAATCGCCGAATACGGCGAGCCCTGCAGGTTCGGGCAAAAGGCCATGGCTCCCATCAACTGCTGCACCTCACGGAGGTATCGTGGGAGAAAAGTATGGAACTCCCGCTTCGCGTAGGCCATAGCCGCGCTCCAGTTGCCCGGGATATGATTGCCTACTGGGGTATCTGACTCGCCATGGTAGAGCCAGACAAACTGTAAGCGACACAGTTCGAATTCCAGATTGCTACCGCGGGCTTCTAGTGCCTCGCGATTCTCTCGAGACCATTCGATGGCCGGGAGGAGGTTCCTTTGCTCTTTCATCTGAGAGAGGATATAATACATGGAGGCGAACTCTTTGCGGATCTCCGGGGAGGGGACCTCGTCAAGGTTGAAGAGGCTACTGACTGATTCGGGGGTGGCGGCCGCGGAGGAGGAGGAAGGGGACTCGTGGGTATGCATGGTGGCTTTCTTCTCGGAGATTTCGGAGAGGAAGGTGGCTGCGACGGAGAACTGACCTTCGCGGAGGAGGTGCATGGCGATGGCGCGGTTGATAAGGTGTTCTTGTTCGGAGAGGACATCGTGCTCAGTGCTAGGGAGGGGCCTATCCTTGAAGAGCTGAGGTGGGGAAAGTTTCAGCATGCAGCCTGGAGAAGAGGTGTGTGGTTGTATAGGTCAGGCTGACAGAGAGAGCGATGTATGTACCTTATCGAGGGACTTTGTGTATTTGTTAAGGCCGCCATGGGTTTCTTTCAGACTGTCATTGATTGAGTTGAAGGATGCCTTGACGGGATTTTGTAGTTTGGTCAAGGTCACTGCTGCCTGGTTGGGGTCTATATAGAAGAAGGGCGAGTTCAGTCAGTGAGTAGAACTTCCCCGCGGAACGGTCTCTCCCGAGTCCCACGATCTCCTCGACGGCAGCTTTGACTAACCGGCAGCAATGGTATTTCGGGCAGACAGGAGTAGATCAATAGTGGCCTGGACATTATTGATGCCCTGGGAGGTCCTTAACCTCTTCAGAAGCCGGTCATGCTCCTTCTGTACCAGATCCATGGTGGCGTACGGGCTGCGGAGTACTCGATGCGGAGATGATCAGGTTACCGCCCGACAAGGCATCCCAGTGCCATAGAGAGGAACCGGTAACGAGGAGGGAGATTATAGCTGGTCTCTCGAGTACCCTACAGACTCGGTGAAGTTGTCATGAGCCTGGTCGTATGGTGTTTCGAGGGGTCGTTGGGTGAATCGGGTCGACGGACAATGGCAGAGGGTCCGGGCTCGAGCTGTTCCGGATGATCGCCGGTTGTTACGACATACACACGTGACCTACTATCGCGACTCCTCTCTCATTGCTACAACTGGTTCGACTGAAGGGATAAAAGATTGCGGGTAAATCGAACTTCGTTAGTCTAGATATGCAGTTTCTCCACATAATGTACCATCTGGTCCTCTACAATGTCTCAGCATGATTTGTATGATAAGCCGAGCTTGGATTGACCACCAGCTGATTGCTATCCAAACGACACTAGTCCCCTTTGGGCAAGGCAAAAAATAACGATGAGTCATCCATGGGTCGGGCGTCCCACTTGACCAATCACATGCTTTTCAAAATGGGACTAGCCCCACTCTCGCTTACACTAGTGCCGTCCCCGGACGCCTATAAATACTTCCTCCTCTCTTCCCCCTTTCCTCCTCTTTTTTCTTTCTTTTCTCATCCTAGTGCACGGGTTTTACACGTATCAGTGAGGAGACATCCGAGATCGTGTTTTTGCTAGTTGAAAACTACCAAAATGACCACTCTGTCTGGTCTTCGGATCGGACAGGAATTTTTGAACAAACAAGTTGCCCCAAGTCCCTTGGCTGTTCAGCCATCGGGCTTGGATTCGGTGCTCGTTCAGACATGGCCCTACCATTTGGGATGTGGCCGGCCTGATCAGCGCTGTCTCGGTCTTCTTTTCACTACTGTTGCCACCCAAGTTGGTGGTCCTTAGAGAAGAGAGTTGCGTATAAATGTAGATGATGCTCCAGAGGTCCAGTCGTGTTGCTTCGCCCGCGTTCAGGCTTCTAGACGATAGACTATAGAGTACCCCTACGGCGTGACTCGCGTCGAGTAAACAAGTCCTTCGTACAACCGAGTAATTACACCATATGCGACGCTAGATCTTGTTCAGTAACCAAGACCCTTACTCGACACTTGTGTAGCTCTGTCCCTGAACCCTCCTTGCGTGGTTGAAGCTCTCTGTTGGTGCCTGATACCCTCACCGCCCGCATCCAGTGACGTCGGCCTTTCTGCAGGGTCCGAGGGTTCACCAAGCTTGATACCTCGACGTTGACAGTGTCTGCGACACCCTTTTGCCCTTTACCTCAGTCGCCAGTACCAGGGCTGGACGATGCATCAACAGCAAATACCGGGATATGTTCTCGTGGCCTCCGCCTGACTCGTACTGCAGGAGGATCTCAACAGAAGCTTGGCGCCTCCCTGGTAGGTGACCGAAGCCGTTGGTGGCGGTGGACTTGCCTAAGCTCAAATGGTGTCCTACCTCCTCCTCTTCTGAACAACTCGAAAATTTGTTCTTGGACTGCGTGGACAGTCGTCCGCAGCCCTGCGCGTTGACCAACATCGGCCATGCAGTCCAACGCACCACCTGCACCGCTGGTCGGTCGCCGTGATTCCACCAAAGCGTCCGACAGCATGCGTGTCAGCCCCGCATCGAACACAAATGGCCCAGACCCTCGTCCCAGAACCCAGGGTCACCAGAGACTCATCTTCACCGACCCGGTTGCCCTCCGATACCTCGAAGAAGATCCTTCCACCGATGTGCTGCAGCGCCGCGAGACCCTGCAAGGATACGAAATATATATTGTGGAACAATGGGCCTGCTCGCGACAGCATCCTACCTTTGTCATCTCGACCTACACCGGGGATCCATCACATACAGTGGTCGTGGGAGTGCTCAGTGTCCCGACGGACGAGTCAACATGGTCGCCTCGGTTGCGGATGTACTTTGACGCTGTGGAGCAATCCTGCGCGCGGAGGAAAGAGACACCGCTAGGGACGATCATGGTCACGGACTTGGGAACATTCCCGTCAGCCTTGACCATCATTCCGGTGCCAGAGGGTGACATCAAGAAACATCGAGACGACTTTATTGTCAACGAGGACTTAAAACGGCTTGGGTGCGCTGGTCGCGCGGGCCTGAAACTGCAACCCCCGTCGGCAGCCACAGAAGCCAAGTTTCATCAGCTGTATCGCACGAGTGAGCGAGTCACATTCTATACCGCGGTCACTGAGCTGGTCAAGCAGTGCCAAATTGCGTTGATGGTGTTCGACAAGTTGGCCCCCGAGTACGTGGATGGTCTACTCTGTGATGTGACGGAGAAGGCTATCAGTGACTGGTGGGCAGATATCGGAACCGACTTGTACAACATTGAACCGAGTGATGGCGTGTTGGGACCAACTAGTGTCGCAGCGTTGCTGGGGACGCTTTTGGGAGCCCGCAATCGACTACATGCCTACGGCGCACCCGTAGGCAAGGACGCCTTTGACATCGTTAACCTTAAGAGGGGTATCGGTGGGTTTCAAAAGGCGCAAAAGATGAACCGTTCCCGCCGACTGGACCGGCGAACCTTGGACAGATTGCACCGTGCGACCACCAAAGCTGCAAATGCAGAAGGGTGGACGGACGCGATCAAGTCGACCATGACGGAACTCAGTGGACAAGGTGGTGAAATGGTCATGGGTATGGTGCGCGGCCGCGAAAAGGGCGGAATTGCAGATATCGAGACCCTCGACCTCGATAACTTTGTCCAGTGCGTCTACGGTTCCAGGGCTAAATGGCTGTGGCTTGGAAAGACACGCAAAAGCGGCCTAGATCCTACCCTTGGCTCCGGCACCGATATGATGTTTACGGCTGATGACCAGGGCGGGTATGTCTGGACGAGTCGGAAAAAGCACTCCACGGAAGAGTTGCATGCTGAGCGTGTGGCTTCTGGACTTGATCGACAATGGAAAGCACCAGACTCGTTGGTTACGGAGGAGAGAGACCAACGCAAAAAGGGTGTTAGCGGTAGAGTCTCGGATGCCCGGGCTGGTCTCGGTCGATTTAAGGATGCAGTCGGGCTGCCAGGCTTGCGTTCACATCACCAAAAACATTCTCGCGAAGGAGTGGATGTGACCCATGATATTGCGTATCAGCCTCAGATTGACAGCGATACGGAGACATCTGCCCAGAAATCCAAGAATGGCTCTGGACGATCGGAAGCAAAGACGGGAGAAGAGTTTGTAACTCGACCAGAGGACGAGCAGAATGTCCAACCTCCCACCACGGTCGAACCCGGCACCGAGGTCAAGCCTCCTGAAATTCACGTCGAGACCGTCCCGTCTACAGAGGACACGGAGGAGCAGTCGGAACGAGCAGACCAATTATCAGACCTGCAACCGATCCCAACGATAGAGGAGGAATCGGATATAGAACGCGTCAGGACCCGGTCTACCGCTGCATCCAGTGAACGAGGACAAGAAAGAGAAGATCCTAGCTCAAACTTGGCTATGATGGCTCTTCGCCGCCCGCAAAGTTGCGAAGAACTCCGAGCCATTGACAACGAAGACCAACGACGTGATGATTCTTGCCCGCGGCATTTGTCCTTTAGCAATGTCGAAGAAGTCGTACTCACCTGGGACCCGCTGGGCACGCAACCAAGGATTAAAGACACGACGAACCTCGAAGAAGCCATTGTCCAAGAAGACATGCTTTCATCCGACGCGCGAATTTTCAGCGCACGCATCTTGGAGCTTAGCGAACATACCGTCCCATGGGTCGAGCGCCAGGTGGATTCCGTCGATGGATTGAACAACATCCTGTACGAGCGCCACGAAGAGCTCAACGCCGTATACCTAGAACGATTCGGCGATTACCAGCGGCTACGCGAACGATCTAGCGACCTCGTTACCGACGAACACGCCCATCTCAGCGATACCATGAAGCGCGTGGAATTGCTAGGCGCCAAACTAGACTATGAGCTCCACGTCCTCGAGTCCAAGGTCGAAGACATGGAAGAAGGCCTCAGTGATTTCGAGCGTCATATCGTGAATGTGGAAACCCGGATCAAGGGCTTACTCCAGGGCGAAGAGGAACATGGCATTTCTTGGATGACTTGGTTACGGCGGTCTATTGGCTTTACGGCGCAGTGACGTTGAACGTCTTACGACCCGACATGGGACGATTTTGTATGATAGGGGTGATTTTTCCCATGTTTTTCTTTGTAAATTGTCCCCCAATTCCCCCCTTTTTTCCTATTGTACATAGACGCCGGCGTTCCGCGCCGACTGAATAATAAAAAGAAACTTGTGATGATATAAAACGGTGTTTCCATCACGACGTAAATCAAACAAAACCACCGGGTAGTTGGGCAATGCGATTGACGTGGCAAGACCATCGTGCTCGGCACTCAGGGGCCTTGTCAACATCCATGTCTCCCAATCCTCCAGTTCTTCCACCATTGCTAGGATATCATATTCTGGGGTTGGACACTTTACATGCCGAAGCCCATACCACCACCCTGCTGCTGACCAGCGCCCTGCTGCATCTTCTCGCTAACCTTGATGTTGACGTCGAAGAACTTGGAGACGCAGCGGTCCAGGCAGACGGACTCGCCCTTGTTCAGGTCACCCTCGCGGTAGTCGGTGGGGATACACTTCTTGGTGCAGGACTCGGTGAGGCTGTGAAACGTTGGTTAGAGGCGTCGGTTGCGGAGGAGGGATCATCGGGATTTGGAGATGCGATGTGTGAGGAGGGTATAAGTATCTTACCGGGTGAACATGTCGGAGATCATCTCGACTTCAGTCTCGGCGGCAGCAATCTTCTGCTCGGAGGACATCTTGGGCTGGCCACCGAAGAGGAAGGACATTGTGACGGTTGATGGGTTGGGGGGTTTGGGGTGGGAAGAAGGTTGGAGCTGGTGGTTGTTAGTATATATGATGATTCAAGATAAGATATATGGATATAGTTTATCCAGTGAATACTTACAAAGTAGTTGAGCTTGTCGGAGTTGATCGTGATGGATCAGTCTCCGGGAAGTCCTGTCGAGGTCTCGTGAAGCTCGGGCCACTTTCCTCCTTCCCGCTTTCGACTCCGCCCGCGCCGAGTTTTCTTCCTTCGGTTCTTTTTTTTTTTTTTTTTTTTCCTTTTCTCTTCTTCTCTTCACCCACGCAATGTGAGTGGGAGAGTTTGCATCTGCTCTTCATGCATTCAATTCGATCTCGATCATTAAGAGGCCTTGCAGGTCTCCGGAGCAGGTAAGCTATTACAATCTCTTTGTCTTTGTCGTTTATTGTTGCAATTATCATGATGAGATTATCCCCTCTGCTTCAGAACCGCTGCAGTTGATGTCCTTCGGGCCATATGAACGAACCGGAACTTAATTCCTGATCCTTTTGTCTTGTTTTCTTCAATTGAATCGTCACTCAATTTGGTCAAGATCCTAAGCTAACTCGGCTTAAACAGTGCAGGCCTACGCCCTTTCAACTCCCGTATCCAGTCTCCCTTGGGATTGACTCAACTAACCCCCCAGTCTCAAGTTTCCATTCGGTCTACCCGACACGCCAGCTCCACTGCATCGCCCGAAAAGGCCTTTCAAGAGCGCGTGCAAGAGATCCGCAATGCCTGTGTCGAACCCTACCCCCGGCTGGCGGTAGACTCGCGTACGCTCAGTTGCGCCGAGTTCCGCACTCGCTATGCTCATTTGAAGGATAACGAATCAGTAGAGGAAGACTCGGTGGTGGTCTCTGGTAGGTCTCTGTTCCGTGTGGATCAGTCCAAAGCCTTGTACTTAGATTAGTTGTAGGTAGGATTCGTACTGCTAGACTTGCCGGGAGCAAATTGATCTTTTTCGATATCGTGCAAGATGGTCACAAAGTCCAAGTCATGTGCAATAAGCGACAACTCGGGGGGGTCGAAGGTCCCGAGTTTAAGAAGTTTTATCGCCTTTTGCGTCGCGGTGATGCATTCTGTATGTGCTGGTGCTGTCCATGGCTGCTGCTGGCTTGACTAACCACTCTCCTTGACAGCCGTAACTGGACGACCACACCGTACGGGTCGTGGTGAACTCACCATCGATGCTACAGAGTTGCCCACGCTGCTCTCCCCGTGTCTCCACGATGTCCCCGTTCACGATAGCTCGCATCAGACCTCGCCCTATCCTCGCCATGTACAATTCCTGGCCGATCCCGCGACGGCGGATATCCTGCGAGCTCGAGCTTCTCTGATTCAGTATCTGCGCCAGTTCTTCGTGGATCGGTCGTTCATGGAGGTCAACACCCCCATCATCGGCTCCATAGCCGGAGGTGCCATCGCTCGTCCGTTTAATACGTCGGCCACTGAGTTCCCCGATCGCCAATTGTCGCTGCGCATTGCACCGGAGTTATGGCTCAAGCGGCTGGTAGTGGGTGGATTTGACAAGGTCTTTGAGATTGGACCGTCTTTCCGGAATGAAGGTATTATTACATCTTACATCGTATACAATTGAACACGATCAGAATGCTAATCTCAATCATCTATCACAGGCATCGACAAAACACACAACCCCGAGTTCACCACCTGCGAATTCTACCACGCCTACGCCAATCTCGAAGATCTAATGCACATCACCGAAACCCTCCTCTCCGGCATGGCGACTCACATCAAGACCTTCAACAAAGAAGGCACCCTCACCCCAACCACCGCCACCTTCACCACCCCCTTCCGCCGCATCGACTTCATCACAGGCATCGAAGCCCAAATCAACCGCTCCCTCCCCGATCTCTCCTCCCCAGACGCTTTAACAAACATGCACACACTCTTCCACGACCTCTCCCTCCCCTTACCAACCAACGCAACCCTCCCCCGTCTCCTAGACGAACTATGCGCTACATACCTCGAGCCCACCTGCACCGATCCAACCTTCATCATCAACCCACCCGAATGTCTCTCCCCACTCTCCAAATCCTTCATCCACCCAACAACGAAGCAAGTCGTCGCCGCCCGCGGTGAACTCTTCATCGAAGGGAAGGAAGTCGTTAATACCTACGAAGAGGAGAACTCGCCCTTTGAACAGCGGCGCAAGTTCGAGGACCAGGTGCGGTTTAGTAAAGGTGGTGATGAGGCTGCCGAGGTGGATGAGAGTTATTTGGAGGCGTTGGAGTGGGGACTTCCTGCGACGGGGGGTTGGGGGTGTGGTGTTGATCGATTGGTGATGTTGTTTACGGGGGCGAAGAGGATTGGGGATGTTTTGCCGTTTGGGACTTTGAGGGCTGTGACGAGGAGAGTTGGTAGTGGCACTGGTGGTACTGGTGGGACTGAGTAGGAGAGAGAGAGATTTGGCGGAGGAGATGAGATGTTTACTCCGCTTTGTAAGGACTTTGTACGATTAGGATTGTTTTGTATACTTCATACCCCCCTTTTAGGCTCAATTGCAGCTACCTTTTTATCTTAATTGCAACCTTGCTACTTTAGAGTTTCTCTAGTTTCTTGCTTCCTTTGGTGAGTATATAGTATCCGTCTCTAGCCGTGGTCTCGGTGCGGCCCGTTTTTATCTTTTTACCTTCGAAGCGGGGAAAACATTCCATCTGTTCCAACTTCAAAAGTCATACTGAATCATGAGTCCCATTCAAGCACCCGTGGCCCAGGCAGTCACTGTCAGTCTCAAGGAATTGGAAGATGGTCAGTCATTCTCTCTAGCAGTTTATACCATGTATAGTCGCTAATATCTGTACAGGAACCGTCTCCTTCGACACCCTCACTGAGGCATTTGGTCCCTCTTCCCTGGGCATCATCATCGTGAAAGACCTACCCAAGGAGTTTATCCAACTCCGAGCCCAGACTCTTTCACACGCATCCTATCTCGCTGCCCTTCCAAAGTCGGATCTAGGTATGAAATCAAGCAGCAGCAGCAATCTCCCCCCGCACCTACGTAGTATCCCACCAACTAACTCCCCCACAGAATCCCTCGAAAGCCCCGAATCCAACTACCTAGTCGGCTGGTCCTGCGGCAAAGAAACTCTCAAATCAGGAACCTTCGACACCCTCAAGGGCTCCTACTACGTCAACTGCGCCTTCTACCAAGATGCCGCCCTGCAAAACGCCCCCGCCGACGGCTTCCCAGATCTGCCCCAGTACACGGCGCCCAACATCTGGCCGCCAGAGCGCAAACTGCCCAGTTTCCGGCCCAGTGTGGAAGCACTCTGCACATTGATCATCGACACCGCTGCGCTGGTAGCCAAGGCATGCGATCGCTACGCCGAGGCAAATATCGAAGGCTACAAGCCGGGGTATCTAGCGCACGTCGTGAAAACGAGTCTCACGACAAAGGCACGACTACTGCACTATTTCCCCAATACATCCCCGTCTACGTCGGAGACCAGCGATGATGCTACCACCGAAGAGGCCGACGACGACGACTGGTGCGCTACACACGTCGACCACGGCTGTCTAACAGGCCTCACATCAGCAATGTTCCTCGACGAAGCATCCACCCTGCCCATCCCAGATCCAACACCAACAACCTCTCTCCCTGAACTGCCCCAATCCCCCGACCCCTCTGCGGGTCTGTATATCCGCTCGCGCGCGGGGACAGTCGTCAAAGTGAATATTCCCAAAGATTGTCTTGCTTTCCAAACTGGGGAGGCGTTGCAGCTTATTACCCAGGGCAAGTTTAGGGCTGTGCCGCATTTTGTGAAGGGGGCGAAGTGTGGGGGTGGGAAGGAGAGGATTGCTAGGAATACGTTGGCGGTGTTTACGCAGCCGAATCTTGGGGAGGAGGTGCAGGAGGGGTTGACCTTTGCGGAGTTTGCGAGGGGGGTTGTTGCGAAGAATTATTAGGGGATGGGATGGGGAAGGACGTGGGAAATAAATTATGGAGGTTATAGGATTTTCATAAATGAAAATGGTTAGTACTTAGCTGTACCGTATGAGTCTAGTCAGGTCGTCGACTAGGGAGGGATGTTGGATATACTATAGCAGTGTCTCAATGTAGAGATTACCGGCCTATTTACCGATGGTCCGTCCAAGCTTCTCGGATTGTGTTCATTCATTGTTCCGATATGATACATGAAGGGTCGTAACTCATTAGAAAACATCAAGGTGCCTGCGCCGAACTAGGAGATAGGAGCAATGCAGACCCTCCATTTGCTCAGGAACCACCGCAGAGTATTAGATACAGACAAGCGGTATAGCCCCAACGCAATAAGACACAAGACACTTAAGGTACATACTCGGGTCCCTCGCTTGGCTCACGGAATGGAATCGGTGCGATCAACTCCGACTCTGAGAGCTCCATCTCCGACGGAGGACCACTCGCGTCTGCAGGTCCTTCCCCGCTATCTTCGTTCTCGGTCACTGCGCCCAGCCCGGTACTAACGAGCTTGCTCAGCTTGCTGACCTCGCTGAATGTCTTCTTCGCACGCGGACGGCCTACACCCTTGGAGATCCCCAGATCTGCAAGACGCACGTCGACATCGGACGTGCTTCCCTGTAAGATCCGAAGAATAGCCTGCCAACGCACGGGATCGTCACGCTGTTCTGCGGCCGGTCCAACTTCCACCCCGTTCATGGTTGCTAGACCGAGGGTCTCGACGCGATTGTCGCCCCAGAAAAAGTCGAGGCCTGGGGGAATGCGTGTATCTGCTCGGACAGAGTACCGTCTGCCGCTTAGGATACCGTGGAGATCGTAGTCGAGATCAAAGGTATTGTAGTGCAAACGGGTAGCCTCGGGTTCGAAGCATCGCCCGATAATCATACCCGGGGATACAACGCAAGTCTTGCCCTTGGCAACACGGTACCACCGGCCATACACGCGCATGCCCACCTGCGAGAACGCGTCATCAACCTCCTTCGGGGTGAGTTTCTCCAAAGGATCAGCGTCAAATGGCATGACACGGTTGAGCCGCTGTGGATCGCGCGTGTATACTTTGCCCGCGATGTAGGGCACCATCTTCCTTGCGAGTTGCTCGCTGTTCGGGTCGGAGTTACAATCGTCGAGCTGGAGCCAGATCTTTTCGATAACCATCACATCGGTGACTGTGGGTCCTAGGTCCGTTTTAACCTGGCCCGGGTTATCCTCCATGTCTTCGGCCTTCATACCGAAAGGCTTTAAGCGTGCCGCGTCCGAGATGGCGAGGAGCTCTGGGCCGATGAAAATGCCCTTGCAGTCGATGCGGGCATTAGGCCAGGTTCCACTGAACCGAACCTTGTGCAGCAGGCTGTATGACGCCATAGTGGTCATGGCATTCTCAATAGATGGGTGCAGCTTCTCGCGAGGGGTAGGGTACAGGAAACGCTCGAAGGCGCCAAAGGGCTTGATGCATTTTAGCGGCACGTACTTGTAGTGCAACGAGTACGACTTATCATCATCAAGTGGGTCGGGTAAGGTCTCGACGCGGAATCCGGAGTACGAGATCGGCTGCTTCTTCTTGGTATCCTGGACAATGTCGAGGTAGTTTGACTCCTCTTCTGAAACCTGCGTGACTACACCGGCACGCCAATCTGGCATACCGAGCCATTTGCCGTCCTCTGCACGCATTTCGATTCTTTCGGTCTCTGGATTGAACTGTAGCCTTCCCTCGAGGGTATGGGTCCAGAGGACGATTTCGCCCCGGCGGGGGACAAAGGCCGGCTGGAGAGTGAGACGGACGAAGTAGTCGGTCAGGAAATCATGAGTAAGGACCCAGTCCAGGTTCAGGGGATGGTCAATTTCCTCGTCGAGAGTGCCCTTCTCTTTAAGATCCATAACATGAACCTTCCAGTAATCAGGGCCTTCCTCATCTCCAGGAAGCTTACGGGAAACAGATCTGGCGGTGACAACGGCCTTATCTTCGCCCGCCAATCTGGCCCTATCAGCCTCCATCTCAGCCTTGGTGCGCCCTGGAATGTTGGTTAGTAGGGATTCTGGGTATTTATGGGATACAATTGAGCTTCGGATGAGGAGACTTACGCTTTCGAGGCCTGAACTCCCCAAGCGGTTTGGAGCCCGACTGTTGTTGTCTGGAGCAGAGCTTGCACTCGCATGGTTCGGCTCGATCTGTCATAAGCCAATGGAAATGCACGAAGAACGTAACACGAGACTGAAAGTATCTTCCAGTTGGATGCCCAAAGAGGAAGCTGTCGCGCTGTTATTGTGTTAGTCGATATTCATCATGAAAGGGGTATGTTCAATTCCAAAAAGGAGTACTCACAACCTTGTGATCGGTTCCTCGAGGGCGATCCATGAGCGCATAGCCGTCAGGAAGCTTTTCCAGAATGTAAGTTATGCCTGTTCAAAGTGGAGTTAGCCGTGTTCTTCTGGTTCGTCTCTGGAACAGACCCATAATAGAGTCTCTCAGACGAGTCTCTTGGGACGAAATTGATGCCTGGATACACAAACAAACAGTAGAAACAAAGAAAACAAAGCTTGGTACTACATACCATCCTCTAGAGCACCCATCTGCTTCTCTACCCACATTTGGGCGAGACCGATACGCCAGCCCTCATCATTGCGCATTCGGTAGGTGAATCGGGCATCTGGGCCATTCACGGGCCAAGTGGATTTCTTCCCGTCGCTCTTCTTGTCCTCAACGGGAATCACCACCATGTTCGGATCATCCGATAGCTCACCGTCGCTCGACATCATGATTCTTGAGATATCGTAGCGGGGCAGTAACGGATGCAAGGGGTTTGCGGGGCTAGACGGCCCCTGTTGTAGTTTTTGATAGCCAGATGTGAAAGTTCGAAGTCAAAATCAGCTAGGAATTAGTCGGACTTTGTGACGAGGAAAAAGAAGACGAAGTTGTGAGGTGAGCGTGTCTTAGATGGACGAAACAAAGGATTCACACGTGACGTACTTGATAAGATATGATCTGTCCAGCGAGCAAACAATTTTGGCGGTGAACTGCTACCTAGCCGGCAGAATATGCTAATTACTCGTAGAGACAGGGCTGATTTTAGTCTAAGAGTTACTCATACTCTTTTATTTGTGGCTCTGGTTTCTAGGAAAAAGTATATGCATGTCTTATGGTGAAGTTTTGAATTAAATTTCATCACCATAGGCACCGGGTTCTGTGGAACAAGTTAGTTGACTTTGCTCGTACGAGTGAACAAAATCGGCTTCATAAATCTGGAAGAATGATGACACCTTATTGAGTTTGGCTCATAGCTGTTGTAATATTCTTATCAGCTTGTATATCGTCAAAGGACTCAGTTGCCGAGATGAAAAGCCTTCGAGATGGAGTTAGGTAAGAATTAGGATCAAGGATGCTCTAGACTACGACACTAGATATTATCATGGGCGAAGAGGGTGCAAGCACACCAATAGTGAAGCTGCTACTATTTCTTCGCCGAGAATAATAGATCAAACCAAGCAGCAAAAGGCTTAAAGAAAGTCCACACTAGTCTAGAGCGTTGATAATCGACTTTCAACACTCGAAGCTAGACTCCCAATGTCCGAGCGACAGCCCAGTAGAACCCATCAAAGTGTAATTGAAAGGCTGACTTGCATTGAAAGAGACGCTTCTGATATACAACAGATAAAATCCAAAATCATTTCAAATCGAGACATCTAGTCTTACTCAAGTCATGGTCTCTTCAACAACCGCCTCAACGGCAGTCTCCTTCGCTTCCTCCTCTTCCTGGTAAGGAGGGGGAGCAATCTCTCCATCACGGGCCCAAACTTTGCAAAGTTCATTCTCGATTTCCTCCCGACGCCTCTTCCATTCGTCTACATTGTCCAGACGCTTGCGCAGCTCCTGGAGTTCCTTCTCGACTCCGAGTTTCTCCTTCTCGGTGCCGATTCTTTCAAACTCCCAAAGTTCGCCTTCTTCGCCGAGTCCGAGGGTCAAGTTGTAGGTGTGGTACTTCTTGAGAGATGCACGGGTGGAAATGGTGATGAGGGTAATGCCGCGCTCCTTGGCTTGCTCGTATAGCACGCCTTCCACGTCGGAGGAAACGGCTGAAGTTCCCTCGTCGATGAATGCGTAGCGAGGTTCATGATAGAATAAACGGGCCATGGCCATACGCTGCTTCTCTCCACCGCTCAGCACGTCCTTCCACTCCTTACGAGCATCCCAGCCACCCTCGCGTTGAGGTAGGTAGCCGAGGTGTGCAGCATCGAGGATCTTCTGCAGGTTTGCATCGGACTCGCCAGCCTCACGCATATCAATCTCGGTGTGAGGATAGATAACTTGGTCACGCAAGGTACCCACACTCAGGTATGGTCGCTGGGGGAGGAACATAATACCATCGAGTCCAATGGACCGCGGCCGACTGACAAGGCCCCGGTAGACAGGCCACAGGCCAGCCACAATGCGTGGAATTGCAGACTTGCCAACGCCGTTTGGTCCCGAGATGAGCAGGTGGTCGCCAGAGTGAACGATGAAAGATAGCGACTCAATCAGCTCATCGCCACCCATGGGGTAGAGTGATGGCGCTACGACAGGGACCTGCTCTAGGCGGACACCGTCAAAGCCATTGTGGGTAGTACCCTGGGCATCAGCAAGGGAGTAAAGCTCGGGATGCGAGCCGCGAGGTGGGTAGTAGGCACTTGCGTGAACACGATGCAGTGTAGCGATCAGGCTGTAGACTCGCGACGTGTACCCTGCCAGTTCCGAGATATCCTTGATACTGTACATCATGCGGCCACCTGCATCGGCAAGCGAAAGCATAAGCCGCTTGTTAGTGATGAACTCCTTCATTCTGCCTCGCTCGCGGCCTACACCTTCTGGCGCATCGGCCAATTCCATCGCGCCACCCAAGCCACCCCAGGCGGGAAGGAAGACGGGTAAAGAGGTCACCAAGTAGCCAAAAGCGGACCAGGAGTACTTCAAGATCATATCCTCGAGCATGTTGTAGCGGATCTTGAGGCTGTAGATCCCCTCCATCCACCTCTGTAACTCCTTGAAGCTCCTGATAAGGAAAACACGCTCGGTGTCGGCTCCTCCGTAAAACGAGATCTCCTCAGCATTGGCCAAGAGTCTGGAGTGCAGGCCCCGGAAGTCGCCTTCCTTCTTGCCCTCCACGGCTTTGAGTTTTCCGAATGGCGGTGACAGCTTCCGGAGCACCACAGCCGTACTAAAGTATCCAGTAAGAATTCCACTCAGGGCAAGAGGACCAAGTGAACGGTAAAGTTGGTAGTTGAATACGAATAGATCCACCATCGGTTTGCCCAACGACGAGTATAGCGATGCCGCGGCCGTGCAGAAGAGAGTGAGATCTTGCGTGATGAATTGATCGGGGCCTTGACCGATGCCGCCATCCAAATTCATCAACTTGTAAAAGTTGTGGTTTTCGGTCAAGTACAGGTCATGGATATACCTCGTCAACCGAGTTCGGAAGGCAATCGATACCTTGGACTGCAGGAACTTGATCATGGCGTTCGTGTACGAGGCGAGAGTACCGATGCCGCACCACTTGACGATACCCCAAAGGAAGGCCTTGCCTTTGCCAGCGACCAGATCTCTAACGATCTCACCATCCAGTCGTGCGATAAGCAGCGACAGGTACGTTCGTAACAGCAGGAATACGCCGTGGCTCATCAGCAATCCAGTCTCCTTGCTGCCCCAGCGCGGAACCATGATGCTTCCCAAACTTAAAAACTGGTGTAAGAAGGCCAGATTTAGGCCAGGTTTGGTTGTCGGCGGGGGAATCTGATTCGTTGATCCATCTTCAGCACTGCGAGCTGATGCCGGAGGGTTCAAGAATAGTCGCCGGTGGGCATCAAAGGTGGTCGGCTTGGTCGGATGAATCAAGACCTTGGAGGTCCGTTCACCTTTGTAAGGAACATAGATGGTACGGGATCCATCTTTGCCTCTGATGCCAGAGTTTCGTCGAAGCAATCGACGGCCTTGAGCGCGGTCCTTAGCCCGCTCACGGAACCAGTTGTATCCTCCATATCCCGAGCCGATGATCGATAATAGCAGCGCGACGGTGGCGATCAGTCGAGTCGTCGGAGAGGTGCGCTTCAGACGCGAGCGGAGTAATTCTGAGTAGTGTAGGTACAGCGCCAGGAGGGGATCCTCCGGGCGCCGGAGTGTCGACTGGGCGGCCATTTATCGAGCCCAGATCGGCCTCCGTATTCACAGCGTCGACCCCAAATGGCGTATTAACGTGGGCAGTATTCCATGGACAAAACCAGAGACCAGCTCCTAGGGCATTCAGAGATTAAGATGGAGAAGTTGAAGAAGATGAGATCCCAGACGGGGATAACCAGTTTGGGCCAAGGGAGAGTGTTGCATCATTGCATGTGAACCTCGGGATTGCGGAGAGGGCACGTGCCTGGGGAAAGCTCCAGCGGTTCCACCAGAAAACAGCGCTGACTAACCCCACTTTACCTTGGAAAACTGGGGAAGGTTGGACAGTACCATCCTGTGCCTATCTGGCGCGACAATTACTTTGCCCATTTGAGTGTAATAACTAGTCGCTCTTTCTCTGTCTGGCTGGGATCAGACCTTCTAATGTGTACGATATGCTTGGTACGCGAAGCTTGAGATCAGAAGCATCGTAATTTGTAATCGCCGGAGTCCTACAAGATAAAAGGACAAGAACATTGGAAGGGGTTCTGCCTGGATATATATTTAGAAGAACTACTAAAACAATGCTGGAATGAAAAGTTACCGCTCCCTACCTATCTGTAACTTGCGCATCGGCATTCCAATGCCGCTCTGGCACGCATTTCGTTACTCGACTGTTGAAAAACAACCTTACAAAAGCTGACTCTACCTAGACTCACTTGAGGTTCTACTAGTGTAAGGCTTTGGTCATCAGGCTTAGGTAGATGTTGCTTAACTGATGCCCACAAGGTTCTAGGTATCTAGTACAGGATATGGAGTGGCGGATAATTCCCAAGGCAAGCCCTGAACGGGAAATATATAACCCATGTTGCTACCCTTAGGTATGATCATAAGTGGGCAAGTACGGAATATCTAACGAGACTATATAAAATTTGACCAAAGACCTGGATAGTCAACAGTGACCATTCGAAGCGATCAGACTATCGCTAAATACTTTGTGAAAATCGTGCGAGACTCGCCAAGATCAGTCGAGTAGGCCGGAGTCCGATCGTATCAAAAGTCCTCTTTGACACGATCAATGAGTTAGAGGACTACAGATCAGCAATTGAGGGATAGAAAATAGCTAGGAAAGAGAGATAGAATATTTTCTAGAAAGGAAATGATATTACTCGATCAGTCAAATCAGGCAGGTTAAACCCCTCGTGTTTACTCTGAAGGCCAGCTAAGAGCCTCAACCTTGCCAAAAGAGGCAGCACTCTCCTTTTCTATTCCCCATTCCATACAATTTTTCTACAAGGATAAGTCCTACCTTGGTCAAGGTAATTCAGTAAGCAGCGCTTAAACACCCAGTCATCAATGGTTAACAATCTGTCTATGTTGTCCAGTTAGTAAACAATTAATAACTCGCAAGCTCCCCAGCCCCTCAATAGCTATCCAACCTTTCCCTCTCCCTTCCCCACAAATCAATGGAGAACTATCAAACAAGACCAGGTCAAAATGAGGATAAAAACATAAAAAAATAACGTGTAATACTGTACGGTGTACGGCGTACATACATAATAACGCCATCCTGCAGGTTGCATCTTGGCCGGGGATTGGGCACAGTTACATCCAATCCTCTGTCTGCTTCTAATTTCCGCCAATAATGGCCGCCAATACGGACTTTGCCCAGGGCCATAGCTTCCTCCGCTCGAGCGGATTGTCGGATTGTAAGCTGAAGGGCTAGAATAGTGCTGAAAAAAAAGGGGCACACCTGGGCTGAACCACCCACTCGATCTTAAGTGGGGGCCGGTTGCTGGTCCCTCTGATCGCCTATCACGAATGAAGTCACGAATTGCGATCGTAAATGGGTGTATTCTGCAGGAGGTACTTCTGGTCCAGGCCCTACACTAATCGTCTTTGGAGTGGTAGCCCTGTTTTCCCCTGTACGCCGTACGGAGTTCCCTATGCATTGTGGAGGGGCTGCATTGTACCTTTCTACTGGCTCTCACCTGCAGCGGATGAGATAGTTACAGCCGATTAAACCCCGAGTTGGGGGAGAGACACACTCCGGTGTGATTGAAAGTGATAATAAGAGCTTAGCCGCCGAGGGCTGGTAATAGTTCAATAGTGCCAAAGCAGAATACGGAGTCCAGAGTACTCCGCACGTAGAACCACAGAACCACGAGGACATTAGTAAATGAGAGGAGTGAACCATCACTACATGCTGGAAGCAAACGATCAGATCTACTGTCAGCGTGATCTCTCCTGCGCTCGAGCAAACCCCAGACACGAAAAGTAAACCAAAACCCGCTAACAATCCGGGCGTGAAGGCCTGAAGGGAAACCCAGTTCGGCCCCAGTCACTCGGCACGTGACATCCTCGACTCCTCTCTTGCCTCAGCCATAACATTCTCCCCCCAAGCATCATTCTCGTCGCATTATCCCTCTCTGCTTGGGCTGCTCTTGTCAGCCTTGGCCTGCTAAAGTTGCTGGTTCACTCTGGGGTACGTGTGAATAAAAACAAGCCCACCGTTTCAGGGCTCCGGTTTCCAGGAGGCGTGTTGACCTCGTTATTAGCCGCGCCCCCCGACCTATTGAGCTTCTGAGCGAGCTGCAACCCTTTGGCTCCTGCCTCGGCTCACTTTGAACGTTCGCTGGACCTCACAGATTCACGCCATCTGCAGCTAGCCTCGATGGTGGACGCAAGCACGGGGCAAGATCCCTCCGCAACCTCAGCCCCCGAGTCGGCGGGCAAAGAACCCATCAAGATGACCCCCTCTGGCAATGAGGACCCCAGTGGTAAGGAAAACCCCCCTGGATTAGATCTCGCAATCCATCGTTGATGCGATTGTGTTGTAAACTTCCCGGTCGCTGACACTTCTCGCTGCTATCAGGTCCGGAACCACCCTCCGAACAACCAGCCCCCGATGCTGCTGAGATTCAGGAATCGACCGCTGGCGCATCGTCTCAGCCGGCCTCCCCGCCGGTCGCATCGACACCTAGTGCCTCGGGCGTGACTGAAAATGCCGAACCGCCCAAGAAAAGCCGCCTGCTGATTCCAATCCCATCGCGACGGTCCTCCAAGACCGATCAACAGTCGACATCGGAAAGGACCGCGGAGGCAACACAGGATGAATCTAGTCGGAGAGGATCCAAGGTCAGCATCTTGAAGATTACACGGGATCGCAGTCGGGCGAGCAGCAGACGGTCGCGACGGACTCAGCAAGAAGTGACAAACGTGGAAAAGGGCCAGGAGACGGCAACTCCCACCACACCTGAGATGAACGGACCCTCCAAGCCTCAGGAGAAGAAGGCATCCAAATTGTTTGCCTTCCTGAGCTGTTGCTCCTCGTCGGATGTTGATGGCGACGATATTACCGTACCTCCCAAGAAGACGTCGAAGCAGCCCCCTGTGTCCAATCGGCTGCCCACTCCAGACAAAGCGGAAGCTCATACTGGAGACTCGAGTACTGCTGAATCCAGAGACCCCGCTTACTTTGGTGACGAGAAAGCCGTTGCAGTAACGGCGGATCACCCGCAGCCTCAGGAGGAGGAGCGGAACGCTCAGGTTTCGCCCGATATGCGAGGCGAGGGGGCTTCGGCTGCTGCTAGTCAGCCCGATGTCCTGCCTGTGACCTCCAAGGAGCATGAGCCCAAGGCAGCCGTGGCAAATGGAGTAATACCAGAGTCCACGACCGACGTTGCGAAACCGGATGAGCAGACCCCCGCAGCCGAAGCTGTCACAACAAACGAAACGACCCCCACGAAGCCCGCAGCGGCTGAAGGCGAGACTCAATCGCGCAAAGAGGAAGTAGTTCAGGCACCGGCCATGCTACCCCCTCCTCCACCACCACCTGCTCCTGAACCGACCACCGCGACGGAGGGCGCTGAGCAGCAGCAGTGGTTGCTGCCGCCAGCGCTGCCACACCTGTCGAACCGCAAGTGTCTGGTGCTGGATCTTGATGAGACACTCGTTCACAGCAGCTTCAAGGTAAGTACCCTCTTGGCTGGAGAATCAACCGTTTGGGTCCCGATCTAACTCATCGCGTAGGTTCTCGAGCGTGCCGACTTCACGATTCCTGTGGAGATCGAAGGCCAGTATCACAATATTTATGTGATCAAACGGCCAGGCGTGGACCAATTCATGAAGCGTGTTGGAGAGTTGTACGAAGTGGTAGTGTTCACGGCCTCCGTATCTAAGGTGAGTTGATGAGTTGATGAGAGGTTTCCCGAACCAGCGTTGGCCCCGCTTTGGGGTCGACGACAAAGCCACCACCACGACGACTAATCAATATCTACAGTACGGTGACCCTTTGCTGGATCAACTGGATATTCATAATGTGGTGCACCACCGTCTCTTCCGCGAGAGTTGCTACAATCATCAAGGAAACTACGTCAAGGTTCGTTCCGCTTCATCTCCCATCTCATCAACGATCACTGTATATCTAACTCGCCAATAGGACCTTTCACAAGTAGGCCGCGATCTACGGGAAACGATTATCATCGACAACTCGCCCACGTCTTACATCTTCCACCCCCAACACGCGATACCCATCAGCAGCTGGTTCTCTGACGCTCACGACAACGAACTGTTGGACCTCATCCCCGTTCTCGAGGATCTGGCCGGGGCCCAAGTCCAAGATGTCAGCATGGTCCTGGACATTACCCTCTGAAACGAACGTCTTGTCCGGATCTCTCTTACGCCTAAGATTCCCCATTAAGCGAGTCCTTTCCTTTGTTTTTGGTTTTCCTCCTTCTTGTCGCGTGAAAAAGCTCTTTTCCTTCTGCAGTCTCCCTTCCCAGTTCCAGTACAACACCCCCAGCTTCAATTCCAGCATTTTTGTGATCCGCGCTTGCCGTTGTTCTCCTACTCACATTTACTTTGGGCTTCACTTCGCTTCTTTCAAATTCCGGTCATTGACGACCCAGATAGGGAACTGGTTCCCTAGGGGACTGTGGCCTGAATGATGATGCATTTGTCGTCAGTTTGGTCCCCCGTCATTCTAGCCCACGCCATCAGCCTGGCATTTTTGTTCTTTCATATTTCCTTTTTCGTCGATTATCTTCCTTTCCGTATCTTGCAGATTCGGCATTGTGATCTCACTTATCTGATCATCTTCCAAGCCAGCCACTTTACCATTGCTCCCCATTTCCTAGTATCGTCCTCACAATTGGATCCCCTATCATGCCCCCCTGCTGATATTTCCTTGCTGTCTTGTATCCATTTCTCTTACCAAGTCCCGCATTCTCCAATGCATTACGCAGGCGTCTGTTGGTTATTATGCCCCATCTCCCCATGTATCCCTTTCCCCATGTATCCCTTTCCCCAGTCAAGCCCGCGTCCTTTGTTATTTCCCCCCAGCCTTGCTACGCTGCGTCCAGCTCTTCCAATACAAGACTCTGCATATTGCTGTCTTTTTGTTCATGCCGAGTCCGGTTTACCTCGGGAGCAGTGTGCGCTAATTTTTGTCTTCCTGCATTCTGCTCGTGAGGTGTATCGTTGGGAATTGCATCGTTGGATTGATTCCTTCAGCAATGTATATGACCCTCTGTTTGGCTGCTGCTCCGTGGCTCTCTATGCTGTACATAATCCTTGAGAGGATATTTCATCCGAAGTCACAGAATCTAGGCGTGTGAAATATTAATGTAGTTTGAAATATAAAGCACTTTGGCGAAGATTAGATTTTCTATGGTTGAGGCTGCATGAACAACACCGCATCAAGGCACCGCCCTCGGCCCGCATTGGGATGGATGTAGTAGTCAGCCAACACGTTAATTCCACCTCCAACATAACTTTTTGCTCTCTCACATCTCCAACCCAACTTGATTTCTAGTTTTAATTCAATTGACGAAATCACGGCAAGTCCCACCGCAACTTCGTTTTCCAGGCTCCTGCCGGAAACCTCGGCCAGCCCGCTCACAAAGCTCCCCGCAATCGCATCGCACCATCCCACCACCACCACCGCCCGCCACCACGTCCAACTTTTACCAACCACTCACCACACACCCATCATGAAGAACTCAGAAGGATGGGACGGCAAGCTACGAGTCGAGCCTAAGGCCGTCATCACAAATCCAGAGGCTCTAGAGGACTCGGACTATTCGGACCCGGAGGCACCGCCTGTGGAGGAGATCGACGCGGACGAAGGTAAGGTTTTGGCGGCAGCGCACGCGCGGGTTTCTTACGGCATGAACACGGGGCTGATTGGTGGTAGATCTACTGGCGGATGAGGATGTGAACGTCGAGGTTTGTCAAGTCCTTTGCCCTGTCTTTCAAGGGGAAGATAGAGGAGTGGTTTTGCTAATCATTTTTTGTGGTTCGGGTGTAGGATATTGACCTGGTTCATTGTCGCGTATCGTCGCTCACTGCGCTACGGTTGGAACGGTTCACGAAGCTTCAGGTATCATCCACTCTCCACCCTACGCCGTGTCTGTTTCGAGGAAGAAGATGCAAGGATCCATGTCTTGCTAGAGCGCGTCGGGTCTTTCGTCATCGACAAGCCTCGAATTTGCAGGAATAGCAAGCTAACAAGTCGGTTCCTACAGAGACTATGTCTGCGCCAGAACCAAATAACACGCATCAATTTCCCAACAGAACTCGCCGAGACGTTGACGGAACTCGATCTCTACGATAACCTTATTTCGCACGTCAAGGGCCTCGATGAGTTCCACAACTTGACCAGCCTCGATCTTAGCTTCAATAAGATCAAGCATATCAAGAATGTGGAACACCTGAAGAAATTGACGGACATTTACTTTGTCCAGAACAAGATCTCGAGGATCGAAGGGTTAGAGGGACTGGAAAAGTTGCGGAATCTAGAACTGGGAGCGAATCGCATCCGGGTATGTGAGGAGATGATGTAGGGAGATCTGGAGGTTCAGGATTGACGAGATTTGCAAACCAGGAAATCGAGAATCTCGACACACTTGCCGCTCTCGAGGAGCTCTGGCTCGGAAAGAACAAGATCACGGAGATGAAGGTATGCACTCCTTACATTTTGCGACACCATCACTGCGATATATGCGGAGAACTAACTCATTTCAGAACCTGGACGCCCTCTCCAACCTCCGCATTATCTCAATCCAATCCAACCGTCTCACCAACATCACCGGACTCTCCAATCTCCCGAACCTGGAAGAACTATACCTCTCCCACAATGCCATCACCGACCTCTCTGGCCTCGAATCTACCACCACCCTCCGCGTCCTCGACTTCTCGAACAACCAAGTCTCCCATCTCGAGCACCTCGGCACACTGAAGAATTTGGAAGAGCTGTGGGCGTCTAATAACCAGCTCACCAGCTTTGACGAGGTCGAGCGAGAGCTGAAGGATAAGGAGAAGTTGGAGACTGTTTATTTCGAGGGCAATCCACTGCAGATGAATGGTCCGGCCGTGTATCGGAATAAGGTTCGGTTGGCGTTGCCGCAGATTAAGCAAATTGATGCGAGTACGTATATGACCTTCCGCGATGGTTTACGATGAGGATGTGAGCTAACTTTTTGTTCTTTTTACAGCCTATGTACGAGTTTGAGATTCAACGCAGCATGGCCTTGATTTTCATGCCGATGCGAGGCAGGGAGTGAATGGCTTTGATAATACTGTGTCTTTCAGCTTTAGCAGGGCGCATGCCTTATGAGAAACGAAACAAGTCTGAGCCTTGCAAGGGCATGAATCTACTTTGATTGGCTATACTTAATTCATGTGTTGTTGCGTACGTGTAGTATCTTTGCAATTAGATGTATGAAATGGGGTATCATCTATGTTCTATACAAGATCTTTCTGGTCTTGGTGGTTTCCTTCCAAGGCCTATAATACATGAGTCCTTTTTCTCGGACTCTGAATGAGCAGGACTCAATCCATCGAGGACCCATGGAGCACAGCAAGCCCGACCTGATGCTTAGCTGTCGTGCTCCGCTGGTACTATATCTCATAGTCCTCTCCCCCAAGATCTCCACGAGTCGCCCGCGACTCCTACCTCCATCAAAAACACCCTATCCCTCCCTACCCACCACTCCTGCTCGTCCTCGTCCCTTCTTCCCCCTCCCACCCCTCTTCTCCTGCTCCCTTTCCCCTTATCCCTCAATTTTCTTCCTCTCCCTCTCCCTCTTCTTCTCCCCCTCTCCCATATCCTCATCAAACTATCCGCCCCGATCCGCTGCGCATTAACCCTCGCCCCATACCGCTGCGACGCAAACGTAACACTCTTCGTGCGCATCAAGACATCCGCCAACTCCGCCAGCGGGGTATCTGTTTCCTCGCTACGCATGTCAGCGTATATAGCGCTTTCCTTGTCGATGGTGAACATGCTGTAGAAGGGGTTGCGGCGGGTGGAGCGTTCGTAGTTGTGCCGGGAGGGGTTGAGGGTGCATGTTATTGTTGGTGGCGTGGGGGTTGATGTGGATGTAGACGGAGAGGGAGAGAGTGTTGAGGATGAAGAGGAAGAAGCGAAGGGATTCGGTGTGAATGCTGGTGGTGTCGGCGTAGGGAGGGTGATTGTTAACGGGGACGCGGCGATGGCGCGCTCGGCGGCTTCGCTGGAGTCGAACATGGCGATGAGAGGACGTTCTCTATCCGTGTCATTGCGAATGTCATACTATATCCCAACTTGTCAATTGAATCCCTGGGTTGTGGGGGAGAGTGTCTCGCGGAGAATAGCGTACCTTCAAGTTGCGGAAGCTGATTATCTCGCCGAATCCTTGTAGCGCGGCGAAGATTTGCCTACTTTCGGCTAGAGTTTTGGGTGGTGGGTTTGGGCTGATGTGGATTTGAGAGGAGAGTCGTGTTAGGGTGCTGAGTGCTGGTTTGGATGTCATTTTGTGGAGGATTGGAAGGATGTTGGAGAGAGGGAGAGAAGGTGTGCTTTTTGGAGTGCGGAGAAAATGTGAGGATCTCTTGGCGGTCGAAGCTTCTACGGAGTTGCTTTTCGTTGGTTTGCCCACCATCTATGTACAGAACTTGTTTACTTTGGATTATTTTTTTGGAATTTACATTTACGGAGCACTCATAAGGTCAATCCAGTCGATCTATTTCATTCATTTCGTATGACACATGAGTCCCCGAGGTCATGAAGTCGGGTCTCGTCAAGGTATATACATATGTGTCGATATTGTGCATCCTCATACTTTCACTCCAACATGCATCTAGCTTAGAAGATGGTAATTCCCAGACCGTACTATTAATGATGTTAGTATCCGACCATGTAATCCACGGAACAGAGTTCAAACTTACGTTGAGAGGGTCGTTGAAGCGCAGGTTCTGGTTCAGAGCGCTGATAGAGTCAATCTCACCAGCCTCCAGGTCAAAGTCGGTGACCTGCAGGTTCTGAGCCAAGCGAGTAGGGTCGTTGCTCTTGGGGATAACGGCAATGCCACGCTGGGTAGCCCAGCGGAGCAGAACCTGAGCGGGGGTGCGGTTGTACTTGGAAGCGAGGGTAGTGATGGCAGTGTGGTCGAACAGACGGGGGGTATCCTGGGCGTTCTTAACCTCGAGCTCGATGAAGCTCAGAGGACCGAAAGAAGAGTAGGCAGTGACGGCGATGCCCTCCTCCTGGGCGTAGTTGACCAGCGACTTCTGGGTGAGGTAGGGGTGGTGCTCGATCTGGAGGGTGGCCGGGCGGATACGGGCATAGCGCAGCAGATCCATCAGGAGCTGGGGGCTGAAGTTGCTGACACCGATGCTGCGGGCCAGCTTCTTGTCGACCAGCGACTCCATGGCGGTCCAGGTCTCCTGGATGGTGGCCTTGCCGAGCTTGATGTTGCCCTCGGAGTTTTGCCAGCTGGGAGGGTAGCGCACGCTGGGGGGAACGTACTCCAGAGCGACGGGGAAGTGCACGATGTACAGGTCGAAGTAGTCGATACCCAGATCGGCCAGCTGCTTGCGGGCGATGGGCTCGACTTGCTCGCCGTCGTGGAAGCTGTTCCACAGCTTGGAGACGAGGAAGAGGTCCTCGCGCTTGACGATGCCCTCCTTGATGGCGCGGGCGACACCCTGGCCGACCTCGACCTCGTTGCCGTAGTCTGCGATGGATTGAATTAGTCAAGGAAAGACAGACTGGCGAGCGCATTCAAACACTTACCACAGGCACCATCGAACAGACGGTAACCGGCCTTGATGGCGTTGTAAACCTGGTCAGCGCAGGTGTCGTTGTTGACCTTCCACAGGCCAAAGCCCACGAGGGGCATTTCGTAGCCGCTGCTCAGCTTGACGATAGGAGTAGACATTTTTGGAGAAGCTGTTTTTTTTTTCTGTTTAGTGGTTAGCGATTGTTGCGCAGGTTCAATTTCGCATGAAGGAGGCACACTGACAAGGGAGGTTGGGAGGAGAGAAAAGAGGATAAATGTCCAGAGGGAGCACAATTCAATTTAATAAAAAAAAACGAGAGAGAGACCACGATGGCCTTCTCCAAAGTTTCGGACAGGCTAAAGGCTAAAGACCGATCTTTGCCCCTCCATTCCCCCCCCTCCACGTCTTTCCATTAGTTCCCTTGGAGCAGCCAGAAATTCCGGGGCCCCCACCCAAGCCTCGGCTAAAATGCTGCTGCGGCTAAAGTACGCCCAGTTTTACCCTGGACCACCTTTGGTGGTGGCTGAGAGACCGGAGAAATTGATTCTGGACACGGGTCATTACAATCTCTCGGGTCATTTCATAATTATTCATAGCATTCGGGCCATTTCCCCCTCCCCACTTGCGGTAGAAGTCGTATTTCCTCGAATCATCGTGATGACCAGCTCGGGACGAATGGGGGAAGTGGCGGAAGAGTAGGTATCGTCATACTCCCGAGTCTATTTGGAGTTATGATGGATTTGTTTAAGTGAACTAGAGGATAAAATGGATGCTAGCCTCTAAAATAATACTACGATAGGCCTTGCTCGGGGTAAAAGGGAAAGTGGACACCGGCATGCCGATACAAATCAGTTCCGTATTTCGCACTCGGAGCCAGACGTGCCTCCGACTATTCTCCGATGGGGACAGGTACAGGCGAAATAAAAGTGATGTCCTCATAGATGACTGGAATATTCTTCATTTTACTATTCCAAAAGCAAATAGATCTAAAAAGCCCTTGGAATGATAGCCACCTCGGTTTTTAATCTATTCTACTATAGATGCCCCGTGGTCATGTGCAGGAAAGACTAGACAAAAAACCAAACCACGTGAGCCAAGTGCCCTAATAACCATGTCTACTTGTCCAAGAACTCACTCTTACTCTTAGCCCCTCCAGGTTCCTGGGGCTGTGTCCTCCGTCCGGAGAAAATCCTCTGATTGCGGGGCTCGAAACTGCCAAGAAATGAATTTCCCCCGCGTCTGCCGGTGCTGTGCTAAATTACTAGACTAATAGCAGATACTCACCGGCCCGCCCCATCCCTGGTCTTCATCACGCCGGTTAATTGATTCCAAAATGACAAGAACTATATTAGACGTGGTCAAGGAATGCGACAAGTAGGTGAGACCCACTCTGCCCCAATTCCACAACTCGTGCCAGTCATTAATAACCGACAGCTTCACGGCGCCCGAAAGTGGTGAAGCCACGGGTCACGATTTCTGGCGACAATACTATACTTTTCGAATCAATGGCTGCGATGCCGTATTGGGGTATATTCCCCAAGTGATCATTGGGAAGATCCAATGGTCCGACGCGTGGATAATCGATCAGGACTCACGAACCGTCTGCTTAAACACTCCGTCAACTGCGACCCGAGAAATACGTTCCGAAGCACTCATACAAACCCTAAAAGCCACTCAACAGCATGGAACCATTTCAATGCTGAATAAATGGCGGAACGAGACATTTCCTGTCTACGATATACAGGGCGACGTCCTCGTCGAGATCGAGCGCTGCGCGAGCGCCTTATTCGGAATCGTTACCTACGGCGTCCAACTCCTCTGCTACGTGAACGATGACCGAGACGGATTACGACTATGGATTGGTAAACGATCAAGCAGGAAGCAGACTTATCCGGGGATGTTGGATTGTACTGCTGCCGGGGGTTTGCCTACGGGAACGCTGCCACTAGACGCTGTCATGTGCGAAGCTCAAGAGGAGGCATCTATACCGTATAAGTTTACGAAGAAGCACATCAAAGCGATGGGGCCGATTAGTTATTTTCATGTTCGTGGATCTACGGCCGGAGGGGAGATTGGTTTGTTACAGCCTGAGGTTGAGTATACTTACCAGCTTGAATTGGAGATTGGCATGGTGCCGACTCCGAGTGATTCTGAAGTGGAGAGTTTTACTTTGTACACAGTGGAAGAGACACTGGAATTCTTGAGGCAGGAGCTTTTCAAACCGAATAGTGCTGTCGTCATTGTCAAGTTCCTTATTGAAAATGGGATTGTGAGTCCCGAGAATGAACCGGATTACTCGGAGATTCTGTCACATTTGAGTCGACCTCTTGAGTTTCCTGTTGTGATTCATTCATCTACTTGACTATCATAGACTTAACATGGACAAACTACTATTCAAAGAAGGAATTTATGGAGCAAAAGTTAAGATAGTATTTCCAGTCTTACCCGGCGACATTCAGACGAAGCTGCGTCGACACAAGTAAAAGTAAATAAGGGAATAAGAAATCACAGAGACAGGGCCAAGGGGAAATAAAGCGGGTAAGAAAGAGAGATAAGAAAAGTGACACACAAGGTATAAAAGAATACAGAGATCCAGAAATAAGATTATCATTACCAATACGTTGTTTTGTTTTGTGGTGCTCCACGTCCACTTCAAACCCCATCCACAGCGCCATTCTCTGCGTATGAGGCATTAACATGCTCAGGGCCTGCCCCGTGCATGTTGGGAGTGTTGGATAGACGCCTGACGATCTTGTCCATGATATCGTCGGGAGGCATGAGTCCATCAAAGTGGTGCGGCTGCTGCGACTCGCGCGGTACGGGCACATGGTGCTCCGTTTGGTATGGGATGTGGTGATACCCGCCAGCACTGACGTCCCCGGCGAGAGAGTTGGAGTGGGCACCCCATGAAGCCTGTCCATTACTTAAGTCATCGAGGGATTGTGTGCTGCCCGGGAAGAAGCCGTTGAGGACGCTGTTGCTATCATGGAGGTTGACGCTGTGCTGTTGTGATGGCACATACTGACTGGTATCGTGGCCCATGGCGTAGCCGAGGCTTGGATGAGAAAGAGGTAGGTCGTGCATGTTCATAATCAAAGGGCCACCGCCTGAGGCGCTCAAACTGGTTGGCTGGGATGTCTCCGGGGCCAAGCTGGAAGAGAAGGAGTCAAGCACTGAAGTGACGGCTGTTTTATCACCCATGCCGTCCTCGGCCTTGGTGATTGCGGACATGAAGTCGATATGGCCAGCGGAATTGAAAATATTAGCCACGCTGTCGTGGGAAGAAGAATACATTGGCCATTGTGATTGAGATTGGCCCTGGTGGGTGACGAGGTCCTGCTGTTGCGGTGCCTGGTAGACACCTTGAGAAGGCTTATTGAGAAGGATAGAGTCCAAGGAGAGTGGGGGCAGGTCAACCCCAGAGTTGGGGTGTGGGCTGTTGGTCGAAGTACGGTCTGGGGGAGGAATGAGTCGTCGCCAGGTAGTGGTTCCAACCTCGCCAGGCCGAGTCTGGCGGAACTTCCAGACGAGAATGGCCATGCGCTCACTTTCGTCGCCATGGCCTTGGAACTGGTTGGAGAGGCGACGCGAGCTGGGAGGGACAGCACGTATCTCTTGTACTGCAGACAAAGAACGGAAGAACCGGCGGGTGTGTTCATCAGCGGCGTGGATGTTCTCGGCCTGCCCAGAGTCCTCGGCCATGCGTTTCTCCTGCGTGTGTTCGGTGAAAGTTTTAGCCCACCAGGAGGATTCAAACAGCGGCTTGACCTTTGTCGATTGAGGTTTTGAGAGATCCTGGTAGTTCTCCAGGAATTCTTGTCCATCTCGGTATAGCCTGGTGCTGCAGGTCCAGTTTTCCATCTGTCTCACCATAAGGACGTCACCAGCAGTTGGGTGGCCAAAGTCCAGATCAAGTTGAATGCCGAGTCGGGAGCCCGAAGGAGGAAAATCGGTCATCAGCTGGAGGTTCACTTCTAGCATGATGATATCACATTCCAGTGGCCCGTTCAACCCGTCAATCAATGAGGACAGGTGGGGGAAGGAAGAGCGCCATCCGTTGACATTCTCAAGGGGCATGGGAGGTGCAATTGGGTGGTGTAGGTCTCCCTGAAGGCGCGTATATGCGTGAAGAGCTTTCTCGATGCGATTCGCCTGCTGAGGTGCGCTTACCCACATGTCGAAACTGAAGCCATGAACGTTCTTGGCTCCAGCCTCCTGCATGTTGGAACCCAGGGTATAGTGCGGCGGCGGGAGGTCTCCATAAGGTTGCACTGCCCTCACAGGATTATGATACTGAGGATGCCCATGAGCCCCATAGTGACTTGATGCTGCGTGGTGGTCCATAGATGTCCGCCACTTGGGTCCGGTTGCTGATGCATGTCCACTTGATCGGTCTGTGGACTGTTCCCGAACGAGTCGCTCCCCTGAGAAGAGATTAAGATTAACAAAAGATTTAAAAGAATATGTCTTCGCTAGAAAGGACACTCACAGTCGGGGTCACCCTTCAAGAATGAGTCAAGCACCTGAAGATGACTTGAGACCTGTTTTCTGGTCCTCCGCTTGCCCGTCAATTTGAAGATATACTCGGCAATAAGCTCATTGCGTCCGTATGATTTTCCTCGCTCAGACCACTTTCTTCGGCCCATGGGAGGATTTGCTTCGAGAGCTATACCCAAGATTGTTAGTATTGAGCTTGGATATCATTTACGGCAGCGTTGAGTACACACCTTGCTGGAAAGCATCTTCCAATTGATCAGACCAGACTGGCTCGCCATCTTTACCAGTGTCTCGTCGAGGACGAGCCCGGTATTCCAAGTACTTTTGGGACTTGAGATAGCTTCTTCCCCGACGAGGCGCCGCACTGTGCCCGACAGAGTTCAGCCGACGCAGCTTCTTTGCATGAAGCCGAGCTTGCATGGCCTGGTGGTGTATGTTGGAAGCTGATACAGCCGATACAGGATGAGGGGCAACATGATGTTGAGGATACTTGTAGGCTAGCTGCTGCAGATGATCCTCTCGACCGGCATCATTGTGTGCAAGGCTATCCGAATATGACTGAACGTTCCCAGAGGTATTCTGAAGAGCTCGATCCGAATGAACACCCACTGCCTCCAAGGACGGCTGGTTCTGAGGCACGAGGCACTCGGGTTGCCAGTCAGCAGCCATGGAGTGTACCAAGGACGGGCTTCTCCCAAAAGAATGACGGATTCCAAAGAGGAGGGGGAGTTGAGAGGCACCGTCAAATGCTTACTGCCTGGCAAAGAACGCAACTGACTGAAGAGAATGTCAGAACCTGGGAAAGAGAATGTGAGAGCGAGCAGGATGGTGTTTATAGGGAAGCATACTTCCCCCCGAGGGGAGGGGTGGTGTGTAGTCCCAGTAGCAACATTGCTGCTAGGTACGCCAGGTTTGCTTGGACCTGGCACCACGTCCCTCGAACGCCAACTCCCCATACTCCTAGGACAGGGAACCCTCTCGATCGAAGAGCCTTCGGCGCGTCCAGGCACTCGCAGCAGAGGTAGCATAGGACCCGACCGGCCAGCTGTCCTTGCCGCAGCAAATCAGGAGTCAAGAAAGGGCTCGATATGAAGGAAGTGTTTCCGCACGCAAGGGATGCTCAACCAGCACGATCCAGTGACGAGCGTCTCGGAGATTTTGAGCTGCACGAAGTGACCTTGGAGTCCTCTCGCACGAGCCAGTGTTGACCATCGTCGACTATCATCAGTGGCAATTTGAAGGTTGGCAGGAATGTTGAACAACTGACGGCGTCCTCCTATTTGCCCAGGGTCAAGAATGCACCATCACCCCCAAAACAACAACTGGCGTTGGAATGTAGGTCTTCGATGACCTTAAAGATGGTCCGCGCATCATCCAGTTACACGGAAATAATTGCTCATGACCTTTGGCTGTTATCAAAGCTCTGAATGGTACGGCAGTGAACAAGTGTTGGCAGGTATACAGTGGAAGGGTGGTGGTGAGTTAGGGCTAAAGTAGGGCGGTACGGGCCTTGAATAGGAGGGGAAGAAGGAACCAAGTTATACAAAGTAGGCAAAAAAAAAAAAAACAACACAAGCCGTGCGGATCTTAACTGCAGGGTCAAAACTTGACAGCCGCAGGAACGTGTTCGGGGGTATCTCTTTTCTCTGTCGAGTGCAGGTACATAATGGAACCAAAAAAAAGTATATGCAAGAAATCGTACATGGTCGTCCTCCTCCCCACCACGCAAGGGATGGCCATACTCGGCCAATCCACTCGGCGCCCTTTTCCGCAGGGAGAGCAAAAGGGTCACAGTTTACCCTCACTATTCGTCCTCCTCTCCCCCTACAGTGAATTTCTTTCGCCCTCCACTCGTAAGTTGCTGGAGCTTGACCCTGTCCACCTGCTCTCCTACCTTCTTTTCTATCTTCGCGATCTCGTCCTCGGGATCGACGGCCTCCTCGTTCGCGAATTCCAGAACTAGTCGGCGACCCAGGAGATGCGTGTTTTTCAACGCGTCCATGGCATTCTCCGCCTCGCGAGCACTGATAAAGTCCGCAAAACCGAAACCACGAGCTGACCGATCGAACTTTTGAGGCACACGCACGGAGCGGAGCTGACCGTAGGCCCCGAACAAGGACCGAATGTCCTTCTTGGTAACCTGGAACGGCAAGTTCTTGATGATGATCTTGGTCCGCCTGGCCGCAATTTTCTTGGCTGTGTCCTCCCGTCTCCGCTCCTCCGCAGCATCCATGCCCTTGTGTGAGGCGCGAATGACAAGCTCGTGCTGATCGAGCTTGTAACCATTCATGGCTGCAAGAGCCGCTTGAGCCTGAGCCTTGGTTCTGAACTCCGCAAAACCGAAACCCATGCTGAGGGTTTGACCGGGACGCTTGGGGTCGGTCTTAGTCTTGATGCGGCCAGTAACGAATCCGTCCAATGGTCGGAAGACCTCTAAGAACTTCTCATTCGTTGTGGAGAAGTTCAAGTTCTTGACGAACAAGGTTGAGGTCATACCAGTCTCGGGCTCATCTGCCGCGAAGGTGTCGGATGTAGAGAATCCTTGAGACTTGGCCTGAGTCTCGGGAAGAGCAGTGGATGTCGTTGTGCCATCGAACAAGTTCTTGGGCGCCTTTTCCAAGAAGAGGATAGAGTCGCCCATCTTGCGATAGGCCAGACTCTTGAATGCAGCTTGTGCCTGGTCAGGCCTGGCAAACTCCACAATGGCAATGGTGCCACTGGGTGGCATAAGAAGCCGGAGAATCTGGCCGAACGGCTCAAACATACTCCGCAGCTCAGCAGACTTCACGCCGAAGGAAAAGTTCTTCACAAGGATTGCGGTGTTTCCACGTTCGCGACCCTTAAAAGCTTCAATGTTCACTCCGTTTGACGCAAAGTAGGCCTTGGTCTCTTGGATAACATGCGTTTCAGCATGTGCTTGCTTTACAGCGGCGTCTGAAGACGTAGGGTCTAGCAGTTCTGCCTTGCTAACACCAAGTCTGTCGGCCACTGAGGACATGACGGCATCGGCCTACAAAGTAATTAGCATTACGAACTATTCTGAGGGTTGAACAAGGCAACTTACATTCATGTAAAGAGAATTCCAGCTGAAGGTTGTTGAGGTAGCACCCATTTTACGTTTGATTTGCTTCTGCTTTTTCAAGGGAAGCTTGGATAGCTCAACATCGTCAATTTTGTACGTCTTCTTAGCAGCAGCTGGAAGGATGTGCAAGAGTCGACCCTGGAAATGTTTTCCATCCAATGCCCGGTAGGCGTCGATGGCGGCATCGGCATTCGTATACTGGATGTAAGCGAAGCCTTTGCTAGTCTCAGTCCGAGTATCAAAGGCCACATGGATCTGCATTCATTATCATTAGCACTTGGCCGGACAAAAGTCTGTAGATAAAAAATGTGCAAAGTGTGTTTGAGTTTTGCTCTTTCAGAAAACCGAGAAGCATCTACTAAAATCTCTCGCCTGGTGACATCATTTGCATTTTTGCATAAGCTGTCCCTATCAGGATAATCATCATACGAGCACTCCGCTAGCGCATGCACAAAAGCACATGGTAGCGTTGTTGATGGGTGGGAAATAAGAAAAGAAAAAAAAACATAGTAAAAGCCACTAACCTCATCGAGTTTGCCAAAGGGAGCAAAGAGCGGTTGAAGATCCGCATCGGTCGTGTCGTAGGCAAGATTCCTAACGAACAAGCGGGCAGAATCACGAATGAGATCAACATTCGGGTCAGGCCGCTCGGGCGTCGTCTCAACTGCGTCATCATCCTCGACAGCAGCATCGTCAGTAACAGGTTGAGGAGGGGCATCCTCAAAGGCAGCAGTGCGAGATTCCTCGACGTCGGGACTTGACTCGGCTGGTTGAGCAGCTTTGTGTTGGTCGAATTCAGCCTGTTCATCTTCATCCAAGAGACCAAGAAGACGACTCGTCTTCGACCGAAGCCAATCGGAATCTGATACTGGGCCTGCTTCATCCTGCGCCGCCTCAGTCTCCTCTTGCACCGGTGTGTCCTCCTCCATGTCCTCATTAGATTTGTCCACTTCCATAGCCTGGGCCTTCTCGGCGTCACCATCGGCCACGGGTTCCTGTACCCGCACCTTTTTCGGATGCGAAGGAAGTTCCTCAGACGGACTGTTATCCTGAGCTGGAGTGTTAATTGGAGCAACGGCATGCTCGGTAGCCATTGCCATCGCCGTGGTATCATCATTTGCCCAAGTTCGGGTCTTCGAAGAGGTCTGCATCAAAGCAAGGTACTCTTTCAGCTTGGGGTCCTCCGGCTTGGATTCGGCATCCCTTTTACGCTTGAGAGCATGGTCCGAAGAAGCATCATCTGTAGCATCACGCTTCCGGGTAGGATGAGCTCTCTCTGTGGGTTTAGAATCAATCTACAATGATACGGGTCAGTCTCAAGAAAAACTGAACTGGTCAGCGGGGAACGCAGGCAAAATGAGAAACATAAGGAAGCAGCAAGCTAGACGACAGGCGTCACGTACCGGTCGAGCAAGATCTACCGAGATCCTGGACATCTTCATATATGTCCTGTTGAAGTAGTTCACAGCTTCTTGGGCTGCTTCATTGCTTTTGAAGCCGACAAAGCCCATGCGCCGTTTAGGCAGGACATGAGCATCTGTAACAGTGAAGCGGCTTGCAAAATGATTGCGAAGCTGATCATTGGAGCAAGAAGGTGGAAGCCCACTGACAAACACCCGAGTGTTCTCCATTATGAGTGTTTGCAGCTGGAAAGCCTTGGGCGAGTGTAGATGCAAAAAAACATTCAAGAAATTTTTTTTCCGTCTTGTATGGGCCGAAGGCGGTAAGGCGGTTGCGGTGGGGACGTTGAAGGTCTGGCAATACCGTCTCCCTGCCGAAGGCGGTCAATCAAAGGCTGGACGCGCCCCATCGCGCAGCTTCACCAATCCGAACAACGATTCTGCCTCCCTAACGATATCCCTACGCCGAAACCTACCAGATTCTTGAAAAAACACATCGCAACCATGACTACTGAGAAGAAAGACAAGATGGAGGGTCAGTAACCCCCAAAGCCGAGCTAATTTCTCTCTGCTAACCTTTTGCAGCCCAAATCAAGTCCGTTGACATGGTAGGACGCACTAGCTTCTATGACCCCTGGAAAGCGAGCTCTGACACCCTTTGAACAGACGGAGGACATGCAGCAGGAGGCCATTGCTCTCGGTATGAGCTCAGAGACCTCTCTCTAGTTGAATTGCAGCTGATTTGTTCCCACAGCGATCGAGGCTATGGAGAAGTACCACATCGAAAAGGTATGTACCCCACAATCTCTCCCAAAAGACGGACCCCATCGAATTTGATACTGACGATGAGCTTCAATAGGATATCGCCCAGCACATCAAAAAAGAAGTTCGTTGTCGCCCGTCATCTACCCTACACCTCCCTGAACCAGCACTGATAACCCCTCCAGTTCGATTCGCGAAAGGGTGCTACCTGGCATTGCGTTGTTGGCCGAAACTTTGGAAGCTTTGTCACCCACGGTCAGTATGGAATGTCTTGCTATATCCACGTATACCTAGCTGACACCCTCGGCAGAGACCAAGCACTTCATCTACTTCTACCTTGGCCACTGCGCCATCCTCCTCTTCAAGACCCAATAAGCGGACATCTGTCCTTCGCAGATGCAGTCTGGAAATCCAACGAGGACAAGCCTCGTAAATTTGCCTTTTCAAAGCGATCCTTTTTGTCTTCGTGTCATGACTTTCAGCTTTTGTGCCGAAGCGCTTTCTTCACGAGGAACGTCGCATTTTGTACACATTTTGTCATTTTACCTACCTACTTAAATACTGATGAGATGAATTCTTGTGAACGAAAATCCTTTCTTCAAAAGCATATCCATTTGTAAACAGATACCAGATAGATAGCTAGCTTTACAGATATGTTGGAGTTTGCCATCGATCTTCAATCACATGGCCTCACGTGCTCACCGCCAAGCAGCCAAGCCACAGCGCCCCAAATCCCCAAACGCCGCTGCCTTTCCATGTACCTTGCATCTCCCTCTTGTTCTCTTTTCAACCATCATCGTCATTATGGCAATCTGTATCACCTTTGGTACTCATGGTAAGTATTTGTTCAAGCTCGAGGAAGCTTCAGACATCTGTGTGGAGCTTTATTTCGGGTCTTGTCCCCGTCCAGTGTTTATCCTGGCGGACCTGATCCACTCATCTTTATATTGCGGGTGACTGACCCACGCCAGAGTTCACCTCCATGCTGGAGGGCTATGAGAATGTCCGCGCCTACTGCTACAACTGTGAGTTTCAGCCTTGACCGTCTATATTTTTGACTAGTACTTATATATGCATATGAACTCTCGACTAATGATCATCACTCTACAGGCCAACACTGGAATGGACATTGTCTGACCCGATGGTATGTCACTAATGGATCATTCCCCCGCCATGCAAAGAGAAACTCACATTATGACTTAGGCCTTTCTTCACCGTCTGCTTCGTTGTATGACTTGACTATATTCAGACCCTTGCGTTTTGTACATTATGACTGATGAAATACCCTGACTAGCCCGTGATTCCTCTTGCCATGCACAAGTACAAAGTGAGTACATTTTTGTCGTACACTTGTCTTGACACATTTCTTCTTCATATTACACTGCTAGATTGATAGTAGCTAATGCTCTTACAGGAGGTTACTTGCTACACCTGCCGCTTTACTCAGGACTTGCGGTAAGTCACAGCACCACCACAGCATTGAGCTGGATCTTCTGGTTCTCATGTCATAATAATATAGTGATCGGCCTGACATTACGCCTGAGACACGGCCACCACCACACATGCAATGGGGGCCCCAGCCTCCCCCTGGTGCTCAATGGCAGCAGCAGCAACCCCAGTTGCAGTCGCCACCAGTCGCGCATGGCGCCCAGCAAGTGCCCGAGAGTTACAAGTGATGATCGACTTGAGACTCGTTTGCTCACATATTTCGCCTAAAGGAGCAGTACCCAAGCTGCACTCTACGGACAACAAAATGAAGGACGATGGGAATAAGCAACACGTTTTTAACCCCCCCTTTCCTTTTTCAAAGCACTCTCTGGCGCCACGGTTTTTCGTTTCTCGTGATGACATGCACTTTTTCGTATCTGGGAATTGTCTTTACTTCGGAATCAATCAAATCGTGAACAATCTTGTCATTACAAAACAACTATCATAGTAAGGGGTATAAGATAACGTATGGATCTATAAAAACAGACCCGAACAAGCAGATATTATAAAGGTGTCATCCAACTAAGCAGACGCCTCAAGCGCCTCCTTCTCCTTCTCTCCAACCTTCTCCGTGGGTGTCGCAATACCAGAAGCCTGCGCGCCATCCGTCTTGTGGCCCCGATACACCGTTGGCTTGCGGCCCATCAGATCCAGGCTCATCATCCGCACAACACGCACAATACTCTCACGACCTTCATAAAGCGGGAAAACGACCACACCAAAGAGAGTGCAGAACAACCAAATTATTCCGACAACGACCCAGCCAGTGAAGAACTTCTTGCTGAACACGTATGATGATCCGTACATGGGAATGGGCCAAAGGATCAGGAAGGCAAGAGTCATGAAGATGGTCAGGGTACGCGAGTACAGAGCTGCACGGTTGAGCTTGCGTGTTTCTTCTTCGGATTCGGCTGCAGAAGGACCGTGACCCTCGCCGGGTACGAGTTCAAGATCGATATGCGCGGCTGCGGCAACTTCAGTGTCATCGACCTTGCGGATTGCGCGCATAGACTCATAGTCGTAGTTCTGGGAGCCGAAGACGAAGGTGAAGATAGGGACGAAGACGACGGGGCTGAGAAGAGCAGCGACGTTGCCAGCGAGCATGGGGTAGCTAGGAGAGATGGGTTAGCAACTATAGGTTGGTAAATATGTATAACTTGGTACTCACTTGGCACCGGTCGTATCCACGGTCAAAACACCGTATTCCTTCTTTGCAGTGACCAGCCAGGCAATCAGCGACACCGCGAGACCAAGAGGCGGCGATGCAGCGGCAGCAATCCAGTTCTGGCCCTTCCACAGCAGGGTCATGGCACCGGGGAACACGGCAGACGAGATAATAACACCCATGAGCAGATACAGGTACCCCATACCAATACCAGCATAGTACAGTCCAGTAGCAAAGCCGGCCATGATAATAGCATAGACAATGCAAGACATATGCGAGATCCAGACAAGCTTCTTGCCCTTGGCAGCGGGATCGATATAGGCCTGGTAAATATCATAGGTGAAAATCGAAGAGACGGCAATCAATTGAGCCGAGAAAGCAGACGTAACAGCCATGAAAATCATCAAAGTGGTGGCGACGGCGCCACTGTAGCCGAGGAGCTTGACGGCCGCGAAAGGAAGGACCAGACCAGCAGTTACATCGTCACTGCTCAAACGCTGAGAACCCTCAAGAGCCAACGCCGAGATACCCATAGTGCTGGCGCACAGCCAGGGGATGGCGAACCAGCAGAGTCCACCAATAACATAGCCGGGGAATGCATGCACGGGACTAGCAGCAATGGCCTTATTGTAGTAACCGTTATCGAGGAAGACGGTGCCGAAATTTCCAATCAAGTTGATTATCCAGAAGATACCACCCTCCTTGGATCGCATGGTGAGATAACTTCCCTCCGCATTGCCTTCAACGGGATGAGCTTTGGCGGCCGCGACGAGAGCATCATACATCTTGCTCGGGGAGCCGAGTTCAGCGTTGGTCGCATATGCCGAGAAAGCGAAAAGGAAGATCACGACCAGGATAACCACGGTATGCATGTAATCCGTGATGAAGGTAGCCTTGATACCACCGAAGAGTGTATATAGAACGACACCAATAGGAAGCAGGAAGCACGCAGCTGCAGTGGGTACTCCAGTAAGGGATGTCATAACAGCCGATCCACCAGTGAGCAGCATAGCAGTGACAAGAATGTTGGTCATAAGGCAGAAAACGATGAAGACAACGTGAACGGTAGTTCCATAGCGAGCACGAATGACTTCGAGGAAGGTGTGAGCATTTGGCGCACGGCGCTTGAGCTCAATGGCGATGGTTGCGAAGAGGAGGATCTGGACCGTTGCGCCTATTTGTGATGAATTAGTTTCAATCCTTTTAGCTGCCAGATAAGGTAACACTCACCAGATGCGTAGAAGAATGGACCTGAAATTCCATATTTGTATGCCACGGCCGAAGACTGAAGAAGGGTTGCAGCCCATGTCCAACTACTCACGACTGCAGCAGCAACCAGACCAGATTTGACGGACCGCCCTGCAGTCGAGAACATTTCAGATGTTTGGACTTCATTCTGATAGCTAAGTTTTGGATCAAAAGGTTAGTTTTCTCGTGTTGCAAGAGGCAGAAAAGTACTGCTAACCGTTTCAATGCCCAAGTGATGAAGATCATCACCAATGCAAAAGCAAATCCTAACCCCAGGATAATGCCATATCCAAAGCCCTGCGACAAGGGCGCTTCAAAGGTGGCCACCCCTTCCGACATGGCTATAGGGGTACGGTCTTAAAGCCGATAGAGGCGATGAAAAGGAAAAGAGAAATTCGGGACTAGACAGTTGTCGACGTAGAGGAATGTATCACGTCTAGTAAAGAATTCTACCTGCACTGCAGTCGAAACAAGAGCTTATGATGTCTGTAGTATAAAACACTCATCTATAGCGGGGACATATGAATAGATATATGTCCCGATCAACGCTCATCCTACACGTCAAGCAAGTCACTCAGCTCCGAATTCGCACGCGTCAACCCCGGAAAGAAACGTACTGGGGGTCCCTGAGCTTAGATAGCAAGATACGACCCGCAATTGAGGCAGCGATAAGGATGGCATTGCTCTCGTAATGGCTTGGGCTTTCCCAAGGTTGGGATCGGGGGGCGCCGTCAGTGGGGCGCCTTTTGTTGCCCATAGAGAGGAAGACCTAGGCACGTACCACACGGCCCTATGGCAGAAATGGTTAATGAAGAGGAGGACCCTCGAAATACGAGAGATACAAAGCGTGTGGAAATGCTGGAGAACGGTGGAATTGTAGGAGTCGGATTAAATCAGCCTATCAGCGTCGTGGATGGGCTTATCAGACTCCGCTTGGCTATGGGTCGTGATTGGGTTTTGAGTTGGCGAGATAAGGCTCCAGCAGCCGATGGGCCAGTCAGCGCTCTTGCAAGGATCATTGTTCATGATAAACAAACCATTTTGGGGTTAGGTGTGTGGTGAATGCCCTATATGGAGAGACTGTTTTCTATCGTGTCTCAGCAAAACATAAGCATATTATATAACATGTTACATGTGCTTGTCTCTATGATGACCCGTCTCGGACTTAAGCTGTCTACTCCTTGGCAGGCGCTATTCGCGCCAGAGAGGCATGGTAATATATCAGAATTTGTTCGCAAAATATTTGCAATAGTGCTATCGGATGATGACAACCGTAGATTATCAAACACTGGTGGCCATCTTTCTTCCCCACACATAATGTTATCAATACATCCTAACTCGTTTTCCATCAACCCCAACCATCCTCAAGACAACGCATTCTGAAGCGTATTTCCAGCATTGGTCGGCACACTGGTCTGGGCCGCCGAAGCCGCACTAGCACTTGCAATATTGAGGCCAGTGAAATTGGAGAAGAACCCAGTGTCGGCATCGGTGAAGCTAGACCCATCATCTGTCTGAATATTGGTCACACAATCCCTTCCAAGGTAGTCGTAGCAAGCCTTGTTCGCAGTATCACTGGGCGAGCTAAAGAGTTGACCAACAAAATCCTCAACGACGATCTGGCTGACATTGTTGAAAATGCAGCCCTCGAAAAGGCCTTGGCCGTAGTCGGTGCCCTCAATGGCGTGGCCGTTGTTGTCCTCCCAGACACTGTTGACGGCGTGGAAGAGGGTGCTACCGCTGAGCGCTGGGCTACGGCCAGAAGTGCGATAAATGTAGTTGTCTAGGTCCTAAGCATCAGAGATCCGTGTCTTGTAGCCACTCGATCGGATGTGACTTACTCGAAAATGTGATCTGATCATCATTACCGACCAACTCTAACCCCCAGTATGTTTGCCCGTCACACGAAGTAGAGAAATTAGTCGCACCATTCAAAAATCTATTCGAGATAGTGATCAAAGCATTGGGCTCTCGACCAAATGAGTAGTGTACACGGCCGGTATATTGTGTCTAGAGGTAGTCCAATCAGTATTTGTTGACAAGGCTGATATAGAGTGTAATATTGGGAGCTATGGTTTACTAGATGCGGTTGGATTTGCCGTTTCTGGATTAGCGTCCTGGTACACTGTCAGGTAAACCCCTAATCTAGGAAGTATTTATATCCAGAGGATGGCTAACAGATCTAGGGGAGGCAAGGTGGGAAGTTTGTTGAGAGTAACCAAACAGAAATAGTCAGATATAAGGCATAGATTATATTGGTCAAACTAATATGCCTTGCACTGGCGTAGAAGAGAAATGTGTGCGACATTATATTCCATCTGAGATATATTTGTCCTCCAAGCTGTTGCAAATAAGGCTGAATTGGCAATGGAGATGAATGAAACTTGTCAAATCCTTGTTTTCTCTCCAAGGTACTTGCTACACCCGCGGCCGACACTAGGTAGTTAAGCCTGATAAGCGTATTATCGATATTTGTCTGACCGTTGAAGTAAACATATTTATCTTCTTTGAACACTCATATATCGAATATTACGGACAAAATTACTATCCGGTACAACAAAAGTAGCTAGGCGAAGATGCTTAAAGTGACTTCCTCTAGTAATACGCTACTGCTAGAAAAGATAACATAGAGTAGGTCTTACTGTTGAACTTTACACATAGTGCATAAAGTTGTTATGGGATTGTTCTTTTGCGTGTCTTCCCTGATACTACGGATGCCACCGTATTTGAGGATTGTACAACTTGCTCCAGCATTGTGGATAATGGCCAGAACCTTAATTTGACCTTGCGATACACAGCAAAAGTGTGTTACTATTACTCGTAAGATAGGTAGGTCGTGACCTTTTTCATCTCGAAAATTGGAGGTCGGGTCAGCGCGACTGCTAAACTAAGTTTTCTATGGAGAACCCTCTCTTTGAAAACATGTTTACGGAGTAGGTTTAGAGCAACTTGGAGCAACAAGCGACATTTTGGTACCAGTCTGACCTCATCCTTACATTGAAGCAAATTAAAACAAAGTACTTTATTATATACCATGAAAAACACCAGATTTCAATTCGACTGCATGAAAGCGTCACATGGCTCCAAAGATCCGTCCTTCTTCGAAACCTCTGATGGATCGACCGTATTTACCTGCCTCGATGTTCTCCAAGGGATGAACGGGGTTACTAAGCAACGGATGATCGTTTGCCTCACCCATTTTGTGTCCGAGCTCTGGTGCTGGGCGCGTTTCAATAGCTTTATGTTCGGAGAACATGGGATCTCTCTGTTGGGCTCCGGACTGGTGCTCCGGGTCAGGAGACTGGCGGCCACCTGTAGGTGCGGACATGGTATACGAAAAATAAGAAAGCAGATCCACGTTAATATTGTAATACAGTGCCGCCAGTGGGCTAATTTGGTGCTGTAAAACATATTTAGTATACGTAAATAATAATAATGAAGTTCTTTTTGATAGGGTATGCTTGTAAATTGACCTTATTCCAAGGATGCCGTACAGAGATCGGAATATGGATGCTGGGAGTTCTTGGGTTCAGTATGGAACCGAGCGTACTTTCTTCTCTTTATATTTTCAGAAATTCAACAAAGTTTGGAAAATGACGCGTTCAAATATTTTGTGGCAACTTAACATAGTGAACCAGTTCCAAGGTTAGTTAAGTTAACCAAGTTACGCTGGAAGTCAGGATGATGACTAACATAACTTAGCGGGTGCAGAATAATGGTGGTCAAGATTGACGAGGCGGTCGAGCGGCGGCTAGGTGGTGGAAATTACGGATGGAAGGGCGGCCGTTTCTGGCGCCAGGGGATGTCATTTTCGGCGTCGAATTCACAGGTTCTTATGTTCTATGTGTAAACAAACTGTAACATGATCAATCCAGATGCGCGAAGTCCCAGAAAGCGTAAAAGCATCACCACCCCAGACAAGCTTCGGATTCAAATCAGTGATCATAATCTCCTGAACAATAATGTTGGAAACATCGACCATTCTCAATCCCTTCCCGAGAAGCACGCCATTACTTCCAACTCCGATGAGTGTCTTGTTCGAATGCACATAGATTCCCGTCACTCCAGCGGTATCCCATTCATACGATTCTGACGCAGCATCACCACAACCTGACCCGGTATCAATGATGGCCTGGCATCCGTCTTCAAATTCTCCCCATGACTTGCAGATAGTTCCCGTGGTTGTCCCCTCTGACCCGATAAAGTCGTATGTTCTGTCGATGATAACGACCTGCGGTTCATCAGACCCTAGGAGATCGATCAAATGAGAGACATTGGCGGGATAGACTGGCGTCGCATCTCCTCCTGTGACTCCATATGCGAAACCTGGCGCCGAGCCAGTAATTGAGATAGTATCCGCTCTTTTAGAGGTGTCGTGTGCCACTGCTGCGGCTGCAAAAAGCAAAGTGAAGTCGACTCGCATGTTGAATATAGGAACCGGCCCTTGTGTAAAATATGTCAGAGTACAATATAGTCATTCCGGGCGGGCGAGCAGCTTCTATAACGGTCAACCTCTTATACATTCAACTTGCCAAGGTCGCCAAGATCGCAACTTGTTTCTAACAACGACTATAGACACCTGTCTCACCTTGATAGTGTGCCAATTTTTATTCAAAACCCATCTATCCTCTAAATAAAGCAACGCCAGGCATTGACTTTCGGTATTGTCGTCGATATTCGAACAGCCCGCCGCGGGTGTGGGAAAGGGTCCAATCCTAATTCGCGGAGTCAAGCTAGCAAAAACAACGTCCCTGCATGAGTAGCCAATAACCCTTGTAAAGCTACTAACTTTAAGTCGCTGAGTGTTAGAATTTTGATTAAGGGGTGGCGCTACTAACGGGCTCTAACGGGGAACTGACATTTGAAACATCACTGGGAAACTAGGATACCCCATTCCTTCTTCAGACAAGTGCGTATTTTGAACTTTTTATTGAAGTTTATGCCCTGGATTAGTGCCATGGATGGATTAAGTTTGAATCTGACCTTGCCAGACCTGATTGTTATCGAAATCATCTGATAAGTTATAGGATTTGCCATCAAAGTCCCATGTTCAACTCGAACATCTCACGGTTGAATCACCATTGGCCCTCTTGATGTCTTCAGTCTCTTAGCCTTCCATGGCCACGACAATACGCGTACCGATAATCTATATAGAACCTCGGGCCTTGATAGAACTCCAGCTAGCCTGATGTTTACGGCATACTTACAGAGTGAAGATCATCAAGTATAACCCCAAACACCGAACCCCAACTATCCGTTGAAACCAGCTAGACAAACTTCGTATGAGAGTCCAGATCAAGGGTCTCATGATACCGCAATATCATGACAACGGTGTCGCCAGCAAATCAGATAGCCGAAGGGTGTCGTTCTTGGGAAAGATGCACAGGTCTGCTGATATTAGAATATATCACGTACGCATGGAACTGACGATCAGCAACATGCGTAGACATGAAGGACAAAAGTTGAATCGTTGGGCTGGTCTATAGAAGGATAGGAGGGCTTGGTGGAGGGTTGAGATACCAAGTCTACGAGCTATGTAAAGGAAAGGGTCAATATCATATAATATGAAGACTGTGTCCGTTAACAATTCAATGCAAGACAATTGTTTCTGGTTATTATGGTACAGACAACGCCAGATGCCACCTCGCCATCCAAGCACTCTCAGTCCATGCAGGGCCATCGCAGCTTACAATAGCGCGAACCCCGGTATAAACTAAGAAAAATAACTCAGATACCCAGCTCGGTGCCATCCAGCCCGACCTATACAGCGGATAGGTCATCCCTCGCTCGCTCATTCATGGAAACACCGCCAAATACGATAAAAAGGGAAAGAAAAACACCACGGATGTCAAGAATAAACGGAATCACACCAGCATGGCCAAAACTGGAGATCCCCTGCGCCGCCACCGACCAGGTTTCGAAAGGACTAAAGTTGTCATGGGGTATAGGAGGAAGGGGGTTGTTGCGAATGAGGGTGGCAGTGTTAACGCAAGTAGTCGAAGGTCAAGGCGCGAGGCCTTTGATTTCGTTGGATTTGAGGGTAAAATTGATGGAGGACTCGCTTATGCGGAGAACTTGCGGGTGATCTTGGCGATGACTGTGACGAGGGGGTTAGTACGTCAATTTCCAATGGCATGGTCGTAGATAGATCGGATTCGTTCTTACCGTGGAGACCGACAACGGAGAAGATGAAACCCAGACTCAGGACGAGAACAACGACGGGGTCAACGCGGAGACCGGGGCTCTCATCGGTGTACAGCTTCAGCATGGTACCAGACGAGCCACCGGCACCGGCGGAGCGGGTAGAGGCAGGGCGAGCATTGCGAAGAGATTCCTTGTGGTCGGCAGCGGCGCGGCGGCGCATAGCAGCACGAGGGCCACCGGGGGGAGTGGGAGAGGAAGGACGGCTGATGGACGAGCCGGAGGCGGCGACAGCACCGGCAGACTTGGAGTCAGGGCCGGACTCAGCGCCGGAGGTGAGAGGAGAGGCAGGACGGGGAGAGGCCTGTTGTTCAAGGGGAGATGATGTTAGTTGAGATTTGGCATTGGTGGATTGAAAAGGAGGTTTGTCGAGTGATATTCGGTGGCATTGGCTGGGGGAGTGCCAATTGGGAATTTCCAATTGATATTGGGGGTAGTAGACATACCATTGTGAGATGATTGATGTAAATGATTGAAAGAAAGAAAAGAAGGGAAGGAGAGAAAGAAGGGTGTAGGTTGGGGATGAAGGGGAGAGGTCCGAAAGTTGCGGAGTTGAGGCCACGATCGCGGTTTCCTGATCGATACTAGCGCCCGTAACGGTATGGTCATTTATGGGGTTTCCCATAAGAGTCTATCGTTTTATACCGTATGATATACTGCAAGTCCACCAATCATAGAGCTCTACTCTCGGGGAAAGTTGCCTGAGGTTTAGCTCGTTCGAGCTCCTACCGTACCTACTACAGTACCATGTACAATTTGCTTGGATTTACTGATGGAAGCCTTTTTTTTCATGATATATTGAACATTGTGAGATTCTTGGAAATTCTGAGGAGAACTAAGTCACGGTCATAGAGAATCGCCTATTGGCATCTGTCATCATAAGTGACATGGAATCGAACAACAAAGGGCCGAGAACACACGCCCGGGAATCATATCCAGAATAAAAAGTCAAGGAAAGAATAACGCCACCGGTGCACTTCGTCAAGGATATGTAAAGGGGATGAAAATGGGAAAGAAATGAAGCAAGGCCAAATAAAATCACAGGAATTTTGGACCAGGGCTTCCTCTTGGAAGCCGTGGTAAGAAGGAGGGGAAGGAAGAAGGGCAGAGCTTCGACGCTGGTGAGGTATCATATCGAGAGGGGGGCCAAATTAAATCAAACACGCAAGGAAGATTCAGGCTCAAATAATCAAATGATCCGAGGACACAATTAACAAGTAGAGGAAAGGAAATGAGGAAAAGAAATACCTACTCCGAGATTCAACGCCAGCCGAGTGATTAGGCTCACACTGTAAGTGTTACATAGGACCAGTGGCTCTTGACGGAGAGATTGACTTAGTCAATCATCATCCGTGAAGGAACCTGGCCATTGACGTTGTCAGAGAGCTCGGTAGTCTTCTCCTCAGGTCGGCCCTTCTTCTTGTTGATGTGCGGCTTCAGGCCACAGTTGAAGTTGTGCACGCAGATGCAAGAAATAATGATCGTGATGACAATCAAGATCAGGGTGATGATGGCGAAGAATGTCATCGAGGGGCGAGCAGGTAGGTATTGAGGGAAAGTCGCCGTGGCGTACATGCGGAAGAGTTTGAAGCAGAAGTAGCCTAGAGCCGCGAATAAGAGCAACTAATCAAGAATCCATTAGTACAGAGTCGCTGGAGAAAGGAGAATACTGGAAAGCTTACGATAATGGTGATCATGCCAGCAGTGAATTCGCGTCGGACGAAGATGGCACCGCAGAGGAGAATGATGACGGTCACGGGAACCGCGATGATGGTCAGGTAAAACTCGGCATCGTGCTTGGAGGAGGACACCACGACCAAGAACTGCACGGTAAAGCCGAGGAAAAAGAAGAAATCAAACTTCAGCAGAGCGATGTAGATCTGGTAGGTGAGGTAGCGACGCTTCATGCGCAAGTCGGCACTGATGTGCTTGTAGATGGTCCATGCGAACTCATCGTACAGCTTCCATGCAACGAAGGTCATCAAGAGTGATCCAAGCGCAACGATGCACGGGATGATAATCAAGAATGGCTCGGACTCGGCCCAGACGACTGGACTAATTTTTTCCATGTCGGCCAGGACGGAAACGGCATTTTTAATCTGTCGCACTTGAACGGCGCCGTAGATTAAAAGACCGAAATTGCATGCACAGAGCCCGATGACTTGAATGGTGTTCTTCATGCGCAGTGCATCATACACGAGAACCAACTCGTAGATAAATCCGAAACTGTAGAGAGCGAGGAAGGTGGGGATGGTTTTTGATGATGGACTTGTGTTGGGTTTCTCTTGGATTTGGAAGTTGGCGAAAATGTAACTACACGCGACCGGTTAATAAGTATCGACTTTGAAGTTTCGGTCGCAACGGAAATCCCCAGACGAAGTGTACATACCATTCAAGGCCCAGCGTCACCACTGTTTGGACCAGGGTGACGATGGCAAAGGACCACGTCCAGTGGGTGTTGGGGATATACATGATCCGGGTCTTTTGTTTTGGTGTCACATTCGCATATCCTTCGCGACCACGGAACCCACCCGGGGTTGGGCGAAACGAAGGGTCGAACGAAGCCCCTCCAAGTAGGGAGGCGCGCGACCCGTGAGAGTGAATCTTGCCGAAGTGCTCCGAAGCGGAGCTCGGGTCGGCGCGATGCTGAACGGCGGAAGACACACTGACGGTGTTGACCACCGAGAGGATCGGTGGGATTTGCTATTTAAGAGGGAGAGAGAGAGAGAGAGGGAGGGGGGCCAGGGAGGACAAGTCAGGTGCGAGACGCAGTGTAGCCGGTCTGCTAGTCCCTGATACGTGGGAGGGTCGAAACGCCTAGAGGCTCGTGTGCCCGGTGGCTTGGCGATTTCGTTGGAGGAGAGTCGGGATAGGATTAGACTCGAAAGTCAAGCCGCAGGAACATCGGACGGTGGGAAGGTTTGCACTGCTCGAACCAGCCGAGTTGTGAACGGGCGGAAGGTTGGTAGGTCAATTGGAGATGGAGACGAATGGCCTTGGTGTGCTGCCTTGGGGAGATTTTTTCTGGTCCGGTCGCAGGGGATAGCCGGTGGGGGGTGGACAACAAGGTCGGACGGATCAGCGATTGGAAGTCAGGCGAGCCTTGAATCTCTGATCCCTCTTTCTCTCTCTTTTTTCAGGAGAAGAGAAGAAAGTCGGGAGAGAGGTTGAACGAGTGACGGGGAGAGGGAGAAGGTGTGGAAAACAATGAACGATAGCCTCAGAGTAAAAGGGCAAAAGGGGGATCCGGGGTGAGGGTCACTGGAAAGTCACTGGACCAGGAGTGTACACTACAGTACTACAGTACGACAGTCCTTACTACGACACGTCCACATACCAGCATCCGGCGGGTCATCCCCAATTCTTCTCTCCTTCCTCCATCCTAGACTCTTCTAGACCTTCCATTCTTCTCTCTTTGCATGGCTGGGGATTCTTTTCCCTCCCCCATTCGCTTCTTTTTTTTCTCTCTCAAAATTCTAGTTCTAGACACGACGCAAACTCAACGGGTTTCTCCAGTGACCCAGGCCCTGGCTCTAAAGCAGTGGTTCCTGTGGGCCTGGACCCATCACCGCGAAACAGGCACACCAAACCTTGTTGGGCCAAGGCCCGGATCGCTTTACTGATTATTATTCTTATTGCTTGCTGCTGGCCACGTCTGCCGTTGGCCGTTGCGCCTTTTTGGCGGTTGCCTTGCCTCTTCGGCATGGTCGATTACTCCGGACTCATCCGCGACCGTTCCTCCACTTCTAGCCAAAACAGAGCTGATCGTCGCTTCTTCTCTATGACATGACGCCTCAGCCCCCTGTCCACTTATTGCGAAACCGCGGGGCCTCTCTAGCTTTTTGCAATATACCAAGGACGACAGAGCACCGGTTCTCCAATTATGATAGACATAAGCTCGACCCTCCACAAGATGCCAGCCCGTCCAGACTCCTCCACCACGACCCGGAATGTGGCCTGTCAGATGGCTGTGGCTGGTAACTCCCGTGGTGGCTGGGGGTACGCCTCGTCGAACAGCCACTCCGGGAATGTAACCAGGTGACCGCTTACCAAAGTTTACCAGAGTTTCCCAGGGTTGTTGTATTTTGGCTGTGGCTGGGTCAGGCAAGCCACGCGAGGCCTGATCACTTTCGATCTTCCCATGTGGGATTATGCGAGGATTAGCTCCTTACCGCGCCAGTTGGGTTGGAAAGGTCTCGGTAAGCTCGTATTGACGTGAGGTTGGTCTGAGACATTGGCTGAGTTACATGTACTGTACTTATGAGGCTCATCAACATCGTTGGGAGAATAACCTGTAAACGCTTGCCCGCTGACAATATAGGAGTGTTGTTGATTCTGATACTTACCAACTTGGCCTGACAGGTTTCAAATATCTCAAAGTTCCCAATTACCTAGGCTCATTGCCTCGAAGGAGCTTCCATTCCACTTCAATCACATCGATCGCATATGGCCCCCACGCAGACCATGACAAGTCCGCTGGCTGAGACACTACTTGTACTCTGGACAAAATTAGTTCTCTGAGTGCCCGACCGAACCTCTAAATATGACCAACTCATCAAACTCTATACTCAAAGGAGACATTCGACGGTTCATGTACCGTTGATCTTCGAGTCCAGGGGCTTGCACATGCGGGAGGCTTACCGCTCAGGCGAGCATATGCAGGGATCAGACCAACTACTGCGCGGATGATCGCCTGAGCTGACAAGGTCTGGATTCTGGATCCATCGAACAAAACGCAATCAACGAGGGTTCTCCACATTACTCAGCGGGCAAAAAAAAGGTCTGGCCACAGTGGAGCAGGAGTGATCGATGACCAGACTCTTCTCATGCTGATGAACCATAGACTTATGTAGTCCTGGTAGTTTGCTGTGGGTCGTATCGCCATTGCCACGATCGATGGTGATCTTCGTGGAGATCGAGTTTGCATTGATGACTGCCAAATAAACTACGATTCCTTTCGTCGACAGATTAAGTCTTCACCGCGCGTCGGTGGCGATTATAGGAGTTAGCAAAATGACCTCAGTGGCAAGTAGCACGAAGCTCACGCGGATGGAAAGCAATGTTTCTGGTTATACAATGCCCCTTGCGATCTATTGAATCCCTTCGGAAGGTTGGATAATCAATCCTACAGTTTAATAGGCCAATGTGAATATTAGCATCAAATCAGCCTCTGGGGTAAGGCTTTATTTAGCTAGTCTGAAGTGCTAACTGTGTTAGATGGCCTGGGAACATTTGTGTCTGCATAGAGTCAGATTTGACAAGCAGGGCATTTCTCTCCTAGACCGTTGGTGGGATAATTATTAGAAGTATGACCCAACGGCGGTCAGGTAATAGTATCGCGGACACCAGAGAGGCCGTCTAATTAAGAGTCTTGGCCTGGACTTCATTGATTAATTCTCCGTTATTATGTACACCCTGTAGACAGGCACGCCTCTTATCTCCTGATCTACTGCCTCCGCGATAACAAGCAGATAGGCCGAACAGCCCGCGGGGTCCGAAGAACAAGTTAACTTGCTAACCACACATAAAAATCCCCCGAGCCAAACCCCTCCATAACTCATCGCTAATCGTGGCATCTCCTCTGACTTCCTAATTTGGGTTAAGTGCTAAATGCTATCGGGACATCATCAAGCCATTCAGCGCGTATCTACCCGTCCTTCCCCGCACGACTCCATCGACAACTGATATCGATCACGCTAAGCGGATTAACGGTCTCTTCATTGGTGGTTTTGCAGGATATATGAATTATATAATAGGAATTCTGGTGGGTTCAAGACTCTGGTATAAATTATCAGGGCAGAGCGACATTTAGACATCTCATTCCCAAAAAGACTTGAGCTCCTTCCATTCCAGTGACAAAGACTGGCTCTTGGCTTCGAAAACCACTATGCTCTCATTGTGGGTAGGCGCTATCCTCCTCGTTGGGTATATTGTGGCCCAAGGGATTCTATCACCTGTATCTAAAGTGCCAGGGCCGTGGTATACCCGCTTCACAAGTTTTTGGATCAAGTATCAAGAATTCACAGCGAACCGACGAGAGTCTGTCCATCGGCTTCACCAACTATATGGCCCCGTCGTCCGTTTGGGCCCCAACGAGGTATCGTTCACAAGCCTCGATGCTATCCGCGAAATATACGCCTCCGGAGGTAGTGGCTACGACAAGACGGAGTTCTACTCGCTCTTCAAGCAATTAAAGACCAAGTAAGTCGCACTGGTAAATTTCCGATCCTGTTTGTGTTCTAACTGGATGGTACAGGACCATGTTTTCCACACTTTGCAAGGAGGAGGTTAGTAAATTCTCTCCTGGAGTTTGCATTGGTAGCGCTAAATATCATGGGTATACAGCACAGCAAGAGGAAACGCCTTTTCGCCGAGCGATATGCGATGACAAATGTTATGAAAGCAGAGCCTCTGGCTGCTATTAACGAGCGAGCGATGAGTTTTGTCTCCAAGTGTCTAGAAGCTGGCAAACAAAGTGTCGATGTCTACGTGAGTTTCTTCTGATTTACCACCTTCCTTCTTTTGGATAGCTGCTCACCAGCAAACTCAGGTCCTTCTCCACTGCTACGCTGTGGACTGCGTCACACATTTTATGTTCAGCCCAGGAGGTCTCAAATCACTCAATGTCGAAAAGGACTTTGAGATCATGCAGGAGCTCACTTACCACCAAAGTCTTCAAAGTAAGCAACTTCTTCTCCCATCATGATTAGATTTGCTCGAGCTGAAACCTGAGTTTAGAGAGTCTTTTGGCATACTACCTCCCCTCTTGGGAGCCCTACTTTCCAAGTTTCCTCCATCCACGCAGTGCACCCAAGACCAACCAATTTGTTCTAGACATGACTGCCCAAAACCAAGTTAAGGAGTACACTCTCCTGGAAAAGCTCAAGCGAAAAGAATCCGGCCTCGAACTTATCCAAGTAGCGGCCGAATGCAAAGATCACATGGCAGCTGGTATCGACACTACCGGCGATGGGCTCTGCTTCTTGATGTGGGAACTCTCACAACCACATAACATGGAGTTCCAGAGCAAGTTACAGGATGAGCTTAAGAATGCCCCGCCCGATTCCTCGTTGGATAGCTTGGTTTATCTTGACGCGGTAATCAAGGAGGCTTTGCGTTGTTCTCCGCCAATTCCGATGTCTTTGCCGCGTTACGTGCCCGCAGGTGGGAGATCGATTGATGGTTATTTCATTCCAGAACACACGATCGTGAGCTGTCAACCGTATACGGTTCATCGAAGCTGTGAAGAGGTATTCCCAGAGCCAGACAAATTTTATCCAGATCGGTGGCTCGACGATAAAGGTGCTGCTGAGCGAAACAGGCATTTCTTTGCCTTTGCAACTGGTGGGAGAGGATGTACTGGGAAGAAGTGAGTTTTCTGTTCGAGATTTCGTACCTGGGGCGTGTACTAATATTGTGCAGTCTGGCGCTGGTGGAGATGAAGATACTTCTCCGGGAGGTTTACTCTCGATTTACTACCACAGTGGCACCTGATATGAATGGTTCTATGAAACTGGATGATCAGATTATCTCGGCGAGGCCAAAGGGACAGACATGCAAGTTAATTTTCACCGAGGTTTAAAGACTTTGTTTCTTTCAATGAATATTCTTTTCGGCCATGAAATTGGTTGTCTTGGTTCCTACTTTTCATCACAACCAGTTATTGGAGCTCGATGCGTGATCTTATCATGATAATTCATGTCGGAGAGATGTCAACATCCGTGAATAAATACATTCTTAGTACTAGAGCTAAAACCGTCCATTTTATAAAGCCTTGGATCTTTTGTATGCTTGACCTCATAATATCGGCCGAGACGAAAACCTGTTTCGCAATGTGGTCTGGCTGTCGGGAAGCGGTGGAGATACCGACCATCGCGCCACCAGATTGTCTCTGCTTCCGGAACATCTCAAACACCCACTATTCCGAGATCCTTTTTTGGATTTTCCTATCAAGCTTGAAGTGATTGTTCGATACTAATGGGCGTGGTTCATGGTCATATCCAACTCGGGCGAGCCTCTCGGACGAAAAGTAGAAACCGCACCGGTCCATGATGAGCTGCCGTGGTCAACAATATCGGATCAGTATTTGTCGTAAAAACTCATCAAAGTACGAGGTATATTTTATTGGTTTGAGACAAAGCTTGACCTGGCTTCCAGAATCGTCATTCTTCGTCAACAGGAAATCCACACCGTATAAACCTTAATGCTCTTAGGTATAAATGTGATTCACTCCCTCGGCCTTTTAATCACTGCAGATATTCAGCTCTGATATTTTGTTTCCCAGTATATTGGATTTCCAACTTGGCTTCTTCAATATTCCACATTTGTGCTAGCCGAAATGTCTGACCCGAATAATCCTAACATCAAATCGAGAACAACTCCTCAGTGGTCACTCTACCGCCGTGAAGCGTTCTGGAATACTAATTCCGGACAATTTCCGCCCTTCAACACTGGTAAATGATCTTTTATCACCTTCATCAAATTTGATAACCAATTTCTGTGTTTTCATCGGCTATATAGATCCGACTGAGGTTGAGAAACTCGCAAAGGAAAAGCTGTCCCAAGGAGGATGGTAGGTTCTATACAACGTGACTTGAACCTACTCAAGATAAGCTTGACTTACCGTACAACTCATGCAAAGGTATTATTCTTCCTGCAACGCAGGTCTTTCATGGACCCATCTAGCAAATCGTCAGGCATTCTACCGCCACCGAATCATCCCTCGCACTCTAGTCGACACCAACATCAGAGACACAGCCACAGAGATCTTCGGTCATAAAGTCTCTGCTCCCATCGGCTTTGCTCCAATTGGCATCAACCGTATCTACCATGCAACCGGCGAGATATCTGTTGCAAAAGTTGCCGAAGAACTGAACCTTCCGTACTGCCTCTCTTCTGCGGGCAGCTACAGCATAGAAGACGTCGGCAAAGCCAACGGCAATGGACCACGATTCTTCCAATTATACCTAAGCCACGATGATGAATTGGCTATTTCCATGATGCAGCGTGCCTGGGACTCTGGTTTTGATGCTTGTATGCTCACTACGGATACCTGGTCTTTGGGATGGCGCCACAATGACGTGTTCACGGGGAACTATTCGTTTTATCACGAACATGGAGCGGGTGATATTGCTTTGCAGGATCCTGTTTTTCAAAGGCGTTTGAAAGAGGCTGGTATTGATCCGAAGAAGAATCCTAAAGAGGCGGGGGCAAAGTGGATTGATGAGAATATCTGGCATGGTCGGGCTCATACTTGGGAAAAGGTACAGTGGGTGATGGCTCAGTGGAAGAGGATCAGTGATGGCCGTCCGTTTTGTCTGAAGGGTATTCAAAGCGTTGAAGCGGCGAGAAGATGTGTGGAGATGTTAGTGTTTGTCCCTATGAGGGTGAATCTCATGTTGCTGATCATTTTAATTAGGGAAATCGACGGGATTGTGGTTACGAATCATGCTGGTAGACAAGTTGACGGTGCCATTGCAAGCCTTGATGCTCTGGAGAAGATTGTTGATGCTGTCGGTGATAGCATATACGTATGTCTCCTTTCCCTATACTGTACGCGGTTTTCGTGACTTGGAAACTAATTTGACAAACGGAAATAGATCATGTTCGACTCTGGCGTGCGCACCCCAGCCGATGCTTTTAAAGCTCTTGCTCTCGGAGCAAAGTTCGTATTCATAGGAAGATTATGGGTGTGGGCACTGAGTATCGCCGGTGAACATGGTGTACGCCACATTATGAAGAGCTTTTTGGCCGAGTTCGACCTTCTGATGGAAGAAGCTGGGTTCCAATCAATTGATCAGATCGATCGCTCAGCCATTGACAGTCGTCCAAATACCTCCCACTTGATTGCCGAGCAAGCCTACATCTAAATAGAAAGATAATTGCATATAGATTGATTTGAATGATGGAATGGGGTTCAAATTACATCTTTGGTAGTATCTAGAAGAACTAGTTAAGTCAAACACGCCGAGTCGCGTGAGGGGAGCCATTCTAAAATAGCTGGTCGAGCCGACAATGCGGGGCATGAGGGGGAAGCCGATAAGGCCCACGAGGATCTCTCCGCTGTTGCGAAACCTTCTCCTCGAGATACCTAATTCGTCTTGGCTTCAAATAGCCATCGCGCCCGTCAAACTCGCATTTTAGCCCCTCGGAAGCTACCTAACTCCGACAAAATTCTTGAGGAGGTTTCTTCGAACGCATTCTGGCTCTTGACATCCCCTTGAGTATCACAATTTATAATTGCGTTTCGACCATGTCCAATACCGGCAATCCCACCAATTCATCTTGTCGCTTCTCGACGCGTATCTCGCTACGATGGCTGCCCGAGCCTGCGCACGAGACGACTGATACAATCGTCATGTCTGTGAAGGACTGGTATCTGGATCTGCGAATGGACAAGCAAACCGGTGAAATTGACTGGGCAATCGCCGGTCAACGACTGATTGAAAGCCAAGAACCCCGTATGTTGCTCTATACACTCTTCTCGAATCTCGAATCCTAGCTAATCACTTATTCAGTACGTGTATCTTTCACTCACGAGCTCGACTCCCATGATGCCTTTGAAAGTGCCGACTGTGGAACATTCGTCACTCTCCCGAACGGTGATGACCTCGAGACGGGATCCATGCCCCGTCCTGATCTCCCAGGTGCGCCAGAGACAGACTACGAGGAGATTTGGCGAGAGCTGCCATTCAAGGAAGGCCCTGAAGGACCTGGGAAGGGAATGTCATGGGTTCTGGAGTCGGATGATGGCGAGCTAGGAGAGGGCAAGGTTTCCGTGACCAAAACGTTCCTGGGTCGAATTTGGGGGACGTATCTGGCACTGCAGCAGACCCAGACTCATATCCGAGAAAGGAGTCCGTCAGGAGATTGGGTTGTGAGGAAGAAGGGGGCTGATGTCAGTGCTAGGAGGGAGGAATGGAGCTCGGCCTCCAGCTGGGAGGATCGATATGTGGTTGGACCGGCTGGAAAGGCGTTGCCTTCTTTAGGAAACGGACTTGAAGGAGAAGGGAAAGGGCCATGGAGAGTAGTCGGTGAGAAAGTGATTGTTCAAGGGAGGGGGTATATTGTTCGAGCATTTGAGGAGATTTAAGAGCTGTCTAGATGTCATGGCCTGGAGCTCGGCAATAGATTTGCGTATTTGACGAATGGATTGTCCTTAAGGTTAAGCTAGCAATTCTGTAATTCCTAAAATTTACCTATGAGAGTACTTGTATACTAATCACTGGCTTGTATATTTCCTACTAGCAAGAAGTAAATCCCAGTTCCATCGCAATAATCATCACGATTCTTTGCAGCTAAGCTCCTTCGGTCCCGGGCAGAATCCCAGGAACAACCCCAAATCCAGAAGGCGGTCACATGCTCACCCTCAGCTCCCCATTTTCTTTCGACTCACATTCTCTTCCTCTTCCTTTTCTCTCTCCAAGCGCCATCCCTACCAATGCTGCGTTTCTTTGCTACACACGACAGCGAGGCTCTCGCCCCGCTGTCCTCGGTACCCTGAGCTCGCCTCAGTCCGAGATCCTTTGCAAATGAGAAATTCGGAGGAATCTTCAACAACCCTAACCCGCCCTCTCTTCGTTCGCGAAGTCCGGGGGCCGGTGCTGCCCGCGAGGGCCTGGTGTGACCTACTCGACACACCTGCATTCGGCATCAGAAACATCGGGGGACCCGGAGTTGGCTTTTGCTGGCTTCGATACCCTATGGGAGAGTCGGTGCGGAGATCGTGTGTGATGACACTTTAGTGCAATACGCAGCATACTATGCTCTTGTTCTCTTTCGGGAGGGCAGAGCGGTATCATTCGATTCCGATCATTCTGGTGGGGATGGCGCTTCACCTTTTTTTTTCTCAGGTCAGTATTTTGTTTCTTCCCCTCCACTTTGCTTGGTGCTTTGTTGTGCGCCGGGAGTGGGTCTGGAAAGGATTGTTTTTGGCGACTCTGCTAATTAGTGGGGTTGCGGGCCATGTTCCCGTTAGGTTTGCCCTTCGAGGGTCCTTGACGTTGCATGGTGTGTGGGTTTGGATACTGGAGGTTGGGATGGGTGTTTGGGTATGATGGTATGAAGACAGTATATAGAGCTTCATCTTAGACACGGGAATCAATCTCTTATACCTTGGTACTATGTGATCGTCTTATTAGAATCTTAATGTGTATTGCACGAGTATCCCAGTGCAGAAATTTCCTACTCCTCGTAATATGACAGGTGGTTGGGTAAATAGAGCCGAGAGCCCTGTAAGGCTATTCGGGATGTTATTGGAATAAACTAGCATAGATAAAAAAACAAAGGCTTTGCCATCCCTTCTAATTCGGGACATCGTGCAGAGAAACAAGAAAATAAACAAGTCATTGCCTCCGTCAGGGAATCTCCATTATCGTAGGGGCTTCATTTTGTCTGGTCTTGACCAGTTCATGTGATTTACTCCTCATCGCCGATCTGTGAAATGAACCAGTTAGTGACGTCCAGAAAAATCTCGGAAGCAATTTCACATACCTTAGGGGCGAGGTAGAAGCGCAGGTGGCCGCTGCCAAGAGGGTACTCAACCAGCAGAGGCACCTCCTGGGACAGGTTCAGCCTTACGGAGCTTGACAGGTTGGAGGCCTTGCAGAAGTTGACGAGGTACTTGAGGGAGAAGGTCAGGGCAACGGGCTCGGAGAGGTCAATGGTAACGTTCTGGTCGGGCTTTTCGACATTGGTGTGCTGGCGAATAGTAACGGAGCCGTTACCAATGTCACCGGAGCAGGAGAACTTGACACCCTCCTTGCTGGCCTCGATGACGACTACAGAGAATGGTATATTAGCATTATGTCGCCATTGACACAAACCAGACGGACGATGTGTACTCACCAGACTCGGAGAGAGCGTTCAGGTCCTTGCAAATACGCTGGAACTCCATGGAAGGCATCTCAACGGTAGCAGCATATTCAGTCTCGGGAATGGCCAGGTGCTCCTGGTCAATATCCATGAGCTTAATATCATACTCGCTGAGACGATCAGTCTCGGCGCTCTCGAACATCAAGTTAACGGCATCGGGAGAGTCCTCGGCCTTCAGCGTCAAGATGTCTTCATTCTGGGCAGCGCGCAGGACCTTGGTGAGAGAGACCAGGTTGATACCGAGGGCAATGTTACGGTCGCAGCGGTAGGGCGAGAAACCCTCAGCACGGAGCAGCATGGAGACCAAGGCAACGTGCGAGTTATCCATAGCCTGGAGGGCGATACCGGAGTCATTGCAGTCGAAGTTGCAGTCCTGGACGAGATCCTTGATGGCGTCGACGACCTGGAAGACGAGAATGTTAGTACAAAGACCCGTCAGAAGTGGGACATAGATCCGGGGAGTTACTTACGCGCTTCAGGAGGGCTGCCTGTTCCAATCGTGCCTCAAGCACTGTTCCATCGCGTTAATTGGACTTTTCGCACCACGGTCGGCGATGGATTTCATGCACTTACTGTTGATGTGGGGTTGTGAATGTGGGTATAGAAGAAGAGAAAGGGATTAAGAGAGGAGAGGAGACGAGGACGATGGAAAGTCTAAACGGAAATAGGAGAAGTAGTAGAGGGAGGAGGGGAATTTGGTGGTTGAAAGTAGCTGTGATGAAGGTTGAAGAGGCGGCGGTCTGAATTGCAGGCGAAATCGCGTTCGAGGGCTAGTGGGGAAACACGCGCGAGCGCGTTTGGCGATATGCCCATTTTCGGCTAGCGTGGTGCCCAAGGCCGCAAGGTGTCTACATCCCTCGAGGGGTAACAACCTAGGAGGAATTTTGAGAGACAATTATAATTACAGGACATTGGCAAGAAAAGCAGGTGTAATGTACAAGGAAGAGAGATATTGGAGCGAGGTCCGATATCTTAACTGCAAAAAGCCAGAAAGAAATGTACAAAGCGAAGCCATCCAGCAAGTGAGAATACAAAGAAAACACAGAAAAGGCAGACCGGAGAGAATGAAAAAGGTCCCAAAGACCAGAAAGATAAAAAATAAAAGCTAATAATCCTGAAAAAACACCATCTTCGCCTGATCCTTCTATAAAGTTCATGGGTATCATGTCTGCAAACCATGGGGATGTGAAGCCATGCTCCGCATCAAAGCAAGGGAAAAAACGGAAGAGAGCAAATGACTGCCTTGGGCCTCAAGAAAACCCGGTGTCAGCACTTATTAAATGCTGGTCACTCGCTTGGAAGGATTGTTGCGAGGTCTTTGCTGGATGACCATCTCCAATTCCTTCAACATGTTGGTTTTAGCGAATATTTTGTCTTGGGCGACTGCTTTGCTGGCACGCGCTTCACGAACGCGCGCCAGACGCTCATCTCTCGTTAGAGATGCCCTCTTATTTCTTGAAGAAGGAAGCACGACCGCCTCGAAAATCTCCTCATCCTCAAAACTATGCGTCAAATCCGGACGCTCACCGTTTAGCGCTTTGAGAGCATCGGTGGGACTACCCTCCACCGCGGTAGTACCGCCAAGGCTAGGGGTAGGAGACACTGGGAAGGCTGTACTCGGGGGTCGGGAGAAGTTCCCGACACTGAGGCGATCTTGATTGTTGACAAAGGTAGCTTTCCCCAATTCCCATTCTTGGAGTAGGGCCCTAATGTCGCTACCGATGGAGTCATACTGCACCAGGAGACCGGCTTCGAATTCGCCAGACTCGGACCTTTCAAGATTGGCGTTGGACTCCTCACTGACGATGTGCATTTTAGCATGCAAGGCACGAACGCCCTGAGATAACGAGTTCAGCCGCCGGAATTGCGCGCGCATGTGCTCCTTGCTTGGAGAGGCGGACGGTAACGGAGACGGAGGAATGACATCCCCTGCGAAGATTAGCTTGCTGTCCGTTGGGGGGTAGGCACGAAGTAGATACTCACGGTCTTCTTCGTTCAAGATGTTGGCCATTTTGGTCATGCTTGACCCTGTGACTGCAGCGAGTTCGCGCATCTCTTCCACGGCCGAACCCCACCTCGCGATATCAGATCCTCCTCCATCGGCACTAAGTGCAAGCAAACAGCATAATACGCTTTTTCTCACTGTATATAATTTCCCGAATGCTTCTCGCAGGGAACGTAAGGAATATTGATCGTCCATAGACCGTTGTGAGAGTGTTGACTCGATTGCTTCGAGATCTTCCAGTGCGATATCGTAGATGTCATAATATTTAGCAAGGTTTGCCTCGTCGGTGAGAGGTCGCAGCGTATTTTGCGATTGAACATAACGCTCAAGCATGGACCAAAAACATTCAGATACTGCTCTTCGAAGTCGCAAGCATCGCCGAATTTGCACCTGGTCTTCCAGTCGACTGATAGGGGGGAGCGGTGTGCTTCTGGAAGTACCAAATTAGCTGACAGTCCAATTCATGCAAGGGCGAGGAAAACTTACATCCGATAGCCTCTAGAGACCAGCTCTACCTCTTGTATAAAGACCACCGAAGCCGATGCAGCCGAGTCGAACCCCTGAGCATTTCCGACAAAAGCACCAGCGGCTTCCACCGCCTGGTGCCGCAAGTATTTTAGCCACTGTCGCTTCGCGAAAGCATAGAAAAATACCCCAAGAACCGGTACTAGAATCAACAGGATCCCGAACCTCCGCGGATTCAACCCAGATCCCGTCTTAGACCGGCCCCAGTGTAGTAACCACACAATCGAGAAGGATGTAGAAGCAGTGACGATTGCACCTTGCAGACCAAAAGTTGTGGAAAGGGACGGAAGCTCCGCGGGCTGTGAAGTCGCGAGGACGTCTGCGGCGGAGGTGTAGGAAGGCGCGCTGTGCTCGTTCAACAGCTGAGATGCGACGATAACATATCCGAACTGTTCCAGGAAGCGCTCGTTGTCTCCTCGTGCGATGCGCGCGTTTAGGGCGGACTGGAAAAGGGCATAGAGGTCAGGATAGGTTCCAGGATTGTTCCACGGTCATCATACCGAGCAGGCAGTGTAGAGCTTCTCAACGATCGCTCCGTGCGGCGAGTTGCAGAGTTTCAGGGGCGTTGGGAGCTTGTTGCGAACTCGGTTCTGGAAGCGAGAAGCTCCCCGAGGAGCAAAATTAGAGGCCGTAACCTCATGTTCGTTGTCGCTGTGCGCTTCGGCTGCTGGCCAGTTTTCCTCACTTCCACCAACTCCTAAGAAAGCCAAAGCGCGTCAGTATGTGATCACAGCGTGCTCTGCTCCGACGCAAGACAGACGAACCTTGGAGGTAGTCGTCCAAAGGCGAATCCTTAGGCACAAAAGACTCCATGGCCGAGAACCATGCCGGAGAATGAAGCGAAGAATGGAAAGAGGAGGTGGTAGTGGGCTGGCCGAAATCGAGATCGGAGAGGAGGGGAATGGAGTTTGCGGATAGGTGTTAGAGGGCCAGGCGCGCGCCTAGGGACATGTCGCAGGATAACCAACACTCTCCAGTCACAATAATGATAGCTTGAAGGTCAACAAGGAACTCAGACAATGATCAAAAGCTGGAGCGTGGCCACGTTGACTGTTCATCCGGGGAAAGGAGAAGTCACGAGAGTCTAATTTGGCGATGTAATTTAGAGCAGCCCCACTCGCCTCCTTTTTCGCGACAACCACTGGACTTATCCACCAATACGATGGCCCTGATCTCCATTAAGATAGTTGGTAGTTCATACTACAGATAGTCTTGACCGCCTCGACTGATTACAGTACTTTTAGTTGCACGGAGTACATACATCGCAGAGGTGAGGAGGGAGTGGACAGTACTGCATGTAGATCATGCTATGTAAGGTACACGGCTAGCTGCTCGGTGTAAAGCCCGAGGTAGGTCCGGCCGCAGCCTGCTAACGTTACGTGGTGGATTTGGAGGCTTTACCTCGTTATGGATGGATGCAGCTAGACCCGAACAAAGATAGTGTTGGTTGGCGTTTCAAACGTGAATGGGAGGTGTGTTGTGTTTGGTAATTTGGTTATGCAGATGCATGCACAACTGCCTACTTTGGGGCCAGATCGACGCCTTTCCACTTTGGGATTTAGAGTCACGTGTGTGCCCCGCCATGATGATGTAATCTCAGTTGCCCCTGACAACGAGCCCGTCAACAACGCCGAGGCCGGTGGAGAGATGCACGATGGAGACGCGGTGGTTATCGGTCATGACGACTATCTCCTATCGTTCATAGATTCGCACTCTCCTTATCGTCTTGCAAGACGATATCCTCAACCTCAAGACTTTGGGAACATTCTTTTCCCTCCCCAGAATTCACACCGCCTCTCGCAGATCCATAATCTGCAAGGGTGCACTTCCGACCAACTCAATCTCGACACCCCATTCCAACTACCTGATGTGCCCATAAACCACCCACCTTAGAGATCGGACATTTTGACGCCATGTCCGGAATATTGAATGAAGCCTTTACACCTTGTCCATCCAGGTCACGATCCTCGGGGTGGAATGAGCATGTCGACAGCGAGTCCTTGGATAGCTTGGTGGATGATGACTCGGCCTCTGACGCCACAGCTCAGATTGAATTCACGACAGAGGTTCGAGTACCGACTCTGACTGGCGTTCGACCTCGAAGAGGCAATCGAGCAGGCAATTGTGTTCAGATTTACGAGGATATCAACGACAAGCAGTCTGCCCCCGTCGAACGCAAAGGATCAGACGCAAGAGCTCGAGGTCCCTTTGATCGAAAATCATCTTTGTTGGCTCAACCTGCCCAGCGATTCCGCCCGAGAGTCAACTTTGCCCCAGAGACCGGAAGACAACCAAAGTTACAATCAGTCCAAGCGGGGAGAAATGACGGATTCGTGTCTGTTTCACGACCTCCTCATAAAGCATTGGTTGGGGGCGGAGGTGAAAGCAACCTGAAGAAGGATGTTCGACGCAGTACGATTTACGCCCCACCAGACGATACCACCGTGCCGAGTGCGTTCATGGGGATGTTCAGCCCACTCAAACGGCCCCAGGATAACACTGTGCCAGGGCCAGAAGATACCCAAGTCAACAGCATTGAAGCTCGAATTGCAAAGCGACAGGCTATAAAGCCTACGGTAGCCACTGCGCGCAGGGCGCCTCTCCAACCAAGCGTGAAGGTCGCACAGGAAGCTGCATTTAGAGTTGATTTTGCTGGCAAAAACACTGGTAAAGAGAATATTCCACCCGGAGCAGTCCTTGAGATCGACAAGGCAAACAAACTCGATCATGTTGTGCTGCCCAAACCGAAGCGATTGAGCACAGTGATGTCAAATTCAGCTCACCGTACCACAATGCATGTGAGGTCAGACGCTACCAATCCACCTGTGGACGTGAAGAAGCAGCTGCCTAAGCGGGGTGTTCTGGGCGAAATGCAAAATAATGTACATGCGCCATCTACTTCTCTCCGTTCCGAAAAACCTCGAACGGAGTCACACGATCCTCTGCGCAATGCATCCGCCTCTCTCAAAGCTCGCGCATCGGTCTTGTCAGAACGGCTGGGTCAGTCCCAGACCATGCGAGCCTCCAAGGTTGGGAAGAGCTCAACATTGAAGGTGTTGAACAACCAGCACCCACTGTTAACCGAGGACATATCAAAACCTGCGCTGTATGAAGATGACTGGCTCTCACACCAGGAAACTGTCATCACCCAATTCGTCAATGCCTTATTCGAGCACACCAACAAGGACTCGACGGCTGCGCCAGATGCTCTTCGCTTGAGTTTGGTTGAAATGTATCAAACTCAAAGCTTTACACGCCTCTACCAGCGACTTCAATCATCTTTGTCTTATGGAACCCTTACCATTCCCAATGACATTCAAGCTTGCAACAGTCGGCTCAAGCATGATCTGGGCCTGCAGAGACAGTTTTTGGACACTTGGATTCAATGCTATGACCTTCGCGCCCTGGTACCTGCTTTGGAAACCGTCGTGGGTCGAAGGATTTCTAGCGACTCTACTTTGTTTGATGTTCAGAGCGATTCATCATTTACGAATAATTCCAAGGTTCAAAAGGCGGTTACTCGAAAAGTCGAAGCTTTCGTGGAAGCGTTTCTGGTACAAAACAATGATATGGTGCATGCGGCCTCAGGAGCGGGTGAGATCTACGCCCGCGCATATCGTCGAACCGTCCTTCGAAGCATTATGCTCGTTGTTCTATTGGACAATGCAAAACAGAGCTGTCGCACAGGCCTCCCTCGACAACTGTTTCTGTCATCATCTCCCTACAAATCTTCCGCTGAGGTTCTTCAGGCCCTGGCTCGCTTGCTATTGCCTTCTGGTGGAGATATTATGAAGTCGCTGAGCCATCTTGACTGCCATGTCGCTTACAAACAGAATGCTCTTCAAGAATTCGACTACGGGATTGAGAACATCGCCGTCGACTTGAGAGATGGTGTGCGGTTGACCAGAATTGTTGAAGTTCTTTTCTACACCCCGGAGCGCGTGCGAAACGATCTTGAAGACGAAGTCACCTTGACTTCGGGCGAGACTCTCCCACTTCTTGGCGATGGAAGAGATCTGCCTTTGTCCAAACATCTCAAGTATCCATGCATCAGTCGAGCCAGCAAAATCTACAATGCCGAGGTTGCGCTCTCGGCTCTGAGCTCGATCAAGGGTGGCCGCGCAATTGTTGGCGAAGTGCACGCAGAGGACATCGTAGACGGTTATCGTGAGAAGACCATTGCTCTGCTGTGGGCTCTTGTCAGCAAATGGGGACTGGCCGGCCTCGTGGACTGGGATGATGTCCGCAAGGAAATTTGTAGGCTTCAATGCAAGCTTACGCTTCAGGTTGGCCATGACCGGGCCAAGCAAGAAGCATGGTTTCCGCATAAGAAGTGTATCGATGGTGATAACCATGCTTCTTTGCTCCAGCAGTGGGCTGCCCTCTTGGCAACCATGCAAGGACTGGAACTCAGAAACATGACTACCAGCTTTGCGGATGGGAGAATCTACAGAAGCATTGTCGATGAGTATGAGCCGTTCATCACTGGTAGAGGCACTGGAAGCTGCGATATTGGGAACCGAAGTTCTGTCTCAATGTCTTTGGACTCTCGTTTGCGCTTGTTAGGGTGCAGCTCTCAGTTTGGTAGGTTTATATCATGGGCGAATGTGAAAAATTGTTGAAAAAAATATACTGATATGTGATTATAGCATATCTCGTGTCCCCAGGAAAATTGTCCTCTTGTCTCCTTGATGGAGATCTTACATTTGGCGTTCTTGCCTTTCTCTGTTCTCGGCTGCTTTCAGCCTCCAAGCGTGCCCGCGCAGCTGTAGTGCTGCAGCGATATTGGCGGACGCACCTTGCGAAGCGCGATGCGTCGCGTCGAAGAATCGCCCACGATCTTGCTGCACACTGCGCGGCCGTTGTTCAAACTAGGAACAAAATCGTTTGGGCCAAAGATGTGATCACTCGGTATTGGAGAAATTATCAATCCCGCAAGCAGAGAGCGAACGACACACGATATCGGACCTTGGAAAAGGTCAAACGTCAGCAACGGAAAACTGCTGGACGTCGACTCTAAACAGTCTGTGGCTCAGCCCCACACTGACATCTCTGTGATTACTTACCCCCGCAAACAAGCACTGTTGAATCGGTGCTATGATGATGATTACGAAAGCGTTGATACAATACCCTCATTCTTCAGGAGTTTTTCGGGTTTACTATTGAGCATAGCGCATTAAGCCTGGTGTCTATTCCATTCGTGTTTACATACCCTCGTTGTACTCTTAGCCTCCCATTCATTTTGATACACGTCATACCTCGCTCTACGCTTGTTGTTTGGTTGCCTCATGTTCTCGTCTCTGATAATTCACGGCTAGGTACTTCAAGTTTTCAATACAAACTACGCTGAACCCACCAGTGTGGATGGATGCGTTGAAAGACTCTCGTTCTTATCATTCCCTCGTGAGACTTATATACAGTTTGTCAAGCCAAATTCCCTCCCCCCATGTCTTAGGTATGAAAAGTTTAGCGGCCGCCGTGCTATGAATCTGTCAGCGATTGTATCCCATATAGGAGCTTGAGTATGTTGTCTTACAGGACCGCCAGGACCACCATGACCACCAGGGCCACCAGGGCCACCAGGGCCACCAGGACCTCCGTGATGACCACCGCCTTGAGGGCCTCCAGGACCTCCAGGGCCGCCGAAGTTACCACCGGGACCGCCAGGACCTCCGTGATGACCACCGCCTTGAGGGCCTCCAGGACCTCCAGGGCCGCCGAAGTTACCACCGGGACCGCCAGGACCGCCAGGGCCGCCAGGACCGCCAGGGCCGCCAGGACCTCCTTGAGGGCCGCCGGGGGGACCACCCTGGTGGTCGTGGTGGTGGTGGTTGAAGAGACCCATGTTGCTTGTGTATGTAGGTAGCAGTGTCAAGAATGAAGGACAAAGAGTGGTGTGAATGGAGAAGATGTAATTCCAAGCCAAAAGGGGCCGTACCATCCCATTCTTATAGGTACACAAGCATGCTTAGTTGAGGGGTACGTGGATGATCGTCATGACTCGGTGGCGTGTTGGATCAAACTGGAGATCTGCCAAGCAGCTCTCCATGTGCCAAGATCTCGCAATTCAGAGCTACCAATGGGTGTCTAACTAAATTCATACTATTTTTTTTTGGAACAGAGGCACTAGTTTGCGGCACCGGATGAGATCTTTGCCTCAATGCCTGGGGTTTAAGCTATCGATCGGCGATCTTCCGAATTAAGGTCTACAATACCAAAGCGTTTTCCATAGTGCCTACTTCATGATTTCAGCAAATGATCTCAGGAAATAGTGACATCACTCCATTGATCAATTAAGCAATAATTAGGAGATTCTCCGATTATGAAATAATGGCTAGTGATGTCCACGTAACCATTTTCGAAGTAGCGGATTGCACGATCGAAAAAGTGGATATGGTGTGGCGTAAGGTTACGCGTCCCAGCGGTGAATAATTCACAGCACACTTGTGAGGCAAGACCATAGAGTAGTAACTATTGAAGTTTGTGTTAAGGACCATAGTAAAGACAGGGGAAATTCGGAATTCATCTCTTAGGCATCAGTTATATCGCTGCCTCGACAACTTTAAATACCCAACAGCACCGGCTGTACTGGACTGTAGTTCATCCTTTCTTTCTGCACAAGCACAACCCCATCCATCATGTTCGACACTATCAAGAGTTGGTTCCAGTCCACCCATGAACCCGTGGCTGAGAATAAGTGGGACGCCAATACGGTGACCATGCGACAGCCGAACAGCCCTACGGCTATGCACACCGTATCTGACCAGCCAGTAAGCACCGTAACCCCAATAATGCCCAAAAATGCCAAGCATGGAGTGCTGACAATCACTTAGGAATCTCCCGAGCCTATGGGCGTTCATATGCGTGGCGGTGACATGGGTGAAGACGTCTGTTGTGGCTTGTAAGTGTGCTCTCGGTGACTATGATCATCTTCGAAGCTTCTAATTGAATGATTTGCTTAGCTGTTGCTTTGAGTGCTGCTGTTGCTGCTGCGAACCAGATGGTCCCCCAATGGGTGGCCCCCCAATGGGTGGTCCTCCCTGATTATGTTTTTGTCTTGTCTCTCCTCATGTATAACATTGTTTGACTAGCGTTTCTGTTGCAATTTTTTGAGACTTAAACTTGCCACTGGCACCATAGACGCATCGAATATTATTTTGACAATACCTTTCAAATCTCCATTGAAGCGCGTCAAGAAATGTCTAACAAGATAGGTGGGCAGAGCTAAGCGGTTTCGACTAGATTGAATTAACTACTGGTTGGTTGATTCTCCGCAAGTTCAGAGACATCATAAAAAATAACTATAGTGAGATATCCACGACTTTCAATTGCCAATGTCACTGGCATACATTCACTTACTCATTCCAGACATTGCGTCCACCGGACCACGTCTCCTTTATCTTTGCTTTGAGGAGAGCTTTTATTAAAACCTTAACTACCTCTAACGAGAACTGAGGTCCACTCTTTGAACATATTGCGCTGAACCACTTCTTGTATAAAATCAAGGCGGTTAAATCAGATTAGTGTCACTGTAGCGAGGGGTCTTAAACACCGAGGTATATCTTAATGCAGTGCCCGTTATACGCTGATCTGAGACAGAAGTTCCTTGACAAGATCCGGATGACCGATCCTGGGGATTCGACGGATTACGATATAATTGTATCACACTCGTAGGCCACCCGCTACGTGGCCGAATTCATGCTTTAAACAGGCCTCCTAGGGTAGTTCCGGCACGTCGAAATCGAGAACGAAGCAGGAGATATACCGGGGATAGAGATGCAGAGGAAGCAGCAGGCCAATATGAGGGCGAACTGAGAAATATATTGTGGGATTGAGGGTATTACAGGCGTTTTGGTACTATGTTTGGACTGATTTTCGGGCTGTTTTATATGGCAATACGCCGTTTTCCTATATATTTACTGTTTCATGCTCGCGGGCTGGCGTTCGGATCACTCTTGCTTCCGCCGGAGGAAGCGCCTGCATAGCCATTACGCCACTAGTTAGGCTGCAACAGGTTAATAGAGTGTTGATTGATTGATTGATTGATTGATTGATTGATTGATTGATTGATTGATTGATTGATTGATTGATTGATTGATTGATTGATTGATTGATTGATTGATTGACTTCCATTGCTGCCGTGTGGTTGTCTTTTGATCTCTGAGTAGGGAGTGATGAATCTGGGAATATCGGGAGCGTTGTTTCTCGACCAGAGCTGGCTGGATGATGTGCGAGACTATTCGGTCTGCCATCAGTATTCCCCTTGCTCCACAATGGGAACCCTTGAATGATGCGTTCCAACTCCTGCAGGGGATACCCGCACCAATCGACCCTAACCGGGCATGTGCGAATCCAAATTGTGGAATCACATAGACTAGGGTTTGGCGCCGTGGTCAGGATCATTGGGATCCTGCGGTCAGAGGCCAATGGGTCTGCGATAATTGCTATGGACATGCTTCCACACCTTGGGGTGGTCGACCTAAAGGTGTTCTTCGTCCGAAGCACCTTTGCAATCCTGCACTTAAAGTCAAGGAGACCAGATACTGTGCGAATCCAAATTGTGGGACCACAGAGACCAAAGGTTGGTACCGTGGCAAGATTGGGATTCTGTGATGGCTGGGTAATGGGTCTGCCAGAATTACTATAGTTATGCTTCCGGCCTAAGGCTGGTCGACCTGAAGGTGCTCTTCGTCCGGAGAGCCTTTGACGAATCAAGGCTAACCTTCATAACGGCGGGCCGTGCGTGAGACTTTTCTTGGTCCAAAAAAGCGTTCTCAAAAGATCACCTACTGGCCAGTGGTGATATACAACATGTTGAATTTTCCATGTTCAGATTGCGGTTCGCAATCATACCAACAGCAATGATCTGGGCCTTTTCGCGGCGCTGTTGACTAGTACCTCGGTAGGGGGAAGCCAACATAGAGTCACCGACGGCGATGAACCACTGGGAGGAAAGCGACCATTTGACCAGCGCAGCTTGGTGAGTAGAGGAATTCAAGAGACACACCAGAACGGACTAATAGAAATAGTCAACCTTGATGAGGCTCACGGACAAGAAACACGTCGCTCAGGTCTGATTTATTTCCAAGCTGAATATCGGAGATGAAAAGCTTGCGAACTGTGACCAGGTTGCTATCGGACACCACTTTGTTGTATCCACAAGGAGTCCAGTCATTCATCTCCAAATTCATGGGCTCAGCGGCATGTCTGTGAGAGCGAGTGGACATCGGATACGTATTCCCCGACGATCAGAAGCTGCTTTCGTGGAAAAGCTTGAGCTGACGGGGCATCACATTAGGGCCACAAAATCACAATAACAAAAGCCTCCATATCGATCGAGTTCATTGCGTTGAGACAGACCAAAACAATGTTCAGTCTCAAGGGGATTGGACGGGCGGGAGTCCTCAATAGTGACAGAGTCCTTGGAGTCGGCCACATCCAAACCAAAGCCAAGTGGCGATCCCTAATTGATCTATTAGTACTTTCCAGCGAGCAGAAAAATGATTCCGTATAGTGACACATACTTCAGGAATGATAGGACCGTCAGAGAGGAGACCGTCAGAGAGGAGACCGTCAGAGAGGAGACCGTCAGAGAGGAACCGGGTGGAAGTGGTGTTCGAGTAACCAATACGAAGAGTCAGAAGAAGCCACTTATCTCCCAAATCGGGCGCCTTGATGCCTTCAGTAATGACCTTGAAGGCTGAAGCATACAAAGCCAGCTTCGGAAAGCGATCGATCGAAGACTGTTTCGTCTGCACCGAACACATGCACAGAGTCTAGAATCTGGACATTCCAGAATGAACTCCATGGTGGTGTTGCAGATTTCACGGATGTGCTCCCCTTCAATAAGCGGCCATCTCTCGGGGTGCCCGCATGCCTGGCCTGGACGAATTCTGTTCACTACCCTTTGAAATACCTGTGCATTGGGAGCTGCTGCGGCAGCTTGTTGGGCAGCTTGTGCACGTTGCGGTGGATTTTGGCGAGCCGCAACGATTTCTGCTCGCACGACGAGGCGAGCTTCATCCAATATGCGTCTCTGGAGCCATCGAACATGTCTCTGCGTTTCGTGCAACCACGCCAGTGATATCATTCAGGTCCCATATTCTCACCATCGTTCAACTTATCCAACATTCGATCGTCGATGAGTCGCTCTTTACCTCGTGATAGGCAGCTTCTGAACTACTTTCTAAATCAGGAAAAGACGGTGTTTATAGCTACTGCTCGAAATGACAATACTTTCTCTCTTCTATCTAAACCAAACATACATACTCCTCTCCATATCAGACAAGCTCTTTTTCTTCAAACTTTGGTCAGTGGAACAATCAAAGTTGAAGAGAATTCTCCGCCAGTGTACACTGTATGTCTTCCCTTGTTCAGATTTTTAGGTCCTTTTATCAATGCCGGATATTCTGGAAGAATAGGGTCATGGCCCTTGATCTCCAATCGCAACGATTCCCCCTCATCGAAGACGATCCCCCCAGGCCAAATGGGAATCTTGAGCTCCACGACTTGACCGGGAGGAATCTTCTCCGACTTGTCATGCGGGAAGAAAAGCTCGGTAGGCTCTTGGTTCTCTTTGCGTGTTTCGAGCATATCGGGCTCCTCGGTTGTGGCAGCTCGCTTGGAGGCACGAAGACGACCACTTGGTCCCACGTACTTGTAGATATTTTCGTCATCAATCATCTCTGGGGTCGTTCCAGGCTTCTGGTATTCGAAAGGAATGTTGTAGTTGAGCAAGGCCTTTCCGGAGCGATCGAGTTTTCGGAGTATCACATAGACATCCATGTCATCGAGATCCTGGCATGACATATACAGTTTGACCTGCGAACACTTAGTCTCTATTATTAATCGTCTGAAGAGCGAGCTTGCCTACCTGAGAGCTGCCAATCAATTCGATTTGTTCCGTGAATTTAAGGGTGAAGTAAGCTCCGTCGTCTTCCCACATGTCTGACTGATAAGAGGTGGTGATAACGTCGGTGGGGGCCTCAGTCTGCAAGGATCCTGCAGTGCTTCCGCTCTCTTGAGTAGCCTTGAGGTAGAAAGTTTTGTACTCCATGCGGGAAGGAGGATATCTGTCTTCGGCACGGAAGCTGATCGGAGCCTTGTTGTATCTCAGTAAAGAGAGACGGACCTTGGGAGTAACCTCCCAGCCATTGTTTTTGCCAAGGAGGAAGTGATCCAAAAAGCGCTGGAGATCGTCATTTGCAAATGGTTGATAAATGTCGAACCATTCCTGGGTAGGATGAATTCGTAGCCTGGAAAGTAAGTGGAGAATTGTCAGTCAAAACTTGGAGTTGCCCTGGAAATTTGGAAGCTCACCATCTCTCATCAGATCCGGCATATTTCCATGCACGAATAGATCCCTCGGTATGTAGTCCGGTTGAATAGCTAGCCAGGATATACATAGGGATCTTGATATCCTGTAGCCGGGGTCTCTTGTCTTCCCAATATGCGTTCATAAGCGGATATTTCTCTATCATAGCGGCAACATCCTCGCGTTGGTTTTTGCCATTGAATTCTTTCATCAGAAGGTCCCAGAACATGGCATTAGGGATTCCTCCTCTGCAAATACTCTCGCGGTAGTAGTCACCAATGCCCTCCCAAGGAGCTATCGCCTTCAGATGCGGAGGCTTTTCAGCAGCGATCAGCCTAGAGATTTGTTAACTTGACGACATTTCCGTCATATATGCCGTGTAACGTCAAAAGACTCACCATTGAGTCATAGCTAGCCATGAATTTCCGACCAGCGCCACATTTCCATCGCACCAAGACTGCTCTGCGATCCACTCAATGGTGTCGTGGCCATCACGACCCTCCTGAGTGCCGAAGATGAAGATGTCACCTTCAGAATCAAAGCAGCCTCGCGCATCAACATTGACCACAATATAACCGCGTGGACACCACTCAGCTGGGTCTGGAGCCTCGAACTTCTCCAAGCCGGACAAAGAGCTTTTAGGTACACCTAGCCAGGTAAAGCTGGTCGTCTGATGGTGGCCTTTGCAAAAGTTTTAGTATTGTCTCTTATAAATGGAAGGAGAAAAACTAACCACTTCCTGTCTTTCCATAGGGACTCCAAGGGAGAAGCGCAGGCAAAGGAACACCATCTTTGGCCAGTGGGCGGAACACATCGCCACGAAGAATACATCCATCGCGCATTGCGATAGGAACATCCTTTTCCCAGATAATAGGCTCGCTCAACGCACGAAATCCAGGCTCTCGCTGCCATCCCTCGGGGAGAATGACTTTAGTCGAAGGCCGGAAGCTAGTCCAATAGTTGTGAAAGCCGCGGTTCGACGGCGTAAAAGTCACGTCGATACCGCCAATTTGGTGAGACATTTTGATTGATAGAATCTCACGGCAGTAAGGAATTCAGCTATGCTTGAAGAATATGACAGTATATACCTCTTCTTATAATTCACTGTCTCGGCGTTTACATGCGATCGGTTTTCGGAATTGAGTGATTTAGTTCCCCACAGTTTCCCCGCGTCATTTCCGGGTGGGGGATGGACGCTCAACATACAGCCTCGGAGATAAAGTATCAAGACCGATATGCGGGTAAAGTATTTCCAACTGCCGAATGGAATGGCCTTGTTCTTTGTCGGTTATAGCTTTGTTCGGTTTTTCATATATCTTAGAAATACGGGTCTAGAAGATGATGGGCTACTCCGGTGTAGATAAGAATTACAATCAACGTCAACATTTTATAGAACTTTTCAGGTATAGAATGATATTAACGGAGTCTAGGCGTCCAAAAAATTTATCCCAGCTTCCAATTGTTCATCTTATATACACCTATCACTTGAAAATCGTTTGTATCTCACAGAACCCGTAGACGATATTGTAAAGTGACATGAATCTATTCTAATCCATCTAAATCTGGAAGGGAACTTCCGCATTCAATTCTTCACCCGCAACGACTGGGGCCTTTGCGGAAATCAAGACACACAGCAGTCGCGCCCAGTTTGATGTCTCATTGTCCCATCCGTGCATTGTCCCTTGTTGAACGACAATATTGCCTTTCCCAACTTTGGTCTTTGAACCATCATCGAGCGTCAAAGTGACCTCCCCTTCCAACACGTAGATATAATCGAGAGTAATGGATCGGTGGACCATGCCCACAGATTTCGGAGGGAAGTCAACAATTCGACAGATAGTGCCTTTGTTTGCGAGCCCTGTATCGACTAAGCCCAGGTCGTCGGTGGTGTTGACATCGGGGGGCAGTTCAGAGGATGACCAAATGCGGGTTAAGAACGGGCCATGCTCTGCCTGGGACGCCTTGATCTCTTCGTCTTTCCAGACAATGGCATTGCCCTGGGTGTCGTGGCCAGTGACCAGTCGGCGAATAGGAGGAAGGGGCTGAGCGCTCATGGTTGTCAAGCGAATTTGACGACACACAGGAATAAGAAAGGCACGGATACGTGTAGCGAGAATGAGATTTACAAGAAATTCTTTCTATGATCTGAGAATAAATATTCGGACGAAGAAATAGAGCGGGTCTTTCCTTTGAAATCTTCGAGCCGAAGGTCCGTCCGGTGGGGGAGGGGGCGGAATGGCTTCAACGGAATTGACAAAGTCATTTATGATCAGACGCAAAGCCACCGGAACTCATAAGAACTGCTTTAGGGTCTGTATCTGTATCCTCGGGTATATTCACAATAATGGCACCTGTGGAACTCTTCGATGAGCTTCGAGCTCTTGAGAGCACCGAGACAAAAGACCAATGGTACATCGTCGCTGTAAGTACGAACAAAACGCGATTGAATATGAACCAGGAAAAGTTCAGTCACTGATAAAGAGCAACCAACTCGCAGGCCACCGCAATGGCGGCAGCAGGTGCGGGCCCTGACGTAACGGAGCTCTATCAAATGGCGACAAAGGGCAAGAGTCTTGATGAAGAAAAACATATACAAAGAAGACTGAAAGAGGCAATCTTAAAGACGAGCATTCTGTATGGGGTACCCCGGTCCCTGCAAGCTCTTTTGCCTCTGTTTTCTATTTTGAAGGAAGAACAGATCGACCACTATGGTCCGCGGTCAGTTTTCATCAGGTATCAAATGATTATACATCTGTTGAAACTAATGAGTACTCAAGAACCGAGGCCATGAAGAATGGGGAGACCCAAGAGGAGAGACGAAATCGCGGTCGTCAACACTTTGACACCTTATGGACTCCCGTGGCTGCGCAGGCAAACAGAAACAAGAACTTCAAATACCAGCCGGATCTATGTATGTTTTGGTGGCCAGAGATAATGTGACGGACTCCCTACTGATACGCTGTTCACAGATCTCCTAAACCTGGAGACCATCTACGAGTTATGGCTGAGTGAAAACACCATTTTGAACGCAGTGGAGACTCAGATGTGTACCACAGCGGCCTTGATTTGCTCTGGATCTCCGCAGCAGGCAATGTGGCATACCAAAGGTATTGTTAGACATGGAGGGAGTCTAGATACGGCGCGGTTCGCCCAAGACATAGCCCTCAGGATTGGAAAGGAATACGGATGTAAAGTAGATGCTGTGGCCAAAGTAGATGAGATTGACTTTGATGATGCGACACCTCATTAAAGGCCGAGATTGAGTTTACATCGCAGTTTGTAACAGACGGATCAGTTGCCATATAGACAAAATATTTATGCTTCCTAGCCTAGCGGCCAACGTACGCAATTTCAAATGTTCTGTCTGTTAATTCTTGAAATAATCAAGATTTTGCGTTCGCGAGGGCTTCCACGCCCACGTAAAAGAAAAGTGTTGTAAACGAGTCGGATACGTAAAAGGAATCCATAGACTTCTCTCGTAGCTCGATTAGCTTGATGTGAAAATTGAGCTTCGGCTTCATCAAGCTTTCTAGAAGTAAGGAGGTAGTCTAATAGTGGATGCAAAGGTGCCAGAACTTGAAGGAAACAAAATTGCAAGAGAAGGAAAATTGATCTAAATACATAGACGCGGGCATGTTTAATACCCCAATGGATTTGTACAGCATTATGATCATCCCATCAACGAGACTCAAGTTAATCAGACATCATCAAACTGTAAGTTTTGACCGAGCGATCACTGGATCTTTCATATCAAGGCCTTGAAGCCGTCCAATCACATTGGCCAGTCCAGGAAGCAGTGCTTCAACAACGTCCGGCTTCAAAAGAGTCAAGGAAACCCAAGATTTTCCACCGAGGTCCGTACCAGATTCACCATTTTGATGGTTAGCTGCAAGATCTGCATGAATTTCCATGAAAGTGTGACCCGATCGCTCAAGCTTCATCTGATATTGAGCACCAATGAACCTCTCCTTCAGATCGACAAGAAGGATAGGAAGGTTCAGCTCCTCGCGCGCGGCGATCACAAACTCGGCGTTATCACAGAATATGACCGGGTTGAATTCCTTGGGCTCTGTCTGATCGGGCGACAGAATTGAATTGAAAATGCAAAGCCCCACGACAGTGATTTCACCGTGGCCCTTCCACTCCGCGGGTTGAATGCGTCTCACAGCCCAAGATGCCTTACTCCAACCACCAGGCGAGGCAATGCGTGAATCCATTCGAGGGAGGAAAGTTTCCAGATAGTTTCGACGAGCCCGGAATTCAATCTCTAGGAGCCTCTGAGAGGGCGATCCGAGGATTGCTTGAGAATCAGGAGCTCCCAAAATCAACGGGTTTGAGGGTCCGAAGACAGAACACAAGGCATCTGGGTTGGTTATCCGGCTCGCTATAGGGCATGTAAGTATCAAGTTCCTGAACGTCAGATTTGGTATACAATACCTAAGTGTTTGCGGAGCATGTTGGTTGCAAAGTCGTGGGCGTCGTGTCCGAAGTTGATACGCATAAACTCGAGGGCTATAAGAAACAGTGAGTAGTTGAGCCATATTCTTGTCGTTTGGGGCGCACTCACGGTCGGTTGATGTGCCCCCAACGGCGTCCTTGGCGCTTATCTTGAATGCTGCTTGACGTGAGAAATTCTGGACCATCGTGGCTCTCTCATATCGACACTTCATGTACAGTTCCAGTCGGTCCGCAATCTCGTCTCGAGATGTACCTAGGGGAAACAAGGCTCCAAGTGCAACTCCCTACTTTAATTTAGTATCAACTATACATCCAACTTGAGCGGGAATCGAGTCTCACATCTTCGATCGCTTGGGCACCACCCTGACCTTGATCTGTTCGGGTTTAAGTCGTCAGCAATCATCTTCTATTCCATTTCTGTGGATTGTTTCATTTTAGACAAGGGAGTCACTAACGAGGAAGGAATGGATGGGCTGCATCTCCAATGAGACAGCTCTTGCCATTGATCCAAGTGCCAAGAGCCTTGCGGTCCAAAAGTCTCCAGAGCTTGATAGATTCGGGATCAGCCATCTCAAGGAGAGCTTTCATGGCTGGAGAGAATTCATCAAATACTCTCAGCAGATTCTCTTGGGATCCAGCAATGTTCCATCCTATATTTGGAGCAGTGTGAGCGTTGGAAACCTAACATCCAATGTCGTAACTTTACCTTCAGTTGTGCCCTCGCTCTCGGTATCCGGGTGCAAACAGACAAAGTTGAGCTCCGTGTTATTCCTTTTCTGCGTGAACATTGTGACTTCCAGAGATGGTTGAGTAATTTGACTCACCGACAAGGGTAAATGACGAGACGGCGATATTGACCATCCCAAAATTGAAGTTCTCCTGCTTTTTGAACAAGAGCTGCCGTTTCTGGGTTTTCTTTGACCTTCGAAATTGGAATAAGGAATCGGAAGGCACTTCCACCAGATGGCTCGGCCGCAATGTCTTCCTGGGCGATGACTTTACGAAGAACGGACTAAATTAATAAAGTATCAGTCAGAACTTCTTCGCAGTCATCATAATATTTTCTTGATGTAAAACATACATGAACACCATCGGCGCCAATAAGAAGATCTCCTTGCACCACGGTTCCATCAGACAAAGTCAGCGAAGCATGAGCGGGATCACAGCCGACGACTTTGCATCGTAGGTGGATGGTGACCGGAACACCAGGGCCGTGGAGAGAGGTAGCCTTTGCTTTCAACGCTTCATGAAGATCGATTCGGTGGCTCAGTTGCCAGGGAAATGGATAAATCTCGCGAAGGTTGCGAACATCTTTTGAGCTTACGACGTTGCCCTGCGAATCAAAAACAGAAACCTACTAGAGTTAGCCCCATAATCGGTGTGCTTCTCAGACGGGATGAAATCGTTCGTACAAACTCCGCATCATTGCACCGGAAGTCGTCCGGCTGAATACCCAATCGACGCAAAAGCCCGTTCACGTTGGGAGGTAGATGAATTGCAGCACCGAGCTCGACAGCAAATCGAGAGGATTCAAATACCTAGAGGCACGTTAAATAAGCTCCGCTATTAATTGGTGGCAGGTTGCCATATCTTACATCCACAACATGGCCGGCCTGCCTAAGAGCAATTGCGGCTGATAGGCCTCCAATCCCAGCCCCGGCAATCAAGATGTGCAGGCGTTTAGCCTCGTGAGTATCAAGCATGATAGCGTATGAGGGTTTGTTAAACTTCAACTTCTGAGCAAAGACAATACACTTGACACGAATAGCTTCGATAATTTATTATCCTGAATCAGTGGAAAGGGGCCGAGGATGCCACTAAGCAAAGGCCTCGGAAGTGGGTGGGGGATGGTGCGACTTCCGGATGCCGCAACATAGCACGGCGGGCGACAACGGAGGCCGAGACGAAGCGTGACTAGGAGAAATCTTTGACGGCATGACCAAATGGGCCTGTTTGGGTGTAACTGACCGGATCAACAAGTCCCACGCGAAACTTGAGTAGAGACTTTCAAAAAGGCTGTCTCTGTTGGCACGACAAAAAGTTAGCTTGTCCTGCCAGTAACAATATCCTTTCAAAAAAGTCGTCTCTGGTCGCCTCTCCGCATCCCGAGCTTGTTTTTTAGATTATCCTCGTCGGCTACTGTTTACGATCCAATGAGGATTTACGACAGTCCAGAATCCCTCCAAGTTTGATCAACTAGTTCTCAAATTTGGGGGCAATCCAGAGCCCCGTCATACAAGTCTCGTTAGAATATTCTAGAGTAAGTATTGAACTAATTCTTAATTCAGCTTCACTATTCGTACAGTTTGGTATATTCGAAATCAGAAAGAAGCCGTGTCAATGTTCCCCAAATCCGTCATCAAATTCATCATACTTTCAAGGAGAGGTGGGAATGTCTCCGTCTCTGGGTTGAAGTTGTCCCGCAAGACATCGCATGCGGCAGTCATAATAGTTCGGATATCTGTTAATGGGCAGAACAGCCGATCAGGTCCCACCGACATCCCCGGGTTGCCTTTGCCGAACATCACAAATGCCGTGGTATCAGCGGTGCTAGGGCCATCTAGTAGAACTTGACAGCCTTCCCCTTGGTAGGCCGTGCCTTGGAATAATTGGGGTGAGCCGAGCCTGTTCATGCTTATTGAAAAGAGTCCATATGCCCATAACGTGAGACTTGCTTGGTATACCACGACTGCTGAGAACTCGCGTAATTGAGCGGCAGGTACGGATCTAGCAATCCTCAAAATCTGGCCCGCATGCCAGGCAGCCGTCTTGAATTCTGGCCCGACCATCCACTCTCGCAGGAGATGGTGGGTAGTTGCGGCCTCTTCTTCCCCAAGCCTTCCTGCCCATTGTTGCAATTCACGTGGCGAGACGTTGAGGGCCATCAAACAGAATTCTGCCACGATCTGGATATGTGAAGGATCGGGTCCCTGGGATGACAGGGTTTGTTGTGCGACTCCGATACGTTTTACCAGATCTTCATGTTGACAGGATAGCCATAGTATGGTTGTTGCTTGGACGGAGAGTTGGCTGCTGGCCCGGAAAAATCGTTGGGATTCTTGATATGCCCAGACTTGAGACCAAAAGCCATGCATCGCTACCATCGCGATAAGGGTCTTGTCATAGTAGATAGGCAAATTGTCAAGCACGGATGGATTCTGCGCAATTGCTAGCCAGGAAGGGCTTTCTTCAAACGTCATTCCGTAAGATAGAATAGTGTCCTTCCACGCAGTTGCAGATGGCGCTAACCATATATCCCGCGCAAGGGGAAGTGGGCATGAAAGCTCCGTGACTGAGCAATTGGGTGGTTTGAGGTACGCCATCGAGCACCGGAGGTCAGTTAGCACAGCAAATATTGCCGTCCTGTATTTGCTGGTCAGTGACAAGCCATTAAAAGAATATCGAAATTAAGGCGACGAACCTTTTCAGTGATTCTTGTTTGATCCATGCACGCCATTTCGCTTCGGTGGTGTGGACATCGTCTTCCAGCCGAGGGTAAATGGACTGAGAATATAGCGCGCGTGAGAAACACCCATAGCGTCGAAGCATCTATTTCAAGAGTCAGTTGTTGAATTTCCCTTCAGACAATCAAGTTCATACAGTCACAGGCGCGGATAGAAATGTCTCGGCGACTTCCATGTTACGCTTAAATCCACTCCACAGACTGACTGAGACCCAGAGTAAATATGCTTGGATAGTCTGGAGGTCTCGAACTCGACTATTGTCTTTTTCAATCTTGGAAAACGTTATCATCCCATTATAATTAAGGTTTGGATAACAAAAAGAGAGACATACGGACGCTGAGAGGAAGAGACGAGATCGCTCTAGCAGAGCATAGCCCATTCTACATACGTTCTCTATCGATATCGACGACGCTCCAGCCCCAATGATAGTGGCTAGGAGCTCAGTATGACACTCGGTGACTGAGAATGAGGGTGCATGTATCCAACTTGCTGGTTCCAAGCTTTGCCAACCAAAATAAACTTGGACCATACGGTCCAAATATGATTCCGAGGGGAAGGCCTGTAGCGGGATAGTGGAGTGTGGAGTGCTGTAGATCATGAAGAGTATCCGGTCGCGACAGCTAGAATCAACTACTGTTGGTGTGAATTTCCCAGTAAAGGAGTACTGCTGGCTTCTGCGCAACATCGAGTCGACAGCTTTTTCATTGACGCGTAAACTGTCCTGGCCGGCATATGCATTGTCAACATGCACTGGCGTCCATAACCAGGGAGATCGCTTGAAGAATTCGAATCGCGATGACGCTGGGCTAGCATGCGTTGGTCCACTCCCTTCAGTCTGGACAGACGGTTGTATATCATTTGGGACAGGCTGCATCAAAGCTTGAAGGGTGTCGATGTCCAGCTCGAAGCACCCACTATCCAGCTCGCCCGTCGCGGGCGGAAGCAAGAATCCATCAGTGAAAGAAAATCCATTTACATAGGGAGATGCCAAGCAATCAACTCCAAGCGCAGGGTCTAGTGGTGCAGCTGAAATAGCTGTTGCATCGTCTAGTATCACCACCTGTTGATGGGATTCGAGTGACTGCGGTGGTTCCACTGTGGCCGGCGGGGATGAGACACCAAAACTTGTGTCATGTTCATTTGAAATGGCCAGCGGAAGATTTGGAGTGGGAATAACTTCCGGAGGTTGGTTCCATTGAGAGGCGTTTTTAGCATCCTTGACTGAGGGCAAACAGGGCTCACCCCGACTTAAACAGCGTTGACAGGGCTTCTGGTCGGTGCACTTTGATTTTGAATGAACACAGCCGAGACAAGCTCGACTGGCTCGCGCGGTTCGGGAGGCACCTTCCTTGCGAAGATGGGTCTGTTTATGGCGATACAAAAGATCCCTATGTTTCTTCATTAGTATCTGCTACCTTAACAGAGGACCGGGTCAAGAGATTTGTTCGTACCCCCGATTGAAGGCTTTGGGACAAATAGGGCAGCGATAGGGGCGTAAGTCTTCGTCTATCGAGTGGGTCAGTATGGGGCTGCGCTTTTGGATGCAAGAAATTGAGCGCTAACGAGAATGCACATGGCGAGCATAGTGATCTGAACGCTCAAAGGAGCGATTGCATTTGTCGCACCAGTATTCAGCGGCGTCAGAGTCTTTTCCGGCCTTGACGCGCTTCGGGTTAGGCGGCGTGCCCGTTTGACTGTCCGGGGCAGCCATTGAACACACGGACGGAATCAAGAGGGGGTCATCAAACTGGCATGATCAGTCCGCGGAGGAGTGGAGGGGTGGTTGAAGGAGCAAATATACGACCTTCTGGGGAGGCAAAGATGTCGTTGACGCTTTCCCCGCAAACGCGATGGGTTTCGGTGAAAACGCGGGAGTCCGGGGGGGCGAGCTTGGCACCGTGGGAGTATCCCCCACTTGTTCCGGAGTGGATACCCTAGAAAGTATTTCAAATGGCGTGCATCACCGAATGCTAACATCATTCACTTTTTAGCATTTTTTCGGAAACCATATCGGCACTATGGCAGGCGATTTGGCCCCCGTCCATTTCTTTTCTCATGGCTCCACGGCCATGCTCGGCGAACAGTCTGACTCGGCAGACTATTGGAAGGAATGCGGTGATGCTGCCCGCCGCAATGGAATTGAGCATGTTGTGATTATGGTATTTTGATCCCTACCGTGTAAATCAAACCTCTGATTTTCAATACTGACAGATCACTCATTCAGGGCGCACATTGGGCTGCTGTAGGCGACGAAATCCAGATCGCTACCAGCCCGAAACCCAAGAAAGCACCGATCGGTGGTGTCCATCCTAGCAAATATGTCGACTACGAGTTGATCCCAGATCTCCCTATGTGTGAGCGTGTTATATCGACTCTTCGAAAAGCCGGCTTCAACGCTTCGGCCAATCCCAACTTTGATTGGATTCATGATGTATATCTGATCTTGATTCGCACATTCCCCCAGGGCTGTCCTCCCACGACAGTGATCAGTATGAATGCGAGATTTGATCCGACTTACCATTTGCGGGTCGGAGCAGCCTTGAGACCACTTCGCCGTGAAAAAGTCCTATTCATCGGCTCCGGTGGTACTGTGCACAACCTCTACCGTAATGTATGGTGGCCATTGCTCCGCTACGCAGACAATTTCGCCATGCCAACGCCTCCTGGGGATTGGGCTTTGGATTTCCGGCAGGAAGTTGAGGATGCCATGACAAAGGCTTCAGGGCCACTCCTCAGGAAAAGTCTCACTATGCTGATGAAGATACCCAAGTATCGTGAGGCCCATGCCACCGACGATCACATTATGAGTGCTATGTTTGTAGCCGGGCTTGTAGGAGATGTTGAGGATGAAGGGACCCCGGTGGAGATTGGTGCTGAAGATTGGGAGCTGACAAACATGTGTAATACCCAGTTCACATTTGGAAATTGGGGAACAGTGAGTGTATGAAGTTGAATCATGAACATGTATGAATAGGAAAAACACTGTAAAATCAAAAATATCGCCATTTCACAAGCACTTTTATAGGTAGACCATTGAGTAGCAGGAAGCATTTTCTTAACTATTTGGCACTGAAATGCTTTCAAACGTTTCTGCATTGAATTTTATCTACAATTCAGCCTAGTCCACAGCTAAAATGATGCCTCCATGAATCCTTTATGGCCTGTTAGAGACTACAACTCAGACCCTGTCAAACATGCATTCCCGTCAATGAGGGCAAAATACTTTTAACTGAACATTAATTTCAGCTCTCGGGGAAACTAAAATGAGTTTACAGCGGTTCAAAATATGTCAAAAATCAAGAGTTAGAAGGAACAGCCTAACTAGGTACACTTCAGCATCCTGTGGTTCTGAAAGTCTTTCGGAATGTGGATAGCCCAGGCAATATTTCTGGATGTATTTTTTTCTAAGCATAACTAACAATAAACTTGGTCTATACAAATGGCAGAATAATGCGAGATGGGTAGTTTCCGCCAACATGGAGCTTGTGCGTTCCCTTGTTCCGAACCTCCAGTTCCACCTTGGCATACTTAGTCTCCTGGATCAAAGGATACTCACCACTGACTTGCACACGCAGGGACTCGCCAGCTTCAAAGTCAATACCCATAGCCCACAGCCCGATTTCCAGCTCAACGATTGTTCCGGGGGGAATCTTTTGCACCTCCGAGTGCGTATGGAACGGGTATTGGGGATGGATAGATCTTGCGGGATCAATCTGACGATGAGAAGCCCTTAGGATTCCAGTCGGGCCGTAGTAGATGGTCAGGTTGCTATACTCGTCTCGAGGAATATCTTCAACCTTCGAGTATGGCGCAGCTGAGAGGGGAATGTTGACATTGATCATCTCTTTTCCATCCTTATCAAGCTTGCGAATGAGAACGTAGACAATCATGTCATCTAAATCATCGCAAGACATATGAAGGACGGCCTTGGGTAGACCCATCAACCGAGTCTTCTGCGAGAATTTGTATGTGAAGCCAACAAAGTCAACCGGATCACTTCGACTCTCGGAGTTATAAGACAGGGTCGCTTGTCTCACAGGCGGCTGGGAAGCAAGAGTATGCTCCTCCGTGAAGAAAAGCTCGCGATATTCGGTATTGGGCAGAGGAAAGTTGTCGGCGACGATTGGATATTCGGGAGGCATGTTACCATAGTTCAGCGAAGCCATCCGCACCTTCGGGGTCTTCTCCCAACCATTGTCTTCTCCCTTGAGGTACTTGGAGAAGAAAGATGCCAGTTCGTCGCGAGATTCTTTCTCAACCCACAAGTCGAACCACTCTTGATAAGGGTCCCATCGGAGCCATTTATCTTCTGAATCGACGTCTAGCCATCCTCGAACCGAGCCCATGGTATGAACAAAGCTGGAGTAAGAGGCCACCACGTAGGTCGGAATCTTGATTTTACTAATCTCAGCGCGCTTATCTGCCCAATATGGGTTGATTGTCTGGCTGCGACGGAACATTTCCTTAAAATCTTCGAGTCCGTGCCGACCTCGAATGGTCTCACGGGTAATCAAATCGAAGAGACCATTGTCCCAAGCTCCACCTCTGACGAATTGTTCGCGGTATAGATCACCACAAGCCTCCCACGGAGCAATGGCTTTCAGCGATGGAGGTTGGGTAGCGGCAATGAACCACTGGACGATGCCCAGGTGTGAGTTACCCGCGAGACCGAGATTTCCATTGCACCAATCCATCTTCGCCAAGGCTTCGATAACGTCGTGGCCATCCTCTCCCTCTTGAGTACCCATAATCACAATGGAACCGTCGGAGTCTCCAGCACCACGAGCATCGACGTTGACGATGGCGAATCCTTTCGGGCAATACTCGGCAGGGTCGGGACCCTCGAAGCGTTCGAGGCCAGAAAGACAACCATCGGGGACACCGACGCCCCAGCGGACCTTTTTCATCATGTTGATTCCATTATGTTTCTTGCCGAAAGGGCTCCAGGCGACAATCGCTGGGACCTTCTCTTCGGTCACCGGCCGATAGATGTCGCAGTAAAGGGTGCAGCCGTCGCGGACACGAATGGCTACATCGTGTTGCACAATCAGATCCTCATCGAGAGCGCGAGAATTGAATCCGTTCCAGCCCTTTGGAAGAGTTTCAGTGCGGGGATTGAAGGCCTGGTAGCCATTGTGGCCAACAGTGGGCGGCTTGATTTCGAGGTTGGCGACTTGGGCGGGAGGAGGCATGTTGAGAATTGGAGGATAAGAGACCGACTTGTCAATTTTCAGCGAGGGGTCTCAGTTTGATTAAAATAGACAGCCATCGGTGAAGTTATACACTTTTCTTCTCCGTTACTTTTCTTCTAGTCGGAGATGCCCCGTGCCAAGCCCAGCGAGGCTCGCCTCCCCCACCGGAGAGACTTCAGACTTCCGCGTGGGGGTGTCACACTGTGAGGACACAAGTCCAGATCACAACATGTTCTTGCAAATATTTTCTCCAGATTGCTCGGGGACTGTCCGAGAACTTTCTCCCCGCAAAATCCTCATGTGACATTTTTCCGTTGATCAACGGACTCGTTCGGCCGTCAACCCCGAGAGGCAACCAGCTTAGTCGGCCTTCCTTGAAATGAGCGCCCCTACTGCCTATTTAAGACCGAACGTTTTCATTCACTGCTGGTTCTCAACAAGTTTGCAAATCTCAATCTTCATAGAGAAGAAACTCTGCACAGTTTGCCTCAACCCTATTCTATTACCCTACATTCCTCTACCTATTCCAACTCACGATGGCTCCCGGCATCCTTGACCAGAACGCAAACACCGCTTATGGTGATTGGCGTGACGAATTCTACAGCAAAGGATACGTCGTCCTGAAGAATGTTATCTCTCGTGAGAAGGCTTTGAAGTACCGCAAGAAGACTCTCGACTGGCTGCAGTCTTTCGACACCGATTTCGATATCAATGACCGCAGCACCTGGACCGCAAAGAACTTGCCTCAAAGCTTCAAGGCTGGCATGTACTTGAACTACTGTGCTGCGCATGAAAAATATGTGTGGGATGCTAGAATGTACGCACTGAATCCTATTATCAATACAACTTCACACAAAGCTAACCTTGATCACAGGGAACCCGAAATCATCGACGCCTTCGCCAAGATCTGGGGAACTGATGAGTTGCTGGTGTCTTTCGACACTATCAATGTCACCCTCCCCGGCCGCACTGACGTTGAGTGGTCCCCCTGGCCTCACGTTGACCAAGCTCCCGAGCGACGGGGTCTTTCTTGTGTGCAAGGCATCATCAATCTCAGCGAGGCTGGACCCAAGGACGGCGGCCTGATGCTTATGGAGGGATCTTCCAAGCTATTCGACAGATTTTTCGACCTTAACCCTCCGGATCGTACTCAGGGCATCGGAGCTAAGCACTACGACTTCTATCCCTTCAAGGAGCACCACGTCAAGTGGTACGAAGAGCAAGGTTGCAAGCTCATCAAAGTCTGCGCTGAGCCGGGAGATCTGATTCTTTGGGACTCGCGCTCGATGCACTATGCCAAGTTCCCTGAAAGCGACGAGATTCGGACCATCATCTACGCCTGTTATACTCCTGCCTCTCACGCTACTCCCGAGGATCTGAAGAAGAAGGCGGAGCTTTTCCATCGTTGGGAGACTACCACCCATTGGCCTCACTGCAACATTCACGGTCATGGCAAGGCTATGGTCGATGGGAAGGTTGATCCTCTGGAAAGAGATGAACCTCTTGAGAAGCCTGTGTTGACTGATCGCCTGCTCCAGCTGGCAGGTGTTAAGCCTTACTAGTGAATCAATACACTTTCGGAAATGTAACAGAGCAGGAGATACAACGTTTTCATTTACATACTTTCATTATGATTTAACATGTCAGTTTAGAGCTACTCCAAAATATATCAAAAAATGAAAGAAAAAAAGAAGGGAATTGTCCTTTGTCTGGAATCAATATCATTGCTTTTTGGATCTTGACACCATCGTTGCAAAAAGTCAACTCGTAGAATAAGGTAGGCCTTTACTTTCTAGAAACCTGTTGAGTACACCCCAAAATATAGCCCGACAAGTAATTTTCCCGACGGGAAAAGTTCCACTGAAGGAAAGACAAATCTGTGTTAGCTTCCCCCTACCGAGGTACTAATCAACAGCGCCACGAAGAGGCCCAGATCATTGCTGTTGGTAGGCATGGAATCAAAGTCAACATGTTTGAACATGGAGCCACAGTCAACATGTTATAGATCACCACTGACCAGTAAGTGATCTTTTGAGAACGCTTTCCAAGAAAAGCGTCTCGCGGATTGCAAGCAATCTGGACATGGAGTTATTCAACATGTCTTTAACATGGACAAAGTCAACATGTTATAGATCACCACTGACCAGTAAGTGATCTCTTGAGAACGCTTGCTCTTGGAACAAGAAAAGCGTCGAAACCCCTTTAACGACGATCGGGGCCTTTACCCTTACCACCACGGTAAGTGAGGTCCTCCGAGTGGTGGGGAGGGGGGCCACCAGCAGAAGAGTCGGCCGGGGCAGACGAGGTCTCGGACGCGCCAGAGAAACCACCAGGGACACCGCCGGCGGCGGAGGACGAACCGACGACGGGGGCGGGGCGACGGGGGCGGACGCAAGACGGACCGGCAGCGGAGGACGACTGGGCGGGCTCTAGTTTTATGGTTAGTTATATCAATAAGATGAATGGATCTATACTCACTCGTCTCCGTATCATCCTCGAACTTATATCCGCGCGCAGTCATGATGCTGCGAACCTTTGCGGATTCCGCGTCGAGCACCTCAGGCTTCGAGCGGTGCCTAGCGCGGCCCTCGTCGATCCGGCCAAGCTCGGCTTCCAACTCCTCCATCGGACAAGTCATACGCTCCTCGTCCGTCATAGCCCCCTTAGGGGGCTGCGCGCTTGTCTGCTGCTGCTTAGCGGGCGGCGCGGCTAATAATCCACGAAGTATTAGCGTGTTCCTTTAATAATAGACTCCATATGAACTTCTTAACTTACCCGCAAGGCCCTCGGCAGGACGCTTCTTCCCTTTGTTTCTATTGGCGGGGGGAGAGTACTTCTATTATATTAGCTTCTGTAGCTGATGGATGAGGGGAATGGGTGGGATGATGGTGATGAGACTGATGAGGGTGATGAGTACTTACTCTGCGTTGCATCGTGATGATTTTATCTTAACTTTTTTTTCTGAAAAAAGCGAAAGGGCAAGGTGGGTGGTGAAGGTTGAGAGGGGAGAGAGAAGAAGAGAGTTCGTGGAAGAGAGGAAACATTGAAGTGCTTTGGATTCAGGTGCTGGCAGTCCTGAGAAGTGAGGTACGAGTCGTACTTGCCTATTCGGGAAGGCATCTACCAACAAGTCTGTAGTAGTGCCACGAAGAGGCCTAGGATTTGCACGATTCAGGTATGCAATACATCGATACATCTCACAACGATGACGAATATAAACTTAAAACCATTATAAAACAGATCACTACTGATAAGTAAGTGACCTGACGAGTGCAGGCGGGTGGTGAAACGCTTACCTATTCTTGGAGAAAATTGCCTCACAAACAGCCCGCCGTCATGCCTGCTAGCCTGGGTTTGTCAAGGCTTACAGAAGTCCTTTGCCGGATAGTAGCGAAGATCATCCCAGTGACGCTCAGCATACCCACATCAATTTTACGCAGATATGTTACCCTTCTATCGTAAGATCCCACCCGACCAAACCAGGAGCATCGAATGTCAGGCAATTTCACACCGTAAGCGATGTTACTGCAAGCTCGCCGTTCCCCTTTCAATACTTCCTCAAGGACGTAACATGCCCGAAATAAGGGAATGCCTCGTTATAGTAGCCTCTACAGATCCATTCAACCCAGGTGGAGGCATCCCATTCTGCGTGCGCAAAACCGCTAGACTCGGACATGGTCATTTAGTCCCGGCTTCTCCTGCAGGAGCTGAAAGGTATCATTCAGAGGTTCCCATGGTAGAGCAGAGGCAATATTGATGGGAGATCGAATAGCGTCGCACATTGACCAGCCTTTCGTCGAGAAGCCGCCATCGTTTTTCGGCCTCATAAGGGTCAAGAGAAATACCTAGTGTATGGACATTCTCGAGCACGGTTGTGCGCTCTCGATTATAAAGGCTGTAAAACTTGTCAACACCTAGTGTTGCTTCACTGCAACAATCTTGCGAAGTAGATGGTATAAGATACAACACTTCTTCGCGGAAGGCTTTGTATTCCGGGTATATTCTATGTTGATGCCCTTCTTATCCCAATAGCGTCCGGAACAGCAATCAAAAGATAAATACCGGTCTTCATATCAAGCTCACCGTTTGCAAGATCAAACAGGCCCTTCAAAGACCACTGGTATTTTAGTACAGGATCTTTGACTTTATGGTGAAAGCCTAGCATGTATAGTGGACCAATTGATCAACATCATGGTTTCGGGCCTTTCGGCAACTGCGTTCTGTCGTCCGCCATCGAACGGTTGGTTTTTGAGTTGTTATTAGTCCAAAGCTAATACAAGATGATTTGGAACAGAAAATGATTCTGTACTCTTAGAGTTAAGAGGTTCCCAAAAGAGGTGTCAAAGGAGGCGATAAAAGGGATAACAGAAGTAGAAAAGGTGTTGAAGCGAATGTTGAAGAACGTTTTTAAAGACATATTCCAAGATATTGGCCTTGGCCTATCGAGCGTGCATGGTGTTCCGCATCTTATAGTATCCCCGAGGATACCATTGGACACCCGGCTCCATTGCTATTTACCTACAAACTAATGATACATCAAAACCGTAAATCATATTATGTAAATTGTGTTGCTGTCAAATTGTCTTCAAGAATACCATTGCCCGTCCATTTGCCCCCAATCCATATCCGGAAGCAGCTCATCCAAGTTGAATTCACCCATCATGGTTGGCCAAAGAAGACCGAGCTCATCCGCGGATGAGTCCAGGGCAGTGGGCAGCATGGTCCCATATTCATTAATGGGATCGATTGAGGGCCCTTCATTCTGGAAAGCCATCTTCAACAGATTTATCGCAGTCCCCTTATCAGTTGACGCAACACTAGGACTATGAAGTTCTATTTGCAGAAGTATTTCAAGCATTTGCGACCCTTGGATCGCCAAGGGAGTGCTGGAGTTGGGGTATTGAATAGCGCTGATGCAGTAACGGATTAATCTTCGACGCTCGGTAAGCTGGTTTGAAACTGTCGAGTCTTTGAAACAAATGAGGTGGATGGCTAGATAGACACCCGCAGCTAACGTAGCTGCCGAAATTATCCTATTATATCAACCCAGGTTAGTCACATTATTCTGTCGTCTTCAGATTAAGTGCGAATGCAATTCCCGAGGCTTACCAATGACACTGGTATAAACGCGGGACCGCCTGTTGACGCATGTGAATTATTTTTAAAGCGCTTTTCAAGCCTCTCTCGATGATTGGCTCTGTGTTTGGTCGTCCCATGAGCCAAAGTACCAAAGAAGCTCGCGCTATCGTCACTGAAAGCAACTGAGTTGTGTGTCCAATAAGATACTCCTGCGCTGCAACCCAGGTGGGAGTGTCGGCAGATAGTGGTATCTTTCGGCGGGCCATCGATTCTTCGATGGTCTCTACCTGATTGAGCACCGCCGTAAATCGGTCCGTGTTGAGATCACGCGGAGCCTTGACGTTAATGTAGATGACGCTAGCGAGCTGCGACATGGTAAGATGATATCGGAGTGCCGGTATATCTGTAGTTTCCAGGGATGCATTCTCCAGAAGGAGGTCATCATTGTCACATGGTTGCGGTGACAAGGCTGTATTGAAGCTTGAAGGAGAAATAGAAGACGGGCGCGTAAACATTCCGAGCCTGTTGAAGTGTTAGAAAAAAACAATATTTCCTCATTTTTAGTCCGTTTTTAGACTAACCAGTCGCAAATGACCAGTGTCCACCATAAACGACGCCCTAGCTGACGATCCTCGGGGGTGGACCAATTGGCCTGTGATGCTAGTCGCTGAGAAAAGCGGTCTTCCGAGGCCAAGAGATGCATATCCAGTGCCCTGGCAGTATTTGTTGCGAGGCCTAAGAGCAGATACTCTTGTTCCATCTGACCGAAATGACTGTGAGCCAAAGTAAGTATCGCAGCTGCTTGTACTGTAGTTAAGTTTGCCTTGCTCAATGGGTTCGAAGCCTCGAGCTCTTTCATTGCGGCTTCATACCACATTCGAGCAATATGCCTGCCCCTTTCACCGTTTATCTCTGACTGGCCCGCATTTTCCTCGAAACCGCTGAGGCGGGGCAAGATCGGTCGCTCTTCCGGGTCCATATACAGTAACCCAACCTTTGATCATGTCAGCCATCTTGTAATGCTACGAAATATCGAAAATAAAACTGACAGTTAAAAGACTAAAATAAACTGATAGCCAGCCATGATCATTCACGGAGGCAGAATCATTACCCCTTTCTATGGATTCCCAAAAGACCTCGTGTTCCCGTTGAAAGACCTTTGTCCTAATAGCACAATGGATCCAAGTCAGGTTCGTTAAAGCAAAGTCCACAATCTGATGGCTGGAATCCCGGTCTGGGATAAGCATGAGAAAGACTGGCCTTCCGGGCTGGTAGAGCGGAGCAATAGTCGTCTTCTCGGAAAGGTCAGTGGGGTTATGCGGTTTCCCATGCGAGAGAGACTCGAGCATGACCAAAAGGCCCTCCGGATTGGTGCCCGCATGATTTGATCGCTGAGCTGAGCTCGATTCGCCAAGCCGAGCTTCAAGCATCGCTATCCGGTGTTGGAGTGTCAATTTGTCATGATCAATAATCTGATCCGATCTGTATACCCTGTTAAACTGGGGCCCCGGATGGAGATTGTATCGGATCCAACTCACTGGGTCATCGACTGGGGGCTAAATTCCGGGGGCACGCATGCTCCAGCTTGTCCGCGTCGCGTACAAGCACCGCAAGGATATGCATGATCACATTTTATCTTTCTCCGGGAACATTCCGTGCAGCTACGAATCTTTCGCGTGAAAGGATGAGTAGCCATGATGCGACCGCAGTGATATGCGAAAAGGGCAAGACTCGATGGTAATGACCAATCTCGATAGATTCGTGAGAGATCCGATGTAATGAAAGAATAGCCGAGGGGACCCCGCGGAAGCCCAAGGGAAAAGAAAAAAAATGACAAGGTTTATCCCCCACATATCCGGGGTGACGCTAGTTTCCGAGCGGTGGCTAACCCTCCGCACTTTACCTCTCACACTCTTCGACCAGTATATCAGGCTCTAGGCCGCACCAAGATGGGGCAATGACATTCAAGGGGAACAAACTGTGTCGATAACTGTGTGACTTCTCATATTTCTGATTCCAATGGCCGACGACAAAGCACAAGATGGGTTCGTCGAGTGCGTTGACCCGAGAACCAATCTCAAGCCCGAACCTCGCATCACCGGAACAGTGAATTTGATCGAAGATGGAGAGATCATTCTCATCCCGCGGCCGACAGCTGACCCTCAGGGTATGCTATTGATGCCGATGGGCACTTAGTTGACTAGGGACTTTGTCTGACCAGCTGGATAGATCCGCTCAACCTGCCTGAGTGGCACAAATGGCTGATCTTAATCATTGTCGCGCTCTGTCAGTAATCCGATATCTGTATTTCAGGGATCAGTTGGTTAACCGTCAATTTTCCATAGATGCTATGACCGGCAACCTACTCGCCAGTGGAATTGGCATATTGATTCCTCAGTTGAACGAAGTCTATAACAATGATCCCCATGTCGATGATCTGGTGACTTGGCCAGCTTTCTACATGGGCTTAGGCAATCTTATTGCTATGCCGATTGCAGATGCTATCGGTCGTCGTCCAGTCTACCTGCTTTCGAATGTGATCCTGATTATAGGCAGCATTTGGTGCTCTTACTCAAACAGTCTAGGCTCCCATATTGGGGGCCGCGATTTTATGGCACTGGCAGCCGGGCAAAGCGAAGCCCTGTGTGTGCTGATTGCAGAAGTAAGCGAATTCCAGTCCGTATCCAAATGGCGTGATTCTGACGGATCCAACAGGAAACATTCTTCATGCACCAGCGTGGTAACCGCATCGCATGGTTCTGCTCCCTGCAGACACTTGGAACGGCGCTCTTCATCATCGCTAGCTCATATATCAGCAACAGTATTGGGTGGCGATGGTGGTATGGAATCTTCGCTATCATAACCGGTTTTACTTTTGTACTCTCGATCTTGTTCGTTGTCGAGACCAAGTACGATCGGCCTCTGGACAGCTTCTGTAAGATTTCCCCATGATTCCCCGTTGATTGAAATGTGCTAACTGCCCCATTCTTTTATTATAGTCGGTGGCAGCGATGATTCTGCCGAGGGCAAGGTTACTGCCTCTCAAAGACGTAACTTAGATTTTGTCAACTTCAAAGCCAGATCATTCTGGAACGACCTTAAGCCCTGGGGAGCAGTCAAGCCCCAGTGGAAGGAAATTCCAAAGTTCTGGTATCATCTGGGCCAACTAACTCTCTTCCCCGCAGTTCTTTGGCTCGTTCTTTGCAGTGGTGCCCTCTTGGGCACTTATATCTTAATGACTGCTGTATTCGCCCAGGTTCTGATGGCCCCTCCATATAGCTTCAACCCCAACTACCTTGGATTTGTTATGGGAGGTCAAGCAGTGGTCGCGTTTGTTGTTCAGCCTATTGCCGGGTACGGAAGTGATATTGCTCTAAAATATCTGACAACGCGAAACAAAGGAGTTAGCGAGGTGTGTATTTCCCTATCAACCCACGCCTACGCAAGACAAAAACAACTGACCCGAACTCTCAGCCCGAGTACCGACTTATTCCTGCTATTCTACCTGCTGCAGTCGCAATCGTCTCGTGTGTGATATATGGACGCTCATGCGAGTATCCAGCTGATTGGGCTTGGACGGGTGTCGTCATCCCTATGAATGCCCTGTTCTACAGTTTTGTCAGTGTCGTTGTCCTTGGGTTCGTCTATACCATGGACTGCTATCCTCAACGCGGTCACATTGCCATGGTGGCACTTTGTGCGGGTCGAGGATTCATATCTTTCGGTATTTCTTTCGGTACTACCGCGTTTGTGAGGGTATCAGGATATGACGGAGCGTTAGACATCTGCGCCATTGTACTCGGAGTGCTGACTAGCTTTGGCTTCGTTACTTACTTCTTCGGAAAGAGTTTCCGTAAGTTCACTCAGCGATGGGCTGTGGACGAGTAATCGCTCCTGGGCAGAACCTTAGTATCTTGCCCCTGCTCATGCAAGGGTTCTTGGTCTACTCTGAACAGTGTACATCCATGGAAGGAGATCTAGCGAATTGAAGGCTTGAATATTGTTGGATTGACATTCTTACCGCGAAATGAGTAGAATAAAGTTTTTCGTGACTTCCCAATTGTGTTGATTGCGGAGCGCAGCGAAGCATTTTACCTGTTAAGAAAGGGGTGGTGGTAGTTTTCGCGATGTGTTGCACAAAATACAGGGTTCTGATTGGTCAGTTTATGGCAGAATTAGGCGGTGAGCTTTTAAAATCTCTCTACTAATAGATTGTATACGAATTGACTAGATTGTCTACGAATTAAATAGATTCTATGCGAATTGTATAGATTATATTACTATCTACCCACTACCCTTCTATGACCGCGCAAGCGCGGTCATGGGAGCGTGGGTGGGCTATTGTATCCCCATAGCCCCCCATGGTTTCTAGCTATTCACCTACCGGTTCCTAGGGGGTTCTCCTCCCTTGTTTAATAGATAATCTCTATATGTAGTAATTGATTGTATGCGAACTGTATATATCGTATGCGAATTTAATAGAAATCCGCTGCGCTCCGCACTTATTGGTGTCCCCCGTGGGGCGCCATTGGAAACCTTGTACTGAGATATCATTCTAGGATGATTATTAGTATTATTGCGGAGAGCAGTGAAACTTATGGCCTCTGAAGTATAGTTACAAAATGGCGGGGGTGGTTAGTGCCAAGGATAGTATACTATTTATCAAGAGTATAAGAGACAGTGCTTCGCTCCCCACATATCGATGTCTCCTCGTGGGGTGTCATTGGAAACCTTGTATGTTGGGCAATAGAAATAGCCAATTCGAAGAGGAAAGAGTATGCAAGACCACCAGTAGGAAAATGTAAGTATACTACGGTGATTGTAAATGTGATATTTAGCGATTGTTGTTGTTGGAGGACAGATGACTAGAATTATTCCATGAATACATATACCGTCCGTATTTTAACTTCACCTTTTCCCTCGAGATCACCTGCCCTACGTAGAGGACGCTTTCCCGACCGGCCTTGTTGTACACTATGAACACTGGCATAGCTATTCTGTCGCATTCTTTTACGGACTCTTGCAAGCCTGGCCGGTCCCCGGATTCCGTTCTTTCGCGGTTTTGTACGGGCTGGCGAGGGGGTTGAGACCAAGGAGGGACTAGCGCTTAACCCCACGCTTGAAGGTTCCCCCATGGATTCCTTTCTTGAACCCTAAATCCATCAACTCCGCATTTTTATACCTGTTTTTGGTGCATTTTTGCACTTACTACGCTCTCTCACGCGCATCCTTATGACAATACTCTCAGTCTTGAACCTCGCGCATCCACTCTGAAAACGGATTGCGTAAATGACGCTGAAAACAGGCAGTGTTGGAAATCTGGATTCCACATTAACACTGACTTCGACCTCTCTTGGCCAGACACGGGTAAAACCTTCACCTACAATTGGGAAATCACCAATACAACATGTGCCCCTGATGGCAATGAAAACAGGATCTGCATGTTGGTCAACGGCCAGTTTCCGGGGCCACGCTTGTAGCAGACTGGGGAGACACCATCGTCGTGAACGTCAAGAACTCTATGCAGTACAACGGCACAGGTCTTCACTGGCATGGCATTCGTCAACTGGGGACCGTTGAGCAGGACGGCGTGCCAGGGATAACTGAATGTAAGACGATCTTACAACGAAAACTTTCACAATCTAACATAAAATTTAGGCCCATTGGCAACTAACGATTCGAGAACCTACAAATTCAAGGCGACCCAGTACGGCACATCCTGGTACCATTCCCACTTCAATGCTCAGTATGGCAATGGCCTGCTTGGTGGAATACATATAAATGGCCCATCCACCGCAAACTATGATATCGACTTGGGACACTTCTTTGTGTCCGACTGGTACTATGATACTGCCGAACAGGATGCGCTTAGAACAGCTGCTGCCTTTCTAGGCGCGCCTGCTGTAGGCAACGCTGATACCGTTCTCGTCAATGGGACAAATAAGTCCCCTGACAACTCAACTGGCTCTTGGTCGACAACCACAATAATTCCTGGCAAAACGTACCGATTGAGGGTCGTTAACTCCGGCGTGGACAACCAAATTCGCATCTCTCTGGATAACCACCCATTGACTATCATCGCTAATGATCTCGTGCCTATCGAGCCTATTACCGTTGACACCCTCTTAGTAGGTATAGGCCAGCGATACGACATACTGGTAAAGGCTACTGAGAAGACAGGGAACTACTGGTTCCGTGCTGTCACTGAAGCTCTTGTGTTACTACTGCGAACAACAACGGGCTTGCTATTTTCAACTAGAAGGGCACAAAGCCATCGGATCCAACCTCGTCTGCGTATCCCGATCCCGGCGACTGCAATGAACCAAGTCCGCTTCGTCCTTGGATTCACCAGACTGTCCCAAATAACACATTTGTGGATAATGTTGATTCACTCATACTAGCCTTCACGGGAGTAACTTTCCCTGGTGTCAATGGTACCGGAATCAGCTGGACTTTCAACAACACCGGTATACTGGTTGACTGGTCGGACCCAACCCTAAAGTACGTCGTCGAGCACGACAACAACTTCAATAAGAACATGAGTGTGATCAAGCTTCCCGGGTATAATGAGTGGGCCTTCTGGGTCATTCAAGCCAAAGATGGCGCAAATACAGTCTCTCCTATCCCACATCCAATGCATTTACATGGTCATGACTTTTTTATCATCGGTCAGAAAGAAAACGCAATATTCGACAATGAGGCTGACTTCCAGAGCTTAAATTTTACGCGTCCTCCCCGTCGCGACGTTGCTCTGTTGCCTAATTAATGGAGGCTGGATGGTTATAGCTTTCTATCTTGATAACCCAGGAGCTTGGCTGTTTCATTGTCATATTGGTGTTCATGTGGACGAGGGACTTGCTGTGCAGTTCCTGGAGACCGAGAGCAAGATAAATCTGCCAGACAAGGCTTGTAATACGACATGCAAGAACTGGAACACTTGGTGGGATGGCAATCACCCATACTATCGCAATGAGAGTGGGTCGGGAATATAAAGAAAGTCAGCCAGCTACTTGGCCGCCTTTGGCTCAGTCAATGGATCTCTTTGATTATTATTTTCTCGGAATTTTCTGTAAATCAATCAATCAACACCCTTTTAGCCTCATGCAGCCTAACTAGTAGTGTAATGGCTATTTAGGCGCTTCCCTTCCTGTTCCGGCATCCGCTATACTCCGTGCTTTATTTATTCCGTCAAACATGAATGGATAGTAGTCTTCAATCGTTGACCATTATACTACTCGTGTGGACCCTCTGTAAGAATCTGATTCTCAAGCAACAGATTCAGCCTGCACAAGTTTGAGCAGACATTCAACTTTAGTAGCAGTTCCTTAAGTATTAATGAAGCAACGAGGTCAGAGAAACTTGCCGTCTTTTCTTCAAGATTCGTCTTACCACCTGAATAATTGATAAGAAGAATTTTTGGATAGAAGTTGTTTATAAATTGATGGCATTTTTCCCAGTCTCGTACACTACTACAAAGATCCACATAGAAAAAATCAAAGACCAAAAGATCCAGCAGCAAAGTGCAAGAAAACCTTACGCGTGAGCACCCATCCAGAATATCCTACAACCGAAACAACAGGTAAAACGATAAACAGCGCGCCCACAATGATACCTTGCTCAAAGAATCCAATAGCTGTTCCGGGTCCTTGGCCCGTCTCTCTCAGAGGCTGTGCTTCACGTTTCCGGAGAATCTGCAAAGTCTTGGACATTGGGTTACTCAGATCCTCCAGTCCAATGACAGAAGTTTCGATCGGTTCGATGACCTCCGGTCTTGCTTTAGACAGCATCTCTTTTGTGTACCGGAGATCAAGCGAGAAATTTCCTTGCTTGAGGGGGAGGGCCGGTCCCACTGGATGGTAACGCAGAGCAGGAGTTAGTTGGTAATCTAAACAAACTTATTGATCAAGTGTTTTGCTTTCTTACCAAGGAGCTGTGCGGGAATATGATTGATAAATGACCAATGGCTATTGATCTGTTGGCTTAGGAACTTTCCAGCGGCAGGCTCAGCGAAATGGTAGGCAACGAGATACTCGGGGCTATATAGTATTAGAAAATGGGATTTCGGAAGGGGTGATCCAGGGATAGAACCAACATATTTGACAGTGTAAGAACAGCGTCTGCTAAACTAGCAACTGTAAGTAGGGTCAAGTATCGCCCTTCTCCGCGCTGATTGACCAAGTGAGATGACCTAAGTAATCAGATGCTGCGTCAGTGAACCTCTTTGGGGATATTGAGTCGTGTGCTCTCACTTTTGGTGGACATCGATCATGTATAGACCCTCTTTCTTGATAAGTGTAGCTTCTCCATCGCTCTCCGCCTCTGCCACAACTTTCTTCCATGCAGCATCCTTGGAATCGGCCTGGATTGAGTTTACCTCACGGCCTCCACTCAGTCGCTCTCGAGTCATTGTATCAATAAATTTGCTCTTCACCCATTCGTTCACGACAATCAAATCCGGGGCATGGGGAGACTGTCCAGAGAATGCAAGATGAGCAGACAGAATTTGTTGCGCTGCCTTTTCAACGTCCGCTGTACGGTCGATGACCGCAACAGAACGAAGATTCGGTAGAGATCTGACAGAATTAGATGCTTCTGTTGTACCAGTTTGATCAATAATAAGAGCTCTAGGAAGGATCTCTAGATCAGTCACAGGGCCCTGGACTAGGCCATAGAGCTCCCAGTCTAGGGGTTGGAACAGGGATGGGATCAAGTTATCAACGTCATGCTTTCCACACTGTAAAAGATCCAACGTCAATTATTCCATCCAAAAGCAAGAGCCATTGAGGGACGAAGATCGCGAAAACATACCTCAACAACAAAAGTATTTCCAGCGGCAAGAGCGCATGCCACGGCCGAGATGATAGAATAGAAGCGTGTATGCGCCGTCGGCCTAACCACAACCACCCCATGGCCTACACGACGCTCGGTGTTGTTCTCCCCTCTTGCAATCTTATATTCATCGGCAATGGCTTTGTCGAAATTGATAGATTCATAGTGTTTTCTGACTGTCGCAATTGCAATGGAAAACTCCACTTCAGCCTCCGTTCCAGTAGTGAGCGGGTTGGAAGCAATCACTTCCAAGATCTCCTCACGCGAGTCCAGGATGCTTTGGTGCAAAACTTTCAATTGACTTTGTATGAAACGGACATTGGAGGTCCGGCCATCGGCTGCTGCAGCGCAAACGCGCTTCAAATGAGAGTCAGAGGACCACATTTCGATCGATCGCTGGCAAAGCAATAGCAAGCAAGGACGGACTTCGGATAGATTGAGGAGAAAAACTCGTTTTATCTCAGTCGAAACTTCGTTTACTCCGCAATTCTCCATGTTTGAGTCAACTCCCGAACTCCGCATCTCCTGGTGGGTGTGACCCCCCACCGGAACGATTCTAAAGCCTGGAATACGGATATAAGAGAGTACCCATTCTAGCTTCATTTCCCCATCCCCAATTCCCCATTCCAGCTATCCCAATTCGCTCGCTCTTACAAAGAACCGAAAAATGGCAACTCAAACGGCTACGACCACTACTGCGTCTTCGCTGAGTGACTATCATATTCAACTGACTGGCAGTACCGATGCCCTACCGGTAAAGATTACTCGTCGTCGGGCCACGGGCAGAAACCCGCCCCGATGGCCTACGACTTACAGACGTGTTCCTCCACACCGTCCCGTCAACAAAAACCTCGACCCATCGGAACGTCCGAACGGAGCGAGTGCCGGGGAATGGGTCTTTGTGAATGTCATGCTGAATGGTGTACGCTTGAACTCTGTAAGTGGAGGACACTAGCCATAGCTTAACCCCCTAAAGCAAAGCTAACAGAAACTTCAGCTATTTGTGACCAGCTATGAGAGCACCTTAGGAAGATTCTATCCGAAATTGACAAGATATGAGATTGGTGGAGAGTGGTAACTTTGCCGGATGTTTTGTACTTAGTCTATCGATGGTAGTCAAGAAATTGAATCTCATTGCGTGTTTCCTTCGGTATCTTACAGGCATTGCCTTCGAACTAATTCAAAAAGCGCTGTCTTAACTCCGAACATTAGATCTCATCCTCGGATATAAGTTTTATCTTCGATTAGAAAGGGACGTTGTCCGTTTCGCGGGGCTCCGGGTGGGGGAGACCACATCCGCCACCGGAATGCTGTCGGATCCCCGCGAATCCAGACGCAGGAACAAGGTCGCGTCAAATTTGCAGATTAACTAGAGTCAAATAAAAGCTACAGACTGTGGGCTTCGTAAACCTGTTCAAATTTTTTAGAAAATTGTTCTCATCTCTTTTCATACTGTTGCTGTCAAAATGCCGAACCAAATTCGAGATATCAGCGAGACCTTCGTGGACGACGAGAACCAATTGATCTTCCACAAGAACGTATCTGTTCCGCTCAAATGGAATGGAGGCGTGCTTCGTGTCAATGTGTACCTACCCAAGGCTGAGGGGAAATACCCCAGTCTCTTGACTTATGGGCCCTACGGAAAAGATATCTATTATGGGGAGTACGACTCTTCCTATCCGAATTTTGTCCTCGGATCATTCTAACAGCGATTCTTACCCTAGCTTCCATACAAAGTCCTTCTCCGAGGTGAATCCCGTGCACAAGTCGAAATATTCAGCTTGGGAGACCCCCGATCCAGTTTACTGGACGAAGCTCGGTTATGCTGTTGTCCGTGCCGATGAACAGGGCTTGGGCCAATCACCCGGTTTACTGGATACAATGTCTGCGAGCACTGCCAACAGCTTCTTCGATCTGATCGAGTGGACAGCCGTTCAAGACTGGTGCAGCGGTAAAGTTGGGTTGCTAGGTGTGAGCTACTATGCCGGTAAGTTGGCTCAAGATCTAAGTACCACTCCCTGAACCTCTCTGACTTCAAGTTTCAGGTAGTCAATGGCGTGTTGCAGCAAAGCGTCCCAAAGGCCTCGCTGCTATCATTCCTCACGAAGGTATGAGCGATTACTACCGTGATCGTTGCAGACACGGTGGAATTTTATCAAACAACTTCATCAACTTCTGGTGGAACCGACAAGTGATCACCAATCAGTACGGCCGTCCCAACCGCTCCAAGTCCCGCTGGGGTGAAGACACGATCGAAGGTGACCTTGACGCCGCCGAACTTGAACAGAATTGCCGAGACCAGAACGCGGATAATGCAGCAAACCCCTTCCTTGACGACGAGTATCATGCGTCAAAGGTCTTCCGGTTGGAGGATATTGAGGTGCCGCTGCTGAGCGTCGCAAATTGGGGTGGAAACACCCTTCATCTGCGAGGCAATGTTGAGGGATATACGTGGGCAGGCTCGAAGCAGAAGTTCCTGCGATTCATTGTAGGCCGCCACGATTTGCCTTTCTACTATGATGAGGAAGTGGAGCTGCAGCGCAGCTTTTTGTCGGCCTTCTTGAAGGATGACGATTATGCCGGATGGAAGACTGGCAAGGTGCCTCCAGTTAGTGTTTGCTTAAGGAAGGGTGATGTTGGGTTCAATAATCCCGAGGGCGAAAAGGGCTTTGCTCGCAGGAATGAGTCGCAGTGGCCTCTTGCGAGCACTCAGTATACCAAGTTCTTCCTGACTCCTGATCTTACTATGGATAAGGATGCACAGGGCATCAAACCAGCGGAGTCTTCCATTCTGTCTTATGATGCAGGCGATTCGTCTGCCAAGGGAGTCAAGGTACTCGAATTCAAGATGCCGCCTGTTCAGTCAGAGCTCGAGGTGACAGGCCATGTTCTCGCACACCTAGGTGTCTCGGTTGACAGCTCTGTCTCCCCACCACCCGAGAACTTGGACCTGGATCTCTTCCTGACCCTTCGTCATTTTACTGCTGCTGGAAAGGAAGTTCCATACACTGGATCGTCCGGTGATGCTGTCCCTGTCACAAAGGGCTGGCTACGGACCAGCATGCGCAAGGTGAACCCCGAGAGCCCATATCACAGACCCTACCTCCCTCGACGGGAGTATCGATCCATCGATGTCCAGCCCGTTCAGAGCGGCGTTATTTATGAATGCGATGTGGAGCTGTGGCCGACTAATGTCGTCGTTGAAAAGGGAGGCTGGTTGGTGCTGCAAGTCTCATCGGAGGATACGGAGCCTGGCGTAGGCCTCTTCAAGCACAACTCTCCTATCGACCGGTATGTACAGATCCCTTTTCTAGAGATACTTGTGCTAATGACTATCAACCTACAGACCTGCTGCGAAGTTTTCCGGAACTAACAACATTCACTTCGCCCATGAGAACTACCTGCTCTTGCCTGTAATTCCCTGAGATACGCGTTCAACATCTCCACAACTCTGTTTTAGCTAGGAAGTCACTTACCTTAGAGCTCTGTCATAGAAATTGTCATCATTTCATCTTCATGTCCAGAAAAAGTTCGATCTAATACACGCTAGTAACGTTACTGTCAGTTTAAGGGTCTCCAGAGACTAGGACATGAGCAACCATTTTACGACATGGCGATGCAGAGATATATTAGATGACAACATCGTACATTGCAGTAGCGTTCCATGGGTCTAATGTTTATCTGATGGTGCTTCCAAGCCACGCATATGGCGACGTCATCGTGCCTAATGGATCCCCGCCCGTCAAAGACGCGGGACTGCCCGACATCAACCCTGACGTCTAACCCCACAGGGAATCTATGGTAGCACCCTGGAAGAAACCGAGATAGGAGCATGATCGAAGCCATTACTGTAGGTTTTGAGTAACAGTATCTTCAAGAATGCATTCAGGCTGTGTTGATACACTCTGTGAAAGGAGAAGATAGATGTATAGTGTACCTAGGTAGGTCTAGCCGGACACGCTTTAAACTCCTCTACTTCTAAAGATCTTTCGAAACGTCTTTTGAATTTTCTCTCCTGACCAGGCAATATCTCTCGATTCATCTTTCAAAGCATGACTAATGAGGTAGTAGGTAAGGTTGAAAACTTATGAAACTCCACTGTACCCGAAAAGAGTAATCACAAAGTGGCAAGTGATTATCAAAGGAGGGATATGCAAAACTCAAAATCGAAAATACAAAGGCTGTATGATGTATGCAGGCTAATCAGCAAAAAGAAAGAAAGAAAAACACTCCTTGTCATGCTAGCGTAAGATTCACAAGTGCGGGGGCGAGAGAACAAAATAGGCAGGCTCGAGAATTATCCGAGAGTATCCGCATATGAAAATGAAGAAAACAGATATGAGCCGCCTGTCATATCAATAACACTTTAAGACGGCAAAGTATCATGACGGAGCATAGGAAGCCGATATGCAGGTATCCGGAAGCAGAAATACCCTACCCGACGTCATGGGTTGGGTTAGCATCACCCTATTGCCCGCAGAGGGCGCTTAAGCCGCCTCTACCGAAAGATCGCCTCAGGTGACAAGGGCATCGTCGTCACCGTAGATATCCGTATCATCAAAGAATACCGCGGACTGGCGTCGAATTTCCTCGATGAGACTGCCCCGCCGGGTCGGGGTCTGAGGGCGGGAGGATGCCGTTGAATGGGACATGCTATCGGAGACATCCACATAACGCGAGTCACCATCTTCGTGACGTTCAGGAAAGCTTGCGTCCAATCTCTGAGAAATAACATCTGATGGCTCAAGCTCCGGAGCTTGCATCCGCCGAGACAAGATTGGGGAAAGAGAGCGCCCTCCCGTAGTAGAATGTTGTTGGAGGCCCCTCATGATACTCTTTTCAATTTTGAGGCGGTTTGTAATAAACTGAATTTTGGGAAATGCACTTTGCTGACCGACATGGATCATGCGCGCAAGTCGTTCTGGTGTAGGGTCCGAGAGAATGTGGACAAAATCAGAGGGAATGCTCTTAGGCCAGATAGTAACCGTGCCACTGAATTTCTGTAACCAGATCTCACTCCAATCTTGGCCCAGAGGCCGTGGGAGGAGCTCAAGATGCCGTAAGACTCGGAGCCATTTATTCAAGTCGAGTTTGATGTATTGTTCGATCGCAGTACCGAGGAATCCACCGCGCCAGCCACGGCCCTTGCGGTGCGTGACGGGGCGCCCCACGGTTCCTCGTGAGCTGAAGAAGAACAAATTGATGTGGGGGTTGACCTTGAGCCGAGAATTCGTTATCAGAGAGATCCACAAATCAAAGTAGTGGGGGCGATCGACAGACCTGTGACACAATTGTGAAATTCACATTGAAATGCAAATTGAGCGCTTTGATGGGTATATCGGTCCTCAAGCTACCATCCTTCCACTTGTGTCCGAAAGAGTAAGGCGCTAGGGTACCATTGGGCTTCTTGGTCATCAGAACCACCGGATTCAGGATGCCAGGCACTGCAGCTGAAGCCAACACTGCGCTCCAAATGACGCAATCGGGGGCAGTCAGATAGTTTGCGAGTATGGTAGGCGAATGAGGGTCTGAGGGTACACAAGAGACATTCAAGATACGGCCAGTGCGTTCATACGCCTCCCTGAAAGTCATAGATCCTCGGCAAAACCAGGAACACTGTCGAGCCCAATCGATCGTATCGAATCGAGCACCCGTCTTCCACCATCGACTACTCCACTGGAAAAACCCTTCGTGGCATGCCCGAATTCGGTGTGCTAGAGCCGGCACTAGTAGCTGCTTCAGCTCTTCATCGGTTCGGGTCGCTACCAGACCAGCGACGAGTGCTCCGCCAGATGTTCCAGTAATGATCTCCGGCAGCACCCCATTTTCTAGCAAACTTTTTACCACTCCGAAGTGGTAGTATGCAAAGGTCGCCCCACCAGACAGACATAGCGCCGTACGTCCAAAGTTCGTATCGAGATGTTTGAAGAGGCGGTACTTGATCTCTCGGTCGATTTGCCTGTAGTCACGAACCAGTTCGATGCACGTATGTACCTCGTCGATATATTCCTGTACCAGGTCTTTCGTCCCAGAGTAGGCCTCACTGTACATCCGAGGATTCTCCACGCCGGCAAAATTGTTCTTGACACAGGCTTCCAGCAAAGCACTAAGCTCCTCGATCGCCGAAGTCTCGCCACCATTCAGTTCACGCTCGGCCTCATATCTTGCTGTCTTCAGCTGATCTACGACCTTGGTGATGGTGAGGTGATCATAGTAAGCGTACTCGTCTGTTTCCTTCCACTTGTCATTCCCCAAATAGGCGTCCAGCGCCTGAGCAGAACTCAACCAGCTCGCGTAATCTTTCTGAGCCCAGAGGCCTCGCCTGAGCCGCTGCCTTTTACCTCTCCAGGTTACACATTGCTCGTAAACGAGGATGTAAACCCGGACGAGGACATAGCCACAACTCAGCACGGCAATCCACGCGAAAACGGTGAACAAAAACGGCCACTTCAACACGGTGTATAACACTCCTTCCCTTGTTTCGTCTTTGCTTCGCTTCGGGGCCTTCCGACGGCCACGGGTTTTGCGCACGCGTTGGTTGATCGGGCGCCAGTCGTTGATAGCTACCAATGGAGACGCCTCTGGGGCATGCAATGCCTTCTCGAATGCTTTCAGCTCTTCCGGTTTAATGAATTCTCGGTCGTAGTCCGGCAGACCGACCGGGTCATATTGGTCGTGTAGCACTGCTTTCTCCGCGGTGGGCATGGTTCAACTCATTGTGTAGTAGATCGTGAGGAATGAAGGCATCTGGCCACACAGCTTTGATGAATCCGGTTGGGGCAGTAGCTTCCCAGCGACGTCAGCGTCACGTGCATCTCCACTCCACTGTGGAGGCAACCGTGGCTAGTGTGTGGCTAATGCACTTTGATTATCGGCACCCCGCGATTGTTATCTTTTGAAAAAAAAAAAAAAAGATAAGGAACAAGCAACAATCCATGGTTCGGTCTTCCACTCTACTGGAACCGGCGCAATTAGTTTGCTTTTCAGGGTGTGATCACCTCCAGACCGCTATCTGCTTCCCTCGAAATACGAAGTCAAGTACGGACCACGGTTAAGGAGTTCACAATGACTCAATGATCAAGTACAAGGTCAATTGTGTCAAGGATCATAAAATCTTTCCTTCCCACCGCGGGGCAGTGCGGCAAGGCATTCCAGGCAAAGACACAATTATCCATCCTCCCTCACCATGCTACGCAGGAAGTTGGCACTCGCATTCGCATATGTACTTGCATTTGCATTCGCAGCTTGCAATTCGCGCATGCTCGTTAGAAAGTCAATCTGGTGGCACAACATTGGTCCGAGTGTAGCTTTGAGGAATGCTCGCGAGACGGACTCCCACGAGAAAAACATCCCCTTCGTCGCCCGGGACACAATCTTCATTCCCCTCGTTAACCCTCCATCCCCCTCCAAGAAAAGTTTTCGGTGGAGAAAAGTCTATCTTGCTCACACGATGATCCAAGATATGATGGTAGTGGCTGTAGAAATCAGAAAAACAAAGGCTTCGGAGCAGCACGGCAAAGCTTCACCGCTAGATGCCATCCGGTTCCGATCTTTATGTAGATGTGTGGTAGCCGTTGTGATTGGTGGGGCTGGTAACCTTTTTTTACTCTCCTACTTTCCTTTTTCTTATTTGGGTTGGTGGTGCAATCTGTCGTGGAGGGCCAGGAAAGCACCCTATGGGCTGACGCGGGGTTCGATATCATTTTAGCCGCCCGCAACGGGATTGGCGATATCGGAGACATTGGAAGGGGATATCCATTGGAGAGAGCGGTTCGTCGGCGAAATTAGGAAAATTTAGGATACGGTGTAGGTCGTACTGGCCAGGTGACGACATGAGGTTATCCATGAGATTCAAAACCCACTCGGTTGGTGGTGGTGACGAACCTGGTGGATGGATGAGGTGGATATATATCTCGTCGGGAGATGGACATTGGAGAGTGTATCCATTTTACCGGGTCATCACCTGACTAAGATAGATACAGGACATCAACTAGTTATGTACTACAAGATTTAAATACTCGATACTTTTACATAGCAGCAAGAGGTTATAGTTCAATATATATACCCTGCACTTAATGTTCTAATAATGGCCTCCAAAGACAATCCCATCGGAAATCGGAAATAAGTAACCCCAAATGATGTGCAGATGTGCATACGTGCACCACTCCATCGGGTGGGATTGGTTGCTAATTAGCACCGAGTCTCCAGTCATATGCACCCCTTGGCGCTGATCATGCTGATCCACCCTCGTCCTGTGAAATCCTCGAATCGAGGGAAAGCAAAAAGCAAACATTACTTGCGGTGGCTTCTTCTCCAGTGGCTCGTTCAGATCTCAATCCTTGGTCATAGATTCCGAATCTTCTTGGTTAGAACGATAGATCCGACGACTTTGTCGTCGTACGCAACGGCGGAATGGAAATCAAATAGATTTTCTAATTTTCGGTTGCGCGGTAGCCGCCCGTCATTTTAGGTTACCTTTTAGACTCACTAGTATGATTTGTAAACCGGGATGGGAACAGGGGGGTGGGGAGGGGCGATTGCGATGACAGACAGTAGTAGGAGTGGGCTAGTAAGTGCGTGAATCATGGAGGGGGATAAAGTATGGAATTTAGTGTCGTGTAATAGGTTGTGAGCATCTCCTACTCGTTACTCTTTCAACCCCGAACTAACTAGACTCGAACGGTATATTCCGAACACTACTTGGCTGAATGTTCCTCCTCCGCTGGCCTCTCACAACCAAGCACCTCGGCATCCAAACGGCTCAACTCCAATGGTCGCTTCCTCATTTGGTTTGATGCAGATCGCTAAACTTCTTTTCACGGGTTAAATGCTGTGGCGCCAGGGTTGAAGTTACCCTCTTCCACCTCCACCCCGCTCACAGCGATCATTGTCTCTCCCGTAGTCAGTAGTCCCATGTTAACTACATACTATGTAGTAAACTTCGATGAATGGTCAAACTCGCGAGGCAAGAAGCAAATACATCAAGAAAAAGTAAATATGGTCAAATATGCAGACTTTCAGCGAGCCACACGAGGGGCTTGGCTGATTGCGTCTTTGGGAAATGACCATGTCGTGTCTCACCCAATAAGCAGGCCGCCCGCGATATCACCCTTTCGGATCCTCGTGCTGTATTGATCGCCCGCAGTGGGGAGGCAAAAGAGAACCGGTCAACGCCCGAGGGCATCTAATTTCTCACGTTGATCCATTGGAGTTTATTGGATGCTTACAACGTCCGCCAAACTCTTGACTCTTGGGGGGGGGGGGGGGGTTTGACTCTCCTGCTAGATCTGGTTGTTGAAGGCTGATCGTATCTAGATATCTAGATATCATGTGTTTCTACAGGGCAAGATCGCCCCCACCCCCCTTTTTGGGGTATTGATCATTCCCATGTGCGCTGAGCATTCTTTCAGCTAGATGGGGCTGGGGGAGGGGTTCCTGATTAGGGTACGGTACTCGTGGCCAAGGTCATCATCACAGTCACCAGTCACGTAACGTCGGGGGGAGCTGAAGGGAAAATGGACAGCTCCAGTATGCTCAAGTCGTAAGATTTCTGCGTCGGTGAGCCCAGCAGAGGCTCAGCAATGCAGGTAGCTGTATGCACTTCCTTTGATAGATAGAACTTCGGAGTACTTCGACCAAGTACATATGTATACTTTCTTATGTCTCGCTGCTTAGTATACATGCCAAGCCTAACTTTCAAGTATATCTTCTCCGTACCAACAGGAGTACGTACAACACGGGACCTGGGGCTCCTGCAAGGACAGACTGCATGCGAACTACTCCTGGCCACTGCATAGGGGGGAGGGTTAGCCTGCTGCGAGGTTGGGAGCAGAGGTTGGACCGAGCGTCCTTTGCGGCGCAGGTTCAGGAATGTTAGCGAGAAAAACAAGCCGACAAGCGATGATTCCCTGTTCTTAATTATGCTGATAATCTATAGTTGGACCAAGTTCATCTCGCTAATAATAATCAATCTGAGTCAAATACCGAGGAAAATGTCTAATTTCCCATACCCCGCGCTCAGCCAGGGGATCGACTCCAGGGATCAACTTTTGACAGTTTCACCTTCGGGAACAAATATCCAATGCGATCACAGGTACACATATGGAGGTTGTACACGGTCGATACTTGGATACATTGAATACTTTGACGCTCTACTTCATGTGCAATGCCGGATCCTGGACACTGAGCTGCGAATGAAATTGTGTACCAAGTTATGCCGAATCGTAAATCTTGTCCCCCTTATCCTGGAATCCCTCCTGAAACAACGACCAGCCATGGTCGGCGCACCTCAAGCCAAAGTCCAAAGTCGATCTATCACCTGTTTGCAGTAAATTGATTCGTATAGCCAGCCACCATCTTTCTTCACAAGAAGTTAACTAGATTAGTATAAAGACGTTACTGCATTATTGCGAAAATGGGATGAAAGGCTGGTGGAGGAGTACCATGGAGTTCCATGGCTCGGATTCCCGTTGTTTCGTCGCCTTCTCCCCCTCGGCCCGGGAATGTGCGGTGTGACTGATCGCGGGGGAGTGCACGCCGCGATAAGGCGTGATATCCGGGGATGAAGAAAAAAAACAAAATCATCACGAGTCGATGATGGAATGTGTCTTAGTCTAGTGATTGACCGTTCTCCATCGTTCGTCTTCATTCTCTGCCACCATTTGATGTCATTCGGACCGTGCTGATGGATGATATCCCGACCTCCACTCCAACACTGATCAATCAGGGGCCCACTGGTGGCCCCGGTGGAATGTCAGATGTCAGTGCGAGCTGACTGGGTCCCAGGGAAAATCCACGAGAAAACGCCCCATAGCCCACGGAGTCCCATTTGCTAGTCTCATATCCTTTTCCTCTTCTTTGGAGCAGACAGAGTTGATTCTCCAGTACGGTGGCGTTCCATCAGTTTGAAACCCCGACCAGAGTTTACGATAGTATCTTCATATAGAATATTTTATTTATACATTTCCGAGTCATAACGATAAATTATGTCTTAACGATCGGGAAGGATGATAGTATCTCAAGAAGAGGCTGAAATGTAAATGACCGATGACCGTACGCAGCCATTCTTTTACGTATCTAGCTGGAGAAAATGTGAATTGCCCATAGATAGCGGACTGCGTATGTTCGGCCTCATTGGCCCGTTCATAGTTTATCGACTCCATCCTTGAAAAGCCCCCAAACGGCCCGTGTTTTGTACAATCTCTTCCCTTGGCTAACATTTTCATACATTTCCGATCTTCAAAAAGAATAAACCAGAATACGATGAGATCATGTTCAAGACTCCATGAAAATTTTGGCATGGTACCATTTTCTCGGCGACCGGACTGGGTTGGAGCATCCTGCGACGCAGATATCCTCTGCATCTGCATCGCGACCGTATGATTGGCCCCGAGAAACGCAGAAGCTGTGTACACTGCAGATGACCCCAACAGTATCCGGTAAGGACCGACTCGGGAACACGGCGCTACCGACGCAACCTACAGCCTACATGACGCTACGCCGGTCTTGTAGAGAGCAAGAAAAAAAAAAGCGGGCCAAGGAGCACGGGGCAACTGCGGCATTCCCACCTGGGCTGTGCGGTTGGTGGCTGTCAGGATTTCCAAGGGCGAGCTGGCGAGCTGAGTGGGATGTATGGATTATATTTTCAATGTTTAGTCGGTCAAGAATGAGCTTGTATAGCTATACATGGAAGATACATACAAACTATAAGACTATCGACGTAGTTTCTTCCTATCCACTATGTCTTTTTTTTCTGGTCGATCGGGGAGGGGGGGAACGGGCCAGGGAAGGAAAAAAAAGAAACTAAGGAGACTAAAGAGACTAACTTAGTAGAGACCCCACTACGTAGCGTGATAGACAGACGCTTCCTTACTCGAGGGGGGAGGGGATTGCCTCAGAATGCGGCCATCCCACCAGGCCATGCAGGACGAGGATCAAGAGGATGAGGGTCAAAGAGGATCATGATCAACCCAGGGCGGGGCATTCCCAAGTTCGGCCATCCTATAATGAACCTAAGTTGTGTATCCTCTTTCCTTCTCATCCCATTCAGAAGACGGAACAGCATTTCGGTCCATCCAACCGAAGGGTCTGATAGACGCGAGTCGCCCTAATGCGACCCCTCTATAGGCTCGCCACTGACCACTCGGCGTTGGCTGCACGATAATTAGTAGCCTATTATCATGATCGAAGTAGTCACGTTAAATTCAGATTCGTTTGGGGATAAACTGTGACCAGTTACCACGGAACCATCCCGTTTCCTCGTCCGTTTCATTAGAATTCAAATAAATTAGTTTATCTGTTGGAGGGACATTGAAGAAGGGGTCATGTTTTTGGTTGACGTGAGATTTTGACAGCCCCGGAGGGGAGACGTCTCAAGCACATTTAGGAAATGAGTAGATGCGATCAGACCACAGCCAGAAAGGTCAAGAGAGGAAAAGCAGAAGCAATCTTAATATCGACTCGAGAAGATCTCTTAGTGGTACAAATCCGTATCTCTCCTTAAAATAATCCCGAAATAAATCCACCCCCTAAACCCGAATGAAACTTTAGTCGCCCGTGTAAATAATAATAATATCGTAATTTCTGGCGTAAATATCGTACCTATCGTAAATACCATTCCCTCCCCCCCCAATCGATCATCAGACATCGTATGTATTTAGCGGTTACCCCGTGCCACCAATTTCTCTCTCTTCCCTCTCCCCCCTTCAGCCTTCACCTACTTCATCCCACCCCCCCCCTTGACCCTTTTTCGAGATCTTTGATTTAGATCTCTTGGGGTTCCCTCTCTACGTCGACTCGCCGCGCTCCTTTTTACGAGGTACTTACGTCCTGCTTTCTTTTCCTTATCACGGCGACTCCGGCGATCAACAAGAGAACAACAACCCCCCGAACCAAAAAAAAAAAAGAACCAAATCACGCTAACTCCTCATACTCGCCTAGGCGACATCGACAACACGTTCCTTTTCAATCGCATCTGGTCGCACCAGCAAAATGTCGACTCTCTCTGATACCCTCTATTGAGCCATCCATCTTCAGAGTTCTCCGGGCTCCTCTCCTGCCTCGCGATCCCGTATCCGCCATGGAGAAGCTAAACACTGAAGATGGACAACTCTTCATTAAGGTGTGTCCTGTCTCTACAGTTGCGATGAAAATTCCGAATGATTCCCTCGGGCCTCCTTGTGGACGTGTCTTGCTAAAACCCATCTTCCTCAGAACCTTGCCAACTTCGTCCGCACCCACGAAAAGGCGCTTGCAAACGCTTTGCAGCTCCGCCGCGAATCCAAGAATGTCGTAACCCCACAATCGCCGACCAGCTCCTCGAGCGCCGGCACCTCCTTTTCCTCCACCTCCCTGACCCTGGCGGCGGCGTTCTCCTTTGGCGCATTGAAATTCACATCGCAGAACATCAAGCCCGCCAAACTCACCCTGACCCCTCACCACCTCTTCTACCTCCTGTCGCGCTTCGAGGATCTGTCTATTGCGGTTGGCCCCATGAATGTCCGCCTCGAGAATATTCACACCGAAGTCTCCGGGTCGTATGTCTCCTTCTTGAACAAACCCCAGCGGTCCAAGGGCGATGGAGCGTCGATCCACTCCGTTTCTAGCGTTCGTAGCGTCATGTCCGGTATGAGTGGCCTCTGGTCCTCCTGGGGCCTCGGATCCAAGGACTCGATTTCCAAGTCTGACAAGGCCAAGGTTGCCCTGGAAGCGGACCTCAAGTACCTGTACTCGGCCTTCACCAAGATTCCTTGTTTGCGATTGGCCCCGGACCATCGCGCACGCCTGATTCGCGGTTATGAAGAGTTTCCATTCGACACGGCTGTGCCGCTCCATTCCTTCAAAAATCTGAGTGCTTTAGAAATCATTGACATAGATTACCGCTCCTTCTATGGTTGGGACCGTCTGTCCGAGCAGCTGCGCACCTTGACCGTCAAGCGGGCTCATCTGGATGACCCGGCTGATCTGTTGACGAGGATCGTGCTGGATGACATTGACAAGCGCCGTCGTCGCTCGGCCAAGTCTCAACAGTCGCCGCCGCTTGGTTGGACCAGCAGCACGGGCACCCAGCCAGTTCATACCCCCGACCATGGCTCCATATCGGCACCTGGCTCTCCCATTGCTGATACTGCACTCGCAAGCAGCACTAGTCCCAAGTCCGTCCCCATGATGCGAGCCGGCTCCGAGGGGACGAAGATTCGCACACGAGCTGAGAGCATCTCGCCTACTCGGCCGTCTACCAAGCACAGTCACCGTCACAGTCGGGGCCAATCTGCGCGGATTCGTCGTACGGGCTCGGGCAGCTCAAACTCAAGCGATACATCCGGTGGCTATCGGACTGGCAGCTCGGCGACTCTTCTTCCTGGCGTTCTCCCTCCTTCGAAGTGGCGGTTCTTGCGACACCTGGGGCTTCCGGAGAACTCGTTGACCTCCATCTCGGCCGCCAGCCTCGCTCCCGTGGCCAACACACTCAACTCACTCGACCTGTCGTCAAACCTCTTGACTGAGATTCCCGACAGCTTGGCATCGCTCATGTCTCTTCGTGCGCTCAACTTGTCCCACTGCATGATTGAATCGTTGCACTCTCTCACTCGCAACCCGCTCCCCGCCATCACAGCTCTGAACCTTCGTGGCAACCGACTTCGCTCACTGGCTGGTATTGAACGCCTCCTTTCCCTGGAGCGCCTGGACCTCCGCGACAACAACCTCATGGACCCGACGGAAATGGCACGACTCACCAGTCTCCCTGAGATACGGGAGATTTGGGTGTCCGGAAACCCGTTCGTAAAGACTCACTCCGGCTACCGTGTCATCATCATGAACCTCTTCCGTCGGACTCCTGGCTACGCCGAGGACATCATTATTGATGGTCGTGGACCCGGTTACACCGAGCGTAAGCAGCTGGTGGACCGCGTTGCGGAGCCCGAGGCTGCTCCAGTGGTTCGCTCGAGTGCAGCAGACCAGTCTGTCGTAGTGCACAAGCCTACCAGTGCCGTCCTAGCCCAAGAACCTCCCCCACCTGTGCCACCAAAGGATGATATGGATTCTCATCCCAAGGATGCACAGCAACAGGAGAACGAAGGCGGGACGCACCGTCGTAAGAAGATCCAGCGGCGACGCATTGTCGACCTTTCTACCGACAATCCGTTCACCTCAGATGGCCTAGGAGCTCCTGGTCCCACCATGCCAGCAGTTCTCCCGATCCAGCAGTTGCACAGCCCGACCGGCACATCTATCGTGCTCCCGTATGAACATCAATTACGGCTCGACAGCGGCACTCCATCTGGGTCTTCCAGTATCCAGAGCCCGGTCAAGCACATCAACTCTCCTAGTCCCCAGGCTCCGGTGGTACAACCAACCCCGCACAAAGACTGGGCCTTGGATGAGGAGCTGTGCCGGCAACAGTTGGAGGCCTTGCGACAGGAAGTCGGACATAGTTGGATCAGCGTCCTGGGAGACCATCCCTGGGACAATGCACAGAAAGGCTTTGCTGCGCATCACCTGGCAGGGGCTGGGCTGGACCATGCAGCCCTTCCGACAGCACCTCTTGTCCGTGCAAATAGCCATGCTATCCTGAGTGGAGGTCACGCATTGGGTGGTTGAACATTACCTCTTCCCTCCTCCAACCCTCTTGCACATTGCATACATTATCATTATCCCTCCTGGCCTCCTTACCCCCTTCCTCTCGGCCATGTCATTTTTTTTCTCCCTCTGCTTCTGCCTCTTCACTGGCAAAGCAGTCATCATAACCCTCTCCCCTTTTCAGACTAATCGGTCCTTCTGAGTAAGCCTTGTGCTGCTCTTCATTTGCATTTTTATCGGCGTTGGATGACTCACGAGATACGGCGGGTTGGATGTATGAACAATTTACGGCCTTGCGTTTGTTTTTGTCTTGCTTTTTTGGGGGGCTTTTCTCTCCTTATCCTTGTCTTCATTTTGGTCCTCAACTTTCGTGCTTTTCGACTCGGCTTTTCCAGCCCTTTGTGCTGCCTTCATTGCACACATCAAAACGCATCTGCGGCTTCTTCCTGCTTGTCATCTTCTGGACGGCACCGTGAAAGACGACTCGATTTCTAGAGCGCATTGACTGTACCTGTTGTTGATTTCTTGCGTTGTTTTTGTTTGGGTATTTCTGGCGTTGGCGGCATGATTCCTTATTCCCCTCTTGTCTTCGTTTTCTCCTTTTTTTCGCCGTGCGTGTCTCTATTTCGGCGGGTGTTTTCTGTCACTTTTCAAACTCTGCAAAGAGCAATGGCTATCTTGAATGATACGCCAGTTCGGAAATAATATTTGTCTCGATTCATATTCTCCTCTTCACCACGTAGCCAACATGGGTTCGCTCCGCTTGTTAAGCCTCTGGATTGTTAGCCAGTCAGTTAGCCAATGAAGCAGTATTGAGCCTGCAGGCCCTGGACCCCGAGCAAATGCAACTAGTCCCCACTATCAAGCCATTTACGCCCGCCAGTAGCTCCAGGTTTAACAATCCAGGCGTTGGGTATCCAATGGAAGGGCCGGGTTTTGGGTCGGCCGCGTGGTAAAGCTGGCCGGGATCATGCTTCCTAGACTGTACAACGACCTTCACCATGGTCTAATAAGTTAGAAAGTATCATGGAGTATACTTCAACACGGATCCCAGCGGGGTTTTATGCTGGCTGGTGCTAGGACCTCTGAGACTACCTGGTGAGGAGGGTCTCGACCGACAACGACTGCAGGAAGCCCCTCCACGGTGACGCCGACACTGTGGTAAATGGGGGTGGTCAAAAGAGGAGAAGGGAAGGGGAAGAGAAGGAGATTTATGAATTCACAAAGTCTGTTCTTATTATCTGACTTTTTCTCAATTTTAAGAGAAAAAATCCCGCCTAAACATTTCAGGTGAAGAAGGGTTCATAGGTCGAAGTATACCGCGCGGTAAGCCAAACATCCCAAACACAAACCCGAACTTCCCATTCCCGCTTCCTCTTCCTCTCCCTGCAAGATTCTCCCTCTTCATCCCCGTCGAGGCTCTCACCACACCCCCCATCAACCCGCCTTCTTGTTATTCTGGATCTTCTCTGTGCTACTGTGACCGTAGAGAATTTTCTTCTCCTTTGATTGTCATCCTCTAACCCCCTTTCGCACTTGGCTGCTACCCGCCCAGAAAACTTCGATCGCTCTCAGACAAACCCCCCTCCCTTCATCCCGCTCGAATCAACCACCCGACTCGCGATCGGAATCAACTTGCGCCCTTGATCTTTTCGAGGCGCTTAAGGAGCCTGCTCACCTCTCAGGCTACCTCTTCTTTGCAGTTTGCTATTTTTCAAGAAGCTCTGCTCTGCACACCCCCCGTCTGGCATCCCTGCCAGAGCCTTTCCCCCAACAACACGTCGCGGCCGTAAGGCCTCATCATAGACTCTTTGGTCTCACTGAATCTCATTTCGGTATGTCTTCGCCTGTCTCGTCACACTCTTTCTACACATCTTTTCCAAGGGGGAGCCACCCGCCCTAGGTCAGCAAAAGTCTGGACCCGTCCCGGTCAAGGCAGAAAAAAAATTCCGTCGGAGACGACGCGCCTGGACACCCCCTTTGATACCGATTTCACAATTTGAGAATCAGACTGGCATCTTCCGTCCACAGTAAACGCATCGCTAACCAACTGTGATTCCTTGGGGTCGTTGCAGAAACATAGCCGCCGCGTCATCAATTCTTCACCCGCCTCGGAAGTCATCTCTTCCCCTCGCGCGTGCTTTTTTTCGTTTCCCTTTTCTTTTTTTTCCCTCGTTTCTTTTCCCCGTCTTTCGTTAGAAACCGCCCGTCATGGCCGACCAGGAAGTGGATTTGGATTCTATCATCGATCGCCTTTTGGAGGTGAGGGGCAGCCGTCCCGGCAAACAGGTGCAGCTCCTGGAGTCTGAGATCCGTTACCTGTGCACCAAGGCCCGTGAGATCTTTATTTCTCAGCCCATTCTTCTGGAGCTCGAGGCCCCTATCAAGGTGCGTATTTTGTGTTTAGGTCTTCATCCGATGACGAGATTTTCCACCTCTTCTTTGTCTTATTTTGACAACTCGCGTGTCTAACGTGTCTTTTGTTTTGATAACAGATCTGCGGTGATATTCACGGTCAATACTACGATCTCCTCCGTCTGTTTGAATATGGCGGTTTCCCTCCAGAGGCCAACTACCTTTTCCTCGGTGACTACGTCGACCGTGGTAAGCAGTCGCTCGAGACCATCTGCCTGCTCCTCGCGTACAAGATCAAGTACCCTGAGAACTTCTTCATTCTGCGTGGCAACCACGAGTGCGCCTCCATCAACCGTATTTACGGTTTCTATGATGAGTGCAAGCGACGATACAACATCAAGCTGTGGAAGACTTTCACCGATTGCTTCAACTGCCTGCCTATTGCTGCTATCATTGACGAGAAGATTTTCACCATGCACGGTGGTTTGAGCCCGGATCTCAACTCGATGGAGCAGATCCGCCGCGTTATGCGTCCTACTGATGTAAGTCTTTCCCCGACTGATTTTGACTCCCCCTTTGGATCCGGATCCCCCGGCAGGTGTTTTGGTTTTTCCACGCACGGACTTGAGACATGCGTGGACTCGAGAGTTGCCGGGCACTTTTTACTGTGGAGTCTCTCGCGGCTTCAAGGCCAAGTTCACTGACACTTAATGCAATAGATCCCCGACTGTGGCCTTCTTTGCGATCTTTTGTGGTCCGACCCCGACAAGGATATCACTGGCTGGAGCGAAAACGACCGTGGTGTCTCATTCACATTCGGCCCCGACGTGGTGTCACGCTTCCTCCAGAAACACGATATGGACTTGATATGCCGTGCGCATCAGGTTGTGGAGGACGGATACGAGTTCTTCTCGAAGCGGCAGCTGGTCACGCTATTCAGCGCGCCCAACTACTGTGGTGAATTCGACAATGCGGGTGCAATGATGAGCGTTGACGAGTCTCTGCTCTGCTCCTTCCAGGTGAGTGGATCTCGTATCCTATTTATTTCCCCTCCACTTTCGCCACTTTTTGAGATATCCGGTCTAACATCTCTTTTTTTCATCTGCAGATCCTAAAACCAGCCGAAAAGAAACAAAAGTACGTCTACGGTGGCATGAGCTCCGGCGCGCCCAATACTCCTCCGCGCAAGCAAAAGAAGAAGTAAAACCAAAAAAGAAGAATCAATACGAGCTTTCCCATGTGCAGCAGGTTCGGGCGGAGATAAGCCATTTTTGCAACACACCTTGTTCAACAATTGCCTATCGACAAATACAACCCATCACAATAACCACCCGCCAAATCCACTGTCCATGTCCAAGCCATGTCCCTACGCCTATTCCTCCAACCTCCGCCGCGATTTCCATCCCCCCGCTCACAATAAACCCCCCACGAAGCGATGAACGACCGAGGATCTTTATTTACGCCCGGGTCCAGCCCAACGCCCACAACATCCCCCGTTCTCACCCCCTCCGCAATCGCCGCCATTACAGCAATCCGATAATCCACCTTCCTCCTTCCTCCTCTCTTCCGATCCACGTTCAGGGCTGACCCGGCGCGCCATTTGACCATTTCTCGTCTGTCTTTCCCCCCTTCCCATTTCTTCTGGCCGGTTCCGGATCACGCGACCAACATACATGTACACCCCTCTTGGGACGGACGATGATTTCGCTTTTCCCCCCGTTTCTCTCAATTCCACCTTTTTTTCCTTTGATTATTTCTCGTACCTTTTTTTTCCTTTTTGCCTTTTCCTTAGTCCTTCTCATCTACTTTTATTGCCGTTTCTTCACCTTATCATCTGGACGGAATGATTACTCTCGGCATCCTGGAAGGGCGGGGAAACCTGGTTTATCTTATCCTCTTTTTTTCTTATCTTCCTGATTCGTTCTGTCTTATTGGTCGAGTTGTTTTGAGTTTCAATGGAACGCATCTGTTTGCCTTATTCTCTATAGGCTTGCGTGTATGGTCTGCTCGTAGCTTAAAAGTACTATCCTGCAATTCTTGGTAGATACTGCGAAATTTCTTCGGAGTAAGCTGTAACCTCTCCCTTGTCTGCTTCCCTATACCTATGCAGATGGTAAATCTCAGGTGCAATTTGGAATGGTAGTCTCCAGATCCTATCGACCTACGAATCCCATCTCCAGATACGCCAGTTGGACAAGATCTCGCTCGACTCTATAATTATCCGCTCCGCCCCTCGAAGTATAATCTATCTCCACCACGAGATATACCAGCCTTCCTTCGCCTGGAAAGTCTACACTTTACTCATGCGGTCATATAGTATAAACCATTGTATTCAGCAAACCCCAGAAAAAAAAGAATCTTCACCGGCTAATTGGCTGTAGTGTGTAGACAAAAGGCGCAAAGCAAAGCATAGGCAGAGCAAAATAAAGACATGCATTCGGGGGGTGGGGAGGGTTACAGAGCGAGAGCGAGGTTAGCTCCTAGAGTCTTAGCCTGGCTGGTGGGCCGGACTTGATTCTAGGTATTCGAAGGGCTATGTCCGTCACAATATAGGTATTTGCGTGTTGATGGTGTGGGACATGGAGGGGGGAGCTGGGGGTCTCCCCTATGCCAGTGTTGGCGTTGGGGATTTATGGATGAGATTAGAGGGGAGGGTCGGTGGGTGGCTGGGATGAGGGGGTTCAGGTTAAATATCGTAGGGGTTGACGATGTTTAGACGTATTGAGACAGCCAGCGGATACCCTCGCCGTATCCTGGATTTGAATGTTAGTAAACAGGTCTTCCCTCGATACTCCTGATTGTAAGGTAGAGTACTCACCTTGACGCATGACAACACTGCACATGAACAGCTCAATGGGCCGGATACCCTCGAGAGGGACCTTGCCCTTACCGGTAGTCTGGTACAGACCGAGCTGGTGACGCAGCTCATCCTCAGAGACGGCATCGGGGTGATCGATCTTGTTACCGAGCACCAGGAAGGGGACCTTGGCGAGATCCTCCATGGCGAGCAGGGCGTCCAGCTCGGCCTTGGACTCGGGGAAACGCTCGATGTCCTTGGCATCAACCAGGAAGACGATGCCGCTGACCTCGGGGAAGTAGTCCTTCCACAGACGGCGGGCTAAACGGGGAGGAAGATACTTGGTTAGCTGCGTTGTTTTTCTTTCCGTCTCATCTCGGTCAATCGTTTGCGGGGAACTCACCCTGCTGGTGACCACCCAGATCGAAGGTCGTGAAGCGGTTGTTACCGATGGCCAGCTCCTCCGAGGTTGGGTGAGCGGTGGGCGACAGAACGGCGACACGGTCGTTCTAGATAGTGCGATGACCCCGTTAGCTCATGCATCCATGAAACAATCAATACACCCAATAATCCATCCCTCCCCGCAGAACCCGCGCAAGTATATCATCCCGTTCAGCGCACATATCCCGCAGCCATGTACCGAGACCGCATAGTCTCGGCACTCAACCTCGGCCCTGTCTCGTATCCCGCCATCCGCGCAACCATCCGCTTTCACACCAAACTCACCTTCAACATGTGCAGCAGGGTCGTCTTGCCCGCATTGTCGAGACCGAGGAACAAAAGCTTAGCGTGCTTGTTCAGGAGGCCCAGCGAGGCCAGAATATCGTAGACTGCAGCGGGAAAAAGACATTCATCAGTAAACGCAGTTTTGCAAGAAGGTCCAAGGCCCGGAAATCACAAGCGCAGCAGCCGCGGCATTTTCATAAAAACTGCGGACTCGGTCCTATTCACCGCTGATATCCTCCAGATACCCAGAGAAAATCATCTAGCAGGAATGAAGAACCGAGTCCCCCTTTCTGGTTGTGTCGCGCGGGATGGTGGACTTGGGTCAGGCCATGGGGTTTCGGGAGGGTGACTTACACCAGTTGACGATCCACATGGCGAAGACGAGAACACAAAATGTGACTGTGGAGGTATCGAACAAGGGTAACCGGGTACGATGGGATCGCAGACGAGAGGGAGGCGTCGAAGTGGATGGAGAGGGGGAGAGAGGCAAGAACGTCAGGACAGGTTGATGTTGTTTTCGGGATCGGCCAGTGGCTTGGGTGCCTGAGGCAGCAAGGGATCAACGGTGGTGGCGGACTTGACGAAATTGAGAGTCATGAGCCTACCAAAGAGTGACTCTAGTAGTATTCTATCTTACTGATTTGGAATATAATATTCATGAGATTTCAAGTTTATTCGTAGTCGCTAGCACTTAAGTCTGACATAACTAGCGACGCAATTCATCCTCCCTCCATCCATAATGCAAATTCAGCGAAGGGGTATACGCACCGCAGCCATGCAAGATAAAAAAAAAGAAAGTGGCCTCCACAGATAAAACGCTGGCAAGACAAGGAAAAATATGTACTAGGAAAAGGAAGAATCTTGGAATGCAAGGACAATTTGTTCCCCCCGGAAGGATTAGAAGAGGGTATCGTAAGTAGGTAGATAGTAGGTAAGGTGATCAGATCACAGATGAAAAAAAAAGGAAAACCAGTCAAGTGGATGACATGAAGTTGGTTAAGTATGTATCAGCGAAAGGCACCCAGATCGCTAACTGGGCGTGGAAAATAGTATGTGAAAGGGAAAGAGGTAAAAAAGGGTAATGTATGTACAGAAATGAAGTAGGTGTAAAATGGGGTATTGGGGGAAAATAGGGGGGAAAGACAAACGAAAGACATGCGCAAATGTGCAGTCCAGTCCAGTCCTTGGGGGAGCCTAAACGGATAGGACGAGCTGGGTGTCTTGAGCAACACCATAAGCCCTGCACCTCTCAGCAACTTCGAGGCCAAGCTCCTTCATCCGTTCGGCTCCCTTGCCGGGAATCGGCCGCCGAACCATCTGCTCTTTGGCAGCTTTACGGCAATGTTGACGCCAGAACTTTTCTTTGCGCTTCTGGCGCTTCTTTTCAAGACCCTCGACAATGTCAATGGGTCCACGGGTGTGCATTTCGCGTGTGCGAGAGTGCTCCCGCTCGGGCGACTCGGTCAAAGGTGGGATTCCATGCCACCGGTGTGACTTGTCCAAGCTTGTGAAGAAAGGGTTGGGTGTGCGCGGCAGCGACTTGGTGCGTACCAAATGTGGGCGCTGGACCAAGTGGCTGATGTTCAGACCCTGTGGTGAAGAAGACTCGATAGCGGGCAGATCCTCCGGGAAGACAGGTCGCTTAGAAGGCGATGGCGACTTGGCTCGGCAGGCCCGGGATCGAGGAGGAGGGGACTTCAGACGCTTGGGAGAAATTCGACCAGCCCGGCGAGGTGGGGGAGACACCATACGCTTGGGGGAGTGACGAGGCGAGGGCTTGCGAGTGGGATCCTCCGTGCGGCCGCGGGACGGCTCGAAAATGAATTCGTCGAAATCACCGTGCGAGATATCCTCCAGATCCTCGTCGTCGTCCTCTGGGTCGCTGGTCGGGAAGCTAGGGTCGATGTCTTGCGGGATGAGAATGTGCTTCGACATGCGCCGTTGCTCCATGCAGGACTTGTAAGCAGCCTCCATAGGACGATCTTCATCGAGTGTGCCACAGACAAAATCAGTGCTATCCGGAAGGTTGGGGGTGCCAGGGCGCATAATCTTAGACCCCTTGGAAGGGCGACGGCCTGCAAGCTTTCGAACGGGAGCTGGCAACCATTTCGGGTGGTGGTGGTCATCGGTCATAGAGTCGAATGAAGTGTTTGAAGCACGACGCTCCATGGATGCAGCGAAGGCGTCGGAAGGCTGATTGCTGGAATCAGGTACAACTGCCGAAGGGGCCCAGAATTCGTAGTCGGAGCCATCATCATCGCTCTCGTCAGAGTCAGCAAAGCCAGCCTCATTGTCGGACTCGTTTCCATCGTCGTCGGAGAAGTGAACAGTGGAGTCATCATCGGCGAGATCCTCGACGTCGTCATCTTCGTCATCTTCGTCTTCTTCATCCTGAGCTTCCTCCTCGGCCTCTTCACCCAGTCGTCGAATGGCAATCTCTTTCTTCATGCAATCGTTGAGAGTGATCTTTTGGGCGTAATCGGTCGACTTAGTCACCCACTCGTCATCCTCATCCATGGAGCTGGCAAACTCGTGGAACCGAGTAGCCTCGGATTCCTCAAACTTGCCGAGCCCGCTGGTCGGAATACCTTGAGGGACACTCTTTGCCGGCACCTTCTCATTCAGAGCACCGTCCACACGGTCCTGGGAGGGCTTGCGGGCAACGGGTGCTGGAGAGCCGCGACAACGGCTTCGGAAGGCGCTCTTACGACCTGGCGAGCGTTCACGTGCGATGGCGGAAAGACGTCCGGGGCAGGCAAATGTGAGAGCAGTTTTGCGCTTGGGAGGTTCAAGTGTAGCTTGGGTTGGTGCGGGTTGAGGGTTTTGTGGCGTGGAAGGTTTTTGAGTAGTAGTGGGCTCGGTCTGGCGACCGCAGGCAAAGCTGATGCACCGCTTACGGCCCAGGTTGGCCTCGACGGTGGTCTCATTGGCAACGGCGATTTTGACCTTGGGAGTGCTGTCTCTCCTGCCGTTCATCGGAGCAGCCTTGCCCATCATCTGTGGTGGCAACGGTGGACTCGGGGTGTTGGAAAGAGACGGGCTGGTCAAGCCGCCATCACTGGTCAGCTCTGCGGTAGAGATGCCACTAATGTTGCTGTGAGGGTAGGAGCGGTACGAGTATGTAGAGTCGTGGAGGGCGGAGTGTGGTTCGGTGGGGGACATCTCCGGGCTGCTCTTGAGGGCGCGGGTGAGCAGGGATTCCTTTTGGTGGGAGATAGCAGGGCGGGCGAAGACGGTCTCATCGTGGTGGTGTAATGAAGTCGCATGGATAATATGATGTTGATCAGGGGGTTCGTCCAAGTCCTCAGCCATGTCGGCCTCGTCGTGGGAGGGCCTCGTGGAGGCGTTGGGGGCGATGAGCATCTTGAGGAGGTTGTGAAATGAGAATGGTCGTTCTCCACGGGGTTGTGCCATTTTTTTATTCGAGCAGAAAGCAAGTCTTCAATGAGAGAAGCCTCGAAGAAGAATCAAAACGTAGTTGCGAGTGTTGACGAGATTATCCAAGTAAGGTCGGGTCGTGACTCGCGCGGCGATGCTCTCTCGATTATCGATTAGAAATCGCAATCGATCAACCCAGTGGGCAGAGCAAAGAGTCCCGTGAAGGACAGCGGTCATGATATGTAACGCATGTCTGGGAGAGAGAGTCCAAGAAGCAAAATCAAGAGGTGACGATGAGAGGGTCGCCAAGGATGATTTATTGTTCGCTCAAGAATGGCCACTCAATAGAGCGCCGGGGCACGAATACCTCTAGTCTTAGCGCCAAGCCTTTGTGCAGGAAAGGGCGTCCAGATCAAAAAAAGGAAGAATGCTGGAAAAGGTTTTTCAAAATGGAGGGGAGAAATAGAGGAGAGAGGAGAGTGGAGTGATAAAAAGGAAGGAAAAGAGGATATAGAAGTTCAGTTGGGGAAGTAAGTCTGTCGTAGTTCAGGGTAAGGTCAAGTAGTAGTAGAGGGGGGGGGAAGGCTTTGGTGGGAGAGAGCGACGTCGGTACCGTCCTGACAGAACGATTGTGACAATACGCACCGGTCCTCAGTGTGCCGGTACTTCCTCTAATTAGTAGCCACCCGCAATCAAAACAAGTTCCCCCTTCATCATGACCACTACATCCTGACCATACGGTGACCATACACGGCACGACGGCATGGTCGTCTTGGGCTTAGCGTACAAAAAAAAATCAGTTCTTTCTTTTTTGCTGATTTTCTTTTTTTCCCCTCGCCACAACTTTCAAGTCCTTCCACGCTGTTTCCAGGGCCCCACTTGTCAACTGGCTGCATCTTACACAGTACATCATGGTTCCTGCGCCTTTATTCTGCCCCCAAAGGATGATGATGATTATTATTATTAATTTCTATTTTAATAACTATACTCCGTTGTAACTTGTAACGGCTTTGTCTGTTGTATTGTCATTGATCTAATTTTTTGTATTCTCCCGAATTCAACTTCCTTGATCATCAGTGCCAGGGTTTCATTCGTTGCTCTCCATGAAACCGGGTGGAGTGTGTGATGACTACTCCCGTATTGTGTGGTGAGTCGTTGGCTGGTGGTTGCCGCTGGACTTGTATGAGGCATTTTGTCGCCGGCTAATCCTCTTCAGGTCATCCCACACTAGGAGATCCGACCTCCAGTCGATAGTAAATACAATGTAGTAATATCATTACCACTCTGCTAGTCCGCTAACAACGACTCCATATTATGTATTTGGTTTTCTATATGCGCAATCTCGATATTGCATTCAATCTCTAGTTCTACGTCAACAAAATATAGTTGGAATTTCCAGATCATCTTCATCTCCACCATTCCAACTGGAAACACGTTGCTCGACGCAGTTTTTGCCCTGCATCAGGAATGTTACTCTCGCCAGAAAAGCAAAGGGAGCAAGGAGAATTTACTGAATTCAGCGGGGCCACGAGGGACGGCCGTACCCGTACCGTCATCCGACGTCATGGCAGCCTCCTTTGGCGCTGATCTACGGTATCGTCACGTAACCAAACCACTTGGCTTCGTAATTTACCTCCAAAAGCGGCGTTGTGCCTGTGCCTGAACCCTCTCGTCAAGACTTCGGCTCCAGTAAAAATGACCAAAAACCCTAGCCCTCAACTTAGTGTATGTATATCCCTAGTCCACCCGATGGTGAACCTAGGAATAAAACCTACGGGTTATCTCCCCTCTCAAACTATAAACGCGCTCTGCGCGCTTCATGCTACAGTTTCGGTCTGACTGGTCTCGCAGTCTTGGCGGGGTTTACCTGACTCTTCTAGGGAACTTGAAATGCAAGAATCATACACAATTTCATTTGGCTCTTGCTCCTCGATGCGGACACCTCTGACGTAACATACGTATAACTAGACCTGACTCCCGTAAGGTGAACTGTATTATCGATGGGAGCGAGTTCGGACCTCTTCCGACATGAATTAGCCGGAGAAAGCACCTACATAGTAATAGTACTAGTACCTGCATTATTTGGTTCAGCATTATATTAGTACTCCGCAGACATTAATGATCAGCCCGTATAATTATGAAACAAGACTATACCATGGAACAAAGATGGTTCACATATAAAGGCATCAAAGGCTACTCGAAGGAATACATAGTACTCAGTACTCCGTAAATACTCTGTCAATCAAAAAAAAAAAAAAAAGGGTCTCCACTGTATACACATCGGAAACCCTCCCCCAGGACACACTGTCTTGGCCCTGCTCCGTGCCGGGCGATCGGGCTTGGTATACATACGTCCCAGCGTCAGCCATCAAAAACCCCCACCGTCATGATCCTCCGTGCATGTCATTCCAAAGCACGCCAAGTCCAAAGGTAGCGTCGCTATGGCGCCAAGAGCTGTCCTGCCTGCGCCTGTCCAGCTAGCCAAAATAGTTGACTAGTACCGTACTACTAGGCTGTTTCTTTACTTAGTACACCTCCAGTATCTCTACTAAATCTGATCCCCGGAGGATCTTCAGGATTGTCGTCATCCAAAGAGGCGATGCTTTAGGCAAACCTCATATCGTGCAGATATCCTCCGCTCCATATGGACAGTTTCAAGATTGATTGAACCGCTCGGTCGCGTCGCATGGACGATGATCGGTCTTCCACGTACTGCCGGTCTCCGATCTGCAGTGAAACGACCAGTAGTATACAGCCCTGTACTCTTTGGGTACCTAGTATATCTAGGGATCGAAGCAACTAGTGAGTTGCATGGTGTCCTCGGCCCACTCAACCGACTCGACGGGAAATCTGTCATCGTTTACAGAAACCAAATCTGAATATCGACATCATTGGCGCTTCTCGAAGAATAAATGACCTCAATGGGCACCAATCGCCAGGCAGAGCGACGGGCTGACGAGGGCAGCCCGCTTGCGAGCTCCGAGCAGGAAGAGCGGTCAGCCGCAATCACGATCAGCCCCGGCGGCGTTCCACAATGGAGAATTAACAAACTTGTCGCATAGTCATCTTCAGTCAGCTACTCCATAGGTACCTAAAGACAAGTACCCAAAGACAGTAGGCATCTCACTTAGGTAGCGACATGATTTTACTCGTAAAAGTACACCGTTCGGTACTTCGGCAAGGGTCCTGCTCCCTGAAGCATCATAGATGCGTACAAGATTCTCATCTCACGCTTTGATGCGTCCTTCCTGTCATGTACGTGCATGGAACACGACTAGTCAGTCGAAGTCGACAAGTTAAATGTAATCCCCAGATGAAACTGGCTTTCAGATCTTGACAAGCTTCGCGAATCCGAGGAGATCACCCCACATTGCACCTCTCCGAGCAGGCATGGCCCCTGTCGTTCTCGCGAGTCCTTAGTGGTCAGCGCATATTTCGCCCACGAACCGGTCAGTAGTCAGCGCGAGGCCATGGTTGTGTTTGTAATACCGGCGAAGCTTGTTGTCATCGGAACGGCGGTGCAGGGAAGGGGATCGGCTGGGTGGGTAATGTATGTAGTGGTGGTGGGTACAGGACTGTAAGTATGTACATCGGTGAAGTTTGCGAGGTAGCAAATCTCAACTGGTTGAAGGGGAGATTTTCTCCGATCGGCGAGAAAATTTTGGCGAGGGAGGGTGGAAAGATGTTGATGGGACGCTGCTGGGGCTCGTTACTGGCCGGCAGGAGAGAGTGCTTTTTTGGGGCACGAGATCGTTTTGATCGGCCCTGCTGTCCGTTCTTTACTGTTTCGTATTATGATTTGAGAAGCATGCACCTCTCTTCTCTTTGGCTGGTTACCCATTATTCAATTCGCAAGCCAATTCTTGTCGGCACGTACTAGAAAATAGAAAGAAAGTGGCAATGTATACATTGCAAGTCGGGTATATTCCGTACTTAGTCTCTCTGTACTTTGGACTGCCAGCCACAGAGGACTATTCTCCGCTATACGCGATGACTTTTGTAAAAACAACAATTCAATCCTGCGCCCCCACTCAAGACGAGTACAGCAAGGTCCTAGTCCAATAATCATTCGAGGCAATCGACGCCCATATGATAGAACAGGGGGCCAAGAAGATCCCTCCAAATTATCCGTAACCGCCCCCTCTCCTCTCCATAATACACAAGTACTAATTACAAAACACATTGAGATTCACGATCCAACTCACCAATCCAAAAGGAGACCTTGTTCAAACCCGCCAGGAGGGGCCAAGAGAATTATCCCGCGCACAGCGGGACAGCGTTGCGCTCGTGGCACCAGACGGGACGGGAGTTGAGTTGGGGCCCGTGGAGAAAACAAAACCGGGCATTGAAGACTCAATATCGGGACATTCAAATCCCAAGATCTGATTTGACCCGAGTCTCCTCATGCTACCCAAAACTATGGATTAAACTATCTTCCTGCCAGCCGATCTCTAGTCTCATGTCAGAAGATTCTCCGTCGGGTATTGAATGTTGATTCACGTTCTGTGCCGCTACGTATACTCAGGACAATAAGGTGTGAACTGTGCAGGTGGAGTCCGAACTAGGACCAAAAGCTGGCACGAGCGTGGACGATAATAGCACACAAGCACCCGACCGAGCAAAAAAGAACTAAACCCTTCGGGTCCTAGGCGATGGAGCCGGGTGAAGGATGTGTTGTACAATTGTACATACATTGGATGCGAGGCACTCGTTGACCGGAGCGCAATCGGGGGAAGTGGAGACCTCGTAGGAAATCGAATTGGAGGCTGGCAGTCCTCGCCGGGGTGAACCAGAAAGAAGCGGGCGTGAAACGGGGTCAGAAAGCAAAAAGCAATTACGAACCAGAGCAAGAGGTCGCTGTGCTTGACGAGGCTAACCAGTTAACACACTTGAAGGCAGCGAGTGCAGATGTTGGAAGTGCAGGTTTAGCTAGTTTTCATGATGTTGAATTGTAGTTAGCTAACCACGATGACCAAACCAGTGTTCCGAGGAACCTCTTACAGTGGTGCGCAGGAGAATGGCTTACTAGTCAACTTAGTATGGCGTTGTATGAGGCATTTTGGTTCGCTTTCCACCACGAATCTGCGACGTCCACCAGAAACAGTTAAGCCACGACGCCTCAAAATGAGGGGAAGAGGGTTTTGACAGCGGCTGTCCCGCTTGGCTTGACTTGGAGGATTTGGTGGTTCATAGAACCCCTCTTTTTGATGTTTCTTTTGCAGGGCTGTCTTTGTTTTTTTCCCCCCTTCTTTCGAGAAATGTTTGTTTGCTACGCGGGGTTGCCAACATGTCAATTGATCATACTAACGACGAAACTTATTCCCCGAGTGGTCAATTCCTGCCCAGCAGATACATCGTGTTGCCTTTTTTTTCGATGATGATAGTGCAAGTGCCGGGGGCAGGCACCCTGGCTGAACCTGCCATTTTGGTATCGGCCATAAGTACCACGAGTATACTCAGGTCGGGCGTAGATGCCCCCTGCTATCCCTACTGCATCTGTTCGGATATCTCGGTCATGATGACTACCAACCTGAAAACCCTCCTAGCGGGAACCCCGAAGCATAGATTGCTTCTTCTGCGACAGATGGGACATGATGACATCCCTCGCAGGCGCATCATATAGACATATTGGACCATCAATGGCCCCGGAACTCCTTCTCGATGCCCGAATCACCCTGGACATTGATTCACATTAACTTACCCTTATCTTGCTTAGGAAATGCCATCATTCTCGCGCATCTGAATGGCTATCCTGACAGAGCTTATGCTCAATATCCTTCTTCATGCATGACTGTGCGGACTACAGCGTATGTGCTGTACAGTCAAATACAGTCATGCCACCCTCCTGTCGCTTAGAGCCAGGAACGTGCCTGAGACAAGACTGCATTAATGAGGTCAGTTGACGGTACATGGACTATCGAACTCAAAACACACTTGACTTCCACAGCATCGCCAAGATTGTCTGGTCATCACTTCATCCATGCAGAAATCAATCTTCAAGGCCAGCAAAGCATCACTACCCGACAGAGTGAAATCTTCGGTCTTTCAGTCACTGCGGCCATCGGCTTGTACGCATTCCACGGCAATGCTTGGCGACAACGACTGATATTCCAGCCTGCCAAGCCCTGGGCATGGCCCTCGCGCACCTTCAGAATGCGACCGGTGTTACGCGGACTCCGAAGTGGCCGGGCTATTGAGACCAGCAGGGTGACGGTTGATTCACGACCTGGAGACACTGGCAATCAAAGTCAAGGAGTGGAAGCTAATCTCCCCTGAAGAAGCAATAACAATGCCCCCACAGATCTAAATCTGGGGGCAGTGGAGTGAACTGACACGAACGAGCGGGCTCGAAGCCCCTTTCTTGACTTTGGAGGCCTAGATCTTGGCAGAGTTCCTGCACAAGAAGGTTCAGGAGAGAGAAGATCTTCCTTCCGCCCGTCCCCTATTAACGATAGACTTCGTATGGTTTCATCGCAGGGGAACGCTATCCCGCTGGACGCCAAGCCATACACTGCCACTGCCTCTGGTCTCAAAAAAGAAGCAGCAACTCGGCCGCCTGGAGCCCGACGGTTCCATTGACAATGGCCTGCGCCAAGGGCGATCACGGCGATCCTGCTACCCATGAAGCGTACATGAAAGGGAGGGCTTGGCACTTTCTCCGAGCATCGAGGGGGTGACAAGGTTTTGCTTTTTCCAAACGCCAAGCCGTCGCACGGCGTGACGAGGTCTGCTGGTTCGGTTTGTTACAGTGGCAGTGTCGAAAATCATGCTCTCTTCCGCCCGAGACGAATACCCGAGATCGACCGGCTACAGGGCTTGGCCATGCACAATGAACATTCGGTCGGACCGATCGGGGTTGATTCGTCACTCGGTGAATCGGCAGCAACTGGGCTGAGTACATACAAGACGAGTACGTTACAGATGGTTCTTTTCAGCCGCCTTGGATAGTCCTTTCGGAGAGAAGAAAGTGTACGACGAATCCTTCTGCAAGGATACTACTGTTGACGTATTGTAGACTTCTCCGTAGGCTGAATACGAAGTGTTGTTGCGCCCAGTTGAGCCCCCAAGTAAGCTGTTAGGGGCCGAATGGGGCGGCACAAAAGGAGCTATTTCTGGCGGCCAGCTAACCCTCACAGCGTACGGAGTAACTATACGGAGTATCGTGAGAAGAAGGTACAGGGAGGCCACAATCGATCGCATTCGACAGTCGTTTTGAGCCTTGCAAATGGTGAATGGTGAGTTGCTTGATATCCAACTTCACAAGGTAACTACACTGTAGATATCTATGCTGGGCAGTTAGTGAGTGTCATGCTACATACCATGCTTCTATCCTATATGGATTTCTTTTCTCAGCCGCTGCTACCTTTACGAGGAGACTCAGAGGCTCTATGAGTACATTCTAGAATATGCTTTAATTCACTTAGTTCTTGGGGCTCAATCAATCCCGTCTGATGCTATGTTATTTTATCTTTGAACCATCTATAAAGATGATAGAATGGAGCCCATCTCTTGGAATCACAGAAGTTGGCAAAATATAGCAATGACTAGAAAACTGACCACGAAATAATGACTTTGATACTACCCATTTTGTAATCGGCCCTGAAGCAAAAGCCACGCCAGGTAGTTCCCGCTTTGCCTAAGAGTCATAAGCCTTCCAAGCTCAAGATTCTCTTCTCCTAAAGTTCCTTTCACTACACTTCCATATCTACGAGCCAGCCTCGCGAGTTAAAGATTGCAAAGCCTTCTAGTTCCAGAACGCGAAGAATATGGTCTATATCAGTTATGATTTCCTTTCCACTAACTGTGACTCGAGAGAGCAGTCTTGGTCTTCCTTAGACGCAGTTTCATAGGCTGCCAACTCGCTGTTTTGACTTTCATGCTTGTTTTATAGAATAAACTCGGCCATCATGGATTTTTTTCAGGGCTTGGCGATGCAACTCGATTTAGCATGATTTGGCATACTTCTCTTTGATGTGTCTGACCTCGGATATTTCGAGGCTTTATCAGGGCATAGTATATTCCAGACTCCTCGCCCCAGAGTGATAAATCATTGTCATATGTATGCACTTGTTACTGCAAAAGCTAAGCTGCATCAGACTCTTTCTATTGCTATATGGCCTATGCTAACGCAAACAGGTAGAGACAACGGGGAGGTTGGATCTGGCTTTCTTTACACATAGATGATGCTATTGAGGGATTCTCTATATCACTTGTGTAAGAGCGGATACAGAAGAAAAATGCTGTACATAACCATCCTGAACGAGTGCCCGTCAAGGCCGAAATCTGGGAGGTTTCTGCCTGGGAGATATCGTGTCAAACAAAGAACGTGCCGCCAATGCAGCCCACAAGATCAAACAGAACAAGCACAAGAGACCAACGAGGCTCCAGCAGTCGTTCCAACATATGCAGACGATAAACCCTGGCCGTTGAAAAAACTTTGGAAGCCAAAGTAAAATACCCCTGCTTCTTGTCCCTTGAAGGTTCTCTGATTGAACTCATGACTTATCACGCCGTCTTTGCCCTTTTCTATGGTTGACATTCCCGTATCACCGAAATCTTGCGTCACTCGGTGGAATGTCGGACCCTCGCCTCGGTGAAGAACTATACGCAGTGCACTTTGATGGCGGCCGTGATCATGTCGAGTCCTATGAAGCAATCAGCAAGAGCTGGGTACAATCAGCCTGCAATGTTGCTTCACAGAGCATGCTAACTGAAGCAGGCTCATACAGCGGGAGCTTCGAATTATTTGCCTCGATGATGAAATACATACATGCATTGCATTCTGAGGAGCACCACGACCCAATTCAATCATAGTAAGAAGTCGGCCGTAAGGGAGCAGGCTCCGATAACGTGAATTGCAGAATACATCACTGCCTCCTTCGCTGATAATTTTAATGCAATATACTCCGAGGAACATAGTGGCTCTGTTCCATCTCAGAAAGATGCCAGTCAAGGCTGAGCATCATCCAATGGTGTCTTCTTCATTGCCCATGGGCTCAGATTATATCAACGGAATTACTTGCTTCCATGATGATCTGCGTACTATATACGCTGAGGGAGCATCACGACCCTGTTCGGGTTCAGAAAGAAAACAGGTAAGGCACATTATGCCCTCACTTGTCACACTGACATAGATCTCTAATCGAAGCAATCCAAATGCTTGCTATTTGCTGAGAATGTTCTGGCAAAGGGGCAGAGAATCGAGCATCAGACGGTTAATTCAATCTGAATATTACTATTTGCTATTTCTAGTCCTTTAGTAGGCAGTTCAGTCCTATCCAATAGTTGGTTTGAAAAAGCTGAACACCAAATTTAGCTGTATACGATCCAGGGCAAATGCCACGACGCTAAATTTACCCCTCCAACATGCCGCGAATACGAGCTCGCTTGTGACAACCTGAGGGGTAAATCAATCTCCCTCAAGCGCCTTCTTGAGTAAATTAAGAGGCAATATCTCTCATCTCAGGATTTATCACTCACAATAAATCTTGACTGCTATCAGCGACAGTATAATGGATCCCCTCTCCATCTCCGCCTCGGTGGCCGGCCTTATCACAATATCGACTCAAATCCTAAGCCTCGTCGGTGCGATCAAGTCCAAAAACAACAAGGGTTTGGAATCCCTCGCGCGTGAAGTTGTGGCTGTTCGTGGAATCCTCTGTCAGATTCAACAGATTATCCAGTTTCAATCCACCAAGCCGACCAAAAGCGCAGAATGGCTGGAGGCGCTCAACAACACTTTAGACAATTGTGGAGCCACATATCTCACGCTTCAGAAAGAGTTGCAGGGGCTACAATCGAACTCAAAGCTTGATTCTTTGAAGATGAAAGTGAAGTGGACACTGAAGGAGAGTGATATCCAGGACAGAATGAGAAGTCTGGAAAGCTACAAACTTTCCCTGGATCTGTTGCTTTCTGTCCAGACTAGGTATGTTTTAGTGCGAAGTAAAGATGGCGCATGCTTACCATTTAACAGTACTACTACAACAAATATCGAGGAAATCCTTATTCAGGTTCAGAAGAAACTGACACTAAAACCCGAGGAATCTGCTGTTGTGAAAACACCTCTCTCATGGCGACAGAAGCTAGCAGGTCTTGATCCAGGACAGGCTGACAGGCCGAAAAAGGAGGATACGGGGGCAATCTCTCCTGCACTTGGAAGTAGTGCCAGCTCGGCGACTCTGGATTCTGATATGTCCCATGTGATCACCGGTCCCAAGACGACTGGCTGGGATGAACCAGGATTCTACGGTCTCAGTCAAGATGAGGGTCAACAAGCCCCTGATCTCAACAGCTCTGATCTGACTTTGGTGTGTGAATTGTAAGTGCAAATAATCTGATTCCCAATACATATTGTACACTGACATTTTCACGCAGCAAAATTGGAAAGCAGAAAATCAGTCTGGTCTGCAACTGGGATGACCCATCACCGGCAAACGAATCAGTGAAGCCCATACAATTACATATCTTATTTAAGGGACCGTCAGCGGGGGATTTGCACTTTATGCAGATAAAGGACTGTAAGTGATTAAATATTTTTGAAGACCCAAGGCTAATATTCTTCAGCTTTATCGATGATAACACTACATCGCTTTTTTTTGCTCCGACTGGAAAGTCCAGTCTCATAATTGCACGATGTGATGTGAAGGGCCTCGCCTGCTCACTTGATGATATCTCGGGACAGGAGTCCCCAGAGGATTATCATCTTGCACTAGGAGGTTACGCTCTTAAATCAAGTACCAAGATCGAACAAATATTGGTGAATTTTGAAACCACTCGCGGTATGTCTATTGGTATAGCTCCCGGAATTGTAAAATACTTACAACAATAGATCGCGAGGACTTCCTGGGGCACATGTATGCCGCTCAATACTTTCAGCGTATGGAGACTGCTTTTGGGATGCCTAACAAGCTTTACCATGATTCGAATGTCGGAAAAAGGTAATCACCTGTGAAAATTTTCGGTTTAAGCGAAACTTGAAAAGGAAACTGACAGCTTGGAACAGAATTCAGCATGTTCAGGTAGGATATGCAGATGGTACGGAGAAATCCTACATTTATCCGTATCTCTCAGTAGAATACAGCCTGGAAGATCAAGCTCCGCGACTCACATGCACAACAAAGCCGATGGATCACGTCGGAGTCTTTCATGAAGAGTGTGAGTGCAGCTGTCCTGTACTTGGTCTGAATTCTACTCGATATCTAACGCAGTCCAGTGTCGACCCTTGATATGCAGATAGTAGGGGATGAGACTATCGTCTGCACCACTGCAGATGGGAATAAAATCCGCACAATCTCGATCACCTTTGGATATTTGGGTGGTAAGAAATCTATGTCAATACACTCCACGGCACTGCTAATTCCGCCACAGAGGCTATACATATGTACAACCGCTTGCAAGATGTTGTACGTGGGTGGACCGCGATGAGTACGAAAAATATTACTGAATATGAGATCAAGAAGGAATGGTAAGAGCTGCTTTCGGTCTCCTTGAACTCTGTGAACCCCCTCTCTGAGAACCATTCCAATGTAGGAAACCCCGAAAACTGGAGTTCTGGGAGGGATCTAAAGCTCCAGGAGAACCATTCCATAGCGTCATTGTGGTTGCCAAAACAGACCGTTCCCTCAAGAGACTGATGATGGATGTTTACGATATGACTCGGACCGAGAAGTTGGCTACTTTCTATGGTAAGTAGTTGCCCTAGCTGATCTTATCTTTGAATTACTACCGGAATTTTACTTACGGTTCCTAGTGATGACATATTCTGTACTCTTCCACAAGCGCCACATGCGAGCATCCTCGCCTGATTTCTTTACCGCGCCCGTTATGCAGACCGGCTTCTGGGATCTCAGAAACGGCGGTGATACATCGGAAGAAAACTTCCGGGCAGGCCAGGTGCGAATGTACGGGCCAAATGAAAAGCAGCTATGCGAGCAGCTGGAGGATTTTGTAGAGGCCATGATGAAGGATAGTCAGGATGCCCTGAAAAAGGTCATGATTGAGATTAATCGGGATTGAGCAAAACTGGAAAGCTCACTCAGTTTGTGGTCCCGATGTGTATACTTCCCACCTATTCCAGCTTCTCAAGTGGAGTCTGTCGATGATTAGAGTGTAACCTCCTCCTTACTTGTTTCGGAATATATCACTTGTCAGACAATAATATGCCAGATTTTCGATCCTAGATCCTGCAGTCGATTCTCTAAAAATTCAGGTTTTTACCCCAGTGTGGCTCGCACCCTGATTATCTGATGCCTGAATTCCAAGGCCGCAATGCCCAATTTTGGGGAGAGGCAAAGCACGTGCCGTCTTATCACGAGAATGATCAACGAGGCCCCCAACTAACGAGTTCCTCAATATGCGGCCAACTTGGACTTTGGCACAATTCAAATGCCTTCATAATGGGAGGAGCTCCCTGGAGATCAGACAGTTGTAATACTTGCAGAAGGCGAAAAGTAAAGGTAAGTCGAGAAATCCAACAAGGCAAACAAAATAGGAGATTCATTAATTCGCGCAGTGCGATCTACAGCGGCCCCATTGTGCAAGATGCCTGCGCGGGGGCCACGGCTGCGAGGGTTATGAACGAGCTTCAAAGTTCATCGTACACACTTTTGCCGACCAAGTCAAAAAGGGCAAGGAACCGAATTACAAGCCCATGCAATTTCAATCCAAGCAGGCCCCCAAACAGGCTCCTCGAACAACAAAGGAGACGAGTATTACCATCATCAACGTGAATGCCCAGATCCGCTCTCAGCTTTTCTCAATATTCATTGACTCTTACAATCCGTCTGCACCAACGGGTCCAGTCTCCTTCCGATTCAAGAATGCCTCGAATCTATTGGAAGCCTTCCCGTCTATGCTGGACGGCAAGAACAGCCAATTACTGGACCGGGCCACATCGGCACTTGCGTCTGTGTTTGTCGGCAAGAAGTTTAAGAATGAACAAATGATTCATCATGGTGTCGCACTGTACAACCAGGCAATACATTCGTTTTCCCGTCTAATATCGCGTCAGGGACTGCCTGTTCGAGAGGTTCTTTGTGCCAATCTTGTGTTCCAGTTTTACGAGGTTGGTTTAAATCTACTACTTGAAGTCTCGCCTAATTTCTTCTCTAACATTCACAGATGATAAACTCCACGGCGGGCTTCTCGGGATGGATGGCACATATGCAAGGAGCCAATGCTGTGGTCTCTCAGCATGAGAAGTCATTAGAAAGGGATCGGGTATCCATTATGCTCTTCCGTCAACTCAAACTATCAAATGTGGGCAATCCCATATAGCTCGGCATACTCAGGCAATATTTGCTAATCCAATTTCTAGATCTTCCATGCGATTGGGAAATCCAGATCTGCCCTCTACTTCTGCCCAATGTGGCAATCCTTAACATCGGGCACCGACGGCAATGAATGGGCCAATCCAGTTGACGAAATCATCGATATCCTCATGAGGTGCACTCTTTTTGTCGAATACATCGACAATATATACTCTGGCCATGATACAATACAGTTGATGAAACTTTGCAAAACCTTGAAACGCCAGGCCGAATTGTGGTACGCGAGGCTAAATTCCACATCGCCAAGTCCATTATACACGGTCATCCCTAATAAAGCCGACATTTCCCGGTCTCACATCACCAAACCACTCTTTCCGGAAACATACCATTTCGTTTCTATCGAAATAGCAGAGGCACATATGCTATATTGGACAGCCTCACTTATCATCTACACCCTCTTCCAAGAGATTGAACGTCGAGAGGAATCTTCACATACCATCTTGCTTGATGCTCAAAGCTCAAACCTTATTCATGACACCAAAGAGGGCGAGCCGAGTTCATTCATGAAAAATGCCGAATTATATACTGACCAAATCTGCCGTGCGGTGGGATACTTTATTCAACCACACATGCATATCCTGGGTGGCCATAATTTACTCTTCCCCGTGTCGATGGCGGCTCAATTCTTCTATCGCAATGAAATTGACGATCGCTATCTATGGTGTCAAGAAGTCTTTTCTTTCCTCGAGTCGCTCGGGCTCGGCCTGGCGCATATCTTACGAGGGACACCTTGGTCAAGATACAAATCAGGCAGCGGTTTGCAATCATGATGACCTCGATAGAGTTATAATTCAAACTTCATTATGATGTATAGACTCCCGTTGAAAGTTACATTGATGGAATGATACTTATTGTAAAACTAATTTTCTTACGAATAAATTGATAATTGAGAAAGGAAATTATCCATTGATTGCGAGGGGACCAGGAGAAACCATAGAGTCTGGTCCTCTCTGGTGAGACACCAGAATCTTTCAAGCATTCTCGCTTGCAGTCTTCCTTAGTCTCGCGTGCCGCCCTTTCTCGGACCACGGGAAATGGACAACAGGAACAACGAAGAAGCTGTTGCTATCATCGGCAATGCCAGCAAAGGCATTATACCAAGCCAGGAAAGCCCCCAGGAAAGCCAGAAGTCCGCCTGCCTTCATGAGACCTTCATTTGGTAATTCCTGTGCATTCGGGAAAAAGTAGGACAGAGCGATGAGAAGGATGGCAATATCGACCACGAAGAAGAGGGAGAAGAATGCCACGGTGGATTTGACGGTGCACAGCATTATCATGAAGGTGAAGATGAACCATGCCTAGACTTATTAGCTCGGGTTTCTCTAATACAATAGACGAGTGAATCCATACCATGAGATAAAGGCCGAAAGAATTGTAAAACATAATCGGCGAGCCCTTGTCAGCTTCTTCAAGGGCACCTATGATGCCGAAACCGCCAGGAATGAAGGTGATCGCAATCGATATCCAGAACCCGCCGTAGGAGGAGAGAACGGTAGCACCGAAAGTATTTCCAGCCGCCATTTCCCTATCAGACATTGTTAGTTTTCGTATTACTAGTTATACGATCTCCCTTTATCACATACCACATCCCAGACAGTAACTGGACCAATCCACCATAAGCCAAAGCAGGTCCAACAATAAAATTCGGCTGGGTAATACCCCTGACATTCATCTGAATGCATCCGAGCATGAAGGTTGTCAACGCGAAACCACACAACCCAAGGGGTGCTGGGTTGGCAATAGTGCGGTTCTTGGGCGATCGGTAAAGACCTGGTTGGAATTCACCTCCGAAAGCAGGAAGTCGACTTTCAGCAGTGTTGATATGGGCTAAGGGGCCATAGCGGCCGGCTTCAATGTCATCGGTATTAGAATCCGAAGAAGACATGTTATTGCGAGCCTTGGCGTTGGGATTGTTGTCGTAAGTCATGATCGGATATGGGCTATCTGGTGCAATTTGGGAGAAGATTAAATGAAGTATAGGAGCTTCGGGAAGGAGGCTAGCTCTTGGAGTAATGCGTGAGGAAGTAATTAATCCAGAGAAGCTGCTGTGCAATGGATTCGACTTCATGATCTCCTTATATATGCAGCCACTCGGGGTACAAGCTGTGCGATCTATGACGACTCAATGCCAAGCGGCAGTTCTCGTCGGGAACCTCCACGAGAATAGAACTAACCAATGAATACCCAGCATTTCGTCAATAGAACGAGATAGACCCCGATAATTGGAAATCAGAGTTTCCAGTGTGAAACAAAAGCTCCATCGGTCCGTCGGTCCGTACAAAAATTCCTTGATATTCCCCCCGCCCGAGAAAATTCCGAGCGAAGACAGTAAGATCTGCGGCTTGTAGATCTCCTTTCAAGCTTTGAGATGATGCGGGGAAACCCCGGATTGGGCGACTCACCTTGGGGTACGCATAAAATAAAGTTATCTTGTGGAGATCGGAGCACAGTTCGGCACCTCATCTCGCAGGGTCCCATATTTAAGCCTATTTGATCCGACTTTCGGAAACTCTGTGGATGCCGAAACTGGAGCCGACTCCTTGATTGACTTTCTGGGGACGCTAGTTAAGTGGATGGTCCACGTTTGGAGGTGATGATACTACGTATTCGCCAACTTAATTGTTGTGGAACCATTTGAGCGGTCTTTCAAGGGGCGATGGAAATAGCGGTATGAAATTCCGCTATTACGATCGAATTAATTGGTTGACACAATTTCCCTTTTGGGATATACTACCACTATGGAACGAAGAACGAAGATGCATCTGGAAAGGCAAGGAGAATCAACTCTCCATGTATTAGCGGAAATTACTTTCCATAGATGGCTCGGCGTACCGGATTGACAAAGATTCCGCAACCGGTGTGATGGATCGATCTGGCGTATCAGTCGTCTTTCGCTTGCTTCTAGTATATTCCGTATCTGTTAAGATAGTATATCCGAATCAGGAACAGAAAATCATTGCATTATGAGCAACATGCTAAGAAACGCCGCCTTCTATGCTATTCCAAAAAAAATCCCCCACCCGCTGATCAAACGATTATGCGTAAATTTATCTCCATCAAATGACAAGCCAGTTTTCTGTGACATCCTTAGCGGTAAGGGCATCCCCACCAAATACATGGAGACATTGCAAAGCAAATGCAGCCTCGCGCGAGAAATCCTCGACAAACTTTGGACCCGAAATCACGGCAACATCGTTAGCGCCGTCCATATTCACATCATCGCCATCCGTTGAGCCGGCGGACTGTTTCATGGCCTGCTGCTGGATCTCCTTGCCAATTTGAAGCACTCGCTCATACCCTTCAACAGCCAAGTGGGACAGATTGAGACCGTGATAGACACGGGCGAAATTGAACTCCACTTCTTGACGTTCTTGCAGTGTAGCCCCACGCTTCTCGCGAACACGACGGTACTCGTGCATGAATGATAGGCCCTGCATGATGAGATAATGACGATTATCACACTGCCGCTTATGCGAGTGATGAATGTAGCAGAGTGCAATAGAGAGAAGAACGACTGGGTTTTGGTCGTCGATAGCATAGGCACGGAAGAAGTAGTTCAGAGCTGGGTAGAAGCTGTTTCCCGAGTAAAGAATGTGGCCGTAAAGCACAAGCAGAGCGATATCCAGCTCATACGCCGGTATGTCTTTTCCATTCTCGTCTTTGGTTGAGAGAGCAGCACGTTCTCTCCAAACGGATTGTCGCGTCGGCTTTGGCTTATCTTCTGTGTCCGGCAGGGTGAAATCCATAGCCTTGATCTGGCGGAGCATAAATTTCATGCTAGGAGACGAGTTGAAGAGAGACTTTTTAGGATTCCCAGCGAGATGGCTCAGCATCGAGAAGAGGCGGTACGTGTCTGTGACAAATTGATACTCCTTCACGAACCAACGAGCCTCACTAGTGAGGGCATCCTCGTCCTGGGCTCGAAGTGCGCATGCTGTAGGAGTATTAGCTCTGAAGTCATCAAATGGCACACGTGATGAAAGACTCACTAAACCAACAGACATGAATCATGCGGGACTTTCGCTTATCGTGAAACCAAACGCTAGCGGTCGCAGCAGCTTCGAGGGCTTCGTAAGCCTCGATTGGCTCACCCTGGTCGGTGACGGTGAGGGAATATTGAAGGAATATGTCCAGCCACGTATCAAATGAAATGCCATGGTATTCAGTTGGAACTACACCTTGTAGTGGTTCCTCTTGGTCCTCGTCACCTGCATCTTGCCGTTAGTCTAATTCCAGTACTTTAGTATTCGGTGAAGGCTTACCTCTCGACTTCTGCAAGCGGCCCGCTATTTCTTCCATCTCGTTCAAAAATGCACTGTTCTTAGATGCGTTGGCCCTCCGTTGTGCTTGGGTGGAATAACCCTGGAATTCGGTCGTGCGTGCCATGGGGTAGAATATCCGATTTGATCGGAATTCGCGCAGCAAGGCATCGGCAATGTCGAGCCAGTCCTCGGTGGCTTCAACGTTGCCATCCTTGACTTTGGGCCCCAGTTGCTGCATCATTGCATAAAGGAACTTGATATCTTCTCCGCGGGCAGCTTCACCCCGCTTCACAGGCTCCGTTTCGACAGGAGTAGCCCCGGTCCACACATCAACTGGAACGGGTTTAGGCGCAAGAGGCCTAAGAGCTACAGGTTCAATCCTCCTGAACTCGGCAGCAAGCTGTTCCAGTCGAGCATCTTTTCTTCTCCGACGGGTCCTGGTTTCCTGTCGGCTAAGCAGAACAGCCTCATTAACATACTTGTATGCCTGGTCAGGCATTCCGAGGCTGTCGTAGAGCTTTGCTAGCTGTGCGCGAGACTCTATGTTACTCGGGTCGTGGTCGGCAACTGTGAGATAACAGCTTTCAGCATCCTCTACCTTGCCTAGTTGCATACAGCACTCGGCCATTGCCAGGAAAAACCCGACGTCGGCATAGTCCGAGGTCTGTTGAATTGGCTCGTAGAAACGAAGAGCTTCTTCAAGCAACCCAACTTCTTTCAAAGCATCTGCAACTTCTCGGAAAAGATCCCCATAGTCAAAGATCCGAGCACCGTCAGAGGTATCGTCGGGATTCAGATATTCCAAATGATGCTAGATAGATCCGGTAGTTAGATTAGCAGGTCTCCAATATCACCATGAGTACGCTTCTTTGGACTCACCATGGCCTCTGCATGATGCTTGTCACCCATCTTCAGTCGGAACATCCCCATTTTGACCCTAAGCTCGAGAGGCAGCCCAAGTCCGTAGCTGTCTCGCGGCCAGTGACCGGGAATGTATCCGTCGGTTTTGATTCGGCGGGGTGAATCCTGGGAGTCCCATTCTCGATCATCGTCCTCAAAATCTGCCCACATAATGTCATCCTTACGACCCAGGATCCATCTAGAGAGCGATTTGAGATAATAAAGCCCCTCCCTGGGCCGGCTCACGTATCCAAAGAGCTCCGCATAAATGTTGATATCGGACCAGGAGAAATCTCGGACTCGATCTGGGTCAAGCGACAGGAAGTGGTTGACGCTTTTTGACCAATGAGTGATTGCTCGTTCAACGTCGTTGAGATCAATGAAGATCTCTGCTATGTGTCGAAGAGCCCGTGTGCTGTATGGTTTATCATGCAGAATGCGTTCATATTCACTCGCAGCCTTGCCGTTATGTCCAAGCTCTCGATAGAGTGCTGCTCTCTGGAATCGAACGTTGTAGTTCCCAGGCTGAATATCAACAATACGGCTGTAACAATAGATAACGTCATTCAGCGCACTCGCGCGGCTTTCACCGGCGCGTTCCAGAAGAAGGCGCGCAACCTTCATCCAGACGGTAGGGTCCTTGGGTCGAGTGTGAGCACCGTTCCATAGCGCTTGTAAGGCTCGAACGTTATCTCCTTTTGCCAGCCAAATTTCCGACAACAGCGAATGGGCAGGGAACATTTCAGGGTTGATCTGGATCGCCTGGTTCACATACTCGTGGGCACGATCGTAATCACCATCAATGAAAGCCGATGTGGCTTCTGAATGAAACATCTTGAATTCCGGTCCAGGATCCAGCGGTTTTCGTGGTCCTCGTTTGATACCCTTTCCGCCACGGGCACCATAACGGCCGGAGAAGCGGCCTCCACCTCGGCGGCGGCGGCGTTCTGCGCCAGAGTCATCAGAATCACCTTCCTCGGGAGATTCCTCATCCTCTTCACTGTAATAATCTGTCAATCTGAGAACGGACGTGTAAAGAAGTCATGGAGGCATACCTGGCACTTCCCTCTTCTGAAAGCTGAAAGTCGGACTCATCGTCGTCTATGATGTCTGCATAGTCCTCCCGAGGAGATGCTAGACTACCCTCAGACACATCCCCAGCTTCATGAACACGGCCCTTGGACGCGTTCTGAGCAAAGAGATCTTGATACAAGCGCGGGTCGATCGCGAGGTCAGCAGGATTGCCCTGGGCAGCAAGAGCATCATTCTCCCGCCAAGGATACTGAACGGTCTCGTCGATATCTGGGTACATGGATGGCTCTTCTGAAGGAGAGCCATAGTCCATGGGATGATCCGGATCTACCATGGCGATAACGGTACGCGGGTCCGGTGGACCATCCAAGCAGAGATTTTGAAAGGTGACACAGAAGAAATAATTCCTCCGCAAGCTGTAGTAAGTGACAGTGACAGTCCTGATGCCCTCGTTTGGCACGTCTCCCGAAAGTGACTGATAGGCGACGTGCGTGAAGAACCAGCGCGCTGGGACCGGCCCAGACCGTATAGTCAAGGCGCGGCACCGAGTCTCTCTCTCCAGGCGTTTCAGGTGTAGCAGCGGCCCTGCTTATTCATAGTAACAGCTCCACCAGGAGCGATGCAATGGATGAATCAGAAAAGAAGGCTGCGCAGTTCTTTTGTCAAAAAGGTTATCAGAGAACGGTGATAGTCAAGGAATGTAAAGTTGACGTTTCCTCATTCCCTCATTCCCGGAGTTTGCGTTGCAGAACCCCGTGACCCTGAAACCGAAAAAGCCTCTTCGGCGGCCGCACTTCCTCCTCCGTCCTTTTTCCACCATCCCCAACTTTCATCTCTCTCTCTCCTCTTCTCCCTCCTCCTTCCTCCCTCCCCCCCCTGTTTCTTACTTTCTTTTGGGTACTAGGCCTGGCTTGCTGTGTTTGACACACTATTGCCTCCTGGTCCCTGACTTTCCTTCGTTCGAATCCCACCCCCCGCCTAATATTTCGGAGCCTTCGGTGTCTGGTTTTCCCCCCCCCCCCCAATCCACAACGTCTCCCAAAACTCCCCAAGGTGCAGCCCACTGGCCTGGTCTGTGCCCGCCCAACTGTGGTCGCCTAGACTCGAGATATAGGCTTCGCAATCCTTTTCGACATCGACTTTGAATCTTCACACCTGAATCTATCGGGTTCTTTGATTCTTATCTTGTTACGCAAACTCAGCAGGTGCTGCAGGTGTTTTGCAGTAATCTTTTCCAACCCAACCTCCACTGTATTTACTATTCGCCTTTGCAACTCCCCCCGTCGTCCCACCCTCCCGGTGAGCCATGGCCAACCATATCATCGGCAACCGCAACAGCACCCCGGAGGCCGCTCCGAATTCTACCCTGCGTCCTCCGTCATCTGCCCGCAACCTCGGATCGCACCAGCTGCGGGCATCCGCCGATATGTCTGGGTTCCCCTCGCCGTTGTCCTCCCGCAGTATGCGCCCGTCCTCCGAGGTTTTTTTCAATCAGCAATCTCAAGGTCAGAATTCAACGGAGGATGCCTTGGACCGGGCTGCTCAGCAGTGGCTGGCGGATATCGATCAGTATGAGACAACCTTGGAAGAGATGGCCGCTGCCACTCTCGACCAAGACTTCAAGGATGAGCTCAGTGCTATTGAGCAGTGGTTCCGTGTTCTGAGTGAGGCGGAGCGGACGGCAGCTCTGTATGCGTTGTTGCAACAGACTACCCAGGTGCAGATTCGATTCTTCATCCAGGTACTGCAACAAATGTCCCAAAGCCATCCTATGTCTGGGCTGCTTTCTCCAGCCAACTTTGGCGAAAAAGGTAAAACTGAACAGAATCCATCCTGTGTGATCCATTGGTCTTAAGGTACATTACTAACATCTTCTTTTCTCTGTTCAGATCCTATGTCTAGCCGCTTGAGCGATGCGATGTCAAAACTCAATATGGACACCTCCCGGAATTCCTTGGGCCGGCCCCCGCCATCCCCGGGTGCGAAGCGCAACTCGGGTCTCGACTCCTCTACTATTAATGCCATGTTCCCGGATGCCGCGGCTGCCATCGCAAAGAAGAAGGCAGAGTTCACACAGCAGACGGGCAACGCTCCCCCATCAAACCGGAACAGTGCGGTCTTTGGTGATCGTACTTCGTTCGTTGCACCCACCATCTCCGCTCCGGACAACGGCTCAGACAGCCTAGGTCAGCCTCCGGCTTCTCCATGGGGCCAGCGTGGTGGTCTCTCGGACGCCCAACCCCCAATTGCCCGGCCAAAATCTTCTTCCGGACATCAGCCCATGGGCCAATTCAGCCAGTCTGGCATGCGTTCTCCTCTGCCTCAGACTGCCACGATTCCCGCGCCCGAGATCGAGCCCCCATTGCTTTCGCCATACAACGTTGGCAACCATAGCTGGGCATCAATGACCAACACCCCAATGACCGCAACCTTTGGGCAGCAGACCAATGGGCCAAACTCCCAGGCTGACATGGTGGCAAACGCCACCGCGATGAAGCTGGCTGCTTTGTCCACCGTGAACAACCGTATTGCGCTGGACGATGCTCGCAAGTACCGCCGCGCCCGCTCCAATGATGGCCAGGGCAAGAACTCGACTGTCAACCCAACCATCTCCCAGGGCTTGCACAGCCCCGGTCTACATGGCTCGATGGCCAGCCAGCTGCTCAACGCCCAGCAATTGGCGGCGTTGCAGGCTCAGCAGCAGGCCGCTATGGCAGGACGACGATCTCGCCCAACCTCTCCCGGCATTGCCATGCAGGGCGGTGGTCTCGGTGCGATGAGCTTCACCTCGCCTCAGAACAATGGTTTCCTTGCTGCTTACGACCCGAACAACCCGCTCATGGGCAACGGACTAGGCTCGCTGGGCATTGGTCAGTTCGGCCTCGGTGGTGAGGGCTACCTGTCCGACCACTCAGAGGTCACCCGTGGACGGTCGCCGCGTGGTCGTCGTGGCAGCTCGAAGCCGCCAGAGGACCCCACGGACCCTGCTCTTCTGAAGGACATCCCCAGCTGGCTGCGATCCCTTCGGCTGCACAAGTATACCGATAACCTGAAGGATCTCAAGTGGACGGAGTTGGTCGAGCTCGACGACAAGGCTCTGGAGGACCGTGGTGTCAACGCACTGGGTGCGAGGAACAAGATGCTCAAGGTGAGTAATTTTGTGCTTTGGCTCTGTCAGAGGTCACAGGCAACTAATTCATCTCTACTCTTAGGTTTTCGACCAGGTCCGAGAGGCTCGTGCAGACGGCAAGCTCGACAATATGTCGTGAATGTGATTCTGATTTTGATTCGGAGTATGGCATGGAGCTTGGCTTAGGTATTTCCTTTTGTCTGGCTCCGATCTCTTTGCCCAGCGATATCATATGATTGGCATTCGCGTTCCCATCATGTGTGGATGTTTTTTTTTCCTTTCTGGTTTATTGTCCCCTGATTTTCTTCTCTTCTCTCTTCCTCTTTTTTTGCTTCATTCGTTCTGTGATCTTTTGTTCACCTTAATACGATGGATGTGGGATTCGGCATGTATCAAACGCAGTGATGTCTTCAAGTAACGGCTTCATGATGAGAGGACACTTCGGGCTACTGAACATTGAAAATGGCTGGGCTAATCGTAGATATGAACATGATTTTTATTTCTGTGCTTCTTTTCCAGGCATTACAATGGCTGTGTATATGTGTTTTGTCTTTCAGTGATTATAACTTAGAATAGGAGTGATGTTAGTCCTTCGTATAGTCAGTTACTCCACGAGTCCACTTGGCCCGTGCGCTTCTGGAAACCCGCGCCTTAAACCTCCGAACCTCCGCTCAACCTCACCTCACCTCCCCCGCTGGCGAATCTCATTCATTGTGACTCGTGGCCGGTTACGGGACCCTACAATACTTGAATCCCAATCGCTAGTTATCCTTCGCGTTGGTTGCAAATCGTCTCGGAATTCGCAACCCCCTAAAGCGAGTCGTGCAAGCTCGTCTGCTACTTCATCCCGCCAGCAACAAGTACGAACGTGGCTTGCCACGAATCTACTATCCACCAGACTCGAGCTCAGTCATAAACAACCAGCCAATATGGCCCCAACAAAGCAGGAGCTCTCCCTGCTCATCAATCCCCTCGTTCCCGAGGCCGTCCAGCATAACAACCGGGTACGTCTTCCAACATCATCCAATTACCACCCCCTCTCTCCTTATTAACCTACTACCACCTATTCCTCCTCCTCCCCATATCCCCCCAATTTCAACCATCCAACCCACTCAATTAACTAACAATCGAAATCCAGGTCCTATCCTCCCTCCACTCCCTAACAGCCTTCCTCCTCGGCCTATCCGCCGGCATCCTGGCCCTCCAATCAACCGCCGGCTTCGCCTTCTACTTCACCGGCACAGTCCTCGTCTCCGCCCTCTTCCACGTCGTCATCCTAAAACGCTCCTCCGGCGCCGGTGCCGGCGCTTTCTTCCCCGGTAGCAGCGGCGGTGAGATCGAGGGCCGCATTAGCATGGACGGCGGCGTGGTGCGCATGGAGAAGGATGGGAAGCGTGGTGGGTTTGTGTTGCGCCGGGGTGGGTGGAGGGATGTTTGGTTTGGTGGCGGTGTTGTGAGTGAAGCTTTGAGTGGATTTGTGCTGGGTTGGGCTGGTGTTGGTGGTGTCTTGAGGTAGTGGCTATGGTTATTTTGTGCCTTTAACTTGGAGGTGATGAAGGTTTAAATAAGGGGGGTTGGCCGAATTGTGGTGGTTAACTTTTAGCCTGATATTGCTTGCGTTTTGGAGTGATTCGGCAAATATTTCATGTTAATGGGCCTTTTTGTTGAGGTCTAGTATAGATTCGTTGGCCTGTAAAATGACGAATTGAGCAAAATGAATGTACCCTGTTGGATTAGGGAGCAAGTATAGATCGTAGTAGATGTTGACTATGATCACGTCAGGCGATTGGAACGGAAACCGGATGAAGAACGGTAGAAGTACCGTATTGAACTCCGAGGATGAGAATCCCATTAAGGCTAAGCTGCAACAATTTCTCACAGTCTAGAGTTAACTTATCATCTCGAAGTACACTTTGAAAATCCATCAAGCCAATATAGAGCCCAACCAAGTCTTCCACCCATGTATATCATATTCTTGGGCTTATGCGAGGGTTTTTAAGCCGTGATTACTCGGTATGCCACGACATTCCTGTGCATAAGAAGCAATATCCGATCCCCTGGGTTGCTCTCTTCAAGGGATTCGCGCTACATAGACAAGCTTCACAGCTTCTTTGCAATTCTCTGATCCCTCGGCCGTAGCCACAGGTGTCAATATCGATCCATATTGTATACCAATTGTGGTCATGTGTGCTTTCAATTCCTTCAGTTTAGAGAGATCTTATATCGATTTGTAAGCATATTTCCTCTTGGATGGTTCAGTTGTCAGTGATGGACGTAGGTACAAAGAGACAAAGCCAACGCAGCAGCATTCAATGAAGCAATGAGGCATCAGGGTTTACAAAGGAAAGAAGGGAAGGAGTGATAGCACGGAGTGCTAGGCCTGAGGCCATGTACGCGTGCATCGTCACACCAGACACTCAGTATACCTTTCGTGTACGACTCGACATATGGTAAAAACTCAGAACACCACACCAAGGGTAGTGAATGTTGACACCCCCAATAACCAAATCAGACATCATACGAGGCATATACGATATGGAGAGGAAAGTTGAGAGTCAAAACACATTCTATAGGTTCAAGGGTATCCCTAGCAAGTATTCCAAGCGGGCTCAAAGCCAAGCAAGGCCGATAGGCAAAGGTATCGAGAGATCATATGTATCCGAAACAGCAAAGCAAAACAAACAAACCAGATCAGATACCAGATTAAACATTCCCAGCCAAATTGTTAAAAAGTCCAAAATCCATCCAAGCCCAAACAGAGAATATTCAGTGGGAAAAAAACAACGTAATGACGCCGGGAATAGGGGGAGGGGTGATCATGCCCCCAAAGCAAAGAGAAACAAGAAAAAAGTGAGCAAAGATATTAACAGGTCATATCTGGGCATATCAAATGGATTTCCAAACCAGGGAATATCCATGAACGATGCAGGTAATATGCAATGCAAAAGTGGGAGTGGTCCCGAAAATGGGAGATGAAGTTCGGTAAGAGGAGAAGATGTGAAGAAGGACAGGAGGGGGGAGGAGGTTTCTTCTCCTTTTTAGACGTGTGGGATCTCGTCGGACGAGTTCGCCACGGCACTCTGAAGTGCACTGGTCAAGTCGATGTGGAAGAATGGCCGGTTCATGCCCTGGACAATAGCGACCTTGCGACGGCTGTTGTAGGCGTGGCTGGAGGTCAAATCGCGGGAGAGCTTGTCCTCGTGGATGGGGTGGCTATCCTCGGACGAGGTCTCAATACCATGAGTCTCAGTCTCGGTCATAGCGGATTGGTCCTTCAGGCCGGCTTCAAGATCCTTAGAGTGGTGCAAGTTGTGCTCGCGCTCGTTGTTAACGATCTCGGCGTGGGCGGCAGCAGAAGAGCTACCCTCGATCTCGGCAACGCTGAAGATGGGCTTCCAGCGGTGGAAGCCCTCGCTAGAGGCCGGGGTAGGGTATCCGAAGCCGGCGGCGGCAAGGCCACGCTTGGTCCAGCGGTTGTTGATGTGGGCAAAGTGCCATTGCACGGTGCGAGGGGAGGCGTACAGGTCGAGCTGGTTGCGCACGTCGATCAGGTTCTGGATCGAAGTGACATCCACATTGTTGACAGAGGAGAAGTCCAGGATGACAGCTTGCAGGAGAGGGCGCTGGTCGTGGACCTCGGCGTCTTCCTTGCCGCGGGCCGGGCCAGGGTCATTCCAGGGGCGGTCACCACGGTTGCGGAAGGCGTGCGGGTTAGTGCGGCGAGTGTTTTGGAAGATGTTCTGCACGAGGTAGTCGGTGTAGTGGTTGGCATTGGGGTAGTTGAATCCCTCGGAGAAGCGATAGATGAAGATACCCGGGTAAGGCTGCTCAATCTCAATGTCGGGGTTGGAGCCGTCGGCGTGGTTGACGGGAAGGAAGATGGACCGATGAGCGTGGTCATCGTCTCCCGAGGCAGCACGGGTGGCACCGAAGGAGCCATACTTGCCATCACCATCCAGAATGTGATCGCCGACCACGGAGTGGACCTTGACCTTGCCGAGGAACTGACCGCGGGCCTTGGCCAGGCGGAAAAGCAGAACGGCCAACGACACGCAGATAGTGCAGTAGATACCATCTTCAATGGACGAGAAGATGGTAACAAGGACACCAATGAAAAAGATAACGAGATCAAGAGGGGCAACCCGCCAGAACTGGTAGACGGTGTTTGGGGGTGTGACCAGATCACCGACAGCGTGGATGATAACACCCGCAAGAGAGGCACTGGGGATGTAGAAGAAGAGGGCGGGAAGAGCATAGATAGCAAGCAGCACCACGACAGCGGTAATGCAACCAGCCAATGGGGTACGAACACCAGCCTTGGACTTGATGGCAGTACGGGAGAAAGAACCAGTAGCAGGGTAAGCACCCAGGAAGGGACCAAGGAGGTTAGTAACACCAATGGCGACAAACTCCTGCGAGGGATCAATAGTGTAGTTGTTGACACGGCCGAAGGACTTGGAAATAGCAATGTGCTCGATCAGAAGCACGATCACAGCAGCGGGGAGCTGGCCAACGAAGGCCTTGATGACCTCGGGGTCCATTTTCGGCACGGCGGCATTCTGGAAACCGCGAGGCACATTGCCCAGCAGCTTGAATGCGGGGTTGTCCTTCCGGTGGATGTTGACAGCAGCACTGATCATGGTGTAGAACAGGATGACGAACACGGTGCGCAGGGTCGAGATAAAGAACCAAGTCTTCGCGCGGTGTGGCTGCTTCTTCGCGGCGTAGGCGCAGCCGGCACGAATAATGTACAACATCGCACAGGCCGTGACACCCATAGCCGCACCGAGGGTCGAGCTCGGGAGAGCCTTAAGAGTATCGATGATGGTTCTGTAGGTCGCACCGCGGGTGTTGACCTTGATGGTCTGGCCCAACATGGTGGTGACTTGGCCCGAGCAAATGTTGATCGCAGAGCCCGTCATGAAAGCCGAGATGGCGGGGAGAGGGATGAAATCCACGATGAAGCCGAACCGAAGCAGACCCAGAAAACAGACGATACCACCCAGGATGACCGCCAAACAGGAGGCCACCTCATGGGCTGGAACATGGGGCAACTTATCGGCGACATCGAGCACAATTGTGCCGGTCAGAGTAGACATGACGGCCACAGGCTAATGTTGAGTAGTTAGCGACGGTCTTCTTTTTTAGGAAATACCGTGGACGATCTTCATCTAGAGAGACAAACTTACTCCGATGGTGATATCCTTGGAAGTAGCGAAGAACCAGTAGAGCAAGACACCCATGAAGGACGAGTAGAGACCGAATTGCACGGGCAACTCAGCCAGCTTAGCGTAGGCCATACCCTGAGGCACGACAACTGCACCGACAGTGATACCTGTTTGCAAAATCATCAGCTTAAGATTCTTGTTATATTCCGTATTCCAACTTACCAGCAACCAAGTCACCGATCAGCCATTGCACGTTGTACCGGCCAATCCAATTGAGAAAAGGGAACAGGCCGATGAAGTAGTTGAGCACTTGTTGGCCCGAGGGCGTAATCTCACGAATCCACTCGATGCTGGTGGGCTCGGGCTCGGTGTAAGAATAGGTTTCGACGGTGCCGACTGAGAAAGTCGACTCGCCGCGAGTGACGGGGTCCGCCACGGCACCCAGCGGGTCACGGTAGGCGAGTTTGATGCCGAGGCCCTTGGCGAGGGCATGGCCCAACTTGGTGGCACGCTCACCACCCGCCATGTTGTTGTGGATGGTGTTGATGATGGCCGCCGACGGAGGGGGGGGTAGGAGAGCTAGTTATATCACTCGGAGAGGGACGGGGATGTCGAGATCGAAATTCAGTCCAATTCCAGGGTCCAGGTCCAGATCTAGGCCCAAACGGTCTTCGAGAAGGGCGAGGAAGGTAGTTAGTCCGGGATAGTCGAGATCTTGCTTGACAGGATCTCAAAAACGTGGCGATGATCCAGAATATAAAGGGCGGGCGATGTTGAGATTCGACAATCACGCACTGCGCATGGCGACCAGGCCCGACGATGATAGAAAAAAGAAAAGAACCAGAATGCAAGGCAACACGACCAAATAACACAAAAGGGGGCACACCAAGGCCGAGTGGAGGCGTTGTGCGTGATTCGGGTGCCGATGGCGTAATATCAAAGCTCCCCAGATTTCTCAAAACAGTTTTTTTAGTGAGGATGTCGGAGCTAGTAGTTTAGCGTATTGCGGCGGGCGCTGCACAGGCCCACAAAGTTTCTCTGTCTATGTTTGCTTTTGGCAAGGACCCGAGATGATGGGAAGAAGTCAAAAAGGACCTCGAGCAGGTCCCTCGCCATAAGAATGAAACGAGCGTCGAGGTGTCCTGACCCTGGGGGGGTCTTTGGCCCACCGATAGACCGAAGATCGCACTGTCCAGCAGGAAGTGCCGGGTGGAACCAGGCGGACGGTCTGGAAGCGGACTGGAAGCGATGGGTTCTGATGACGACGGAGCGTGGAGCAGAGATTCCGCTGGCAGTAGTTGGTAGGAGATATACTACTGGTTCGGTTATAGTATACAATACAAGAGGTTTTAATCTAAATTACTCATAATAATAAGAATAATACTATATTTTCAACTATTTTATTATTCTACGAGTAATAGGTACATTTGATGTATTATTCTCATCTGATCAGTGATAGACTACTAGGTCTCTTTGAATGTCAAACTCAAAACTCTAACCGCGTGGGCTGACATAATCCTGCCAAGCCGCCCGCCCATGACGAATCAGGCCACGCAGGCGCACGCCGCCGATCGACGGCGGGGCCCCGGAGCCAATCAGCGGCTCGTGCGATGGTGAAATCTCCCGCGCCGATGGTGAAAGATCCAACGTGGAAGTCGAATTCGCCTGATGCTGTCGAGCCACGCTGATTTGACGAGTTCTGGTTTTTTTTCGCCCTTCCTTTCTAACTTTTCTCCGACCATGAATAAGATAGCTGAATAATTTTAATTAATAACATAAGGGCTCATTCGGACTTAGGGACAGGTCATCAATACCTTTGCGGTAGTAGTCTCCGTACAGTGACATTCCCTCTTCTCTCTTCTCGAGCTCGCCTATCACGAACTTACGTGGAGCCCCAAGATTTAATCTGCCCCTCGTATCCTTCCCCTTGTGAAGAGATTCTCTACGAAGTACGCACGCGGTGACCCACTCGGGGCCCTGCCCTAGTGGCCCCGTTGACGCGCCCAGATGACAAAAGCAAAATGCACGGCCAAAATGGCCAAAGCAATGACAATTCGACCACTCCGCGCTTGGCAGGGACTTTGGGCCCTTACTGGCCTACTCTATTTGTTAGGTCGAAGAGGAGGCGGCAACTGGGTTCAGTAGTGATCCCCGAGGTCACCTGATTTGATTTTTTACGGGATGAACATACTCTGTCCTCAACTATGTAGTTGTAAACAGTTGTTATTGCAGTATGTTAAATATCATAGTTAAAGCAATTTATACAGTCACTGATTATACTTTTTGAGATGCAATGATGTAGCTACTACACACCGATCCCTCCATGTACAATCTTGAAACCCTGATCAAACATGTGCCACATAGACCACTTCCCCAATCTCGAAACATGCAACACATTTCCAAACAAGAATCAGCCAACCTCCAAACATGGGTAGTGGACACACATGGAACGGTGGGGCCTCGGAGACATCGGTCACAACGGGCGTCGCAGCTCTGTCTTACTCTTTCCTACGTGCTACATATGCACGATGTCTGCAACCTGAGCCGTCCGACGGGTTCGTTTCCACTGCAGCAAAGTCGCCATCCAGATCGAAATCACGTCATACAGCTTATCGCGGCTGTAGTCCATAACTTTAAACAAATAGAAGCTAGGCAATAATAATATTGATATTTCATTTTAAAATGGTTGCATATTGTCCCTGTATCCGGCTTAGTCGCTCGGAGCTTGGTGGGCAATGCCGTCGGCTGGGTGGATTGTTGATGATGTGATTCCTCGATGAAATGATGTATCTGAAATTAGATTTAGCTCATGGCGACCCGGGGGAACGGATTCTTAGGAAAGTGAATTATCAATATTTTTACTTTTACTTTATAAAGTTATAGACGAGGTGCATCTCGCCGAGGGCGTTGGGCTTTCCAATCCACGGGCCCGTCAAAGCGAGGGTATACAATCAATATGCTCACTATATCACGGCGGTAGCGAGTGGCTGAACGAAATTATGGAAATGTGGTGGTGGCTTGTACTAACGGCGCCCAAAAATATGAGCTATAGGAGAATGACCATGCTACGATTCGACTAAACTCCCTCGGCCTCGACGAACCAAACAGATCCTCCATCCATACCTATTCGGCCGCCTCAACCGCCTCGGCCAATAACACATCCGTTCCACGCAAGACTATACATTCCCCTTTCCTATAACCTCATCTTCTTTGTTTTTTTTCCCTTGCCCCTCGTGGCTCCGCAAGAATACGAAGAAGCTTACTCGTCATGCGACCCTGATCACGACACCGAACAAGCTCTCTTGTCCCTCTTGGCCCCCCGCGCACGGTCGACTAGCTAGTTCAGCTTCAGCTGTGCACACAGCACACCATCCTCGTCCTGGGTCGCGTACTTTGGTCTTGTTCGCCCGACTGATGCCATCGTGACCCGAGCCCGCGCCATCCGCCAGTATCCATGGGCTGGCCCGATACTCGGTATGGGTTACGCGATTATTTGTCCTTCGAATATTGTCGGGGGTGTTTGAAGCTGGGTCGGTCAGTCGCGGCATTGATTTGCTGTGAAGTGATGTCAGAGTAACAGATGAGGGAGCCTGAGCCCACTAGCTCGGGCTCCCTCGCGACTGGATCGGGATGTCCGCATCGTGCATATGCAGGGTGTTGTCGCACAACGAGCTTTGCGGGGGATACCCTAGTGCGCTGGATGCGTGCTACCGTCATGCTGCTGCCCTCGTGGTTACTTCTAAGCTCTAAATAAGGCTATGGATATGCCCTTTCATTGGGGGTGGTTGGAAATTTGATATGCGAGATGATGAGATTTGCCTTGTGATTGTGGGCTAAGTGATGATCCACCCGAGTCATGTTTACGGGTTTGAAACTCCAACAGAACCTGAAAATATCATTTTCAAATATGCCTTGAGAAAATTATCAGCAATTATCCTGCCCGGGATATATGGTAAGATAGTTAGGTTTCCCGTCAAAGAATAAAAGCAGAGGAAGCTGTGTTATCATAGTTTAGGGTTTCCTAACGTTCCTAGCTCCAGAAATTGAGTTACCACCATAATCAGTAAGGACTGACCATGCGATAGGTCATGCAGATGGTCTATGTAGATCGATAAGCATGGATTCTTCTACAGTTCCTAGGTTGTGAACCTCCTATGCTAGATCCGGAACCAAGTGCTTCTTAGCGTTCGATCTTGACTTTGATTAAGGACAGAATTAAATAAATCCACATTCACTTCAACTAGGTCCCAGTCAGCATCATGATCATGATGTGTACTCACAAACGTCCAGCCAGAAGCTCTATTTATTCAATCATCTCGTTCGAATGTACTGGGTGAAGGTTCTTCTCTTCCATCAGATCACTCCATGTTCATGCCCCCTCTCCTTGTAGGACAGTCAGGTCCGCCATGAGCATTTGAATACCAGTCATAATAGTTGATAATAGACCCTTAGAAGCTAGTACCTTGAAGCATGATATTTGCTTCCTATGCTGCCCTTAATCGACATGATTCTGCTTAGAAGTAGTTATGAGTCGGCAATAAGGCTGTCTCACACGGTATTTTCTAACACAAACTGCTCGTCTACGTAAATATGCGACATTCTGAAACGTTCATGTCGATCGCCGTATAGAAGGATATGCCTCGTGCCAACCGTGGCCTCTGCTTATTGATTGTTGTCGCGCAATACAGCGAATGCGGGCAGCACTGGCTGGGGGGATATACAATGAGGAAGCACAGCTCCCCAAAAATTAAAAAAGCGTGCCCAGTGCTGGGCAGATGGCGATCTTTGGGGGTGAGGTGTGAAGCGCCGACTTTTGACCTTGTGTACTAGATCAGGATTCAAATATATACTTCCCGCTTCGGCCAACCCTAAGACCCCGCCAGTGTAGAAAAACTTTTGACAAGAGTACTTAAGTTATATTTCCCATGGCAACTATCAGAGCGCACGCATTATATGGAGTATGTCAATGGAAAAAACCCCCATATAAGCCTCAATCGGTCACTGATAGGCTCTCTCAGACAGCTAACATGCAGATGTTTGGCTATGGCATCTTGATCAAGTATCAAATCAGGGTTATTTATGTTTGCAGCCAAGGGGCAGAATTACTACTCAGGCAAGATCGAATGTGCAATTTTCTTGAAGCATACCTATTCTTCACCTCAGTTCCCTAGGATTAGAAGTTCCTAAAAACATAAGTTTGGCGTTTTCATAGTACCTTCTCCAATCAGTCGCTGGTGGCTAACACACCGCCCGGCAGAAAATGCGTCTCGAACGCTCAACCCCACATTATTCTTCAGAGCAGCAAGCTCTCTACGACAAGCCAGCGACAAAATGAGTACCATCACGCGCATGTCCCCACTGGACCTACTGGACCTGAATCTGACGAATCTGGACCCTCTGACCGAGAATTATGACCTCGGCTTCTATCTTAACTATCTGACCAAATGGCCGTCACTCTTCAGCACAGTGAAGGACCGCGATGCGGGCGTCGTGGGCTACAGTACGGACCTCTATCAGACGTTACAGCTCGTGGGGTATATCATACTAATCATCTGATAGTCATGGGCAAGCTTGAAGAACAACACCCCTCCATGAAGCGCTCCGAACACTACACCCCATGGCACGGCCATATCACCGTCCTGACCGTTGCGCCTGCCTGGCGCCGACTCGGACACGCCAGTCGATTGACCGAGCAGCTGGAGCAAGGATCCGATATCAATAATGCTTGGTTCGTGGATCTATATGTCCGTGCAGGGAACAAGGTAGCGGTGGACATGTATAAGGGCATGGGGTGAGTTGACAGTCAAGACTGGAGTGAGGAAATTAAGGGAAAGAGCTTGCAAGCTAACAACTCCTACAGATACTCGGTCTTCAGGCGGGTCGTGAGTTACTATAGTGACGATCCATCGGGGATGTCAGAAAATGGCGAAGATGCATTCGATATGCGGAAACCCTGTAGTCGGGACAAAAAGTTGGAACATGTGCGCGACAAGGGTGAAGATTTCCTCGTGCACCCCGAGGACGTCTCATGATCCTGGATGACGTGACGAGCACTTGAGGCGATGAAAATACGGCTATACAAAAGGAGGGTGTTTATTCATGGTTTATTCATAGCGACTTATACATGCTGGTTCAGACCTCCAATGCAATTGGGTGTCGCCAATACACCTCATTGGTAGACCGACAGCATTTCATGTGTTGATTGTTGTAATTAATTAGAAGCTATTATTTATAGACGTTGCCGTATGTCATGGCATGTCTCGAACCCTGATGCATCCCAAAATCGCGTGTCGATAATTCGCTTCGCTTGGGGGATTCATCATCGAACGTCGTGTCGTGACTTTAACTACGGGATGCACTTGGCAATGCTCCCATAGAAAGAGCGATTCCGTAGACCGCAAAATAGGTCCTGAAGGGCAGAAGAGACCCCTGTTGGGATCCCCTAAGTGACGGAGTACTGAGTTTTTGTGAGTGCTCATCTGAGATTGGCTCCTGCAGATATGACGAAAATGTTGACTGACTTTTGCATCAAATGTGCCGTATTGTCGCAACTTAATATGCAACACCTTTTTCTGATCCAAGAAGATCGAGTCTCAAGTTTTGCAGATCAGCTTCGGACCAGATCGCACAAAACGCAAGGTAGCCATGAGGCCTGCAGATGCAATAAGGCAGCAAGCGGTGAATAGCTGAACACCAAGATACTTGTTGGTGTCAGCCAAGATGGCACCGCCGATCGGAGTACCGATCAAGAGACCAATGGATGTAACGGCGAAAACCATTCCAAGGCGAGTTCCGAGGTCGCGCACATCGGGTGTCATACTAGCCATCACCACCGGAGGCAATGAGACAAACCCGCCAGAGAAGAACCCATACAGGACAGTAAGAGCGATGATGCCGCCCACGGTGTGCACTCCAATCCACACAAAGGCCAGAACGGAGGTGATGGTGACGGCGGGAGTGAGCATGTTGAGAGGGCCAACATGGTCAGCGAGGAAGTTGGGCCCAATGCGGCCGAAAGTCGAGGCGGCGTTCAGCATGGAGAGCAGGTAAAAGCCCAGGTTTACGTCCACAATGCCCGTATCGATAGCGTAGGACTGCACGTAGAAAAGGAAGTTGTAGAAACCCAGGAAGCCCAAGAACATTGCTCCAGTAAACAGACAGTATGCAGGCTCCTTGAAGGCAGAGAGCTGATAAAGCTTACGCTTTTCCTTTGGCGCAAACCGAATGCGCATGATGCTCACCGAGATCATAATAGTTCCGAAACAAAGAAATCCGAGGGCACGAGTCGCCCAGGCAAATCCAACCTTCTTCTGCAATTGGTTGAACATGATGGGATAAACCACACCACCGATGCTACTACCGCTGGCGGCAAGACCGTTGGCAAATCCTCTCTTCTGACGGAAATACTGTGGTAGAATGGCAACCGAGGGAACGAACAGACATCCAGCTGCTACTCCAACGCAAATACCCTGCGAGAGAATCAGATGCCAGTACTTGGTCGAGATACTGGTCATCATGAGCCCAAAGGGCAGCATAAAGTTGGCGAAGCAGAGTAATCCACGGAAATAGCCGGCATCAAAAAGAGGACCGGTAATCACACCAATCAACATCAGAAGGAATGACTGCAGGGATCCAATCCATGCAATGGTGGATGACGAAGTGCCGGCCAAGATATTTTGCTCATAGTAGGTTTGATATGCACCCCATGTATTGATCACGCCCCTAGTGAGTCATATGTCAGCGCATGCTTCGTATTCAAGATGAATTTACTTTTACCCGGGAGCAACATACCATGAATTGAAGAACAGGAAGAAGGAGCCCAAGACCTGCAGCCATGAGAAGAACCCCGTGTCGTATGTTACCTCCTCAATCTCCTTTTCACCAGGGGAGTTGATTCCTGAAGGACTCGGGTTTTCTTCATCGTTGGGGATCGAAGTATCCGCAAGGCCCTTCTGCTCTATTTCTAAATTAGTCGAACCCATCTTTCCGTATTGGCGTATTGGACAGACACTGGCTGTTGCTCTAGGGAGAGAGTCCCTAAAGAACAGATGGTATAGAGGGCCTATGAAGAAGACACAAAAGGGAGAGAAGTAGCCTGTAGAAGCTACGAAAGACGTTTCACAGGATTTGGAGAGATGTAAAGAAAAATCCACATCGCTGATTATAAATTCTGTAAATTCCGGGCTAACCCCGAGTCGCAAGCCAGCGGGGCAGCATGGATAAAGCAGCAGCTTGAAGGGCGGAAGAGCCCGAAAAGAAGCATCTTATAGGCAAGAATGGCCCACCAGCACCCACTTGCCTTGACCATGGGGTAGGATGAGGCAAGCCATGGTGCTTGGCCCCGAGGCCGAGGCGAGCAGGGGGATGTCAAGTAGAGAGCGTAACCAATGACGGTCCCGGGGAGGCGTGCCGATTACCCAGGCGAGAGGGGGCCAGGACCGATCTGTGCGATGCCTGGCGCAAGTAGCTTTTAGTAGCTCGAATCATGATGCTCCTTAGTGCCGTGAATTTGCAGTGCACAACTGGAAGAGGGGGCGAGCCAAAGCGAAAAAGTGGGACTTCGGCTTAAGAAGGCTCCTCCCCGGAGATAAATGCACGAACTCACGTGGTTGAGGAATGGCCGATAGGAAAGTACAAGATAAACCTAGTCACGATAGACGGACTCTATATTCAGCTTGCAGGAGTACGGTTTATGGATGGAAGCTAGCTCATCAAGCACCAGAGCTCGATACCACAGATCAAAATGTAGAAACCGTTCATTACTATTTTTTTGGTCTTTGTAGATCTCATGTACAGTTCGTGCCCATGTCCACGGCGCATTGCGCCTGTTTTTTTTATCTGCTGAGCCACGGTTTCTAGACTCCCAAAACTCCGAACGCTATGCTGAATCCACCCAAAAGCAAAAAGAATCCCAAAATCCCAGGAAGGAGGGGTGGTATCAGTCTAAAGCAGCTCCTCGCAAGACCAGTCCTCGTACCTAGAATGTATTAGTCGGAAGTTCGTTCCTTTATCAACGATCCAGGCTATCCTTACCATCCGTCAGGAAGATACCGGCGCACGATCAGAGGGATTTTCTTTTGGTTCAGTTCCTTCATCGCGATCTGCAGCGGATCGGTCTCGCCCTCGAGGTCGACGAGTACGGGTGCATTCATACTGCATTGCAGAAATGTTAGCTACGCATATTCCATATAAATCTGCCTCATCGCATGGTGACTCTTGGACGATGCTGCCGAGTCAACGAACCTGATCTGCAGAGCACGAGTGCCGAGCACACGCGCGCGCTCGTACTTGGTCAAGTAAGGAGTGGTCGTGCGCTTGTCATTGGGGACCTTCTTTTCGCGTGACTGTTCCATCACCTTGCCCGAGTAGCCAGCATTGGGGTCACCCGAAACGACCACATTGTCGCCGTTGACTGCGGGTTCGTACGATTCGCCTTCGACACCATCGTCACCCTCGAGACCTTCGTGGTCGATGAAATCCTCGGGCTCGTTCTCGTCAAAGACCTCCTCTTGAGGCTCGAAATCGTAGCTGCAGGAAAATACCAGGTTAGCAACCACGTCTCTCCATTTCAAAGCTGTCAGAGACTCCGAGATGGCCCATAGCTAAAAGGATCTTTTGCAGGGTCTCCAACAGCTTCAATTGGTAAGGAAAGCGCACTTCTCCTCAGCGTCGTTGTCGCCGCCGTAGTCCGACATGTTGAATGGTAATGAATGAAGTTCGAGGGGATCAATGAGAGAGAAACCCTGAGCGTAGGACCAAAAGTGAAGGTTCGCGATGCAAAAAAGGCGGAAAATCTTCCACCACACTAGTCCGCTCTCGGCCTCACCGCCTTCTTGCATCGGCAAAATAATTTTATTTGCACACCAACACTACGACATCATCCATCCTTTCCTTTGATGCTGAATGGCTTTGTCGCTCCGAGGGACATTCAGTCATGGCTTTGAAACGAAAGGCCTCTACAGAAGAGGTCTCCCCCTCCAAACGGCGACAACAGCCTCTTCTGGATCATGATGGTAAACGGCGATACCAATCTACGATAAGACCCGTCCAGTTGCTGACAATCCACAATAGACCCAATTTACGAGGAAGTGCATTCCGACGCCGAATACTCGGGATCGGAGACACCCAGCCTGATCAGCGATGACATGAATGATACTCCTGCGACGCCAATCTCCACGACTTCCTCACGATACCCGTCCGAGCTGAAAACGCGCCGCTGCCCGTTCGAAGGGTGCGACAAAGCATTCAACCGCCCTGCTCGACTACAAGAGCATATTCGGTCGCATAACAATGAGCGAGTCTTCAATTGTACATTTGAAGACTGCGACAAGACCTTTTTACGTGCTTCTCATCTGCAGCATCACGTGAAGAGCGCCCATACTGGAGTCCGTGACTATGTCTGCGATCGCCCAGGCTGTGGGAAGAGTTTTGTGACTGGATCCCGCCTTCGTCGCCATCTCGCTGCGCATGATGGTCGAGACAAATACCGCTGTACCGAGTACCCACCTTGCGACGAGACTTTCCGGAAGCATTCCACCCTCCAAAAGCACATCATAACGGTTCATTTGCATCAAAAACCATTTCCATGCACCCATGTCGATGAGCACACCGGACAGCAATGTCAAATGGCTTTTGACACCGCTGGCAATCTTCGGGCTCACAAGAGCCGAGTTCACACCGAGAAGCGTTTCAGCTGTACGGAATGCTTGGAGCGCTTCCAGGAGCAATCCTCCAATGTGGACACCCTTGAGAATCTACCTAATCAGTCTTTCACTTTCCCTACCTACGCCCTCTTACAGGCTCACATTCGAACGGTACATCCTCCGAAATGTCCGAAGTGTCCCATCACATGTTCCACATCTCGTGAACTACGTCGCCATCTCGAAGTCGCACACGGTGACGTATGCCTTGAAGATAGGAAAATCTTCAATTGTACTGTGGATGGCTGCGACCGCAGCTTCACCAAAAAGGGCAATTTAACTGTCCACATTCGAACATTCCACGAAGGTGAAAAGCGCTTTGCCTGCGGTGAAACAGATCTGTCTGCCTCAAAGAAAGTGACCGGATGGGACGGCCTTGGCTGTGGCAAGCGTTACGGCACCAAGCTCGCCCTCGAGGAACATGTTCGCACGTCACATATGGGCTTCAGGAATTGCAAGGCAGAGCGGCGCGAACGCTTGGGTTTAACCAACAAATCAAACAACAACCACCAGATCTCGACATTGGCAGCCCTTACGGGCCAGGGTTATGCTGAGGAAACAGGTCGCCATATCGCTTGCTTCTATGAATCCTGCGAGCACAGATTCCATCGTGACTACGATCTCTGGCTGCATATGGGTGCCAAGCATGGTTGTTCCGAGGACCAGGTACAGGCTCTTTTCATGCAGCGTGCCCTTTTGTCTGATCAAACTGGCGCCGGAGGGAACGCGCTTGGTATTTACGGCCTTGAATTCGACCAGAGCTTTGCTAGTACGACGAACGCATCTCTCCCAACGGAGGCGCAGCCCATTCTGGACTCTGAAATTTCGATGCACCCCGACTTTTCAATCAAGATGGACGATGACACGGACTCTATGGTGGTACCTGGCCACAATGAAATGGCTTTGATGGACCCGGCTCTGGCATATCATCTTATGGAAGAGTGAAAACGATTGAGCTGTGATATCATGTACGACTCTTCGATTGGTCTCTCGGTTTCCGTGCTTATGTTTCGTTGGCACGTGTATCTTGTATGGAGGATTTGTTTGAGCGCCACATTCACGACTTAACGATATCTCATTGAATACGACACATATTTTTAATCAATTTTCCTTATTCAATGCCCTTGACTCAGTTCTCGAATTGAATTCTACGTAAACCGGCACCCGGACTCAATAAAATGTACAGTACTAATTCCTGAAAGGGCGTTATAGCTTCTAGCCTGGTCATACTTGCTCACTAGCCGGGCGGCCCACGAACCCTCAACAACGGTGGCACACCGGTAGTTATGTGGAGTTAGTTACGAGTATATTGATTTCATTGGAGATCATCATTTCATAGTCATTGAATACTCTCCCTTTCCCGCACGGGTACTGTGACGATAAACCTGGCATCTGGCAGTTTTGCTGTTGGCGACATGCTAGAAAGCTCAGGCACATCTAACATAGAAGGTTTCCCTAGCATACCCGGAAGTGCAGCCAGCTTCGATACACCTGCTGCATCACGAGTTTCACCAATGCGCACAGTCACTTCTTTGATGGGAGAAAGGTCATCTATATTGGCCTTTTCCGCTTGAACCCATTGAGATATCATAGTCTCCTTTAATCGATTGGCATAGTCGAAGCCTAGGCCCGCTACGAGATCAAAAATCTCTTGACACCAGGCAATTTTGTCTGCTCTCTTGATATCAATCCACGTTTTGGCAGTCTGGCAAAGACAGAATATCAAGCATTGAACACCGCATGATTTGAAGTCGTCTTGCACGCAGTATAGAACACTCCGTGCCATCTGATCCGCGTAGTAGCTCGCGAGTTGCTGGTTCTCACGGTTGAGCTGGTCTTTGGAGAGACTGCGTGTAAAAAAGTTTACAAGAGTTCGAGCTTTGTAGATGTATTCCTGAAGATCTCGTAGAAGGTTCCAGACCAGGATGTGTATCCTGGCGTTTTCAAGTGAAGTAAATCGATAAGGAGTTCCGAATAGACCATCTACCCGAGAAAGTCCACTGCATAATGATTCGCCCTTGGCGCATTCCCGGGGCGCTCCGCCAATTTCGCCCTTGATCTTTTCATACCATGATAGAATGTTATTTTCATGTGCGACACTGTGATGGAGCAGCAACTGGCAAGCTCTGTAGTCGTGTGGACTTATGAAGTTAGCCGCTTGTGCAATGATTGCAGAGTCCGCATATAGCTTGACCAGTCCATCAAACGGCGTTTCGTCGCAGCACTGAACGATCTGCTTATATTCCTCTCCAGAAACGTTGAGTGATGAAATGATGAGTATCTGGAGGTGCAACTATTAGAAATGTCGTCCCGAATATTGAAAATAGGGTAACTTACCATGAGAAGCTTCGCGAATCTGTTCAAAAGGCAATCCATCGCAGGACTTTTAGAGGTTTCCGCTGTGCTTCGGTACCTTTTGATAAGTGCGTAAGCCCCTATCGCATGGGTATACCACGCTTCCATGCCTTCGGGGCAGGAGAAACTCTGGTTTAGTTGGCATGAGTTCAAGTCCGTTTCACGGTTTTCTCATAATCTTACCTCAATTTCCAAAAATACCAGTGCGGAATACAACATCTCCTCGGTGCACAGTCCACGGTTAATCATGTTTGACTGGAGTCGTATGGCTTTATTATACTGCAAAAGGCCATGGTGATAAAGCCCTCGGTCTTGATTCGTCCTGCCCAAACAAATGCAGGACAGAGCGGACAGAGCTCTGTCAAAGAGCTCATTCTTGTTCGGGAGCGTCACCCAACTGTTGAACAAAAAGTACCAAGAGTCCCTACCGGCAATCTTCTCCATGTGGTAGGGGAAATATGTGTTGAGAAATGACGAAGACAGCTGCACACGCATCGCCGGACTAACACTCGGTGTTGCAGGTAATATAAACTCTCGTGCCCGACGCGAATATTGAAGCGAAGGTGTAGGTCTTTGCTTATCATTGTGTTGTCTCTCTGGCTGTGTGGAGGCCTGATGCACAAATATCCGCCTATCCACATACCCAAGGCACTCAATACCACGCTTGATACATCGAGCACATTTGGGCTTTTGCTCATCACACTGAAAAGTCAAATAAGAGGGATTCCATATATCCAAATTCTTCGAAACCGACCTTAAGTTTGCGTTTTTTGCACGTCCTGCAGCCACCCGATGTCCAAGGTTTTCCGCCCATTTTCTGCAGGCCGTCTGGATTCACGTGCCCATCGATTAAGTTGTCTTGGCTGGGTATTGCTTCTAGGAAAAGGACATATCAAGCAGAGCCGAGAGCCGTATGCGTGGCATTTTCCGGCTCGCGTCTTCAATACCCCCCGTATTGTAAGAAGTCAAAGATAGCCCCAGTGGTTTCGCCCCCACCTGAACGGTCCAGCTATCATGTGACTACGCGGGGAAATAATGCCTTTGAGCTGCAAGACCTCTCTAATTCAGATCGAACGCAACTTGTTTTTGTCACTCAATGGCGTTATTATTCTTTCAGTAGAATCTTCATCTTCATTTATGAATAATACATCATGAACTCCATTCTTCGGTTACTCCGATCGACTAGGCTCGCTCGTCAATACTCCTGGCGAATGATCTGCATTGGCGAGTCCTCAGCCTTATAGTCAACTTTGTAGATTGTGCTAATTCCTATTACCAAACTATTGAGGAAATAGTGGGTTTTCATTAACGGGCGAATTTGCAACATAATATATCTATGCTCTCTTGTAAGGGAGTTCTCGGCTAATTACGTGTGGTAAGCCTTCATCATTCTACTAAGCATCATCAAAGAGTTCTCGACGGAGAGTTTTCCTGTTTGATATTCCGACAGAGCAGCCAATGGCTCTTTTAGTAGTATATACCTGGGTCTCTAAAGGTAACGGGTGGTATCTTACTCGATTTACTCGTCGTACCCGAGTCGAGCCTTCATGGCCTCCCATGCTTTTGTTGCTTGACAATAGCTAGGACAACGATATCGAGAAGCAAATCAACCATGAAATCTCAGGTGTGAGCAACGTAATCCTAGAAAGCTCGTTTTACAGATTGATTCTGCAGCATCTAGTTCCAGCGTCACCTTCACACATCCGCATTTGTGATGTGAAACATAACTTCGAGGCCATTCTACAGCCTACCCCAAAGTGGTGGTAGAGAGCTAGAAGATACTGACCGTACCTAGCATACTCTATTGTTTTGACTGCGCCTATGGCCGATTAGGGAAGTACCCGGGTTAAGTACATGGCTTTCATTTCCTTCAGGGGCCCCACAAGCAGAAGAACGGTTCAATAATGCAGTGGATTCTCCTTATTTACTTCTAGTTGTACAAGTAGTTATGAACAACATATGAGTCATGTGAAGTCCGAGGGCCTCCCCACGGTTGGGGTTACCCAGGAACTCACTGAGGGGGAGCCCGTTTACCCTCGGTATGTTGCGTCGTGCCAACCGACGGGTCGTCATAATCACGTATGGACGATTTCTTCCCCACCGAGGCCCAAGAACAACACTGCGGGTTATAATAGTAGCCGAAGGTAGAAGAGAGAGAAAGCAAATCTATTATTATCCTTTATTTGTCCCGTCTCGTCCGTCCACTAAATTGTGCTGTAAATCCTAACCCACGTAGTTATATAACGTCGATGATGTCAGCATCTATTCCCGTCGTGATCGGCGTTGGCGATATCAAGAATCGCTCAACTCGCTTGGAAGACGCAGTTGAGCCTTTGGAGCTTATGCTGCAGGCCATTGCGGCTGCTTTGAAAGATACTGGAATATCCGCTCAAGATGCGCAGACTCTTCAACGGAGCATTGATAGCATCTCCATCGTGGCCAATTGGACATGGCCATATCCTAATACCCCAGAGCTCTTGGCCAACAGATTAGGTTGCAAAGCTAATTATCTTCATGAAAGCCATCATGGGGGTAATGCGCCCGCAGAGCTGTTTGACGAAGCTTCCCGGCGCATTGCTAGCGGCCAGAGCAAAGTCGCCGTTGTCACTGGTGGAGAAGCCCTTGCATCATGTATGCTTCCCTTTACACCGAAATAAGATCAACTGTACTCAAAAACGGTTGACTGACCATTGGCTCATAGTGGGCGCATTCCAGGCTGCAAAAAAGTTTCCTCCTCCGGGTTGGACCCATGTGGATGATACCACCTCTATCTGGGAACGGACACGCAAGAGCAGTATGCAATTACCTTCCACCCTCCAAAACAGCATTGAGAAAAAAGCTAATTATTCTTAGACCTGTCAAGCAACTATGGACTCGGTCTACCAACGCAGGTGTATGCGATGTATGAGGCCGCCCTTCGTGCGCATCGGGGACAAAGTCCAGCAGAGAATCATCGCGAGTCGAGTGAACTCTATGCAGAGTATGCGCGCGTGGCAGCACAGAACCCTATTGCCTGGAGCCACGGGAAAGAGGCCGACACAGCGGACGCTATTGGCAAGATTACGAAAAGAAACCGAATGATCTGTCTACCATGTAAGCGTCAATATAAGCCATAAGGTGCGATCCTTCTGGTTTGCTGACTAGAAACAGACCCTCTGGTTATGAATGCCTTTAACAATGTCAACATGTCAGCTGCATGTATCATCACTTCGCTTGAGTACGCGCGCCAGCTCAGAATTCCGGAGTCTCAATTGATCTTTCCCCTTGGAGGTGCGGGAACTCATGACTATGAGCACTGTGAGTGATTTTAGACCGACAAGATATCTGTGAAATGTTTCTAACGATAGAGCAAATAGTCTGGGAACGTAGTTCGTTCCACTCCAGTCGAAGCCTGTCTTCCTGTCTGGATGCGACGCTAGCAGTCTCGAATGTTAAGACTGACGATATTGACCTATACGACTTCTATTCGTGAGTACAGGTTCATTCTGCATGGTGAATTATCTGACAGATGGACGCAGATGCTTCCCAATCGTTCCCAAATTAGCTTCTCTGCATTTAGGCATTCCTATTTACGGCAGCAAGAGACCAACTACTCTGCTTGGAGGCCTCACTTCTTTTGGCGGAGCGGGTAACAACTACTCCATGCACGTATGTGAATTCGATACACTCCAAATTCTATGAAACTTCGGAACTAATTCAACCAGGCCATCACGGAGATGGTGCGCCAGCTCCGGCAAGGCAATGGCCGTATAGGCCTCGTCCTCGCAAACGGCGGTGTTCTGTCGCATCACCATGCAGTGTGTCTGTCTCGACACCCACGAGGCGATGGCGCCCCTTATCCGAATCGAAATCCTCTTCCCCGGCATATTAGCGATGCCCAACCGCCTATTGCCGAGAGTGTTCAGGGGAGCGCGAGGATTGAGGTGAGTGGTCCTTCATCATTCAGCGTCGAATAATTGTTGACTAATTGATAAACAGACATACACGGTTCAATACGACCGTGATGGATCACCTTTGGCGGGCTTTGTCCTGGGTCGCTTGGACGATAATGGCTCTCGATTCATCGCTATCACAACTGATGGTTCTACTTTGAAAGACCTTGGCTCATCCACTGAGCAAGTTGGGAAGTCCATTTGGGTGGGCTGGGACCAAGAGACCAGAAGAAACACTTTCAAAATTCTGGGCTCCAAGATATAAAGCGGCAGAATTATAGAAGTAGTCTGTAAATAGCTTTGTAGAATTTTATGTACTAACCAGTTCTTTCATGCTTGTTTGCTACCAAGCTAGAGGTGTGATGATATCTATTCATGTAGATAGTATTGGAAAGGGTGGACCCAATCCAATGTCTACAACTTAGAAGCCACCCACTGGGGCTGCTTCTTGGCTGCAAAGGCCTCCAACCCGATTCTCAGGTTCTCCGAAGTCAGCAACCCCCTACCATATTTTTCTGCTGTAATCTTGTCGGCTTCTATCGTACTTGCGGTTTCCCATGATTCACGGAGACCCGACCTAGAGACAATGATCGCATCGGGAGACTTGCTAGCGATATCCTTGGCCAGTTCTAGTGCTTCATCCAGGACTGACTCAGGAGATTTCGCAATGCGGTTGATCAATCTCAACTTCAGTGCCTCTTCTGCAGGTACCCGGCGTCCAGTCAATGCCAGCTCACTGCCAACCCGCATTCCGCAATCGCGGACAATACGCGATAGTCCTCCAGCACCAGCGTACAACCCGCGGAGAACTTCGGGCAGACCGAATTCAGCCTTGGGAGAGGCAACGATCAAGTCACTAAACACAAATTGGAACATTGGTTAGCAAAGGAACCAATATATTTAGAAATAGTCACAGAAATCAATATCATGCACGAACCAATTCAGACAAATTTCAAATCCACCGCCCAGAGCCAGGCCATTCACCGCAGCAATAACTGGTTTCTTTCCTCGTCGTTGACTCAATCCTGCAAAGCCGCCTTCGGCGCCCTTTTCAGGTCTAGCTTCGTCACCTCGACTGATATCACGCTGCTCTATGAGGTCGGCGCCAGCACAAAAGGCCTTGGGACCTTTGCCAGTAATGATTCCAACTCGCATGGATGGCTCATTGTCCATCCAGTCCCAGAGAGCGGTTCCTTCGTGGTGACCTCTCAACGGAATTGAGTTCATGCGCTTTTCACGATTGATCGTTGCGAGAAGAACCCCTGGGCTGGGGAAGGACACCTCGAAGATGGTTGTCGCGGGGGGTGGCGTCTGGAACGACATGGTGTAATGGGACTATGTGATTTTATTCGAGAAATTGACGATTTCTGAGGGTTGAAGCTACAATGTCTGCAGTATGGGGTATGAAGTATGGGGGATGCTTCAGTGGGGGCTGTGGGGCGAGGAGCTCAAACTGGTTAATCCCGGGGACCTCGGCTGGCGTCGTATGAACATGGCCTCTTGGTGGAGAATGCGGGGATCGCGGTATGAACAAAAGGGTCATATAGATCAGTTTGTGGATTTAATTCATAAAATATTAATGCATTATCTACTCATACATCTCTTGTCCTTGGTTATGAAACGATTCTCAGTTGCCAAGCTACGACCGCATTGAGTTTGAGTCAATGGCCCAGAAGGTGCTCCGTAATCTCTACTACTGAACTCTGCATCAGCTTAGTAAAATTTCTTCTAGATAATTGTACCGTTGTATTTTCTCACTTTCGGATATTGATTTCTGCATAATCAAGTAGGTCCTCAACGGTATATGCTAAACACAAGCTGCTAGTTAGTAACATTTAATGTTTAGCGACTCGAGTGTTCAATTCAATCGACTAGCAGATGCTACTGAAGGGAAGACTGTAGATAGATATCATAATAAACCAGCTTTGGCTGCAGTAAGCTTGAGTTCTTCAGTCAAAGGAGTGCAGGATGTACTCTCTAGCTTCGACTTCCAATCTTTTCCAGGGCTGACTCGGTGACTCTTACAACAACCCGGTCCAATCGCTGATTTGCAGCATCCAGTCACGCATAGTATCCTAGATAGATTTATATACAAATTAATTGGTTGTAAGTAGTTCTATCTGCCCCTGGGAGTGAGATACAACTCTCGATAAAAGGTCCATTGAATAACTATCCTAGGCGAAAGACGCACTCACTATCTTGGCAATGGGGGATTATTGTCTTGCGATCCATTCTAGCCATAACATTACCTCAATCCCACGTTAAAGCACAGCCCATAACTTGTACATTAGTTTGATGATGAACCGGTCACTACATCTGACTACATCTGAGCGGGCTTGCAGTATAGTGCATCGCCTGGATACACCCTCTGATGACCACTGGGATCAGTCGCTTAGGCCACTTGAAAATCCCCTTTGAAGAAGAATTGAATTAGGGTGGTGAAATGTCCTTCTGAGGTCCGAATATATGGAACTCGCAGATTTTCTCGACATTGTGGCTAGTTGAAGCCGTTGTTCAATCGTAGGCTAGATTGGCCCTCGAAAGAAATTGCATGCAAATTTTGACGGCCATATCGAAACTAGGTAATCTGTAATTGAAGTCCCCATAATTTGAAAGAATTGAAAATCTTTCGGACATGCAATCCATCGGTTTGACAGAGGTCAACCTGATGGGTCCTCCCTTGGCTCCAGCGGACAAGTGGGGTGATTGATTATCGGTGCAACTGCGGGGTGTCGTTGAATAGCCTTGAGAGTTCTAGCTAGTCCCGATACAATTGGAACAAAAATCATCCTTTCATCAACTAGTTGAGCCATGATTCTTCCTCACAGCAAACAATCTTTCAAGAAGTATCCCATGATTCAATGTGGACTTCACCATCATACCATCGCGGGGCAACAAGAACGATAAGCGATAAGGGCTGCACGCCATCTCTTGGAGCTTCCCGATTCGTCTAATTGCCCGATTTCCCAGCAGTTCTCCGACTCCCTCCACAGTTCATTTATTATAAGACAAGTAATATTACCCCGCCTGGCTAATAGTAGATTTCTATTCCTTCCTCCGGCGAACTCTCAACTAACAAACGTGCGAAATCATGGCGGCTACCGGTGCTACGTTGGGCTCAACCAGCAGCTTCTCAACTCGTATCTCGCTCCGATGGGTCCCCGAACCTCCAGCAGAGACGACCGATACGATCGTTCTCTCTGTCGGAGAATGGTTTATTGACTTGCGAATGGATAAGGCCTCTGGCGCAATTGACTGGGCGATGGCGGGTACACGAATCGTGGAGAACCCCGGGGAAACACCACGTCAGTTAACCCACTGCATCTAGATAATATTGTGGTTGGATCATACGGGCATACATATACTAACCAGTGTGAACAGTCAATGTGCGCTTTACCCGGGAGCTGGACTCTCTCAATGAAATCGGCATGGTCGATCCTGCCAACTTCAGCCCTCTTCCCAACGGCGATGACCTCGAAACTGGAGAGATGCCCCGCACCGATCTCCCCGGTGCGCCGATGACTGCCTTCGAAGAGGTCTGGAGAGAGCTGCCCTTCAGGGAAGGTCCCGAGGGTGCCAAGAAGGGTATCTCGTGGATTCTCGAGTCGGATGATAGTAACGTCAACCTATCCGAGAAAGACGGCGAGGTGACCGTGACCAAGTTGTTTTTCGGTCGGATCTGGGGCACATATTTAGCGTTCCAGCAGGTTCAGACTCATTCTCAAGAGAAGGGTTCGGATGGCACGTTGACTCTGAAGAGGACTGGAGCTGAAGTCAGTGCAAGACGGGAGGAATGGAGTTCTGGATGGGAGGAGAAGTACGTTGTTGGGCCTGATGGGGGTGCTGTGCCCTCAATGAAGACTGGATTTGAAGGCGAGGGCCAGGGCTCTTGGAGGGTCCCCGGGGAGAAGGTGGTTATTCAAGGAAAGTCGTTTATTGTTCGGGCATTTGAGGAGATTTAATGATTATTTTGAGAGGGTGAAAAGTTATAAAAATAGGAATCTTTTAATTTACCTATGAACAAAATTCCTTTGGTAGAGACGATCACAGATAAGATTGCGATACCATCATACAGAAAATTCACCTGCGACATGATACATATGATATTGGTGAATAGGACTCTGGATGGAAAGACATTATCAAACCCCCTTTTATCGGGTTGACAGTCTACATCTCGCACATTGAGCTGGAGGTCTGAAATCTGTATCATGTCGGATGATTAGGTGATTCTATTAAAGAAAGTAAATTATGGCAATTTGCGATGGCGAGAATACCCTATGTTCGTAACTGCTCTATACCCGCGCATATATCCAGCAAGAGTGAACCTCCAATGTTTATTAAGATGTATAGGTAGACTCTCCGCTAATATGATTTGTCGATCATTCAGTAAATATCACGTTGTACAACCACAACCCCCTTGGACCATGTGGTAGGGTCTCGAGCCCTAAAAACGAGCCAGGGGGAGGGGTGGGCATTACTGGGACTGGGCGAAGGGCAAGAACCTCATGACACCGAGACAAAGCCCTATTTGAGCTAAAGCCAAAGCCAAGACACCACGAGGTCCACCAAAGAGTCGGGACGGTGAACACCGGGAGTCTCCGTGTCTCACCTGAGACATGAAAGCAAAATCATTGGTAAAAATAACCATGACTCGCTGGAACAATTAGCGAACGAGAAAACTGACAAAAACATGTCAAGAAAAGGCCATCAACAAAGGCGAATCGAATTGTACTTGCTAGTTATCGGACGCCTAACTTGAATGGGGATTTATCCGGCGCCACAGGGTTGACTTACGCGTTGCTTATATCGGGGAAATTCAGGGAGGGGACCCTAGGTAGTCAGGCCCCTTAAACCCCTATTTACAAGAAAGCTACTCGTGGGAAACTTGGCGGACGATGCATCGGGAGCTTTGGCCACAGATGTGGACGTATCCGAGAAATCATGAGGCAAGAATGTGGGTAGCTACGGAGTTGGAGGAGCAGGGTTCTCTACTTTCTGGGGGATGGCACACCATGGAGCTAAATCTCGATCTCCCCAGCAAATCAGGATGAATCGCGATAACCTGGGGGGACCACCTGGCCATGAAATGCCGGAAAGAGCATCGACTATCGAGACATCGACCAAGTGTTGCCAACGTGCCAAGACTCCACTCTGCGACCCCCAAGACTCCAAGAGCAGCTAGTAGTAGCCCAAAAGGAGCATCGGTTAGGCCCAAGTGTCAAATTTGTGGCTGGAATTAGTCCGGGGGGTCTAATGCAGGAGGCAAGCCCGAGGATGGGAGAAATAACGAGAAATGACCTGCATGGTGATGAGATTTCGGATCCTCGCATCTCAAGTTGAGGCAACCAGCGCGGCGTGTTGATCTCGGGTCGGTGAGGCTGGGGGGCTAACAACGTGTACGAACAACGGGCTGGGCATCGGCGACAGGAACAAGTACCGGGGGTGCAGCTGGATCGCCCAGCCTTTTGATCTACCTGCGCTCTGCAGGTCTCTGCAGGCTCTAGAAAAGCGGGTAAACTTGAAATCCAGGTAAAAAGCAACTTGGGCCCGGGGCGGTGTGTACGTCTTGGCCAATGTACAGTCCGTTGCCGCGCAGGCGTTGCGCGTCCCGGCAGAACGCTACAAGGAGAGAAAAGAAAATACTCTTGGGCCGCGTTGACCCGCTGTAAATTGGATCATGAATTCATTGGCTTACATGGCAAAACTCAGGAAAACTTGGTTTTGTACTCCGTAGTATCATACAATACAATTGTTAAAGTTATCGTTCCACAAGTGGCGAAAAGGTAAAGAAGAGGCGGTGCCGAGAGATGTCCGTGTGGTGGCGGGATTCTTCGAATGTTCCATCGACGAGGAATTTTAGGCATGCCAGGTGCCCTTTTTTGGCCGGCGGGGGAGCGGAGTACGGAGTACCTAAAATAGTCATTACGGCGGAAAAGGGGGGACAATATAGGGCTACCGTGTGACTGCAGTATGTATGTGCAGTATGTATAGTACTACTCGTGGCATCTGGCATGAGAATGTTATCGTATAGTTTTAGCTTGGCTAAGACACTGCTAAATTTGGGACTAAGACAGCATCTCCCCGACGATCCCACCCACCGGATCCAGCATGACGCAGCCATGGGATTCTCTTTCGACTTGTCATGAGGGTTTTCTTGTAAAAGGCCCATACTGGTATTTCAAGTATCTAGGTGAGGTTGTACATACAGAAGAAAAGGAGTTGTTTGTACTGTACTTGACCTTCCTAATTAATTACTTAAGTACTCCGTGCTAAACGGTGGACTAACTCCTTAAATTGCTCCGTACAGTAGGAGCCAAGTATATAACTGTTCTTAGTCCTACTACTAGTATCTCCGTAAATAGGCCCGTCCCACCAGCTGCCAATAGTTATGGTTTAGTGCCGATATTACGGCTTCAGGGATCAAGGAGAGAATCATGTAAGAACTCCTGATTAGTTATAATCTAATTCATTTGTAACGTATTATAGCAGCCTCGTTCTTGGTGTAATTATGGTTCTGGCTGATTCCTAGACCCACGGCCATGCGGCCATTTGCCTCCTCGATGGCATTATCCATCGTACTCCGTTACTACTCCGTAGTATCTCATATCCTCCGTAATAATAATTTCTGTCCTCTCTTCTTCTTACCCCAAACCTCCCCTCTTTTTCCTTGCCCCTCTATCCGACCAAACTGCCTCTGCCTAAACCCAGTCCCGGCGACTGACTTTCCCCAAGGCCGCAACGTCATCACACCCGCTTGGCGGCGCTTGTCCTGCAAAACTTCCTGCCGACTTTCTTGGTCCCCAACTCGTCTTGGTCCTTTTTTAGTCCTGGCTTCTGATTCCTGATTATTCACTCACTTCATCTCTTCCCTTCAAACCCATCCAGAGAGAACCCCCTTCTTTGTCTGGCATCTCTCCTCCATGGATTGATTAATTCGCTCCTCCTCCGTGTTTCGGTTCTAGCGGGTTTCTTAGCTCCACCACCCTCCTCCAACCAAGACCGTGCGCTGCCGTGTCCTTCTTGTCCTTCTCTCACTTTCCCCCTTTGGATCTTCGGATTACTGCTCTTCTCTCTTCTAGAGACGTTGCGCACTTCTCTTCGGCGCTGGTGCAAGACCAGATTGAGGTTTTGGCTGGAGATCTATCATTCACCCGCCCGACGTCATGGGTCGCTCGCGTGGTAAGTCAAACGGTCGATCGGCTTCCGCTGGGTCGCAAGCTTTCGGCAGGACCGCATTACTGACTCTCCCTTGCGTCCTCATTTCTAGTCCTTTCGTTTATATCAACTTGGGGAGGTCCGAAGAACAATGACTCTGGAAAGGAGAGTAAGCGATCCTCGCGCAACGTGACGCCCGCCGATACACCCCCGAGATGGCAGACACCTTCGCCCGATACTCCGTCGCCGCCGTCTGAATTGTCGCCTGTCGGGGGTTCCAATCCCCGAGGCGAGGGAATTGGTTCGCGACCAGCGTCGATGATCTTCTCGCGCAATCCACCGTTGATGACCCATGAGGAGAATACCCCACCGGAGCTTTCGCCGATCTTCTCCTTTCTCAATATCCACACCAACAAGGTCTACCAGGAAGGTTATTTTCTGAAATTGAATGACCAGGATTCCCGTATGTTGAAAACAATGCAATTGTGTGCTTAATAAATGCATTCATCAGCCGTCCTTTTCGTGTGGGGGGAATTAATTGGCTAATTGAGATGAGCAGATGGACGACCTTGCGGCGATCGACAATGGGTAGAAAGCTACGCCCAGCTTGTCGGTACCGTCCTCTCTCTCTGGGAAGCTTCTGCGCTGGACGCAGCAGGCGGAGAAGAGGTCCCCGCGACATTTATCAACCTGGCGGATGCGTCGATTAAGATGGTACGGTGTCTGTTTGAATTGCGTGGACGGTCGCAACGTATAAGCTAATTCCCTAATTTTACCTAGATCGAAACGCTGCCGATCAGAAATGGAGCCGTACAGCCATTGAAGAATGTCCTCAGCCTATGCTCTGCGGGCAAAAACCGATATCTGCTACATTTCAGCTCGTTCCACTCAATGACCCAGTGGACTGCGGCCATTCGTCTTGCGATGTACGAACATACTTCGCTATACGAGGCGTATACCGGCTCCCTCATCGCCGCTAAAGGCAAGACTCTCAATGGAATCCAGTCCATTCTAGCTCCTACCAAGTTCAAGTATGAAGATTGGGCGCGAGTAAGATTTGGTGCGGGCACGCCCTGGAGGCGGTGCTGGTTTGTCATTCATCCGCCAGATGAGAAGGAGCTCCAAAAGGCCCGAAAATTGATGAAGAAGTCTGCCTACGACCGCCTAACGATGCCAGTCACGGGAAGCATCAAGTTTTATGAAACGAAAAAGACTAAAAAGGTGAAGCCAATTGCGACAGTGACGAACGTATACTCGGCATATGCGATTTACCCCCAGTCGAAGGCGCTCATTGATCAATCCACTTTGGTGAAGTTGGAAGGTCGGATCAGCATGCACTCGGGGAACCAGCCGTCGACTGAAGGCTTTGTCTTTGTCATGCCAGAGCTGCACGCCGCGGTCTCTGGCTTCGAGATGCTGCTCCGATTCCTTTTCCCAACCTTCGATACGTTTAATCTCTACGGCCGTCCGACTCGCCTCGTGGCCGACGTTAACCACATCAAGAGTATCATGTTTGCTTTCCCTAAGCAGCGCCGCTACGGTTATTTGGAGGTCTTGGACATCACCAATCTGCTTCAGATTCCCGGCAGCCAGGATTGGAGCGAGGCCGAATGGAGAAAGCAGTTGAAGGATGCAACTCAAAAGCGGATGAGCACTGGCCGAAGTCGAACCAACAGCGTCAACAGCAGTCGACCTCGCTATCGTGCCAGCTTATCTAGTCGTCCGGGTGAAAGCTCCTTGAACGGATCTCGTCAACACCTCCCTTCCCTAGAGGCTAAGCCCGAGTTTAACCAGTCTGCCGAGGCCATCATTCACGAAGTTCCACGGAACGATCCTGTGATCTATCATTCTAGGGGAATGTCGGATACCACAGGTCTTCAGACAGGGCCCAGGCCAGTCTATGGCTCGCTGCTGGAAAGCTCGCCTGATTCATCCGCTCAGGATCTCGTACAACGTGACCGAGCGCAAGCTTTGGCCGGTCCCATCGCTGAACGGACTAGCTCCGAGAGTGATCGCAATTCAGGTATGCCTGGGCAACCTTTCGAAATTGGAGAGCAGCTTCCTCCTCGTACGCCACCGTCCCCGGTCACCAACCCGCCCACTTTCGCCCATGGACCGCGAGAAATGCCTACCAACCGTCCGAAAACAAGCAATGAGCAGAGGCTGGCTAATAACCGTATGTCTCACACGACTCTTATGCAATTCCACCAGGTTGGGAAAACGGGTATGGAAATGGGTGGTGCCGCGCTTGGATACCAGGATCAACACCACTACCAGCAACAACACCCCGAGGCCAGCATGGATCAACGACTCCATAACCATGCGCCTTATCATATCTATGCCCCTGAGCCCGTGGCCGCAAGAGGGTCTCCACTTAGGAACCAGTCCAGTGACGAGGGCATCGGCCTTGCTTTCCCTTCGCGCCAAGTACCTACATCACAACCCCGTCCGGCTACCCCCAGTACAGGGGGCACTCCCTCGCCTCGGCGAAATCTACAAATCGATACCTCCAAGTCTGTCAAGCGTAAGCCCCTTCCGCAACGACAGCTCTTTGGGGGGCCGCCTTTGTCACCTGACGGTGGAGAGCCTAGCTTTGACGACTTGCGTCATACCCTGGATGAAGATGCCTTGAACCGAATCGCGCCGCATCTTCCGTCTCCAATTTCCCCGACCCGCCAAGAGGAGGAGAGTGTGTATGATGATGCATCTACCGTCTCACCAGACTATGCGAGTACCCATGAGTCTGTCTACAGCAAAAAGTCTGCCAAGCGCATGGGTGTCAAGAAGACCGTCGGAGAGTCGGCCAAGCAGGATCTCGTCATTGGTGATGCTCGCTACGCGACCGACAGGCCAGCCGAGCCTAACCCAGATATTCCCACCGTTGATTTCGGCCCAACTCTGACGTATATGCCCACCACCGGACGTCCGACGACGGGTGACACCTTGAAAAAGGTTTCACATCAGCGTCATGACTCCGAATTCAAGCACTTTGTTCCAACAAACCCCATGGAGCGCGGTCACGCTCGGTCTCCGAGCCAGGAAGAACGTCGACGCAGTGTCCTGTGGCAGCCCGGTATGGCCAGTGGTCGTCCCACTACCCCCGGAGGTGGTCTTACCCCGGAGCAGTTCGTGCAACAGCGAGCCGCACCTAGTCCCCCAGTGCACATGCACCAGCGTGTCCCGTCGAGCAACAGCCCACCACCAGCGCGACCAGTATCGGGAGACTGGACGCAGCAGGTTCGGCCTCACTCCCGTATGACTTCATATCCGGATGCCAACTACCGCCCCTCTTCTCGTGGCGCCAGCACGATGATCACCAACTATAACGAGGTATCGAATCATCTCTCTGCTCGTGAGCAAGAACATGTCGCACGCATGACTGGCTCTTCATTCTTCGACATGTCGAGCAACACGAAGAAGCCCCAACCTCAAGTCAATCCCATGGGTCTCGTGTCAACAATCGATGCTCGTGAGCGCGAGAAGCGTGACATGAAAGAGGGAATGTCGAACCAGATGGTACAGCATGCTATTGCACAGCGTCAGCAGCATCAACAATACCAACAACAGCACCAACAGCACCAGATGATGCAGCAGCAATATGCACCCCAGTATGCCGGCTCGGTGTACCCACCCCCAACTCGGGATGGGATGTATAATCTCCCCGGCGCCAGCCAGACTTGGGATGCACTCCATCAGATGAACCGCTCGGACGAGCCCCGCCGACGCTCTTGGTATGGCCAGCTCGCACAGGCTTCACAAGTCCCGCCCAGCTACCAGCAGAGCCAACATTTTGCTCAGCAAGGTGGCTACCCTGCCAACTACAACACTATGCATTCATAAGACATGACGATCTCCTACTTGTCTCAATGAGCCGCGCCCAACTCAACTCTACTTTCTCACGTCACAGTCCTTCCAGCCCTTTTTTTCTTTTCATGTCCAAACTTGAATCTGCATACCTTCCGCCTTAGATCTAGACTTTCTGCACAGTTCTGCGGTTCTCGGTCTTTCGTCTCTCGTCTTTCGCCGTTTTCTTTGTTTCTCCTTTTCCGTCAAGCCGCATTCATTCCCCGCACATCATTTTCTTTATTTGTCTCGTGGTTATCCTCATCCGTGCATTGCGCATCAGAATGGAGTTGCAGGTTTGGTTTGGCGCTATCAGGGTCTGCTTCTCTTTTTTGTTCCATGCGGTCTGCTTTACTCTCATTCCGTCATTATCTCCTGGGTTTACATTATCGTTCCTCGGCACCGCCTCGTTCTCGATCTTTTTTTTTGTTGAATGGTTAAAACTCCCATTGTCTGCCTGTATTCTTGAGTATAGTACAGTCCTTTAGAGGTTGTACAGAATGGAATGCTTGGTACAGGCCATCTTTACCTTATCTTCGTATAGTTATGGTTCTAAATTTAGAAGCCACGGTTGTAAAAGACCCGGCTATCTATAGTTCCAACTTCGTGTTTTTCGAGATGTTTACAAGTAATTTCAAGGGTAAGGCTGCTAGAATCGCGAAGCTTACTGTTTACTACGTGTGATAGATGGAGAGTCATCACCCGCTTCTGTCTTGCGTAACCACAGTCCTCACTTAGTCTACGAGGGTAGTATATCGATCGCTAGACACGGTAGACGCAAAATGAAATGAAATCTGATGACAGGAAACATCAAACGAAGCTGCTCCCAAAAGGCAACCAATACTTTCTGATAAATGTACGTACATACACCGGAACCAAAAGACGCAAAAAAAAACAGAAAAAATCAATGTATAAAGGTATCCCAGAAAAAAACGCCACGAATGCCCACTTGCCTTCCCTCTCTTGGCTTTCCAGGGCGGAGGCTTCAGCGGGGATGCGATGCACTCGATGCCTCTCGTTTCCGAGAAACAAAAAGGCCGGTATTTAGTTGGAGTGCAACTTCTTAATACGCATACCACCCTCGTAGAGGCCACGGTCCAGAGCTGCTGCCACTGTCAGAGTACCACCGATGATGGCACAAACTCCGGTCAGGAAGCCGGTGAAGGTCTTGGGCCGGGTCTCGCGGTTGATAACCTTCATGGGGGAGATATCGTAGTTGAAGAAGACGCCGGGGATACCGCCCGCAGCGTGCATGCGCTCCTTGTGGCCCTCAGCAGCGTCATCGCCGCCAACGAGGGGGCGCTTGTGCGAGGTCACAGAGTACTGGTGGGCTTCGATGCTACCCTGGGAGCCGTAGGCGAGACCGTGCGAGCCAAGAGGCGCCTTATCATAGGCGCTGTGGATTGCAGAGGAGAAGGTCGGGTCCCAGCCCAGGGGCAGGTAAGAAGTCGAGACAACCTTGATGAAGTACATAAAGTTGAAGGCGGGCTCCTCGGTTGACTGCTTGGTATCGTCGAGCGGGTTGGTGTGGTGGTGATCAGTCCACTGCCAGCGATCCGCGAGCTCAGCGGGGAGTTGAGGGCCGAATCGAAGCTCGTGAATCTCGTGGGTCATGGTGTGCTGTTCGGGCGAGGGCGAATCCCGCATGAAGTAGTTGTCCATATCGTGGGCATGCATGTTTCCGCTCGTGTAGCTGCGACCCGGGGCAATGTGGAAGTTGCCCACCACCTTGTTGACTCGGAGAACACCCTCGATGCGGCAGCCCTCGCGCCGTTGGGCCAAGAGCTTCTCGCCGTATCCCTCGCGAGTGCACTGCTCTACGTTCTCGCCAATGCCGAATGCCCATTGCTTATTTGCGTATGCCTCGCGCACTTCGTCACAGGTGCTACAGCAGCCGGCTTTGATCGCATTGGGGGGCGCATCGGCTCCATAACACTCACCACAGTAGTCCGGGGCCAGATGCGCGGCGGCATCGGCTGGAGAGTGCCTAAATATCACTAGGTCAGCTCGTGTTCAACTTGTTACGCGGAGTGTCGTTGACATTCGAAGTATCGTCTTCCGAGGAAAGGGACTTACAGGTCAAGAGCCTGAACATCAATCACTCGACCTCCTTCCGCAGCCGGGGCAAGGCGGACTTTGTTCACGCCATGTGCCACGCCGACCTGCATCTCGCCGGACACATCCATAACGTCCAGGGTCAACAATTCACAAGGTAGTCGAGGGAAGGTCATATTCAAATGGATTTCCATCCTTTCTCCTATGTCAAGGCAAACCCCACCCATGTTAGCTTCCTCGCTCACGTACATCGACTCGCTTCGAGCTCCAGTTCCCAATGCGTACCTCTCGACTTATCCACGATGAGTTCGGGCTGGACAACCACCCGGCGATAATCTGCCCATTCTCCCCAGACAAGCCACAACACTACCAACAAGGAAGCTATAGTAATGACGCCGCCGGAGTTGGTGCGAATGCGCGCATCCTCGACGGTCTTGGCGAAGGCGTCGAGCCTCGTGAATCGCGATTTTGCGGGCATCTTGCGGGGCAATTGGCGATCATAGAGTGGTCCAAAGACCTGGGAAATGAATGAAGGACGGTTTTGCAGCAGCGCGAGTGTTTCCTAGACGAAGGCGTGGGGAGCAGTTAGCTAGGGCTGTACAAAACGCGCAAGCTCCATGAATGGCAGAGAGAGGGAAAGTATTTCATAAAGAAACAAGGAATAGTATCATAGAACTCCCAAAATATGCACTTACCTAGCAAGAGTCAACTCAATTGCCTCTGTATCCCCGTTCGTCCTCGAGCCCGTCTGAGATACTGCAAGCTGGCTAGATCCAAGTCCGCCGTATACTCGGAGCCAAGGGCGGACCCTCCGATTGTATGGGAATTACCGTATTCTGAAAGGCAGCCAAAAGCACTGAAAGGACAGAAGACAATCGCTCATTGGCTGTCTGCCTTGCCTGCCCAAGGCAGCAGGCTGAGTCACCTCCGCAGGTCACCTGACGGCTGCCTATCCGCTCTTCAATCAATCACGTGACCCGTGCGTCACTTTTTTTGGGCTTCACGATTCACTTCGCGACTGCCTTGACAAAGCCAGAGGCACCCTGCGCTGCCTGGATCGACAGATTTACCTATTAATACTCCTCTCCTCGTCCCTGCGATCCCTCCTTTCCTCCTGTCACCCTTCTCCCTACAACAACTCCTCCGAATTTCCCTGCATGCAAATCGACTCTTTCTTCTTGATCTGAGGCGCGCAACGCGCAGTCCCCTCAACGAAACGGCCTGAAAGGCCAAGCCTCCTCCTTTCTTTATTCCTCTCTTCCCACACCTACATCTCTCACCTTACCTCAATCCTCTCTCCGTCTCCTAAGCAACATGAAGACCATGAAGTCCCGCCGCTCGGGTGGTGACCGCGGGGGCATTCGCAAGCGGGGCCCAACTCGCACCGATCGAGATGGTGACATGGACATGGATGGACCCGGTGCCCGTGGAGGCAAGAGAGGCCGCGGTGGTCCTAGTCGTCCGACTGGATCTGGTTCCGGCTCCGGCGCTGGCGCTGGTCGTCCCGCTCGTTCTGGCGGTGATCGGCCCCAAGCACGCGACAAGACTCTGGACGCCATTCAGAGGGCAATCACAAATACCCGGGACCAGGCCAATATCCGACAGGGAAAGAACAATGCTGCAAGCAACCTGGAGTCATTCAGCGTTCGTGGCTGGAAGACCAGCAAGGTCTCATCCCATCGTGACGGCGGCGTCGAAAACCTTATCGCATTTCTCGAGAGACGAATGAACGCCCATAGCAAATCAGGACCCCGCGCTAGAGTTACAAAGGTATGTTCAACATCTGAAGGCGCGATCACCAATCGCCAATCTCGACATTCACCCGGTTTCGACGTGTCTTGTGTTTTTTTCTCCAACGATGGCAGAACGGCGGCCGACATTCCTTGGGCCTCGCCGGTCTTTCTTGTTCTTCAAATGATTACGCTTCCCAAGGTCTTTCATGCCTTGCTAACTTTCGATAATAGTCGCGTGTCGAAGGCGACTCTCTCGTGGTGTCTGTTCGCCCCGAATTGGCGGACAGGATGCTCCGGCTCAATGAAAGTCTTTTCGCAGGAATCCACCTCGTCGTGGAGCCCTATGACGCCTCTTCGAGCGCCGCTCTTGATCGCGAATTGGGTACCACCTCCGGCACTTCCCCTTCGACCGCGGATACCAAGTCCAAGATGACGATGATCCTGTCCAAGCGTTACTATCCGGATACCAAACTTCTCGACCTCTCGAAACTCTCCTCCGATCCAGACCTGGTAGCTATGGGCATCTTCAACCAGACTTCGACTGAGTCCAAGTTCTTCCCTGCCCTGATGAAGGTCTGGGAGATGGGATTCACCAACACAGCCCAGCGACGAGAGGCCGTGGAGAGTGTCAGTCTCGCTCACAACCAACTCACTGCTGTCACTGCCGTGACCACTCTCTCCCAAACCTTCCCGGATATCAAGAACCTGGACCTTTCCCACAACAACCTCAAGGACTACCGCTCGATGAGCGCATGGCGCTGGAAGTTCCGCAACCTCGAGTTCCTGGATCTGACAGAGAACCCTTTCAGTGCTGAGCCCAATTTCAAAGAAACCCTGATGAAGTGGTTCCCGAAGTTGCAAACGTTGAACAACGTTATTGTTCGCACTGCCGAGGAGATCGCAGCTCAGAAGAAGACCCCCATTCCCGTTCAAGCACCACACTTCCAGGATGATGGCCAGATTGCGGAGAACTTCATCCGTGCCTTCTTCACCCGCTACGACACCAACCGTGACGAACTCGTTAAGAGCGTCTACGACCATCAATCCGAATTCACCATCAACGTCAACACCTCGGCACCCAAGGCCCAGCAGACCGAATCGGCAGGCTGGGACCCGTACATCAAAAAGAGCCGCAACCTCCTCAAAATCAACCACCTTCCTGCTCGCATGTCGCGTGTCTACAAGGGTGCGGAGAAGGTCCTTGAACTCTGGAAGAGTCTCCCGGAAACTCGTCACCCTGATATGACCGCCCACCCAGAGGAGTATCTGATCGAATGCCACCCCGTCCCCGGGCTTCCCGATCCTACTGGACAGAGCCCTACTGGTGTGGGTGGTCTGATGATCATGGTTCACGGAAAGTTCGAGGAGAGTGTTGGAGGCAAGGTCGAGACCCGCAGCTTCGATCGGACCTTTGTCATTGGCCCCGGTGGTGGAATGGGCGGTATTCGCGTCATTAACGACATCTTGTGCCTTCGGGCCTACGGTGGCCATGAGGCCTGGAGCCCGGAGAACCAGGCCATTCCTTACGCAGTTGCCCCCGCCGCCACTGCCGCTGCTGCCGCTGCTGCCCCCGTGGCTGTCCCTGCCGCCGTCCCTGCTCCTGTGCCCGCGCCCCTCGCCCAGCCCGGTATCCCCCATGGATACGGTGCCCCTGCTCCTGGAAAAACGGACGCCCAAGTCCAGCAGGAACAGTTGGTGGCCCAGATGAGCGCCAAGTCAGGCATGACCCTCCAGTTCTCGGAGATGGCTCTTTCCGGCAATGGCTGGAATTTGGATGCTGCGTGGAAGAACTTTGAGGAGCTCAAGGTATGCATACTTGAAATGATACACAAAGACTATGAAGATATGAAGACTAACTCATTTATACTCAGGCTTCGGGGACTCTTCCCGCCACCGCTTTCCTCTCTCCCGCCTAAGCGGTCTCTCTCACCCGATCACCCCCTCGGGTTTCTATTTCGCTTCTATTCTGTGATAGAATAGATTGACAAGTGACTACGGTCAAATCTCTATGTCACCGGGGATTTTGTAAGCTACAAGGAATGATGGCAGTACTGGTGGCTTTTTGTTTTTGCATTGCTCAGGCGAATGGGCAAAGTTTCACGAACATGTACTCTAGGATCTTAACATATGCCACATGTGATCAATGACTATGAGAAATATCAATCTCAAATCCATATTTCTAAGACTGTAGATGTAAAGAACATCAGTTGCTCCTCAATAAACCTGGGGGTTATAATGTAGGAAATGGGCTTGTTGTGATAGTTGATATACTTCCCCAGCCGCAGTCTGTTTGGGGTTGCGTAAGATGCCAAGCTGCCCCCCGGGCCACCTGGCCCGCGAAGACATGCGACCCGCGCTAAACATCTCCAATTCCCAATCGTCTCGGTCCTCCCACAGTTCACATTGGCCTGACACCAGAATTGTCTCCCGGGCATGAACAGGATGAGTTTTCCTTGAAGTGCTAATGGGATGACTGCGATTACTGTCCCGAGTACCGGCCACATGCCGCCAAATGAGGAGTCCTCTCAGGACGCCTTGGATGCAGGTACGGTCTTAACACTCAGTGCTATGCGCATGGAAATCACTAACTTGGTATGGTACAATAGTGGACTATGATCCGGTCGAACATTTGAATGCCATCTTCTCCCATCCCTCCACCCTCTCCTCCGTCTCCCAGGTCACGGGCACTCTCCACGCCTACGAAGATGAATTGGACGACAATATCAGCGCCCTGGTCGAAGAGCAGGTCACCTCCAATGCGGGCAGTGTGGAACGAATCCAAACGGCCAAGGCCGACCTGTCGGAGTTGTTCAAGAAGATCGACGATGTCCGGGAGCGCGCGATGAAGACGGAACAAGCTATCACGGATATGACGGCCGACATCAAGCAATTGGACAACGCGAAAAAGAACCTCACTCTCTCCATGACGGCCCTCAAGCGGCTCCAGATGCTCACCACTGCCTATGACCAGCTTCAGTCACTGAGTCGGACGCGACAATACCGAGACTGCGCGCAGCTTCTCCAGGCGGTGATCCAATTGATGGCTCATTTCAAGTCATACCGATCGATCGATCAAATTGCTATCCTGAGCCGGAATGTGGCAGATATACAACGGGATCTTCTAGAACAAGTCTGTGAGGACTTCGAAATTGCCTTTGCCAAGGGCGAGGTTGCTCAGAAGCGCGGGGTTCTCTCGGAGGCATGTCTTGTCGTGGATGCGCTAGGCGAGCACGCTCGATCCCGACTTGTGACTTGGTACTGCAACACCCAGCTTCGAGAATACCGCCAGGTCTTCCGCAACAATGAAGAAGCCGGGTCATTGGACAATATTTCCCGCAGATACTCCTGGTTTAAGCGCATCCTGAAGATCTACGACGAGGAGAACGCGGCCATCTTCCCGGTTGCTTGGAGGGTGAATGAAATTCTGGCTAATGTCTTTTGTGAGGGTACTCGTGATGATTTCAAGGGCATTTTGTCCCGGTCAGTGCGAAGTGGACAGGCGATTGACGTCAATCTACTGCTTTCGTGTCTGCAAGAGACACTGGAGTTCGAACATTCGCTTGAAAGTCGGTTCGCGCCTTCGCGCCCGTCTACGGACACGTTCACTTCCTCAAATGAAAACCCCGTCTTCAGCCAGTCTATCTCCGAGGCTTTCGAGCCTTATTTGAGTGTGTGGGTGGATGCACAGGACAAGCAGCTCGCCGCGCTGTTGCCCAAGTACCGTCAACAACCATTGCGACCCCCTGACGAGGAGTTCAATTCGCATATAGTGATCTCTTCCTCGACTGAACTGTTCGCATTCTACCGCCAGTCTCTACAGCAGTGCGCCAAGCTTTCGACTGGGGGAAGTTTGGCCAAGCTGGCCAAGGTATTTGCAAAATACTTGGACCAGTACGCACAACAGGTGCTTCTCAACTATATCAGCGAACGACCTAGTGCTCACACACCCTCAAAGGTGCCAACCATTGAGGATTTGGTTTCCGTTCTTAACACTGCCGATTACTGCTACACTACGTGCACTCAGCTGGAAGAGAAGATCAAGGGTCGGTTGGATGAGTCTCTCAAGCAATCCGTGGACCTCCAGAGCCAGGCAGATTCATTCATGGGCATTGCTTCTGCCGCTGTGCGAGGCCTTGTCCGGCAAGTCGAGGTCGAACTGGAACCGAGTTGGCGAGAAATGCGCAACACACCCTGGAGCAAAATTGAGGCTGTCAGTGACCAAAGCTCGTATGTGAGCGAGCTACTATCGCGCACTAAAGGGAAAGCCTCGGAGATCTTGCAATTGCTGCATAAGCAACAGTATGCTCGGGCCTTCTCCGATCACCTGGTCGAATTGATGTCAAGTTTGTTCATCAGCAATGTCTTCCAGTGCAGGCCTGTGTCGGAGACAGGCGCTGAACAAGTATGCTCTATCTACCATTGCTATTTACTCGCCGGCTTTCCGAAGCTAACTTCTCTATCTAGATGCTTCTCGACTCATATACGCTCAAGAGCGGGCTTTCATCTCTCCTACCTGCCCCCGCCCCAGCTGGATTCGTAAAGCGCGTCAACGCCAGCTTCTTTAAGATCGAAACTCTCCTCAAAACACTACAAGTCCGACCATCGCCTCCCGAGGCCTTGGTGCAAGCATACCTCATCCATATCGCGGACCGTAACAACAACAATTTCCGCAAGATTCTCGACCTCAAGGGGATTCGTAGCCGGCAGGAACAGAATCATCTCGTCGAGCTCTTCCAGCTACACCGTCAATCTGACCGCTACGCATCAAATCTCCAACCAAGCAATCCAATTCTCAACGCTCTCCAAGCACCGGCTGCTACCACCACGGGATCGGTCTCGCAAGGACTGGGACTTAGCGGTGCTGGATCGATGCCTTCACGGTTTGATGCCTCCATGCTGGGCTCTGCCATCATGTCCGCCGCCAAGGACGGTGTCGATCGTTTCGGAAACCCTAGTCTCAGCGCACTTGGTGCTTCCGGTGTTCCTGGCATCACAGGCACGCCCCCGTCTGTCTCTGGGTTCTCGGGTCCATCAGGCACGCCTTCTCCTGCGCCGACTTCATCTGCCCAACAGATTGGCCATGCGCATACCCCCTCGGAATCGACTGCTGCTGCCAATCTCAATGAGAATTTGAAGAATATTGGGAAGTTCTTCCGTCGTGATCTGGGTGGCTTTGGGGGTCGGTTTGGACGTGGCGCTGATGATGCTGCGTAAGCCTGGTGATGGGTTGTGTGTGTACTAAGATACCTTCTTGTTTCTTCATTCTCGGTTGGGGATGTGGATTGTTAATTATATTCTTGTGATTAAGCATTGATACCACGAATAGAATCTGTGGATTTGCTGGCTCGTCTTAGAGTTGTGTATAGATACTACGTCGATGTTTTACAAGCTAGCTGACGAGATGGAATGTTTAGTTTGGGAGCGAGTGCATGGACATGAGACATTTCATTTAATATCATAAACATAACCTCTAGACACAGCAGACGTTCAACCTTGCCCAATTCCACCATTCCGAACGCCAAAGTGCTCTACGTTAGCTACGGTCAATACCAGAAGCGCTACGAGAGTACCATGACTCATGAGAGGGAAAACCTGTTAAGCTGAGAAATAGTTAGCAATTGCTTCTCAAGATCATATGCAAGTAAATGATGTAAAGCAAGAGCAAAACAAGGCAAGGCGTCAGCAAAAAATTAGAGTGTTGTTGTTGCGTTTTTAATCGTCAGCGCGGTCTCACGGGAGACGCATGCTCGGGGTTAAAAATGTTTAATCATCCGCCGGATTTGAATGCAGGTTGTAACCGAGTGGGTTGAGGAAAACAAGATAGACAAAAAGAAAAACTGTGGAACTCACCATTGAAGCCGAGCAGGTAATCTGGAGCGTGATTTCTACGATCCAGAAAACATGTCAAAATGACGAACCAAGAAAGTTTCGTTGCCAAGTCATAGTCGTTTTTTTGTCATTCCCTATCCCTTTTCAGAGCTAGGTCAAATAAAAGTATCTAGTACATGGCTGACTTAACACATCAGTTAAGATGCGCTTAGTCGAAGAGACCGAAGCCCATGTCGTCGTCGGACTCCTCCTCCTCCTCAGCGGGAGCGGCGGCGGCGGGAGCATCACCACCGGAGGGAGCGGCGGCAGCGGCAGCGGGGGCAGCGGCGGCGTAGGCATCGGGGTTAGCAATGCGGTCCTTGAGGGCCTCAATCTCGGGCCAGCTGATCTCAGTCTCAACAGCAACGGCAAGAACCTTCTTGTAGGTGTTGATGAGGGAGTGGATGGCAGCGGGGAGAGTGGGGATGTTGGTAGCCAGAGACAGAGCAGTGATGGTGGCAATAGCCTGGCTGAAAGCCTTGAGGAGCTGCTCATCGTCGATGTCGAGGACATCGGCGCTGAAGCACTGACCCTGGTCGTACACCTGGGCAATGGTCATACCGTAGGTGAAGGGAGAGATGTTCAGCAGGTTGAGCAGGGCAGCCTCGGAGGCACCGACCTTGTTACCGGCCTCAATGAGCTTGAGGTCAGAGACAATTTCGATGGTACCACGAGCAATCTTGGTGGGGACACCGAGAGCCTGGAAGAACGAGGTCTTACCGGGCTCCATACCGGTGTTACCAGCAGGAACGTAGACATCATCGGGAGCGATGGCACCGGCACGGGCGGGAGCGGCGACACGGTTAGCCAAGATCTTGGACTTGACATCCTTCATGTCGCTGTTGGTGAAGATGAAACCAACGTTGCCTGTACAAGAAAAAAGCACACGATGTTAGTTAATGGTTATCTGGTTGGCAAAGCAAAATGACGGCGGAACTCACCCTTGATGTGAGGCATCAGAGAGGCGAACTCAGGGTTCTCAGTGACGAAACCCTTAAGAGCACGGCGGACCATGGTGTTCTTGCCCATGAGGACGGTAGCCTGGCCACGCAGAGTCATACGGATCTCGTGCATCTGCTGAGAGCTGACATTGTCGACACCGACGATGAAGACAGTGCGGTACTCATCGAGCAGGGCCTTCAGCTTATCGAAGTAAGCGGCCTTGGTTGCGGACTTGCCCCCCATTTCTTCTTATTTGACCTGAAGATAGGTTGTTTAAGGACAAGGGTGATGGATTGTTGGTGGTTGGAGAAAGGAAGGAGGCGGCGCGGTTGCGGGTTTTGTGGACTTTTTTTTGGTGCGGCTTCGGCTAGTGTGCGTCACGTGATATGTGGCCGCAGAGCTGTCGCTTGAGAAGTTGAAGGACGATAGAAGACGGCAGAGAGATATTGAGGATCTTGGGATCGACTTCAATTCCTGATCTAAATTCTTGATCACGTTCGATTTGGGTGGATTTTCCATTTCGCCAATTGTTTCAATTGACTTCGGACCATCTCCCTCAAAATCTCACCACGGCCTTCCGTGCCGATCAAATTTTATCAAAGTTCTATCAAGCCGGCATTCACTATGGCCAGCTTTCAGCACCCCTTTCAGAGCTTGAAACTTGTCAAGCGCCATTCGCAGGGCCTTCCTAATGTCTTGGTGGCCTCCGCGGGCTCATATATCTACTCCTATGGAGCCGAGAGCGGGCAGCGTCTGGCTGTATGGCCCCAGCAGGTAGAGACCAGCCGCGGATCTACTTCGGCTCCAACATCAACATCGGATGATCAGGCTCCGCCCGAGAAGAGGATCAGGCTCTCGTCGCCTGAGAATGATTCTGAGCAAAAGCCTGCCGCGACAACGGACGGTTCCACCGCCTGGACCAATATTCCCATAGTATTGGTAACCTCTGACGGCAAGCATGTAGTAGCCTTGACTGCCGAGGACAAATGCATCCGAGTGTTCAGCTTGACCGAAGATGGACATTTCAAGGAGCTCAGCTCTCGGTAAGTCTTTACTGCACTATCCCGATCTTATAGCAGTTACTAAATCGAAATGAAGGAATATGGCCAAGAAGCCATGCGCATTGGATTTGACTCCCGACGGCCAGACCATCCTGTGTGCTGACAAATTTGGCGATGTCTACTCTCTACCTCTGATTCCCGGGGAGTACGTGAAGCCGAAGATCCAAGCTAAAAAGCCCAAGCCGGTTGCGACCACGCTCACTGTGCATTCGAAGCGTAACCTTCGTTCTTTGGAGCAACAGCACATGCATGCCGAGCGGGCTGAAAAGGCCGCTAGGGCTCAAGAGGAGGGCGAGGAGAAGACCGCCCTCAACTTTGAGCACCAGCTTATCCTTGGTCACGTCTCGATGCTGACTGATGTCATCGCTGTGTCTCTGCCAGGCGCAGTGGGAAGCCGCCCAAGGAACTACATCCTGACTGCGGATCGCGATGAACACATTCGTGTATCCCGTGGTATTCCTCAGGCCCATGTCATTGAGCAACAATGCTTGGGTCACACTTCCCTTATTAGCAAGATCTGCATTCCTTCGTGGGCACCTAGTGTCCTGATCTCTGGTGGCGGCGATGGCCAGCTACTTGTGTGGAACTGGAGTGAAGGCCAACTCCACCAAAAGATGCCATTGGGTGATTCGATCCAGGATGCCATCGTGAGTGGGATCTGGGATGTCTCTTTTGACCAGCCTGCTGGCACTGCTGGATCTATTAACTTAATTTTGGTTGGCCTGGAAGGGTATGTATCAACTCTTGATTGGATGAAAGGACTCCTGCTGATAGGTGAAATAGCACCCCTCAACTCCTCTGCTACACCCTTGAGAGCGACAACACACTCAAGTCTCAAGGTGTTGTTCAGCTATCTGGAAATGTACTCGACATTGCCTGCATTGATTCCCAAGGCTCTGTTGTCATCTCGCTGGATACCATTCGAGAGTCTGGCTCTACGGATATGTGGAAGGAGAACGCAGTGTCTCCCCAAACTCTCACTGAGTGTCTCCAGTTCAGCATTGCCGATGGAGGCCTGAAGTGGACTGTGGGTGATGACACGAGGACGGCCTCTATCAATGCAGGTGGCACCTCTAGTCTTCCTGTCACGCTGGACGCCAAACAAAAGAAAACAATTAACGACACCTTGTACAACCTGGGCAATCTCCGGAAGAGAACCTTTGATGACTAAATGGTGCAGACTCCGGCATACTATGTACATAATAATCAAGTGCCAATTTCTTCCGTCTCTAGGTCATATTCAACATTAAATGGTTCTTTCAACCCCCAAACGCTTAACCAACAGTCTATGTAAGCTATATATGTTGTGGCCCTTTTTCACTGTTTCTATTTTACTTGATTGACTTAGCCTTTCTGTAATACAATACTTTGAATATATAATCGGAGTTTCTCGCAACATCTTTTGGCAATTTTTCCGTCTGGGAATCTTGAAGTAGTCCTCTTATTGCCGAGCTAGGCTCTATACCCACCAAGACTTATTCAACTTCAGTAAGAAGATATGATTAGGATAAGTCACACCCAAAACTTAGACAAGTAATAATATCTTCGCAGGCAATTATCTTTATTGTAAACTGGATGCTGCCTTTTCGGCTGCACATGATGTTCGCCACAATTTCAGACACTACTATTCCAATATTTTCATAGCCATTCCTATAGCTACTTTCCCACCCAAAAGTACTATCTAGCTTTGGATATGCTAAAAAACATTCTAAATCAAAATGAATTCTGCAAATTCATAACTTCCTAGTATTCTATTCACTTGTAAACCCGTACACATCGCCAACACATCCAGTCAACCCGTTTGGTTACGGTACTCTCAGTCGCATCCTGTAAATCTCTCAGCACTACAGGGAACTCAATTGACCTTTAATTATCATCGAACAAGTCACTTTGGCCGAGTGGTTAAGGCGCGCCCCTGCTATTCAAGCATCTTCACGGATGTACGGATGTTAAGGGCGTTCATTCGTGAGCGTAGGTTCGAATCCTGCAGGTGACGAGAACTTGGATCCTCAGATCCATATCTTTTTTAGACGCAATTTTTTGGTCCCCCGCCTCGCTCGCTACAGTTACTCGAGTCTGGTTAACTTGTAGGGTACTTGGATGTCTATTGGGTACATAGTTCACGTGTCTTGGGAGGGAATGTGGTAAATCTACAATTGACTTAATTACACTTCCTACAATTGATCCGCCTCGATCCACCATAGCTGGTTTGGCCATACTCTACATGCAGACGCGATAGCTAGATCATGTATGACTATTCCTTTCCTTTGCATGAAACTAGCATAGAACCATCGGGATTCGTGGTAATACTGTGCGGCGTCGGTAGGTTGTGGGTTGGGGTGATAGAGACCTAGCATTGTATAACTAGCGTGAAAGTATGACATGCTTGCAATAAACACTCGATGGATACAATTGAGACTATCAATGGCTCCCAGTATGACTAGAAATGAACGATTCATTCCTTGGGCCCGTTATTTGGACTTGTTGAGGATGTCTCTGTAGCTGGTGTTAAAATTCTGGACATGTAGATGCGCCCTTGGCAACTCATGGTAATCTCTCCTCGACTGAACTTCAACATGAATTTGTTCTTGTGATTCGACCCCCGATCGGAAAGATACATGTAGCCCTACTTGGGAAGATGGTTCAAAAGACCCTCGAGAAGATCTTTCGAAGTAAAGGATATTTACGTGTATCTAGATAAGCCTAAACCCCTCCTTACCCTCTTGGTTTACTGCTGCACGTATATATAGAGTGCCCGTGTTCCGATTAGGGCCACTTTACTATGCAAGGAATGGGCTGAACTTCAATCTAGATTGTTAGTAAACAGGGCATTGATATCGAATCAACAAGAATCCCCCGTATCTTTCCTCTAAAAGCCTTGGAGGCCGTCTCAAGGTTCCTTCGCGGGCATGCATCTGATCCCGTGGACGATGTCTCGATATCGCATATTTATCGGGCTGTACACAACAGTGTTCAAAAAATAGAATGCGAGCCCTAACAGGTTGATTCTCACTACCATGAGTCAATAAGAATTACTCTGTAACTATAAGAAAAAAAAGCCCGTGAACGGCCATTGAAGCAGCTCGATATCAACAAGCAGGGGAAACTAGCAGTGTTTAGATGAAAACCCTTGGTTTGGTCACAAGTGTAGATATACAAAATTGTAACCTGAAATCGTGCATCATAGGAGACAAATCAAGTATCCATATCCCAGAATGAGAATCATTGGCTGTTTCCTACTACTATCCGGTTGGTGAGGACCCTAGGGGAGTTTATGCCATCATCTCCCAGTTAAAGCGGGGACCTCGAGGACAGCCTACGGTGGTATATTCCTTTAAAAGCTTCACAGTGGGATCCCTACAGAAACTAGGTATCCCCCAGCGAAACCTGCACGCAGATTGTCAGCATACATAGTGATGCCCGAAGTCCAGGCACAGACATCGAGCTACCAAAACACATTTACGAAAACCGATCTACGAAGCCGAAACCACGAATCATGCTGTGAATAATGCATTAAACAAAACACAACGCAATGTCTATTCCGAGTCGTCATCAGTGCATGCTAGGAAAGAAAAAAAGAAGAAAAGCACGATCAAGAAGAAGAAACATTCCAGGTCACCCCTCAATAATGCCCGTCCAGAGTCGACCATGGGACGCCGACAACGCAAAGACCGCTCAATTCTCATGTTCCGACACAGATATTTTGGCCTGCAATCGTGGTCATATCTAAGCTAGCGTGTCACCATCACTGGCCGTGGGCCAAGACCGTGTCGTCTGCTCCGTATCCTCCCGCCGACATTCGAAGAAAGGTTAATCCGAAGATAGACAAAGGAAAAACACACCAACAGAGAAGACGAATGTTAGATCACGGCCTGGTGCGAGGAATAACGAGATTACGAAGTAGGTTGAAAAGAGGCAATAAAGAACGGTGCGAAGCAAAAAGGCCATCGGTCTTCAAGTCTCGTCACAGCGAACGCCATCGCAAAGCAGAAAAGAGGAATTGGCGTGGTGGATTGCATTGTCCCATCCACCTCATGATGGGATACGAAAGAAAAGAAAAAAAAAGAAATCACGGCTCCGGACACATCTCTATCTCACCAGTTCCTAGGATGGAGAAGGACGGCCGGTGCCCCTTCACATGGTATCATAAGCGAAGTTTCGTCAAGTCGGCCTAAACATTTGACCTTTTGATTTTCAGCTTCCCCGACTCATTCACACGGCGTGAGTGCGTTGGGTCCCCGCGTTTACTGCGAGGCGCACTGCACGCGCTCGGCACCGGGAGGAACGTCATCATCGTCCTCATCCATGGCGGAGCCGGCGGCACCGTGGGCGCGTGCCTGAGAGTTCTCGTTGGCATCAATATCCTCGAGCTCAAAGTCCTCGACCATCGCATCCGCTGGGGGCTGGTTCTGCTGCGAGCGAGGGGGCAGAACCTGCTCGAGCAGCTCGAGGTTCTGCAGCTGGTCCTTCTCGGGGAACTTGACGTCGAACTTGATGTAAAGGTTGCCGAAGTCGTGGTGGCGGAAGGAGGGCATACCCTGACCGGGGATGACCTTGATGGCATCTAATCACGGAAGTCAATTAGTACGAGTTCAATAGAGGCACCGGCCGATTATAGCCGATTGGAAATGAGGAGTCTAGGGATCGAGAAAGGTAAAGTGAAAACCTACCAGGAACGATAACCTCGCCAGGGGCGATGTTTACGGTCAACCACCGGTCGTCGAGGTGCTCAATGTGAATGCTGCCGCCGGCAAGAGCGGTCAGAAGATCGATCTCGGCTTGATAGAAGAGGTCGTCGTTCTTGCGCTGGAAGCGAGCGTGGGGCTTCTGCTCAATCTCAAAGACAACATCGCCAGGCATGACACCGGGCATCTGGTCACCCTCGCCGCGGAACTCGATCTTGTGGCCGTCGCGCACACCCTTATCGACGTGGACGTGCAGCACCTTGCGCTCGACAACGGTCTTCTTGCCGTTACACTTCTTGCAGCGGTCCTTCTCCCGGATGATCTCACCCTCACCATTGCAGTCAGGGCAGACAGTCTGGAAGCGCTGGATCATGGGACCCATCTGGCGCATCATGGTCTTCATACCGCTACCGTTGCAGCCAGTGCACTCCTTGACGGCACCATCCTTGCCACCGCGGCCCTCACAGCCGGAACAGATGACGGACTTCTGCAGAGCCAACTTGGAGACCTTACCACGGTAGATATCCTCCAAGTTAACCTTGTGCACGTGGTGAATGGTGCGAGCCTTCTTGGGGCCGGTGTCGCGCATGCCACCGCCGAACATTCCGCCGAAAGCACCGCCGCCGCCGAAGAACTGAGAGAACAGGTCCTCGGCGTTCATACCACCACCGGCACCGCCGCCTTCCAGGCCCTCCTCACCATATTGGTCGTAGATTTGACGCTTCTGGGGGTCAGAAAGAATCTCGTAGGCGTGCGACAGCTCCTTGAACTTCTCCGCGGCATCGGGGTTGTTCTTGTTCTTGTCTATATGGGAGAAAAGGCATTCCGTGTCAGCCGGGATGATTCTAGGCGATGAAGTTGTGTGTATATGGGAGGGGTTAAGTCCGCCAGGGCGTTCACGTACCAGGGTGGAACTTCAGGGCACCCTTCTTGTAGGCGCTCTTCAGCTGGGCTTCAGTAGCCGCGGGATCAACCTAAAGTGAGAGAAGAAAAAAGCGGTCGGTCAGATTCCATGCACATCTTAAGTAAAGTGACAGATGTTTGAACGTACCCCCAGGCACTCGTAGTACTTGGTGTCTTTGACCATGATGTCGGGCTCAGGCGAAAGAATGTGGAGGAGGGGAAGAGATGAGGGTAGGAATCAAGAGGAGAGGCAGGGAAGTCGAGGAGAAACAGGGATCGCTGGCACCTCAGAGCGACAGAAGAAGAAAAAGCGACACCCGGGAAATCAAAGAAACCAGGAATGAAAGGAGGGGGAGGGGGAGATAAAAGGAAGACGAATCTCTCTTTTGGATAAGAGAATCGAGAATGGAGAATAATAGGGAGCCCGATGGCTGAGTAACTTTTTTTCAGGTACTGTACGGGGCGTGTAATCCGACCACCAAATAAATTACCAGGGCCAATTTCAGTGACAAAAGGGACCGAATACAGTACTGTATGCGTTCAAAAAAGAAATCCACAGTATTAATGTCTGTATTACTGTCTTTCAATCTCTACTGTTCTAGACTAGAACCATAGGCCTTTTTCTACATTTCTATCACAATGCCCTCCTCGGCTGCCTGCTTTCTGGCGGCTTCTTTCCACGCTGCCCTGTGAAAGCTGATTTGGCCCGAGCGCCGGTTCGACGGGATTCTGCGGACTTCGATGGCTTTCGCTAGAATTCGCCGCGCTTCCATGGTCTACCTGGTAATCCAATTTCGTATTGTAATGTAATGTATTCAATGAGTAATCAAGGCAATGGAGAATTATTAGTTAACTAACGGATGAAAGATCACCGAGGAAGAGGCAAATCCTAGGAATGTTATACTTAGAGACTCCTGCTGACTCCATAAGGCTACGGAAAATCGGGAGTTAATGAGGCTTACTCATATCCAATGATAGTGGCGACTGGTGCAGGATCTGATATAGTTCCAAGGTTCTTTCATTGAGGGGGGCGAATGTTCATTCTGGTATGAGGGATACCGTGAAATAATACAGAAGTTGATCCGACGAAAAGGCTATTTCAAATCATACGCCGTTCATTTGTCTACTATACAGTATGTGATCAACACAGGTGGTATTCATGATTATATATGTTATGTCATTTATTGGTTACTATAGATAATGTATGGAGTATTCCAATACTATTGTACTTCACTACTACTTCTATGCATATGTACTGTGGCTGAAGAACTACAATATAACCGCCACACTTTATCAGCCATATCCCTTATCGATAAGCCGAGGGGAAAAAGTTCTTCAAGCTCCACTTCGACTCTCGCGTCAAATCGTCATCGGTCCTCTCCGAAATTATTTAGGTGGAACTGTTGGTTACTAGATAAGCCCGTACATTCATACTTCTCCCCCGCTCCCTCGGCTTTTCCCCCTTCCATATTTCCCCACACACAAACCCAATTGCTATCAATTGCTATATCATCACTATGGAGCAGGACCCAGGTTTCATCGCGGCTGTTGAAGAGGCAAAGCAAGGCGCCGCCGAGGGCGGCGTCCCCATTGGCGCCTGCTTGGTCTCTAAGGATGGCAAGATTTTGGGTCGAGGACACAACATGCGCGTGCAAAAGGGTAGCCCCGTCCTGCATGTTAGTATAACCTTAACGAATTGATATCTTCCGTAGAGACACTGCGGAGCTTGAGCACCACGCGGAACACATTGAGCTAACAGTATGGTTTAGGCCGAGATGTCTGCTCTGGAGAACTCTGGCCGTCTCCCCGCCTCGGCGTACGAGGGTGCCACCATGTACACGACCCTCTCCCCTTGCGACATGTGCACGGGTGCGTGCATTCTATACAAGATCAAGCGGGTGGTCATTGGCGAAAACCAGAGCTTCATGGGCGGAGAGGAATACCTGCTCAACCGCGGCAAGGAAGTCGTCGTAGTGGACAACCAAGAGTGCAAGGATTTGATGGCCAAGTTTATGAAGGAAAAGCCGGAGCTATGGTAAGTTCATGTCGTTTCTTGTTTACTGTTCGGTGGGAGAGAAGTGAACCATTTAGCAGCTTTGCTAAACGAAGTGTGTACCGCATAGGAACGAGGACATTGCCGTCTAAGTATCATAGAAGTTGATTTAAATATTCCGAGCCAGTGCGATCTGGGGGTCTCCAACAATGGACCACGTCAATTCATATTCATATTCCATAATTTGGCAGAGGGGTGTTCTAGTGTGTCGTGAAACTTTTCTAGGCTTCTCGCCTAGGAGTAAGGGCTAAGAACCCCCGAAATAATTAAACGAGAAGGTGGACGATCTATTTCGTCAGACGGTGAACTTCCTCAAAGAAAAACTTGAGGTGCTCCGGGTCAACGAAGGGGGTGACGCCTGTTAAGAAATTTAGTACTACATCGCCTGGCTTATTAGAATACTGTCACACGTACCGTGTCCGAGGTTACAAATCCAACCCTGCTTGCCCTTCTGGAATCCCTCAACCATCTTCTCCACGGTAGCAGTGATAGCGGGACGGCCACCGTAGAGCATACCAGGATCAGCATTGCCCTGAATGACCGCTCGGCCGTTGGCGACACGGAAGGCCTCGGCGGGGTCGTGCAGCCAGTCCAGACCGACAACATTGTAACCAGACTGGCACAAGTCGTCCAGGGCGTACCACGCACCCTTGGCAAAGACAGTCATGGGAACGGGCTCCAGACCCATCTCCTTCAGTCGCTTCGGCAGGTTGGCCGAGATGTGACGCAGGTAAGGCAGAGAGAAAGAGGCAAACGAAGCTGGCGACAGCTCGCCAGCCCACGAGTCAAACACTTGCACCAGCTGTGCGCCAGCTGCAACCTGGAGTGCCAGGTATTCCACGCAGATCTCTGCGATCTTCTGCAGCAGTGCTTGCGACTCGGTGGGGTACTTGTAAACCCAAGTTTTAGACTGGACAAACATCTTGCTGCCACCACCCTCGACCATGTAGCACAGCAACGTCCATGGTGCGCCGCAGAATCCGATGAGCGGCACGCGGCCCTTCAGCTTGAAGCGAGTGAGCGAGATCGCCTTGTAGACATAGTCAAGCTCTGACTTCACGTCCACCTTCTTGGCCATCACCTTCTCGTACTGTCCATCCGTGGGTGACTTCAGAGGCTCGGGGAAATGCGGGCCTTTCTTGTCCAGCATTTCAACCACCATGCCCATGGCCTGCGGAATTACCAGAATATCCGAGAAGATGATAGCAGCGTCAATGAGACCCTCATAGCGGTCAATCGGTTGGATGGTCAGGGTCGAGGCGATTTCCGGCGAGCGGCAGCATTCGAAGAAATCCCGGCCTGCCTTTGCTTCATGGTACTCGGGGAGGTAGCGGCCGGCTAAAGACAAGGAAAGAATTGCGGGATAATTAGATCGTCTGGTTCAATTTCACGGGAATGGGAGCTTCGTAAAAGACTTGGAACGCGGGGATGAGCTCACCCTGTCGCATAACCCAGATTGGCGGACGCTCCACCTTCTCGCCTACGTTTGTCAGCGGTCATGTAGAAGAGAGGGAATTGAAGAGTATGATACCCCGAGCAGCCCTCAGCAGCAAATCGTTTCTCAGTGGCTCAAATTGTTCTTGCATGGTGGGTGTTTTATGATAGTGGGAGAGGAGGGGAGGGGACTGGAATTGTAACGCCGGGTAGCCGAGGATTTTGCGGGGAGCGCTTGGCCTGGATAAAGGTACCGTACTCGAACAGCAAAAACAACTGCCACTCTCCAAATAAAGGACTAGACTGAAATTAGGAGTGAAAGCAAAACCATGGATACCAGCATATTTGACTACATAAAATTCGAAAGTAAGGAATGGGCACGAGGTGTAAAAATGACATTCTTGGCTACCGAGACAAAAAAGAAAACCGACAAGGACGTGATTCGAACACGCGCGGCCGAAACCATCCGCTTAGCAGGCGAACCCCTTAACCGCTCGGGCACCTTGTCATTCTACGAAGAAATTATTCTAAAGGGTATTATTGCGACGGAGTGCTTTGCCGGATTTCATAGTTCGAGTAAGTGTTAATGCTACGTATAGCACTACACACTGAAGCTTGTTTCCCACTAGAGATGATTATTAGACTTCAAAGAGACCTAAAGGAATGGTCAAAAATCTTACGTTTCACCAGAAACCCAAAAACAACACGACAAGGACGTGATTCGAACACGCGCGGCCGAAGCCATCCGCTTAGCAGGCGAACCCCTTAACCGCTCGGGCACCTTGCCTTTATGATACAAGATTCCATTAGATGTGATTCAAACCAATCTTTCACTGCTAGAAAGAGAAATTTAAAAAAAAAATCGACAAGGACGTGATTCGAACACGCGCGACCGAAGCCATCCGCTTAGCAGGCGAACCCCTTAACCACTCGGGCACCTTGTCTTTTTGATACGTCATGCCGCAATCCATGATATACCAACCCAATCACATGTATCCAAATAAAATGCCATCTTCAAGTTCTATAAGCTTTCAGTACGCCTTGGACCCAGGGCAATCCCCCTATCCCACCGCAAATACCCCCTACCATATACAAACAGTGCCAAGTAGATGCTTCACCTTGCTATCAGCCCCAACGTTAGAGGTTTGAACTGTGGAGAATTGTCATGATCATTTAATCAGATGTTTGAAGACATCATAATGTTAGGCACTAGTGGTAGTCGTATGGAGATACTGGTTTAACTGGGAGACCATTCCCTAGTAGGTGAGTGCCAACCTGTATCGAACGTCACTGTGTACGGAGTAGTATTTGGGTGCATACGTATAGTACGACTCCACAGAAGAAGCAATTAGTACTCCATTGATTTTATTTCCCTTCAATTATACAGCGAACAACCTACTACCTTATCAGCAACCTTGAAAATACCTTCTCTCGCTCCCCAGTTACCCTGTTTGTGCTTCAAACACCAGGTAGCTCACCTCCTCTCTTGTCAAGTCTTTCCATCGACGAGGTCTCTTCAGCCACAGAGCTGACTTCGAGCGTCTAGGCCCTTTGACTCCCTAGATGGGACCTATCATCTAATCTAGGGGTACGATGGGGTTCCTTTTCCTTTTCTTTTTCTCTTCAAGTCTTTCCTTCCTCGAAGAAGATCTGGCCGTCTTGATACGACTCCACTACTCAAGAAAGAGTATTCCTCATAGCCAAGTAAAGTATCAAATGAGCAAACTGTCGGCAATTATTTTCTTAATTGACACTAAACTATGGAGGTTGGTAAGATGTAAGATACTAGATACTGAAAAAACGCAGCACTTCGACAAACTCCCAACAGCAATTAATGGAGACAATCAACTTGCCAAGTCAAGCAATCACTTTCATTCTTGCTGCCCGTAATCCAATGGCCCTATGATTCTCTACAGAAATCCAATAGGTCCTAGTCAATGAGAAAATGTCCAATAGAGAGATTTCCAGCGAAATATCAAAAACTCTTCCCAAAGAAGGCCTTGCATGTATGCCCACATGAACAAAGTGGGTTCGACCCCACAGATTTTGCTTATTTACACTCACAGACCTCTATTTTCTCTCTGTTTAAGCCATGTCACTCTCGATGCCTCAATAAACCCAAATTACATGTAAGTTGCTGGCAGGATGAATCAATATCAATTAGATTTGGCTACCAAAGCCGCTGGTTTGAGCATATTAGTCATAAAAGCAGTACAACCGCGCTTATTAATTATGCACTCCCGTGCTGCCCGCCGTGTCCGCTATCGTCCACGGGGGTTTGCGATTATCTTTCGGCGCGACTCCCGGACGATGCACAACCAGCTTGTGTTGGCACCTTTTGAGTTCAGTCATTGCATTATTGTCTTTCCTTTTGCCGGGGTATATTCTCTCATTTTCCTCTCCAGACACGGGTTATAGAGTGATAGACGGCTAGCAGACAGCGTTCTTCCACTGCGTCCCACAATTACCCTTTGCGGCAGACCATCAACACTGCGTGTCCATGGTCTCTTTCTTTCGTTTCATGCTTCTTTGACTTGAAATCGCTTTTCTCGACCCATTTGATTCTTATAAACACTCTTCTATACCCATACAAAACCGAGTGCATCGTTCCTACGCGCCAAAATGCCACCCCTCCCACCATCTCCCCTGAAACTCTCTCACCGCCGCCCCTCCGACTTCGACGACTCCCCAATCTCTCCTGGGACAGGAGGAGTCAATGGCTTTGCTCTTCAAAGCCCTCTTTCGCCTCGAACCCCGCGCTTGTCTGCCCCACCATCTCCCGTCACCTCCCGCCGGGGTACCAGTGCTATGAACGGGTCTCACCGAGAGTCCGTGGATTTCCCCGCCGAAACGAACGGCGGTGGTTTAGGCAATCTTGCTGATGAATTGGCCGACGCGTGGGAAGAGGATGAAGACGGATATGGCTATGTATCGGGCCAAGAGATGGGAGCCACGGGGTCTCAGCAGATGGAGCAGAGTGATGAAGAGGATGGGTACATGCAACCCACTCGCGATATGCGCGTCCATTCTCCATCAGTCGACTCACCAGATCGCAGGAATCGACTCCGTGCCACCCAGCTTCGGCAGCATCGGCGACAGGAATCCCACTACGATGGATCAGATTACGGAAATGACTCGGATCTCGACGAGGCAGCGGACATTCCCCCCTCACTAGAGATGCAAATGGCTGATATCGAGAGCCTAGCGCGCCGAGGCATTGAGAACAATGGAAGTGAGAGTGACCACGTCGTTCAACGAACGGTGGAGGCGCTCCGAGATCTTGGTGGACAGAGTGGCATTGAAAACGGTGCCATGCGGTAAGTTTCTCTTGGCAATGTGCTTTCATGCTCAGGAAGCTAATCATTCATAGATTAATCACCGCTCATTCCTCCATCACATCCCACCTTACTCACCAAACACGCACTCTTCAATCTCTGATCCATCCACTCCTCTTCTCGCCATTTCCACTTCTTTCTGAAGACGCCATTGACTCACTCATGCCTCTAATCGATGAAGGCCTCCTCCCAAATCTCCCATATCCACTCCCCGAGCAGCCCCGCCGAGGCTCTCGGCCCTCGACTCCATCACAGCAAAATAACCAAAACCCCCTCGTCTCTCTACAGGCTCTCGTCACACAAACGGCCGACATTACCGCCTCTCTTCGCAGCCTGGGCGATACCCTATATGAGTCCCGCCAGCTAACATCCACGGCATCTCGACGCCTCCGGTCCGCGCGTGAACTCGTTGCGGACCTTCGGCGCGAAGAAGAAAGCCGTGAGGAAGGCTCACGATGGATTGAGCGCGGTGAGTGGGACCGTCGACTTAAAGGTCGCGAGGCAGGCCAGGAGTGCAGGGACGTCGTCAGCGGCTTTGAGACTGTCTGTGGTGAATGGCGCGAGAAGTTATTCGGGCCTGGTGCCGAAGTGGCCGCTGCGTAGCCACCTTACCATGACCTTCATTTCATTTCCTTTTGATCTTTGGAAGGAGACTATTACCTTCCGAGATGCACCTAAGCTGCCATGAGCTTTGCTTGGGTCTTTTTTCTTGTCAGATATCCCTTGATTCCATGAATCTCTTCTTTGTGTTTACACTGGCCCTGTGATACATCCCCCTATCACCCAGGTGGTGTTTCTTGTTTATATCACATCCCCCTCCCCCTGAAGCTTAGATTGCTATATCCCTACGATATATACTATTAGAGGTAGCTCTAAGGCTATGAAATATTACATATTCTGCTTTGATATTCCTCGATTTCTTCATATTGTCCGATAGAAGTCGAATTTACTACTCTCCAAGCACAGTCGACAAGGGTATGTATAGAAAGCCGGAAGACAAGCTATCCTAGTCTGCCAGAACAACGACCTTCCTCGCCGAAACACCCTTCTTCAGGATATCATATCCCAATTGAATCCCCTCCAGCCCCCTCGTTTCAACAATGAGTGGCCCCGGAGCAACAATGTACTTACCCTCCTTCAATGCCCTCGGCAAAAACAGCTTCCACATATCCAGGATATCATCATGACTATTTCCAAACAGCATCTTCGCTTTCACACCCTCAGGGACCATACCATCCTGCAACGGAGACGTCGTGATAACAACAATATCCCCCTTCGCCCGTCGAGCCACCTCTATCACAGGCCCAACAGAGTCATTCGACCCAGCCGCTTGGAAGATACCCACACAAGGCGCACCACCATTATCCAATTCAGAAACAATATCCTCCACCACAGTCCCACTGGTATAGTCAAAGACTACACTCGCCCCAAGTTTCTTCACATACTCGAAATTCCCCCTCGACGCCGTCGTGAGAACCTCCAATCCCGCCGCACGGGCTAACTGAATCGCATTCCCACCAACAGAAGACGCACCACCCCATATAAACACCCTTTTACCTACACCCCCAGAAACGAAATCACCACTCGGCCGCGGCAATCCCAAAGTCCCACCGTTAAACAGCGCATGAGCAGCGGTAGTAAACCCCAACGGCAAAACGCTCGCTTCAGCGAAACTCATATCCCCCGGTATAGCACAGGTAAAGGCCATATCGACGAGGACGTGTTCCTGGAATCCGCCCATAGCTGCGCCCTTCGTTGCGCCCTGCGCAAAGGCAAGGACGCGATCGTGAAGCTGGAAGTGGGTGCTGGCTTCGTTGCCGAGGGCTTCGATTGTCCCGGCGATGTCTTCGCCTAGGATTACGGGGTATTTGACGAAGGGGAGGGATAGGTCTTGTAAGATGTGGTCGGCTGGGTTTATCGCCCAGGCGTGGGGTTTGATGAGGATTTGGGTTGGGGTTAGGTCTGTTTGGTAGGGGGTTGGTCGGATGGAGAGGGGTGTGCCGACTTCGTCTTGCCATGCTGCGCGGTTTTCGGGCATCTTGGGTGGTCAAGAGAGAATAGATGGATTTATTTTGTGTTGCTTGAAGTGAAGATGTGTTGTCTTGGTACAAGAATAAGGACTCGAGGTTGTGGGGTCTTATATAGCCTTATAATTGATGTATAAGATGCCTATATTGTGCTGGTAGCTCGGTTTGCGTTCTCTCCGGGTATGAACTAGACATAGAAGATTGTGCATTGGATGAACAAGGCCATAGCTACGAGACATTCACCTCATTCGTTGTCTTGAATGCATTGAGCTTGGTGGAGACGGAGGGTGAGAACTACATCAGGGCTAAATCCGTTAAATCCGCCTAGGTAACAACGTGAGACTGTTAAACCCGAGGACGAGGCTATAGCTATGAGAGAAAAGCAATTCTCCTGACTAGGTAGACTCGTCTAAAGATGATTTCATTCACTGAAATCCCAAGTCTAATTCGGCACCCAAACAGCAATGAACAGGGCATGATATTGGCATCACGGATGACGAATATAAAACCCATCCGAAAAGATCAAGAAGATGGGGAAATTAAAGAACATGAAACACGCAAGAAAGCAAGCACACATATCAAATAGGAACGGTGGACCAGAACGGGCCACCAGGTGTAGAGAGAGCGGCAAGGATTCCTGGCCGATGATACAGGGTCATTGCAAGATGGGTCATGAAAAAGAAACATGCGCCAGATAGGAAAAAAAAGCTTTCCGAGTCACTTTTTGGTTCGCTCCCTATAGGTGTAGGTGAAAAGAAGAAAACATAGAGATCCACCAGTGCACCAGCTTACGACTGCTGCTGCTTCCAGCGGGGAACCCACTTACCACCGCTGGGCTTGGACTCCTCGGGCTTAGCAGCGGGGGGAGCCTCGGGGGTGGCAGCGGAGGGGTCACGCAGGTGACGGGGGACGAAGCGGTCGGTACGCTCAGCACGCTCGGGGCGCTCGAAGCGATCGGAGCGCTCAGGACGCTCGAAACGGTCGGAACGCTCGCTGGGGCCGTTCTCACGAGCAGGCGGGGCGGAACCAGAGGAGGCAGCGCCACGCATGTGAGGAGGAACGTAGCCACCCTTGCGGAGAGGAGCGGGCTCCTCCCGAGCAGGCTCGGGGGCAGCACCACTGGCCTCCTTGGCGGCCATACGCTCTCTCCAGCCACCACCACCACCAGCAGCAGCAGCAGCAGCTGCTGCAGCAGGACGAGAAGCGAGATTGAGACGGGGTGCGGTACGCTCGGTAGTAGGCTCGGGGACGTAAGCACCACCCGTCTTGCGGGCATTGCGTCGGGCCTCGGCCTCTTCCTCGCGCTGCTTCTGCTTCTGAGCCATCTCGTCGAGTTTGCTAATACAATGTTAGTCTGAGTAGGACAGAAGAAGGAATCGGGGTGGGAATAAACTAACGCTCGCTCCTCTTCGCGCTTGGCCTTCTCCTCGGCCAGAGCACGACGACGCTCCTCCTCGCGGGCCACGCGCTCTTCCTCCTCGCGAGCGGCACGCTCTTCCTCCTCCTTGCGACGGCGCTCCTCCTCCTCGCGCTCCTGCTTCTCGCGACGACGGCGCTCCTGCACCTCCTTGACACGCTGCTTCTTCTTGGCCTCGAATTCGCGCTCGGCGGCCTTGCGGCGCTTCTCGAACTCCTCGTGGCGCTTCTCGGACAGCTCCTTGCGGAAGCTGGAGAACTGGGGCACGAGACGACCCAGACGGTGCTTGAGGGCAACGGCCTCGGCGTGCTTCTGCTTGGCCTCCTTGAGAGTCTCGGCCTTCTGGGCCTCGTAGAGCTCCAAGTCTTGCTTCTTCTGGGCCTCGTAATCGGTGGGGACGTGCTTGGCCTCCTCGCGACGGAAGGCACGCTCCAAGTGGTCAATGCGCTTGGCAGTGGTGCGCACGCGGTCGTTGAGCTCGTTCTTCTCCTTCTCGAGGTGAGCCAGCTTGATGGCACGCAGGCGGTTGGCATCCAGCTCCTCGGGATCGAACTCGCTAATGTCAAGACCCTTAACGCCGGTCTTGAGCTCCTCAAGCTGCTTCTTGAGCTCCTCAGCACGAATGCGGTCTTGCTCATCCTTGACGCGCTTGAGCTCACGCTCACGCTGCTCGTCAGCAAGACGCTGCTTCTCAGCCTCCTGGAGCTGCTGGGTGCGGAGACGCTTGCGAGTCTCCTCCTCACGCTGCTTGCGGTTGAGAGCATCGGTAGCAGCCTCCTTCTTCTTGTCGATGATGACACGACGAGCCAGAGTCTCCTCGTGCTCCTGAGCGGCACCAGCCAGAGCACGGGCCTGAGCGGTCTGCTTGGCCTGGAGACGAGCCTCGTTGTAGGAGGGGTCCACGTACATGCAAGTAACGTGGAGAGTCTTGGCCAGACGGGCGAGCTGGAAGCGAGCAATCTCAGCAGGGGTGTGCTGGAGACGCTGGACGGAGCCAATCTCGCTCTCGGCGGAGCCGGCAGCGCTGCCAGCGTGCATGGCCTTAGAGGAAGAGAAGACATCCGAGTCGAAGGTCAGAACACCAGAGATGTGGTCAACACGGATGGCCAGGTCGCCCTTCTTGCAGCCGTTCATGATGAACTTCTCGATCATGGCGGGGGTGATCTGGAAGGGGTCGGGGAACTGGGCAAGCTCGTAGACGAACTTGAGCTCAACGGACTCGTAGACCTGCGACAGCTGCTGGAACAGGCGGGTCAGGATGACCTGCTGCAGAGGCACAACGTACTTCTCCATCTCGGGGTCGGCACCGATCTTCTTCAGGATGGGGGTGATCTTCTTGCAGATTGAGAGCGGGTGGAAGTCGACCTCGAGGATGTTGTACAGATCGCGGATCTCGGGGCGAACACGCTTGAGGAGACCCTTGTTGAGAGCATCGCGGAACAGAACCTGGCGGGAGGGAGGCTGGGCCATACCCAACAGGTTAGTCAGGCGGGTGTTCTTGTTCTTGCGGGCCTCATCAACGTCGACCAAAGCACCGCGAGAGCGGGTAGTGCTGATCACGGGGATGGAGAGAGCAGAAAGAAGGACGAAAGAAGCGGCCTTGGTCATGTCGGCCTCGGTGACGGGGGGTTCTCCTTCTTGGTGCTCTGACCGGTAGCCAGGGCGATGGTGGAGAGACGGAGCAGGTTGTAGTAACGGTTCCAGGCCGCAGCGTGGAAGAGATAGTTCTCGCTGACGAGGAAGATGCGGGCCAGCTTCTCGTAGTAGTTGGCCATCATGACGTTCTTGGCCGGGCGCTTGCTCAGGTTCAGCAGGGTGTGAATGTCCTCAATGCTGCGGAAGGCCTCCTGCCAGAGCTCCAGCTCAACAGCGACGTTCAACTGCTGGAAACGGGTGTCCAGGTGGCGCTGCAGGGTATCCGGGTCGCTCAGGTTAATGGCGTGCATCTGGGTAGAGTACTTGGCGGCATTCTGAACGTGGTTGCGGAGCAGCTCGCAAAGACGGCGGAACTCGGTCTTGCGGGTGTACTTGAGACAGAACTGGAAGGCCTGCAGGGCGGTGGCCTGGTACATAATCTCGAGACGGGCATTGTTCTTGAGGATCTCGAGGACGGTACGGTAGGTCTCCCACAGGAACTTGAGCCAGGGAGTGACGACGGCGCGGTCGGTGCGGTCACGGGACTGCTCACCGGAGACGGTGGCCAGCAGGATGGTCTCGGGGGTCTCGATGGCCTCCAGATCCTCAACGTTGGAGGAGGAGGGAGCGGACTCGAGGGAGGACTGGATCTCGTCGGCCTTGGCCTGGGCCTCGGTGACCTTCTGTTCGGCGAGCTCGATGAACTTCTTGAGGACGACCTCGATGGTGCCGACGTTGGTGTTCTGGGCGATGTTCTTGTACTGGTATAGGCCATCCTTGGCGGCCTTTCCCTTGCGCAGGTCGACACAAAGCTCAACGAAGAGCAGCATCACCGGCTCGAGCGACGCGATGGGGCTGCTGCGGGTGCGCTTCGAGGTGACATGTTCGTGAAGGACGGTCAGGGCGGCGGGCGCCTGGCCGACGGCGATAAGTTCCTGAGCCCTCTGTAGAAATGTGGGATGAATATCAGTAACCGAGTCCTCCGAGAATCTTCGTTCTTTGATGTTTTTGGATAGTTGTTGATGATCTTTAAACGCACCTTGAGAACATTCTCAGGCTTGATGTGAGGTGGTGGAGGCATGTTGGGCGGACGCAGCCCTTCGGGGCGATGAATTTTTGGTGGTTCGAAAAAAGTCGATTAGGGGGAAGCAACAAGTGCAGGCGTCTCACACACGGGCAGTGGTCCTAGACCGACGTTGAAAATGCTGCCACGCGAAGTCCCTTGACCTGGAGGGGGAGAAGTGCCTGTTGTGCGCGAGCCAGCGAAAATTGCCCGGCGTTCCCACTTCGGGCTAAGCGATGGGGCAGTCACGTGTGGTAATGGTGCCTGAGGCATGAGAAGAGAACAAAGCCGATGATTTTGGTGCATTCCAGTGTATCCAGATTACAACATTACCATACTGGTTACGTACATTCTACTTAGATCGAGAGATATTACATGGGTTATCTAAAGAAATATCTTAACACAAAAGACCTTCTGAAAGATACTTACTACTACTAGTACCCACCTAACCAGATTACAGGGACCTAGACTCCTCTAGCTATGGTTATGCTCTCGTTCTGTACCGTGAACACAACCCTGTCGGGCCTGATGTCAGCTAGTCGACATTGTCAACAATCTCAGAAATATGACTGTTCAGCTGAGCTCGTCCAATTCACATCTGGGCGATCATTTCTTTGAGACAGGCCAGATCTGCAAGTCGACTCCGGCTACCTCGGCGGGCTGTTAACCTACTTGTATCAGACATGTACTTCCATTACAGATATCATACCAAATTACAGAGCACCCCCATAATGTAAGGCCAGGGAAAAGGGCTGGAATGACGCACGGACCCCAGTATTCTGTGTCATTCCCCTGTATTATACCCCGTAACCGGGTACCACCCCCCAAAAATACGTAACAAACCAACCAAACAGGCCAAAACAGCCAACGGGGAAAATCCCTCTCCAATAATCCCTTCCCCCCCAAAACCATCATCACGTCCCTTCCTTTGATCTGCCGCTCCCTTCCTCTCGTTTTTTTTGTTCTTTGTCGAGTCGACTCGCTTCAGGTGCGCGAAAGCTCCAAGCCTCCTGCAACCACTTCTCTCTTGGAACCTTCTCGGCCCATTTCTCCCCCTGTTGTCCACACAACAGCCCCCTCTCCCCCGGCCACCCCCCTTTCTCTCGATTGCGCGACTCTATCCACACACATTCCTCGACTCCGCCGTCACCATGCCTGCCTACGAACTTCGCTCTGGGGGTGATGTCAAGAACAAGAAGCAGAGTGTTGCCGACCTCAAGTACCGCCGATTGACCGAGCTCAATGCTCGCCTGAAGGAGGATCTCGACCGTCCGCGAGTCAAGGTGTCTGAAGCGGCTCTCTCGTGAGTTTGGCCCCCTCTGGTGGTGGACTAATGACCACGGACCACCACCAACCACACCACCACAACTGGACCATGCTTACCTAGAGGTGCTCTCCCAGGCTCATCAACTACTGCAACAACACTCGCGATTTCATGGTGCCCTCCGTATGGGGACAGGTATGCGACCGTTCAACGATAGGCGCACGCGCGCAAATCCCGCTAACTCAATTCGCCTAGGTCGACAAGCGGGAGGACCCCTATGCTCCCCAGCAGCAGGGTGGCTGCTGCACCGTCATGTAATGGCCCTCATGACGAATTTAATCTCTCTCGATCGCCACGACACGATTTCTTTTTATTCTTCTCTTCCGCCCTCTTCATCTAATTCTTCCGGATCCACTTTTTTACTCCTTCATCCTCTACCAACCCCCCTGATGATCGTCTTCGACCCTTCCCGACAAACCTCCCTCTCCTTGGGGAGACGAACAACCACGCCGATCGCTCACCTGCCGGGCGCGGACAAGCGAACAGACATGCGCCCGAAGAAATCGTCTGCTGGCTCTGCACGAAACTCCTTCCTACGCCTTAATCGGGATCACGCGAGTAGATTGATCGTCCCCAATGTTCCAATCCACAACCTCCCCGGATGGTAGCTCCGGTAGATCATACTGGACGATATGAATCGACCCTGCTACCTTTTGTCTCTTCTACTGTTTCGCCCTTTTTCCCTATCAATTTCCTTGTCGTCTTATTTTTTTTTTTTACTTTCTTCGTCCCATCTTCTATAGCACCATTCCCCCCCTTTTGTCGTCCTTGTGTGTTTTGAAGCCAAATTTTCCTTTGTTCTTCTGGGTTCCTCCAAAAGCCTCTCTGCACCGCACGAGAGTTGGGTTGCCATTCGTGTATCATAGATTCGATTTGCATCCAATGACCAAATACAATAACCGATATAATCCCAATTCTTTTCGCATGTTTCGCCTTAAACCCCCTCCCATTTGTAGTGTGTTTCAGCCTAACGCCACTGGGATATCCCATAGGAGGGCCTCGGATACTCGTTCTCGGGAAGATGCAGAAAGAACATGCAGGCCCCGTGAACTAGTCTGCAGAAGTGGGTTACTGAAGACGAACCCTGCCGAATCAGGCAAGACCCCCCGCTGACATCATCCCACCAACGGCTGCCAAACTCCTTCTCACGGATGTTCTTCACAACTACGGCTTTACCCAGAGCTGATTTAAATTCTAAACTACTCGCTCTCGGTGATAACACCCGCTCCACACTGAGTTTCGGCACCTAACGAAATTTGTTCCGAGGATATATCGGAATTCTCAACCTACGTACCAGGGGACTTTCTTCCATCGAAAACGTCCTAGACTCGCCATGACCGAACCCACGGCCCCAATCGAGAACAGTCTCGCGCCAGGCACGGCAACATCCGCCTCTACTACAGCTCCCCCGCCTCCAAGGGTCGAGACTACTGCACTCGAGCGTGTCCACTTACCCCGCATTGCGATCAAGTTCTGTACTCAATGCCGATGGATGTTGCGCGCTGCATATGTATGGCACTCCTTATCTCTCTTATTATTACAGCTCCTTTGTCCCTGAGCTTTACTACAGTTCTGCGTCGCCAGTTATGAGATATCTCCTTCTACCAGCGGTGCAATTCTGTATCAACAGTCATACGCTAACATGATATAATTCAGTTCGCCCAAGAGCTCCTCTCCACGTTTGGTACAGACTTGGGTGAAGTTGCCCTCGTCCCCATGACCGGTGGTGTGTTCACAGTTACGATTTGGCATGCAACGGCCACAAATACCTCGACTGAAGAAGTCACGACGCAAGAGACTCTTCTGTGGGATCGGAAGCGAGATGGCGGGTTTCCCGGTATGAATCTTAAAACCGAACTGCGCTTCTTCTGGAATGGTTTGTCACTGATTGATATACACATCCAGAGGTCAAAGCTCTCAAGTCTCTCGTTCGAAACATTATTGCTCCTAATCGAGACTTGGGTCATACGGACCGCGCGTTGAAGAAAGAGCAAGAGAAGAAGAATGAAGAGAAGGCTCAAGGGGAGCAGAAGAAAGAGTGCGAAGATTGTGTTTGAGATGTATTGGGCTTGAATAGTCTATAGACGTGACTACAGTCTGATGAGATTGATAGGAATGAGTGCATATAACCACGCGATACAGAGCATGTCTTCGTTTATCTAGCTCAGCTATTGTACATGATATTCATACATATTCTTAGTCCGCCCAAATTTTCGATCCATACTATCGTGAACCATTTAGGGGAGATCATCCTCGGAAGGACCCTCGTTGTATCCGTTGTCAGTCTGGGGCTTTGCGTGACGGGTACGCTCATCGATAATGTTGGAGCGGTCGATAGCCTCCTTTTCATCGTTGGCTAAACCATATTTACATGTTAACAGATATTGGGATATCAAAGACGTAGGAATTGGGAGCCAATGACGAACCGAGTTGCTGATCAGAGTTGGCCATGTCCTCGTCAATAGGATCCTCAACATCCTGGATATCATCCTGGACGGTGATGTCCTGCTCATTGGTCACGTAGTCGGACATTGTGATAGAGTAATTCTCTGAAGATACTGAAGAAAGAAGTTGAGAAGATTGTAGTAGCTCTGTCTTTGCAAGGATTGATGAATGGCTACAAACTTCTCAAGAAAGATGCTCCTACTTATACATCTGTCTTGATCAACTCCCCCGTCGTCGGACGTCATACCAGTTCACGCATCGTCTATCCATCGACGAACGCGATCGACAAGAAACAAGTTCTTCAGACTCACAAAAATCCGATCTAGCTCCAGAACCTTATTGAGAAAAGGGTTTGATCTTCGATCTAGAGTGGTTCCATTAAGATCGGAAGGGTCGTATCTCATCGTTCGTCATTGCTCTGTACCCACCCCCTGGTTACGTTACGCTGACGACAAAAGAGCCTCCTAGCTCCTTGGATAGAGAGGTTAGATATCAACGAAAGCAGGGTTCTATATTGTGATCCCTTTGGTTTTGCTGATCGATCGGCTCTTTTTTGATGAGTTTGTAAATCTTGAAAATGTTGGGTTTTATGACGCTTAGAGAATGTGATGCCGCAAGGAGAAGGGGGTGGTTCGCTAGTGTATATCGATTAGATGCACTAACCCTTTGCTGGCAACTAACTAGTTAGCTCAGAGACATCATTGGATGTGGTCAAATCGAAATGGCCCAAAACCAGTTTTTCGTCCGTCTGGCCCGTTCCGTCTTTCTCTCTTCGTTTCGACCGAGTTCCCCGACCGTTCTGCGACAAGAATATTCCATTGGAATTAACACGAGATGCTGGATATAATAGCTTAATTTAAACTACAGAATATATACTTCAAAACAACCGCAATATACTTTCAATCCTCTTCTAATAAGAAACGAACACAAGTATAATGCATGCATCTTATCTCCACAAAGTGTGGCGCAACCGCCAACGGCCGAGACTCCCCCAAATTCTCGCAAAATGTGGACGCGACCCTCCCAAAAAATCTCCGCTGAACGAAGTGGCGTATCGCACAATTTCAGTCATTTAGTATCATGGGAACCAACTTGTTCTTTTTACATTTCACCAACGTCAACGTCGACACGAAAAGCTGAAGATCAGGCTAAACGGAGAGGAAAGAGGACATCTACATATCCAGGGCTACAGTGATCCCCACAGTTTTGTACAACGCGGTGCCACAGCCCGCCATGACGACTGGTGATCTACTCGCAAGGTTACGAGCTGCGATTAAGTATGTCTGTTTTAACACTTGGTACTCTTATTTATAGCATATATACACAACTCCTCGTTACCCTTCTCCAAGGCTCGATTTATCTTGTTACTCTATTTTTTTTTCTAACATTGCAAACAGGGAACCACATACATCAATCCACCGACTTAATATCTCTCGTGTCCCCCTCTGTCTACCACCGCACACAGACAGACCAGACCTCTACCTCCTAGGTCTATCACGCTATGCAGAACTCTTCTACGGAATCGAAGAAGCATGGCTCTCTTTAATCGGGGATCCTCTGGACTGGATTTCTCAAGATACACATATCGCCAATGTCAATCTCCATACCGAGGTCTCCAGCCCAGAAAATGACCTCTCTCCACCGGAAGACACAAATCCCCGCATCCAAACTGTCCTACGAACGCTCTACATACCCGAACTACTACGCACAAAGACACTACAAGATGATCTACGCCTCCTAAACGCATCATGTCCACCAGCTACCCAAATCCTAATCCAACCACCCAAACACCAAGAAACAAATACCGGACAACGAATCAAACACGAACTTCGCAACCGGATCCAGGACAAACCACATATCCTGGTTGCATACGTGTGGATCATGTACTCAGCCCTGCTTTACGGAGGACGTGATATCCGCGCAATTCTCCTCAAAGCCGGCCCTGAGTTTTGGGGACTATCGGTTGCAGAGATTAATCCTCAGCGGAGGATACCGTGTCCCTTGTCCTTTTGGCATATAAATGATGAAGCGGAGGTGAAGGGCAAGTTTCGTGCTGGTATGACTGATGTGGAGAGGTTATTGAGTGCTACGGAACAACAGGATATTTTGGATGAGGCGGGGAGGATTTTTGGGATTCTGGAGATATTGACGAGGAGTTTGGATGATGATGTGAAAGTTTTAAACGCTCGTGTATGAATTGGAGCTACCTATCATGTATACATAATTCTTAATTCCTATACATACATCACCTAAATCCTGGTCCACCGCGCAAATTAGGCAATGATCATGATTCAAAGATAACTAAGATGTTCAAAATGACAATAGGGTCCCTGATACGTTGGTTAAGAAAGCAGGTATGGATATTGGACCTCAAAGTTCAATATATATCTCAAATATAGATCGTAAACCGGGCTTACACCTCACGTCCACGAGGATGAATAGACACAAGATCCGACCCGAATGAGTCCAAGATAAAAATAAACAAAACAAATGATAGATAAAAAGAGGGTGAGAACCAACGCCACCAGCCCCCTAATCCAAGTTCTAAGATGACCGGCCCAAATCCATATCAAATGCAGCATCCAAGAGCACAACGCACGTGCAAATAGAACAGATAAACACACAAATAAAAACAAGTGGTGGAAAACGTCGAGCATATATCCATGATCATCACAAGAAAAAAGCAGAAGCGGGTGCGAGACCCGATGCGAAAATGGGAGTCGAGTAAAACCGAACTCGAGAAGAAAAGTGGGAAACAAAGTCACCAGCGTCGGAGCTTGGGTTTGCATATACATACTACACCTAGTTATGTGCAGCATAACCAAGCCCCGGCCTTTTGAAAGACGATGGTACGTGGGATCAAACGATGAGCGCAGAATGACTGACTCTTCCGAAAAAGCACGACCAAATCATTGTAATTGCTTTTGCCAATTATATGCTTCAACAGATTATCCATCGAGACCATCATAGACGAGTCCAAACTCGCAGAAAAAAGTATTGGCAAGGAAGGAGATTAGATCGTGAGAATCATCCAGCAGTCGAAACCTCGACATTCATCACAACGACAAAAAGAGAATACAACGTTCGTGACACCATGATCGCATAATACAGCCACCCAACCGGCGGAAAACAAATTGGAATCAAGATTCACCATGGACCTCCTGCTGGTGGTGATTCCGCCGCTTCCAAAACGCAAGCCGCAGCCGACTACGTCGTTTAGGAAGACGACGTAGGACACCGTTGTGAGAGTCCTCGGGAGATCCCTGCGGACTTTCATTCTTGATGCTCTCACCAGTAGTGGTGGACTGCTGGGTCGGGCTGCGTGTACCATTCAGTGCCGGAAGAGAGAAATCATGGTGATTTCCATCCTCAGAGCGCGGATGTCCAATATCCTTGGTAAAGCTGGGACTTCGGCTGTAGCTGCTCTCCTGGTCTCCCGCGTGGGAAGCGTACGACGTGCTAGGACGCGTGCTGCTGTCATCAGGAGCTCCAAGATCGCTCTGAGGGGCACTGTCATCCGAGACACGCTTCTCGTCCCCACTATCCACCTGCAAGAAACTGGTCGCGTTGGTCGCGGGCGAAATCGGAGTCATGTTGTTGCTATAAGTGCTGACACTCTGGGTACGAGTGCAGCTGTTGCGGTTGGAACTCGACGGGCCAGATGTACGTACGGACGAGCTGTGATGAGCATGATGACGCATCGATCCAGGTTGCTGCCCTTGACGAGAGCTACTCGGTCGGTCGTTGGATGAGAGATCGTTTGCATAATCGCGTTCTTCGGTGTTTGTCGATGCGTGAGTACCGTTTGTAGCCGAGGTTGCATACAACGCAGCAGCCAAGACTGCCGGATCTCCAGAAGGGCGAGTAGTGTTATCAGTGATAGGATTTTGGTACTGCGTTGCGCATGATCCTTGTGCTGACTGCGGTGCCGCCGGGATAGAGAAATAGGAGAGATCAGGCATGGCACTGGACGACTTTCGAGATGATGTTATATCCGGCGCCACGGGGGTTCCGGTGATCTCGATTTGCGGACCCGGAGTGTCCGGAGACACGACTGGCTCAATGTTGTTCTCGTTGTAGTCACGGGGTTGCGATTCCGTGCGATCCGAGGATGCAGGTGAATCGGAGTCATCTGGAGTAATCCCATCATCTACGGGAGCAGCCCTGGGCGTACTCTCGCTGGACTCGACAACTGGAACTGCCGGGCTACGAGAGCGAGGCGAGACTGCAATCTCTATGCGATGCTGGACGGGCAAGCGTTGTTTCCGCATTTCGTGATTGGCATATTCCTGCCACTGTGCCTGGTTGCGGCGAATTTGGTCGCCCGTGAACTGCAACTGTGGGAGAAGATCGGAGATACCTTCGAAAAGGGGGAGGGCAAAGATGGACATGAACCCAATCTGACTCGTGGCCAGCTTGTAGATATTACCCAACTCGGGAGGACCGCCAAAGAGTGCCGTCTCCATACCGACTTCCTTTTCCATTTCACCCTGGTTGGCGAATTCTTCTTGTAGGATCTGAGTCCATTTCTCGGCGACCGTCCATGGCCGAGCCACGTTACTGATATCAGCACACTTGATCAGCAGACCGCACAAGAGAGTCTTGTACATCTCTATATCCTGGGGTTTCCAGCCATCGACCGAGTTTTGGTTCGCGTAGAACTTCTCCTGCAGCGATCCCATCCGTTCCATGAACTTCTGATGTACACCCATGTCGGTCGCCAGAATAGAGCTGATGAGTAGCTTCCGAAGTTGCTTGTCCTTGAACGCAGCGGGCCAGTGACGGCGAAGGATCTGAGAGAAAGCGGCACAATGGAAGGCTTCGAGGACAGAGTTATCATTATACAGCTGTGCCAAGGGAGCGTTAAGCTTGACGAGGAAGAAGTTGTTGACACCAGGATGACCGACGTCGTGACCGATCGCCGAGATTAGAAGAGTGAGAGCGTCAAACGGAGATATGAGAGAGGCGATGGAGGATTTCGTAACGGGGGTCTGTCCAATCGGGTCGTATGGGGGTAGAACGCCAATACGAAGCAGGAAGCAAAACACTGACTGCAAGACGTCAATGGCATGGCGGAAGTTGTGATAGAGGACGAAGGAGTTATAGGCAGCCCGACAGGCGAGAAGGAACGTTTGCAGTTCACCGGGAGTTAACCGCCAATGTTCCAGTCCGGGTAGACTGAACGCATGAGTGATCATCTGGCAGGCACCAAAGACCAGCTCGTCTTCCGAGAAATCGTGCGCTGAGAAATTCCAGCTCCCAACCTGCTCCTTAATCAGAGCTTTGCGTTCTGGGTTCACGTTGATCTCACGTTCTTGGAACTCGTCGATGATTTCCTCGGGTTTGCAAATCCCCTTCATCAGTTTTGACACCATGGCCTCTCTCAGATACGAATATGGCTCTTCTTCGTGCACTCCCACCCACGACAGCTTGCGCAGCTTCTTCCGTGTGAGAAAGCGAGACATCTCCTTCTGAGCATTTCGGCGCGTACGGTACGCATGGACCACCAGCCCCTGGATGCGGGCTCGATCGAGTGGAGTCAGCAAGACATCCATCGCGCCCGCATCGAGGCACCGAGCAATCTGCTTATGCTCCAATGTGACCGGACTTTGGCTTTGAGGTTCGCTGGTCGGGTCTGTCACGGCGTTGCTGGGCGCATCCGAACCAGCGGCGCGCAAAAGGGCGATGGGAACGACGAGACTGGGGCCATCTTGCACTTGAATATCGGTGGATATGCCAGAGAGTAGTGCCAATCCCGGCGCGTCATCCGAATGGGAGGAAAATGTAAAAGTACGCTGAACCGACCCGGGAGATGGGGGAGCAGTGTCTCCCCACGAGGCGCGACTGGCTTTCCGTCGGGCCAGATTAGATTCGTCGCTGCCAAAATCAATACCACAGAATGCAAATATCGGGGTACAGTCGCTGCCGGAATGATCGCTAAGCTCGGCTAGCTTGGTCGCAAAGGATGAGCCGGTATGACAGAGGTAAACTGACGGGGAATTGGTTAGCAAGAAAAACAGATCTTTCGTGACGAGGCAATCGCGCAACTCTGGTTGCAAAAACATACTCTTTTTACACACTTCCAACAATTGCTCTATATCAGACTGTAGAGCGTCTGGCTCATCAGGAAATACTAAAGAGCCGGCAGACGAAAGTGTTGAAGTGTCAATCGAATTCCGGCGCACCCATCGTTCCGATCGGACGCGGTCGTCGACGTAGACGCCTATACATTCCACGCGGTCTCCCATCATGTCACACTCACAGGGGGGAGGGGGGGAAGTGTGCGGTCGCTCTGATTCAGGCTCTGCCGCCAGAATCACCGGGCTATACCCAAGAGTATAGAAGGAAAAATGAGGCGATCGGATCTGCCCTGCTTCGCATATGGTTTTCCAAATGACCGGGATGTGGCGTTGGGGCGGAGAGGAGAAAAAAGAAGCGACGGTCGGAGCGATTTGAACACGAGGCGAATAGGGAATGGTATTGAGACAATGAAGATGAAAGGGCGGAAACGTCAATGTCCAAAGAGGAGAGAAGTGGACGTGGTAGGTAACCGTTTCGGGATCGGGATCAAAGAAGACAAGGCAAGAAGAAAAAAAAGGGAAGATAACGAGCGGCGAGTCGGAGATGCAGCGAACCCGAACAACGGCGTGCAAGGAAAAATATCCAGGAGAAACACCGAAGGAACGACTAGAGTCGGCCACAACCCCCTAACGGGCAGAATCAAACAATGCAGTTGTTTCCCTGCAGGCAGCCCGAGTCGCGTTGTGGACTGGAAAGGGAACGATCCGAGACAAATGCAGCGGGCACCGTCGCACTGAGGATCGGCGTTGTTGGCGCGCAACCCGACCGGTGATTCTAATCAGACGACGATGATGATTTCAAGATCAATGTCCGGCACGTGAGAGGGGGGTAGATTCAACGGTCGGAGAGGTGATAGGTAGGGAAGGGGGCGAGAAAAGAAGTCGTTAGTTTCGGTAGGCCGGTCGGATTCCAGGAGGAAGTCGTCAGGGCGACATGGTTCGAGGGGCGAGTAGGAGGAGAGGACGGAATATGGGAGGGAAAAATGGAAGAGAGGTCTAAGAAAATAGAGAATAGGAAATTGAGAAGGTAGAGAGAGGGCAAGAGAGAGAGAAAGGGTACAGAAAGTTAGAAGTGGAGGAAGGGAGGGGGGGAGAGAATAGAGTAGCAGTAGAGAGAGGGAGAGAAAGACAGTCGAGACGGATAAGTAGAGTACACGGGGAAGGGGCTTCTTTCCTCCTTCCAGAAGGCCTGAGAGGAGAAAGAGGAGGAAGAGGGGGGGGGGCGGGACGGGATGATCGTCTCTGGGCTGCACGATTACTTTCTGTCTTCTCTCTCAATCTTCTGGTCGTACTCTCTCTCTCTATTCTCCGATCTCGTGACTTATGAACAATCAACTTGATCTTCTTCATTCTTTTGATTTTTGCCCCCTTCCCCGACATATTATTATTATTCCCCCTTATTATTTTCTTCTTTTTCTCCCACTCCCCCCCCAATTTTACCTGCAGAGCCTCGATCCCACCAGTGGACCATGACGCCTTTCTCTCATTTGTGCTTGATTTTTTTTCTAGAAGGCCCACGGTCTTAGGTAAGCACGCAGAACGTTCCATGGCCCAGTTTCCGAGATTCTGATTGGCTCCACCTGCAGGATCCCGTCGAGGCTCCGGGGAGTCCGCCGGGCAAAAGCACCCAAAGAGAAGGCCCTAGTCGAGTTGACCATGCGGTTGGACGGGCACATACCGGAGATGATTCTTTGGGGGCCATTTTGATTCTGCCTAGTTCCTCCTATCCTCAGTCTCGACTACTACTACGCACACTCATCACTGCCTTCTTCGGCCGGAATAATCCTCGCTTCCAGAATCTCTTATCCTTCGGGTCCCACTTTAACTACCTTTCTCCGATGATCTCATCGACCTAGATGCGTCACTTTTTTTTTGGTCGCATCGCTGAACCCTGCTACTTGCTGGGGGTACTACTCCGCCCGGGCAGAAACGCCACCGTTCCTGGCCGCTATGCTCATTGCCCAGTTGCCCATCGTTCAGCGCTCCGTTCACGCCAAAGCAAATTTAAACTTCCTCTGGCAAAAGCTGCACCATCCCCCCCCCCCTAAACCCTACTAACTGTCTCAGCCTCTCAGGTCCTCATTTCGACGACTAATACTATTCCACCCACTTATTACGACGTGATCGTCCATGGTTGAAGGGCGATCCCATCGTTACGGGGTGGGTGACCGGCCAATAAGCCCCCCAGTCCCATCTAGCACTAATCCGACCTCCAAAACTACAAACCCGCTAAAACTCCCTAAGGAAATGCCTAGAAACAGTCGTCCAGCCCGGTCGAGCTTGGGCCTGCGCCTGCTGATTGGAGTCGGTTCGTTTGGGGATTTCTTAGTCCGCTTACTATCGAGCAGGGTTTATCGGTCCAGGGTCCCTAACTGAGTATTCTGGACGGGGGAGTTCCAGGTTAAACTACTACCCCGTACTTTTTAGGAGCTGAATAGTCCTATCAGTAGGGGGGTCCATTGCCCGATACGAATCAGATTATCAATAATATTTCTGGATGACTATGATGCTATTCGCCACTTGGGTCAGGCGATGTCCCGCCCCACGTCGAGCCTAAATCGTACCTCCCAATAATACTTTATTCTGCGTCTACCAGACGATGAGGCGCCGTCCAAAAAAGCTAATTGAAATTTCGTTTTGCCGATTATTGTCCGATCCATCCATCCTCCAATGACCATTATCAGAATAGCGCACATCGGGAGTAGACAAGGTACTATTTATGGACGGGTTTATCCTTTATATCTGCAACCCTAAGGCCCATGTACTTTTGGCCACCACAAATCTGGAACCCTCGACAAATAAACACCAATATGAATCAGCCAGGATCAAATCGTCATGAACAAAGAAAGAACCCTAATGATAACCAAGTCCCTCATCGCCCAGCCCTCGGGTAATCATCAACCTACTGACCACCCATAACACAAATAATCTTCCCCTTGGTCTGATTACTCTCCAACAACTGATGCGCCGCAATAATCTCCTCAAAGGGAAACACCTTCTCAACAAACACCTTAAACGACCCATCACAAAACTTAGGCAACGCATGCTCAACCAACGTATCCCTCAACTTCCCCTGATACTCCACATCCCGACTGCGCAACGTACTCCCCTCAACCCGCACCCTCTTATACAACAACGGCCCAATATTCACTCCATCCGGCAACTTACCACCCCCCATCAGACCCAGCAGCACAACGCGTCCATCCCGCGCCGCAACGTCCAAGTCACCCTGGAAATAGGGGGCGCCGATAAAGTCGATGGTGAGATTGACGCCAGCGCCGTTGGTGAGCTTTTGGATTTCCGAGGCCCAGTCGTCCGTTTTGTAGTTGAAGGCTTTTGTTACCCCGAGTTCCTTTTCGAGGAAGTCGATTTTCTCTTGGGAGCCTGCTGTCGCGTAGATGGCGGATGCGCCTTCGGCTTTGGCGAGTTGGATGCCGGAGATGGAGACTGAGGAGGCGCCGGCGTGCCATAGGACGGATTGGCCGGATTTGAATTCGCCGATGAGGAGGAGGGCTTGGGAGGCTGTGATCCAGGTCTGAAGGGATAAGGTATCAATATTAGATATCTCTCGTGTAGGACGTAGATGGTAGAGTTGTAGAATGGCTTACCTCCGGAATACCGGCAGCTTCCTCCCAAGAAAGCTCCTTCGGCTTGTGAACGAGCATCTTGGTCGCGACGATGATGTACTCGGCATAAGCACCTATCCCGCCAAACGTGAGCTTCACTTATACACCCCTACCTTTTCACCCTTCATTCACAAGAATACATACCGCCATACGCCAATCCAAACACCTCATCCCCATTCTTAAACCCACACTTGGAAGCAGCAGCCTCATCACCGAATCCCTCAATGACACCGCTAAACTCCACACCCATCGTCACCGGCGCCTGAGGCGGCAGCGGGTACAGACCCTCGCGCTGCAGCAGATCCATACGGTTCAGTCCGAACGCGCGGATCTTGACGAGCGCTTGGCCCGGTGCGGGGACGGGCTTGGGGATGTCGGTGACGTGCATGGCCGTGGCGGGGCCTTTGCCGCCTTGGACGGCTAGTAGGTATTAGTATATCTCCATGTCTGCATGAATGTGTGGAAGGGAGAAAGAGAAGGGAGTTGGGTCGAGGATAAAAGTAAAAATAAGGGAAGTTATTAGCGTTGAGGTGCAATTGATATCCCAGGATCCAAGCTTGCGGGGCTAGCTTGGAGGGGTTACCGGAAGTGAAGAAGGTGAATTGGAGATGACGTACCGATCGCGCGCATTGTGGTGGTCATTTTTGCTGTGTAGGTATGAACACGTCGATTATGGATATGAGAAAGTCGGCCTGCAGGATCTTATCTCTCTTTTATATCCCGCAGGTTCTTAGTAGGGCAACTGTTAGTTATTTAGGAAGCTTAGCCAGCTGGAAAGCTGCCGGAGGTCTGGAATTTGTCAGCACTTTAAAGTCCGTCGGAGGGTGGATATCCACACTCGCAAATTCAGTCCTGCCAAAGTTGCGCGTCACGGTTAATCGGCACGGATTACATTTCTACCGAGGTACTAACTCGTAGGAGGTTAAAGGGTCCAAGTACGAAAAGAAGGGAATCGAACATGAGGCGAAACAATGGAAGGTAGAACGTGCAAACTCAACGAGTCAGATAGTAGTAACAAATGCATTTCAATTCTTAGGGCCGTAAAGACGGCCAATGGTAATAAATCATCATGGTTGTCAACGATAAGAAAAATGTCACCAGCCTCTTTACTCCATGCAACCCACGATCCCATCCCAGCCCATCCCATCCAGTGTATTCCAGCCCGTTTACATTCAAAGGGCACCACCGTTGTTTTTCCCAGCCGTACCCGAAAGACGCCGAGAAAGATGTCAGACAAAGGGAAAGATGGGATGAAAGTAAGAGAAAACTGAAGGAAATAGAAGTGATAGAAGGGTGGGGTCAAACAGACGAAACACTGGGCACTTTTAAAATCAATACACCAGACGCGAAGATGCAGAAACAGAAATGGAAAAAAAAGACATGATTTAGCTATCATACAAGTCGATGCTACGCTCAGAGAAACACCAAATTGGGAGGACACGGATCACGAGAGGAGATTTTTGAGGGATGGGCTCGCGCTCGCCCCAGACCCGGTACTCGTGCCATTCACGCCCGAGTGTCGCGGAGCATTCGGGGTTCCGCCAAGGATGCTCGCCAGGGATTGCGACGAATCTACTCGCGTCGGGGGAGTAGGCCCGCGCGGATCGAGACGTGCTTGGACAGATGGAGGTGAGTGAGAAGGAGGACCCATGTCACGCTCTCCCGAGTACATGCGCGGAGGAGGGCCACCATTCAATGCACTAAGTGCAGTCTGCGGAGACCGGTTGACAGTCGCCTGCACGATCGGCGGGGATGCCGATGCTGGGTAGGCACGTGGAGGCTGAGAAAGATGCGGCGATCTAGCTGACATGGGAGCGTACGGACTCTGATGAGCTGGATACGCCTGTGTCGGGGGAGGTGGAGGAGGTCCAGTGCCAAAAGGAGACGGAGAATGGCCTGGAGGATGAGCGGATGGGTAGCTACCGAGGTGATGGGGAGGTGGAGGAGGAGGTCCCGGGGGATAAGTAGACGGTGACATGCCGTTGCGTACATCGGGGCTGCGACCAGCTCGCTGGTCGTACCCTGGGTAGCCCGGAAGAGCATTGTGCGAATGAGTCGGAGGTAGTGGCCGGCCAAGCACGCCCGTTGGGGGAGGGTGTGAATGGGAATGCGGCACGAAAGTGTGCCCAAGCGCGGGGCCATGACTATTGCTCTGACCGTGACCGTTGTGACTAGGAGCCATGCGGGGAGCTGGGAACATCGCAGGGCGCTGAGCCGAATACGGGGAGGGACGGGGCTCGGGCGCAGGCTCGGGCACGGGTGGGTGCTTCAAGTGGCACTTGTGGCATTCATAGGTTGTCTCCCCAACGTCTCCATTGGAATGCGCAAATGATGGCCGTCGAGGGGGGAAGGATGGGCTGTTAGAGTTAATCCCGACCCCATTGGGCGTAAAGGAGGCTCGAGGATCGCTGCGGCGTTGGCTAGGCCACCATCTGGGACTGTAATCGGTCGCGCATCGTACACATCTTCGGTTTGTCGAGACACCAGTCACGGGCTTTGGCGCAGGTACCTGTTCCTCAGTGTCGATGTCCATTTCATCCGCGGCATCCTCGGGAGCAGGTTGAGGCTTGTGCGTGTCTTTGGTGACAGCTGCTAATCCAGTGCTTGTCGAAGTCCGTCGGTGGGCCGCCCCGTTGCCGTGATGAACGGGGGGAGCTGCGACCGATTGTTGCACGTATGCTGCCTTTCGAGACGTTCCGGTCAGAGTGAGATCAGCCTGCTTGTATGTTTGAGCAAACAGCTGGAGCGCATTGAGGCCATCTGAGCCTGCTGCTTCACCAATATCATGAACAGTGGCTGACACGCTGTGGCTGGGACAGTAGATAACGGGCGAGGCAACGCCGAGCTCCGTACCCAGACGAATGGTCTGGACGTTGTCTTTGCGAGTGCTCTTCACAGGGGTTACATCGAATCCCAAGCGGTATCCTGCTTGGAAGGCACAGCCAACATGGAAGTAGGTATTGCAGCCAGTGAAATGGCAAGGCACGCAGGCGCCCTTGGAGGACTTGCAAATCTTGCACTCCTCCCGCCACCGATCCTTAGAGATAGAACCAAAGCCTTCAGCAGGCTCCAACTCTTTCGCATCTCCGAATTTGATTTCGGGGGTCCAAATGGAACACATAACGTGAGCCCAGTTGTTCCCTGCTGTACGCTTCAGAGGTTCTCGAGGACCAACAGGCTTGCCGACAGCTTCTTGGCGTTGACGATAGAGCTTGATAGCTTCGGTAACCATCTCTTTCTCCAGCCGCTCCTTCTCCTTGTCCCGATCAGACTTCTTCCGACTCGTGTTCTTCGTAGTCTCCATAAGATCGTGCTCAGTGTATGTCACCGGGCAAAGAACACATTCGTAGGTGGTAGAGATCGAGGGACTGCGGTCATTAGAGCACATATCGCAAAGCCACTTACTACCCGCCCGGTATGACGGCACTCCGTAACAGTTGCGGTGAACAGTCAGTCGACAGTCCCGGCAGGAGAGATGCTCTTCACCAGATGGCTCAACCTTGTTACAAATCGCACATGGAAGAGTCTTCGCCCTAGGTGGATCGGGAACAACGGGGGGTCCCTCAGCCACAACCTTCTCAACGCCCACGACCTTCTCCTTCTTCTTGGGCATGGGCTCAACCGATGTCGCGGTAGAAGTTGTTGTGCTTGGAACATCAGGACGCGGCTTCTTCTTGTCCAGCTTACTTTCCTGCTGCAAGTGAGGGTTGATATCGACTGGGATTCCAATGGAGGATGCCGTGGTAGCGGTGAGACTGCTGATAGTAAAGGGTGTTTCGGTGGCCACAATCATCTGAGCTAGCAGCTCCTCGTCAATGCGTCTCCTCCAGGACTTGTTACCGCTAGCTGCAATTCTCTTCCCGACCTCATCAATGTCCTCGTACTGGATAGCATACTTCCGCCACAGTAACGCACAGCGAAGGCAAAGAGAAACGGTGAGCATGGGTCCCTTGTCTTTCTTTGCAGAAGGGTCCGAAGGTACAGTGGTACCCGGCGGGACCAAGGGAGCACGGCGCCATTGTCGAGAGCTGCGAGTCGAGCAGAACTTGCACTGGAATCCACGTTTCAAAGTCATCGCTTTATCATTGTCAAATGCAGAATCGTCATGGTCATCAGCAACGTCGTCGAGTAGCTTCGAGGTTGCAACACTCTGCCGACGGACCTCCTTCTTGCCTCGTCGACCTTCATAACTACCCCAGACTTGCCGGCCACGGGGAGTCTTCTTCCACATGTAGTAGAATCGGACAATTTGGTAGTGTGGAACAGTCTTGACATGCTTGGTAATATTGCGCCATTCCGATCCATACTTGGCCACGCCTTGTTCGAACAATTTCAGCTCCTCCGGTCGAAGGTTAGGCTCCTTGAGATCCTTGTGTTTGTTGACCTTCTTCAACTTGCCAAGAGCGGTATCGACATTGAAGCTTTCGGAATATAGTAGCTCAATGGCCTTGTCCAAGAAGTTGGTGGAGTACTTTTCAACTCCAACGTCCGGAGCCAACTCTCTAGCGCGTCGCATGTAATCGTCAATAAAGGCTTCCCTGTCTGCTGGACTGAGGTGCGAGCCGGGCGCATCGTCTTCGCCACGAGCGGGGAGTTGCTCCGCAGTCGGCATCTTGAAAATGAGTTCAGCAGTACGTGCCTGCTTTGTGTTGGTGATGGCAACGGGTTCATCCTCTCCACGTTGAATATAGCCTGGCGGTGAATCCTGCACCCATTTCGGTCGAGTGGCCTTTTCTTGTTTCATGGCCTCCATTGCAGCCTTGGGGGCAACCTTGGCACCACCCGACTGTCTGGAGTACTTCTTCTTGAGCTCCAAAGGCTTCACGTATTCAACTGGGCGTCCGGGCCAGGGGTTGACGATCGCTTGGTGTCGCGGTCCGAGTCGAGAACTGGCACGAGGATAGATCCGGTCATCGTAGTCGAGGGCATCCTCCACGCGGCAATGCATACCCAGATAGCGGTACGGCCACATCCTTGCCTGTGCCATCTGTTCTGCGGTTTCCGGCTGAGGCATGGAGTCCTCAATACCGGCTGGCGTGCTGACTGAGGTTCCGTTGGCGACACCATTCGCATGGTGCTCTTCCTCTTCCTCCTCCATAACCTCGTCCTCGCCTTCTCCCTTAGCTACGCCAATAATCGGCGTGTTGCGGGCTTCCAGTTTGCGCTCCTGGGCGCGGCTACAGGGTGCACAAGCCCAGGCAAATCCGCGTGCGGGCTTCTTCGTGAGCGCAGGTCGAACACAGGACATGTGGTATGTCGAGTGACACACCGCACAGTCCACGGACTCGGCATTTGCGGCGAACAAGTGGCATCGCTTGCAGGTCTTCACGGCACCCGTCAACTCCTTACCCTTGCCCATTTCCACCAGAATAAACTTCCAGCGATCATCCAGTACGCGCTTGACGTTGGGCGGCACATTGATGACGTCTTTCGTCGGGATCACATCGTACATGCGGTGGATATAACGGTCGAACATCTTGTCGTACCAAAACGCATCTCGCGTCTTTTTGTACGCGGTCAGGTCATCAATTTCGGACATGTGGCGAATCTGACATTTCCCACGTAATGAGGACAGGGGACACGTATCCGAATGCATCGACGCATACACAAGTCTAGTGTCGGCACTGTGGCGCTGAATGTCACGAGGGCGGTAGTACCAGTTGACTCGCAACGCTTCAATCACACCCGACTCTTTGGTCTTTGAAGGTAGAAATTCCATGATTCGAGCCAGGTAGTATGGCTCACCGGGAGGTTCACAAATCAAATATACATGATCTATCACATTAAGTTAGCTTCGTGAAATTAGGGTACAAACACCATGATACCACGACAAAAATCTCTGGCTCACCATTAACAGCAAACGTGGTGCCATCGTCTGATTTAATTTGGCCGTCGATCAGGTGCGGGCCTGAGGCCTCAAAGCTCATCATGTTAGTGAAGCTGCCGCCGTCGGAGTCCCCGGCGCAGCCGTGAAGACTCTTTTAGGAGGATTGCCGCCGCTGGTGGAACTTGAATTTGGCGTGCTCGCGGGCTGCTTGCGCTTCCGTGCCGAGCTTGTCCCATTTACGTCTTCGGGACGCGCCGAGAAGGACGAGGTGCCGGGGATGGATTCTTTAGGCGCGACATTAGTAGCGCCGTTGGTCAAGGTCTTGCGTGGTTGCACTGGCGAGGATTTCTCGCTGTCTGATTTGGAGCCATTGGGGAGGTTGGTGTTCAGAGACACGCCACTATTGCGCTTGTTGCCGGGCTTGGCAGGCGCGACATCGAATTCCATTTCAATGTCTCGGTCCTCAGCATAATTAGGCCGAGGCGCGTTGCGACCTCTTGATCGTGTCCCATAAGGGGCCGCGGCGGAGCCGCTGGCCGGGTCGGCCACAGCCTCCGGAGAGTTGCTCGTGGTCATTGAGTACGAGTCTTAGTCATCCACGGCAGGGCATAGACGAGATCCTGGCGAGAGATTGACGTGCTTGACCAGCAAGCGACAGACTGTGGTAGTCGGTCAGTAATGAGGCTGAATTAGTGGATGGATTGGGATGCGGTGGGAGATAGAGAGAAGGGGAAGATGGTGGGAAAAAGAGGTGGGAAGGAAAGGTAAGAAGGGACAAACACGCTATCAGACGTGGCGCGGATGCATGGACGTGGATGGTGCGGGTGGTATGTGGAAATGTGGGAACACTAAAAGGACCGGGGGGGCGAAAAGCTCGAAAACGGCGGGTAAATGAATGGGGGGGGAGAATATGGCAAAGGGGAAACACGAACGGGTAGAGATTGAGAGAATGGAGTGAGGAAGAGAGGATAAGTTTGGGGAAGAAAAGTCTTGGGGAGAGGAGGAAAAAAGAAAAGAAGGGAAGGCATGGCGGGCACAAAGAGTGGACCGTGTCAGATCTGATTCACTGCAGGGGTTTGCTGCCTTTCGTGGGAAGAAAGTTGGTGGTCGGTGATGGTAGGGCGGCAGGCAGATGGGATAATGGGCCGATATTGGGGTTTAGAAAACAAGGATCGTATATGGGGGGAATCGGGGCATGGAGAACGTAAAGATGGAATATATGGGCAACCAGATATGAGGATCGCTCGTCCAGGGTAATATACTAAGGAAGGGATGGAGACATGGGTATTATGCCCTTCCGATACCAAGACCATAGAAACAGATCAAGAGCATCGGCATCGGTAACCCCACAGAGACATGCAGGGCAAGTAAAGGGAATCGGCAAGAAAAGAGGATAATGACACCTACCAATAGACCGATCAAACGAAGAGACCAGTGAAGAGGGTTGAGGTTGAAAACACGAAGATGGACGAGGGCGCAGGGTAAAGTCGATCCCAAAACAAATTAGAGAATGGAAGATGAACGGTTGGATGGTAGTGAGAGAGAGAATCGGAGGAAGGAGATGCAAATGGATTGTATGAAGAAGAAAGATGGGACGGAAGCGAGAAAGGTGGGGATGATATGGAGGGAATATGGGAGGAAGCCGGAGAAGCGAGAAGATGGGAACGAAAAGTATGGGGTGTGGGAATGGAATCTTGGGATAATGGGAGAGAATAGAAGAAAAGGAAGAGAAGGGTTGATGATGGAAAAAAGCGTCGAGGATCCCGAGCGTGCCCCTAGTCCCGATATGTTAATATGACGGATCCTCAGCACCCTCGACCCAAGGACCCCCGACGAATCGACGGGCCTAGGATTCATTCGCCGCCCTTTCTTTTTTGCTCTTCACGGGCTCTGGATCGATCAGCAACAAGGATTTGGGTCGGGACGCTAACGGCCTTATTCGTGTGGACGGGAACCTCTGGGGGAATATGGGTTAGGTTTCGCCTCTTAAAGAAGGGGGGTAAAACAGACTCGATCGGTATAATCTAATAGACTAAAATTACTAGACAGACTCAAGAGTCTAACGGCCGACCAGATCTCTGGACACCGTTGGGAAACCCCCCCCCCCCCCCCCCAAAGGCCACATTATCCTTGGTCTCAAACGGTACTTGGGACAAAGTATCAAAACGCGATCATGAGTACTTTGTACGAGGCTACAAATAATATTAATAGTAGAGTTGTAAGGACTGGCTGATCATGAACTACTACGTTAGCGACTGATTCTTTCAATACTCTATTTAAATATCTCCACAATTCAATTCAGTCCAACAGTCACAGAAATCGGGTCGGGAATCGCGCCAGTGATGATGAGTGGATGGCTCCAGCCCGTCTAAGGATGAGGAATGCCGTCACGTAGGAGGCGCGTATGGCCCGACTTGGAATTGGGTCCGGGTCGTGGAAGAGGATCGTCAGTTATTTTAACTTCTCCAGACTCTATAATGATCATCCTCCAGAACTTTGGCAATGATGAAGATACTCTCAACCTTCCTCGGGCCTTTTCATTTCCTCATGACCCCATGCCTCATTTTAGAAGCCCGCCCATCCCGTGGTGGGTTTTCCGGGGGGGGTTATATACATACCGATCGCCAAAAGCATGACCAGCATCATGTGCCGACGGGCGACCCTTATATACATCTCTCTCGGTGGATGATATAGTTTCCAAAGGATCTATCTCGATATGGAGGAGTTTTTGGTATGTTATCAAGTGCAATACGAAGCGAGCCGAGGAGAAACGCCCCATGCCAGATTATCGGACTCAGATTGTGGTAAAAGAAGAGTACATAGCGTGGTGGGCAGGTGCACTAAGGCACAAAAGGCACTAGGCGCTAGGCTAGGCACTACGAGCGACTCCACTTCTCTATCCACGATCCCTGCGCGAAAAGTAAAATTACACCATCCGTACACTGGCAATATTACGATATTTACCGCGCTGGGCTCTCCCGCACTATGGTGGGTTTGGATGGGGCCGCCATACCAGCCTTGATTTGTCTTGTACCACCACGTCGTCTCATTCACCGCAAGCGAGCACGAGTTTTCCATGCTTCCCCCTCCTTGCCCCCCCCTAGACATGGCAAATCATCTATATCGATCCATATCTTATAGTCGGTGTTTTATAGACATGGTCGCGCGGACAATCGAACGAGTATGATCGACGAAGATATACCGGGATCCCTCGATCTGCGATTAACGATGGTGACTGCCTAGACAGGATTATTGGTAGTCGTACGTGAATTTCTACAAGGGTAAGGCTACTGCCACCCCTTAGATTTCCCGTGCGCACCCCCTAAGGCCTTGGATTTCCACCTGCCATAATGATACATGGTATATAGTGGAGTTTTATGGCAAGTTCAGAATCTTGACCAAAGTTCAAACCCATCATTTTTGTCATACCTTGAAAGATAGTTACCAAATTAGATCGAGAGATATTATGTAGGCTTTCCGGAAAGATATCTCAAAAGACTTTCCGAATGATCCAACTTGTACTCAATTTAGCCCGTCAGAGATCTAAGGCCCCAGGGGGTGCGCGCGGGAAATCTAATGGGTGGCAGCAGCCTTACACTTCTACAATGGTCCAGGTGTGACGCGGGATGCTGCGGAGTGGGCATAGAGCTGGAGGTGGACAGAGGCGATATCATAATCTACAACACACAATCTACCCAATATGATCATTCCCTAACTACGTTGATGGGGAATTATATAATACCCAAGATGAACCCAGAAAATGAGGAAATAAGCAAGATTTTGACGAGAGAAGAAACAGTAAAAAAAAAGAAAAGAAAAATGGAAGCAAGGGAAACTGATGGTTCATGCCGGTCACCATCGAAATGCCGACCAACAGGACGAACGGCGAAGGAAGATTTCCATCCAGTCGGATCACAGTATTATAAGTAGACATCACAAAGAAGGAGGCAGGAAAAGTACCAACATTTTCATCATCATTATTCGTAAGTGCAGTAACTAGTCAACCAACCATATTATTATTTAACTCTTATAACTAACTAGGAGGTTCCTTGTAAATGAGAACTTGTCTGCCCTCTTCCTCTCCCCCTAATTTAAACTTCTACCGCCCACTCGGTCCAATGACGATCGAAGGCGCTGAGTAAAACCGTCCACTGCTGGCCGAGGATGATTTGCTCCCGGCGGCTGTTGAGTGTCGCCACCTTGCTTCTGGTAGGTCAAAGCTTCAGAACGTGCTGGACACTGGGGCTTAGAGGGAGGAGGATTGGATGGGTCTTACCAGAGACAGTAATATTCTCCATCGGACTTAAATCGGAGGATAGGGCTGGGAAAGGGTAGCTGAGCCTAAGCCGGATAATCAAAGATACTCTGACAGAGTAACACTTAGTAACTAGTGAGACTGGAATATGTACTGTAAGCTGAAAAGCCGCAATCGTATTTGGTTCCTGGGAGTTGCCGGACTATCTTGTGATGAAGGGTGATCAGACCTCTCTGGGGGAGTAATGATTACCTACGGGACACGCTCCACCAGCCGCTTAATCCGTCGCACTTTGGACGCACACGACACCTACGGAGAGGGTTTCCGGTAACTATAGTGTGATTCGACCACGTTTTTTTATAACAAAAAAAAAGGTGAATATACTATCTCATGCTCTAGATATCAACTAGTAATCGTAATAAATCTACTCGAGTCTATCGAGCTCCCGATACCTATTTCCTAGGTAGTTATCACTTGAAGTTCCTGAGATCTGTCCGCTTAGTGTAAGATATATATTTCACTACAATATACCTACCTCACTCGTTTATCGACCGCCACCACCCACATTCCACCGCAATGCATATCGACGACCGGAATGCCAGGCTGTCGATCCGTATATCATCTCTGCTCCCCCGATCTGGTAAAATATACCGTGTCTGGAAGAAATTTTCTTCCACACACGCGCCACCAGCTCCATTTCAAGTAGGGAACTTTTTCCAGACCCGCGGTCCACCCGACCCGACCGGGTCTCGGAGGATGAATGTGCAAACCCACCATAATCTGAGCTCGAAGAGATAGGGATCGAGTGTTTACCAGGAGTAGGCTCCACGGGCAAGAGCCAGGCACTTGAATGATAGCTTCAGTCCATTACCATAGAGATGTAAACATCACTAGCTATACTGGTCAATATAAATGCAGACGCAATCAAGATCATCGATGTTGAATCAGCAGGAAGCGCAAAGCCGTGGGGCCCGGATGGGGTCGTTGGACGAATGATCCTGCAGCCAATCCACATGCGACATAATAATGGTCATCAAGCCAAGCAACAATCAGTGTCCTCGATGACCAAATCATGCACTACCACATTGTCAAATTATGTCGTGCAAGGGGTTACCTTTTATGGTCGCCAAAATCAAGTCTTGGAAGGTTTCGATGATAGCCCACCGCACATTAAGCCTGCCGCGAGAACCTTACCTGGCTATGTATGGACATGAATATTATTGAGCAATTATCGTAGTTTGTCGTTGGGGAGTATTATTATTGCAGCTACTATTGCTAAAGGCACGCCCCTGATTGCTTCTGTACATCAGAAGTCTCGCCTTTTTCGGTCTAGTGCAGGATATTTAATACTGATACAGTGACAACTCAATGTTCCGACTCGAGAAATACGGCATGTTCAAACAATGTAGCTTTAGCTGGATCTCAGGTGAGAGATCTGTTATGAATCTTCGGCCACCTTTTAGGATAGCCCCTATGGTTATATCTCAATTGATCTTTCATGAGTTGAAAGATGCGACTTTGAAGGACGGCTAGGGCTTCGACCTGCTCCATGCAGTTAACTTCCTAATTTTGATACTACGCGTATGTCGTTATCTGTATATTAGGGGAGAAGTGCTTAATACATAATTATAGGTTGCACCTTTAGCAATACTTATCGTGCCCCTTTGAATGAATCTGACCAGGTCTATCGCGGTCCAGTCAAGCAGGCAGGAGCCGATTATCTAAGCACATGGTCGCCGTCCCGTGCATATTTTCTGCCTGAGGCGTCCCGCCCGACCATCACGATGGTCGCGTAAACTCCAAACGAAAACAATGAACCAGAAAGATGAATGATACCTCATGACTGTAATTAATACACGGAGAAATTACGCCCATCCGGCAAAGCCTACATGAGTGCCACAAGTCCCCGGCATGTCGACATCGGGCCAGCCGCCGTTTCAGTCGCGCGGGTTCGAGACCTCGATTGATATCGCCCGCCGCCAGGCCTGCCAAGTAGCACCAGTCGCAGGAATCAAAAGAACATCTACCACGAGGTCTCCCGAACCCCTCAAATCAGAGTCAGAATCCTCAGTCAATCATGTGTTCCAGCAAAGATCACGGAACATCGTCGAAGACATCCAGGAATCAACAACTCTGGAGTCTGCTCGTGCCTCGCTTGGCCCTCTAAACCGATTCCACCCCAGCAAGATCCGCCCAGGCCCAGGGCTAGGCGCCCCAGATCCCGAAGAGCCCAAAGATGGGCACAAGGGTGCTTCAGCTCCAGGCTCCAGCCAGAACCCGTTACTGTCTCTCGCCAACCCCAAGTACGGGTTGCCACCGGCGCTGATAGCTAATTTCGCTGCCCTCGGCGTCAAGAACATCTATCCATGGCAGGCATCGTGTCTGCTCGCGCGGGGGCTATTGTCGGGTGAGCGGCATCTGGTCTACACGGCCCCCACCGGCGGGGGTAAGTCCCTAGTCGCTGATGTACTCCTACTAAAACGGATCATTGAGAATCCTGGCCGCAAGGCGCTCCTGGTGCTGCCATATGTGGCACTGGTACAGGAGAAGCTGAAATGGATGCGACGCATTATTCAAGGTGTGGAGAGGGTTGTGCCTGACGACGAGGACCAGAATGCGTCTTTCCCGCGAAAGAGGTGGAAGAAGCTGCAGAAGCAGATTCGGGTTACCGGGTTCTTCGGTGGAAGCCGGACGACGGCAACTTGGGCGGATACAGATATTGGCGTCTGTACCATCGAGAAGGTGCGCTGCCGAAGAGATGTTGGATTCGCTGACATGTGTTCTGATGTTTGTCGTAGGCCAATTCTTTGATCAACACTGCCATCGAAGAGTGTAGTATCGGAGAACTGGGTGTGGTGGTCCTCGATGAGTTGCACATGCTGGATGATGAGCACCGTGGATACCTTTTGGAGTTGATGGTCACGAAACTGCTATTACTACAGCAGGACATTCAGATCGTCGGCATGAGTGCAACGTTATCTGTGAGATGCCATCCGATCACGAAGTCACTGGTTGGTCGCTGACAGACAATAGAACACAGAGATGCTTGCACAGTGGATGAATGCAAAGTTCTTCATTTCTACATACCGTCCGATTCCTATCGATGAATATCTCGTTTATGAGAACTCTATCTATCCAGCAGCAACATCGAGACAATTGTTCCAGACGGCATCCAAATTGACAGCCGCAAATTCAGCCTCATTACATGACTCGATTCCCCCACAGAGACTGATTGATGTTTCCGAATACAAGGAGCTTAGCAACGCAGCGACCAATTCTATGGTGGCATTGGCGGTTGAAACTGCCTCCGCAGGCTACGGTGCATTGGTGTTCTGTAGCAGTCGCGGAGCGTGTCAAATCCATGCTGCCACTATCAGCGAGGCAATGCCCGGTCTGTCACCCGATGAGACAGAAGAGTTGAGCAAGCGTTTGGATCTACTTGCAGAATTGCGAAGTCTTGCGTGTGGATTAGATCCAGTTCTTGAGAAGACGATCGTCAAGGGTGGCGGTTTTCATCGTGAGTCTTTTTGTCTCCCGATATTGGACATCAGACTGACAACACGGAGATGCTGGCATGACCACCGAAGAGCGAGAGTTGATTGCACAAGCCTATGACCAAGGCGTGCTGAGAGTATTGGTTGCTACGTGCAGTCTCGCCGCTGGTGTAAATCTTCCCGCTCGACGTGTAATCATCAATGGAGCGCGGATGGGCCGGGAGTTGGTTGGGCCCGCAATGCTGTATGTGCCAATTGGTCTGATGGCACCGTGGTGGTTCAGCTAACAGACATAGGCGGCAAATGTGTGGACGCGCTGGACGTAAGGGCAAGGACGATGCGGGCGAAACGTACCTAATCTGCATCAAGGCTGATTTGGAAGCCGTGTGTGATTTACTTGATGCTGATATGCCTGCCATCGAGAGCTGCTTGGCACCTGAGAAAAGAGGGTTGAAAAGGTATTTTACTCACTCTAAAGCCAGATTTCATTTCACTAACAGACACCAGGGCCCTCCTTGAAGCTATCGCAACTGGGTTAGTATCCGGCGGCGAGGCCATCAAAGATTATGTGCGCTGTACACTCCTTTATCGCACACTGGACAGAAAACTCGTGTATACGATTATGAATTCAGCTTTGCAAGAGCTGATCAATGAAGCACTTATTATCTTCAAAGAAGATGAGTCTTACGAAGCCACCTTGCTGGGCCAGGCGGTCGTCGCTTCGGCTTTCTCCCCTGAAGATGGGCTCTTCGTGTATGAGGAACTTAAGCGTGCCCTACAGGCATTCGTCATGGATGGCGATATGCACATATTCTACATGTTCACACCCTTCCAAGTTGCCATGAACACACCGATCGACTGGCCAATATTCCGCGACCAGCTGGACCGGTTGGATGAGAGTGGCCTCCGGGCACTGCAATTTGTCGGCGTCCAACCAGGATTTGTCAATACCATGTAAGTTTCCTGACCATCTCCCCTTCAAGAGAAAGCAAAGCTCACCCATACCATAGGGTCCGATCAGGAGCTTCTCTCAAAGAAAATACCCCAGCTCAAAAAAAACAAGCCCGCATATACCGCCGTGCGTACACGGCCTTTCAACTTCGCGACCTGAGCAACGAGGTCCCCCTCTCTACCATCGCGACCCGCTACCGTATCCCTCGAGGGACAGTCCAGACCCTTGCCCAGCAGTGCCATGGTTTCGCTGCTGGTATAGTCAAGTTCTGCCAGCGCATGAACTGGGGCATGATGGCGGCTGTACTGGACCACATGCGCGACCGGCTGGAAGCTGGGGCACGTGCGGATCTGCTAGAGATGGCGCAGGTCACTTTCGTCAAGAGCTGGACGGCACGGTGTCTGAGAGAGAATGGGTTCCGGAATTTAAGAGCATTGGCCGAAGCGGACCCCAAGGATTTGGTGCCCGTGCTTATGATGGTATGTGGTTCTGATTGGATTTTATTAATTGAAATGGGTTGCTAATTTGGCGTGACTGCTAGGTCAATCCGCGCAAGACTCAGAGGAACCAACTGTATCCTACTGAAGCAGAGCGATATTCTGCGAAGCTCTTGGTGAAGGCGGAGACAATCGTTGCCTCTGCGAATAATATTTGGGGTATGCTTGAAGATTATCATTCTTGAGTGGAAGATTACTGACAGACCCTATAGAGCGCGAGATGCAGGTCGAACTGGAGGAATGACAATACTCATTGGGAAGACTTTGGTATTCGGCATGGATACGCAAAAAAATAGTGAGCATAGAATCAGAGAGCATAGAGAGCATTGCCGCTTGCATAGATATCCCCATGATGAACATCAGATCCAACGAAATTCAAACCTCACATGATATAGACATTGTTCCATGATCATTTATCTAACTTCTCTTAAAACCCATTCAACTGATTCTGAGCCTCCATAACATTTCCTTTATCCACAAAGTCCAGCAACACGGCATTCGGTGCCCTGTTATACAGTGCCTCGCACTCTGCAGCCTGCGCACCGATACTACCCTTGCCCGTCGCCGCATTTGTAGTACTTGCCGCCCCACGATCTGGGATCTTCACTCCTAGAATATCCACGTCGAGGAAGTGATTGACAATGTACATACGGCCGGAGGCGGAGGCCCCAGATGGTCTGTCGATGCTGCAGCTGGAGAAGCTCGAGTCGGTGACGTCGTAAGCGGTTTCGAAGTAGTAGGCGAATTCGTCGAGGATGTAGTCTACTTTGCTCGTGTCGGCGCCGTAGTCTGTAATGCGCGGGTGATGTTAGGATGATGAAACCTCAAGGGCGGATGAAATGAGACAAAAGCTTGACTCAGGAGAGAGAACAAACCTAGAAAAACGACTAGTCTTTTCCCACTGGAGATTAGTTCACCGATGGTTGGCCAGTCGCCAATCGGCAATGGATTGGACGATGGCACAAATGCATAACTATCGATCCCACTGCTCGAGAAAGTGCTCCCGAACTCGGTGATATCGACAGAATCGCCGTTTGTGAGCAGAAGTGTGACAACCTCGTTCACGTTGGCATCTAGGAATGACTTCACAGTACCGAGAAAAGACTTCAAAGTCCCTGCGTCCTCCAGCAGACACGAAGTATGGCATAGTTCCAAGACTTTGTCGTCTAGCAGCGAGTGATGCGTTTGCGCTTGTAGGAACCGGATGCCCATATTCAACTGCGCTGTGATGTCGATGTTCTGATTCTGCTGGGGCAGATCTCCCACGAATGCAGAATCGTGAGAGCCCACGAATGTGATATTCGAGTAGGACCGTGAGCAGTACTCTGATCGCCCGTTGCAGGTCGTTGCATCGGCTCGGGGGAGGATATCTGCCGTCGGGACTCCAAGTACCGGCCGAAGAAGCACGATGACACCGAGCAGAGCTCGCGTTATTCTGGTAATAGAGCCCATAGTGCGTTATCTCTGTCCTTCGCTAGGAGGGATAGCGGCTAGGTCTTGAGAATCTAGGGTGAAGCAAGGCAAGCGATATCCCCCAGGGCGCTTCGGGTTTCTTTTCAAGCCGTTTCAGAGTGCCAAGCGCCTACTGAAAGCCGTTCTACTTCCAATAGGACATCGTGACTGATATCTCGGCGTGGCCGGAGGTCATGCAGCCCCCCCCTCCGACGGGGAGTGATGACCAAATACTCCCCAGCATTCCACATACCGACGATCCCTAGCCAGAAGGGAAAAACACACAAGACGAACAAAATCACGGCCTCATGGTCGTGCCAACCATGATGATAGGACACGGGAGGGAGAACGCCCTTGTGACTCGATGTAACCGCATGTCGGGATGACTAGAGGCAGCATTTAGGTCGGCAGGGGGTGGACGGGCAAAGCTTAGCGGAGGGGTCGAGCTTTCCAAGGACTGATTTTGGTAGAGGATGTAGCGATGGGTGAAGCTATGGACTTTGCTGTGGTCGCATTCGGGCCGGAAGACCCCGCTACTGATGGCCAATGATGGTGTGAGATGGGTGCAGGAGGACTCGCAGGGGCGGGAGTGCGATGCACTGAAGATGTGATATGCATCGGGGCACTTTCTGGAATGGGAAGCGTGCTCGGGAGCAATTATAAGGCGTAGCTGATGAGATGAGAATACCCAAGAGAATGGATCATAGATGAGTTTCGTTCAACAGGTTCGGATCAGCTTGCAGGAACCATTTTCCAAACATGTGGAGATGTGGACGACGGCGGTTAGCGCTGGGAGATAAGATGACTTGAATGTTATGTAGTCTTTTGTTTTGGTAACTTCTAGAGCTCCAGTATTGGTACATCTAGCGTCTGCTAAGTTAATTCTGAGATAAAATATTATATATTCCTATACAGATTGTACTCTTGAAACAGTGTAACAACTTAAGTGCAGAGTCCAGTCCTTAGTAGATCACCAAGCGATGCCAAAGCCACAAGTGGCTGAGGCTCTCCGCCCCAAAGTCCGTCCGACGGGCCGAACCAGGCAACCGGAGCTCTCTCGACTCTCGCGACTCCACATGTTTACGTCCGAGCTCGACTCCCCTCTTCCATTCGCACCTACCTGCATCGCCATCGCCCTGCTCGTCTCTCTCGCTCCGACCGAATCGCCTGCCATATCGGAGCACCCCGCTGGTCCGGACACGCCTCACTCCCTGACCCGCCTTCAGCAATGATCACTCGGAGACCTTGCTCATGAGCTCGATGGCTGAGGGCAGTGAGGGTTGGGAACGAGAGGATGAGCTTGATCTGGGCCAGGATGAGCACGACCTCCAAACCCCCGGTAATGATGCCGCTCTCGAACACGATTACCCCGGGCCTTCCCCACAGAAGTTAGAGCCGGTCGAAGCGGAGGCGGAGGAATTGGACACGATAGACAATGCGCAGGACCAGGCTTCTGAGAAGACACTGGATGCAGACGGCCCTCGGCTACCGCAAACGCCGCCGCCTAGGAAAGCGCAAGTGAACGCGGCCCCTGGCAGTGTAGATGAGACGGCTTCGACCCCCGATGATACCCCGTCTCTGCACGTGAGTGGCAGCAACTTGGGGGTTTGCGCGCGGACAAGCATCTAATAAATGACTCTAGGACTCTATCCTATCTTCCCAGAGTAGTGCATTGGCATTCCGAAGTTCACCACGAATTAGTCCCAGTCCAGCCCACCGTCCATTTGACCTTCGTTTCCAGTCCCGATTATCTTCATCTCCACTAAGCGCACCCCGGTCCGGCTCCCCATTTCTAGCGCATCTACACTCCCGGCAGTCGTCAATTACGAGCCAAGTTTCGCCGACCCCGGAATCAGATAACGAAGTACCGCCGAGCCCGTGGGATGTCGTGCGATGGACCAAGCTGCGCAAGATCACTGGGCAGGCCTTCTCGGAGATTGGAAAGCGCAACTTTGGGAGGCCAACCTGTCTGGCAGTTTCAACGTCAATTGTGATCGGTACTTCCAAAGGCATTATCTTGGTATTCGATTATCAACAAAGTTTGAAGACGATCATTGGAACGGGCACAAAGGGTTTGTTTAGGGCTCCACTACCTGATCGTAAACTATGTAATAACTGACATGTAACAGCCGTTGAGTGCGGTCCTGTCACCTCTCTGGCATTATCGGCTGATCACTCGACTGTGGCCGGTGGCCATGAATCCGGCGATATCTTCACCTGGGAAATTTCACGGTCCGCGCGACCGTTCCTCCACATGCCTCCAATCCCAGCAAATCAAATTGAGACCCGGACATCCGATGGACACATTGCAGGCTCTACGGTGATCCATGTGGGCTTCCTAGGAACGCGACGTACGGCGATCGTGTCGGCTGATACGAGAGGAATGGCCTTTTCGCATTTGGCAACGCGAGGTACGGGCTCCCTTGGACGAACGGTCAAAACAACTCGAATCTTGGGTCGTTATCCACAAACCGCGCTGGAGGAGATGCGCAAACGAAAACCCAGCTCAGTCTTGGCCTTTTCTCCTCTCCCGCTCGGAAACGTGGAGCAGCCGTCCGATTCGTTAGGTCTCGTTGCCATGCTGACTCCGTACCTTTTGGTCATCGTGTCGACTACCCCCGTCGCCCGAACTCAACACAAATCGCCGCGCCCTAAAGAGGTTCCCGCGCATAGTGCTATGACTGGTGCTCTGGCTTGGTTCCCCGCAATTCGATTGAAGGGAAAAGACAGTCAAACCTCCAACACGAAGCTTGTCTATTGCTGGTCAAATGTCTTGACCGTGCTAGAAGTGACTGAGGCAGAGACAGACGAGCCTGTGGATAGGGACCGACCTCCAAGCCTCGTCTTCCGAGCCCGCAGCAGATGGAAGGCAGATGAGGCCATCGTGGCCGTCCAATGGCTTAGCCGCTCCGTGCTAGCAGTGCTCACAATCACCCAACGCCTTCTTATCCTGGAAGACTATTCTATGCATGTAACAGATTCCATCGACCTTGCAAACCGACACATCTACCATACCGACCTCTTTTCCTCACAACTTCACAACTTGGTTGAGCAACTCGACGAAGACGATACATCCATGCACGGCGTAGTGGCTGATGCCTTCTACATGAGTTTCCGGTCCTATAAAGGGCGTCTGTTCTTACTTGGTTATAATGAAGCCCAAGTTGGCAACCTTTCAAACTGGGCTGATCGCCTCTTGGCACTGATGGAGGCAGGTGATTTCATCAGCGCTATACGCTTAGCGACTTCATACTACACAGGAAGCGCGGAGAGGCTTACAGTGGGGCTCCCTGATGAGGATGCTTTGAGGCAGCCGATCGTTCAAGAAAAGCTTCTTGAAATGATCTCGGCATCTTTGAAGTATGCCTTCGGTCGCAATGCCGAAGCAAGAAATGAGCAACTGGAGAACCAGCAACTTGAGGAGCTTGCCGAGGTATCCGTGGCTGCTTGCCTCCACATGGCGGACGAGGAGTTTCTGTGGGAGGAAGTGTTCACCTGGTACGAGGAGCACGACTCTGCAGGGGTTTTCTTAGACGTGTTGGAACCGCGTATCGTCGACGGAACCATTCGATCACTACCACCAACTGCAGTCAAAGCTCTCATCAACCATTTCATCGTTACCCATTCTGCTGGCCGATTGGAGGAGATCATTTGTCTTCTCGATACTACGACGATGGACATTGACCAAGTCACCACCCTATGCAAGCAGCACAACCTATACGATGCATATATTTACGTCTGGAATCGGTGTCTCATGGACTACGTGGGGCCCTTGGAGGAACTCCTTCGTATGATCCCCGCTCAGACTGAGCAGCCCTTGGTCAACGGTGACTATGCCATTGAAATGAAACGCCACGCCAACGCGATGAAAATGTTTCCTTACTTGTCCTTTGTCTTTACTGGCCGAATCTACCCTACCGGTGATGACATGGATGAAGCCGAAGCTTTGCGGGCCAAATCCGCATTGTATCAATACCTCTTCTCGGGCCACCTGTCTGGCACAGGGTCAACGAATGCCCCTAACGAGGCTGGCTCGTTTGCCCAGCTGCAGGCTATGCTCAAGTTCGATGCATCCAGCTTCATGAGTATGTTCAACGAGGCTTTCGAGGACAGCTTTTTGAATGAGCCCGAGTCTGAAGATGCTCCCACATCCGGGGTGTCGATCAACCGACAATACTTGATCAGCATCTTGCTTCAAGTGATGGATGCATCGGTCTTTGCTCCTTCCGATACCATTTACTTGGACATGTTTGTTGCACGCAATCTTCCTAAATACCCACAGTATATTCTTCTTTCGGGCACCACTTTGCATCAAGTGCTTGTACGGCTGTGCCAGTATCCGGAGGAGGATATGGCCGAGGACTGCGAGCTGAGTGCGGAGTACCTGCTTTCTTTCTACCACCCACCGGATATTCAGAGTATGGTGCCACTCTTTAAAGAGGCTCGATTCTTCCGTATCTTGAAGTCAACGTACCGCTCAGAGAAACAGTATCCCCAGTGGATCATGGCCTATCTTGATGACCCGCATGACAAACCAGCTATCTATACAGCTCTCCATGATTGCCTTCGCTCCAGTTCGGGGCTTGGCAAAAAACAGAGGCGGGATGTAGTTGAGGTGGTCAAGCAGCATGCCAAAGAGATCGCCGCCATAGATGTGAAGCGAGTTGCGCAGGCAATGCAGGACCTGGCGCCCGAGACTCACTCCACATTCCTACAGGTATTGGAAGATGATCCCTTCAACCAGTACCAGTATCTTCAGGTTTTGGTTGAACCTCACGGACAAACCAGCGAGAATCGGGCTACTCCATCGGTGGAGAATTGGATGATTGAACGGTACGTGCAGCTTCTGTGCAAATACAATCCGTCTCACGTCGCGGACTTTGTGGATGGCCTACGGGTAGGAGACATTCATCTCGAAGAGCTTCTCCCATCTATTGAGGAGAGCGGGGCCATAGATGCCGCCGTTATCCTGCTCGCCCGACAAGGTGAAGTACGTGCTGCCTTGGATCGTCTCGTAGCACACCTGAGCACGCTCGAATCGGGTCTAGTCGGTATTCTCCACAGCGTGAGCGAGGCTCCAGATACTGCCAGCACGACCGAGGCGATCGATGACCTTCTCGAGTCTCTGAATAAGTACGCTGGAGTTGGAACCTGGCTTTGTCAAGGCCAGACCAAGACAGCAAAGCAATCACGGGTGGCCACTAATGGCCAGAGGGGAGTGCCGCTGCTTGAACAGCCACTAGCCTTTGACGAGACACTCTGGTTGGATCTCATCGAGGCCGTGGTTCGCATTGCAAGTAATGTGTTTGCCCTGATGCGGACTCATCAAATCACGGATTTCGAATCAACATCGCCCGCCGTCTCTCTAAGTGAAGACACCGGCCGGCTGACGGTTTCCTTCCGCACTCTCGTCCAGCAGGTATTCACCTCGTTGCTCGCCAGCACTGTGAAAGGTAGCGGCCCATCAGCTAGCGAACGCACCGATCTTTCCTTCCTCCGCATCTTGCGCGCCTTCCTGACCCGCGCCGCCAACTGGTCCCCGTCCCTGCTCGAGCTGCGCGCTGTGCTCGCCTCGGTATTCTCTGCCTATTCCTATGAAAAGTCCCTCCTGACGTTGGCCAACGGCATGTTGGACCGCGATCTATTCGTACACGTGGATGAGGTCACCCGGCTGCGGCAGCACGGGTGGCGCCCCCGCGGCCAGGTCTGCGAGATCTGCCGACGGCGCATCTGGGGCCCCGGTGTGGGCTCATCGCACTGGGACTCATGGGAGCAAAGGCAAACAGATGAGCACCAACGTCGCATCGTCAGGCGTCTCGAAGAAAGTTATGACCCTGTGTCTGAGCGGGGGAAGGGCAAAGCTGCTGCCATGCCTCACCCGGTCAGCCACGGGCACAATGCCCTGGCTGGACCGGGGACTGAGGAAGATGGGGAAAGCCACCCCGCTGAGCCCGTGGTGGTATTTTCCTGCCGACATCTCTATCATCGACAATGCGTTTTAGATGCCATTAGTGGGCTTCATCGACCCATGGATGCACATGGCTCGGTCTTCCAACGCGAGCATCCCGACTGGCCGGTTGCTGAACTGTTTTGTCCGGCTTGTACATAGCGACGATAGCGCATCCTCCTTTCTTTTTTTTATGTGACTCTACCTGTTCCCCCCTTTTTTCTTTTCTCTATCTGTTCTGCTTGGGAAGAAGATCTCTATAGGTGGCATTTTACGCGACGCGTGGGATGGATGTGTCATATAGTTCATTTCCCCTTAGGGTCGAATCAAACCATCTCTTTGAGCGAATCCAGTTGAGAGACCGACCTTCTCCGTACTCCTTTCATTTCTAGACTCGGAGTTCTATTCTGTTCTTGGACTGGCCCGTCAATTATGATCCACGATCCATACCGAAGCTTTAGTTGCGTAGTCTGCTTCAGGACCTCGTAGTCACATACCGTGAACAGTCGTTCAAATAAGCCCCTCCTGATCGAGTCTCATGCCCGAAATGCCGAACGCGCATGCGACATAGACCGGGATCCCCGTCCTAAATACCCCTGGCTAGACTCTGTATAGGGTGTGATCACTAAAGTTAGTGTACAGGGGTCGGGGAATGAAGGAAACCACCATGTCCCTCCCCGCGAATTTCCCCCTCAGAGTAAATGCGCCCCGAGATTTGTCTGCCTCGTCGCATATAAACTAAAGTAGCGTGCTCATTGTCCGTGTGGGGTCACATTGCAGGATTTTAGATCTCCTGTCGGGCCCCATGCCGAATGAGATTAGTTAGGGCATTGTCCGAACGGGGAATATCCTGACACCGGAGATCTCGGCGAGATTGTCAGATGTGACTTTACTGATGATACTTCGGCAGGTCTCGCCGCGTGCTGGTATATTGCGATCATCGTGCTTGTCGGTGGGCGAGTAGAGTAATAGTCCGTAGCGGATGTGGGATAGTGCATACTTCTAGTGTTCCAATGTCTTGTTGTAAAGAACTGGGCGCGTAGCAATAGAAACGTACAATGTAGCAGATAGGGCAAAGAGTCACGGAATGACAGACTTCTCAAACGAATAGACTATCTAGAAGACTCTGTTTTCTGAAGCATCCGTAGTCTAGATTATCCTCCGGGCAAATCGGCCCAGTTCCGATCAGCTTTTTCCTTTCCAGCCACACCGAGACCTCCTCTCATCAACTCATCTGCTCATCTGCCGACCATCTTATGCGAGAGAACCATGGAAAATTCCACTTAACCCCCTGAAGACCAAACGAACCAGGACAAATTTGAGGCCGCATATCCGAAAATCAAAAATCAAAAAGAAAGAAAAGCTTAAATGGGCGCAACCTGACCGAACGATTGGTGGATCCATGCCTTGCCACCGCGATAGACGGACATGATTGGATCGGCCTCGCAGCTGAGCACAACCAGTGACGAGCCCGTAACGGATAGACGAGCCAGGGATCGACGACTCCCAGCGACAGACCGAGCCAGATGAGCTACCCGAGAGGCCCGAAGGCCTTGAAAGGAGCCAGACAGTGGCAGATTGCCCGCATCGCCTTCGAGCCAGTGAGAAGTCGTTGCAGGAATCTTCATGCGCTCGGCACCAGCTCTTCCATTTCCGTCGTTGCGGTACGAACGAGTCAGCAGTCGCAGAATAGTGATCGCCCTGCACTTCCGAAACACCCAGGCGAATAAGTGCAAACTTTCAGCGCTTGAATCTGAAACTAGGGAGGGGCTGGAGATGGGGTTTAAGCTTGCTTAGTGGGTTTCGAGGTAACTGTATGAGGCACTGGGGAAATCTTTTGTCTCTTGAGTAGTTCTTGACTAACCATGTTCAGATTGGACAGTAAGAAGCCACAAGAAGTGCCAGACCGAGAGACTGGAATGCCGCAGATTAACGGCTCTCTCTTCCCACGAGTCTGCCAGCCAACGGAAGTTCATGCCAATGCCCTCCCCCGGGCCATAACAGGAGGTGGCGTGTCCCTACCATCTGATGCATGGGTTTACTGCGTGGATAGTCGATGCCGCACAGATGATCCGCACTTCACATTCATGAACAATCCTCCCAGCTTGGTCGGTCCGTACCAGACTTGAGGACTCGAGAAAGGGCAAAACTGGCAGTAATGGGCAAAGTTGAGAGGTTCACTCGGTCGGTCTGTCGAGACTAGAACCCCGTCCTCCCCGTCGTGGATCTCTCTAATGTTCGGTTCCGGGCTCCACGCAGACCCTTGGAGATCCAACCACTGGCTATCTTTTCCACGGCCCTTGAACACCCCAGACTACGAGTCCTGATAACGCGGCCTGCTGCAGGCCCTTTTCTGTTTGGTCGTGTGGATAAGGACTCATCCTATCTAGGTCTCGGGACCCAGCGTTCGGTCCAGGGATTCCTCGATTTCTGGAAATATTAAGATTTTTTTTTCTGGCTCCCCTCTTACCATAGAGGGAAGACCCCTCCGCGTTTTTTCGTTTCAATCTCTCACATGGATCCCGTTCCAGAGTGTGGTCCTGTCATGCATGTCCCACTCCTAGTCTCAAGATCGGGTCGGGTGGGTGCACACTCAGGGCCCAGGGATCAGGGCCTACGTTACGTTGCCGCCACGCGGTGGGTTCCTGGTGTCTTTTGCTCTTTGTGCATTGTCTGTTCTTTATTGCTTTGTCCTGTATAAAAGATTGACAGGTCGCCCTCCCGTTCCTGTCGGGGATTTTTGTATCTGCCACCGGCGCCTAGTCCTTCCTTTGTTACCCAAAGTGCTTTATACCTCGATTTTCATTCCTTTATTTTTGAGATCTACTATCCCTTCCTTCTCTCAAGGGTAGTAACTCGCCTTCTTTTGGTCTATTTCATCCATTCATTTTTGGGATTGCTTGCCTAGTGCTAGTATCCGATCTACATAGGACTGCTCGTCTTTGATAGACTGCGTCCAATCCTTCTCTTCGAATTCGATCTCGATTTATATAGCACAAGGGAACAATGCACGTCCTATCCACGCTCATTCCCAGCCTGGGCTTGTTTGCCCACCTCAGTGCCGCTGCCTATACGTTGCAGGACGACTATGGCACCACTGACTCGTTCTTTGACAAGTTCGACTTTTACACTGTATGTTGGACTATTGTGACATCGGAAATTATTTCATCCAGACTGACTCGATAATCCTATAGAGTGCGGACCCGACTAACGGGTACGTGAGCTACGTCGACCGTTCAACTGCTAGTAGTGGTGGCCTCATCAGTACTTCCGGCGGCTCGGTGTATATTGGCGTCGATACTACGAACACTGCTAGTAGCCCAGGCCGTCAGAGTGTTCGCCTGGCGAGCACCAACACCTACCAACATGGCCTGGTGATTCTGGATCTGGAGCACATGCCTGGCAGCGTTTGCGGTACTTGGCCTGCATTGTAAGTCAATCTACCTTCAATTCCGATCTCCAGTCAAAAGAGACTAACGTTATCTAGCTGGATGCTCGGTTCGGACTGGCCTAACAATGGCGAAATCGACATTATCGAAGGCGTCAACACCCAAACCAATAACCAGATGACCCTACACACCAGCGATGGCTGCTCTATCAGCAACTCCGGCTTCAGCGGCACCCTCGAGACAAGCAACTGCTACGTCGAGGCCTCGGGCCAATCCTCCAACGCTGGCTGCGGCATCCTCAGCTCCAGCTCCCAGTCTTATGGCGACGGCTTCAATCAAGTCAATGGCGGTGTCTACGCCACCGAATGGACGTCTTCGGGCATCAACGTCTGGTTCTTCTCGAACTCCAGCGTCCCGTCGGATATTACCAGTGGCAGCCCTAACCCTTCAGGCTGGGGTACCCCTACTGCCGCGTTCTCCGGGAGCTGCGATATTGATTCGCACTTCAACAATCTGCAAATTGTATGTCTTCTACTCCCCCGTATCAACTTTCAATTTGGGAATGGAATACTCACTGACATCCCATATCAGGTCTTCGACATCACCTTCTGCGGTGACTGGGCCGGCAACGTCTGGTCCTCTAGCACCTGTGCCTCCAAGGCTAGCACCTGCAACGCTTACGTCCAAGACAACCCCTCCGCCTTCACCGAGACATACTGGCGCATCAACTCTCTCAAGGTTTACCAAGAGAGCAGCAGCTCTAAGCGTGACATACACTCTCACGCCGCCGTGCATGCCCGCGAGAACGAGGCTATCCGTGAGAACAACTCGCGCCGCTCTGCGCCGTACGTTCGCCCCGCGCCTCGTCCAGCCTGGAAGCACCGCCGTGGTCATTACAAGCATGGTCATGCTTAGGTGAACTGGTTTCGTCTGACTGTATCTACTTGGGAGAAGGGAATCTGTGATTCCTCTTTGGTGTTTTTCGAAGACTTCTTGTGATTTTTTCTTCTTTTTCTTCTCTTCTTCAGCTGGACCTTTTTTCGATTATGTATATCGTCTGTTTGACAGGCTATCTGCGACTTTTTTGATGACTTTTTATGGCGGATTTGGGCGATGATGTGCTGTTGATGTTTTTAAATACCCCTTGACACTCGTTCACAAAGCATTCATTGGCATGGCGATTGTATGTGCATTGAAACAGAAAAGTATTGCTCTTAAGTCGAATCATCCGATGCCAAAGCAACAACTACAATCGTGGAATCGTAGATAATCACGTGGAGGATCTCCAATGTCTAGATTTGGATAAGCGTGCACGGTAGTGATGCATATTTCGTCGAAATCATAAAGCCCATATTTACTGAAAACTAATCTAAGTTCATACAATGTGCAATGCTATTCCCCTCACGCCTTATACCCAAGAACATCTCTTTGGTCATCTGTGAGACGACCCCATTCAAGTAGCAGCCGGAAGAAATAAATCTCCATATCCTCCTTGCGAAGTGCGATCTCGCTCCACTTGCGCCCTTGCTCGGCGATCCACCAGCCTTCGTTGGAATGTGAATCCATAAGCATTTGAGGTTTTTTAGAATCACGGTCATTGGCGTTGGGATCGGGTACACCTGCGAAATACGCCAACGTACTCCAAAGTCCATGAAGACGAATGTCGACGGGCACAAAGTGCAGCCAAGAGATCACCCGCGAGTCAAACCATTGCCGGAAGAGGCCGGTTCTTAATGGAAGACTATGGCTCTGGAGGAAAGGTAGGAAACGGCCACTGAACCCTGCTCCGTCGAGATCGAATAAGAATCGATGGGACCAGTGTGCTTGGAAGTCAGCCCAGGAGCGGGTTCCCAATTCATCACGCTGAGTATCGCAGTCGCCGCAGCGAGTAATTGGGTCGGCGATGTGCACATCCGTGCGCAGATTCAGCTCTTTGGTCGGAGCAGATCCGTCCATGGTCTTATATTGGTAGAGGCCATGACCGGCGGGTAAGAGCACGGAGACTTGGCTGTGGGTGTTATTGTTGACCAAGTGTGAGAATCGCTGCCGCGGCATGCCTTTCCATTCGTTAAATCGGCTGTAGCCTTCAGATGTACTGCCAACCCAATACAAAGAGTTGTCTTTTTGCGAGTACTCTGGGTCCGGATGTTCCTTCGATGGCTTGTACTCAATCTTGTCCATATAGTTCCAGGGACTAGGGAAGAGAGATGTCACTGAATCCAGTAAGCGCACTCTGGCTAAAGACAGGAATCAGCTCTTGGGACACTTTGAACGATGCCGGCGATATCAAGAGGCCGTGAAGAAAAGCGAGATCGGGTTGATGACATATTTCTGTGGCGAGATTGAAGTCTAATGGGAATTGGCCCATAGTATGCGGCGCTGCGCAGCTCAAGCAGATGTCATGTCGGTTCCAGACACGCCGTGTGCGCACACGGGATGAGGGCGGACAGACTGCACTGACATAGGGATCAAAAACCCCTCTCCAGGCACCGTCTGTGAATATAGTCGCATTTGTTTGGTCAGCTGGTTCGACTGGAGCCCAGCCAAGCTGTCTGCCCCCCGACCACCGGTCTACTAACTCTTCTTGAGGGACAGGTTCCTGTGCCCATGCCGCCTGTTTCAACCGCAACATCTTCTCCCAAGGCACTGCCACTCGGGGCTCGTCATTCAAATTGAAAACAAGGTCCATGTCTGGCAAGTGTTGGGCAAATTTTTTGATCATTTCAGCCGCTCCCTTCACCATCCACGCATGAGTTGGCTTGATCCCCTCTTGAACTTTGACCTGGCCCATGCGAATGCTGATAGCTCCAAGGTCATTGAAAGGATTTGTCGCTAACTGATGTGTCATGTCTCGGATCTCTGCAGGTCTGATGGCCCTGAATGGGAGAAGATTTTCATGAATCTGGTCAAAGTCGTCGATGATTACCGAAGAATGGTTCGTTGCATATTCAAACCACTTGTCGAATCCGGGTGGGGGGTGCTGTCGATACCTCTTCCGATACTCTTGGGCAGCTTCTGCCAGGCTCTTGCTGGCGCCCGCTTGCAGAAGATAGTTGTCATAGTGAAGGGTGGCTTTGTGAATAAGAAGATCAATCGGGTGGGTATGGGAGAAATGATGCTTGGTCATGGCAAAGGCTAGGCCAACCCCACCAACGAGAAGGAATAGGATCTGCAGCACGATGTTGGTACGGTATAAAGGCTTTGACTCTTCGCCTGACAATATCCTTGAAAGAAGAAACAAAATTGCACCCGTCGAAGATGCAATGGCGGGAACAGCGGCGTGGATTTGGGAGATGTATGGGAATGGCATCTGCTCGAAGAGAAGGGTCGACATTGCCGGGAAAAATACGAAGACGAATCCCCCAAAGATGGATAGCCCAAGAATCCCGAAGTGTGGTAGCTTTATCTTGAGTCAGTATCTGTGTAATGAGACATGGAGGAGGATAGAGGGCTAACCATTTGCCAGCTTGATAGAACAAATATGACAACCAGTATCGCTTGGCCAAAAGCACTGCGAGAGTACTTCGCGTCTAAAAAGGGCTGACCGCTGTGTTCAGGGCGGCTATTCCGAACGAAATGCCCAATAATAGTCCAGATTACGGCAACAAGCTATCGTGTATTGTCAGTGACATTATTCACCACGGCTTTCCGAAGTTACGGCTTACCAGGAGACCAGCCCCAAGAGCAAACAGCGTTCGCTTTCTTCGAGACACTTCATTTTCGGCCCCGTTTTGGCAGAGTTCAGCGATCCCAATGAGGAGAATTGAATCAATCACCACATTGGCCGCTTTCATAGCTTGTAGACGTGCTGCACCGCTGAGAACAATCGGGCAGATATACGTGGACTGGCTGCCTTCGAGAACCGACGAAGCTGCATAGCCGCCTATCGAGATCAATGCGGCTGCACAAATCCCCCTGAATTGACTTTGCGTAAGGTTGTGCAAGCCCCGCCGACAGATATAGTAGGCTACATTTGAAGACAGATTTTGCGACGGTTGCAAGGGAGAGTAGCCTGCTCTTGAACGTGGTCGCTGTTGTCGCCAGTAGTCATATAGCGAAATAACGAAGGGAATCGCATACTAAAGTCGTTGAAAGATGGTTAGAAACTCCAACTTGAGACGCAAGGCAGAAAAGAACTAGTCTTACAGCATATCCAGTGGGAGAGCACTCATTGTGAAGAGTGACTAGGCGGAATAACTCGATGCGCAGACCAAGAATCCATAAAAGCAGGCCAACTTTCAACCAGAAACGGGTTGAAGGTGGTGGAGGTTCCCGAGAGCCCAAGATTGGGGACGGAGATGAGGTCCGCGATGAGAGTTCGAGGTGGTTGGTGGGAATGTTGAATCGTTTTCCTATCGGCGATGAAGGTCGCGACACTACCGGGACAAATCGACCTATCACTAACAAGAGTATTCCCAGAAGGAAACATACCAGGACAGCCGTACTGACCGGGCGGTCTTAACGGACATTGGGGGGTCAGTTTGCGAATGCTGGATGGGCCTTGGTGAAGATGTTATCAACTTACCAAAGGCATATGTGGCATTGTAAGAAGACACCAGGAAGAAGGAGCTCAAAAAGAAGACCCTGAAGTCAATACAACCGTCAGCACTTGTTTCTCTAGTCTGGCATTCGAGCTTGAACATGGCATCTTCCCAACAGCCTACTCACCCCACACAAGCCTTGAGCCCCGTATCGGCGGAGAACGGGACCATTATGCGCCCAATTACTTATCGTTCCATACACTTTATATTAGAAGCCATCGCGCCACATTGCGATTGAATTGGATGCCAAAGAGGATAACAGTATGTCGAGTGAAGACGCAAAGAAGAACGACTGGAGCGCATAGCGAAAAAAGGAACCGGATGCGGGACATTGTCCCGGTGGAGATCTCAGGGGATTGACAGGGATCCTGGACGAGCCGGAGACTTTGTCTAAGCTGTGAGGCTGTGACCTTCTGGTAGCTAATCAAGAGCAGCCGATATGGAACAGACGGGGGATCAAGTTGCGTCAGTCGGAGACGGTTGGACTCTGATCAAGCACCCAACCATGGGCCCTGCTTCAGCATGTTGCATTTCCCAGCCAATAAGATGGGGAAAGGATCCAACCAGGTGGGAGCCGACTCTTAAGCCCTTGATTCTTACGTCTGGGAATGCGTCGAAGAAAGCAAGATATGCCGGGGCGATCAGCGGCCAGAATCAAGTCTTAGCTCCCGTGCGCTCCACTTGGTGTGCTTGGAACGTCAGAGCGCGCGCTAGCGACACGAGTTAACTCAGTTAAGCATGTCGTAATTTGTCCTTCGTGCGGGCATTTTTTGAATCTCAACAGTTTCCCCAGACAGGAGACAATCGGAAAAAAAAGTCGAACGGTCTACGCATGCATCATGCAAATCATAAATGATGTGGAACTGTGAGGTGGTCGAATGCGGAGTGGAGACTGATTACCCGATGAGGAAAGTCATCGACAGGAGGAGACCCTGTTTGTCACGTGATTATTTAACCGTCGACCTGACATAATCATACGAAGGCGGTGAATGTACTTCATGGAAACGGTAGGCGGTATGCACAAGCAATATGATTTTTTTTCCTTGGACCTTTTTGGGAAACAAGAAACCAGGCGACATCTTGTTCTTTGATCATTGAATTCGCATTTGCCGAGACATATCGAAGGCAAATAGTCGAGAGTTTTCGGATCGTACTTGGTCGCCCTACCCTTCCTTTCGACAGATTATCCGACAGCGAGCGTCAAGGGCCCGACGACACTCGCGGCCAGCTCCGCATCTTCAATATGCCGCGTAAAGCGATTGACTCGCGTATCCCGGCCCTCATCCGAAATGGTGTGCAGGAGAAGAAGCGCAGCTTCTTCGTGGTCGTTGGAGACCGGGCGAAAGATGTGATCGTTCATCTTCACTACATCATGTCCAGCGTGGATGTGAAGCAAAACAAGTCCGTCCTGTGGGCTTACAAGAAGGATCTGCTGGGCTTCACGAGTCACCGGAAGAAGCGCGAGAACAAGATCAAGAGGGAGGTCAAGCATGGTATCCGTGAGCCGAACCAGGAGGATCCCTTCGAGTTGTTCATCACCCTGAACCAGATTCGCTATGTCTACTACAAGGAAACGGAAAAGATTCTGGGTAACACCTACGGCATGTGTATTCTGCAGGACTTTGAGGCTATGACCCCCAACTTGCTGGCGCGTACTGTTGAGACCGTCGAGGGTGGTGGTATGGTTCTGTTGTTGTTGAAGAGCATGAACAGCTTGAAGCAGCTGTACACCCTTTCCATGGATATTCACTCCCGCTACCGCACCGAGGCCCACGATGATGTCGTTGCCCGTTTCAACGAGCGTTTCATCTTGTCTCTAGGAAGCTGCGATTCTTGCTTGGTCGTGGACGACGAGTTGAACGTACTGCCCATCTCCGGCGGCAAGAATGTCAAGCCCCTCCCTCCTCCCGAATCCACGGACGAATCCAGCTCCGGCACTAAGAAGGAATTGAAGGAAATCAAGGACAGCCTGGCAGAGTCGCAACCCGTTGGCCCACTGTTGAGCTTGGCTCGCACTGTTGACCAGGCTAAGGCTCTCCTCACTTTTGTCGACGCAATTGCTGAGAAGACCCTGAAGAGCACGGTTGCGCTTACAGCTGGTCGTGGACGAGGAAAGTCTGCTGCCCTTGGTGTTGCCATCGCCGCGGCTATTGCCCATGGCTACAGCAACATCTTCATTACCTCTCCTAGCCCGGAGAACTTGAAGACTCTGTTCGAGTTCGTCTTCAAGGGCTTCGATGCGCTGGGCTACCTTGACCATGTCGATTACACCATCCTGCAGTCGACCAACCCGGATTTCAACAAGGCTATCGTGCGTGTCAATATTCACCGCAACCACCGCCAAACTATTCAGTACATCCAACCTCAGGATGCGCATGTCCTGGGCCAGGCAGAGCTGTTGGTCATTGATGAGGCGGCTGCCATCCCATTGCCTCTTGTGCGCAAGCTGATGGGCCCTTACCTTGTGTTCATGGCCTCTACTATCAACGGTTATGAGGGAACTGGTCGTTCCCTCTCCTTGAAGCTGATCCAGCAGCTTCGCGAGCAGGCCCGTGGTGGTATCAAGAATGCCGATGCCGATGTTGCCGACCGCAGCACCGGCAAGATCTCGAAGAATACCGACAAGAGCCTCGGCGGTCGGTCACTTCGTGAAATCACCCTCTCTGAGCCCATCCGTTACGCCCCCGGTGACTCGGTTGAGAAGTGGTTGAACAAGGTCTTGTGTCTCGATGCCACTTTGCCCAAGTCCCGTATGAACACTCAAGGTTGCCCTCACCCGTCCAAGTGCCAGCTGCTCCAGGTCAACCGCGACACGCTTTTCTCCTTCCACCCTGTCTCCGAGAAGTTCTTGCAGCAGATGATGGCTTTGTACGTCGCCAGCCACTACAAGAACACTCCTAATGATCTTCAGCTCATGAGCGATGCTCCCGCTCACCAACTCTATGTGCTCGTTCCGCCCATTGATGAAGAGGCCACCAAGCTTCCAGAGCCACTTTGCGTGATTCAGGTTGCCCTTGAAGGCCGAATCAGCAGACAAAGTGTCCTCAACAGCCTGAGCCGTGGCCAGCGTGCCGGCGGTGATCTGATCCCCTGGCTGGTGTCCCAGCAGTTCCAGGATGAGGACTTTGCGGGTCTCTCCGGCGCTCGTATCGTTCGTATCGCTACGAACCCCGAGTACGTCGGCATGGGTTACGGTTCCCGTGCCCTGGAGCTTCTTGCCGACTTCTACGAGGGCAAGTTCACCAGCCTTGATGAGGAGATGGCTGGCCCTCGGGAGGAGATGGTCCGTGTCACGGATGAGGAGCTCGCCAACTCGAGCCTGCTCGATGACAATGTCCATGTCCGGGATATCCGCTCCATGCCTCCGTTGTTCGGCAAGCTGAGCGAGCGTCGCCCTGATTCTCTGGACTACCTCGGCGTCAGTTACGGTCTGACCCCCTCTCTGCACAAGTTCTGGAAGCGCTCTTCCTTCAACCCAGTATACCTGCGCCAGACTCCCAACGAATTGACTGGCGAGCACTCCTGTGTCATGTTGCGCACTCTGGCTACCGGCGCGACTGATGCCGCCTGGTTGGGCGCCTTCTCTCGCGACTTCCACCGCCGTTTCCTTGCCCTGCTCTCTTACCAATTCCGCGAATTCCCCTCCGTCACTTCCCTGAGCATCTGCGAGTCCGCCAATTCTGGCGCTAAGCTGGATTCCTCGGCCGTTGTTCGCACTCTGAGGAAGGCTGATCTCGATGCCGCCTTCTCGCCCTTCGACTTGAAGCGTCTGGACAGCTATGCCAACAACCTCCTCGACTACCACGTCATCCTGGATATGGTCCCCGCAATCGCCGAGTACTACTTTGCCAACCGCCTCGGCGGCAAGGTCAGCCTCTCTGGCGTTCAGCAGTCGATTCTCCTGGCCATTGGCCTGCAGCGGAAGAGCATGGACGATCTGGAGAAGGAGCTGAGCCTTCCTTCATCTCAGCTTCTTGCCATGTTCCTTAAGATCATGCGTAAGATTTCGACCCACTTCCGTAGTCTGGTCGAGGGTGCCGTTGCGGACACCATGCCCGCAGAGCAGATCCCCGTCTCCGCCCCCTCGGCTGCCCACGATGACGCCGTGGTCGAGGACCGTTTCAAGCCTCTGGAGACTGGTCTGGAGGATGAGCTCCGTGAGGGTGGTGAAGAGATTGACCAGGAGATGCGCGAGAAGCAGCGTGCTCTGATTGACGCTCTTCCGCTCGACAAGTAAGTCTGGCCTTTGCCTCAAGATGCTCTCTACTGAATTCGTGAATGAGCAATAACTGATTCTTAGTCTCCAGATACGAAATTGATAACGGTGCCGCGTCCTGGGAAGACGCTGAGAAGCAGATTCGTGCTGGTGGTGCCGCCACCGTTAGCGTGAAGGCGAAGCAGTCCAAGCGCAAGAAGGGCGAAACTGCCCGGGATATCTACGACAAGGAGATTGACTCCAAGCGTCAAAAGATCATCAAGAAGGGTACCGAGGGCCGGAAAAAGTAAATGTTCTTTGGGGATTATCTGTGTTTTGACGGCGTTCCTCTGCATTTTCTTACGGTGTTCTTGCGGCTTTTTCTACCCATATGTACTCTTTAAAGAGAGTGTTGTTCCAGTTATTTCATGTTGTGCTGGATATTCACCTCTTGTATATATCTGAACGACTTGATTCGTCTTCCATGCCAGTTCCCATTACTTCAAGTAGATGTACCTAAGAGTAGGGTCTGTTCTGACAAGTGAAAGCACATAGTGTAGGATGCAATAATGGCTAACAGGCTAGAGACATAAGGCCGTACAGACTAGCTGCAGTATATTTTAGGTATCCCGGCTGCGCTAGACCTCACAGCTCATCATGCTCGGGCTCCTCCTTAGGCTTCTCAGCCTCAGGCTCAGCGACGAATCCCTCAGGCAGCTTCTCCTTAGCGCCCTCTCCGAGGCGGATGGCATCAATCCACCCCTCAATAGCCGCGAGGCCAAAGTCCTCTGCCTGACTATATCGACGGTACCATCCGCGGCGAGCATTGACGGCAATGATCACCACGGCATCGCTAGCCTCCAGGCCGAGCGAAGTGCGCAGATTCTGAGAGGCAGAGTTGATCTCAGGGATACCGTAAATCGGGAAAAGGTGCGTACCACGCTGAGCGTGCTTGTGTGCAATCTCAGCCAGACTGCTAAGTGCGTCGGTGGCCGCTGATGGGAGCGCAGAGTCCGGCTCACTTGTGGCTGGGAGGAGGGCCAGCACACAGGTGGTGGATTTCGAGTTCAGACAAGCGGACTCGAGGGATTCGGGGGTAGCGAGGGTAGGGACTGGAGGAACAATGGGGACCTGTACGGGCTTGGCCTCGGGTGTTTCCTCTGCAGCCGCCGATTCACCCTCGTCATCGGGGACAACAGGAACCTTGGGAGCTGCCTTTGCAGGCTTGGAAGGCTTGGACTTCTTGGGTTTGGCCGCGGGCGAGGCAGCCTCTCCGGTAGCGTCGGGATTGGGAGAGGCAAATTGCTTAAGGAAGTCGGTGATAGGCTGTTTTTTCAGCTCGCCCTCATACACCTTGGGCTCTTCATCGCCGGAGACGACAACCAGCGAGGGGAACTTGGAGACGCCAAATTTCTCCACTGATGCGGACTCCTTGTTCCGCACCTGAGCGACGTCGATGGCGCCCAGGAAATCAATGGCCAACGCGCGGATCAAAGGGGTCGTAGTGCCCTTTTCCGTGAAGAGGATAGCCTTGGGTCGTTCCTCATTCTGTCCCAGCCACTTATCCAAGTCCTTGTCCGTTGCGCGCTTCACATGGTTGGGGATGCGGTCGACCACCGCGTCGACGATAGCCTTGGCACTGCGCGCACCCTGGTAGTCCTCCACGCGCGGCTTTCCGGGCTTCTTGGACGGTGTCACAATCTTCAGGGTGGGGAAGCCCTGCACACCCATCTGACCGCAGAAGGGCTTGTTTTCGTCGTCATCGCAGTTAACGGCGGCGACCTTGGCCAAGCCGTTCAGATTCTGGGCGGCTTTCTCGTAAGCGGGCTTGAGGTTTTTGCAGTGACCACACCAAGGAGCGTAGAACCTAGCAACAGCAGAGGTCAATTAGCTTGGAGGAAAACTTTTGGGAGTGGAATCGTTCGGCCGTGCGGGGAGAGCTCACTCGACGATCTATAGAAATTGGAGATTAGCATTTAGCCCATAGCGCATTTTCCTTGGGCAAATATTGGTGGACAGGTATCCTTACTGAAGTATAGTTCGAGTTCGCAATAAGTGATCCGTAGGTCTTCTGGTTGAGCTGGAGGACCGGCGACTTTTTGGTGTAGATTCCGTCAGCGTTGGCGGGCAGCGCAGCCAGCAACGAAGCGACGAGCAACAACGAGCTCTGTGGCAACATCATGAAGGCGGATTGGTGTTAATAATTCAGAGGTTTCGCAAAATCTATGCAGGCGCTCCGACGAGCATCGCAAGTTCGTGAGACGGAGGGGGAAAAGCCAGATCAAACAGAAAAAAGGCGCGTTATTACGCAAGGTGTCCTGAAGCTCTTGGCATGCGGAGAGAAAAGCTTCTCCAATGAGGAAGCTCCGGCGGCTCGACCTTCTTCGGACGCCTTGATAACCTTAAGTACCGCTTACAATGCCACACCACGATGACTATTCCTCTTTACAGTGGCCAAGACACTTGTCGTGACCTTGCTTTTCTGCCTAGGGACCTTTTTTGGCTTATCTTAGAATTATTAGAGCCCACGGACCTTGTACGCTGTCGCCGCGTCTCACGGGCGTGGAACGAGGCCTTTCGTAACCCGGATATCTTACTCCCTCTTTTCAAGAGACACTTTCCCTGGACACAAGAGGTCAAGGATCTGCAAAATGGCCCTCCTGATGCAGAAAATTTCGTTCAAAGTACCTTTGACCAAGTGGTCGCCCGATATGACCACCTAGAGCGAGGGAAACCCCGCTCCGTGCAGAAACACCGCCTTTGCAGTGACCTCGGGTCGTCTTGGGAGAGACAATGGTTCCCAGTGCAGCCATGGGAGTCGCACGCCAGTCACTATCTGGGTGACGTCGACCGCCAGTTTTCAGAATCAATGTGGACCTACGAGGATGGACTGGTAGTCTTCCCCCAAGCGAAGCACCGGTATCTCGTGCTTTTAGACCTGAACAGCGACAGGCAGTTTCTTGTGCCATTCATCATCGAAGGCAAAGTGATTCGAAGAATACGACTTCAGAAGCGCTTACTGGTCGTGGAATGGGCCGAGCCCAAAGCCTTCCACTGGCTCAATGAAAGCGATGGCGTTCATCGTCATTTCGCTTCATCCTTTGATATCACCCCGAGTGCTGGTAACGACGGTGGATGGGAAATCGTTCCGCGTAACGAGTGGAAAATCATGTTTCTAGGCCATCCACTCAGTGAGCGGGATCGGTTCTTCTCTGCACACAGCAAGACACACTATGTCATCTACATTTGGCAACCGAACCGCAGTCTGTACACGGCAGATGAGGATGCGCCCATCGAGTCCTTATTCGTGTGGGATATCTCAAAGCAATCTGACTATCGCCCATCTCTCGATCCCACAGGGGCGCAGACAGGACCCGAGGTAGACCAGGCCCCGTCCATTATCGCTCGCTTCGGATACCAAGATCTTGAATTCTTCGATGTTCGACAGAGGGGCTTCCCATGTATACAACAGCTTGAAGTCTCTGATGATGGACAGACTGTGTTTATCACCGAGAATGCTCGTATCTTCCCGGCCAACGAGCAGCCCCAAGCATGGGGTGTGCCCCAGACCGTCACTGTCGGCATTCCAGTCAATGGGATTGGTCCCTATGCTCGGATTTGTCCGAGGTACATTCTGACAGCATATCGAAGCAACGACAATTTCCAACAAATGCCTCTCTTTGAGTGGGAGCATCTGGTCGACTCCTGGAACAGCATCATCGCGCAGGTGACTGATCGCGAATCCGGCGTAATCTTCCGTCTCCATTTCGAGGATAACGTGGAGACTGGAGAACTGGGCTCTATACACTTGACGATTGAAACAGAGAAGATGCTGGCCACTAGGAAAGCACCAGATCTAAGTGGACGAGCAAAGCTTTGTGGCTGTGACAAATACATCATAGGAGAGACTCGGAACCGTGATCTGGTCATCTACCGATTTGATCGATGAGTAGATTTTCGTTCAGTGACTCTCTCATTTCTGATCGGCCAATCTATGAGCTGAAATACCCGTTCAACCCCAAGCTCCAAGCACCGCGATGGGAGGATTATTGCACATGCCCAAATCCCAAGACGAACAGCCTAACTAAACGGTGCCTTTATGTGCCTGGCCTGGGCCAGAAAGGATCCCCATTACACCTGGAAACGCTAAATTTGTCAAAGAACTTCTCTGCAGAGTCTCTTTGTTTGAGCTATCAGTGATGGCTACGTGTAACATTCAACAATCCATTAATAATCTCCTACGGCCATCAAGTCCAACTATAAAATTTGATTCGTGATACAGAGATGATAGTATGTTTGGTGTTGGTGTTGGAGTCGAACGGAGGATTAGAAACTTGCGCGGAGCTACTTAGTGTAGTTTAGTAGTATCGAAATGGTCAATTGCATCTTCTTCACCCCTATCATAATGATGATTTTCAAGAACACAATAGGATATCAAGGGCATGACCTCGTTGAACAGGGTAATGTCAGGACCTGGAACGTCTCTGGAGACTCGTGCTTGGATTTAGGAGTGTCTCTAGTCTTTCCCGTCAACCGGTATCTCATGTACAAGATTGAGCAAAGATTCCAGTTGTCCACCACGATCACACAATTAATGAGTCACCTCATAATTCTCCCAATTCTCAAACTTGCACCGAACACATCGTTTCAAACCACAACCCTGGCACGTCAGGGTATAAAGTGGTTTCCAGAGATGACAATTGTCACATTCGGGCTGACCAAACCCCTTGTCCCAGGAACCGAGATGTGAACAAGCAAAATCATCATCTGTAGCAGTTTGCGGACTGCCATCAGAATGAGAGGGATGTTTGCTCTCCATCCATGTACAAACGGCATCCATGACGAGACCATGGAGCTCTTGACACATGTCTTCATGTGTATAACGCCAACTAGGGTCGTCCAACTTGGCCTTAAAGTACGGGATGAATGGGCGTAGCGATGACTGGGGTTGAGGATTTTCCACGGGATGCACAGTTCCTTCAGTCGACGGCTCGGTGCGTACTGGGTTAGAGCTGGAGCTGGGTCTGGTCGGGTTAAGATCTGGAACAGTGCAAGGAAGATCATCACAGTCAAGATACGTTGTCTCTTCGCCCTTGTTTTGTGTCTCGAAGTTGGCGAGGAGTACTCCTCCATCTGAGTCAGTCGAGCTGTCGTCCCAGTCGGCCGGGGAATCAGGAGTCGAGAGAAGCCAGGTGAGATCGCTGCCATCACGGAAGGAAGTAGTCGCACTCATAAAAACAGTCGATCGATGAGATGCGGTAGTATCCAGACCCGCTGGGCCATTGCCATTAGGAAAGGTCTCCGTATCCTGTCCCAAGGAGCGTCCCTCTGCCGCCTCGATAATTTCGCCCGTTGACTCTCCCCCATCAAGAACGGTTTGAGCTATCTTTTTCTCTTCACAGATCTCAATCTGTGCCTTTTGGGGCCAGGTATCATCGGAGGGGCAGTTATCGGTTTCCGATGCGTGCATTTCCTGCTCGGTCACGAACTGGCGTTTCTCCAGTTCGGCTTCAGCCTGGCGCGCCTTCTCTCTCTCTGCCGCGATACGTTCCCTCTCTCGTCTCTTAACAGTGTCGAAGATCATGTCCATCTGTGCCTCGCTGTATTTGGGCGGGGAACCATGATAGCCGTTTCCGTTGTAAGTGCGGTTCCAGCTGCGTTGCGGGTCTGTCCAGTCTCCTGGATTATTTGAGTGCTGAGATTGTGGGTTCAGCGGCGAGGAATAGGCCGAAGGGGTTTGAGGTGAACGATGATACCCACCAGCCCTATTTGTCCGATAGTGCAATTCATGGGCTCTGAGTTCTTTGTCGTAATCTCCACGTCGTTGAGGATCACGCAGCGTATCTGCAGCCTCCAGGCCCTGTGATGTATAATTTGTCAGTTCTCGATATCAGTGAAGAGCCTCAAGAAGGCTACCAATGAGAAGTATCTGTACGGTGAAGCGAGCATGGCTTACCTTTAGGAATTCTTCGAGCGCATCATTGCCATTGCACTTGTCCGGGTGATACTTCAGAGCGAATTGCTTCCAAGCAACGTTGATCTCCTTGATTGATGCGTAGCGTCTGACGCCTAAAAGCGCATAGTGATCGGCAACCATTATTGTCGACATCTTGACAGTCCAGAGGGTCGAGAAAAGAAGGCCCGCAGTGAGGACGTCGTGATACTCAAGAAGCTCAAGTGTTCACAACAAGCAGTCACGGAAATGTGGGGGTCAATGCTTTTAGCTGCTCGAGGGTGAACATGTCCAGAGGAAAGGTAAATCTTGGTTAAAGGACTCGGAAGAAGTAGGACGGTCTGAGAACGTGATGGTAACTATTGTTCCAGGAGTGAAGCAATCGCCGGGCGTGGTTCGAAGGATAGAAAAAAAGTTGACTGTAACGATTGTTTCCAGAGTAAAGCAGTCGTAGAGTGTGGCTCAAGGAAGGGAGGTTCGAGGAGAAAAGAGAAGTTGATGGCAACGATTGCTTGCGAGGGAGAACAATCGCAGAGCGTGGCACGAAGGAGAGAAGCGTGGCTCGAGAAGAATAGTGTTACTCGAGGAGAAGAGAGTGGCTCGGGGAAGTGAGATTCGAGGAGAAGGAGAGGGTCGAGGAGAAAAAGAGAAGTTGATGGTGATGGTTGTTTCTGAACAATCGCAGAGCGTGCCCTGAGGGAGACAACAGAAGTTGGTGGTAACAATCAATTACGAAATAGGCAATCGCAGCTGGCGGCGCGAGGGAGAGCGAGGTGAGAAGAGACGAAAAAACGGTGGGGATGCGAGAGTTAACGTTCTGAGGTGTGAAGCTGGGAGCTGAGAAGTTCCGGGGCTTCCTAGGTTATCAAGGCAGGACAGGTTATGAAGGCAAGATAGGCTATCCAGACAAATCAAGGAAGACAGCTTACGAAGGACATACTCGGGCAGCAATCTTAAAAGGTAGATGATGGCCATCAGCCTACTAACTCGGCCGAAGAGCACAAAAGAAATCGGAATGGATTGACACTGATTTTACAAAAACGGTGGGTCGATCTAAATATCAACAAGTCTACACTGAAAGGTGACTTCGTCCCATAGAAGCAGATCAAGGCTTCTACATGTCGGCAGAGGCGGTGGCACCGGTGATAATCTCAACCAGCTCACCGGTAATGGCGGCTTGACGCTGACGGTTGTACAGAATCTGGAACTTGTTGATCATCTCACCAGCGTTCTTGGAGGCGTTCTCCATGGCGTTGCGACGAGCCTAATAACTTGTTAGAAACCTACATTCATTGTGATGAGAGGATGGTAGAAACATACCGAGATTTCGCAGGCGTGGCCCTCAGCCATGGCCCAGAAGAGGTTGTTGGCGAGAGCGTACTCGCGGAGACCAGCAAGAGCCTCGTCATCAATCTCGTAGGCGGAGATGTTGGCTAAAAGAGAGGTTTTGTAAGCAAGCTATAGCTTCTCTGGAGCGCAAAAAGAACTTACCGGACTGGGTGATAGCCTCCTCAGAGAAAGCCTCAATGGTGGTAGCCTCGTAGCTCTGAGCGTTGATGAACTTGTTGTAGACGATCTTGACGCTAGCATAGTCGGTGGGCAGCAGAGAGATCTGGTCGGCAATGGCCTGGGCGTCGGCGAAGGTGGGGATATCCTTGCAGACGTTGGCGAAGCTCAGGAGGATCTTCTCGGGAACGACACGGGAGAGCTGAGCCTTGGCCTTCTCGCCGAGGATGACAATGTCGGCCTCGGGGTTCTGAGCCAGCAGGCGGCGAGTGGCCTTGGAGAGACCGGAGTGAATACCACCGCAAAGACCCTTGTCGGAGCTAGCCACGACATACAGAGTCTTCTTGTCCTCCAGAGGCTTGGTCTCGGCCTGCTCGAAGACGGTGTTGGAAGTCTGACCGTAGTTGCGGGACTCATCCATAGCCTTCTGAGCGCGAGTGAGACGGGTCGAGGCAACGATCTTCATGGTGTTGGTGATCTTCTCGATGTTACGGATGGACTTGAGGCGGCCCTCAATCTCACGCAGAGTCGCGAAGTTGGCGGCATTGGTCGGGGCAGTGCTTAAGTAGGCGTCAGTAATCAATGGAGCTTCCCTTTGCTGAGTAGGATAATCGATTCAATGAAGACGGTATCGAGGTGGTGGTGTCGAATGCGTCGGGTGAAAGGACCTGCCCACGAGGCGGGCATCGGAAGAAGACTTACCGAGCGACAGCAGCGCTGCCAGCCCGAACGGCCGGGCGGACGGTGCGGGAGAACATTGCGAAGAGGGTTTTGAGGTGGTAGAGAGCAGACAGAAACTGCGGAGAGGGGGGAGGGGGAGCAGGGCAGGGTTGCAGAGGCCTCGCTTTGCTGTTCGTTGCTGGGACGGACTGTCGGGAAGTGCGAAGTCGAACTCCTGGCTGCCGCTCCTGCGCTAAACCCAAAAGGGCGCAATTCTACGGTGTGCTGTCCCGACTTCCGGCGTAATTTGGTGGCCTTAGCGCCTTGGTGCCTCAGGACGGGAAGGTCGGGTAACTGGTCACTGTTTTTGTTGTACGTCATGGCCTGAGCTTCCAGGCAGCCACCCGGGCAAATCGGGGAACTGGACTGTGTTTGGGGGCCTCAGGCAGAATGAGGTCAAGGCCTCGTTTTCCATTCCATTCCCTCCATTCCTCCTCCCCCCAAACTTCCTAACTTTCGTCTCCTCTCCCTCCCTCTCTACTCTCCTCGTCTCCGCGCTCGTCTCCTCATCCTCATTCTCTACTCTCTCCCCCCACACCCACTCCCCTGCGCATCATTGATGCGTTGTCACCTCTTCTGAAGTCGACTCCCATCTTCATTGGTCAGAATTTCCCTGACTAGTTCGTTCTATCAAGCGGCTCCGTTTGCCAGACTCGGCGCACGAGGACTCTTTCACAACCACAGCGTTCGTCTGTTTTACACCAAACCTCCCGTGCGCCTTCCAGGCTTTCAGGCCAACATCATGAGCTCTTCTGAGGACGATATCCCTCTCGTGCGCGCCAACGGCCGCGCCAATGGTAAGCTTTCTCTGTGTGACGCTGCTGCATGTACACCCTTCGGCTCTTATTCTCCTTCGAGGACACCTTTCATCGCATCACATCACATATCTCTGCATCTTCACCTTCTCTCAGCTACATCTCACTCTCAGCCTTGTCTTTGGTCTTACATTCCCCCGCTTACACATTGATCTCGAACTAAACTAACGCATGCGATCATCTATCTCTCTAGCCTCGACCAAGTCTCCTGCGACAAACGGTGATCTCGATCCCGGCATGTCGGTTCGCTTTGGACCCGTACAGGACAAAGACGTTGACATGAAGGACGCGGATGCGCCTGCCAAGCGCAAGTCGCGGGCAAGCATTGACAAAAAGAAGTCATATACCGAGCCTGAGAGCAGCGAAGATGACCAGCCCTTGGTACGCTATACTTTGGCCCGGAACAGCAGTTTTTTGCAACTTTGATGTCTCTTGGTTTCAGCGACTGACCATTCTCAGAGCAAGCGCCGGCGAACCTCGGTCAAACATGAAGACCCCGAATCGGATGATGACGTTCCGCTGGCCCTCAACGGACGAAAGCTCCCAAAGGCCTCCGAGACGGCAATTGGCGAAGAATCCGATTCCGATGTGCCGATTGAGCGCAAACTCACCGCGCAGAAGAAGAAAATTGAGAAGCGGGCAGAGAAGGTGGCTAGTCTCGCGCGCAAGCCCTCGGCCTCCAAAGCTAAGCCAGTGGCTACGACCAAGAAGGCAGTGAATGGCGTCAAGAAGGAGCCCGCGGATGATAAATCTTCTGTGAAGAAGGTGAAGGCCGAGCCGGCTTCTCTGAAGAAGGTCAAAGCTAAGGTCAAGGCTGAGAGCGAGGATGCGGAAGATGGGGAGGAAGAATATCGCTGGTGGGACGATCCTACCAAGGGCGATGGGACCAAGAAGTGGACGACTCTTGAGCACAACGGTGTGGTGTTCCCTCCACCCTACGAGCCTCTGCCTAAGAACGTCAAGTTGAAGTACGACGGTGTTCCTGTGGTTCTTCATCCCGAGGCCGAGGAGGTTGCGGGCTTCTTCGGAAGCATGCTCAACTCGACGCATAACGTGGAGAACCCTGTCTTCCAAAAGAACTTCTTTATGGATTTCAAGGACATCCTGAAGAAAACCGGCGGCGCCAAGGATTCCAAGGGCAACAAGGTCGATATCAAAGAGTTTGGCAAGTGCGACTTCAAGCCTATCTTTGAGTACTACGACGCCCAGCGTGAGGAGAAGCGCAATCTACCTGCAGCAGAGAAGAAGCGCCTAAAAGCCGAGAAGGATGAGCAAGAAGCTCCCTACATGACGTGCACTTGGGATGGTCGTCAACAAAAAGTCGGCAACTTCCGTGTGGAACCGCCTTCGCTATTCCGTGGCCGAGGTGAGCACCCAAAGACTGGACGCGTGAAGACCCGTGTGCAGCCGGAGCAAGTCACCATCAACATCGGCAAGGAGGCCAAAGTTCCCCCGCCACCTCCAGGTCACAAGTGGAAGGAAGTGAAGCATGACCAGGAAGGCACGTGGCTTGCTATGTGGCAGGAGAACATCAACGGTAACTACAAATACGTCATGCTGGCTGCCAATTCCGATGTCAAGGGCCAAAGCGATTACAAGAAGTTTGAGAAGGCCCGCGAGCTCAAGAAGCACATCGACAAGATCCGCAAGGATTACACAAAGAACATGAAGAACGACCTGATGGTGGAGCGTCAGAAGGCGACAGCTGTGTACCTGATTGACAAATTTGCTCTGCGTGCTGGTAATGAGAAGGGCGAAGACGAGGCGGAGACCGTTGGCTGCTGCTCATTGAAGTACGAGAACATCACTTTGAAACCGCCACAGACTGTCGTCTTCGACTTCCTGGGTAAGGATAGTATTCGATTCTACGACGAAGTTATGGTCGACCCTCAAGTTTTCAAGAACTTGAAGATCTTCAAGAAGGCGCCCAAGAAGAATGGTGACGAGATCTTTGACCGCCTGACTGTACGAAAATCTACTTCTTGAGCCATAGTGATGAGATTTGCTAACAGATCATAGACTTCCGCCCTCAACAAGCACTTGCAGAACTACATGCCTGGTTTGACCGCCAAGGTGTTCCGTACTTACAATGCTTCCTTCACCATGAGCGAGTTGCTCAAGGAGATGAAAGCTTCTGGCACTATTCCCGAGAAGATCAAGGCCTATAACGATGCTAACCGCCGAGTTGCCATTCTGTGTAACCACAAGCGAACGGTCGGGGCTGCTCACGCCAACCAGATGGAGAAGATGAGTGAACGGGTACGTCTTGCTGGAACTAAGGTGGCTGTGTTTGCGTATTAACGGGCTTGCTTTCTTTCAGATCAAGGGACTTCGCCTCGAAAAATGGCGACTGAGGATGCAGATGCTCGACCTCGAGCCTTCCCTCAAGAAGAAGAAGGGCGCTTCGTTCTTCGAGCTGGATGAGGATTTGACCCCCGAGTGGGTCAAGGAATACCAAGCATTCAAGGTCGAGGAGGCAACTCAGAAGATCACGAAGAAGTTCGAGAAGGACAACGAGAAGCTCGTGGCAGACGGCGAAAAGGCAATGAAGGCATTGGAGCTCACCGAACGGTTGAGCACCGTCAAAGACTTAGAGAAAAAATACGCGAAAGAGAACAAGACCGGGAAGGTCGAGGCAGAGGGCCGTGGCCCTACTGTCGAAAAGATCGAGGGCAGCATCAAAAAGCTGGAGCAGCGCATTGATGCCATGTTGCTCCAGGCCCAGGACAAGGAAGACAACAAGGAGGTCGCCTTGGGTACCTCAAAGATTGTGAGTTTTGAATCTTTGCTGAACGAAAATACCGTGCACCTGTCTAACATGCGATTCCCAGAATTACATCGACCCCCGTCTCACTGTTGTCTTCAGCAAGAAGTTCAACGTACCCATTGAGAAGTTCTTCTCCAAGGCTCTCCGTGAGAAGTTCGAATGGGCCATCAAATCCGTTGAGGAGGACTGGGAGTTCTAAGCCATTTCCATCTACAATCAGATTGCCACAGGCAGTCCTGATTGTACGTACAATATCATCTTTTGCCATCTTCAAGCCCTGAACAGTGAAGAGGTGCCTTTTGTTCTTTTCGTCTTTTCTTTCGTTGCCTTTGTTTTTGAATCACGATGCACGGCACTCGCCGCGGTTTTGATGCTTACCCGCCCCGTTTGTCACACACTTGAAGAATAACCAAGCGTTCCACATTGCACACGCCAAATGCCATTTTTGGCGCTCTCGGAAAGATTTTAACTACACTAAGCACAAAAACACCTGCAAAAAAGATTCAAGTTGCATTGCATTGAACTCAGTTGTTTTGGTTGCCGCATTGCCCATGCATTCAGCCCAATATTTCTCGATCAGTCCATAGTAGCCCAACTTAGCTAGAATCGAAGATCACAATGTATTCTATCATGCCTGTTACGAAACTTCTTGTAGATAAAGACACGATGGAGTAGTCGCTCTGATAACTACAGATTCTTTTTAGCAGAAGAGATGAACAAGAACCCGAGGAGTCTTGCACCTCTCATGGAAGGTCCAAAGCGAAATTTGATTCCCTGCGCGATGGGGACCAACGAGGACTAATCGAGATAACGCTAACGTGAGCAAACTGCCAGTTATGCAGCAGAACCCAAGTCGGTGGCGCTATCTTGACAAAAACTATGTATTTCCACTTGAAAAGCGAAAGAGATCATTGGTCTGCTATTGGAAAAGATGGTCTTCTTCTAGCTGTGGCCGGTTTCCTGGAAATACCATCGCCGCTGTCAGCGGTTTTTGTACTCGGGGTAGCCAGATAGGTATCCAATATCAAATATCAATTCTCTATTGAGTGGAAATGTTCTTTTTCGAGTAATTCCCATCCCCAGGTGACTCGATAGCCATGGACGAGTATTCCACAAGTGTTGTAATGGTTGGTCTCGGGCAGGCTTGCGATGGCCAACCTCATGGGTCGCCATAGCGGCCATGAACATTGAGAAAGCACGATCTAAAGGCGCAAAGATCATCTAGATCCTCATGAATCTCTTGCTTTCAAGATTCTCGGGGCTGAATACTACGGCGCAGAGCACGGCGTGTTTGACAGAGAGATTCTCAAACACTTGAGAAATGCCAAACCTGGACAGGCTGGATACTAGCAAATCTGTCACCGGGTCGATGACTTCGAACACAAGGTCCCAACTGGGCTCACGCCTGTTTTATGTTTAAGCTTATTAGAGAAACTCTCGATAGTTTTCAGACTTGGTTTCCTGAAAGTAGGATTCCGAACTAGCTCATGCGATGCTTCACTATTCAATTATTACCTGCGCTGGATTATGCCCATGATCATAATGTGATTCGATTCATACAGGTAGTGTACTTGCATACGGTGCCCCAATTACGCTCAAGCTTGGTATAGTATCTGACACCACTTTCTAATAGAGATCCAACTGAAGAACATCTTCGTCAGAGTGAAGGACTACACTCGTATCGAATCCGGCTACTTGGCCAAAGTACCCATCTCCCAGCAAGATAAGACCGAGGACAAACAGCATCTGGCAGAGATGATAGACCTCTTTGGTCCTTTCCTAAAACCGTTACTAGACAAGGGCAAGCCAGATATCGTCCAGTCAATGTTCTATGGTGAAGGAAAATTCAAGGATGCGCCTCTTATAGACAGACCGGGACTCATGTCGGAGGCATTCACGCCAGGGTTGGATAAGGAAGTTAGGGAGCGCTTCGTTTCATTTTTATTGGCTTTGATGAAAACCAGTCCTGAGGAGCGGCCAATGCCTGAGGATCTTCTTCGACACCCTTGACTAAATGCATTGAGATAGTCCAGGGATCATTTTTGTGCATAACATAATGGAGAGCGCTCACGCGAGGGAAAAGATAGTCGTGCGCTTTTAGGCAATTGACTCCTAATCGACACATGTAATTCCACGCCAATATCCCATCCTTCGGAACAATAGAGATTACTAAGCATGTGACGGCTGGCCTTCTCTCACTGCCCTCTAGATAGAGAGGGGTCTCATAAATAATGACGGGTGGACCCTTGAGACGCTGAAGCTTCAAGACCCTTCACCTCAAGTATGTCAGTCAGTCAGACTGTCTATGCCTGGGTCTCATACTTAACCAAAATCCTCCATTCTATTTCCCTGTAATTCCTTTTTGATATTATCATCCAGAAGGACCAGTACAACAAGTCCACAAATGCTGACGGAAATGCTTCTACGCCCCATTGTTTCCATTGTCGGTACAGGGTCCTACTACCCACCTAACACAAAACCCCCCGAGCATCTCGAGGATCTCATCTCTACATACTACGACATAGATCCAATGTACGCATACCGAAGACACACAACAAACTAACCACGTAAGCGCTAACTCACGAGGCTAGTTTAAAGAAGACCTTGGAAATCAACAAAAGATCTAGAATCCAACAACGCCACTTCGCCATCCCAGACGATGATCCATACTGGAAAGACCAAAATCTCCCAAACATTGCAGACTGTGATGCAATTTTCAAGCAATACGGAGTCCCAATGGCCGAGCAAGCAGCAAGAAAAGCCCTAGGAGACTGGGGTGGCTCCCACGAAGACATCACCCACCTTATTGCGGTTACATGCACCAATACTGCGAATCCAGGTTTCGACTTTATGCTATGCGAGAGACTAGGTCTACACAGGAATGTGCAGCGTACCCTGCTTCATGGGGTAGGCTGCGCAGGGGGCGTTGCTGCCTTGCGCACGGCGAATGAGCTTCTTCTCGGTGTGGCGGCCCTTGGGAAGACAGGGAGAGCGCTAGTTGTTACGTGCGAGCTTGTATCAATCTTCTTCCGTGCGGAATTAGACGGTATTGTTAGGGATCAAGAGGTGAATATTGGCGTTACGCTTTTCGGCGATGGTGCTGGGGCGTTGGTTCTGAGTAATGGGATTGGTACGCAAAGGTCTGAAAAGGCGCCTCTCTGGAACATACTCAATGCTCGGTCTACTATTCTGGAGAATTCGGCAAAATGTCTCGAGTTTAATGTTCACCCCCATGGTAAGTGGTCTCTATAATCAGTAAAGCAAAGATACACATTGGAATACTAAAGACTGAGCAGGGTACCACGCCGTGATTTCAAAGGACGTCCCCAAACATGTTTCTTCATCACTTCCAGCCGGCTTCGAAGATCTGATTGCCTCGACTCCTTTACTCTGTTCATTCAAGGCCAATTTCAATGCATCGAGCTATGATTGGGCCTTGCACCCTGGAGGTTACGGTGTCCTTCTTCGTGCCCAGGACGTGCTGAACATATCGGAGCACCATCTACGACAGAGCTATGATGTATACCAAACGCATGGAAATACTAGCTCTGCTACAATTCTTAGTATCATCCACGAGCTGGCGGTCGAGGAGGGCTCTGCCAGGACTGGACACGATAAAGTTGTTGTTGGAGCTTTTGGGCCGGGTATGACGATGGAAATGGCCGTCATGACTAGGGTTACATAACAATAACTTGCATCAAAATAACGGTACTCTAAACTTGGTATTGTCAATTGCTAAAGGTAGGCGGTAAACCTACATATAGTTATAGTTACGCGTTGATACCTCGCCATCGTGAGTACATTCCATGGAAATACAGGCGGACTAGTTAAAGCTCGGCTTGCTCATAAGGAATGCCAAGTTATCCGCGGTCGACTTAAGCAGCCTGTCGAAGAATCCCGGGGGGTTATTCGAAAGGTTCGAAGTAGTTACGAAGGTCTACTGACCTGATCACCGAACGAACATGTGCCCGCGCTAATATTTACTCACTCAGTCTAAGCCTAAGCGCCTTATAAAAGCGGCGTTAGCCAAGACAGGAAAGCCCCATCCAGCAGACATTAGCCTGTCTATATTTGTGCATACAGATCCAAGAGATAAAAAGGGAAAAAAACCGAAGCAGGCTCGATGCCATGTCAAAAAGGAATATAAAGGAGGAGGAACCAGCCACGAAAAGAAGAAAAGGGCTCAAGATGCAAAATGCAGGCTCGGTCAAAAATGAGAATGAGAAATGAAAAAAAAGAGGATATATGCAAGAAATGGAAAATCAAAAAGAATCCCGCCCAATGGAATCAGGATTATTAGTACAAAAAAATCAGATATGCAATCCAGCATGCGGGTCTGGACCACGCCGATATATAAGGGAATCTGGAAATCCGAGAGAAATGCAAGAGGCCAAAGCCCAAGACGAAAGGTGAAGTTGTGGAGAAGGAATCAGTCGTCAGAAGTGTCGTGTCGTGTCAAGACGAGGGGGAATAATTTTTCTTTGCAGACACAATGCGATGCGATGCAGGGGAGACCGGGGCTCTCTCGACGATGGAAGGAGACCGTGAACAATCATACGAGAAAAGAGGATGCAATAGACCGTGAGCGAGTGGAGAGGAGAGGAGAGATGAAACTGTTTATGGCCACCAGTTCATCCGCTTGTAACTCTCAACCATCTCACGAACGCTGTCGGCACCAAAGTGCTCATACTTGGGCTTCCAGCCGACGGTCGACTCGAACAGCGAACCATCAATGGACATGTCCTGGTCTTTGAGCACATCGAGCTCCAAGAACGGACCGATAGGCCCGGGCCGCTCGATCTTGCTCTTGGCAACCAGGTCGGCCCACTCTTGCAGACTGACCTCGTTCATGTCGTCCACCACATCGTCCAGGTTCATCTTGGCCAGTTGCGAGGCGAGGGATCCGAGGAAGGAGACCTTGAGATCGAATACCTCGGCCATGGCCTTAGCGACGTGCTGCTGGCAGGTATCGTTGTGGTCGACGACGTTGAAGGCGATCGGCATAGAGGGGTCCTTGAACAAAGCCGGCATGGAACCGTTGTTGCGGTCGAGCTTGCCTTTCTTGGCACGCCATTCCGCCGCCATCCACAGGGCACTGGCAGCATCCTTGACGTGAAGGGTGTTCACCTTGACATCCTTGGTGTACAAGAACTCGAGATCTTGTTCCATCTCCTTGTGCACGCGGGCCAGGCAGATAGCCATGGCAAAGTAGCCCGGGTTGTAGGCGCCGTAAACGTGCGGCAGGCGCAGAGCGCAGTATTGCAAGCCAGGGATCTTCAGCAACTCTTCGGCGGCCTTGAGCTTCCACTTGGCCAGCTTGTGCCATGGTTGCACCTTGTCGCCTTCCTTGCGCGGCGAGGACCCGCTCTTGTAGACGTGGGCAGTCGAGCACTCGACGAAGGCGGGGATACCGCGCTTAGCACACTCTTTGCCCAGAGCAACGCTGAGGTTGCAGCTGCGGGCTTCATAGACATCGTCGGGCTGGGAATGCCGAGTCTCACCGCCGCAGTTGATCACATAGTCGAATTGTTCGCCATTGGCGCGGTCGAAGATGCGGGGAAGGTGTTCTATAACAAGAGGATAGGGTGTAAGTATATTTTGTCGATTCCCGACCATGAAATTACACAATCAAGGGGTCATTTGCAAGTCTCCACCTACGTTCACGGCTGGCATCTGCCTGTACAAACTTCTCCTTGGAGCAAGCCTCTTCAAACTCGGGAGCCAACCAGGCTAATTGGGGCAGGACCTTGTCGACAATGCGGACCTCGGAGGCCAGGTTGTTCTCATGGATGTGGAGGGCAAGATGGCGACCGATGAAGCCTATCAATCATAGAGTTTAGTTTTCAACAGCATACTTTTGGAGGGGGGGAAGGATCTAGGCGGAGGAGGAAAGGGAGAGGGGAGGAACCAATACATACCGAGGCCACCAATGATTAAGACGGCAGGCTTTTTGGCGTCGGCCATGATGAATGTATTTGTGGTACAATCGCAGCGGCCTGCAGCCAAAGTTTCCCAAATGGAAGGAAGAGGGGGAACAAAGAAAAAAAAAGGGAGTTGAAAGGGGAGGCGGGGGTGAGAGGGAGGGGAGAAGAGAGTTGTGAATAGATGAATCGAGAAATCCCAAAAGTGAGGGGAGGGGGAAAGAGAAAGGCTAAATCGACTAAATCGCCATCGTGCGTTTGGGGCAATTTGGTCATTTTGGTCAGCCCGAACTCTCCCTTTTTTTCTTCCCTCCAATTTCACCTTCATCTCCATCTCCATCTTCCCCCCCCCCCCCCTAATCCACTCTCACCAGGATCCTCAAACCAAAGATACCAAGGGAGACCCGCTAATGCGTCGCTAGAAAATTCGGGAAGATCACACTCCCTGATCCCAAACTTCTCGAGCCACTCCCCTGCCAAGTGCCTCCGCTTCAACCGCTCTAACGACGCCGTTGATCTATAGTCACTGCACTAAGTGGGCTATGGTGGAGACCCCCAGCCTACGAGCCGCTGATTCGAAGCACTCGATGCACTCGGACTTCCAGTGACGTCGAACTCCTTTCTGTTGCAGCACCTGCAGTACCCATGGTACTGGGGAGACTAGTCCACTGGATCGAAGAACTACTAAAGGACTAAAGGGGATCTGCCCGGACCCAAACATTTGCATTTCCTTAAGTTTACTGGAATCTGGGGTTACCCTACACCAACTTCATCTCTCGACATGTATGGAGTACTATTTCCCTGCAATTATGTAGCTCCATCTACCCGCATGTAACCGGCCTATTCTGTTCAATCCTTCTTCAATGTCACCCGAATCACAAACTCAAATGTCTGCAATTCCCCTTCCCCCTTTGCCCGCCACGCACAACCAATCCGGTTGGCTAGCGATTGGAGATCGTCCGTCTCTCGGCGCATCACGAAAGAGACACCCGACCATTGGAGCAAGACCACCGCATGCGAGAATTGCCGGACCTCCTCAAACAGCTGCAGCATACTTGGTTCATGCTCACAGCAGCATCGCTTCTCCATCTCATCCAGGAACTCGTCGGTTGTATTGTAGTCCTCGAAATTGCGGAAGGGCACGCAGACTGGCTCCCTCTGACTCCCGTGCTCTTGAACGAGGAAATAGGTCGCCAGGGTGTTAGGAGGAATGTCTGGAAACTGGAGATTCTCCGCACCACCCGTGCTCTCTACTGAAGTTGTTAGCAATGCCGAATGTAGCGGGAGGTAAAATGGTACCAAGTCAACCTACCTTGGCAGCAAAGCTGAGTGTCCTCCTGGCTAGGATCTCCTCGAGTCGCAAGAGCCGATGACACCAGTGCGTTCTCGACTGCATCCAGACCCCCTCGGGTCAGTGGAGTCGGAGTAGATGGTGCTGAGCTATGGGGGGACCCCTCTGCTCGCACAACACTCGTGCTTCGCATAGGTCGAGGGGTTTGTGGGGTCTTAGGAGTTCTGGGGATTCTGAACAGCCCGGTGGGAGTTGATGCCCGACCACTGCTTCGCTTGATTGGACCATTGATCTCGTCTGAAGCAGGCGGGTCAGGCAAAGGACTGTCTAATTCGATCTCGGAAACCTAATCATGTTCAGCATCAAGCATGCCAGTTAACAAGGGCAGTAAAAGAAGATCCTTAATTTCGGGAAAGCTTACATCCCGCAAGACCGACGACTCTCGCTTGGTTTTGAAGCCGGTCTTGGTACCAGTTTTAGAATCCTTCTCCAGTAAGAACGAGAGGGCCTTGATCATTCTAGTCAATGTCAGTTCGAGTGCCCTGGTTCCAATACATGCTGATAATAGCAGCACCCACCTCTTCTTGTCTCGCGGATAGTCACAAACATTTCCGTTCCTGATATGATCTTCAAGCAGGTACTTATCCCGGGTCTCTTTACCCCAATACTCAGGGCCCACTTGTTCAAGAAATATGGCAGCAACCGCCTCGCGCTTTCTCTCACTCTCCTGTATGTCTGCCCAAGAGGAGGAGAGCAGGGCATGTGCCTTTACCCGTGCGCGGAACTCTCTCCAGGAGTTCTCCTTGAGGTCGAAAAATCGACGGAACTCGTCTAGGTTACTCTTCGGAGTAAGTGCCTTGTCCTCGCCGGGGCTTATCAAAGCGTCGAACCCCTCTGGGAAGGAGGAGGGGTTTTGGTTTCGGGTTGAACGTGGCGGGTTGGCCATCGTGCTGTGTCACGGTGTATTGCAGTGTGAGGGAAGGAGGGATGGCCTGGTAGGTGAGGAATGGCAAGACTAGGTTGAATTGGGAGGAGTTTTGAGCGAAGGGACGCGATGAGCAAATGAGGGTAAGATGATACGAAGTGACTGGCGGAATGATCGAGTGATCTGAGAAAACTGGAGACTTAGCTATGGGCAAGTGAGGTAAACAGTAGACGCGACGTAGGAAGAGTGTATAGTCAAGTACGAGACACCGAAAATATTGCCTTACTTTGACCTTGACAATAGTCACAGTGGATGGCATTTAGTGAGTTAATATCATGCAAAATCTTCAAGATGTTGGTTTGACTTACTCCCTGAACGATATACCGGGAAATGATATTCAAGCTACTATGAACGAGCAGCACCAACGGTATACTAACGCTATCTCAAACAAGTTCTAACAAAGAGGAGGCTGGACATCAAAGGCTGAACTCTTTTTATGTTACTAGGCCTAAGGGTGTTACTGAAGGACAGCTAAGTTGAACAAACAATAGCATAATGGACCGACGACTAGATGTCTAACAAAACTAGTAAGTTATTGGGCTGGTGGCTTTTAGACAGCTTTCTAATAGTGAAACGAGAAGCCACCTCAATCTAAACAGGAGAAAACACAGAGAACAAGGAATATATGCATACTATGGAAGATATCTCAACACCACTAATCATTAGACTGTTTAATCATACAGTACACAACCTCATTCTGAACCCAAGAATCTCAAAGCATTCTTAAGTTCTTTAATCGCAGTGTCCACGTCATCAAAAGTAAGAGCCGAGACTGCCCAACGAGCGTGTTTCTGTGCCAGGGAGATATTGTGATCGTCCACGGAGTGCGAGGGCTGACTTGGGGCTGAAGGAGCCGGCGCAACAGGGATACGGGCAGCCGGAGCTGGAATCGAGGCAGGTGCTGGTGGCGGAGGAATATGAGCAATTGTACTCGACGGATCGTAGAAAGAAGCTGGGTTTGGTGCCTCGATCGATGGGCTAGTTGCTGATGGAGGAGGGAAGGACTGGAAGGTATTTGAATGAGTCGGTGCGTGCGATACATGAAGATCTGAAGTTCCAGGAGTATCTGGGAGATCTATGACGGGAGCGTGACCGCCAATTTTGCCACCAATGGTTCCGGGTGTAGATGGGAGGTCTAGGCCACCGGCGTCTGGCAGGTTAATATCCCTCGCTCTTCCAGGTGTACCGGGCGGATTGCTGGGTACTGAGGGGATCTCGGGTTCCGAAGCAGCAGGAGCGCGTGGAATTGAAGATGTTCGGGATGGGTGCAGCGATTCGTCCAAGGTAGATTGGTGGGCCAATTGGCGCGTCAGACGATCAGCTTCATCTGGAACCTCTTCGACGGAGGCCTGCCGTGGCTTCGAGGCCTGCTCTGCCACCGACTCATCGAATGCTTGCACTTCTGGGTCCGTCGCTGTTACCAGTTCTTCTTCTTCTTCTTCTTTTGGTGCGGGGTTTGTCGCATTAGGATCCTCCCCGGCCTTAAAGGCCTTCACGATCCGGACCGCATGGTATTTGGCAAACTTGATCCTTCCTGCAATCTCTGCGTCCAGCTCCCCCCAAATCTGACATAGCTCGAGAAAGATAGCTGCAGCTTGGAATTTATCGGCAGTTTGTCTGGTTATATATAAACAGGTGCTTCGTTATTTGGTCGTGTTCAGAAGCTTACTTGGTCACTTTATTGGCAGTCATAGCAGCCTCGGCACTATTGAAAATCTCCAGTCCAAATTGCTCGATATAAGCACTGGCCGCATCGTTATCCGTCACAGCCTCATTTTCAGAGTTATCGCTCTTAAACTATTTCCAGGGGAAGGAGGTTAGCGACCAGGTTTGCAGGCAGCAATACGCCGAGGCGATGCGGGGGTTGGGGGTAGTCGGCGCGACTGACCTGCTCCAGCTTGTCGACAAGGTCTGTAGTGTAGGTTTTGATTTCTTCATCGGAGTTGTGAAGTCCTCTCTCGATAATCTGGTTCACGATATGGAAATTGCCTATCGCATGGGGTTTCTAATCAATGGGGGGTCGCATCGCGGGGAAATCGGCACCACTCACACCAGTAGGCGACCACGGGCCTGGCCTTTTCGACCTGCGCTGCCCTTATGGCAAAGCGCCCAATGTCGGAGGATCGTAGCGCTGCTGGAATACTGCTTGCCATGGTTGATGTTGTTGCATTAAGGTGCTGGTAAGGAGCTCGGGGCCAGATGACGTTTGGAGTGTTGAATCCCACCGCCCGTGCGGAGATGCGATAAAAGACAACCTTATCTCCTTTGGGAAGCTGTGGGCCCACTGTATCAACTACATACTAGGTTCTACTCCTTTTTAAATCTCTGCTGCCTGCTGCGACTGTAGAGACTAATTCTAGAAGTAAGAATGCAAAAAAAAAAATCGAAGATCAACATTGTGCGTACAATATACGGACCACTCCTGCTGGCTGATATGGACGGTCAGCTTCGAGTTTATGTACTCTTGGTTTCATACTACATATTTCAGATATTGCTTTGTTGAAAAATAGCCAAATTGGGGCTCTATGGTTGTGGTAGCATGTTCCTAGTTGACTTGAGCTCATATGTAATTCATATTCAATCATCTTCAACAGCCCACTCTCCAATCTCCACTCGCTCTTCAGCCAAAGCCTCAACCTCATAATGATCTTCCACTTGTCCACCAGGCCCTCCAATGCGCTCAATGACGATCCAAATGTTTCCGTGGGAGCCAGGACTGGGTGAGAGATCAAAGTCATCCACACGTACCCCGGACGGAGCATCACAATGATTGCCATCCTCAGACACTGCTAATGTCTTCTTGTATGGGCCTTGACCAAGTTCCACGGTCATCAAGACGGGTGACGGGGCAACGGAGCGAGACCCGATTGTAGATACTTTGCTCTTTGCAATCAACTTGATGCGGGTCATGCGCGATACTCGCAATGGTGCCAGCATGCGATCCTTTCCAGGTGTCAGAATTCCGATACTAGATACAGTCCTTCGGCGACCGGCAGATTCAGAGGCCAATGGTCGCACCACGCATGGAATCGACGATGATATCCAGAGCTCGAAACGTCCAAGTTGATCCGGTGCAAAAGTTGAGCATACTATGGTGTATATACCCTTGTCGAGGGATTTTGTTTCACCCAAAGCACACCCGCGGCGGTAGTCGCCGCTGTCTGCAATGATGTCTCGGCTTCGGACTCTCGTGATACGCTGACCGTTGGACCAGAAGAGTTTGACATGCGTTGCTAGCTCGGTCTCGTTCGATTCCAGGAGAATCGAAACGTCGGTCTTTTCAGAAACTTCAAGACTGAATTGTGGGTTTGAGGAGTATCGTGCAGATTCGGCATTGCCGCCGGCTGTCAATGCTGTCCAGGAGCCGCTCGCTTTCTTCAAACACATGTGCTTGTCTCTTGAAGGGGCCAGCGAGACTGGGGATGTCGAGAATGCTGAGAGGGTAAAGTTTTGGCTGGACGATGGTAATGACTGCTCCGATATCACGACGGTGTAGGTCGTTTGTGGGGGCATTTCGAGTCTTATGAGAGTATTTGGAGAATCAACGTAGGGTCCACGGCGTAAAGACCCATCATTCAAGGACACTCTTTTACCACCAGCTTGGAAAATATAGATACTGATGAATCCAAGCTCCTTGTCCTCGTTTTTAAGGTAATTATGGTCGTCAGTCTTGAAATGCTTGCCCAGTAGCAACCAAACCGTCCCTCCCCCTTCGCTGTAGACAGAAAACTGTGGGTTTCTGACGAAGCAACCCGAAAGAGCGCGTCCTTGTGAAAGATCCCAGGTAAAGTGGATGTCTTCACGATACTTGAATAAACCGGGGTTCCAGTTGAGATATAGGTTCTCAAAGTTTTGGAAAACCTGCTCGCAATCCATCCAAAATGTCCCTGGTGACAGAGGTGAAGGTGGGTTCTCAGAGTCTGTCAGGTCAAGTCTGCCATGTTGTATGATGGTTGGCTCTGCGCCTGCCCATGGATTCTTGAGCAAAAACTGACGTCGCCCGTTCTCCTCTTTCATGTTGAGAATGGCATAGTCATGCTCGCTAACCAAGCCCAGGCCTTGTTGTTCCCTCTCGGTCAGTTTGCCGGTCCCAATAGTCAGGACAACATCACCATATGAGAACGCTTGGTAGAGTCGGCCCCAGATCTCGTCTGACGTGGCATCCTCATTGTGGAGGAAGACTTGCTCGGGGATCCATCCGGTCAACACCCAGAGATCAGTTCCTGAATTACTCCCTGGGAAATCATAGCCCCCGCGAACTTTCAAATATGCCTTTTCAACCAAAGCAGGCCATAAGAAAGTTGAGTGATTGCGGTCAATCACATGAAGTGATCGTTCTGTATTTGAAGATGGTAACCTGTCATCTATGACAACTTTTCGAAAGGCGCCATTAAAGTAGAAGCAAAATATGTATTTCCCCGATGGTGAGAGAGCTGGTTCGTCTGAGCCACGCTCACGGGGATACATCGCTGGCGAAGCATGCTACTTTGGTCAGTCCACCCCATTCTCATGCTACCCAGGACATGATACATACATTTCCTAGTCCCCGCTCTGACCTTGAGGTGGTTGCACATAGACTAGCAACTACAGAGCAATCGGTCAAGACATCTTGTACAAGATCAGATATCCCCATGACAGACATCACGGGCTTCTCCACATCTTGTGTTTGTGTCGCGACATTTCTGGCATGTAGCAAATTGGATGGTCGCTCCCACCCAGCGAATATCTTCTTTTGACAACCAGATAGTTGTAGATCGGGAGAATCTCTGTTCAAACAGTCAGACAGGATAGACTGGCAAGACAATTATATGAACAGCATTACGTACGTAAATTGCTGTTCAAACTCAGCCGATGCTGGTGGGCGCTCCCATGGTGGAAAGACAAAGCCATTAAGCTTTGCCCCTTCTAGCACGATAATCTCTTCACGAGTTGTGAGTTTGCGCTTGGACGTGGGGGGTTGCAACTTGGAGACAGGTTTCTGGCGGGCCGCTGATTGCCAGTCCGCGGCTGCCTTGATCCGCTCGGCACGAGTGATGAGTTCCTTGCATTTAGCATCGAGTTGAACCTTATCGTTAGCTGGCGCGAGGCGCAGAGCCTTCATGTATTGTTCGGCGGCATTGATGGCAGCTTCCAGAGCCGCTTTCTGAGAAGTGGCGGAGGCTATCGCTCCTTCGGCTTGCTAACTGCCGATTAGCCATTCCGTAGTTCCATGTCTCCAGTCTGGGGAAATAAGGTGTAGGTGGGAGCCATATTTACCAACGCCTGGGAAACATGCAAGTTCAGCGTAGCCCCGTGGGGTCTAGACATGGCTTTGCACTTGCGCTGGGGTCGCAGGGAAAGCCGATCTTCTGCGCTGGATGGTTCAACTAGCAAGTGGGATTGTTGCCGAAGAGTGGTTGGAGGCCGACGCGCCCCGCAAAGAAAGGCTGAGCTGGGAAGCCATCGGCCTCTCCTACCACCACCAAAACAACCACCGATAGGCGGTCGATTTTCGGGATAGGCAAATTAGAATATGCTTGTTCCAATCCGAGTCATTTACACAGAACCCGCCGTTGGATATGCTGCCGTGTAGCCCCAGAGTCTCCAGTCCGGAGCTGGAAGGCTGACCTAAGCAGTCAGGCCGACCCTCCGAAGGGACCTCGGCTCGCAGCGCTTCACCGCAGCGCCGAGGTGCTTTTGCCTTGCGCCTGTGCCATTCCGGGTTGTAGGCTCGGTCGTTTTGCTTTTCGGGTGACATCGGTTACTATGATATTGAGTATCTTGGTGATGCATCCGAGATCTTCTTTCTTGAGCCCCTGATCGAATCCTCTGCCCTCCTACTCGTCATTTGTTCTTGATTTCTTCCGTGTTCGGAGTAAGCGTCCGTCGGTTAGAGGCCCCGCTCCGCTTTCTCCTTCGCGTCCGCTTTAACGGACTCCTCTTCCCTTACATTACTTCCTAGACGTCCTCGAGCGCGTCTAATCGATATACATTATGGCTGGCCAATCCAAGCCTGTACGCCTCTCTCCATGGGGAAGCGCCGTTGCGGGCGCAACGGGCGCCGTTCTGGCAAATGCGATGGTATACCCATTGGACCTGTGAGGAACACCCCGGTCGAGTGGATGAGCTCTCAAGCTGCTGGGGTATGCAAGAATTTACTGACCTCGCTTGCTTTGTATAGTGTGAAGACGAAATTGCAGGTTCAAGTCAAGCAAACGAAAGGCGCCGAAGGACAAACCGATGTCGAACACTATGACGGGACTGTGGACGCTATCACGAAGATTGTAGAGAAGGAGGGAATTACGGGCCTGTACTCTGGCATTGCTGGCTCGCTGCTCGGAGTTGCCTCGACGAACTTTGCCTACTTTTACTGGTACAGCGTTGTTCGCACTCTGTACATGGCTTCCAACAAGGGCTCCGCGAACCCCGGCACCGCGGTCGAGCTGTCTCTCGGTGCGGTGGCTGGTGCTGTCGCCCAGGTCTTCACCATTCCAGTGGCAGTGATCACGACCCGCCAGCAGACACAGCCCAAGGGCGAGAAGAAGGGATTGATTGAGACCGGTCGGGAGGTTGTTGACAGCGAGGACGGCTGGTCCGGCCTGTGGCGTGGCCTCAAGGCCAGCTTGATTCTGGTCGTCAACCCCGCCATTACCTACGGAGCTTATCAGCGCCTGAAGGAGGGTATTTTCCCTGGAAAGAATAACCTTAAGCCTTGGGAGGCTTTCCGTGAGTGCACTCATTCGAGGGGGTTATTGATCTACAACGCCACTAACAAACAATATAGTCCTCGGTGCCATGTCCAAGGCTCTGGCAACCATTGCAACTCAGCCTTTGATCGTCGCCAAGGTTGGTCTGCAGTCTCGTCCCCCACCAGGCCGACAGGGCAAGCCCTTCAAGACCTTTGGTGAAGTCATGAAGTATATTATTGAGCACGAGGGTGTTCTCTCACTTTTCAAGGGCATTGGCCCTCAGATTATGAAGGGTCTGTTGGTGCAGGGTTTATTGATGATGACCAAGGAGAGGTATGTTCCCCAGTCTTCATCTCAATGCTGTAGCTTTCATCTGACAATACTCCTAGGATGGAACTCATGTTCATTCTTCTGTTTGCCTACCTCCAGCGCATCAGGAAGGAGAAGCTGCAAAAGGCAGTTGACTCTGCTGCGGCCAAGGCCAAGACCAGCCTGCCCGCAACCCTGAAATAGATGACCCCTGTTTAGTTACGCCCTTCTTCTTCTGTGCCCCATTTACATGTTACTTTGGAGACACTGTCCATGTCTCGGTCTATGGCGTGCTGGTCTTTATATTTTCTTTTTTTTGATCCTCTTGAAACTGTCTAGACATCTTTGGGCTCTTTGATCCTTGGGAGAGTTCTGATGTAGTAGAAACGCGGCTGTTTCTACTCTGGAAATTTGAGATAGACTTGTACATAAATGCTCGACTTGCAGATTATCTCATTTCGTTGAATGCTCAAAAGCAAGCTTCTTTCTGCAGTAGAAACAGTATGAATACGGAGGACTGGCAAAGTTTGCGACTAAAATACGGTGGGTCCAGTATACAATTACGTATCTGCGGCAACGATCGTCGGCGGCGTCTTAGAGCTTCCGCCGCGACAAATCACCTCACTTACCTGGACAACTCTCACCTCCTCTACTTCGCGTCCTGCCATACAGCAGGGCTGTGGGTAGTCATGCGATGGCCGCCATGGAGAACCGAGTCAAGCAATGACGATAAACAACACTCGGAGCGCACCTCCAACTCCTCATCGTACCCCACACCCGCAACAAACAACTCCGACTCCAACCTGGATTGGACCGCCTTCACAGAGTCCAGGACACTCATATCGACCGTACTCTTGACAAGCGGTATTTTGCTAGCGGTACGCTTTCACCGCAGCTACTTACGCCGTATTCCCGACGCGCCTAGCATCTCGCCCTCGTTTCTGCGGCGCCGGACCATCTTCGGCAAAGTAACCAGTGTTGGCGATGGCGATAATTTCCGGATATTTCACACCCCGGGTGGCCGACTTGCAGGATGGGGCTGGCTGCCATGGAAGAAAATCCCTACTACCAAGAAAGAGCTGAAAGATAATACTGTTCGTCTTGTTGCCCGGCTACCCCGTCGTTGCACACGGCTTCAACTCTTTGATCCACTCAAACTGACACATTCTCCGGTCCTACCAGATTCACATCCGTTTAGCAGGCATAGATGCCCCCGAACTCGCACATTTCGGTCGACCTGAGCAACCATTTGCTCGCGAAGCCCACCAGTGGCTCACCTCCTATCTTCAAAACCGTCGAGTTCGGGCGTCCGTCTACCGCCAGGATCAGTACAGTCGCGTCGTGGCCAGCGTATCCGTCAGGCGCGCCTTTGATTTTCCCCCATTCCGCCGGAGAGATGTATCATATGAAATGTTGAAGCGCGGCCTGGCCACGATATACGAAGCCAAGGTAGGCGCCGAGTTTGGAGGCGATAGGTTGGAGCAGAAGTACCGCCGTGCGGAGTGGTGGGCGAAAGCACGGTCCAAGGGTCTCTGGAAGGATTATGGCCGCATTGGGTCTAATTGGGAAAGTCCGAGGGAGTATAAGAATAGGATGGGAATGGGTGAGCCCTCTGATAACGGCGGCAAATCTAAATCATAGTCGCAGCTGTCGGGACCTCTCCCCGATGTCCCTGACAGGGAATGTGTTTTTATATGTACATGATAAGACGAACAATGACTACACTGTAAATGTACGCAGCTTTTATGGATTTCGGAGGGAAATGTTCAGTTCAATCCAGTTTCAGGTATTGTATATCGTACACCAAAGGTGGTAGTTGTAACTGTACAAAGTGCTCAACCCGAGGGTCTTGGGTCATAACAAGGGGTAATAATGTCAAGGCACCCCTGAGCCTGTCGAGTACGCGCTGAGTATAATGCGGCCCAATTAACAATGTGTTTAAATCCCATGCCCAGCATCAGTTATGCTCTTCAGCAGAACCTGCGCTCAATCTCCGCGAACAATTGAGGGGAAATTTCATCGCTCGAGTTGCCCTCCACGCGGAAGAGACAACCACGGCGGTCATAATGCTCCAGCAGAGCCCTGCTGGTCTCCTCGAACTTCCTCAGCCGTTGCTTCCAGGTGTCAATTGAATCGTCGTCTCTCTGCGTCAACGGCTCGCCTGTAATATCATCCTTTCCGGGCACCTTTGGCGCGTGGAAATCCGTGTTGTAGACCCGACCTGACGGCTCGTGGACCCAGCGGGATGCGATTCGAGATAGAATGACCGAAGGCGGGGTTATGAGATTCACGACAAAGTTCACCGGGACTAGGCTGTCCAAGCTGGTTGCTTGGATCGCTGTACGGGGGAAGCCATCGAGGATAAATGAAGCGGAGGGTGATAGTGTGGGAGCTGAGGTGGAGGACTGAGAGGTTGAGGTTTCAGGAATGTCGGGGGAGGGTTCAGAAGATGACGAGGGAGGGAGCCAGCCCTTGGATTTTAGTTCGGAGGAGATCAGGCTGAGAATCATCGAGTCTGGGACCAGATTGCCAGATTGCATTGCGGCTTCGGCTTGAAGACCTGTCGTAGCTGTTAGAGGCAATTGCTCCCTCCCTAAGGAATAGATCAAACAAGGCAGATCGATGGGCGCAACTTACCAAGTGTCGTCTTACGGCGCACATTCTCGCGTAGGAGGTCTCCAGAGCTGATTGAGGCTAGCTGTGGAAATCGAGCCAGCAGGCGCTCTGATTGTGTACCCTTTCCCACCCCCGGCGCACCGACAAGAATGATGCGCGCAGCTTTCTTCAGCTGCTTTGTTGTGTGCGACATGTTCAGGTAATGTCTCGTAGGTAAGTGTTGTTGGGGTATAGAAGGTCGGTATCAAAAATTATCTCCGAGACCGGTTCCTGGACCCGTTTAAGCGGCAGAAAGGGCTAGGTTGAGGAGGAGCAAGCTAGGAAAGAAGGACGCGACAAACGAAATGCGCTCTATTGCCGATGCATGCCGGACGAGGGAATGTCGGAAGAGGCTCGATATAAGCACCACAGGTGTCTCGCGCATATGACCAATTCCCGATTCTGTGGGGTTGGTATTGCGGGTTCTTTCTTCGGACCCCGGTGAGGAAAGCTCCGAGGGAAAAGGCGGGAGGACGAAAAGTACTGCGTATAGTGGAGGACACAATATAGATGGAGGAGAGATCAATCAGATATCACAATATCGTCCAATATATACCACTATAAGCGCATTCAACACATTATGGAAGTAGTCGGAGGGGCTTCGGCATAAGGCCTCTCACATGCTCACATGCGAATACTGTAATTGCCTGACCATCGAATTCATTTGTGGCCTGAATTCCAAGGCCACGGTGATCAGACACTCTTTTGCACGTGACCTTGACCCGTCGCGTGCGCGCGTCGCGTCCATCAATTTAGTGACGAGTGATAACGAGGAGATCCTGTACAATCCTCATATCGGACTTGGGCACAACATCCACTGATTTTAACATAACCGACATCATGATTCGGCAAGATGCGCATCGGATTGATCCCAAACGCAGGGCAACTATCGACCATAAGAAAAGACAGTTCGCTACGCCGACCTACAAGCAGCAGGACTATCCGCATCGTCTGAACTTGTACGACACGCCGCCCACAGCGGAAATCACTCTCGAGCAATTTGAGCAATGGGCTATCGATCGGTTGAAAGGTATGCATGATTGCAGGAATTACCAAAGTTCACACCAGCTACTAACACCAGACAGTCCTGGCCGAGATCGAAGCATGCTCCTATCGCAACAAGTCTCCCGCGGAGACTGAATCCCACATTACACCTCTTCTCTCGAAATTCCTCCCTCTCTCCTCTAATACTGCTTATCCTAATGGTGCGGCCGATCCTCGCTTGAAAAATGAACGCCAAAAGGATCACTATTCACACTTTATCCTCCGCCTCGCCTTCTCCGCGACGGAGGATCTTCGTCGACGATTCGCACGCGCCGAGACAATGCTATTCAAATTCCGCTTCCAGAAGGATGACTCGAGGGAGAGACGCGCGTTTATCGAGAGTTTGAATCTTGATTGGGAGCCCGTAAGTGAAGAGGAACGGAACCAGGTTGCCGAGAACCTGCTCGGCGCGACTCCGGGTCTGCGTCGTGTCGATGAAGAGACTTGGTATAAAGTCGATTGGGAGAAGGTTGCGGAATTAGTTGAGCGACGATCTGTCTACATGAAGCGCGGTAAAGCCTATGTTCCTGGCAGGGAACAGCTGAGCATGATCATGGCCGAATTTACTGCTCGTCTGGAGCGGTCATTGGAGGTATGTTGTCCATAAAAATGCTCCTTCGTTTTCCTCGCTAACCAATTGAAGCTCACAAGCCGAGCTCTACCACGCCTGGATGAGGATGACCGTCTGACGCCCATCTTGAACCACCTCTCCAAGAACTTTGGCAGTGCCGAGTCCGTCTACTCCGAGGGCGAAGGCCATGTCGACGGCACAGCAATCACAGCTAGCTCCATTGACTCGCTCTCCCAGCACTTCCCCCTGTGCATGCGCAGCTTACACATCAACTTGCGAAAGAACAACCACCTGAAGCACTTCGGACGACTACAATACACGCTTTTCCTAAAAGGCATTGGCTTGTCGCTCGAGGAGTGTATCCTCTTCTGGCGTCAATCCTTCAAGGGAAAGACAGATGACGAGTTCAATTCGCAATACAAGTACAATATCCGCCACGCTTACGGTGATGTGGGTGGTGACGTGAACCGTCGTGGTCGTGGATACCCGCCTTACTCGTGCCAAAAGATCCTGGGAGACAACAACGTTGGCGTTGGCCAAGCTCACGGATGCCCGTACCGCCATTTCTCTGTTGATAACCTAGTCGGATTACTCCAATCCACCGGTGTTCATGACAAGGAGGTGCTCCGTGGAGTCCGCGAGGACGTTGGCAAGCAACGCTATCACATTGCGTGCAACCGAGTCTTCGAATGGAGCCACAAGAGCGAGATCAAGAAGGTCAAGGAAGATGGGACATGGAGTCAGGCGGATCTGGATACGATCGTCCATCCTAACACCTATTTCAAGCGCAGCTATCTGCTAAAGACGCTGGCCAAAGCTCCGCCCCGAGGCGAGGCCTGACCTTCTCGCATGTGAAAATTTCTCTTTATGAAGTTATGTCGGCTCAATCGCAAGCACGTGTGCGGCGGTCTCAAGGGCCAATTGGCGTTGGGGCTCATAGGATATTTGTACAATTGCAGATGGAATTTAGGTAGAAGCATTGTTATAATGGCAGAAATATTGCATTTTTAAATAAACTTTTAAAAATTAAGGGAGGTCTGTGACCACAGCTGATTCCCAGTAAATCCGAAAGGATCGAAACGACCTTTCAAGACCAGGTGCCCAGCAACGGGTCAAGTTGATCTCCGCTCGACGCGAAAACAAACTTCATCATGGAATGACGGAAGCTGTCGACAGTAATGTGATATTGAGTCGGCGTGAAAATAAAACATGAAAAGAAGAAAAAGGAAGGAAAAAGCGGGACGGCGCCGAGATTTAATGATGTTTGGGTCCGGCGGGCGGGAGAGACCAGTAGTGCTGCAACCTGGCCTTAGTGCTGGGACTGGCATCCTCACACAACATACTCCTTCACCTTGTGCTTGAACATCCCCTCCCAGCCGACTCCGGAGCTCTTCGATTTGGGATTGGGTTATGCTCTGGTGAAGTTCCCTTTGTTTACACACTTCTTTGAGGTAGTCCGATCTTGTGGTGCCTGTGCGACTTGACTCGACCCCGTTCAAACCCCCTCCCCTTGTCAACACCGGGCCGACACCTCGAACATTGACCGTCACGATGGATTACGAAGCGCTCAAGGATCAATGGAGTGATGTGGAGGACCGCGATGGCCTCAGACTCAGCTGGAACACCTTCCCGAGCTCTCGCATGGTGCGTGTTTTGGACCCGGGGGCAACCCCTCTTACCTGTCCCCACGTCGCATCATCCTCTAAACTTTGGATATAGGAAGCTTCTCGGCTGGTTGTCCCCATCGGTGCTGTTTACACTCCTCTGAAGGAGAAGCCAGATACCCCAATCCTTCAATATGAGCCCGTTACTTGCAAGCAACCCTGCCGGGCTGTACTCAATCCATTTGCGTACGTTTCGACTTCGTGATGGGGTCCTTCCCCGGATCTTGCGGTGAGCTAACCCCTAAGCTAGCAATGTCGACATCCGCGCACGAGTCTGGATCTGTCCCTTCTGTTTGATGCGCAATCCTCTCCCGCCGCACTACAAGGATATCACGGAGCAGACGATACCCCCAGAGCTCCACCCGACCAGCACTACGATCGAGTACCAATTGGCCCGCCCCGCCCCGGCTCCCCCGATCTTTGTCTTCGTTGTCGATACTTGCCAGGAGGAGGACAGCCTGCAGGCGGTTCGTGACTCGCTCGTTATGAGCTTGTCTCTGCTGCCGCCCAATGCGCTCGTCGGTCTGATTACCTACGGCACTATGGTATAAACGGCTCCCTCCCCTTCTTTATATCTGAAAGCGCATGGATATTGACTCTAGGATGTTAGACCCAAGTGCATGAGCTTGGCTATGCCGAGTGCGCCAAGTCCTATGTGTTCCGAGGCAACAAGGACTACACCGCCAAGCAGGTTCAGGAGATGCTGGGCCTCGTTTCTGGCGCCCCTCGCCCTGGCATGCCCCCTCAGCAGCAACCGCAACGTCCTCCCCTTGGCCCCGCTGCCCGCTTCCTCCTGCCCGTCCAACAGGCCGAGTTCCAGATTACCAATGTCCTCGAGCAAATGCAACGCGACCCATGGCCCGTGGCCAACGACAAGCGGCCTCTTCGCTGCACTGGTGTTGCCTTGAGCGTCGCCGTTGGCTTGCTCGAGACTTCCTTCCAGAATGCCGGTGGCCGTATCATGGCCTTCCTGAGTGGTGCGGCTACAGAGGGCCCCGGCCACGTTGTTTCACCTGAGCTGAAGGAGCCTATCCGTTCCCATCACGATATCGACCGTGATAACATCAAGTACTACAAGAAGGCCGTCAAGTTCTACGATGCTCTCGCCAAGCGTGCTGCAAACAACGGTCACATCGTTGATATCTTTGCCGGCTGTCTCGACCAGGTCGGTCTTTTGGAGATGAAGAACCTTTCCAACTACACTGGCGGTCACATGCTCCTTACAGACAGCTTCACGTCGTCTCAATTCAAGCAGTCATTCATCCGGGTGTTCGACAAGGATGCTAATGACAACCTCCTGATGGGCTTCAATGCCTCTCTGGAAGTCCTGACCACCAAGGAGCTCAAGGTGACCGGTCTCATCGGTCACGCTATTTCCTTGAACAAGAAGTCCAGCTCAGTTGGCGAGACGGAGTGCGGTATCGGTAACACATGCGCCTGGAAGATGTGCGGTATTGACCCGTCCTCGAGCTACGGTGTTTACTTTGAGATTGCCAACCAAGGCGGCCCCGCTGCTGTGCAGGCTGGTCCTCAGCGGGGTATGATGCAGTTCTTGACATACTATCAGCACTCTTCAGGGCATTACCACCTGCGTGTGACTACCGTCGCACGACCCCTCAGTGGTCCTGCTGGTGATCCCACCCTGGCTCAGTCTTTTGATCAGGAGGCGGCTGCCGTACTGATGGCCCGTATCGCCGTCTTCAAGGCTGAGGTTGATGATGGCCCCGATGTCCTGCGCTGGGTCGATCGCATGTTGATCAGACTGTGCTCTCGGTTCGCCGACTACCGGAAGGATGACCCAACATCGTTCCGCCTGGAGAAGAACTTCACCTTGTACCCACAGTTCATGTTCCATCTGCGGCGAAGCCAGTTCTTGCAGGTGTTTAACAACTCCCCCGACGAGACTGCTTTCTACCGTCACGTTCTGAACCATGAGGATGCTGGTGACTCACTGGTCATGATCCAGCCCACTCTGGACTCGTACTCTCTCGAGCAGGAGGGTAGCCAGCCCGTCCTCCTGGACTCTGCCTCCATCCAGCCCGCGCACATCCTCCTCCTCGACACTTTCTTCCACATCCTTATCTTCCACGGTGAGACGATTGCCGAATGGCGCAAGGCCGGATACCAGGACCAAGAGGGCTACGAGAACCTCAAAGCGCTGCTGGATCAGCCCAAGGAAGATGCTAGAGTACGTTTTTATCTCTCTTTATATGCAGGTTTCCCAGCTCCCAGCTAACATTAATTTTCAGGAACTCATTTCGGACCGTTTCCCTCTGCCCCGATTCATTGTTTGTGATGCCGGTGGCTCTCAAGCTCGTTTCCTGTTGTCCAAGCTGAACCCGTCCACCACGCACACCACCGGTGGATACGGTGGTGGTGTTTCCTCGCAGACCATCTTCACTGATGACGTCTCGCTTCAGACGTTCATGGATCACCTGATGAAGTGAGTATTGCAATCTCCACCCGATGGGGCAATTATGTTTCAACTTACTGACTAATTCGCTAGGCTGGCCGTGTCCGGTACGAGCTAATTGAAACGAGACGATAAGCCATGAGAAGCAACGGGCGGTCTTACATCGACCTTAAGGGTCATGTGTATCTTTAGCGGTGATTTAGCTCCTTTTTTTTCCTTTCCACTTCTTCAATATAGTCCCTAGTAGATTGAATGATTGATGCCAAGGCATTTGTATGACATTTTGTAATAGACCAACCATCCTGTAGAATCAGCCGAGGCTCTCCTCCTGGACCTGACGTTCTTCGCACATAATCAACATGTTTCCCAAACGGGCAAGTATCCATTCTCGGTCACGTGATAGGGTTGTGCCCTTCATTTCCCAAGTTGGCCCACTCGCTTAGACTAGCCGCCCGTGTGGATCCCAGCAGCTCCCGACGACTTTTCTCCAAATCGACAAGGAACTTTTCTTTCCTTCTTCATCCACCCCTCCGACAACCCAAGGCAGATTGACTACCTTTCGCACTCGCCATGCGTAAGTATCATCACCTGGGTCATTTTTACAATGGCGTACTAATCTCTCTATTTTTCTGTAGCTCCCAAGTTCGACCCCAATGAGGTGAAGATCATTCACCTGCGTGTGACTGGTGGTGAGGTCGGCGCCCAGTCTGCGCTCGCCCCCAAGATCGGTCCTCTGGGTCTGTCTCCCAAGAAGATCGGTGAAGACATTGCCAAGAACACTGGTGACTGGAAGGGTCTCCGTGTGACTGTCAAGCTCACCATCCAGAACCGTCAGGCTGCTGTCTCTGTCGTTCCCTCCGCCTCTTCCCTGGTTATCAAGGCTCTCAAGGAGCCTCCTCGTGACCGCAAGAAGGAGAAGAACATCAAGCACTCCAAGTCCATCCCCTTCGATGACATTGTTGAGATCGCCCGCCAGATGAAGCACCGCTCCATGGCCAAGTCTCTCCAGGGTGTTGTCCTCGAGATCCTCGGTACTGCTTTCTCCGTCGGCTGCCAGGTCGATGGCCGCAGCCCCAAGGATGTCTCTGACGATGTCAAGGCTGGTGAGATTGACGGTGAGTTTATCCTATCTCTACATCCAAATTTTGTGGCGATCTTGTTACTGACGATTATACAGTTCCTGAGGAATAAATTACTCTCTTGAACGGAAAAGAGGAGGACACTATCTACTCTTGTAACAACAAGCATACCAGCTGAAAAATGCGGAGCTAGTTGCAGAATACGATCGTTGCCTCAACCCCAAAAAAAGACATACCATTTCATGAGCTATGACCTGATACCTTGTTTTCTTCGTTCTCTCTTTTGCGAGCATCCGAATGAAAAGTTCGATCGCCCGCGCCCTCCTTTCTCGTTCGTATAGATCCTCATTCTCCCTTTCTCCATCTAACCTTGATCTGCTTCCTCTCGTTTCATCCCCCATTGGCGATGAGGATGTAGCAAGGCATGTTCATCACTGCACGGTGCAGTTGATCCTTCCATCGTCCTATCTCTGAGTCTCCCTTCGGGGAACCGTTACAACACTCTGGCGCTTACCGTCCTCTCCCTGCGGGGTTTGGGCATTATTCCGATGTGGTTTACGCTTATTTTAAGTAACGAAGAGCAACCCGACCCGCTACTCACCGCGGTAACTTGGTGGCTTTTATGTCGCTGTGGTTACAGTGGTCCATATTTGTGGTCTACATCTCTATAACAAGAACTCGATCTGTTCTTGTTCCGTAGTCGTAAGCCTTTGATAGTGAAAATGGACACTTCTTTTCATCTCATTCTTTCCCATATTCTGTCTTCAATATTAAACTTCACAATGTCGACAGGCATTGTGTAACGTACGGCAAAGCCTATTTCTATCAACGATTCCAAAACTCTAAGGTCAAGAAACTCTGAAAAAGGGGCAACACCAATCTTGGTCTGTTCTTATGTGGATTTACGGGAAGATGTACATCACGTCTGACCTGATCCATTCACGAGCTTCTTCTTCAATCTATAGGTAGACTGTCATGTCTCCATTGAAGTCTAATCATAAACTATGGCTCCATAGCGTACAACTAACATGTAGGTGGCCTTGTTTCGAGTGAGGCTGTCGGATGTCCGCATATTTCCGGTACTTCTGCATGCAGGCAACGTGCGTGAGATATATATAGGCGGGTAGCCTTCTTCAAGTATGATCTCAGACTACATATCTCGGCACCGCCGGTCTATTACCATTTCATTTACCGTCCCTTGCTCTAGCCTTGCTATTTGCTTAAATCCCGACAGTGATCATCAACATACAGAATCACGTAGCTTTCACTAATGCGCCGCGTGATAGATTGGGGGTGTGTGGACTTGTAGATTTCTAACCCACTTCTTTATAATAACTTGACTATGTACAGGACAGAAGTCAAACCGAACTCCACCACTGAATATATTTTCTGCCCACACGGTGAATCCGCTCCCCCACCGCTATATGGCGATGAGCTTGTTTACGCCATCACCGACAATTTTAGACCAAGTAACCTGGAAGTCTGTACTTCCACATAGAAACCGAGACTCCGACGAGAAACATCCAAACGACGATTCCATCACACTCCGACTCGGCCACCGACACCTACGAGTCGCACAACAAACAGCCTCGAGCAACGTGTCGCGTTTCCGTAGGCACCACGATCCTTGAACCCCCCCCCCCCCCCCCCCCATCCAAGCAGGCTGTGCCGGCCATATAGCGGCTGTGTTAGCCATACAGTACTCTGTCCACAACACACTTACTCCGTACGGTACAAACTACAAATCCAAATCCAAATCCAAATCCAAATCCAAATCCTTCTCTGCTCGTCGGCCTATCTGACCACAGCTGGTTGGTCGAGTGGACCCCGTCAGCATCACCGAGACCACCGAAACCGATGGACCATGCAGCTAACGCAGGCGCTGGCCCCAAGAGGCCCAAGACCGGACTCCACTCCCCTCGCCGATCACTGCTGGTTGGTCGCCCCTGATAAGGCGGTGGTGTTGGCTTCCTCCACTTGGGAGTCTGGGAGCGTCGGGGTGGTGGGGAATCGAACGCGGGAGTTGCAACTGGAGCGGTCGTGCACGGGTATTCCTGGATGGAGGGGTCGGGGATTATTGATGGGCAAATGAGAATGGGAGAGTATAAATTTGATGATCTTTTTTAGATTCTGGTATTATTGACATGGATTATTGTTGGGTTATAGGGATACGTTTACTTTGTTCTGGTTTGCTCTTTTTGATCATTCGGGAAATGGCGGATTGTATTGTTGAGAATAGTAGTAGCGAGGAGAGGAGAGAAGGTTGGACTGTGTGAAGGATTTGTAGTTCCAATCTTCTCTTTTAATGGGTAACTTGTTATATAATCTATCATAATCGATGACTATCTTGATTTTGTTGCCTTTAGCGAGATCATCTATATTAACTAATATACTAGTGTGGAATATGGAGGACGCCATGGAAGATTGAGTCCACCTCAAAACCGGTATGCACTCTGGACTATCTTAACGGTGTGGATGAAAATGTAAACAGTGGATAAGCTCCCAGAATATCCTGTACCACCCGACCCGCATGCCATTTGGACGTTGTGCAGGCCAAGGATGCGGTGGTGGGGGAGGGTGAGTTTGCCGATCGCTGCGGCTAGAGACATGGGGGTGGGCGAGCCACTTTTGATGTACAACAAAGAACAAAGCAATGAGAAACTTGAAGATGGAATACTCTTTGGAGAATGCACGAGGGCAATATTGACAAGTCTCCATTGTCAACACAACTTGCACATCTCGTTGGTTAATGCATAAGTTCTGCTTAGGGGCCAGGACCGGAGTGGAGTAGGCGGTCCTTGACTCATTGGAGGCATACCAGTATGGAAGATTCGATAATTCCCCAGTACGACCGTGCACTGTGCCCAGCAATCTGGAACGAGGGATCCGCGAAAGGGTAGATTCAAGATTTTCAGTAGTTGATTGCCTAGTAGTTGTCAGCAAGTCAAATGTATTAGCTTTCTTTTATAGAGGATGTAGAAGATAGATCTCCATCAACGTGATACAAGCAATCAATCGTTTTGAGTGGGTTTCGGAATTGAGAAAAACAACTCTCGAAAATCAGAGTTGAAGGGGGAGGAGATTTGGGTCAATCCTTGCTAGCAACCCCAGAAATTGGGCCCAAGTAGGAAAAGATCGCGGGCTGATGAGGCGGCCAAAGAGGCAAACAGGGGGGCTGCTGCGCCTGTCACCCGGACACGAGAAACCGAGACGGTCGGTGGAGGAGGGGGCTTGCATGGGAGTGTAGCAAGTCAGAGGCTGCCTGCAGTGATAATGGTCATCTTATTATCGATGTTTCCTTTTTTGTTGTTCATTGAAAACGGGATCTTCAAGAAAAGAGGAGGGGGGTTTCAAAGAAATTTAACACGCTTCTTCCCAAAGTCCTATGCGGAGTTAGCAGTTAGTTAGTATTCTCGGTTGACTGGGAGGAGGCGTGTAGTGGCGCGGCGGCGCGGTGGTAGGAGTAGCATTTGCCCTGGAAGATGAGAGGAGTATCACAGAACGCGAAGGTTCAGCCCACTCTCCATAGCTAAGCTGGTCCCAGCCAGTCTCCGTAGTCATCAGCAATGGGATCCACCTCACACCAGCAGGATGAGAACGGGCTCGACTCGATCATCGCGGCGGGGCGTCACCGATCCATGACTAGTAGTCGCCCGGACGGGACCAATGGCCCACTGACGTAGCCTGTTGGATGGAGACTCCAGCCCAGAGGAGGGTTCAGCCGTTGGATCGAGTGGGTCTGGTGTGGAGCGGCCGTCGCGAAGAGAGGAGAGGAGAAAAAGAGGGAGAGGGAGATGAAGAGGAGATGGAAGAGAAATACTAGAGGAATAGAGAGGCGAGTGAAGAGATAGAAAAGAGCAGTTTAAAAGATGAGAGATAAGATGAAAGGAAGAGGAGATGGAGAAATAAAAAAGAATAGCGGGCGATCCGCACATCCTTTTTTTCTTCAATGCGGGCCGTCTATGGGGCGCTCTTTTCATCTTACACTTTACTTTCCGTCCACTGACTCTCGGCCTCGAAACTCCAACACTCTCGACACTTTCTCTTCTCCATCTTCCCTCTCTCTCTGTCTCTCTTCTTTCTCTCCCCCCTAGTGACTATAGAGGGCACCCCCCTCCTTTATCCTCTCTGATCTCATCAGAATTCTTCTCCCCCATCGACTCTCCTTTTTCCCTTTAAAAACACCTGCGACCCTCACACAATTCTTGCCAAGATCGCCCGCATTTTATTGGCCCACCGCGTCTCGGACACCAGCAGATCGCCAGTTGAACTCCCCCTTCTCCCTTGCGTCCCTAAACATTGAAATATTTCTTTATTCCTACACCTGGTCTCTCGAGCCCTCTTATCAACCCTCCATTATCCACTATCAGACCCGCTCTCCGACGACGACTGTACCGAACTCGACTTTCATCCCCAACACTCTCGATGACGATATCGTGAATGCCCGTATATCAGCGCCCTGCTGTTGGCCCCTCTTTCTCGTTCACCATCCCTCGAGAGCTGGCTTGGTACACATAATGCGGTGTCGGAAACGTTTCAAGGAGGATGCTTGTTGATTGACCACGAGATCAAACTGACCATTGATTGCTCGCGAGAATTTTGAAACCCCTCTCTGCCCGACCGGACCCTTCTCAACGAGACGGGGCCCCCTCGTCGTGGTCTAGTCGAGGTGAACATGTTTCCGACCGTCGCGCCTTTCCCTTCGGTGCATCCCCATCACCATATGCACCCCTATCCCACTCACGATGCATTAAATCAATCTCCCTACGAAGTGAATGACCCCGGTTTCCCCGCAACGAACGACCCCTCCAAATCCTTCTATAATCAATCTTTACGATCACGCCTCCAACTGCCGCAACCCGTTCAACGACTCGATGCCCGCGATGCGACGACCTCTGGCTCGAACCCACATGCTACGGCTGAGCATGCACTAAGACGGAAGACCCCGAATGGAACTCTAGCTGCTGGCTACGATGGCACCCCCGGTGATACTACGATCCAACCTGCCACGAAACATATATTGGTCTCACCGATGGACTCGACCCAATTTCTGTCTCCTCACAGCGGAACACCGGGAGATATGTGGCAGCAGTCCACGGTGGACCACTCGGGACCTAAACACATGAACTTCCCGCCCGTGTTCAAGAACGACGGTATCAACTCCATGGCCTCTGGAGAGTTCGTTCAGGATGCGAACGGCACTAGCTGGGTGCGTCCTGTCAACTACCCACCAGGCATCGACTCGGTCTTGAATCAAAGTTTGCCTTTGCAGGGACCACAACGGTTCATCATGCATAACGGTGCCTACGTCCCAACCGTCCTTCCTGCAACTCTTCAGCAATGTGTTGGACCGACTGCCTCCGCGGGTACTGGCCCATATGGACCATACTGGCCGGACGGCGTATATATTCCGTATCGCCCTGCAGCAATTCGTGATTCGCGTTTCGGCTCTCCTCATCCGACTGGCCAACCTTTCTTTGATATCAACCAGCCGGTCTTCAACCAACCCCAACCACCCTTGGGCAGTCGTCCAGATACGTCCTTTGCCTGGGGCCAATCTGCACCCGGCTTGCCCACGCAAGATCCTCTCATGAAACCTATATTTCCCCCACGACATTCGGATCAATTACCATACCATGCTCGCGTCAATCGATCAGTGTCGGGGCTTCCAACGAACCCATCGAATACTAATTCCATGAATTGGACTGGTCGTCCCTCGGCAGGACCCGGTTTCCATGGCTCAGGCCCAGCGGTTACTGGGAACATTGAGTTCAAGGAGAAGATACTCTCCTGGGCCCATGGTGTATATGTCGATCTTCTTGCCACAATTCATCAGGCTCGCCGTAATAGCATCTCTAACAGCGGTGCTGATGGCCACGGCCACCGGTTTTTGAAACCGAGTATATACCCCAAACCTCCCCGCCAGCCGGGCCTCGATTTCTCTCAGAACCCCTCCGATATTCCCCGCCACAACAGCTACCCATCAAGTCAATTTGATTTACAACGGCAAAAACTTGGCCTGCTAGCTAACCCCAGGATGAACGATTCCCACTCCACGTCACTGTCACAAAATAGCGCCCACGGTCGTCGCCCATCGTTGAGCCAATTCTCTCATCACCATAGGGGTTCGGACTCGCAGATGAGAGATGCTGCTCGATTCCCAGGATCTGCAAATGGATCTCGGTTCTCGGGGTCTCCGTTCAATGAAGGCTCCCCTGTCAACAACGCGGGATCTGCTCTAGAGATGCTTTCTCATCTTTGTATGGAGAGTAATTGGGAATGGATTGATGGGATGCTTCTTGGTGGCTGCTTGGCTTACGGATTGGGCGATTATCACAAGGCTATGCGGTGGTATTCGAGGATTATCGCTCGTGATTCGACGTGAGCTATACTTGTTTTCTTTCTAACTCAGCTCCGAGATTTCATACTGACACTATGACAGTCACGTGGAAGCCATCTCCAACCTCGCCGCGACACTGTTGGCGCTTGACCGTCGGGAAGAGGCCTTGCAGAATTGGTTACGTGCTGTGAAATTACGACCTAGTTTCTTTGAGGCCGTCGAACATTTGATCGGCCTGTTGTGCACCAGTCACCGCGGCAGGGAAGCCGTCAACATTATCGATTTTGTACAAACATCCCTCCGTCATCCCAAGGATGGCGATTGTTTCAAGGCAGATGAGCATGCCAGTGAGCCAGAAAGCGACGCTGAGAGCAACGTGTCTGATGTCGGCATGTATGATAAGGCATCATTCGACTACGATGACGATATGGGCGGGGCCCATGGCTTGAATTTGGGTTCCCCCGATATGTCCACACCTGCTGGCTTTGCGACCAGCGGGTATGCTATCCCTGGCTCAGACAACGGGCGAATGCTGGCTCTCATTCATGCCAAGGGGAACATGTTGTATGCCCTTGGTGATAATGCGGGGGCTGCGTCTGCTTTCGAGGATGCCGTTTTGATTGCTGCTGGGAGAAGGCGGCATGGTATCCAGAGCCTTATCAAGCAGATCTTTGCTGCCTTCTCGCATCGACCCAGTAATGGATACCATCAGCCTGAGACGGAGTCCAACGAGAGTGTTCTTCTGTATCCCGACAGAGCGCTTCAGACTTCCAAACTCGTCTTCCAGTCTAGTGGGACACCACCTGGGCTTAAATACGTCGCAGAAGGCATTTCCCGAAACGCTGCCGTGTCCACTACCAGCAACTCGCTCCTTTCCCTGGCAAAAATTTATCAGGATGGAATGTCCACTGTTTCGTCTGGAGCCCCCAAGTCTGCACCTGGCGTGCGGGATATCCTCGCTCTTTACTATCTGTCTCTCTCCTTGCAACCGAGCCCGTCTACCGCCAACAATGTTGGTATCTTGCTGGCTGGTATCCAAAACAACCCACCAGCTCGGGGGTTGATTCGCCCCAACGGCGAGAGCCAACATCCCGAGATACCTGGCGTTGTGCCCGGCAGTGGTATCTCCTTGGCATTGGCATACTATAACTACGGACTGCATCTTGACTCTCGCCATGCTCACCTGTATACCAACCTGGGCAGTCTCCTCAAAGACATTGGCCAACTTCAAGCTGCTATTAAGATGTATGAGCAAGCCGTGCAGTGCGATGGTAACTTTGACATAGCGCTGGCCAATTTGGCCAATGCCGTCAAGGATGCTGGCCGTGTCAACGATGCCATCTCTTATTACAAGCGCGCTGTCAAGGTGAATCCCGACTTTGCTGAGGCAGTGTGTGGTCTGGCGAATGCGTTGAACTCGGTGTGCAACTGGGTCGGCCGTGGAGGCATTATCAATAGCCGTGGTTTTCGTGATCGCTGGCACGTGGACGAAAACGGCATGCTTCGGGATGCTCACAGTAGCGACTCGGGCGCTGGCTGGATTAAGAGAGTTGTCGACATCGTCGACCGGCAATTGCGTGAAGGCGAATACTGGGGTCGGGGACTGCTGACCCCAACCACGGCCGAGCAGCTCGTTGCTCAATTGGCCACTGCATTGGATTCGGGTCGCATGGGATCTAATCGCAGGTTGTCCTTGGCTAAGGTTCTTCAGTCTTGGGCTGGCAAGAAATGGGAAGGGTCTCGCATTGTCCGTCTGGTCGAGCGTGCCATTCGCTCAATCACGTGGCAGTGGTATCAGGATCGCTATGTCTATGGCAAGGACTATCCTGCTTCCAAGTACCGTCGACCTCAACTTCCAACAGCTCTCACGGCTCCGAATGCCCCGACAGTTCTCCCCTTTCACACCTTCACTTGCCCTCTCTCTGCCAAGCAGATCCGGCAAATCTCCCAGCGAAATGGCCTACGCATCTCATGCTCGACCCTGCGATTGCCCTGGCTTCCTGCGACCGTTTATCGACCACCGTCCCCTCCCAAACCGTACCTTCGAGTTGGCTATGTGTCATCGGACTTTAATAATCACCCACTGGCTCACCTGATGCAGTCCGTATTCGGATTGCACAATCCCAACAAGGTGAGGGCTTACTGCTACGCGACAACCGCCAGCGACAAGTCCATCCACCGCCAACAGATCGAGAAGGAGGCACCTGTTTTTCATGACGCCAGCGGATGGCCCGTTGATCGACTGGTCCAGCAGATCGTTGACGACGGAATCCACATTCTGATTAACTTGAACGGCTACACGCGCGGAGCACGTAATGAAGTCTTCGCCGCTCGGCCTGCGCCCATACACATGTCCTTTATGGGCTTTGCTGGTACCCTCGGTGCAGAGTGGTGCGACTACATTCTTGCTGACCAGCTCTCCATTCCGCCGGAAACTCTGAGCCCCGGACGGCGCACCACGCGGATTGAGGATCGGATGCTAGAAGATGATAATGGCGAGGATCTGGAAGATTGGGTCTATGGTGAGAAGATCGTTTTCACTCGTGATACGTTCTTTTGCTGCGACCATCGACAGAGTGCACCGGATGCGGGGGAGCGCCCGCTCTCTTGGGATGAAGAGCAGATGCGCCGCTGGCGGATGCGTAAGGAGCTATTTCCTCAGCTGAGCGATGATACGATCATCCTGGGGAACTTCAATCAGCTGTACAAGGTGGGTTCTTGTTTTCTGTCCTCTATGATGAGCGATATGGCTAACATTTTCGATAGATTGAACCCACTACATTTCGAACGTGGCTGCGTATTTTAGCGCGCATTCCCAACTCTATTCTCTGGCTCCTGCGGTTCCCAGAGACGGGTGAGCAGAATCTTAGGGAAACTGCCAAGGCATGGGCTGGTGAAGAAACGGCTTCTCGGATCATCTTCACTGATGTGGCACCGAAAAACGCGCACATTGCGCGGGCCAAAGTTCTAGATCTCTTCCTGGATACCCCCGAATGCAATGCGCATACAACAGCGACCGACGTTCTCTGGAGTGGAACTCCGCTGCTCACGCTGCCGCGGTACAAGTACAAGATGTGTTCGCGAATGGCAAGCAGTATCCTGAGCAGCGCTCTACCAAGCGGCGAAATGGGCCACCGAGCCCGGGAGGAGCTCATTGCGTCTTCGGACGATGACTACGAGAACAAAGCAATCCGGCTGTGCATGGATCTGCAATACATGCCTGGTGGCGAAGGCCGCGCGCGCGGCCGACTGGCCGACATTCGACAGATGCTGTTTCTACAGCGATATAAGAACAAGCTATTTGACACGGCGCGCTGGGTGCGTGACCTGGAAGATGCTTACGAGGCGGTGTGGGCGCAATGGGTGAATGGCGAAGAAGGCGATATCTGGTTATGATGTGCACAGCGAATTATACCCCTTGAGCGCTTTTTTTTACTTGGTTTGGACTGGACTGGATATTCTGAGATTTGGTTTGCATCTATATCTACCTTGGAACTGGATTTTGTTATGATCTTTTCACTTGAGTTTTCTTATTTGGGGAAACTCTTTTCTCCATTCTTCACTTGTTTTTTTTCTCTCTTCCTCGAATCCTCCTTTGGGGATTCTTCTTCTTCTTCTTCTTCTTTTTTCTTCAAATTGAGATCATCCATGTATCTTTGTCTGGTTTGGGATATGTACACTTGGAAAGTGTAATCTGGAGAATCTAGGTGTTTCCTGATTCCTAACTGCTCTATAGAATGTCTTTGTTTTGCATCTAGTTGCGATAGGCTTCGTTGAAGTCGGGAATGCATTCGTTTCCAGCGATGGACATGACGGTCATTGGAGTACACCTCGTAGGAGATGCACCAGTTCGCGTCATCTCGTCATATTACGAATCAGCCAGCTCCGGCTTATTCAGGGCTTATGTTTGATGATCAGCTTTTCGTAATGCTTAGCTATTCATCGTGGTCGACTCAGCGTTTCCTAAAAGTAAGTGCATCTCGCGAGATTTGGCACGCATCTCCACCAGGCCATGTACTTACTCACAGAATAATCCCTGTATACCTCCCGACTCCAAAGATCACCAACAAGCTCCCACGGTACGGACAAACAACCCAACTCGAGACAGACATCTTTTAGCAGATCAAACCATTTCCCAGGATACCAAATCATTCAAGATCGAAAATCTAAACCCACCCTCCCATACGATAACGAGCTCCAATAGATAATAATAGATAATACTCTATCCCGACAAGAGGCTGGTCTATCATATACATTTCTAGTAATCGAGCGCGAGCCTCAAAAACGAGATCTGGGCGGTGACTATGAAGAGGGCGCCGCCCACGTAAGCGCGATGTGGATAGTGGATACCCTACGGAGTACCTGAGGGAAACTGGATCGCACAATCTGGAAAAAAAATTCATATCGAAGCTTTCCCCATATTCCGCCCACGGTACGCACCGAGATTCGCCGGTTTCATGTCGTCTCGGATATCGTTGGTGGGCTGGTACCGGGCCGGTCAGATGGTGAAGTGGTGGGTTGGTGGGTTAAGTTGGGTATGACAGTGTACGCCTGTATCTACATTGTACTTCGGTGGGTAGGTAGGTCTGAGCCTGGCTATAGTAGAGAGTTGAACATTTATAGAAATATTCCACTTTAGGTGTGCTATAGATGGAAGTGGCTGCGAGTGTTGAGACTTGAAACGGATAGTTGTCAATAGTAGTAGCCGTGAGGCTGAATCGAAGCGCCTGGACCCTGAGCGAGGACAGAAGGGGAGAGCTATGCTACGCCTTAGCCTTAGACTTGAGAATGTTGTATGCACGAGTCAATAATTGCCAACGAGGATGCCTGGTCGATTGACGTGCTCACGTTGAGCTGAACTCGGTCATAGCCGTGCTACTGGATGTCCCCTTGGCCCGGGCATTGGTGGACGAGAGCTCGGAGGATAACCGTGTACAGTAAATGCAGATTTTAAGGGATTTTCAGATCTTACAGGAACTCGGATAACCCGTAGAGCACACCAGGTCCAGCCCCAAAAATTATCAAACCAACTACCATCCTAAAGTGGGCATGGTAACTGTCCAGGATTTCACCGAAAAAGGGAATTCAGAGAAAAAAAATATAAACACGGAAAAAAAAATGCAGCAATTACAAAACAAAAGTCTCCCTTCCCGACAGGCGGGTAACATCTATTGCGCTAGAGTGAATTAAGACTAGTGGATAGATGGGAAACGATGACACCGAGATTCTCCGTAGACCAGTTAGAAACGCGGATCGGGAGAGGAAAAGTTATCAGCTGTACTGGATATACCTTGATGGTTGAATTTTGCACTATTAAACTATTTTGGATTAGCTGTGGCTTGTTGGTGTCACTGGGGGGCACAGCCACTGCTTAGCATTTTAGCAGAGTATGGAGGGGATTTGCCTCCTTGTTTATGTCGAACGTTTCTTGTATGAGTTTGTCTTGGGTTATACGTAGAATGTTGCTAGAGTATCTATCTTTGCGAGAGCTTTCTTGTACTACTAAGTAGCATGCCGATCACTTCACGCATAACTATTTGAATTACAGTATGATGGTGGTTAGAGTCGCACATATAAGTGGGAAGGTGTACCAATCTCCGTACAACAGCGTCATTCAGGGGAATGATGGAATCAAAATGGGCTAGTTACTTCTCCTACTTCCCCACATACGACCGCCTCACTTTCTGTATATTGCTCCGTACTCTGTATATAAATTACCCTACACGGAGTATCCTATCCTTTCGTAGTTATTTAAGTTCGGGATACTACGTTGTGGCTCGTGAGCCCGATGCGATCAACGATCGAACAAAAGAGAAGCCCCGAAAACTCTCTCTCATGGCCGAAAATTAGGGCGCGCGTCAAGGGTACCGAGTCGGGTGAGCAGCGACGTCGATCACAGGATCCAGTGGCTTGGAACAACGGTCGATACTGAATACGTGATGCCCGTATCGTTTGTATAGTATTGTAGTATGGAAATACGGTATAAATATACCGTTACGCATTACCTGGTACGCAGTATACAAAGTCCATCATTCTTGTATCCTTTTCATCGCTTCCTCTCCAAAGAGGATCCGATCTTGATTATCTTTTCTGAATTGAACGAATTGGGGTAAATGGAGATCGTTAGATTTGACTTACCCCTGATCCCTTTGTAGAATACCCATGGTTCGTTGGTCTGATAATCGAGTTCTTGGTACCGATTTAACGGCGGTCACAACGGCGATGGGGTCTACGGTCTACCATGGAAAGTGGTAAACGAGAACGATTTTTTTTGTTTATAGAATACACTACGCAGTAACCGAGTATTGAATACTGTAAGAATATACCGATCGCCTTGGCACCCGTTTGCCCGTCATCGCGCGCAGGAGCCGGGAGTTGGTCCTGGCAGGTTCAGGAACTAGTGGCCGCCGCCAAACTCTACTCCGGATTCAGTATGGATTGGGAATGAATTTCGAATTTCGAAAAACAAGAATTTAGGATTTGGGGCGAGGGGGTTGGGGACCAAAGGGTCAAGAACCAGGAAATGGGGATTTTGAGGGGGGAAGAAGAAAAAAGGTAAAGTTATTATTCTTTTTTTCTTTGTTTGAATGTTTGTGCTATTTCATTTTTCTCTTATTGACAGGGTATATACGAGTTTTTGTCCGTATGACTTGATAGTTCGGGAGAATGGTTCCACTCTAGTGGGAACTTGAACAAGTCCAAACTCCCGTCAAAGGATGAAAGGCTGAACGGCTTGGGAAAAAAACATGGTACTGGGACCTTGAGGGTTCTCCAAGGTCCTGGATCTTTGTTTGATGGAAGTCAAAATGGAGCAGTGTCCAGAACCGGACTATCGGGGGGATCCCCAAGAACTTCTTTCTTTCACCGGTTCTTGGGTTCTTGGATTTCTTTGTTTCTCTTCTCTCTTTTCTGTTCGCAACTTCTCTCTCTCCCGTCCGGGTCCACCGTTCCACCGGCTTTTTCTCTGTGGATTCTTTTTTATCTGATATCCCGTCCCAACGGGGTACACTGTGCACGTCCCGTAATACCGGATAATTACCACAATTCCAAATTCCAAATCACCGACAGCTGCTGCTAACTGCTTTGGTGACTAGTCTGGAGATGGTCATGCCTCGTTTTGACCGGTCTAGATCAAACTACTCAGTGCTCACACGCTACAGCACTACTATGAGTGAACAACCCCCCTACCAAGAACTCGGGAGACACTGGTGGTGACCTGAAAGCCCAGGATCTGATCTCAACTATTGATTACCAGGTCTCTGGTGATCACACTCGAAGGTGATTCCGGGGTGCTGATTCGACCGTCTGATTTCATATCGTTTATTGGCATCATTTTACCTCGTGCACCGAGGACCATTCATCAGGGGGTTTCTTCTCGGTCTTATTCGGGGATGATCACCTTATGAGCTACACTCCAAGGGATGATTTGCATATCCCGGATGATGGCTGGCTGATGCCAGTGGCTGGAGACTGGAAGCGACCTCATGATCGCCGAGTCGGTGTCCATGGACCAGCTACTCATGGACAACTTCCGTAGATGTCGCAAGCACTTCATCAGGCTTGTAATAGTATCCCCCGATGCTGATAGGTCGCAATCGTACTAATTAGTCCCGAATGACTCGTTATCGTTGGTCCTGCTCATGTTAGTGCCGGGAATCCTGTACTTTTGTACAGTAGTCCATCCTCGATGAACCTCGGCATCACAGTCACCAAACCCACCAAAACCTACCCATCATAATCCTCATTCCATGTATCCTGCAGCCCTCGCCTCTAGGATCCAACCGATCTAACCGCCGGGGGCGTCCCCATTATCCACCCAGAGCCGTCATACAGAACCGAACTGCCAGATTCAACCAAGATGGCCCACAGTAAATCTCGATCGCACGGCAGAGGCAAAGAACGCGCCCGCCAAAAAGCTCAACGTGGATCAGATCACCCGTGCCGCCACCCACTCAGGGCGGCGGACGCCGTACTTGTACAGTAGTGAACCATCACCCAGCCAGAAAAAAAAAAAAGAACCAGTGCATCGGCAAGTGCCCAACGTTGTCGTTGGGGGTCCAAGATCTCGCTTGCGCTCGGTTGAAGTGGCGTCTGGTTGGGGTGGGACTGGGGAGGGGTACAGACTGTCAGTCTGTACGGAGTAAATTCTTGTACAGTATTCCCGGGACGGGCATCAAGTTCCGGACGTTGTAGTTGGTGCAGGTGATTGTGTCAGAGAGTAACCGAGGACTGGACTCTTTTCGGAGTCGATCAGAAATAAGTTATCAGCCCCGGCATACCCCGGTCTTCCATGCTAAAAGCAGTCAATGCTCATGGTGTGCATCTCATCACAAAGTCATGAGCCAACTGTTACCCCCAAGTCGTGTTACCCATACAACATGCCTCGAAACACTGGA